ATACGCAAGAGTTGGCAACAACAGTTGGCTCTGAATCCACCACTGCGAGGCCAGAGCGCTGAGGCCCGCATCGGCCGGCCGGCGGGTCGGCCGTGTTTTCAAAGACATGTCTTCTCTGTCTATTGTTTCCCAACTCTGCAAGACCGGTAAAAGGCAATGATAATACCGTCATGCACATCGTATTCTAGTCTGCATGAAACTGAAGCCTGTCATGGGATGTGCTGGTTGCCCGCATGAGAAAATGTCGGTGTAAAACGGCGAGCGTGGGCCCAAGACCCCCAAGAAGGTATCGACTCCTCGCCGTGGTTGATTTTAGCTCGCGCGCATATATCCTTTCACCCCCCGAGAACAGCCCGTGGCTCCGAGTGCTGATGCTGCGATAAGCCGCCATTTCGCCGCAGTGCAACGGTGTTGCACACACGTACACTTGGCTCACCTTCTCGCTCCGTGGGCAGGGCGGGCATCGAACGAGCCGAGATTCCGGGCTGTTCTACGTCGCAGTCCTGCTGTGAGACTCTCGGTAAGGCGGGCTGGCAGGGGTTACGTCGCCCCCGTGCCAGAGCCATGTCTGCCATCTGCTGCCATCATTCTCAGCCCTTGCCATGACGACTCCTAATCCTTGCTTCCTTTCTTTTATTTTTAGAGTGACTGCCGGCGCACAAGAAGCTGCTCCCACTTGCACAGTAGGCAGCGCACTGTCTGCTCACCGTCGACGGTATCGCTGGCAATCTCCTAATTCCCGGCGTCATGGACGCTCACGCTGAAAGCGAGACAGCGCTGGCTCCGGAGATGTCGCGGTCAGGGCCGTGCCGGTTGGCGAGCAGAGCAGCTCTTGCGAAAGGACCAATGGGATTGCGGATCAAGATCGTGGAGGGCCGATTGTCTGTGCCATGTGGGTGGGCGATTTCGATGTTGTGGAGTTGGCAGGGGCAGCGACAAGGCTGCATTCTCCCAGAAAACCACCCGCGCACCCAACTGGCTGGGTCCGCTTTTCTTTGTCCGTGTCCGTCACATCCACCACAGCTTGGATGTACCGGTACATTCCGGTCCCGGTCTTGGCTACTTCGACTCTGGTCACAGTGTCACTGACATCCCGCCGCCTTGAGTCGAACCCACCAACTCCTTTCGACACTGTAGTCGGGAGCGAGTGTCAACTAACGTGCAGCAGCCGCAAAGATAGCCAGTGGCTGGCGTGTGGAGTTTGCTCTGTCAAGGCCTGCGTCTGTGCCTGTTGGTCCGTTGGAAATGATGAAGAGGGCGAATCCCGATTGTGCTGCTTGAAGTGGCCTTGGCTAGCCTGTCGTTCTTGCGTCCAAGTGGCTTCAGCATGACGGCAGGGCGAATCGCATTCTGGCGTCACAATTGAGTATTGAGCTTCTCCCAGTTTCATAGTCAACTAGTAGCAGGGAGAAGGTACCTACCTAGGCAAGAGAGCGGGGTGACTGAGCTCTGTCGGTTCAGTTAGGAGCTGGGATGGCTCAAGACGAATGGGAAGTTGTGGCGATTGGATTAATGTGCACAGATTTGTGAAGAAGTTCAAAGAGCCAGGCCAAGGTAACTCGTTCCATGCATTGAATTCCTTTTTCATTTCCAAACAAACTGCATGGCCACAGATTACCTTAGATTGTGGTAGTTGCGGGAAGAGGTATTACCTCCCTCAGTAGGTAGGGGTCTGCTGCGCTCTTTCTCCCGCTCTTCCACAGACCCGACAGTGAGAGCGATTTGGTCGTACTAATTTACCTACCGTAGCTTCCATGGAGAATTAAGAACCGCTTCCTACCTGACTCAGGCATGTACATACGTACTGGACGGAATGGGCGACCTGCATCAGCCATACTTGTAAAATCACTTAACTCTATCTGAACTCGCCAGGGGGGAGCGACCTACCACGTTTCGCCCGGCGCTGCTCAAGAGTCTAGGTACAGTCTAGCAAGGACCTTGAGGTATGTTCCTTACGTTTAAAAAAGGTTCAGGTAGGTTTGGGAGTAGGTATACCTCACTCACTAGACTGCCCCTTGTAGCTCGACTTTGCCACACTCTGCTGAGGTGGGTTTGTGGCTTGGGCCGTGATCGCGCTCGAAACCCCGGTTCGAAGAGGTACCTGGGGGATTTTGAACAATTTTTTTTCTTAGAAGGCGACTAGTGATCATTCAAAACCCCAATACATATTTGGGGAGGCTTGTGTCGATATGGAGATGCATTTAAGAGGGAGCTCGAGGAACCTGAGGCCTGACTTGGTCCCCCTTTCCCACCTATGGATGCCAGTCGAACCCGAGCAAATGGAGCGAGGGGTGAAGGGCTACAAGGGCAATGTGGGGACGACTGTTGCGATACGAACGGGAAAACTGAGAGAGAGCAAGGATGGTAGAAGCAGGAACAAGCAATGTTACTCGCATCCACCTTGCCCGAAAGTCTGTCGGGATTGTGTGGGTGTGTGTACTCCGTAGACTGTAAGGGTACTTTCCTCGTTGTATGACGAGCAGGACGAGCCCCTTGCGCCATTGGTGCTCATGAAATTTTTTCCACACTCCACGCCGAAATCCTCTAGTGTATCTTGGTCATCGCCACCAAGCACCTACAAAGCTCTCACCCTTCTCCTGCCCGCGTCTTATTAACGTGTTTACCAGGTGAACCGTCTTAGCGGGGCAGTGTCATGATAAGGCCTTGCATTTTTTTTTTTTTTAAAAAAAAAGTTGTCAATCCTTTCTAGAACGTATATGGCGATACAGACGTGCAGTCAAGGCTATTTTAATTCTGTGGTCGGAAAGAAATTATGAGTCGAGGCCAAGGGGGCCGGCTTTGGGAGTGGAGAGCTTAGCTTGTGATTTGCGGGATAGAGGCGGTAGGGAAACTGCATGTCCTTTAGAGTGTACCTGAGATACGGAAAGCATGGAATCATGAATGTATAGTACTTCGTACATGCGCGCGGTGTAGTGCCTGTGCTTTCTTCTGCCTTCAGGTCGGAATTGGAGGAGGTCCCGCCCTAGAAGAGGTGCCCCGGCCGCGACTTCCTTCAACGAGAATGGCGGGGGTTTTAGTGGAAAAGGGTGGGAAGGATTCCCACCTCAGCGCTCAGGTCCATCTCCCTGGGTCGTTCTCCCCTTGCCAAGTTTTGCTGCGTCCCGCACGAGTGTAGACATACCTCCATTCCTTGGGGTCGGCATGTCGGCTTTGGCGCTTTGAGAGTGTGCGCCTTGTACTGTGTACATATGACACAATTTTTCTCCCATCTCCTGGATTGCTCCTGCTCGGTTCCCGCTTCCACTGGCCGTGCCATATGGATGGCTCCCGCACCTCACTCCCAACTACGTGCCTGTCGCCCTCACTAACAAGCTCCTAGGCCGTACGCACCCTCCTGGGACTTAAACAATAGCACCACCTTCCATTACCTACAACCTGTCTCGCCCTCGACGCTCCCGTGCCCGCCAACAACCAACCACGACGCGAAATAAAGTTAGTTGCACCCGACCTGAGTAATTCACAGGAGCTGTTCGGCCCTGGTCAGCCGTCTGGGCAACGCCGTCTCTGCTGCCTTTCTGTCTTGGATGCTCGACCTGCAGCTCCTGCACCACACCTCGCCGGCCAGCCAGTTACCAGCCGACGACAAGTTGAACCGACTCACTTCTAACTTGACACGCATACTTGGACTCGCACTCGCGCTGCCGCCAGCCGGCCCTGCTTATCTCGCCATCTCGGATCGCCCATCGCCAGACATAGACAGCGCGCGCACGCCGCCCGAGAATCCCATTGCATTATTGCGCCGTCTACGCTGCGCTGCACCGCACGAAAGACCGAGAAAAGCGGTTGTGTATACAAAAGAGAGCCCCCTGAGTGTGGTCGCGCATGGTGCAAATCGGCTATTTTCCGGTAGACTTGCCAAGTGTCCAGGCTTCAAAGAGTTGCACCGCACTGCGCTGCGCTACGAATCTTCTGGCGGCTTGGGGACGACCCCTCAAAAACTAAGAGCCAACACACCCACACACAGACACACACACACACACGCACGCACACTTTCGCACTAAAATAAATAAAAAGAGGAAGAACCTAGGGTGAGAAAAAGGAAAACCCGCCGCCTCGAGGGCGCGAGTTGAGGACCGGGTCGCACGCCCGGCCACGTCCTCCCAGGCCAGAGCCGCTGGTAGACGGAGACCCCGGTATTCCGTATCCGTACGCGAGAACCTACCTGTCTTTGAAAAGGGGAGGTCGCCAAATCAGGGAGGACACCACGTCCGTAACCTGGCTGCAGTCAAGTCAGTTGCGCGGCAGCGCTGGCCACAAGCGTGCATACCTGCCTGCCTACCCTAACTTCCTACACAGATAGTAGAGGTTCGGCTGCCGCTGCTGTGTGCTCCCCCCAACTATTCTTTCTGGACGATGCCCCGATACAGCTACTTGCATACGGGCTGCCACCTCATCATTCTGCCGTGAGCTACCGCGACTCTCGCAACACGGCCTACACCCGCCCCATCCCCCAATAATCGGCGCGCAGTCGTACATGACTGTACCTTGGCCAGTACTGGTACCTCCTAGATACTCGGGACACCTGCTGCGAGCGACGCTCGGCTGTGGTGCGCCTTGCTGCCGCTGATTGAGCGTGGGAGTTGGTCATCCATCGCCTTGCATCTACTACGGGCCTCGGCCGTTCGCTCCTTTTTTCTTTCTTTTTTGAAGACGATCCCTATCCCACCCCCGAGACCCGCCTCTGCCAGGAATCAACAAGCTCACCTATATTTACCCCCGCACCTTTAACCCTCCCCCCCTCTCAAGGAATCTTAGAATACTGGACAACACATCGACAATGCGGCCTAAGGTCTTCCTCTATATATAGTTCTCGGGCCCCCTTCTCTTATACCTGCGGGGCTGTCCAACTGCAGGCCCAGGCCCAGAAACCCGAGTCTCCGAGTGCCTACACATCCCGGCCGGCTTCCCTCAGCTAGATTCCCGGTGCTATGTCTTCCACACCGGATACCACCCGCCGAGCCACCCCTATCCTCCCAGTTATGGCGTCGGAGCCTACCCAGCTACGGCGTTCGCGCCCGGCCATGCTCCAGACATGCTCTCCTCTGCAGTCCCAGCTCGTCATTGTCCCGTCATCCACCGCAAGCAACTCCCCCATCACACCCAGCTCCGGCCACACCTCGCCCACCCTGTCCACTGAGACCATTGGAACCAGCATGACTGCAGATAGCTCCGTTCTTGAGTCTCCAGAACCGCTGGAACCCTCCTCAGGGAGGGGATTGGACGAGATATTCCCTCCTTTTCAGCTGCCGGAACCCATCACCACCCCCATGAGTAGCTCCTCTACCTTGTCTGCGCGGACCAGCAGGACTTCCCTCAAGCAGGGTGTCTTAAGAAGCCCTACCCCAGCCATGAGTGAGGTCGTCAAGAGCACAAGTCTTATCCGACGCACCTCCAACTCAATGAGAAAGGCCATAAACGGTTTACCGCGGCCGCGGCGACATTCCTCGACCAACGCAAGGAGCCGAGACGGGAGTGTTGCAGGGCTGGTGCGGCGGCGGGGAAGCACTAGCAACCAAAACCAGTCTGAGCACAACAGCCCCTTCTACCCCGACTCTGACGACGATTGTGCCGTTGAGAAGGACGAAGGCGGCCTTTACATTGGGCTTGATGGTGCCTCCAGAGAACTTTCCCCCTTGAGATTGAGCAGCTCACAGGACGGCTCTTCTTCTTCGTCTTCAACCATCACGGCGGCCCCCGTCCCGCTTGCGCTGCGCCAAGGCACACCCTTGAACAAGGTGACGAAAAAGAAGACACTGAAGAAGATAAACATGGTCCTCGACCCCGATTCGGCTAAGATTTGGTGGGATAAAAACCGCCCGTCAAAGTCGATCTATATCGATGACATTCGGGAGATCCGCACGGCCGAAGACATTCGGCAATACCGACTGGACTTTGGTCTTCCAGAGAGTGTGGAGCCACGGTTCTTCTCCATCATCCATGCCCCCCCCAGAGAGTCGAGAACCAAGGTGCTGCACTTCGTCGCCGACTCGCCGGAAGGGTTCCAGGCGTGGACAGAGGCGCTGGACGCCATTTCCAAGCACCGTCAAGAGTTTGCCACAAACTTGATGACTTTCAACGACAAGGCCATCCGCGCATATTGGCACACCGAGATGGCCAGGCAGTTTGAGGACAAGCCGCACTCGCCTGAGGAGGAATACATCGACTTCGCCGGTGTAGAGCGCGTATGCCGCACTTTGCACATTCACGTTTCGGCGCTGCAGTTGCGCAGGGCGCTGGATAGTGTCAAGAAGAGGATAACGAGCTCGGCCGACGACTTGCCATCGATCCAGGGCGGCGGTGATCGGTTCGATCTTGCCGAGTTTCTAGAGTTTGTGCGAGTCATGAAGGCTAGGAGCGATGTGCACGCGGTGTTCCGCCGCCAGGAGATGGCCGACGTTGAACGTGGCATGACAAAAGACGAGTTCCTGCAGTTTTTGCGTCATGTGCAGTGCGAAAACGTCGATGAGGACTTGGAGTTGTGGGAAAGCGTTTTTGCCCGGTTCGCCCGCAGGGTCAAGCCGAAGGATGCCGATAAGCAGGCCAACGGTGGCGAAGAGGTCCTGGCCGTGTCGGAAGTCGGGTTAGCCAGCTTCTTCACCTCGACGTACAACGTCGTTATCGCCAGAGAGCCCAAGGACTACAAGCTAGACCGGCCCATATGCGAATACTACATCTCCAGCTCACATAACACATACCTTCTGGGGCGCCAAGTCGCCGGAGTGTCGAGCGTCGAGGGCTACATCTCGGCACTGATGCAGTGCTGCCGCTGTGTTGAGGTGGACTGTTGGGATGGCCCCGACGACCAGCCCGTTGTGATGCATGGACGTACGTGGACGACGCGCATCTCGTTCCTCGAGGTGATCAAGGCCATCAAGAAGTACGCCTTCGCCAAGTCTCGCTTCCCTTTGTGGATCTCGCTCGAGGTTCGGTGCAATCTTGCGACACAGGCGAACATGGCCAAGATCATGATCGAAGTCTTTGGTGAGAAGCTCGTCCGTACGCCCCTCGACCCCTCGGCGACCGTTCTGCCGTCGCCCTCTGACTTGGAGGGACGGATTCTCATCAAGGTCAAGCAGTCGCAACTGCCCGAGGAGTCGCCCAGAAACGGCGAGTGGTTCCCACGGAAGCGCGGTAACAGCCAGCCCTCGCCGTACCAGCGAGCGGTGACGTTTGACAACACATCCGTGCCGCCCTTGCCGGCAAGTCCTCTGCTGAGTCCGACTCCGCACTCGCGCTCCACTGTCCAATATCACACCATAACCGAGGGCGAGGTTCACGAGATACCAAGTAGCAGCCCCAGCGAGTGTGAAAGCGAGTGCGAAAAAGACTCGGCAGGGTCCAAGAGGATAAACAGCAGGATCAACCCGGTGCTAGGCGACCTGGGGGTGTATTGCGTCGGGATCCCCTTTGAGGGGTTCGATAGCCCCGACGCGAAGAGGTTCAACCACATCTTTTCCTTCAAGGAGCGGACGTTTGCCGAGAAGAGCCAACCCGGAGAATCGAAGCGGAAGCTTATAACCCACAACATGCGATTCCTGATGCGAGTGTACCCGAACGGGGGCCGCATTTCGTCGACCAATTTTGATCCGCTCATCTACTGGAAGCGCGGGGTCCAGATGGCTGCCCTCAACTGGCAAACGTTTGATACGGGGATGCAAATAAACCAAGCCATGTTTGACAGCGGCACAGATCAATCGGGTTATGTCCTGAAGCCCCCCGAGGGACGCAACTTTCCAGTGCTGCCTCCCGACCAGTGTGTGAACAAGCGGCCGCGGAAGCATGTCAGCTTCCGGATCGAGGTTATATCTGCCCAGCAGCTTATGAGGCCGTGGAATTTAGGCGAGAAGAAAACCATGGATCCGTACGTCGAGGTCGAGGTCCTCCTCGCCGACGACAAGAAGAACAAGTCGGAAGCGGCAGTCAGCACCCCAGCTCAAGTCCTCAAGTTCCGCACAGGGATTGTTCGCGAAAATGGCTTCAACCCCGTGTTTGATGGGGGCCACACGTTCAACATTACGACAAAGTATCCTGACTTGATCTTTGTGCGATGGAGCGTGAAGCTCGCGGACAAGGGCTACAACGACCGGAATCCCCCGTTCGCCACCTTCACAGCTAAGCTCAGCAGCCTCAAGAAAGGATACCGAACAATTCCACTGCTCGACCAGAACGGAGACCGCTACCTGTTCTCGACTCTCTTCTGCAACATCAGCAAAGTCCAGCTTACCGACATCATGGTTGCTTACCAAGAAGGTACTTCGAAGAGCGGCAACTTACTCAAAAGCATTGGCAGGACCGTCTTCAACCAGTCTGGTGGAAACCTCAGCCAATAACTATTTTTCCCACTTCAGAGCACATCTGTATCAATATGCCATTTTCCCTTATTTTCTTGCACATTCTAGAGTTAACAATCATGTATCACCAACAAACTTGTGTAGCGTCTTCCCCGAGAAGGGCCTGCGCCTGCGATTCCTCCTCACAGTTGCGACTCCTATCTAGCACTCAGATACCCTGAAGCCATTATATTTGTAGCGTATGACCGTGTTACCCAGAGACATGCGGCTCTGGAGTCGCTTTTCCTATGTTTATCACATTGGATTCGGTATTCTTTTCCTTTGTTTTTTTTTCCTTTGCAGGAACAGGGGAAAGGAGTATGATTTAACTGCATATCTGTTGTCGGGGTCGTTTTGCTGGCCAACAGGGGCTCGAGACGTGCCTCGACGAAACAGGGCGAGGATATCTAAAGGAAAGAAGCAAGAAAAAAGCGATTGATTTTTTGGGGCTCTTTCAAGCTTTCTCACAGGTCTGATTTGCGTATGCCCCACAGCTGAGACTGGGCTGGGCATGCCGATATGCATGGTGGAGAGGCGGCACATACCCCGTGGGATGGCGAGATCTGAGTTTATTGTTATGTCTACCGGCTGAGCAGGCTCGTCTGTGGGAGTTTCGGGTTAGTTTCTTTGTTGCTTGTCGGCTTCCCCTAGCAGTTCATTTCTAGGATCTGGGTGTCAGTCAAACTACTAACTTTGTTTGCTACTTTTCTTTTCTTCATTCCCTTTTCTTGCGTCCAAGGGTCCCAGGTTGTGACGGGCGGAGGCCATTTCAGCTACATCACAATCGTTGTCCACTCGCTGGGCCGTGTTCGTGAAGGCTGCGGTATCATGATGAGTGGTGGAATAGTAAGGGCCAATGCTTCCAGAAATAGGTATTTTTGCCCCCCTGTATCCCTCTTCTTGTCCCGGACCGCCTGTGGCCTGTCTCGACGAGCACTTGCTCCTTGGGATGAATTCAGCTTAGACTCGTTCCCATTTTTGTACATTTTCTCTACCTGTTGAATCATTGGGTGGTCGTTCTGGGGGCTGCATAACATCTATACATATACACATTACACAATACATTAGTGGCTCGCGCTACGATTCATGTATGATCTATTCTTTATTGCATTGCGTTCTCATTATGATTGTCGTGCTCCGTAGCCCGCGATATCATTCATGCTCTCTATCAACTAGCCCAACAGACATCGTTTCTCATTTAAGCCTACGAGTCTAGGTTATCTCGAGTACACCCCCCATCTACCCAGGTAAGGTATCTATGTTTCTGGTCTGCTTAACAAATAAGCCAAGGCACTCAGGCTTGCTTCGCTAGTGTTGGGGCCATTTGTCATTGACTGGTATGTACGGGTGGATGTTGACTTGTGCCGACCGAGCCAAACCCTCAACACCCCAGGTCAAGAAGAAACGAATATTGAAGTGAAAAGCAAAATTTCCACAAAGACCCTGAGAGGAAACTAAGGAAAATTTGCAATCGTATTTCCTCGAGACTCTGTTATTTATTGTACGAGATTCAAAGGAGAAAAACCAGCACACTACGTAAGGTAGGTACTTGCTACCATGGTGTTCCGCGTTATAACAAAACAGGACAGGAGAGATGGAATAGAAACCCAATATTATTTCTTTCCTAAATACAGATTACCTAGATGCGCCCCGATTGACTGAAATAGAAAGATCCGAGGTAATAATGCCACCTGAAAGAAACATAACCGTACAACAACAGTCGCAGCAGCAAATAAGTAACGCTATCTTAAAGCGATGTAAAAATTTACGCGCTAGATGGGTGTACAAACGCGCTAGATGGACCATTTCTTCCCTTCTCTCCTGTCAACGAACTACATGTAGATGAGGCATCTAAAACAACCGACTTAATCAACGCCGCTATCGTCATCGTCATTGGCATTGTTGTTACTGCCAGCACGAGTCGGGAACCCCCTGCGGGTCCCTGTGCCATCCGCGGGTGGCGAGGGCCTTCCCAACAACCCAGGAACACCGCCGACGCCGCCACTGCCGGCAGCTCCTCCTCCCATGCGGCCCCACCTGCCGTTGGTTACCACGTCCAGTGCACGGCGCTCGGCCTCGGCTTGTTGTTGTTGCTGCTGTCGCCGCCTTACAGCATCGCCCTCGTCTTCATGGTCGTCGTAGTCATCCTCGTCGTCAGCCCCGCCGAGAGCGCGCCCTCTTGGACTCAACCGCCGCATGGAGACGGAGTCCTGGTCTTCTGGAGACGTAAAGGGGTCATCCTCGTACATGTTCGGATCGCGCCCCAAGATGCGGTCCGCTTTGCTCGGCGTGCGACGGCCGGGCGATGAGACCGGGCTGGGGCTGCTGTACTGAGCCGGCTGGAGATGCGAATTGTGGTAGCTAGCCTGTGCTGCTGGTGGTTTCTGGCTGCTTTGGTGCTCTTGTTGTTGCTGTTGTTGCTGCTGCTGCTGCTGAGACCAAGGAAGAGTTGGTTCTGATGTGTCATCTCCCCCCCACCCGGCTGCCCGCTCCCGCACGCGCTGCTCCTCGCGTTCCAGGGCCAGGTGATCGTGGGCTTCGATCCACTTCGGATTCGGCTCCCAGCTCCAGCCATCGCCAGTCGTGTTGCAAATTGGTAGTCCCCACAGCCACGGCGACGTGCCAAACAGATGCAGCAGGTTGCGGCGCGCGCCGAGATCGAATGCGTTGGGAAGCTTCACTGAATCCTGTTCATCCAGGTACTCTTCGTAGCGCTTACGGGCGCGGTGCCGCTCCATCTCGTCGTAGGTAAAGCGGCGAGATCCGCCCTGGAGCTCAGGGTTAAGGTCGCGAGCGTCGTGGTCGCTGCCGCTGCCCTGTTGCTGCCACGATGAGTGCAAGGCGGGGGACGGCCGAAGATCCACTCCCTCCTCCGGCCTCGTAATGCCCGGCAAGACATTCTGGTGGAGATCGAGAAGCTGCTGGCCGTATCTTGGCAGCTGGACGCCTTGGCCTTCCGTGTGCTGGGCAATGTAGGCGTTCTGCATAGTGCGGCGCAAGGGAGAGAGGTAGCGGGTTTTCTCAAGGCACTCAATGGTGGTCTGGCCGCGCGAGGCCAGGTATATGTGCCAGGAAGTGAAAGCGCCGACGACAATGGAGATGATGCCGGCGACAACGCAGAGCATAATATAGTTGACAGGCATGAGGGTCTCGACGTACGTGGTGTTATTCATGATCTCGACCCACACCCAAACGGCCGAGGCGCCAAACGCGAAAAGGCTGAAGAGGGTGGTGTAGATGAGGAACAACAGGAAGGCCTTGTGGTTTCGTAGACCAATGCACGTGGCCAGCCAAGGGCAGTGATGGTCCATCTTGAGCACGCAGCGGCGGCAGGTGGAGCAGTGGTGAGCGCGGTCAGGCTTGCGGGCCTGACACTTTTTGCAGAAGCGCAGTTCGCCATTGGATTTGACAGTGAACGAGGTCGAGGGCGGATGGGCGTGTGTCGGGAGTGTGCTGTAGCCGGCCTCGTTGGTAGTGCTGCCGGGCGAAGTGAAGACGGCGGTGGTGTAAGACCAGTTCAATAGAACATAGAGGGAGACACCAATAACGCCTGTCCACCGGCCTGTAGGGGAGCGACGAGGGTTAGCACGAGACGCGAAGAGGACAATGGAAATGGCACGAAGGCAACTCACCAAGCCAGTTCACCTTAGAGGACTCGGTGCTGAGTGTCACCAGTACAAAGACAGCCCAACTAGTCAATCCATAGACGAAAAGCAGAGGGAAGTAGGTAGCTGCGGCGCAACAGGTGCGCTCGAGCTTGCGCGCCCAGCGTCGAGCCATGCTAGAGCTAGAAGACGAAGCCGGCAGCGTCTCCTCATCCATTGGTCGGTTTTGTTGTCGTGTTACGTTGCGACTTTGGACCTCGAGTTCGGGTTCTTTTCAGGTGCCGCCGATTCAGGGGGGGCAGGGCAGATCGCTGAGGTGAGCTTTACTGGGTAGCGAGCGAGCAAACCTAGGCAAAGTACACAGGACCACCTAGTCGCTATCGGTCCATGGTAATGATAGCAGTGGCAGACGTATTGCGGGTGCGGCGCCGTGCTTGGCTGCCTTAGCTAGTCGGGAGACGCGGAACTAGAAGAACAATAGGACGGACAAGAGAAGGAGTGTGGTTGTCGTGTTCGCGTAATAATGTAGCAGCGGGATCGCTGGAAGTTGGCGGCGGTTCGGAAACATGCAGGGGTCCGCTGCCCGGCTGCTGCCAGCCCAGCCCAGCCCAGTATCAGCATCAGCCTCAAGCGGCAGGGCCCTCCCGGCACTCGCATTCCGTCAGCCAGGCAGGGTTGCATAAACGCTCGGACCAACACTCTCACCCGAGTCCAGTCTCAGCAGAAGTCTTCTCTTCTAGGAAGTGAGACAGGTTGACACTTCTTGACAGACAATTCAACGTTGCATTCGACCAAATTCGCGTATTCAGCTCGAGTCCCTTACGGCTCTGCAACTGATTATCATTCTGCCTTTAGTAACGGGACATAGACTTGGTGATGCGAATTAGCAAATTCAGCGTGGTATTTGTTTATCGAACTAAGCTAACTGGGTGGTGGCTTTCTGGGTGTTCATCTCTTCTCTCTGTCTCAAATCTCGAAAATGTCTTTGTTTGAGATTATACGACAACCCCACCCTACCTTTCGGCGCCATTTGGCTGTGGAACGTCACGTGGACCAAGTGTCGAAAAAACTCCACCACGACCTTTGAGAATGCTTGCAAACCCTGACCGTGACTCCGGTCCGAGTTGGCTCATAATACCTGCAGCCCTCTTCAACAAAAGCACCAGCCCGGTTAGCTCAGTTTGGTTAGCAGCGTCGTACTAATACCGTCGAGAGACAGTATCTTGTAATGCGAAGGTCAACAGTTCAATCCTGTTACTGGGCATCGCAGTTTTCTTTTTGCCTCTGCTTCCTGTTGTAAATAGCACTTGCCTGTCTGCGAGATTTGGTCAAGCTCGGTTCGGCAGTCGATCGAGGTTGCGCTAGTGATAACTTTGACCGTTGGCGCACTGCTAGGACCCTAACCCTCCCTGCACAGTGCACAGTGCAAATGCTTGGGAGAAGTGGGGCAGCGTTGGCGACTGGCGCCACTCGGCTTCCTTGTCATCATTACGTCGTCGAACAGCTGTCATCAACACCCCCAACGACACCTCGCGATCCGTCCACTGACCCGTACCTATAGACTGAGACCGCAATAATCCTAGCGCGCACTGCCGTCGCCCTCTTCGAGTACACACCCACCACCTTAACTATTGTACAAACACATTCGACAGGTCAAGCACAAAGCAGTCGCACCCATGGCGACGCCAAAGTTCAATTCCAAGTCCCCCACTATACGGCGCATCCGTAAGCTCCTCTTCTTACACTACCCATCACGGCTCATTGGAAGTGCAAGGCCATGGACGCTCACTAATGCCACTTTAACCCTACAGTGCGTGAAGCGCAGGAACTCTCCTCCTCGCCGTCGGGGGATTACACGGCTACGCCGCTGGAAAGCGATCTCTTTGAATGGCACTTTACGCTCCGCGGTCCGCCGAATTCGGTCTATGCTGACGGCATATACCACGGGCGCATTGTGCTGCCGCCGGGCTACCCGCTGCGGCCTCCGTCCTTTCGTTTCGTGACGCCCTCGGGCCGCTTCGAGACGAACCGCGAGATTTGTCTGTCCATCTCGGGCCACCACGAGGAGACGTGGCAGCCCGCCTGGGGCGTGCGCACCGCCCTGGTCGCTCTGCGCTCCTTTATGGAGACGGACCCGCGCGGCCAGCTCGGCGGCCTCGAGACCACCGACGCCGTACGCCGCCGCCTCGCCACCGCGTCTCGCGAGTGGCGCTGCTCCAGCGCCTGCTCTGCCGGCCGTACCAACGCCGAGATCATGCGCGACTGTGAGACCGTTGCCAGAGAGCACCAGGGGGGCGAGAAGGTTGAGGTCCAGGTCGAGATTCCTCCTGAGCTAAAGCTAGCGTGGCGGGACGAGATGGGGGAGAACGCTTCTGCCGGTGCTTCCGCTACGGAAACATTACGAGGCACGGCAGCAACGGTCACGACAACGACGGAGACTAGAAGATATGACGACGGTAATAATGACGACGGCGATGACGACGACGACGAAAGTGCAGAGCTGGCAGAGGGTTTCGTGCAGACAACTTCACAACCACTGGCGCCACCACCGCCGGTGCCGGTGCCCGCACCAGCAATATCATGGCAGCCCCAGCCCCAGCCCCAGCTGACAAGGACAATACCCCTGCCACCCCAGCAGCAAGCCTATGTACCGCCACGGAGGGTGTCCAACGGTGACGTGCCAGTCTGGATTGACCGGCTGATCGTCATCGTTGGCGTGGTCTTGGCAGCCATGATTATCAGAGTGTTTTTAGGAGAGTAGCCGTTTTCTTTATTTTACCTCTATCACTGCCTCTCTTTCCGTTTCACCGTCATCGCAAGTTTTCTATGTGGACGTTATTTTGGCGGAAATTCTCTCAGTCATATCCACACAAGGTATGGGTGAAATTGGAAGGCGTTTGTGGCGGCTTTTTTGACATCAAGCACTGGAGTGGCGATTTCAGTCTCTTTCAAAACCTGCATAAGTCAAGTTAGGCCGCTATGGTTTTTTGTCTTTTGGTTTATTTGCTTTGGGAGGCGTTTTCATTTTTGCCTGGGGGAGTTACGGAGTTTCAGCCGTGTGTTCATGCCAATGCCGGTACGGTATAATAGCCGTCGTAGTAGATAGGTACATGTCCAGTATATTGTCTTTACGTGCTCATCTGACGGGGGGGGTGCATGGTTCAGCAGGCGGAGATGTAACGTGATAGTAGAACGACGGGAGTCTACAGACGCGTGCATTGCTTTTATTAGACACTTCATTAGGCGCACCACCTAACTGTTTCATTCACAGCGGTCATTTTGAAACGCGCATTAGTCACACGGCATGTAAATGGAAGCTCTTTCCTTAGAGGGCCGCGTAAACAACGAAAAGGAAAAGACTTAGCTTCAAGAGAGTGTCACTTGTCTCCCCCGCCCGCCATCCATGCCAGTATCTCCGGAGAAGGAGATATTGGATGCTCGCTGTGATTCGACGGACAGACCATAGTGTTTCGAGGTGGGCCTGACTAGGAGCTAAGGGCTAGTGGACATACGGGCGCTCGTTATATGCCCAGCTATCTATGGATGGAAGTCATAGGGTGCCCCGCAAAGGTAAAGCCCTTGAGTAGAGACGAGGGGGCCGGCCATATAGGTCTATGTACGCTAACGCGCTCGTCTAAATATCTTCAGACAACCAGCGGGCTTTCGGGATTTAGTTCAGTGGGATGTTGGTGTGCTCCTACAGCACACCGGGGGTTTGTTTTTTTGTGTAGGTTTTCCCTATATCTTACTGATAGAGAAACTAGATTTAAATACCCCGATCATAGTAGTTGGCGACTACTAGCGCGCCTCCAAGTCGTAAGTAAAAAGATCTCTGATATTCCACTCTCCGGAACTAGTTCCGCAGTTGTTGCCTCGCCGAATAATCCATTTCCAGGCATCACGACTTTGCCCGATTCGGTATATGATCTGCCAGCCCCCGCGTTAATGGTGGGGAACGACCCCAGCGCGCGCGTCGCCAGAGGACGCCACAGCGGGCACTTACCCAGCGCCTCGGGACCATCTCCGAACGACATCTCGTTTATTTGTTTCGTGTTTCAAAATCATTATTCTACATCTTTAATCCCCAGATAAAGGAAGCAGGATCAAGCATAGCTCCACCAAGGTTGAGGCTTCAAGGGCCGGGTAGATATATGTACTCTGGCATATTCGTAGACTTTATTTCTTGTTGTGAGTCTCTTATCGACTGTAGATAGTGGCACCTGTGACGTGCGGGGTTCTTCCGCTTCCGGCCTGCAATTCGGCCCGCGCCTGCTTCTCCATGCTGTAGTGGCAACAGCGGCTATTCATACCACGGAGACAAGGAAGAGCTATTTAGACTAGCTTAACGTTCAAAGTTGTGGAGAATCTATACTGCGAGCCTCGAAATAATTCACCTGGCGACCATGCAATCCGGATTTTCTCAATAATATCAATGTATTTTCCATTCCCTTGGAAAATGAATCAATGTTGGTTTTGGTAGCCACAGCAAATTCTTGCGTGGAGTTGCCGCATTCAGTAGCTGACCCAGCGAGGCCGTTTACAGTCCAATCCCCGAGCGTCTATTAGCATGGAGCTTTTCATGGCTCGATACCCTGCGCCTCTCCTCAGCTGTTTTTCGCCGAGGGATATTATAGCTGTTATAATCCCTGTTATAGAACTCTAGAGGCATATTTTTCTTTTAGAAATACTTGTCAAATGTCTATTTACTATAATTATTACTTCGCGAACAAACATTTAGGAATTAGGCTGTAGTCATAGACATAGAAAAGTGTTATATCTTACAGAGAAACATTACACGACGAGAACAGCGCCGCACGTATTACCACTCGTCGGGGCTTGAAAAGCGCCCATCGATATTGTCGCAATCTAGGAGGTCGGAAAGATCCCTAAGAAGCATGTTATGAATCAGTCGTTTTATTTTGTGGATTGACCGCCCCTGCCAGCTGATCCTTAGTTAGATGGGCGTCCTTGAAGCCCTGACGGGTACACTACGCGGACGCTTCCACCAGCGGTTGGAGAAACTGGAAGTCTTGTCACTCATATCCCGGCGTCCATCGCCCGAGACTCCGCAGGTCTCCTCCGCCTCGGAAAATCCGTAACATCACGGCGCATTATTACTGCTCTTGAGAAGAATCTGATACGTAGTTGACCAAAAGGAACACGGCGCTTCGCTGATGGTTCCCCCTTTTGGTCAGATAGCGTTTCTTTCCTTTGGCTGGATTTCCCACCTGTTCACTCATTGCTGCCATCGTGACGACCAATACACGACACTCGACTTATTTATAGTCTAGTCTCGCACAGACTGTGAAGATGCCGAGACCTAGCGAGTGGCTGTGGAAATGCGATCTGTGGGAAAGAAATCGGCGTGTCCATAGTTAGTGCCGATGAGCTCGACAGACCTGACCGAGCCTCCGTCGTAATGACTCGTATTACCGAGACAACCTGGAAAGGCACGGCAGATGGCCGTCTTCTCTAGCTTCGAAAAGAAAGGCAATGGAGGAGATTTTTATATATGTAGAGACTTATCTACGTAGCGGCCACTACTAAGGTAATGGAATGTCAATAAGTTTAGAGATGGCAATGCTGGATAAGAACAAGCTTTCTGCTAATTAGAGAAAAAAAATAAACCTTTCTTTGCCTACAACAGAGCATGTGCCGTGCATCTAATCTAAGTGCTCTTGGGTTGTCGTGAACCAGTGCAAAATGACAAACGTTGGCCACCCAAATTCCATTTCGCAGGGGGGCTTTCCGGGAAAGAGATTTTATTGTGGGGCCACCAAGGGAAAAAAATTGCAAGCCCCCACTGGGCGACTTTTTTTTTTGCAGCTGCGCACAGACCACTAGCACTGGTATATAACCAGATATCTCTGCCCGCTCTTCCTCTTCTTTTTCTTTTTCTTCTTCATGTCGACAATACTTCAGTAAGCCACCCCCCAACAACACCACCTCGCCTCCTCTACAAGCCAATAAATCGGTGTACCTCTCACAAGATACTAACTGCCTTACCCTTTCAACAGGAGAATCATTTCTATAGTAGTCGTCCACTTTTGTGTTCCCTAACGGAGCTACAGATCCCACCCGGGTTGATGATCCATATCCTCGGCTCCCTACAGTGAGAACCATTTTACTCTCGATCTGCCTGTCAAAGGCGGCGGTCGCTTGGCTTTCGGGCTAGTGGCTGTATAGAGAGTGGCGATGATCTGTGCCCTGTCTTCGAGGTCTTGCCCTAGGGCGCTCGGGCGGGGTGGGTGCTGATGGAAGTCTGACCGGCCTTCAATTCTTTTTTTTCATTTCGCTCTCGGGAGCCTTCTGAAGGGTTTCTCGTGACGAGAAGAAGAATCTTTGCTTGCTGGGCTGGCTTAAGTGTCATTTGGGATTTCCCATGTCTAGGCGTACGGAGAATGCGAAGCGAGGTTACATTTATCTGCAGTTATTCTATCTTCGTAAAGTTCATAACAGCCGTTTCTGATCACTTGTACGCATCGACCTCTTCTAAGTGCGTCGTTTAATCCGGTTTCACGTGTGTCGCGCCTCCTACCGACCGCCATGTAGGAAAATAAAACGTCACGCGAAAACATGTCGAACGTTTGAGGATCTCTCGTGATCGTGGAACAAAAAACACGAATCCGGGGCGTGGTAAATGAGTGATTATCACGACCCACCCGGCTGTTTGGTCGTCCCGTGCCAGCCAAGAAAAACGTGCTCCAACACACGTAACACCGCACGTACGCTGCCGGCGGCCGATCTAATAAACGAATCAGACGTCATGTTGTGCGACTGACCGTGTGCCGATCATGAGCATGGTAAATATGTGACATGGAAGAATATCTCATATATACGGATTTGGCCTCTCTAAGCACCCTCCTTTTGTTCGTGAAATACGTAGCGCAGTTGTAACAAGGAAGATATGCCTTCGTGTTTTGTAGTTGATTGCGTAACATCTACGACAACAACAAGAGGTGCACACAAGGTATAGGTGCTGATAGAGACAGAATATACGAGGTAGGACATCTGATGTATTCATAACTGCAATGTATGATGCCCCCTCTAGTATGTAGAATAATGTGCCCATTAATTCTTCCCAAGAACAACTTCTTCTATTAAGTCGGGCTATAAGAAGCGAAACTCATTTCTTTCTTTTCCTCCAACGATTTCATTCCGAGCATGTCAAAGTAGACGACGACAAGCTACTCACACAGCCTCCCTTTGAGGCTGCAGAAAATTTCCCGACTCATATCCTTCCATGCCGTCTTCCCGCCTTGCACTTGTTCTCTCAATGCACTCCCAGCAGGGCCTTGGCGCCGGGCTCGCTGCAAACGTAGATGACGTCGTGTTCGTTGGAGAAGCCATTGAACGTGGTGGCCGAGCACTTGGTGTAGGCGCCCATGTCTTCAAAGTACAGCCAATCGCCCACGTCCAGTGCCACGTGGAAACGGATTCTCTCGGTGATGCGGTCGATACCATCGCAGGTAGGACCCCAGATGCTGTATTCGATGGCATGGTGCGAGTTCGTACGCTCGGCTGCCGGCGTGCCGTACAGCGCTTGCCCTCCAGCGCGTAAGACCTTGGCAATCGGGTGCTGGTGATCAAACATGATGCTGCTGAAGTTGCCGTACAGGCCGTCGTTAATGTAGAGCATGTAGCTGGTTTCGTTTTGGCCACCCGGGGATGAAGCCTCGCTGTCACTGGCTGCCATGTCCCGGATGGTCCGGCGCGCAATGACATTGCACGCGAGCGTGTAAGCCGTGGAAGCGTAGTAACGGCCGGGCTCGGCGATGATGTTAATTCCAGAATGGGCAGGAAAATAGTCGTCAAGTGCTTCGCGCAGAACCCCTGCCATCTGCTCAAAGCTATTGTCGCTGCAGAATCCGCCTCCAACGTCGAGCGTCTTGAGTGCGAATCCATAGGTTGCCGCCTGCTGGAACACAGTTTGCGCATCTTGGACCGCCTTCAGGAATGCCCGGGAGTCCGCGGCGCCCGAGCCGACGTGGAAGCTAACTCCTACAACATTGAGTCCCAATTCGTGTGCCAAGGCTAAAAGGCCATCGGTCGAGTCGAGCGAGGCGCCGAATTTGAGGCTTAGGCGGCATAGAGACGACGAGTCGTCGGTAAGGATCCGGAGGAAGAGCTCGGCGCCGGGAAACAGGCGGGCAATCTTGCGGAGCTCGTCCGTGTTGTCAAACGTCATCTGGCGCACGCCTTGGCTGGCGACATAGCGCACATACGAGTTGGTCTTGCAAGGCTGGGCGTAGATGATGCGCGAGGGGTCAACACCCATGCGCAAGACCTGTTCGATTTCGGCCTTGGAGGCGCAGTCAAAGCCCGTGCCGAGAGCGGACAACAGCTCCAGAAGCTTGGGGTCCGGGTTACACTTGACAGCTACGCAACAGCGTTAGCAGGGGCAACCGGGGAGATGCAAGTGCGGAGGAAGCAAAAAACAACATACCATAGAAGGGCTTGACGCGAGGAAGATTGAGCTTCCAGCGAAGGTGCTGGCGATAGACCTCACCAAGATCAGCCACGAAGAAGGTATCTTCCTCTCCGGGATCGCAATATTCATAGTCAACACTCTCCACACGCTGGCGGAGGGCATTTCCAATCAATTCTTTGGGGGAGGGCCCAGTGGGGCGTCCGCCATAATGGGCATCATGATGGTGGTCAAGGAAGTCATTGGCCGACGTCTTCAAGAATACTTGATTATTTGAATAATCAGTGTAGTCAAGTTGAGTGAAGCGATCGGTGGCCACTGTTGGCATAACCATGACCCAGGATTTGTGCGGGTGCGTTGGACGTGGGAAGGCAGAGGGAGTAGGCGGTATTAGAGTATTGACTCTGTAAGAAACGCGGCGAGAACTCGGCGAGTTCAGGCGGGTGTTATGGGGGTCGGTGTCGGTAGCAGACTGGTCCCTGTGCGATCTGACGAGGCCTCCTCGACTCTTCCTCGGTAAGAGGAAGAACCGCCGATCTCGTCCTATGCGGCAGCTGGTGGTTTGGGGGGAACTCGGGGCTTTGGTTGGAGGGGTCAAACAAGGAGGATTCGGGTTCCTTAGACGACCTCAGCAGGTGGTGGAAGCGAGTTGATGATGTGGAAGGTTTTTCGGAGGCTGAAATCTTGATCAGAGACTAGATCGACGGCCAAGGAAGCCGTGGTAGAGCGGGTGCCTTTGACAAGACCAAAGGCAGTCGGAGGGCGAGTTGGTACACCTATATATCGTCGACTGTCAGCAAACAGAGTATGTGTCTCCAAGACGTAGCTCCATCACACCATGGATACACCAATCTATAGACGTGTAGTTCGGGGTTGGAAAGCAGGGGGACTGGTCACGCGTGGCACTCTCTGCGCAAGTAGGGCGAGCCGCCGTTTGCGCTGCGAGTTTCATGGGAAACTGGGATGGATGAGTTCCAAATTCGACTGGACGGGTACATACCCCTTTGATATCGTAAACTTTCCAAAGAATCGCAGTAACTATACGGTGTTGGCGGATTGAGAGGCCACGAGAACCGAGCCGAGTTGTAGAAGAAATAGAGTTTGGTGGTGGAAGAAATTCGTGTAGAGAAGGGGAGGGAAGGACCGCGGGACGGAAGCTCTGAAGATTTCGTTTTAGCGGTGGCCGTGGCCTTGAGGAGCATGGACCTTAATAATTGGCACGCTTTCACTTGTCCGCCGCCAATGGTGGGGGGCGGGAGGGCTGTGCTTTTATTTTTCTTGGTTTCCCGCACACACAAAACTCCACGGCGTTCGGAGGGAAGCGGGGTCCATAAATCTTGAGATGAAAATTTCAAGGGGCGACTTGTCTACACTGCCAACAAACTACCTTACGTAGTGTGGCTATCACGAGCAAGACACATTTGTAGACTCTAGACGGCAAATGCAAAACATGATACCGGACGAGGCGTGCCAACGCTTCTTGGTTTACCTTTTACAATGCCTTGGCCCCTTCTACGGTGGCGATGGGCGGGACTTGACTTACTGAGCACACGAGAGCACACCCGGCGACGCTAGGGTCTGTCGTCGTCGACCTGGCCGAGGCCACCTGCCCTCCTACGGGGTTATTGTGTGTCAATACTCACCTTGCTGGTGGGCGCTGCGAAGTTTCAGACCACAAGTTGCGGTCAGCCGTCATGGCGCCCAAACACCAAAATGGAAGGCCACCAAGCTCCGCTAGTTCGTAGATTCCACCCGAAGGCGCGACAGGGGGATTTTGTCTGCTCCACTGCCGAGCTAGTCCCTCTGTCCTAGACACCGCAGCATCGCCCGTGTTCGACCTAGCCGCAAGTCTCCCGGAGCATGAAAGCGACAGACAGCGTAATAAAAATCGCGCATCTACGACGTCCTCGTCCCAATTAGCCTTTTTGCTGGCTTCGTCGTCGTGATCGCTAGGTAGGTAGGTGTGCTGGCTCGTAGCCTATGATTGTGCAGGATCCGGGGCATCTGCAGACGACTTCCGCGTTGTTGGTAGGCGCAACAGATGGCCTCGTCGTCTATCGGAGTAAGAGATGCAAATCTGCAGTACTTCCAACGTGGACCCTATCTTTGACGCGCCGGCGAGCTGCAAGACGGGAGCCGTCAGCATGCTCGGTTACATCTCGGTGTCCCGCACCACTAAGAGGAAAGAGGTTGCTGCATATCGTAGTGTTGCACTTGGTCTTCTGAGCCCCTGCGCCCGGCAATCTGAATCTGCGAGTGAGTCAATAAGGATTGGCTACTGCCGTTATCCGTTGCCATATGGTGCCTTGAAGGCGAACAACAGAACCAACCTGAGCCACCCCACAGCTTGGCGCTCGTGACGTAAGCGGGGTATAAAACCAGGGGCAGCATTGCTAAGTTGTTTGCGATCTGCATACGGATAGCCCCCCTTCAAAAGAGGAGAGACAAGATGTGCCCAGCAGGGATTGACGCAACCAAGTATAAAAAGCAGAAAAGGTAAACAAAGGTCAAGCTGTACTCTGTTCTTTAGTCCGAGAATCCAAATCTGTGGAATACGGGTCTGAAAAACGAGCCCCCGGCCCAGGTCATCGTCAAATGAATGCCGATTACTGGTAGCCTTTGATCTTGCGCTTTTTGTGGTCTCAATGCTATTGCATAAGTAGAGAGATGTATGTATCTGAAGCGCTGTGTTGGGGTAGATGGATTATTGGAAGGTAGCGTGGTACAATGAGAATTGCATCAACAAACCTTCTATCGCTCGGGATCGCCCAGGCTATCCAGCAAAAGCTAGCTGTTGTGAGAGCTTTGGCAATGTTGCCGCTGAGCAACAGGCGATGCCTTTTGAATCAGAGAAGGGTATCATCAGTATAGTGTTGTACATGTTTATAAATACACGATAGCAAACCCTGTCGCGGCTTGGGTAATAGCTTGCGGCTTGCGTCTACTCCTCCTCGTCGGCGTTTGTTTCGCTAATATTCATCTCGTTGATTGCCCAGGATGAGTCGACCCAGTCCCGCTTCTCTCCCAGAAAAACGAGACGCTCCGACTTCTTGTCCAGGGCTTCGACGATGTACTTCTGCGCTACTTCGCGGACCTGGTCCTTGGTCACGTCGAGAAGCTGTTCTCGGCGAGTCTGCTTCATCTCTTCGGTGACCCCGTAAAGGAAGTTGCCCATCCCTTCTTCGTTGACGGCTCTGGGTGCATCGACGCCCTGGAAAATCGAGATCTTTGCGTCTTCAAGGTCTCGGTCCGACCACTCCTTGTTGACAGCCCACTGACCGGCATTCCGCATGATAGTCATCGTGTTCAAAGGATTCGGATCGCGATACGAATAGAAACCAAACACGCCATCAATCGCACGGGAATATGCTCCACCACCATAAGCACCCCCCTTCTCCCGGATTTCGTGATGCAGGTGCTTGTGTGTTAGGAGCTGAGACAGAACTTGAAGTGACGCACCATTGGGCGAGGTATATGAGACGGTAGGCACGGCTAGTGCACCATAGTACACCTGGTAAGGGAGGGGGTAGAAAGCCTTGATGTCTCGTGAGAACTGAGGCGCCTGCCGCGGCGGAAACGTCACAGGCTGCGCGGGGAACGAGGCCATGATGTCTGACAAGGCCTTCGAGTTCTCGCCAACACTCTCGCCATCGCAAGTGATAGCAACCTGGAGATTGCCAGTCAGAGCAAATTGCTGAATCTGCTTGAGCTTCGCGATGACGTCCCCTAGTGAATCCGATTCTGGCCGGTTGGCTAGGCTAGTGATGAGCTTCACCTGAGACAAACCTCCCACCTGCTCCTTGAGGAAAGCATCCCATGTCAAGCCAGCCTCAGCAGCCCGTCGAGCAAAAGAGTGTCCCGACGAAGCAATGTCGTTCACAACGCCATCAGCGGATGCTTGAAGAAGCTGTCGGATCTGCTGTGCCGCATCAGGGCTGTCGAAGTTCGTGTCCAGAACCAACTTGCGCAGTAGATCAAACATTATAGGCACATTGCGATCCAGTGCCATTCCTGTAAACACAAGGCCTTCGGTTGCTCGAGTGAAGTCCGTTGGTAACGATGTCGAATGGTATCCCACAGATACGCCTCCAGTCTTCAGCTTGATCAGATCCTCTAGCTGTTCCATTGTCATATCCCGCGTTCCAAGACGCATGATCGCGTCTGTGAAGAGAGGGATGAGAGTTCGGAGTTCGTCGGGCAGGTTTTCCAGTGTGTTGATAGCCCGGAAGTAGGTCAGACCATTGGTGGGGGCCTCTCGCCATTGTATCTTGACTCTGCCGGCAGTTTCGTTCCGCAGGACTACAGGCTCTTTCTGCCGAAGAATGTCCTGTACATGCACGCTGGGCAGGCAGCTGAGATCCTCCGTATTGGACTTGCCTTGTTCAGCCAAAAGCTGGAGCTCTCGAGCCTCTAGTGCCGCCTGAGCCTCCTCCTCGCTGCCAGCAGACTCGACAACCTGTGAGATCTTGTCCTTGAGTCGGGTCTCCTCTTCTTGCACAAGATCTTGGCCAAAGTTGACCGAGGGAGCCATCGTGAAGGTCAGAGTATTGTCATTTAACAGATACTTGTCCATGAGCCCCTCCAGGTAGCCTCCTTTGGCAAACTCGGTTTCGAAAGCGGCGACGGTGTCGTTCCAGGCCAGAGAGTCGAAGGGGTCGATTCCAGTGAACCACTTCGGTTTCAAGCGGTGTAGTAGAGACATGCCAAAATTGGCCGTCTTATGCTTGAGCCCCAGCTCCAGTTGGTGCAGATAGCCGTCAATCTTGGATCGATCAAACCCCTTCTCACGTACACTGCGGAGAATGTCTTGCACTTGAACTTTCAGTTTTGGTACGTCAGATTCTTGAACTCCAGTGAGCCCAATTGAGAAAATTCCAAGCCTGCCTGAACCGTCAAATCCCGCATTGGGGCTCCAATCAGCACCGAGGCCGGAATCAATCAGCCCCTTGTACAAGGGTGAACCATAGCCGTCCATGAGAAGGGCGGATATCAGGGCGAGCGAGAAGGACTCGACAATGTTGGTGGTGTCACCTAAAACCCACGACACGGAGGTCTTGTACTGCTTATTCTGGTCTACCAAAGGGTCGACCGGGCCAAGCAGCCGGACCTCTCGCGGGCCACTGCTCAAGTCGATGGGGCGGTGGACAGCCACATCGCCCCGGATCTTTTCAAAAGCACCCAACTGAGCGTCAATCTCCTTCAAGTGATCCGCCAGTGGCATGTCGCCATAGGTGAAGACTTTGGCGTTGCTAGGGTGATAGTGCTCGGCGTGGAACTGTTTGAGTTGCTCATAAGTCAGGTCGGTAATCTTTTGGGGATCACCGCCCGAGTTATTGATGTCTGGGAAAATGTGGTCTTGAAATCTGATATAGAACAGATAGCCCGCATCCGACATCTGCCCCTTCATCTCATTGTACACGACGCCCTTAAAGACAAGTTTCTTGTCCTCGGGCCTGGCAGCGCCATCGCCAGCAACGAGCGCCTGCGGGTTCTCAGGCCCGATGCGCCAGCCCTCCTGCGTAAAATCCGACTGCTTCAACAAGGGGCGAAGCGTCGCATCCAGATACACGGACATGAGATTCTTGAAGTCCTGGGCATTGGTGGTAGCAAAGGGGTAGAAGGTGTGGTCTGAGGCCGTGAAGGCATTCATGAAGTTGGAGAGGGTGCGTGGGAGCATCTTGAAAAATGGATCGCGAATTGGGTATCTGCATGACATTGTGAGCCCCAGGCGACACGGAATGGAGAAGCAGAAAAAGCCGAGAGCGACTTACTTCTCACTACCACAGAGCGTTGTATGCTCTAGGATGTGCGGCACGCCGGTGTCATCGGGAGGATTTGTCTTGAAGCCAATAGAGAAGACATTGTTGCCATCATCGCGGGCAATGTGGAGGTGCTCGGCGCCAGTCTTGTCATGCTGCAGGTGTAGTGCCGTCAATTCGAGCTCGGGGACGTGCTTGGTCCGGAGCAGTGTGAAGCCATGCAGCTTGTCGCCGGGCTTGGGAAAGTGCGAGAGCTCGGTGACAGCTCGGTGCACCGCGCTCCTAGCCGTTGTGCCACGCAGCATCTTGGCCACCGAAGGAAGAAAGCGCGGTTTCCGTTTTCCGTCTCCCCAACAGCTAACTCTGGGGGCCTAGGGAGACCGGGGATGAAGGGGTGAAGAGGGGTGAGGGTGAATAGGGGTGAGGGTGAATAGGGCGAGGGCGAGGGCGAGGAAAGGAAAGGAAATTTCGCCTTTGGAGATAAAATGCTGAGATGGGTCGACGCGTAGTGTCGGTCATTGGCGGACTTGGACTGCAAAAGCAATGAAACCCAAGGAAAGAATACAAGCACACGGTGTAAACTATTGTCTTGGCAAGTTTATACACTGTGTATTAGTAATACTGCAGTACGGAGCACGAGTACGAATGTGCCTTCACCTGGGAAACCCAGGTCGAGAGTCGAAGAGCAAGTCCCGACTACAAGGGCGTGCGTTCATTGGCCACAATCCTGGCTCAATGGTTGAAACTCGAATGGTGAAGGACACAGAAGGGCGGCTTACGGTCCCGAAGGCAAGCATACTAAGCACCAATTCGGTACTCACAACTTGCTGGCGAAATCTTAGTGTAGCGTTTTGCAGGTGTTCCAGGTTAGGTCCGTTCCAGGGCTGAGATTAACTTAGGTTATGGAACCATGAGCGAACCTAGGACACCTGCAATTGCGACGGCATGTGTTCGGTGACCAGTCAATCTCTGCGCTACCTGGTGCCTGCTTCGCTTTCCATGTTGCGACCACCGTAGAGTTGATTTTGATGCCACATTGAATCCTCGGAACCGCTGCCCGAAGATGGAACCAAGAGAAAACACAGTGCACACCGACCACGCGTAACAGTCCTGACGGGATATGGAGGTTGTTCATGCTTTAGGTTCCCGGGCCGTTGGTACCTCCAGTAGGAAAGCCCTACGATGCGTGCGGGAAGGCGACTTCTAAAAAGACTATAGACTTCAGTGGAAAAGCTGGAGAGTGCCTGCCTTTTTATTGCAATGTTAATGTATCGTAGGCACTATACCATACCGTGGCCTTAGCTTCGTATCGTACTGTATACAGTGCTCACCTTACCTAACCTACGACGGATAGAAGCTACTACTACAAAGTGGCGCTGTAGCGCGCTGCAGCGCTCCCCCTACCAGCGGGCTTCGGCCTCTAGTCCTTGTCTGCCCGCCTACCTACCCGGACTTCCATACCAGGCTGGTGCAGGCAATTTGCATTTGCGCCCGCCATGCCCACCTCAGCTAGGTAGAGTACCTTAACCGACGCCATCCAGGGCGAACCTCTTCTCAAACATCAAAGTCTTTTTGCAGCGACCAAGCCGACAGGCCAGCGCGCGAATTCGACTGCTTTTGCGCGCTTCAAACACCACACGCCATAGGAAAACAGCGGTAGGGAACGATTCGCAATCTTAGACGTCGGTCGAATCGAGTTCTTTCTCACGCAGCTTGTTTGCAGGCCGCGCTTTGCAGCATAGAATGTCAACCGCCAACCCTCTCGTGACCTCGGCCACGGCGGCCCCTCGACCTGCGACACCGATAGCCAATGGAGTCGCAACCCACGCTGTGCCCGACCTAGCCGCGACGAATTCAAATGGCCTTCAACCCCACGAGAGCCGTCCGGCCCCGGCACCTCCCGCACCAGCGGCCGGCAAGAAGGGGAAGCAGAAAAAGGCGACCGAACCGAACGAAGCGTCCAAGCTAATCGCAGCGAGAATCTCGCAGCTCGAGCTAGATGCCGCCGGCGAGAAGGACCAGGAAGCCGAAATTGGTGCGTGTTTTGTCCACCCACGAGGAGCTCGCATGGCCGGCCGGCCGGGCTGGTGACATGGCTGACGCGTGATACGTGCGCAGAACGGGAGGTGAAGAAGGCGAACCGGGAATTGCACAGCCAAACGTCACGCATGAGCGATATCCAGAAGATTGACCATCTCACCAAACGATGTTCTGATCTACTGTCCGAGATGAAGCGGCATGAGCGCGAGAGCATCAAGAACAAGAAGCGAGGCGACCAGCTGCAGAAGGACAAGGACAACAGTCGCAACGAACTGAACAAGACGACGTCTCTGAAGGAAAAACTTGAAAAGCTTTGCCGCGAGCTCCAAAAAGAGAACAATAAGCTAAAGGTTTGCCCTCCCTATTTGTGTGTCGTCGACTTGGTGTGATTGATGGGTGTGCTGACGGGGTGGCGGGTGCGACAGAATGAGAACAAAACGCTCTCCGACACGCAGGTTAGGAGCCAGAATTCCTGGGATGAAAGATACTCGGGTATCATGAGACACATGGACGACTTCCAGGAGGAGAAGGACAATCCTCGGAAACAGGTCGTCGATATGGAGATGGATGAATTGTTGGTGGCCCGCCCCAGCTCGCTTTCGTTTGTGCCCGTGCTTACGATTACTTCCAGCTTCCGCCAGCGGTTCAAATCCTTGATTGAGCAGTATGAGATCCGAGAACTGCACTTCCACTCGCAGATGCGCACCAAGGAGCTCGAGGTCCAGTTCAACTTAGCCAAGTTCGAACGCGAGAAGAAGAACTACGACGCCGAGGTTGCCCGTTCGAGGCAGCTTAATGCCCAGGTTCAGACATTTTCAAAGACTGAGAACGAGCTGAGGCAGCAACTCAACGTCTACGTCGACAAGTTCAAGCAGGTCTGTTACGCCGCCGACGTCGTCGATTCTCGAGCAACCAGAACTAACATGGTTGGCAAGGTGGAGGACACGCTCAATAATAGCAACGACCTCTTTCTCACCTTTCGCAAAGAAATGGAGGACATGTCCAAGAAGACAAAGCGCCTGGAGCGGGAGAACGAAAACCTCAAGAGGAAGCACGAGCAGGTGAATGGGAACATCCTCAAGATGGCCGAGGAAAGGAACAAGAACCTGCACGAGATCGAGGATCTCAAGAAGAAGCTCGACAAGCTCAACGGCATCATCAAGCAGATGCAGCAGCAGGGCCGCGGCATCCAGCAGGGGATGGCAACCCCGGTCGAGAACGGCTACGCCGGTGCCGAGGGGGGTCTCGAGGGGGACGAGAGCGAGTACGAGGACGAGTACGACGAGGGAGAAGATGAGGAAGTGAGCGACGAGGGTGATGAGTACGACGACGAGACAGAGGATGAGCTGCACCAGCAGCAGCCTCAGCCTCAAGCGTACGGGCCCGAAAGGCCACCACCCGCGACGGCCGTCACTGCCACTGCCACTCCTACCCCCACGGTCAATGGCCATCATTAGAGCTCTATATGGTGCAAAGATGTAGCGACGCGCTGTGGCATTTTTCTTGGCTCGAGGTTTGTAGACCGACCCCGGTACCCCCTTGCAGTCAGAAAGCTATAGCAGCAAATTGGGCCATCGTCGTCCCCTTGTCCCATTTTGTATTGACCGGTATTGCAAGTTTGCGGCAATCCACCGCGCTGCGTATATTGAGTAGAATCATTTTGGATCTCTACATATAGCGTTGGTTCTGTCGATCGGTACTGCCTTTGCGCGAGGAGTGAGTAACTACCGTAGCAAATGGCCTACATTCGTATCTGGTGATCACATTTTATTCGTAATAATTACGGGCACCACAGTTTCGTTTCCAACCAAAGGGATCTCATCTTGAATACTCGAGGTTGAAGGAGGAGTAGGAATGCTGGACTGAGAGTTATTGAAATGGTCACTAAAACAAGTATGTGGTTATGAAGTACTATCCCGCTAGCCAGTTTTAAGCTTCCATTGCTTCCTATCGGGCCCCGGCAGTACACTGATAGGAGAAGTGCATATGCGTCAATCCATATCCTATGCCTGTGCCAATCATTTGGATAAATGCATCTACCAGGTTTATTGATCTGCAACGAACCGGACTGCAGTGCCGAGACCAGACACTGCAATGCGCCAGCCCGACATCCATGAGCTGTCCAAGTACAGCCTGAAACAAGGCTCGGAGCGACTAATTATTTTTACAGCATTGTACCTATATTCCCGGTCTGTTAATTAAGTGTACACGTCTTGAGCTCAGTTTCCCGTCGGATCTCATTCCAACCTTAGTTCCTTTGAACAGAAACCTTGGTAGCTCAGGAAGGTACCCAAGTCAAGTAGGAACCTAGCACTGTGCATTCCATTCCCATTCCCGCTCGCTTCGTCGGTCCTTCCCCAACATACAGCCGTCCTCGATGCCGTCTCCCCAGAATTTTACATCAATCACCGCTTCAAACCGCCGACTGCCGGCCACGATCCTATCTGACGTCGCACTCCTGTCGCCAGCGTCGCCGTTGCACGGGGAGCGCTCGCGGCCCGATTGAGACGGGGCGAGACACGAGCACAAGTCGCGGCCACGGCGCGCACTAGCTACAGGTGGCTTGCCTTCTTAGGTCGGACAGACCGCGACGACACACCTCGGGCCCGCCACGCCACGCTACATACACTACAGTACGGTCAGTGTCTCCTAATGAACCCGAGGCTCTGCCATCCCGCACGCGCACGAAAGAATCCACCCATCCGCACCCTCGCAATTCCAAATCATCGTCGCCTTCAAACAGCGCTAGCCACGGCAGGCAGGCGCAAAAGGCAGTAGGCCACGGGAAGGAATAAGAGAGGAGGAAGGTACAGCAGACACAGAATGTCATTCATCCAGGACCCTCGGTTGCGGCAACGGTGGAACCAGATCTCGCACAATGCCGAAGCCGTCACCGAGAACGCGGTGGCCGGCATCTGGACGTTTCAGCACCGGTACATCCACCCATGCCTGGCCGGGGTCGGCAACGCGCTCGACAGCTGCACGAGCGTGTGCTTGGGCGGCGACCGGGAGGAGCGGGCGCGCCGGGCCCGCGAGCGTGACCGCGGCGCACGGCGGACGCGGGCCGAGTACACGTTTGACTTTTACGACGACTGGGACGAGGCCGACGACGAAGGGCCCGGCGGCGGCGGGCTCGGCCGCGGTCTGCTAGGCAGCTGGAGCGGGACCCGCAGCGAGGACTGGGACCGGCTTCTCGCCGGGTCGGGCACCAGCGGTGGGCGTAGCAACAGACATGGGGGCGCCGGAGGGGCGAACGACGCGTTGGCAGATCAGCCTCGGCGGAAGAGGGGGATGAGCTACGGGACACGCGGCGTCGGCGGGGTGCGGAAGGCGTCGGGCGAAGAGGACCCGAACGTGATTCCTCGGACGGCGCCGCTTGGCTTCCTCGGACGGTTACCCTTCAATATCGGAGGCACACTGCGCTACAAGCCCTCGGCAGCGAACCTGCAAGATCACCCCGGCGGTCCCACACACGCGGGCGGTGGCGACGGTGGCGGCGGGCACGGCGAGGAAAACGAGCCTCTGCTAGGAACAAGCGAAGACGAGGAGCAAGATGTACACCGCCGCTTAGAGCGCTCGCCGCAGTACAGGCCCCGGAGTAATACTGTCGAGTCCGGGGACACTTCAAGCTCGTATAGGTCAAGGGGCGACCTGTTTCCGAGCGACGGCGAGGGCGACGAAGACGCAGTAGCACTGGACGACGAATTCACAATGGCGCTATCACGTGTAGATAACGACAGGAGCAGCAACAAGACGCGGAGCAGCAAGGGGAAACGGCGGGCGGACATGGATATGTCAAGAACCGTATCCCGGACGACCATGTCGTCGGGCCACACACCTGATTCACGTAGGGGGTCGAGTAATCATACGCCGTTGTCCTTCCCCGTCTTGGAGGACCGAGTGGAATCACCTGCACCACTGACGATACCGACACCGTCGCTAGAGGACCTGGAGCAAGAGGAGGCACAGGCCGCAAGAGAAGAGCTCGAGGAAATTGAACGCAGACGGGTAGCGGCCTCGAAATTGGCCCTGCAGCGGGGGCTAAGCAAGGACGATCTCACGACGGCGCCAGGACTGCTGCCTGCGGCAACTGAAACTCAAGAGGACAAATATGGCGAGGCAGAGCCTGTTATTCCTCCAATATTACCCAACGACACTGACACACATACTGATAACAAGAACGCCAATAAAAACAACACCACCGGCGAGGAGCACGACGAGATCTTTGAGGAGCCAAAACCAAACCATCTGGGGATTGTTCCTGCAGAGCTGGCCGTACGAGACGTTAAAGCGAAGGCCATAGACGAGGGCCAGTTCATCCCCGCGCGACTACCATATTTTGGGTGACGGGGTGGGCTGCTGCGGGATAGATGAAATCAGCGTAACACAGCGCGTCTTTTTTATATTCTTCTTGTTTTTGCTTAACGACGGCTCATGATAAAAAGAGGTGGGCGACGGTGCATATTTTGGTTTTGGGAGGCTAGTTAGCTATCAAGGTCCTCAAGACAGCTTGATTATATATTAATACCTTTCCTATTGGCGGGTATCAAAAAGAATTACTGAGATGCAGCTGTATGATCTTGGTTTGAGACAGGGAGACAGCAGAGAGAACACTAGTATGGACATGGGGAGATGCGAGCATAGGGGTTCTGCTCCTGTATAAAGTGTATCGAGGTGGTTGATGGCGCTTGGATCGGAAGGCCAAGCCGATCCACGGTTAACTTTGGACATAACTTAGGTACCTGTTGATCCGTACCTACAACGCACTAGGTATTATTCTATCAATTGGATGGCCCAAGAGAATGAAGGGGTAGAATCACAGTTCAATCCCCCCTAGATAAATGAAGAACTTACAGCAAACCTACTAAAAACTAAACAAACGGAGTAAATTAATATGCCAATTCTCCAACGTTGTGCCACTTACAACAACAATTTCACGGACGCCATCGGCAGAAAATGGGTTCCGCGGTTCGTCCCCAGGAACACAATCCAAGCCGGTATTAGGGTAGATCGTCGAACGTGCCTCGGTTCCCAGCAGTCTCAGCCACCCCCCGATCGAGCTTCCCCGCATTCGCCGCTGCACGCCCAACCCCAGACCCCACACTGTGGTGCTGGCAGGCGGTTTAGATGCCAATTCAATGGCCTGCAGGGGTCCCGTCCCGCGGGGGAGCTTCCATCCTCACCCCGAATCGATCCTGGGATGGAGGGGAAGGGAGAAGCAGCTTGTATCTATTGAGAGCTAGCACCAGCACCTCTTTCACAAGGTAAATAGGTATCTATTGACTAATGTCTCCTCCCTTATTAGTATCTCCTCTCTCGCGCGATGTGATCTCGGGCCTGTAGTTGCAGTTCCTACATAGTACATACGGACATCGGATATCCTCTCGTCGGTTCCTTTAGACTTTCGAAACATCGTGTCCATCGCCCCCCCTGCGAGAATCGGTCCTATATTTATTCTAGGTTCTCCGACATTACTTACGGGCTCTGGTGTCTGGTGTCTGACCTCCTTTTGACAAGACATAGTATCAGTATCAGCAGACGGCAAGAGAGGAAAGGAGACAGAGACACCAGACTGACAAAGATGGCTCCCTCCGCAAAAACGGCCGGCTGCGGCCCCATAACGACGCCGCTGACGGAGCTGCTCGGGATCCGGCACCCCATCATCCTAGCCGGCATGGCGCGCACGTCGGGCGGGCTGCTCGCGGCGGCCGTGTCCAACGCCGGCGGGCTCGGCGTCATCGGTGGCTTCATGTACACGCCCGACCAGCTGCGCGACATCATCGCCGAGATGAAGGCCCACTTCGCCCGCCCCGACCTGCCCTTCGGCATCGACCTGGCCCTGCCCCAGGTCGGCGGCGGCGCCCGCGCCACCAACCACGACTACACGGCCGGCAAGCTCGACGAGCTGGTCGACATCACCGTCGCCTCGGGCGCCAAGTTGTTTGTCTCTGCCGTCGGCGTGCCGTCGCAGGGCGTCGTCGACCGCCTGCACGCCGCCGGCATCCTCGTCATGAACATGGTCGGCCACCCCAAGCACGCCGTCAAGGCCCTCGAGCGCGGCGTCGACCTGGTGTGCGCCCAGGGCGGCGAGGGCGGCGGCCACACGGGCGACATCGCCAACAGCGTGCTGATCCCCGCCGTTGTCGACGTCGCCCGCCGCTTCCGCCCGGCCATGCTGGGCGGCGACCGCCCGGCGCTGGTCGTGGCCGCCGGCGGCATCGCCAACGGCCGGGGGCTGGCCAGCTCGCTCATGCAGGGCGCGGCGGGCGTGTGGGTCGGCACGCGGTTCGTGGCCAGCGCCGAGGCCGGGTGCAGCGACGCGCACAAGCAGGCCGTCGTCGGCTGCGGCTTCGACGGCACCGAGCGCACCCTCGTGCTCAGCGGCCGCCCGCTGCGCATGCGCACCAACGACTACATCCGCGCGTGGCACGCCCAGCCCCAGAAGATCCAGGACCTGTGCGCCCGCGGCGTCGTGCCCCTCGAGCACGACCTCGACGAGGGCAACGAGATCGACCCGCCCCACCTCATGGGCCAGGTCGCCGGTGCTATCGACAGGGTCCAGCCCGCTGGTGAGATTGTCGACGACATGGTCGCCGAGGCCGTCGAGATGCTCAAGCTGGGCGGCACGTACCTCAGGTTGTCGAGCAGGCTGTGAGAGACTTGTGTAGATACGGGTGTGCATGCGAATATCAATGGTGTCAAACGGAATCTTGCAACCCGGCATTACTGTGGTTGGCAAATGAAATCTCAAGGTAAATTGTCTAGCGGGTGTGACTGTATTACTTCAATAGCTATTATTCATCCAGGTCGTTACATTTAGTCATAGCATGCTTTTCCGCCGTGGGGAAACTAAAAAAGGGGCCTGACAAAAAGATAATCAACAACGTGAAAAAACGGGTTACCCCTTTTCCTCTCCCGTGATGGTGACGACAGTCGCAGACTCAGTCTCACTCCCAACGCCACCACCTCCCCCTCCACCACTTCCCCCTCCATCACCCGCCCCCACATCCTCCTGCCCCTTTTAATTCTCATTCCCATCCCCATCCCCATCCTCCCTCCCACCACCACCAACAGCCCACCTCGCCCTGCCCTTCCCGCACTGCCAACGCATCCAGTGCACCCAGTCGAGTTGCGCGACGCGCGGCACGATGCCCGCCGCGAACAGCGCCGAGTCGACCACCGCCACGTCCTCAACACCATCAAGCCCCGCCCGCCTCCTACCTCCATTATCAGCCCCAAACCAGCCAGCACTCAGCCCGCCACTGCGCTGCTCCCCATTCCCGTCCCGCACCTCCACCCCACCACTTTCAGAGGTATACAGAGCCGCGACAGCGAGATGCCGCACGCACCGCACGTCGCGCGTCAGCCGCCAGAGATTCCGGCCCGCGGCCGACACGACGGCCGCCGCGTCGAGCGCGATCACGTCCCGCGAGAAGTCGACGTAGATGCGTGGGCTCGGTGCGCCGCTTTTGTTGGTACCGCCCGGTGCGAGGCCGAGGCGGTAGTGTCGCTGTGCGAAGGCGCGCGATTCGGCGCAGACGTGGAGGGCTGTGGGGATTGGCGCGGTGCAGGACCAGACGTTTTGTCTGTCGCTATTGCTGCGGCTGTGATTGTGGTTGCTGGTGGCGGTGGTGCTGTTGTTACGGCTGTAACCGTGACTGGGACTGGGACTGTTAGTGGTTAGAGTGTGCTTGTGACGTCGCCAGGCGAGTCGGAGTTTTGCTGATGGTGAGGATGAGGATGAAGAAGATGATGGAAGTGTTTGTTCGTTGCCAGTGTTTGTGCCGGTGCTGGCAGTCGAGCGGCGTCCGCTCTTGGGCCGGGAAAACGGGAGGAGCGAGGAGCGACGGCGGCGGCTGGTTTTCGGGACCTGCAACATCAGGACGCGCGGGCCGGGCAGCGACTCGGCCCAGATCTGCTGCCGCAGCTCGGCGGGCAGGCGGCTGAACTGCGGGAACGTGGTTGGGGCTGTTGTGGCCTCACCAGCGGGGCTGCTGCTGCCGCTCACCGCGGACCCGGCCGCTCGCATGCGGCGCTCCTCGGCAGCTTCGCTGCAGGCCTCCCGGATCAGGCACGCGTGCTGCTTGAGGCGGTCGCTGAACCAGCCGCACAGGATGCCGATCTTAATGACCAGGTGCAGCCAGTACGACGTGTTGAGCCCGCCGTCGTCGTCGTCGAGATAGTCGCCGGCCGTGGTGTTGTAGAACATCATGTCGGCCGGGTCTAGGGCCGGCGCCCACGACGTCATAGTGAAGAGGCCCATCTGTGGGTCCAACATGTTGCAGGCGGCTTGGGCTGGTGATGTAGGGCTTGGCCTGTTGATCTCCGGCCTGCTCGGGTTTGGATCAGATGACAATGGCGAAAAGAAAACGAGCAATAGTTGGAAACTGTGGATCAGTCTTTTCGACAGCTCGCCCTTCTGCCTGTTTATGTAGGCCTCCAGGGCAGTGAACAGTAGCGTAGCTGACAACTTGACAGGGGCGGAGGTTGGGGTACCGGCCTTTTCGAGCTGCTGTCGACGGCGCCAAAGTGTATTCTAGGCCGGGGTAGGTTATTCATAGCACAACAGCAAACTCAAACTTAAACTCAGCCACGCAAGCCGTTGCTAGACTGCTTTGGTACCCCCGCGTGGAGCGACGTTAGGCGTTGGGTAGTCTAACCCGGAGCTAATGTGCGGCTAGACAAAGGTCAAACAGCCGGGCTCAGAGACGGAGCAAGACTTTAAGTGTCGGACGTGGCTGCTGCCGGGGCGGGGTGGGGCGGCCTCGCCGTGAAGCTGGGGTTAGGAATAGGATGGCCATTTTGCTGCCTGCCAGCTCCCATCGGTCCGCGTTCTCGTGGCCGGCAAGAAGGAAGCTGAAGCTGCCAAGGCAATGAATGAATGGCTAACTGGTTAGTCTGACGTGATACTAGTTTGAAGGAAGGAATTGATCTATTGGATAAGGTAAAGTAGGCCTTAGTATCGACAATCGACAAGCCAAGCTTCCGCAAAAAGATGCAAACCACCACTGCAGGTTCCATTTTCTCGGTGTCGGTACCTGGCGGCCGCATATGGGTACAATGCACTCTGACCAAGCTTGACAACAAAAGGGGTTACATACACAATGTATGGCGCCGAGTCTATCTTAGCGTTTACCGCAGGTAAGGTAAGGAACCCAATGTACCTAATGGAAGGTACTCTGAAGGTGGTAATGAGATAAGCATTCCCAAGGAAGGCCACTTCTAGTTGGCCCGCAAGGTGCAAACCAAGCCGCACAGCCTCACGTTATCGGAGGAGGATGGTCCATGTCTCTGGGGTCTGGCAATGGCTTCTCTTGATGCTGAGCTTGCACCGGGATAAGCAGGCGGTTGTTGAAATTCGGTTGTTGAAGGCTCGTCAACCCTGAACCGAATAATTAACCCTACTCCGTAAACCCTGGGAAAAATGACGTCGTTGGCCCGTGCCCGCCCTATCGTAAAACTCCGCTGGCTCCTGAATCGGAACCCGAAAGAAAAAGAAGGTTTCACCGAGCGTCGGCGTCCTTTCACCAACATTGGCGGTCGGACAAGAAACAGGTCGAAAATTATAAACCAGAAAAAAAAGAATGATCAGCAGGCTACCCCAAACCGCCGGCGCGGTCCGGCAGGCGTGCTCGGCATGTTTCGGCCGCCGCACGCCCATGCTGTCGTCGGCATCGTCGGCGGCGAGAAGAATGTTGCGTCCTTCTGCAGCGGCGACGGCGCCCATGTCCACGTCGGCGCCCATCTCGACGGTACCCCTGGCCTTTGACCTGCACAAGCCCGCCAAGCCCGTGGCCGACCGCCAGACGTCGCCCATTATTGTCATGCACGGCCTATTTGGATCCAAGAAGAACAACAGGAGCATAAGTAAGTGAGTCTTCGCCCGGGTGAACAAACCGTCACCACCAAATGATAAATAAAACGCTTGCTGACTGTATCTCCCTCGTAAAGAGTGCTTGCCCGTGATCTAGGACGCTACGTCTTTGCACTAGTAAGCAGCGGTGCCCTTGGCTTCTTTTCACTCTCTCCGGCAAAGTCCCCCTTTTGACACTAACCGCGGTTATAGGACCTGCGCAACCACGGCGAGTCCCCGCACCATGGCCGGCACGACTACTCGGCCATGGCGGCCGACGTGGGCGACTTCATCCGGCAGCACGGGCTGAAGCAGCCGACGCTGATCGGGCACTCCATGTGAGTGTTTCTCTTTTCCTTCCCACCAATAGGCAAACTAACTAAACCCCCCTGGGAAAAGGGGCGCCAAGACAGCCATGGCCGTGGCACTGCGCGAGCCGGACCTGATCGCCGACCTCGTGTCGGTGGACAACGCGCCCGTCGACGCGCGGATCAAGAGCGACTTCGCGCGCTACATCCAGGGCATGAAGAAGATTGACGACGCCGGGGTCACGCGCCAGTCCGACGCCGACAAGATCCTCGAGCCCTACGAGAAGGTAGTTCCACCATCATCCCATGCAATAATAAGTACACAAAACAGAAAATATTAACACTCCCCCTAGTCCCTAGTGATCCGCCAGTTCCTTCTGGGCAACCTGCACCGGCCCGAGAGCGAGTCGGCGACGCAAAAGTTCCGCGTGCCGCTCGACATCCTGGGCAAGGCGCTCGACCACATGGGCGACTTCCCCGTGCGGGACCCCAGCGCAGCGCGCTTCGCCAAGCCGGTCCTGTTTGTGCGCGGCACGCGGAGCAAGTACGTGCCCGACGAGGTGATCCCCGTCATTGGGCAGTTCTTCCCGCGCTTCGAGCTCGTCGACGTCGACTCGGGCCACTGGGTCATTTCCGAGAACCCCGAGGCCTTCAGGCAGGGTAAGCATACTGGATCAATTGCTGTACTTGAGAATTGAAAATGCTGACCAGCCTCTTTAAAACAGCCGTGGTCAAGTTCCTCGAGTCCAAGGACTAGAGGCAGTGCGGGACGTCAGGTAGGAGAGCATGTGGCATTTAAGAAAACATGTATTACTGCAATGGAACGCGTTGGTGGTCTTTCCTCTATGGTGGCGGCGATGGCGTGGCGTGTGGGCATGGGGCACACCTAGACATATGCCCCTTTCCTTTCCTCCCTTTCTAAACCCTGCACAAACCGCGATGAACCTTTAGAATACAAATAGACAAAAACACGAACACCCTAGACAGACCTCCCAGTGTACAAAGAAAGACAAGAAAAATGAAAATTGGGGTATCAGAATTTCGTACAGCATAGCCTTCAAGGAGCCGATGCAATCTTTGGCTAGTGAGTGTGAAAGGGACGCAAGCAGTAGATGAATGTGCCTTTGTTGACAACGACGACACGCAAATGGTAGGTGAGGGGGACGGGGTAAGGACGTATTCTGGATTTGGAAAAAAGAGAGAACGGTGACGGAGGGGGGAGAATGGCATACACTTCAGCAGGGGCAGCTGGAGAGATAGCCGCCGGCGCTGTCGGCCAGCCCGACCGTCCCTGCGGTCCGGCTCGAGGTGGCCCCCGAGAGTAGGCCCGGGCTCTGCACGATCTGGTCGACAATCTCGACAAAGGACCGCCGTACGTTCTCGCGCGTCTTGGCGCTAGCCTCACAGAAGCGCGCCCCGTGGGCGTCAGCCAGCGCCCTGGCCTCCTCTGCGGACACCTCGCGGCTGGTCTCGGCCTTGTCGAGCTTGGCCCCAACCTAGAACATCAGTTGTCGTCAGTCACGTGTCTTTTGGTTAACACCATGGGAACAGCACATCCGCGCTGGAGTGCGTGCATCCGAAGACGTGGCACAATCTTGTCGACGTACCAGGTACAACGCAACGCCGTCGACCGTGTTGGTCTCGGCCTCATCAAACCACCTCTCCATGGTCAGGAAGCTGGCCCGGTTGGAGATATCGTAGACCAGAAGCACGCCGTGGGCTCCCCGGTAGAAACTTGTCGAGAGGGTGCGGAACCTTTCTTGCCCAGCCTGTCACCGTGTTCGTCTTGAGTCAATAACTGGGTCGGAGGCACAATGAGAGAAGGGGCTAGCTCACCGTGTCGAAGAGCGTCAGCCGATATGCCTTCCCCCTGACAGAGAGTTTCTTGATCTAAAGGCGCCGGGTTAGGTATTGTTCTCATGATACCAAAAGAAAGGGGGGTGCGTGGTTGCCAACACGGATCCGCCGATGCGTGCGTGCCGTGTGAGTGAGAACATGTATTATGTGATACGAGCTTGCTCCCAACTCCAAGGACTCTCTAACTCAACGAAACAGACCAAGCACATAGAAATAAATGAAAGACGCTATTGACATGAAACAAAAAAAAGGAAATGACAGGGCACTTGAAACTAGCTTACCTTGAAGTCGATACCGATAGTCGCGGTCGACGACTCCGGGTCGAACTCGTCATCGCAATACCTTGTGAGCACTGCCGCGGGAAAGAAAGTCAGTCGCCACATACACACACATATATTTCCGCCCCTTTCCCCGCCATCCGGGGGCCAGAAGTAAAAATTAAAGTGAGAGTGAGAGTATGTGAGGGGCGAGTTCAGCTGGGAACGACGTCTTGAAAGTTGAATATCGATGACAAGACCCGGGCCGAAGCTGCGTGTATGTTGTGGATGTGGTTGTGGTTGAACCAAATACCAAACCCAATCAGTCCCTCCATAAGAGATCTCGAGGACAACAATCCCCGTACTCTTAAACCTCAGAAATGTGTGTATATACGTGTATGGATACATGTATATACATGCACGTGGCAAGAGAAGCCAGGGTCGAAAAGGGGACAGAGAGGGGCGGACTCACAAGCAGATTTCCCAGCTCCCGACGGCCCGATGAGCAATATCTTGAGCGTCGGCAAAGAATCATCCGACGCCATGGGTGGCGATGGGGTGCGTGCGCGGTAGGTTATGTATGGCAAATAAGGTAAAGGTACGGATAGTGGTGATAGTAACAAAAGGTACGAATAGCTGAGGCGACGACGGCGATGATGCAGTAAAGTTGGGCACAGCGGGGTCGTCGTGCGTATATACAGCCGGTACAGTAAGTACAGTGTTTTACAGTACGTAAGGTAGGCAGGTAGGCTTTAGAGAGGTAGCGCCAGAGGATCCAGCCAGCCAGCCAGCCAGCAACAAACAACAAACCAGAAAAGGTAAAACAAATTCCCTCCTCCCGAGTCGCTATTCAATACTGGCGGGGTATTGAATCATCAGGTAAGATAACGAAATTACTTCTTTCCTGGCTGGCTGGTGCAGTGTAGTGTTTATTATTGGAACTGAACTCGAAAGAAGGTTGGATGGAGAGGATAATCACCTCCCTAGGCACGGATACAGGAGTGGTCACGGTTTGTCGAGGCGAGGCTTGCTTTCTGGCTGGATCCGGATTCGTGGTCCTCGTCACCAGCGACTAGCTTCAAGTAGCTCCTCCTTGCTATGACGTTATGAATAAAACTTCACCGCTCAACACAACATTTGCAACCAAAAGAAGAGAGAAAGCTGGCAACGTATCCGTATCCATAGCTAGAAATGAAATGAATGAAGCTGCCTGTATTATTTTGAAGCTGGGAAAAAGTCGTCATACGAGTTTGCAAAGCCCTCGACAGCACTTTCGGCAAAGGTTAGGCCGTCAAAGAGCGGGAGAGCGTTCACGTCATTTCAGCCACCAGCCAAAGGACATCAAACGCAAGCACTCATTGTTGGCTACTGCAGCGGGCGCCCATCGCTAGGGCCCTGTCAGCTGGACATTTCTCGTTGACCTCGCTCTCTAAGCCGTGGCTCGCTAGGCACTAAAGTACTAGTAGTGCCCACCTAAAGACTTAACCAGGTCACCGGCGTGCTGTTATCCACATAGAAGTCGCACCAAGCTGGGGATGCCAGACATTTGCAGCGAAACACGACAGCTTGCGTCATGGTCATTTTATGTCCTTTTGATTCCATTTGTCCCGTCGTCAGGACGCAAATTCGTTACCTTGACTACTGTACCATGGTACGACGCCCAATGCAACGAAAAAGCAAGACCAATGTCCCAGAAAGGTATTGCTAGATAAACCCGTCCCAGAAGCGTTCCCCGAAACAACCAATCCCTTATACCTCCTCAAGGACCCGCTCCTTGAACTCGCGCTCAACCTTCTGGCCCGTCTCATCCGTGCTCGACTCGCCGTGCAACGTCATGAGCGCACCGAGGTCGAACTTGGGCGCCTTGAGTAGCTTGACCTTGCGGATGTGCACCTACTACACGTTAGCATACAGTTGCAAACCTAACAAACCCACGACAGGGCCCGTGGCGTAGCGAGGCCGGTCTCAAACATACGTTCTGGAGGGGGTAGATGCCCTGGGTGGCCTTCTCAATCTCGCGGCCAATGACCTCGGGGATCAGCTTGGAGGTGAGCTGGGTGAGGGTGCAGCTCGAGGCCTCGCGCTGGATGATCTCGGTCATCTTGCGGCGGATGGCCCGGATTTGTGACGTCGCCGCATACGTGGTCTTCTTGATCTGGTTAGGGCGACGCTTGGTGAAGGCAATCGCGAAGAGACGGAGGAGGTAGTCGTCGGTGGTCTTGACCGTGACGTTGGCCTCGATCAGTGTTTGCCACTTGCGCACGAGCGACCGGAGCTTGTCGGAGGTGAAGTCCAGACCGTGGAAGTTGGTCAGGCAGTTCTTTCCCTGGACTTCGTCCACCCGGAGCTTGATCTTCCGGAAAGCGTGGTCCTCGTCCTTCTGGAGATCCGCGAGAGACACCTCGAAGATGCGTCCCTTGAGGGCGTCGGCCGCGTTCTTGAGACCGGTGGTCCGGTTCACCAGCGTCTTGCCAACACTAATTCATCACGGTTAGAAATTTGCGTGCTCATGGTCTGCGGCAGTCGAACGAGGGGCCGGTCTTCGGCGAAAGGGATCTCACTCTCGGATGTTGAAAGGTGTCGGGGCCTATGGGTTCGATATCTATCAGCCTCGCTGCACGGCGAATCAAAACGAGGACATTTCGACGCTCACCTTGATGCCAAACCAGTCCTTGCGGGCAAAGGGGTCCTGGGCCTTCTTCTTGAGGCCCTTCTTGCCCTTCGACAGTCTCTTGTTCCTGCGTCCGAAAGTCAGCCACAGCAAATCGAAATAGGGCGGCTCCCAGTCTCGGCCAGGTCGTGACGCAGTGCTTAGCCGATCGAGAGAAAAATTGGTTCGGGGGGGCAACATACTTGCCAACAGCCATATTGACGAGCACTTGTCCGGGATAGACAGAAAGTGCTGCTTGGTTGGTGATGGAGGCCGTGCAATCGAGGTCGCGAAATTTGCGTTTCTCCTTTGGGTGTGAAATTGTGAATTCGTTGTGTGGGCTGCCAGCCCGCGCCCGGAAAAACCAGTCGTGTGGGGCAAAAGAGGGGCAGTTTTCATTGGCTAGACGGGCTTAGGGCTCGCCTGTGGGGTGTGGTGCCGCTGCTAGCCAAATGGAGCTGGGGGCGCACTTGTAATCGATAAGGGATTCGTTAAGCAGGGTTCGCCTGCTTGAGCTCCCATCTGGATAATCTTCCAAACAAGCATCGCAAATTGGCAACCTCCCTCTACTCGTGCTGCGCATCACATGGGCGTTTGGTCACGATGATGGACAGAAGATTGCATTATACGTTTTGTATTGCTTGGAGGCTTTGATCCTCGTGGTATCATTACAGACATTATTTCGTTACATTTTTGTTCATTGAAACGACGCAGAATTCCGGGGCCGTCCCACTTGCTGCGTCGTTATTAGCGTTGCACCTGTCGCTCGTCGTCGCTAGAGCCATACCAATAGGATGCGGCGTTCAACTCCATCCAGAAACTCCACTGGAAAAGACAAAACGGCCGTGCCGTCCACAGTCGTTAGAGAAAAAAACACCTTGCAATGCCTCCCTTGTCCCAAGTCCGATGCCGACAAACGTGTCATGCCGCCATTATGTACACGAGCGTGTTTGTTTGGAGCGGTCAAGCCCAAAGTGGGTATGGCCAGCGTCCTTCCTCCGCTCTCTGTTGGCTGGGCAGATACCGCCGGCCTGGGTGCCAGATGTTGTCCGTCTCTGGCGCTCTCAGCTCCCCTTTTCAACCCTCTTTTCACAGTAGTGCAGGATCCACAACAACACACGGAGTTTGCTGCATGTTGCATCATTGAAAGCGAACACGCGCTTTTCCTGTTCGGCTGCGTCCTTGGGCGGGCGGGCTATGCCACGTTTCGGCGGGAGTATCAAGCTTCCCCATCCCGGGCGTGATGCAGCATTCGAAATGCTGTGATACTCCGGTTCCGGGGGGAGAGGTGTGTTGTATGCTCGATGAGCTGCTCAATCTCGATGACCGGCCGCTACACTGGACGTATCATGGCATCGTGCAGCTGACCTAGGCTTTGAGACGCGTCTCAGTCAAGGCGACTTCAAGTCGTTGTCCTTGTCGTCATCTTGCTGGCCCGCTTCGTACATGTCGAAGCTGGGGAAGCTGAAATAACGTCCCGAATCTGGGTTTGGTGTTAGTACCGAGCACAAGTACGGACACGGTTTAAGGGACTCAAGAATCCGCAGGGCAACAACATACAAGGATGAGTGTGCAAGTCGTCGAAACCGTCTGGCGAGCTGACTGGAGATGATGACAGTTCTCCTTGCCGGTCCATGCTCTCGAACATGGCTGCCCGGGCGGCTAGCGGCGACGTAGACCGGATGACAGAGTCCGGAGGAGAACCCGAGATGAAGGCTACCCGGCTCAACAGCTCGGATGCCCGGTGACTCGATTGCGAGTTCGCGAGAGCGTTGCGGCTTGCATTGGACGCTGTAATGGACGGCTCGGTGGCCGAGGCTCGAAGCAGCCTTGGCCGTCTCTTGCTGTCGCTCCGGTTCGACGAATCCCTCCGCTGCATGCGCCTCGAGTCGGGGGAGAGCGAGGCCATCATATTTGTGATAGGCTGCAGCACTACTGGTCGCAGTGACTTGACTGGGCGATCTGGTGTATATCAGTCGTGGTGCATATACTGATGGCTGGATCCTTGAGTTGCTGATATGTTGAAGAGGTGGTAGAGAAGTGAGGTGGGAAAAGGGGGGGGCTAATATCAGATGATGAGGAATTTAAGAAAGCCGCCCACTTGGGCTGAAATGCGATGCCGCTCAATCCCGGAGAGGTCTTTTCCCAGATTCAATGACGGCAACTTTGGGCTACATTGCCACTTGTCACTCAATGGTTTGAGTTGGCCGGGAAAGGATGGGGGAGGCTAAGCCCGCCCGCCCGCTACCCGTTCGACCCAGGGCGTCAGAAAGGGTAGACAGCCAGGGTAGTTGCTAGGTGGTCAGGTCCGCCAGTGTGACCGTGCCTGCCTGCCTGTCTTGCTGGTTGCTAGTTGCTGGATGCTTGCCTACCACAGTGGGTGGTCCACAGGCCTGCCGCCCGACGACCTGGCCCCCCATCTGCACCCACGTCTCGCTCTTCCTCTCTCGGACGCCCGGGTTTCGGCCAACGGGCAAGGCACAGCCAGGTACACTACTTGTGGGATAACTGTGCCGCTGCCGTCCACCACCGTGCATGTATGTACAGGAGGTACGGATACAGTATGTACCATGCCACGGGCTATGCTCGCTTTTGGGGCCGGGACTACCTCCCTTTGGTATAAAGGTGGGCAGGGGGCAGGCAGGTTGCGGTGCGGCCATTTCCCCATTGAACGGTGGTGGCTGCCATTCCATCCTTACGGGGGGGCAAGGTAGGGTTTCCCCAAGCCCAGCCCAGGCTTCGGGACTGGGATCTTGGGCACCTATCCCGCCAGCGGAAGGGGCCACTAGGCCTGGGGCGGCGGCCATGGAAACAGCCAGCCCCAACCACAATAACCGCATGCTGACCGGTCCAACTGTCCCGCAGATAAAAGCGGAGAGTGCCAAGCGACATACCCCCCCTCGTCAGGCTTCCAGACTACCCACTCGGTGGGGTACGGCAACCAACGTCAGCCATTCAAGGATTGACACTTCAAGAAACTCGAAGCTGCAAGCTGCAGGCTGATGATGCATGGTCGATGTGGTGTCGTGTGCGCAGCGCGTGTGTGTCCCATTGTGTGTGTCCCATTGTATGTGTCCTATTGTGTGTGTCCTATTGTGTGTGTCCTATTGTGTGTGTTGCGTGTGTTTGTGTTGCGTGTGCGCGTGTCTGACAGAACAGAGAGAGTTGCCGAACAGCGGCGCCCAGCCAGCCCTTTTCCACGTTCGTGTTACTTGGGCTTGGCCAGCTTGCTACAAGCTAGCAAGAAGCTATCCTTTCGTGAGAAGGGCAGGAAGCCATGGCGCCTGGACGGATTAGATAACCACATCCAATCCAATCCACATTTACAGAATGAGGCGAGAAGGGGGGGCGAGGGGTAAGGTATTCGGCACTCTCCGCCATTGAGATACTTATTAATTTGCAAACAACCCAAGGACAAAGGTTCGGCCCATCCAAGGGCGGGGAAAACCCCCCTGTGGAGGGCCGTGTTCAAGTTTCCCTCCACGCCGTCCCGTACCTGACTGAAGAGAGCTTGCTCGCTTCATTGTTGCCGCACGACTAGTTCGCCGGTCCGCGGCCTTTGGGCTTCGTTCTCTTATTCCCCAAGCCATTGATGGTCACCCCACCACTATCCTGGGGGTGTGTATCCTAGGCATGCGAAGGATTCCGTGAATTTAGATTTTCAGGTCCCCATTTGTTGGTTTGCTTCTCCGTGTCTCTCTGGTAGCTCGTAAATGTGAGCAGTTGAGTCAGTTGACAATCTGGCGGTTGAATTGAATTGGCCGACGATAGCCTGATGCTCGTTGCTTTGTTGCCAGTCACCTTCAGTCACTTTTCTTCGTGAATGCAGCTCTCGACGAATTGTCGAATGGTTGTGGGGGAACAGTCATGTTTACTGCATGCGTTAGCTTGCAGACCCCATCCATGCTGTTGTTCCTTTTTGTGCTTGCCTTGCCTTTGCGTGCTTCTTACTTCCAGATTATTAGTGTTGTGGGGAGGCAAGGTAGGTACCTATCTATCAACAATACACACGGAGAGCTGGCGTGGCTAAGCAATTCGTACTGGGAAACCAGCGCGGGGAGACACGAGTGTTGGACAATGGAAAATGGCACTATCACGAGGGATTGTCCCTCTCACCCCAAAAGAGAAACGAAAAGCTTTCACGTCTGGGAACATGCCATAGATCTCTGCGCGATTTTCAAAATGCGTTGGGGGTTTGCCATCGCTCCATGATGCCCTGCGAAAACCAATTGCCCATTCATCTTCCTTTTATACATGGCTTTGAAGCCAGGATTGCGCCGCAGGCCAACGACCGTTTCCAGATAACCTGTCGCTAGACTAGTAAGCGTGCTAAAACAGCAAGGGGTTGCCGGAAATGCCAACGCGGCTCTTGCCCACCAAGATGATTTAGGTATTCTCTTCTCGGGCTACGCTAGCCAGCTTCGTGATGTCAGAGGAGAACGCCATCACACTACGACCGGTTTATAATTTTGACAAGGATCACACCCGCTCCAGGGAGCTATGAGGCGGGCAGATCCAGGTACTGTCATTACGTCGTGTGCGCTGCGCACTACATACCGTTGTGGTGACTGAAAAAGACAAAAGCTTGGAATCCGGTTCCGACATATCCATGGTTAGAAGCAGCACCCCCATGTTGATCGACAGGTTGCACAGATTTCCGAGAGCGCGTGACAAGAGAGAATTTTTAATGTTCGTTGGAAAAAAGTCACCCGTGGGGGACAAACCCTCTTCCTGACAGCTTGTCTAAAACGGGAAGAGAGAACCAGTCTGCTATAGGGGAAATATTCTAGTTGGGCGCGTGGCGTGAGCTCCTAAGGGCATTGGTTGACCCAGTCAAGAGGATGCGCAGCTCCAAGCTAGAGTGGCACTCAAGACGTTGCAGCCTCCAGAGCGAGTTCGCCCCGAAGACTCACTTATTTAGATAAACCTCAGTGGTCGATACTGTATGCTGCGTCAGCCCCGGCTCTGCGATTCGTTCTGAAAAGGGTGGGAAATGCTTACTCCTCCCATATCCGGCCCTGCACGGCTCTGAGCTCCTCGTCTGTCATACGATGACCTGTCGTGAAGTACCCTGAAACAAAAATCCCGTCAGCTTGAATTCCAACGGAGCATGGAGAGTGCAACGTATCATACCGGCGGTGATTTTCGCATCGATCTCAACCCTAGAGTCGGCTGGAATCCAGGACTCGGGGAGCTCAACTCGCTCGTGGATGGGGATACTATTGGCAGCGCAGTTAGACTCGCCGGTTCCGGCCACATGGCGTGCTTATGGCTCATGTACTCACCCTTGGCTCACGATAGCATCATGTTTCATACTGGAGAACCACACGAGTCAGTTTCAGCTCGGGTCTGCCGACCTAGCAAAGGCGAAAAACCACTTACTTGCTCATGCTCAGCATGCGGTCAATCTTGGTGATACCCAGCCAGTGCAAGATATCGGGCATCAGGGCTTGGAACCGCATATCCTTGACGCCCGCAATGTTTTCAGTCCGCTTGAAATAGTCCGATGCACGATCTTCCCCGCGTTTCCTTGCGTTGTACACGACTGCAGATCTCTGTTAGACAATGCCACGGCGCTCCGAAAAAAGGAGGGAAGGCCGCTGCAGTGGACGCGCGCGGAGTTCAACGTACGGTACTAGAGGCGAATGAGCAATTTGATTATGGTATTCCCGACAACGGACATGAGGGAGCATACCTTTGTTACTTCACCAAGGGCCCGGCCTTCCTTTCGGAAGTAGATCACGACGCCAGTGCCACCATTCTGTGCTTCCTTGACGGCCTCCTCGATGCCGAAGATGAGATAGGGCCTGCAGGTGCAGATGTCGGAACCGAAGACATCGCTGCCATTGCACTGTGGGAGGTCGCATCAGTGGGGGGCTCGTCAAGGGATTGGACGGGGACTTGCTTCGTCATGTATGCGCAACGCAAGTCTCTTGGATGGATCCGACATATTCGCGGGGTCTCCAAAGACGTAAACGGTCAGGCCGCCTGTAGGGAGTCAATAATAGGACCAAAACGAGGGGGGGTTGGGCGCAGAGTCATGGCCGTTTACCAATAGGCGGCAGAAACACCTTGATGTCGCCGCGTGTGATCAACTAGGGGGCCGCGGCAATCAGCTTCGTGTCAGACAGCGCTGCCTAGCTTCGGCGGTACGACTTACTTCGGGATACATGCCGCCCGTGTGCTCAAAGAGAGACCTCCTTAAGGTGCCCTCGTCAATGCCAAAGCGCTCGGCCACGCCTGGGAGATACCAAACGGGCTCGACAGCAAACTTGGTCACGGCGAGCTCACCCGACGCGTTGAGGCACACCTTGCCGTCCGGGACAAGCCGGCCGCTCCGGACGCTATCTTCCAGCTCGGACAATTTCATATGCGCCTTGGTGACGGCAATCGTTGGGCGGAGATCCACTGTTATCAAAACGTATTAGAGCTAGAGCTACATTTTGGGCCTGCCACGAAAAACACATGCCATTGTCTTTCTCGATGAGGTCTTTGAAGACTTGAGGAACAACGTGGCCCCAGGGATCCATGGACACGATTTTCTTCTTGTCGGCCCACTGGGGAAAGGGGCCGATGTTTACGGCGGGCTCCGTGTTGGTAAAGTCGGGCTTGTGGTCGGCCTTGAGCTCGTTGCTGGCCACGGCTAAGGCGTAGTAGATGGAATAGGACCCGCCGTGTGCTCCGATGGCATTCCGTTTGCGGATGGTCGACGGTACTCTCAGCACCGTCACGGGACCGCGCTTCAACGGGTCGGCGGCACCCCATTCCATGGGCAGCGGCTTGATGCCAATCTGCTTGGGGTAGGTGGTGAGGACGATGCGAGACGTGAAGGCCGACTTAGTGTCTAGAGATTTCGAGGCCGGCGGCGAGATGGTCCCCGCGTCGGCGGGCACCGAGACCAGCGACGCCTGGGACAAAGGAGAGGCGAGCGGTGTCGGCTCTTGGCCAGCACCGTCCACGTCGTCGACGGCGCCCGCCGCTGAACCGTTGGCACCTTTCTCCAATGCGCTGACGCGATGTGCAATATCGTCGAACCCAGCCAGCAGCTCCGTCTGGTTCTGGGCTATGGCCTTCAAGGCACTCAGCACCTCATCCATACCTGCCGTCATCTTGTCGAGATGGCGCCAACGTCCAACAGAGAGGCAAGGCCGAGACAGCGAGTGCACAGTGGCGCGACAAGATGGAGCAAGACACGAGGTAAACGGGCGTGTAGGAGGTGTTTGACTCTGATCACGCACGAGGTGACGGCGGCCTCAACAAAGACAGTGTGGCACTACCTGCAGTAGGTATGCAAGGAGTTGCGGCGAGCGCTACTTTGTTTTGTGAAGGGACTTGGGGACAAGAACGGGAACGGGAACGGTTACGTGAGCGTCGGCAAACGACACAGCTGGCTGTGTACGAAGTACGTACGCCGGCTGCAATGTTCGATTTTGTCTGTTCTTTCTATCTGTTCTGTCCACACTGAATGTCGATGACACGCAGGCGGCGAGAAAGAAAGAGAAAAAGAAGAAAAGAAGGAGAGAAAAAAGTGAGACAGAGGGGAGAGACGGTGAGGACATATACTCCCCTAGGTCGTCCCATTCGGGACTTACCGAAAATAAATCCCGTGATAAGGAATCTAGCTCTCCAGCAACCGAGTACGGGCACCAACGTCGGATGTGGAAGTTCCAACCAGCGCCAACTTGGTACTAGCATGTCCGAGGGGCGCGTTTATCACCGGCGGTCGGAATGCCCTAGATGATCGAAAGCAGGGTTACGAGACCCGGGAGTGGCCACAACCCCCCTGCAGCACCCCCCCCCTCCTTCACCGTGTCTCCACGCTGAGAGCTGATAGTGGGGCCTCAATCGGATCGACTTCCGCTCCTGCGGATCTGGAGCGAAAGCGGGCATCCGTCGTTGCAACGTTGGCAAAGAAGTCCTGTGAACAACGTACAACACGTGCTACGTTCATTTTCGGGATATGATATGGAAAACTAGAGATAACAAATGCATGCGGTAGCCAAGGCTGAAAATCGGATGATGAGTGCCAAGGTTTTAGTTTCGGAGTTGGATTGAGTTTGTGGCTTTGGAGAGCTTACTATGTAGGTGAGGAATGATGACTTGAAACTGAACATATCTGGGAAGTCGCCATCCACATCCCTGCAGAAGAGTGTGTCGCTCGAGGTAATTAATAGAAACTTCAAACAAACAATTGCACCTTCCGTAATCCATGTGTTGCCGTCGAGGCTTCTGTTTTCTGAGTGGCCGGCCGCGCTTCGCCTGGCCGTGGCATCCGCCAATCACAGTTCAGCGCACGGACCCAATTTTTGTCCCTCATTCCCGGTGCCCCGCGTACCAGCTGCTGGATCGCGAAGTCAACTCTTGACGATAAATACTTTCATGTCCTCGGTCCCTCGCCACAATTCTGCCTTTCCTCCTCCTCCTTTCGTTTCCTCTGGCTCGGGCTTTGCGTATTCTAACCAATGGCAAAAATGCCGCACTCAAGCTCAGAGGTGCAACGTGACGCAACGCAACACGACCTGCCGCACCCCTCGACGCCGGCATTTGAGGGATCAACTCGCAATTCTTTCGAATTGATCCGCGACTCCCCAATCCGTTGCGTTAGGAAGTACGCCTGAATGAGTTCGAGATCGCGAATTGAGGGTATGGTGTCTCAGTGAGCAGCAAGAACCTCAATTCCATGACGCTCGCTTTCGAGGGACAAGTCAGGCGAACCGCCGCCCAACTGGAACAGGGTGGCCAAGGGCCACCCTTTGCGCCAGTGGTTGCGAGGCCAGGTGCAGCGATTGAGGCCAATCGCTCCAGCGGTTCCCAGAGCGAGCGGGAGGCTGGCCATTCCTGGGCACACTCCCGATCGAAGGAATGCGGTTGTGGAGCCGGAATGCCAGTGGCTGCAGTGCGGGAATGCACTGGTTGTGGCCACGGAGCCGGTTGCGGCGTTTGACACGGCAAACGGCGATCGGAGTCGGGCCGGCACGGCCGACGCATCCGGCAGTGGTGACGGCTTCGACGGATCCGGCCTCGAAAGGAGGCTGGGAAACCACCGGAACTGGCAGGCGAGATTGAGCATAAATAGACGAGTGGCCTTCCTCTAATCAGAGGAAGGCCACGCTCCAATTGAACTTTTCACACACCCACTTTTGCACCTCCTGACTATCTTGTCCCCGCGATCCTTCTTCGATTACCCCTATCTTTCTCTGACGCCACCGCGTTACATGAGTAGTTGGCCGGAGGCCAACTGTGCAGCACTTCCTTTCCCTGTTGCCTCTGTAAGCCAAATGCTTACAGGGCTCCCAAGGCCTATATTATAAAGCCTAGGAGCGTACTGTAAGAGAGGGCAGGTACGCCTGACCAAGGTGGTCACAATGAGGACAACAGAAGGCGAGCAAAGACTGGTATTGGCGTAAGACTTCAACCTGGCCCTCGCAAAGGAGAAGGTCGAGGGCCATTGTTTATATACATGCTCAGGGCTCGGTCCCGAATGTGCATGTGACACAAGGCGCCCGGTATGGGCTTAGTGGCACATGCCAGCCAGCAGTGATCTGGCCCGTTGGTGCCAGACGGTCAATGCGTGTAAGGGAGTGCGCGTTGACAGGTGGTTCGCGAGGCGAGTGTCTTTTTCTTTACATGTACTAGCAACAGCAGGAAATTTAGATAAACAGCTTTAATAAACGTATGCTATGATCAAGTGTATAAACTGAACACTTAGCAGTCTACTCTATTATGTATTACAAACTACTCGACTGTTAGGGTCGTTTGTCTGTAAGGGAGCACGGGCTCTACAGAATGCTGGGGTTGGTAATTATGAAGATAGAACAAAGGGCAAGCTCCTATCGCACGGGTAATACAGTCAAATCGGAATGCCACTCAAAATGTATGAGTGCAGCGAATGTGTATTGCTTGCTTGAAGAACCAAGCAAGAACTATCTAAGACCGTGGACACGGTCATCGTATTTATTTAATTATGGCGGGCCAGTAAGAGCGCAGCTCTTACTTGCCCGGCAGGAAGGAGCTGCCTGGCGCCGGGCACTGCTAGCGTGCCGGGCCATTGGCCTGGTGCCAAGACCCTTCTTGGCACCGGGCCACCTCTGATTGACCGTCCTTCCGTTTGCCTGGTGCCAAGAGCCCTCTTGGCACCGGGCACCGTCTGATTGGCTCTCGACGAGCGGGGCCCCCAGTCTTGCCTGAGGCGCCTGCCTTCTGCAGCTGGTCCAGTACGAACCAGGTTCGTCACATTATGGTCTACTGCTCCGCTACAAATAAGACAGCCCTTACTTGTTGAAACTGAATAACTGTAGTTAGTCGAAAATCCCACAATCAAGAATTGGCCCCTTTAATAGCTTTGTCCTTTGCAATCCATCTTGCGGTGACGCTCATATCCGTATATATAATAGTCACAAAGCGTCACTATCTGGGACGACTTGGAAGGCGGCAAAGTTGAATGGGTTTTGGCGTCACCTGATTTAACATGTGACCTGGACGGTCGTGAGTTTGGAGATTACTGAGCCTGTTGGTCCACATGGAGCATAGGGCCTGATGTTTGTTGGTCCCCTAAGACCAGTAGTATGAGCCGCTTGGTCCACGTAGAGTAAGTTGAAGAAGTGGAAATAGTTGAGGAGGGGAAGTTGGAGAGAAATAGCTTATAAGCAGGCTGGTTGCCTGAGGGCCTGATTTTGGTGGTCTTCCGAGGCTGGTAATCCATGTGTTGCCATCGAGGCTGCAAGGGAGTGAAGCGAAGTGTAAGTGAAGGCAGGTACGCCTGATCAAGGTGGTCACGATGAAGGTACTGAAGAGAGCGAGCAATGACTGGTATTGGTAAAAGACTTCGACCTGGCCCTCGCAAAGGAAGGGGCGAGGGCCACTGATTATATACATGACAGAATGCAGGGCGGGCCATTGATAAAGGAGTGAGGTCTTGGCCCGCGTGCGAGTTGGGGGTTCTTTCCTTACACGAAGACGCCCACCAGCTGGGGTTGTACGCTAAGAAAACTGGATGTACAATTTTGCGGGGTTGTGATGCAAGTCAGGAATTACATCATTGTGCTCAGCGTTCAAGGTGCTTGCCCTGATCTTCCCGTTGACACTCTACTCCAAACCTAAGCGTTCTGCTCCCACGACCCAGTCAAATTTAAACCTCTTGAGCACCACGCTCTGGGATTCTCGCTCCAAGACTATGGTGCGTAATCGTGAATCGAGGTGCCCCTTTGGAGTTCCTAAGCCTGTGAAGTGACTTTGGCAGGTACTCGGTGGCCCGAGCTCGGGGTACCTCTGGAGGGTGGTTGAGGGTGCCGAAAAGAGCGGGTCAAGGCTAGCCAGAATTGGCACCCAGGACGGCAAAACATGAGTTTTTCCTGTTATAACAGGAAAACGGTAAAAACACACTAATCTTCGTCTTCCAACCCCGTTAACTTTCGTTTTCTTCCCTATACATTTCTGAACAAAGCACGTCTGGTCCTCAAAAAGACAGCCATCAGGATCACCTCCGCGGGGCACTAGCGAGCTCCCGCGTGCACGAGCCAAGTGCCGACAGGGGTATATACTCGGTACGGAAGCGTATTCTCCACCAAAGTTAAGGCTTTCACCGTGGTGAAGCAAGGCTCGCGGGGCCAAGTCTAATCGCAACATCATTCTAACGATTTGATACTGCAATCGGAGAAAGGCTGCAAACGCTACAGCAATCTGCTGCACATAGACCACCGACACTACACCACCGAGTCACCAAGTCGCGCGACCTGATAAGATGGGTAAACGCAAAAAGAGTTCGCGTAAGCCTCAGGGCCCTAGGAAGGTGCGTTTGCGTGTCCGCGCACAGCCGCTAAGCGCCTGCTTGCGCCCTGGGTCTCCCCGTCCATACGCTATGCATGACATTGCAAGAAAGAAGCACAGTCAAGGAGGGATTTGCGCTGACCGCAGCTGTTGCAAGAAACTAGAACGAGCCGCTCGCGACCGTGTTCACCTGCCTCTTCTGCAACCACGAAAAGTCCGTGTCTGTCAAGCTCGATAAGAAAGCTGGCGTGGGCACCCTCGACTGCAAGACTTGTAGCCAGAAGTTCCAATGCGGCATCAACTGTGAGCGTTCTCGCCGCCGACGAACCCCTTCTTTGCGCGAAAGGCTTACACGTACTGCAATAGATCTTTCGGCGGCGGTAGACGTATATAGTGAATGGGTCGACGCCGCAGGTGAGCACTTTATACCGACTGCCGAGAGTGTTTGGTATATCTGGCGCATATACTTACTAATCATTCCCAGATGCTGTTGCCCATGGACCGGACGCGGAGTCACCATTAGGTCTCAGTGGTAGTGGCCTGGGAGGCGATGGCGGCGACGGCGGCGGCGGCCGGTTAAGTAGCGGACGGCCAGGTATGTCGAGCCGGAAAATAGACGATAACGACGAGGGAGGCTACGAGGGCGATGGCATTGTGGCCGATGACGATGATTACGAATGAGCAACGGATACAAAGGACTTTTCACGAGGTTGGCGCCGGCGGGGAATTGTACTTGTACTAGTCATTGTGCGCGAAGCTAAGGCATCCCACGGGGGGAGCAAAAAGGCAAGGTGTTTCATTTCTTTTTGGACATTGGGCTCACTCGCTAAGCTACGCTCGAGGCTTGCGACTGCATGGGAAGCTATTTGCTTATCATATTCACCGTGTGTAATATCTATCGCCAAAGTCGCCGAGCCCGGGGCAGATGTAGCTAGACGGTTGTCAGTGTTGAGTCCTCTCATCCGATTTCGGCAAAACTCACTTCTTCTCGTCAAGCCCTTGGTCGACAAATGCTGTGACTACCCGGAGCTTAGGAAACTTGGTAGCGAAGTTCTTGATACCTTCAGGGCTTGCGATAAGGTTGATGAACAGGATGCGGTCCTCCGGAACGCCTCGCGACTTCAGAACTTCAACAGCCATAATGGCGGAGCCACCTGTATGACCGGTCAGTAAAAAACCCCCAAACCCCCATACCCAAACGTCTGGACCACTCACCTGTCGCAAACATGGGGTCCAGAAGGAGAACCCATCTCTCCGCAATATCCTCGGGAAGCTTATCATAGAAGAGCTTGGGTTGTGCCGTTTCCTCGTCGCGCTGGATTAGAATTTTTCCGATCCTGACTGAGCGGCAGCAGTCCCTAAGGCCCTGCTCCATCGCCTCGCCGGCCCGCATGATTGAGACACCGCAGATCTTGCCCTGGAATGACAAGCCATCGTACACACGCCCGACCGGGGTGGTCACAGTGTTCTCAACAGTGGGCAGGTGGTTGAGACCCTCCTCCACCAAAAGACGGATGATGCGGTTGGAGTAGAAGATGAAGTCTCCGCGATCCGTGTTCTTATCCCGGATCATGCTGTATTGAAGAATGAATGCATAAGCTTTAAGCTGGCCGATACACAACCCCTCCTTACCAAAGAAGGGTATCGTTGACTGGGCATGAAATCAACTCACGTGAGTAACGCAATTAGCTGGGGCGTCTGTGGCAGAACCGTAACTGTGTCGAATTCCACCGGGGTTGAGACAGTTGCCGTGGGCTTTTGGCTCTCTGAGCGGTAGTCGGGGCCGACGGGTGAGACCGTCGGCGGCTTATCCAGCGATGAAGACATCGTGATTGACAGCATTGCGAAGCGCGTATGTTTAGCTCCCGGTGTGTAAACTGCCGGTCAAGGGCAGCTTTTGCTTTTAGGAAAATGGACAATCTGAAGAGGGGGTTTGTGAGCAGCTGGCCTAAAACTGAAACAATAGCTAGGGGGGATTAGGAAATAGTAGTGAGGTTATGGATGGAATAGAGTTGTGACCTGAAGGTACAATTCCCCTCCCTCCTTGGCACGGAGGTTCAACTCGAGCACCCAACGGCTAGCGCTTGGCCGCTCTACGCCAAATCTAGTTCGCATCGGATGAAAGGCCCGGGTGCTTGCCCCACCTCACCTGCCAACCAAACACATTGCAGAAGTTACTTTCTTACCTATTACTTTCTCTTTAAATAACTAAGAAGAGCGTGAAGAAGTGGAGTTTGTGCGGGGAATTAGCAGCTAGAAAGCTTCGAGAAAAAAGCCTCCGTGAGACTAATGGTTGAGAATTTAAACGTGAACCGCGAGGACATGCGGAGACTCTCTCCATTTGATATCAAAATGCTAGGTTGGTTTAGCTGGGCGAATCTGTATTCTGCAGCCGCAACCGGTGCGCACGGGCCACTGCGACCAGCCACACATGCAACTCCTAGATGTGGGGGTGTTGTGTCGGACCCCGGGTGTTGTTTCCAAAACAATGAACCCAGGATTGCATCACGTCCCGCTCACGAGTCGAAGCAACAGTGACAACGGCCGTCTTTTCCTCTTCGTTTCTCCCATTCGGTAGCTTATCATCTTTTCTTTTCCTTCTCAGACTTACAAGCAAGCTGCCCAATTGCCTCACCATCGCAGATTCCCTCGTTGCTGGCAACACGCACTTCCCATCTTCGGATATTATTGCGCATCTCTTCGAGGCCGCCGGCAAGCGTGACCCTCGGCACTTGTCTGGTCGCAAACACGCAGCTTCCTTCGCTTCGGCATATGCAGCCCAGCCTCGAGTCCGAACCCCCCCTTGATGGCCGTTTACTTTGGAGGTCGAACTACGGCATACCCGCCGAATAGCGATTCAATTCCCACCAAAGCCAGCAGCTCCCTACTATCCGAGACAATGGCGAGCACCAGCGACCTCGGCTTCCCCGCCAAGAAACGTGTCACGACTTATGGGAAAGGCGCAAGGAGAAAGGCGCAACCAGCAAGCGGCGACACCCCCAGCAATGGAGGCTCGACGACAGAATCGTCATCAGCGCCAGCCATCGCCAGGCGGCCAGGGGGCGGCCGGCCTATGAAGCCCAGAGTCGTGTCAGAAGCGCAAAGCCGGCCACTCCTAGACATTTACGGCTTTGACGGGTCTGACGAGGAAGAGATGAGCGCAAAGAGGCGCAAATTGGCGCAAACATTCTCGGAAAAGAAGGAGAAATCTACTGCGCTGTATTCAACGCCGGACTCGTCGCCTTCGGGCGCGCCGTCGCTGGTGCGCAGAACTAACGGTGATATACCGCGATCGGCTCCAGAAGAAAAGGCCCCACCGGCGGTGAAGGACACGCTAGAGAAGGATACGAAAATGAGGGACGTGGCTTCGCGACAGATGCCATTCTCAGCAAAGACCTCGAGGGCTTTGGATAATCTCAGCATTGGCTCCAAACGCGTGGAAAAGGCCAATGACCAGATCCCAATCCGCCTCTCCCATATCTCTGCGCCTGCGCCTGCGCGGGCGCCTGTATCTACGTCCTCGTCTCAACCAATTCCCAGGAAAAGGCCCTCACCACAGGCCGCTCCCAGAACAAAGACATCCACAGTTGGGGCTCCTCGGAAAAAGCGGCTGATCGATGCACTGGCTGCGCAGGCGGCTGACAGTTCCATGGACGAAGAGGAGAAACCACTACCTGGGGAATCCAATGTTTTGAGATATAGGGAGTCCCCTCCCTTTCGGAGCCCGAGCCCTCCGTCGCTCTCTAGTCTGTCTAAGCCAAATAATCCGGTGCGGCCAGTAATGGCAACCAAGAAGGCCGGACCAAAATTCACTTACAGCAGCCAGCAACGAACCATGTTGGCTGACGAGGATCAGTTGCTTGGCGGCGGCGGCGGACTAGGTGGTCTGGGTGGGATTGATGAAGAGCCATCCACTGCCGGGCTGTTTAGTCTGGGGCGCCTAACCAAGAGCTCCACGATCAACACATTCTCTTTCCTCGACGAGGATGATGAAACGGTCAACACCGGGGCAGTCAGAAGCATTCACGAACTGAGGCAGGCCGGCGCGAACAGTCGGTTTGCCGATGAGATGGATGATATTATGGACAGAGTTGGCGCACCTTCAGCTAAGCCTTCGTCTTTGAGAAGAGGAGCTTTGCTGGAGCTGGCGCAGAAGGTTAAGGACAAGGATTTCCGTCTCCAATTCCGCAACCATAGCGGCGATGGGGGACTTTTCAAGTCCCTGGGAGAGGAGGCCGATCTAGTCTCTGGATACTGCATCTCGGCCATTCTCGTCACCCTTTTTGCCACATCCGTGTCGGCGCATCTTGTTCAGCAGGTGAGAGCTCAAGGCTTGGCTACGCTCCTTTGCCGACTTCTTGCAGAGACCACGGACATCACTGTGCTCGCCAAGGACAGAAAACAAAATGTCTCCAGAAATGGCCAAGCTACCTTAGGAACGATAAAATTATCTGTGCTGAAATTGCCGATATGGGAGCCCCTAGCGCCCACAGATCTGTCGCCGCGGACATTAGCTTTGAAGTGTTTAGACTTGATTATGCGGCAGCCGCACCACGCGGCGGGCGAAGCCGAGGTCTTCACATCATCGGTCACCAACAAGCTATTTTCTATTCTATCCGCGGGCGCATCACACGAGGCGTGCTGGGATTTCCCCAATAAGCCAGAGTCTAGCGATTTCTATCTCGCGCTCTACGTGCTTGAAGGCCATTCGATCAACGTCATGCAGTCGCGTCTCGGTTCAAGGTGGACGCGAGATTTTGCGCCCATCATTGCCGATGTGCTGGAGACAGCTCTGCGCCGCCCGGCGGAAAAGTTTGGCGATGTTGAGAATCTCGCGTTGAGGCTGACTCTAAATACGACAAACAACAACTCGGAGGCGTCGGGCTTATTTGTTAACAAGGGTTTGTTCCGTGAACTCGCTGCCTCGGCTTGCAGTGCATTTGAGATGGTTCTCAACTCGATGAAAGTCGATGCGTTCTTGTCTAAGGTCCATGAGTCGCTGATTATGATGTTGGGAGTTATGATCAATTTTTGCGTATATTATCCGCCTGCGTCGCAGAGCCTTGAAGAGAGTGGGGATGCCACGAGCTCGGCTCTAAATCGCCTAATCCGAGTGTTCGCGGACAACCACTCAAAAACATCGGATGTGAGTATCCCTTTGCGAGCAAGTCTCGGGTCCCGGTTACTAACTAGATGCAGGCCGACTCAATGGAGAAAACACAGCTCAACGTCGCCTTGGGCTATCTCTCGATCCTGCTGGGCTACCTATGCCTCGGCGAGTCGATCAGGGAAAGATTTGCTTTAGTTCATCCCAAGAAAAGCTTCCAGCCATTACTTGATTCGATCAACGAGTTTATTGCCTTTCATCACAAAGTTGCCGAGCAGACCAATGAAGAGGGGGCTAAGCAAGACTCTGACTTCACAGGATTGGCCCGACTACAGGGGCTGGTTGATCAACTTGAGGCTCGTCGCTTTTAGGGAAGCATGTTAAGAGCTGTTTTTATAGGGGGACAAAATTCCCAGTTGATTAGGGAGGTCCATTGGGCCATTGGTTGAGCTTTGACATGCGGGCGGTTGTTGAATGTATGCACTAGGATAGAGGTGCCACAACACTTGAGATTCACTAGAACACACGACACGGACGGGGGAGGAGATTGGGAGATGAGGATGACAGGACGATGTTAGGACGATGACAGGACGATGACAGGACGATGACAGGGCGATGATACAGACACGCACACGAACACACAAAACACGGCACACACATTTAGATAGCCTACACCTACGCAACCGCATCCTTTTGAGGGTGATTGCAGCGCTACATTCAATGGAGTCATGGTTCTTCAACTCGGTGTGGACTGTGTAATGTGTGTAGTACCCGAATTGGGATGCTCGACCCATTATTTGCTTCCAGCTGACCTGCCTTGTGTATCCCGACTCCCGCTGTTTGAGTTTGTGCTTGGGCGTCTACTATGTAGTGGGTAATTACCGTGGCGTGTCGGTGTCGTTACACTTGGGCGCGCATGCGACACAAGTCAGTGGTGGAACGCGAAGTGACATGCGCGTGGTCGCGCTGATTAGATGCATGATGAAGGGGGCTGAAAGTGAAAGGCCCCTTTCGGGCCAGTGTCTAGGTGGGAACCCTGCCCGAGGTTTCAGCACGAGTTGAGCCTCAACGGGCTTTCTGGACCGCCCTGCCGGCCCCCCGGCCCCCACCATTCCCTCACCACAGCCAGGCCAGCGTCCAATGCCAAGGCCCGGGCACTTGACCCCACCCCGCACCCCTTTCTTGGCCCGCTTCCCGTCGCCACTTGAATGCGTGCCCGCCCAAGTTAGTTCAGTGTATTGAAGCTTCATCGCGGTGTCGGAGAAACTACAGGTCTTCTCTAATACACCTCGCAAGCCGACCTACTTCTTTCTCTCGCTCGCCGTCCTCTCTCGTGCGTGCGCTACTGCCCGCCAATTATTTGTTTAGCACACCGCGAGCCCACGCCGATCGCCCCTCCTGCCGGCAAAGAAAGATACGGCAGCTCTTTTGGACGCGCCTAGTACCGAAAACCTAGAGACTTCCTTCGGTCCTACCTGCATTGCACCTCGCATATCATAGCAGCAGCGCATCACATCGCATACGTAGTGTCTTGTCGTCCAAGATCTCCCATCCACACACACACACAGCATACGCACATACATAACGCACGAACCTCGACAAACACACCTACGTCCCCACGCCACATACGCAAACGCCTCTACTGTTGAAAAAAGGGAATAAAAGGGGGAAACTAGGGAAAATACTTACACACGTCCACACAAACTTTAAATGCCATCACCACCCACCAAGCAGAGGAAGATTGCCATTGTTGGCAGCCGCTCCGTCGGTTAGTAAACCCCCCTTTCCATTTTGTTCTCTTGTTCGTCCCTATTCCGTCTGCTTGCTGTGGTCCAGACTGAATCGCTGGCCCCCTGTCTAGCTCTCCCTTATTCTTCCCCCCCTGACTTGATATATGTAACCACTTACACACACACACACACATATATATATATATATATATATATGTATATGCATATGTACCCCTACAATGGCGTGGCCTCGGTGCATATGTAGAGTAACATGGATCATTAGCTGCCACTGACACCAGTTCTTTACAACCACAGGCAAATCCTCTCTTGCCGTCCGATATGTCGACGGCCACTTCGTCGAGAGCTACTATCCCACCATCGAGAACACCTTTAGCAAGGAGATCCCGTACAAGGGGCAGGACTTCTCGACCGAGATTGTCGACACGGCGGGACAAGTACGTTACTAGTCCCCTCCTTTTCTTGCTCTATCAGTGTTTTTCCATGACAGGGGGTGAAAAGACAAGAAAGCACATTGCTCGTCTTTCTGGCGTTCTTATACACGTCCCGCAGCCAGGCCTAAAACTAATACCATTTCTATTTCTTTGCTCCCAGGATGAGTATAGCATACTAAACTCGAAGCACTTCATCGGCATACACGGGTACATGCTCGTGTACTCGGTGTCGTCGTACCAGTCCTTTGAGATGATCCAAGTAATCCGGGATAAGATCTTAAACCACCTTGTCAGTTTTAGTTTCTTTTCAAACCCTGCCCCATTTCAACCCCCCTAACCTCGTCGTCAAAATTCTCAGGGAACCGACTCCATACCCATCTGCGTTGTCGGCAACAAGAGCGATCTCCGGCCCGAGCAGCGGCAGGTGACGGCCGAGGACGGCCAACAGCTGTCCGAGGACCTCAAGTGCGCGTGGACCGAGGCCAGCGCGCGCTACAATGAGAACGTCGCCAAGGCCTTTGAGCTGCTCATTGGCGAGATCGAGAAGTCGCAGAACCCATCCGAGTCGTCCGAGACGGGCAAGTGCCACATGATGTGAAAACACTGATGGCTCACCTTGCTCTTTTGGGAGGACCCCTGGGGGGGGAAACGAAAGAGAGACACCATAATTTTGTCCGCGGCCGGATGTAACAGATATACGATGTATTCCCATCCATAATATCGTCCGGTAATTCCCCTTAACTCTCAGCGGGCCTTCTTCTATCAATTTTCAACCCTATTACCAATGGTTGATCAACCTCACCTTGGCCTGGCCAGAGCGAGAAGGAAGGAAGTAGTGTTTTCACTCCCCCCCTTCATAATGGCTTTTTGTTTTTTATTAATCTTGTTCCCGGGAGAAATGGAAAGATATCAGTGAGGAGGTTGAAGGATGAAGAGGGAAGCATGGGCTCAGCCGAGCCCCTCATGGTCAGGCCGTGTTCGTGTCCTTCCGGTCAGAAGCGATTTAGGTCATGATGGGTTTTTTGTCTCGTTTCTATTTTCTTCCCGTTATTCTCCTTTTCCACCCTTACTTACTCTTACTATCTAACCGCACCCCACCCCTCGCTTTTTCTCAACTTCAAACTCACTAGTCTCCCGCATTTGTGGCTTTTTTTCATCTTTTCCTAGCGAACTGGGTCGTCACTTTTCACTTTAATCAAACAGCTCGGATCGAGTTCTATGTATTCACTCACCTCTCTGGACTCTCTGTCATGATTGTTTGTTTGTTCGGAGTGGAATGCGGCGTTCAGTGCCAGTTGGACAAACAGACGGGGCGGATTAGATTGGCGGAGAAAAGAGGCTCGAACTCGGAAGTGGCGAGCGGGGATGAATGAGTTAAATCCAGAGCTCGTATTTTTCTCACTGCATGTTCGGTATTCTTTCCTGGGGTTTCCCACCTTTTTCCAGTGGATTCATGATGTACTATGAATTTTTTCTGAAAGAAAGACGTCGCCTCCGCGAAATGTCGTCTCTCCCGTTTGTTGAACGCCACAGCAGTTATCTAGGACATCTAGAGAAGAAGTACAGATGGTAATGAATAGACCTTGGCAGCAATAGAGTGCACATTTTCCATGTCACGGCGACCAATTGCCCGTCATTTGTCTATACTTTCAAGTAGTGCTATCACTCAAGACTCCAAATATTCATGGTCTAGCAACCATCGCTCCGGCATGCCATCTCTTTCTGAGTCTGAACAACAATCCGTATTAACGAACGGGGATATCCTTGGTCACCTCCTTTTTAGGGGCCTGGGGAAAGGGGACGAATTCGGGGGCCCCAGGAAGGTACTGTATTTGTTTAGTTCGAGAGTCGCAAAGCTTGGGGGTGATATGGTAGATGGGTCTTCTAGACTTACCTTCCGCAGCGGCTCCGGAACATTGAGGCCCTTTTGAAGAATTAATACAAAGTCGGCTCAGAAAGAGTTCAGAGAATCTTACCTCTTCCGTCTGGAAATTCTCCAGGATGGCACAGAGTGTTCTTGTCGTGGCGGTGAGGGTGGAGTTGAGGGCATGGACATATGTCTTCTTTACATCTGTCTGCTTTCTGACGCCGTATCTAATATCGAGATCTCGGCTCTGGTAATCAGTGCAGTTGCTATCGATAGGTCAGCACCGTGCCACTCATCGTAGATGATACGCAGCATCAACTCATTAGGAGAAACTTACGAGCAGCTCACGAGTTCCTAAGCGCAGCAAATTTGTTAGCGCAGCTCATCAAAAAGACCGTCTTGCAATATACCTTGAATTCTCCTTGGTGCTATAGTCACAAGTTAGCCTCAAATACTCAAGAGTGTTGGCGGGGACAACATACTGGGAACCAAGCCTCGAGATCAAGCTTCTTAGCAGCTACATGCTGTTAGCATTCGAGGTCTACTTATCGCCTGCAGCTGTTTACATGCCTGCGTTATCTATTCAGAGTCAGTTTTATGTCCAGAAGAAGCTTGCTAAGACAAAAGGGTGGGAGTACTTACTGAGAGCTCCCGAGACGATGGCAACCACGCGGAAGGGGATATTGAGGGACTTGTAAAAGTCTTCCGAGGTTGAGATCATCTTCTCAAACATCTCCCAGGACCTAAACACTTCAGTCAGTCTATGCTTGGCTAATAGCCAGCTCCTGTAGCTCACTTCTCGGGTTCGGTGAGGCAGAATTGCTCGACCTATGTAATCCGTCAGCATTGGCGATATTGCAGATATATGTTAGGCGAGACTAACCTTGGTAAATTCGTGGACACGAAAAATGCCCCATACATCTCTCCCGTGCTGTGCAAAAGTCAGTCCGGGGAGCCAACAAGTGGTTGTGTCGTACAAGAACATACCGCTCCAGCCTCCTTACGGAAGCATGTCGAGTATCCAGCATACCTAGGTCATATTTAGCGCGTACTCGTGGGAGGGATATCATACCACGTACTTAAGGGGCAAGTCGCGAGGCTGAAGCCACTCGTCGCTGTGGAAGGCGCTAATTGGTTGTTCGGAGGTCTTTTTTTTGTCAGCATCTCTCGGAAGGGCCCCGTATAACAAGGCGCATATGAAATAGGCTAGGTCGATCTCGCTTACCGCAATAAGATATTTGTCCGCCTGGTCACCAGTGACCTTGTACAGCTCCTCATCGAATCTTGGCAGGATATTAGAATGGCGGTTCTATAACGGCGTGCCGCCAACAACAGCCCGGAAACAAAACCCGGCTGCGTTGTGAGGGTTTGATTTTGAGATAGGGGAAATACTTACTGGGAGAGCTGGGCGGTCTTCGCCATTTGCTCTCTAAGCATGAGCTGTGGCGTCTGGAGTGGTATGTATTCTCTCTGAGATAGGAACTCGAGGCCGTAGTTGATCAAAGCCCTTGAAAGCATGTTAACAAAGCGAAAAGGGGGAATATGGTCGGCCTGGCTGCTTACTGGTTAAGAAACACGCCCCAGCCACGCAGGAAATATCCTCGGTGACCCACGACCTTAACACCTCTCTCCGGGTCGTAGCCATCCAGTCTAGCGAGCACCTCATGATCTGTCACAAAAAAATTAGTCACGAAATTTGCCGACCTCAGAGGCGACAAGACAAAACGGCGCAGCAACTCACGAGAAAGGACGTTCTTCTTCTCAAACGCGACGCCCTCGGGGGTCCAGGTCCGCTCGACGGTGTTGTTGTCCTACCGCCTGTTAGCACTACAAGACTACAAACTAGCTTGGCGATATGCCTACTACTGACCTCATTGTTTGAGACAGGAACCGAGGCGTGGACAAGATTGCCGATAGTTTTAACCTTGACCTATTGTCTATGTTAGTCATTGATTGCTATACCCATCCGACCATCTTGACGTGGAGTCAGCGACTTGCCTTCAGAAGGGCCTCCTTCTCAAGAGCCAAGGCAAGAAGGTCCTTCTTCTCCTTCTCCAGGTCGGCTGCGCAAAGAAATGACATCAATAATCGTGTCCTATCCAACTTTGCATCGTGTAGTCTTCCCACCTTTTCGCTTCAAGAGATCCGTGACGTCCTCTTTGGCCTATACCGCAACTGCAAGTTAGAACCAGAAAAAGCGCCGTGATTGGTGTGCCTAGTGGGATTGCCATGCCTTCTTCTTGGGGCCAATTTGTTTCTGGACCTCGTTGATTCTAGCATTGAGCTGGGTGGCCGAGTACGCAGCTGCAGAGAAGCAGTAAGTCGTTAGAGATCGGCTGCTTTTGGGGTTTCCGACTGCTAAGACAGCTGGGGAGGCAACTCACTCCTACGGTGGTCCTCGAACATGGCAATGACTTCGTCGACAACTTCGACAGAGGCGAAGCGCTTCCGTTGGCTCTCCCTAATCGCTTCAGGGTTGCCGCCGCGCTCGGCAACTGTGAGGCGGTCTACATTAGCAAAACCGGTCGACGAGAGCGGCCATGAATAAATCCCCCAATATTCTGTGTCGACCCTCCAGTCGAGATACCCAATTCCTCGGCTGCACCCAACACGGCCAGCTAACAGAGCCAGGGGCGGCGGGGTACGGGGAGGGGAGGGATTGCAGGGGCTGCGTACTGAAATCGTTCACGTCGAGCATCTTGGCGGATTTGTTGGTCGCGTCGTCTATTTGTTTCCGAATAGATGCTTCTTTCGTAGTTCTGGGTAGCCGACTAAAGTGGGGGGGATTCTTGAGGAAGATGGAGGTTGAAGTGTGTTGACGATAACGTGTTGCAAAACTCCCAAATGGTGGGGTAGAATATTTCACACAAGCGACGCATAGAGGGGAAGGTGCGGTTTGAGATTCAGCCAAGCTGCCCGCAGTTTCCCCCCGATTGCGCGCCCAAGCCCCGTACGCCCCGTTATGCCGATAGGACCAACTTGTGACTCAACCCCGGAGTTGGGGTCCCAACGGGCTTAGCGGCTTGGCATTAGCTGCCGTCTTGGCAGGTCTTGGCGTTCGTGTGTTCAAATTCAACGTCAACCCAAGCCAGAAACGACAATCAACATTTTGATAACAAAAATAATTCATCTGGTGCGCTTCTGTCTTCACCACTCAGCGCTTTGGCTGGGTAAGTAATGACTCGACACGATTCAATGGAGAAGTGAGAGAGGGTGCAGTTTATTTACAAACGTTTTCGGAAAGAAATGTCTCTCTGACTACAGAATCAGGTTGACTAATTATGCTCCGCAACGCAGCACCCACCATTCTCGCGTCATATTGAAGAGCGCGTTTCGTTACTTCGTTCCCTTCCCTTTCCTAGCTTGCATCGCTAGCAGAGAAATTCGAAAATAGCCTGTGGCACGGCATTCTCGGCCGTGACCAGCGGCACCGAGACCCGTTTCCCCACAGCATCCTGCATTTTCCTTATGTGTTCCATTAGCTCCAGCACCTTTCCCCCATTTCTAGCTCTCCTCTGCCGGGATCCGCTCTTCGTGTTCCTTTCCCTCTCGGCTTCATTCTCGCCGTTGATGACGTGTGACATAAATATGCGCAGCCAGTCAGCTCGCACGTCGTCCGCCGTCTCTATCCCCGCCACAAAGAGCGGCAGCGGCCACAACGTTGTCGCCAATTCTCGATAGCCATTCCGCTGGTGGCCGTGGGCCTTACGCAGCAGCAGGCCGATCTGCAGAATTGACTCGACGGCTTCAGTGGACGCGTCGTCAGTGCGCACCTCGGATCGGAATGTCCTCGACCACACAATCTTGGCCGTCAATAGCACGCCGTATACCATGAGCCAATGCAGGCTGACGCGGCTGAGCTTCCCCCCAGACTGAGATGCCGTCATGTTACCGTTATCACCCGAATTTGACGGCGATCTGTTATCTTGCTCAGTAGACTGGTCTGAGACATAGAGTCTTGGTATCGGCACTTGGCGGAGAATGTTGGCAGTCGGGTTCATAGCCGCGGCGAGCTCGAATTCAGCTTCAGCCCTCTGGATGCCGTTATCGATGGCACTGTGCTCGGACGCAGCAAGCTCGCTCCAACGGGCGAGATCCTGTGCCGTCGCCCCGCTTCGCTGAAACGAGCGGAAACGCACCATGTCCGAGAGAAGACAAAACGTCTCGTGCAGGCGCAACGTTGCGGGTATCATCTGGGCGTCCTCAGCCAGCAGCTCTTTGGGGTAGTCGCGACCAAACATGTCCATCCGGAAGCTGTGTGATTTCTCCAGGATGAAGTGGTAGTCAGTCCTGTCACTCACTACGTTAAGGAGTGTGGCGAATCGCGGGCTGATGGGGTTAAACATGCTAATTCGGATCTGGAGATAGCAGGACCACAGCAGGAGTTTGCTCGCAAATGCCGATAACTTGAGATTCCCCGGATGACTGGCGAGCCATCTTGTGAGACGCTGGAGTCTGTTATCAACTGCCTCAAGGTTCTGGTCCGCTATGTCGTAGCGGTTGAGGAAGAGAGCAGTGCAGATGATTATCTCGGCCGCATTCATCACGGGCGGCAGGTTGTTCAATACCAGCGTGGGGTTAGGGATGGCCTGCAGCTTCTCAAACTGCTCGGAAGATTGAGAGTAGCAAGTGAGAACACTGGGGTCGATTGGCGACCCCTCAGGAAGAGTTGCTCTGGCAGCCCAAGCCAGCGCGGCGATTCGCATCGGGCAGACGCAAGGGTGCTTTTGTCCGTAATCGAGCACAAACCGGGCGAATGACCATTTGCTGTCATGCTCAGTAGTGAAATCTTCCAACATGTGGCTTGCGGGACTGAAAAGTTCAGTTGCACGCAGGATTTTCTGAGCAGCGCTCCCTCGGGAAGCTTCGTCTGCGGGAGCCGTCTTCTTTGCACGCTTGCGCCGCCTCGGGACCCATTCCTTGGTCCCGTCTCGGTTTTGGCTCTTGGACGAGACAGATCCCTCGCTGTCGGAAATCGGATTGCTCTGCTGCGAGATGGGCGTGCCTGGCGCGAGAGAGTCAAATGACGTAGGGTGAATATGCACGAGAGCTGCGGTCATGTCCATGCGGCCATTGAAGTCATGCCCCGCCATGTTGGCGTCGAGTGGGAAGTCAAAGCCTCCCCACATTACGTTGAATTGGAGAGCGTCGAGATCCTGGATTCCCGGACCGCAGGTTGCCGGGCTGAGCTGCTCGAGATTCGGCGCCTCAGAGGTGAAGGCCGGTGCTTGCGCGGCCATTGAGAAAGCAGGGTACTGCTGCTGTTGCTGGAAGTTGACATTGAAGCTCTCTGAGTGGCTGTCGAAGGCGGTCATAAGTGATGAGGGCGCAGCCGCGTGCTGCGACTGGGCAGCGGGTGCCTGCTCCCGAACTCGTTTCGGTTGGGGTTGTTTTGAAGAAACGACCTTCTGGCCGGTGGGCGTTGAGACGCGAATTCGAAGGTTTGTGTCAAACGAGCTGTGGCAGTTGATATTCATGCGCGAGCAATTCGGACACGGGTTGCCGCCCTGGCAGCGCACTTTCCGCTTGCGACATGTCAGACAACCTTTTGAAGCAGCTTGGTCAGCTCACTATTGATCACATTTTGTTGTCATCTCACGCCTTTTCGAAGCTCAATTGGGAATATTTGAGGTAATAACGGCGAACATAACTTACCGTGAAAGGTGCGCTTCAATGGCTCGGCCATCTCTCAGATCTAGGAACAAACGCAGGCGCATGTACTGTGTGTAAGTGCAATAAGCAGCAACAAGGTTGACGGCAGATGGAAGTCTTGGCGCTGGTGACGAGTCTTGGCAGGGCCTTGGTCGTGGGGAAGCCATGCATTTAACGCGGATCGTCGACTTATATCCGTCGGTAAAGCCGGCGAGGCATCAAAGCTCTCGCAGCACGCGACAGAGCATGCACGGCCGGCATCCATGATACCCAAGGTATATAGCCCGTCGAGCCCTATGATGACAGTCTGCAGTGCCGGGCCACAGTTCACCAGCCGACGGGGGTAGGCAGGGGAGGGGACCGGGGGGTGTTGGCAGGCCGCTCTCCGACGACTTGAGGCGGGTCCAACAACGGCGATTAACTCAGCAACCACATACCGCAGTTCACAGATCCTGTTGAGTCGCACATGGCAAGCGAGCTCAGAAAAATCACAGTCTGGGCCGCCGCCTGGAACTGGGACGTGGACAGACAACCGTAAGGCCCATAGGCGGTATGGGTATAGGCATGGGCATGGGCATGGGCATGCGCAGGAAAAGGGAACCTACACTAGCACCATTTTACCCCTGTCCCTTGCCCCCCTGTCCTGTCGCCTGTCTCCTGTCCTGTCCCTTGTTCCGTGTGCGCGCATCGAGCTCGAGCTTCTTCTTTTAGTGCCGTGCAAGAAACCCACACTTTCGTCGGCTCAACCTTTCCAGAATCCGCCCGTCCCGGCAAGGGGGGTCGAGGTGGATTCCATTTGCTGCGTAGACTAATCATGTGGGCGCTCTTTGGTGGTGGAAGGGGGAATTTGGGGGTTTGGCCTCTGGGAATTTGGGCAAATCCTGATCTGCGGGGTCGTCAGCCAACCGATGACCGCAGACAACCACTCACAAGCAACCACCCCTCATCTTTTTTAGCTTTCTTTGCTTCTCCGCCTCTTCCATCTTAGGTCTCTCCTGCGGTCTCCTCCCTCCCCCCAGGGAGACTAGCGGAAGACGGAAGACGGAAGACGAAAAGCGCCTCGTTTAAACCGGTCGTGAGTCCCTCCGCACGGCCGTGACTGGCCGGATGGTGTCTATACTTTTCTATCTAATTATGTGTGCTGATGCCATGAAAGTTCTAAATACTTTCTAGGTAGCTAGCAAGGTGCCTACAATACAAGGTACCTTACCTACCTGGCTTACCTAGACTGCCGTTTATACGAACGGGCCCATTTCAGAGGTCCGCCGCAGAGATATGCAACCCCCCCCCCCCCCCATATTATAATGTTTCTGAAAATTCGCTGAACTAGTTTTTAGATGCATGCAAGCTGACGCGGCAGACTTGTTCCTGTTACTGTTGCTTGTGTTGTTGTTCTATTGCTCGCAGCCAAGCTTCTCATCAGCAGAGTCCGGACGGGAGGAGGCGCGCACTTCATTTAGGTAATATAACGTTACTCGGGGAAAACAGGAATGAGACATGGCACGATTTGCACTTGACTTGACTTCTCTTCACTAATGACTAATTCCCCCCCATTCTCTCTCACTCTCTAAAAGACATCCTTGCAACTTACTCCCCTTGCCCTCGGATCATCCTCGGTACGTGCACGCCTATTGCTACTCTGCATCCAAAAACACGAACGGAGCAAAGCAAAAGATAATTCCGGGCCTTGTTTGCGTAACTACCTTACCTACCTTACCTGCCCATCATCTCCCATCCCCGAACACGAGGAAAAATTCTACGTACTATGTAGCATATCATGTCATTTCTGTATTGGTCAGCCCTTTATTCACCAACTACAAGCAGGTTTGAGGCAGGGACCTTTGTTATTTTAGTGTCTAGCCCTTGCATACCGTACAACACCTACAATCCTCCCCCGGCTCCTCTCCCCCCCCGTGTTTTCCGCCCGCCCGCCCCCTGCCAGCTTTAGCGGAGGGAAATTTGAGCCGGGGATCAAATGCCCAGATCTGTCGAATGTTCCTCCCAGGGGAGTGGACGGCGATGTTAAGCCCCGATGGGGTGTGTGGCGTGTTGATCACTAATCGGGGGGGGGGGGGGGTTTTAAAAAAAAAAAAAAAAAAAAAGAGCCCCCAAACAATTACCAACTTCACCTAGTTTATTTCTATTTTAAACCACAACGCCACCTAGCGGGGCAGAGTCGTTTCAAAACCGCTTCCCCCGTCATCTTTAATCCGAAAACAGTCTTTAGGTAATACGTGTATTTTCTTCCCAACACACAGGTTTATCCTACCTACTCCTTTTCGTCCTTGTCTTGTTCCCCCACCCGGCTTATTTGTCAAGGTATTTGTGGTTTCCATCCCGAAGGTAAGCTTAAAAAGTTAAAAGCAGTTTGAGACACCGAAAAGGCTTTGCCGTCTAATAATCAAGGAAAAAGATAACCGAATTGACAGACGCTTGCTTGCATCCTGCGCCTCGACAAGCTGACGGTTGATGACTGTTGCAGCAAGCGAGATAACCATGCGAATGACAAGCAACAAAAACAAGAAGTGTCTTCAGTCAGGATATTGGAGCTGACGACGACAATGCCTTCCCCTACATAACACGAGCCAAATCTCCCCGTGCAGACACACGGGATCGCCGTGGGTAACAGTAGTACAGCATGGCGCTGCAACTAGAAGGGGAAGGTCATGTTTCTAAGTCAGCATATTGTCCGTGATGCCCTTGTCTGTGCCTAGGCTCCGCATGGGAGAAGGATACAGTATTTCTCCCAGAACAGGGCCAACAGGGTTCGGCGGCCGCCATGGTGCCATTATATGGGGCCGCCACCATCTGTACCCATTTAACAACACTTGCTGTATGTGGGCTGTATAGTATAAGATGGCCGTTGCTACAATAGAGCAAATCCCTTCCTAATTCCAACCTAGTTTCCACGACCGAGTGACTATGCACGCCTTGGTTTCCCCGGCCCATTCATGTTGATAATGATCGGCTCAGATTCAAGAATCGAAAGGCGGTGCCCTTTCACCTTTCAGTTTCGCCCTGTGGCTCACACAATGGCCAGCCTGGCTAGACCATATGAATCTCCTCAAGTCATATTTCAGTGATGCTCATGATATAATCAGTATGTAGTTGCCATGTCAGTGGACATGGAACCCATGAGCGTCGCCAAGGCGGGCCAGTACAATTCTAGCCAGGGTTGACGGTGGCAAGTCTGTCAGATTTGGCATGCAGATTTGATTTTGAGCCGCAAGTAGAAGAGTCTATCTCCACCCAACACAACGGCTATTGCCACTACTTGGCGGCACAGCTGTAGTCAGATATTCGAGCCAAACGCAAGGACGTGGCGGCGCTGTAGACCGAGGGCACCCTCGAGTGTTCAGCCCGCTCAGACTTGATTCTCGAAACCGTCACCAATTCATCTACTTCCTTCATCAATGACTTAGGGGAAGCGGTGTGCAGCCTTCGGCGCCAAGGAGACGGCAGACTAACATGGAGACACCATCTGGTAGAGTATGCGCCAAACTGGGGCTGGGTCTGGGTGATCTTCGGAGGCAGCTATGATTCTGTCCTCACTCGAGGTGCATATGTAGGCAGTAGTATAGCGGTAGCGTCTCAATAAAGCCATTGCAAGCTCCGGCGCTCACGACGTACGAGGGGAATCAAGATCCGCATCCGAGAAGGCTTCGGCGAGTCGGGATTCGGCGTGTGTGATGGCACTGGCAGCTCATCCGATCCGATTCACTGACTTGGCCAGATCTTACTTTGGAATAAGCTCGAGGGGGGTGATAGCCTCGTAAGGCCGGGCTGACGACAGAATATGGAATGCGGAACGCCCCATATCCGACGCATCGGGACTCTCACGATGGGCATGTCGCGGACCGTGATCTGTTTCCGGGTGTAGTGCCCGAGCTCGCTTGCCTAGGACGCGGCACAACGTGGCGCCTCGATTCTTGATATTCATCATGGGGTTGCTTCAGCGCAAACCGGGCGTCAGGTATCTTTTTTTTTCTTTCTTTTGTTCTTTTGTTCTCTTCTTCTTTTCTCCTTCCGAAGGTGGGTGGCGCTGCTCTGCCTTAGCGCGGCGGGATGGGCCCACCAAAAAGTGACGTGCACTTGGACGAGAGAGGTGAGACTCTGTTCCGGTGTACAAGACGAAAAAAAGAAATAAAAACGAAAGGTCAAGGGTGGAGCGGTGCGCAGCAAAGGTGTGCGGGAATAACGGCAAAAGCAGAGGCCTAGAACTTTCGGTCAAACCAGCAGCCGATATGGCTCGCCACGACAACCCGAATGGGCAATGGGAGCGACTGCTCATCAGTAATCGGGATAAAGTCCCAAAACCACCCTGCAAAATAAAGCGCGGCGCCAGCGACCGTGGCCATGGTGACGGGAGTGAGATAAGGCAGCAGCAAAATCATGGCCAATGAGAGAAATGGAAATGGGGGTAGACGGCCGGGAACCACGATAGGCCCGGACATTAGTCCGCTGCGTACGCTGTGCACTACGCGGGGATGCATGAACCACACCACACGACTCTCAAGACATGTTGCTGGCGTCGACTCGTGGCCTCCATTCCATGTGGGAAAATGGGAAGCAAGTGGGAATGAGGCCTAGCAAATATCGGATCTCGGAGGTGGTGTGTATTACCCACCTTGCTCCAAGAGAATTGAAACAATACGACTACTGCACATGCACATGGAACCTTAGCCACGGTTCGAGGCTGAGCTGCCTCGTCGACAAGTCGTTGCCGCTTTCCACTTGAAGCTCGAACCATGTGGGTCAAAACGGCAAGACTCTTGCTGAGTAGGCAGGTACATTACGTCCTGTACCTTCCTCCTAGTTACTGATAGCTTTCCCGGAAGTGGGGACACGGCCTATCTTTCATCCCTCGGATGGGGCTGGGCGTTTTCCCTCGCCAGTAGCCTAGGTATCTTCATCTTCTGCTCGATAGACGAAGAAGACGGCGGAAGCACACTGAAAGGAAACTGGAATTTGATCCGAGCTTTTGCCAGTGTTGCGCATCCGGGACGTCGCAAAAAGTCGCAATGGAATGCACCAGCCCCACTTCACTAGATATTCCCCTTTTCAGAGATTCCCGGACCCCCCCGCCATTATTGAACGGCACTTTGGCGGGGCAAGCAAACCTAAAAGCGCGCCAACAGAGCGATCCCGCCGAGGGAGCTCCATTGAGCAGCAACCTTGAAAGCCATTGCCTGCTACTACCTAGAGAGAGAACCTTCCATGGTGAAGATAGGGGTCACTGCTCTTGACATTTCCGTCCTCGTTGTAGAGTCGTCGATATTATACAGAGAGAAGATATCATGATAATTCGTAGAACGAAGCGCAGCATAAAAAGCCCTTTCTTTAGTGCAAAGCCCCGTTTAGCGCAATGCCGCTTATTACCTGAATGGTTCCAAGTCACTTGACGTTGTTCGTGCCGCTGTGCGGCCAAGAAGCTGGGCTGATGAGGCAGCAACCGCGCCGTCAACTCCCTGATAGACGAAACACGAAATAAACACTACTGCCACCACCAACGGCAGCAGCAACAACAACAAAATCTCCCCAGAGACGGGCGACTATGACCGCTGGAACATCTGTTCTATTGTCGCATCAAGTCGTCGTCGTGCGCCGATTCCATGGATCGTAAAACTTCCTAGGTATGGTATGAACCAGCACTCGCAAATCCTCATTTTGTCCCGTGTTGGTAGTAAGGGTGTGGAGGAACCAACGAGGACGACCCGCACGCCCACAACTACAGAAAAGAAGGAGAAACAGAACGCTCAAGGAGACTAGGACCCAGGAATCTGGGCACCTTGGTCTCAGTTATGATGGAAGACGACCCAGACAAGACAATTCCGTGCCCATTCTGCGGGTGGAAAGCAGCGGAGGGCGAGGGTGAATACGCCATGCTCATGGTATGTATTGTGCATACCTTCCTTCCTGATGTGCAGCATCAAGAGAGTTTCTAAGCCCTAGGGAAAGGTACCCTAAGAGCGCCCTGCTTGTAGCAGGCACGGACTACCTTGGGCTGTGGAGGAGCAAGAAGCACTTTCCAGATCTGGGCTGCATTCCTGCCTCCCTGGTACCTACTGTGCATGCAAGCCCCATCCTGGCCTGCCTACCTTTAGGTACCAAGGCAAGGGTAGGTGTGCGGCACGGTACCTTAAGGCAGTGCTTTGTTCTCCGGGTCAAGGTACCTGAGTCTGGACTAGAAAAGGCCCCTCCCCTATTACCTATGGCGGGTGGCTAACCCGGCACTGCTTTCAGCACATGGAGTCGATGCATGCCGAGGGCGAATCTCCCTTTGTCACCCTCGACGACGACAACGCCTCGGGCAGCAGCGTCGCGCCGACCAACGACAGCGACTACGGGGGCGAGGCCTCTCCATATGTCGAGTGTCCAGTCGAGACTTGCAGCCATGTCATGCGCCACGAGGAAATGGATGCCCACCTCGAGCACCATGCTAAAGACTTCGTCAGCGCTGCTGCTGCTGATGCCGCCGCCCCCAGCAACGCTGTACCGGCAGCTCACAACCACGACCCCGACCATGGCCGCGGCACCAGCCATCCCACCGGCTCTCCACCATCTCCCGGGCGCTCCAAATCGGCCCGGGGAGTAGGGCGGCATCACCACACACCCGAACGCAACTCGGAGCGCTCCAGTCGCCAAGCCACCGCCATATCCGCCTGGAAGCTGCTCCTGAGGATGCCCGGCTCTGGCGCTTCCTCGTCTCTGTCCTCGAAAAAGAAACGCCAGGCCGACCAGCCAGAGGGCCCCAGTGCCCGCACCACCAAACGACTTGGCGTGAGTGGTCCTCCCGTACTGGCACCTTCGGCTCGGCACGTCTGTCTATTCTAGTTAGCTAACCCATCCCCCCCACTTACTTAGAAATCCCAGCTTGGGAGGTACCATAATGAGGAGCACATGCCCCGCTGGCTCACGTCGCATATCGAAAAAGGGGTCTTCGTCAAAGCCGAAGGTAAGTCCAGTCTTCCGGAGCCGCAACTGCCGTGCCGTGCCGTGGTGTGTGTGATGTGTGATGTGTGATGTGTGTGATGTGCAGTAGACAAGGCTGACGGCAATAGGGGTTATTCCCGTGCTATCCCAAATGCTCGAGCAGTGCCCGGCCACCAAGAACGCCTACCTTTGCCACCCTAGCGTGCAGCACTTCTCGAAGCTCCCAAAAGAGTGTATGATAGCCTTTCCCCATTCTGTCAAGATTGCCCCCCACCCATCTCCGTCTAGTGTGTACGCACTAACCCTGCTCGCTAGGTGGGTTCTGCGGCTATCGCAATATCCAAATGCTGTGCTCGTACATTGTGGGGATTAAGTTCAACGGCTACCAGCAGCTGAACAGGAACATCCCCACCATCTTTCAGATTCAGGACTTTATCGAGGCTGCCTGGGACCAAGGCATCAACACCCAGGGGCGTGTCGAGACGGGCGGTATCAAGGGCACCAGGAAGTACATTGGGACTCCCGAGGTTAGTGGCTCTGACATGGACATGCACTATCTCATCTGCAAAGGGGAGAGCTCACGAGCTAACGCTACTGTAGGCTTTGGCAATGTTCCGCTTTTTAGAGATACCGTACGCACACACCCACCACTCATGCTTCTAGCGACGCTATTAAGTGGCACAAATGCTGACCACCCTACCCCCTTCTCATCTGCAGTTGCGACGCCCAGGGGTTCAAGAACAAGGAGACAGGCAAGTCGGAGGCGCTGCTCATGGAGGAGGTAGAAAACTACTTCCAATCGGGAGTAGACGATCCGACACGGCGGGTCAGGCTTACCAACTTGCCCCCCATCTACTTCCAGCATGCCGGTACGTAGAGCTGCTTTGGATCTGGCTCCTGCCGGGGGTTACGTGGTGACCGGGATACGGCATAGGAGCCTAGACCATCAAAGTGTTGTTGAGTAATCTGCTGACTGGAGACGCGCGCATCTAATTTTAGGCCACTCCTTGACGATCGTCGGCTTCGAGCGGCTGAGGGATGGCGAGACGAGCCTCCTCGTCTTCGACCCAGAGTATCGCGATTCGTCCAAAGTCACAAAGTATGTCGGACGCACGGATTTTGAGTTCAACAACCCCAACTGGGCGCTCGCCAGGTACCGTCGCGGCAACAAATACCTGAAAAGGTACCGCGAGTTTGAGATTTTGACGTGAGTTTCACTGCACCGGCCCCCTCCTGAGCCCCCTCTTTCCCCAGTGGCAGACCGCAGCATGCATAATTGGCGCAGTAACTTAAATAAAACTCCAGACTGCAAAAACCACAGGGCGGATTTCCAGTCGTATAGGATAGTCTTGTTTCCCTCCTCGAGAAGGAAGTCTCTTTTCTCAAGATACGAAGTCATGTCGGCGATGATCAGGTCGCGAATGGGAAAAGAACGATCTAGAGGTCATTTTCCAAGGCGGTATGGGGGCGTTCCTCCTCGCATTAACAGGTGAAAAGTCGGGTCTGGTCTACGATTGTGTTTGTTCTTTTTTCTGTCCTCTCCCTCCCGAATATCATTCATTCATCTCGTTGGCATACTGTCCCCCCCCGCGCCCTTTTTCTATTATTCTTTTCAGGACATCATCTCATTGGCGAACCATGCTTGGAGTTTCTCGAGGGCCTTGAAGCGATGCGAGATCTTGTTCTTCTCCACCTTGTCCATTTCCGCATAGCTAGTATCGGCGTCAGCATCAGCGTGGGCGTTTCCAGCGAGAAAAGGATGATGTGAAAACGGGATATGGGGCCATGGATGAGAAAAGCGAAAACCTACGTCTGTCCTTGGTACTCGAAGATTGCGTCCCATCCTGCATATTTCATCACATTCCCTCCAGCGTCAGTAATCTCTTGAGAATCTCGGTCTGTCTCTATGTTTCTTTCTTTTTTCTGTTTCCAAACCTTGTGGGAAATCATTCATGACCTTCTTAGAGAGAAAAGAAAAAAAGAAAACAAAACTCACCAAACGACGCCGGCCCCCGCGGCGGCACGATCTTGCCGTCCGTCACGCCCTGGAATATTATCGGCTCGTGGCCCGGCCCCGGCGAGTACGCAAACGTGCACACCGCCTTGGCCGACTTGTCCTCGTAGGCCGCTAGTAGGTTGTTGAGCCCTGCGTGGCCGATGGATTTCATGAACCATTTTCTGAACAAAAAAACAGAGGCTGTGGTGAGTACATGTGGGTTTGGTGTTGTTGTTTTGGGATGGACGTGGTTGTGTGATTGTGTGGTGAGAGTTTCCGTGTTTGACTTACATGTACGGTCCCGGCAGCCCGTCGAGCACGTTGAAGCAGAGGCTCGTGTCCTCGACCAGAACGGGTCCTTGGATCTGGACGGCGGTAATATTAGATATGAACATGTTTTAGTTGATTCACATACCCAGGGGAGGGGAAAAAAGGGGGTGAGATGAAACTGTAATTTGTTTTCTGTCTTGTCTCGTCTCTGTGACTTGTCTTTAATGAAGGGGGGAGGGCATACCAAATCGGTGGCGCGGCGGCACTTGTCGAGCGTCACCTCCTCGAGCGTGCCCTGGATCTCAATGAGGTCCAACTCCTGGTTCTCGACCTGGATGGCGGGCTCGAGGATGGCCTTGACCTCGACGAGCTTGTTGGCGTTACCTGTGATGAAGTTGACGGTGTGGCGCGCGGCGCTGGGCGCTTGTGCCGCCGTGGTAGCCATCTCTTTTTTGCTGCGTTGGAGAAGATATATTTATATAGAAGTATTTGTTGTGTTTGGACTGGTTCTCTTTGCAAGGTGCCTCTCTCACGGGGGTGTTTTATTCGAAGACTTTCAAACGCTGACGAGAAAGCGGGGCCTAGCGTTGAGAGCCGCACAGTCACACAGTACGCAGTACGAATACAGTACTACGCCAAGAACCCGCCGATAACGGTTTTGCTTTGGACACTGATTAACCTCGATTGATGCATATTCCTCTGTGGTTGCCAATGCCAGTCGCGCCGAACTAAGCAAGTGTTGCTATCATGTATCAATATGAAGAAACTAGATTTCGCATGGAAAATGCAAGTGAGGATTTCGTGTCTAGACTGCCTAGAATGCCTGACATAAACGGGCAATAGCTCCATCCAGTCCTCTTACAACCCCCCCCCTTCCCAAACCACCCAAAGGACACTGCCAGAGACGCCTTACGTCGCCTGCGCATTGTCTTCTTTCCACTGCTTCAGCCAGGCCTCGATGCGGTCGAGGTTCGCGTCCATGTCCTCGGACGTGTTGCTCTGCAGGTCGACGACGATCTCGGCATCATACGACTCGAGCGCCTCCTGGTACAGAACGTCCATAATCTCCGAGTCAATGTTCTCTTGCAGCTTGATCTCGGGGTAGTTCCTGTTCGCCGACAGACACAAAAAAATGTCAGGCCATGTATGTACAACAAACACCGTTTAGATGGGTATTTCTCGTAATAAGGATAGAGACGTAGAATGAGAGCGAGAGCGAGAGTTTCTATGCTATGCTATTATGTGAAATAAGAGCACTTCACACCGCAAAGACTAGGAAAGTCGAACTCACTCACCTGAGCTTGAGCCGGTCGTAGAGCGTCGCCGATCCCACCCGCAGCACCACAACCAGGTCGATCCAGCTCTTGGGGAACAGGTCGCAGGCGTGCCAGTCGAGAATGCATCCGCCCTTCTTGGCGTCGTCTTCGATGGCATCCAGCAGCTGTTTCAAATTTCTAGTTAGGCTATGTTTCACATGCCGTGTTTTCTTTCTTGCCTGTCATGGCTTTGGAAAGCAAGATGTGCCTAGCATGGGTGGGTGTGGGTGTGGGTGTGTGTGTATGGGGGAGGGAGGTGAGGATGTGTATATATCTTCATATATCTTCGTTCAAGAAGCGAGAGCTCATACCACAGCCTATAGCAGCCCCCTCCCTTCTTTATGCATGTATGGCTCTTTGACGATAGCAGTCAACTCACTCCTGGCAAGACATATCCAACAACACCCCCCCCTCATAAAACCGGCAGACAAGAGAAAAAGAAAGAAAAAACGGCGAACCTTGTCTTCGTCCACAATCCAGCTCTCGTACTCCTTGTCCCAGCCCTCGTGGCACTCGCGGTCCTTGACGATCTGGTTGATGCTGACGTGCCTGAGGCCTGTGCGTTCGGCCAGCAGCTCGCAGTGGCTCGTCTTGCCGACGCCCGGCGTGCCCGTGATGATGATGTTGGGTAATGTGCGAGACATTTTTTTTGCTCCTCTTCTCTCTCTGCGCGAGTGAGAGTGTTGCTGTCGCCGCTTTCACACTCTTTTTATTCCTTCACGTCGCTTGACTGACTCTTTTCCGCAATCCTTTTCCTATTGGAAAAGAACAGAGACAAAAAAGAGAAAAAAATAAGCACCTAACAACGACCCTGGTTTTCCTGAGCAGGATAAAAGCTCAAAGATTGTTCTTAAAAACGCGCCGTATATTTTCCAAACCGTAACAAGGCAAAGTCAGTTCAGTTGCTTAGGGGGGGTCGTATAAGTGGGCAGCAGGGGCGGGCGGGTGATGGATGGTGGTGCAAAAAAAAAAAAAGATTTTCGACGAATTAATTGGCTTGGAGAAGAGAGGCATGTGCGAAAACCCTTGTTCTCTCACTGTGCAAAAGATGCGCACCTCACCAATGTCTGATCACTAACCTGTAGTTGATTTGTCGGTTATCTGCGCACAAAACACGTTTCAGATAGAAATGTTTCGCAGCCTAGAATTAGAAAGACTAAGTGGTTCAATAAAGTACAAGGAGGGGATAACCATTTTTTCCGAGGTTTTCATCACACGTCTTGGTCAACCGAGCTTCGTTCATCTCATCCAACACCCAAACACAAACTAAGATATGTATGAATACCTGGATACCTAAGGTATGCAGCGCGCAAACTGAACAAGTACCTGGTTTACATTGATACAGTTAACTGTTACACCTGAACCTAGCGTCGAGTCTCCGTCATTCATACACTGCCTACTTCTCTTCTCTGCGCTGCATCCTCACGAGGCAGGGACACACCAGCAGCAGCCGATTGCCGTGTTCTGCTCCTTCATCACCAGCCATCTGCTGGCCAGGGTTTCAACCGATAATATTAATAACCACCCATATGTAGTCTCGCGCCCTCCTACTTGCCAACCTCGCTCACCCGCGTGACTATGAAGTTGGTTGTGTTAGGTCGCCGTACCTGGCCCTCAGGCTAACGCGCAAACCACCATTCTCCAGTGACATGCCCCTCCAATACCCCTAAACACCCAGACATATTTTCGAATAGCCAGAAAAGGGCCGCCACTACCAGTGCGCCTTGCCTGTTCAACCACGGCCGCCCTTAGTCTTCAACAGCGTCTTCCTCGGCACGCTGGCGTCTCTATTGGTCCTCCAAGGATTCAGCAACACCGAGGTGGGGCTTTGCGCCGAGACTCCTGTCAAAGAGCGCGGTGCCACCTAGGCACTCGCCGAAATCGACTCGGGCCCTTCGTCAACCTCGGTGAGGTCGTTCATGCTCTGGTTGTCGTAATCGCCGCCCTGCGATCCGTACTCAAATTTCTCCTGCTGCGCAATGGCTTGCGCCGACACAATCTCGGCCAGACGCTTCAGTCGTGGGGTTTGCAGCCCTGTCCATCACGTTAGTTTGGGCCCACATAGGCACGAAATAGTAAAACGACGACGTACATGAGGGGGTATAAGTTTCTAGAGCCGTGATGACTCTGGGTTCGGCGATTTCATAGGGACCGCTGTCGTCCATATCGACAGCCTGGAGCAGTAGGACGTCGCTCTTCTCCGTCACGCGGGAGGCGACGGCCTTCATGATCTCGCCGTTGATGGGCTGCTCGTAGTCGGCAACGAGATATTGGTTCAGAAGCTTCTGAATCTGGTTGGGAGAGAGCCTAGATGCCGAGTCAACACACGCCGTCTAGGGCAAACAGGGGACAACAATTTACTCACATCCAGCAAATGTCCTGGATAATTTCAATGTCGTTCAATGTCGCCTTCTTAAGTTGCAGGAGCTTGGTGGCTTGCTGCAGTAAAAGGTTAGCCTGGTCGTCTGTACCCGACTGGACAAGTGCTGCCTACCATAAGATGTTCGAGCTGGAGAGTGCCCTCAGGCATGTCGTGGCTCTTGCACCACTCTTCAATACGAGTGATGTTGTAGTTGATCTGCAGCCCACGCTTCCAAGAGAGGAAGTTGCGGCGCATGAGCAGATCGTTAAACGCTGTTACGCCAACCAGCCGGAGGAGTTCGGTAATGGTCTGGGTGATGATGGTGTCCTCGAGGTAGTAGGCCTTCATGGCACGGAAGACACTGTTGAGCAGGGACAGGAGGTTGTCCATGCTGTATGCGGGTGTTGAGTTGGTCTGCAGGAGCTTGCCAAGGAACCTGTTGTTTTCGTTCGTAACGAAGCCTGGCAGGGACTGCGATTCGATAATGGCAGGGATGATCATTTTGTGTAGCTTCTTCTTGAGCACCTTCATCCACGTATGGTAGATGTTGAACTCCAAGCTCTCGAGATCGTGCTTGACAATCTCCAGCAGGCGGTCGTACTCGTAGTTGTCGGTCTTTTGAGCCTCGTACCAATCCTCAGCCAGGAAGACGAAGGAGAGCATCTCATGCACATTGGAAAGCCAGAATGCGCCGGGGTTGATGGCCTCCTCGCCGTCGTGCTGCATCACCTCTTGCTGGATAGACTGCATGACGTTGGCAAGGAAGCGCTCCGACTCTTTGACGAAGCCGTTGTTCCACATCTCCGACGTCACTAGGTTGATAAGGTACGAGGGGAAGAGCACCTCCTTGTCTGACGGCGGGGGGTTGGTCGCAGGGGAGGGGATCTTCAGATTTCGGATGAGGCCCAACGTGACCTCCTCGTTAAGGCCCTCCTCATCGGCAAGCAGACCCTCGAGCTCCATCTCAATGTTGTCCACGCCGGGGACGAAAGTCGCACCAGATAGCGTAGCTTGGCGACCCAGGCTTGGGATGGCCATCGAGACCGGGCGAGGATTGTAGGCATTGGAGTACCTGTCCATATCACGAGGCTCAGCTCCTGCGCTTCGTCTCTTGGGCTTCTTAGATGACACCAAGTTGATCAAGCTAGCTGGTTGAGGAGGAGGGGGCGTGGCGCCATTGGCCAGCTCGCCGTTGACGGGGACGCTTCTCCTTGCCAGTTCCAGAGCCTCCTGGAGCTCTGCCAGCTGCTGGCGCAGCGAGTCTTTCTCGGCCTCGTGGCGCTGACTTTCCTGGCGAGCCGTCTCAAGCTCGGTGCTTGTGGCGCGCAGAGAGTCCCGGAGTCCCCGCTCCTCGTCCTGCATCCTCTTGGCATTGGCCGCCGACTCGTCGAAGCTCGCCTGGAGCTTCTTCATCTCGTTCTCCATTGCCTCGAGGCGGGCTGCAGCAATGCCAGCTTGGTTAGCCTCTCCCTGCAGCTCCTTCGTCCGGGCCTCCAGCGCGTTGTGTCGGTTTCTCCAGATGGTCACCTGGCCCTCGTAGTTCTCCACCTGCGTCTTGAGCTCCTTGTTCTGCGCCTTCATGGTGCCCAGCGACTGCGTCAGTTCCACAACCTTGTTCTCCAACTTGTACGAGATCTGCTTGAGATCGCGTGCCTCGGCGCGGATGACCTTGTACTCCTTCCGGGCGCTCCTGCCACGCCACAGGCTCTGGATGATGACCACTTTCCTGCGGTATTCCCTCCACGACCGGAGTTGTGTCCTTGACCGCCAGGCTCTCTGGATGATGACGGCGGCGTTGCCAACCCGGGTCTCCATGATCTCCTTCCGTCGCAAGAAGCCTTTCATGGCCGCCTGGGCAAGGATGACGTCTTTTCTGATGCGCAGGAATTCCTTCCTCTGCTTTTGGCCGCGCCAGACTCTTTGAATTGTGGTGGCTGCTTTGACTGTCCGTAGTGCTTGGGCCTGCTTGCGAGCGCGATAAGCTCTCGCTGCGGCCTGGAAGGAAACGATGGCAGCGCGCGCCGCTAGATATCTCTTGCGGTAATACTTGGCCTTTAGGTTCTTCTGGATCAGAATGGCGCATTCGTTCAACCTGTTGGTTCGAAGGTTTTCCAGAAACGCGAGCATGCCGGCGCGAAAGAAGATCTTAGTCAAACCTAGCTGATACTTGTCCATGCCCTTGCCCGTGCTGGCGCCTAGAGCCTTTGTCAAGATTGCGTTTGCCATCTGCCTGATCTCAGAAGTCCACTGCGTTGAAGGCACGAGCATGTAGTACCGCAGTGCGAATTCCTCGTACGTCCATCTCGTAGGGTAACCCGCACAACTAATGCGAACAGTCTCCAGCACACCGCAGGCACGGAGCTGGCTCAAGACCATGGGGCCTTCGAATTTCCACGCCTCCTTGGCTTCGTTGGGCTTGATACACCGAATGTAGTGCACTTCGGTGTTGTTGATCGTATGCATCAGCTCAATGAGCGACGACTTGAAGATTCCGCCGAGAGTTGGCTTGCGGTTGACTGCGACACCAATCCGCCTGCCTGCCGTTGGTTTCACCGCATTAGAGCTCGCCGACGCCAGATCCTTCTCCCGCACGGCCGAAGCCGCCTCCAACACCGAGCCAAGGAATTTGTTGGTCGACGCGCGAAGCACTGCCATGTGCTCGTCCGGAACCGTGTCACGGTTCTTTTCTATGAAACCGTCCGACTCATACGTGACGTCGATCGCATAGTGGCACACGGTGAATGCAGACTTGCCAAATCTCGGCTTCTTGTAGAACTTGTTCTTGTCGGCGGCATAGTTGTGGTGTAGTTTGGTCACAAACTGTTCGTCGGAACCCATAGGGAGCCTCGACTCTTCGTCCAAAAGCGAGAGGATGCCCAGCTTTCCCTCGATCAGGTCGATACATGGCTGGTTATCGGCAAAGTCGATAAAGGTCCAGTCGATCTCCTCCCTGAGATATTCCTCCTGCTCGAGTTTGAAAACGTGCTGGTTGAACTCCTGCTGCAGCTTCTCATTGGCGTAGTTGATGCAAAACTGCTCGAACGAGTTCTTGGCGAAATGCTCAAATCCGTAAATATCGAGGACACCGATGAAGGAGCTGACTCTGTTGAGCACTTCGTCTGTCGCAAGACTCTTGTTGATGATCTCGACAAGCCAGTCGAAAAGACTCGAGTAAATGAACTTGGCGACAGAGTCTCGGACGACGATGGCCTGCGCCTGGGTCAAATTCGACGTGATCTTCTCCCCGCGAGTGATGAGCTGCTTCTTCACAATCCACTTAGAAAACTCCGTGGCATCAATGCCCAGGATCGCGCAAGCCTTCACTAGTGAGGGCTCGGTTGGCGAGAGAACGCTGTCAGTCCGGGAGACACCAATTTTGACGTTGCCCAGGTGTAGCAAGCCAGCAAGCAGCTTGAACGTGTCGGTTTGTTGAGCATCGGTCACACCAATCGTCTTCAGCGACTGTCTGGTCGCATTGAACTCGGCCTTGTCGTCTACACCATCGATAGTCGGCATGTTCCCTTGGTTTAGATATTCAAACTGCTCGACCCGCATGAGATTCCACTCCTGGCGCTCCTTGTCGGACACACCGGCGACCAGTTGGTAAAAGATGTGGTAATTCCTCTCTTTCAACGGCTGGAAAACCAACCTCGACCGCTCCAGCAGATACGTCCTGATCTTGGCGCCGATGATGTTGGTGCTCTTGTCAAACATAATCTCGATGTACTTGCCGAAACGCGACGAGTTGTCGTTTCTCGTCGTCTTCGCGTTTCCGAATGCCTCCATGATGGGGTTCGTCGCCAGGATCGCCTCCTCGGTCTTGCTCATGGCTTCCGGGCCCCTTTTTGACCTTGACCCGGGGCTGTCTGGCGATTCTCTGGTCGCGAAGTATCTCATGATGTATTTGGCACTGACAGTCTTGCCGGCGCCCGATTCACCCGAGACGACGATGGTCTGGTTCTTGTTGTCTCGCAGCATATCCCTATTTCAAGTCAGTCAACGCCCGCCCTCGAAAGCGCGCCACCGCCGCCGCGGAGTTCGTACATAAAAGCCTCCTCAGCTATAGCAAACAGATGAGGCGCTTGCGTTGCTCTCTGCTTCCCGGCATATACCTGCACCATGCCGGGGACGTAGAGAGAATCCACGCGAGCGAAGGGGTTTGTTGCTATTAGCACGATGCCCGAGTAAGTGTATATCTCCTTCTGGGCATATCGGAGACGAATTGCCTGCAAGACTGGTTGAGGTGAGCGCTGTCAGCATCCGGCTTCCACAGTTCCGCCCGAGTCGTTGGATATATTTACCAGCTGGCTCGTTCAAGTGGGATAGATTTGTCAAGTCGTCGCTAGCTTCGAGCATTGTCGGGTTCATCAGCGGGGGAAGTGCCGGGTCGCTGCCCGACTGGAGGCCCCCGGCGGAAACCTCGACGGTCTTGATCTACAGCCAGCGAGGATGGAGGTTTAGCCAAGTGGACGTTCGAGAAGACGCCTTGCTTTGCACTCTGGTGGACGCGACCGGGGAGGGCCATCTTACCTCGCCATTTTCGAGCTCGAAGATAATGTTAACTTTTGACCCAGCTATCGACTTCTTTATGACCTTGGAAGCAACCCAGCCCTCGGTTGCGTCGGGCTGCCATGCTCGAGTGCCCACATCATAGCTCTCCGACATTGCATGCGACGGGGGGAGGCTGAATCTGGGAAGACGGGGAGGTGGTGGTCAGAGAGCGGTCGGCGGCTTCAAAAAGCCAAATCTAGCCGCGAGCTGCCGACGGGAAGGCGATGGTTCGATAGCTAGGTTGTTGGACTCGCGAGAATCGAGTAGTGCAGCGGCAGCGAATCAAGGGACGAGTCTCTGCTCGAAACGAAGACATTCATGGGCGACAGATGGGGGCCGTTGGTCACTCGAGTTTCGACCTGAGCCCTGATGGTCAGATGGCGTCGACAGCGCCGATCGACGGATAAAAGACTTGGACGCGTGAAAGATGCCTGTTTGATTCCTCGCAAACGAGCTTCGGCAGCAGGACCTAACTTAGGTATGGAGTAGGAGGTAACTAAGGTACGTGTAAAATGTCTGGGCCCATCTTTAGAGTTTAGGGGCTGAAAAAAAAGGTGACATGGGTTTGATAAGTCGGCCGATAGGAGAAGCAGGCCAGAGCGTGCTTACGCTGTATCCCAAGAGCCTTTGTTATTTATTACGCTGCGCGCTGTGAATCAGTACGAGCACGGAGCACAGGCTCGAGGGCGCAGAAAGAGGAACACCGTCACCGCCGCCTGCAGAACGGGCGAAAAACAACCAACTCTGGCCTGCACAGACGGGCACTACTGGAGCACTGCAGGCACGAGAAGCCTTACTGTCTGCCTAATTATTTAGATCTTTGCCTTTACGAAAGCCATGCAGCTTTTACTGATCAGTCAGTACCATACTTGCACTTCCTAGCATGTGGCGCATACTTACTGTCATTACGTATTACATACTCGGTATCAATACCGATTTTAGCGTCCTACGTGTGTAATACGTGTTTTGGTGCTGATCTTGTGAGGTGCTTCAGTTCTTTGCTTCAACCCTACGACCAGCCAGGTGATAGGACACTTCTAGAGAGGACTATGAATCCCTATTGCATTCTAGAAAAGCCAGGCACACTTCATCAGCCACTAGGGAATGAAGCATGCCAAAAAATACGTTTTTGTTTTGCAGTCTTCTTTCCCGTCGGTCCATCTCTTTGGTGGCGCCGGGAATGCCTTGGGGTAATGATCGAATGCATTAAACCGCAGGCCCCACTCCAATGCAGGGGGACGGGCCACTCAAAGTGGGGCATTTGTGTTGAAACGCCAGCTCTCCAACCACACAGAAACGCTGGGGACGACTGACTGGCTCCGCCGTCACCGATGATCTGCCAACTGCCAACGCTCGGGATATGCTGCCGAGGGTAAAGAGGAAAGACACTGACGGGCGGAACAGATGACCAACATTGGTTCTATCCCGTCTGACAATTAACGAAATGCAGATCACGTCTGACGAAACTCCTACTCAAGTACACTAGGCATCCAAAACCAAGAGAAATGAACAAGCAACTCTACCTCACGGCGGGTTTCTCTAAGTGGACTGCGGGATATAAAACAAAATACCTAAATTTGCCTCTTGCTCCCGCCGTCCGGGGCGGCAACCTCCTTTTTTCAGTTAGACTTACGGGCGACCTACTGACAGATGCTACAGTGTCGGTATTCGTACTGCTAGTTGGCAAAAGGTACGATGGTAAATGCGTGCACTGTCTATTCATGACTTTGGTAAACACCTACCAAAAACCGGCATGGAGGAGCAGGACTCAGGACAAAGATTGTATGAGAGCCTGGGAGAAATCCCCCCAAGGCCTGTTGAATTGCGCATCAGTCTCTCGGAGAAAAGAAAAGAAAATTTAGGGCGAAGGCGCAAGACAGCGAGGCCATTTCAAATCTTCGTTGGCGACTGACTTCTGGGAGACATCGCCAGATTCGCTTGCGTCTTCTAGCGCGTCTAGCGGAAGTTTCTAGCGCAAATATTTACCAATTCTATTTCCCTTCCGCTCCGGCTCTGCGGCGGTGGGAGAAACACCGCGGCCGAAAACAAAAAGGTCCCATTGGTAATTTCCACGTTGAATGAGATGAGAGAGCCCGGGAATGAATTGAATGCCACGCTCAACCCCTGGAAGTGATCATCCCGAGAGCAACATCTCGGCGTTTCAGGCGCATGTAGGAGGAGGAGCGAATATGTGGTTGGTGCATGTGGCTCACTTTTCCAGGATGCAGCCCTGCACTCACTTCGGCCTTCCGGCCGCCTCGCTTTCGAGACAGACACACAACGCCACATGGTTCCCATACTCCGTGCATTGTATGATATTCTACGGGTTACGGATACACCAGGATGAATACTGTATACTATCTTATATACATTTACGCTTTGGTGTGTGGTTGCGTCCCCCGCTCAAAACACAAAGAAGAAAGAAAAACACTAACTATAAGTATAGCACCGATCCATGATTTTGTTGAACTCCTTTTTTTATGACCGTGGTGTTTTTTTCACCCATGCCAATGCCATTCATATGCTGCCGGGCGCCTCATGTTGAAGTTTGGACTCCGCGACTCCAAAATACACAAAATCCGGAATAAAGTCTCGCCCGTCGAAATCCAATTCGGCCTAGTACAAAACCCGGGTGAGAATGCGAGAGTTGAGGGAATTCAAGCTGTCGTGAATATCCTTGATATCGTCTGGCCTGACGTCACTAACATCGGCCATCAGATACGCGATATCACCCTTGCTATCCGAGATCTGCTTGTCGACATTATGCTCAGCCAAAATCTCATTGACCTTGCGCAGAACTCCGGGAACGTTGCGATGGATATAGATGACCCGTGCGTGGTTCGGCTCATCAGGGGTCAGCGAGCGCAACGTGACCTCGGGTACGTTCACACTGCCGATGGTGGTGCCTTGGTTGATATACCGTACGAGGGCGTCGCTGACCTCGACGCCGATGGCTCGCTGCGCCTCTTCGGTGCTGCCACCAATATGAGGTGTCAGGATGATGTTGTTGAGGCTGCGCAACTCCTCACCCCAGATGTTCAAGTCGCTGGTGAAATAGTCGCCGTTGGCGGCCGGCTCGTTAGGATACACATCCAATGCGGCGCCGGCAACTTTACCGGCTCGCATGGCCTGGATCAGAGCCGGAATGTCGACAACAGTTCCGCGGCTGGCGTTGATGAGGTAGGAACCCGTCTTCATCTGCTCAAGCTGCTTGGCAGAGATCATGTTCTTGGTCTCTGGTGTCTCGGGCACGTGCAGGGTGACAAAGTCCGCTTCCTGCAAAAGAGCCTCCAGCGTCGGCACCTGCTTCGCTGTTCCGATGGCCATCAGGCTGAGGACGTCGTAGTAGATGACCGACATGCCCATGGCGTCTGCCAGAACCGAGAGTTGCGAGCCAATGTGGCCGTAGCCGACTATTCCGAGTGTCTTGCCTCGGATTTCCCAGCACTTGGAGCTCACCTTGTTCCAGGTGCCTCTATGCATCTCAAGCGAGCGGTCGCCCAGCTGGCGGGCGAGAGTGATAATCTCAGCAATCACCAGCTCGGCAACACTGCGGGAGTTGGCAAACGGCGAATTGAAGACGGCAATGCCATTCTTGGCGGCATAGGCCAAGTCGACCTGGTTAGTACCGATGCAGAAGCAGCCGATGACAAGGAGGTTCTTAGCCTCCCGCAAGACCTTCTCCGTCAGCTTCGTCTTGGATCGGATTCCAATGACATGAACATCCCTGGGTCCATGGTTAGCTCATGCACCGATCTGGCAGATGTGGTCTGTCCTGGCCGAGCGAGGTACGGGGTGGACAGGGGACGGAAGGACGGCGGCTCACCTGATCTTCTCAATGAGCTCGTCCTCGGAGAGAGACGTCTTGAGAAACTCGACTTGGTATCCCTGGCGCTTCAGAACATCCCGACCGGTCTGGTTCACGTTCTCCAGGAGGAGGATCTTGATGTCTTCCGTGTTGAATGGCTTGAGCGCCTTGGCCACGGCCCTGTTTGGCAGTCCTCCGGCCGCGAAGCCATGACCGGCTGAGGGGGAGTGAAAAGTTGTGGTGGGGGACACGCTGAGGCTGTACGAAACCGCCCGGTTCTCTAGGGGTTGGATGATGTCTCTTGCGGCCGCCATGATGAGATGGTTGAAAAGAATGAGTTGGTGGGTATGGACCTTAGGTAGGAATTATGTGCCTCAATTGATTTCCTGTCTTGTGTGTTTTTGGCAAGCAATTGCTGTCTGTCCTTTTGACTTTGTACAAACAGAAAGACGGAAACACTGAGAAGTCTACCTACCGTATATGTAAGTGGACATGCAATGGTGGGGTTGTATGAATGCTTTATGGCGGGGTTGACTCACACACAGGCCGGGTCGTTGAAAATCTTTCTGGGCCGCCTGATGACGGAATGCAAAACCCCACGCCGCTGTCGCCGCCTCGGGCTTTACTGCGTTGGTCGTTTCCCAGCCCTTGAACGCCTCACCATCCACGGCCGAATTGCTCTGTTTTGATGAAAACTCGCCAATAGGGCACCTCCCCCGAGCACGTAGTGGTTTTAAATGAAAGGGCTTCAATCGTAATTCGTGATATATGTGCCTACAGTACCTACCTAACCACTCATCCCTAACCTTATATCCTTCCTTATTTTGGGCTACCAACCTTGATGGTATCTATCCTGTAGATGTACTGCTACTATATCGTTGATCTTAGTGCAACAACAAAGAGATCCCGTCCAGTACCAATAGTCATAAAAGTGCGTGGGTGGTAGGTCATTGAAATTCCTCTCGGCGCCGGCACCGCGGAAACCGTTAGTCGCCACCTATCCGACATCACCCAAATATCGGAACTGCCAATTAAGCATCTTGCATGGGACGGTGTAGGGCTCCGATGATCCAAGCTGCCGTGGCCCACAGACCCTGCAAGCGATCAGTCACATTGCACACCCGGTTGGCAGAGAGGAACTCGAACAGTCGTCTTTCCAGAGGCCCTAAATTACTCAGCAGTCGATTCTCCTCCTATTGTTTATCAAATAGCAACGTGCAAGTCCCCCTTACGCACGACGTGTCTTGGCCTAACCAATATTCGCTTTTCTGCGTTAATGGAACCATGAAAAAGAGGGTCGGTCACCGTTCATCGAACACTCAGCCGCCTAGGACTTTGCCACCCATCGGAAGCGACCAAAACATCAAGTTCTGTAAAGCAAATTCACCTCAAAACATCCTTACTGACCGGCCGCGAACCATGCTCTATTGACCCATTACGCTACCCACGTGCCGCCTCCATCCATCCCAAAGCTGAGGGGGCTGCCAGAAGGCATTTGTGTTTGAAAATTATCCTTGTTGTGGTCCCCCATGTAGACGGGGGTAAAGATGAACGGAGTATCCCCTTGATTAAACCGAGTGGTGTCTCGCCAGCTTAGCTGCATCGCATCTAGCTCTGTTTGCACTCAGCAGCCTCCGGCTTCGGCTTGGTGCCATCCTCCTATACATTGTTAGTCTGTGTCCAAAACATAGTCAACCGCGTTTGTCAGGACTCACATCATCCTCCTCGGACTCATCCTCGTCGTCGTGGTCCTCGCTGTTGTCATCGTCGTCATCGTCGTCATCCTCATCGAAGTCGCCCTCCTCCAGGTCGTCCTCGTCAAGCTCCTCGAAGGCAAGCGCCTCCCCAGTGAACCAGTCAATCGCACGAGGAATCAGCTTCTCCTTGATATCCTCGCCCAGCTGGTAGTCGAGTTCTAGGCGCTCCTCGATGTCAGAGGCGGCATCGTCATCATCTTCTTCGGTCGGGGCCAAGGGCGGCGAGAAGAAGTTGAAAAACGACTCGGTCGGCACAGTCTTTTTCACAATGCGGGTTTGCTTTGTGTCTAAAGAAGGTGAGCGGTTGGTCGTGAATGCATCGGGGAAAATGCATGATACTTACTCTTGTTGCGCTGCTTCTTTTGCTCGACGCGGACCGTCAAGTCCTGGCCATCCTTCCACTCGATCTTGTCTCCCTCGGCGTGGTCGTAGATGAAGTCGCCGCCATACCCGCTCTCGTTCTGATAGAAATATGTCTTGGTGACCGTCTTGTTGGTGAAGAACGGGTTCTCGGCGAACTCGAAAATCAAACGGAAACCGGGCTTATCAAGATACTCCATACGGATGTCGGTAAGAGACTTGAGGGCCTCCTCATCACGATCCGTGATCATTTCGGCAAGTGACATCTGGTTCTTCATGGCAGAGAGCCAGAATTCGGGAATGCCGGACACCTTCTCGGCCGACTCGGCGGGCTTGGCCTCCTTGACGGCAGCGCCCTCGTCCTCCTCCTCGTCATCCTCCTCCTCATCTTCCTCACCGGCCAAGACCTGCTCCTCGGTCGGCTCGTTGTTGCCGTTTACAATAGAAGAGCGCTGCTCGTAAAGAGGGGTAAACTTGGCAAAGTACTTCTTCTCGAGCTGGAGAACCTCCTCCTGGAACTCGGCCTCAAGCTTGGAGTGCTCCTTTTGGATGCCTTTCAGGCCGGAGACGCGGCGCTTGACCTCGGTGGGAAGCGACTCGATGTACCCTGACGAGCGGCCAACGAGCGAGCCCAGGCGTCCCTGAATCAGAGACACGAGCTTTGGATTTTGGGCGAAGATAGAAGCAGCGGCCGCCCGGTCCAGGTCCTCTGCGTGAGGGGAAGCAGCATCAGTCTCGGTACTCTGTGGTGTAGAAATACAATGCCGTGTGCGTTGGGCAGCAACCGCTTGTGACTAACCTTCCTTGATGCTCGCAACTCCGGGCTGCTGAGCGTGCGATGAAATCGGAGCATTGCTTGCTGGGGTGTTCTGAGGGGTTCTGACTCCGAGGTTAGTAGGGCTTATCGCGAGCCGACGGCGGCCAGCTAGCGGCGCTGTCAATCCATCTGGAGGAAGAAAACTTACGGGGCGGTGGCCGGGTCTGGCCGCTTGTTTCTGATAGGCTCTGCCATGGCGACTACGGTGATGTCGAAAACGACGCGATCTGTTGGAATGCGGGAGGGAATGTGTGACCACGATAAAGCGAGCAGGCCGGCCGAGATGTGGTTTATGTTTGAGGAGACGAGGTTGTGGGAAAAAAAAATAGAGAGATGGAGGTGCTGTTTGTTCCGTGCTTGCGAGTGCAGGAAATGTTGGGGAGGGGGAAAAGCTATGGGTCACTGGAAAATTTGCGGGGCAATCCTGGTTAGTGCGAGGCAGAATGCTCCAATGCTTTGCTTCGGCTTGTGAATCGCGACAGCATGGAACGTTTCCCCTCTATTTTGCTCTATCATTCATTCCATGCCTCGCTTTGCCACGCACTGCACCGGCTGTGGAATTTTTACACATACATGGTTCTTCGCCTCCTTCCTGACGCCAAAATATCCGACTTTTGCGTCTTTGCGGCCACGAACAAATTGTTCAGAAATCAATTCAACGCCGATACTTCCGTAAAGGTTGATACTAACCAGTTCACCGCCCTCCCCCACTTCAGGTTACGCACTTCCGTCTTGGAACGAAGCCATATTATCTTCGGCTTCCCCCACGTGCCCGCAGTTTCAAGGTTCAGCAATGAATCTAAATTTTGCCTATCTTCCTATCTTCGCCCCTTTATTGTAGGCACGCAGAGCGAGTAGTTTTCTTTTTTAGGGCCCATAAGAGTGTTTTGAATCTTTGTTCACTGAGCCTGCAAGGGCCAGGGATCGTCTCAACTATTCCTTTTTTTTTTTTGCAAATCTAGACCTCGAAAGAGAAATTGTGAGGCAGCGACGCCCCTGGTTTGGAGTGATTACGATGACTTGAATCCCGATGCCACTCCCCCAGTGGCTACTCATAGCATTCAAGCACATTTTTCTCTATCTAACTGTATTTTCTTTTTATATGGTTGGGTGTGTTTCTTTTGGGTTTGAGACACCAATGGCAAGGGGTAAAGCTATTTATCGGGAAGAGCGCATCGCTTGGAAAATTGATACCAACTCCAAAGGGGCGAAAGGGAGGGGTAATTTGAATAAATCGACAGCCCGAGGTTTCCAGCCTTGAATAACTCTCCGCCACCAGTGGGTCGGGTGTGTTAGCCCCTTGGCCAACCTGGTTTGGTTGTTATGGATGAGGGCAGCCAACAGTGCGTTCTTTCTTATATTGGATTTGGGGATGTTCTCAAGCTTTTCTAGTATCTGAGCTCCACAGGGCGATATATTGTTGGAGGTCGTGTCAAGAAAACCATGGTCTTTTTATGCATTTATTGCACGAACGCCAATATGTTTGTACAGCACTTCGTACATTCCTGTTTGTAAATGAGGTGAGAGAGTCGGGGACGCCTATGGGCATTTGCTTCACAACAAAGTAATTTAGTTTGTATTGCATGGAAAATGAAATCCCCCAATGTTACGCGTAAGTGCTGAGGTCCCTTTGCTCACCGTTGATCCATTACAATCCGATCACCATCTATTATCTTCCATTCTTGAAGAACCGAGTATATAGTCCTGAATGTTTGTTAGCGGGCAACTTTCCAAGATCCGAACGGCCTCGACAACTTACTACTCGTCCTAGGGGTTTTTCGCTGAGGGAGGTATTAGCTATTAGAGTCCCCTATTTTGAATCTTCACGGCCTATCACTTCTTTAGAAACTCTTCTTATAGTCTTTCTTAGCCGATTTATTTGCTCTAGTCGTTTCCTTCCTTCGAAGTACCACACTAACAAGCATTCCGGAATTGGAGTGACAGGCAATCATCAGCCCAGAGATAGGCAAGTTTTCTAAAGCATTCGGCTCTGTAATACAAAATCTGTGTTGTAATCTATCTCCAGTAAGATAAGGTAGATACTAGGGTGCTAAAGAGAATATCTCCTCAACAAAAGGACGATATTCATACACGGTAACTTTACATGTAATTTTATGTAAATGTGTCTAGGCACTCGCAAGGGTTGCGTGTAATAACGTTACATTACACGTTATGGTTAGTTATACTTTAGTAAGGTAACCAATGACCTCCCGGTCTGCCACATAGTATGGAGCTCCAGAGCTGTCTCTGGCCCACAGCGGCAGGCCAACGTCTTGCAAGTGCCACAGGCCCCGCCAATTGGATTCGAGAACTTGTTTCTCGACATCTTCGATCAACGAAAAGCACCAGACAATACGAGAAGTCTTAGTTGCCTTTGCTTGACTTGACTACGATGCGTACACGGCGCGCACACTTTAAACCCCGCGACCAGTTTTGCTAGCAGCAGAAACAGCCGCCGCCGCTGCCATGGACCGATTCACAGACACACTGGCGCAGGAGGACCACCAAAACGGGTCATACGCGAGCAACCACGGCCATGGATTCTACCGTCTCCAGTCAAATGCCAGCAACCCCAGCATCTTCGAAGATGTGGAGATGGCGCATGACGAGGTTAGGCATCCCGCTGCCCTACCTTAGTTGACAATGGCCAGGGCTTCTAACATTGGATATCACAGCTCTACTCGGGCCCCATGGCCGAGTCCCTCCCAACAAGTGTCTCAGCCTTCAGCCACCGTCGCGGCCGTGCCGACTCGACCAGGAGCTTCTCGTTCTACCAAGACGATGAGGAGGATGAGGGCGAGAACGAAATCGAAGACCGAGACGAAGATATTCGGTCTGTGTCCGAGTTTGGGGGGTCCGTAGCTCTGGGGCGTGGGCGTATTCCGGTGCACGACGATGAAGAGGGGATATCGTTTGACGACGATGTGTTGGACGAGGAGGACTCAGCAGACCTCGAGCGGCAGGCCGCCGATAACGACTACGTCCTCCACCGAAGGTCTTCTACACAGTCTAGAGACTCTGTTCGCAGCAGGCTTCTGCGGCACGACAGTGGATTGTCGGGCAGTTCGCACGGGATCGGCCGCAACAGCCAAAAGGTCTACATGGCCAACGAGGACATGTACATTGCCATTGCTGGATTTCGCACAAGCCTTGTAGGCCTCGCCGCCTATTCTTTCATATGCTTTACCACTCTTGGACTTGGCTGGCTCCTGTTTCGCTGGCTGCCTCGGTGGCACGTCAGATTAATAGGGAAGCCGACGTCCCTACGCGACTGTCAGTGGGTTGTAGTTGAGGTGTGTAGCCCCTGCTGTTCAATTGTCTCACCAATGTACACACCCACTCGAGGAAATCGATACTGACGCCATCATAGAACCAATGGAACGAAATGGCGATCCTAGAAGTCGAGTCCAGACCGTACGGCAGGCCGCTCACGTCCGTGTTCGGGTCTCCTGGGAAGCTGGACTCGTATTTGATGGACGAGGATAACGACCCCATTCTTAGAGATCTGCGAATGCTTAACTACCGCTACGTGCGCTTCTACTTCCACCCTCTCAAGGACAAGTTCCTTTTGTGCAATGGATGGAAAGATCCCCTCTGGTCTAATGTGCGAGAGATCCGCGTCGGCCTCGACAGCGATGAGAAAAGCCACCGCGATGTTGTCTTCGGCAGCAATCTTGTCGACATTGAGCAAAAATCAACCTTCCGCCTATTGGTTGACGAAGTATGTGTTGTCTCGAATGAGCAATGTTTGAAGACGTGCTGACTCGACTCGATCTAGGTATTCCACCCATTTTACGTCTTTCAGATCGCCAGTCTGATTCTATGGTCCATGGACTCCTACTTTTACTACGCTGCTGCTATTTTTGTTATGTCAGTGGGCAGCATCATAACAACCTTGGTTGAAACACGATCAGTAAGTACTTTTTATTGTCGCCTCGAGCGTCTTCACCGTGTGTGTGCTAATTTGACCAGTCTATGAGACGGCTCCGTGAGATATCTAAGTTTGTATGCGACGTAAGAGTTCTTCGGAACGGATTTTGTACGCGCCCAAGTTGGAGCCAAGAGATCCAGGCGGATGGCTAACAAAATGGCAGGGCGCTATGTCTCCTCGGGTGATCTCGTCCCTGGCGACGTATACGAAGTTAGCGATCCAAGTCTTGGCCAGTTTCCTGCTGACAGCCTTCTGCTCAGTGGCGACTGCATTGTTAATGAAAGCATGCTTACTGGAGAATCTGTGCCCGTGTCCAAAACACCGGCCACTGATGAGACGCTTCGTAACTTGGATCTCTCCGCATCGGCGGAGCTGCCTGAGGTCGCCAAACATTTCTTATTTTGCGGCACAAAGATTATCCGCGCTCGACGACCCCAGGACTCGCCTGACGAAGAAGCCGTCGGGCTTGCTATGGTTGTAAGGACCGGCTTCAACACTACCAAAGGTGCCCTTGTCCGCTCAATGCTCTTCCCCAAGCCGTCGGGGTTCAAATTCTACAGAGACTCGTTTCGATACATCTCGGTGATGGCATGCGTGGCGTTGGTTGGGTTTATGGCGTCTTTTGTCAATTTCATCAGGCTCCGGCTCGAGTGGCATTTGATTGTTGTGCGGGCACTTGATCTCATCACCATTGTGGTGCCGCCGGCATTGCCAGCGACTCTCACAATTGGCACAAGCTTTGCCCTTAGCCGTTTGAAGGCGAAGAGGATATTCTGCATCAGTCCTCAGAGAGTGAACGTGGGCGGCAAGCTTGACATTATGTGCTTCGACAAGACTGGAACTCTTACCGAGGAAGGCCTTGATATTCTCGGCGTTCGCGTGGTCTCGCGGTCGACCAACCGATTTAGCGACACGTTGAGCAGCCCAGACGTACTCGTCCCTAACCAAAATCACGGATCAGGTATCGAGGACTCGGGTGATACCCTGAAGGCTGCGCTCTACACCATGGCAACATGCCACTCTCTCCGGTCAGTTGATGACGAGCTTGTCGGAGATCCCATGGACCTCAAAATGTTCGAGTTCACGCGGTGGACGTTTGAGGAAGGAAACATAGGTGGAGGCAACAACGAGGATGAAGAGCAGGGAACTCTGCATCCTGCCATCGCCAGACCCCCGTCTGGGGCAAAGGACGGCGCAAATGGCTCCCAGCCGATTGCCGGACACGTAAGTGCCACAATTGCTTGATATCTTGGCCCGAATTGCTAAATTTTTACCAGACGCCCTTTGAACTAGGGGTTCTCAAGTCCTTCGAATTCGTGTCCCAACTTCGTCGGGCAAGCGTCATTGTCAGGACATTTGGTCGGCAGAGTGGAGATATTTTCGTGAAGGGTGCTCCGGAGTGCATGAGAGACATCTGCAGGCCCGAGACGTGTAAGTGAACATCAGATGAACTCAATAGCACAGAAGGATGCTAACACACGCGTCAAGTCCCCACCGACTACGAAGAGCTCCTTGCACATTACACCCATAAGGGATACCGAGTAATCGGATGTGCAACCAAACACGTCAAGAAGCTCAGCTGGGTAAAGGCCCAAAAGATGAAGCGCGACGACGTTGAATCCGGCCTGGACTTTGTCGGCTTCATCATTTTCGAGAATAAACTGAAGCCCGCCACGGCCCCGGTGTTGAGAGAGCTCCTCGAGTCTAACATCCAAGCCGTGATGGTGACCGGAGACAACATCCTGACTGCTATCAGCGTTGCCAGAGAATGCAGCCTCATCAATAAGACAGCCCACTGCTTTGTTCCTCGTTTTGTCGCTGGCAACCTGAGGGACCCTAACGCCGAGCTTGTGTGGGAGAGCATCGACAACCAGGTCTACCAGCTGGACGGGAAGACGCTACTGCCTCTGCCGGCTCCAGCAGAGGGGGATGCATCTCTCCCGTACGACATTTCTAACCTGCGCAACTACTCCCTGGCCGTCAGCGGCGACGTGTTTCGGTGGGTGGTAGACTTTGCGTCCCCCGAGGTGATGCGGAGGATGCTGGTGACGGGCAAGGTATTTGCGCGCATGTCTCCAGACGAGAAACACGAGCTGGTCGAGAAGCTCCAGAGCATCGATTACTGCTGCGGCTTCTGCGGGGATGGCGCAAACGACTGCGGCGCTCTCAAGGCGGCTGACGTGGGCATCTCGCTGTCGGAGGCTGAGGCTTCAGTGGCGGCTCCCTTCACGTCCCGAGTCTTTGACATTCGCTGCGTGCCCGAGGTGATTCGCGAGGGGCGAGCGTCACTGGCTACAAGCTTCAGCTGCTTCAAGTATATGAGCTTGTACTCGGCCATCCAGTTCACCTCGGTTAGCTTCCTGTACGCATCGGCATCCAACCTCGGCGACTTCCAGTTCCTGTTCATCGACCTCGCCCTAATCTTACCAATCGCCATCTTCATGAGCTGGGCCGGCCCGTTTCCTGAGCTGTGCCGAAAGAGGCCTATGGCCGATCTCGTCTCACGCAAGGTCCTTACACCGCTACTGGGCCATGTATGCATCTGCATCTTGATCCAAGCCATGGTATTTTTGTCCGTACGGCAGCAGCCCTGGTTCATGCCTCCTCATGTCGACCCGGAAAAATCCAACATTGAGAATTCAGAGAACACGGTGCTCTTCCTGACATCATGTTTCGAATATATATCAGCAGGAATAGTGCTCAACGCCGGTCGCCCTTTTAGGCAAGGCGCATTGCAAAATTGTAAGCTACTATAGTTCTGTTTATCGTTTTACTCTCCTACACACGCTCTTACAAATGGGACGGATCTTACTGACATGTTCGTCTTTTAGGGCCTTTCGTTGCCACGATCACCATCACCCTTCTCGTTACCGTTGTCATGGTTTCCGGCACAGTCCCTTTCCTAGAGAGTCTGATGCAGCTTACTTATATCAGCTGGGACTTCAAGTTCTTCATTGTCGTTCTCGGTGTATCCTATCTCGGCCTGGCATATATTGGAGAGCACTACGTCTTCCAGCGGCTAGCACGTCTGATCGGCCACGCCAAGCAGTCTTTCACCAAGCAGTCCAAAAACAGGAAGCAGCACAAGGTCATTCGAGAGCAAATGTTGTTTTAAAATAGAGTCGTTGTTACGCATCTACCCGGATATACCCCCCAAGACGGGTTGATTTGGCTTCTCTACTGGGCTTGCATAGAAGCGAACTGGCGAATAGGATTAGGCATATGTATATTTGCGCTTCTTGATTGGATAGGAAGAAAACCCAATGCTTCATAATATGCATATTGCGTTATGGAGAGCGGCGTGAATCAGTATGCCTAGCAGCTTCAACTCTGCCTCGCTGCCTTGGTTCTCATGCAAGGTTAATCAGAGTCCTGGTGAGCGGTAAAGAGATGAAAGCCTACGAATCTATGGCGCTGGGATCAATATCTATGCGGGCTTTCTTGGCTATGTTGCAGGTGATATGTTTGCAGTGAGGAAGTTGCATTTGAGACGCCTTAGCATGGTGTACACTACCTTTCCCATTCGGTCGTGTTTGGTTTCTTGGCCCCTTTCATTGTTTGTCTGTGCCCCTTTCTATGTGTGTCACGTCATAGCTTACTACATTACAAGGGCTCCGCCTAACCCCTCTCCAATCTGGCTGGGAGAATGCTGCTACCCTGGAGCTGGCTTTGGATTTCATGACTTTTCATTGCTCATTGCAGTGAACCATGGGTGGTACCGTACCCTAGCCAGATTGTAGAACTAGGCGGCCCTTTAATCCAACTGCCTACTTGCCTATCTACCTGACTTAACTGTGTTCATTTTAGTGTGTGTGTGATGGGTATAAGCCGTTTCATTTGGGAAATAGATCTAACTGCGGAAGTGACTCCTTAAGTAGAGGAAGCAAAATAGGAAAATACCTGTGACCTATCCACCTGATCGTTCAAGGCTCTCCATTTCAAGTGATCAATGAGTGTCCTAGAGCAAACCTTGGGGTGATGACCTTTATAGGTATAACTTGCACGGTACCCGGGTAGCCAAAGTACCAGCCGTGGTTGTGATGGTCGAGTCGGCTTGAACCTCAAGCGAACCTGGAAAGGGCGGGCTATGGTAACAACCCCACGCCAAGCAGCCGCGTAACTGTAGGTTTCTTCCTGTTCTCACCGCTAGACTCCCTTGAACCGCACTGATTCTGCAAGTTGTTGTGGTGTTTTTGTCGTTTGAACCCCTCAACTTCTTTAGACGGCGGTCAGTAAACTTGGCAACTAGCAACCCCCCACGCCCCTTTTATTTCGTAGACAAACCTTAAGGGAAGACCAATTTGAACTCAGAATTTGGGGGCGGCGGTCAAAACGGTCTTGTGATGGGCTATCTCTGGCAGTCCAAGCCTCAGCTAAGAAGAACTATGGGATGGCGAACTGCCTACCGCGGAATGGTGTTCAAGTCATCCCGCCCTATTTACTTGTCTGGGCCCATAGGGGTGTGATAGCTTCACCGTAAGAGTCCCTGCAGGAGTGCTTCGTCCCAAGTGACCCTTACTGCTGGTTGTCAACAGCCCCCAGGGCCTACTAGTCATGGTCTCGACCGTGAAGCGTCTCCAACCCCTAGAGGCCCTTGTAGAGCTCCATGCCCCAGACATGATATAAGATACGGCCTGGGTACTTTCGTCGATACACCCCCCTATGTCTCCGAAGTAGAGACGGAGGAAACAGACGAAATGTTTCCAGACTGGCTCATCGAAACGGTTATCGATAGTGGCTACCTGCCCGAAGCCGTGCTACGTATGGGGGTCCGGCGGTAGTTCGACAGTCGTGCGGCCGAGACTGCCTCGTCTTCGGTTGGCGCTACCTAGGCCCGGAAGATGGGGTTTGTGGCCGAGTTGCGCTAGCGCGAGATGGCCATCGAGACCACGACGGCCAATGGACAGCACTATGAGGTACCCACGCCCATCATGGCGGCCGTCCTGGGCTCGCTCATGAAGTATAGCGGCTGTCTGTTCCTCAATGACAAGGAGATGCTAGCCCAGGCTGAAGTCAACATGCTGCAGAGCTACGTTGACAAGGCTGACATCAAGATGTAATGCGTATCCTGGATCTCGGATAAGCAAGCAAACAAGAGAACAAAGAAGACCCAGTATCACTAACCAAGGATTAATTATATCCCCATGCCTAGCTGTGGCTGGGGCTCTGCGACCTTGTTTCTTGCCAGGCGCTTGCCCGACGCGACAATCATTGGCTTTTCAAACTCCAAGACACAGAAAGAGCACATTGTCGCAAAAGCTAAGGAACAGGGACTGGGAAATGTGCGCGTCATCACCGGAGACGTGATTGACTACGAATTCGAGCACGAAAGCTTTGACCGAATTCTGTCTGTCTCGGTAAGAGCACACACACACACACCTCTTTCTTCCTTTTTACTGCCCAACAAGTTAAAACTCACACATGACCAAAATAAATGATGCTCGAGCACGTCAAGAACTACGAGCTGCTCATGGTCAAGACGGCGAGAGCGCTCAGGCCCTGCGGGCACTTCTTCGTCGACGTCTTTGGGCACCGAGACACGCCGTACCACTTCCAGGAGGACTGGATGTCGACCCACTTCTTGACCGGAGGGACCATGCCAAGCCAGGACCTGCTGCCGTACTTCCAGGAGGACCTAACGGTCCAGACGCAGTGGTGGGTGGACGGCCACCACTATCGCATCACTGCCGAGGTGAGCTAGAACGGCCTGAAAAAACCCCGAGAATGCCCTCGGGCTGCTGACTGACAAGCAAGAACAGCAACGATAACAGCACTGGGTGTTGAACTGGAAGGCCAATAAGTATAAGGTATGGCCGCACCTGGTCGGCGCGTACAGGGAGGAGAATGCGAGCGCGTGGTTCAACCGCTGGCTGGGCTACTACCTGGCGATTTCCGAAATGTTCGAATATGGAGAGGGGAAGACTTATGGAGTCATCCACCTTTTCACGAAGCGGCGGAACTCGCCACCGCAGGTTCGAGAGTGAGGCTGGGTTTGGATATGTCCCCTTTTCGTTAGAACGAATGTGACGGAGGGGGTCTCTCTAGTGGTAGTAGTCTGTGGTAATTTGTGTCTTGTATATGTCCCCTAAAGGCACCGGTGGCCCGGATACGGGCACACCCCAAGGTTCGACGCTTGACGCCCGTATAAGGTGCTGCGTGATATGTACAATACAATGCCTCCCGCCTAGCCATCCCCAGTCTCGTTTTTTTTGCTTAGTGGTCCCACGGGTGCTTCCAGCCGAGGAGGACGGCGCCTGTGGAGTTTCAATGTTAGCGGGTGTGGGCAGCAAAGTTGCGTTGTCGTCTTCGTCTTCGTTTTCTTCTTGGGGATAATAAGTACCGTCTTTCTTCGCCCGGTAGAATAGCTAAAGACAGGCTAGCAGTCAGCGCATGTTTCTGGAGCTCGACATCGCAGGCACACTGCACGTGCCATGGGCGAGATAGGTAGCGGCGGTGGGCACATACGAAAAACCACATGCTTGCCCCGAGGCCTGTGCCAAAAGCCTTGTAAACGAGGCCGGGTTGTTTGAAGTACCAAGCTCCCCTCTGCCGGAAAGTTGGCCTTGCGCTCGTTGGTTCGGCCATTGCGCTCGTCGCTGCCGTTGAGATTGTTAGCTAACACCAACAGTAGCAATTGAGCAGGCAGTCGGGTTCGGGAGATACTTACGGATGGGGGGTATCGCGAGCGAGGAAAGCTCTGGGGATTGTGTTGTGTTCCGGTCGTCGGATTCACGGGGTTAGGTGAAGTCAGAGGCCCCGAAGCAGTTCGTCTGGCACTTCGCTCCGTTACCGACGCCTTGAAATTAAGGCACAAACTATCCGTAGGTCCACCTCAATCCGCAGCTTGCAGCTCGCCGCCCTGCTCTCAACGCGAAATGCAGCTTGGCATGGTCCGTGCTCTTCAATGAAAGCACGCCCGTCCAGCAAGGTGCATGTACTGTACTGTTTGTATTCCGTACTGTGCCAGAACAATTAACCTAACCTTTTCCAGTGTAGACGTCGGCACTCTGTTCCTTGGCCGAACCTTGACCTCGAAGTTCTCGATCCGAGCTGGACATTCGACAAACCTACCTAGCCTGCTTGCCATGTCACAGATGATGTCCGGCTGAGCAGGACGCGCCATTTCTCTCCCCTCTCCTCAATTTAAATCTAAACCCGACAACTAAGGCGGAGAGCATTCGCGCCCGCCCTCTTTTCACGGCGATCGAGCGACATCAACCGCCTTCCGTTTAAGCCTTCTCAACCCCATCGCGACCGACTATGAGCGCCCCCGAACCGCGAGATGCCGGCGGTGTCTCGTCTTCTGTCGCATTTGCTCTCAAGAACCAGCGGCCGAAATTAAGCTTCACGGGATGTTCCAGGATCACCGACTATGAGATACTGGGCAAGCTCGGCGAGGGCACCTTTGGGTGAGCCACTACCTACCCCCCTCCCCTCCCTTTCCCCCCACACTGACCTCTACTTCCTGACACGCGAACCAATGCTAACAGGCGCCCGCAGAGAGGTCCATCGCGCGAAGTCGAAGAAGACGGGTGCTGTGGTTGCGCTGAAAAAGATCATCATGCACAACGAGAAGGACGGAGTAAGTGCCTGCCGCTTCCCTCGCCCGTGTCTAATCCCTCGACCCATCTAATTTTTGCAATCAAGTTCCCGATAACGGCCCTGCGTGAGATTAAGCTGCTCAAGCTTCTCTCCCACAAGAACGTCTTGCAACTGGAAGACATGGCTGTCGAGCATCCTGTTAGAGCCAGTAAGTGACCGCATGTCTTCTTGCCAGAATCTCTCCCACTAACGCGCCCGCAGCCGATAAACGCAAGCGTCCCATCATGTACATGGTGACACCGTACATGGACCATGATTTATCGGGACTGCTCGACAACCCCAATGTCCATTTCACGGAGCCTCAGATCAAGTGCTATATGCTTCAGCTGCTGGAAGGCCTGAGGTACCTCCACACGAATCACATCCTCCACAGAGATATGAAGGCGGCCAATCTTTTGATAAATAACAAGGGCATTCTGCAGATTGCCGATTTCGGACTCGCGAGGCACTATGAGGGAGACGTTCCTAGACCAGGAAGGGGAGGAGGTGAGGCGCGGCGCGATTATACGAGCCTCGTGGTGACGCGATGGTATCGGCCGCCCGAGCTATTGTTGAATCTAAGGCGCTACACTACATCCATTGACTTGTGGGGCGTCGGGTAGGTGCCTCCCATTGGGTCCCTTTTTTGTTGAATGGTACTAATGCAGTCGACAGGTGCGTGTTTGGAGAGATGCTGGTTGGCAAGCCGGTTCTGGCTGGCGAAAGCGACGTAAACCAGCTCGAGATCATCTTTGATCTCTGCGGGACGCCCACAGAAGACACAATGCCCGGTTGGCGAGGATTGCCAGGCGCCGAGGGCCTGCAACCTCGCCCAAGACCAGGTAACCTCGCACAGAGATTTAGAGAATATGGATCGGGGGCCATATCGCTACTGAAGGAGCTTCTCAAGCTTGATTGGAGAACGCGCATCAATGCTATCGATGCGCTTCAGCACCCCTATTTCCGAAATGCGCCATTCCCAGCGCATCCAGGCGACATTCCCACGTTCGAGGATAGTCACGAGCTTGATCGTAGGAAGTTCCAGGATCGGAGAGCCGCTCTACCACCTGCGCCGAAAGGAGGTGAGGTGGGCCGTGGCGCTCTGGAGGGCGGCACGGGGCACAATGCTGGATTTCACAATGCCGACGGCTACGGCTCTAGGAATGGCCTTAATGGTAGTCGTTACCCGCGAAGTAGGCCGTCCGGGCCACCTGACGAGCGCGTACCTGCTTGGCATAGGGAGCGAGGACTGCCGCCGCGACCCCCGCCGCCTGTTGACCATTCTAATGGCTGGGATGCGGCTAGCGACCACACGGACAGCTATCGGGATAGGGACCGCGCGCCCAGGCCACGCCCTGTAGGAGGGAGTCGCCCCGACGTCGACACCTACATTCCCGCCTATAACGCCCATGATCGCGACGCTTCACATCCTAGGAGAGACGAGAGGCGTCGTCGGGATGACTGGGATGACACGAGACGGCACGATTGGGATCGGAGACGAGTGGATTACGAAGACAGGTCCCGGGCCAGCAGGACGAGAAGCCGAAGCCGATCACCAATCCGGGACCGAGATCGCGACCGGGATCGCGAGCGTGACGTCTACCGCAGGTAGAGCCAAGACGGCGAGGTACTGCCTGAAGCATATCTGGAATTGCACACATATATTATTGCATCAAATTCCGCAGCGCAAAGGAACAGGAAAAGAAGTGGAGTTTGTTTTGGTATTTCCTTTTTTTCTTTTGCGAGCTTTAGGGGGTGGTTCTCGGTCGGCACTGTCTATTCTGTTGGGAGCAAGCCCCTTCTATTTCTAATCACCTGCACAGCATCTGGGGCGTACTAGGAGGTGGGTTTACTACGTGCGGCGTTGTTGGTAGGGGTTTAGGTAGATTAGCAGGTAAACAATTTGTTTGTAATTAAAACTAAGAGGGAAATTTTACGTGACCTAGTATACCATTTGACACATGCGGGTTGGGATTACGGCGGTAGGAGACATATGTTAAGCGCTTCTTGTACTATGACAAATAGTCGATTTTATGGGAATTGCCCAATCACTACGGAGATTAGAAACAACCATCGCTTGAAAAGGAGGTTAAAGACAAGATAACCCAGCGTTACGAGTCATCCTCTTCGTGGATGGTCTCCCTCAGCAACCCGTGCAGCCGTCGCCTACTCGTGTTGGGCAGCGTCGCGTGGCCCGAGGCGGCGGCCGGGGCAAACATATCAAACTCCATCGAGCTCTGACTAGAGCTCCACCACTCGTCGTGCTCGACGGTAGCAAGGCGACGGCCGTGGCCCCTATTGGACCTTCTCGGGGGCTCCTCCTGCGTGTCACTACTGCTGTCGCTGTCACTGTCGCTGATGCTGTCGCTGTCGTCCTCGTAGTGGTGGGGAGCAGCAAGCTGAGACACGAACCGGAATATCCTTGCCCATACGTAGCCGAAGAACATGCCTAGGATTACTGCGTAGATGAACTGGCTCAGGGTCCGCGCCCATGGTTGCGGGCTCGATGGTTAGATTTTTGTCGTTTATTTACTTGGGGTGGGGGAGGGAAGGGAAGATAGCTAGGGATACAAAGATAGCTAGGGATACAAAGATAGCTAGGGATACAAAGATAACTAGGGATACAAAGATAGCTAGCAGGGGAGAAAGAGAGAAAGAGAGACAACTCACGTATATTATCACAAGCTTTTTGTCATATCAAACGTCAGCCGCTTTCACTTGTCCGTATCTGAAAGGCAGGATAGAGAACAGGCAGCGAGAGAGAGAAAGAAGAAGCCACTAACCTCGAATTCGTCCGTGATGCTCAACACGATACGCGCGGCGCCGAAGAGCGGCGCTACACAGTACCGCACGAAACCCCACATGGGCGCAAGCAAGGTATGCGCGGCTCCGGCGGCCGTGCCGGCGACCCACGCCACGGGGCGGAGCAGCCACATGGCGACTGTGGACAGGATCGTCCAGGTCCAGGACACCAAGCCCCGCGCGCCCGACAGCACGAGAGGCACGAGGACGACAGCGGCAGAGAGCAGAAACCCCCAGACGCCAATGCTGCTGCTGCTGACGGCGTCCATGACGGCGCCGGTCTCGTCGGTCATGTTGATCTTATCGCCGCCCATGGTTCCAGGCTGAGTGTGCGGCGGGTTAGTCCCTGTCTGCCTAGCACCGTGAGGCTATGTTGCTGTTGGCTTGTTGTCTGGTTCTGGCCCTGGCAACTGCATCTATATCGACCTGCGATGGCGGTTTCAGACTTGGAGGTTGGTGGTGGTTGTCCACCGGGTTTTGGGGAAGTTGACTTATAAGGTTGGTGGTTCAGGGGGAAGGTTCACTGTGGACAACCAATCGCGTGAAAGCGACCTTTCATGCGGTACAACAAAAGGCCATGATTGTGATTATCTGAAGGCGAACACAAGCAAGAGGACGAATTGAACAATCAACACTTGCGCTCGAAAGTTGCTGAGCGGTTCGGCTTATTATGAGACGCCGAGCCCGTTGTTTGAGTTGCGCCTCCGTTGGCATGCGCCGTAAGAACTGGGCTGGACTGCCATCTGATAGAACATCCGTAGCGAGGTCTAGCTCTGGCAGGTACGTCATTTGCAAGCCGTCGCGATGAGGAGACCCGTTCCGTGCATAAAAGAGAAGGGCTTGCATATATGCATAATACGGATAATGTATTCTTGTAAGACATATATAACCGCCACGCAGGCCCCATCCAGTTCGTACTGTACAATTTCCCATTCTGGAACCTCACACAAACCGCTCAAGAGAGCTCTTGTTGATGCATGCAAGCCTCAACCCTCAGACCTCGAGTTATGAGAATGCAGAGACAAACGACCAAAGCTCAATCGCTAATTATCTAGTTGTCGTGCTGTTGAGATTCCTTCATGTGCCTTTGATCGTGAAGCATTTATTTCTATTTCATATTCCATTAAGCATTTTACATTTTTTTTCTTCAGAACCCCTTTTTGACGGGAGCACCCGGTCAACTCAACCTCATAAAACCTCGCTTTTCATACCACCTCGTTCCCAGCAAACAGCTCTGCAACCCAAGCAAGCCAAGACAGGCTACGACACATCTACTCGCTACAGAGCTATAAACTCAACCCGCTCGCTACTTTGACACTCAGAAAAAAAGGGGAAACTCATCATTTCGCCATGGCTCCCCCGAGCGCCACGCCAGCAGCCCAGACCAGCAGCCATGAGGAGGAACAGCAACTAGAAAACAAAGACATCACCATGGGCAACACAACAACAGCCACAATCACAACTACCAAACCAAACAACAGCAAGAAACCAAAAAAAGGCCGCGAGCTCATGACATGCACGATCCGCGCGCCGCCATTCGCCTACGCGCAGCTGGCAGCCGTGAGCGACACATCATCATCCACCACTGACGACCTCGACGCGTTGCAGGTGCGGGCGTACTGCACGTCTGCGCTGCGGCAGTTCCTGGGCGACACGGGGGCGGGGATGGCGGTGGACATTCTGAGCGTGACGGGTTCGTCGTGCTGGGTGCGGGTGCCGCGGGCGGACCTGGGGGCGTTTGCGGCGGCGCTGACGGCGTTTGGCGGCGTGTCGTTGACGAACAGTGGTGGTGGTGGTGGTGGTGGTGCCAAGACGGCGATGCTGGTTCTGCAGGTGCAGGCGTGCGGCGACTGGCTGGGCAGTTTGATCGGGCGCGCGGAGCAGGGCGCTTTGTGGACGTCATGATGGGGAACGATGCTTTGCTTCGCTATGCTACGACGACACGCAAACACTCGCCTGGCTGGCGTGAACGGCTGATGGGGCAGACCATACACGCTGACGGGCTTGTACGTGGAACTGACTGGAGACACGCCTTTGTGTGCGGGTTGTGTTTCTACATATCTGGGTGCGCTTTTCTGCGCTTCGGCCACAGTCCCAAGCTCGATGAGAAAAGGGGAAGGGGATAGGAGGAAGAGGGCCAGCTCGCAGAAGAGCGACAAACGTACACTCTGGCTGGGGCCTTTTGCTTCGTTGCGCACACGATCATCTGCGACAAGCGCCAAGGCTCCCAATCATCGAATCAACTATCGGAAAGAGGTATCAGGTATCGCTGCCATGTCACCGCCACCAACAACCCAGAAAATAAAACGCCGCTTCCGTGGCGACTCCTATCTAATGCAGCATAACCTCTACATAGACCCCCATGCGTCTGTGCCACTTCTAGACCTACATCAACGAGGACATAATGGAGCTCTGGGCATAGGCCTAGCGCGTGCGGTGTTAGCTATGCTCTAGAAGCAAACATACGCGGTGGTTGGAAGGGAAAACTACTCACCATAGGCTTCATAGTTGGGTGAGGGACAGCATCGAACTTGCGGAAGTTGAGCCTGTAATCCGGACCGATGTTGATAAATGCGCCCTTGTTCTCTGTCATGTCGCAGTACTTGGGAGCCGAAAACACTAGAAAAATTCACATGTCAGTAACCGAAGGGCCGGACGTGAGGTGAGGGAGCGCGGCACGTACCCGTGATGCATTTCCCGTTGTGTTCCTCCTCATAACCTTCCATCCTGACTTCGTGACTCCGGATGATGGCCTCGAGGCCGTTTCGCTCGCAGAATCTCGCAGTGACGTCAGGCCCAAACTGCATGCCGACACCGCGCTTGCTGGGACCGCGCCCAGGCTCCGTCTGGGGGTCTGTCCACAGCATCTCCATCATCAGGCCGGCGGAGCCAGGCTGCCGCTGCTTGTGCCTGTTTAGCTTCCGCACGTCATCTAGCGTCACGTTGTCGTCCGAGAAGAGGCCGCCGTGCAGCACGAAATACTTGCCACCGATCAGCGTCGCCAGCGGTAGCGCCGAGAAGCTCTCCGAGAAGAGCTTGAATATCCTGGTGGCGAGGGTCAGAGCCGAGGAACAAAACAAGATCAACGGGCTCCCACAGGTCCCACTTACCGTTCGTTGTATTTAGCTTTGCACTCGCCCTCGAAGCCGTACGCCCTGTTCATGTCGTCTGTCTCGTGGTTGCCGCGGTTGATGAAGAAGCAATTCGGCCTCAGCCACTTGTTAGCATAGAGCAGCAGCGCAATCTCGCACGACCAGTTGCCCCGGTCCACAAAGTCGCCGTTGAACAGATAGTAGTGTTTCTCGTTTGGAGCGCCATTTAACCGGAAGAGCTCCATCAAATCGTAGTATTGGCCTAGTCGCCCCAATGTGTAAGCGCAAACAGCCCAAAGTCACTACCGGCACATGAACGTGGAACGGGTAGGACCAACCGTGAGTGTCGCCGCACACCGTCAGCTGCACGCCTTCGGGTATCTCCATCTCGACCATGGTGGGCTCGTTGTAGACGATCTTGGTGACGGCCATTATGATCTGGTAGACGTATTTCTTGTGGATCAGCTTGCTAGTCTTAAACCGCTCCATCATGTCGTCGATAAACTCCTGCGTCATCTCCTTCTCTAACCGGACACCGTCGTACGCGGGCTCTATTGCGATCGACTCGACGTCGAGGCCCTCGGCGGCCGACGGCTCGTCGCCGACCTCGATGGCGGCGAAGAAGGCGATCTGCCGCACAATCTTCTCGCAGTCGACAAGCTTGAGCTTCGCATCTTTGTTGCTCGGGTCGATCTTGACGCACGTCTTGAAGTCCTTGAGAGCTTCCCTAGGCTTTAGGATGGCGGCGTGGGCGGTTGCGCGGCGGTAGTATGCCTAGATGCGCGTGCGCAAAAAAGCGGCGTCAGTATATGCATGCAATATACAGAATGAACTACCCATGCCTCTCCCCCCGCTTCTCTTCCGAGGATTGCGGCTTCCGGGTCGGAGACGGCGGCGAGGAGAGGACGGGAATGGGTGCGCGCACCTTGATGAAGTTTGGGTTCAGCTCAATAGCCTTCGTGGCGTCCCTGATGGCATATCCGTACGACTCGGTCTTCAGATTGGCCTACATAGAGTATAACAGTCAGTCACGCGAGCGGGTATAGTTTAGTGCGCCGCGGGCCGGATTGGCCTCGGGAAAGGCGGCGGAAACGCACCTGTGCTCTGTTTGACCAGTATGTCGGCTCCTTCTCATTTAGCTCAATGGCCTTGGTATAAAAGTCGATGGCTCCCAACCAGTCGTGCGCAGCAAAAGCCTTGTTGCCCTGGTTTTTCAGGGCAACTGCTTGCTCTTCAGAAGTCGCCATGGGGATTGCTTTTCGCTGATGGCTGCTACCTTGGCATGCAAAACTGCAGGCCTCAATGGGTGCGCGAAAAGGACGAGATCCAACAAGTTTCCTGAGAAGTACAATGCTGGATAAGTAAAAAAAAAAAGAAGAGAGTGAAGTAAATACTTGAATAGCTGGTGGGTGGCAAGTTCAGACTCGACAATACACTAAGTAGGCAGTCTAACAACAGGGAGGAAGCGTGTAGATTGGTTGCCTCTGTGGCCTCGCCTTCCCTGCGCGAATCGGACGCCCAGATTGCCAAGGTTAGGCCTGCGGTGGCTGTTGACTCACGGGGTGTATAAGGATACTTTTGGTTACACTGATACCGAAATCCGTATGCATATAAGCCATCACCGCTTGAATCCACGCCGTGGTTCCCAAGCAAGCTGTGGTTATCAAGGAGTGCAACATTTTGAAGGACGGCTCCTCCATATGCCAACATGTTGTTAACACTTTGCTTTTTTCTCAATTCCTCGATTCAGCCCCAAAAAAGCCACCTTATTTCTAGAATTGCCGCCCTAGAAAGTATAAATCAAGTTGCCGAGGGTTTCTTGGCACGCAAAGCTGAAAGGGCCGGGTTAGGGTTAGAATAGGCATTCCTACCTATGAATTACCAGGAGACTCGTCGATCAACCGGGCCATTTCTTCCGGTTGTTAACGGGGACTGAATAAACAGACGAATTGGCAAGTACAAGACTGAATCTGCAAGCCCATCAAAGCATGCAACCGTCTCCGGGTCCGCCGTGCGTTCATGAATACATCGGTGCCTATTACATACTTCGTAAGCGCCAGAATGAAGCTGATATGCCGCGGGTGGAAAAGGGTTCCAAGCACGATGAACAGTTCTCACATCAAGAGGGAGAACCGGGCAGAGGTTAGCAACGTTCGCCATCCATGAACCATTTCCAGCATTTCCGGTGGAAGCAGTCACGTCGCCAATGGACTCAGCAGATCACGGCAAAGTAGTTTGAACATGTTGACTCTATCCGCCTGCGATGGATGCTTGCTAGTGCCATCTCCCAGAATCCGACGACTCTTCATCACTGTCGTCTCTGAAGCCCTCTTCCAAGCTGGTTGCAAAGTTAGCGCACGATTCTGGCAACGGGTCAGCAAGATCCTATACTGACTCTCTGCTTAACCTCCTTGTGTCGTCAATGACCTGCGGCTGATGTCCGAGGTCTGCAATCACCGATCCATCTACCTCGCCCAGCTCCTCTCCCTCGTCTGAGTCAAACCCAGCGTCGGACGGGTCCGCGACGGCGATGCGATCCTGCAACCGCTGCCGCCACGTCGATGGGACTAGGAAGTTTGCAATGCCATTCTGCACCCGCGCCCTGATGGACAGCGTCTGGTTGGAGATGGTCTCCAGGGGGAGATACTGGCTGTACCGCGTACGGTATCGCTGCCAGAATGGTATAATGAGGTATGTCGTGACGAGGAATAGGATGAGCGAGATGAGCGCCGGAACGATCAGCGTCTATCGTTGGGAAGGCGTCAGCGCTCTGCAAGTACCCAACGAGCAAGCCGCCACTGCAGCAGTTCCCCCCCGTGTACCTTGATGACCAAAAACGAAGTAGCCATATCTAGGTAATGGTCCTCAGCTACTCCTCCCCATGAAGCGGCCTTGTCCACGACGGCAGTACAGTGTGGGTGGGTCGCGGTTCGCGCGAGGCTAGGTATGGCGCAACCAAATAAAGATGGCCGCGTTGGACACGATTGCCAATTCGACGGGGAAGCCGGCGCGACAAGAAACCGGGCGCTGCACGGAAGACTAGACGAAAACACAAGGTAGTCAAACAAGGTCGGACCAAAGTCTTGTACACATCGTCGACGGCGGGCGCGAGACGGAAAAGCCCAGGGCGCGCCGGAGAGCGACAGGAGGTTCTCGTGGTGTTGAGGCTAAAGAACGGATGCGACTTAATTAGGGCGGGCGATCGCGCGCACTGGAGGAAGGTCCCGGCCCGGAGAGTCCTCCTGCCCCACAGGGACACAAGGGACGACGGGCCCAAGAGTGGGGCGCCAGGAGTTGCCCCCCGCCTTCCCGTTGGCGGACGTTTCTTGTCAGAACACTCTTTAAATGAGCAAGGCCGCAACGCAACTGTCAACCCGCCTCTTTTGCTGACGGTTCCAACTTCCACCGCCGCTCGTTGGACGACGGTTGGGACTTGGAGGGCCGCAGTGTTGGGCCGTATCCGACATCTGCAATTCCCTTGGCTTTTGTGGAAGCGATGGGTATATGTCCAGGTGGGTTAAGAGCCTCTTAGGTAACGTATCCGTTGTACATCCCTTACAAACCTGCCTGTTATTGTAACTTTCGAATTAGGCCTAGGCAGCCGTGTATTCACAATGAGCCGCTACGGTGCTGGTTCTGCAGTGCTCAGGGGGTTGGCTATTTGACGAGAGCGTCAACTCTCCTTTCCTGTGCAGTTTGGCGGCGGTATATTCCCGTATTTAGCCCGCATTTGCTTGCAGTGCCGTGGGTGTTGGTTCGCGACTTGAAGCCAAACCCCCGAACCCCTGAACAAAGCTTAGCTTAAGTTAGAAGATCTGGCAGAGAATACTCGCATCTTCTCGCTAATCAATGTCTATTTTTTGTAGTCCTGCAAGACTTTTTGTTTGCCAGGCATTGATTAGCAAAACGTCCAAGAACACACCAAGGCATCCGGGTTCCTGCTAGGCAAACCCGGGGATGGGGAGTTGGGGATGGGAACCGCGGGGTTACGAGAAGCTCAAGCCTTCCGCAGATTCCGTTCAGATGCGGGTGGGCGGCAGCAGCTGCAAACGACCTGCGCGCTGCGCAGAAGCGGCCTGCATGCTCCGTGCATTGGTTGCTATAGACTTGAAGACTACAAGAGTATGCGAGCACAGTGGCACAAGCCTATAAGAAAGAGACGTGGGGGGAGTACAAAAGGATCGCACACCTGTAGGTTCGTCAGGCAGGACAAGGGAGGCTGGCAGCTCAGCTAAGCATGCGTCGGAGGCTGGTCAGACGATAGCAGCTCCGGACAGGTACTGGAAAGTATTGAGGGATTGATAGCAAACTCGTGGGCGCTATGAACTAATGGACCTGCGATCCAATACTGTCGGCAAGAGCCAAGGCAAATGTTTCCCCCACCTGGGCACTTTGAACGTTGTTTCACAAGCCGCTTCCACCCTCTGGCTCGGCTGGCCCAAGGTCGCGTGGGCCCTAGGGTCTCAGTGAGTGGTGTGGAGCTTGGACAGCGCTGCAGGCCGCGGCAAGCCGGGGGGGTGAATGTTAGGGGGCTTGATCCAAACTAAGCTCGTTTCAGACCCCAGAACCCCTTTGTGGACTTGCCTTATCGATCGGAGATTCTGTTGCGGCCAACCGACGGCCACAATCCCAACCTTGAACTACAGAAAGGCCCATCCAGCCATCGCCGACGTGTCTCGCCGACACCGTCATCGCTTTCTAACAGGCATCTGAACATTCGCTCCTTTGTCGCCTCCGGCGCCTAGGTTACCGACGGTTTACCGCAATTTTGCGGGAGCCAAACGAAAGCCGCGGGCCGTGTTGTGTTGTGTTGTGTTGAGTGTATCGCATCGTACCGTCTCCGAAGAGACTGGCTCGGCCGCTCTTTGCTCTCGACACGGGTTGACGCGAACGAGGCGCTTCCCGGCGAACAAAAATACTTGACCTGCGTTAGCTCTCTCAACCACCTCACGACTATCATCATCCCGCATCATCATCTTGCAGCCCGGCTTACAGCTTGCTTCCCTAAACCGTATGTCAGGTCCCGCCCTGGCAGGCTGCTATGCAAAACCTTAACCAGCTCGTTTTCGCCGTGCGCTGCTCGCTCCTCCAAGCCCCAGACCTCATGCTAAATGGTGGCAATTCATGCATAGAAGACTTGCATCCCGGCTCCGCGAACCGCATCGTCCCGAAATCTCCCTGCCTGCCTGCTCCCGCAAGGCCCATGATGCGATGCAGCTTGCGCCTGAGACACCGTGTCCATTGACGGCAGATCCCCAACTCTTGACGACGCATTGATTGCCAGAAGCCGAACCCGCTTCTGCTGCTGAGAAACCCCACGCTGGCGGCTGTTTCACGCGTTCCCGTCTAGGTCAGTCCCACCGCCATCATGTCTTCGAACGACAAGTCGAGGGCCTCGTCGGGCGGCAAGGCCACGTCCTTTTTCTCCCGATCCAAAAACAAGGCCGACAAGCGAAATACAAGCGATGAGGGCCGCTATCTGTCGGCCGACTACGACGCCTCCAACTTTCTCGCCTCACGGTCCTCGCGCCACCAGCGCGAGTCGTCCGTCCTCTCTGTAGACCGCCCAAACTCACCCGAGTCCGGCATCAACATGATGGCTGGCGTCATGACCACCATCCCCTACGAAAGCGTCTCGGCCGGCCGCCGTTCACCCATACCAATCGATTACCTCCCCAAGCCGGACCAGATGCCCCTCCGCCGCGAACCACTGCCGCACCAGCTGAACAAGGCCACCAGCGACTTCCATCAGTATCCAACCTTCGACCCCTCCGCCTCCAATCTCTCTCTACAGCCCCCGGGCCCGCGCGCGGCCCCGCTCCCTCCCGGCTCGAACTTGACGATGACTTCGGCCGGTCGCCAGACCCAGTATCAGCAGTGGGGCCCGTCGCGAGAGAGTGCCGCCGGTATGTCCCAGAACTCGAGGTATAATTCATATATGACGTCTGGGGGTCGCAGCTCAATGGACCACTCGAGCATATTCTCAGGTAATAGAGAATCCGTTCCAGACCATGCCGCCGCCTTTCGCTCATCAAACCTACTAGCACTCCCCAGTGCATCGTCCCAGTCCTCGCACACGTCTCAACACTCGCACAGGGACTCGAACCGTCTAACCAAATCTCCTCAAGGACACCATGGCAGCGAAGGATTTGTCTTTCCCAAACCTGACGATGACAATGTCATTGAACAGATGTTCGTGGCGTTAATGCAGAAGCGCGGGTGGCACAACCTCCCGGACCAGGCGAGGCGCCAGATGACGGCATACCCCGCCGGTAAGAAATGGACGCTGATCTACCAGGACCGCCTTACCGAGTGGCAGGGTGAGCAGAAGCGTCGGCAGACAGCCAGGATTGGCCAGTACAGCAATCTCGACATCACCCAGTACTCGGACGAGGAGGGCACACCCGAGTGGTATGTGCGCAAGGTCATGGATAACACCCTCGATTCTAAGGGTCTAGCGAGCTTGGAGGTCATCCTGCGGACGCAGCAAATCGGCTGGGTGAAGCGCTTCATCGAGTGCCAGGGCCAGGTCGCTCTGACTAATGTTCTTATGAAGCTCAACCGGAAGACAGCGCTAGGCCCGACGCCTGATTCCGCCAAGGTGGATAAGAACTCGGACAGAGAGTACGAGATCGTCAAGTGCTTAAAGGCTCTAATGAACAACAAATTCGGTGCCGACGATGCCCTGGCCCACCAGCAAGTTATTGTGGCCCTGGCCACGGCGCTGATATCGCCGCGGCTCCAGACCCGGAAGCTCGTCAGCGAGGTCTTGACCTTCTTGTGCCACTGGGCCGATGGCGATGGACACATCAAGGTCATCGAGGCTATGGACATTGTCAAGAACCAGCTGGGCGAAAACGGGCGGTTCGACGCCTGGATGCGCCTCGTCGAGGTGACGGTCGATGGCCGAGGAAAGATGGGCAGTCTTGTGGGCGCAAGCGAGGAGGTCCGCAGTGGTGGCATTGGCATGGAGAATCTGTTGATGGAATACGCCGTCGCCACGCTCATCCTGATCAACATGTTGATCGATGCCCCCGAGAGGGATCTCCAGATGCGCGTCCACATTAGGGCCCAGTTCACAGGATGCGGCATCAAGCGCATCTTGATCAAGATGGAGGCCTTCCAGTACGAGCTGATCGACAAACAAATCGAGCGGTTCCGGACAAACGAGGCTATCGACTACGAGGATATGCTCGATCGGGAGAACAGCAGCATCAAGGACAGCATCGACGGCGAGGTCAAGGACCTCAACGACCCTGTCCAGATCGTAGACGCCATCCAGCAGAGGCTGAAGGGAAGCAAGACTCAGGATTATTTCATCTCGGCTCTGCAGCACCTGCTTCTCATCAGGGATAACGATGGAGAAGAGAGGTTGCGCATGTTCCAGCTCGTCGACTCAATGCTGAGCTATGTGGCTATGGACCGGCGGCTGCCGGACATGGACCTCAAGCAAAGCCTCAATTTCACCGTCCAGAGTCTCCTAGACAAGCTCCACACAGACTCGGAGGCCCGCCAGGCTCTCGATGAGGCTCTCGAAGCGCGGCAAATAGCGGATGCCGCTATGGCAGAACGGGATGAAATGAGGGAAAGGATGGCCCTCGGCGCTGATGGGCTGGTTGCAAAACTCCAGAAGCAGATCGATGAACAGTCCAGGTTTATAGAAGCCCAACGGAGACGGACTGAAGGGCTCAGGTCTGAGTTGGAGAGCATGCAAGCGCTCAGGGCCAAGGAGTCACAACGTTACGAGCTGGAGACGCGAGAGCTGTATCTCATGCTTCGCGATGCTCAGGATGTGGCCGCTTCTAACGCTGCTAAGGTCGGCGGGAAGCCGGGCGACGAGGAACCAGTTCGTATGCAAGGCATCCTAGACCGGGATAGGCTCATGGAACGCCTGCAGCGTCAAATCGAGCGCCAAAAGACGCAGTTCAAGCTCGAGGGAAGAACATGGGGCGAGGCCGCCGGTCCCTCGGACAGACTACGGGCCCTGCGAGAGGAGATGGACGGCTTTGGAGACGAGTCTCCAAGTACTGGCGCTCCGCCGAGGGACTTCACCAACAGTATGCTTGGGAGTGTCAAGAGGTCAACCAAGATACCCAGAAAGCCTCTTGGCCCTCGCGGCGAGCCTGTGCAAAGCGTCATGGAGGAGAGCGACGATGCCGCCGAGGACGAGGACGGTGTCGTGTTTGAGAAGCCGAGACTAGTTGAGATCAAGCGGCCCATTATTGATCCCAAACAAGCCAATGGCATGTTCAGCGAGCTCACCGGCAAAGTCAAGAGGTATGACGCCAGTGACTCTGAGGAAGGAGATGGCGTTACTACCGGCCCATCCCATCCAAGCTTAGAATCTCAATCTCCTGTCACGCCAAGCGACAACGAGCCTCCCAAGATCCAAATCACCAGTGCTTCGTCACCAGCACAAGGTCCTCCGCCTCCTCCACCGCCTCCCCCTCTACCTGGGCAGCTCCCAGGAGTCCCCCTTCCGCCGCCGCCACCACCGCCTTTGCCTGGCAAGATCCCGGGCGCCCCACCACCCCCGCCGCCGCCGCCGCCGTTGCCCGGCATGCTCCGCGGTGGCCCCCCACCCCCACCCCCGCCGCCTCCTCCCATGCCTGGCATGAAAGGAGGTCTGAAAGGAATGCCGCCGCCGCCTCCCCCAATGCCAGGCGCTGCTATGTCGGGTCACTTCTTATCTCAGCAACCGGCATTTACCGTAACACCCTCCCTTGGCTTGCCGGTTGTGCGGCCAAAGAAGAAGCTAAAGGCTCTTCACTGGGACAAGGTCGATTCACCTCTCACTACTCACTGGGCTGCTCACGCACCCTCGGCTGAAGAGAGGGAAGAGAAGTATCTCGAGCTCAGTCGCAAGGGTATTCTTGACGAAGTCGAGAAGCTCTTCCTGGCCAAGGAGATTAAGAGGATCGGAGGATCAAGCGCCAAGAAGGATGATAAGAAACAAATCATCTCGAACGACCTGCGTAAAGCTTTTGGTAAGCATTATTCAATCCTTAAAAGCAAGTAACAGGCACTGACCGTAAGTAGAAATCGCACTGTCCAAGTTCTCGCAATATTCAGTCGAGAGGGTGGTGCAAATGATCATTCACTGCGACAAGGATGTGCTGGATAACAATGTGGTCATGGACTTTTTGCAAAAAGATGACCTGTGCAACATCCCTGACAACACAGCAAAGTTGATGGCGCCGTACAGCAAGGACTGGACGGGTCCTGAGGCCAACAAGGAAAATCGTGAACAAGACCCAGCCGAGCTCACGAGGCAGGATCAAATCTACTTGCAGACGGCGTTTGAGCTGCATCACTACTGGAAGAGTAGGATGCGAGCTCTCGCATTGACCCGCAGCTTCGAGCCAGACTACGACGAGATCACAGATAAGATGCGCCAAGTCGTCACCGTATCCGAGTCCCTTCGGGACTCGGTCGCGTTGATGAACGTGCTTGGTCTGATTCTAGACATCGGTAACTACATGAATGATGCCAACAAACAGGCGAGAGGGTTCAAGCTTTCGTCCCTTGCCCGGCTGGCCATGGTCAAGGATGACAAGAACGAGTCGACCTTAGCCGACCTCGTAGAACGTATTGTACGCAATCAGTACCCAGAGTGGGAGATGTTCGCCAGCGACATTTCCGGCGTAATAGCGGCGCAGAAGATCAACATTGAGCAGCTCCAGGCGGATGCCAAGAGGTACATCGACAACGTCCGGAATGTTCAGATGTCACTCGATTCGGGCAATCTCTCGGACCCGAAGAAGTTCCACCCGCAAGACCGCGTATCGCAGATTGTTCAGCGCTGCATGAAGGATGCCCGTCGTAAGGCAGACCAGATGGAACTCTACCTGGAGGAGATGGTGCGTACCCACAACGACATCATGGCCTTTTACGGCGAAGATCCGACAGACGACAATGCCAGGCGCGAGTTCTTTGCCAAGCTTGCCTTGTTCGTCAGCGAATGGAAGAGGTCGCGTGACAAGAACATACAGCTCGAAGAGACGCGGAAGCGCAACGAGGCGTCGATGAAGCGCAAGCATGCCCAGCTCAAGTCGACGGCAGCGGCTGGCATAGATGGGGCACCAGCCAGCCCGACCAGCACGGGCGCCATGGACAGCCTGCTCGAGAAGCTCCGGGCGGCGGCGCCGCAGACCAGAGACCAGAGAGACAGGAGACGGAGGGCGCGTCTCAAGGACCGGCACCAGGTCCGCGTTGCTTCAGGCCAGCAGATTCCCGACCTGAACGAGATCCCCGAAATAGAGGTGGGGCTCCAGACCAAGTCGAACGAGGACTCCGGGCGGACAGACGAAGAAAACCCGCTGAGCCCCGACCTCCTCAGCCCTACCAAGGAGGCCGAGGGCGAAGAAGACGACGTTGCGGCACGCGCGGCGCTGCTGCTGCAAGGTATGAGGGGCGACGGCGCCGAGGACCCGGCCGACGCAGAAAAGCGAGAGAACCTGAGGAAGTCGAGGAGGCAGACGGCAGACGAGGAGAGGCGGACGAGGAGGCGACGGAGGGAAAAGGCGCAGTCTAGTGTGAGCAACGGAGACGACGCCAGGGACGAGTCGATGCCCGATATTCCGGCTTTGCCACCCACGCCAGGTGCCGATGGGGAAAACGCATTTTGAGGGCTTTTTTTTCCTGAGGTTTTTGTATATTTTTGTAAAGAGATGGTGGAGGGCTGGGGTTGATCCTCTGGCTTTTGCGTTCTGTCACATCACATCCTGCTATCATATATCATCATCATCCGGAGAACGGGGGAGGGCGGTGGCGGTTTTGGCTTCGATTCGGGGGATTATCATAAAACAAAGCATTTAGTTAATGTCTACTTTGTGAAGAGAGAGGGCGAGAGAAGGGGGAGAATCATATAGGCGGATGCCAGTGTTTGATGGAGCGAAGCGAACTCGAGCTCTACTAAATGTGTGTGACCATATTCAAATCATATTGGGCTATTGAGCCTTGGTCAAGCGCTACAGTAGGCCTTTTCACCGCAAGTCCTCAAGTAGAAGCAGCTCACCAACCAATGCGTGGCATGATTAGAAGTAGGCCGGCTCTCCATTGACTGTCCTAGACTACTTGATTTGTCTCATATCTCGTCTTCCTCGTCATCCCAGTCATCCTCGCGACCCATCTCATACAGGATCCGGCCGCCCTCGCCCGCCCCTATATCAGTCTGGGCGTCAAAGTAAGGCAGCACGATGCCCTCTCGGTCTTTCCTCTGCTTGTCTGTCAGCCCAAGGCTGAAGGTGGTGTCGGCTTCTCCGTCGCCAGCGCCGTCCTTTGCACCACCACCACCATCGGCCCCTGTCTCCTGCGGTCCCGCAAACAGCGGATGGTCGGACAGAAGGGTGATGCCGGCGGACCCCGCCAGGACAAACTTCTCGGCCACGGCGCGGCCGCTGCGGCGGCGCATCTCCATGTCGACGACCAGGCCGTCGACGCGGCGTGCGTCGCGGTTGTCGTGGCCGCTGCTCTTGACAAGGCCGACCAGCACGCCCTCGCGGCCCTCGCGCAGCCCCCACTCGGGCTCCGGCAGGCTCCGGCTCTGCGCCCGCCGTACCGCCACCGCCTGGTGCAGGCTCGACACGCGGAACACGGTCGTCGCCAGGTGTAACAGCAGCGTCAGCGCGTGCGGCTCGTACTCACCGCCCGCCGTTGCCGTCCGTGGTAGCACTACTGGTACGTCGCTGTGGTACACGGCTACTAGCGATGCTGCCGCGCTGATCACGCCCGCGAAGAAGGCCGGCAGCAGCTGCGAGCCGTGCCCCGACGCCAGCGCGTTCAGCGAGTCGATCACGATCAGGTACTCTGCAAGTGTCGGCACCGCAGGGTCAGTTCACTATCGTAGACGAAACCCCCTTTTTGTCTCTGTGGAGCTATACCCCCCTGAGGTTGGCATGATTGATGCTGTACATACTTTGAGAAGGAGGCGTCGCCCCCCTGGCATGTGACGAGACCGACGAGACCGCCGGCGGCCGGGCAGCAGCACAGTGCGATGCTATCTCGGAAGCCAGGGCCTTGAGCGGCTTGCCTCGGGCCTTGACAAAGACATCGGCGTCGCGCGGCCTCCTCACCGTGGCGAGGGAGACGAAGACGACTTTAGCTTTGCTAGTCTAGAGACTTGTGATTAGAAATGTAAAATAAAATGAAAATAAAATAAAAATACTACTTGAGAGTCGACCGGAAATTTTGTGTGTACCTTGGCTCTGGAAATGAACTCGTGCACGAGCGGGCCGGCGCTCTGCTCGAGGCTGTCGAGAATCAGTGTGAGCGGGCTGGCGCTGTCTCGCTGGTTGAGCAGCTTCTGGAGGAGCAGCAGGCTGTGCGACCGCCTGTGGGCTTGGGCAGACGGCGCCATGGCTTGATGGATTGATCGAGTGTTATGTACCGCTGGAATAAATTGCGATAGTGACGTAGAACATGCAAGGGGGTCGCCACGTTCCTTCCCTTTCGTTATTGTTAATTGTCGGGGTGTCAAGTGTCAGTGCCCGCCTATACTGTACTGTTTGAGTGACCTTGGCAAGTGTGGCCATGAGAATTGAGGTGTGGAGTAAGCTACGACTGGGATTCGACTTTGGGCCACAAAGCCCGCCCGGTTTTGACAACACAAGTACAGCAAGACCCGTAAATCGTCCATTTTTAGCATTATTCAACCTCATTTCTTAAGTACGTTGCTTCAAACCGTTGAACCCCCGGGTCATAACGACACGGAATTCCCCCCTGGGCTTGGTCCATATACCGGTACCTTAGGCGGCTAATGGCGGAATAACTTGTTTGGAGCGTGGGCGGTGCCTTATCTCTTATACAGGACGCCCTCCACTAGACGCATCAGCAGACGGCACCTTCGGCTTCTCGGCTACGACTAGCGCCCCCGTGGCTCCCGTAAGCTCTCGCAACATGGTTGCGCGTGTATGTACAGTACAGTGCTGTACAGCTGTGCTCCGTCTCCCAGGCAAGCGGGACAAGCTAAACGAGACTCGCTCCGCCCCATACCCAACCCACTGGCTGTTTCTATGAGAGTCATATAGCCAAAGTCGGCCGCCGGCCAATGGCATCTTGCAGGATGTCTACCCGTGAAAGGCTACAAGACCCGGTACCGTGGCCACCACAGTACCATGGGATATGTGTGAGATAGGTACCTGTGTCGATGACCTTCTCCCGGTTCTCATCTCGCCTAGGCCTACTCAACCTGGCGCCCCTTATCGCCAAGCTCATCCCCCTCCCTAGGTGGCCCGGGCCGAGTATGTTCTGCGCATTGCGTGAGGTAGTATATAGCCCGCTATGGGTCTGTACCTGACGAGGGCCCCGAGCTGCTCATATGTAGCAGCTCCCGGATCGGTTTCTTGCTGGCCGAGTCATCCATGCGCCCCGGCAGCCCCGACCTGTGTATAGCCTCCCTAAGCTCAAGAGGAGCCTATAGAATGGCCAGGACGCTCACACATTCAGCGGCAGCGAGTTTGACTTTGCTGCTGCTGGTAGTGCTGTTTGGCTTCGCTTCTGCCTTTCCCGTATCCGAAGAGAAACGGGCAGCCCAGGTTCCGGCGGCGTCCTACGTCCTCGCTCTCACCCGGAATGCCGCCTCGCAGCAGCGCAGTTCGACCGTTAGTAGCCGGCTGCGGAATTTCAGAGCGGTAGCTGAAGGCCCCACCGGGATTGCAACGGCACTACCAGCCTACCATGACGTCGAGTATCTGGCCGACGTCAAGGTCGGAAACCATAAGTATTCGCTGATTATCGACACGGGGAGCAGCGATACCTGGCTCGTCAAGGAAGGCTTCCAGTGCCTCGATGCCAACCACCACGTCGTCAACCAGCTCCTGTGCAATTTTGGCCCAAAGTACAAGGGTGATTTCCCTGATGGCCAGATCCCCGGCCAGCATTTCAACATCTCCTACGGGAGCGCCGGTGGTCCGTTTCTCAATGGCCAGATGGGCTACGCCGAGTAAGAAGCCACTCCACACCCATCTAGTAATCCTCGCCATGGCCTTCGTCTCTGACTCTCTCTTTCCCCTCTAAAAGCTTGACTCTGGCCGGCATCGAGATCAAGAAGCAGCAGATCGCGCTCGCCACCATCGGCGCCTGGAACGGGGATGGCCTGTCGAGCGGCATCCTGGGGCTTGGCCTGCCGGGCCTGACGGAAGCGTTCGTCGGCAACACGCCGGCCGACGATGGCGTGCAGAATCTCGTCAACTACAATCCCGTCATCACCACGGTGTCCAACCAGGTTGGCAACGGCATCTTCAGCCTGGGCCTGTCGCGGAACGCGTCCGCGTCCTTCCTGGCGCTGGGCGGCGTTCCGCAGGACCTCAAGGTTGGGGACTACGCGACCATTTCCATCGACAAGGTTCGTGCATGTTTCTGTGTCTCTCTTCCCGCCTATCAAAAAAGGTGATGGGGGGAGGAAAATAAAAAGTTTCAATGAGCTGACACTTGAGAAGATGGATAAGCGGTTTGGCGGCACCGACTACTTCTTCTACACCATGACGCCCGACAGGCTGGTGTGGAACACAAGCACGCAGGCCAAAGAGTGGCGAGCGCTGCAAGTAATAGTCGACAGCGGGACGACTCTCAACTTGTTCCCGTACGGTGAGTTTTCATAGTTTCTCAGCTTGTTCAACCCCCCCCCCCCCCCCCCCCCCGTAGGGCAATTATAACTTCTTGAGGGGATCATTAAGGGGTAAAAATGTATGTACTAACTACCTACCTACCTCTTCACGCCGGCGCACCTAGACATTGCCGCATCTATCAACTCGCTGTTCTACCCTCGCGCCGTCTACCTCGAGCAGCAGGGCGGCTGGTTCGTGCCGTGCAACGCAGTACCCCCCAGCTTTGGGGTGCAGATTAAAGGGCAGGTGCTCTGGACAGACCCGTCGAGCATGATCTTGCAGCAACTGAGGGACCGGGAAACGAGCTACTGTGCAACTGGTATTGGTGCCGCCGGCAGCCAGCCATACATCTTGGGCGATGTTTTCATGCAGAGTTTGGTGGCAGTGTTTGATATTGGCCCGAAGATGGAGATGAGGTTTGCCAAGAGGCTCTGAGACTCAAATAGCAATATGCCTTGAGCAGTCAATGCTAGGCGAAGAGAGGGCACCAGACACGCAGCATGAACTTTTGTTACTTTTGATTGTCTGGCGCAGCAGTATTTTCAGTAATTGGAAAATGGTGGTTTTACCAAAGTAATGTAAACTTCCGATCCCGATCAGAGATAATAGCATGAGGGAAACCCCAGTCCGATAACAGCAGCTGCCTGATGAGGACCTCTCCCCATTGTTCAGCTGTGTACGTATCGTGCCCTGGAATTAGGATAGAACGCTTGGTGACTTTATCGGTTACCGGCATGAGGCAATTAAAGTGAGGCTTGCCGGGGATTTGCCAGGACGAACATTCTGCTGATACTTGGGGGAGCCCGACGATATAATCCATAGCGATAACCCGCATAGGAAGCGTGTGGGCTGAACGAATAGGCTGATAGTCGCCATTGGCAAGGTTTCGATCGGTCGTGTTGAGCTGGCAGCTAGGGCAGAACTTAAGGCAATCTTTGACGGCTTTGGTTTTTCGATGGATTGACAGCCCTTTTAGGTCGTAGAGCATCCGGTTTCTGCCAAAATGGTGCTTACTATCATGAGCTTCTCCCAGAACTGTCTGGACCATAGCCTTGGGTACACAAAGGCTGCGCGTACCATCAGGCCGTATATTGAAAAGCAAGCCTAGATCGTCAAGTACGAACGGGTAACCGGGTCTCGATATCGAGCCGGCAGCTTCACCAGCAGTCTTCTTGATCTCATCAATAATTAGCGCATATTTCACATCGTCTTTATAACCATTCGCAAAGTCGGCCTTAAGGCTATCTGCCATGTAGGCTTCTGCGTATGCGAACCAAACGTCATCGAGAACTGCAGGCTCGTCGGGTGGTACGTCGTCCGTGGTCCGAAGCCGGCTCAGACGAGGCGAAGGTTAGATCTATCGGTTGAGGAGGAATCGAGAGAAGTCTGGTTCATAATTCCCAGGGATGCTGAGTGGTCGGTCAGGGCGATGACGGGGAGCCTATTACTATGACCATAGTCCTCAGCTTCTTGACGGCCCAGACTAGGCACGCGACTTCCAGCTCAGAAGGCCCGTAACGCCATTCGGCCGGGGAAAGGCAGCGGCTTAAACAGCATATGGGTTAGACTTGGTTAGCCGCGATATGGTCTCCTGGCTTCCACTTGACGCCGTCAAGAAGGTGGAACACCATGACTCCGAAGCCCCGCGCTTTAGATCCATCGACTTGAAGGAATGGAGTCTTATCGGGGTTGTGGTGATGGATAATAGTAGGGTTCTAGCTAAAGATGACTTCCTGTAACGTCTGGAAGGAGAGGAGTTCTTTGTCGGTCGGGTTAAACTTCGTACGCGAGGTATAAGTCAAACGCTTGCCTTTGTTACCATCGACAACGAATCCCTCCTCTCGACCCTTCTTTAGTAACTCCACTTTCTTGACTTGAAGAGGCTCTGCGACTTGCGCATAGTATGGTACGTGAGACCTTAGGAACCCAGTTGCTCCCAGGTATTGCTCTAGTGCCTTTAGGGTGTCCGGAAACGATAGCTTCCTGAATGCCTCAAGGTGGTCCTTAGTATGGGTAAGGCCGAACGCGTTAACCTTAAAACCTAAGAGCTCGACGTTTGGGTAGGCGAGGTAGGACTTCTTGGGCGAAATGGCGATGTTCCGCTCGGTAAAGATGTCGAATGCTTTGCGGAGATGGCGTAAATGGTCCTTTCGTGAATCGGAGAAGATAACGATATCGTCAATAAAGGCCCGAATAAAGTGGGAGTGCTTTTCCAATAGCCTATCCATATAGCGCTATGAGTACGCTGGGGTATTACGAAAACCCATAAGTGCCACCTTGGATTTCTCGAGTCCTCTAGGGCTGATTACTGTAAAGCGATTCCTGTGAGGGGGGTATACTCCGAACTGGTAAAAGAAAGAAGTAGCATCGATGACGGAGACGTAGGATTTGCCGCGAATGGCGGAGATGATGGAGGACTATAGCGGTAAAGGGTAGTTGTCAGGAACAACTACCTTATTGAGTTGGCGTAAGTCTATTACGACTCGTCCTTTCTCAACCCCGTGTACGGTTCTCCAAACCACGAAAACCGGTGAATTGAATGGCGTGGGCTCTTGTTGCCATTCCATGCGGTCCTCTTTATGCAACGTGCCGAATATATCGTCAAGCGCGGCACGGTCCTTCATACTGAGTGGGTAGCTGCGGTTGGGTTTCAGCTGGTTCTACCATCCTTCCACTAATGGAACTTTCATCATGTCCTTCTCGGGGATCTTGATGAACCCATTGTTTACCCATACCTGAGGATATTCCCCACAGAGAGCCTTAAGGTCTGCTGCGAAGGTCGCGTCCCCCGCGTATATATGGATGCCATTGTCTGTTACTATCTCCGGGACGTTGTCTGGGGCCTTGATTCCCAGCTTTAATAGCTTGCCGGATGGTTCTGAGTCGACCACAAACCTAGCCGCTTCGGTGCTAAGCATTGATTCTGGCGCATCACCGCCTGGGGGCTCCTGCGCTGTGATATCTGATCCCTGAGTGATGTTCCAAACTTGGTCCGATAGTGACTGTCCGGGGAAGGTGCAGTCTAGCGAGGGCGACGTCCCTTGATTACCAACGAAAGGTTCGTACTGGGTGTTGATAACGTGATGGATAGCGTCCGTCATAGTAAATGAGGTTCCGACTGCTTGGTGGGTGATGATGTCCGTTATGGAAGGAGTATGAGCTTCTGCTCCTGTTAGCTGCGAGAACATAGCCAAGGTTCCGATTGCTATGGCGGCCATGCCCTGCTTCCAAGAGACAGCCTTATGCCCGCTGTCCTGCGAGTCATGAAGGTGACCCAAGGTGGTACCTTTCTCTACGACCAGAACGCCGTCGGAGTTATTCTGAATTAGAATAACTTTCGGTGTCTTTACGTCGAAGACTGCATGTGCTGCTGCGGCATGCTTGGCTGTAAACGTGACTGCTCTATCGGTAGGTAGGGGCTAATAATCCGCTGGGATGAGGGCTCTCTGGCCAGCTAGTAAGGTAACCTTCCTAGCTACCTTGACATTGCGCTTGCATTCCTTGGCTCTCCGAACGACTTCCATATCAGCACTAAAGCCATTTATTCCTTGGAAAGTGACGATGTTGGAACCGTAGTCGATATTGGCTCCGTGCGGGGAGAGAAACTCGTTACCCAAAAGCAAGTTGGGAGGTAGGTCTTCCACAACCTAGGCTGAATGAGTGACTTCCATGAGCGTAGGATCGCTAGACGTTGTTTGACCAATAAGATGTAGGGTAAAGGTAGCCCATTCGGTAGTCCTGAGAGACTTCTTATAGACACCGCGTACTCGACCATTACGTGGCTTAACGGAGTGCTCGAGTTGGTTGAGTAAGTCTCGGGCAATAAGCGACCGGCCTGTGCCTGGGTCGAGGCAGACTTCTACGTCATCGGTACTAGTAGCAGTCTTCGCCTTGATACGTAGATGCGTGAAGTCGGAACGAGGATTGCTAGTGTGTTCGTGGCACGGGGCCGGAGTGGCTTATAAGAGCTTATATTTCGAGGCCGGGATAGGCTTGTCCGCTACTCGCATATGTATAGCAGTATCTCCCTCGTCGGCTGCAAAATACTCGTCGTCGGATTCCGGTTCGTCTGCCTTGATCATGTTGGTAATAGCTCCTACCCGGACTTGAGCACAAGCCTTGAGATGCCTGAATAAGAGATTACGCGAAACAAACGCCTTGTGGCAATGACCACAAGTACGACGAGAAAGATGCTGAGGAGACACATTATAGATCGCTCGATGAATGCCGCGTTAAACGGCGAGGAACCCTTTATATGTGCCAACTTGGCACGGGTAGTAGAGAACTCCCTATGACACTTGTGATAGGTATGATGCTGGTTAATGATTGTAACGAAGTTGGCAGCCTCCGCGTCGGACTTAATATTATTTGAGTTGTCGGAGTGGTAGCTCGAATGCTCTGCGTCTGTATCACCTTCCTCGTACGCGTGGTAAGTACCTTCATTCTTCCTATATCCTTCGCGGGCTTTCGGATGAGCATCTTTGCCTTTGACCTTGTCGCCTGGGCGTGGTGCTCTCGTCTTCCTCCTTCGCGCCCTTGTCTTGCCTGTTATAGGGGCTGTCGAAGTCGCGACGACGGCGAAAGTTCCCGGGCTTCTTAGGTTGCGCCGGCTTCTTCTTCCTATCCTTTATTTCGTCGCGGCAGGTGACTAGGATGATTGCTTTCTTTGAGTTGACTAGGCGAATGTAGTCGGAAAGGGATGAGGCCTCATCGGGAGGGGGAATAATTCGCTTAAGAGCTAGGTCGAACCTAGTCCAGGCTTGGGTGACCACTCCCTGCCAATTGGAATTGTCCTGTGTCATGACGCCGGCTGTTTTAGCGAATCGAATCTTGCGTTGGATCCATCGGACAACGGCGGCTACATCGTTGTCCACATCCTCGACACGGAGTCGACCTGAATTAAATTCTGCCGACGCTGAAGCGATATCTGGTTCATAGTAAGCGATTAATGCACGCATTATAGCTCCCAATCCCTCTTGTCTCATGGCTTTTCGTTCCTCCGTGTGATCTCGGAGTTCCACCATAGCAGTGCTGATCCTCCGAGCAAGGTCTGGAAGAAGGCGGCAATCTGGCTGGCGGCGTCCGCGAAGGTTTCGGGGTTCTCAAGGAAGGATAAGACGCGAAGCTCGAAGGCGTATATATCAGAAAAGACAATGTTCTTACCGTCGGTTAACATGCCGACCTTGTTTATATCGTCACCCTCCGGATTAAATATCCCAACTTCCTCCCTCTTGATACGGTAGGCCGTGGAGGTGGGTTTGGGGATCTTGTCCCACACCGACTCTGTGGTCGGCTCGCGGGTACGGCCTCGGAGGTTGCGGGGAGAGAGGCTGCGATAGCTACGTGGTGGTTCGCTGTCGCTTCCGTCAGACGGGTCTCCGGGGGGAGCTCGCCGCGCTTGCGCAGGTGCCGGGTTGATTGGCGCGTACGGCGCGTCGAATTGCTGACCAGTAGGGTATTGACGAGCCTGCGACCTATGTCGTGACTGCTGGACCTGCGTGGTCTGGTGCTGGGGGGCGTCAACCAGTGGGCGCTGCGTGAAGGTGACCTGAGGGTTCTGGTTGACGGGGACGTAGTTGGGTTGCTGAAAGACATCGGCTGGGAGATTATCGGTAAGGGTAGGATGGTACTCAGCAGTTTGGTCCCGCCATTGATGCCGCGAAAGAGGGCGAAATGCTGATGGCTGTCTATACGGTCCCTCTGGTCTATTGCGGGGAAGCACCCTTCCTGAGGGGTTGATGTTCAGGTTGAAAGGATTGTCCTGAACCTGGGGAGGCTTGTTCCGTATACCCGTAATTGGTGTCAGGTTGACAGCTTGACGCAATGGGGTGTTGTAGAACCTCTGAGCCAGCCCTGTGGATACGTCGTGGCCGACAGCAGGCGTGGCAGGAACGGGCAAATTGCGGTTGCTGGGGAGAGGGTGACTCTGGGCTCACACAGGAAAGGGAGACAATATGTCTGAGGGTGGGAGAGGGCGACCCAGGACAGGAAGTGTACTGGAGCTGGGCGCTTGAGGCTTGGCCTCGGGAGTAGCGGCCGCCGGCTTCTGCTCTGCCTGGGCAACAGGGCTATTGATATCGCTAAGGGCTGCCATCTGCTTGACCATGAGCTCCCTCAAAGCGTCGAAGTTTTTTTTACTGTTCCTCGTGACGCTGGCAGTTGTCCAACTCGCTCTGCTGGACTTCTCCAATAATGTCCTCCAATGCGGTGGAGAAATTCGTATCCATTTGTTGAATATCAAACTGAATGGCTCTCGTGACGTTGTCGAGGTACGCTATAGAGGACTGGTTGGGTCTTAACTCAGTGGGTCTGTCAAACGCAGGTCTCTGGTCGTCTCCGCTGGGACCTGGTATCACCGTGTGGCTGTCGCGGGCTGGTAGCTTGCCCTTCGGGTCGCGGGGAGGAAGGCCCTTGTCCATAGCTCGCAGTCCGGCCTGGGTATTTGGGTCTAGAGACGAGTGGCGGGTTGCAAGGCTTGCAAGATTGGGTGATTGATTGGCGTCCTGGAAACGTGTCGTGGACTCGTCCGGATTGTCGGAAGGCCAATCCATGCCTCTTCGCCGTCGCGCAAGGCAATTGACGAAGGTGATGCCGCGATCTTACCCGCTCGGCGCTTGATTGATTGGTCTCACAAGGATTATCCGATCAATCGAGCAAGAGCGGTTGGCACGCGCGAGCTAGGCTTGCTTGTGCCAAAGGCGGGGGGCTGCAGCACGTCTCACAAGGATTATCGAGGCAAATGAGGTTGAACGTATCTCGACTTACGATACTTCGGTGACTGATCGTGCAGTCGCTGCTACCATTTGATGGGGAAATGGTGGTTTTACCAAAGTAATGTATTAAAATATAAGTGTGTAGAAGGTTGAAGGTTGGTGGAAGAGTGGTGTGTGCGACCGTGGGTAATACCCTCGGAGGCTGTATAGCGATACTGCCTGCTCACACCGCTTCTGACACCGCCTATAACTGATCTATATTACGTAATATACAGGTGCAGGCACGTGCCTGCAGGTGCGGGGCACTCAGCCAGTCTTGGCGGGGTGCAGGCGATTGAGGCTATTCCCGCATCATTCAGGTTCCTTCTTTGAGTCCTCTCCGGAATTTTTCTCAGCAGGGGCGGCTGGCATGGAGGAGAGTGTGGTGAACTTCGGTTCTGGATCATGAGCAATCTTGGGAGCGGTTCTGGAATTGAGTGTATCTCCTGGTTTTCCGGCACATTTCGGGTCATCTTTCTGCTCTGCGCCGCCTTCTTCACCACAATTTAGGTCCGCGTCGGGGTTTTTGGGACTCGCAGCTTCGCCCGAAGGCTCCCGACTAGAACCAGGTAGCGACTCTTCATGGTTCTGTTGCCTGTGGAGTCTAGAAGGAAGGTGGTCCTCAGGCAGTTTCATCCGCCAGTCTTCCTCGAATCTCCGCTGGAGATGGCGGTCAAAGTCGCCACGCTTGTGTTTCTCGTGGGCGGTCCATGCTTGGTACAGCCAGTCATCGTCATATTGGCCAAGCTCAAGGTTCTCGCAGTAGCGAGTGCAGTCGTGCCTAAAGTTGTCGTCGTTGCGCAGCGACTCGGGGTTTGGGCGAGCAGCCTCGGTTCCAGAATCCAAGATATGCATCTTGTCAGGGAACTTGGCCAGCACCTCCTGCCTCTCTTCTGGCGTTAGAATACCCCACGCTTCAGGAAGAAGCAGGATAGCCTGGGGCAGCAAGGTTAGTTTCACGGGTCGCGCCGGCTTAGTGTGGGAGAAGGGCGAGAACGAACTCTCAGGTCAGCTTGCGTAAGCGGCGATTTGGGGTCGGTGTAGACAAATGGGGACTCCCATTTCTTATCTCTGGTGGGCTTTTTAGGGGCGACTGCCGCACGACGCGGCTTCTTGGACGAGGTTGAAGGGGGCCGGCTTCGGGGACCCGCCTTGCGCTTCAGAGATGCGGCTTGGTCAACACGAACGCTGTCGTCACCATCACCGTCGTGTTCGTCGTAGTTGCCATCTTCATCATCGGCACCAGAATCATCACCGTCACCGGCGCACTGAATTGTGGCCGACTCGTCGAGCTCTGCATCTCTTCCATTCACTGCCGACTTCTTAGCCGCCGCCCTGGCGCTTGCTCGGGTCTCCATCCCTAACAGCTCGTCTACGATGTAGGATGCGTCGCCAGTTGACGTGGTGTCATGGTCGAAGGTGTGGGCGGAAATGCCGTCTCTTACCTCGATGATGCTCCTCGGAGGTGATGAAATTGGAGAGTTGACGCCATGCCGGAACGCGGTCGCCATTTTGTTCGTCTTTCCGAATCCGACGCGGTCGGATAGAGGTAGCAGGGTGCGCTAAAAATGGGAAGGAAAGATGTTGAATGAATCTTTCAACCTGATACCCTTAGTAAGGTTTGGGAAAGTGAAAGGTGCCGAATCGTTGGGTTAGGTATCACATCGATCCCGTGATGTGTGCTCTTTCAAGTGGAAGGACTACTGCCTCTGTGCTACTCACAGTTGCTGAAGCCAAGAAAACTGAAAAGACGCACAGAGCTGAGCTATCTTGTCTAGGCAAGTGTTGGTAAAACAATTCTCAGCCCATCCCCGAGAGGGACATGGGCAAAATGAAGGCGGAATGGCCAGGTGAGGTTGGATCAGATGAAGTGAATGAAACACAAGTACAAGGCTGAGCTGATTCCGAGGTGGGCATTGGTTAGCCTTGAGAGCTCATCCACTCAGGTTTCAACGGCTGGTTCCCGGCCTTGGCGTGCCCCATACTACCAAACACAGGCCCGAGCTTCCAGACCCTTACAGGGGCTAGTGCTGCTGAAGTGGTGACAACCAAGACATTGGATCGGCCTTTGACATCGTCATCACGCCGACCTCTTGCGACGCAGCTTCGTCTCTTAACAAGAACTGAACTTTACAGCCGCGACACGTGCTGTGCGTATCTCCTGCTTGCCAATTCTTTGTACCTATCTCGTCACGGCAAAACAAACTGATTGCCTGCTTGGCTCGCGAGCTTTGAGCACACGCGGCCTGCCCTAAAAAGCCACGTACTGTACAGGAAGGTACTGTACATATACCAACCGCCGCCGTGCAGCAATCCATTCAACGTTACCCGCCTTGGCAAAAAGTTGCTGCTTGTCGTTTTGGGAGAAACGACGCAACGGAACCCCCCCCCCCAAAAAAAACCTCCTTGCATCCCAAGAGCAAACGGAAACCACAACACAGTCCAACCAAAACCTTGACAATGATTCGCTCAACACAATTAGCGCGGCTTGACGGTAATCCACCTCTCCCCCTTGCTGCTTTTCTCGTTTTATCCTCCAGAACCCTAGACATGAGAGTGAGACGCCGAGTCGCTGACATGGGATGTGCACAGGCTTGATGCTGTGCGCGTCGGTCGACGACGAGCAGACGGAGGCGGCGCTGGCCGAGGTCAAGGGGCAGGTGAAGCTGGTGCTGCGGCGGCTGAGCCGCAGCGTGGAGCCGCAGGCGAGCATCGAGAGCGGGGCGTTCTACACGATCCACTACCTGATCGCGGCCGACGTGGTGTACGTAGCCGTCGCAGACCGGGCGTACCCGCGCAAGCTGGCCTTCACGTACCTGGCGGACCTGGCGGCCGAGTTCGCGACGACGTACCCGGCGGTGCAGGTGGCGAGCCCGACGCTGCGACCGTACGCCTTCATGGAGTTCGACACCTTCATCGGCCGCACCAAGGCCACGTACAGCGACGCGCGCGCTTCGCAGAACCTCGACAAGCTCAACGACGAGCTGCGCGACGTCACAAAGGTCATGACCAAGAACATCGAGGATCTGCTGTACCGCGGCGACAGCCTCGAGCGCATGGGCGAGTTGAGCAGCCGCCTGCGCGACGACAGCAAGAAGTACAAGCGGGCCGCCGTCCGCATCAACTGGGACCTGCTGCTCAAGCAGTATGGCCCGTTTGCCGCCCTGGGCTTCATCATGTTGTTCTTCATGTGGTGGAGGTTCTTCTAGGCGCTGGTCGTTATTTTGGACAAGTACCAAGGGGTTAAAAAAATAAACAAAAAACGATCCAGCCACGTCTAGGCGGGTGCGGAAAGGGGCTAGGCGACGAACGCTCAGCCCCTTCAGGTTTAAAGGAGATATCATCGGCCTACATATTATGCATTAGCGGCTCGGGTCAGCTCAGCATGGAGTTTTCGGTGTGGAATTAAAAGGGGGAAGGGGGAAGGGGAAATGATCAACTAGCTTATCATGTCAATAATCTTGGTATTTTTTGTTTCGTTCTTCACGTGGCGTGTTGGCAGTATTTATTAGAGCATTATATTCGCTTGAAGCTACCAAGAATGCCTTTTTTTTGGACCCCGGCTTTGCGAAGATATTTTAAAAATAAAGAATTAATACCGATTGCATGTTGTTGTAAGTCGTCTAAGCATCATGCCGAATGGTCTCCATAAATATCATACTCTGCGTACCCCTTTCGTCCTGCCAACCCTGACAGACATGGTCACAGTGTGTTGTTTGTTCCCCTTGTTCGCTTCCTCATCCCTTGAGAACTCCATTCACCCCTTCCCAAACAGCGAAATTACTAGACGTGATAACCCTACACGCCCGGGATGACAAGCAGATAAGACGAAAGATCAGATCTCTCTCTCAACAGAAAAAGAAATTTAAATTTTTTTTAAAAAAAATCGACTCTTAAAACGCTGTTACATGACCCTGCAGCCCGAGACCGAAGACGGCAGCGCCGACGCCAGCGGCGACATGGCGGGCATGGCGAGGGCCGTGTGGTACCACTCGAGGTGGGCCTGGAACGCCGCCAGGTCGGGGAACCCCTTTTCGTCCTGCGCATACCTGACGTCCTCCTCACTGTCCTCGCTCTGGTCCAGGTACGTGTACTCGTCGCAGTACGGGCACAAGATGCCGGCCTGCCAGGCGCCGAGCCCCGGCGCCACGTGGTTCGCGATGGCCACGGGCGCGAACACGACCGTCTTGTCGGCGCCCGTGCTCCGGCTCTGGCCCATCGCCTGCCAGTGCGGGTACGCCGAGGAGGCCGAGTCGTTGCTAGTGTCAGGCGCCTGCGGCGGCGGCGTGGTGATGGTGCGCGCCGCGGGCATGCCCCGCAGGTTCGGCCACACGATGAAGCCGTCGCAGAAATCGCACACAAACGCCGCGTCCAGGTCGCCGAGGCGCTCGAACCGCCCCACGGCGTTGCAGCTCGGCACCAGCTCCTCCAGGCTGGACCGCCGGCGAGGGTCGTCAGGCCGCTCGCCCCGGTATTGTGTTTCCCCATTCTCAGCTGTCTGCTGCTGTTGCTGTTGTTGCCAGAGCGGCTGCTCGTCGTGGTCATGCCGCCGCCGCTGCCGCTCGGCCTCGAGGCGCTTCTGCTGCCGGTACACCTGGAAGGCGCCCAGACACCGCGCGCCCTCCTGCTCGGCGGCAAAGATGCGGCCGGCGGCGCGGCACTGCGCCCGGTGTAGGTCTCTCTTCAGCTCGGCCGTCTCGCGCGCCCAGGTGGGGTTGATTGGGCCCCCTTGCCTCGCCCAGTCCTTGAAGTTCTGCGCGTGGAACTCGAACTTGGCGTGCAGGTTCCGTAGCTCGTGGATGGACATGGCTAATTGAATGCGGAAAAAAAAGGGTGTCAACAGATTGGCTCGCTGGGGAGAAAGGTAGGAGGGTGGACTGACATGAACGGTCGTTTTGGTAGTAAAACTGGCCGTGGACCAGCGGCGACATCTCCTGGTAGTCCTCCTTGGCCTCGTCCAGCGCCTCCTCGAGGGCGCGGATCTGCTCAAACTCGTCGGGGCCCCATTGGCGCTTGTCGGCGAACATGAGGATGCGCAGGGCCTCGGTCAGGCATGTCGCGATGCTGGCTAGCAGAGACCCGACGGTGTCGGCATTTCCGCCGCTGCTCATGTCTCTCTCTCGCCTCCCCCCCACCGTCGTTGCCGTGACCGCGATGCGAGGTTTGGTCTGGGGCGCGAGCGAGGGCGTAACTAGAGAAGCTTTTTGTTCGCTTGTCTCTATGCGCTCTCCCCGCTACCCATGGTAGTAGGCAGGGAGCCTCGGAACCTGTGTTGCTCGTCTGGCGTCGGTCTGGACACCTAAGACGCTTTTCGATCCTTTCTTTGGCCGACTTCGACTTAGAGAGACTGGCCGCGGTTAGATGCGGTAGCAGGCAATGACAGCTGCTGTATGTCCTGCACGGTACTGTGCTGCTATCGCTAGTGGATTCGCCGCGCTCGCTCTCGCTGTCGTCCAGTATCGTAGTTCGCGCCAGAACCAGCGCCAGCTCCAGCACCAATCCTGTGAGAAGTCTTTGACGTGGGCGCAAGCTCAGACGGTGACAGCTAGCTTGGGTAGGTAGCAATTATAGGCCGGGAGTGGGATGTGGCGTGTGTCTTGGCAGCTGGGGCAGGAGCGGCGTTTTGGGCGGCAATTAGCGACTAAAACAGGTAAGACAGACGTGGGGTCTACCTAAATGAGGCCGGAGCTTGCTTCCACGGCTGTCGAGAACGAAGAAGCGTGACAGACGAATAAATACCCGGTTTTCCAATCAAACGAAAAACAAACGCGTCGATTGAGATAAGTTTGCACGCCTAGGAACAGTTCCTTGGGTATTCCGTACTATCGCTCTCGTATATCTTCGCGGCGGCCTCCAACATGTGCCGATTTAAGCAACTGTAGCCCTGTTACTTGCCAGTAGGAAACGGACCTAGTATTGGGAGTGGATTGCGGGGGGGTCAAGCCGATTCGAGTCTGACAGCATGACGCGACAGGGACCTACTGCGTAACCTCTTGAACTATAAGAGAAAGCCTAGCCGATGAGACCACTATACGTATGCATTCTGCCAGGATGAGTTCTCCCTTTCTCCCCCCTTCTGCATTTACCTCTACATCTATGCATGTGAAAAGGGTGTCGCATTCGCATTGAGCCCGCCGAGGGGAGAAGGCCTGGCCTGGACTAGCAGGGCCCACGCCGAAAGCCGCGTAACGAGTTCGAGCTGGAAAGCAATCTATTGGCGAGCTTACGGGCCCAGCGCTACAGTCTCGGCGCGAACTCCGCGCGGGGAGAAGGGGAAAAAAGCGCGTCACCAGAGGCGGGACAGGTTGTCAACTTGTTAGGTTGACGACGGGACTTAAGGCTGAGACTGCAACTTCTTCAAGTGTTTCGTTGCACACATACCCCATCTAACCATTTAGAGTCTAGCATGCGTTTTGCTCATCGCATCTCTACCGTTTTGGCGTGATTGGATGCCAGATTCTCACGGGCAAGCTCTTGGTTGCTGCCGAGGAACGGATACCACCTTCCAACTTTTCAGTGATAGCTCAACTTACCTACATTGTAGCTCTGGTTACTGCTTTGGGCATCGGGTGGTCAGCAACGAGAAGCGGTTGGGCGACCCGATTCCTGACTTCACTGCAGCTCCATGCCTCAGTGGTGCACTATGAACCTATGAGCGAAAAGCCCAGGCAGCCCACCCAGGGGGGGAGCCTAGGTGGTGTGGTGTGAAAGAGACTTGCGGGGGCGCCCTGTCTCTAAAGCGTAGGGATCCTGCGATATTCAGCCCTACTGGAGGCTAGTGCTTCGGGACTCGCAAGCGCTTGACGCCACTGGCGTGCGGTGCGTGCGGCGTCGAGCCTGGGCCCATTCCGCCATCGGCAGATAAAAAGCCGCAAGGTATCCGTATTAGTGAACTCCTGAGTTATTCGAGACTTACATTCACGCTATAAACGTCCAGCTGAAAGATCGAAAATGGTTTTCGAATTTCTCCCTCACTGTTTTTAGCTACAAAACCCTAGCTTCTTTTGAAGCCTCGTTGGTCTTTTGTTTGATGCGAGAAACGGAGAGTAGCCCGACGCCAAGCATACTAACCAGTAGGTGCTCGCTACGACGCTAGCCAACAAGTCTTCATCCATTGGTGCATGCTAAATATCGGTATCAGGTCAAGATTACTGCGAGAGCAATGCTCGGTAGTGTTGGCAAATGAAAGACAAAAATCTTATCTTTTGCGCTAGGAACAAACGATTCTAGGCGCTAAATACCATGTAGGATTGTAACCAATATACAAGAAAGAGTGTTTGTTGTCGCACGCTAGCTTGATTGCCCTGCCTTTCAACATCTCGCTTTGCATCACCTTCTCTTCGTCGCCGCCCCGGTATCTGCTGCAGTCGCCTTGCTCTTGGAGCTACCCACCGTCTTCTCAGGGACTGGGGGCAACGCCTTGCTCTCATCCTTCTTGTCGACTTCGGCCTCGTCTTCTCCACCCTGGCCGAACTCGTTGACACGCGTGTAGTCAACCTTGTACGCCCAGCGCTGGTAGATATAGACAAAGAAAATGACGTCGTCACGGAGCGTAGCGAGACGGTGGAGCAGGGGCATTTTGATGGTGAATGCAAACAGATCGTCGATGAACGTATTCAGGAACTTATACATCATCGCCTTGCCTGGCATGTGCGCCACGCTCTTCAGGCGGTAGTTGATATAGAGCGAAGGGATCATCATCAAGAATCCATAGGCGTACACGGAGCCGACAAGAGTGCCGATGATGAACGAGTACCATGACTTGTGCGTGTCGTAGACCAGCGAGTAGGCAGCATACGCAAGAAGCAGGGGAATGCCGCCAATGTACATGTACTTGAAGGCGATCTCGTCGTACTCCTTGGTCTTCTCTTCCGTCTCGCTGAGCTTGTGCTTGTCCTCGAAGGAAATCCGGTATGGGATAGTTGACCCTGGAGTTGCAGGGCGGACCCTCACGTTGACCACAGTCGTGACCTTCCACAGCTCGATGATGATGCCGACGGCCTGAGAGCCCAGAATCATCCAGCTGGTGTGCTGAGATTGGTCGACCAGGTACAGGAAAATGACTAGCTGCATAAAGACATTGGCGAGGATGGAGCGCACAGAGATACCCACGTTGTCTTTCTTTTTGCGGTAATGGGCGATGTCGGAGCCAAATGCTAGCGTCTCAAGAACCATGTGGATAATGCTGACGATGACTGTGACACCCAAAAGAATGGGGTTGGTGTCCAAGAGAATCTCCTTGATCATGTCAATCTCGCTGCCGTCCCCGCCTCCAGGAAGTTGTGCGCCAAAGGCAGCTTGGCGTGCTGCCTCCTTGGAGCTCGTATCAATAGATGCCATTGTCTTGAACTTCCAATCCGCAAGATTGTTCAGATCGATATGCATGGGCAGCGTCTTCACTGTGTCGTTGAGAAGCGTCATGTGCGTCTTGAGCTGCCAGAATCCGTTTATAAAGAGGATAGGATAGTACCAAGAGTTCTGGCCGCTGCCATCCCGCGCCCCAGTTGCCTCGAGACGCAGGTACTGGCGGGCAGCGGGGTGCATCTGAGGCAACGTTATGACGCCCGAGTTCGGGATGAAGGACAACGAGATATTGGGGTGATAGTAGTTGGCAATAATGGGACCTGACGGTTCTGCTTCCTCCTCCTCGTGGGCTTCTTCTTCGGCGGTCGCATTCTTGCTCTCAAGCAGATTTCTCGTCTTGAGAACCTTCTTCTTGGGTATATACTGCGTCAGGGGAAAGACGAAATGGTATGCCGAGGCCGGGTCGTAGCGGGGCTGGGTTGGATCGAGCAGCGCGCCCGAAAGTCCGACATAGAAATGGCCCCACAAGGTGCCGTTTTGCTGGACAGAGGGTGGGACAGTGATGGTGGTGTCGACGGCACGCTTGTCACTCCAGTTTCCGAGGCCAAACTGCTTCTCCTCGAAGACGACTAAGTCCTTGGGGAGATCTGAGAGGGGTGAGGGAACAAATGACGGCGAGATTGTCACCACGATGTCAAGTTTGCTGTCCTCGGGCCATATGGGCGCGATGAGTTGGGGGATATGGCTGTAGGCAGCTCCTTCGTCCAGCTGGTTGGGCCGCTCGGAGTAAGGAGGGACCTGTGTCGGAGCCGTGGCGACTTGGACGATGGCTCCGTCGGCGTCGGTGACCGTCGTCTTTGCTTTCTGGCTGCCACCTACAAACTGCTTGACGGCGAATTGAATGACGAGGAACATGGCAACACTCTGGCCAATGGTCTTGAGTGTAGATTGCTGCGACAGCGTTAGCAAATCCTGTCCTACTCCTATAGGGGGGGCAAACGGGATCGAGATGCCTAGGAGAGGGAGGGGTGGACGCACGCCTTGCTCGGCCTGTGCAGCAGGCTGTCCGCCTGCAGCAGCTGGTTCCGGCATTTTGTGAATTTCAGAGCGCAAAGGCTCTTGGTGATTCCTTGCGATCGGTCAATCTGCAACGATCAAGTTGTTGTCGAGGCTGACAAACCTGGGCCGTGAAATCTACGACGAGACGCGGTGCCATCAACTTTCAGGTTGCGCCATCGATTCCGATTATTTTAGCGCCGAAACAGAGTCCCGGGCCCCTGGGATCCGCAAATCAGAGAGCCATGCTAAGCCACGCCGCGAATGAGCCGTTAATGGGAGCAATCCATACAGTGGGGGAGACGTGCGAACTGCACGCCACTGGGCTGTATTCCGATTGGATTGGTAGGTTAGGTTCCATCCAGTTGTGACTTCCTTCTGGCGCAGCAGTTTCTGGTTTCCCCGTGCTCGTAGACCAAAGACGGAAGCTGCGAAGCGTCTATGGGCAGGTCTTTAGGTTTCATAAAAGAGCCTTTGGGGGAACTGAAAAGACTCTAGACCTGGAGCCCCTCTAAGTCAGCCATAGGTTTGGATACCTACCTGACAATACAGAGAGGACTTCGTGGATTTATCTTTAGTTACCTACCTACCTACTTTGTATGTGTCCTTCCTACAACACTACATACAGAGCTGCATCGTTAAATGGTTACCTCCAGACCCTGGACCCCTACCATTGACAGACAGACGGCTATTCGGGGCTTTTTACCTTTTGACACTCGCATACCGCACGGAAGCTGCAGTGCTCCTGCCGACGGGAGAGACGAAATGTCCGCTTGCCACAACTCCTCCCCAGGTGACTGTTCAAAATGGCAGCATGGCCTAAGGGACCAGACCGTTTCCTGCGGGAATCGGCATGCTTCAAGTTTCTTCGAACGACGGCTCCTCCCCATTCACATTGTGCAAGCGCAAACCGCCACGTCAGTATGCGGCTGCTCCCGTCTCTGAACATACATGCTGTTTTAATTCTAGACGTTCCGATTGCAGACGAACCTATGGTGTTGCAACCAACAACGCCCACCCCCTCTCTGGGTCCCCGCCCACCTTCTCCTGCCCCCCTGAGCGAGTCTGTATGAGTCACGGGGAAATGTTGGGATGTTGCGGTGTCGCTCGCTGCTTGGCTTCGCTTTCCCGCGGGCAACCGCCATGGTACGTGGTTATGTCATAATGTAGCCCCATTAAAGGTCCACAGCTCGGGGCTCAACGTGGCCCAGATGAATCGAGACCTCGCGCACACGGGCCTGGCAGACATTGGTTCCCGTTACCCAGAGAGGAAAGGAAACGGTAAACCAGAGGAAAGCGGCAAACAGCCAGGGCAAGGAAGGGGGTACCTAGGTAGTAGTTGATGCGCTAAGTCACCGGATCTCGCCTTCTCTCTTTAAGTATTGTGTCTCTCTCTCCCCACATGAAAGCCATCCCCAGTATCCTCACTGAGCTAGGACTCCCTGCTGCCCCGTTTACTCCCCCACCTCACCTCCATGCCCCTTGCCTCACCTTCGTCGAGCCTACTTCTTTCTGCTATCTTGAGCCTGCTCCCATTCGCCAATGTTTGGATCTCCACCCCTGCTTACCCCGTGGCTCATTAATCCGTTCGACGTCCTCTCGTCGTTGCCGATCTGTAAGGGGGTTGCCGGCCGATATCTCTCTCAAGGATCGCCTCACCTCACCACGACTAAGCTTGCAGTGACTCAGGGGGGTTGTGACAACGCATTAGGAACGAGTGAAAGGAAGAGTATATAAAAGTAGCAAAAGCAGCCTATACAACACACGGATACCGCACGCAAAGGAATCCTCTGTCTTCTTTAACGACGCTCCACAAAATACCAAAGACCAATTTGGTTGCAAGAACCAACACATTTCTCCGAATCCTTTCAAGAAGCGTCAACGCAATGGCATCTGGCGGCGTATCCCCCTTCCCTTCGTCTCGGACGGCCACTCCGTCGAGTCTCAACGCCGATGGATCGGCCAAGCGGACCAAGATCTGCGTCTACTGCGGCGCCTCGCCCGGCAACGGCCCCGCACATCTAGAGGCTGCCCGCGAGCTTGCCCGGCTCATGGCTGCCAACGACATTGAACTCGGTGAGCATACTCCCAAAGCCGGACTGCTCTCTCCCTAATAAAGAAGGTCTGTCTCCGAAATCCAGAGACCAAGTTTGGCTTACCTCTTCTCTCCACCTTCCCCCCTGGCATAGTCTACGGAGGAGGCACAGTCGGCCTCATGGGCGAGGTAGCCAAGACGCTAGTGGCGCTCAAGGGCCCGGATTCGGTGCACGGCATCATCCCGGAGGCGCTGGTGCGGTACGAGCGGAACCCGACGTACACGTCGACGTCGACGTCGACTCAGGCCAAGGCGGGCGGCGGCGGGGAGCTGGCGGTGCCGGCGGAGAGCGTGTTTGGGCGGACGACGGTCGTCAAGGACATGCACACGCGCAAGCAGATGATGGCGCAGGAGGTCATAGCCGGCGGGCCCGGCAGTGGCTTCATCGCGCTCAGCGGCGGCTACGGCACCATCGAGGAGCTGTTCGAGACGGCCACGTGGAACCAGCTCGGCATCCACAGCAAGGGCATCTGCGTGCTCAACATCAACGGCTTCTGGGACGGCATCCTGGCCTGGATCCGCAAGAGCGTCGACGAGGGCTTCATCCACGGCGGCAACGCCAACATCCTGGTCGAGGCCACCACCGCCCAGGACGCCATCACCGCCCTGAGGGAATACAAAGTCTCAGACGCCGTTTTCAAGCTGTCTTGGGGTAACGAGTAAGGGCTGCTCGGCGGCACGGGCGTTGGTGTTTGGCGCTGGGTTAGGTGGCAGGCCATATCTTCCCCCTCAGGGGTTGTATTCTCGGGCATGATAGACAGGCAGGAATAATAGACTTGGGCTCGGCTCATGCATTCCGATCTAAACTCTCCTATGCTGGACTCGTGCTGCTGGTCGCTCCATCGACTAGTTGCTGTGTTGACTAAGCTATCCTAGGCGGCCCTGAACACCGAGCCACGAGGATCAGAGGAGGTTTCTAAAATCTATTGTACATGTTTTGCGTGACCTAATATGTCGACGAGAGAATTCCTACGAGATCGACGGGGCACTACTCGTCGTCGACCTCCATTTCCGAGCCCCCAGCAGGAGCGGCCTCGGCCTCGGCCTCTTTGTCGTCAGCCACGCTCTCTATAAAGGCGTTCACCTCCTGGCCGTCATACACCTTGAAGGGCTCCACCTTGATGCTCCCGTCGGCAGCCTTGCCGACGCCGACAATGCCGACGCTCGTGTTCTCTACCGTCAGCTCGCGGTCTTGTACCAGACTCTCCTTGAGCGCCTTGAGGCCGTGCTGGACCAGCTCGTCGCGGCCGCAGCCGGCAAACGCGTCCAGGTTCTTCTCAAGGTAGGTGCGGGCCATCTGGCTGCGGGCGCCAATGGCAAAGGCCACCATCTCCTCCGTCATGCCGCTGGGCTGGAACTCGAACAGATGCGGCCCCTGGTCGTCGACGCCGGCGACTAGCAGGCCTACGCCGTACGGCCGCTTGCCGTAGTGCTGCGTGTTGACCTGTGCCTTGGACCCGATCATATCGACCAGGCTCCGCACCGGCATGTTGCGGCCGTACGTCAGCCGGTGGCCCAGGCACTGCTGCTTCATGAAGTTGGACAGCACCCGCGCATCCGACGTCAGCCCGGCGATCGCGATGCCCACGTTCTCGTCGATCGGGAACAGCTTCTTCTGGTACGACGACAGTTCTTCGGCGTTGCGCTGCACACGCGAGGAGGTTAGCTAAAGCGAAGTGGGGGACTCCTAAGAGGGTGGCTCTTGCCTTGATTGCTACCAACACTGCGTGTGTCTTGCTTGCAATCCCCACAACTACCGAGCCCTGCTTCACTGCCTCTGCTGCATACTCGACCTGGAATATCCGCCCTTGCGGCGAGCTGTGTTTTTGGGAGGGTGTATTAGCACAATGCTTACCATTTCTCGCTCGCAAGAGTCGGCAAGGGGCGAGAGGTCCAAGCTGGTGCATGGAGAGGAGGAAAATGGCAGCGCCCAGATCTGCTTACAATGTGACGGAATCATTGTCGTAGTTGTTCCTGAACATGATGGCGACGGACCCGAGCGCAGGTTAGAACAGGTCGGGAGGAGTGCAAGCGGGCGATCAATCGAGCGAGATTATGGAGTCGTCGGTTTTTTCTGCTGTTACTGGGCTGTTTGGATATGTCGTGCGAGATGCTGGCGACGGCTGGGATCGGGCGGTTGTGGCAGGTAATAGTAACTCGATGGGCGAGCTGAGCTGCTTCAACACCCGTTGGCGGACGCGACAGGCAGCTCCTAGCTTCGTCAGGTCCCCCCCAGGCAGCTCGGCCGTGCGTGCTGCCAAAGTGCCCAGAGCGCGGTACGTACCTTGGCTCGCCGAAAAGAAACATCGGGCCCGCTTTAATCGGCTACGTTAAGCGCACGTGCCACACTACTAAGGCTTAGGTAGTTTTTACTAACTGGAAGTAGCTAAAGTGTTTTACACTGCAGAGGACCAGGCTGCCGACACGGGACCCGCCAAGGCTGACGACAGTGGCTATCCCACAGCTCTCCAACAAACCAGCCAGTCCCCAGTCCCGTCGCCTACGGATACTCCCCCACGACATCGCAACGCCGCAATCGCGACGCCGCCATCACCGACGCCCGCCCGCCAACTCCTAGCACAAATAGCAATCGACAACGAAATCGCACAGCGCAGCTCACGACATAGAATAACGCATTTTCATTCACATCTTCAACTCCTAAACGCCTCGAGCCCGCCCCATCCCGACCGACTCCGCCGGCGCAACACCCACCATACCGTACGTACGCAACCTCCCCCGCGGAGCCAAAAGCGATTGCGAAACCGTACTCCTAGAAGGCCGCCAGAGAAATCAAACGCCCCTTCTTGAACCCCGCGAAAAGGGAGAACGCCGTGCTTGTCTCCCTCTCCTAACCTCTCTATCGCTCCCATAACCTCTCCCAAGAAAAATAGCCCAATATGCCGGCGGCGGGGTTAAAGACGATCATCGCGCTGTCGTTTGTGCTGGCGGTGGGGTTCCTGCTGGTGATTCTGTCGTGCGCGCTGTGGAAGGTGTACTACCCGCTGCTGGTGGTGGCGACGTACGTGCTGGCGCCGGTGCCCAACTGGATCTGCAGCCACTGCGCGAACCCCGACGACTTCGTCGAGAGCTCGGGCGCCGCTGTGCTGGACCTGGGCCGCTTCTGCACGGGGTTCCTGGTGGTTATGGGGATTGGTATGTTTTTTCTGTCTCTCTGTCTGTCTGTATGTGTATGTATGTGTGTGTGTGTGTGTGTGTGTGTGTGTATGGATATCATATATATCAGTGGTGCATGGCGCAGAAACCCACGCGCGAGATCACAAGAAACAAAGTTGGCTAACAAGCAACCTCCGGTTTTTAGCGCTCCCCGTCCTCCTCGCCAACTCGCAGCTCATCAACATCCCCGCCATGTTCATGTCTATCATCGGGGGTCTCTTGATCTACGGCACCATCATCAGCTTCGCCATGTTCTTCCAGGAGGAGCAAGAATTCTAAAGCTGAGGAGAGCTGGACCGAGAGCCCCTGGCTGACCATTAATCAAGTCATATGTGCGTGGGCGGTGGTGTGGGATGGAGTTTGTCATTGAGGATGGGGCGGAAATGGAGGAGGGGGAAGGAAAAGGATGAGGTGTCTATTTCCCGAAAACGCCCCCCCTTCTCTTGTCTTCTGTCTCCTACTGTTTTCTCTCTCTCTTTTTTGTGTATTGTACAAGTTAAGCGCTTCAACATCATGGATGGAGCATCGTGGGGGAGATCAGTCTGTCGGTTGGTTGGACGGGCCAGTCAAATAGCTGTAGCTTCCCGAGCCAACAATAGTAGCAAGCCTCCGAAAAGGGACGATTTTGGAAAGCGAGTTTCACTACAGAATGATATTCCAGCAACCAAATATATAGCCCTCTAATTATATATCCAGGCGTTGATACGATTAATTGCCCCCCTTTTGCGTCAGGTACGAAAATAATATGATATGATATTATGTTACAAAGGTTAAGCTTGTATTATCACCTATCAGATCTGGAATCGCTCCGTTGAGCTTTCTAACAAGCACCTATCTAGATTCCTTCCAGAAAATAAAAAAGGAAATGGGAAAGAAATTATGGTAAACAGACGCCAGCCGTCCCGTCCTTGCAATGCGCAGACATCCATGTATATGTGTGTACTAATGAATTTCCCCGCCCACCTCCTCCTATAGATAGATGATACGTTGAGTATCGGCCCCCCTTTTTTCTGTTGCCTCGTATCCCCCCTAAATAGTGTCTGTCTCAGTGAAGTCCATCCGCAAAGACTCGCAGCGGGCCGGCCAGCTTGGTGAACATCTCCTCGCGCTCGCCCTCCCGGGTGCTGAGGATGGTGACGGCGCCTCCGGCACCGATGTGCCAGACCTCCTGGGGCTCGCTGGCGGCGCCCTCTGCCGCCCCCGTCCTGTCGGCGACGACGCCGGGAGACGAGGCGGTGTTGTGGCTAGGGCTGTGGTCCTCGTCGTCCCAGCGAAACAGGCTGCGGATGGTGACGCTCCAGTCGCCGCGGCCCGTGGCGCACATGTAGCCGACGACGCCCGAGTACAGGCTGCGCTCGTGGTGCTGCTCGATCTGCTGCAGGATCTCGCAGCTGCGCTTCTTGGGCGCGCCCGTCATGCTGCCGGGCGGCAGGCTGGCGGCAAGCACGTCGAGGCCCGTGTACCGGCTGCTGCTCTTCTCCTCGTCGGGAGACGGCGGCGGCAGCTGGCCCTCGACAACGGTGATCATCTGGAAGACGCTCTGGTACTCCTCGACCTTGAGCAGGTGCGGCACGCGCACGTTGCCGGCGCCGCAGATGGCGTGCAGGTCGTGGCGCACCAGGTCGACGATCATGAGGTTCTCAGCCTCCTCCTTGGGCACGTGCAGGATGCGCTCGGCCTGCGCCAGCGTCGCCACCGCCTCCGACTTGCGCACCGTCCCCTTCATCGGCCGCATCGAGCACCGGCCCTCGCGGTCGTACTGCAGGAACCGCTCAGGCGACGCGCTGACCAGCGTCACCGCCCCAAGGCGGAGGTACGAGGCGAAAGGGGCCGGCTGGCGGGCGCGCAGCGTCTTGAACAACTGCCACGAGCTGGGTAGTACATGTGCGAGCGACGACCGGCGTCGCCGTTGTTTCTGCTGCTTGCGCGCAACCGGGGCGGCAGGATGCTCCGTGGTCGACGAGTCACTCCGTGGCCGCGTGATCCGGGTCTTGTCCGTGAGGCAGAGCTCGTACGAGTCGCCTGCGGCAATGAAGTCCTGGCATAGCTCCACCTTCCGCTCGTATTCCTTGGTCAGGGGCGTCTGTATGGTTGTGCTTCTGGACGGGCGCCGCATCTTGACGGGCGGCTGGTACGCCGCAGCAGCGTGGTGGTGGTGCTGGCCATCCTTTCTCGGGGCGGCGAAGTCGTGGGCTACTCTTGCACTTTGTGTGTGCTGCGGCGATAGCAGTCTGGCTGCAGACTTTTCTACCCAGGCATCTGCCTCCGAGTTGTGAGCACAGAGTTGCTGGATGTGGACCACACCCGCTAGATGGTCGATAATGAGGCTCTTTGTGACCCAGACGAGGCTGACATCCGGCCGGTGATGCGGTCGGGGCTGTTCCAGGGGGACGCCAATGTCCATCAATCCTTGCTCATACGTGATGTATCCCATAAACCCACCAACAAAGGGGACCTCGGCTGGCTCTGTTGCCTCGACATGCCTCGCTTCGTGAAAACTAGCCACCAGACCCCAGATGCTGCCGTAGCTGGCCAGGGGCACCTGCTGCGACAGTTCGACTGGCAGCCCATCCACGCACTTGACTCTCATGGTAGCGAAGTCGTCGCCTGTGTGATATTCAAGATGCAGCGCCTCGTCCAGGCCAGCAGCAATAATACTATACCTGCCGCGTACGTCGGGGCGCGCCGCAGCTGAAGCAGCTGCATTGGCCGAGTCCAGGACGATGCGCTCTGCGCCCTCCAGGTCAAGCGCCTCGACCACATCGGGGACCTGTATGCCGCGGGGCAGGGGCACCGCCACAGAGCGGAGCAAGGGGTCAACTTCCATATCTTCCCACCAGCCGGCTGCTGCTGCTGCTGCCGACTCTGGACGAGTTTCCGCTGCATTCGCCCCCATGGCACTGCTGCCCGGCGTTAGCTGCGAGAGCAAGCTCGGCTTCGTCGCGTCTCTGGCAAACGGAGAAAACATGGCGTCGGCGTCAGCATTGCTTGAAGCTATCCTCCCGCGCCGCTCGTTCCACTGCATGGCCTCGCGGAACCAGTTAACAATAACACGGTTGCCCTCCTTCTCGGTGCACACCGACTCAGGGTGGTACTGGAGCCCCCAGAACGGGCGGGTGTGGTGCTTGACGGCCATCAGGATCCGTTCCGGGCTACTACAGCTACTGCGGTCCTCTTCGACCCAGGCCAGCGGCACTAAGTCGGGGCAGGCCGGCAGCGGATGCCAGCGGGCGTCGGCCCACTCGGCGGGCGGCACGGCGTGCTGGCCAATGTCGCCGCAAAGGCTGTGATAGAGGGTAGCCTTGAAAGGGCGCACGCCGCGGAAGATGTTCCCGTCGTCGGCGGCTGTGGTGGTCTCGGGGGGCTCGCGGTCCAGCAGTGGCTGGTGCACGATATCGCGCACCATGCCGTGCAGGCCGCGCTGCAGGCGGCGGACCTTGCCGCCGACGCTGGCCACGAGGCTCTGTAGGCCGAGGCAGATGCCCAGGACGGGTAGTAGGTCGGCCTCGGCGAGGCGCCACACGCGGCTCATGAGGCCGACGTCGGCGTCGTTGTCAGGCGAGCCGGGGCCGGGCCCGCACACGACGGCGGCATAGCGGCTCAGCTCACGGCGGAACAAGCTGCTGCTGCCGGCGTCATGGCCGTTGTCCAGGAGTAGCAGGGCCGAGTCAATGGGCAGGACCGAGACGTCGACGTCGAGGAGGGTGGTCAGCAGGGCCGTGATGTTGTTAGAGAAGGAGTCGTAGGCGTCGAGGAAGAGAATCCTCGGCCGCTGCTGCCGCCGCCCCTCGCCCGCCATCTGGCCGCCCCCCCTTTCCATAACACGCGCGGCAGGTTAGGTCGGAGTGGTTTTTGTGGTGCTGGTATGGTATAGCTGTCTTAGCTCATAACAAGCCGGCCAAAGACGGGGCCGACCCCATCGAGTGAGTCTCACTCAGAAACAGAGTGCAGTGAAGCTGTCTTGTCAATCCACGTTTTGCTAAAAAGAAAAGAAAACGCCGAGGTAGCAAAAACGGCGAAAGGGTTTCAATTAAAAAAAAGAAAACGTGACTTTTTCTGAAAGTCGTAGATAACCTCCTCGGTCGAAAGCAGGCATTCAAAAAAAAAAAAAAAGTATCTTGGAAAGAAAGAATCTCGGGACGACCCAAAATGTTTTCCGCTCCGTGTGCCGCCCCGAGCCGCGTCGTAGCACCAACCCTAACCCGATCCGCTGTTCTCTCAGGCCATCCGCCGTCATAATGACACCCTAGTTTTTACGCAAAGACGAGGAAAAACATGCTGATTACAGTAAAGCAAGGGGCATTGCGATAGTTACTAGTAGGAGACATTTATTGCGCATTTAGTTGTAGTGCGAAACTCTGTCATCCCTACATCACTAGCCTTCTAAAATACCGGCTTGCGTGAGAATACGGAGTAAAGGGGGTGGTATTATGTACGACCCGGCAAAGTTGGCAGACTCGCCACAACCCTTCGCCCCTCCCAAAGTGAGGCAAAATACCCAGGAAGACAGCGGGTAAGCAATGAGGTATTCGTAGGTAGGTAGGTAGGTAAGTAGGTATCTATCGTCATGCCAGTTTCTAATGCTCCCACAGCCCTGTTCTCAAACACACACACACACACACATCTGTCTCTCACCCCCTTACATCACTCACACCTAGGCACTCACACCCAACCACAACCTCGCCACAAAAAGACAACGCTATGCATGCATGCTGTGCTGTATTCAAAACATGGCCCCTTCCGAGTGAGCGGCCTTGCAGAAACAAAAAAGCCCACACATCTCATCACCGCCGGTCCCGGACGACAAATTGACACGGCCTTCTCGAGTGCCAGATCCTCCGCTCCCTGGCGCCGAGCACGGCATCCATCATGGTCTGGGTGTCCGACCTGGGCCTGGACGCGCGCTTCCTAATCTCCCTCTCCTCTTCCTCGTCCGAGGTGGGCGTCCAGAGGCGCGTCTCTTCGACGCTGGCAGCGACCTCGAAGGCGCCGCGGCAGAGGGCCGTGACGCCCGTGACGACCTCGGCCGTGGCGCGCGCCGGCAGCAGCGGCAGCGCCTGCTGCAGCGTGCCGTTCCACGAGAACTTGCGCGTGAAGTCGAGCGCCACGTTCTGTGGCCGGTGGCGGAGCGCCGGCATGAGCCGCAGCGTCGGGTACATGGGCTGGTCAGTGCGGTTGGTGATGCGCACCCTGACCTGCATGAACTCGTCGACGGCCACCACGTTGCTGCCGCTGCTGCTTCCGCTGCTGCTGTCATCGTCGTCTTCGGGGTCCACCATCGAGATATCGATGCCGACCTCGTCAACCTTGACAGCTTCAATCATGCGCGACGTCAGCCGTATGCTCCGCAGCTCAATATCGCCACTCCGAGCCGCGCCAGACGTAGCCCTCCACGTGCCCTTCAGCGAGTCGAGAATCTTCTCCCGGTACCAGAACGCCTCGCGGTTGGCGCGCTCCACGTCGGGTGTAATTTTCGTGCTAAAGACAAACTGCCGCTGCCGCGACGGATTGAGCGCGGGAATGAAGGCGTGCGGCTCTTCCAGATAGATCCTCTTCACCGGAAGCACTAGACGACTCGTGTTTCCAGGCAGGATGTCATCTTCCACCTTTGACCCATCGTCGCACTCAATCTCGACGTGCACCTGGCTCGGCCAGGCATTGCGCAGATCCACCAGCAGCAGACAGTGCGTATCCATCGTCGGCTTCTCGACAGACGTATCCTTTTGGTGGCCCGTCCGCAGCCAGAGAGCCTCGGGAACGCTGCCGTGGAGCGGGAGCACATCGACCCTGGTCACGTCAACGCTGGCATTAACAGTAACCGTGAGCGCCAGGGAAACCTGTCGCGTGTAGAAAGTCTCGCCGACTTCGTCTTGCGGGACACCGAGGTGAGCATAGTCGATCTGGATGAGACCGGTGGTAAGCCCCGGCTTCCCGAGAATCTCAAAGTCAAACGTCGCCGTCTCGCCCGGCGCGATGAACCTGCGGCTGTCGCCCCGCTTCCGCAGCCGCAGGGCCTGCTTCTTGGCCAGGATGAGCTCGTACTCGTAGAGCTCTGACGGCGTCGCATCGCGGCTGCTCAGGGCCAGCTGGAGAGGCTCCTGCGTCGAGTCCTGGAAGGAGAAGAGGAGAAAGTCGGCCGGAGTCGTGGTGGAGAGGTTCTCGAGCGTCACGGAAAAGACCTGACGCTCCCCTTCTAGGATCATAACCGATGACTGGGGAAGCGTGCAGGACTTGACCACGACCACTGGTTGCTCTGCGATGGCGCTGAGCTCCAGGGTTACTGGCGTGAGACGCTCTATGGCCGGCGACGACAACGAAGAATTCACGTCAAGGGCCGCAACTCCGATGGCCTTGATCTTGATCTCGTTCTCGGGGGCCCACGGTTCCGTGAAGATGGGGAATCTCCTCTCGCGGCAGCCCCGCACCCTGATTATAGCCCCTGTAACTCTCAGAGGCCCAGCGCCTTTTGCCACGCCGGTTACCCTCAATATCTGAGTCCGGTAGGCGCCGATGACGGTGCTCTCCACTGCCGATTCGAAATCGGCGCCCTCCGTGTCTATCCGGATGCTTGCAATCTCCACCTCAAATTCGTAGGGGTTCTGGAGCGTGAGCCGGAAGCTCGCCGTCTCGCCGGCTACCAGCATGCGCTCCACTACCGCGTCCGACTTCTTCAAGAACGGGTTGTAGATGAATGGATTTACGTCCTGCGAGGTTCTTGCTGTAGATACCTCTGGGAGGACGCTCTTGGCGTGGGGAATAGGGGTTCTCGTGACAGGTAGCGGCTCTAGCTTCACGCCACGGACAAGGAACTCGTCCCAATACTCGGCTGCCAAATGACCCATCCCTAACCGCTTGGACAAGTTCGAAGTCTTGGAGATATTGCTAGCCAAGCGAATTTGCTCATCCCTACTGATTGTCGGGTAGGCATCTTCGCGGCGCGGGCCAGGGGCGATGCCGCTCCCAGCGGTCCGCAAGAGGTCGCTGGAGTACTTCAAGACTCCAGCAAAGTCTGGCAGAGCCTCGGAGAAATTAATGCAGGATCGAAGGATATTGAGCTTGACCTGGTGCATGCCGAACAGCCTTGCCGTAGATTGTTTATGTATTATTGAGAGAATGGTAGCGTCGGAGTCGTCCTTGACTTCGCCGGTAGCTGTGGCGGTGCCCAGGTTGTCGGCCACAACCCCGTACGTCTTGAGAACGAGTCCTAGGAAGGCTTCTATCCCCTGCTCAACGTCATCTGCCCCAATCTCTAGGGAGGCTGCCGCGCCATTGGCGCCATTAGCCTGGCCGTTGAGGCCATTGAGGCCGACGAGCCCGGCCGCCGGGTGGATACCGACGTCGGCAGCACCCCGGGTTCTCGCCTCGACCAGCCCACCGACCAGAACCGAGATTAGCTCCCTGACGACCATAGCCTTCTTCCTCTGGAATCCCAACATCCCTAGGACCGAGGCAATGCCGCTGAGTATTACAATCCGGTCCACCGTGGTCAAGAGCTCCGAGGCAGATGCTGGAAAGGCGCGGAACAAGGTAGCAACTATTTGCGTGCGGACCGGCACGATGGTGAAGCGTGGCGATGTGGTCAGCGGTATCTGGGGTATCTTGCCGAAGACTATCATGTCCAGGGACTCGGCTCCCAGCTGCCCCTCGGCAATGTGAAGAGCGGCGAGCATCCTGCAGGACCTAATGGTGGCCTCGGATAGGGGTAGCGGCGGCAGATGCTCGCCCGAAACCCTCGTATACAAATTCAAGATGCGATCTAGTAGCTCGGGAATGTAGATTTGCAGATTCCGCAGCCACCGGGGCTGTTGAGGATCCCTGCTCTCGGCGTCCTGTATGGCGGCGGCGAGGGCGGTGCCTTTTTCTGGGGGAGGTAACATAATGGTCGGCACCTGAAACTCGATTCCCGCCCATCCCAGCAGCAACAGGCTGATGAGCGCCAGCTCTAAAGCCTTGCCGTGCCAAAGATGGTCGTTCATCGACTTGGCCACGGTGGCGGCCTCGCTGAGCTCCCTGATGGCAACATTCCACAGGCCGGCCTGGAGATAGAGCGAGCCCACCACGACTTGGATTCTGCATTTCGTCTTGGTTCTCATCCTCTCGTTGATTCCCCCCGGGCCAAACCCCTGAACTGCCACTCTGTCCTGGCTCTGCGTCCTGTGCCCTTCCGACGTGCCGGGCCGCGCATGCTGCTCGGGACTGGTGGGGACCGAGTCGCCCCCCGCTGGAAAGTCGTCAAAAGAGGTTGGCGGGTTTGCAAGGCCGCTCCTGGAGCCGACAGGGGTGGAAGGTCGACCGGGAGTGGAGCTGCTGGAGGCGAGCGGCGAGCCCCCCTTGAAGGGGACGGGCGGCATGGACATGCGCGCTTGGATCTTGTCGTTGATGCCACCCGCGGAGCTTGACCGCGAGCCAACGGGCAGAGAGTACTGCGAGTTCCTCCTACCCAATGCGCTGAAGTCATCCAGCCCGTTGGCCGTGTGAGAGGCAGACGTGCCGGGCGAGTCCAGATAGGACCTGCCCTCGTAGGATTTGGCTAGCGTCGTCATCTCGGCGAGCAACAGCGCCGATACATCGCACATGACCGTCTTCATGGTAGTTCTTAGGTGTTTCTCGGCGGGCGGAATAGTGACGAGGCCCTCCGGGATCGGCACTGGCTTGTCGGTGGAGGGCAGGTAGTCGAAGATCAGCACCTGGTGCACCAGGATCTGGGAATAGTGGTCCCGCAGGTCCTCGAGCTCCTGGGTGAGGGCGCGTATGTTTGTCTCCTCGACGGTCCTGCCGCCCGAGTGGCGCTTGCTGAACATTGATTTTTGGAGCTCGACGCCGTCGGCCACGGCAATGAGCACGAGCGGCTTTCGGTAGCGGTCGAAGGGCGAGAGGGCGATGTGGGAGGGCGGGGGGTGGTACGTCATGAGCTCGTAGAACATGGCACCGCCGGGGAAGGCCAGAGGCGAGAACATGTTGCGGTTGGGGCGGCCATCGGGGGTGACGTCGCGCAGGTGGACGATGTTCTCGACATTGAGGCGGTCGACGAAGACGGCAAAGCGGTCGCGCTTGATCTGGCCGATGGGCACGACCAGCGCCCTGACCCTTGCGGGCGCGACGGGCACGAGAGGATCGAGCGTCATAATAGCGCGCGGCGGCAGCAGCAGCGTCAGGCCGGGGGCGAGAAGGACATGTCGAGATGGTCGAGACGGGGAGCGAAGCGGCGCTGCATCGGGCAGGGCAGTGCCGGCGAGCCCTGCTGACGATGGTGGAGCCGGATTCGCAGTTGTTGGTCCTGTCCCAAGTGCGAGCACAGTCGTCTTGGGGGGCGGCGCTTTCGATTTGTGTATGGTCGGTGGGCGCAAGCGTGTCGTTGAAAACAACGGGAAATTTGATATCGCAAAGGGTTTACCTATTTCCAGCCCATGCACCCAAATACCTGGGCTTCGGCTACGGGCAATTCGATACTGCGCTGTACCTGAATAAAGTCGCAGACGGCCACTTAGACAGGCCTGTGTGCGCCCAAGCGTCTAGACCCCTGAAGGACTGTGGGCGCCGTGATTGGCTTGTTGGTGCCTGCCGGCCAGTCAGACTCAAGGCTGTGCTACGGCGGGGTGCTTGTCACCTGTGGGCGCCTGCGCTACGGAACCTTACACATTTCCCCCTTTTACAACCCCTTATCTCAGGCAATCAATAAGAGACCCAAAGTATCTATAATTCGAAACACGAGAAATGACCATATGTGTAAATAAAATGGTCAGATAATCATCTTTGGAAGAAACGGGAGACGATGGTTTGGCTGCAAATACGTGCTTCGTGCCTGTACCTGACATAGTCCAACCGAACTCCGCCTTTCCACCTTAGCACATCGCGGCATACGAATCTAAAAAAGAAAAAGGAAAAGGAAAGAAAAAATGGCCCCTATATTTTCAGCTCCACGGAAGATACGCTATGAGATAACCAAAATCCAAGGCAAATGTACAAACCTGAGAGACAAAATTGAATCCAAAGAAATAATACCCAGGGACAGCACCTCCGGTAACCCACCCCCTCAAATGAACACAGATATCCTTCTCAGACTCCACTTCCACCTCCGCCCATCCCATCCCCGTACCCCGTCCCCGTCATGTGCGCGTCTATCATCATGGCCATGGCCATGGCGGCGCGCCCTTCGCGGGCCTCGTCCTTGAGCTCGCTCTCAAAGATGTCGACGGCCAGGCTAGCTTCGACAAAGTCCTCCATCTCCTCGGTGACTGTCTTGAGCTTCTCGCGCACGGCGATGCTGCCCTCGAAGCCGACGATGTGGCGCGCCGGCGGGTTCTCGTGGCCGCCGATGGCCGTCAGCGCGTGCACCGTCTCCAGGACGAGCCGGTCGAGCGTCGCCGCCGGCAGGTGCGGGTACCGGTGCTGGATCTCGTCCTCGGACGGCTCGACGGCCGTGTCCGGGTTCGCGTTAAGCACGTTGCTCATTATGTCCCGGATGCTGGGCGCCGTTGGTGGCAAGGGGCCGCCGCTGTTGTGGATGCTGCCGCTGTCGCCGCCGCCGCCGCTGCCACTGCCACCGTCATAGTCGGCGTAGTAGGCGGCGGGCAGCTGGGGCGCGAAGATGATCTTGTTGGTGAGGCTCTGGATCTCCTTGTTCGGCTGGACAATCGTGACCTTGATGTTGAAGGGGGCGATCTCGTAGGCCAGCGAGTCGCAGAAGCCCTCGAGCGCCCACGTGGCGGCCGTGTAGACCGACATGCCCGGGGTGCCGATGTGGCCGCCGATGCTGGTCAGGACCATGATGTGGCCCGTGTGCTGGGCGCGGAACTGGGGCAGGGCGGCCTTGATGAAGTTGACCTGGGAGAAGAAGATGGTCTCGAACTGGTCGCGCACGAGGTTGCGCGTGGCGGGGGTGGCGGCGAGCTCCTCGACAGTGCCGACGACGGCCTCGTACTTGCAGCACAGCAGGATGTCGATGCGGCCAAACACCTGCACGGCCTCGGCTACGGCGGCGCCGCACGCGCCCATGACGCGCCCATCGCAGCGGATGCCGCGGATGCGGTCCTTCCAGCCCTCGCGGTCCTTGCGGTTGCTCTTGCACTCGTTGACGAGCTCGCGGAACTCGGCACTGCGCTCGTCGTTCTCGAGCTCCTGCGGCGGCAGGCACGCGACCACGTAGTCGCCGTGGCCAAGTAACAGCCTGATCAGCCGGATGCAGAGCGGCGACAGCGACGACGTGAGGAACCAGGTCCGCGGCGAGTTGTGTGTCGCTGTATTGTCCATCAGTCTTCAGTCTTCTGGTCTCGTCTTTGGGTTTTGGGTTTTGACAACTCGTTCACACAGCCACGCGTGCGATACGCACGTGGTGGATAGATAAGTACACAGGCAAACACTTGTTGCTCGCTTCGATTTTATTGCTTCTCGTTTTGCGCGCAGTACGTACTGAATGGATAGGGAAAGTGGGAACAGGGGGTAGGTGGGGAACGGCGAGGTTATGACGACGTGAGGAAAAGAGGAAATATATACGAAAAAAAGAAGGAAGAAAAGAAATATCAAACGAGGTTATGTTGGGTATGTAAGTGGTAGCGTAGCGACAAGCAGAGTCGAGGAATTTCATATGTAAAAAAGGGGGGACGTGAGAAAAAGAGATGATGCATGGCGCACGCACGGAATGATGCCGCAGGAATCGCATGCGAATGTTTTGCGTTTGCCGCTGCTGCTGTCGGCCCAGCTTCCGAACCTTTTCGCTCCGCCATTCTTTATTTAGATCGGCCGTCCCCTCCTCTCCTCTCCCTTCCCCTGTTTTTTCTTGGGTTCCTTGTTCGAGACTTGGGTAGGCGACGGCGGGAGCAGGCGAGGATTTTGGGGAGGGGGGGACCTTGTTTGGTTTAAGGTTTATTTTTCGCTCGCTGCACGGCAGATCCTTCCTTTCAGTCGCTTTCGTGCTTCAGAAGCTGCGCGGGCGTCCTCTTTTTCCGATTCCTATTCCAAAATAGAAATAATGATGTCGTCAGGTGGTAGGTAGTACCAGTAGGTAGCGCAGGCATTTCTCCAGGAAACGCAAGCCCGCAGGGCACACAAGATCCCGCCCGAAGGGTAACCCGAAACAAGAACGAACCCCAGTGGGAGAAGGAAGCGAAAATAAATGCCCCCCTCGCGGACTGCAGGATGGTGATTTCAACCTACATTGCCCGCGTTGGGTGGGAAAACAACGGTTTTAGACAACAAGAGACGGATAGCAGTCGACGAATGGTTTCGGAAGGTCTAGACTTTATATGCTCGGGCACGCACGAGAGAACCGGCGGGCTTTCTCTGTCAGTTCTTATTAAGATTGGTGATTATTAGTTCGATATCCCTGCTGCTTAGGCTGCTGCTAGGTGTAACTGGGTCTGTCCATGCCACTATGGCCACATGCGGGGGGATCTTCAAGGCTGTGGATGGAGGCCATATTTCTGAGGGCCGGCTCCCACTCGACTTGCGCACATCAACCAAGCGTGATGCTCGAGAGAGCGAATGTTAAAGCAAGATACGTATGCTACCATTTTAATTATCCACTAGATCCCATATTGGACGGCGAATAATAATCCCATCCAATCTCTGCAGAGCAGGGTTGAGGATCTTGGACTTGGGTAATTCAGTCCGTTTCCGTTAGGGTTAGGGTTGAGTTGCATAGAGCTCGGCACGCATTTGTTGGCAGTCGTAATACTGAGACAGTGTCCAAGAAGCTCTTCCTTCTGAGAGCAGGCTCCGAATCGAGTGTGTCACGCCTTCTGGCTGTGACCAAGTCTTGGCAATGCACAAGGTTAGTAAGCCGAGCTTGAGCCGAGTTGGCTAACTTAGGGGCGTAAGCTTTTGGCTGCTTAACGCCGTGATGGGCAGTAAGTTCGAGTATTATTACCAGGTAATACTGGGTGATTCCACGTAACTTCCTCACTTGCACTGAGGTGGATTGAATGATAGGCAATTTAAGTAGCAGCCAGCCACGCAGCTTGGTTGAGATCGGTTCGGTTATACCTTCACGAATAGACTACCTCGATTGACATGAGTTCACTTGTTAAGACTTAATGTAAGAGGATAGACGTGTGGCAGTGAGAGTCTGAGTGAGGCTGTCAAATCACATGAAACCACAGCAAATCAAAATGCACACCTCTCTCACAACCTACGGCGAGAAAAATGTGGCAAGCATTCCATGCTGGTCACAGCCACTGCTTGGTTGGGCTTTACTGGATGGCGGTTGGTGGGAGAGATGAAGTTGCCGATCGGACTGCTGTATCTGATGCTGAACCTTTTTTTCGATCATTTCGTCCTGAGTAGTCGGGATAATTCATTAAAACGAGAACCTCAAGTGAGGGCAGCAGGACGAAGCTAAGTCACAGCAACGGGCACTGGCAGAACCTTAAGATTTCAACTCAATTACTCACATATCAGATAACAGATGTAATTGTGATGTGACACCTTTGCGCTCAGGTGCATAATCTAGTCTGACGGGTGAGAAGGCAGCATCAAAGGAGCGTTTTAAGCCCTCGGTCTCGCCAACATGATTATCTAGATTGGCTGCTTTGTGGACGGCTGCAACCACTAACGTTACATTGCCGATGGTGTTCATGCAGCTGAATCAGGTCCGAGGAAGGTATCACGGCGCGACTTTTCGCCGCCACTGGTTCACGCCGCCTTCACTCTGTGCCCGTCTCCGGATCGTCATACCGAGCCGGCCAACCTCAAGGCCTGCCGTATCTGACATTCCCATGGATGCCTACCTAGGTAGAAATTAATGTCTGCCGCCACCGCCGCCGCACGCCGTGACCACCACCTGTGATGTTTTGTCCCGTTTAATCCCACCTTTGTTTCTGCCATTTTTGTTTTTGACTCCGTTTCATGAATTCCTGCTCCTGTGTCGGATGCGCGGCCACGGCACCGGGCAAAAGGAATGTTTTAGTCGGACGTGTACGAGGTAAAACGGCTCCCCCCGGCCGCAATTCGTCGACTCGTAATAAAATGACGTATCTTGACTTGGCTCTTGTTTTGAATCTAGATTGAAAATAGAAACAAAGAAAAGACGGAGGAAGAGTGATGATCGGAGCCCGCAGCCTCCTCGCTGAGACGTACCGAAGCGCATCAAGGCAGGCACAGGAAGCGCCCTCACTTGAACTTGAAACAACCCAGCTAGAAATATCTGGCGATGCTGGAGGCTCTGACTGCTGCCTTGAATCACAGCCGCCATACCGGGCGAGGGACAGTGTCTCAAAGGGGCCAGTGACGATCAATTTGCACCAGGTTTCCTATGGTGTTGGCAGATTGATTGTTTGATTTGAAACCATATGGGTGTGGCACTTGTTTGTAAGGAGGGTACTGGAATCAAGGTCAGGCTGTTGTCTGGCGCCCGTCGTTTTGTTCAGTCGTATATTCAGGTTGGCTAGAGCTTTTAACCATGCCGGCTGGTACCCAGCACTCATCATTGCCAGGTCTGACTACGGCACAGAGTAGGGCCAATGTCGAGATTCAAACTGGCATTGTTATTTTTACGATGTATACGAATAGATCACCGTCATCGAGGGTGTCGGCCAAGATATATAATACCTAGGTCCTCAGATTCCCAGACTAGGCAGTATTCAAACAGATACTCTTATCCATTCTCAATTCTTCTATCTTTTCTCCAAGATCTTCTCGTTTCTTGATTCTGTCACCTCGCAATTACAAGTCACACCGCAGCATGTCCCAAAACAAAACCAGCCCCGCGGACTCCGGGAGTCAAGGCAGAAGCAGAAGTGCAAGCACGGTTGGCCTCGAAGACAAAGCGAATTTCATCACTGAGATCGAAAAGAGGAAGTCGACCGCCAAGTCTGGCGATCTTTCCGACTACGAGGCCATCTTGAAATACTACAAGCAGGCCGATGCCAGTATTCCTCACGGAAACAACTTTGTCTGGTCAATCAACGGTCGTGTCGGCTTTGGCCCTGTAGATGAGTATTATTACGAGGTGGCTTTGAAGGAGAAGAAATGGGGCGTGCGGGATGTGAGTTCCTTACCCATGCCTATGCCGAACCCCTCATCTATACGCCTTGATCAACACCCCGACCACTCAGTCCATTCATCCATACGCCTTAATCAACACCCCGACTTGCTAATCCAGTCATTCATACGCCTTGAACAATACCCAGACCGCCCAATATATTTATTCATACGCCTTGATCAGCACCCCAGCTGCTCAAATCTATGCCATGAGGGTCTAACTGGTGCTAATTATGTGTGACTGAAATATATTCAGTTTCCAGCACTCTTCCCGAGATTCCTGTCCGGTCAAAATCCCCTGGTGTGCATGAACAGTCGAAGAATTTTGATAAAGCCCCCGAGATCACAGAATTTGCTCAGATTGCCGTTCTCCAGCAACGTGTAGCCCGGGCGCCCTATCACGAGGTGTGTGATATTTCAGCCCTTTCCTGACTACTACCCAGACACAGGCCTAATATGAATAGATCGATGTTGAATTTCGTATCAACCCCGCCATTCCCGGAGCTTTGGGACATACCGTTCGTGCCAGGTGTAGGTCTCTCCTTTATTTCCTATTGACCAGGTCTCTGGTCAAGGCGGATGATACTTCCCTTTTCCTGTGCACCGGCTAATCAACAACTGGAACCCAAATTGCCAGCGTCAACGACACCTGCTGCACCATCCAGACGATATGGCAGGCAGACTGGAATCACATCAACCAGGGCGCGAACCAGGTGCCCAGCGTCTCGCACTCCATGGACGCGGCCGCCAATGTCAACCAGATCCAGGAGATCATCGCCGAGATCCGTGTCCTCGCTCCGACGGGCAACGCCACCAACCCCTTCAAGCTGATTTCAGACTGGACGCCCGAGCGCTTCTGCATCAAGGCGCCAGCCGGGAACCTGCCTCTACTGTCCGGAAACGGCATCCGACGCCATATTTTCTTCGCAACAGCCCTTTACACCCACAGCACGAGTCTCTACATGGCCCAGAAGAAGAACGGTATTAATTATTAATAAACTAAGCCCGAGCGGTCGGACTCCCACGCTAGCTTAATGTATCCGATATTAATAAGATGTAGTTGATGGCCCCCTGTGATCGACGTGGAGTCTTCGGTTTTGCGTCGTGACTGTTTCAGTGGAGGGGATCAAGCAACACCGTCGAAGCGACCTCGAGAGCCGCGAAGGTCATCTGCAAGCCTGTACCAAAGAAAGGACGTCCAAGCTGAGGAAAGAAAACATGAATAGCTCTTTGCCTCTTGTATGTCTTGTCGCTTAGATTCCATACGTGATAGTCGGTCGTTAGATTTAACTCCGAAACCTTGTTCTTCGTCACGGCCCTGTGTCAGGAGGAATCGTGTCTAGCCTCATCGGGCTGTGTCGCCGCACGCCATAGCATGAAATTCTTCAGCACGGACTACCTGAGTCAGTTCAAGCCACCTCGCCAAGTACGTACATCCACCTACCCTTAAGTGCTTCCAGGTTTGTTAGGTCAAGTATCTGGATACCAGGTGCCGTCCCGTCGCGTCGGAAGACATCCGAATTTCAGGTGCCGTTCCCGACTCCATGGGACCATCCAGGCCCTGGCGCGGTAATCCGTCCCCTGCAACGTCCCCCCAATTACCCCCACCTTGGCGGTCGGCGTAGGTAGCCGTGTCACTGACAAAAAGGCACAGTGTTAACCAAAATCACTTGCGTGATTGTGCAACCCAATAGAAATAAGACGAAAGGCTCAAGCCATTTGTGTACCTCTGAAGATGCAATTAAGATATTCCTCTTAAACTTTCAAGGAACGATTTAAAACTTGAAATCTTGGTCTCTCATCGAAAATACTGCCTGGGTTTACCAGACACTGTGCTTCTCGCCAGGGACGGGCTGCAAGATATAGTCCCTGTTGACCCCACACTACGTTGCCGTTGCCCCTGTAAACCCTTGCGTAAAACCTGGGGAATGCGTGACTCAGGCCGACTTCAGCAGCTAATCCGGCGGCGGCACCGACACCGGGACGCTCCTTCCGCAAGTCGGGTGTGGATTGCGTGGGTGGGTACCGTATGAGAAGGCCCTGGCTCCGAATCTGGAACTGAACTGAATTGACTCACTGCAGCTTGCAACTTCCTTTCGAGTCCCTTCCAGTGAACAACCAAAGAACCTAAGGCGGGGTAAAGCAAAAAAGGAAAGCGCATCGAGTCGTGAAACGGACTCGAGCTAGAAACAAATCGGAACCCTAGAACCTGCCGTACCCAAACAGGCTTTCAGCATATAATTAAAATGCCTGCCCGATCCGACATTACCTATTTTGGCGCCGGCCCGGCCCTGCTGCCGACCGATGTGCTTGAGAAGGCGGCACAGGCGCTGCTGGACTTCAACGGCACCGGCCTGGGCATCGCCGAGCACAGCCATCGCTCCGAGCTGGCCACTAGCATCATCAACGAGGCCAAGGTCGACCTGGCTACCTACCTCGACATCCCCGCCGCCGACTATGAAGTCCTCTTCATGCAGGGCGGTGGTACCGGCGAGTTCTCGGCCTCAGTTTACAACCTTGTCGGCGCCTGGGTTGCCCGCCAGCACGCGGCGGTGCTGAAGGACCTGGGCGGCTCCGAGGCGGCCGACGAGGCTGCCGTCGTCGCCGCCCTGCGCGCCAAGGTTGAGACTGACTTGAAGCTCGACTACATCGTGACCGGCGGCTGGTCCCTCAAGGCCTACCAGGAGGCTGTGCGCCTGCTGGGGCCAGAGTATGTCAACCTGGCCGCCGACGCACGGCTCGAGAACGGCGGCAAGTTTGGTAAGATTCCCGACCAGGCCAGCTGGAAGCTGAGCAAGGACGCCGCTCTGGTCTATTACTGCGACAACGAGACCGTGGATGGCGTTGAGTTTCCCGAGTTTCCTAGCGCTCTGGCCCCCAAGGCCGACGGCACCGGCCCCATCGTCGTGGCCGACATGTCGTCCAACATCCTGTCGCGCCGCATTCCCGTCGCAAACCACTCGCTGCTCTTCTTCGGCGCTCAAAAGAACCTCGGATCGACGGGCGTCACCGTCGCTGTCCTCAAGAAGACGTTTCTCCCGCCCACCATCACGCAGCCTAGCCCCGCGCTGATGCGCAGGCTAGGGCTCCCCATCCCTCCCATCGTACTGCAGTACGAGATCGTTGCCAAGAACAACAGTTTGTACAATACTTTGAGCATCTTTGAGTGAGTCTGCCACCCCGTCGCTTACTATCTGCCTAGGAAGCTAACTCGATTTTGCGCTAGTGTCTACGTTGCGGGCCAGGTTCTGAAGAAGCTCTTGAGCACCTTTCCTAACAAAGTTGACGGCCAACAGGCGGTGGCTGAGAAGAAGGCAGAGATTATCTACTCCGCCCTAGAGGCCCACCCAGATGTCTACAAGATAGTGCCGGACAAGACAGCCCGCTCGAGGATGAACATCTGCTTCCGCGTCATCAAGGTGAGTAGCTGTTCTGCCGGCATTCTTGTTGTCCTGTGTAATTAACTCTTGTCTCCCAGAACGGAACAACGGACGAGTCTGAGAAGGCCTTCTTGGAAGAGGCAACGGGCCTGGGCCTTACGGGGCTCAAGGGCCACCGAAGCGTTGGTGGCATCCGCGCCAGCAACTACAACTCGATTCCTCTCGAGGGAGCAGAGAAGCTTGCCAAGCTCATTGAGGCCTTTGCTAAGGCCTGATGGGGCTTGGAGGATGGAAGCTTTTACGATGCGTTGAAAGGTGAGTGGACGACGGCGAAAAAGCTTTGTTGCGTTGGCGTAAATAGGAGTGAGGGGTCATTGGGTTACTGTGCATCGTCTAGGTTGCATAAAGAGCGAGGCGCTGATGTTGGCGTGTGGGCTGGATGATCATGGGGGAACTCTTGGGTTTCCCCCCAAAAAATGCTGGGGGATTTTCAACAAAGGAAAAAGGTAGTGTTGCATCATGTTCTTGCTTTTTAATGCTAATCCGATAGTGTTTGGGGGTCTGGTTCAACAACTATGCCAACAAATATAATAGGAATACCGGGTTGGTTGACCAGGACAATATATATTGGCTCATGTTTCGACCGTGCCCCCTTTCTTATTTTCCCGGATCACTCTAGTTACCTTAAGAGCAGTGCCGGACTAAAAGAGAGTGTCCTAAGCTTGGCTACTCTCTCAAAAGTTCGAGCCCAGTTATGTTAGTCCCCCAGAGGTAGTCGCCCTTTAACATATAGCTAGTTGAGATGGACTCCATGGCTGCTCAAGCATAGGCGTAAGCTCAAGCCAGAGTGTTAATGAACCGACCTATGCTAGGCCAGCTAGGAGGGATTGCGGGACCTTCCCCGACTTCTTAAAGACCGGCGAGCATGAACACGCTGAACGCTCCGATGCGGTAGCCGCCCGTACCCATGGTCCAGACCAACAGGCAGCAAATGAACCCGCTGGTTCTGAATAAGGCATTTAACCGCACTGCCAACCAAACACCACAGCCGATGTCGGGAAACGTGAGCAGCCAAAATATAGCTGCAGTGCTGACCGCCCTAGACCCTGATGGCCGTGCAGTATCGTAAGACAAGCCCAAAGTGCTGGCGAAGTGGGAGCAAGAGCAACACCGCACCCAGATGAACAACGGGTTCCAACCTCCTAAATAACAGATGCAAATGATTCCGGGGCAACTTCAGGTACCCTTTACCGGACCTAACGGCGCCCAAAAACCCATGTCGCATATGGCCCAGCAAGCTCAGCAGCAGCAACAACAACAGCAAGCTCAGCAGCAGCAGCAGCAGCAGCAGGCTCAGCAGCAGCCAGCTTCAACAACAACATGCCCAACAGCAAGCCCAGCGTTTTGCTCAGCACCCCCAATATCTTGCCGTTGTGGATAGTATGAATATACCCCCTCAAGTGATTCAGCAATTGCGAGACCATTTACCGCCTGGCACACTGAAAGCGTTCATGCGGTTGAATCCCGGAGCGTTGCCGCAGCCCATGTAGAACCAGTTGCTCAACATGCAAATGTAGCTGTTCAAGAATGTTTTGGAGACCAAAAACAAGGCGAGACAAGGGCTACCGCCCGGAGGTCCGCCGTCCGTTGGCACGCAGCCCGGACCTGCGCGGCCAGTCCCTGCGGTGCCGTTTAACCAGTCGCCGCCGTTGCCTACTGGAGTTACGGTACCTCCCCACCAGCTACAAGTCAGCATTCAGGACGTAGAATCGCTACGCAGAAATCCAACGTGGCAACACCTAAACAACGAGAGCCTCAAAACTTCTCGACAGACAGGCAGGTCAAGGAGACCTCCTGGATAAGGATTTACTGGCAGCAATAAGGTGGTGCGGTGGGTGCAAAACAGGCATTGCAGGATCCAGCACCGGCGGCTTCCCAGCCTGCCCCGGTAGCACAGCCGATAGTACTTCAGCCAAGTCAGCAGAAGCCTCCCGAAGCCCCCGAACCAGACAACCACCCGACACAGCTCTCTGCAAATCCTCAAAATGCCGGCCGTATGCCGCGCAAAATCGACCTGCCGCTGTCAACGCCTCGCCGTTGCAGAACCAGAAGAGCATGAAGCGCCCTGATTCGGATGACGCCGTAGATACCCCCAACCAGGCAAATAACGCTTTACAGCAGCCTTCCCAGCCCTTTCCGCCCCCTCACTCAGAAGCCCGCGCCACGATCCAAGGCATGCGACTGACTCCAGAGCAAATTGCAAAGATGACTCCAGAACAAAGGGCAAAATACGAGGCACTGCTGCAGGCTCGTCAACAACTACAATAGCTGCAAAATTTGCGGCTGAAGGCAATAGCTCAAGAGGAAGGTTGCCTTTCATCGGTCATGCAGGGGCAAGAGCAGCCAGTACAGTTAGTGCCAGACGGTGTGCAAGAAATGGTGGCCAAGGTCCAGCAAGTTGCCAGAGAGATGCAAAAGCTCATCAAGGGAATGCCCAAATGGTTTCGGCTTGCCAATGATGAGGCCCGGGCAAGAATGCTCTTCAAAGCGGTAAGGCTTTGCGCGTGTCCCCTTTCAGAAACGAGTCGAGTTTATAGCTAACATTCCCACAGCGCGCAAAGGTGATGCGGCAATTTGTCGATGCAGATATGAAAATCCTGCAAAACGTCTTCACCATGATTGGAACGATACTTTGTAATTATGTTCTCACAAGTAATCAAAATTCGCTGTTGAGGGAGCCGGTTTCTGGCGCCCTCTTAAATTAAGGGGTATAGCATCCTCGGCGCATTGAAGCGGCCGGGCACAAGTAAACAAAGAGCTCTTCCCCGCACGTCTCCTTCCTAGTCCCGGACACTTGCTCACTCCAAATACCATTCCTTCCTTCCACCTCTGTTGGTAGCCGGGCCCTCGCAGTGGTCCTCATTTCGCCGAAGACCCTGCGCACCAATTAATGTGTTAGGAGTTAACGGGGTTCGGTTGGTTCTAGGTGAAATTTCCAACTCCGTTCTTCGGCCTTGGTAGGATACAAATTGCAAGGCAGCTCCATGTTGTCATGGAGCGCCGTACAAAAAACACAATGGTCTACCCCAATCGTCAGAGTAAATTCGATACTATCGGTTGGAAATCATAGGTTGCGCCCAGATATAGAGTCTCTCCAACTGGCTTCATAGAAACTCCGAAGATCAACTTCGATCTTGCCCTCGATGCAAACACCTGAGAAGTGTGGTTAGTGCCCTTTGGTATGTACATTTGAGGGGGAGTTGGGGGGGCAAATGTTATACTTTCTGTCCTTGCAGTTTCAGGCGGAGGCTTGAATGGGCATGAAACAAGCCATGTTGACCAAACACAAGCTTCCCTGGGCATGCCAAGGTGGAATTTACCATATGTTATTGTTGTGGGGCTTGCTATTACGTCTGAGCCGCGTGAGGTATGCCGCCCTCTGCGGATCATTCACTGGATTGCGTCGTCGGCTACTCAGTTATTTGTTTGTTAGCGGCGTGCTGGTTGGTGTTTCTCGTTTTCGTCAAAACCCACCCTCTGTTGTTGTCCCCCAGTTTTTCTGGACAAACTGGGTTGAAGGGCGGCTGTACACTTGATTCAGCAGGCCAGTCCAGACCGCCCCTTCGCACACTGCATTCCCATGCGCTCTCGAACTAAACCTAATTTCCGAACTATTCCAGAAATTGGCGCGCTCCTGCAGTACATGGACTACGTACGGCATGTCGTATAATAAATCAACCGCCCATATAACCTATTCATCGTCAGTTTCTACTTGAATGGGCATGGGAAGGGCGGCTACGGCCCATAGCATCCGAGTTTGTTCCCAACTTACTGAGGTGTTTGCAAAGCTGCCATTGCGCAATAGTGCCATATTTCTATCGAGCAACGCAACAGTCTCGTCGAGGAAAGCGTCGTGGTATATGTATTGCAATTGAGTCCTTTAATACCGAGTCTGCTTGTCAGCATCGAAAAGTCCTGGGAGGGGGAAAATAAGCTCTCACGCTGAAATCGTAAGGACTCTCTGTTTGATGTCAAGAGCAAAATCATCAATAACGCCGCATTCGGCTGGCAGCGGGGTCCGAATCTCGTCTTCTCCCGTAAATGATGTAATGGCGCCCAGAAATGTCACCAGTAACGGCGAAGTGAGCATCTTCTCCTCCTTGGGGATTCTATCGAATAATTCATTGCCGATCCAAGTCTTGATCCATTTTATAAACGCCTGTGACACGATGAGAGTGAGCAACCAACGCATCTTTGTTTCAACCCCGTGATGGTTTAACTCCAGGCCGGAAAATTACTATGTCTAGAGACTCGATCCCGCATTGGATCGAGTCCCTAACGTGGCTTCTTCTATGGCAATCGTCGGATTGGCCTGCACTATTTCGTAGGACAGCACGTCGACATATGGCCCGATGACGCAAGTTAATAATATCTGGCCCTGACCCAAGTTATCAAAAAAGAGTTGCGAGCGATGAGGATGGAAGAGGGTGAGGTTAAAGCCAGGGGAATGAAATGATTGCCTACTAAGCTAAAGTCTTTGATGACTTGTTTAATTGTTGACATTGCCAGCGCCTCGATCTCAGATGTTATCCAAATTTTCATGTTCTTGTTGCCATTGGAGAAATCCGACCGGTTCAGTGCCTGGCCTACATCTTCAATTCCAGTGCATGGCCAAGAAGCTGGGAGGGTGACAACAAGGCTCGTGGACATGTCCGATATGGCCTTTCTTCCGTACTCTTCTGCCAAAGCATCCCAAAGATAAGCTCTTAGTTGAGTAAAAATGTCGGACATGATGTCCAAAGCGCTAGTCGGCTCTGGGACGTCCTGGGTAATCCCATTCTTGCGGGATGTTGCTTTTAAATGGCTCCACATGTGACGGGATTGAGACTGGAGTGCCCAGCCGGACTCCACAACACCGAAAACAGGACATGAAGACGATAGATAAGATGTCGAAAACCCCCAAGGCGTCAGGTCTTGGGTTTTTAGTTGTATTTGCCCCCCTTCGCCATTGTGTACGTATACCAACCGCATTGGCACTGATGTTGACTGGACTGCAGTGCCTGGCCAAGACGAGATCATCTTGATGTGTTTGTGTCCATTGGTGTAACCAACCTGGCTATTTCGAGTAAAACAATAGTGATGAGCTTTCACGCGAGGTTATTTGTGAAGAGTGGCAGGGTTTACATACCAGTCACTACTTCCTACGACAAGCCCTATTATCAACTCGCGGCGATCTACTTCTAACTCCGAGTCCGCAGCGGACAGGCGAGACTCCGGGTTCAAGAGGGTGAGCCGAGATATGGATTTGTCGTCCTGGGTGAGACTCATCATCAGTGGGGATGAAAACGATCCTGGCAGCCAATTTTGATTGTCTTTGTTGCGCATATGCGGCTGTTCTGGAGTTACCAGGCTGAAAGGTCCTGATCCTAGCAGCTTTGGCGTATCTAGAATATAATTTAGTGGCGGCATCCGTAGGATTTCTTGTACGGGCTCCCCAGAACGCGATGTCCCTTCCCTTCGAGCTTCAAATCTTTGAAGCATCTGACTCCTGTGTTCGAGCTGTGGAGTATCCGACCTTGGCGTTTCAAACCGAGGAGTGTCTGACCGGAGAGTGTCCGGCCGGGGAGTCTGAGACCCGCTAGAGTCTGGCCGGAGAGTGTCGGGATGAGGAAGCTCGGGTTGCGGAAGTTCGGGTGTCGTAGGTCCTTGTAACAAAGATTTTTTCGGCAATGTGTTCCAGGATGAAGGACCAGTAATGCTCTTAGCTTTTTTAATGACGAGCCTTCAGCCAATTCAGGGTCTTGGGCAACAGTGTAGCTCGTTGTCAGCTGGCGGATGGGATCACCGAGCGAGATCGTCAACTCTAGCTCTGCATCTCTTTGTTGGCTTGAGTCCCGCACAGGTGAAAGATTCTCTGTAGATATCGGCGTAACTTCTTTGCGGTTGATAATATCGTCTGTCATCGTCCACCTTTTACTGGGGATGGATGTGGCCGTGTAGCGATTGTCTGTATCTCTGCGATCCCATTCACGTATAGGGGTATATGACGCGGGATGAAGATTTGCCCTCTGTTGAATCTACGGACTAGACAATGCCTTTTCAGCTATCGGACGAGCCGCCGGTTCGACTTGGAGAAGCTAATCAAGAAATGGAAGCCCAAGCGCGCTAATTTGATGCCCACGGACAGAAGACCAGGCTGACGACGGGCTTTGCTGGTGGACATAAGAGAACAAGCCTTCTACTGTTTCGAATGCTTTGCGCTTTGTTAGCATGAAGGTGACGACACCCAGAGACCATAAATCTGCTGGGTACAGCTTCTCTCGATAGCTTGGGTCTACAGCCCTAGAGCCGTACATCTCGGGGGCCATGAAGGCGAGCGTCCCTTGACTGATGTGGATGTCGTATCGGATGCCCAATCCACCCTCTTGCTGATGCCAAAGTCGTCAATCTTGACCCACCATGAAGCTGGGGGTCCCGATTGCACCATGATGTCCTGCCCAGGCGTAAAATTAGCGGCTGAAAACTTATATGCGCGGCCTAGCCTAGGAGTGACATACCGCTGGCTTGATATCTCGATGGACGAAGCGACTGTCGTGCATTTTCCAGAGGCCTTCGAGAATCTGAGAGGAAATTTCGGCCGCCTCGGCTTCGCTCATCGGCGGGGCATAGGATAAGTAATCCTGGAGGCTGCCGTACTGCATATACTCCATGGCGATGACGAGAGAGTCTTGATGATCGAACCAGCCGAGAGATTTAACAAAGAAGATCTCATACTGTTCCAAGATAATGCAAGGCACCTCGGTTAGTTCTTAGAGTATAACCGCGGAAGGACGGCTTGAGAAATGGAGAGAGAGAGAGAGAAAGAGCCGGAGGTTGTACTCTTTTCTGCGAGAACTTTGAAGTAGCCTCAAGTTCTCTGTCATAGAGCTTGCTACGTTTCTGGCTTGCCGACAAGGGGATCGTCTTGACGGCCCTGATAGTGACATGGCGCTGGCCGCTGATACATCGTTCCAAGTAGACGGTTCCGCACCCACCAGAGCCGATGCATCTCTGGCGTTGCCACCATTCGACCCGGCGGACTGACCGCCGCTGCAAGGCCGCGTCTGCCTCGACAAAAACGTGTCCAGTCTGTCCCGGGCGATCCTGGTCAAAAATTGTCTCGAGCTTGGAGTCGAGGACGAGATCTGCCTGTTTCGACATGGCCAAGCGCATTCACAACTCCCCAACAGCAAGGCGATTCCGACATGGGCAATTCCTCAGCAGCCTTATCCGATAAGTCAGAGGTGTGGACTGGGGCGGTTGAAGCACCCAGTTGAGGAAACCAAGAGCTGAAGAGAACGAGGCAACGGGCCTTCAATTCGGTCCTCGTTTCCGTCTCCCATTGGCCCAACATTGCTTTAGCGCTCGACAAAAGACGCCCCCAAAGCTGGGTACTCGGCGGATGGGCTTGTTCTGGTGCTGCAGACAAGTATCGCGAGGCTCTCTATACCGGAGCGTTTACCAAAGTCCTCTTCAGCAGATAATGCTCAGCCACCACCCTCACGTGAAGGGATCGAAGGGGAAGAGCACATCGCTAGAGCCTCGCCCACAATGTTGGCGTCAATCCCTATCCAGCGAGCCGCCCCCAACTACGCCCATCAAGTTCACGATCATGGTTATAACTGAGATCAAATTCGGAATAAAAAAAAGAAGCAAAAAAGAGAAAGAACAAACACGCACGCCGGCCGTTAGAAGATCAACAAGACTAGCTGCTCTAGTCACTTTAGATGATGCAATTTCAAAATCCAAGTGGGTGGTCGATGAGAGACGGGCAACTGGTTTGGTTGTGCATCGCTGGCTTTTAAATTAGGAGAAGAAGAAAAAAGGCAAGGCTGGAATTAGGTAGAAAAAAAGTACGTGTGGGGGCAAGGCGAGGGAAGGTACCCCTTTCCTGATTAGCACAGTATTGTTCCTCTCAATATTACTACTCAGTGACAGGCAACAGATGGCTCTCAAGGAGCAAGACTAACCAGCGAAAAAAAAAACAATCTTTACTCAGTGCGAAGTAAAGATATTCGAATTCAACCCAAAAATATATCCTAAATATCAAGATACAAGACTATTATATTGAACATAATGTAGCTAATCATGCCACGCTGCCTTCAATATCTGTAACTCTGTCCTGCCATTACGTCGGCCTACTGTATGTACTGGTACGTACATATGCCATGCCGGGCCCCGAGATTTCTTTTCAAAGTCGCGGAATCAGCAACCAAAGCCAAATCCTCAGGTATTTATTCGGTGGCTATAATCGACCTTAGGTAGGTTGAACCAAGAGTCGGCCAGCTCAGTGGGTTCGGTTCGATTCGGCTCGGCTCGGCCGCTTGGTTGCTTAGTTGCTTGCAGACGGAACGGACGGGATGGATCGGCGATGGCCAGCTGCGGCGCGGGGGCTGGGAGTAGACTGTAGTAGACTGCCGAGCGGGCGGGAACCGTTTTCAATTTTATTTTATTTTATTTTAGATTTTGTAGTTTCCAGAGACCTAGCTACCTGGTAGACTAGAACAGCCACAGAAAAGGGCAAGTGAATGCCATTCTGTCTGTTTACCCGCAGTCAGCCTTCCGCATCTGCTATCGATCCCAAACCTCCTCGAGGTCGACGTGCGTGCGCAATCCCTTGGTAGCCATGGCGCCGGCCAGCGGCGGCTCAAACGCCTCGAGGTATAGCTGCTTGGCCCACGGGCAGGTGGCGATGGCGCGGTAGAAGACGGCCTTGGCCTGGCCGTGGTCACAGAGCTCCTTCTTGGCCGCCGCCGACGACGACGAGCGAGCCGCGAACCGGAGGTAACCAAGCCGCAGGCCGATGTTTCCCCCGCAGGCGCCGCTGCCGCCGCCCTCGAGCGCCGCCTCTCTAGGAACTGCTTTCGCACGTAGACGGGTCTGTAAGGCCTGCGTTTTAATTCGTCAGCTTGATTGGTGTCCTCCTAAAGTTGGGACAGGGCTCGGAGCCTTACCCATGCGTTGCGTGGTAATAGAGCAGTCGTGCAGTCGTCTGGAGCAGGCGCTCATGGTGTTCTGATCCCCCCATGTCTCGCGCCGCGGGCTCCGCGGAGAAGCTATCGATATTTACAAGAGCCGCAGTTATGTTGCTGTGTGTTTCGGACGCCGGCTCAGACTTCCTCTCGGTAGTAAGGTATTCGAGCAAGGTCAGGCTTTCAACATACTGTGCCGATGTCTCTAGCTGGAGAGAGGATAACGAATAGTCCTGGATACTGGAGAAGTAGGTCTTGGTCTTGAGGAATAGCGTAGGAGATACCGCTAAGGTGCTAATATTCAGGTCGACTGAGGAGTAGGGTCGAGTAAGAGCTACCTATTTCTACCCCGATTCTAGGCAAATCCACGTCTGAGTATTCTACAGCAGCTAAGAGGCGGATAGTATCGACGGCTTATAGAGACGTGTTAGTCTTGCCTGTTTAATACCTATTCTAATAGGACGTATAGAACTTACTAGATTCTAGCTGGTTATAGAGGCCAGGACCTTAGTAGATGTCGAACTGCGTGCCTGACAGGCCTGTGAGAGAGCACCTGTACAGGGTGCTACAGTGGTCTCGGTGCAGTACTGGCGGAGCGGAAGCGGTAGCGAAGGCGGGGAGCCAAGTGCAGGGTAAGCCAACTAAGAACCCCTAGTTTCTGACCCCATCTACCTCATATGATAAGCTTCTGCTCGCTAGACTAGTAGTTTGGTCGGTGACGACCAGTGAATCTCTGGTGTTGTATGTTTTCTTTTTTTCTTTTTTGCTTGTTTTTGCGTCTGGTGTTGATGTGGGCTTTGTCGGTTCTCGTCTCGATCTTGCTGAGTGTGTGGGGGGTTGCCTGGCTGGTTGCTAGTTTTTTTATATCTCGAATGGGTTACCCCCTTTTCCAAGGTTGTGGAGCGGCTATAGTGTGGTTGCTGTTGGCGACTCTCAACGGGAGTGTATGCGCGTAGAAGCAGCGTTTTATTTCTCTAAATAATAATAGGTCACAAAAGCCCAATTGAGAATCTAAACAGTCTCCAATTGTAAGCAAACACAGATAGCGTGGGTCTGAATTCTGTGTGTATTTTCGTGACGGAACCGGTCCCCTCGATGTGCGACTAAAAAAAGGGGGCCCCTGAATCCATCTTCACCAAGCTGACTTCCCCAAGCATCTCAGTTCCCGGAAGCGGGGTGAGAACGGCCCGCAAACTTCCCTCTCTTTTTCATCAAGGCACGGCATCACGTCAAAACGCAGCTGTGGGCATCATCGGCAGAAGACGATTGGCGGCAGCTCTTTTTGTCTTCTTTCTCCAATTTTTTCTCGTCGTGGAAGTCAATTAGCCGCGAATCACTGCATGCCCCTCAACCCCTGCCCTTGCTGAGAACTTGCCCTGTGCATGCAGCACGAACGACACGTCAAAGGCGGCCTAGCCTAGCCTGGACGCACGGAGAAACAGCCAACCTAACCAACCCCTCACCTCGCGCGGCCCCCCAAGAGAAGCAAGAGAACGGGCGATATCTTCCAGGCCGCCCGCCGACTCCACCGCGAGTGCATCGTCTGTGTCTGGCTCGGGCGTGGAAATACCCGCGGAAGCAGCATGGCCCAAGGGAGCTGCATTGCATGGCTTTCCGTGTCTTATTATCTAGACCTACCTTAGTAAAGCTCCGTCAGACGGGAGATTTCTCTCCTCTTTCTCAACTTACTCTGATTTAAGTTGCACAGGCTAGATATCATCTTATCCCGGCACCATCTCCGTATATCTCTTGAGTAAATATAAAGGGAAAAAAAGAAAGAAAAAAATGGCCGACACAGGGACGGGGCTGGTGCTGGGCTACGACGGCGTGCACCCCTTCTCGCGGGTGCAGCTGACGGGCCGGGCGTCGGTGCAGGAGCTGCTGCGGACGGTGCTGGACCCGCTTGAGCCCTTCTTCTCGCCGCTCAAGGCGCGGGTGCGGTGCCCGGGGGCGACGGCGGTGCGCTTCGACCAGACGGCGTCCGAGGTCGAGGGCATCTGCCGCCCGCTGTGGGGGCTCGCGTGCCTGCTGGCCGGCGGCGGTGAGTACCGCGGCACCCAGTGGTGGGTCGACGGCATCCGCGCCGGCACCGACCCCGACAGCTCCGAGTACTGGGGCTACCCGCGCGACAACGACCAGCGCATGGTCGAGATGTGCCCCCTCGGCTACGCCCTCGCCGTCGCCCCCGTCATCTGGCAGTCGCTCTCGCCCTCCGAGCGCGTCAACGTCGAGAACTGGCTGGGCAACTCGATCAACGAGAAGAAGTTCGCCCCCCCATACATCTCAGTGGCTGTCTGTTTGTAGATGTGTTCGTGTGAGACGGAGAGCTGACCAGAGACACAAAAACAAACAGCATGCCCAACACCAACTGGCTCTGGTTCCGCGTCTTTGCCAACCTGGGCCTGAAGAAGAACGGCGGCAAGTTCTCGCAGGACCGGCTGGACGCCGACATTGAGCATCTCAACACGTTCTATCGCGGCGGCGGCTGGTCCAACGACGGCCCGGAAGGAATCCATCGTCAGCTCTCTCCCCTCTGAAGCTAGCGCAGCACCTCGCCAGTACTGGCTAACACGCACACAGAAATGGATTACTACTCGTCGAGCTTTGCCATCCACTTCCTGCAGCTCCTATACGCCAAGCTGGCCGGCGAGGACGAGCCGGCCCGCGCCGCCGAGTTCAAGCGCAGGGCCCAGGCCTGCGCCCTCGATCTTGTGCACTACTACGACAAAGAGGGTATGTGGCAGACCCCTGTTGGCAAGAAGAAGTTCCGAGATGTCTCCCCCTTTTCCACAAGACCTAACATGGGTTCGATAGGGCGATCCATTCCCTTCGGCCGGAGCGTCGGCTACAGGTTCGCCATGGTGTCGTTCTGGGGAGCTCTCGCCTATGCCGGCGTCGAGCTGCCTGCGCCGCTGACCTGGGGCATGGTCAAGGGCATCGTGCTCCGCCATTTCCGGTGGTGGCAGACGCAGCACGACATGTGGAGCCCGAGCGGCACCTTGACAGTCGGGTACTCGTACCCGAATATGTATGTGAGTATATCCGTCCAGCCGTCCTCGACTGCTGGAGACGAGCTGATATGACGGTGATGGTTTTAGATGGCCGAGAATTACAACAGCCCAGGAAGCCCGGTAAGTGCCTAGGCGTAAACAGGGCGCCGTATCGCGAACTTGGCTCACACTGTTGCTAGTATTGGGCGTGTCTTGCCTTTATATGCCTCGCAGTACCCGAGACACACCCTTTCTGGACCTCCAAAGAGGAGAACCACTGGGACGTCATCCCCAAGATAAAGGCTCTCGAGCAGCCGGGACACATTATGAGGTATGGAATACCATAAGAGACCCCGCCCCATTCTTCTCCTATAACTAGTGTATTTTTGGTTTCAGATCGCTCACAAAAAATTACCTAATGCAGCAACCTCGGCGGCCACTGCATGTTGCTCTCATCCGGCCAGGCCTGCAGCTACCCCATGAAGGGAACGCACTCCAAGTACGGCAGCTTCGCCTACAGCAGCGCGTACGCGTACTCGGTGCCGCCGGGGCTGTTCACGCTGGAGCAGTACGCGCTGGCGTCGCAGCTGGGCCTCTCCGACGACGGGGGCGAGTACTGGAAGACGCGGCGGCTGTCCGAGTCGCGGCTCGAGACGGCGCCCGACGGGAGCGGGCCGGTGTTGGTATCTTTGTGGGCGCCCTTCCCGGACGTGAAGATCAAGACGTACCTGGTCCCACCGACGGCGGCGGCGCCCAACTGGCACCTGCGGGTGCACCACATCGCGGCGGGGCGTGAAGTCATGACGGCGGACGGGGCCTTCGCCATCTCCAACCAGCGGGCGGGCGACGGGCGGTACTTGGACCTGTACGACGCGGCCAAGGCTGAGGGCACGCGGCCCAAGCTGATCGGCAACTACGACCTCAGCACCCCCGAGGCGTGGGCCACGGGGGCGCAGGGCGCCTTCGCCGTGTCCAAGGGCGCCGTGGGCATCCGCGCGCTCGAGCGGGACCTCCTCGCTGGGGGAGGAGGAGAGCGCACGGCCACGCTCGTCAACGCCGACCCGAACTCGAACCTCGTCGAGAGCCGCACCACCATCCCCACGCTCCAGCACACCATCCGCCGCGGCCGCGCCGTGTGGTACGTGTCGGCCATCTACGCCAAGCCCAGCGGCGACGGCGTGCCCCGCCAGTCGTACCTCGACGGCTGGGACAGCCCGCCCGCCATCCCGGCCTGGCTGGCCGACGACATGGCTCGCACCGCCCCGTCCAAGGGCGGCATTAGTAGCCGGCTGTAGATGAGTGCGCAAAAGGTTATGATGGGGACGAAGTTGTTATGGGGCGGAAAGCGGGAGCCAGGAAGTGAATCTCGAAATAAAACACACACTTGATTTAGTTACCTAGGTAGGTATCACGAAATTATGACCTGATTCTGAACTTCTATTGTCCGGATTTTTGCCTGCCAGTCTGTGCCTGCCAGTCTGTGCCTGCCCCTTTGTCTAGGCGAGGTGATGATTTGATGTCTGACCATGTAAGTCAGTGGAAGGTACCTGAAATGGAAGGTCCAGTAAATCCAGTCCTTGAGCGATCTTTAGTGCCCCACCAAAGGTCAGCTCCAGCACCGACCCCAGCAACTTGCAGGGGTTAGCAGCCACCGAAACCCCTGCCTTACGCCTTTCAACGGTGCCGAACGCCTCGTCTCAGCCGCAGCTTTTCTTGGACTGCCCTGCCTAGAACCTCCCCTCTAGACGTCACCGTCCCAAAATAATCTCGACCTCGATTTTTCTCCCACAGCTCGGCCGCATTTCACAAAATAGACACAAGAACCTGGTCAAAAGAACTCGCACAGCACAACCTGGTCACAAGAATCTGCGCAAAAGAATCTGCGTAAAAAACCTAGTCATCCTGGACATCAGCCTCTGAGCACTTACTACTTGCACACAATGGCTGATAGGCAGCCGAGAAACCCCCGACGTGGGGGGGACGATAGGTCCTTCAACGACGAGCCTAGCCGCAGAGGCAGAGGAGGAGGCGACCGGGGCGGCTATCGCGACCGACGCAGAGATGGCGAAAACGGCCCCGACCGAGCGCGCTACGACCGAGACCGCGAGCGCGAGCGCGACTCGGGTCGAGACAGAGACCACAGAAGATATCGGTCGCGCTCCCGGGAAACGCGAGACCGCCGGCGCTCACGCTCGCCTCTTCCGACGCGCGACAGAGACTACGACCGCCGCGACGACAAGGGCGGCGACAAGGGCGGCGACAAGGGCAGAGGCCAATACCGTCGTCGCGATGAGGGCAGGGACGGCCCTTCCTCGCGGGGCCGTAACGATTACAGAGGTGGCGGGCGAGAGGACTGGCAGAGATCCGGACGAGGTATGTAAACGAACGAGAGTTCATGTTTCACACCTTTTCCCCAGGTACCCGACTGCGCGATCCGCACTAGCATTGCTAACAGAATACACCAGACCGTGAGAGGGACCCCCACCGACTCTCCGTCTCACCACGTCGTCGCTCAGCATCACCACGACCGCGAACGGCTACCTCGACAAAGTCAGGAGGCCGAGAAGGCGGCGATTTGCCAGACTCGGCACTGCCGACCAGAACTAGGACCGAGGTGGCCAAGCCCGAGCCAAAGCCCCAAGCGCCGCCTCCTGCACCCGTGTCGTTCAAAGTCAACAAGACACAGGGCCACCGGGACGGCAGCCACGGGCCAGAGCCGTTGAAGCAGCAGCACCCGCGCCAGCGCAGCGAAGAGGAGGAGAACCCCGACAGCCGCCACGATGGCGAGCGCGACGCCCGCCCTTCCCACGACGATGACTCCGACGATCAGTCGCGGGGGCGTTTTGGCACGGACCCGATGGACGAAGATGACGAGGCCGACGATGTCGTTGTCGAGGACGACGGCCTGGACGCCATGCAGGCTATGATGGGCTTTGGCGGCTTCGGGACGACCAAGAACAAGAAGATCGCGGGAAACAACGTGAGTGGGATCCACAAGGAAAAGAAGACAGAATATCGGCAGTACATGAACCGCGTCGGCGGCTTCAACCGGCCGCTCAGCCCGTCTCGCTAGATGGACGGTAGGCAGATGTCAGTTTATGCATGTACTGTAACTAGAGGAGGACGAAGGAGCCGAACAGATCAGAGAAGAGGGCTGCTGCTCTGTTGATGACGGTGTGTTGTTGGTCTTGATACCCTTTTTATCGTGTAACTAGAGTCTAGGTAGTCAGGTTCTTAGAACGCCTTGAGCTTTGTTTCTGTCAGACAGTCCCGCAGCCTGATCCCTAGGCAGTTCTGAGTGGCATTAGGGCTCGGAAACTCGAAGTCAACAAAATAATCAAACCTTAGCCCATTGCTTTATTTGTCGTACAAGACCAACTTGAAAGACTTTGCCTTGTGACTAAGATCGAGGGTTAGGGTTTGCGCTGCACTGTGGGGTCAATTACATTTTTATCGCGAGCCGTTTTGACCTCTCACTTGATAAAGCAAAGCCAACGCACAAAAAACTCACGTTGTGCCATTGCATTTCACCCTTTTGAGCAAACAGCCCGCAACTGGATATCCAATATTTACTAGGCTGCAAGGTCTCTTCAGTAATTGCCGGCCACCACCTAATCACCTAATCACCCATCACCAAACCGTCAGAGACTCACAGCCGGGATCCTCAATCCTCGACAGCATGAGAGTGAAGGAAGCAAAGCTGAGCGCTGCAGCTGCAGTTCCAGCCATTGACGATTCTGAAATGAACATCGAGGGCAAGAAGAAAACGTCCAAAAAGGACAAGTCTAAGGCCGTGTTGGAGACACCAGTGACAAAAAGCAACACCGCCCTCCAAGAGGAAAAGGAGAAGAAGAAGAAGTCGCCCAAGTTGAAGAATCAAAAGCCACAGGGCGATGACTGCAAGTACAAGCTAAAGCTGGAGGATGGAAGAGCAGACTCGGACGCTAAGGACACCAAAAAGAACAAGTCCAAGTCCAAGAAGAGAGACTCGTCCGAGGATGGCGACAGCAACGTATCTGGTGGGCAGGAAGCCACGGCACCAGCCCCAAAGCAAGCCGTGTCCGAGCTGGACAAAAAAGTAGCCAAGGAGCAGCGAAAGGCCGAGAAGAGACTGAAAAAGGAGCAAAAGCAAAAGGCCAAGACGGAAGGGAAGGAGAAGCGGAAGCGTGACAACGACGACGATAATGACGTCCAAGAAAGCGACGCCCCGAAGGAGGACGACGCAGCCGCACGCAAGAAGGCCAAGAAGCAGAAGCGTAAGCACGACGAGGAGGCCGCCGCCGCCGTCACCACCGCGACGAGCGCGCCTATAGAAGCAGCAGCAGCAGAAGGAGAAGAACTGCAGCCAAAGCTCAAGAAGGAGAAGAAGAAAGACAAGAAGGAGGAAAAGAAGCGCAGTGGGAAACCCGCTGACGACAGCGCGTCGCCAACCAAGAAACCAGCACCACCGGCACTAGTCTCACCACCAACACCACCAACCAAAGCAGCGGCTCCCAGCGAGGACTTCATGGCGCGATGGAACGCGCAGAAGCTCGAGGGCGGCACGTCGCGGCAGGACAAGTTTATGCGGCTGCTAGGGGGCAAGAAGCAGGGCGCCACTGCCGCCGTCGCCGCCGCCGCCGCCGGGACAGGAGGAGGATTAGGAGTGTCGCGGCCGCGGCTCGACATCGACGTGGCGTCCAAGGAGCTTGAGCAGCAGTTCGACTCGGGGATCAAGTTGAAGTTTGGGCTCGGGGGGCAGCGGCGGGGGCTGGGCATGTGATTACCATGGTCGCCTACCTTGGGGGTATGTATATGCATGCGTGATTATCACAAGAAAATTGGTGGTTGTGGTTTCTTGTACTTGTATTTCTTTCATGTTTCTGTTGTCGTTGGGGGTTAAGGGGGGGGGAGGGGGGGGCAGTCCGTTCACACCCCTCCCCCTCCCCCTCGAGAAGAAAGAAGAGAGAAACACGTCCAAGGAAATGGGACCGCCTTGTCTATGGAAAGCATAGTTTTACATCTCCCGCTCAAGTCCCAGCTTAGTCTACTCTATACCCAAGATGAGAGTAACCAGACCGTTTCCAAGTCGTTACTCGACAGTATTAACGGCCCCTCTTGAACTTTGAGTTATCTCACAAGCTTTTTAGCATTAGTAACACTTTGACGTGACGATACGAAAACCAGCTTCGCGACCATGCCATGGCGCCTTCCAGTAATGGCTCTGCAGGATTCTAGGTAGTTCTTGACACTCCACACACGGCGTCAGTCCCGTTCCAGCATCGCAGCTGCATTCCGTAAAGGAACCGGGAAGGAAATCCGCACAACGACGGCAACAGCGACCGCCGAGGACCTTTAGCAGGGGTCCCAAGCGATCATCCGTCTCGCTCGCCTAGGGAGTTTCCATGGCGATTCCTAAACCTCAACCGCATCTTTGACGACGCTCGACAACAACATTTTTTCCAAGCATAGGAACATCGGCTAACCTCCACGATGAGTCCAGCGCAAATGGGGCCCCAGAATCAAGAAACCAAATCAACAGGTTGAGATAGATTACGCCACGGCTAAAGCGGAGGTCACTGAATTGGACGAAACGGAGGACGCGATTCCTCCCTTTCTAATGAATGAGAAGGTAAGTAAATTATGAATGCCACCTTGGCGATATATGTACTTGAGCTGCAACCGGCAACACGGGGTAACAGAAAGTTGTTATAGCCTCTTCGAACATGTCACTTCCGCGACACAAGGCACGCGCATAAAAATTGGAAACAACCGCGACAGCTTAAATCGGTTCTCGCCACCACGTTGGGCCATGTCAATCCCGAGGCTTGCAACCGGTGCAAGAGAGGCGAGGGGATATTCGAGCTGTGCGTTTCCCACCCGGCCTTGTCCTATGGCTGCACGAACTGTTATTCCTCGAGACACCCTTTGTTTTGCACGCTTATTGGAATGGCCGATGGGTTATATAAAAGTTTCAGTTTCGACCGGGTCTGCCGCTATGTGAAAGCAAGGCCCCATCTTGGAATCTGATGATGATCGCGGTACGTGAACCATGTACTTGATACCGCCTGCCATTGTTGGCATTTGGTAACTAATGAAATGGATGTGGTAGCCTTCTGAGCGAGCTTGTGTATTTCGTAACTGGACCCGGCTGTCGGTGTTAGACAACACAGAGCTTGTAGACCTGATTCTCGCACAAACAACAGGTGACCTCTCGCCAGTCTCTTGCCAACAATGCAGCGAGGGCTAGGGATTGATTCAGGAGGCCTGTGTTATCTGGCCTATTTACGGGACTATGGGGAATTTGGGGTGCATAAACTGTGCTTACAGCAGCAAACTCGGACCCGGCCGGACATGCTCGTTTATTACCTCGCCTGAAACGGCTCCCGACCCAGAATCGCAAGCATTGCAAGACTTGCTTCTGGCGGCCGGCGCTCCGACCGGACAGCCCATCCAGCCTCCCGGCCAGGTGACGTCTGCACAAAACTGGTTCACCGGATCGCAAGCACCTCCCTGATGTGCAAGACGGTTCCTGCGACTGACAAATGGAGTCGTTCTCCCGGATGTTGAAACAGGGAAGGTGGCCGAGACGAGCGAGGGAGGAGACGTGCAATTAGTCAAAGATCCGCCATGTTTCTTTGATGTGTCTCCGGCTTGGAGTTTTATCGGCCCGCCACCATGGCAGAGCGGGAAGATAGCGTTGTCTTTTTCCATAGCGTTTTCTCGATATTTTTTTCTAGTAAAGCATTTCCTTCTGGCAACTGCTGCTGGCCTCTTTGTTTATCTCTGCAGCGCGATCCATCCCTTCTGATTGTCAGGTCAGGGTGGTACTTTCGCTCCCTGAATTGTTTGTCGGAGGAGGACTTGGACATAGATATTTACGAGAGAGAACAAGGTAGATTCGGCCTGGAAAAGGCCTTGCCTGTGAATTCTGAAGAGGGAGATAGAGCTCTCGGATCGCGTATTAGAACCTACCACTTGGTTGTGCTCGTTTAGGAGTCTGTACGAAGTATTGGTGATCAGCCATATATGTCTATATTCTGACAAGTCTAGCACTGTGGAAGTCGCTCTTGACAGAGACGATGAATACACAAGTATATCAATATATGGGTATAAGCATTTTCACTTTGGTGGTAGATCTAGCCGTGGAAGTGGATTCTTGAGTTGACGAAAGACAATATAAACATATCAATAACCACCCGGTGACGATCTGGTTCCTGGTTCAGCTACATTAGGTACCTCGGTGTAGTGTGTCAAACTCGCGCAGGTCCGAATTTATTTGCCCTGGTGATGCGGCGTTCCTGTGGATTTTCTCGAACGAAAGAGTTAGGTCGTTATCTTACCTTACCTCCCGTTGTTGTGAAGACTGCCTTATAGTGTTGGTAGATTGGTAGAAAGGGGTCAACCTGGACACAAGGCCCTTGGTATTGATTTACCTAGTTACGGATACCTTTCTAGAGACCTTCTACGTTTCCCGTCCAACTCCATTATTCTACCTACAGAACCACAACCTCTCAGTTCTAGATCAATGCCGACTTTGTCGCCAGAACCAACTCGACAAAACAAACTGGGGCTGGACTGTTGACACCCTCCTTTTCTAGTTTGATGCGGGGCATGCGGGGTAAAATGGCATCTGAGCCAGGGAAGCTTTAGCTGCTTTGCTGCCCGGTGATGCAATTACCTACACGCGGTTGGCCGCTTGGCTTCCATGCATCCGCGGCGGTAGGTCGGCACCCTGCAGCCAAACCGATGACCCCGTAAGTCAAACAAGCCCAGCGTACGGCGGCACCCTCAAAAAAAAGACGTGAGGAGAGAAATGGCGACAATGGCTGCCATAAAACCGGATTGTAGCGTAGAAAATAGGCACAGTAACATCTCCACAGGCCACTCTGCTTTGCCTGAAACTTTAAAAAAAAAACCGGCGTGGGCGTTTATTGGCTTCGGCACCTACCCCAGAGCTCTTCCATGAGCTCTTATCTGCGATTGCAGCCCGAACCGAACAAGTTCAGCAGACCAAGAGGCAACTGCCCGCTTCCCAAATTACCGCACCCTTTAGCCTACTATAGCGCTGAGAACATACCGGACGAATTTCGCTGCTCGAGCTGAAGGTCGTACCGTCCGACGGGATTGTTGTATCGTGCAATACCTTAAATACATGTGTACACAAGGTAGGTTACCTGGTGCCACTTGATCTTTCTTGTAATTGCGCAGCTAGTGAAGAGCCCCTTGCCTGCCACCAAGCCTTGGTCCGATCCCGGTGCGTTCTGTCACACCACCGCGATAACAATCAAAACAGACATTGACGGCGACCAGGGCCCTTTCCTGGAAAGCGGCGCGGCAGACCCTGGGACGGCGCGGTCCCACATCTCATCCTCATTCTGGGACTCCTCTACACTACCCTAGTGTAAGACTCTAGCGCCATTGCTGATGCAGTTAGCGGCGCGGACGCCAAACCGGGAAGGAAGGCTTTCATCACAGCGGTGACTGCAGCTGCGGCAGGAGCAGCACAGCACAGCACCCACCTCCCAGCTCGCAACGAATATCCACGCAGCAACTACCTACCTACTTGATTCTACTTGTCTCCTCCGCGCCCCACGCGTAACCTCCAAAAGTTGCGTCTTGACCAAGGCCGCCTTCTCTCGCCACTCTCGCCTTGCTTCCTTCTCAGCTCTCCAGCTTAACCCTAAACCTAAGGTGCTAGCGGGGTGCCTGGAACGGCAATGGCGGCGCAAAGGGGGGAGGATGTGTACGCCAGTGTGAGTTCTGACAGCCCCACGAGAGCCCCGTTTCGCGATGCTCTCCATGGCCGTCGCGCCCGTCGCCGACGAGCTCCGAAACCATGTATCGAAGCTCGTAAAGTGCTAGCAAAAGCTAAGACGTGTCTCGGGATAGCTTCTTCTAACTGACGAATATCTTCCTGGTGGGTCTTTTGCCCCTGCCAACTCCCAATTGCTTGTCTCGTCTTGTCTCTCTGTGACTGTTGCTGAACCCAACCGCTTCCCCAGGAGCCCTCGTGCTCGCATATTCGTTACGCGATGCCGGCACCACCAAGAAGCTCGCCATCTTGGCCACGCTGGACTCGCTGGCGACTGAGGTTATCACACAGCTTAAGGCGAGCTCCATTCCCCTCTCCCCCCCTTCCCCATTTTCCATGGCAACCATGCGCGTTTGACCCGTACCGTGTGCCTAACTGTTAGGCAGGCCGTCTACGACTATGTCATCCCCGTCAGTCGCATTCGGAACGGGCGACAAGAAAACCTGTACCTCATGAACCGACCCGACCTGCACTCGGCCTTCACCAAGATCAATCTTTGGAAGCAGACGCAGTTCCGCAAGATTGTCTACCTGGACGCCGATGTTGTCGCCTACCGTGCGCCTGACGAGCTCTTCGACATCCCCCATGCCTTCTCGGCGGCTCCAGACATTGGCTGGCCCGACTTGTTCAACACGGGAGTCATGGTGCTCACCCCAAACATGGGCGACTTCTACGCCATGATGGCCATGGCCGAGAGGGGCATCTCGTTTGACGGCGCAGACCAGGGCCTCCTCAACATGTACTTCAAGAACAGCTACAACCGCCTCAGCTTCGCCTATAATGTCACCCCATCCGCCCACTACCAATACATACCCGCCTACAAGCATTTCCAGTCAACCATAAATATGGTTCACTTCATTGGCTCTGACAAGCCATGGGCCCATGGTCGAAATAAGTTTACCGGAACGTCGCCCTTTGACGAGATGGTGGGCAGATGGTGGGCAGTCTATGACCGGCACTACCGTCGAGAGGTACGTTCCTGACTCGCATGTCTATACAACATTCCACTCTAACAGTCTTGTTACAGGCTACGCCTTCCCAGCCATCGCAGTCAGCGGAGCCAGAGTCGCCAGTCCCGGAAATAGTACAGTACTTTGTGAAGGGGGAATACCAGCCGAAGCTTCGCTACAACGTTCCGGTTGGCCAGCCTCGCCACGACCAATCCAGTCCCTTTCACGGTCAGCAATATCAGCCTCCACCAGTCCCTTCGCAAGCCGGGAGTCAAGATTACCACCATCATCATCACCACCACCACAATCAGCAGCAGCCTGATTATCAGCAGCCTGATTATCACCACCCTGTGCAGCCCGAGCAGCAGTATCCCGCTCATTATGATCACTATGACCCTCCCCCCCCTCCTGAGCCTCAGCACCACCACCACCATCAGCATGATGGCGAACCGCATGATCAGCATCATGTGCCGCAACATCACTATCATGATGAGCAATCTCAGCCTGGAAGTTCTATCCAGGATTCTGAGCACCCGGCCCCCACCCCCAGCGTGTCTTTTCGATCTGAAGAAGAGACGCATACTGAGGCTCGAGAAGAGCAGGCACCGGAGCACCAGAACTGGGCTCCCCAGGCACCGCCATCGGAACCGGAGCATAAGCCTGAGCCTTACCGACCAGCGCCCGCGGATAGTTGGGATGCTCAAAGGTTAGTCTGCTCCTTGCCCACTACATATCAGCTCACGAAAACTAACTCGAGCTCCTAGACAACCTCCTCCGTCCGACTCGAAGCCTGAAGCGTTCAACTTCCCGCAGACACACTACGAGATGTCGTCCGATCTCGATGCATTTGTTCCTCCTGAGCGGTACCCGAGTCCTCCCAAGGACATGTGGTACGAGGTTCCCAAGGAGCCTCCAGCCAACCCTCGCGAGAAGCCCAGGCAGATTTTCCCTTGGGAGTCTCAGCAACCTCGTGCGACTCGAGTCTTTAGACACCAAGAGGAGCCCGAATCTCCTGTGGCCGCGCCGTCCACGGAGTCGCACCAAGAGACAGAGCCATCTCTGATAGAGTCTACGGCGGGACAAAAGAGCGAGCCTCAGACGCCGACTACTCCAACCCTTCATGCTCCTGCCCCTGTTCCCTGGTCCTCGTTTCCGCGGACGAATGCTTGGGACGATGTACCGGAAATCGGACGGTACGTCGATGCCATACAGAAGCATCGTCGCGGACGAAGCCAAGGGGCAGGGGCTGGCGGCCTTCCCGAGCTTGGCGAAGGCTGGGAAAGAAGAGGCTCTAGGGTGACCGACTTCCCAAGTGAAGACGATCGACCTAGCCTACCCGTCACTCCTGCACCGATCCGAAGACAGAGCTTCTGGGGCGGTGGTGGTCCCGGGCTTGGTCTGGACGGCGAGGACGACGAGGGACAGCTGCCGGCCGCAGAGGGCGTGCCAGCGCAGTCTGACTGGGTATGTGTGCATGGACGCTGGTGGACTCCTGCAGACTGCCTTTGCGATCTAACTAACATCCTTCGCTACTACAAGGATCCCGTGGCGCAACTTCAAAAGCTGGCCAAACAGCAGTCTGAGGCACTGCTGCAGCGGCTCGGCGGGAGTGGTGCGCTGGGGGACGACGTCATTGGTACTGAAGGCAAAGAAATACCATCGCGGTCGCTGCCCTATGGGACCGAGGATGCCAAGTCTCCTACTTATGTTCCCTACTCTCCTCCAGTTGTCAGCCCCAAGCCAGTCAAGCCCGATTCGGGATCGAGCTCGGTGCGCAGCATTTTGGAGGCGGATCACGAGACGGGGTATCCACCCGCGAATCCGATCCTCGCGCCTAGCTATCAAGGGCCCGGCATGACCTTTGAGAAGGGCGAGGATGTTGCGACATTCGAGACTCCAGCATTGCCGACAGACGAGGATCTTGATGTCCTGCAAACTTGATAAAGTTAAGGAGGGCCTGCCGCCTTAATGCTTAATGTTCAGCCACAGCAGAATCCCAAAATAATGCCGACTCGAGGCCTAATAATACGTGTACTATAACGATAACAACCGAAGAGAAGCTGCCGCAAACTGTGTAATCCCACTTGTTCGTGGAAGCGGATAGTCAAGGAGTATTTACCATGGCATGAGATGGAAGGAGGGCTAGTTCGAGAGTCTAGGAAGAGCGGCGGCGAAGGAATTGGGAACATCCCACCCGAGGCACTAGCTCAGTGGCTTCCTGGCCCTAAAGAGACATGGCGCCGAGATTTCCATCTGCATTTTGCTCCCTGGAACTGTTGTGGTTTCGACGAGGACGTGTGCATGGAGAAACAGGAGCTAGCCAGGCATTACTGTCTGCTTGTCATTCTGTTGCTTCACTTTTCTCCTTTTTCCGCTTCCTATTCTCACTCTGGGCCTTTCTTCTCTTATGTTTTCTTCTCTTCCCAAAATTCCATGGTATTGTCATCCATTCGTGTCTCGATAAATTGCATTTTGTTCCTTTCATGGACGGTTCCCCCCTTTCTCTTTTTCTCTTCTTCTTTTGCCCGGGGACAAAACAAACCAGGATTGATCGATACGAGAAGACTATATGAAGTAAATGGTAAGACAATTTGCGCTTGGTTTGTGTGGTAATTATCTACGTATGTATGTATGTATGTACATAGCACAGCATGGCCTAGCATGGCCAGCATAGCCTAGCATGGCGAGCATAGCGAGCGAAGCGTGGCATGGCATGACATGGCGTATATTTCTAGGTGGCATTGACGGTAATTAGTTTGCTGCGCGATGGGGACTCGACTGTAAAAATTGGGAAGATTGACTATATTAGTATATACATACCTGCATACGTCTCTGAGGTGCCTGCTTGCCTACTTGTTTGCATTGGGACTGCCTAGGAGCCTAGATGCTAAGTGATCGAGACGGTAACTCGTTGCTATGTTGTATTAGAGGTGCGATGGAATGCTTTGTTTGTTTATTTGATGTCTTCCCAGTGCATTGAAGTCAAAGTGTTGTGAGAGGCTGCTCGACTGTGGTGTGTCGCGAGACGCGCAAGGTGAGGAGTGGTGAGGAGACACGACATGAAATAAAAGTCAAGAAGGGGACTGACCGATATGCCATTTAAGTCTTTTCTCTCGCTCACCAAATACGGATTTTTTTTAATGTTTATTCACTTGACTTTCTCGCATTTGGCATAGGGAGTAACATATTACAACTTCAAGTTTGTTGAATAGAGGTAATCTCAAGCGAACTAAGAGGATACTACCATCTATATCTTATCGGTCGGTATAAGCATCTCTCAATCTCCAATCCAATGTTAAAGTAAATAGAGGAAAAGGATGTGAAAAAAGGCTTGACTGGCCTCAGCATATAGAGAAAAATACTACCAAAAGTGGACATCAACAAGCAGCCAGCCCACAATCTGGTGACTGACTCGATCCCTCGTGGCGCAATTGGCTAGCGCGTCAGACTGTTAATCTGGAGGTTGATGGTTCGACCCCATCCGAGGGAGACAAAAGAAGCGAGTGAAGCTGGAAAACTGGAACTCAACTAGGGTCTATCTATATTTTATTTTCTTTTAGAAAAGCTGCGATTTTCCTTCATATTATTGGTGTGCGATGATGATAGATAGTCTTAGTGTTTAATTCGTCGTTAAAATCTTCCAGTTACACAGCCCCCCCCCCCCCCCCCCCCCTTTTTTTTTTTAGCCGAGGACGATCCTGCCTTCTGTTTAGGGGTGTGTATAAACAGCTAGTAGTATCTCAGACCAACTCGTCAACAGACATTAGTGAAATAATATATTTTTGCCTCTTATTTCCTGTTAGGCTACGGATAGCGCCCCAAACACGACGGCTTTTGCGCTAGTATTCCTAACGCCACCTGGCCCCTACGGCTCGCTTGCTACGATCTAGAAAGAAGAAAAAGGACACACCACCTCCGGTGACTAAAACATGTAAATAAATAAATGTGATGTGGCGTCCAGCCTGATTTATGCACGCAGACTTGGGCTGTAAAAAGAACCCCACAGTGCCACTCCACAGCGACAAAATACCCCGCCTAATAAAGAGATAAAGTAAAGTCAACTAAAACTACAAATCCTTCTTGTAGGCGTGCTCGGGCTTGTGCGTGGTCTCGTAGTCGACGTGGACGTAGGCGCGCTCGACGTCGGGCAGGCTCTCGAGCTTGAACTGCAGCTCCTCGGCGATGTCGTGGGTCTCGAGGAGGGAGGCGTCAGGGTCCATGACGATGTCGACCTCGGTGATGAGGCGGGGGCCGGCGTGGTAAGCGCGGACCGTGTCGATCTGGCGGATGGCGGACGAGTGGGTGAGGCAGACGTAGGTGATGAGCTGCTGGATCTCGACGCTGGCGACGACGCCGACGAGCAGCAGGAACTCGGTGAAGGCGGTGCGCAGCCAGATGACCGAGATGACGACGCTCAGCACGATGGCGCCCGCCGGGTCGAGCCACCACGCCAGCTTGGCGCCGCCGACCGACGTCAGGATGCCAAAGCCGTTGACCAGCAGGTCGTTGCGGTGGTCCTGCCACAGGATGCGCACCTGGCTGTACTTGTCCCTGATGGACCACGTGTACAGGAACAGGCTCAGCTTGGTGCCGAAGGCGATGCCCACGGCGATGATGGACGGCAGGTGGAAGTTCTTGAGGTCGCCGCCGCGCTCGGCGAGCTCGCGCGCGCTGAAGGCGATGAGGATCAGGGAGACGGCCGTCATGAGGAAGCAGAAGACGATGTTGCCCACCGTCTCGAGCCGGGCCTTGCCCGAGGGGAACCGCGAGGGGTCGACGCGCCGCACGGCCCGGTTGGTGAGGATCAGAGTGACGTTGCTCAGGGGGTCGAAGACGGCGTCGGCCATGGTTGTGAAGAGCGAGAGCGATCCGGACGAGACGGCGGCGTACACTTGCAAAATCGTGAGGATGATGTTTGCCACGAGGGAGCCCCAGACGGCGATTTGGAACTTGAGATGATCCTCGCCGTGCTCCTGGCGCGCCTCGGCCCTGTGCTCCTCGACGCTCTTGAGCAGCCGCTCGATCGTCTCGTTCTGGGCCTCGTAGAAACCCTGCAGGCGGCGTGCCTGGTTGTTGGCTCGGCCAAAGGGCTTCATGTAGCGTCCCAGCTTGGTGGTGGTGCTATTGCCCGTGGTCCTGGCGGCAGCGGCCGTCCCGGTTCTGCTGCTTCCGCTGGCGAGAGGCCGGGCATCGCGCTTCCTAGACGTGTTCGCCTTGATCTCGGCCAGCTCGGCCGCTGTTTTATATCTCTGCGCCAATCCGTACGGGTCGTTCTCGGCGCCGACTAGCGGAAGCCTGCCTGTCATCTGGCGCTCGGCCTCATCGTCGGAATGGGCGCTTGTCGGGTGGCGCGCAACCGTGGTATCGTCGCCGCCATCAGTAGCCTCGACAGCCGTGCTATTGGCGTCGTGCTGAGACTTGGATGCGGAAGCTGGTGTGACCGAAGGAGACTGCGCCCGCGCCTGGGCCTGGGCCTGGGCCTGTGCCTGTGCCAGCGCGCGGGACGAGTGGGAAGAGGGCAAGGCGCTCGACGAGTCGTTCTGGGTGCGAAAAAGGTGGGGATGCAGCGATATGCTGTTGGAGAGATCAGGCTCCATTCAGGAAGAATGGCTCCGGCGTCCGGAGGGCGACCGGGTGGCGGGTTGCGGCGCGGGATTCCGCCGAGGGACTTGATCCGCGGATTATCGACGACTCTTTCTCTCTCGCAGTCGACGACAACGACAGCGACAACGACGATACTGCCGGCCAGTGCCTGGTCTGACAAAAAAAAAACCGATTGCGGGGGGAGGGGGCCGGGCCGAGGATGAAAGGAATTCCCTTCAAGTCCAGCCAGTTACACTTACACAATGGCGCACGGGGACGGGGGACCACCTTGGTTGCAGTGGAGATGGGGGGCAGCGGACACGGCGAGATGCCCAAAGGCCGCGCGGGCCGGGGAACCGGGTAAACCGATGGCGAAGCTAAGCTAGAAAGATAAATAAAATGCGCGAGCTTGGGAAGCGTTGCGCACCGATGGCGCACAGTTGCAGAGTGAACAAAGTCTAAAAAAACGGTCGTGCAATTCTAAGCAGGATAGGGTTATTATACTAAGGCATCGGGTGCAAGTTACCTTAGCTGCAGTGCAATCCCATCCCCCGCCTCGATCGACGTAGAGGTCGGAGGAGACCTGCTCTACTGCCCAGCTAGCAGGCCCTGGTTCAACGTCAAAGAGGGCGAGGTAGGCACCGAGGCAAGCCGTCGCGGGGCGAAATGACAATCGCCACCAGCGGCACCTATTAGACCGGGACCGAGGCGCAATCTGCAGAGCCTCGCCGGGTTAGGCACGGTGTAGGCTGGCCAATCTCTAGTACCCTAGGAGGTGAGCGAAGCCTGCACATGTTGAGCCTTGGCGAGGTTGATTTCGGTGGAGCTTTTTTTTGTAGAGGAGAGGAGGCCGTAGGCGTTCCCAGTTTCATCATATCAGAATTAGGTTGCGATTCATAGCGTCAAATCGTAAATCGTGGCTTGCTGTGCATTGACAATTGCTTGGCTTGCGCCCCTCGATTGCGGGGTGCGAGGTCACCTGCACTACTATGTAGGTATTCGTAGATGTGCCCGAACCAGAGAACCCGGAACGGCAAGACAATGGAACTGGAAGCATTTGGCGATCTACAGATGCCGTTCCGTCTCCCAGGTGCCAGGCTATATATATTTATCAAGATGGGTAAATCTCGATACCCTTTGGAGCATGTACGGATACATAGTAGTTCCATTCGTACTTTGGGCATTTAGTAACTGCAGCGGGCGGACTCCCGTCGAGCAAGACCCACATCAACCAGACGCAACCATACATGCGTTTCCACAGATGCGCTGATGTTACACCCCTGATGATAGCATGAACATAAATAAATAAATAGACCAAAAAAGAAGTCTAAGATCATCTAAAGCGAAAAAGCCAAAGAGGCGTTGAAAAAGATCTGTCAAAAACATCAAAACACCCCACGAAAGAGCAAGTAACACGATACGTAGCGCCGTGGACCCTCATCTCCAACCCCCACTCAGCCTCCACACCTACGGCCTACTAGCCCTCGCTGACTTCTAAATCCAAGATGTTGAGAAAGCCGCATCAAAACGCCAAGCCAGCACCGTGCTTGCCGCTAGCCCCGTCGCCCATCGGTATCTCGCGTCACAGCTTGGCGTCGGTGGACGGCGCCGCGGCGGGTGCCGACGGGTTCGCATCTGTCGTCGGCGTGGGCGCCGGCGTCGGGGCATCGACGTGGGCCAGGATCCAGTCGCCGACGTCCCTGTAGAACTCGGCGCTACAGGGGCCGTCGGCGTGCAGCTGGTGGTACCAGCCGTCGTAGGCCTTGAACTGCTTGTCGGGGACGGCGTCGAGGAATTTGTCAAAGTAGTTCTTGCTCGAGGCGAAGTTGGTGGCCTTGTCGCTGGTGCCGTGGCCGAACCAGACGCTGCGGACGGCGTCGCCGCGCGGCCGCGTGGCTCCGCCCACCAGCGACTGCGTGCGGTCCAGTAGCCCCGCGAGGCCCTCGAGCGTGCCCGTGTTGTGCATTAGCGTGTCCTCGCCGATGCTCTGCACGACGGCTGCGTCGCGCGACAGGTTGGCCGGCGCGAGCTCGTGGTACAGCTGGTGGCGCGGCAGCAGGCGGCCCGCGAGCCGCCCGGCGTTGATCTTGAGCCAGCTAGGCTGCTCTTCGGGCGAGAAGCTGATGAAGGGGCTCTCGAGCAGCCAGCCGCGCACGTGGCGCACCACGCTGTCCTGGTACGCCGCGTCGGCCGCCAGCGTGAGCACCTCGCCGCCGCCCATGGAGTGGCCCATGACGAACAGCGGCGGGTCCGAGGACGGCGACGCTGGCAGGTGCGGCTGCACGAATGCCGCGATGTCGGCGATGACGCGCGTCGTCGGCCCCGTGAGACCCTTCTCGGACGGCTTGCTCACGCTGCGGCCCCAGCCGCGCTGGTCGAAGCCGTAGACGGCGATGCCGCGCTCCGCGAGCGCCGAGAAGAAGGCCGTGTAGCGCCCGACATGGTCGCTGAAGCCGTGCACAAAGACTAGCTTTGCCTTAATCGGGCCAGCGGGCTACGACGAGAGGGGCGAGATTGAGTGCCAGGTTAGCAACTCTTCAATTTTTTCTTCTCTCGATGCGACTAGAACCAGGGGCGAGACGGAAATGAATCGGCGATTCTCGTCGTCAAAACCTACCAGGAACGTCTTGGTGTAGAGGCTCTTGCCGCCGACGTCAAATGTGCCCTCTTGTTCTGTAAATGTCGTCATCTTGATAGCCCTTTACTTTGCAGCTCTACTTTGCAGCCCTCTCTGTGAAACCGATAATCACAACTCAAACAATACAACCTAACTGAATTTGAATCCGATAACAAGGTAGGTAAGGCAATTACCGCCAACAAAAGCTTTTGGGTTTGGAGGGAATGGAAGACCTGCCGCTAGTAGGCACCTAGGTAATTGGGCGTAATCGGACTTGTATTGGATCCGTGTTTGGCTTAGGGACGAAGGAGCCTAGGTAAGCCGCATGCCAGAGCTCGGAGTTGCACAGCGCCTCAAATCTCAGCCGCAGTTTCCAACCAGTCAGGCAGGCAACAAAGGATTTGCTTGCTTGCTTCCCCCGGCGTCGTCCGGTCTCGCCAAAAAAAAAAAAGGTCACTTGCAGCCAGCGTCATGGAAACAAATGGCCTAAGGGGCGGGGGTGTCGCTTCGGAAACAATAGGTACGCCAGTGCGCAGCCTTCACATGTCAGGCACGGCCCATAGGATACTGCCATACGTCAAACCCGGCGCTCCCGTGACCAGAAGCACATGATAATCTGAAATGCATGTCAAACAGCACGCGTAAAAGGGGTGCACCTTAAAAGCGATTGAAGACTGGTTTGAAACCAACAAGGGCGTAAATCGCCTTAATGTATTGCCGAGTCCCGAATATAAAGAGAACAAGAAAAAAAGCGAATCAACATACCCTCCGTACCAGCAAACCAGATATACCCCTCCAACATCGACCGAGTAGGAGTCAAAGTCGCCAAGCAAAACAAGAGAGAAAAGTCCGAGCCCGAGTATAAGAACAGTAGCGTACCCCCCCCCCCCCCTGACACACAGCTGTGCCAACAGCCGGACATCCAACACGGTCAAATCCTCCCTTTCGCCTGAAGGCAGCAGAATACCTTTGTTGCATCGCATAAAATGCAAATACAGGAAGATCCCAAAACCAAACAACAAGCCCACACCAGAGCGTTGTTCCCTAAACCCGTCACCCTCGCCCGAGCCCTCACCCCCAAAAAAGACAACAAAACAGAGAATATAAATAGAGAATAGAGGATAGAGAATAGAAATAATAACGACAGACCCATTAATTGTCGTTCCGTCGTGCCGTCATCCCTTCATATAGAGACATAAGGACTGCTGTTTTTTGGTAAAAAAAAACACCCAGCCCTGGTATATCGCAGCCAACTCCAACCCCCCCCCCCCCCCCCACTAATAAAACAGGCGCAGAAGAATCCGAAAAAAACACTAGGTGCCCGGGCGGCCGGGAGGGAAAGCTCATGCATCTGTGAGATGATCCTGAAGCTCCGTTCCCGCGAACAGATCCTGCGTGTTTGCCGTCCCGAGACCGAACTTCTCTCCAGGAAGATCCTCATCCGGTGTTCTGATGCCGATCCCGCTGTCGTCATGGTTTGTCTGCTGCGTATTATTGCCCGATGGCCCCGAGGGGAATGGGGCGCGGTCAGGCTGCGAATCCGACAGCCGGGACATGTTAAAGTCCTCGCTGGTGCTGCTATATCGCGATCCCGGGTTGCTCAGCAACCGACTCGTCGCCTGTTGCTTCGGCACCTCCAAGGGGCTTTGTGCCGCCTTCTGCTTCAGAAACCCTCCGTGCTCAGCCAAGAACTGGATCATCTCATCAATCCAGCACTTGGTGACCCACCACGAACCAAAGCTCTTACCCTGCGCGATGGTGAGGTCTCTCATGACCGAGGTGCTGAGCCTTTGGACACACCACACAATATCCGTATGGGATGCGTAGGGAAAGTGGTGCGGGAGGGAGCGAAGGAAGTTTACCCAGCGATCTAGAACGTTGGAAGCAGTCGAATCCTCCGGGTTCCCTTCTTGCGGCGGCCTCCCCTGGCGCATGGCCATCTCGCCGTGGAGCGTTAGACACTCAATCTCCCACGGAATGTTGACCGGGTCCAGGAGATCTCGCATCTCACTCAACAAGAGATCTACAACGTCGTCCATGCCACGCGAGGGGACGCTCTCGGCAACCTTTCGCACGTTGATCATGGAAATCCATTCCTTGTACATCAGATCCCGGTTGGCAGGGTTGTAAAGCATATTGGCCGCCGCGTGGGCAGTGAGGTTGACCCGGAGCGCCCTGTCGAGCAAGCCGGCAAATATAGTCGCTGGTGCCTCTTTTGCACGTATGACATGGAGCGGCTGTCCCTGAAAGGACTCCCGAATATGGGTGACAAGTTTCTCCGAGATGCTGCGGAGAGTGTCGAGAACGGGTTTGGGAACGACCTGTAGCGTAAGCCCCGAGACGATACGCATCATGCGTTGATATAGAACAAAGTCAGATTCCTCGATCCAGGGTGCCACGGCAGGGTTGGCGAACAATTTCTGAACGGGCATCGTAAGTGTGCCCTGGAATGACGTGAAGAGGTGAAAGAACGTCTTCTCCTTACAGTACCGAATGCACTCGACAAGAGATGTACAGTGAGAGCGATACAGCGCAGCCAAGGATTTGGCGGCATCCGGATCAGTCCCGCTTGGCAGGAACGGTTCGATCCTTGGGAGAAGGAGCGGGTCAGACTGCTGAAACGATTCGCCTGTTTCTGCGGAAAAGCATAGCCTCTGCGCCGTCTTTGTCATTGTGGTTTGTAGTTGGTCGAAAGTAGACACCTGTGGTTGATTATACAGACTATGCTGGAATTCATGAGACCGACTTGATTTTGGCTCGGGTTGCTGTTTCGTAGCATCTAGCATGGATAACTCGGCTCTATCCGCCTGCATTGACGCCGAGGGCTTCGGAACGGTGCTGGGCCATGTTAGCCTGTGGGTATGTGGGAGTGTCATGACTGCTGGGACATACTTGAAGTTTTGAGAGAAGCTGGCGCTTTCTCCAAGCGGAACCTGAGGCTGGGCCGGGGGCTCACGGAGATCGGGCTGTTCCTCCATCAATGTGAAATTAACATAGTGATATTTGGACTCGCCACGAACGCCTAGCCGTCGCGTCTTCAGCCCTGGGAATAACACCCGAACCAGCTTTCCGAAGCTTGCGGGGTTCAACACGGTGATCCTCTCGGTGGCACACCGAGAGGCGTAGTTGGCGTAGACACGCCCTCTGGGGACTGAGCCTTTCCCTTTGTCGCACACTTGGCTTATCCTGTTCGTACGTTAGCTTCATGCGAACGCACTCAAGAGATGGGGACAGCGGGCTACACACCAAAGCATTGCGAAGACCTGCCGAGTCCGTTCAGAGTTGGGGCCGCGCTCGTTGCCATGGAGTTCCTCTGCGACGTCGACGAGATTGCGATGCTTGTTCGAATGGAACAGCTGTCGCATTTCCATTTCGTTGTTAGCGCTTGATCGCGAGCCCGGCTTCATCTGTCCGGCCAAGCCAGAGAAAGAGTCTCCATCGTCGTTCGCATCGCGATCCATCATCTGGCTGTCGTCGGCGAAACTGGTATTGCCGGCAAACGAGTCCACCGACATGGACTGCCGGCTCATACTATGGCTGTGACCTGGATGGAAAGATACATTCTGCAGCGACGTGTTTACGGGCTGGTCTATTGAAAAGTCGCGGCTGGCCTGGAGCTGCGAGGCCAGGATCAGGTCTTCGGTGGTCATTTGGCTAGCCCCATTAGCCAGTTCTCTAGGGTGGCCATGGTCAGTCGGAATCCATTGCGTCGAGTAGACCTCGGAGCCTTCTGCGAAGCTGTGGTCGAGGTTGGGCTGCGTGGTGTGGGTGGCGGCGCTGTGTATGGAAGCCGTCGATCCTCGCGACCGAGGCCGCTTCCTCCCCTTGGCCATGGCTAGCGGATCTGCAGGAGACAAGAAAAGTGAATAAATGCTCATGGGATTTGGCGACGACGGGCAATGATGGGGAAGTGGTGGTTGGCAGGGCGCCCCAGGATTTGAGGGGTATGGGGCGGCGGTGGCGGGGACAGCTTCTTACCGTGGGTCGAGTCCATGTGCACCGCTTGCATCGACAAACAATAATGCGATCAAAACAGTCAAAATCGCAGCGTGCGGCGACTGCGACAGCGGATTATACACAGAATGGAGCTGGGGGAAAAGAATATGGAAAATAAACTGCTCAGACGGATGCTTGGTGTCACTAGGGGTCTCACGCAGCGGTGCGCAAGGGAGGGGATCGTGGTGTTGTCGTCGCCTCGCTGGGCTCAATTGCACATTTTCCATGGGAGGAGTGGGAAGAAAGAAATCAACAAACATGAGGAGGCGCTACCCGGGGCAATGCGCCAACCTCCCTGGCCTTGTGAGCTTGGGGTCTGGCGGGGCCATGGCCAGTCCCACATATCATGTTGCCGCCCCGCCACCTGATTGGATTGGATGGTAGTCTATTGTTATTGGGGTAAGCGAGACAAACAAACCGAGTCCGTTCCTTCAGCCATAGTGACCAGCTTTTATTGTTGCGAGTCTCGTCTGCCTTTGATATTTTTGGCCTTGACGTTTCCACACAATGCCCAATCTTTATTTAGCCTTCGCCGGATCTGGAAATCGTACTTTGGCTTCTCAAAGATCTTAATCGAGTCGCAATTCAAGCCGCGATCTATCTGTGCAGTGTGGGCGTTCCCAAAGCCCAAGGCTTACATTATTGTTGAGAAATGATAGTAACTTGTCCATATCTTAGTTAACATTAGATATCTCGGTATTTCCGGGCTCGCGCTCTTGAGGATGTCATATCTTGTTCTTGTCGTAGTTAAAGTTGGATTTGATTCAGCGGGGCACAGGTTGAGCAGAGGCTCGGGCAAAAAGTTAAGTTGCAACGTCTGAGTCTCTGTTGCAAAGGGTTGTCAGTAATCGAGAAGAATTCTACCCCGTGGACATTAAATCAATTAGAACAATAGTTGCAAAGGTTTCTGTCATGCTTCGATGGGAGGGCGGGCGTGGGAGCGGAGAAAGAAAAAAATGATAAGCAAGCTGCAGGTCAGGTATTCGACACAAATACGAAAAAGTAAAGGCAAAAGAGAACAGAGAGATGAAAACAAACTGATTTGATTCGATCCAGGCTTAAACTGGAGACCTTCAGTGTGTTAGACTGACGTGATAACCAACTACACCATCGAACCGATGTTTGACATTCACTTGGAAAGCGAGCTCTTTGTATAGCACACCCCGCTTCGGCCTCCATCCGCAAATGTCACCTGACTGACCCACCCCTGAGAAGCTGCGGCGTCATACCCAGGAAAGCAGGGGGAGCGCCAACAGGGCAAGCTCCTGAAAGGTTGGGGGTTTCTGATCCGGTCTTTTTGCACACGTATCAATCGTCATTGCCTCCTTTCACGCACCCTCTTACCCGCTGCATATAAACTCCAACTCCCGGCTTCCATCCGAAACCTTTCCGGCTTCTACATCACAGCACAACTACCGTCTTGCACACCACAATAAACACTCGCCTTGTCGGAACATTGCACAAGTAAGCGACTTTCATTTTCCCGCACTTGTCGAGTGTCTCTGCACTGATCCGGCTTCCCCGCGAGCTCCGAGCTGCACATTGCACAAGCTTCCCTCCCTCCCACAAGTGCCTGCTCACGCACGCCTGCGTCGCAGCCTGTTCCTAACAACGCCCGATTGCCAGATCTCGCAACCGCAACACAAATAGCATCGCAGCCATGTCTTCCCCTCAGGATCGCGTCCAGCAGTATATTGGACAGCTCGACAAAGAGGTTCGTCTCGACTGTTTGCCCTGTGTTCCTCACCGACTGTCGCACTAATTTACCTCGTTAGCTGTCAAAATACCCCGCTCTCAACAACATCGAGAAGACCACTTCGGTTCCCAAGGCCTATGCTGTCATTGGCTTGGTGACGCTCTACTTCTTTTTGATCGTATTTAATCTTGGTGGACAACTCCTGACGAACCTGGCCGGCTTCGTCATCCCTGGGTACTATTCTATGGGCGCACTCTTCACCTCGTCCAAGATCGACGATACCCAGTGGCTTACAGTGAGTCTACCGACGCGATTCTTGACTAGCGACGGTGTGCTAACTTGCGTTTCAGTACTGGGTTGTCTTTGCTCTTTTCACGTAAGGACTGCTTCTGCCTACCTAGGTTCGCTCGCGTGACTCGCCGCTAACCACACGACAGTGTCGTTGAGAGCCTTGTTAGCGTTGTCTATTGGTTCCCGTTCTACTACACCTTCAAGTTTGTCTTCCTCCTGTGGCTCTCTCTGCCGGCTTTCAAGTAAGTTCGCCACCCCTTCGATCATGGCTGTGTGCAGCCACTGACCTTTGTCTAGGGGCGCCGAACTCATCTTCCGGACCCTTCTGGCCCCCACTCTCGGCCGCCACTTCCAGACCTCGAGCTCGACTGCTAGCGGCCTCCGCGCAAAGGCCGATGGTCTCCATACCGAGTAAGAGGTCAAGAATTTGCCGGACCTATACTGGTACAAGTTGCAAAGCGCGTGGCTTTGAATTAGGTTCGGCGCAAACCGTGATGAGCAGACGAAGCATAGAAATGCCCCCACTCCCGCTTGACGTTGGATACGAATGACGACCTTTGACCACGCATATCAACAACAGCCCAGGGACCCGTTTGGACAACTTGGCAGACATGATTCATTTATTCTAGGAAAGTAGGGGACTGCTGTTGATAGGCGTGATTTGTTTCGCTTTTATTTATCGGATTCCTTTTTCTCAGCACGGGTTACTCTCGATGGAATAGACTTATGGTTCGGATTACTGCGTGTAATTATAGGAGTGCGAGTAGTTTACTGGAAAGGAACCTGGCTACCATCCCTATCACATCAGAGCAGCGGAAACTAAGGATGTCCTGTTTTCTTCATTTTGACTTTGCCGTAGTGACTGACCTTTTGATGTTGTTATCATTAAATACCTACCTAGGTATAGGTGGTATTATTCTACCTGGAATAGCACGTACATTATTAACTTACTCGGTACCTTAGATGACAAGTAGGCCCCGCTATTGGATTACGCAGGTAGCAAACGAGGCCAAAGTCATCAATCCATCCATGCCCGTATCTTGCCCGCTTACCGGATCTCTTCCCCTTTGAAAACGTCATTTTCGGGTGTTTCAGCTTGGGGCGGAGCCATTTGCAGTCTGCCCGATTCCCCAACCTGTAAGCTCGATGTTGTGGGGACCAATTGTTGCAACCAGCCATCGCTATCCTTGCCGCGCTACGGAGCACAATGCACTAAAACAAGGCTGCTTCAGCTTGGCTTGGGGGCTGTTGCGGCACAGTCGGTAGTGGAAACCTCCTGAGCACTCCATCCGTGTTGCACAACCTTGCTCACGACATCTTGACGACGACCTATAACGAACCGCCTAGAGACCCGTGGCTCTCATCGGCGCGATAGTGCAATTGGAGAATATCATGATATACTGACCGACTATCTTTCAACCTCTCTACAAACGAAGCGATCGACAAGGACAACGCGGCAGGGCCAACAAACGGGAACTTACAGACGGGACGGGAATCTTGAAACCATCTTCGACGGCCTCAGTCTTCTCTGCTACTAGTCTGGCCTTCCACCAACACCACGACGGCCCCCGCGAGGGAGGGCGTGTTCCCGCGACGTGATGCAACTCAGTCCACTGCAGTCGCGACTGGCGGCGTCAGTCATCGCCTCTTGCCTCCTCGTCGCCCTCTACTTCACCCTCTTCTCTCCGCACTTTGCGCTCGCGGCCGAGCTGAAGGAGGCCCTCCCCGTATTACTCGGCGATTTCGACTTCGACTTGGCTGCCGACCAGCCCGAGAGAAGCCCACTCGATCCGGTATACGAGCCCGAGTTTCCGGCCTTCGACAGGGGCATCGTCGGACGCGCAACTCAGCTGGCGATGGCGCTGACAAACAACGAGGCCATGCCATTGAATGTCGATGCGGGGACGACGCAACTATTTTCCTTTGCTGTGCCCAAGCTGCCTGCCCGGGACGAGGGGCGGCACTCGCTCGAGTTGAGGGATAGGCACGAGGCTCCAGAGGAACGGAACCTTGGTCCAAACGCACTGGAAAGGGATGCTTCCCTGGAGGCCCGCGATGCGCAGGCGCAAGCGCAAACGCTAGAGCGGCGACAGTCCTCCCGAACAGTTTATATATCGGTGAACACATGTCTACAGCCGCAGCCGGTCGATCCTTCAAAGACGACTATGGACCCTCCTCAGCTCACCCTCTTCGTCTCAACCTCTGCGTCAAACCAGTCCCCTGGGCCGCGCGGCGACCCTTCGTCCCAGGTCGCCGTCACCTTCACCGAGGGCGCCGCCATGTACAACGTCACAACTCCAAGCGACGAGATCTACCTTGGCGTGTACGCCCCAAACGTGTCTAGTGCTTTTTCGGGGACGTATAACTTCCAAATTGCGGCGTCGACGGACGGCTCCGTCTTCAGCTACAGCGTTGACCAGGATGCCGGCCTCATTTTGGTCGACAGTGATTACCAGGGTGCGCTACTCATGACGCACAATTTAACAGACAGTACCGATCCCACAGCGCAGCAGCAGATCATGAATAGTCAGCCCTACGTGATGTTTGCTCAGAATACCAAGGACCGGTCTATAAATGGCCTGCAGTACTCATACTGCGGTCTACAAAACTATGCGCAAATTGCAGCAACCAAGAACGGGCAGTTTGCTAGCATGGTCACGACTGGCATGACAAAAAGAGGACCAGGGAGCCTCCCAAAGCAGGAGTTCTATTTCAGCGGCCTTAACTCGAGCTCGGAATATGTCGGAATACTAGCTAGGACCAGTAATTCGTCAGGGACGGATTCGGTCTTGAGCGGAGGCCACGTCTTTCGAGCCACGAGCTTTGAGACCAATCCGGGTAAGAGAATATATGGTCCAAGTCGTGCAATGACCCCCCTTGCTAACCATGACACAACAGACCATGGCAACTGCGCCATCATCCGCAACCTCACCTTTTGTGACCAAGTCGCTTACTCGGTCCCCAGCAACCCCAACAAGTTTGGCAATGCGACGGTGCTTGGCCAATTCTACGACAACTACGCGGCGACCATGTACGCCAACTTCAACAAGTCGCTAGCCCAGATCCCGTGCGAGGCCGTGTCGAGCCAGCGCTACTCGCTCGCGACTAACTGCAGCCTCTGCGCGGCCGCGTACAAGGAGTGGCTGTGCTCGGTGACGATCCCGCGGTGCGAGGACTTCTCCCACGACGCTGCGTACCTGCACCCGCGGGCACTGGTCCAGCCGTTCCCCAACGGCGACGTGCTCGACCAGGAGGCGCTCGCCGCCGTGCACTTTGAGAACACGTCGGCCTTCAACTCGAGCCGCAACCCCATGATCGACCAGTTCGTCCAGCCGGGCCCCTACAAGGAGGTGCTGCCCTGTGAGGACCTCTGCTACAAGCTCGCCCAGAGCTGCCCTGCCGCCATGGGCTTTGGCTGCCCCCTGCCCGGCGACCCCAGCTTCGCGTCCAGCTACGGCCAGCGCTCCAGCAACCTCTCTTGCAACTACCAGGGCTCGGCGCACCTGCGCTCGGCAGCTGTGCCGGCGCCCCCCATCTCCTGGGCGCTGCTGGGTGGCGCCTTCGTCGGCGGCCTGTCTTTTGTATTCCTGTGAGTGGATAGTATAAAACGAAAAAGAAAGAAGATGAGGAGGGTTTGTTGAAAAATCGGTTCGGTAGTGGGCTGTTGGATATGAATGCTTGTCACGAATAATGGGGTGGGCGGTGGGCGGTAGTCTGGTCTCAGCTTTTGTGTCTATCTGTGTGTGTGCGTGTGTGTGTGTGTGTGTAGCTGGCGTTGAAGTAGGATCAGGTTATGTTGGGGCATTGATTAAGGCACCTATCCAGGTTTGAGGTTCTTGGTTTCCATTGTTTTAAGCGGTAGCGGGTATGGGGAGAGGAGGAAGAGATATCCAGGTTTATTCGTTATTATTTTAGAGAGACATGAAAGACTCGGGAGGGTGGGTGGTTTAAGGGTGGCAAATCCTTTTGATATTTTCTTCCATGCTTATTCTTCTGGAGTATGATGGTTTGGCGGTAGGCACTCTGGTATGTATGTATGTACCTTGTGTGCGTACGGCAGTGGGGTGACGGGTTCTCATAGGGGGTTGGGTATAAATCTCATGTACAAGCTTTTCGTTCCTTTCCTTTCCTGTCCTTCATTGTTTTTTCCCTTTTGGGTTACAAGTAAGTGTAAGTGATACATAAAGTTGGAACCGCCTTTAAGCCGGCTCCGATCTTGTTGCTTGGTGCCTGGTGCCAGGCGGTATGTATGTTGCTGGGGCCCTTGGCCTACTGCTAACATAGAGAGTGGCTCTCTCTCTCGTGAGTTACGTAGAGATAGACGGGAAATATAAAGTCCTTCACGCCCTCCTGGCCTTGGCCTCTTGCAGGCTCCTCACTTGGTCTTCGAGCAAAGCTATTTCTGCTGTGCGCGGGGGTTCGGCCGTCGGTGTGAGCAAGCCGAGGGTTCATGTACACACACAAAGAGAGAGAGAAAATTAGGAAGGGGTGGAATCACTCACCCTTGCGCTCGCCGGTGATCTCGTCCTGCTCCAGCTTCACCCACCCCCAGTACGCCAGCTGGTAGACGAACATGGCCAGCAGCAGGCCCTTGGCTACAGGCCGCGTGAAGGTCTTGTAGAAATTGCCCTGTTGCGGTGCACGGGGTTTGTTAGTGTCGCGGCGGTATGTGTGTGATACGATATGGTATCGTCATTTTAAGGGGGGGAGTGGCAAAGACTCACAGATGGCGACCTTGAAGGCGGCGGTGGTGATGGTTGCTCTTTGGAATAGCGTCTTGTCTGGATCTGTGCTCGTAATGAGTGCGTCCCGCTTAGAGGGGAGCTCGCTCTCATTAGCGTTCTAAGCGAGCACAGGCTTGAGGCCGTCCGAGGAGCTGCCATTATGGCTTTGGCGTTGTGTCTCTTCACGACGTGGTTATTTCGCTTTTCAAACTGAATTAGCTGAGACTAGGTGGAACCAGGGCTAAGTGCCGGCTCTGGTCAAGCGAGGGGTATCTTGTGCTGGATGAGAACGATGAGCCAGGTGTGAAGTGAGTCGGCTGTAAACGTGAATTCGATATCCACTCATCAACGTCATTCGCGTCAGAAAAGTGTGTTTGGCGGCTTTGCGCTCGTCCGCCGGGATTTGGTGATCGGCGCTGTCGACGTCGGGATTGGACCGCCCCTAGCCCAGTCCCAAGGGGGCCCTAGACTCAAGCCTCCAGGGGACCTCTCAGCTAGCCGCATTTGCTTGGCGTGCATTGGCGCAGCATGGCAGCCCCACACTGGAAGCTCCCTCGTCAACGACACATGTCCAGATTGGAAGTTCGCCGTGTCGACACCTCCAAGCATTGGCAATCTGTCCCGATGCCCGGTTCCCCTCACACTACCGCAACAAAGCCACGACGTATCTAATATATAGCCCGGCTCTTCCGACGAAGAAATAGGACGCACCTGCGATATAAAGTAAATCTCGTCGGCATATTTCTCTACGCATACTTGTAGCCAGCAACCTCTGATCCCACCCCTTGAACAATCTAGAGTGGAAGGCTTACCTCGGTCCATCCTATACCGACTTTCATAATGGTTCGTCCTTATTGTTTTCCTACCTTTATCGACCCTGCCCCATCTATACAGGGCTAGCTAGTCGCTCCTGCCACTGTTTGCTTGCTCGCCTTGGCCAAACTACGAGCGAAGCGCGAATGGCTAGCATTAGCACCGTTGCGCGCGCCGTTAAACTTGTTCGCAGAAAGGAGGCTAACACGGAGGGAACTTGAATAGGCGCAAACACCCCAGCAACGACGAGCGAATATCAAGTTCGCCAAGGAACAGGACGCGCGCCGTGGCAAGTCAGAAGACCAGATCAAGAAGAAGGTCAAGGAGGTGCAGAAGTCGCCCATCTCGCCCATCTGGTTCGGTAAGGGACCACCACCCAGTGACTAGCACGGGTTCGTCATTCTAATGCTGACATTGGGGGTTGTTGTGATGTAGGTCTCCTCGCCTTTGTCGTCTTCGGCGGCCTAGTCTTCGAGGCCATCTCTCGCTTCGTCATCGGCCGATGAGCGATGCGCGCTTCCCCGGAAGCGAGTTTGCAATAATTTTCAGATACACGGACAAGCCATGTTCACGAACACAAATAACCACCCCGGGAAGAACGGAGTAGCGATTTCACACCGGATAATTTCGTTGTTTTTAGGTCTTTATTTTATTGCCCCCATCTACCTTCAAGGTTTTGATAGGGGGGCAAGATCAGGGGCAGCAAGGAAAAGGAAAGCATGCGTATCTTTTCCGACGGGGGGCTACCACGATATTGTACAGATATTGCGCGTGATTTGACGGGGGAGAAAGGAACGCTGAGAGATGCTTGCTGGTTTTGAGCGTATTATGTTACGATACCATACACGGGGTCATTTGTCGTGGGGGGTCAGAAGCTGGATTCAGGCCCCCCAACAACGCCGTTGCGATGAACAAGAATAGAATAAAAAGCCCGGAAAAGCTTTCTACATTCTTCTAGGACTAGGAGGAGATATGTATCTGTCTTAGTACCAAAAAAAAAATGTCAAAAAGCTCAGGCCCGGGAACACCTTGGTTCGAACCGATAGCCTTACGAAAACTGATGGCCTACCTCCCTACCACGCAGGGGAACGGCGACCGTTTTCATAGTCGCAAGAATGCAGCAGGGCGTGCACACCTCCAGACCACTTGACCAAGGCGCCTCCTTGGGGGCCCAACTTGAAAGACTGTCCTGCGAAGCCGACATATCAACCCCGTGTCGCCGCAACGTCCCAACTTGCCCCCGCGACCATACCTGTCGCTGCCGACCGCCGCAACCGCCAGCAGCAAGCCGCAATCCCATCCCATCTCCCCATTTCGCTGCCGGCCCGTTCGGACAAAAAGCACCCGACCCCCGCCGGGGGTCTCGTCGGTCCATGATAAGGAAAACCAGGCTCCAGCGCCAGCAAGCTTCGGACTGGCGGCAACAAAACCCCTTGAGAAGGAGGAGCTTGGCAAGCCAGCAAGGCCGCTCAGTCTCGACAACACAGGATCGGCTGCTCCGCAGCGGGCCCTAGTCCCGCCCGAGAGAAGGGCGCTCGCCGTCAAGAGCCAGAACACTCCCTGCCGCTCGGCCTCCCTGCCACCCGGGTAAGCGGGGGAAAGATTACGCAAACTCACCGCGACATAGCTCCCAACGCTGTACGCTACGCCTGTAAGATCGGCAATTTTGTGTGTTTTGATGGCAATCATTGCAGCGCGAAACGTGATAGTCGAAGCGGTGCCAGAAGTGAAGGGCGTTGCGATGGTCCAAGGGGGGAGAAGGGTAGAGTTAAGAGCCCGTCATGGGCGGCTCGGCGGACTGCGCGGAGATACAGCGTGCTAGATGTGAAACTAGAGTGTTACGATGCGATCCAACCGATCTAATTTGGTTCTGTATCCTGAGTGCTAATAAAATATGCAACAGATCTAATTTGGTTGCGTATCCTAAGTGCTAGTAAAATATGCAAAAAAAAACTAGTGGAACTTTTAACCCCGTTTACCACGCTCCCCCAAAACTATGATGCGCCAGCCTGTAAAATGAATTTGGCAGCGGTGCGAGGGAGCAAGAGCGGACTGTATTTACCTCGGGTATTAAGCCCACATTGAGGCAGACCCTGTCTACCCAATCCCACCCCCCCCCCCCCGCCTCTTGCTCTGACGAAGCCAGTTCCTCTTCCTCTGAAGAAGCTAGTTCCTCTTCTGGTACTAAAATAGCAAGAAACTCGGCTCTTCGTACGGCCTTATCGTAGGCCGCGTCCTGAAACGATCTGGCTCACCGCTCCGCCGCGTCCCTAGTCAGGGCTTCGGCTTCCACGGCCTCTTCAAGGAGGACCTCCCAATCTCCGGGTAACAACTCCTCGTGGCGGGCAGGGCCCAGCCCGTCCTCGGACGGCTCGCCACCAAAGATATCCTTGAGCGCGCCGGCGGCCATAATACCCGCAATGATCTTCTGAACGGCGTAGCGAATCTGCAGAAATTGGATACTGGGTAGCGGGCACCTGACTGGATCGGGCGTAGATAGCTCGTAGACATCGCCATGCTCGAGGCGTGGGAACATGCGCCCGTCGTCGCTCCCACGCCGGAAGTCCACGATAGAACCGGATCCGCGATGGTCCCAGGCACCTTTGATAAGGCCATTAAACTTGTCCAGATCCTTGAGCCACACCACCTGTAAGTAGATCCTGTGCTCGGGGTCTATCGGGTGCTCGACGTAACAGAGCGCAAATCTGTGCCGATCTCAGAAGATATGGAGGCCCGGGTTGGGGGGGAGGATGTTCCGTACCTCCTGGCCTTTAATATCGAGCTTATCGGTGCTCTTAAGAGGCCAAAACATACTCAACGTCTCCCAGAAGTGGAAGGCATTCATCCCCGAGGCCCTCACGTCTACAATGTATGCCCCGTCGACCGGTGTGCTGCCAGAGAGAATACAGCTCCTGCCGTACCACTTTGGCACTTTGGCCTAGGTGATCTTGTCTGCGTTAGAATGGCCGGCCCTGTCTCTAAAATCTCCGGTAGAAAGATCCTCGACCGTCGGCGTAGTGTGTCTAGACGTATCCGACCTCTTGCGTTTCAAGTTGTTCGCCTTATCCCCCGCCGCCTAGTTCATCCAGGTATCGAGTATGAATTGGATCTTAGGTATATATATCAAATATACGAACTTGAGATAGGCTATAAAGGCCGACGAGCCCTTCTTCTCCATGTAAATCTTCATAGCCCCTATGCTAAACATATCAAGCTGCAATGTCGGATCGTTAAGCACAGCCAATAAACATTAGGCCAGCTTTGCCTGCGTTACCTTTGCCTCCTTGGCAGCGCTGGTGGGGGCGTACTCGGATCGGAAGCTGGAATTCTGATCTCGGACGTACTGGACGAATTGCTGCTTGAGTTCCTCGTCCGTCTCGGGAAGCTGGGACTCTTGTAACGACGACTGCGATTCCAAGCTATCCGCCAGTGACCCTGAGCGCTGCGAATCCGGCAGGTCTGGTGTCGGAGCCGGGGTAGAATCTGGCAGGTCTGGTGTCGGAGCTGGGGCAGAAGCTGCAGCATGCGAGGGCTCGGCGCTGCCGGGCGACGATGGCAGCACGGGCACCCTCTCGAGGGATTTGGTGCCGACGTACTCGACCCTGATGAGCGGGGGTTTCGCAGGCATTCTTTCGGAAGCACTAATACGGGCGGCTAGAGAAGAGAAGAAAAAAAGGACTGTCAGCAATCTCTAGCGTAGAACCGCAGGCGGCTAGACGATACCTCTTGTGCATCAATCGAACTAACCGATCTCGGGCGAGTATTGGCGGCCAGCAGGGGCGTGCTTGCGACCAGGACGATGGCAGTCGCGCGATCCTGCTGATGGTTAGAGTGCCGGTGCAGGAAGAAGCAGAGGCGAACGACCGTCGTGCAATCTCAAAGGCGGTAGAAAATCATTAAAAGGTAGGGCTTCGGGCGTCGCGGTGGAAGTGGCGTGTCTCCTGATAGCCGTGACAAGGTTAGAGTGCCAGTACAAGAAGAAGTACCATTAAAAGGTTGGGCTTCGGGCGTCGCGGTGGAAGTGGCGTCTCTCCTCGCCTGACCACAGAAATACGCCTCTCCCGGGGAAATAAACCGCACCTGCCGCCGCCCAAGATGTCCGTCGTCGAGACCGTGACGGCCACGCAAGCGTACAAGAGAAGGCAGTTCCTGATGCGGGACAACGGCCGGGCCTACACGAGGATGGGCCTACACGAGGATGGGCCTACACGAGGATGGGCTGCATTTGACGCGGAGGCTCGGGCAAAGTGTATCGTGTTGCCACGGAGAGAGGGGCCATGTTGGCCTTGACGTAACCTGCACTGCACTGTACTGTACTGCACGCAGCCACCGTGCTGCTGCTCACTGCCTGCGTGCAGTACTTACTGCCGCAGGATCTCGTGATGTCCGCCGCACCCCCATCCACTAGATTGTAGGTTTGGATTCTTGGATTACGATCACGATTACCACCACAAAAATATCAGCCGAGGACTATGCAGAAGCAACTCGCACGTGAAAGGTTCGGAGCTCCCATGTGCAATACAGTCAAGTGCGTGTGTAGATACCTTGGTTAGGCTGGTAGGTAGGTAGTCGCATTACTGGGTGAAAAAAAAAGGATCTAGGCTTCCGCCCTTTCTCCCACGGCCACTTCTCCGCTCAAAAGTTATTGCCTGTGTATGGACCCTGGACGCTGCCAAACCCTTGCGGGCATTGCTTTCCCAGGGCAGCGCTCCCCGACCTGATATAGCAGATCTTGGCTGCCGTGCACGCGTCGCTGGTGCAGTTTGGACTCCGCACGCTGCTCTTCCCCTGGTATGTGTTGAATAGTGTGGCTAATGTTCTGTCCTTTTCCATGGCTTCGGTGACGCGGTGCCAAAAGGTAGCATTCAGAGGGGCGCCGTCGGGCCAGGCGGCGGCGGGACCGTAGGCAGCACGAGTCGAGTACTCAAAGTTGAACGTCGGCCCTGCCCCTGTCTCGTTGAGGTGGTTGAACGTGCTCACGTCGGCGTAGAATGTGTAGGCCTCAAACACTTCGAACGATCCGGTGTCGACCTCGTATAAGCGAAACCCCGAATTCAGGTTGGTCAGGGGAGTGATGGATGGCCCGACCCAGGCGCTGGCAATGGCGTCCTCGGCAGACCGTCGCGTTCCATTGTTCTTGTAGTAGACAAAGGCTTGATCTGACACACGGACAAGTTAGCCAACAGTAGCAAGATGTGCTCAAGCTAACCGCCGAAATGATCTGGCCGTCTCACCTTCGTGGGTGTGGCCAAAGAAAACATTGGCAATTACGTGGGGAGAGTAACGGTCGACGATTTGGTAGAGCATATCAGATCCGCCAGGCATCGGGTTCGAGCCGTCCCAGCCGCTTAAAACATGACCGACAATCCAAACCCGCTCGCCCGCGTCCTCGGCCTTCTGAAGCTCCTGGACAAGAAAGGAAAACATACCCGAGAAGTCTGGGTCGGCCGCGTGAATAAAGGTGTAGGGGTTGTTACGGTAGTACAGATCGGTATTCAGGGTGATGACTCGCAGCCCGAGAGGGTGCAGCACCGAGTATGCCGCATAATGAACCGAAGCCTGGGCCTGAGTTGCGCCATCTATCCACCCATAGTGCTCCCAGAGCTTGGACACATGGTCGTAGTTCCAAGAGAACTGTTGACCGAGCGGGCCGTTGTCATCAATGGCGTGGGCGACATCAAAGTTGTCTGGGCTGGTATCGTGGTTCTAAAATTCATTGTCAGCAACCAGGTATCTGCGCGCCATCTGAGATCTGAGAGCATAAGGTGCTCACTCCGAGTGCTGCATAGATTGGCCCCCCAATGTATGCCTTGAACATCTGCCAGACTGAATCTTCCGTCACTTCTACGTAGGCCCGTGATCGTTGGTTTTGCGAGTCGTGAGCAACCAGATCGCCCGTGTACAATGAAAGGGCCGGAGGGTTGTCGACAGAAGTGCCTGTCAAGGGTCCAATGGACTGGAGTGCGGCCAAAGCCAGGTAAAAAGGCGAATCACACTTGTAGTATCCAAAAAGAGGCGCCGGATACGTGGCTGGGGCTTCATCTACGCCCTGGCCCGGTGCGGAGTACCTACAGCACATACTCGACGTGCAATTTGCCTCTGAGCCAGCCATGTACCTGGTGTCTAAGCACACGGAATATGGGGTGTCAGCACCTCACAGACTTGAAGTTCCGTGGCAAGGCATTCGTCTCACCCAGGTGGAGGTCAGACAAATGCAGCACCTTGACTCGCTTGCCACTCGCACGGGACTTCTTGGGCTTCACTGGTTTGGCTTTGGGAAACTTGACCTTCACGGGTACCAAGGGAGGCTGAGAGCAGAAGTCGGTGCTGAGAGATGCGCAAATATACTGGCCATCTAAGCCCACCACGTCGGCTTTTGCGAGGATCTGCACCCAGGAAGCGCCAAAATTGGTTGCTCCGTACGTGTTCTGGCACACGGTGCCAGTCTTGAAGCCGGTGGTTTTGCACAGGGACACCATGGCGGCGGGGAGATGGGTAGGGGCAAGCTGGGCCGCCATCTGAGCAACAGAGAGGGCAGCTACGCATTTGGAGCAGTTGCTGGACAAGCCCGTGTTGTTGGCCTCAATGATGGCCAAGATCTCGAGGGCAGCAGCCGAGACGAGCGCTTCGGCGCTGGCGTCTGTGAGGTTTGCCAGGGCCGGGGGGTACAAGACGGGATCCGAGCCATTTGTTGGGACTGTCTCGGGATTGGTCAAGTTGAAGGGGAATGTGATGTTCAGGACGGGATCAAAGACGGCGGGCTGAGGCTCATTGGTAGGGCCTGGCTTCACTGGGGGCGGTGGCTGGTCAGTTCGCGGTGTGAAGTGAAGTGAAGCGACGTGAAGTGAAAGTAAGAGAGAGGGACACCAATCACTACGCTCGCAAGCATACCATAGTAGCTTTCATACACCGTCGTTGGAAAGGCAGCCGGGACTGTAAAGGCAGTGGCAGGGCCTGGGAATGCAAACTTGTGTGACGAAAATCTCGGGACTACTGCCGCCGCCGCCGCTGCCGGGAAAGCTAGGAAAGCCACGGCGAGGAGGAGAAAGTGGCCCATCACGTCAGGCACACGGCTTGGAACCCTTGTTATTATGTCCATCCCAGTCCCCATTCAGGGTTGTGTTTGTTGACGAAGAGAGTGCTACCGAGAACGGGGGACGAGGATTCGAGGGCGAGGGGATGAGAGAGCACGGGAAATTGGTGCTTCAAGTAGAGTACGTCTACTGCCACCGTTAAAACCGTTCCTTGCACGGTAGGTACATAGACATCCAAGTGTTACAGCTTACCGCCCATAAAAATACCCCATTTTACAGCCAATATTACCACATTCGCTGGCTGCCCCGCTCCAAGCGCTGGCAACGCAGTTGTACCGCAATTGCACCTCGCCGCCGTTGCTAACGTCAACACACTTCCAAATGCGGTAATTGAAGCTCAAGACCGTAGATTCGCTCAAATTGTCCAAATCTGCAATAAAAAGCGAAGCTGACTTCGTTGAATTCGCTTACGTATTGACAGGGCCAAAAATGCAATAAAAAACTGCAGGCCTGCTTACAACCACCATACCCCACCCCCCACCCGATCACCCTTTTTACACCAAAATAGTAAATATTTGAACAATGACTGTGTAGTCAATTCTGAAGCACTTCGCAAGCCAAATATAGCAAAATGTAGCTAATTACATGCTCAATCATTATAACGAGCCAGCATTCGTGTTGCACGGCCAGATCGGGTCATTCTTGCCGGTAAAACCTCCTTATCGTCGTCATCTTCGTCGTCATCTTCGTCTTCTATCTTATTAGGCTGCGGCTCTGCTTGAGGCTCGACGGAAACCTGACCGCCTAGTAAAATAGTCCCCAAGTTTATAAATCGCTTATTTGGGTTAGGAATTTTCCTGCGTTTTTTAGGCTTGAGGCGCTCCAGTTTAGCGTTGAGGGCTTTAATCCGAGTCTGCTCAAGAACTAGGTCTATTTAAAGCTTGTTGTAAGAAATAAAGAAAAGGCAAGGTCAACAGAAATAGAAGGGTTTCCAAATAGCTATTAAGCTTTAAGCTAAACCTTTGTTAAAGTATGGCTAGCTACTAGGGCTATGAGGCATAGACTACCTTGTAAGGTCCTAAGGTGTAGGGCACTATAGTTTACGCAGCCTGTGGGTCTCTAGAACCTTCTAGAAGGCCTACCTTAGGTCTATATCAAGGCCTGTCCTTCCCCTTACACTAGATAAAGTTCCTTCTAGGAGCAAGGAGGACATTTTCCGCAGTCTTGGTTGCCGAGCAAGCGGCCGGGGCGGTAGATGAGAACATGGCCGCCCCGGCGTTGGTAATCTAGGACCAGCTGCTCGGCCAGCCATTTTGTCTAGGCATAGCCAGTAATAATGACATTACCCCATTCGCTAGTGCTCAGCTCTCTTCCGCACGTTCTCTTGTCGGCGGCGCCGAAGAAGACGGCAAGGGTTGAAATATAAACCAGCCGCTTCTGGCAGAGGAGGCTAGCGAAGCGCAGGATTTCCACCGTGCCCTTAATGTTATTCTCCTCCACATCAGCGTATGGCGCGATAAAGTTGACCGCCGCGGCGCAGTGCCAGACAGCGTAGACATCCTGTGCTAGGCATCGATAGTCGTCAAAAGCCATCCCCACAAACGGCTGGCTGATATCGCTCGGAGGGGCATCGAAACGTCCAACGAAGTCGTCTTGCCACAAACACCAAGACTGAAGGGCTGTCTTGACCCGATCCTATGCGATCGCTGACGTGCGGGCACGAGCGATGCAGCTCACAGTCAAGCTCGCAGACTTGAGGGCCTCGGTCAGGACATGTGCCCCTAGGAAACCCGTAGCCCCCGTTTGTAGGACGTGCCTGCTCAGCCACTACTCTCGTAGGAAGCCCATAGCGGGGCGGATATCACGAGGGAGGTGAACTCGATCGCTCATGCCAGGCTGCTGCTGCAGCGTATGAGAGCAACTATCGGTTGGCTAGACTAGATCAGCCAAAGCGCGGAGTGATATATTTTTCCTGAATATCTGCGATACGTAGATCTTGCATCCAAAGGTCTTGTTCAACCGCTTCACGACGGCGGCGGTGAGGAGCGACGTCCCTCCCATCTCGGTGTACGTCGTGTCTGGGCCGACGGCGAGGTCGGTTGGCAAGCTCAAAGCCTCGACGAGGGCGTTTGATACCCGGCTCTGTAGTTGGGTAAGCGGCCTGCCGCCGTCGAATTCAGACATTCCGGGTGTGTTTTTGAACAGCGCCGGGCCGGGAAAAGCGTTCAGGTCGAGTTTGTTGGATTCGCGTAACGGGAGAGACTTGACGAACATGATGCCCGGGATGCTGTAGGGAGGCAGGTTTTCTCTCAACATTAAGTCCAGGCTGGTGGAAAGGACGGATCCGTCGTGCGACAAGCCGAGCTGGCTAGGTACTGCATACGCAACTAGCGTACGAGATGTCTCTGCTCCTCCGTGCAGGACAACGACAGTGTCAAGAACCGAAGCTTGGGTGCGGAGGAGAGACTCGATCTCACCGCTCTTGATCCGCTGGCCGTGCAGCTTGATCTGTGTGTCCGCGGTCATGCGTCCCACATATTCGATTTTCCCGCCGGGCACGATCCACCCGACATCTCCGCTCCTGTACATCCGGTCTCCGTAGATTAGATCGTCGCTAAAGCACTCGCCGTTGAGATCTGGCAGGTCGAGGTATCCTCTTTGGCTAACACCCGGGCCGCTAATGTAGATTTCTCCAACCTTCCCGGGCCCGGCAGGCTACGCAAGGTCATTGAGAACGTAGACCCTCGTATTCAAGATCGGCGTGTCGATAGATGCGGGGCAGCCAGGTGGAAGCCCTCCACCATAATAGATTTGCTTGGCACTGCAGACGGTTGCCTCGGTAGGACCTTATGCGTTGATCAAGATTCTCCCCGCACCCTAGATCGTGATGAGGTCCCGGTGTAGAGCCACGCCAGCGAGAACGAGCGTGTTAAGGAAAGGTAGGGTTTCCACACGCAGCCGCGTTCATCCCTAAGGTAGGTAGTACAATATATTAGCACCTTAATTTGCAGAGTATGACTCATCACGGCTCCCACGTCCAATTCCACGCGCACCACATACGGTAACACTACCAACAAGAGCCTACCTTACCTAGCCAAGCCCCTGCTACAATCATGGCAGCCCCCCTCCCAAAGCGGACGCTTAGCGATGACGACAAGTATGCCTTGATGGTTTCGAATGTTCAAGAAGTTATCCGAGGCGACATCATCCGTGACATCCTGCCCGTCGGACCGTTGAAGATCTACTGGGGCACCGCCACTACTGGCCGGCCCCACGCTGCCTGTTTCCTTCCTGTTATCAAGATTGCCCAGTTCCTGCAGGCCGGCTGCCAGGTCAAGATCCTGCTCGCAGATCTTCACGGCTTCCTCGATGCCGACAATGCACCCGAAGGAGTCCTCGAAAACAGGGCCCAGTACTCCGTAGCGTGGGTGTCGACCCGGGTAACCTCGAGTTCGTCCATGGCAGTTCGTACCAGCTGTCACCCGCATTCTCCCGCGACCTCTTGCGGCCGAGTAAGAAGGTATCAGTGCACGATGCCGTCAGGGCCAGCAGCGAGATCGTCAAGAGCATGGGCGAGCTAGTCATGGCTGACGGCATCTACCCCATGATGCAACTTCTGGACGAGCAGTACCTCGACATCGACGCCGAGTTCGGCGGGCTAGATTAGCGCAAGACCTTTGCCCTGTCCCACGACACTATGGCCAAAGTCGGCTTCAAAGTCAGAGCACACCTGATGAATCCCATGGTGCCGGGTCTCGCCGGTGGCAAGATGAGCAGCTCGGACATCAAGTCCAAGATCGATCTCCGAGACGATGCCGAGACGATCCGCAAGAAGGTCGCAAAGGCCCACTGCAACCCCCGCGCCACCGAGGGTAACGGCATCTTGGCCTTCATTCAGCACGCCCTCCTCCCACACTCGGAGCTGCTCTCTGCAGACGGAAAAGCATCGATTGAAGTGGCCCTGAAGGACCAGACTGAGGCCACCACTTTTCATTCCTTTCCCAAGGTCGTAGCTGTCTACGAGTCCGACTCCCTAGCCCCGCAGCTGGCCAAGAAAATTGTTCAGGACGGCCTTGCCAAGCTTACCGAGTCTATCAGGCGCGGTTTCGACGCGGACCAGGAATGGCAGGAAATTGCGCGGCCCGCCTACCCTGATACGCCAAACAAGGACACGAAGAAGCCGATCAAGGAAAAGCCGAAGAAGAAGAGTGGTGTTATTGTTCCTGTGGTAGACATGTAAAGATGTACGGAATAAGCGTGTGACATTTTCGCAGATCACGATACGCTTCTAATAACACTAGGAAAAGGTTTAACGTAGGGGGGAATAAAAAAGAAACTCATTGTTGGAATGACAAGGTCATTCGCGCATTAGTCACTATAGTAACTGCCACGAAGGGTGGGGGTGGGGGGGGTTGTGTTGCTTGTATTCTTCTATGTCTCTCTAAAAGGATCACGAACTACGGGGACAGGATGCGGGTTGGATTTGGCGATGCCTGAAGGTCACGTGACTGTTGCGCCTCGTGCACGTGCCGCATAGCGGCCCGCGCGCTGGTCAGCCACTGAGGCTGTGCAGCCCGTTGACCAGTCACGTGCGACTGCATCCTCTGATTGACTGGTGGTTCCCACACTAATAGATCGGGGGGGTTTTCCTTCTTATTTTTTTCTTTGAGGGAGGGCCGTTTCCGGACCCCAACGGCATAAGTGACTGAATGACAACATGAATCTCAATCTTGTAGGGTAATAGGCCCCAAGTAATTTATAGTACCAAACACGCCCACATTCTCGGCTCTACACTACTGTGTAGGTTGCAAGTATCTAATTACCTGATGAAAAGTGCCTAAAAAGCAGCATTGTGGAAGAGTTTAGGACTCTATATGTAGAAGAATGAAGGTGCAAGTTGACGAAGAAGATTTATTATAGTCAGGGGCTTCGAGGGAGGATTGTGTTTGTGGTACTCTAGTCAACGACATTAATGGTCTGGCCTGGAAACGGTGGTACTACCAAGGTTAGAGGTGTTGTTCTCTTTTATTGGAAGGAAATGTGGCCGCACAACTCCAGTTTCAAGCTTGGGTGCGCGCGGCCCCTGCGGCCACGTGTTTACTCCCAGACACGTGGGCCGGCACGCTCCCTCCCTCCATCGCCATGGAATCTGGTCACGATATCGCCATTCTAACAGATTGTGAGTCCCACAGTAATCACCGGCCTAAGCCGATGATACCGTTGGAGAAGGGCGGTCAAGACGAGCAAAATGGTATGTAGAAAGTGTTGGTTGAAGGTGTGGTTGAATTGTTGTGTGTGTAAAGAAGAAGAGGTGTCGAAAAAAGAAGACAGGGAAGCTCTCTATGTATATACAAAATCTCCTATTTCTTTGACCTTGCCTTTTCTTTATTTCTTATAATAATGAACGCGAGGGAGGCTTCAACTAGTTAATAGAGCAGGTTAACGCACATCGCGTCCTGGTGTTACGATCCTGGCTTAAGTCTGCAGGAGGCGCCGGAAGCCAATTGCTAATTGGGCAGCACAAGTGGGCGGGCCGGGCCCCGCAGGGGCTCAGTGCAGCCAACCAGGTAGTGCTCTGTGCGATTAGCTGCCAGGACCAACGGAGCGGCGGGCGCTCTGTGGGGCTCACGTGCTCTGTGAGCAGAGCACCCGGGGCCCAAGGAGCGCAAAGAGAGAACTCTGATTGGTTACATGAATTAGATATATATACGATGACCGTAGCCACAGTCTTAGATATTTCTTGCTTGGTTCTTGAAGCAAGCAATACACATTCACTGCATTCATATACTTTGAGTGGCATTCTGTTACGAATCCTTGTCGAAATGCGCAATAGTGGGGGCATGCTCAGTTTGGTGTGGACTAATCAGGAGCGTCTCATGGAAAGAACTAATTAGGAGTGTCCCTGGTCCCGAGGTTCGGGACCACTTAAGGTCGGGGACGCGGGACATGTCCCGCGCGCCCGGCGTCCCGAGACCGCAAGTCTCGGGACCACGGGCCAGTGGGACCATTGTTATTGGTTACACAGTTAGATATATACGATGACCGTACCCACGGTCTTAGATAGTTCTTGCTTGGTTCTCCAAGCAAGCAATACACATTCACTACACTCATATACTTTGGGTGGCATTCCGATTTGACTGTATTACCCGTGCGATAGGAGCTTGCTGTTACGATCCTGGTTCAAAGGTGCAGTAAGCGTTGCCCGCTCGCGACAGATTGGCTGGAGTGGCATTTAGGGCGGGGCTCTCGGCGAAGTGGATGCAGCCAATCAGGGAACGCTCAGTATGATCAGTACGCCCAGTCGGCTCAGTTGGCTTTGGAGCGCACTGAGCATACGGAGCGCACTGAGCAAGACGGCTGCAGCCAATCAGGGAGCGCTCAGTGCGCTCGATCGGCTCAGTTGGCCTGGGAGCGCACTGAGCATACGGAGCGCACTGAGCATACGGAGCACACTGAGCACATAGGATAAGGATTCTAATTGGCTGTCATAGTTCTATATAGGAGCTGGCAGAACGCTCCCCCTGGGAGAACGGTTCTGCAGCTATCAACGCATCTAGTTAAGCATACATTGGTTGTGTGTTGAAAGCCTGTCTTTCGCAATCTGTGCACGATACTCCTTGTCTCCTGTCATCTCCTACCTGCCGTCCAGACCCCCACAATCCTAGGCCGGGCCTAGCTCCGTGGACCTGTTGTCCAGATTGTAACAGTTATCTTCCGTATAAGAAGACTTCGTAATGGCCAGGAAATCGGCTTGGGCCCCTTACCAGCTGAGGTTCCATATACGAAGGCGAGAATATACTTACTTTAGGAGCACATGTGTAAGGAAAGAACCCCAACCCACACACACAACCAGCCTGCCAAGACCTCCCTCCTTTGTCATGACCTCTCACCCGCTGGCCCAAGCACTTCGTCATGTATATAAGCAGTGACCCTCGTCCCCTTCCTTTGCGAGGGCCTGTTTGAAGTCTCACACCAATACCAGTCATTGCTCGCTCTACTCATTACCTTCATCGTGACCACCTTGATCAGGCGTACCTACCTTCACTTACATCACTCTTGACGATGACGACGACGACGTCGACGAGCTTACCCAGGCGCATGCGGACCCTGCTCGCCGTACCGTCAATAGCCTTGACGCAGGGAGCCGGGCAATAGGCACCCGGGGAACAGGAAGCCGGGTAACAAGCATACCCCGGGCTGGCCGGGCAACAGGCACTCCCCGAGGAGGCAGGGCAATAAGCAGTGCTCAACACCGAGGCACGCAGGGTGTTAGGCGGGCGGCACAACACCACGAGCCTCACGTGGCCCTGCAGCCTCTGCAGTGGCTGAGGGTCGTGTCGTCAGGCCTACACGAAGTGGAAGGGTCCCGCGATCTACTGCCCGGGCATTGGAAGGCATGGATCAGTAAGGCCGTCAGTTGTGAGCAGTTGTGGGTAGTTGTAAGCAGGCCTGCAGTCTTTTATTGCATTTTTGGCCCTGTCAATACGTAAGCGAATTCAACGAAGTCAGCTTCGCTTTTTATTGCAAATTTGGATGATTTGAGCGAATCTACGGTCCTGACCCCTCTTCGAAGTGGAGGTACGAATACGGACACCAAAGATATGATACTGTACAGAACCTCTCTCTAGGTATAGTATTACCTTACGTCATTGTACTGTACGTACCTTCTAGGTTATGTGCTTTTTCTAACGGCAAAAAGGAACGATAGGTGCCAAAAGGTGCCTTCTTCGCAGGTTGAACTTGAAGGCAGGCTGGAAGGAGGAGTGGAGGGTCTGCTTTGAACTGCGTTACAGTGCGCCTATTGTCTTGCGCGTGCAGATGGCGATCAAAGGGCCCCACAACAATATCAGCGCTGAGGATCTCTTTCCCGCAAGGTACCGACCCAAGGCACGTAAAGAACAAGAGGATTTTTTTTTTTGGCTGAAGAAGGGTACTTGCAATTGAATTCGCCCTAAAGAAAACACCCACTCGAGGAACTTCTAGGCAGGCTAACGGAGAACAACTGGAAACTGTAAAGCTAAAGTCGCAGGTTGACTCGAAACTAAGATATTTCAATTCTGATCACGAGCCAAAAAATCCCCACCAATCAATCCTCACCGCAAAAGCCCGATAAAGATCAAGGATTCCAGGTTGCTCAGTGCAAAGCACTTATCAGCACGTGACCTTTGGAGGAAAGGCTGGCGAATAAAACGACAAGTCCACAGTGGAGACGACAAGCCGCCCCCCATGTCGCGGCAGTCGGCTACAAAAGGCAAGAACAGCCTTGTGGCAACCATCGCACGCCTCACACGTTCCCGGCCTAGAGACTCGTGTCGTGGAGAGCGCAAGACGAAGAGAGGAGGATTGAACTTGAAGGCACCCAATCACAACACCCTGCTCGAGGCTGAGAGCGAAAAGCCGCCCCTGCATTCTCATTCACAACCCAATTCCCAATCCCATTATCGCTGCCCGCCGCCTGCGGTTTCCGACCCGATTGCGAATGCCGGCAGTTCTGTTCATGGTGGACACGCTGCCGACCCGGTCCCGCATCGCGAAGCCGGCCTGTCAATGACCCAAGAAGCGGCCCGGTCGTCTAACTCAAGATCCAAGCGACGCAAGTCCACCCAACCGCCCGGGCGACAGCACACGCCCCGCGCAGCCCCCGAGGAGGAGAAACTGTACGCTATACGAGGAATCATCGAGGAGAAGTACAAACGGCGTAAATTACTGTACCTCATAGACTGGGAGGACGATTCCGACACAGGCGAGGCCTTCGAGCCTACCTGGGTATGTTTCCCACGCACCTAGACGCAGCTTACCATCCCCCGTCGCTGCTTGTTGCACGCCGCAGTAAACTGACTCTGAATCTGCTTGCCTCTAGGAACCTGCCGAGAACGCTACCCCAGTTGCCGTTGCTGATTGGGAGGAGGAAAAGCGCCGGCGTCAGCTTCAAAAGGTCCTACCTGCTTCGCCTACTTCTCCTGCTAGTGGTGCTGCTGCTGCTCCTACTGCTGCTACTCCTACTACTGCTCCTGTTCCTGCTGCTGCTCCTGCTCCTGCGGTTGCTGCACCTGCGGCTGCTGCACCTGCGGCTGCTGTTCCCGCGGCGGCTGCTGCTCCTCCTGCGATCGACAACGACGCTAGTGCTGGCAGAGACACTGAGTCTTCGAGACCCGCGAGCCGGCGCGCGAATAACAAGCGGAAGGCTGGAGCCAGTGAGGAGAGCGCGCCGCGAAAGAAGCTAAAGCCCGAGACAGACCTCGCCAACGACGGCGAGCTACCTTGGGCTTTTGTGGAGGAAGTACCAGATAACCGAGGGAATAGGCTTTCCGTCGACATTGAACCCCGCCCTGGTTTTGACCCATCGGAATACCTGCCGGCCCCGCCACCGCAAGGTTCTCAGGAGACGTCCCAGGCCCAAGCAACCCTTGGAGTCAGCCAGACGACGGCCATTCCAGACTCGCAAGGTCTCTCTGATTCCTTGCCATCTCAGCACACGCCTGCAGGCTGGCCGCTGCACGAAGATTCTAGAAAGGGGATCGCAGGACTTGAACAAGAAGTCCCCGAGTCGCACGATCGCCCCCAGGCCAGTATCGAGGATCTTGTTCAGCAACCCGTCCAGGAGCCCGCGCCATCGGAGCACACAGTAGAAAGAGACTCACCACTCAAAGACGTCACCACTCAAGTGCAAACCTCCCGACCATCGCCAGACGAGACTTTGCGCGACGGCACACTACCTCACTGCTCCGCGAATCGCTTGAGTCCATTCAAGTCTAATCCGAATATCCCGTCTCGTCAGCCTGACTCACGCCAAGCCTCCAGTCCATCGTTTGGCCTTGTTGACGGCCAACACGGCACTAGTGAGCAACGGTCAAGCAGCGGCCTTCCGGTATTTCGGCTTCAAGATTTTCAGAGCTCGGCGAGAAACAAGTCCTCATCACAAGGTTTCTTGAGCCAGCCAGAATTTAATTTCGGTCCCTCTGTCTCGGAGGCCTCGCCATTTAAAGGAGGGCCCCCTTCAAGCGCTGTTGGCCTCCAGCGGGACGACTATCTAGTCTTCGAACCTAGCCAAAGAAGTATCAACTCGCACCACCTCGCTTTGATCGACAGTGTGGTACTACCGCGGGGTTCGTTTGACGGCAGGACAGATCGTTCCACCTCCAATACGAGCGATAGCGACAGCTCTTTGCGTCCACTTCAACCCCCGAAAGCCAGCATTATGGACGGTTTTCCAAGAGAAAGCACGCCACGCTTGTCAGCGGTCGACGAATTTAGACAAATGCGAGCTAGAATATTCGAAGAGCCATTGGCGGACTTGACTACTTTAAGCTCGGTGCAAAGTACCATTCAGGCTCACGAAGTTGAGCCCGGACACCCAATAGTCTCACCGTCAGCTTTCCTTCCTGCATCGGACGATGGTATAGCCCAACGGCCTGGGCAGCCTTTTGAGGGGCAGCCGGAGTTATTTGGCTCGTGGCAAGATGTGTCATCCAGCGTTGCTTTCCGAGGTCTTGACATGAGTTCTGGAGCAAAGCCTAGCTCAGCAGTGCCACAAGAGTCCATCTCGGCCGCCGACAAGTTTAGAGGAAGCCTAAGCATAGGCCTAACCCCCAATATATCCGCCTCGAGACTCAGTATCTCCCCAGATCACCCTGAGCTAGCAGAAGGACATGAACAGACCCCAACAACCGTGGCACCCTCAGACTTGACTACGACCGATGATGCCTCCATTGGAGACGCTGCTCTCCCGAACAACGGCCTGCATACCCTGCCTCTGCTGAGTGAAGGTCCAGGGAACCCCGCGGCGGCGCTTGGAGGGTTTGGGTATCACGAGTCTCGAGAAGACAACCACGAAGAGCCAGGAGACGGTGAACAATCGTCCCCAATACTAAGAGAATTCATCGTCACCCTGCCTATGGCTGCCAGTACCCGCGCACAGTATCTCAAGACAATCTCTGACAACAAGGCAACCATGATTGAGTTCGGCGAGGTGTTTACGCGTTCGTTCACAAGGCTGCCCAGCGACTCGTTGGTGAGAAGAATAGATGCCGTCTTTGAACGCTTTCTAGAGCTCTGCGACCTACCGGCTTATGCCGACACGTTTGCCCCAATGAAAAAGGGAGAGATGTCGAGGCACGCGACAAACTCAAACCCCAAATTTTCCTTCATTCACGAGTTTTTGAATTTGCTGAAGAATACGAAAATCTGCATATTGATTATCTCTCGACCTGGCCGCACATTCGACTATCTAGAAGCGGTCGTATCTGCCGGAGGTATTCATCACCAAGTCCTCGGTCGAGAAACCCCGATTAGTCCTACTGTATCAGGCGGGCCGAATGGGTTGAAGGTTATCTTGGCCGCGTCGGGTCAGGATTTGAGCTTAATCAACGGAGGCGTCCAGGTTGTCATTGCTTTCGATCATGCTGCTAGGGAAGTCAGCTTGCCACAGACCTTAGGCTACGATGAGTTGACACCCTTAGTTCTCAACCTTGTTGTTACGTACTCGCTTGAGCATATCGATATGCAGCTGGGGTCTGGCTTGGACGGTCTCGAGCGCAAGAATGCGCTAAACATTGCGATCGCTTCGGCTCAAGATATCCTAAAGAACCCCGAGCCCGGATATTCAGAGCCGCACGAGATAGCCGAGATCTTCGCCAGTTTTCTTAAAAACCGAGGCGATGACCCGGATTGGGAACCTCAGGCTCTCCCAAGTAACCTTTTTGAACATTGGCTGAGCACGCAGGGTACCCAAGGGTCCCAGGCCGAGGAGTCTCAATCCCAAGATGGACTGAGCGTGCGTAAACGCGCAAATGTAAGCCCTCTTTTATTGTGTTTTGTCTTCTACAAAGCTAATTCAGTTGCAGGACAACGTTGAAGGAGGACCTTCAAAACGTTTGAGGGTTCTCGATGCTCAGCAACCCGCACACAACAATGCTCCAGCACGAATGAGCGACTTGCTGAAGAGCACGCTCGCAAAGTACATGCCTGCTGGCAATACCCGCATTCATCTGACTGAGGTGCCTATTGAGCAGCTTGAGCTCATGGCGTGTAAGGTAAGAGGCATCTGTTCGCCTATAATTTTGGGTCTCGTGTTAATGGAGGCCAGATTGCGGAATTGGAGAATCTTCTTCATACGCAGGCGAATGCCGAAGCGATCTTACACGTGTGCGTCAAAACCCTTGAAGAGGAGCGCGATTCTTACAAACGTACAGTCCAGACCACACAGCCAAAATACATGCAGGCTTTGAAGGACCGAGGAACGTTTGAGTTAGAACACAAGAAAGCCATTGACGATGCGAATACGGCCAAGAAACGGCTTGAGGCAGCCAGGGTGGAAGCGGCAACTCTGAAAAAGCAGATCAAGGACCTCCAATCCGACAAATCCAACGCCGCCTTGGCCAACTCGTCAAACCCTGAAGTTGCCGGGCTTTCCCTGGCTCGGAAAGATCTCGAGGAGGCGCAATCTAAGGCGCAAAGTCTGGAAAAGAAACTTGCCAGTGCTCAGAAGGAAACAGAGTATAGCCGCGCGGCCTACCAGGACGCGTCCAACTCGTTTGTCGAGCTCAAGGCAGAGAACCAAGAGCTGCGTGCGAAGGTGGAAATTCTGGCGAAGCGAGCGGACGAGAATCTCGTGCGGATTCACCAAATCAATGCAGACAACCAGGTAGACGCAACGCGCAGGCAGACGGATAAGCTCCACGCCATCATACGGGAACGGGAGCGAGAGATTGAGCGCGCTAGAGATGAGCTGCGCGTAATCAGGTCCGGGCGACGCGAGACTCGGCAGGTTAGTGTTCCGCGGAGTCCGCGCCCCGGTGTCATGAGTCCACGACCTAGCCGGGCTGTCGTTGGCGGCGCCGGAAGCCGAGGCACTAGTCCTGCCCCGTTTGACGGTGCTGCCGGCCCCGCCACAACAGTCCCAGGAATGACTTTCAACAATGGTCGCTGGCCACATCTCCGAGACTAGGGATCAGGGGAGACACGATCACGGGGGAGAGGAATAACTAGGGGACGGGGACGTGGCCAGTGATATTTTCATGGCCTCGGGGCGAGATCGCCATGGAGCCGGGCCGGCTGGTTGGCTGATAGCCTGCTGGCTTGAGCTGTACACGGGGAGGCACACGCTGGGCGGTTTGCATGATACCGCGAGAACAAGTCTTATCGTTTCCGCGGAATCTGGCCATCTTGGCCATTTCTTTGGGAGGGGACCGGAGGGATGGTGCGTTTGGTTCTAAAAATTTTATTATTCTTATTGTATCTACTGTACATACGGTAGCCCCTTGTACGCGGTCATAGGCGGGGCAGAACCTACTAAATATGGGGGATCTCAAGCGCGGCGCAGGCTATCCATTGATCTTGGGGATGTGGGATGGGGAATAGGGGATGGGGAATATGCAAGAGGGGGTTTGAGAGCGGCAGGCCATACTTGAAGGCATGAGGCGTCCTATGTATCTATTCAAAGCGTAGAAAGCGAAGAAGAAAACCCCCCAGCAGACACGGCCGTACAATTCAGTCCTGGCCAAAGGGAAAACAGAACATCCTTCTATATTATTGACAAACATAATGAGTGAATATGAGTCCCGGTACCAATACATGCATGTAAGTAATTCTAAATGCCCTGGATGTATACAATGTCACTCTCCATCTTTCACACCAACCTAGACAGATTGCGAAAGTAAATCATCAAGGCCTACAAGAGGAGGGGGGAAATACACACTTTTTGTCTCACGGGAAACAACATCTATCACTCTTAGACCAGATCAGCACGACTCGAATCTGGTGGTCTCTCCCGTTTAAAAGTCTAGTGAACATATACAGATTTGTGCCCCCGACATTCTCTTTTTTTTTGGGGGGGGGGTTAGTTCGGAGGACTTGTGTTGTGGTGGTATTCTGCGATCCCTCCTCCACCTTACTACTACTGCCCTCTGTCCATCCATCCATCCATCAATCCACTCACTCAAATTACCCAGCTCCCTGAAACCCCAGCGAGCCATTAAAAGCCCAACCCAGACCGTGCCCCGAGACTGGTTTTCTTCTGGTATGCTGCTCGGCGGAGTGTGCGCTCGTATTTAGTGCTCGGGCTTCTCGGGGTACAAATCCTCCACGAGCTCGATGCCGAACTCCTCGCGCAGCGGCTTCAGCTCGTCAAGGTACTCTTGGTACTGCTTCTTGTTCTGAGTCTTGGCCTTGATGCCTGTTGTTTTAGTTGCGACTGTTAGTTCACGGCCACATTTGACCAAATATATGAGGTCGAAGGGGGTGGCGGGGTCTTCTTTACCCTCGAAGATCCGGACGGCGGTAGGGAAGTCGTTGACCCTCCGTGCGGCTTTAAGAGCGGCGGCGATCACTTCAGGTGAGGGGACCAAGTCGTAGGCGAAAGCGTTGTTGAGGTTGCGCTATTTTTGTTCCAATCGTACGCGGTCAGCCCCCCGCGTCATTGTGATCCTGCCGTTACTCTGATACAGTGCTATCAAGCCGACATGCTCGTTGTTTCTTCTTTTCGGGGTGAAAAAAATTCACGGCGGATGAGAGGGCATTGCGAGTTCCAAAGCTTACCTGGAGCTCAAAGACATCCTGGACGCCGTCGAATTCCTTCTCGTACCTGCGCCAAGCAAACTGCGTGTTAGGGATCAATTCAGAGAACAATAGAATGCCGTACGTGGCTATCCGGCTAGCCGTTGTGGTCGGAAAGGGTATATGCTCTCCCCTCTAAACACGCCGCAGGATATGGTGGGCCCGTGCCGCACCATATGAAGGAAGCTTTGCCAGTTCGCAAGAAGCTTGCCATTGAAAACTTTTGCGCCCTTCCCAGCTTCCGTCGGTCATGTCTCTACCGTTGTCAACTCACCGGGCCGAAAATTCCTCAAACGTCTCCTCCTTGTGCTCAGACCGCACGCGGGTCGTTGTGCTGAAGCTGCTGGTGTTGGTAGAGACGGCCAGCAGGCTGGGGGCAACGAGGCCGACGCGGGCGGCCAGCGGCTGGGTCCGGGCGGCGACAACGGCGTTGGCGCGGAAGAAGGTGGTCGAGGGGCCGCGAACGGCGGCGCGCAGCAGAGAGGACGACATTAGTTCGAAGGGGTCGATGCGGGCGGCTAACAGAGAAACGAAGAGAAAAATAAACACCCGAGCTGCAACGGCGGATGGGGGTGGCAATTGACGGCAGAGCGGGGAGCTCAACAAGATAGGGCTGTCCTGGGAGGCAATTGAATTTGGATGCGTTGAAAGGATGGTGGTCGTCGACAGGGAACCTGGAAGTGGATGGAGCAATATTGCATCGGAATCGAACGATTCTCTTCGGCTATGCTCGTTCTTTCGCTTAGATGACTAGCCGCCCTGCATAAAACTGGTAGCACCGTTACAGTGGCCTCACTCAGCAGCTGTTCTTCCCAAGCTCCGAAGCTATCCAAAGCACCAATCAGTCGCGGCGCATTGTAAAAGCCCCCCCACACTGCCTGTGGCTGCACCAATCACCACTTGCACGTTAAGCATATAGCACAGAAGTGTGGCTTGCAGTCTCGAATGTGTGGCTAAGTGCGACTTCAGCCTTCTCGATTGATAAATGGAGTAGGTAAATAAAGAGTCAGGTATGCACGGAGGACTCCGTTCTGAACCCAAAAAGTATATCCGTACAAGATGTGAAACAGCGAACAAGAGCTTCTTTCCTTCTCAAGCGGCGTGTGCATCTTATTCAGAGCCTTTAGCCGTTACAACGTTATTTTGGTCCTTAGCAAGATAAACTCTACCGCTCCGTAATCAATCATATTCAATTGTTTTGCCAATGCCATCCCCCGGTTCAATTGCAAGCAAGCGGATGTCGCGATCTTGAGTAATGGCAGTGATTCCTGCCCCCTTGCTGCACACACACGGCACAGGAACATCCAAGCCCGTCCAGCCATTCTATCATTGTTTACCGGAAAGACTGAAATCGCCTAATGCGCGGATGCCCCCCGCATTTACGTCAGTCTCGACCAAAAGATTGTCTGTGACATGGGCTGCGGAGAGATGGTATCTAGGTGTTCCATGTCTCGACCAATTGTTCTTATTCCTCCGAGAATCATCAACAGAGAAGCCGTCAAAGACACCTTTGGCAGCTTGGATAGCTTGACAGCCGTGACAGTCTTGCAATTGGTGTTCCGTACTTCCTATGTGTTGGACCTTAGCATTTTCCTTAGTGCGCCCATCTTAACTTCCCATTAGCTTGTTTGACAGGTGAAAGCCGCCCAAGTTTGTGTCAAGTTGCGGGGGACGGGCCTATTCCCGAAAGACAAGCCCGAACCAAAGCTGTCAGTTACACGTATACTATTCCGTACTCAGGTGGTTACACAAAACCGCCGGCGGACTCGCCCCCAAGGCCCAGACGACGAGCGTATCCGCGGTCGAAAATGGAATACATACGCGCGACCTCCATAAAAGGAGATGCACAGTGGCAAAGAACCGGGTTGCTCGGGGTGCCAGACTCTTGGTGGGTTTGGGTCTAGTGGGCACTGGCGAGAGATGGCCAGGCTGTCTCTCTTCGATCCCAGATCCCAGAGCGAAATGCAATTGGGAACTCCCGAGGCCCGGTGCTCGGGGCGACTTTCACGAGCACCAGCAAGCAGCCTGATTGGCCATCAAAACTTGCGCCGGGAAATGGGGTCGAAGGGGGAAGGAGAAGTTCAACATAAATCACATGCAGGAACTTGAAATGAGGACCCAGTTCAATTACCCCAGCGTAAGAGGCTAGCGGCTTCCCCTTTTGTCGCGTCCAGTGCAAGACGGGCCTTTGAAATACTTGGCTTTCTGGCTTTCGACCTCCCGAACCCATCGCCTTTGCGAACCTTCACTTTGGCGCCTTCTACTTCTCAAGGTCATATCTTAGCCCTCGGGTGCTTTGGGCGCTGCTTTAATTCTTCTTCTTCTCTTCTTGTCGCTCATTCTGACCTTGTTCCTCGCGCCCTTCGTTTCGGTGGGTGGCTGATTCATCGCCTTCCATCCCCGTTGCCGCGTTTCCCGGCTCGCGCGTGTCCCTGTGCAAAAAATCTTCCATTCCCGCTCGCCCGCGACGGACACACAGGTGCGCCTTCACTTCCCCCTCCCCTCCCCGCGCCGCATTCTCTCCTCTTTGCCCCCTCAGGGACAGCGTCCGACTGATTGGTCTGCTAGCTTCTGGTTTTTTTTGACGCTCGAGCGTCGAGCCGAACGCGCACGCGACACGCACAATCCCAATCGCAGCCGCAATTGCAATTACAATTGCAACAATGACGACTTTGTCGCCTTCAAACCTGCTTGACCAGTCCCCCCAGATCAGGGAGCTGGTCAGCAAGATTCCGATCCCTACCTTGGACCGCCCCTTTGGCATTCATCTATGGAGCCTCTTCAATAAGGCCTTTGAGCTCGTTGTTGGCTACCCTGCCGATGACTTCAGGTTCAAGCCCGGCCAGACGCCCATGTCCACGATGAAGGAGACGGGCATTTTTATCGTTGTATACTACGCCATCATCTTTGGCGGCCGTGAAATCATGCGTAACCGCGAACCTTTCAAGCTGCAGAAGCTGTTTCTCATTCACAACTTCTACTTGACTGCCATCAGCGCCATCCTGCTCGCCCTTTTCGTCGAAGAGCTGCTGCCCACTGTGGTCCGCCAGGGAATCTTCTATACAATCTGCGACAGGGAGGGCGGCTGGACCAAACCCCTGGTTGTTCTCTACTATGTGCGTCAAATCTGCCCGCTGTCGTCTGCGACTCCGTGCATGTTGCTAATGCGCCCCTAGTTGAACTACCTGACCAAGTACCTCGAGCTCCTGGATACCTGCTTCTTGTTTCTCAAGAAGAAGCCGCTTAGTATGTAATTCCCTTAAGAGTAGCGCACACTTAGCAATAGGGAATTCTGCTAACTTCTCAGCTTTTTTGCACTGCTACCACCACGGCGCGACGGCCCTTCTCTGCTATACTCAGCTAATTGGCTCGACCTCCGTTTCGTGGGTCGTCATTACGCTGAACCTTTTGGTACACGTGGTCATGTACTGGTACTACTTCCAGAGCGCGCGCGGTGTCCGCATTTGGTGGAAGGAGTGGATTACCCGTCTCCAAATCTCCCAATTCGTCATTGACCTCGGTATGTTGTTGACATCGATTCCGAGTGCGGTTCAGATGAGTGCTGACAATTACAGGGTTTGTCTACTTTGCCTCGTACACTTATTTTACCTCGACCTACTTCCCCAACATGCCCAATGCCGGAAAATGCGCAGGCGAGGAGTTTGCTGCCTTCTCGGGTATTGGAATCATCAGCTCTTACCTCTTCCTCTTCATCTCGTTCTACTTCGCCACGTACAAGAAGGACGGAAAGCGGCCTAGTGGCCGAAAGGCCGTGCGGAGAATGAGCCAAGCCCCCCTGCCGGACGCGCACCAGATGCTTAACGGGCGGGCTTCAAGCGGCACCGGAAACGGAAGTGCCAAGTCGACCGGCGCGAAGATTAACGGCTCCGTTCGATCCCGGAGAGCCTAGACCACCTAGCGCTTGCGGGAACTGCCGCACCGGGAGCACCAAAGCGCGGCTGTTCAGCGAAGTGCTGTGGAGCTGGAGGTCTAGCCTGGGGCTTGTCGCCCATTAGTCGCAAGCCATACCCGGGGAGAAAGCGCATATTCAAAGAAGAGTGCGGATGACCAAGAGGCAGAGACTTGTGTGTCACCGCCCCTGAAAACTGTTAGCCAGGGATATCTCGACAAGTAATTAATGTGGTCTCGGTATTTATTTACGGGAGTTATACAAGGGGGAAATCATTGCGGCAATGACCCGGGCCTTCTCATGACGACATATAGGCAGTTTACACGGAAGGGGGGGGACAGCGACGGTTCGAATCCGATTGATCGGGTGACTTCGCACCGTCTTGTCTTGAACAGCCGACAAAGACGAGGTTTACGATGGGGCTTCCTTTGGGGGGTGGAGCATCACGGGCAACATCAAAAGTCCCCAACCAGGGCCAGGGGATGGCAGGTCGGTTGGGTTGACGGGGAATTTGCCCAATGGCTGTCAAGTTGACTTTGCTTTTGCAAATCCCTTCTATTTCTTTGCGTCTTTTCATCTCGTTTCACTGTTCTATATGTTGTTCTGCAGGCGTTGTGCTCAGCTTGAACAACACGAGCCGGGCACATGCCCCTAGCAAGTCTTAATACTATTTTTTGTCTTTGAATACATGACGGTGGTGGATGGGTGAGGGTGTTAGTTGGTAATAGCATAGGAGCGGGTGGGAGTGATATTGTACGAGAAGGAAAAATATACAGTATCAGAAGTATTGAATCGAGCTCTCGCCCAGCTACTTACTTACTGCGCGGTCTTGTCGTTGGTTATGATCTGTTTCGTCCATGTGACTCTTTGCTAGAGTCATCATGTTGGGTGTTGTAAAGTAGGTACTTTACCTAGCCAGTGGGACTTGAAGCCGCGCGCAGGTTTTCCACTGCCTCGGAAGCATCGCGGGTTTCCCTATCCTCGACCTCGGCAGTTAGCTTTCTCTCTTCCTCTCCCGGTGGGTTGTTTGCAAAAGAAAGGCGCTGGTCTTGTGGTCGATGGCTTGCTGCCTTTTGCATCCTGACGTCAATGACGGCACCTGCTCGGAATGCGTGCCGTAGTAAGACGGCTCGGACCGAAAACCTTTTCTTTATTTTCCCCAGAGGATAGGGGGTGGTGATGCACATAGCTACCCGGTAGAGATTTTAATTGTGTTTTCGTTCTATTTCCCTCTTTTTGGGACTTCCATGGTCGATTGTGGCGATGGTGTTCTTCTTAATTGGTTCCCAACGTGCAAGGAGCGAGGGTGCTGTATTGTCTACCGCCCGGGAGGTGTGCGGGACAGAGTCATGGTGAAATCGTGTAGGGTGAGATTGAGAAGGAGTGTCTCATTTTCCTTCTTTACTTTATTATTATTGATATTTCTTCTCCTTTTCCTCGTCCTCCCACTGAAAGATACCTTTCCATCACTGTATCTGTCACGCCAGGGCTTGTCAACCTGCTCTCCTTCTCCTCTCATCCTCCTCCCCATTATGTTATCCCACGAGTACGGAAACTCTCGGAAGAAACTAGTGCATGTCTTATGAAGACCTGCTCTCGTATCACGCGTCTTCAAGATGGGAGAGCTAATCCGAGTATTGAATTAAGGTCGGCGCTGTCGACATCTCCCATTACTCCCCACAGGCTTGTGGAATGGTGGTTGGGTAGTCAGTCTGTTCAATCTTATTCTCGCGCTCTATTATTTGGTGTTCCTTGTACTTCGAGTACTTAACGCTACAGGGATATCTCTTTTACAGTGGTCGAAGCGGTTCTCCCCGTTGATGTTGTTGTTGCTGCTTTCCTAGTCGGAGCTACTCCTCTCCCTTTCTTCTACCATTTCCAGCATGAGTTTCGGTTCAACTTCTACAAACCCCGCTCCAAAGTACCCTCTTCTTGCCCAGATATCAGCTTCCAGATAGAGAGAGCCTGGGCGCACAATCACCACATTAGACAGCCCTGTTTTGAACCTCGGCCTACAGTGTTGGGTGAGTATCTTCCGGCTGCTGCATCTGTCTAGCAAACCAGCTCCATGAAGACGTCAGGTTGGTTACTCAAACAGGAGCTCCAGTCCAATGAGAAAGAGCAATATGAACAAGAAAGCTTTTCCCTCACCAGAACCGTGCAGCAGGAGTATAAGAGAGAAGATATGAGCCACAACGGACTCTTTCATCTTTGAGATTCTGGTAGGCCAAGCCCCGTGTTGAGCCTTGAGCCTACATAATCGGTACGCTTCAATCTTCAGGGTGAGCTCTCTTCAGCGCCATGTTCCATGAGCAACTCCGGTTTACATCGAAGTCGTAGCTGGCAGCTGGACGCATGGAGGTCAAAGCAAATAGGTAGCACAGCGATTGGATGTTCCTAACGTCTTGGTGCCGTCGCTCGCATTCCATTTAATACTTCAAAATATTATACAGCTACAAGGCAGTCATGTTGGTGCTGCGGCGCTAAGGAAAAGAACAATACCCTGCACGGCTGGCTACGATGATGTATCCATCCCGCAACAAAAGTTGGCATCTCACCTATCCAAAGGTTGTCACCAAAAATAAATAAAGTAAACCAGGAACCTACTGGGGACTTCTCCGATTAAATGACTCAAAAAATTTCAAAAAGCCTCAAATTGCCCTTGTCAGGGGTAACGGAGGGCCGAGGCCGGGCCTCCGCCCGAAACGGGCCTAGAAAGCGGGCCGGCATACCCCGGCCCCCACCACCGTATCCGGCCCGGCCGGCGAGTGGGTCGGGCCAACATCAATAAATAAAACCCAGCCGCGACAAGCCGGGAAAAAAAAGGAGATGAGGGCAAAAAAAGGGGAACTAGCCACCGTGACTGCCATGTCAGACCCCGACCACATTAGCCCCAAACAAACTTAGTCTGCTTAGAGAACCAACTGCGGTGGGCTAGGCTGGGCCAGACCCAGACGCGGATAGCCCTCCACTCCTCCCCTCTCATACCAACAAGGCCGGGCCATCAGTGTGTCCCGTCAAGGCGACAATGGCTCACGACTGCAATTGCACTGGACGAATAGCAAGTGCCAAGCCATGCTGGATCCGGTCCTCGGGTCGGGTCGGGTCTTGTTCCCAAATCGAGACAAGCAGGCAAAAAGCGAGAAGGAGTGGGCAGGTAGAGGCCGGCCGAGACAGTTTGCTCCGGCCCCAAACTCGCACACTGTGTACTGTACTGCAAATCTTAGCATGAATCCTGATAGTGTCCCCGGCTTCAGAAAAAGAGTGGGTAATGCGGAAAGAAAAGAAAAAAGAAAAAAAAAATCTCGGGAGAAGGAACCGTAAGCCGGGGGATCTGCTGGCTCAGCCACGCATATAGTCTCTTTGTCTATAGGGACCAAAGAGAGGTTCCCCTGGTCCGTCATAGGGTTTTTTTTTCCCGTGGCATTATTGAATAGCGCTGGCTGCTATTTCTATCCCTTGGTTCATTGTTGTTTCGTGGCCCGTTCCCCTTGCCCTCCCCGTCTTTGTGTTTCTTGTTCCCTTTTTCTTGTCTCGCCTCAGTACCGGCCACGTATACAGTGTAGGGGGTGGGAGACGGACAGATAGACAGACCGCAATGGGATTTTGCTGTGCCTCAGCTGCCGGAGGATCAATGGCGGGAGGGATTAGTATGGGGGAAGTAGGGGGGTGATCAGCATTCCGGACGTCGAGAAGTATAAACCTGCCTATCCAAAAGCCTTCTCTTTTCGGGCTTTTCTTTTTTGCTGCAGCCGCTTATTATCTGCATCCTCGACGAGGGGGAAAGGGGGGTTACGCTACATTCGTAATAGTTTTCGTCATACTCTCTCTCTCTCCTGCTGCCACCGCTCTCAGTCATCACCTAAAAAAAAAGTTCGGGCAAATGTGGGATTGCGGCGTGTAAGTTGATGCGTTGATGCACGGCTGGGGACGAGCCCATTCCTTATGCACTCCAGACTTCGGCAGCGCCCAGCCCCGGTCAACGAGTTCGGGCCCTCAAAAAAAGCTGACGACGAAGAAGAACGGGTGTGGGGGGTTTGCTAAGGTACGTAAGCCGGCAAGCATGCAAGAAAGCAAGCATGTAAGATTTAGTGCGAGGGGGGGGGGGGGAATGGGGGCTGCTTCTTCCTTTTTCAACAGTCCGTAAAGGGAGCTCAGTTGAGAATAGACGTGGGAGCTGACTGACTTGCTGGGCCGCTCCTGAGCATTGCCCTTCTGCGGAGTGGGAAGTAGTAACACGGCTAGACGGCTGGTGGAGGGTAGGAGCAGGTCTTCGGCTCTTGGTTTAGGAAGGAAGCCAAAAGTCTAATCGCAATTGGCTTGTCTGGAGCTGCTCGGTAAGGACAGATGGATAGGGGTTGCTTCAACCAGGAAAGAGTATACGGACACCACCAGAGCAACAGTGGTAGGCTCGGAGTCCAAGTTGTTCCTCCTTGATGCAACTCGCACTTCCGCGAATCGTGCAACTTCAATCCCGTCCAGTCGAGCTGCCAAGTGATGCCTGTCGTTGAGTTTGTTGTAAGAGAGACAAACCTCTTTGCTTCCTATCATCATCTTAACACGAGAGCGGTTTAGAACTCTCAAAAGGGAATTGCCGTTTGCTTACCTAAAACGGATTCAAGCTCCATCAGCTGGCTGACTTACACGGCTGTACAGTCCTCCCCTCTCGGAAAGTGCTTGCATTCGTTCCACACACCAATCATACAGATAGATACTGTGCTAGGCCCCCATCCCTGAATAAGCACATTGGGGGGACTTGTAGTACAGCGTCACAACTGGTCAATGCTTTGCACCGATCGATCCCGCGAACACCCAGCCTGTGCCTTGCATGATCTATTGAAGATGGCTGCAGTTGCGCAAATGACGAGCAGCGTTTTGTGGAAAGTGCCCGAACGCCTGAGTATGTATGTACGCAAGACCGTTTTCTTTTCTTCAAATCATTTGGAATCCGTATCCGTTCACTGCCGGAAGAGAAATACTACACGATTTTGAAAGCCACCACGTAATTTAGTTTATCTGCACATCATATGAATAACTCTTCCCGCAATATTGGCGATCCTCATGAATGACGAGCCTCTTTTGAAACATTTCCATCGCGACACACTCACACGCACGCGCTGTACACCGCATGTGCACCACCTTTCACGATTGATCCCAATAAACTTAATTTTTCCGCCGCTTCTTTTAAAGTGTGTATTCCTGTCACAATCTCTCTACTGGCGTGAAACCGTCACCCATTATCAGACGAAGCATGGTGGTGGTTTTTAGGTGGTGATGGTGGAGGTGCGTGAGGGGGGACCCCCGCCCCTTTTCGAAACACACCCGTCCGTCGCCCCTATCCCACTGGGGCGGGGGTGCGGACATGCGAAACATTTACCAAGCGAAATGCTTCACATTTTTTTCTTCTCATTCCTCGTGTCGCAAAAGCAAGGACCCCCCCGGTCCCCGTCACCCCACACATTGGTCTGTGCGATTCATTTGACGTGACTTGACTCTGCAGGTGATGCTACTGTGCAATTTAGAGCTCTTGGGTCGCTGAAGAATCACAAGACATAAACGAAACGGACCGAAACAGACTGACTCGGGGCAGTCCAGATCCGGCTGACACTGTGACGCCCATATCGAAAACACTTTCACGTTAGCAGTAATGGAAAGAAGAAGCCTATTGACTTTTGGGATACAGGAAATCAAATCTCTGTGAAGGTAGATATTGTGTGGGAAAAAACAGCATTTTGTTTGCAACTTCTCTCTGCAATCTCTGTCTGGTATCATATTGTCATAAAGATATTAACTCCCAAAAAAGCATGCTCCTGTCAGATCCCGATAGTAAATCGTCGTGAAGACGAAGAGATTGCACAAAAATATGTGGAAAGAGGGTTCAGTTTACCCCTCTACCAACCAACGCCATGTCATGTATAAGCCATCATAAACAATGGTCTTCCTGTGCCAAGGAAACCGCCAAAAAACGCCATGCGCGCAGTAATGTGAAAAATAGATGAGCACTTTTCGCCCTTCCCAGGATTGTTCCCATCAAAGGAGTTTTCCTGTCATCTTGATGCTCCGTCGCCTCGAGGCCAATCCGCTGAGGATGCCCCTCTTGGGCGCCTGGCTTGGCGACACTGGCGAAATCATTTGCTCTTGTTGCTGCGCCGACGAGACACCTGGCATCATTATGGCATTCTTCTTAACCGCTCTAAGAATATCGTTGTACGTGACGGGCGTTTGGGGCGTAGTTGGCTGTTGCTCTGCCGCCGCCGCTTCTGGTTCTGCCGCCGCCGCAGCCGCTGCCGCTGCCGGACCCGTATTAAGCGAGCTCCTCGGAGAAGAGGTTGATGAAAAAGGATCGCGCGGTGCCTGTGAGAGATTGCTACTTGTATTTAAGGTTGGCCGGCTTCTCTTCCTAACGAGGCTAAATGTTCTGGTGACGCCCTTAAAGAGTTGTGTTGGCGTCCTCGGTGGCCGCACAGGGCTGCTAGTGTTGTCCTGCTCTAGCCCATTGCTGTGGGCAGTCTTGTTAGAAAGCTCAAGTGAGTATGTGCTGCCATTGGCGAATGGGTCGATGTTTAGGAAAAGCGGCTTCTTTCTGGCCACCGCGTCGGATATGCTGTTTTCCCTTTCGGGGGTCTGCTGAACTGGTGAAGAGACGGAGCTCTCAGGTGTGACCGACCGGTCAAGCGTGGGAGCATTGGACGAGACTGTGCTTGATCGTGTCCTCGTGCCGACAGAGTTGGGGGATATGGACCTCCTCCGTAGTTCTGTCAGGTCGACGATAAGCGGCTTGCCCGAGAACACCACCGACACAACCCGAGCCGTGACCTCGTGGCTGCTCCGCCGTGTAGGCGAGGACGGGTCGTCGTTGCTGGAGTCGTAGTCATAATCTGAAAAGTCATCGGCGTCTGATGAGGCGTCCTCTTCTGACGAAAGGTAGACGTCCAAGGGGGTAGCTTGTCCCGACTCTATGGCCTCGAGAGAGCCTCCGAGCTTGAGTCCCAGGTTGTCAACCAGTCGTGATGCCCTGAGTGCGCTCTTCTGTGGGAGTGCAGGGGCTTCGTCACTTGGCCTCGCCCGCTTCGGGCTCGGCGCCATTGACTCGTGGTCGTCCATGTCGCAGAAATCGTCGAAGATGGGCTCGCCAAAAGTTGGGGGGGAAGAGTACACGCGCTGGAGCTTGTCGTCGAAGGCCCCAGTATTTGAGCCGTGGATAGAACGGCCGGCCACCCTGAATGGGAGGGAGCGGTCGACCAGCGACATTGGACGATGGTCTGGTGGTTTGGTGGTCTGGAGTCGCGGTTACGGCTAGTCAAGGGAGACAGGTAGAACACACAATGTCTAGGAATCTCGAACTCGGTCTCCTGGATCGAGAGTCGGCAGCAGTAATAAACGTGTTTGTCCGCGTCGAAGGTCTTGCTTGCTTGGGAGTGGGGCAGCAGTAGTCGGCAGGTTGGGCTGGATGTGAAGAAATGGAGAGGGAATCCATCCCAAAAGCCTGGGAGGGTGGGAGGTTTATTTCAATGGGCTGGGCTGCCCGGGCTGGTCTAAATGGCGGGCGCATCGCATAAGGGTGTGGGTGGGTGGGAGGGTGTGGACTGCACTTGCAGTCACTGCACAGTGTGCTGGGCAAACGAGACGGTCTGGGCAGGGAAGGTACATTACGGGGTACGGGGTACGGGGTACGGGGTACCTCCCTCGAAGGGGCTTCGCCAAGGCACGAGCAACGAGCAACGAGCAACGAGCAACGGCCATGCAAGAACCGGGCCCGCCGTCGACCTCGACGCACATGCCTCCCTCCAGGTCGCTACGTACCTCGCCTTCCCTTCAGTCCGCCCATCGGTCGTCGCCAGAGTCGAGGGGGAAAGGGGCTTTAGCACGCACGCATGACAGGCCGTATCTGCCACGCCCATCATCCTTGCATTGGGCAACCCCTGCCAGCGCCTTCAACGACGACAGGATCGCAGGGCTTACACAGCACCAAAACGGTTCAATCATCGATATACCTGCCTAAGGGAGACCAGAGGGGCGACTGCGAGCTGCCAAAATTGACCCTGAATACCTACATAGTACTCTGTAGAGGCCTCGCCTTGTTGGGGCTGGGGCGATGCCCATGTGCAAACAAAGCAGAGAGAGGGTAAAAGAGCCTACCTAGTTGTCAACGAGCATTTCCATTCCCACCGCCCGCCCGCCAAACCCGCCTGGCGGAAGCCAAAAATCCCGTGGGCTGGGGGGAAGGGATGAATTCAGCCAGCCAGTCCCGTTTGCCAGTCCAGCACCACCAGCACGAGGGCAGGGAGGGTTTGTGGTGTCTGGGCTGCGCTTCGATTGGCGAGAAGGGTCCGTCGTGGTTGGCCGTCCAGAGCGTTTCAAGTTGAACAGACCTTGACTCGCCCAAGAAGACACTGCGACTTCTCGACGTGTGGTTATCGATTGTCCTCGCTCTTGACACGCTACTTGCGCTAGCGCCGCGCCTGGGCTTCTGCAGCAGCAGGTGCAGAACCCTGAGAAACTCGAAAACTCTACTCGGAGACAAGAAAATTCCATAAGCGGGCAAAAGGCCTGCTGCTGATCCGCGTGTGTGCGAAACCGCAGTCATCGGATCTTTCGAGATTCCAGCCGCTGGCGAAGCATTCAAGACAGACCCGCCAGTTGACCAGTTCAGTTACACCATTGCTGGGCTGTCTCCCACCACAGCCACCACCTAGGTACCTACCTGCCCTGGTTTTACGTCGTGTTTATAGTGACAGATCCGAGTTCCTGCGTGCTTTGCTCCGTCATCGTCAGCCTCAGAAAACCGGAGCAGGCATTCGGCCGTTCCTGTTTTTTGCTCCCATTCCCACCCCAAACAGGCCATAGAAAAAAAGCAGGATCATCAGGGGGATGGGGTTGCACCGAGAAGAGCGCTCTCAGGCTAGAGTGCGGTCATTGGCAGAGCTGGTTGACGAACCACGGATGTGTTGCTGTCCATGATTGGACCTTGCGCACTCGGCTGGCATCAACTCGACTGGACGGCGGCAACATCGAATCAGCCTTCGCGGCTGATTGGAGAATTGCTTGCAGCTAGTCGCTATCAGGAGGGGTAGGAGGCGAAAACTAAGTAACAATAGGCTCTCTTTCCAACATGCAACCGTCGAGCGATAGCATCTGCTGGACCCCCTAGGCCTGACCACCTTAGCTGCTTGAGGTGCTGCCGTCGATGATAGAGAATTTTCCAAGACTTAAGTTTAGGTTGACAGACCATGAGGATGTCGACCGTGACTACCCACCCCACCCCTATGGTGCATCTCCGAAAGTCAACCAAAATAGCCGGGCTGCAGCGCCCGACCTCCTCCTAACCAACCTCGCCCATCCACCGACCCGCCTGCTTGGGCAGCACAGTAACAGAATTTTTCCGGCATCGGCAGGCCGCACGGGTAACCAGTCCATAATTCCCTACTAATTCAATAGGGACCTGTTTTATATCGCGAGTTTCGGCAATCCGGACACTGTAATGAGTCGATGGCGCCTTGGACCGGCGAGGGAGCCGCTGTGGGGCCTAGCCAAGGGCCGGCCGCTTGTCGGAACCACCACCCATTGGGGGAGCTTCTGTGTCGACCAGTCCTTTTCTGAGAGCAGCATGAACCTACAGATTGCAGAAGAACTGCTGGAAGCGGCCTCCTCCCGCCCGAGTCTGTCGTCCAAAATGGCAATCGCGTGTGAAATGGAATGCTGTTGTCTTCAGTGTTTACGGAGCATCTCAGTGCGGAGTTTGGCCACTTGATACGGTCGGCTCCATCTGTCTGGGGAATACGGTCCCGTATCCGGAGCTCACCTACACAGTGCGTAGCATCCAACCTCCACAAGCCTCGCCTTCCTCAACGTTAACGACCGGCAACTACATCCGTTCCCACGCAGAGAAGAACACGCGCGGGCCCGCTTTGTGCGGGATATCCGCTGGACCCTACATCAAAGGCCTGTCCTAATTGCTGGGACCGTAGTGTTTTTTTAGGTTGCAGGTATATTTAGACCACAATAATCGCGTGGGTGTCCGTATGCTCTTTGAGTTCTTCTAGACGTGGTCAGCTGCGTTGTCTACGGCTACTATTATCGATAAGTGTTTGTGCGTGGTCTCGAAAAGAAAAAAATGCCGGCTGGCTGGTCACTCCCGCATTGACAACCCCAGCAAAAAAGCCGCGGGATCGCTACTCCACGCGACGACTTGGCACTACGCAGCAGAATGGCCGCCGATACGGAGGGCGGCATGAGCTGAGGATTTCCGGCGGCCACGATGAACGGGCTGCGATGGAGATGGAATAACGGGCCAACCAAACGGTGTCAAACCAGGCGGCCGCACCCAGGCGGGACACCGCCCCCAAGGGGCCAACCTAGAGGGCGTCTTGAATGCCTCCATCTCTTTGCAAGGCAGCAACCGACGGGCACACATACATGGACAAAAGAAAATTATAGAAAAAAATTCGGCGTTCTACTTTCGGGCAGTTTTTTCTTCTTTTCTTTCACTGGAGCACATTCCAGCTCTTCTGCATCCACCTGGCACTCGCGCAGCAATGTAATGCAAGGCAAGGGCAATAAAAATTACCTTTAGACGAGAGAAAGGCTACATGCTTCTTTCTGCTCTCCGAAGTCTCGTCGTTCGGTCGGGCACTCCCCTTTCCAGTATGTCCTCTGGTGGTGACTCGCCGGCCCAGGGCATGTACAGCAAGCAAGGCCTTACGGTGGTTGTCGGAGAGATGATGGACCGGTCGAGCGTCGGCCCTTGGTGACCCGTGGATGGATAGGTCAGGTACCTGACTGACCTGGAGGGATTTATCGCGGCATGAGGTCTGAGGGCCTCGAGGGCTTCTTTTTTTTTTCTCGTGGTGTTTCAATTCTGGTCGTGGGTCTTGTTGCAGGCGGGTATGCCGCAGGTCAACTGGCCGGAAGCCCTTTTCTGTCACGAAACGAGATTTCGGAAGGGGGCTTGCTTGCTGCTTCTGGTGCCTCTTGCAGTCAAGGATTTTGCAACCGCTGCGCATGCATACATACTGTGTTCTGTCTGTGTGTTGATTCACCTGAAGCAAATCTGCAATCTCTCGAGATTGCTGCTGATGAGGATCAATGAGACTGTGCTACAAGTATCCCATCCGCACGCACCTGTCACACACACACACGGTGCAACGAGCCTTGCTTTGTGGTGCTCTCTGATACACGCCTCTTCTTTGGGCACTGGGTGCGGGCCACACAGACCACACGCTGTTGAGGTTCCAAAACACTCTTGAGGACGGGACTGCCTCAGGTAACTTTAAAACCTGTGTGGTAACCCCCCCGGTTCCCATGATAAGATCTCCCAGAAGCACGGTATAATTACCACAGCGGTACCAGGCGAGACAAAGCACTCTTTTCAATCCTTACCACTTCACAGTATCTGAATCGTTCGTACCAGACTCCTTCTTTCTCCGTGCGTCATGCCTCTCGAGCCTTACCTTCTTTGTGAGCGGACGTTCTTTCTGGTTGTCCTGAAGAAGACTGCCGGATGGCGTCATGAGCTGGGAACGTCGAGGGCCAATCATGGTTCGAGCTTCCCCGTCAACTGGTCGCACCAATCACGTCCAGCACCTAGGTGGCAGGGGGGACGGCTTCGTCTGATCGGGGTTCAAGAGAGTGATGCGGAAGCGACGCATGTTTCTAAAATTGTCGCTGCGGTATGCGCTCATCCCAGCGGGGCCGCTTCTTTCCCATCTTTGAGAGAAAAGAGACAGGCGAATGGGTCTTTGAGCTTAATTGCGCGGACTCGGAAATAAACGAGAGAAAGAAAGAAAGAAAAACAATACAAAACGTTCTAGTCTTTGTGTTCTCGCGCGGCCTGAAGACGCTGGGCTGAAAGCTAAAGGTTGGATCAGCCATGCTAAAATGGGAAACAGCTTAGAGTTAGTCGCAAGGCTGAGGCCCTGGTGGCGTTCCCCATGCCCACCCAGACTCTCCCGAGCTCCAATAAGAGCATTGTATCTGTGGGTTCTGTTGTTGGCGTCTGCGGCTGACACCGTCGTCTTTGAGCTGAGAAAGAGAGCAACAACCAGAACGGACAAATCAAAGCTCCGTCTACTACCTGCAAAAGACTGGGATGACTGGCGACTTGCGGGCTCACTCTTCGGCGACGATTTTCTCAAAAGCAAAGGAATTGGAAGCGTTCCGCCGATTGATTGATCTTGGCAGCAATCTTTGACCAGGGGGGAAAGGTCGAAACGCTGGGCATGCAGTCATAGCTTGTTTGTCGTCTGAAGTAGAGCGGCGCCCATTCTCTCTATTCAGACAGACCTCGAACCAAAAAAAAAATCGTCCGTTCTTTTTCTATCTTTTACGCTTATTGTATGTCTCGTTGTGTCCTGATCCTTGTTTGCCCCCTTCCTCCCGCGTACGGGAGCATCGCGGGATGATACGGCGCCTCCTGGATCAGACAACTCCCAGCGATTCGGGTTCGGGTGAACGCGTGCGAGCGCGCGCGCGTGTGCGGATCCTTGCTGACGAGACGAGAGAGACAAGCCTCCGAGACACTGGACATGGCCCCCGGTCCCGGAGTTTCAAACATTCGGCATCCGTGTTTCTTTCCCAGGATCCTGTTTGGCGTCTGCGTCTTTCTTTAGCTGTTTTCTGGGGGGTGTTTCTTCACCTTGAGAGCCATTACCAGGTTGACCCGACCAAGGCCTTGTGACAATCATCAAGGCGGGCGAGGAAGCTTGTTCGTTTGAGCACATCGTCCCCCCGCGCCTCCCTTTTCCTTCGCATTTACTCTGGTTTGGGACTTTCTTGGTACTACTGTGTGCCAGCGTCAATGGAAACGAGTTGTGATTGTGGATAGGGACTATCAGCTTAAGATCTGTCTGGTGGGCAGGCCGCAAGTCCGAAGAAGGCCCAAGCATGGAAGACGCACACACGACTGGGTGCGCCTTCTACAACAAGAAGAACTCATCTTTTGGCACCAATATCCTGCAGTCAACCTACCCTGGAAGGTGCATCCTGTCATCTAAGGCAACCCAAGCTCACCGCTATCTTAGCTACGGATACTGCGAAGGGTTTCCTATCCGCAAATCCTAGATCAAAACCTGCAGGTGCACGAGAGCATAGCCCCTTTTGCTGCCGTCCGTCTTCCATCCCACGTGAAGGCAGCCCCGCCGGGTGGGCACGGCTTCCGGGAACGGAGCTCGTGGGATGACGATGACTTGGTTTATTGGGGGCTGAGCCGGAACGTTGGCGGGCTTGCTTAAGCTCCTCCAGCCAAAGCCTTCCTCCGAGGGCTGTTTTCTCTTCCTCGAGTTCCCACGTGTTCGGTCCGTGCTTGTCACCACAACTCACAACTAAGAACCGCATCCGTCCCCATGTCCTCGATGTCGGTGGCTCGTGGCCCCGAGACAATGCAATCAAGCAAGGTACAACACAGATATGATTGCATATCTGGCCTCTAATGCCCCGGATTCTGCCTTGGCCAATGCTCTCCGTCGGACTTTGCTGTCCTGGCTGCGCAGGCTGCGCAGGCTGAGGAAGATATGCAGACGTTTAGATTGACTACGAAGCTTAACCCGCCGAGTTGTCCACAGTCGCCGCGTGCGTGGCTGAGGCGGAGTCTGGGGACGCCATCTATACGCAACTGTCGGCTCTACTGGCCGGGACATGCCCCCGGGGGCTCTCAACGGCACATGCGGCTGATAGGCGAGCCATGACAGTGCTATGCCGAATGTCCGACTTTCTGAGGCTTCAGGATCCGATAACAAACGAGAGACGATCTTGCACACCTTGAGAGATGGAGACTTCTAGGTCGAGTAGATTCCATGTATTCGTAATTGAGTGGGTTATCAATTGCCGTGACGCCTCCTCGGTTTTTATATTGACTACGCCGTGTATTGGCGAGCCCCTTCCTTGGTCCGGATTACTCCCCACAGCTCACGCCACCAGCCGCCAACATGTGCGCCAACAACATGGTACGTACATTTCTTTCGCAAGAAACGACATAGGGGCAAAGAGAAGCATATGACATGCGCTCGCGGGTAATAAGGCGGCATCGGTACCTGCACAGAAGGACATCTCAGGGTCAACCTCATCTGCATCTGTTGACGGCGCGTACGCGAGAAACAACTTTATACGTATGGCACGGGTAAATTGAGCGAGACTACCTTACCCACCCATCCGGCTTGCAGATAGGCATATGCAGTCAGACATGTCCACCTAGTCGTCGTGCAGCGTGAGGGATTCGTAGTGGTTGTGCATACCGAGGTAACTCTCCGTACCTTGCAGCGGCTCTACTCTAATCTATATTTACGCCTATATTACGAACCGGCGCCCCAGCCAGATATTATTCTGGATAATATCTGCTGTGGCAGGCATAACATTATCGACGCCTGGTCATCGCAGCCCGGGTTTTTCTTTCTTTGACAGCTGAGCGTTTATTTTGCCCGAAGGTGAACTCGCAATCTCGAGGCGCAACCACCACCGTCTTTCTCTTTATGCAAAATTCCTTTTATTTTTTTCGCGGCGAAATAAAGCAATACACTTTAGATAGCATAAAAATACTCTAGCGAGTCGTTTACCTTCAGGCCGTCGTGACCCGGGCACGCTGTGTTGTTGCTTTCGCGTTTACCGCGCGGCTATGGCTGGTAATTAAGGGGCGGTCAACTTGGGAGCTGGATGAGCTGGGTACGGATATTGTCGCGTAAAAGCCATGTAACATCTCCTCGCTGCTACACACTGTGTCCGTGACTACTCTGCCGTGTGACTCTTTGATTTCGCCATTCCAATTGAGGTTGCTTTTGTCTGTTGGGAGTACTACCCTTTTCATTTTCTTTGCATACATACCTACCTACCGGCCTTCGGCAGCTCAACCTCGTGACACTAGAAACCGCGAGAGTAGCACGCGACTCAATAAACAAGGAGCCACTGTGAAGTACCGAAATGTAGGCCTAAGTTTTGCCGCTGTCTGTTCAGACCATGTCTCTTGGGTCATGACAACTCAACGAGGTACAAGGCGTCTGAGGACAAGAGTTAGCACTTCTTTGCGCCAGCCCACCCAAGACTCGAAAGTCGGTATTATGGTAAATATTGTATTTCGTCTGCTCGACGAGGGGCTTCCACAGTGAGATCTATCACAAAAGTGAAATGCCCTATACCCATCACCACGCACACAGTAAAAAGAACACAGTTAAACTTAAGCACTTGCCGCAGTGGTACTATGGTAGATAATCCTTAACTGTGCTTCTTTTAGTATGTGCATGGTGACAGGTACAAGTCCATATCACTCACTGCCTGATAATAAATCGAACACCGCGTGAGTCGCTCGTCATTAGAGGAGCCGAATAAGAAAATAAATAAATAGGTAAACAACTAATTACTTAGGTACCTGCTTGCCATGTTTAAGCCGGCCATTCTCAGCTTGCCATAGTTTCCACCTGAGTCTAAACGAGTATGAGAAGTTCGAGTCCAGTCAAGGCCAAGTATATATACGCAGTAGACACACATAATGAGCACAGTCTACCACAATTACAGCGAGCCATACAAAAACAGAAGGAGGGAAAACTCAATAGTCGCCCGCCGCGCAATCAACAATAATACTTCTATCTACTCCTGATTATCCCCCCCTGTCCCATCAACACTAGACGGACGCCTCAAGAGCCTGTTCCAGGCTCTTTCAGTTCAAAGTTTCAAGCCTTGGCTAGCATCATCACGAGACTATCACTAATCCTTGCCTGACTTATATCACCAGAGTCTATACCCCTCGGACCACAAAGAGAAGGAAAGGGAGTACGAATAGAACTACACTGCCCTTCAGATAGCCTGTATAGAACTCCCTTGTTTCTCTGCTGTCCCGGTGATTTTCGAAGCAGCAATCTCTAATAGCGGCAAGCGGAAGAACCGACGAAGCAAGCAGACAACTATGAGTAGACTCCATATCCAACAAGGTCTCTATGGCTCGGGGATACTTCAAAAGAGAGAAAAAACAGTAACCGAAAAACCAAAACAATTCGCCTAGGTACTTTGCCTCCATGAATGGTATCTTTTTGCTAATGACCAACACCATCAACTTCGTTTCCGTCATTACCTCGTTCTTGTGAATCCTCCTCGTAACCACTTGCCCAACTTATCCCATCCGCCCTATTTTTGCGTGAATCCAGAAGGCAGAAAAAAGAAACAAGACCCAGCAATACCAGACCAGCCCAAGAACTGGCAGTATTGAACTTTGTGACCCTAACCCTCCTCCCTTTTCAACCAGCCCACCAGCCAGCGGGTCGGTAACCAGAAAACGTAGATCAGGGTCCCATCCATATTCCACAGACTAGCGTCACTACCTCCACAGATCCCTCCTCTCCCTCTTTGTTTCTCCTGCGCTGCTCTTGGGGCGAGGCCATTCATCCTCTCCACCGCTATTGCTGGCACGGCTGTTTCTCCCCCTGGCAGCTCCTCCCAACCCCTCCGACGGTACAGCCAAGAACCCGCCTCCGGCGCCGCCCACGAGGACACTCCTACGTGCACCACCGCCGCTGCTCCAGCCCGAGGCGCTGCCTCCCATAACGTCGGCACCGAGACCGTAGCTGCTTAGAGGCCTTCCCGAGGCGCTACCACCACCACTCCGTCCGGAGGAAAAGTGGTTAACTTGAGCAAACGACCAGCTGAGCTCATCTTCGCCCTTGGTGAAGACCTCAAGCTTGGATGGAAGGTTTGCAATACCAGCTGGACCCGTGGGGACTCCAAGTGCTGCCGCCGCAAAGGGGTTGTTGCTACTGAGCCGCTGTGGATTGTAGCCGAGCTGCTGCCATGCCGGCTGCTGTGGTGTACTCTGCGTGCTGTATATCGATGAAAGCGAGTCTTGCTGTCGGTGGCCGAATGATCCCGGTGGGTTTCCAAACGGGCTAAGATGCTGAGGTGATGGGGCGAACGATGGGCTACCTACCGGAGATATGAAACTATGCGATGCCGACTTGGGGCCAAAGCCTGGTGACCTGGGAGCACTGCTGCTGATGGGGCGGGCGATACCACCATCGGCAAAGGCAGGCGTGGGAGGAGGCAACCCTAGGAGCATATCAGGGAAGTTGGGGTCTCGGACGTAGAGCGCATGGAGATTTGCTAGGCCACCCGAGACCAGCGAACTTGCCAGGTAGTTGTAGTAACTCGGAGTGATGCCTGTAAACTTTGGTGATGACACGGCCGCCGTGATTTCGAAGTGCAGGGTCTCAAGGCTGGGGGAAGAGAGGAGCGGAACATAGGCGGCTCCCGGCATAGCAGCTGCTACGCTGTCAATTACGGATAGATGCTTGAGACCAGGTAGGTGGGCCAGAATTTCCTGCAGAGTCCAGACCGGAACGCCTGTGGTATTGAGTGTCAAGACCCGGAGAGCCTGGCGTGCCTCGGGCAGCTCAAGCCACGATTTGAGGCCATCTACAGTTACATTGGGGACCTCGGTCAGGATAAACTCCTCGAGCGGGGGAAATGGCGGGAGCATGGGGTTCCAGGCTAGAGTTTCGTCGCCGACGGACATGGTATCGCTAATCTTGAGGGCGCGCAGACTTCCCAGACAGCCCAGCACCTGGCGTAGAACACCGGGGTCGATGTTGATGCGGACCAGCTCCAACACTTCTAGCCTAGCCCACACAGTCCCGGATGCTAGGTCCTGTAAGCTGCGCTCCGAGCCCGCCGTGTAGGTCATCTTGCGCAGCTCAAGGGAGCGCGCCTGCACTTCGAGGCGCAAAGTGACATATGATGGCTCGTCAGCGAAGAGGCCTTCGGGCAGGTCGACGTAGCGGAGATCGGGCGTCACCGCTATGGTGCGAGCCAGATCAGGCTGACATGACTCGCGCAGCATGTAGGGCATCTTGAGGAACTGAACGAGACGGCCCAGGCGCACGGGATCCTCGCGCAGTGTGCGGGACAACAACTTCAGGCGGGCTAGCGCCGTGTCCTCGGGCTCTCCATTGCGGTCGAAGTGGGAGCGGCGCTTGCGCCGTTCCGCCAGCTGGGCTTCTCGCTCACAGTAGTGGACTGTATCGATGCGTATGCTGTGGTATCTGCGGAGGCGAGGCGAGGCGAACTGGTCAGCGGCCTGAAATGAATCCATCCTGGAGTCAACTTGTCTTACAGCAGTTTTATGGCTTCCTTCCTCCACTTCTTGGAGACGGCGACGCAATGCGCCAGATCGCGCAAGCCGCACAACATACAGGCATCTTCGATAGCGCTCTCCTCGCACGTGTCGTAGCTCTCGTCGCGGCTGTGGGGACAGACGAAGGCAAAGATGCGCTCGAGGACAAGGGGCGGCAGGCTTGCGAGTGAGCACGCAGAGGCTGCGGTGGGCATAGATGAGGGATTGTGAAGGGTATTGCCCCAGCCGGCATTGTTGCTCGGACCCAGCGGAGGACTTCCGAATGGCCGGTAGCTGCCGGGCCGAGAGTCGCCGCCGAAGCCGCCGCCATTCCCGGCGCTAGGACCGAAGCCAAAGCCAAGGCTCGGCTTGCTGCTGTGGCCTCCGTCCTTCCGCTTGTCCTTCTTCCTGAAGAATTTCATATCGAGGGTGCGCAGAGAAACGCTGCGCACATAGCAGGCAGGGGGTACGGTTGCCGATAGGGCTGGCACGAGGTTGGAAGAGAAGAAAAAGGAGGATGGGTTCTCCGTCTTGGGAATGCTGGCTGCTTTGTATGTATCTCTCCTATCTCGTACAGTAGTGGTCTAGCTGTGCCGCCAGTACGGTTCTGCCCACCTAATACGGTAGGTACTTAGGTGTTATTGTCTTGCCAGGCCAGGCACATCTGGGACCTGTCCTGTCGGCAGCGGGAGGGGCGACCTATGGCGGGGGGTGTGCACTGGTGTGTGCCCCTCTTTGGATGCAGTCAGCTGCAGTGTGCCCAGGACCCAGCTCCCACAAGCGTTGAATGCTCTCTACAAGGCTCGAGGTTGGAGAGTGATAGGTTGTTGGCGCTTCCCAATTGTCTCAGCGCTGTTCGGCCAGTAATCGCCAATCTTCCGCAATGTCCAACATGAACGAAGATCGAGGTCAAGTGAGAAGAAATTGGAAACGCCAAGCTTCAGAGCCAGTGCTGTAAGTGACGGCCAACCACGTCTATTATAAGCGTAGGCTGAAGCTCAGCTTGTTTGCTTTTAAAATTGCAAGACTGCGGCAGTGGGAGGACAAATGAAACCTGGAGACCATCAAGAACCGTAACGAACAGCTTATAAGCTCGAGAACGGGCAGTTACCACCCCGCCTCGACGGGCCTGGAACAGGGATGAATGGAAGGCAAGGTAGGCACGAAGGGCAGCTCCCCAGGCGGGGTTGTCAGGCATTCGAACTCTTTATTCCGGAATACTCCGTCCATACTGCTTCCCCTACAAATCATCCACAGGTAAGTAACTACCTTAGGTACAGTTATCTACGAACGGTTAACTTGAGCTACTGTGTATGCTCTCATTCATGTTTCTCGAGTCGATTTCTCTCCACCAAGGAACATGCAGTGTCTCCGACGCCCCGTGCTGCTGCCCAAGCACTAGAGATCCTCAAGTTCATCGCTTGCCCAAGACATTGATTGGCCAGCAGCTGCTGGTTGCCGAAGCGGGGAGCTGCATGCGGGGTGATAGCCCAAGACCTCGAGCTCGAGGCCGGACAATAGAAGCTCACCCGACCAGACATTAGTTGGAGCTGGTGGGAGCCTTGGCACCACGCCAGCGAGACTCTTTACAAGCAAGCGCGAGTGAGTTTGTGATGTCTGACTTCAGTGGGCGTTACTGATTCTCTCGGGACGCCACCAGGTTAATTAGTTTAGTTCCGTGGTCTGGAAATTCCGACTATTCAAGAGCCTGCTATTTTTCTCTTTTAGCTCCGTCAAGACATGACGTTGTTATACAGTAGAAACATATCTCCAGCTAAACACAAGCAAAGAAATAGAATGTATGACCGTCCTATGCCCATGAATTATGCGAATATCAATCTAATGCTCAGGTACCATGCAAGGTGTCTGCGGTGCAATGTACATCGTGCAGTTAAAAATACATACAACTCGGTCTGCCCACTCCAATCTTTCATTACCACTCCTGCCAACGCGCACTTCGACCCCTTCGTCATGCACCTCCTCTGCCCCTTTTTCCCCGTGTCCGAACTGCGCAACTCACCAGTAACCAAGGTGGTCTTGTCTTGCAAACCGTACATCGCCATTTTAACCGCTGATGACGAATAGAGGATGCGCGTGTTTAATAATCATGGGGCGATAGAGCCAGACCATCTCTATCCAGAAGTCCGCTCAACGATGCGAGTAATGGGGTATGGTTTCCAGGAATTGAAGCCATAGTCCCAGCATAAAAAGTTACTATCGGGATATTAGTTGCCGTTGAGCTGAACTCCATCTAGAGGGCTCGTTGGGCCGGGGCGCTTCGTCCTCAGGGTCAAAGGGAACGGGTACTCGTCAGGGTCCTCTTCCTCACTAAAGCAGCATATCTTGTCAGTATTCGCCGTCCACATCATCTGGAGCGAGGTACGGAAACATTCCCAACTTACGGGAGCTTCCAGGCAACATAGTCCTCGGTGCTGAGACCTTCACGGCCCTCCTGAAGGCTTGCAAAGTCACCAGGAGTCATCATGCCTGTCCGGTCGCGAGGAGATCCAGGGACCGAGAAGGGACGGGAAATCTTCTGCTCCACGCCCGGGATGAAGTCCTCCTCGTCGTCGCCGCTAAAGGATGTCGGGTATGCCCGGCGCAGGGCAAGCTGGCGTGCCTTGACATACTCCATGCCCATCCGCTTCCAGTCAAGCAGATCGCTCAAGCGCTCAGTTCTGTTTCGCTGGTTAATCCGCTGCCTGCGGCTCTTCTGCGTGAAATCAAACATGTGAGATGTGAGCTGGTTGATCGAGTCATCTACGCCCTTGGAACGACGGTCCACAATGTAGATTCCGTAGTCGCTGGAATTCTCAATCAGCTCTTCCATGTAGCAGCCAAAGCCAGAGAGGTTAGTTGTAATGCTCGGCACACCCATCACGGTGCACTCGGCAGGCGTGTAGCCCCAAGGCTCGTAGTACGACGCGAAGACACCCAGGTGGGTGCCTCGCACGAAGTCGTCATAGTCGAGGGGAAGCACCGGGTTGGCCGAGTTGAGGAACTCGGGGTGGAAGACAATCTTGACTCGGTCTGATGGATGGTTGAACAGCTGGACCCGGCGGATCTGGTTGAGGATGGGATCTTCATGATCATTAACCATGTTGTGTGTGACGATGGGCGGGAGTCCATGTCTCTTCATGGCAAAGAGACGCCGGCGAAGGAGGACACGGTCCTGGCTGGTGATCAGCTCTTTCTCATCCGGTAGCGGGTCCCCGTCGTGCCACTTCAGAGACCGCTCAAATATGCGCCGGCCAATGCCACTCTCAATGACATCTACCGTGTCCCTGAGTGACTTAATCACGGCCTGGCCCTTTAGTGCCTCCACAGTTAGAGAGGACGTCTGTGCAGGCATAATGATGAAAGCGACAACTGTGATTTTGCTTCCAGCCGCCTTTAGTCGGTGGTTAAGCCGGGCTAACGACTCGATAAACATGTCGACGCCTTTATTTCTGAACTCATAGCGGCCCGCAGTGAAGAAGTAGAGTGTGTTCTCGGGCTCAAAATCGTAGTGGCCGTAGAAGTGACCACGTACAAAGTCGTGGATCTTCTCCTTGGACTGTTGATGCAGGTTTTGGAACTCGTGCATAGCCGAAAACTTGGTCACGTTGAGTCCGTTGGGCAGGACGCCGTCGGGCTTGCGCTTCAGGAGATGCTCGCTTTCGTAGGCCGTGATGTGGGAAACGGTGGTGAATACATCGCAGGAATGGGCAGCAGCTCGCTCGATGCAATACCGGTGGTAAATACCGCGCTTGCCAGCTTCTGCGTCAACATCGAACCACTGGAGGTTGTTGTAGAAATCCACCGAGCCGGCGCAAAGGTAGCGTCCTAGCAGCGTGGCATGGGTGGTGAAGATGGTTGTGACATCAATGCGCCGCTTCTTGCACAATGGCAGCGCAACGCCCGCGAGCCATTCGTGAAAGTGCGCAATAACGGCCTTTTTCTTCTCGTGGCATACGAACTGCGGCAGTGTAAGTCAAATGCTCCCAGATCTCTCCAATTGTAGTACTGACCTCGCCGAGGAACCACGCAACCAGGTATCCGAAAACAATGGCTTCATTTGTTTCTTCATCGTTGTCAGGCGACGGGACTGCCGCGACATTCCATAGGTCCGTCTTCCACTCGTTTAGGTAGTTATACGCCGTCTTTGTGTCGAAAAGGAGAACTCGGGGAGCGCCCTCGATTAACCACCGTCCATATAGAATGCCAATGCCGCGATCTCTCATGGCCTGGATGGACTCGGCCAGTCCAGGAATGGTGGGCTCCAAGGCCTCGACCTCGACAGCCGCCTGGGATCGGTTAGCCACTGGACAGCGCAAAAGAAGAGGGGGAACAAAGAAGCTTACGGATTGGTGATTGAGAGGTCCAATGAGGGTGTAGCGCTCACCATACTCTGCGGTGGTGACTGGGGCCTTGGATTTGAGGACGGAATAGATTCCACCGACTGCGCGCGCGCACTGTCAGTTGGGGCCCGGTTGGGACACAGACACTAGGCGCACATACCTCGATGGGCGACTTCTGTCGCAATTTCAAAAAGAAGGTGGTTCTTGACCTCGCGCGGCTCGCGATCTGCATCGTCGCTTGCCATTGTGAAGCGCGTCTGGGTTGTTTGCTTGAAACAAGTGTTGGTTGCTGGGACGTGTCAGCAAGGAATGCGATTGCGGAGGCCAAAGTGCCAACGTCGGGTGGTTGACGCCGTCCGTTAAAGAGCAACGAGGCTGGCTGCTCAATCGAAGGCATGCGAAAAGGACAGACACAAGTAAAATTTCACATACCGTTTGCTGGAAATGACGAGGAAACTCAATGCTGCCGGGAATGGCCAGGGACCGGAGATCAAGGATTTGGCGCGCAGTAGTAGTAGACAAAGACGGCCGCCGGATGGAAAGTCAAGGAAGAGGTGGATTTGGGATCCGAGGGCTGCGTCTGCGTCGCAGAAATTAAGCTGCGGCTGCGGCAAAGCACGGCAGCAAGAATAATGAAAGAAAAGAAGAAAAAAAAAGGATCCCGATGAGTTTGTGAGAGGAGGAAGGGGGAGGCGTTTGCGGCAGATGAGGTGGGTTGGTGGGAAGTGAGATGGATGTTGGTGGTGGTTGGACAAATTAGCTGAGGTAGTGACGCTAGGTTGAGATGGGAAGCTTCCATGGGTTTAAAGCACGGCAGACGCAGACCCTGGCTGCGATGACCGGGGGAGCTCCTTCAGGCCATCCAGCTGCAGCAATGCAGCAGTGCAGCCACCTGTGCGCACCCTCCCTCCCGATGGATGTAATCCAATCCATCCACCCACCACCGTTCACCAAACTTAAACTAAGGCAAGGCACTTCACCTGGGCGCTCTGATGAGCCCAAGTCTGGGTCTGGGTTTGGCAAGCGGATACGGCACCGGCACGGTTTTAACCTGGAACTCGCCGATATCGACGGATTCAAGCTCGGCAAGGAAATGGTGCTAACCTAGGCCTAGTAGCATTGTCGACACTCGCCGCTAGGGACTGGACGTTGGGTTAGGTTGCCAACCACCCGCGTAAATCTCGATCCCGACTTCGCCTCCCTTCCATCCCTAGCCCCTCGCTCCCAACAAAAGCAATTGCTCTCGGCCGAGCACCGTATCATCCCGGTGACGGCTATTTCTAGCTCGCCTGTTGCGTCGCTTGCTCTATATGCCGAAAATTTTTGCCATGTCGTATATAATTTGCCTCCGTCTGGCGCAGCGTCCCACATGTCTGCCCAAGACATTCTAGCCGTAACCGCTCACGCTTTCTTTTTTTTGTTCCCGCGCGAGAGAACCATCGCTTCTCTGCGTCATGCGCCCGAAAGGCGTTAGCAGATCGCCATGTGGGGACCCGCCAGATCTTCGTCTGCTGACTAACAATGACGACACTTCTGCGGGGTCTCCAGCTTCTGTCCTGAAGGCGTTGGTACTCAGCCAATCAGCCTCTCGGTGAAACCATCGGCTTAGACTGCGGAATACGTGTGGATGGCGTTGACGCACATAGCAAGAGCTAATGCACTGAGTATTTACATCCTGCCTTCCTTCCGGGTGCCACTCTCAAGTCGCTTGTCTCCACAGGAGGAAAATCACGCTGCATAATCCAGAAACCAGATAGGAAGTTGCATCATGATACCAGTTCTGGTAGAGTGAGAAGCACAAAACATAACAGGGTTGGTTAGGTTCGAGACCTGGTCAAGAACTGGGACCGGGTTCTCGGCGAGACTTTCAGAAACTGTGCAGAATGTCTGGACTACGTTTCGATTCCCATAAATTCCCCGTTAAACCCACTTGAGAAAGTAGGAAACAAACAACGGTGGGGACATTACGGGCAGTCATAGGGAAGGACTCAAGCAGACAAGTGAAGACCGAGTCCCGCGCCAATAGCCTATAAGCTGAAGCAATTCGGCCACTTTGTCCAACTCCGAGCCCTTGATCAACTTTCTTTGTGATTGAGTCAGGTGGTCGAGCAGAACAAAGCCTCGGGCCGGAAGAAACAAGTCACAATAACTACGAGTCACCAAGACAAAGATTGGATGAAGAGCCCGAAGAATTCCGTCCCGCCTCTGACACCATTAGAACGAGTAGGTTACCGGACGATATACCTTGGGTATCAAGCAATAGTCCGCAGCAAACCATTCCGATTCAACACGAGGGCACTGGCAACAGGTTAGTTGTCTAGTCTCTCTCATAATGTTTGCCAATCCAAGTCACCAATCTAGTACGTGGTAACAAAACAAAAGTGACTTGAGGAAAAGTTGGAAAATCTAGGATGCGGTATCAACCGATTGTCATCGAGAGCCCTGTTGCTCAACACATGAGATGGCTACTAAGTAAACTCGGCTGTGTTGGACTGGCCAGTATTATACAGCTCACTAAGGTGCTTTACTTACAGATAATAATCGCATTGTCCGTTATGCATTGTTCAAGCACAAAGAACAACATGAGAGGGGTCCTAGAATAGGATAGAGACAACAACGTCTACATTCAAGGTGAAGCACACGATAAACAAAGACACTTATTTGGTATAAAACGCTGGTGCCCCTAGGAGACGCGGCTCGAACCTATCATCTGCAATAGCATAAACATAGAACCACAGTCAGACGCCAGTCGAATCCAACACGTGTAAGAGCACGCTCTACATAACATCACCTCCTATTCATATTCAATTCTACATAGGCATCCCATAACCACCAGACAGATAACCTGCTGACGATTCAAAATGGGCAACGTGGGGAAAGGGCGGGGTGGTAACAAAGGCAGCGGCCGAGGCGGTAATTACCAGGGCGGCGGCGGCGGCCGTGGTGGTTACCCGAACAACAACAACAACAACAACAATAATAATAATAATAACAACAATAACAACAGCGGGAACCGGTCTCGTGGCAACATTCACCTAGAGGGCCTGATCGACGAACAACGGCCCGCGTCAGCCGACTTACACAAGCTCCTGCTAGAGCGCGCCGTTCGACAAGTCGAGCTGTACAAGGCATATGTCGTGGCGTGGAGGGAAAGAGCGCGCAACGGGGTTCTGCCGAACAACCCCGAGGCCAGCGTCTGGGGGATAGTGGACCAGCTGGCGCGGGTGCCCGAGAACTTCTGCGTCTTCATCCACGAGGCCCAAATCTCCCCCTCCGACTTGGACGGGGACGGCGACGCGCTGATGGCGGACTCGGGCGTCCCCGGGGTGGACAAGCACATTTGCAAGTGCATGGCCTACGACTGGAGCATCCCTGACTGCTTCCTCGTCTCCTTCTTCTACATGCTCGCGACCTCGGCCCTGCGGAGCGGCAGGCTCAAGCTCACAAAGGAGCTTGCTCTCGAGATGGCATAAGTGCAGCGGCGGCTAATTGCCTCCTCTCATGCCTATCTCGCGTCTCTTCTGTTACAGGATTTAAAACGGTAAAAAAAAGGTAGGTTCGGCGCACCGGGGGTCATTATTTACTATGGGTACTTTTTCTAAATACAAGGCAAGGTAAGTTCTAGGGATTAGAATTAAGCGTTTTTTCAAGCGATATAAAGATCAATATTGAACAAAGAGAAAAAAGGTCACGTAACGCACAACGTGTAGTAGGTAAGGTAGTAGTGTGCCGTGTATTCACTGTGAGATTGCTTTCACGATAAGGTAAATCTCGTTTGGGAAATAACTCGCCTAGGCGTTGAATAATTCGGTCCTTTCCGTTTGTCTTTTTTTCTTTTCTTTTTCGGTTACTTCTCTTTTGCTAAAACGGAAAAGGAAGGAAGCAGTGAAGCACTTTACAACCCGAAGAAGTTGCCGCTAACGTTACATTGAAGTGTTTACATAAGCGGTGTACTTGCCGCTTAAATTTCGGCTCTTCTCTTTCGGCTCTTCTGGGCTGAATTTGTCGGCTGCCACACACCTTTTGTTGGGCTGTCTCCTTTCTGGCTCCCGTCATCACCAGAAAGCGCCCTGCTTCCAGCGCTTCCTAGTGCTGCGTTGCTTCCCCTTCTCGCAGCCTTGACAGCATCGCCAACCCCCCCGATAATCCGACTCCCAACTGCCCTTTTACAACCGGGATAGAGATGGCTTCCGACGCGATCGATGATTGAAACAACATGGTTCGGCCGGGTGCGGGGCACCTCGGGCTAAGCGAGCCGTCGAGATAGTTCTTCACGCACCAAAAGCCAAAATACACCATATCGCAGCAAGGGCGATATCGCCATCTCCACGCTCGCATACTTCTCTACTCGCCTATGATGATTTCCTGGCTTCTTGATTAGCTCTGGAAGGTAGAACAGCGCGCACGAGATGCGCTCTTGCCCGCCATTTTTGTCACACTGCCAGTCGACAACGAAGGATGCTGGCGACCGCCAGCATGCTCTCGCATACGCCGGTCAAAATGCGCTGCACACAGATTGCCGATGATGATCGACCGTGTTTTACAGTGTTGGACTTGTCAGAGAGGGAAAATTGTTCGTTATTGGATTGGTGTTGGCAAAGACTTCTGGCCGAGGCTGAAATCCCCTCGCGGGCTCGAGGCGTTCCTGCATACCCAGAAACAGCAGGCCGATGAAGAGAGGCTCAGCAAACAGATCGCCTAGAGAGCCAAGCAGTTTGATGATGGACTGGACTCGCGTTCATGAGGAGATGGAACCTGGTTCTGGCTTCGACTCGCCCCCGTTGTCTGCACGTCATCATGGGACAAACTGCTTAACTCGGCCAAACTGTCACCATTGCATGCCCCCCCACCAGCCAAGAAGATGGCCGATGGCGGTTGGGTGGGTGGATATTCGCACCCGCAATCTGTTCCTTGAATGACCCCCGAGTCCTACTCCGGCAGTGGCGCCGTGGGTGACTCGCTCGCAGAGCCGAGCCGGTCCCCGTTTTGTCTGGTTTACCTACCCCCATGGCATTGGACTTCACGAAGATGGCTGGGCGGCAAAAGCAAGCCGGCAAACTCAGCCGATGGGAATCGGTCTCCGCCTTTGAGACGCATAGACACCGCCGGTGGAAGGTAAGACTGACTGCACGAGGAGTGCACCGTAAAGCGTATCTTGCCTTATATAGTGTCTTGGATGGATGATCAAGTCTGTTGCAGCGGCTTGGAGCTTTCGCTTTGGCCTGCCGACGCAGACTAGGGCGCCGAGATGCTGAAGCAGGCTTGGGAAGAAGGCTCGGTGCGAGCAGCGAGCAGGTCTGGTTCTTTGTGGCGCCCGCAATGGGAGATGGTCCAAGGCGAGAAAGCAAGTGCCAGAGCCCATGACGGACCTTTTGGAGTGGTTTACCTACCCAGGGTTGCCCGCACGCACTGGTCCGCACGCTGCGGTGCCTGCTGGACCTCTCTTATCTGATTGATGCTGGGGTGGATGGGCCATCACCAAAACCAAACGGGTGCCGTTCGCATTTCGCCAAAGGCATTCTCGGCGGCGCAAGAGCCGCCCCGCGCACGCTGTCACAACACCTACCGCTCCTAAACCGGCATTTAGGACTTTGTTCATCGTTCACCTAGGTGTCCGATTCTACGACCAAAAACCTCGCCTGCATTTACGGACTTTTGCCAGCCTGTTTTATTTTACAAGGCGCGCAGTGCACCCACACCCCGCCCATCTACAACAAGCACAGACCGTGCACGCAAGTTCTACGTCCAGTCGACTCCCGTCAGTCACCCGACAGGCACCGCATCTAGAGACCTGAAATCCCGTTTCTGGAATCGCGCATCGACAACCTACACAATCTCGAAAAAAAAAGGCAACTTAACTTAAAGGAACAACAAGCCTTTTACGCGACCTTTCTACTTTTGCTTCTCCTCAGGTTTGCAAGTAAAAGGCATTCACCTCTTTGTCGGACATCAGCTTTACCTTTGCCACATTTGCGCCATTGTCACGGTACTTCAGGGTCAAGTTCCAGGTTTTGGAGCGCCACGCAGCTTAGGAAGCACCTCGCTGGAGCCTTGCCCCAGCCCTGGAGACCCTGCTGAAGGCTTGGAGCTCTGATGTGCATCCAGCACTCGCTTAGGCTGAGTCCAACAGTGGGCCCGCAGCGCTGAAGAGCAGAACAGGCCGCGTCTAGCGGCTGAGGCGTGGTGGCCGGGCATCCCTGTCTCTCGGCTAAGTTGCCGCTTGGGCCAACTAAAACTCAAAGGTCAAGGCCGAATATTGGCCGCCATGGAGACCTCAGCAGGGCACTGTCGGCGTCGAGGTAAAGCTGCAAAGCCAAATGGCAGGCGCAATCTTCGAGATTTCCAGCAGCGCAGCCATCTGGACGGAAATGATCTCGGCATGACTACTTCACGACGCTCCATCTCGCCTGCTACTGCTGCCTTGCCGAACCGGTCTTTTGATCCTGCTGCTGCTCGAGCCAAGCACCCGCATCCGCAGACCCAGTCCCAGTCGCAGTCGCAGTCGCAGTCGCAGTCGCAGACGCAGACACAGAAACAGACGCAGACGCATCCGCCACACGACCCCAACAAACCTCCTCGTCGTCGCTCGCCCGGCCCACCATCGCGCCCTGGTCCCCAACATCGTCACCCCTCACGACACCGCTCTCCGCCTCGCCCCATTCGTCCAGAACGTCGAGGCCATCGCTCTCCACGCGACCCTCGAGACTCTTCGCGCGATCCCGCTCGCGGCCGTGGCCCTGCTCGCTCCCCAGACCGGCGCCCTCCGGGCCCTGGCCCCGGTCCTGGCTCGCTGAGGCCCCGAGGAGGGGACGACCGTCACCGACAGAGCCCAAGCCGCAGGCCGCATCGCCCTGCATCGCCGCCCCCGCTGTCGGCTTCCCGTACACGCAGCCCAGGCCCGCCACCGCACCCAGCGTCGCAGTCGGCCAAGTCTCCTCGGAGCCGCAGCTCCAAAAGGCCAGACAGGGGCTCCGCAAAATCTCTGCACCCTCCTCGGCCTTACCGCAATCCCTCTCCAGGCCCCCGCCGATCTCGTTCCCCTGGGAATCGCGACCGGCATTTTAAGGATAGGAGACCGTCCGGCCGTTCCAAGTCCCCCCCTCCCCCTCCTCCACCCCCACTCCGTCGGCGTAGATCGCGATCCCCTGGCGACGGCACCGCGTTTCCCGAAGACCTGAGAGGACCCCGACGACGAGGCCGCTCTCCTCTACCAGGATCACGTCGTGGGCCGAGATCACGTCCTCTCAGCCCGTCTGCCGCGTGGGGAAGCCGGCCGCTCACGTCGTCCGACGCTGGGTCGCACCACAGACCGAGCCCAGACCCTAGTGCACGTGCACCCTACGGCCCACCTCGCTCTCCACGAGACCGGCGGCGCTCAAAGGGTAGCAAAAAGGGGCGAAATCGCGACGACCAACGGCCCGCAAAGTTTGATCCCGCCTCTGGGGCTAACAGTATCGAGGTAAATATGGCAGCCAGGGGTGGCTTCCGTGGAGGCTTTTCCCAATCGCAGCCTGGTTATCCAAGCAAGGGGCAGTACAACCAGTCCTATTCTCAGTCTTCTGGGCATGCAACGCCCAACTCTTCATACCAAGGCTCCCCCACTGCCCAATCACCATACGGTGGAAGTGGGCGGGGTTGGAGTGGCCAGCAGCAATTCTCTCCGCAGAGGTTAGTTTCAGTGCGTTTCCCTTGCCCGTATTCGTTGATTCTCACCACCGTAGTCAACACCCTGGCCCATCGTACCCACACAACAGCTATGGGCCTCCCAGTGGCCCTCAAAGTCACTACCACTCGAATTCCCCCCCATATCCACCAAACGGGCCCTCGTCTCAATACCCATCCGGGCCTTACCGTGGAGGACACAGGGGCGGATCCGGCGGGTTCCGGGGCGGTCAGTTTAATTCCAATCGTGGAGGGCACCGAAGCACCTTCAAGAACACGCAATGGAATGCAAACGCGCCGAACAGCAGTAGCCGGGGCCGTGGACAGAGCGACGAGCCTGATCCCCCGCATCCCAGCGCACACTCGTCACCAAATAACCAGAAAGATGCTGGCCCGGAGTCTGAGGATGTCTCCTTAGAAGACAGCGAAAATCCCTTCCGTCCGTCTAAGGACTTGCAGGTCGAAGACACCAGCAGAGATGAGCAGAACAAGGAGGAGCAGATGCCCCCTCCCAACCGGCCACCGCCAACAGGGCCGCAGTCACAGTCGCAGACAACCAACAAGTTCAGCTTTAGCATGAAGAATGCCGTGAAGCCTGCCGTGCCGCCGCCAAGGCCCGAGATATCATCCAAGTTCAACGCTGCTCCGCCTCCACGCGAAAGCCCTCAGAAGCCTGCACCTAAAGCCACGCCGCCGAAGTCCGATAGGGATAAAGGAGGGTTCCCTAAGAATGTCCCCACCGAACCAGCGTCGGCGCGCGCGCGTCCCGGCGACCGGAGGCACCCAGAGCCGAGTAGACAGCAGGAGCCGAGCAGACAGCACGAGCCGCCCCCGCCGCCTCCGCCTCGAACCCGGAAAGTAACCAAAACTTTGAAGCGGTTGAAGGAGAAACCCGTGCTCCCTCCGGACTTGGCAAAATCTAAGTCTGTTTACTACAGAAAGCCGGGCAATGAATCGGTTGTTGGTTCAGGCACGTATGGCAAAGTCTTCAAGGGCCTGAACGTTTACACCAAGAAACTAGTGGCCCTGAAGCGAATACGTATGGAGGGGGAGAGGGACGGGTTCCCAGTGACTGCAGTGCGAGAGATAAAACTACTCCGTTCCCTAAGCCACAAGAACATCGTCAAGCTACAGGAGGTCATGGTCGAGACAAACGAGTGCTTCATGGTGTTCGAGTACTTGTCGCACGACTTGACTGGCCTTCTCAACCATCCCAACTTCACACTGGAGCCAGCACAGAAGAAGGACTTAGCCCAGCAGCTATTTGAGGGGCTCGACTATCTCCACACCAGAGGCGTCCTACATCGTGATATCAAAGCTGCCAATATATTGGTCAGCAATGAAGGTATACTCAAGCTTGCCGACTTTGGGCTGGCTCGGTTTTACGCCAAGCACCACCAGCTTGACTACACCAACCGCGTCATCACCATCTGGTACAGGTCGCCAGAGCTTCTACTTGGAGACACCCAGTATGGGCCGGCAGTTGATATCTGGAGCGCCGCCTGTGTTCTGGTCGAGATATTCACGAAGCGGGCTATTTTCCCAGGAGACGGGAGTGAGATCAGCCAACTGGAGAAGATACATGCCGTCCTCGGAACCCCCAATAGGACGGACTGGCCAAACCTCATCGAGATGCCCTGGTTTGAGCTCCTCCGACCCAACTATAGGAGGCCGAACCTATTCGAGGAGAAGTACAAAGACCAATTAACACCTGCAGCCTTTGAGTTGCTTGCCTCTATGTTTCAATACGACCCCGACAAGCGTCCCACCGCCACCGAAGTCTTGCAGCATGCCTACTTTACAACCGAGGAGCCAGCTCCTAAACAAGCGATTGAGTAAGTTACCATCGTATATGCGAGGCTTGAGCTTGAAGCTAATCTCCGTGATAACCAGACTCAAAGACATCGACGGCGAATGGCACGAGTTTGAGTCCAAGGCCCTTCGGCGCGAGAATGAGAAGAAAGAGAAGGAAGCCCGACGCGCTGCTCAAAAAGAGGGCCCGTCGAGCAGTAGTCGCGAGAAGGACCGCAAGCGACCAAACGAATCAGCCGATGTGCAGCGGGAAGCTAAGCGTCTGCATGTGGACGCAGATTCCAAGACACTCAAGGCTGGCCAGGATCTAGAACTCGATCCCGTATCTGGCAAGCTCGAGTCTGCAAAGCCCAAGAGCCGTGAGACTCAACAGCAGCCGTCTCAGGTGTCCCGGGCCACCACTAGTTCTAGAAGGCCACTTACCTCGGCAGTCCATGTTCCGTCAGGCTCCGCTGCCACGACCTCTGACACTCGAGCTTTTGTAAAAAACTAAGGCCAGAGTAATTGTTGTAGGCTAGCAGTAATACTTAGTAATAGAGTCGGCCTCTTTAGAGAGAATGGAAGGTGCATGAAGTGGAACGGTGTTCGGAGGCTGGGGTGATGGAGGTGGAAAAAGGGCAGGAGTATAAAAGGGGGAGAGAGCACTAGGGCTCCTCTGGGATAATATACAGGAGCCGAAACTACTGTATGACTAAAGCGCTTTATTTGAAGAAAAAAATATTCACGAAAGCGCCACTGAGGCTCGTCTTTTGGTCGGGGCGTGGACCATCAGCGTGTATTTATATGTCATGTATCTAAAATGATGTACGTGCAGCGGTTAGTAAAGCCAATGGTAACCTCAAGTTTGTTGCCGCTTTTACTCTGCACAGCCTGTGTGCGTGCGCTATGTGCTGTTGTCTTTGAAGGGCATACGGTCCGCCGCTCGTGCCTTGTGTCTGGTTGTTTAAGCAGCGTGATGGAATTTACTAGCAAAAGGCAGGTAACCAAGTTCAAGAGAAGAACGACAAAGCAAAGCACTACCTGCTCCATGACTTCCTTTATTTATATTAGGCCCCCCCTTGGAGAAGAAAAAAACCACCCGTCAACCTAGTCCCTATATATCGTATATCATGTTCTCATATACCGTCTCCCCATTTCCATCGCATGCCTAGATACCTACTTTACTAGTGCCCCAAAAACCCCTCTCCATGGAATATTGACCCCGGAAATGTGTCCCAAACATCCTGTATATATTTCCGTCCTTTTCAATTTTTTGGGGGCAACTTTCAAGGGGGCGAAACAGACAAGGAAAAAAAGACGAAAACAACAGCCCGCCAGGGGAGAGTAGAAATAAACAATGAATAGGTCACAGCATTCGGAAACGACAAATTAATTTTTGTTACGCCCCAAACCGGAATTCGTCTTCAGAGCCCCTAGTGTTCAACCGCCTTTCCCTTATCAGAAGCGATATCCACTGACTTGAGCAGCTGGCGCAAACTCCCTTCGGCGTGGCTCGGCGAGACTCTGGCATACTGGTAGGGCGGCCCGCCGCTGGCCTCGTTCCTCTGCTGTGTCCTCCAGGGAATCCATGTACCCCAGCCAAGTAGTGAGCCGGTCGATGACCGCGCATCTTCCTGGTGGGGGAGGTCGTCGGCGAAGTGGACTTCAAGCCGATCGGGATCCACTATACGAGGCGAGGCGGGCTGGCCAGACTGGGGGACTCCATTACTGCCAAAGCCAGGATCTGAAGGAGCCGTCCGGACCCCTAGATGGCTGTTGGATGTCTGTGGTAGAGCCGGCTCGCTGACGAGCGCGGAGGCGGGACTTCGCGTCGACGTCGTATCGCGATGCCCGGCACTCCGGCCGCTGTCCATAATTGCTGTAGCAAACGAGGCCGACTTTTTCCGGGCTAGCTTGCTTCTGTGTCCCTGCTGACCGTCGTGGCTGCCTTCCGTAGGTGTGCCGTGACTCCCTGCCTCGGCATTAGCAGTCGACCGTGACCCGGAATTCGATTCTGTCGAGTGGTCCCATGCTTTCCTCGCAGCCCTCCCGCGAACTTCTCCCGCAATTTCGGCGGCAGATTTCTTCTTTGTCTTGTCCTCCTCCGAAGAGCGGCTTGATGACATTATCGTCTCCAATGTTCCGTATGCGACGCTCCTCCGCCGGGCACCGCTTCTCCGTTTCCGGTGCGAGCGGCTGGCGCTGTCGTCGTCATCGGAACCGATGGCCTGCAACGTGGGGCCACCGCCACTATGGCTGCGGCTGTGACCCTTCCTCCTTATTCCGGTCGACCCCAAACCTGCCGAGAACGATGTGCCCGAGCCGTGCGGCGCGACATGTACCTCGTACTGGTTACTCAGCGAGTATCGTGAACGCGCACAGATTTCCGCTATGCGGTCCAAGTCTGCTCCAATATCGTTTTCCCCCCCCTGCTCCTGCATGTCGGCCATGAAACTCTTGAACGAGAAGGCCTCGAGAGGGGGGAGTTTTGGTTCGTCGGGCTCCGGTGCTGATTGCCATTGCCATGACAAAGGTAACGGCAATGGCAGGTGTAGGGGTAGGGGCAGCTTATTGCTGGGTTTCTTGGCCTTGTGGCGCGGCATGCTTAATCTAGAGGCACTGCTTCCATTTTTCCCTGTGTTGTTCCCGTTGTTGCTACTGCTTCCACTCCGAACGCCGCTGAGCGCTGGCTGGATGGGTTTGCTGGCCAAGGTAGCGCCTGATCTTGACGTCGACAACGTCAAGGGCACGCGCCTAGATAGGCCACGGCTGCTGCTAGAGGGCCGGTGGCGGGCAGGAGTGACACTGCCGTGTGAGGCCTGGGAGGGCGAGGGCCCGCTGTAAGTGCGTACAAGCACGGGCTGCGAATAGGTGCTGCTCTGGGCCCCGGTGCTCTTGGCGTAGCGGTGGCGGCGGACGGCGGACGGGTACGTGCTGTTCAGCTTCTGCAAGGCCGATGTCCGGTGGGCGGCTGTGGTGTCGTCGAGGGGGATCGGCCTACCTTCGGCGGTCGACGAGGCGAGGGAGGTCGACGATGTGTTGGGCTGAAAGAAGAGCGGGGGAAACGAGACCGGAAGAGATCCACGCCTTGACTTAGACAGACTTTCAGGGGCGGGCGCCGTCTTAGGGAGAGATGGGGATTTGGAGGATGACGATGATGGGGGATGAGATGGGCGGTGGAGGAGGAGTAGAGGGAGACGTGTAGCTGCAGATGTGGGATCTGAGGACTGAAACGAGTCGTGCCGGTTTTCAGGGCGGGGAGGGCGTGCCGTCTGCCCTGCACTAGCAGCGTCTGGCGACAGTGATGGCGGTAGTGGTGTTGCTGCATCATCGTGGACGCCCACCCGGCGGTCGACCTGCGGGCTGCCGAATATATACATGCCCGGCATCCACAAAATAGACAAGAGTTTCGAGGGCAAGTGCGTGGCGTAGGCGTGGGCGTAGGCGCAGGCGATGCGGGATTAGACGAGAGGCGGGTAAGGGTCGCACACCATGCAGGTGCGTCGACGACGTGGTAGCAGCTCGGGCGAGACGACGGCGTAGGCAGCGAGCGAACGGGCCAGGAGAGTCGAGTCACCGACGGCACGACATGGCCGTCACTGCGTGTCTCAATGCCGAGCGCACGCTCTCCCCACTACCAGCCGGCGACGTGGGCGATCCGTTATGGCCAGCGGCGTTTGGGGGCCTGTCTGTCTGTCCCTCTGGCTCCCGCTGGCGTGCGTTGCAGCGATCTGGAACCTTTGGAACCTCTGAACCTTGGAACTGGCCGTTGGAGGAGGTGGAGTAAGTAGGAGCAGGTAATGGAAGGTGCAGTGGTGAGGTGTCGTGCGCCTATTCCCGCTTCCAAGGAATGGAAGGTACGTCCTGCGCGCGTCGTCAGTCCCCTCTCGGCAGCAACTCGAACCTGCCTGTAGGTACCTAACCTAAGGTAACCTGACGTCCAGACGGGTTCGTATCGAGCTAAAAAGAAACCAGCAGACAATTACTACAGACAGACGGGCTGGCGGGCAAATAGACAGCCAGATGCGCGGTGGCAATTGCGAGACTGGAGGGCGCGCAATTTGTGCTCCGGTTTTCCTTCTTTGAGATTATTTTCGCCCTTGGGCGTGCTGCTTACTGGCTGAGGAGGAGAGGAGGTGCGCTGGTCGTCGCCAGCTTGGGGGAAACCCGTACCCGCCGCCATTGGTCGACTCGAGGTGCGTTCTGCAAGCAGTCGTGGCTGACGTTAAAAGGTCGTTAAGGGCTGCCCGCAGCCTCTTGCAGGGGGTCGGTAGCTAGCGACAAGGCAGGGTTGGCATGCTGCGCAGCGGGATCTCCGCCCGTCGCCAACCCAGCGAGAGCCAGCCATTTAACCTTATTCGAAGCCTATCATGTTTCAAGCTCACTTCTCGCTATTTCGCTGGCTCCCGTCTCGGTGTCGGGTCCTAGCCCGTCATACCTAAGGTACCGGGCGGCCGTTCGTTCTCGATCTGTATCCTAATCGGGCATCGACACGCCCCCCAGCCGGCCCAAATCGCTCCCCCATCGGTTGTCGGGTGTCGGTGTTGGTCTCGCGACGATCGCTTCCTGAGCCGCGCTGCGTTACCCGGTCCGCGTTGCAACATCACCACTGCCCGAGTAAGTTATTTGACAGAACGCCCGGCCATTAATTAAATAGGTAGGTAGTCAGACCATCATAGCATGGGACTAGTGACTTCAGCTATCACTACATTTCAGCTCAAGAATTCAATTTGGGCATTTGAAAAGTAAAGAAAGTCATTAGTGCGTGTATCCGAACGAAACGAAAGATAAAAGTCCCCAAAGCATGTGGGCACCAGTGAACGATCTATCGATGCCAACATCCAACAATTTTCACTGTCCTGTTGCTCCCGCTCTGCCCTCCTCGCTTTGTACTAAGGGATCCTCGACAATGGTGCCGTAACCTTGACCACCACTCTGAATTCTGTCGCTGTACACCCCTGGTGCAGGCCTTGCCGCGAACCGTCCTAGGCGGTTCTGCTCCTTGCGGTCATAGTAGACGTATTCGAGGTAAAATGCGTGGATGTGGCCAGGGAGATATCTATCGAGGAGGAAGCTTCGTCAACAAAACTAGACGCCACGTAGGGGGGGATGACGAAGATTTAGGAGGAGCAGATCAGTTCTTACCCCAGGAGCGTCAGACAGATATTGACAAAAAAGTCAACGCTGCAGCCGGAGATGGCAAAGACGCCAGCCGGAGGCACTGCGATCGCGGGTTAGCAAGAGCGGTGCAAGAAACCCCCCGCGCCCCAGACCGGTCCCCCGTACGTGAATGTAGGGTTCAAACTTACTCAGGATGGTGATCAGCACCACAAAGATCGCGGAGATGACACTCATTTTAGTTGTTGAGACACTTTGTCAAAGATAGATGCTTTTTCGATTGCTCACGAATGGCGAGACTTAGAATTCACGAAAGAAAGTCGATTGATTCGTAAGTTGAGAGCGCTTAGGAAAGCACGGCAGCCTCTCTCTATAAATCCCGGGAGGCGTGTCCCAGCGGCATGACGTACTTCCTAGACGCTCGGGCCACATGGTTCCCTCTGTAACCCGAGCTGTTCCATGGACTGGCAGCTTTTCATCCGTCGACCGTGTATTACGGCGCCCAGCACGAATAGGAAATACCGATATAGAAGATGCCGGTCAGTCGGTGAAGGGCTTAGGACATCCAAGACTGTGCATCTAGATCACCTGTCCCCGAGAAACAATGTTGCCCTCAGAGTTTCCACGTATTACATCACGTGACCTTGGACAAACATGATCTTCCCCTGTTACATTTCCATGTGAAAGCGATCATTCCGAGATTCGTGTAAATAATTAACTTAAGCGATTCCTAATTAACAGGAGGTGTAGGAGGTGTAGGTGTTCTAATAGAGCTAAACTTCGTCATGACTTTAATTGAGCAGATTGACAGCAAATGGCATGTATATTGCTCGATACTTCGTGTCGTTCGCGAGACTTAATAGAATGTAGGTGAGTAAAGTAGGTGAGGTACCTAGACACTCAGACAATCGACTCAAATAAATACTCGGCATGTATATAGGAGGCGGTGCAGAGATTCGAAACACGGCGATAATACGTAGCCCGGAAATCTGTACGGATATGTCGCTCCTAATTCGGGATCCCGCTAAGAGAGGTGGACCGCAGAACTTGCTGGTATGATAAATTTGCCCCACGCTGATATGGAAAGACGGGGTGAAAAACGCCCCAGACCTGCATACGGAACTGCCCCTCAGACCTTCTTGCCGTGACCCGGAGGGGGGGGCTCGAGCCGTCAGCTCGGAAAAGCAGCATGCTCGATGACACCTGGGGATGGAATGGGGCGGTGAACTGAAGTGATTGAGCAGCCAGCCGGGAGAAGAGCAGTTAAATTCGGATGGATAGGTACTATGTAGGTAAGACATGTACCTAATCCAACCAGAAGCGCCCCGATTAAATTCCGTAAATCATTAAGGTACCTAATTGGGTGCTATGTGGTAGAATAAAAAGAAACTCGAGCTACTGTCTGTATGCTCTTCGAAACTATCCAAGAACTTTACTTTGCTCTCAAAGGCAATTGCTCTTTAAATCGGTAAATCAACCTCTCCATGGAATTCACGTGTAGTAGAATGAATGCAGCTGAAGTCTAATGCCTCGTTGGAGCTGTCATCCATGTGCAAACACGGGGAGCACGCAACGGACCCGCCTCAGTTGCTCACCTTGGAACGTAGCGTGAAGCTAAAATGTAAAAGGGGGCACAAAATGATTCCATCGGCATAACTTGGGGGAGAGGTGGTTTTTTTTTGGCACAATACATACCCAACCACGAGGGCAGTGGAATTCCGAGTGCCACTCGATGCCATTGGGTGTGGGCCCCGGAACGAAATGACGCCTCGCCTAAATCGGCAAGTCCAAGAAGGAAGGCCCAGTTGAGTGGAAGCCAGCTTCCCCCAGTTTCCCCCTTTTGAAGTCGGGACAGATCTAAAAAGCCATGTGAGAACAAACTTAGGCCTGCATATAGATTTTCTCAACAATCTCGAACCTGCTAAAATGTAAGGAAATTGGAGCCTCCATGTCACAAGACACTTGCCCCAAGGAGTCCCTCCACAATTCGCATTGGTTGTGTGCACTGTGCACTGTGCACATCAAAACGACGGTAATAAACTTGCCATGGAGGCAATTCCCCATCGCTGCGGTTTCGGCTGAAATGGGCGCCATCGATGGCCCTGAGGCGGGCCGAGCGGCCAATGGGGGTTATAGCGCATGCGGCGGCGGGTGGGCACTTTGGTGATCTATCACTGCTCAAGCAGGAGGCAACGCCGTTCGTCATCGTAAGATGCAGGCCGGTCTAATAACCAGACGACGCCCACTTGTGACGGGGCATACATGGCACATACATACGAGCTCTTGCTCCATCACCGGCTGTTTATATATAGACCGCGGTCCTTGCAAACTCTTAGTACTAGCTGAATCGTCTGTCTCTCATTGGAATCTTTGGTAGTTATGAAGTAGTGAAACAGCTGCTGCCTCCTTTCCTATCGGATATGATGGCCACGAATGTGGTGATTGTTGGGAAAGGAAGAGTGCATCTCCCCTGGGTACCTTACCTGGCCCAGGGGCAAAAGCCCGGGTCCGTTCCATCCCACCTGGTAGACCCTCTGTGCTTAGTAGGCCAATGGGCAGACAGACAGGCTGGCATCTACCCGAGCCTTGACCTGGTGGACGGACTGTGGGTTGAAGATGAGAGGTGAGTAAAATAGAGCAACTGCTTTGCCCAGGACCGAGCTTCCGTCACCTACTTCGTAGCTTCCCAAAGGATCGACAGACAGCTCAGCACCAACCCCCCAAAGTGATCTGTCAAAGCCCGATCCACAGTGGTATCTGCATGTTTGCCGGAAAGGGGCAACATTACACCATTGGAATAATTGGACTACGCTCCAGGCGTCTTGTACCACCCCATAAGGTGACGGTGCCCCCCTCCCCCTCCCAAGCTTCTCTGCTTCCAGTGCAAGCTGCAGTGCCCTGGTCCTTCCATGCAGAAAGAAAGCCCAGAAGACAGGGTCGACCAGCGAGGCTTGCTCGACCCTTAGGCAGGCGGGTGCTGGGTACCTGGCTCCGAGGCGCTCATTCCCTGTTTGGAGGTACCGCGTGTGCCAAGCCAAGGCGCCAGGCCCGAGCAACCTCGCGACGGCCAGCGGGAACGGGGGGCGGGCGTCGTATTAGTTAATTTGGGTATGTACTGTATCCGTACACTACATACTCCTTCAAAGTACCTGGCTGCCTTGGTTACAGGTACGGAATACCTCACGGCCCCTCTTATTTGGCTTCCGTGATGGTGTCGACGCATGAGGTGCACCTCAGTCACTGCAAGTGCAGCGAGGTGGGCTGCGGCATTGGAAGCAGGGACGGGCGGGCGGCGGGACCTTCAATTTTACGGGGCTACGGAGTGCTGCTGCTCAAATATCGCTGTCCTGTGGTAGTGAGTGGCGGTGGGTGTGGTCCCAAATTGGCGGTCTCCATACTGCGTCTTGGGGCCCCGGCCAACGTCCAAGAGTTGCCAGGCGTCCAGGTCTTGGTCCAGCGCGCACGTTCGGCGGCGGGCAACATCTTTTTTTTCTTCCCTCTCGCCAGTCCAGTCTCAGATCCCCTTTCCCTTTCTCCCGCTCCTTCTCCACCCTTTCATCCAACCTCGAGAGGGTCGTTGAGATATTCGCACCGAGCACTAGCAGGAAGGAGAGAACCTAAGAGGTTTAAGAGGTTCATTTCCAAAACCTCTGCTTGGTCTAGTTTTAGAGCTTGCTGCTCGCACACCCGCACTTGCCTCTTCACCAGCTGCAGCACGGCTTGCAGCCACTCAGACCCAGCTCCGCTTCACACCTCGCCTTGGCTCGGCAGCCCGTGGAACTAGCCCCGTTGTTGAGTTCGACATTTTCCCGAGCACCCGAACGTGTTTGTGGTTGCCTGTCTGCGAAAAGGTTTGACTCCAGGAGCATGCATCGAGCCCACCGGGACCATCCGCTAACAAAAAAAAAAAAAAAAAAAAAAAACTCATAGATAGCCGCCTGTTACCCGGAATAGCACTGTACAATAAATTTGAATTCCCTCTCTCCTGAGTCCGAGCCTTCGAGCCCTCTCTTCGGCCCTGATCTCCGCTATGGCCACTCAACAAAGCCCGCCCTTCAAGACCGACCGGTTCGTGGTCATCCATGTCGCAACCACTTGCGACGAACACGGGGTCTACGTGACGAGGGATTCTGCCGAGGTTATTGAGCTCGGCTGGATTCTTCTCGACTCGAATTCTCTTGAAGAGGTGAGCAGGACCGGCCAGCCACGGCCCCCCCTTAACCTACCCCGAGAACGGAGAGAGAAGGAAAAGACTGAAGATGAAGAAAAAAAGATACCCCCTAGCCCATACAGCTGTCCTGACCACGTTTTTATGCCCCATTAGATTCATCGCGAGAGCGTGCTCGTCAAGCCCGTTAACACCCCAATTACTCCCCTATGCAGTGAGTACCGACCGCCCGCGCCCTGCTCAAGACAGCTGTCAATGGCCAATTCCCGTCACTCGCGCCGTAAACGCGCTGCGCAGCCTTTTGCTGACCAACTCCCGTCAACAGCGAGCTTGACGACCCTGACGTGGGAACATGTGAGAAATGCTGGTACTTTTAGGGACGCCATCAATCGCTTCGATGCCTTCGCTTCCGAGCATCTGACGGGGCCCAACCTCGACTTTGTCTTCGTTACTCTGGAAGCCTGGGACCTGCGCGTCCAGCTTCCTCGCGAGGCCCGTGACAAGGCTGTGGTGCTGCCCCCCTATTTGCAGCACTCGCGGACGTTCGATCTCCGGACGGAATACCAAAGATGGCAGCAGCACCATCCCGAGTCGCTTCCGTTTGGTCCTTCTTCGTTGGCCAACATTTGTGCGGCGCTCGAGGTTGAAGCTGTGCAGTCCAGCGCACCTATCAAGCATAATCTGCCGTTCCACCTGCAGGCCCTGGCCCCAGCATCTCCGCGCCGCGCCATGGAGGAAGCTGTCACTTTGACCCGTGTGCTCCGGAGTTTGATTCGTAAATCCCAACCTGCCCACGAGCACGCAGATGTGCTTATCCGGCCAATGGATGCTCGTGCAGATGTGCGGGCTTTCTTGTCTGAGCGCAGCAAGGTCCTACACATGTCTGGTCTCCCGCATGATACTACGCAGTCTGAGCTTGAAAGCTGGTTCACCCAGTTTGGCGGGCGCCCCATTGCTTTTTGGACTTTGCGCACTCCTGAGCAGCATAAACCTACCGGCACCGGGTTTGCCGTCTTTTCTTCCCACGAAGAGGTACACTTGTCCATTACTAGAAAAAGCCGCCGTTTCCCTTGCCTTAACCCTTTTTCCTTTCTTGGTTGTCCTGCCCCTGTCTTCTGCATTTGAAGTAAACTGACTTTGTGGCTGCAGGCTGCTGAAAGTCTCTGCATGAATGGACGCGCATTGAATGAAAAAGCCATCGAAGTCTCGCCATCCTCGAGCCGGGTCCTCGACCGGGCCGCAGAGATCCTGACGCCCTTCCCGCCTAGCAAGAACCGCCCGCGCCCCGGTGATTGGACCTGCCCGTCGTGTGGCTTTTCGAATTTCCAGCGACGCACGGCATGCTTCCGCTGCTCGTTCCCCGCTGTCAGCGCTGGTCCCACTGGCGAGATGGGTTATGGTTACGGGTACGGGCCACCAGCTATGATGCCCCCCCCTCCTCACATGGGTCATCACGGGCATGGCGGCGGTCACGGTCGCATGGGTGGTTCCGGCGTCGTTCCGTTCCGTGCCGGTGATTGGAAGTGCGGGAACGAGGTCTGTGGCTACCATAACTTCGCAAAGAACGTCTGTTGTCTTCGCTGTGGGGCCAGTCGTGCCGGTGCTGCCGTGGTTGCCGATTCGGGCTACCCTTCACCTATGGACACTCCCTCGTCGTACGGCATGGGTCAGCCTTCGATGGGCGGCACTCCGGGACCCGGAGCGTTCGCATCTGCCGCTGGTGGCTTCAACTCGGCTGGCGGATATGGGCAGCATTTTGGTGGCCCGCCGAGCACGTACGCACTGCCGGCCGGGCTTACTGGTAACGCCGCTCCCTATCCGTCGCTGAACACCCACTTTGGCCCTACTCCGGGCTCGCACTCGGCCGGCCCCTTTGACAGCCGCGCTGCCGAGGCCGCCTTCCAGTCTGCCGGTAACGGTCCTGCTTCGGCCGGGCCTGGTAACAACTTTTACTCGCAGCAGGGTGAGAACGACCCGTTCGCCTTCCTGACGTCCGGAATTGGTGGTCTCTCGGTGAGCAACCAGGATGCTCGCCAGAACGGAGGCTCGGCCCCCCCGAGCAAGTCGCCCGCGTAATATACTCGAACAGAAATAAGGTCTCTGTCTTCCGGTGCACAGCGATAGTCTATCTTCGAAATGGTTTGGACGCTTTTTGCGCTTTCACGTGCGGCGATTTCTATGACGACTTTGGAATTGAGAAATAGAAATTATTCGGGCCTTGGCAATGACTTCTGGACTTTACACTACTGTTTCACGGAGGTGCAGGCAAGGGTTTTTTTTGGCAGACATTCCGCGGCAGGTCACTGGTTTGGCGGGGAGGCGGTGGTGGTGGTGGGCAAAATATGCACGGCTGGAAGACAAAAGACCACATTCTTACAGGATCCCTCACGGCGGAGTTTTCTCGACCGACACATTGTATCTGGCTATTCGACACACGGAAAAGAACTGCATGTTGCATCCTTCATCACCTTGCGAGACGCGCTTCTTTCCTACCCCCGACTACGAATTCGAATCTCGCAATGGACAAGTCGGTTAACGGAGGCATGGCAGGGCAGGTACGGATGGCGTGCATAGCGAGGGAGGGTAAAGGGTGTTGTTCTCTTTTTGCTCTCGGGTTCGCCGGGCACTTTTACTTCTGTGTCGTTTTTCTTTCTCTTCATTCGGACTAGTATCTTCTCTTCTTTCTCTCTACCCCCATCCCCCCCTCCTCGTCGTCTCTATCATTATCGCACGCATTTCGATTTGCTTCAGACCAAGTCTTATCAACATGTTTTATTTTTGTTTGAGGAAAAAAATTGCTGGCATTGGCGGCGGGGAGTAAAGCGGACATCAAAGCGGACATCAAAGGGGGCGAAGGGGTGTTGGTTTGGAACGGAAGGGTGGGTCGTTGCTATGTTTTTTTATTGTTTTATTTCTTACTTTACTCCTTTATTATTCCAGTCCGTCTTTTTCATCTCCCAACGGTTCCTTCTGCTCTTGCTTCGTTCTGCGCTCTGCTGGCCGCTGATGAGGGACAAGCTACCTTGAGAGGAGCAGGGCAAGGGAAGAAAGGGAGTCCGTGTGAGAAAGGTGGATATCGTAGTCCGGCTTCGAGGTGGCGATGAGATGGCTACGAGCACGGGGGTCTAACTGCCGCTTTGCGCCTCTTGGTTTAGCCATCGTCATCGCCCCCTTCTTTCCTTGTTTCTCTTTCTCTTGTACCCCTTTCATTAAACCCACCTACCTACCTACCTAACTTACTGCTGGTCGACTCGGGGACGGACGGAATGTTAATAATATCCCCCTAGCATCCGTGTGCGTGTGTGTATGTGTGCTTGCTATTATTCCATAGCCTCGAGTTATTCTACTCAAGCACACAAAAAGAACAGTTGCATTATATGGGCTCCTTGTATGTTATGATATCATGTTATTGTCAACACGTGTGGTTGCTTGCTTGATTGCTTGCTGGCAGATGTACGGATAGATGGATGGGTGATTTGCTTTCTCGCTGACACCAGGTAACGGCACAAGCGAGTTATCAAGGGAGAAAGAAGAAACCAAGGTACCTACTCGAATCAGTTTACGTCCCCGCTGTAGATAGTCACACCACACTCGTAGGACAGGCAGACAGAGAGAGAGAGAGAGAGAGGCACAAAGTAGGTCTAGCGCCTGTCCTCCACGCAGCAAGCGTTGGCTCTGTTTGATATACCTCTCTCATGCCCGGCCAGGGAAATGCCGAGTCATTGTTCGAACAGTCTACAATACAGTCCCAGTCTGGTTGCTGACACTATACTCTCAAGCGGTTACTTATATAGCTTTGCCAAATATTGGGGCGACGAGGTATGGTGTAGGAAATAAATGAGGAATAAAAAGGCACTGACAGAATTTCCCAAAGCTTTCTTGTCAACTGCTTTTATCTGCTATGGGTCACTTTTCAGATATATCAGGTGGACAAACGGTTTTAGAGCCAAATTTGCAAACAAGCTAAAGCTCCATTCTACGGCGCTTCCCTGGAGAAAAATGAATTTATTGTACAATACATAAGGTACAGTACTGTTGGATTGTTGGAATAACGCGCTAGTTAGCCACACAGAGGTGGCGGTGGAGGCGCAGGGCCACGGATTCTATATAACTAGCCTACGGCCACCTCTTTCTTCTAGATACACAGACATCAATAATCATCACTTGAACCACCAGTTTTCGGCGTGCAGTTACGCCCTATTGCTTCCAGTACCGGTACCTGACGATCCAACAAGTACAAATACAATACATGAGGGGGTGTTATGTTAAGCAACCCCCCCCCCCAATTCTTTTCCAACCCATATTCCCCCACCCGCTAGATTCAAAGGGGAAATAACACCGCGTAGTTGTCATGCCGATTTTCCCTGACAGCGAACTCACTGATGCCGTCACGTGTCTCCACCGCGATGGATTGTTTCCTACGTAGTTTGAGCATGTCGGTGGAAGTCGTTGATCATCCAAATTTATTGAGACCTGGCCTTGCCTGGCATCAAATTTCCAACGGCAAAGAAAAAGAAGAATGAACGAAAAAATGTTACCTCATAGACGAGAAATGTAGTGCGATCATGATCAACTCTGAAAAGATCCGATATCAGGTACTCCAATGTCCACGACCTCTGTATTAGAAACGTATTATGGAATGCAACTCGAATGCGATGATTGAATTTGCCGGAAATTATAGGGTGTGAATATCGTTGGGAGGGTAAGGTATTGTCTATGTGCCCTCTTGATGGGTTCAGCGAGATGAGACGACGGGCAGATACTAGAAAGGTAGGAGGAAGGGCCTAAAACACGACTTCGGCCTAGAGAATGAATCGCATTGATGAAGCTCACCACGCCCGGTAATAGTCCCGCAGGCGCGCTGTCTCATCGTCCTCCGATTCACTGATATCCATGTCCTGGCCGTTTTGCTGATGACTGGCCTCCGGCTCCGCCTCGTCGTTCTCTGATTCGCCCATATATGTGTCCTGGTCGTAATCCTCTTCGTCAGGGAACAACTCTAGATTCACCGCTCGCGTTGGTATACGTGCGATTAGATCCTGAATAAAATGCTCCCAGTCAAATTCGAGATCGTCTTGAGAGTAGTCCTCGGAAGCGTTTTCTCCTTGAAGCAAAAGCCATTCCTGGAACTCAGCCGAGTCAAGGGGTACTTCAGGCCCTGGCTCTGGATTATTTGCTTCAAAGCGGGTCAGCTCGGGGGGTCTGCCATAGCCGTTATTGTTGCGGTTGCGATATTCGCCCTTTTCTTTGCCGTGGTTAAGGTGAAAGTATTCGTCCTCTTCATCCTCCTCGTCCTCTTTGTCCTCCTCGTCCTCCTCGTCCTCCTCGTCCTCCTCGTCCTCCTCGTCCTCCTCGTCCTCCTCGTCCTCCTCGTCCTCCTCGTCCTCCTCGTCCTCTTCGTCCTCTTCGTCCTCCATCTCATCATCGCCGCAATCCGATTCCTCATCTGCGTTGCTGAGCATCGTGACTACATTCGTACCATATTCGGCATCCTCGGCAGCCAATTGCTTCTCCAAGGGGGTCAGCTTTGCAAGGTACCTCGGCCTAGGGAGACGTGCTTCTTCCGGGGCACTCGACTTGATGTTCTCGCTGGGGTCTTGCTCGAGGCTGCGTCGGCGCTTGGCGGTTTTGATATCCTGCTTCTTTACCTCCTCTTCCGGGGGCGCAGAGAGCCCCTTGAGCTGGAGGTGTTCCGTGCGAAGGGTACTGTGGAACTTTGGAAACTGGGTGCGATTGAAGGAAGCGCGCTCTCTCATTACAAAGGACACCTCGAGCTTCTCCAACAAGCGCACCAGGTCCACGTTGTTGCGGACCAGCTTCTGCCGGGAACAATACAACCTATCCTTCTCTGCGGCGATTTCGACCCTGGAGGCCTCAAGGATCATAGTCTTCTCATCCTGTGTCAGTGTTCTCCAGCGTGCTTTGCGCGCCTGGATGGGCTGCCACATAAAGCGCTCAAACGGCACGTTGCCGCAGCCTCCGATGACGGCGTCATATGGCAATGGTGGAACCACATTGAGGGGCGAAGACAGTTCCTCTTCGTCGCTCATGTACATCTCATCAAGGGTGGGAACAAGACGGCGGCCGGAAGGTATGTCGACGTGGCCGTAGATTATCATGTCGTCGATACAGTTGTCGAGATCGATGTTGCGCCGCACCGCCTCCATGGGGATGGCCTCATCTAGCCGGACTAAGTAGCCCGCTCCGGCACCCCAGCCCTCATAACGCAAGATGCCCATTTCGAGAAAGGGCACACCATACGGGCATATGCATGTTGCAATCTCGGCCGGGCTGGCGATGACGTCGTAGCGAACCTTGAGCTGGTGGGCCTCAAGGACGGTCGTATACTTCTTCCGCCGAAGTAATGCCCAAAGCGGCGAGAGACCCTTTTGGCCCATCATGACATTCATCAAAATGGGCGACTCGGGTCCGTAGACGGGGCTGTTGAAGCAGAGGTGCAGCTTGATGAAGAATTGCTGCGTCAAGTACAGGTCTAGGTCGGTGAAGAACTCCTTGTTCGCGAGCACCTCCTTGCGTCCGGTCGTCGTTGCCACGTCCATGATCAGCCATAGCTTTAGCAGAGTTTTGTTAAAGTCCTTAGGCATGCGGTGTCCCATGCGCGCCAGCGTAGCCAGAATATCACGGACGCGGATCTCGCGGTTGACAACCATCTGCAGCCACCCGAGGCCGGGGATCTTGCGGAGCTCCTTGTCGGCGATGACAGGTGCTTCCATTTCCGGGTTACTCAGGTATGTCATGTCGTAGTACTCAGGGGCTTTTAGGTTACCGGCCGGGTCGTCGACATGGTAATGATTGTAGACAGGGCTAGAGAGGAGGATAAATGCATTAGGTGCCATGCGCCTGGCCCACGTTTTAACACAGCTACTCATGTGACCACTGAGAGTATAGTGGAAATCGCGACTGATGCTGTAGAGGCGCAAGATGTCGGTCGGATAGAGGTACGTGCAGACTTCCTCCAACAGGTACGTCGACGTGCTCAGGGAGCCGATCAGGTCAAACATGTTGACCGGCTTTGCTGGGGATCTCGAAAGGGAACGCCACTTCTCTGCGGCCTGTTTCATCTTTGAGAGCCGAGCATAGTAGAGGCCGTGGTAACGCTGCAGCAGACGACGGTCGGCGCTCTCTAAGTTGGCTTCGTGGATGAACTCGTGCCAGATGGGTTCCAACTTGATCTCATCATCACCACCACCGTCATAGGCGCTAGTTCTGCCACGGCTGCCGTCTTCAGCGTTGAACTGGGCTTCTCGTGGTCCGAAGATCTTGCGAGGCGTAATGCTACTAGACGACTCTCCTCTCTCTAGGAACTGAGAAGCGCGGTGTCTAATAGAGGCGAGGATCTCGTCGAGATTGGGGCGGATGCCTCTCGCCTCGACCTCTTCGACCGTGGCATTCCGGCGAGCGAGGTCTGCCTGAGCCAATGCTAGCGCAATAGCAGCCGCATTCTGCGACCCGTTGAGATTGATGTTCAGCCCGGCGATACTTGGCAACCTGCTGGGTAGCGGGCCTGGGTTGTTGGGACTGGGCCGGGCAGCCATGTGGCCGTCTATTCGGATGAGAATATGGGTTTCGGGCTGAGGACGAGATACGAGGGAATTTACTTTTCAGGGCTCGCGAGAGAGTCAAATAAGTGCGGTGCTTCTCTGTTCGGCTGTAGGAGTAGAAGAAGAAGAAGAAGAAGAAGGATGGGGAGCGAAAGGGCTGAGATCATATTCAACTCTTTACGAAAACGGGTAGGAAGCGGGGAAGTGAGGTGGTGAGGTTTATTATAGAGAATTGCAAGGAAAGAAAACGAAGATCTATTGATGGGGAAGAACAATGCTAATGGAAGCATGAAACGAGACAGACGGAGAACAATAGTACCGAGCGCAGCACATGGACATGGAGACAATAGGAACGCACAATGACCCTGCCACAGCTACGGCAGGAGCTGATCGGACGATTGGAAGGTAGTCTAGATAGAAATGAAAGGTACAAACCTAAGGCACCTTACCTAGCTACGGTACCCTAGGCAGGCACGCTGGCAAGAACATGGAGGTGAGTCCATATCAGGTCAAAGGTGGATACCATGATGATTTAGGAATCAAATCCATATCAGCTGTCTATCATGCTTCATTCACTGCCGGTCCTCACTGCTACCGTGCTGTAAAGTCGACATCGTGCATACCTTACCTACCTATAATAACCTACCCTGTGACAAGTTGGTAGGTACCTTATCTAGTAGGCAGCTTAGTGGCCAACGCAGGCCACATATAGATAGGTACAGTACACTCAAAATTTGACAAAGTGTCAAAAATATACAATACAGGAAGGAACACAATGCAACTCCTTGGTACTCCTTGAAGAAGCCCTACCTTACAGCAACCCTGCGTCTACAGCAGACGTTATTCGCCGAACTGGATGCCGGACCGGGTGGTTCTCTCCCGTCTGCCTAGGTCGGCAAGACCCAAAACATTCGCATCCGCAGTCAACTTTTGAAAATCACCATAGAGCGAGTTAGACACGTCAGACTCGTTGGACTCGCTCTTTCCATCCCCAATGTCGCTGGAGCCGCCGTTGCCACCATTCGCCAGGTTATTGGCTCTCTCCGTCCCCGCGCCTTCGCCTTCATTATCCATGCCTGGAGGCGCTGCCGAGGTGGCTGTGGCGTCCCGCTTCATCCCTCCCGTGCTTTCAGATTCCGCTCGTGCAATGCCCGTCCTCTCCCGCCTCTAGTTGGTTTCTAGTTCATTCATAGGCATTTCAACTTCGTCGCCGTTAACAATGGCGCCTGCTACTTTCCAGATTTGAAGGAGGTTGTCTTCGGCCGCACTGCAGACGAGCCAGGGATCGTTGAGGTTCCAGCTGAAGTCGGCCAAGTGATTGGTGTGTCCGCCGTGCATGAAGAGAAGCTCAGGCGCGCCATCCTCGGCATCCTCGGGCTGCTGCTCCTCGCCAACGCGGCTGAGGTCCCAGAAGAGCACTCGTCTATCGTAGCCACCGCTGCCAATAATGCTAGAGTCGGTAGGGTGCCACGCAACCGATGTGACGGCGTCCATATGGCCTTCCAGGGTGTGGATCTTCTGCTTCAGGTTGCGAATATCCCAGATACCAATCGTCTTGTCAGCCGACGCAGTGGCAATCAAGTACTCGGCCCGAGGGTTGAAGGCAAGAGCATTGATGGCATCCGTGTGGCCGTCACGGCCAACGACTGCCGCCCGGTCTGTCTGCGCCTGACGGACGTCGATGATCTGCAGAGTCAGATCGTCCGAGACACTGCCGATGAAATTCTTGGCCAGCGGGTGGTACTGAACGTCATTGACGATGTGATTGTGGTGAGTGTACTTCCGAGACGGCTTAAGGGTTCTGCTAGATCCCTGGAGCGTATTCAGGTCCCTAGGTTCTCGAGTCAGCCAAAAGCCCTCCGGGGCGTACTGGGTTCAACATACCAGAGGAGCACAGTCTTGTCCTCACTACCAGACGCCAGGCATCCCTCCTCGTGAGGGTTCCAGTTCAGACCAAAGCCCTCCTCCTTATGGCCAATCAGTTCGATCTGGGGGGTTGGCGTGCCGGTGGGTATCATGCTGTGCTTGGTCCGATCGAAAATCAAGACCTTTCCGTCAACCGAGAGCGTGGCAATGATGTCGGGGTTCTGGGGCTGGTATCGCGCCTTGTTGACCTCTCCGGGATGGTCGATCTTCTGAGTGACATTGAGCTTGATCACAGGAGGCTCTCCCGAGGGGCCTTTGCTCCCAAAGCCACCAATCTCGCCGCGCTCGTCGTCGTAATCGTGAGGGTTGGGCTCAACCATCTTGGGGATCTCGACCTCGGCGATCTGCACATAGTTGGGGTTCCCCTCCGACGTGTGCGTTCCGATGAGCAAACGATGGACACGGTAATTCTTGTCAGCGACGTCCTTAACATCGGGAAACCATTGAGTTGTCAGAGTGGGCCACTCCAACGCCGTGCTGCGCAAGTTAGTGAGACCGCTGGGAATCCCCGTAATGGAGGGGATTGAGGGGGTATTCTCACCTGAGAATCATGTCGTAGAGGAAAGGGCTGTTCTTCTTCCATGTCTTGTACTCTAGTACACATTAGCAGCTAAACAACTAATCTGATTGAAGTACGCTAACCGCTTGCTTACCCTCGTTTATGACACGCTGTTCCTGATTGGCGTCCTCTTGCTCATCCATATTGACTGCGGATGGCGTTAGAATCTCATGTGTCTGCGCAACAGGAGATGGAAAGGGGGAAGGGGGAAGAGAGAGTAAAAACGGCGAGGCGCTTTGAGAGGGAGAAGGTGAGGGGGGGTCGGCGGAGTTCAGAAGAGAGCGCGCGGGGGATAGATTGAAGGATGAGAGAGTGGAAGATGTGGTTAGAGAGGGCGGGTAAAGGGAGGAGGGGGATGAAGAGGGGCAGTTGATGAAGCTCTCACCGTCGCCGTCATCGACAACCTCGGCGGGCGCCATGGCAAATAGCTATGTTTTAGTATTTTGACAGCGACAGAGGATCAGGATTGGTTGAAGGTGCTGAGCCAAGGAGAACTGTGCAGCAAACGTGGTTTATTATGAAGGGCAGGTTGTTGTAGCTGCGCAGAGTTTGAGGAACTTTGTGCAAGTTTTTGAACTCTGCGTGGTGCTTAAATTTGTCTTTTCCGCGATAGAAGTTTAAAGGGTTCTAGGACCTGATAGTTTGGTAGGTGGCATGCAACTTCCAAAGGAATTGAAATGGGACGCAGCGCGACGCGACTTTCCAGGTTTAATTGATTTTGGCAGAGGTAAGCTTAGCGCCGACAGGGGTATTGTCGTCAAGCCGCAGCGTTTGGTGGCGTTCGGAGCCCAGCAAAAAAGTGGATCCAATTGGGACTGCGGAGAGAGGGGTGTGATGTGGGGCAGGCAGACAGGGCGTCGGCCAGTCAGTCACACCGTCCACGGGTAGGTAGGTGCCCAGCCTCAGGTCGTCGGAAGAACCAAAAGCACAGAGCGACAACAACACCGTTAAACAGCAGACCCTCCTCTCCCTGCTGCAGTTATCGCCATGTCTGGCGCCCTTTTGATCGTTGTCGCACACTCTCATATTCAGGCTTGCTAGGGTTGGTTTTGAATTGTTTCGGACATACCTTCTTTGTGTCCTGCCCTCGTCATCCATTCTATCATCTCCTTGCGCTTTTCTCAACTTCTCCCAAGAAAAAAGTCCGGCCGTTTTTATTTAGAGCCGGCAACACAGCACCCATCCCACCACCTAGTTACTGCTCGTGTTCATTTCCCGATTGCGCTGGTCATCGCATCGCACTCGGGTTTCGTAACCACCGCAGAACTCCGCGCTTCTCCCTACTGCCGCGCAAACCGCGACGTCGCGCGACGTCGCTTTTCCCATACCGTGACCGCAAGCTACGGTCGACACAGATTCCGAGTGCTCGCTTTAACAAGACAAGATGGGGTGCGCAATTCCAGACCTCGTCCTCTATTTGATCGCGGCAGCTGCCAACAGCCGTCTAGTGTCCCCAAGTTCTTCCGATGGCTCTCAGAGCGCTACCCTGCTATCTCGCAGCTCATTGCCGACAACCGGATTCCCGAGTTCGATTGTCTTTATGTGCGTCGCCTTTCCCTGACCCTCTCACCCTCAACAGTTGCCGAATTTGCTAACAAAATGCTTAGCTGGATATGAATGGCATTATCCATAACTGCACGCACAAGGACTCTGACGATGTGCAGTTCCGACTGAGCGAAGAGGAGATGTTCATCGCTATATTCAACTATATTGAGCATCTATTTGGTAAAATCAAACCCAAAAAGCTCTTCTTCATGGCCATTGACGGTGTCGCCCCTCGCGCCAAGATGAACCAGCAGCGTGCCCGCCGTTTCCGGACGGCGCTGGACGCCGAGCGGGCCAGAGACAAGGCCATTCGCGAGGGCAAGGAGCTGCCGAAAGAGGAGCCTTTTGACAGTAACTGTATCACACCAGGTATGCTCTCTCTGCGGTTTCTCTTTGTGATTTTGATTCTAATGAATGTTTTTAGGTACCGAGTTCATGGCCAAACTTTCGCTCCAGCTGAAGTACTTCATCAACAAGAAGGTGTCAGAAGATAGGGAGTGGCAGCAGCCTGAGATTGTCCTCTCGGGCCACGAAGTCCCCGGCGAGGGTGAGCACAAGATCATGGAGTATATCCGGAATGCGCGTGCTCAGCCCGATTACAACCCGAACGTTCGCCACTGCTTGTACGGACTAGATGCCGACTTGATCATGTTGGGACTGCTGAGCCACGATCCCCACTTCTGCCTCCTTCGCGAGGAGGTTACCTTTGGTCGCCAGAACAAGACGAAGTCGAAAGAGCTGGAGCATCAAAACTTTTACCTGATGCATCTTTGCATAGTCCGAGAGTACCTGGAGCTGGAGTTTCAGGATCTAAAGAAGGACGGGACCATGTCGTTCCAGTTCGACATGGAGAAGGTCATTGATGACTTTATCCTCATGGCCTTCTTTGTTGGAAACGATTTCCTCCCCAATCTACCACGGCTTCACATCAACGAAGGTGCCCTGGCGACCATGTTCAGAATATACAAACAAGTGCTTCCGCGCTGCGACGGCTATATCAACGAAGGGGGCAAAGTCAATCTGCGGCGACTTGGCCTTCTCTTGAACGAGATTGGCAAAGAGGAGTATCGTTTTTTCGAACACGAGAACGAGGATGCTGGCTGGCTTCGAGGCAAGAAGATGCTTGACAATGACGAGGCCGAGAAGTTGCGGGCGAAGTCAAAGGGAAAGCTCATTGTCACTACATCCCAAAAGGCTCTGTGGAAGCAATTCCTCCGAAAGTTTCTCATCGGTCGGAGTTCGCCGACGCTCGACCTGGGCACTCAACTGAAGGCCGAGGATCGCAAATTCGTCCAGGATCTTGCGGATGCTGCACACATTTCGTGGGCCACCAAAGAGGATGACGAGGGCCACCGGCATCTGTTCCTTTCTCTGCCAGAGACGCAAGATGAAGATGACGAGGACGAAGAGGCGCAATCTGCGGTTCTCCGGATCGCGAAGAAATATGACAATGCCCAGGTTCTTGATCTCACGTCGGCCGATGCGCAAGCGGCAATGGAGTCAAAGTACCACCAGAAATTCTTAGAGTGGAAGGACAAGTACTACTTCGACAAGTTTGAGGACTGGACGCCCGAGAACAAAGAAGAGGAGCTGCGCAAGCTGACGGAAAACTACATCCAGGGCCTCCAATGGGTACTCTACTACTACTACCGTGGTATTGCCTCGTGGCCTTGGTTTTACCGGTATCACTACTCCCCTATGATCTCGGACATCATGAAAGGTCTAAATGCGGACCTCGACTTCAAGCTGGGACAGCCCTTCAAACCGAATGAGCAGCTCATGGGCGTCCTGCCAGATCGCAGCAAGAAGATCGTACCCACCGTATACTGGGATCTCATGACGGACCCAAAGTCCCCAATCATTGATTTCTATCCTAGAGACTTCGAGCTTGACATGAACGGTAAGAAGATGGAGTGGGAGGCTGTCGTCAAGATTCCCTTCATCGACGAGAAGCGACTGTTGTCGGCTATGGGTCCCAAGAACGAGCTTCTTTCCGACGACCAAAAGACAAGAAACGACTTTGGCGTCGCTCTCAAATTCACTTACTCTGATGAAATGGATTACTTGTATCCATCATCACTCGTCGACGTCTTTCCCCCAATTCCTCATTGCCATTGCGTGGAGAATATCTTTGAGCTGCCTCCGGTTGAAGGGCTGCAGTACCGGTCTGGCCTCACTGATGGCGCGTTGCTCAGCGTCTCGGCCTTGGCAGGGTTTCCCACATTGGCCACTCTGCCATACACTGCGACTCTTGGCTACCACGGAGTTAACGTTTTCCAGCAGGACAGCCGCAATGAGAGCATGGTAGTTAATCTGCTTGGCACGGAGACGCGTACAAAGGTCGGGCTGGCGAAAACAAAACTTGGCCAACGCTGCTTTGTTGGCTATCCATTCTTGCAAGAGGCCAAGATCGTGCGAGTGTCTGACGAGCTCTTCGACTATGTTCTGGCAGAAGACGGCAGCGGGCAAGTCGTCCAGGTACACCACTCCCACAGAGACATTGAAGAGTGGTCGAAGAAAGCAGACAAGATCGAGAACTTCTACAGCAAGCGGTTGGGTATCTTGATCAGCCAGGTTGAATCCTTGGTTCACGTCCAGATGCTCAAAGGGCTGGTGAAAACAGACGAGGGCGCTACGGTAAAGGAATACGGTGAGATTCCCGGGATGGAAACGGACTACGCCTCTCAAATCATTGTCGATGAAGTCGTCAACGAGGACGAACGCTTCATTGAACAGGCTGCACTGCCCCTGGAGCAAGAATTTCCCATCGAGTCTACGGGTTTCTTCTTGGGTGATTTCAATTACGGCCAACCCCTTGAGGTTTCGGGCTATACCGATAATGGAAAGCTTTCAATCTGGCTGGCCATCTCGCCACGCGAACCCGAGTTCGCACGCCGAATCATCCAGAACTCGCAGAGGGGCAATCACTACACCCCATCCTACATGGTCGCCAAGCAGCTGGATTTGCATCCTCTCACGCTCAGCAAGATTACCTCATCGTATTTTGTTCGGACAGTTGGCGACCTCCGAGTCAATCTCGGCCTCAACCTCAAATTTGAAGCGAGAAAGCAAAAGGTCCTGGGCTACTCTCGCAAGTCGGCAACCGGCTGGGAGTTTAGCATTGCTGCGGTACGCCTGATTATCGATTACATGACTAAATTTCCCGACTTCTTTGCAGGCGTGAAGAAGAACCCCTCAGGGAACGAATTGAGCGAAAAGGATCTCTGGTCAGACCCCGCAGTCGCTTCAACCAGGGTCAAAGAGATTGGCGCGTGGCTCAAATCGCTGAAGACTAGCTCGATGGACCGAGTGCCGCTTGATGCAGAACAGCTGGACTCTGATGTAGTCATGCAACTCGCCTCAGAGGCAGACAAGCTGAAGCTCAGCGAGGTTCAGCACAAGCCAACCAAGATGAACAGCGTGCCTCGTAACGCACTCATGAGGCCGGAGGATGCTGAGCATCGACTCGGAAACCAGAACTTCAGCTTAGGAGATCGTGTCATCTACGTGGCCCGGACAGGCAAGGTTCCCATTGCCTATCGAGGCACCGTAGTCGGTATCAGCCGCACCCCCACTGCAAAGCTGCTGGACATTGTCTTTGACGTCACCTTCATGAGCGGTACTACCCTCGGTGACCGTTGCCCGCCCTTCCGCGGCCAGACAGTGCCCGCCACTGTCCTGCTCAACCTCACTGACAGACAGGTTGTTGCTGGATCCAAGGCAACCTTGACGAGGCAGCCCGTCAGCCCGTCAGTTACCACGCTTACGGCCCACGGTGGCTACGGTGGCTACGGCACACCTAACGGACGTCACATTCGCGATGCTCCAGCCCCGGCTCCTCTTCATGGGACCTGGCGTGGCGCACTCAACGGGAGCGGTAACCGTGGCCGAGGAAGCCCACAGTCACAACCTCAGCGAGGCAGTTTGAACATTATGCACAGCAGCTTGGTGTACCGCCCGAACCCCAATCAGCCTCAGCAGCAGCAACAGCAGCAGCCGCAGCTGAACAGCCAGGGTCATGGGCAGATGAATGGTGGACAAGGTGGCCGCGGTCGAGGTGGAGGTGCTCACAGCCGCGGACGCGGCGGGTTTACCCAGCCCTCGGTCACTGCCGATCCCGGCACCAGCATTGCCGGGCCTCAGCAGCCCGTGGCTCCTGCTGCCTATTCGGCAGTTCCGCCACCGTCAAATCTTGACGCGGCTAGGGGCCGTGGCCGAGGACGAGGTCGCGCGCGCGGTGAAGGCCGCGGCCGAGGCGGCGGCGGACGTGTTAGAGGAGGCGCGGCTAATGCCGCCGCGCCTCAACAGGTGCCGGCTCCTCAAAGCTAGGGACTTGGGAGCTGACCTCCTGCCTATCACTGATATATGATGACGATATCCATGTTCTGTTGTTCAAGGCATTGTCATGTCAAGCATGTATGTGCATTGAGCGAGGATCATGGCTGCCTTTGGCAGATTTGGGCGGAACGGAGCGGCATGTTGGCTATTGCCATATAGTTGAGCATGGGTTTACGATGTTTCTGCATGTGAGCCGGCTGGTCGCGATTGGGAGCCGAAGTTTGTTGAGGGCATCTTCAGTATGGCCTCGTACTCGTATTTTGTGCGCTGTATCTAAAGTATATTTATCTTTGGTATGGCGCTGGGACAAAATTGAGTATATAGGTACTCTGGTAGGACAAGATTTTCTAGCCATCAGACGCGATTCGCCTCTTACTTTCGGTGTGAAGAGGGCAGCAAGGGGAGTTAGGTATAAGGGGGCGAAAATCATTTCATAGCTACACTTGTAGATAGGTAGGTACCTATGGGTTTTGCCGTCTAGGCACCGGGTAGCTGACTTGTTGGTGGCAAATGGAATGCTATTCATCGTCTCCATCCTTTCCAGGGTCCAACAACAAACAGGACAAAGGGTAAGTGACCTGAAGTAATCATGGTTTAACGTCGATTTTTAATTATTTTCATATTTTCGTAATACTCAAACCCTGCCGGTTTCATCAAGCCGGGTTTACTCCGTATAGATAGCCAAATACTTGTTTTAACATTTTATGCTTTCGTCCCCGTCCCCGCGGCTCCGGTGGTAGCAGCCTTGGTCTTGAGGGCCGGGAGAGCAAACTTCTTGCTCAGGTCGCCCTTCAACCGCTTCCACCGCCCGTAGTCGACGTTCTGGTTCCACGCCAGAACGCCCACCCACGGCTGCACGTTGTAGTGTAGCCGCAGCCTCACGTCCTGCGTCTCGGCGATCTTGCCTGACGGGTGCGTGATCTGGTACTTTGGCTTCTGGTTCTTGAGCGAGATGAGACCCCTGCGGACGGACGCGAACACAGGTTGTTGTTAGTACAAAAAGAACATGAGGGGCGCCAGGTAAATATTCCAGATTTTTGGTGTATTTTATACGGGGAGTGGGGGGACGCACCGGCTCGGGTCGATGCTCTTGCCGGCGGCGCTCTTACGCAGCTTCTTGAGCGACGCAGGCCCCAGGTTGGAGAGGTGGTCTGCGCTCGGGGCCGTGATGATGGTGTCCCAGATGACGGCCTGGTTCGTGGCGTTGCCCTCGGCCCCCGACGACGGCCACTCGGCCGTCACATACACAAACACCTGCTTCGTGTTCCACGTGAACAGCGACGATAAGTTCGCATCGAGCGAGAACTTGATGATAGCATACTCCTCCTTCTTGCTGCTGTAGTAGTGCGGCCGGCCGCGGACACTGCGCAACCCCGTACCAGGGTTGGTGGTTAGCACGGGCAGTGTACTTCGGGTTTGGGAGAGATGTAGACAGTGTTTGCAAAGGGTATCTATCATGACTTACACCTGGAGGCTGGTCGTTTTTAGCGTCGCAACGCTTGGCGCCCGCGGTGACGCAAAGTCAGAGGCGGCAATGAAGGCGGCAATCACAAAAGCAACGGTGGTGAAGAAGCCGAATGTATTTTGTAACCTGACCAGCGACGAATACATTGTGGGCGGTGTGCTGGTGCTCGCGGGAACCAGACGAAGGCCCGGAGGCTCAGGTAGTCGTGGGCCGTGGGCGGCGCCGACGCGCTTGATTGGGGGGGATCGCGGTGTCGAAATTGGTCACCCTGAATCGCTCATCGGTCTGTCTAGGTTGGCGATGGTTATATGGGTACCTTGCGGAAGGACCTCGTCGGTTGTCGCTTGTCGTGATCGCCGTAAGTGGGTGTCGTAGTGTCGTCCGTCCCCAAGTGGCCAGCTTCCTTCGCAAGTGTGGCTTGATAGACTCAACAGGAGGCTTAGGTTATCCATACAGAGCGATGAGGCCAGATCGTTATGCATTCATCGGGGGAGACGAAGACAGCTGGCTGACTACCAGACCAGGGTTAGGGTTGTCGTTGTCTTATTTTAGCCAAGACCCTAGGGTTCCCCAGCTTGCCAGGTTCCATATCTTATCACGGGCCTCAAGCGTGATGTAACACTGGACAGTACTTACCACGCACCACACCGAAGCCAGCTTTCTTGGCTTCACGCAACAAACTTGTAAACCAGACCTGAGGATGCAATGCGCCTGAACCGCCAACATGGGTGCGAGCGATTCGAAGCTGGTCTTCAAAAAAGGCATCTTCCGGCTTTCGGAGGAGCGAAACATTGCGCCCGACGATAAGTACTGGAACTCTGTAAGCTACCTACCCAATTCGGGTCTCTCCATCCACGATCCAAAACGGAAAGTTAACGTGCATGTCTTGTAGTTCTGGGAGCTCCCAGAGTCGGCCGAAGATATATTTAGCCTCTTTGCCCCGGCCGACGTGCGGCGCACTCGCGACGGTGCTCTCGAGAACCTGGGGACCCTCCTGCTCGCTGTGACATCCCGCCTCTTCGTCCTTCGACACCACCCGTCCTTTCCCGACCCAGAGCTCGCCCCAGAGAGGGAAGCCCTGAACTGTATCAGTGTCCTTACCCGGGTGCTCCCATATATCTACGAGAAGGAGTCATTACAACCGTGGGAGGAGACCTTCTTCTGGTCCAAGCGTCGCAAGCTCACCAGGAACGCTTCGATTGCCAGCGAGGTGCTCTTTGACGACAACGACGGAACCGAAGGACAGCTACGGGATCCGGCTGGCGAGTGGGAGGACGCCAAACCTCTTGCTGAGGAACTCATCGATACTCTTATCGACCTGCTGTTCTTTTCCGACCTGACAGTGCCAGCGCAGCCGCATAGCCGGCCCAAGGTCAGCTATGCCATTTGGCAGAGCGGCGTGGGCTGCAATACGTCCATCCCGACCACCAAGGAGCACGAGAGCAACCGGTGCGAGATTTTGCGTCTCTTGTTGACGCTGGCCGGTCAGAGCCTATACATGACGCCCAACATGCTACCTCAGAAGGGAACCCGTGCTCTCACCTATGTCTGTACCTGTCCAGACAAGCAGGTTGTCCTGTCGGTGCTGTGCTCGCTACTAAATACGGTAAGCTTTACTTGCTCTCGGGGAGTCACGTTCTTACTAATGTTTAAAAGACGCTCAAATACAACCCAGCCAGCTGGCGGGTGCCCTACAATACCCTCGTGTTCAAGGATCCGAAGCAGATCCTTGTCACTTACACTCTTCAGTTCCTCCTAGCCACGCTGCTCTACCCAATACCAGAGCAGCCTGGCGTCACCACACCCAAGAACTTCTACCGCCACTTTCTTGGACGCCTGCACAGACCACAGGACTTCCAGTTCATCGTGGACGGCATGACACGCATACTTAACCAGCCGCTGCATGCAAACTCGTCATATATCCCTAGCACGCACTCTTCTAACAAATTTGCTCCTGAGATTATCATGCTTTTCTGGGAAGTCACGCAGTGCAACAAACGCTTCCGGTCCTTCATTGTTGACACGGAAAGAGCTCATGATTTCGTGATTCTCATCCTGTTCTACGCCCTTGAGTATAAGAACGACGCATCGAAGCAGGGGGTCGTGAGAATGTGTGCTTTTCTCCTCCAGACCTTGGGCGTGGAGAAGAACTTCGGCTTGAATCTGAACAAGTCATTCGACGCCCAAGACACTCTACCACACGCAATCCGCATCGCTGGTTTCAAGGGCACATATGCCGACTTCCTCGTGCAGGTGAGTTAAGTTCGTACAGGACTTGTGATTTCATCCGGAGTGACAACTGACTTTGGGCCAGTCAATCTACAGCCTCATCACAACGAGTCAGGGGAAACTCAGCGCAATCTACCCAGCGCTTCTCGCCGTAATCAACAACATTGCTCCGTATTTCGATGGACTGAGCGCACCCACATGCGCCAAAACTATGCAGCTGTTCAACTCAATGTCGTCTCCCTCGTTTCTACTGGCCAACGAGACAAACCATCATCTCTTGCAATCCTTGCTAGAGTCGATGAATTCGATCGTGGAGCATCAGTACAAGAGTGCGTCTTTCTGGTGTCCCAGCTTGCATGGCCAGGACTTTGGCACTTGTGTGGCTTGCTTTTCTAACACGTGTTACAGGGAATCCTCGTTTTATTTTTGCGATACTAAAAAACAGAAAACGCTTTGAAGCCCTCCGCTCCTTCACATTAGAGACTGGCCAGGAAGAAATCGAGAGACGGAACCGACGACAAAAGGAATCAGGGGCCTCAAACGACCCGCTTGAACCAAGTTCGACAAGAAGCTCGGTCGATAGTCTCCGAAGTCCTACAGCCTCTCTGTCACGGGAGTCCACGCTAGATCACGTTCCCGAAGAGGACGGGACGTTCGCCATTGGTGAGGACGATGACAGCGACGACGAAGAACGCCCAACGCCGGCGCCGTCGAGTCCTAGTGAGAATCCATCCCGCGCATCTTCTGTAGGAGACGACGACGTGCCCAGACAGGTGCGTGGTATGTCGGAGAAGGCAAGAGGGAAGATGCCAGCGGGAGCGAACAGCTTCTCCCGCCAAAACAGCATATCCAGCCTGGGCAGCGGTCCCGCGTCCAGCCAATCCCAGCCCGGCGTCTTTGCGCCGTCTGCCCAGTGGATCGATAGTTGGCTTCCAGAATTGCCACTGCATACTATCCTGACGCTAATTCAACAGCTGACGGCCTTGATTCCCCGTCAGGCAGCTGCATCCGACACGGTCATGCCTGCAACGCTGCACAAGATTCAGGAAGTAAAGCTTGTTGGCGTCGACCCGTCGCCCATACGCGTTCACTCGTTTGAGTGGTCGCAACTCGCGCTTGGCTGGTACGAATCCCTGCTTTGGGGCTTCATCTTCACTAGTGAGATGCACGTCGCCAAGGGCACTGTCGGAATATGGAACACAACATCGATCAAGCTCTTCCGCGTGCAAGAGACGGCGCCACAGGGCCCTTCGCTGACCTCTCCCCGCGGAGCTGTTGATGCTGTTGGAAGCAATATTGTGTCTCGCATTGGATCAATCAACCTTCGCGGAGCCACGCCTCAAGCGCTGGCACCATCACCGGCCCCGGCTGGAAGAGGGCATACCCTCCCGCGCAATGCCTAACCAGGGCAGCCATATTGATGAGCCGCTTGTTTTAATGTGAAAGGGCACGGTGGCTTTCCTTGCTCCAGGGCACCTGATGTTCACAGATTCGGCTTCAGTATCATTATGTTGTAGTAAGTCTTCAGCAGGTTCCTTGCAGGCAATGGGGTTTACGGGAATTGGGGGTCGGTCCGAACGCGCAGACACCGTGCTGGCTGTTATCACAAGCCGCGTGTTCAGTCTTTGTCAGGAGGCAGCCCACGAGATGATCTACTCAAAGGGGCGAGGTGCAACATGAAATATTTAGAACACAGGCGCATACGCAGACGCACGAGTGAAGATCATGCAGCGCACAGTCCAAATCGAGCAAACTGTCTGTCGCACACACATACACACACAGAGCGTGTCTCTCGAGCTCTGGTCCCAGCGGAGCATTAGCCAGCCGGCATGAAGCTGACTTGGCTGGGGACTGGCAAGCCTGGAAAACCGGCAACTGGGCAAGTGGCAACCAGAGTCGCGAGCCTTTTGGTCCAATGGCGCGCAGAGCGCGTATGATCTCAGGTCCCAAGGCGAACGCAACACTGTTAGCAGTCTGCACTTGTCGGCTGTTCCCTGCACTTTCCTGCATGATCCTAGCAGATCATTTCCGAAACCCGCAAAGCGACCTTGGGGAATGCGTCAGCACCGCCACTGTTTCACCTCCATCCAACGGTTCTGGAACCCCGTCGCCCAATCAGACACCCTTGGAACCCAGGGATGCTAGCCACACACTCTGCCACACGCGGCCACAGCTGCTGGAGCTGCCACACTTTCCGCCACAATATGGGACGTTGAGTGATCTGGAACAAAAGCTCCAGCCTGCTTGGGGGCTTGTCAAGCCACGCAAGCCACCCTGGGTAGTTCCCACTGCCCACCCTTTGATGGGTCTCCTCACCTCGAGGACCCTTTAATATGCCTCCTCGCGTGAGAATGGCCCGATTATTTATTTTAGGATGAGACTCGAAGTGATGGGTGGTGGCAGAGAGGGAAACCCGAGGGCCGGGTAATAAGTCCCGGCGTGTTTATTAAGTACGTCTCCCACGCATGAATAAACAAAATACGCCTTCGGTTCTTATTACAATAGATTGCTCCTGACGTCTGGCCGATGCAACCATCCCTGTTGATGAAGAGCCCTATTTCATAACATCTTTGTTGTCACTTCGTTTTGTTTTTGTTCTGCTTCGTGTCTTGCTTTCTTATTCATCTGCCCTATGGTGTATCCCAGAGGGATTTCTATATTATTATTATTAGGCATTGTGTCGATCACTTTTCGTTCCTAGGTTTTATTCCCCGGTCTCGGCATGTAATAGACGGGATCTGGGGAAATACCACCGCGGCAATGGTAGACGCCGTCGATGCTTCGGCCGGCGACGAGGTCAAGCCGTACACTATTCACGTAAGTTTTAGTTCCTCAACACAACGCCGGGTTTCGTAAGGTACCTCTCGAACTAGTGTTTAGTTCTCTTGTAGCTGCTATTCCCCCCTGCTCACACACACATTGTAGGTGCGGACCAAACATCTAAATTTTACCAAGCAAAAACTTGAACTCACCAGGTTCCCTCACGAGGGTTCGGAACCCAAATCGACGGACTGGTGGGAGCCCAAGCCGCAACTTGAGCCTCTTCTTGACTTTTGGTAAGATATAAAGACCCTTTCCCGACACCCTTATCCGAGACTTCCGAGCGGTAGAGGGTTGAGACGGCGTCAGGCAAGACTAACACGGATGTAACCCAGGCTCGAGAGGTACTCGTGGCGAGATCAAGAAACTGCCCTGAACAAGTCGCTGCCGCAGTTTCGCACCTCTATTGCGCTTCCATCGCACGAGACTCCCCTTAGGGTTCACTTTATCCACGTCCGTTCATCACACGCGCATGCTGTCCCGCTGCTACTGATACCCCCTTTCCCTCTCACCAACCTCTCCCTGGGCCACCTCGTGAAGCCCCTGACGGAGCCACAAGATGCTGCTCGCGACCAGCCCTTTCACGTGGTGATTCCATCACTATCTGGGCTGGGATTCAGCGACGCGCTGCCTAACAACACTGCCCCGGTCCCGACTACAGCAGACATGCTCGACACTCTCATGCGCCGTCTAGAATATCCGCACTACCTCGCAACCAACAGCGGCCCAGCCTACTTGTCACCTGCCGAGATCGACTGGCGGCTAGCCCGTCACCTCGCGACGTACTACTCATCTTCATGTCTAGGTACACACTTGATCTCTCCGCCACTAACCCCGCCTAGTCTGCGATATGCACCATGGGAGTGGGCAAAGTGGAATATCGCCAGCTTCTTCCGCAGACCACTCTTTGGATACACCAAAGACGACTTTGCCGCTCTCTCGCCGGGGCGGCAATCAACCAGCTCCAGCTCGGGCGACAGCAGCAACATAGCAGACTCTGGGCTCAACCAAATCAACCTGAAAGACCCAAACACACTCGCGTATGCGCTCTGCGACTCTCCCGTGGGAATGCTGTCGTTTGTGCTCAAAGGCCTACAGACCCAAGCCGGGCCGTCAGGCGCTTTCACTGAGGAACAAATCATCACCCTGACAAACTTGGCATGGCTTCCAGGGCCCGAGAATGCAATGCGCTTCTGGGCATACTGCGCGATGCACGCTGAAGAGCAGAGGGTGGCGGAGAAGACGGTGGGGAAGCCAAGGGTTGCCATTACCGTCTTCACTAGCAGTGAAGAGGGAAAAGGAGAGGAGTTGGTAGCTACAGTAACTCCAGCAGGAGACACAGAGAAGGCTGCCGGCGAAGGGACAACGACACAGGCAGCAACAACGTCGAAAGCGCCAGCACCAGCACCAATACCAGTGGCATCGGCGGCAGAAGCAATAACGCCAGCTGCGACTACAATACCAGAGCCAGTTCCGTCGAGCGCCGAACTAGAGAAAAAAGAGGACTTCGGGCCGGCCCCGGCAAAACAAAATGCCCAATCAAGACGGGGATATGCTCCCCCAGCATGGGCCAACGCGCACTATGACGTGGTACATATTCAGAGAGCGCACGGCCACTACTACCACCATAGTAGTGGCGGGGGTGGTAGCAGCAGCGGGCTTCTTTTGGCATTCGAGCGGCCAGACGTCATCTTTACAGGCGTGAGGGGGCTGGCGCAAGCGGTACTGGCGCGAGATGCTCGACTTCGGCCCCCAGTGGCAGGTGCTGCCGGTACGGCCGATACTCACTCTGAAGGTGGGCAGCCTCCGGTTGCGCCGCTTGAGCAGGTCGTGGTTGTAGGGGACAGTAGTGACCCTCCAGCCCCGGCTGGCGGACCGCCCGCGGCTGCTCCCACTGCTGCTGCTGCTCCTACAACCATTGCTACGGCTCCGGTTATACCCACTGCCACTGCCACACCCACTCCACAGGTGGTGGTAACGAGGACCGCCACCCTGACTAAGAAGCGGCCCGAGCCCAATCGAGGGAGCAGCGGCTGGAGCTGGCGGACCAGCTACCACGACCCATCGGCAGCAACGACGCCGGGCGCCGCAGCTGTCCGCGGAAAGGGGAAAGAGGTGGACATAGCAGTGGAGAGAAAAGGCAGCAAGGGAAAGGAGAGAGAACACGAGGCGGCTGCGGTTGAGCAGCAACGGCCACAGCTCCAACCACAGAAAACCGGAACGGACAAGGAACAGCAGGGAAACTCGTCGTCGACGCTGCTGCAGCCGCCGCAGATCAAGACCCGGGACTCGCTCGTCGACGGCGAGAGCCCGGACACGCTAGTGGGGAGCTCGCCGTCGCCGCCGCCGCTGCAGTCGAAGGAGGAGAAGCTGTCGTCGTCACCATTGCCGCTAGGCCTGGAGAGGAAGGATGCTTGAGGTTCAATGCATTGAGGACGAAAAGAAGATCAGGCATGACTGGCTGACTGGTCAATTTCCGTTCATTTTTTTCTTTTATTCTTTGTTTTGGTTGTTGTCTCTCCCTCGTCCTGCAATCATTCTTCACCGTTCACTTCTTTCTTCCCAATACCACTTCTTCGATGATACCAAACATTTAGCCCCCTCCCCCTTTTTTGACCCCCGGTTCGTCTTTTTTTTCTGGAAACGGGTTTTTATTGTTTATTATTTTCCACCCTTCTCCAACAACCTACCTACATACTCTTCCTTTCATCTTTGTCCCAGCAAAGGGAGGGTTGGTGTTTCCATCCCTTGTTGCTTGGTACACTCAACTTCACACACCGTTTTCCCTATTTGCGATACCACACAGTCCGGGCCTAGTAAAACGGGCTTCGGTTTTTGTTTTACCTTGCCTTGGCTTGCCCGCCGTCATGCGCGGACTTATTATTCTACAATTATGATTAATATGTATGTGCGTTGTTGTTAGGTTGCACATGAATAAATAGGGTTGGTTATGCCTAGTACGGGGACGAAAAACAGAAAGAATACCCTATTTTCTTATCACATATGCAAGATCAGATATCCCCCGTCAGACTCCGAGCAAGGGATTGCCAAGGGGATTGGGTAGCTAGGTAGCTTAGTTTAGAGTAGCAGAGGCCATATCCATTCTAAATTCACTGCACAAGAAGCTGCGCGAGCTGAGTCGTTATTAAAAAAATTTTCATCAAAATGATCATGATATCATGTACAATAGCCTCGGACGGAAAAAAAAAACGCCAGGGCCATCTATCCACAATGCGTTCTCGAAATAACTACATGATTAAGTTCTTCTCTGGAAGCTTGGTTAATTTCGTGCCGCCTTCCTTGCCGACAAATTTTTGGGGAGGTGTTTCTGTTTCTTTTTTTCTTTTTTTTTCCACCTTTCCTCTATGTTCATTATATGTTTCTAGAAGACGTTCTCCTCCCCTTCTCGTACAGCCACTTGTTGTTCAGACTCACGCTTGACCGCTTTCCCGAGGGGCCCGAAGGGCTGGGCGTCGCAGGGCCGTCGAAGAGGCTGCTGGCGGTGCTCGCGCCGAGGGGGTTCGGGGAACCGAACGACGACCTCCGGGCCGCGTTGTTAGCTACGGCGGCGGCGGCGCCCGCCGCGACGGCCTTGTGCAGCAGGGGGCTCGCAGCCAGGCCCGTGCTTGGCGAGCCGCTGACATAGGGCGAGTTGCCGTAGGGCGAGGTGCCGTAGGGCGAGGTGCCGCTGGTCTTCCTGTCCGAAGCGATGGCGGGGCTGCCGCGGTTGGAGAGCGGCGAGCTCGCGTAGCTCTTGATGCTGGCGGGCGACCCGACCTGCGACGGCGTGCGCGAGTAGCGCGGCGGCGTGCTGTAGGTCGAGTTGGGCGTCGGCGGCCGCGAGCTCGGCGGGAGCCCCAGCAGCTTCCGCTGCGCCGGCGTCAGCGGGATGTCGGACAGGTCGTCGGCCGGCCGGAGCAGCGGCAGCAGCGCTAGGCCGATGTTGACGAGCGGCAACAGGATCAGCGTGAGGTAGAGCCAGTTGCCGTACTTGCTGAACAGGGCGCCCAAGCTGCGAGGTGACATGTTTGTTTAGCCGACGAAGAGGGTTTTGGTTTCTACATGGAAGCTGGTTTGAACTCTGAACCTGAGGGAGAACTCACGGAGTACCCGAAATATGGGGAATGAAGAATGTACGAATCAACAAGACGAGGGCGAGGCCTAGCGCATTGTAGACGATCTGCCTGACGTTCTTCTCGGAGAAGACGGTCCTGCTTTGCCGGAGTGTGATCTCGGTCAGGCGGGGGTGCTTCCAATTGCCGGGGCTTTCTGTGACGGCAGGCGGCGGTGTCTGCTTGATGGGTGTCGACAGTGTCCTTGCTGTAGGGGCCATGGCTAGAGACAACGGCGGCATTTTCCCGTCTCTATTCGCTACTCCCTGCCCTCTGCGCAGGACGGATGCGTGGTGTGGTTGGCGGGTGCGCTGTCGGCGCCTTGGTCGGATTCGAAGTCTGGTCTGGAGAAGGGAAATAAATGGGAGCCGTGTCGTTCTGCTATGATATTTGGGGGTTAGTAAATCTCGAGGGGCCGAAGCCTTGTCGCTAGTTCTAGCAACGTCTCGAGCGGCACAATCGGGGCGTGCTGGGTCTTGTCCTAAGCCCAAGCTGCTGTGCGGAGGAAACAGTTTTGAAGCGCGAAGTCAACACTAGGCGCGACAAAACCACAGCCGTTCCCTTCTTCCTTCCCTACAACAGCTGGTCGCCAGCTGCCAGGGATGCGCTCTGTCAGCGAGCACCGGCAATCACCCGACAGAACCCCTGCCCCTGAGGAACACCAGCTCAGCGCCTCCCCCGGTGCCCCCCCGCGCCCCGCCATCCGCTTTTCCCACCTGATCCAACCTGAAGCTCCCAGCCAGCGGCTGCTGCTTATTAGCAGGTAACCGTGACCTAACCTGACCAAACCTGATGATTATCCCACTTTGAGACATCCCCGACTTCACCAACACCCCCACCCCCCACCCGGGCTGAGCTTGTCCCCTTCACCAAGTTCGCACACAGGCCCGGGGCCAGGAGCTGTACGAGATTTGTCTCCTTTTTTAAAAAAATTATTTTATTTTCCAAGGCAGCCAAGTCCGAGCAGTTCAGTGCGTCATGGGCTCCTTCGACAATATAATGCTCGGCCTCGACGAGGCCATCACGGGCCTCTTCGGGCAGTGGAATCTCTACACGAGCGTCATCTTTACCATCTTCGCTGGCTTCCTAGCCTACCAGATCGCCGCGCGGCAAGACCCAGACACGCATCCGCTTCTGCTCGCTCGCCAGGCCCAGGCGTCGCCCGTGCGCCACGAAGGCGAGTCGCCCGTCTACCGCTCCCAGGCCGCCCCCCATGGCATGCCCCTCAACACGGGCTTGAGCGTTAAGGATCCCGGAGCCTCCAAGTGGGCAAGGGGTCGCGATGGCGACCTGCGAGATGTCTGGCGCCAGGCCGTCGCCGGCGTGCAGGAAGACGGCCCGTCCAAGGGCGCAACCGGCCGCATTCTCACCGTCTTGGGCACCGAGAACGTAACCGAGTATCCCCTCGACGACATTACCCGCCAGATCAACCTTATCGGCCAGCACATCCTTGATCAGGGCGGCAACCGCGTCGCCATCTACCTGCCCAACTCGGTCGAGCTCATCGTGACCCTTTTTGCCTGCGCCTTCTACAACATGACGGCCGTCATCCTGCCCTTCGACCAACCCGACGATGCCGTCATCTCCATGCTGCGCCGGTCTGCCGCTGACACGGTCGTGACCGCCCCCGGCTCCTTCCCCTTTGATATTGTCGTCAAGAACTATCCCTCTTTGCGCCAGTTGATTTGGGTCGTCGACGAGGGAAGCAAGCACATGGACTGGAACGAGGTGCCCCAGGGTACAGGCGGCAGCGTCAACGTATCTACCTGGCAGGATATTGTCAACGACTCCCCCGTCGACGCCGGCAAGGAGCTGCCTCCTATCGAGGGCCAGAAAGAGCCGCGCGACGTCACCATCTTCTGGCAGCCCAAGCCCGGCATCGCCGAAGAGATGGTGCGCTTCACCTCGGCCAACATCATGTCTGCCATTGCCGCGCTGCTATTCTCGGTCCCCACCTCGCAGCGCATGGGACCCTCGGACTTGTTCCTTCCCGCTGACTCACTAGCCAACACCCACACGCTTGTTCTGACCCTCGGCGCCCTCTACTCCAACGCCTCAGTCGCCTTCAACTCGGTCGCCGTCCAGGCCAACGACCTCGCCATCGCGACGCGCGGCATCGCGCCCACCATCATCGTCGCCACCCCGGCGGCCCTGCTCAAGACGCACCAAGAGTCGGGCGACTCGCTGACTTCCCTCGTGGCTCGCAACCTGCACTGGCTGCAGACTCGCAGCCTGACGCAGAACGGCGTCATGCCCGTGGCCGGCCTCCTCTCGAGCTACTACGACCGGTTCCGCCCGGCTCTGGGCTCCAAGCCCGGTAAGCTGCGCCTCATCTTCACCGCCGAGCGCATAGGCGCCGAAACCCCGCGCCTTTCGTCGACGGTGCTCTCGGACCTGCGCGCCCTCGCCGGCGCCCGCATCATGTACGCCCTGACGGCGCCCAAGGTGGCCGGCGCCGTCACCCAGACAAACTTTTACGACTATCGTGCTTTTGACGACGAGTGCTCACATTTTGGCCCGCCGTTAACGAGCACCGAGATCATGCTCAAGGATACCGACGAACACAAGAATACCGACGCCTTGAGCAAGGGCGAGGTATGTATCTCTCTTTCTCTTCTTCACATCTTTGCTATGAAACCCTCCCCAAGCTGAAGCTAATATTCAATTGCTAGATATTCGTCCGAGGTCCCTGTGTCGCAGGGTCCGAGGCCGCTCTAGGCGTGGCCGGTGTGATACGCGACGACAACACGCTGGCGTATGTATGAGGGAAGGACTTTTATTTTTTCATTTCATTAAACCCGATCCTAAAGATATAAATACAGCCTGGAGGCACGTTTACACTTTACGTACTACCCTTCAAAGAAAGAAAGAGTGCGATGAGAACCTCAATAAATTATCACCCCTATGCTATCTGTAATTATTAATTCTATTGGTAAGACTGTTGTTACTGCTGCTGCTCGTTCGAAATGTGTATCCGTGATGATCGGGGAAAGATGGATCTCTTGAAGTGCGCCTTGGTCGAGTCAGTTGCAAGGAGCCTACGACTTGGGTCATGCTGTCCAGCTCCCAGGTCATGGTGTTTTAGTAACCCTGACGAGTATATTTGATAACCTTTGCGAGCAGCGGGCCCATTGCGATTGGATCGAACCTGTGTTAGAACCCGATGAAACCCGACAACAAGTGAGGTACCAAAGTCCCACTCGGTTCATACTAGAACCGCAGTGCCTCATGTGTGAGAGATAGATTTGTTATCGGCATTGATTGTAAACAAAACAAATTAACCTAAAGGTAATTATCAAACCCCCGAAAAAAGCCCGGCGCCCGCCCAAAGCCAAAACGAATCCCTTCCCTTTCCCCCCAAAGTAAAATGATCAATGATTGCATGTTCCCTGTTCATAGCATACCTTTCGCCCGACATTGCTTCCTTTACATACACACATGCAAAAAAAGAAAGAGAGCACATCAGACATACGTAAAGCCGCTTTCAAGCCCAACTTAGGCGCCGTTCCTATACACCTGGGCGCCTTGGTTCCTGAACATGATGGTGTCTCTCCGCTGGAGGATCATGAGGGCGCGGTTGAGGGCGGGCTCGCTGAAGCCCTTGCCCTCGACCATCTCGCGGCGGAGGGTGGCGAGCGAGGTGCTCCAGCCGATGGGGAGGCGGCGCCTGAGCTCCGTCTCAACGCGGGCGACCTCGTCGGTCAGCTCGCGGCTGCCCATGTTGCCGCCCTGGTTGACGGCGTCCATGGTGGAGCACAGGAACAGGCGGATGGCCTCGTCGACGTGCTCCTCGGTGGCGACCGACGAGAGCGTCAGCTTGGCGAGCGACTCGGTTATGCGCACAATGGCCTCGAGCTGGCGCACTGTGATGGGAATCGACGACCGCGTGTTGGCCTCGAGCTCCGACGCGTGCACTTGCTTCCGAATGGCGACAAAGTGCGACGAGAGCTTCTCGGCCGCGGCTTCGCTGAGGCGGGGCGCGCAGCGTCTATAAATTGGTTTGGTTAGAAGGGGTGAGTTGTGAGAAGTAAGGAATAGGGGATTACGTACGACTTGCAATAGCTGATGTAGCGCCGCATCTTCTCGACAGGAATCTCAGACTCGGTCCGCTCGTCGACGCCACGGCCACCCATGTGGATTCCCATGACGTGCTTAGCAATGCGTTCATCCTTGCCACGCTCGTGCTCATCCTTGACAATGAAGATCATGTCGAAACGCGACAAGATTGTGGTTTGAAAGTCGATATTTTCACCTGGCGTCTTCAGGTCGTCGTAGCGGCCAAAGATGGGGTTGGCAGCGGCGAGGACCGAAGTACGCGCGTTGAGGATGGTAGTAATGCCTGCTTTGGCGATGGAGATGGTCTGCTGCTCCATGGCTTCGTGAATGGCTACTCGATCCTCGTCGCGCATCTTGTCGAACTCATCAATACATACGACACCGCCGTCGGCGAGCACCATGGCACCGCCCTCGAGATAAAACTCGCGAGTCGAGTGGTCCCGCTGCACCGAGGCCGTCAGACCGGCGGCCGAAGAGCCCTTGCCGGACGTGTAGATGGCGATGGGCGCTACCTTTTCTACGAACTTGAGCAGCTGCGACTTGGCGGTACCGGGGTCTCCGAGCAGCAGGACATTGATGTCGCCACGGAGCTTCATGCCGTCGGGCAGAATCTTTTTGGAGCCGCCCATCAACAAACACAAGATGGCCTTTTTGATATCCCGGTTGCCGTAGATGGAGGGAGCGATGCAGTCCGTCATTACGTTGTAAATGTCTTTGCGTCGGCTGAGCTCGAGAAACTCTTGCTCTTCCTCCTCGGAAAAGACGGACTGGCCCTTGGCTGTCGAATCGAGATCGGTTTGGATGCCGACGGCGCGCAGATAGGGAGTCCGGATTGCTACGGCACCACTTGTCGAGCCCTTGGCACCCTTGCTCTGGTAGATGGAGAAGATGCCCATCAGGGTACACCGCGAGCCGGGGACGACACGGTTGGTGAGATAACGGTCGGCCGAGATCAGAACATGGCGCGGCAGCTCGCCGACGGGGACCTGGTCGGGGGCCTCCTGCAACTTGATGATTTGCTGGTCGACAAACTTTGACTTCTCGTGGGTGACAAAGTAGGGGTCCATGGGACACTTTTCTGCGGGGTCGTTGGCCGTCCTGGTTCGGCCGCATATCCGCGGCAGAGACACGCCGCTGAAGCCGCCTGTGACGCCGAGCTCCTGGGTGTGTCCGCAATTGCGGCATTGGATGTGCAGCTGTGTCGCCTTGGACGACATAACAGAGGCGCCGATGACGATGCCGGGGACCCTGACGAGCCTCGAGATGGCGAGCGAGTCAAGGTCGCGGATCGAAACATCCTCGGCGTTGGAGTGAAGAAGCAGCTGATGTTCGGGGAGGCTAACTTTGGGCTCGTGCGGGAAGACGATCCTATGTGTGCACCGCTTCAAGGCCGCCTCAAACTGTACAGAGAGGGTGGTTAGCAAGATGCTCACAGGCAAGCAGCTACCGTAGGTATGTCTCTCTCGGCACGGGAGGTCCTTACCTGAGGAATGATGTCGGCAGGTTCGTTGACTAGTCTGTGGGCTATTTCCTCGTTGAACTTGATAAGATCGCCAATGTTGACGTCGCAGTAGTACTTCTTGAGCAGCGCATTCTCGCGGAGCTGGTCTCTGCGTCTCGAGTTAGATCTGGCGCAATGCAGTGCAGTGCACGGCAGTGCAGGGCAGCGGAAAGCAGCGCATTGCACTAACCTGTATATGTATATGTTGTCGAGTCTAAAGTCGAGAATAAAGGACTCGAGCTGGGTCCGCACTTGCAGATTTGTGTCTTCGCTTTCGCCGTAGGAGGGCGGGTAGAGGCGACTTGAGAAGACGGATTGACGGTCCATTTTGAAAAACGCGAGCGGGTGGCGCGTTTACGACGTTTGAGCGGCCTCGAAGATGTATGTGACGACCAGGTGCAGGAAGGAGACGTTCGCTGTCGGGGTCAGAGGTGGTGATGTGGTGGTGGTGGTGGCGGAGGAGGAGGGGCAAAGTACGGATTACCTTAGTCGTGGAAAGGGGGACGAATGTGAATGCCCCATCTAATGAAAATACGCGACGCGTGAAAGCGCTCCCAATTCAGTTTGGCTGGCGCGACTTGGACGCGACTTCTGGCAGGGATCTTAATTAGGAGCCAGGGTCTCAGGGCGGTCTCAGAGGCAAGCCGCGGTTCTGCCGCGTATAAGCATATAGCTTGTAAGAAACAAAGAACCAGCCACACAACGTCTAATTTATGCAAGTATCGACAAAATCCGACCGAAATAGACCTGACAGCTCCCGTCACGAATGAATACCAGAGCGAACGGCTTGGCTTGGCGACGACTCAAATGACATAGAAACCCAGCCCGATCCCGCACCAACTGTGGTGATTGTTCTTGTGAACGACCGTCGGCTCTCTTGCTAGCTATGATACCCCGGTGACGCTTTGTTTTTTTGTTTTTGTCACATTCGCCGTCCGCAGCGCCTCCCTTGGCTTCTGGCCTGTGGCCTCGTGGCCCTGTCGATTACCCTTGGCTTCGCTGTCGTCCAGCAGCAACACAGTACAGTGTACGGTAACTTGCTCATACAGACAGCTCGGCACCGATTCCTGGCCCTCCTTCTGCGCTGCAGCATTGCATGACCGCCATACCCAGACCAACCTCGCCTTGTGGCTGGGCAAGCCTGGTGCGCCATCATGTTCTCGAACTCGGGCGCGCGCAAGTCGGTCGATAGCCTGTCGCCAACCCGCTCGATTGGGTCCCGCGGCGACTTTCCTTTCCACGGGTGCGACGCGACCGATCCGTCCTAGATGCCCATCGCGGGTAGCTTCTCATTGACCAATTGCTAACTGCTCCAAAGAAAGGGTCTCAACCCGCAGAGCCCCCAGCGTCATCACCAACGCCGCGGCTCGACGGCCAGCTCGATACACTCGGTTGGCGGCTCTCTCGATTCGTCGTCAGCAAGCTGGGCAGGCGCCGTCCTCGAGACGGGCCAGAACGCCATCTCGACCCTGCTCCAGCCCCCTATCGTGCGGACCGGCCTGCTCCCCCACACGGCCGCTCCAGCTTCCAGCGCCCACAAGCCGCCGACCTCGCGCGATATACCCCCCGTCACTCTCACAAATATCCCCCATGTAGATTCGTCCGAGTTCAAGTCCTACCTGTCTCAGGTCGGCGCCTTGTATGAACAATTACGCAGAGTCCAGGCCGACGACGAGGACAGCGCTGCCATTTTCAGCCGCCGGAACAAGCCCGACGATGCTTCCGACACCCTCGCCGACGATGGCCATTTGCGCCCCGGCAGGCGTCCGGCGGCGACGCCGAGGAGGACATCGACGGCCTCCATCACCTCACTGTCCCCGATAGAGCCGCCCAGCCCTGTGCGACGGGGCAGCTCGGGCTTTCGACGAGGCGCATCACATGGCCCCCCACCCTTGTCAACCATCCCCCCTGTCTACTTTGACGACGACTTCCACCTGGAAAACCCCCGCACGTTTGATGTAGTCAGCGAGCGGTCCGAGGTTGTGCGGCCTGCGCCCGGAACTGACGATAAGACAACTTCTAATGGCAATGCTGGTGCGCCCCGCAAAGCGCTTGCCACCAACGCCATATTGCAGGAGAAGCTCTCGTGGTACATGGATACTATAGAGATGCATCTCATTCAGTCCATATCGACCGCCTCGACTACTTTCTTCACCGCCCTTGGGTCCCTCCGCGAGTTGCACTCGGAAGCTGCGGACTCGGTGGAGAGAATCAGGGCATTACGAAGGGAGCTGGAGGCTCTGGACGTGGAAATTGCGGCTGGTGGCTTGAATATTGTCAAGGAGCGGCGAAGGCGCGAAAATCTCCACCAACTACATGATGCCGTGATGCAGCTCCGAGAGATTGTCGACGGCGTTGCCATCTGCGAGTCTCTGGTAGATTCTGGACAAGTGGACGCCGCTCTCGACAATATAGACTCGCTAGAAAGTCTAATTGCGGGTGAGGCTACGTACGGCCGGCACCCCAGCATCCAGCTGAGGGATCTGAGAGGTGCCACGGCCCTCCAAGGCGTAAGCAACGACCTCGATACGCTCCGGTTTCAAATAGGGAAGGCGTACGAGTCAAGATTCCTCAGCTTACTGCTCGGTGATCTTCGTCGCCATGTCGAGCAAGTGTCAACGCAGGAGGTTTTGATGCGTTGGAGTAGCGCTTCGTCGCGCACTCGAGGGGGCCATACCCGCGAGCCATCGGCCTTCCCGTCCTACATGGCCGCGACCGATGCACTTCGGACGGAGCTCTTGTCGATTCTGACGGGACTGCACCGCGCAAAGTATCTTGCGGCGGCGGCGGCGGCATATCGAGACGCGGCCATGAGGGAAATCAGGAATATTATTCGAAAACCACTGCCGAGCTCCAGCGACGACGACAACGAATCCATGATGTCGTCGTCCACAACAACGGGAGGTAGACAGCGTTCCCAGCAGGAAAAGTCTTCGGTCCTTGCTCGAAACCTACGGGCTCTTGAGCCAAAGGAGGCCGAATACCTGCTAGTAAAAGTCTACATCGGGGTAGCCGAGACCCTGAGGCGGCTCGGCACCCAGGTCAAGGTATTACTAGATGTTGCCAGCTCAATTGGGGAGTCTGGGCCTTCGGGAATGCGATCTCCTCCTCTCAGGTCGCCTCCATTTAGTCCCACGGCCAGGCATCCGTCCACAACCGGTCTCGAAGCACAGGAAGAAATACACAAGGCCTTGGATATTGCCAACCTTCTCGGGAGAGGTGTTGACGTTGCCCAAGACAGGATTGTAAAATTGCTGCGAGTGCGATCAGAGCAGAGTTCCCACCTGGGCCTTGTTTGGTTTCTGCGGTACTTTACCCTCAATCTCCACTTTGCGAATGAGTGCGAAGCCTCATCTGGGCGCAGCGGTACAGCCCTAAAGACGGTTGTCAATGGCCATATAAAGGAATTCGTCCAACAACATGGGGATACCGAGAAACAGAAGCTCGCCCAGGGTATGGAGTCAGACCAGTGGAGCGCCCAGGATTTCGGTGATAGCGACACGCAGTTGCTGAATCAGATTCTGGAAGGGAGCACGAGAGATGCTGCCGCCTGGACCGAAGGAGCTAAAATCTGGCTCCCGCATCCCGATGAAGACGACGACAAGGAGCCTGACGTGGACGACCTCGGCCAGTCCAACGCGGCAGCCAAAAGTAAAACGAGATGTGCCATCATCGAGGAGGAGGCCTTCCTGTTGCCAAACTCGGCCGTTCTGTGCATGAATGGCATGGCACGCTTCCTGCATCTTGTTGTTGGCATCCCCTCGGTCACGGTAGACATATCGGCGTCTCTGGTCGCATTTCTCCAGCTATTTAACTCTCGCTGCACCCAACTCATCCTGGGGGCCGGGGCGACGCGTTCCGCTGGTCTTAAAAACATCACAACAAAACACCTTGCGCTAGCCTCACAGGCTCTGGCTTTTATCGCAGCCGTTATCCCGCACGTCCGCGAGTTTGTCAGGAGGCACTGCAGCTCGGGCACCAATGTGTCATCTGTCATGGGCGAGTTTGACAAGGTCAGGCGACTTTACCAGGAACACCAGAACAGCATATACGACAAGCTCGTCGAGATCATGACAGGGCGGGCGTTGGTCGGAACCAAGAAGCTGAAGGCTCTAGACTGGGAATCGCTGGCTGCCAGCTCGGTGCACGAGTACATGGAAACGCTGGCCAAGGAAACCACCACATTGCATCGCAATCTGACCAAGCACCTACCCGAGGGCACCGTGCGAATGATCATGGTCCCCGTGTTTAGAAACTACAAAGAAACATTTGGTGCCGCGTTCCGGGGGTTGGAGCCTGGCACCGAAGTCGGTCGGGATAGGTATGTATCTTGCATTACAACCGTGTTCTGAAAGACAAATGCTCACCATTATTACAGCATGCTACGTGATGTCGAGTTTTTCCAGTCTCGACTCGGGAAGATTGACGGCTTTGAGGACGCCGGCGACTATCTGTTGAAGATTATCAAGAGCAAAGATATCAGGAAACCCTCTCCGGCGCCAACTCCAGCGCCAGCCTCCGCTCCAGCAGCGACAGAGGCAGCGCCGGCGCCTACCCAGACCACCACCAGTCAGCTTGCAGAGGCGTCCCCTGAAGAGGCGGACGAGAAAAAAGCTGTGGAAGGACTGTCTGCCGAGCTCCAGGCGCAAACCGGTCAGGGCTCGAGGGAAAACGGGGATGCCAGTAGTGTTCATTAGCGACAGCCTGCTTATTCTACAATGACGAGAAAGACGATGTCGATTCCTCCGGTATGACGTGTGAGGAATGCTTTTGGGAATAGCCAGATGACAGATTCACGAATTGGGGTTGGCTAGAAGGCCGGTTGGTGGATGGGCTATAGAAAGGATAGCATGAACGTATATATTCGGGAATGAACCGACTACCTTGTTGGGCACGTTTGTAATGTGGTGGGGGTCTGTCTGGACGGACAGGCGGCAGCCTTTCACGGAGCGAAAAAGAAAGCAAAATACATGCCCTTGCCGTTGTCGCACAGGATGGATGACGACAAGGTCTTTTGGGTGAACTATCGTGACTCGAGTAGCGTGATAAAAGGGGGCCTGCGCCGCTTATTATATATTAGGCGCCGGACTCGCCGTGGTAATCTATTCTTATCTTTTTTCCCTGGCCGGATCGACGGGAAATCACCCGGTCACGGCATATCCACTGCCCAGGAAGCAGGAAGCTGGAAGCTGGAAGCTGGAAGCGGGGGGGAGGGAGCAGCTGCGGATTGCATTGGTAGGTACCTTAGTACAGTACCTTCGATAAAGATACCTGCCCGAAGAAGTCAAGAGGAGAACAATAGTAGGGGTTTTTACCGGTTGAAGAGTGCGTAACACTCAGTAGAGGCGCAAACCAGGCCGGTTTGCGCGGCCGGGCCCAAAATCCGCACCATTCTGTTTGTCCCCTCCAGTTCGGACACGCGGCATGAACCTCGAAATTAGGGGGGCGCGTAGATCCATCCGTCTGATCATGTTTCTTTTTCGATTCCTTCCAGAAGAACGTTAAGGTGGAGGAAGGGGTGGCCTAGAATCATTTACTCTGTTTTTTCTTCGTGTAACTTCTTGTTGTCTGTGTGTGAGAGGTGCCGTAGCATTTCGAGGGAAACACTGTGTGACTTTGAGAACGGCAATACGGAGTAGATTTGTTATTCGCGATTGCCTTTTTATCTTCTAGTGTCTTTTACCCCTTTGGAACTGCAGATCGCAAGAAAATAATATTCGCGCGAGTTATCGTCTGCTTTGAAGACTATTGCCAGACTATGTGTCATGGTTGCTTTAATGGGAGAAGAAGCAGCCCCCTTATAGAGTAGATGTGTAAATTAAACATGACTGCGACAACCTCATGCCTCTCCTATCTTACCTAGGCGACCACAGATTTAAAAAGAGCCAGGATGAAATTTCCTCGGGTCGCATGCAAGACAAAAGACAGCAAAAAGGACCTCTTCTGTCCCATCTTAGGCTGGTGTGCTTGTTGCCATCATCTACCAAAACACACAGCAAGCTGACCATCATGATTATCGGTGGGCGTGGCTCACCTTTTCCCTCTAACCAACCAACTAACCGAACCGAACCCAACCCAATAGCTGCCCTTCCTGTTTGCTAGTTGGTGTTAAGCGTCTGGCAAATAAGCTTACCTAGGTACTACCGCCTTCCCTTTGCGCGCGCGCGCGCGCTGTTGTTGTTAGCCTCGGTAAGGTAAGGCCATTCGGTTCGGGGCCACCCTCCGGCAGCAGCAGCAAGCAAACACGCAGCGGCCACGGGGGCGGGGCGGGGAGCGAGCGAGCGAACGAACGCGTGAGGCTGTGTGTGTGCGACCTCAACTTTCCATGTTCCTTCCTTACTTGGTTGGAAAGTCGGGTGTTCGCATGGGAGAATACGCAGTATTGTACATACGTGGTCGGGAACGCAAGGCCCGAATAGGTAGGAACAGCAGTAGAAGCAAGCCCGAAGGTGCAATGCGGGGAGATGGTGATTGGCGGCGCACTGGGTTGGGTGATTAGAGGCTGCGTGCGACTGTGCATTCAGTTGCAAGGTAAGAGTAAGACGTTAACGGGTGTTGTAGGACAAGCTTCAGGAAAATAAACAAGGACCATCGCAGTTTGGGTCAAGAAAATAAAACACATCACCCGACGGTGGGACAACACGGAAGGGCGAAAATGGCGGGAAAGGCTATTTCAACAGCGGTGAGGTCAAGTTTCCTACTAGCCTACGATGATGCTGGCCATGTTGCATCGTGCGCTCTTCTCTGCTAGCGAGGAAACGGAAACGGGAGGTGAGGTAGGGATAGGCGAGCGCAGTCGCAACAAGCCGTTTACAACAATTCACTTCACAGCCAGAGTCTTTTTCTTGAATCGTGTTATTGCACTCAACTCGCACAACCATGCCCTAAAATGGACGTAAACTGTGGCAGGGGAACAATCCGAGCAGACGCGAATCTGCGCAGATATCCTCCCCACCCCCCCAAGAAAAAAAATGTACAGAACCAAAAAGGAGACAAAATGTTCCCAAAAGGGATATCCAAAGCGACAGTAAGAAGCAGACTTGGTAGACCAAGAAATTTTCCGCCGAGTTCCCTTCTCTTCTCCGACCCAAAAGTGACCGAGAGCCCCAAACTCCCCTTTTTTTTCTGTTTTGCTTATTTTCCAGTCGGAACGCAAACGTTTCCCTGCATGGCGGTGATGCGCCTCACGCCTTTCGCCATGGCGCCCGTCATCGTTACCCCGTCCCCTCCCCAAAAAAATCTATCCGTCCTGAGAAGTGAAGGTTGATGGAATCAGGGCACGCCCTGAAATATCCATGAAGCGAGCTGCAAGGACGGGTGATCCGTGCAGCAGGTTCGGGTATCGTGAAAAGTTGAAATTCCGTCCCATCCATTGCCTTTTTATCTTTTTCTTCTAGGTCTTCCGTCATAATAATCATCATCACCGCGCGCAGCGCATGGAATGTGGCTCGCCCGCTCGCCGGTCTCCACGTCATTGGATCGAGAGAAAAAAGCACAAGAGGCGAAAGCAAAAGGGGTCCGCGGTGGGAAATCTCCGATTCTGCCGCCTTAGTTCTTGGAGGCCCACCGGCCCTGAACGAAATCCCGGGCAAAGACAGGCGCGTCAAGAGTCTCCTCGGAGAGAGAGCGCGAAGCCAGCAAATCGTGGGGGCTGGTGCCGAGGGTGCAGTAGAGGTCAGAGCCGTGGGTGGCACGGGTCTGGACGTCGTTGGGCGCATAGTAGGCAAAGTTGCAGGGAAAGAGGTCGCAGCCCGAGAAAGGCTCGGGGCTGTCGACGGGCCACATAACCTTGACACCGACGTGATCAGAGGGGTTGACGATGGCCGAAACGTCGAAGAAGGTGATGCCGTTCCAGGAATTGAAGGCAACCTCGCCGAGCATGCCAGGGACCACCGGCTGGCCATCGACGACGGCGAAAAAGTTACCAATCCACTGGTAAGGAATGTCGACCGTGACGTTCGTGAGGCCCTGGACCTGGACAGGCTTGATCTCCGTCATGCCGGGGTTGCCGGTGAAGTAGAGAGTGCGGTAATCATCATCCTGAGAAATGAAGGTGATGGTGTTCTCGGCGGTGGCCAGAACGGCGGCAGCCAGGAGAGAGGCGATCTTGAAGAACTGCATGATGGATGGTTTGCTGGAAGCGGTATCTGAGACCGTGTTGTTTGGTGTCTGTAAAAGGAGTGGGTGACTGGAATGATAGTCTTGGAGGTTTGTAATGAGCGAGAATTTAGTCTCTCAAAAGGTGTGTCGACGGCCTCCCTTTATGGTACTCGGACAGATCGAGATCGTTGGATATTGTCTGACAGCTGAAGAGCAGAGAGAGTTTTCGTTGACGAGTTGCCGTGAGGTGATGATCAAGAGACAAGCCACCTGGGGCCTTCAGAAAGGTTGAGTTTGAAAGGAGTGTAACCCGTACAGTGTAAAGCAGTGAACAAGGAAGGCAATGCCAGAAAACTAGCTAGTAGTGAGTGTGGTTGGAACAACAAAAAAAGAAGATGATGGAGAGACAAGAGGGAGGGGGAGGGGCGCCCGCCACGAGGGGGTTGGATGTCTCTCCTTCATATACATGGCATGTGCTGGGCAGCAGGAGGCCAAAAGGGCTCGAGAGACTAGACCGCCTGCCCGCTTAGTCGAGAGACTGGGCAAGAGGAAGGGCAAAAAGACTTGAAGAAACGTCAGCTGCCGGGGGTGGGTCCAAACGACAACTGCGCGCCGTTCGGTAGCGTGAATCAAGAACTCCGTACCGCTAGTCAGTCATGGAGGGTACATAGTACCTTGGGTACGTACTGTGGCATACTCGGCCCCACCGGCTGACCCAACGAGGAGGCCATACCGACGGTGAAGGCCAATGTATCTTCTTGGACATATTGCCGAGGCCGCTTCTTCTCACTTGCCTTTGGAGCCAGACACCAACACTCAACAAATAGCCCAGCCCAACGAGGCGTCAGCGAGGCTGCAAGAACAGGCCGCGATGGGGAGGCTTGAGGTTTGACTCTCGGCGACCTTGGCCGCAGAACAAGCTGTCTGTCTGGGGTGCCTCAAACGAGATAATCACATAAACGGCAGCAGACAACCATACAGCCTGGCATGACTGTAGATGGGACTTGGGGTCTCCCACTCGGGGCATCCATGTTGGTTCCAGGTCACGTTCTGCACAAGTACATACCATACACCCGTCTAAGAGAACTACCCTATATACCAATGTATGTGATGTACCTTCATCAGTACTGCAGTGTAAGTGAGCCTGCCGCCGACCTTGGGCATGTGAGCCCTGGGGGGTAATTACGCAGTAGGTACGGTAGTGGTGTAGACAAACTCTGCGCCAGAGAGTCAGTGAGACAAAAGGAAACACCGGCACTTGGTCCGCGTGGCCCTTGGCACTTCCAAGTTTCCAACTCGGATGTGCAGACGGATGCACTGGCTGCCAGGGCGAGGACGAACGGAGGGGCATGGACGGGCGGTAGTCAAGACAAGACTTGGGTCCCGGCCAGAGAGAAGGGCTCACTCAACCCCCCTTGGACGTGGCCTGGAGGAAAGAGAGCCGATTACAGAGCGGCCCTTTGGGGAGGGTGTGTGGCGACAGGCCCGGATTCGCTAAGCCTATTTTAGCTGCATCGGCCTTTTCAGGCACCTCTGCCCCCTCATTGGCTGTAACAGAGTTTTCGGCGCCGGGTACCTGACAGCCCCCCGAATGCCCCCCTGCAGCGGATCCCATGTGTCCCACTCTGACAGGCCCGTCTTTTTAGACTTTCGACTGTTCTTCCATGGAGGAGAGAGGCGGGGTTGTCGTTGTCTCCCGCGCTAGCAGCCCGGGTCAGCAGCAACCTAGCAGCACCGCCGCTGTGCTTCTCCCCTCCATCCCTCCGCCGATGCGCGCACGTTGCGTGATGATGCGTCACCAACACCACCCATACCAAAGGGGGAAAAAAATCATAACGCTGCCCCCCATCCCCCCGCTGGGCGACGCGTATCCCCAGGGCCCAGCCAGAACCGCGCCCATCTCCGCGCAAACAAACATAAGACCCAACTGGGCGTTATTTCGTTGGCTTGCGCGCGAAGTACAGCCCCAGTCCCTCCCCCGGATTATTTGTCCCCGCCGCCAACAGGACGAATAGGTAGGGACATGGAAGGCTTGGGAAGGGGAGGAACAAAAACCTGAATGCTGGGATGTGGGGGGTGAGCGGGCGGGAGATGGAAACAAAAAAATGAAAAAAAGAATTCGGGCGGGTTTTCTTTCCCCTCTTTCCATCATCCTACCGATCCTTTGCGCCTGCCGTAAACAGACATTTTTCCACTCCGGACTTGACTTATACGCGGTCCGCAGTAAGTAGCTGTGATCGAGACTAGGTTTTCACACTGAACGCCTTTTTTTCTTTCCTTTGGTGAGTCTTCTCCCCTCTTTCTTGACGCGGCCTCTGTGGTGGTTGGGCGGGGACACTGTCTCACTTCTTTTTCGTCCACGTCCACGTTCTCGTTCACTCATATTTTTCGTCGGTGAGCGAGCGCCAGCGGACAGATGCACTCAGGTCGGTCGGCTGTCCGGCTCCGCGGACCCGGCTGGGCGAAAACTGAAAAGGATGAGCGAGATCGAGGCCTTCGTTGTCGGCTGTGGTAGGAGTATATTTGCACATGAGACAACATACTTCTGCCGAATAGTACCTCACCCTATGCCTCACTGGACGCCTCGTCTAGAAGTGTAGAAATGACAACGTGACGACTCAAATATGTACAGTCCAGGTACATACAACAACGTACACGCGCAAGCGAGCGTTGCGAAGCCCTATCGCCATTGGATCCACGGCGGTGGTGTGTGAGGGGCTAGCGGACGGTGGTGTGGGCGTTTGTAGTTGTCGAGATGAACCGAACAACGCATTCATATGTATACATGGCTCGGCTCGAAGGTTCATCTTATCTCTAGCCGGCATCCTGTATAGTGTTGCCCACAGTTCCCGGTGTCAGCCCGGCCAAGTATTGATGAGCACGTGGGTGCTTTGTCATGACGGATATTCGGTTCAATGGTACCTGGATCCGCTCGCAGACTTTTTTTCACCCGACGGCAGGATGTCGTTCAGGAGAACCAGTTAGAGAAGCCCAAGGGTGAAGGGCCGCACTCACTCCGACATTCTAGAAGCCAATTCTGCCGAGGAATATCCCGTATCTCGCCCCCAACGGTGCAATGCCAAAGGATATGAGAGAGGAAAAGTGGGAGATCTTCCCGTTCCGTTCCGTTCCAAGCCGACTGACTGGCTAGGCCCGCCACCGTCGAGGTGTAGATCTGGACTTGAAAATCCAGGTTGTGTGGGCCACTGAGCCAAACCGGTCGACGGGCCGACTACCGTCGTAATAGTACCCTGTGTTTCTCTTTTGGCAAATGGCCGATCCATCAACCTTGACAAGACAGACAGGTTTGTGTGACTTTGCCAAAACTTTCGACTTGCAAACCTCGTCTTTTGTTGGGGTGAATTGTTTCCTCTTTGCAGAAGAGATGGATTCGGAGAGAGATCCGCGTCGAGTGGCGCAGAGCGGCGTTCCAGGTTGGGACCAAGTTACCCAGTAGCGGGGACGGCGGATTGACGGCTTGGATGAGAGGTGGTGGTAGTACCCAGCAAGAATGTTCCGTTTTTTTTTTGGGGACGAAAAGGAATTTGAGTTTGGCCCAGGCCCTTCTCCTTTCCCCTCATCAAACGCCGCAGCGGTTTTTCCTGCGCCGCGGAAGGAATCACCCAGCGGATCGATCGGTTCTCAGATTGCCCAACAGATAGGCTGCCTAGAAGGGTGTGCGTGTGGGTGGGAAGCTTATCGTTACACGGCATTGGCGAGTGAGAAACCTTTGGCTTTGACATTCTCATCTTCTGACATTGACACCGACGTGTTCGGCTTTGGCAGCTGAGAGACAACGTAATGGAAATGGCACTGTATGTAGGTGCCGGTAGGTGAGCGACTAAAGCTTAATCGTCGAGGGCCGCTTGGCTGATCACAGTGTTGGGTTCGGGCTTGGACCGGACGAAATACCGCCTAGACTGACGGCGGCCACAGCCTTGGGACCAACAGATGGAAGTGCTAAGGCGCGCTTACCGTCACACAAGAGGACACACAGGAAGATCAGACGGGCACCGATACAGGAGCCGCTTGACAAGAATAGCATCAATCCTCCATTCTGGCGCAATCAATTGTAGGCCCGGTTGCTGTTTACCACCCAACAGAAGATCGCGCCTATGCCGCAGAGCTGAAGAGGTGAACATTGAAGCGAACTTGACTTTGAGGCGCCCTAAACATCAACAGGCATGAGCACATATTCTAGAGCCTAGAACTCCTTTCACCGAATAAAATCGTCCCCGAAGATGAGTAGCCGAGGGAATGCCGCACTTCAATTATCTTGTGGAGTGCTAGTAAAGGCTACTTCGCTTCTTAATAGGGATATTGGTACCGATTCTCGACAACGTGATCCTTCCCTGACTCTGGCATGTCAATCTGCAGCGCTGCCGGCATCAATATCTAAATACTATATTCATGTGCCGTCTCGAACCCAGATGAAAGGCACGAACATCGAACTCAAATCACATCAGGGCGGCAGATTGTGTGACTTGTTTGCATGCTGCATGTGGAAAGACACTGCCGCCCATCAATACCGCTATTTGGCGAGTGATCATAAGCGTCCCGGTCTTGGAACGACCGTGTCTTGGCCAGAGTGTGCTTCCGCCCAGGCATCATGTAATTACTGGGTCCCTGTCATCCTTTCCTCGCTCACCGCTCATCTCCGAGGTCAGTCACTCATCACCGTTTTGCCTTTACTCATCGGCCTGTGACAATGCCCACAAACCTGTAACTTCTGTCTATATTCCTCGCCACTGCGGCACTTGTCTCCCGGTATTGGAAACCATAACAGGTGTTGGATAAGCTCGCCGTTTGGCATCGTCCAAGGCGTGATGCTTCAAAGGGCTTGGTTGTCTAGCAACTAGTTTCGCGAATACCGAAACTCCGTGTAATCTGACTTGGGTGTTGCCAATGGAATTGGTATTGGTAGTAGAGAGCCCCGTCGACCCATCTAGTACGCAGGATCGCCTCCATCGGATGCCGTAGAACCCTCCGGGTTCTCCTGGTGGATAGCGTCTTCAATATTCAGGAACTCTAATGAGGGTGGCTCCTAGCGGTCCACCATGTTGGCAAGCTCCATTCTTGAACGAGCCTCACGGATGAGCGCCTTGGCTTCCTCGACCTCGACGCCATCCTGGCATAGTTCTGTTGCCAGCCGGTTTGCTGTCACGTAGTCCTCGGTTCTCATTGCGTTCTTTGCAAGCCACATGCGTGCTTTGCTGGTCGCGACGGTCACACCAGTACCTTCGCCCCCGCCGCCTCTCTCGGTCGCTTCTGCTTCTCCATCTGACGCAACGCCGGAAGAGTCGCGATGGATCGCAACCGAGTCGCCCAGACCTCCATCTTCCTGCGCTACGCAAAGCTCCATGTACGCCTTGGCCTCGTCCTCTTCGTCGAGACGGTCGTACATGATCGCAATCTGGAGCAGGACCTCTGGGTCCATCTGGGCCATGCGATCAACAGCGCCTGCACTGCCGAAGCTGCTGGATGTTGAGTCGTAGTAGCTGTCGGCGAGAAGAGCTCTCTTGAGCGCCTTGATGCCGTCTCGATCACGTCCCATCTTCTGCAGGCAAGAGCCAACAGCCTGCCACATCTTTCCATCCCAAGGACGAAGGCCGGCGGCCTTTTTGTAATACCAAAGAGCATATGCATGCATCTCCAAAACCTCGTAAGTCTGCCCCAATCCATACCAGGCACGATAATCCCGGCGGTTGACGTCCACAGCTCGGCGATATGATTCGATTGCTGCGTGTGTGTTTTTGAGCTCCACGTATTCGTGCCCCATGAGCGTCCAGGCTGACAGACACGAACGATCTAGGGTGAGGGCCCGGCGAAAGTATTGGACGGCGTTCTCGTGAAGCGACAGTAACGAGTAGTAGTTTCCGATCACCACGCAGGATTCCGGCCTGAATTTGTCGATGCTCGAACAGAGGTGGGCCAAAAATGCCAGCTTTGGCCGAAGGTTCAGAACGTACAAGATGTTGGAATAATGATCCAGAGAATCTAGTCGATGTGGGTGAAGTGCCAGCAAGTTGCTAAAGTCTTGCTCGGCGGCTAGTAAGTCCTTCATGTGGTAGTTGAGCAGGGCTTTGCACGTTAGCAGGAATGAGGACGTCGGGAATATTCCCAGAAGATCGTTCAAGGATGCGGCGAGGTCTTGCCCCTGTTGATAGAGATTTACCGCCGTATTTGCGTGGAAGATAAAGGACATGATGTTTTGGGGGAGGTGCGGTGCAATTTTATTAAGCTGCATGCTATTAGCTGCGAAACGGGCAGAAACGGCCTAGGAGAGCCCGGGGAAGAGGACGGAGAAGGGACGTACATGCTCAACTCTTGCAATGAGGTTCGCGATCTCTAACCAGCATCCCCAGTTCCACGGAAAGAGGTGAACACTCTGCATGAGGTAATCCAGGGCGACGCTATCGTTCTTCTCCTTCACCAAGACCATACCGTAGAGATACTCGAGGAAACCTTGGCTTGCTGACAGCTCGCAGTCTTCAGCCTTGCGTTCCGCAAGCCACCTCTCAAGGAAGCGAGTGACGACGAGCAGCTGCTTGTTTACTACAGAGCCGAGATCTTGAGGCCCCATGATCATCTCCGAGTCTTCGTCTTTGCGCTTCTCTCCGGAGATGACCTTCGCATAGAGCGCCAAGAACAGGCTCTTCTGGCTGATGGCAGGAAGCGACTGCTCCGCTGACGGGGCGGCGGTAGCTTTGCCCTTGCCCCTCGGAGAGGTTGTGTCATTCGCCTTCGCCGAGAGCAGGCCGGCTAGGAGAGACTCCGGCAAGAAGACGGCGGCGCATCGATCGAACTCTTTGCAGTCGAAAAATGTCTTGGCTAGCAGGTACTTGTTTAACTCCTTAGCCTCGAGAGCGGCCTCGAGGGGGTCGGCATTGGGCGCAAAGGCGGGATGCACCTGGGATCCTGGCATGCTCGACGCTACCTGGCCCAGTTCGGCCGCAGGAACGTCTGGGAGAGCATCGAGGAGCTCTGCCGCCCTATTCACCGCGTCTGATCAGTCTACTGTCTATCAAACTCTAGGCCGCACCCGATGTCCTCACCATTTTGCCGATTGATAAAGACACCGCTCGGAACACTTGACGGCCGCTATTTGCAGAGCCTCCTTGAGGTGGAGGGCATCTTTTGCAGAAAGGCCCATGGCGCGAGCGTGTCCAGGTCCCAATTGTCGGGCTGCCAAGCCGTTTTCAGGTTCAGCGTCGGGTGCTGTTCAACCGGCCTATACGCCCGCCTCAAGACAAGGCCTCCTGCAAAGGGGTACAGTCAAGGCAAGTGTCTAGTAGCAGATACCAGATAGGTAGGTGCTGCGTCTGTGTACGCTCGTCGATGATATCATCTAAAGCGCAAATCGTCTAGTGCTTTTGGTGTTGCGGCCCACGCGTTCAGCGACGCGCTCTGGCGGCACCCCTCATCGCTGGGAAGTCACCAGCTCCAATTGCCATTGTGGTTGGGGCTCACCGCCTTGCGCTACTGGAGGGGTCCCTTAAATTGGCACAACGGCTTCACCCCCACCTTTTGAGGGGTGGAAATTGGAGATGGTGCTGTAATCCATGTGTTGCCGTCGAGGCTTCCGTTTTCTGAGTGAATCACAGTTCAGCGCACGGACCCAAGATTTGCCCTCATTCCTGGTGCCCCGCGTACCAGCTGCTGGATCGCGAAGTCAACTCTTGACGATAGATACTTTCATGCCCTCGGTCCCTCCCCACGATTCTGCCTTTCCTCCTCCTCCTTTCCTTTTCTCTGGCTCTGGTTTCGTGTATTCTAGCCGATGGCAAAAATGCCGCACTCAAGCTCAGATGTGCAAGGCGACGCAATGCAACATGACCCGCCGCACCTCTCGACGCCCGGCATTTGAGGGACGGATCAACTTGCAAGTCTTTCGATTGATCCGCGACTCTCCCCGATCAGCTGCGCTAGGAACTACGCCTGAATGAGTTCGAGATCCGCAGGCTGGGTAGAAGCTGGCGTCTTAAAACAGTAAGAACCTCAATTCCATAACGCTCGCTTTCAAGGGATAAGTCAGGCAAACCGCCGCTAACAGATCTACGCAGCGGATTGAACACCTGAGCGCCAATCTAGCAGGAGCGCTGATGCTTGCTTCGAGGTAATGCCGGCCAGTCATATTAGGACAAGGGGTAGAAACTGAGCCGCCAATGAAAATTTTGGGACTCCAGGTATAAGCTGTGGAGTCCAAGGACAACGAGGTGAAGACCCCCTTTTTCAGAATCTCCAGCATCTAACCACAATATAGATACTATGTTTCTCGAAGCCGGAGCACTCACCGTAATACCCTCAAACTGCCATCTATTAGCCGACAACTCAGACGTGTGCCTATCGAATAGACGGGCTGGATTTATGGACGAGAAGAACAATGTATATGAATAGGGTACGGAGTTTGGCTCTATTTCTCGGAGTTGGTAATAGATATCCCTACAAAGAACTGGAGTAGTTACGGCCGGCCTTTAATTAGAAATAGACAAGGGATTCATAAGTAATATTGTAGCGACGGCGACCGGTTGGTTCTTACCCAACGATACAGACCTGAATACGAAGGCGCGGCCCAGTAGAATACTATCTCTAGGACGGAACGGCGTGCCTGGCCGTGTCAGGTTGGAGCAGCGAGGAGTTACCGAGAGGGGGAGAGTCTTGGCAGGGCTGGCCTTGAGCGACAATGTGTCTGTTGGTGTCTTTGGTCACATGCTTCGGTTCGGCAGATCTGGGTGCTAGGCAACGGAACTATTACGGCCATTGGGAGACGATCTGGAGCCTGAATCCCCTTCCAACTCTCGCAGGTCTAAGGTCTCGCAAGATGGCGGCAGTAACTGAACCGGCCATACTAACCAAGGCATCTCCTATGGCGATGATTCAGAGCCCCAGACCTGATGGGCCGTTAGCTGGCTTTAGTGACGGACGAATTATCCGAGGAGCAGAGATGAAGTGGGCTTACCGACGACGTATTTATGAGACGGGCGGTTAAGGGTTAGCAAGCCCTTTTAGGTGTGATCGACTCCGTAATTTTTCTAGGGGATGCCACCTTGGGGCGGTACGGGTGCTTCTTTTTGTTCACGTTACTTCGGTCTAAACGTATGCCTGGGCTTCTCTGTCATGCATCCCACCCACTAGAATCACGTTCTACACCGCGGCACCATTACCAGTGTTAGAACAACAGCGAGCAGATCTCATAGCGGTAAATGCAGGCGAGGACCTGGTATTTGACATCGTTTTTGTGTGCGGCCTCTTCACCTACCCCTAGCTACGCCAATCCACCCTGCCCCGCTCATTGCCCAGGAGTCTAAAGACAAAGCCCGTCCATCTCCTTCCACCGATGTTCAGACCAATCCAGCCAGCGCCAACGATCATTGGTGCTCGTGTGTCCGCCGCTCAAGGGTGTGGTTTAAGCACAGCATGCAACCGTCGTGGCCAAATTTTGGAGCTCGGCTACATGGTGACTTTTTGGTGCGGGGTGTTGCCTGAGTTGCCGTCTTGGCACCCCCCACGGTTCTGATGTTTACTTTGCCCCTTCTTCGACGGCCAAAGGTATATATAACCACAATCACAATATGATATGATATTTTAGCTAATTTAATTCAGGTTTCTTGGGCTCGGGATCCTTTACCGTTCAATATCTCATAGTCCGAAAAACTTGATATCCTCCGCTGGATACACCGGCACCCTATAGCCCACCCCCTTCGCAGAAACTCCAGTCAACAACAGCCCAAACATCTGCGTCGTACACCCCTTATCCGGCATATCGGCCTTCTCACTCAACGGCTTTGCGCATGCCGCTGATTGACCTGCCCTTTTGTCTCGGTCGTTTCCAGTCGATTTTGACGCCTGTTCCCTCGACATCACCACCCCATACCATCGGAGAATTATTCACGAAACGCAAACGTCGCACCCTCCCTCGCTATCGCTGGGCTTACTGTAGTAAGAGTGTAGTATTTTGTGAGGTGTCGTCTTTTCTCTAAGGACTCCAACTGACTTTTATAGGGCGTACGTATTATTGGCGGTGACTTTAGGTGGTGCATAATCAATGTGAGCGCCGCTGACTTATTACTAGGGAACCTACCCACTAAGCTAACAAGACACAGTGACGGAGCTATTGTAGGTTGGGGAGCCCGAGACGGCTTCTCCGGGAGATGGGCCTCGGGGGTATGTCCGGTACGCTGCTTGTGCCGGTATGGCTGCTGGTGGTCTATATTAGAGGATCATCACACGGCTAAGCCCCTAGCCTCTACCGGCCTCCCAAACGGTCGTTGTACCTCGTGTGCCACGACATGGTCTCCGCCGGTCTATTTTGCACCACAATAAACTGACCACAGCAATTATATACCTGGGTACCAACACCCTCCAGAAAAGCCCTTGCTCCACATTGCTCCCGATAGAAAACTAATATGTCCTACAACAGTGCCAGTGCCAGTGCCACTATGGCAACCAAGTCCATGGCTCCCTTGCCCCAACACCGCATCCTACACCATCTCCGCCTAGAATGGGAGTCACATCACCAGCGACTGGTGTACAAATATAATGCGGTTCACTCCTTCCTTTACGAGCCCGACATCAAGGACCTGGACCACGTCGCCGCGGATATGACCCTGGAGCAAGTCGATTTCTATTGTGATAAGTCGGTTACCGTTTACATCATGACGGCGGAGAAAACACTCTTCCCTTAGGCTTACCTACTACTCGAGATGCTTCATAACCACCTTTACGACAAATGGTTTCGCCCCTACCGTAGGGAGCTCGAATACGGCCAATTTCTCGCCAGGATCATCGTGCCTTAGTACCTCTCGCTCCCTACCGGCGAGGGCCTGGCGACGTGGTTGACATCGTTATTCCCGTTCACGTGGCTATTAGCAACAGAGCGGAGAAAGCTCGACTTGCTTTTAAGGAGCTCGGCCCCAGCCTTTAGAATAAGTGTGTGCTTGAACCTAGACTTCCTAGGGAATACAGGAAGGGGCTTGATAGTAATCAGTCCCTTTCGTCTATCATTCGATATCAGGAGTTTTTTATTCTCCAGCCACTCTTCCGGGCCCTCGCCATTGTCATCTGTGGCGAGTCATTTAACGATCAGGTGTTGGATATCGGGCAGCTTAGTGTCCTGGTCATCCGTACCGGCGTGGAGGAAGGCCTAAGTGCCCCTATCTCCTTCGGCCCGATCGCCCACCAGATTAGCGCGTTTTTCCACGGCTCCCACGGCGAGACAGCTGTTGAGACGGCGCTCGATACTGCTATTGACTTTGTGATGGATTTGGAGGAACGCGAAATAGCAGCGTTTGGTCTTCGACCTGATCCTGTTTTTCAAGGTCCGAGTTTTCGACATAAAGCTATCCGACTGGGGTGGGCCCGGTGGGGGGATGACCCTTTAGTCGGGCCAAGCTCTCAGTGGGTTGACCTAGAGAAGATGACGAGAAGCTTGGATGGAGCGAGCTCGAGGTTGAGCTCTGGAATGCGAGGGTGGAGAAGGAGCGGATGCGGGCCGCGGGAGAGCTCAAGACAGCATAAGCTTCTGGGGAAGTGTCAGGGGTTTTATCACCAGTCTGAAGGAGTGTAACAGGGGCGCGAACGGGGCAAACCACATCGGCTGGACCATGAACGTCGGAACAACAAAGCAGCTCGCAAACCTTTGTGCTATGGTGGATTCAAAGCTGCCTACCTACCTACCTAACCATTTCCCTGGCTATCTGGCGGTTTGAGAGCAAGAAGCCCTCATGTATTTGGGTGGGGCGCCCTTTGAGAACGCGCAGGCTCGTTTCATTTTCTCTTGGGAAGGAAGGCATTGTGAGTGGTGGGGGTCCACCAGGCAGTCCAGCTGCTGCGAAGCGGCGACTCGGATGTTGCCCAGTCTCGCATGTGGGATGCCGACGCGTCCGGATATGCGCGCGGCGAGGGAATAGCTGCGGTGATCTTGAAGCGCCTCAGCACTGCGATCGCAGACAGAGATAAGATCGAGTGCATCATGCATGAGACTGGCTCAACCAGGACTGCCGGACTAAGGGCATAACCATGCCCAGTGCCTCCGCACAAACCGACCTTATTAAGCAGACTACGCAAAGGCTGGGCTGGATCCAAGTGACCCCAGTCAGCGCTGCTAATACTTTGAAGCGCACAGAACCGGAACTGCGGCAGGTGATCCTAAGGTAAGCTTTCCTTTCATGTCTGCACCTCTCAGTGTGGGATGTGGGGCTTTGAACCAGCGTTCCTTCCTAGGACAGCATCTCAAATTTAAACCTATTGAGCACCATGCTCCGCGGTTATAGCCCCAAGACGATGGTGTGCAACCGTGAATTGGGATGCCGCTTTGGAGTTCCTGAGAAGACTTTGGCAGGTACTCGTGGCCCGAGCTCAGGGTACCTCTGGAGGGTGGTTGAGGGTCCCGAAAAGAGCGGGTCAAGGCTAGCCAGAATTGGCACTCAGGACGGCAAAACATGAGCTTTTCCTGTGCTGTGCAAAATGATAGTTCCCCGGCCACCCGCCGCCCGACCCTCGGAGATCTCCCAAATATATCCACCGCGATATCTTGGGAGCACGATTGCCCCTTATTAATCCCTCTTTGTCCTAACACTGGGCTCCCGGTTGATTTCAGTTTGGGATCCCAATCGTCTTCTCTTCTCGCCCAAACACACAAATCCGCACCGCATTACCCAAACGATCCGCTCTCGAAGTCCAAAGTAAACCGTAAACATGGCACAGAAGACGACCCTCAAGGAATTCGAATCCGTCTTCCCCAAGCTGGAAGAGATCCTTGTTGAACATGCTAAGAAGTACAATCTCCCGAGTGAGCAGCTCGACTGGTACAAGCTGGTGAGTGTGCTGCCATGCTGCGCCGTGATCCCCGCGTGGCTTCTGCAACAAAGACCCAGGACATTTCGACGCGGTGTCTCTGGAGATTGAAGAACCAGAATTTGACAAGACCATTTCAATTTCTCTGCAGAGTCTCGAGACGAACACTCTCGGCGGCAAGTGCAACCGCGGCATGTCGGTGCCCGACTCGGTGTCGCTGCTTCAAGGGCGGGCTCTGACCGAGGACGAGTACTTCCACTCGGCGACGCTGGGGTGGATGACGGAGTTGCTGCAGGCCTTCTTCCTAGTGTCGGACGACATCATGGACAGCAGCATCACGCGGCGGGGGAAGCCGTGCTGGTACCGACAGGAGGGCGTGGGCATGGTGGCCATCAACGACGCCTTCATGCTCGAGTCGGCCATCTACACGCTGCTCAAGAAACTGTTCCGCACCCACCCTCGCTACGTCGACCTGATCGAGCTATTCCACGAGGTGACGTTCCAGACGGAGATCGGCCAGCTGTGCGACCTTCTGACAGCGCCCGAAGACGTGGTCAACCTCGACAACTTTAGCATGGACAAGTACCGCTTCATCGTCATCTACAAGACGGCCTACTACAGCTTCTACCTGCCCGTGGCCCTGGCCCTGTATCAGCTTGACATTGCCACTCCCGAGAATCTCAAGCAGGCCGAGGACATCCTGATCCCCCTGGGCGAGTACTTCCAGATCCAGGACGACTACCTTGACAACTTCGGTCTGCCCGAGCACATTGGCAAGATTGGCACCGACATCATGGACAACAAGTGCTCGTGGCTCGTAAACCAGGCCCTCGCCATCGTGACCCCCGAGCAGCGCGAGATTCTCGCCGAGAACTACGGCCGCAAGAACAAGGATAACGAGGCCGTTATCAAGAAGCTGTACAACGACCTCAAGCTCGAGCAGCTGTACCAGGAGTACGAGGAGAAGCGCGTGGGCGAGATCCGCGCTTTGATTGCTAATATCGACGAGAGCCAGGGCCTGAAGAAGGAAGTTTTCGAGACCTTCCTGTCCAAGATTTACAAGCGCAGCAAGTAAAGGAGACAGAAGGAAAATAGAGCTGAGAGTAATTGGATGTCCAACTCTTTCTCGGTTCCGGCTACAAATTTTCAACCTGTGGATTTTTGGGATGAAGTCACGAGCATACGCAAAGTGGAGAGCGAGATGAATACCTTGAGGCACTTGCGAGCGGGGCAGGAAGAAATAAACAAATCGAAATGCAACTTGAGCAAACCTGGCGGGATTCATTGCGTCTATCTGTTAGCGGTGGACAGCAACCCGGCCCGCCGTGGCCGGGAACTGCCTTGACCGCGCAAAGGCTGTTGAGTACAAGTGATGTTTAATGATGGTCGATTCTATCAACGTCTTCCTTTATACACACAACATACACTATCTACAACAACATTCTGGCCACGGCCTATATAACCAAGGAGAAATAAATACAGTATTTCGAAACAAGTCGAAGCCAGGAGTCGGCCTGTTGCAAGTATGGTAGCGTGCTGTCGAGCCCGCCCATTACTCACTCCTCCCATATCTTTCTTCGACGGTCGCGTGTTTTCCATGGAGAGCACCATATTCGAACAAACAAACAAAAAACAAAACGAAAATTTCTCCCGCCCAAAAACCGTCCGATACCCATATGTATTGGAGATGGATCATGTTTTCATGCTGCCGCGCCGCCTTTTGTTTTTAAACCTTCCTCTCCCATTCCCACTCTTGGGGAAACAAACAAAAGAAAACTCCTAGAGCAAAATTAAACACGCTCGATAGGTAAGGTAGACCTTTTTCCCCTCTGCCACCCTTTTTTTCGTCCACGTTTGAGTGCCACACACCCCCGCGAATATTTGAACATGGGACCCAGCCCCCCCGCCAAAGAACTCCCACGGTTTTGTCCCCGGCTGCCGCCCCGGACTGTAACCCCGAACGAAAGAAAGAAAAAAACCACCCATCCCGTTTTTGATTGTTTTTGCCATTCAGCCGTCATGAACATCTCATACACATTTCTTACAAAAGAAACCAGGAAGAAAAAAAGTTAGTGTGAGAGATTCAAGCCATCATTGCCTGAAGCTCCCGCTCCTGTCGCGGTTGTAGCGAGGAGGTATATCTCTCTGCCTCGGATCCGAACTCGAGTGAGCGCGGTCGGCAGGGTTTGGAGGCGAGTACGCAGAATGATGGGATTTGATGCTAGCCGGGTATCCCGGGCCTCCGCCGCCGCTAGAGGTGTTGGGACGGTGGGAATGGATGCTGGACGCGTAACCCTGACCGCCGCCCGAAGTACTCGGGCGGTGGGAGTAAGTGCTGGACGCGTAGCCGTGACCGCCGCCTGAGGTGCTCGGGCGGTAACCGTCACTCCTCGGCGGCGGTGGGCCTCCCGAGTGGCGGTCGTAGACAGTCCCTTCGCGAACAAAGGCTCCCTGTGATATTGGCAGAGGTGGCATTGGAGGAAGGTTGGGCCGGTTGTTTTGCCAGCTGTCTCCACTAAATGTCGGTCTCCGCATAAGACGGCCATCGCTCGTGCTTGGCCGCTGCGGTGGATAGCTGGCGCTATGAGCGTCCCGCCGAACGAGATTTCGGGGCGGACCTTCCAAGTTGCGCGACCCAGGAGGTAGCACGGGTCCCGTGGCCAGATCAACGAGCGGTATGCCGTGAGGGGCCCGCACGCCTCTTCCAAGTCCATCGCGGGACCACTGCTGGGCCTCGACAAAAGATGGGGTAAGATTTACGAGCGGTCCGTTTCTCTGCTGCTGTTGGTACCGGCGCTGCTCGCGGTCTCGATCGGTATAGTATGACCGTCCGGACGAGGTGCTAAGGCGACGAACAGGTGCTTCCACAACCCGCTGCTTGGCCGAATGCTCGAGGGCCGAAGGGAACCAACTTGATGACGGCTCGGTCTTGTCCGGCCCTTTCATTTCGGAGCTTGAAGATTTGAGTGGCCCCTCAAGAAAATCTGGAGATGCTAGGCTGGCTCCCAGGCTTAGACGGCTCAAAAGGCTGGGTCCGGTGGTGAAGGGATTGTCGGCGGGGTTCGGTGCAGCCTGCTTCTTCCTGTCTTCCTCAATCTGAGCCTGCTTGCGCTCCTGGTAGACATTTCCAAGTAGGCCATCTGCTGCAAACGCCGCCTCGTTGTTTTTGCTGCTGCTCATGGATGTGTCTTTCTCCATAGTTCCAGCTTTTGATTCCTCGAGCAGCGAAATCGACGGTACCGTGGGCTGCTTGGAAGCATCCGGGGTAGGATCCCTTACCAACTTGCCGAACGGCCTATGGAACCGCTTTGGGTCGACGACAGGCTTGAGGTTTGTGCTTGGATAAATCGTTTCTTCGATGGAAAATTTGGCCTTGCGGGCGCTCAGGCTCGAGGATCTCTCGGACATGTGGTTGACCATGACAATTTGTGGCGGCTTTTCCGATACCCGATCTCTCTTGCTGTGCAGCTGGAGCTTCATGTTTGCCAGGTACCAGCTCCGCCAACCGTGGACGAACGAGTGCAGCCTCTGCGCCACATCGGGGTCGTCTGTGCAGAAGAAATGCACATAGTTTGTCGGGTCCATGAAAACCGTCATCTTCTGCTGGCTTTTGATGGCGTAGCAGTACTTCTTCGGGGGCTTCAGCTGCTTCTTCATCTGCGCCTCGATCGGCAGGTAGACGTCATAGTCGGACAGGTGGCAAAGCCTTTTCATGCTCTTGTCTGCGAGGAGCGGTCTGGATTTCTTGGATAATATCTGGCCGTCGTCCTCCAGAGTGATGAAGCGCTTGTTCCACTTTCCGGGCTGGCGCGAATGGTAGAGCGTGAGAACAGAGCCAGCCGGCGGCTCATGCGGGACGCTGGCGAGGTCAAGATCCATGTCAACTTCAGGAATGTCTGGAAGAATGATAAGCATGTTCTGCATGTCTTGGTCCCACGAGTTCATGATATCCCAGACGCGCTCGTACCGGCGCAGACGCCGCTTGAGACCCAGCTGGGTGAAGGCCTCGACGGCCATGCAAGTGTCTACATTGATTGACTGAGAATAGGTCTCCCCGGCGTCGATCTGCAGAGCAATCTGGTTTGAAAAAGCTACGATAATATCGAGAACCGACGTGCCGTGGTCGACGTCGAGGTTCAAGATGACGCCCCGGCACCGGACGGTGACCCGCTGCAGCTCTATGGTTAGCGCCCACCCCATGGCCGGCAAAGTAGGCCCCGGACAGTTCAACTCACCCTGCTGGAACCATTGCTTGCGCTGCGTGGTGTCTGGGAGACGACGGGGCCCCTTTTGGCCGGGTCGATGAAGCTGCGCGGCATTGAGCTTGCGTCTAAGCTGGTTGGCTGGCTGAGGTCGAGGGAAGCAGAGCCTATGGAGGAGCTCGAGAAAATGGACGGAGGTGAGGTGGAGGAGACGGAGGATGCATTGGATATGTTTAGACTGGTTAGAGAGGCCAATTTGTCGGCTGTAGGACTCGGCAGGCTGGGGTCGGGAGGAGGAGAAGGCGAAGACGGAGGCAAAGGAGGCGCGGCGGCCAGGTGCATATGTTGGTGTGCCATGTCCCTCTTGGAGAGCTCGGCGGCGCGGACCCTCTGGGTTTCTGCTGCCTCAAGCCGTGCCACGAGGGTGGGCAGGTGCGCAGCCTTCCGTACGTCGTTGCGCCGCACTTCGGCGTCGTCCTTAGCTAGCGACTGCGTGCGGTGCCTGAGACGGCGGTTGTTATCTGAGAGACGAGCTGGCCTACGCTCACGCTCACGCTTACACTCACACTCACAATCACACTCACACTCACACGCACACTCCCGGTCCCGAGTGCTTCCTTCGGGGTCAACGAGAACGACAAGCTGCTCGGGGGCGGCGTGGACGGCGGCGATGTCTTTGCCAATGCCAACATTTGAGGTCGAGGTCGGGCTCGAGGATGAGGGCGGAGAGAGCTTGTTGCGCAGGATGCCCTCAAGCCGCAAGCCGGCCGGCCGCCCCGCCGACTTTTGCTTCAGCGTGCTCACGTCGTCATCGGTGCTGCGAGCCGACCGAGTGTTTCCGTCTTTCTGCGAGAGCGGCAGTGGGATTGGACTAAGTGGTGCCCGCCTATGCGGGGACCCGGGCTGGCCAATCCAAACTTTATTAATTGCATCTTCGTCGCCGACGGATATCGACGTATTCCATGCTCGCTTTCTCTTGCTGCCGCCGCTGCTGCTGTTGGTGGCGTCACTAGCGCTGAAGTCCAAATCCAGTTCCGAGTTCAGATCCGGGCCACCCAAGTCTAGCACTTTGAGTTGTTGAAAAGCTGCACAAAAGCGCCCTGCAGCCCTGGTTCCTGCAGGAGCAGGACATCGTCGCCGACTGCTGCTGCTGCTGCTGCTGCTGCTACCTGAGAGGTCGGGCCAGCTTTCCGGGGCTGGGCGCCCTGGGGTCCTCAGGGCGGTTCTAGTGCAGCTTCTATGGATAGATCTTCTTGGCTGCCGAGAGCCACATTTCAAACACTGACGCACAGGAGGGCGAAGGTGTGCCTAGAGTTTCAGCCTAGTACTCAAAGACTGGGGGGTTCAGAAGGTGTGGTAATGGGGGTAACGTAGTGCCGTCACGTAATGGAGGGTTGCTGCGCTGCCAGCCTGCGGAAGGCGTAAGTTACCGCCGAACCGTCTACGCCATGTGAAGAATGGAATACTGGGACGTCCAACGCTTCGATGGTCCGCCTCGTCCATCAGTGGGAAACTCGAAGCGAGTGACAGACCTGAAACGCGAAACCGAGCTCGATGGAGATGGACCCATTGTCAAGAGCGAGGAAACAAGTAATAAATCATGAGGAGCGCCAGACTCCAGAGAAGGAAGTCGCGCCTGACAGCTTGCTCGGATATTCCAGGGAGGCACGAAACACTCTCACACTCCACACTCACACGTTGGATGGGAATGCGAATCTTAGCCCTTACATGGGCAGCCATTCGTCACGGCATGTCGCGATCTGAAATGCAAGGCGTTCCTGCACCAGTCCAAGGTACCTTAGTGCCGGAGATGGCCATGATCGTGGAGGGAAAGGCTATTCTTGGAAGTCGACCCTGTCTCCTGCGTCTACTGGACGCTACCCTGCTCAGCCTAGCTAGGCTGGCAGGTGTGCGTTCTAGGTACCCGATCCCGCACTTTGGCGGTTTATTACGGGGAAGTCACCGCCTCACTTGCACAGGTTTACTTCAGCGCACATGCCAACGCCAAGGATGTTCCAACGCACAAAGATCCGTACTTAAGATTAATCAACGACAGCCCAAAGCACAGGTCAACTGAATTCCAGTTCTCGAAGCCGCCCAAATCCTATCAAGGGACCAAAAAAGGAACAGGGAACAGTTAGTAGTCACGGCGCCGAAGAACGCGTCCTCGCCGCGACTGCTCATCACAAGGGCCGTGACCGTGTCTCGGAGGGGGAGAGGTCTCGTCTTGAAATGGCTGGCTCGTCAGAAACGAGACAAACAAACCGTCAAAAGTCTCACTTCCTAAACGCCCTCACTTCTCGCCTCCACCAGCCCTTGAAGTCCTGCGTCGACACGTCGATGCCAATGTCCTTCAGCGCTTTCGTACTGAGATGGCAGTCGTACGGCCGCTGGACGCTCGCCGTAGGGTCGTTACCCTCCGTGTTAGGCTCAATCCGGTCGATTGGCAGGCCCATGATCTCGCCAAAGAGCTGGCAGATCTCGTACTTGGTGTACTTGTCCTCGCTTGAGAACTGAAGAACCCGCGGTAGAGGCGCTCTGTCGTCGGCCTCGAGATAGCGAACAGCGACGTCTGCCACGCGAAGCGGACCTGGTTAGCCCCATCCGCTCTTCTCTCTAGCAATGGGTGAGGGGGGCATTTACCGTGGCAGACGCGACCGACGTCCTCGGTATTGGTCGGGTATCTGAGTGCCCAGTGGTCCATCTTGATCTCGACACCCTCCTGCTGCGCCTTGTGAACCGAATCCATCAAGACGTTGACGGCACCCTCTTGCGGGCTTAAAGCCGGTCCATAGAGGACCGGCACGCGGAGCACCACGCCAAGACCGTCCTTGCCGGCCGCGTGGAACTCGCCGAGCACGGCGTGTTCCCCGTCGAGCTTGGTCTGGCCGTAGAGGTTGGTCGGGCCGGGCTGAGCATCAGCCTCGTACGGCGCCTCTCCGGGCTTCCCCGAGAAGACGTAGTCGGTGGAAATGTAAATCAAGAAAGCCGAGCGCTGAGCACAGAGCCGGGCCAGCGACCTGGATGCCTCGATGTTGATCGCCCGCGTACCCTCGGGATCCTTGTCAACCTTGTCGGGGAACCTGTTTGCCGCGCCTGGTCGTTTCCCCCCCCCCCCCACCTAGACGTCAAAACCCGTTGTCTGTATTCAGGGGGCGTTGCGCAACTAAACCAGCCAGGGATACGACTCACAGTGAACAACTACTTGAGGTCTGAATTTCTATGCTGTCAGAGATGCCTCTTTGTCTCTCACAACCAAAAATAGCAAAAGCGAGCAACCTTGATCAAACCAAATCTCTAGTGCACTGATCTAGTAACTCACTTCTGCTCGTCTAGGACCTTTTCCACCTCGGAGGCGTTGCCGAGATCGACTTTGATGACGGATGAGCCGTCGGCACGAGAGAAGCCAGTGCCTGTGACGGACCAGTTGTTGCGCCAGCCAAAGGCCTTGACGACCTGTCTGCCGAGCAGGCCCGTGGCGCCCGTAACGAGAACCTTCCTTTCGCTCATGTTTGCCGCAGGTAATCCGTAGGTAGGGCGGATTTTGAAGTGTTCTGACTGGATGGAGGAGGATATGTGCTGTATCCGTGCTTCACTTCGGAGGATCACGTCTAATCGTGGCGGGGGAGGTTCGACTGCTGCCCCGCATGGCTTGCTGAATGCCGCCAGTCGTCACAATGGGGGTTAGGGTTATGATACTGTACAGTTCGTACTTGTGATTCGTACTTCGTACAAGTTCAAGTTCCATCTTCATCCCACCTCAGCTTTGTGTCGTTTTACCTATTACTTCCACTCGCCAGTTCTTCAACGTATTACGTACTTGTGTTTCATATTGCACTTTAGCATCATCCTTCGCCCATGGAACAGCTAGCTCCCCGGCGCAGGCCGCCGAACAACGTAGTAATGTGCCAAGACAAGGTAGCATTTCGAGAGAAACCGAACCGCACCGGCACCGCAAAATCCTACTCCTTCCAGATTCCTTCCCGACCAGGGGAGCTAAAATCCACACACCAAAACCGAGATCAACGGCTAGGAAAGAAGAAACATGGTTGGACACAACCTGCGAATTAGAAGCCGGAACGCCAAATAAGTAAACAATCCGATACGGTCTGCTGGCGTAACACTACCCACTTTCAACACCCGCGCCGCCAAGACAAGGGACGGTTGTGTCCTCGCGATCTCGGATCCAAGATCCCCCCAGGTGCGCTTCCTGTAGGTAGTCCATTCTCGTAAATAAAATGAAAAATTCTAAAACGTGACTGTCGTGATTTATCCCCCTCGCCACACCGTGCCCTCAAGCCATCTCAACACCTCCTATTCAGTCCTCATCGGCCACCTTGTCGGCAACCATTTCCTTTGCCTTGTTCACGACCTTCTCGGGCGGGCGGGTGACGATGAACTCGACGACGTCTCCGGGGCCCGGGCTGCTCGGGCCCGGAATGGGCGACAGCTGGCCCGCACCGATGGGCGACCCGGGGACCAGGATGCGAATGTCCTCGGGCGAGCTGGGCACCAGCCGGGGGTCGAGGCCGGGAATGTGGATCCGCTTCGCCTCGTTCTGGTACGCCGCCGGTATGATCTCGATGATCTCGTCGCGCGGGAACTTGAGCTTGGGGATGTCCCGCGTGCTGCAGTGCATCAGGTACGAGTAGAGCACGCGCAGCACGCTCTCGTGAGCAATAATCAAGAGGTCGTTCTGCTCGCGCTCTAGCTCGAGGATGATGGGCTCAAGGCGGACAGCAAGATCGTGGTAAGACTTGTATCAATGTTAGCTCTTGTATGTTTTAGCTTCAAGGACAGACATGGCGTCTACATACCTCTGCACGGGGGTAGCGGTGATGGTAGGGATCAAGCTCGTGCTTTTCTATCTCCTCGGGATACAGGTTGCGAATGGCGCGCTCTGACAGCTTCTCGCAGACTCCCGGGTTTATTTGGCTCATCTGGGATCGCTGGCGGACCTTGTAGCCAAGCTCATTCAAAGGCTCCCCAGTCTGGATGGTGCGGAGCCTCGTAGATGTCCAGACGCTCAGTGGTCGTAGCGGAACGTCGGCACCGCCGCGGTCGATGACCGACTGGCGCTCTGCTTCCCGGTGCCTGATGAGAGTCTCAGTCATCTTGACAGCGAAAGCCCTGCCCTCCTCAGAAAGAGGCGCGTCGGCCTTGTACGAGTCTTCGTCACCAGCAGTACCAGCTCGGACAAAATAGGTGGTGCGCGACTTGATGTGGAGATTGGTCAAGTAAAAGACGATTCTGTGAGAGAGGTAGTTGAAGCTAACATTGTTGTAGAAGAAGGCCTGGCCGGCATTGATCATCTTGACGTAGTTCAGCTCCTCTTCCTGCATAGTCTCAAAGACGGGAATCTTGGTTTGAATCCGCTTCAAGTACCGCTCGGCTGCTTCATCTGGGTCCATGCCATGAAACTGGCGCTGTTAGCACCCCGGTCGACTCGAGCCAATATCCTTAAACTTACGTCAGGGGAGGATATCTTGACATTTCGGGCATTTTCCTTGAGAATGTCCTCGTCATCAACGAACGACTCAAGGAAGAGTGTCTATTGGGAGGTTGGTTAGCCAGGAGTTTGCAACTCTGAGAAAGTGGGAGTGATTAACTGCGTACTTGCACGTCGTGCTTAGCAAATTCCTTAGCCAAAGCACGGCGACCGCTTGCGGTGGGATTGACAGCATCGTAGATAGCAACCTGGCCGTTCTCGTGATTCAGCCAACCGTAGATGTCCTCTCTGCACTTCTTCAGAATTTTCTGGCGGAGCATGACAGAAGCCGGAGAGGCATTGGGGTAGAAGTAGTCCTGGGGGACATGTCCGCCCTCGCCAACGGTAGCACGGCGGTAATCGCCCAGATGGAAGATGCGGGTCTTCACTCCAAGCCTGCGGGAATATGAGCACGGCTACATGACCAGACAGAGAGGCGTTTGCGCAACCTACCACTGAAGATAACGAGCCATAGAGACACAGATGTGACTAAACACGGGTCAGCTAGCGTAGAGGAGCCGGGAGAGCGAGCAGGAAGCCCTTACGTTTTGCCACGGGCCGGGAGGCCAACCATGACAATGGCAATTCTGCCCGAGTGGAATAACCTGCCAGACATTGTACTATAGAGCTGGGCTGGAGCCATGTTGCCTTGGTCATCGGGGACATCGTGAATGCCATCGATAAACGTAGAGCTCTTGCGGCGGTAGCGCGGCGCGTTGGCCGCGATCTCGGCGGTGCTGCCATCATCAGCCATAGCCCAGCAAAAACCGCCCCTGTTAAGTGTCTGTACAAGAAGAAGAACATGAAAAAGAAAAGGACAGTGCGACAACGGGAACTTCAACATGCTACCATATATTACTATATTGAGGCCCATGTCTGTCTTAGACCCGCCTTTGTTATGTCGGAAGAAGCGGTTTGAAGCCGAGTTTGTTTAGATTGTAGCCGGGGGAGGGGAAAAGGGGACGGCAAGGGAGAAGCGAATCAGGGGCTTCAACTCACAGGAGGGTATCCATTTCGCCGCTGCGCAAGATAGGAAGGCCGCCTCCGGTACAGGAATAACGAGTTCAGGCCAAGGTGGACTATCAAAACGATCGCCTTTGGCTTCTTGTTCCCTTGATCGGGCCGTTTTCGAGGCCGTTGACCGGATGCCGTGGGCGAATAAGCTCACCCGCGTGGCCTGATTGCACCCCGATGCGGACGCGGAGAGATACGGACAGCCAGGTACAGAGTAAGAGTGAGGAATACCTAAGACGGGAGAGACAAGTCAGAGAGCCCGGTACCCTTTGGCAACCAGGACACAACAGTTCCTTGCGGTGTCCTTCTCCAGAAAATGCACCCAAAAACCGCGCAACTAAGGTAGGTCTAGGTGGTAAGATGGCGAGGACAGACAAAGACTAGCAATTGTGGCGAACGAGGTCGGAAAGCGTCAAGATAGGGTCGAATGGTTGTGGATCGCTTCAGCTTTGAGGGCGCCCGACCCGACAGGGCAGCCACTAAAGGGTAAGTGCCTAGAGTCGTTGTGCTCCACTGATACGCCAATGACAGACGACGTGCTCTAAATTTGGCGAGAATGCGGTACAAAATGCCAGGAAACAGGAAATTCAATACGCAACAATTGATAATAGGGAACCCTAGGGATGTCTAGGTTTTCCTTTTGGCTGCAGCAGCAGGGCAGATAAGTCTTTTGGTGAATCTTTTGCACACTGTCAATCGGTCGGAGCAAATCCTTGCGGGGCTTCACTTTCCCGCTGCCAGCCGAAGCAGCGACTTCCGTCCGTCTGATCAGGATCGGAATCTCACCGACCTCATGCATCCATGGCTTGCTCACCTCAGCTTTCACAAGTTTGAGCCGTAACATACTATATTTATTGCAGTAGATTATCCCGCAGGTCGTCTTCAAGAATAAACATTGGCAATCCGACCATACTTGTCTCTTGTCGTTGCTTTTTATACACATATCGTTCCCACTTTCCATGGCTTCGTGAGACGCATCCGTACAATTGAAAAAGAATGGACATCGTGTCGTCGTTCTTTCGGCTATAAATTTCTCGGTTCTTGATCCTCAGAAGGGAGCACTCTCACAAGCACCAAATTGACAAACAAACCAGGACAGACTGGTGAAGATATTCTAGCAGCGGTTTTGTTGCTGGCTGTCCGGAAGCTACGTAATTTCCCCGGTTTGCTTCCAGCGTTGTATCACCCTTGCAGCTGAGTGCAGGTGCTAGGCTGGACTCGACCTCGGGGCTACGACTCTTGACTATCGGTGATTGTTTTCTCCGATCCCGGGTTGTCGTCACCGCTCGGAGCAGCCTGTGGAGCCTTGCCTACCTTGGTCCTGGGGCGGGCCTGATCGCACGGGCCACTCAGCCGTGAGCGCCTCCGCAGACCGCGCAGGGGCCATCAATCTTTCCTTGCACCGTGAAATTTTTGGTCGGCTCCTTTGTCAAGCTTCAGGCCAGCAGTACGATCTCGAGCGCACGACCGAGAACATCCCGCAGTTCGCGTATCCCGACAACCCGGGCGCCTTGGGAGCATTTCTGATTTACATCAATTTGTCGCCCCTCTACCGCAAATTTGCCGTTTACGACCCTCTGGCTTCTCGCCCTCGGCCTACTCGATCTTGCTTCGCACGCGCAAGAGACTAAAACACAACCACGGCCATGGCGTCCATCTCTAAGTCGCCGCTCGACTTCCTGAGCAATAACTCCGTCTTCTCCGGCCTCTCAGATGTCTACACATCTTTCCAAGAAAAGAGGGCAAAGCTGGGTCTCTCTAATCCGGGCACAGTCGAGACGGTTGCAAAAGGTACGTGGCATCGCGAGACGGCTTGTCCTCTCTGGAATCTGTCATCCTATAAAACCACAGCTGGCCCCCCATCATACAGCCGACGCGCCCTTGGAGGTTGCCACAATTACTGACTCGGGATTGAATAGAGGTTCAACGCGATGTCCTCCTCACAAACTACATGTTTACCGGTCTCCGGGCCGACGTGACGAAGGCGTTCAGCCTCTCTCCATTGTACGTTACTTCTCGAGGCATCGGCCATCGTATACCTATACCGCCCTTCCCTGGGGACAGCCCAAAAGTAGCCGCTGACCAGGATTTCAGATTCCAAGTATCCCATCAGTTTGCCTTGGGGGAGCGACAGCCTCCATACGCATTTGCCGCCTTGTACGGCACTAGCAAGGTATGCCCTTTTCATAGCCTCTTCTTTCCTGTCGAGACGTGCTCTAACCCGGCCATGTAGATGTTTGCGCAGGGCAATGTCGATAACACCGGCGCACTCTCGGCAAGGTTCAACTGGGCATGGAGCCCTGGTTCTGTCACCAAGACGCAGATGCAGGTCGGCACAGGCCAAGGCCAAGACATTACGCAGTTGGAACACGAGTTTACCGGAGCGGACTTCTCGGCATCGGTCAAAGCTATAAACCCGTCTTTCCTTGACGGCGGTCTAACCGGTATCGTGATAGGCCATTATCTTCAGTCTGTTACACCTAAACTTGCCCTCGGCCTCGAAACTGTCTGGCAGCGTGCCGGTCTGACCCAGCCCCCGGAGACGGCCATCTCTTACGTCGCTCGGTACAAGTCGGATGACTGGGTTGCGAGTGCTCAACTGCAAGCCCAGGGTGCCCTGAATGGCTCGTACTGGAGACGCCTGTCAGAGAAGGTCCAAGCCGGTGTCGACATGACTCTCTCAGTTGCGCCAGGAGGTGGCGGCCTTATGGGCGGTGCGCTTCAGAAGGAAGGAATCACCACTTTCGGCGCGAAGTACGACTTTAGGATGTCGACTTTTCGGGCCCAGATTGACTCCCGGGGCAAGCTGAGCTGCCTGCTCGAGAAGCGGGTTGCTGCTCCCGTCACCATGACCATTGCGGCTGACGTCGACCACTTCACGGTAAGAGCGCGCCTGCTTGAATGCTGCAGTGTCTGCCATACTAACCTTCTTTGCAGCAACAAGCCAAGGTCGGACTCAGTATCTCCATTGAGGGCAATGGGGAAGAGCTCCAAATGCAGCAGGAGGCCGGCGCCCAGTCGCCTTCCAACATCCCCTTCTAAACAGTTGGCCTCGCTGGACCGAAGGCTCTCGGCCGCGATTTAGCATACACCCAGTCCCGCCCCGCCCCGCTCTGCTCATATCCAACCACGTAATCTAATGGCCCCCGACGTCTCGCCAGCGACAGCATGCGTGCATGTCCTAGCCAAGGCCATGTTCCTCTTGTACTCTCCTTCTCCCCCATGTTTTATTAAGACCGACTTCTTCGATAACCAACAGCGCCGCGGCCATCGGCATGACCAACCCCAGGGTGCTCGCGTGGGCCAGGGTCTCTGCATGTACTACTGATGAACGATAGACATTTCCCTATCTTCGATAGTTCTCCCCATCCTCACTCGGCTCTCCTTATTTCATACAGTGCATACCCACTCGAGCTGGCCTGTTAGACGGGGTGGTGTGGGCGGAAAGATGTGTACTATAGATTTGTCACGGCAAAGGCTCTTCGCCACTTGGGGCTGAGAGTGAGGAGTTTGTTGCCTGTCGCATGAGACTGCGGAGAGAGGGGCCTTATTTAGAAGGCCTCAACCCCATTGACATGATATTGTAAATAAACTGGCATCCGGGGGTGTAAAAATGGTATACGAGAAAATGGTGAATCCGAATATTAGCTGAGTATTGGACATTCTACATCCGATAATCCTACACCGTGTCAGCTATCGACCTGGCTTTCTGCAGTGAAAATCCTTGACTCATACAGGGTTACCCAGTACTTCGTGTAATGTTATCGCCAGTTGAACGTGTTCAGGCATGATTTACTTCGTATCGCCATGTTTGCGGTTGGCTGGTATCATTTGGTTTTCCTAGGTACAACCCGGCAGCGCACCTCATTTACCCTTGGTAGATGAGTTTTAGCAGGCAGAAGCTAGCTAACTTTGTGCTGCCACTCGGTCTTTTGGTATCACTAAAGTGTCATGCAAAAAACCAATCCATCCCACCGGACCCATCTCATCCGTCATGCTGGTTGTTGTTTCATCAGGACCCTGGGGTTTCCTCTCTTCTCTAGAAGCCTCCGTTTTTCAAAAGAAAAGAAAACAGATGAAATAGAGAAAAAAGTCCCCCATCCCAGGACATAAAGCTCGTGGTGAACCCCTTTTCGTTTCCCGCCTAACTCCTAGAGTAATGCTAGCTCACCAACTCACTGCAAGAAAACAATTAACCTAAACAGAGAGACATCATCATTCAGTCTTTTCGTTACATGACCGCACACTCGCGGTCTGGGACGCCTTCCTCCTTGACGGCCTTTCCAGAGTCCTTGAACTTGTCCTTTTCCTTCCTGTCGTCCTTTTCGCGGCTCTTTGACTTGGCGCGGTCCTTTTTATGATGGTGGGAATGCTCTTTCTCCTTGTTGGCTAATTCCTCCTCCTCGGCGATCACGGCCTGGTCATCCGAAGTCTCGTTTCCGCTGGTGCCACTGTTAAGGGTGTCCTTGCTTGGCCGCGAAAACCCGAGCTTCGAGATTGTGGTGCTAATGCGGCCGTCGCCAATCTGGCTGGAAGGACGCGATTTAGCCCCCGCCTTGGTGAACTTCGCTGCCGCCCGTGAGAGCCTCGTTGCCGTGCTCTCTTCCTGGGGAGTAATGGCCGGTGACGGGACTTCGGGGGTGGCGGCCGGGGAGCCAGCAGCAGACTCGGAGAACGCGACGCTAGCACGTCTCGAACTGTTAGCTCTTGTATGGATCGAGTAGGGGTCGTCGTCAAAGCTCAGACGCGAAGGTCGTTCAAGATCGGAGCTGAAGCGAATACTTGGTCCCCCGCTGTGCACCAAAGTCGTTGCGGAGTCGAAGAAGCCGGCCGAGAGCCCTGAAATACCATCAGGTTGGTCCGGTATCACATCCGGCACCATATCCGGCACAATATCCACGATTGGGGTCCCAGGCACAGGAATCAGGTTGACAGCGGATTCGTTGTAGGAAGGGGGTTCCACCACAGAGCCATCCGTCGATGCAGTCGTCACGTCCACCATAGGAACGATTTGATAGAAGAGTAGGTATGGCATCTCCTCGCGGAGGGATTCCTTGATGTCGTCCACATAAGACACTCGGTTCTCAACGGCCAGATCATCGAACTTCGCCCACTGCGCTTCCTCGTAATCCGGGGGCGGATCGCTATCGTGCCTCCGATTATCAGTGAGGAGTTTGGGTGCAACCCGAGCAAATGCAATGTAGTGGCCGCTCTGGAGCGAGTCGCCACGGTGACAGACAACCGATTGCAAAACGAGTTTGTATTCCTGACTTAGACCGTTTGACTCCTGGTCGGCCTCAACTTCGCCAGTGGCCTTGACATCGCCAGCAGCCATAAAGTGCGGGAGTCGGAGGCTGTCCGGGATATCGATAAGGGTGTTCTGACGCTTCGGGACGCCCTTGTCGGTCATAGTGTACCTTTTCAAGCAGATGCCAACAACCGGTCGTTGATTGAAATGTCTCGCGACTTCGATGTCGTTGCTTGGTTCTCCGTTCGAAGCAGCATGCCAAGCTGTCCGGGTTGTCAGCCAAAGTTTGGGGTTCTGGATAAAAAGTAGTAAAGTACAAACATACGTATCAACTTGAAGAATTGCCAGGCTGGTATTGTGACAGCTTTCACTACCGTCGAGCCTGTGCGTTTCGCTCTTTGTAGCAAGCTCGTAGTTTCCCCGGGAGGTACCTGTTCGCCATCTGGAACCACAATTCGCTGTATTATGCTGGTTGACCTGTGTCTGAGGGTCGGGGGCGAGTCAAAGGCTCTCGGTATGCTTGGGATCATGGTAGAAACTGGTGACTCTGTTACCAGATTCTCTGTTGTCCAGGTATATCCTACCTGCTGGATTTCGGCAGGCTGTGCGCTCGGCGTTCCTTCGTCCTCTTCGGCAACTACTTTTATTGTACTCTTTCCCGACTTTTCGGCACCTTTCTTTTCTTCTGGACTGTCTCGGAGCACATCGACCTGGTTGTTGAAGTACTCTTCCAGACAGTCCTCCAACTTAAGACCCTTTCCATCGGGATCGGGGGGGACTGCGAGGTTGAGCAGTCTCTCGTGGACGACCTTATGGTCGTCTGCATCTCGTTTTCCGTGATGGAATAGGTCAACCTGTAGGGTGAGAAGTGGCAACTGCAAAGTCTCGGTAATAAAGGCAAAGGCCTCGGATGTATCCTGCTGTTCGAGTAGCCGGGCTTCTTCCCAGCCACAAGCGGCTAGAGATTCCTGGATATGCTGCGTCTGGAGATACGGGTCAGCTCAAAGTTTGAGTAGCAGCCAACTATCGAGAGTCTTACCATGTCCGTATGGACCAACTTCCCGCTCCTCAGCATATTAACCCAAAGTCTGATTAAAGCCGCCAGCTTCGTCTTTGGCTCGTCTGTTGAGTCATTTTTCAACATGCACTCAAAAGCCGACAACTTGGCAAACATGGCAAAGAGTAAGGCATCCAGATAGCAGGTGACATTCCCGCGGTTTTCGGCGCCCAGCATTTGCACATTTGGGTTGTATGGCTGCACGATCCCCGCAAATGCCTTTTGTTGGAGTTGCAAGAGCTCCAGGGCCTTGTCCGTGTCACCGCCGGCGAATTTCGAGTTTATTGCATAGCGGATAAGTTCTTCGGAAATGGAGTTGCAATTGAGCTCCTCGAGCCGTTTCTGAATCTCCTCGACCTGTGAGCTATGTTAGCGGAAGGACCCGAGGGCTGCCCCCAGCTCAATGGCAACGGACCTTTGCTGCTTCTTTTTCCTCCTCTTCCTTTTCCCTCTGTGCCTGCTTCACGGACTCGGGTTTGAAAATCGACAGCCATGACTCTGCGGTTAGAGGTCGGGCCTGGGAGGTGTTAGCAAAGTGGCCGCAGAGCGTGAAGAGCAGCGAAGTTGGCTGTGCACAAACCTTTCCACCTGGCTCAGAGGACTTGCTACGACGGTGGCTGCCATTCTTTTCGCGCACGCTGCGGAACTTCTTGGGCATCAATGAAGCTGCCTTCATCTTCTCCATAGCGGGCGAAACGTTGCATATGCAGAGTATTAAGCAGAGAGGCCTAGCGTGGTGGCTGCGGAAGTCAGCACGGTCGGTCTCCGAGGCGAGGTTTAAGCATGTTCCAAAGGTCAAAGCAGTTTGCGGGACAAGCCACTGGAGACGTCAAGGGAGGGAGTAGAAGAGATAGGACGAAAGAGAGATGCGTCGTGCGATCAGGCGTAAAAATAAATCGTAAAACGACGTAGAGATAAAAACGAACAGAAGAGCCAAGCAAAGCGTCGACTTGAGGTATGTAACCGAGTTTCGTGTTGCAGAGGGGGATCTCGGTCGCGTTGTCGCGGGCGGAGCAGGGGTACCTAGGTAGTTGATGATTCGGCAACAAGACGACAGCAAGAGCGCTTAGGTGGTGCCAAGTCCAGCGAGCTCATGGACAGCTCGACAGCCTAAGTTTCTGTTTTTCCACGGAAGCCTTGGGGTGCGGGCCGCATTGCGCTCGGTAGTTACGTAGGACGTTGACGTCGCGGCCAGATGTGGAATTTAGCGATGAGTTTGAGGCGGGATGTTGAGGGCGGGAGGGGGAGCTGAAGAGGGGCCGCTGGGTCTCGTCAAGGCTGAATCAATACCACCCCAGTCACTCAAACGGCCAACAAATGTAGGTAGAGGGGACGGGCCCACCTCAGCTGCGTGGCGGGCACCCTGGGCATGCCTAGTGCCCAAGGGGATCATATTTATCGAGGTGGATTAATCACTTTTTTCTTTCATAAGTACCTATCAGCGGCTGTCCTGCCTCTGACATCCAACCTACCTCGGAGGATCAGCAGATCATGCCCATTACAGGTGCTAAGTTCCAAGGCTTTGGTAGCTTTTGCCTCCGACTTGTACAAACATGAGGCGAGAACTGCCGCTTATTATGGGATGGCACGACGGTGAAAAAGACTCAGTTTCCGATCTACCTTTCCTCAAAACCTTTGATATCGGCGGAGCACGCTAGCAATACTCTCGTCCCACACACGCTCTGACTGCACCAAGATGTGTTGCAGATCTGCTGCGCATCACTAATGGAGAAAGTTTAGGCACGCCCTGTAAGGCAATCAGGTCGCGAGCTCGTCGACGTCCCAAAAAGATGTTGGGATCTGCGGTTAATAAATGCATCTGCCTCTGCCCCGCCTCCATGGCTCATGGCTATCTATCATAGGGATGCCTACGAGCACTACGTATGCTCTGTGGATACAACCCTTCTTTAGAAGGGTCTCCAAAATGACGCTGCATGGTGACAAGGGTGGTGAATTCCGCACCTGGGTCGATCCATCCGAAATCTCGATGCCTTGCCTACCGCCCTACCTTACCTTACCTTACCTAAGTACTAAATTAAGTTGGGTGTGCCCGAAGCTGCACATAAGACCTACCTTACCTTGCAGAGTACACGTACGTATGCACACTAGGTGTTCGAAGATGGGCAGATACTCTGCCCCGTTGGAACACCTAGCTACATTATGTCACAACATACTATGGAAACTTGGTAAGCAGCGGAAGAAAATGTCTTGGGTGATTATGTTAGTTACATCGACTTGTGTCCCCGCGGTTTACGTGTTGGTCTTTGGGCGGTGGCGAACAACTCACGAGCGACCCCTGTTCAAACCAAAAGGCCAAAGAAGACTCCTTAAAGTGCGGATGACCCTCGACATGCGGCCCGACAGTGGGGAGCTCTCAAGGCACCTCCTATCAAATACGTATGCAAATCCTGCTGGACGCGTAACTGCAAAACAAGGCCGCAACCTTCGGCCTGCTGATCCGAACCCTTTCTTGCCGTGTTTCGCAGGGCCAAGGGCGGGCTTGGAGACCAAGGGCCTGGTTCGCGGCAAGAGCCAAGCGTGTGCGCATATCGACGACCCGGGTACTGCTCGCCGGTGATATGATGGTAAATATATCGCGGTAATAAGAAAGAGTCCGGACGCGGATTTCAATTAAACCCCGGACGTACTTGGATGGGCTGCTTGGTTCGAGCTGGAGCCGTGTTTTGAAGATGGCCAAAATATCCAAGACCGACGATATGTGGCAGCCACCCTGGTTTGGAACCAACACGTGGAGTGGGTAGGTAGGTAATCGGGACCGGGGAATCAAGCCACCTCCACGGAGTCTTGCGAAGCGGCGTTACTTCAAGTTATGTCCTGAGCAGTATTACCTAAGCTACAGGGACGGATCTGTTGCTCCCCCGCTTCTTGTCCCCACTGGAGCTCGGGGTAACCTGACCCTTGATGAACCTCGGCATGGGCGTCAAGATCAGCGCGTTCCCCGGCGAGGCGGCTGGAGGGAGGCATTCTTGGAAATTTGATTCAACGCCCAATACCATTCCGTAACGCTCGACTTAATTCACCTGTGAACCGATGTTCGAACCCGTTCCCTAAAGCTCATCAAAGGAATCACGATAAAGCTGAAGGGCCTCACCAGGATTAATTAGGATTACGTTCCTAACTTCGCCCCAAACGCGCGCCCATAATGTCGGCCCAGATCCCCATTGCCGTAAGCCGTGTTACTTACAAATCCCCAACCCAACTCTGAGAGGTTGCTGAAACGCGCCGATTATAGGTCCGCAGTCGTGTAAGCGACCGGGCGAAGACGACGCTGGACGTTGTTGCTAAGTTTGTGGAGGAGGAATGCATCCCGTAAGCCCAGTTTGTGCGCCAGCAGAGTTCAAGCTCTGCGCGACTTGATTCGCCCAGACAAGACCTGACGCTGTGTCGGCTGCTGAAGAGCCGATTCTGTCTTTGATGCCCAGATCGGCGAAGGAGACGCGCGATGGGAGAGCCACCCGCAGGTCATCGACGACCTCAAGGCCAAAGCCAAGACGCTCGGGCTCTGGAACATGTTTCTGCCCAAGGGCCACTACAAGGAGTCGCCGGGCTTCACAAATCTCGAGTACGGCCTAATGGCCGAGTGGCTGGGCAAGTCCCGCGTGGCCTCGGAGGCCGTCAACTGCGCTGCACCCGACACGGGGAACATGGAAGTCCTCGCCAAGTACGGAAACGACGCCCAGAAGGCCCAATGGCTCAAGCCGCTGATGGACGGCGAGATCCGCTCCGCCTTTCTGATGACCGAGCCCCAGGTCGCCTCGTCTGACGCGAGGAACATCGAGATGAAGATTGAGAAGGACGGGAATGGCTACGTGCTGAATGGCCAGGTGCGAAGAAGCGACTTCTGACTTATGGCTGGCTGTGCGTGCCGCTGCTGACTCTAGACGGTAGAAATGGTGGTCGAGCGGTGCTGGTGACCCACGATGCAAGATTTACATTGTCATGGGCAAGACCGATGCCCGGAACACGGACCCCTACCAACAACAATCAGTCATCCTGGTACCTTCGGACACCAAGGGCATTACCATCCACCGCATGCTGTCCGTCTACGGGTACGACGACGCTCCTCATGGCCACGGGCACATCACATTCCACAACGTCCGCGTTCCAGCTGCTAATATGGTATTGGGCGAGGGCCGAGGCTTCGAGATCATCCAGGGAAGACTAGGTCCCGGCCGCATCCATCATGCGATGCGCACGATTGGCGCGGCCGAAAGAGCTCTTGAGTGGATGCTGATGCGCATCAACGACCCCACGAAGACGCCGTTCGGCAAGCAGCTGCGCGAGCACGGCGTCATCCTAGAATGGGTGGCCAAGTCGCGGTTAGAAATCGACGCTGCCCGTCTCGTGGTGCTCAATGCCGCCGTGAAAATGGACGAGGAAGGCCCCAAGGCAGCCCTGAAGGAGATTGCACAAGCCAAGGTGCTCGTCCCTCAGATGGCCCTGACTGTCATCGACCGGGCGGTACAGTCCTTTGGGGGAGCAGGCGTGAGCCAGGACACGCCGTTGGCCAACATGTGGGCGCAGATCAGGACATTGAGGTTGGCAGATGGCCCAGACGAGGTTCATCTGCAGCAGATGGGTCGAAACGAGAACCGACGCGGCAAGGCCGTCGCCATCAAGATCAACGAGCAGAGGGCCAAGGCAGCAAGGTTGTTGGAGCAGTACAAGGTGAGGAAGACTGAGATCGGATCAAATATCCAAAGGTCCAAGCTCTAAGTTGTTAGAAGGTGCCTTCTAAGGTGGCTCTTCTGGGTCTCCCAGACAAATCTATTGATTTGTACATCATGTTAAAAGTCACTGGCAAAATCTCGTACAGGCTCTTTGTATGCCAGACTGGACTGAAGGGGGTCCATCGGCCAACTTTCTTAGCTTCTCAATGTATTGAAAGAGTCAACATAGCACAATCACATTCCAAGCTAGGTTTCAATCTGTCAAGGAAATCGACAAGATGGAGTTACAAGAAAGGCACTTGATTCATACTATTATTCAACTCTGTATTATCTACACCCACACAGCTTCAGATCTCTGCAGCCGGGAGGAGTTTTCAACGTAACAAGCGACCTATCATCAACCGTGCGTGAGAGAGCACTGCTGCCGGCGGCGGTTCTAGTTGAAGGCCTCAGGCCCTAGACGCGTCGACCTCGGCTAGGTTGTTGCACAGCGAGCACGGGCAGCCGGGCTTGTAGGCGACGCCGCGCGCGACGCACGCCGCGCAGTCGCACTCACCATTGCCTATCTCCAGCTCCTGGCGCCGCTTCCCCATCTCGTAAGCCTTGGCCCGTCTGCCCTGCGCGATGGCGTCGAACATGCGCGCCACCAGGTGCTCGTAGTTGCCCCACAGACGCTCTTGGCAGGCCTCGCACATTTTTTTTTTTTTTTTTGGTTTCTGGGGGGTTTTGGGATAGTGAAAGATTGGAGGTGCTTTAGCGTTGGCGCCTACGTTGAAATCTCGACTGTACGAACTTACCTGTGTGTATATCTAGATTTGCGTGAGAGAGCCTCCGCTGTCTGGCGCTTTTGGGTCAAGTGAGTAGAATGGTGCGGCATTCGTGTTCAAAGAATCGTTTTGAGAAGGGCACTGTCATTCAATAACAATAAAGGCGCCCATAAGGCTTTGTTCGCTTGGCTGCTTCGCGAAGCCGGTCGTCTTTGAAGGCCATTCATCATAAAGATCCATCGTCGCTCTCCTTAGTTCGCGCTAGTTAAGACCGAAGCTCGGAATCCCACTAAGAAACCGTTCAGAAGACCGGGTGTAAATGTTTAGCTGAAGAAGCTGAACCTCACTATACCAAGTAGTGACTCAGTCAAGTGTGTAACTTGTGGAAGTTAAGTATTGCATGTACATACTCCGCTCCTTACCAGAAAATGTCCGATGTTTTGGATCTCGGGATATACAAGGCTCAATTGGATTTGCTTTACTTCCATTGTAGGGAAAGATGCCCTCAGCCTGCTACCCTAGGGTAGTTGATCTGCCTACTGCATGAAAGGCAACAGACTCTAATTAGATGCCTCCTCCATAAAAGATAAGCTAAATTATCTTGGCCACCGAGCGAGCCTCTCCCTCGGATGGGCGCGGCCGCGGAAGGCATACACGCAAGCTAGCTACCTAGAAGTTTGCTAGGATGTGAATACGGATCCGTAAAATCAAAAAGGTTGTTCAGGGGTCAGGCCGCTTGTCGTGAAGAGTCAGAGCCGGTCAGTGCGTAAGTGCTGCGGCCCACGCATGCGTTGCCTGGCCGTTGCTGGTTGCTGTTCCCCAAACAGGCATTCTGTCAACAAAATTTTGCCCCGTCGCAACCAGACACTGTCGCTCTCCCCCAAGCACCAACGGAATTTAACCAAGGCGATAGCCAGACACAATAAAACTTACCTTGAAGTTTCTTGGGTCTACACACATCACAAATACCCGCCTCTCTTGCTTTTTACCTTTTTGCTTGACGATTGCTTTGCATCATCGGTCCTCCAGCCGCCATCATCATATCGCTACCTACGAGAAAAAGGAGAAAAGAAAAGACAGACAAACAAACATCAACGCAAACATGTCTTCCAACGTCCTCGCAGCCAAAGATGTCAACACGTCGATACCAGCAGCAAACTTCAGCCCTGACTTTGACGGCGCAATCTCCAAGCCGGACGTTAAGAGCATGGAGTACCACCGACAGGTCCTCCAGTCCAGGATGGAGCAGGACGAGTGCGTTCTACGCCCTCCCCTACTCTCAAGTCTGCTGTTTCTTCCGAGGCTGTACATACACAGGGCGGAAGATGGAGAGAGAAAAAGAAAGAGAAAGAGGAAGAGGGAAAGATGCAAAAGAATCAAGCCGTGCTGACATTCCGCTTCCGCCCACAGGACCAAGCAATACATTTCGCCGTCAGACAACATCATGAGCCCTTGCACGGCCAAGCTGAGCGCGCTCCGTAACAAGCAGGTCGGAAAGTAAGACTTTAATCTCTCTCTTGCTGCCCTTGGCACCTGCAACAAGAAATCCTTTCTTTTTCGTAAACATCACATAAGGTCCTAACAATCCTTCTTTCAGAGTCAAGCCCAAGTCGCTGTTCGCCCAGGCGTCGTCTAAGAAACTTGCGAGCGACAGCATCATCATCGGCTCCAAGCAGGCCTAGTTTCCGTACTCTCTGCTGCCTTCCCAGGTCTAGAGATCTCCCACGCCAGGCCTGAAGTCCTGGTGGGACGCACGAGAGGAGGGAGGAAGACCAAAGAAGACATGAAGAAGCAGAGGGTTTTGCGTGGACGCTTTTAATGGGACCCGTCGTCACACGTCCCTCCCGCCTTGTCGCCCGTCATTATTTTCGGCAATAGCGCTGTGGAAGCGGCCAGGCTGCCCTACCAGACTAGTCGTCTGACTGTCTGAGAGAATTCTCCAGGTCTGTCGTCGGAGTGGGACGTGTCATGCTATGGACTCATCACAACAGTATGTTACGGCCCGGCTCGGCGGTATGCCAATTTTGCATTGATAGGAGGTTGTTTGTTGTTTTTTGGTGGGTAGAGGGAAAGTTTGGTCTACCTGGAGATTTGAGCACGGGGCGTTTTTTTCTTTTGTTTTCTCTCATTCTTTTGGAGGTTTGTGTTATTTTTTTTTTCGCGTTACGGGGATATATGGTTGGCAGGGGAAAATGCCGAGGGTAACGACTGACACGATGACACACATACACACATACACACATACACAGAGAGAGAGACACCGACACAGGATTCATGGCACAATAAAGTCATTGGTTCTCTTCCCAGCAGAAACAGACTTAGCGAAGACGTGATAACGGCTCCAGGCTGCATTGGCTTGTTGCTACACGTTAAGCTCTCCAAGCACTGACTATGCTTACTACGTCCTCATCCGCCACGGGATGGGACAGTCCCACTCGCTGCGGAATGTGCCTCGCGCTGGCGCCCCAGACGAGGGCATATTTGAATGTGTCTTTGATGGACCTGTGGATGCGATCGCATACGTCCTCGATTGTGCTGTTGCTCCTCACAATCAAAGCCTCGCTGAAGTCGGGCACTACGCTTTTCCTCTTGGTGTAAACGCGTATGAGATTCAGTTCCTTCCAGCACCGGTCCACCACATCCTGGATACCTAGGTCGAGTTCACAGCTCATGACCACGGTCTGGGGCTCTCGCGCCAGTTTGTCCAAAAAGTCGAGCGAGACGCTGTCGATCTTGTTATAGACATAGAGGCACTTGATGTACTTACGGTGGTCCTTCATGATGACGTCGATGAATTCGTCGACGGTAGCGTTCTCGTCGCGGACCAAAACCTCGCAGTTGAGTATCTTGTAGTCCCTCAAGATGTTGTAGATCATCTTCTCGTCCAAGTTCTTTGGCGGTGACTGGAATGTAATCTTCATCCCGCCCGCCTTCTTCGGCTTTAAATAGATGTTTCTACAACCGTCAGTTCAGTGTATCCACTGGGATATGTCCGGATTGGAAACTTACGGCGGCTCGCAATTGAGTCGGATTCCCACGGCTTCCAGTTCGGCTTCAAGCAGGGCTCTCTGCTCGGCTCTCTTGGTTGCGTCCAAGACCATGAGAATGAGATCGCTTGTCTTGGCGGCTGAGATGACCTGGCGCCCTCTCCCCTTGCCTTCAGAGGCACCCTCGATAATTCCGGGCAAGTCGAGGAGTTGGATCTCTGCGCCTCCATACTCTAGAACGCCGGGAATTGCCGTAAGAGTAGTGAAGGAATACGCTGCGACTACTGACTTGGTCTTGGTCACCTTGGAAAGGAACGTCGACTTGCCCACTGACGGGAATCCGACGAGTGATATTCGCGCATCACCGCTTTTGGTCACGTCGAAACCCGCACCCCCTCCGCCTCCAGCTCCTGGACCCGGCTCAAGCAGTTGGGCACGGAGTCGCGCAAGCTTTCTTGACGCGCAGTTAGCGAGCCCAAACCCAGGTCGTGGATCGCGGTGCCTCACGTACCCCTTTAGAAGACCCAGATGATATTCTTGGCGCGAGAGCTGTCAGTAAATGATTCCCGCCGCTTATTAAGATGGCCGCCGACAGGAATAAGGAAAAAGCCAAGCATACCAGTTGCCTTGTTTTCTATGAGTCGAATCAGTCAACATCTGCATCAATACCACCTTGGTCGCGACTGTTGGTTGATATAGCAAAAACGCACTTTGGGTCCTCCTCATCTCCTCCTCAATCCTACACGCGGTTAGTCCAGTTTCATCACCAACCAAAAAGTGCCGATATGCTCACTCCTTGATTTTCTCTGTGATGTTCACCATGATGACGGTTTAGGTGAGGTTAGGAACCGCCGTCTGTGGTCTCTCGGGAAATGACAATTGCAAGTAGTCGCTGTCTACGTGTTTAGACGACAACTCTCAAAGGCCTGGCAGTATAGGAGGGACTTGATGTTTCTAGGCCAAGATGTTGATGGTGGGCCAGTGAAATAAATAAATGTCACTCGCAACTCCAGACGTGGGCCGAGTTGTCTTGAGTTGCACCGTGCCTGGACAATTCAAGCGGCAACCCCACGTTATGATGGCGGCAGAATTTCAAATAGCCTTAGAGGGGCGAGCCAGCCATTCACCGCCTTCTAAAAGAGGCTTGGCGTCTCCATTTCTGCTGTGGAGCTGCAGGCAATACAGTGCCAAGCCGACTGTCCTGTGCTTCAACACCATCATCCCCAGCTTTCCTTTCGAGACTCCCATCTTGCCGCGTTTACGACTCCGGCACGTCGAGCGTCGCGAAATTTACGCGTCATTTACCGAGAAGAAAGCGGCGCAGAACCAGATTCATCATGGCGGAAGTCGAAGTCGATACACGACTAGAGACTTTTGTTCTCGCAGCCGACGAGGCGCAAAATCTCGCCCTCACTACGATTAGCAATGAAGTTGCAGCAGCGCCTGCAGAGAAGAAGGTGAAGAAGATTATCCGGCGGAAGAAGCGCCCAGCACGGCCCCAGATCGATCCGGCATTGATCAAGTCGGAGCCGCCACCGCAGACGGGTACCATCTTCAAGTAAGCTTGGGTCCGCTGTCCCGAACTGCGAAGCAAGGCGACTAATATGAGTAGCATCTGGTTCAACAAATGGTCGGGCGGCGATCGCGAGGACAAATACCTGAGCCAGACGCATGCCAAAGGGAGATGCAACATTGCTCAGGACACTGGATACACGCGAGCCGACACAGTTTCCGGGTCGTACTTCTGCCTCTTCTTTGCTCGCGGAATATGGTACGCCGTCTCAGCAAGTCCCAGAGTGCCGCTTCTGATACTGACAACCTCTTTCCTGCAGCCCCAAGGGACAAGACTGCGAATACCTACACCGGCTCCCTACCATACACGACCACTTTAGCCCAAATGTTGACTGCTTTGGGCGAGACAAGTTTTCGGATTACCGTGACGATATGGGCGGGACAGGAAGCTTTAGTCGCACGAACCGCACGATATACATTGGGAGAATCCATGTCTCTGACGATATCGAGGAGGTGGTTGCGCGGCACTTTGCGGAGTGGTAAGCCATGACATCCCAAGTCTATCTAAGGAAACGGCTGCTGACAGCTCTTTTAGGGGCCAAATAGAGAGAACAAGAGTTCTCAATACACGCGGCGTGGCTTTCGTCACCTACTCGAACGAGGTAAGTGGTTTTGGAGCTCAGCCAGTTATTGATTTTTGTCTAACTCGTGAATAGGCGAATGCTCAGTTTGCAAAGGAAGCAATGGCCCACCAGAGCCTCGACCATGAAGAGATCTTGTGAGTCTAGATTCATACTTAAAGCCTTGTTGCGTCCTATACTAACGGCTTGAAGAAACGTTCGCTGGGCAACTGCCGACCCCAACCCAATGGCCCAGAAGCGCGAAGCAAGGCGCATCGAGGAGCAGGCGGCTGAGGCGATCCGGCGGGCGCTGCCAGCAGAGTATGTTGCCGAAATCGAAGGCAAGGATCCAGAAGCGCGGAAGAGGCGGAAAATTGAAAGCAGCTACGGACTCGACGGGTATGAGGCGCCAGACGAGGTGCATTTCGCTCGCGGAAGGAACGCCGTCAACCCAAGAGGGCGGGAGGGATACGAACTCGAACATGAGCAGCGTATGTTGATTGAAGCCGCCGACGCTGTCGAGGCCCAAGAAGTAGCCCAGAGCCAGGCGCCGGCGGAGCCCGAGAAAGGTAGCATTCTTTCAAGCAGTACACTAGCAATGCTGCAGTCAACTAGGGTCACGGTTGCTTCAAAACCAAAGCCAGTGGCTCCATCAGGGCCATTGGTGGCCTACGATAGCGACAGCGATTAGTGGCTAAGGCAGAGTGGTGGTAGCTGGGGAGTTCAACTAAGGAGCTCTAGATGCTGTTCGCGCACTCTATAACACAATGATACCAAAAGACATAGAGAGGCGATGAAATGGCAAGATAAAAAGGATTCAGCTATTGAATATTCTAGAGTACAAGACCTCGTGCCTCCCAAACCAGAGGTCCATGACGGGCACACGCTGGCCGGCCATCTCGACGGGCGTGTCCCACTCGCGCTCGATCATGGCGGCGATGAGCCCCTGCACCGTCCCGCCGGCTAGCGTCTTCTGCGCCTGGTACGGCCCGAACATGCCCGCGCGCACCGCCGCCGACACCAGCGCCTTGATGTGGCCCAGCATGAACACGTAGGCCGTCTGCTCCAGGCTCAGCCCGACGAGCTGGCAAATCGCCCCGAACAGAGGCGCCAGGTGCGCCGACACGGGTGGCGGCAGGTCTGTCCCTAAAGAAGACGAGCTTGACGACGACGACGACGACGACTTGAGCAGCGCCACAAACGGCTTCAGCGCCTCGGCCGCGCCCGCCGCCGGCGCCGTCCCCACAAACGACCGCTCCCAGATGGACAGCAGCGCCCGCCCCTGCGCCACCGACGCCCGCCGCCCCACCGTGCACACGATGGCCGCGTCGAGCGCGTCGTCGAGCGCCGCTAGCCGCGCCAGCCGGGGACTACTGCCAGACACAAAGGCAAAGCTAGAGGCGTCCCGATGCGCGGCCAGCACAAACGGCAGCGTCGTCGACGCGTACGACGATACTGACACGGGCAGGAACGCTGCGAATGACCCATTGCTGCTGTTGCTGTTTCTGGGTAGGGGTGCCAGGAATGCTTTGCTGTGCGCGAGGTACGACTCCAGCCCGCTGCTGAAGGCGAACGAGCCTAGCGGGAGCGCCGAGTCGGCCAGAAGCAGCAGGAAGTGCGTTGCGCTGCTGCTGGTGTTGGGGATGGGTGGTGGTGGGGATTCTATTCGAGTGCGGCTAGTTAGCCTTTGGGGTGAGTTCGTTTACTCTTTTGTGAGGGAAGTTGTTGAGATGCATGGTAATGAATATGAATATGGGAATAAGTATGAGAATGAGAATAGAAATTAGAGTGAGAATGAGTGTGAGGATGAAGATGAGGTCTGAACCGTCGACTCACTGATGGCTTGCTGGTTTGGACCAGCACTCCCCGCAGCGACACGAGCAGCGGGGGGATTGGCGGTACTGTCAATGGTTGTCGGCCTGGCCAGCTTCGCCTTGGCCGCCGCCAGACGACGCTCTAGGTCGGCAATCTCGCCTACTATTTCATCGTTGCTCCCGTCCGCGGTGGGCTGAGAGTCCATCATCACCGTTTCTTCATTGCTCGACTTTGCAAATACTGATGCTGTACGGATTATTTATGGATGGAACTCAACACCACACCGCGCACCACCCGCATTGGCGATAGACATGTGGGGCAAATCTGCGCAGCAACTTATCGTTACAGGTTGTTTTGGCCAAATAGAAACATGGTCCAATTGCGTCCCACCCTCTGAACTACTCCCGCAAAATGTCTCCTCGATCGTGCACACCCCTTCTCAACCAAGGCATGTACAATACCTAGCCCAATAAACCATATAACCCTAGACTATTCCGTATCAATTCCTGGTACCCGTATAACTCCCCACGACCATGCATGCAAAAACAAAAATAAACGCATACCCTCAAAGGGGCACTGGCATTATGCGACAACGAAACTCCAGGTAGAGAAAAAACTAAAAACCCCGTGCTCAAAGATGAGTCCCCCCCTCCCAGTCCCTCTCGACCTGCATCTGCCTGATCTCGCTCAATAGGGGTTCATATTCTCCTTGTTGCGGTCGGGCAGGTTCGAGCGCTCCGCCTTCTTGCGCTGGAGGCGGGCGATGGCGGCTGCCCGGCGGTCGGCGGGGAGCGTGGCCCTCGACGCGTTCATGCTCCACACAGCACTGCTGTGCATGTCGGGTCCGCCGAGGCGAGCAAAGTTGTCCTGGACAAGGTCGATGTGGGGCTGCTCGCTGTCGAGCAGCTCCGACGGCGGCGGCAGCTTCTTCCTGAGCGATTCAACCGGAGCTGCGGCTGGTGCCACCGCCGGCTGGGTTGGTCTAGTGCGTCTTTCCCCAGCGCCGGGAACGCTGTCGCTGCCTGCCGCTGCTCCCTTTGCTCGTAGATTCGTTGCCGACGAGGATGACACCCGCGACGACCGCTCTGTCCGGCTGGGGCGCAACGATTTCTCTTTTTCCTCTCGAGACTTGGTAGCGGCCGCACTCTGCTGCACCCCCTGTCCGCTCGAGGCCGAGCTACGGCTGTCTTGGAGATTTCCGCGGTCGGTGAGGACGCTTGACGGGTTCTTGGACATCTCTGCCTCAATCTTCTCCCGGAATGCGCGGGACGAGATAAGCGCCTCGTCTTCGTGAGTCGAGCGCCCCCGGGTTTCTATCCTCTTTCTTGCCTTCGTTTGGTAATTCCCGGCAGCAGCCGATTTTGCGGGAACGAGTAGGCCTCTCTGGATGCTCACTTGCCGAAGGTCGTGGAGCTCCTTCAGGAGTTGGGTGCTCTCTTCTTCTGCCGTCTCCAGGAATTTGAGTGCCGTCTCCGGGTCCGGAGCCAGGACGTCTTCGCTGCCCGCTTTGAGCTTTGCTTCCAGGTTCTTTGCCCTAGTTGTCCACCTCGATTCTGCCCGCTCCCTTCTTAGAGACCCAGTCTCGGCCTGGAGTTCGGATATCTTTTCGTTCTTTCTCTGTAAAACCCGTTGGGCTTCGACGTAGCGGGCTTTGGCGTCGTCCTTTATCTTTTCGTAGAGGGCTTTGGACTCTTCTACCTTTTTTTCTAGATCCTGGATCCTTGAGGCACTCTTTTCTAGGTCTCCGGAAAGCCTCTTGTTTTCGTCGGCAAGTTTTGAGGCGTGCTGCTCAGCGAACCTGAGCTCCGACCTCAGCCGGTCTCGCTCTTCCTTAGTCTTCTCTAGCTCCTTTGCCTGTGCCCTTGCCCGTCTTAGCTCCCGCTGCGTCTCGAGAAGTGTCTTTTGTGTCCTTGGCGATGCGATTCGCCGTTGGCGGGGGCCCTTGTCGTCGACCTCATCGTCCTCATCCTGCAGCAGAAACTCGAGCTCTTCAACTTGGTGTTTGTACTCTAGAGCGAGTGCCGTTTGTTTTTCTAGCTCGCTCGCTAGACTCGGGTCGTAACTAGCTCCGTCTTTCTTGGCCCTCAATCGGACTTGACGGCCCATTTCCGCAACCTCTTTCTCCAGCAGCCTCAGCTTCTCCTGCTCCTCCTTGAGCTTCTCGTTCAGGTCAATAGCTTCGGCGTCCTTCTTCTTCGCGTAAGACTTTGCGAGCTCCTTGTACTTGACAAGTTTCTCCATCTCAGCCTTTGCGTCGGCATGGTAGCTTTCGAAATACGACTTCCAATATTTGCCTGAGCGCGAGTGGGGTTCGTTCAAGTCAACGGTGACATCTAGTTCGTAGTCAGACTCGTCGTCGACCTCTTCCCACCCGTCGTCGGTTTCCTTCACTGTCGCGGCTGCTGTGTCACGAGCATCAGTCGCCGCCTCCTTGGGCTTGCTGTTCCTTGACCTTTCCATGGCTTGCGTCAATCGCGTCTTTGGTCTGTCGGACTTGTCGCCAATCCACGGACTTGGGAACTTTCCTGGGCAGTCGTCTGGCAGGCCAGTGGCGCTCGTCAAGCCTTGTGCGGCAGCACCCGCTTTGACGTCATGGCCGAAAGAGACGCGTTTTCGACGCGCCGTGGCGGTGCCAGGCGTGAGGAGAATCCCGGCAGGCTTCACTGGCGACTTGTCTCCGACGGAATTTTGATTGAGGTTTGGCTGCGCGTCTTGGTCGGTTACTGTGACGCGAGGCTTGGCCGGCTTGCTGTGCCGTGGCGCGGGAGTGCCGAACAAGGCCGTCTTCAGTGCGCGCACAGCAAAAACAGGCCCTGGTGTGTCTGGCTGCTCGATCTGGGTATCATCTAAGGGCGCAGTGGTTCAGTATCTTATCCAAGGTAGGTAGGCAGGCAGGGAAGCACAAAAAAGAGTGTGTGCCCATACCGGCTCCGGGAGCATCTCGCGCACTCTCCGTGTTGCGCTTCAGCGCCCAGCTGATCATCGTGGCCTTTTCTCGCTCTCTTTTTGCACGAAATTGCCTAGACGTAGGAGAGTTTCATGAATTGGCTGGTAAAACGCGTGTCGGGCTGCGTAGTTACAAAAGAACGCGTTTGGTAGGTTCCCCTTCGTAATGTTTTAGTGCAAAATCCGGGATTGGTTGTTGTTTACTTGCCTGAACAGGACTGCATTGCTAGTGCGGGTCGCAGTGGACCTTTAGAGGCTGCAAGGCGTGAGCCAGCTGAAGTGGAGTTGCCCGGCTAGCCTTGCCTATTTGCCCCACACTTAACCCCCGCATCCTCACCTGCTTTCAGCCCCATTCACGCTAAAAAGTCGAGCAGAACCTACCCCACCATAATTGAGCGCCTATCTCCAATCCGCCTCCGAGTCACTCTCATCTCAACACTGATTGACATCCACCTTGTCGGAGCTCTTTTCGAGTTTCGCTAACGGCCGTCTCCATATCACCTGCCTGCTTCATCCTTACCGTCACCTACCAACACAAACAACAACACCACCACCATACAATGGGCTCGTCTCACTAAAGTCTCGCAGCCAATTTTATTTGGCTGTGCAGTCTTTCGTTTTGGATCAATCAACTCATGGTCCACTGATCCTATTCAGCGCGAGAGATCCTTTGTCACTTTCTCATTTCGAGACATTGACGGTAGGCAGCCCAGCAAACACCCATCATCGCATTTCTTTCTCGCCTCGACATGGCTGGGAAGGCAGCTGCCGGCCAGAAGAAGCCCCCGCAGCCCCCCAAGAAGAATGCAGGAAGCAACTTTCCCGGCCCTGCAACTGCGGGGCAGCCTGGGAACAAGACGCACTACCAGGTCACGCAGGAGGATGAGGTCATGGTGTTGAAGGCCATCTATGGAGAAGACTTTATTGAGCACAACACGACCCATGGCGCGTGGAAGGTAGGATCTCGTTGTCTCACTGTCGAGGCGGTCAGGGCGCCTTCGTCTCACCCACAGCTTACTGACCTGTCCGAAGAAACCTGAGCCGGCATTTGACATAAGAGTGCGGGCCCTGTCTGACCAGGATCTTGCTGTCACTCTTTCCTTTGTCCTGGTGGCGACATATCCAAAGTCGCCGCCTCTTTTGACTGTCAAGAACGAGAGTGGGCTGCGGGAATCAACAAGGTTTAAGATCCAGACGTTTGTGGACACAAAGCCCAAAATCTTTGCCAAGGATGAAGAGGAAATGGTCGACCGGATTGTCGAAGGTGTCCGTGATATCCTGGAAGAAGCCGCCATCAAGAAGGCCAAAGGTCTCGAGATTCCCTCCCTGGAGGAAGAACGAGCCGCCCATGCGGCAGAAATGGGCAGGCTGGCCCACCAGGAGAAGGAGCTTGAAGAACGCAAGAAGCTCGAGGAGTCCAAGGAGGAGGAGAGAGTCCTGGGCGACATGCTCCAGGAAGAACTCAAACGCCAGAAGACTAAGGCCAAGGAGTCGAGGAAGAAGAACAGGTCTCGGCAACTTTCGCCGGGCCGTGCGGCCGAAGATCCCCGGGACACGGACGAAGCCGTCGTGTTTGACCAACCCTGCAAGCTTACCGATGGATCTGGAAATGCCTTGTATTTCCAGACCGTTATTGGCAAGGTACTCTTCAGGGAAGGTCCAGTGACGGCAGTATACAAGGTCAAGCCCGTGCTATCAGCGAGGGTGGTTCGGCCCAGCCTTGCTCTGAAGCAGGTAGAGCTGAAATCCCAAGGAAAAGACTCGGTTCAATTCAAGAAACAGTTGCAGTCCTTGGAGGCGCAACTCGAGTCGCTGAAAAAGCTCCACCACCAGAACCTTCTTCAGTTACTTGATTTCAGAATCGACCGCTCCATTAGCGAGTCTTCGCCGACCGTCTGGACTGTCAGCATTCTCGGCCCTCTTGCCGGCAGGGGCCCACTCGATGAGCTTCTTGAACTGGCTGGTCATATCGATGTCAGCAAGGCTAGAATATGGACTGCGAATCTCCTCGAAGGCCTAGGCTATCTGCATAACAATGGCCTTGTTCACCAGGATATCCACCCCGGAAATATTCTCCTCTGCAGAGAGCCGGCAGGGGATATAGTCCCGAAAATTGCCGACTCGGGATACCAGAGGGAACTGCACAACATTTGCGCCCAAGCACCTCTCTTGGCTTCGACAAGGGCAGCAAAATCGGCGTACTGGTTTCCTCCCGAGATAGCCGGCGTATCAAAGCCACAATATACCCAAAAGACGGATGTCTGGGAGTTCGGTATAGTCTTTTTGCAGATGATTTTTGGTCTCGACGTCCCGGAGAAGTACCACTCTCCAGCTTCGTTGATGGAATCTCTATATCTGTCTCCTCAACTGGAAGAGCTTGTGACAAAGTTCTTCAAATCGGACCCCAAGAAGCGGCCTCGGGCCTTTGAGTTGAGCTCGAGCGAATTCCTGGCGACCAATGCCCCGATTCTAGCCGACGACGAGTCTGCAGCCATGTCGGGGTCGTTGACCTTGTCTCAGTCTCACCAGCGGAGAACACGCCACGACTCTACAAACCGAGGTGTAATCTCTAGATACGTAGAAGACTATTGGGAAGAAGCTCGTATTGGAAAAGGAGGGTTTGGCGAGGTGGTTAAAGCTCGGAAGATTATTGACGGAAGACTTTATGCCATCAAAAAGATCACCCAGAAGTCCAAAGAGACGCTGTCCGAAACATTAAAAGAGGTTCGGCTGCTCTCACAGATGAACCATGCGTCCGTTGTTCGATACTTCAATACCTGGTATGAGTCGTTTGCCGACTCTTCAGACGCTGAAGGCGACACCTCCACTGAAGGAGGAAACACTGAGGATTCGCGAGATACTGTTACCCCTGATATCGACGTGCAGTTCGGTGCAGACAGTAAAGACAGCAACACGGAACCTTCTGTGGATAGCAACACCGGAGGCTTGGATTTCATGTCGTCGAGTGGCCATCCATATGTTGAGGAATCCGACGATGAAGATGAATCGGACGCTCAAGAAGAAGCCGAGTTTTCTGCTTCTGACGATGATACCGCATCAACCTCCGACGAAAGACCAAAAGATCAGCTTGCTGTTCCGCCCAGGCGTGTCAGAAGAGGCAGTACTCGCCCTTTTAGAACAATATTGTACATTTCCATGGAGTATTGCGAGAAACGGGTAGGTTTCTTTAGCCCTACAATGTTTAGATTGCCTTGTGAACTCAACTTGCCTGACAAAAAAAATCCCTTAGACCCTGCGAGATCTCATATCTCGCCACCTCTGCAGGGAACCCCAAGAGGTTTGGCGATTGTTTCGTCAGATACTTGAAGGCCTAGTTCACATCCACGGCCTCAACATCGTGCATCGGGACCTCAAGCCCGAGAATATCTTCATTAGCGCTACCTCTGACGGTGTCGAGAATGTTAAGATTGGTGACTTTGGGCTCGCAACAACCGAGCAGCTGACAGCAGATAGAATTCCAGCTACCATGGACTCGGGCGACTTGACTCGAAGCATCGGCACGGCCGTTTACGTTGCTCCAGAAGTGAGGACTGGAGGAAGCGGTGGATATACGGCCAAAGTCGACGTAGGTGATTTGTCTACATCTTCTGCTTTTGCCACCATCTGACTCCACGTAATAGATGTACTCCCTGGGTGTCATCTTTTTTGAAATGTCATATCAGCCTATGCTTGGAATGCAGCGCGCATTAGTACTCGAGCAAGTACGGCGCTCTCTGCCAACTCTCCCGTCCGACTTCAAGTCCATCGACAAGAACCACGTGGAGATTCTTCTCTCACTCCTTAACCACAATCCAAAGGAACGGCCCTCAAGTCAAGAACTGTTGAAGAGTGGGAAGTTGCCTGTTCAGATGGAGAGCGAGGTAATACGACGTGCAATCGACGGACTGGCGGACCCGGACTCTCCCTACTTCAAGAAGATGCTTTCCACTTTATTTTCCCGGCCCGTCGAGCAAGCAAAGGACTACGCCTGGGATATGTCTTCTTCTGCGCCGAGCAATTCGGACCTCATGAGGCAATATATTGTAAAAGACACGCTAATCTCGATTTTCCGACGACACGGTGCTATCGAAGCCCCAGCGGCCGCTCTTTACCCCCGGTCAACCAATTACGGCCAGAATGCTGTGCGGTTGCTTGATCAGAGTGGCACAGTACTCCAATTGCCGTACGATCTGATGATGGGCCACGCTCGCTCCTTGGCAAGACTGACGAATGGCCCCGTACCGCAACGCTCATACTCCTTTGGGAACGTATTCAGAGAACGCCATGGTGGCGGGCAGCCTGACGTCTACGTAGAGGTCGACTTCGATATTGTCACTACCGACGCCTTAGATCTTGCCTTGAAGGAGGCTGAAGTGATCAAGGTGGTGGACGAAATCGTCTCGGCATTTCCCACGACATCTTCAACTCCGATGAGTTTTCATCTAGGGCACTCGGATCTCCTGGACTTGATCTTTGAGCATTGCGGAATCCACCCAAGTGCCAGACGTCGAGCTGCGGACACCCTCAGTAAACTCAATATTCGCAGCTTCGGCTGGACAAAAGTCCGCGGTGAGCTCAGATCTCAGGCCATTGGAATTTCAGCCACTAGCATTGATGAGCTGCAGAGGTTTGATTTCCGAGGTGAGCAATATGCCTTTTGAGCACCAGGATACTCAGAACTGGGCCACTGACCTTTCATAGACTCTCCGAGCAAGGCCATCTCAAGAGTGAAGAGTCTGTTCGAGGGAAGCGAGGGTGACTTGTCTCAGAAGGCATCCTCTGTACTGGCTCACCTCAAGGAAGTATATGAGTACACGAAGAGATTCGGCGTCTCAAAAAAGATATATATAAGCCCCTTGCACAGCCTGAACGAGAATTTCTTCCGTGGAGGGGTACTTTTCGCTTGCCTCTACGATAATAAGGTTATGGACATTTTTGCGGCTGGTGGCCGCTACGACAGCCTGATCAAAGAGCATCGTCTGAAGACTGGCGTTCGCTTCGAAGAGAGACATGCGGTCGGCTTTAGCATGAACTGGGAAAAGCAGCTGGCGAAGCAAATACCAAAATCTGCTGGCAAGGCATTCCTCAAGAGAGCCGCCGAGGAAGAGGGCCACGGAATATTCAGCGCAAAACGGGTAAGCTTCCGGGACACTCTGGGGACTATTTCCGCCTACTAACCTTCCCAGTGCGATATTTTAGTTGCAAGTTTTGACCCATCCGTCCTGCGGTCTTCGGGTATAGAGCTCGTCCAGACTCTGTGGGCACACGGCATAAGCGCCGAACTTGCCAGAGATTCTCGCTCGCCCGATGATCTCCTTTCTAGCTACCGAGACGAATCTTATAGCTGGATTATCATCATAAAACAGGATAACATGCTAAAGATCAAGACCGTGGGACGGAAGGACGCTCAGGATGCCGACATCGCCGCCAAGGAATTGCTCAGCTGGCTAAAGGTCGAGATCCGCGAGCGCGACGCCCGATCCGTGGTCAAGTTGCGGAGCGGCGCAAATGTGCCAGTAACGGAGTCAACCCACGGGTTGGATGGCGGGACTGGGCAGGATGTGCATATTCTTGTTGCCCAGACCAAGAGCAAAAAGTTCAATCGCCATGCAGTGGTCGAGCAAGCCCAAGCCAGCGCTTCGCGACTGGCGCAAAGCTTCCTTGAGGGCCCCGTTGCGGCCATTGAGACATCTGACAATGTCGTTGAGATGATAAACACCACGAGCCTGTCTGACACGGAGAGCTGGAAGAAAGTAGAGCAGTCGGTCGGCACGGTCGAGAGGAATTACGTGAGGGAGATACACGACATGCTGGAAGCATGGCGATGGGAGTGGGAGGCCAAAAAGGGGCCCGGTCATGCATTTGTCTACAACTTCCGGACGGGCAAGTGTATATACTACGATCTAGGGGCCTAGGTGCACGGAGTTGCTTCCCGCGGCGGCGATGTTGGTGTCAAGGTCGGGCCAGGTTTGGCTGGCCATATATATTCCAGGTCATCGGGATCCGGAATGAGCTGTTAAGAGTATGAATGAATGTAGGCATGTAAGGTAGTCTGATGACAGCACACGACGAACACGGGGATTTCGTCCGCTCAGGCGTTGCATTTAGCAAGGTTAATACCCCATTTCCATTTCATCTGAATAAAACCTGGATCACTCAGATAAAGCTAGGCGTGGATAGCTGTTTCAGACATAGGGGGAAAGGAAGAGGAGATGCGACGGAGCTTTACAAAGCGGCAATCTCATCATTGCGCCTTACCTGTAGTGCACTGGTGATGCAATTATGGCGATATGTCTCGACGTGGCGGCCGAGCTCCAAGACATATTCTAGAACCCGACAAAGGATTTGGTGATTACCAAGGGAGGTAGTTGCAGGTCCGGACCATTTCGCCACAAAATTGAACAAGCTACCTTGGTAACCTGGAAGGCGGTCTGCACGTCAGCTGCTCTCGATGCGCTGCACCTGGAAAATGAAATAAAATAGCAGCTGCATCCTCACATGCAGATTATTACGCCACCTCAGGTGTCGAGGGGGGAATGGAACGGCCGTGGGCTTGGGCATCGGATCAAGCGCTCACAGCTGGTCGGGGGATGGGGTGAAAGAGAATGATTAGAAATTCAGGCCTCCCGAGTAAGGATGTGTAAGAATTCAGACCGGGACATTAAATGTGCCTTGGGCAGATAGCGAGTGAATCCATGTGAGTAGACGTGTTCAAGATATCAAAGTCGGGTTGTTACAGAGCAATGTAGGCGCAGTTTCCGGGTTGATGGGACAGTCAAATTGAAGCAATGGCGATGGATATGGATGCGGCATCGATACGCCGTATTCCGTGCGTGCCTCGGAACTGAAAGTCCATGGCGGCGCTGCCCAGTCTAGGCTACGGTTGCGTTGCTTGCCTTGTCCCTCGTCCGCTAATCCGGCCGATTGAACGAGACCTTAGATTGCTTGCTCAGGCCTGCCGTCCGGGCCATTCGAAGATCGGAAGCGGGTTGTGGCGAGAAAGGGACTGGTTGACCAAGCTCACATGGACACCGCAGTTGCCATAATGGTGGCGGCATCGGCATCGAATCACAGGGGTTCCCCGGCCCCTGTCAGCTCACTCGGGCGGGCCCCCTCCCTAGAGGGAGGGGGCTCTCCCAGAGGGGTACTCGAGACGGCTCGTCAGGTTGCGAAAGCTCTCGTGCCTTTCGCCTAGCCACTGCTGCACCTACATGACTTGTCTAACTTACTTCTCCATGCGCAGTGTATGCTCTCGCAAAACGATATCCCGGAAAATAGGTATTGTACCTTGAATATATACAGGAAAACCTCGGCGCCTCGCCTCGCTGCCCGGCCACTTATCTCCTCTCTTGGCCGAAGAATCCGGCTTATCAAACCCAAAAGAATAGCCACACCCAGACCAACAGAACTGGCCGCTCTGCCTGACGTGCGCAGCCTCGTTCACGGCCCGGGCTTATTTCCCACCATTCTCCGATCGTCCTAGGCGTGCATGCCCCCCCCTGCCAACCTTCTACCTAACCTAACCTGCCACCACCACCCCCAAGCCTCCTTCCTTCTTGCTCAGCGCCTCAGCACCGCAGCCAAACTCCGAAACGTGGTGAACGGGCCTGGCCTTTTCCCGTCCCTCAAAAGTCCAACTGCGCCGCTCCCGTCCTTTCCTACTTGGCCCAGTGACGCTGCGTCGCACCCTCTCCTCTGCCGCCATCTTGGATTCTCCACGCAACCCAGGGAGCTCCTCTACACCCGATTTCTAGCCTACCTAACACGCCCCTTCACGAACACCACCACACGTTACCTCGTCTCGAGTTTACTGTCACAATGTCGAGGACGGGGGGCGCAGGTGCGAAACAGCGGCTCATGAGTGAGATGAGGAACTTGAGAAACGAGAAATGGATACACTTTGAAGACGTAATGCTCACCACCTTTCAGCCAAGTAGCAGCCTTTTCCTCGGTGGTTGCCCTCATATGGCTGTTTGCTAACCTATCGTTCTTGGTCTGCTGGTCGTAGGACGAATCAGGGAACCTGTTGAAGTGGCGGTTTGCTTTGATGGTTATCAACTCAGACAGCGCGTTCAACGGCGGCTATTTCAAGGCCGAGATGGTTTTTACCGACGACTACCCCTTCAGTCCGCCAAAGTTTCGCTTCCTAATTCCAATTACACACCCCAACATCTACCCCGACGGGCAGCTCTGTATCTCGATTCTACACAAGCCCGGAGAGGACCTTATGTCGGGGGAAGCAGCGAGCGAGCGTTGGTCCCCCCTGCAAGGCGCCGAGAGCGTGCTCCGGTCGGTGCTCCTATTGCTGGACGACCCAGAGATCAGCTCGCCCGCCAATGTTGACGCAGGCGTCATGTACCGCGACCGCCGGAGCGATTACAACGACCGGGCGCGAGCTACGGTCGAGAAATCCAAGAAGGACATCCCCGAGGGCTTCGAGATGCCGCGGAGTTTTGAGCCCGCACCGCCGATCAAGGCCGAGAATGACGACGACTTTTGGGCCGAAAGCGACGAGGAGCTCGACTTTGGTGGCAGCGACACGGGTGACGAGGACGAAGACCAGGACATGAGAGATTTTGAGGACGAGGGAGATGAGGAAGAACACGACGGGAGCGAGGAAGAAGATGGGGAAGATGACCCATAATGGACCTGGCAGCGGCACTGACCACGGGATGTGGTAGCAACGCCTTCGATCTATAAGCGTCGCTCGCCCTTTTTTCTTATTATTCTTACCATTATTATCATGCATAGCGTTGGTAGCGGCAGTTGTGGCAGGGCGTTACGCAGACCGCTATTCCCAAGGACGGCAGGAATCTGCGTTGTGTTTATACGTTTGCCCCCAGATCCTTTCTCCCACCAACACGGGTTCTGATGAGAGCGAATACGCGGCCAGACAGTGGATCGTATGTAAATTTGGCGAGCGGTGCGATAATATAGCGTTCCACAGGCAGAGTTATCAGTTTGATAGATAGTTTCTCTTGTTGAAGTATTAGACGACCTCCTCCTCCTCAATCTATTTATTCTCACCGGCTAACCCACTGTATCCACATGAGACGGCCACGTCTAGGTTAATGTTCTTCCGTTTGCGCTCGTGTAGAGAGCATGAAAGTTCACCTTAAAGATAGAAGCTAGAAACTTTCATAAACCAAGTCAACATTTTTAAACCAACCTTTAACTGTTTTGTAAATTCGGTATGTACCAAGTTTACGCATATACATCCATGGCAGTCTGTGGCAGATCTCACATCTCCGTAAAACGCCTATGCTAAAATTTATGAGATTTCCTCCGTAGGCGGAAGGTTGGGCAAGGGTTGGGATCAAAGAGTTCGCGGGGTAACATCTTTAAGGTACGTAGTACCTCTTTAGCCCGTTTCTTAGTTGGTGCAAACCTTGCCCGCTCCGCTGTTTTTCTTAGCCATTACGCTGGGTGGCGCGTGCACCTTCAAGGGTTAAGGCGGCGCCAAGAGCCAAACGGGCTTTCACATTCATTACATCGTGCTCGGGGCGGTAGGAACTAAAAGAAACCCGCAGCTCTCCATCATCGCTTCCAACACTAAACGCTGTCCACCGCCCTGCTGACGACTTCTTTCCGGCGCATTTCAGACAAATACCCGGCGGCTTGCATTGTTTGCTAAATACCCAGCATCCCGGCAAAGGAGTTTGGTTGTCAAATATTTGCCCATTCTCACAGACAAACCCAAATCGCGAATCGCAAACCTAAGAAGCTGCATCGAGAGCTCGCTAGCTACCCTGTCCCGCCCAGTGACCCCGGTGTCCCGCTGGAGCCTATCCATGGCATCTTGACAGTTCTGCATCTAGTTTGTTCCGACACCCGCAGGCTTGTGCCGCCGGCGCCAGAGCAAGACAAGGCAAGATGGCGTTCAACGCGGCGTCTGCGGAGCAGATCAAGATGGTCATGGAAGCCACGGGCTTGTCGGACCACGGAATGATCGCGGCGGCACTGCAGGGCAAGAATAATAACGTCGACGCTGTCGCCGACGAGTACTGGACAGACTCGAATAATGTCAGATCGCCCTCCCGCCGCTTTCCGCCCAGGCTTGTGTGCTGACTTGTGTCTGTGCAGTTCATAAAGAAGTACGGATGGGATGAGGGAGTCTTCTCTTCCAATCGCGAAGGCGACATGGTCAACAACACAGCCCCATGTGAGCCTTATGAAATTCCGCGGCTGGCGGAAGCTGTAGTACTGACGAGATGCTGTCAGCCTTTATAATACACCCGGCCGACGACAGTCAAGTGATATACGGGTCCGAACCGACCGGCTTCTACGGCTCAGTAGCGCCCTCGCGCCCGCCGTCGAGAGCAAATACCAGATCCCCCATCGGTCGCGTCGTAGATCTCACGGCAGGTGAATTTACTGGAGGTGGACCGAGCAACAGGCAGGAAGAGGAAGCGGACCTTCAACGAGCTATCAACGAGTCGCTGCACGCGTCCGGCATTCAGAGTCCTCAGCCGCTGCCTGGTCCGCCGCCGCTACCACAACAGTCAGGCATCACCAACGCCGGAGACGGCTCCGTCTTTTTCGGTCCGGCCACTCGACCTGAATATGATCCAGGCGAGTGGTCCATGGTCCGTCTCAAGGCTCAGAACCCCGACCCTGAGCCGTCGCTCCGAGCGAGAATTCCAGGAGACCCCGTGTTTTTGAGATGTCGCCCAAACAACAACAACAACAACAACAACAACGGCGTTCATCGTATAGGCCCTATTTTGATGATACTGCACACAATCCCCGCTACTCGCAATGCGCTATTACGCTTCGGTCGAGAACCAGAGTACGGCTACGGGAGCAATCAGGAATGGTGGAAAGGCGTCGTTATTTTGCCACCAGATCAGCAAGCAGCAAGAGACACAGGATCAGGTGGATTCTACGGGTCAGATTCCTTGCCCCCGTGGTCCGATGAGGTCCACCGTTTGATTGCCTTCCTGGATTCTACAGACCGGAGCTACGGTACCGCAGACATCCTTTGCGAATCTCAGTACGAGGGCACGCCCTTATTCGGCGACCGAGAAAAGGACTTTTTCCAGAACTGCCTTAGTGGGCAGGCAATGACCGATGGGATTCAGCAAGAGACGAGCAGCTCGTTTGCGGTCTCGGTTGAGGTTGTGCCAATTTTAGGCGATGGGCCCAGCACTTTGAACGTGTTTGCCCTTTTCGAGTCCCATTTTCTGAGGGAGACTCTGTCCTTAGCGCAGAACCTCTACAGCGTCTGGGATCTTCTCTTTTATATGCACATTGGCACACCGGAAGAGGATCTCGACACTGCGAGGATGGCCATGATAACTCAGCCCTCTGATGTCATTACGTTCCGCTTCGGCGGTGATGACGGTTTTCCGAAGCATATCGAGATTCCCGAAACATTCTACATTGATCGATACATGGCAATAAACCGGGACCAAATGCGGCAACTCCAGCTCGAGATGTCGACGGTGACCTTAGCCTTCCAGCAAAATAAACAGAAGGAGGATCAGTTGACGACATACACCCAAAAAGGCAAGGCCTGGGACAGAAGAGTCATGAACAAGGCGGCAATCCAGCGTTGTAATGAGCTCACTGCGAAAATAAAGAATCATGCCTCGTGGAGAGACCACGAGGAGGCTCGCTCTCGCGGCGATGATGATTTCTACCTACCCGAACACTCGGGCCAGCCTAAATTGTGGCCTCAAGAGGCAGCGGTTGTGGAACATTACGAGACAAAAATACGGCACCTTGAACAACAGATGGCCGAGATTGACCGTGTCATGAAGAGTAAGTTGGGCAACTGTGTACGATTTGTAGTGACTTTGCTGACAATAACGGATCAGGCGTCATTCTGCCAGAACGAGAGTCTCTCCAGGCGCTGTACAGCCATCTCTGCACGCTCCTGACAGGCCCATCAGCGGACGAGAAATGGAATGCGACCCATAAATACACCCTCCGAGGCGTGACTAGTAACGCAAATATTGTGTTTGTGCGGAAGCGAGAGCCTGTTCTTATGCAGATGGACGAAGCAGCCACGCCCACTGAACAGTGGTGGAAAATAACATGCGACGAAAGCAATAACAACACTGTCTTGACCGAGGTAAGAAATATTTACTTGACGGAAAGAGGGGCACTGGGCAATGCTAATTTAGTCTCCGTGATTAGATAACAACATACGAGACAGTAGTGCGCGAGGCTTGTGGGATTAACAGCAAGCCCATCCTGGTATATGCAACGGACGAGGCCTTGGAACAAGAATCCACTCCTCTGCGGGACGCCCTGAAGACTTTTGTCAAGTTCGATAACCGTCACTTTAAACAAGAGCTCTCGCAAGCCGAGCAGCAGCAAAGCTCGCCAAAGAGACTTAAGAAGTCTGCTAGTCTGGAGTCCATGGCGACGAACCAAGCGTCGGCTGGGGATATCGACGACGACATGCGCGACTCGGCATTTAACGATGACGATGTGTTTGCCAGTGGCGATGGATTCATGGACACGCGTCACGGTATAGGCCAGCTGGTGGATATTTCAGTCACGCCAGTTCCTGGAGGCTCGGTCGATGAACCCGTGAAACTCCTTACACCGCCTCCCGAACAAGAATTGGAAATGATCATGGAGCCTCCGACGATAGGCCGCGAGGCTGATCGGCTTGCACGGGTATCGCTTGATAACAGCAACAGTCCCAACAAGAGTCAAGAGATGCAGGAGCGCGCCAGCCTGCCTCTTATTGCTCGACCGACCACCGCCATAACCTCCAATTCCATGTCTTTTGTTGACAGAGAAAGAGAGGCTGCGAATATGGGGGTCAACGGGTTCTAGTGGATGAGAGCCAGACTCTACCCGATATTGGGATGGCATATACGGCCATGGTATTGTTGTCATTGGCCATCTATGCCATATCTGCCCTCGGCTATGGCATCTCCAACTGTTCGCTTTCTAGTATGGGGATACTAGGGCGAAAATGTATAGAGGGATATCTCGCGTTTGACCATGACAAGAAAATACTTGCCGTCAGCGCGCTGAGTGGATACATTCGGGATACCCATGTTTTGTACAAAGCGATAGGCTGTATGTGTAGTGTTTAGAAGCATGCGTATATGAAGAAACAAATGCATGATACCCTGTATAAATACCTTCCTCGATGGCTTGGATGATGCCTTGTCTCTAAGCCTGCTTTGACGGGATGCTGAATGAAGATAATTGGGGGATTTCTTGATTAGAGTTTAAAACTCGGGGTTTAAGCTACGTATCTGATGTGCCAATTCAGTCTCAACTTGTTGTAGCCAATTGCAAATTTTCACCTCTTATTGCATCAAGTAGTGATGCTGAATAGGGGCAAAAAGCAAAGTCAATATGCGACGTTCGAGAATCGAACTCGAATCCTGCGCAGCCTGGAACAAACTGGGAAGCGCAGATGATAACCATTACACTAACGTCGCGGTTCCTATGGGAATGCGGCGGGTAATTTCTTATTGAGAAATGCGTCTCACACGCTCACAATTGCCCCCTCAGCTCTGCTGCGGCGGAGGCGGCGCCGGCAACTGCTGCTCTCTCCAACACGAGCTCCATATGTGGTGGAATGGGGAGAGCTCTCGTCACTGCTTGGCTCCAGGAAATACCGCAAAGGGTGGGTACGTTTTCTGTAGCGGAGAGCGGGTCGGACGGAACACAGCTGTGTATGTGCCCCACACTTCCCCGCTATCCGTCATACTGCTCGTCGGGAAAATAACTATTGCGGGGCATTTCAGAGGCTAGCTGCTGTGGGGCCCTCTTGTTTCTGCTTGCTTTCCATGCTTCCATCTTTCGGGTTGGAGCTAAGGTGATGCATACATAGTATACTACCCGTTGAAACCCCGACTCGACAAGTTGACTTGCCTCGGTTCCTCCGCAACATATCAAGAATACCAGCTTATACATGCACCTGACAGCAACAGACGATAAACTCCCAGGCACAACCGGTATTGAAAAGGAAGGAGAGAGAGACACAGACAGAGGAGAAAAGAGAAAAGATGGCGACCCGACGAGACAACAAGATCGAGAAGATCATCGCGCGGCTGCAGAAGCGCATTGCCGAGGGGCAGTTCGAGGAGCAGTACGAGGCCGGGCAGGAGACGCGGCTGGTGGCGGCGCGCTACACCAAGACGGAGAACTGGGGCGCCGCCATCGACATCCTGTCGAGCGTGTCGCAGGCGCTGCTCAAGGCCGGGCAGGGCGGCAGCGGCGGCGACCTCGCCGTGCTGCTGGTCGACGTGTACAAGCAGGCGAAGCACAAGCCCGACGCCGAGTCGCGGGCCAAGCTGCTGACGTGCCTGCGCCTGTTTGACAGCGAGGAGCCGGTGCGCAAGAAGTACATCAAGGAGATGATGGAGTACGGAAGCCTTTTTTTTTCTTACAGATTTTCTCCAGTTCATTTAGCTTTGTATTCTCCAGCGCAAGTGGAGAGGAGGAGGAGCTGACGAGATATCTACAACAGCTGGTCGAGGAAGTTCGGCGACTACCCTGCGGGTGATCCTGAGCTACACCACGTCGTGGGCTCGCTCTACGCTGACGAGCACGAGACGGACGAGGCTGAGAAGCACTTGATATTAGGCACGAAGGACTCGCCCGAGGTTCTTACTCGCATGGAGTACACGTGGTACAAGGAGGACGACTCCCACACGGCACCCCTCTATGCCGCGCGGGCCGTGTTACCCTATCTGCTGGTCGCTAATGTCCGGGCAGCCAATACTTCCTACAGAGCCTTCACCAGCGCGCTGACCTCGGACAAAAAGGACCTCAGCGTCCAGGACGTCAGCTCGCAGAACTCCGACGTCCGCGTTTTCCCGAGCCTCCCGCTGCTCAATTTCCTGGGCTTGCTCCTCCTTGCCGTTCAAAGAGGCAGCCCCGACCTGTTCCGGCAGCTGCGGAATAAGTATGCTCCCAACATCAACGAATTGGGGGGCGCGTGGGACACGGCGCTGGAGATGATTGCCGAGATGTACTTTGGGATCCAGCGGCCCCGGCAGAGCAATCCGCTATTCGATATGATGGGCAGCCTGTTTGGTGGCGGCGGAGGCGGAGGCGGCCCCCCGGGGGGGCGGCCGGCAGCTCGCCGGGTAGAAGCCCCGACTGCCGAAGGCCTGGACTAGAGAGTAAGGCTTTCATGGCCTGGATAGACTAGGCAAGATACAGACACAGACGGGCAAAGAACACGAATTGGTAGTGTACGGAAGCCAAATCAGCTTCTCATGCTGTACGCTTTTCTCACTGGTGACGTGGTAGCTCTTCTCGCTCGAACACCCAATTGTCCTCGGCTAACGCAGCAACTTTGGCTCTCAAACTCGCTCTAACTGCCTCAAGCAGCTCTGTAATCATACGCACTTGGTCTCAGTTGAGGTTCATGTTGACGGATAGGGTTAAGGGGCCTATAGGGAGTTTTAGAAGAGGAAGAGAATCTCACCTTCTGGTTGTGCAGGTACACTATTCTGGTCAATCTGATGCTGCTTCACGGCCTCGGACAGCCTCTGCCTCTCTTTTTCGTTCTCTTGCCGCGTGTCCAGCGCGACCACCTCGTCCGGGTCGTCTAGAGGCGGCGTAGGCGGGTCCCCCAGCTCGATCTCGCCGTTCCTATCGCGGATCACAATGTCTGCGGACGAAGAAGACTCGTGCTGGTGCGGCGGCTGCCCGTCGGCGTCCAAGCGCAGCGTCTCGGCCGATGTCGACGACGACGTCGACCCCCCCGCCGTCGGCCGCCGCGTCAACTGGCTCTGGAACAGATTCCGCCGCACGCTCGACGCTGTCACGCCACCGCTCCTGGCCTTGGAGATGCCAGCGCCCAGCGGCCGAGACGGCGCCGCGCCATGTCGCTCGGCCATTTTGAATGAAGCTCAGCTAAGAGAGGGCTTTGTTTATTGATAATCTCGTTATGAGTAAAGTTTTTGTTTTGTAGGTTTGGTCCTTTTCGATCGTTTGCTGTTCAACCTTTCTTCAAGAGAGAGAGCAGGCCACCACGATCCCAAATTGTCGCGAGACCTAAAGGTGGGCGATAAGAAGTCAAGTTACGGAGTATTGATGATGTGAATGAACCCTGTCAATGCAGCCGAGGCAGGTGTCGTGATGGTGATGGTTTTTGTGAGGGTAGCTAAGGGGGGGGGGTTTGGTGGGGCAATTCAACCGGGTTAGGGTTGGCTGACGCGAGATCACGTGTTGTACATTTCGTCCTTTCCCCAAAGTGAAAGGCTGCGGGCGGTAAGACTGGGAAAGGTTTGAATGTGGAAGTGCTTCAATCAGGTTGTTGATGTGTTCAAGCTGACCTGAGTGCTTTTAGTGGCATTGAGTGAATGAAGTACCGAAATAGGCAAGGCAGCTGGAAAGCAGGTCTCCACTGGCAGGTCAATTAAAGAAGTCGCGTCAAGAGAGTGGGGCAGTCACGTAACAGGCCCTGGTCGCGTCACCCACACCCACATGGGCGCCCTTTTTGCCCCACGGCTTGGTTCGCTTCTCTTTTACACAACGACGGAGCTTTTGTATTTGGACAACAAAGCGTGCTACCAACAGCAACGGGTTCGACGCCATAACACGCCAGCACACGCCATGCCAACGGCAATAACGCGCACGCCGTGACTTAAGACATTGGCCTTTCAAGCACTTTGCACTCTTTTGTTCCTTGCTTAGAGAAACTCAAACTCACTGAGACTGTTGGTACCACCTCGCCACGGCTTCCACCATGCCGGCCGCTCTCCTCCCCCAGAAGCGCGTCTTTGGCGAAGCTTCGAGCACTCGCAGCAACATTCCTGGTGCGCCGGTCTCGTCCAAGAAGCGACGTCTCGAGCCCATACCGTCTTCGCCCGCTTTCCGCTTCAATAGCTCCCAGAATGATGGCAAAAGGAGGCTCGCGTCGAGCCAGCCTAAGAGCGCCTTCGAGAGCGAGGTGCTGGAACGTATGAGCCAAGACATTTCGGATCTCAAGCAGAACAACACAGAGAAGGACCAGGCCTGGGAACGCCCCCCAGTGCCAAGAGACTTCAATCCCGCTACGCACGCGCTATGCTTCCAATCCATCGAGGCTGAGGAGGGCACCTTAGCCGGTGGACAGGCGACAGTCAAGCTCTTCGGCCTCACCGAGAACGGAAACTCGGTGTTGCTGCACGTCAAAGACTTCAAGCACTACCTCTATGTAGCTGCCCCCGTGTCCTTCAGCGCCGAGGACTGCCCCAAGTTCCGCGCCTATCTCGAATCCGCACTAGCTATGCACCAGACTGTCATCCATAACGTGACTTTGACAATGCGTGAGAATATCTACGGCTTCCAGGGTAACACGCAAAACCCCTATTTGAAGATCTCCGTGACCGACCCCAAGTTCATCGCTAAGGTCCGCGCCATAATCGAAAAGGGCGATGCCAACTGGAAGGGCATGTGGAAGAGCGTCGATGGCACCATCATGACTTTTGACAACATCCAATACTTGCTCCGATTCATGGTTGACTGTTCGGTATGTGTTAATTCCGTTGGAAATGAACGCCTAGGAGACAGGGCTAACAGACACTGTAGATTGCCGGCATGTCTTGGGTTGAAGCCCCCGCCAACCGGTATCAGCTCGTTGCCGACAGACAGTCCAACTGCCAGATCGAGGCGCAGATGAGCTACCGCGACCTGATCGCCCACAAGCCTACTGGCGAGTGGTCAAAAATGGCCCCTCTAAGGGTTTTGTCCTTCGATATTGAATGCGCTGGTCGCAAAGGCATCTTCCCCGAGGCACTCCATGACTCTGTTATTCAAATCGCCAACGTAGTCACCAAATACGGTGACAAGAAGCCCTTTATCCGAAACGTGTTTTGTCTGGACACAACGAGTCCCATTGTGGCCACCCAGATCCTCGACTTTGACAAGGAAGAGGAAATGCTATCCGCGTGGCAAAAGTTTCTCGAAAAGGTTGACCCGGATATCATCACAGGTTACAACATCTGTAACTTCGATTTCCCCTATCTTCTCGACCGAGCCAAACACCTCAAGGTGCAGGGGTTTGAGTATTGGTCCCGTACCATGGTTAGATCGGCCGCAAAAGACACCAACTTCTCCAGCAAACAGATGGGCAACCGCGATACCAAGGCCACAAACACAAACGGTCGGCTCCAGCTTGATCTCCTCCAGCTTATCCAGCGTGATCACCAACTTCGAAGTTACACGCTCAACTCGGTCTGTTCCCACTTCTTGGGTGAACAGAAAGAGGATGTTCATCATTCTATGATCACGGAGCTCTTTGAAGGCACGCCCGAGTCAAGGCGCCGGTTGGCCCTGTACTGCCTCAAGGATGCATATCTTCCACAAAGACTAATTGATAAACTCTCATGCCTCGAAAACTATACCGAGATGGCAAGAGTCACGGGTGTCCCGTTCAATTTCCTGCTCTCCAGGGGCCAGCAAGTCAAGTTTCTAAGCCAGCTCTTTCGAAAGGCACTGGAACAGAAGCTAGTCATTCCCAACATCCGATCAGAGTCGTCCGAAGAGCAATACGAAGGCGCGACTGTCATTGAGCCCACCAGGGGCTACTACGACGTGCCTATTGCCACCCTTGATTTTGCTTCTCTGTATCCCAGCATTATGCAAGCGCACAATCTTTGCTACACCACATTGATCAAGAAGAGAGATATTGAGAAGTGGAATTTGCAAAAGGATGAAGATTACATTGTCACACCAAACGGCGACATGTTTGTCACAGTAAAAAAGAGGAAGGGCTTGCTGGCGCAAATTCTAGAGGAGTTGTTGTCGGCCAGAAAACAGGCTAAGCGGGAACTCGCCGTAGAGACCGATCCGTTCAAGAAGGCCGTGCTGAACGGTCGCCAGTTGGCTCTGAAAATCAGCGCCAACTCCGTCTACGGCCTGACTGGCGCAACAAACGGCAAACTGCCCTGCCTTGAGATTGCGAGCAGTACAACAAGTTTCGGTCGGCAAATGATCGAAAGGACCAAGATGGAAGTTGAGGAAAGATACTCCATTGCCAATGGTTATGACTACAATGCCCAGGTCATTTATGGTGACACGGATTCCGTCATGGTCAAGTTTGGCACCAAGGATCTGGCCGAGGCCATGAAGTTGGGCGAAGATGCTGCGCGGTTCGTCTCGAGCAAATTCGTGAAGCCCATCAAGCTAGAGTTCGAGAAAGTCTATTTCCCATACCTTCTCATCAACAAGAAGCGCTATGCGGGGCTGTATTGGACGAAACCCGAAAAGTACGATAAGATGGACACCAAGGGCATCGAGACTGTTCGTCGAGACAACTGCATGTTAGTGCAGACTGTCATTGAAAAGGTCTTGAGAATGATTCTCATCGACCAAGACGTGCCCAGTGCTCAAGAGTATGTCATTCCTCTCACCTCGCTTTATAAATTCCACTGACTCCCCCTCAATAGATACGTCAAGGACACGATTGCAGACCTCCTGCAGAACAAAGTCGACATGTCCAAACTTGTCATCACCAAGGCGCTCACCAAAGAAGACTACACAGCGAAGCAAGCTCACGTCGAGCTTGCGGCGAGGATGAAGAAGCGGGACGCCGGCTCGGCCCCTGCTCTGGGTGATCGCGTCGCCTACGTCATGATTAAGGGCGCTGCCGGGTCCAAAAACTATGAGAATTCTGAAGACCCTATCTACGTGCTTGAGCACAATGTTCCCATCGATACCAAGTATTATCTGGATAACCAACTGGCCAAGCCTCTTGGTCGTATCTTCGATCCCATTCTCGGCGAGACCAAGGCAAAATCGCTGCTCACGGGCGCTCACACACGGGCCATATCGGTAGCGGCGCCTACAGTTGGCGGCCTCATGAAGTTTGCCAAAAAGACGCAGACCTGCATGGGCTGCAAGAAGCCCCTGACAGGCAAGGAGGAGAGCCAAGGCGCCGTCTGCTCCAACGACGCTCCTCGTGTCGGTGAGCTCTACAAGAAGACGCTCGACAAGGTCTCGGACCTTGAGGTCCGCTTCGGTCGCCTCTGGACTCAGTGCCAGCGCTGCCAGGGCAGCATGCACTGCGAGGTTATCTGCAGCAGCAAAGACTGTCCCATCTTTTACATGCGCATGAAGGCTAAGAAAGATCTCGAGGACGGGAACAAGGAGCTGAAGCGCTTCGACTTTGACCAGGCTGCTCTGTGGTAGTCTTGTACTACGATTTTTTTTGCGCGTGTTTGGTTTTGGTTCTCTGGTGGATGAACTCTGTAATTGAACGGCCACGTGCTTGTCTAGCAACGGACGGTAGCGGCGGCGACCATGATATCCAGGTGGTTTTTTTGAGTTTGTTGGGCGCAAGAAGGCTGTATCCTGGCGCTGGCGTATCTTTCTTTCTTAGTTTTATATGTTAAGGCAAGTGACAAGCCATTGCATCATGTATAGCGTTTATTAGGTGTTTGAGTCCCCATCTGGAGGCATGGCGGTGGTAAATGAATGAGTTGGGTCGCATTAGTCTTGTATCGAATCTATCACGCATTAGTTATACTCTTTCATTTGATATATATATGACTCAATTCCATGTTTGAGCGTCACATTTGGCCCTTGTGTTGTTCACGGTGGAAAGCTTGAACTACTTCCTCCCACTATCTGTCCGCGATGATGTGTTATAATGACTTGCTTCATTTGGTAGTGACATATCCCATGTGGTCCTGCCAATACATATCTGGCCCTACACTTCGAGCTACCGATACGGCCTATCCAATCCAATCCATAAATCCCCCCTTATAAACATTGCCTACCAAACCTGTGATAAGTCATACAGTACTTGTAACAATCCTTGCCGTTATTCCTCCGTCGAGCCAGTAATCCAATACGCAACTGTGAAACCAAGGTATCCAAAACATGAAAGGGGCGGAACGAGATAAACAAAAAAGAACTACAACCAACTCCTGATGAAATTCCCGAGCGAACAGCGGAATACAACCCACGAGAACACCTGAACAAAAAAGACTAGTACAGCAACTCCCCGCCGTGCACCATCTTTGCGAAGCGGTCGTCGGGTTCCTCGAAGCGGTACTTGTCGCCGCGAACGACACGATCCACCTCCTCGCGGACGAAGGGGTAAATGTCCTTCCAGGCGTTGCGGCCCATCCACGGGTCCAGGTGACCGTAGCCCGGCACGACGCGGCGCTTGTAGTCGCCGCCTTCTTCGCCGGCGCCGCCAAAGGTATCGCACAGGATCTCGTAAGTGCGCTCGGTAGCCTCGGGCGAGAGCACAGCATTGTCACGGCCGACAAACAGCATTATGGGTATGCCTTTTAGGCGGGCAACGTTCTCTGGGGTGGTGAGGTCTTCGAAGAGCGGGCCGTTGGTCATGACATGCCCTTGTGACCCCTGGCGCATGAGCAGATTGAGCAGCCGCATGTTGACGCCACCAAAGAATCGGTCAATCTGCCGGTGAGTCGCCTCGTTCAGATTCGAGTGGTTCCAGCAGCGGCCAAAGACAAGGCTGGTACGGTGGCAGGCGGCGTTGTTGCAGATCTCACGGCGGCTCTGCGGGTAGAGCCGCAACACCTGGTTGAGGGCATTCTGAACGAGGCCATCGTCACGGCTAGTACTGCAACTGAACCATGTACCGGCCAGCATGGTATACAGCTTGTCCATGGGTATCGGTCCGGCCATGACCTTGGCCATGTTGGTTGCGCCCCAGATGGGGTTCATGAACACCTGACTGCAGGTGATTCCCTTGATCCAGCTGGCCGGGATCGTGCCGTCCAGAAGCCCGGTGCTGAATGCCACGCTGCCCATGCAATGCGCGATCGTATACACTTTTTCCGGGCCATAATCTTTGCGGATGTACTCGAGACAGGCCTTGATGTCCAGGCGCGCGTCATACGTGGTCCACATATTTTCGGCTACCATCAGTTGCCCAATACGGTGCACCGTCACAAAAACTCGGTAACCTGCGCGCGTGAAGTAGTTCACGGCGTTGAAAGGTATGGTTGGAAGCGCATAGATCTGGTGGTCAACGGAGGCGCCAGGAATCATAAAGAGATTCTGCACTTTGGTCAGGTCGTTGTCCGGATAGCTGGTCGGCTCCCACACGTGCATGCGCGTGCACACATTGTCCGAGGCGTATATGGCGATAGACTGGTCAGGCAATGTATTGTTGACGAAGCCGCTGTACGTCTGGGTGGGATACTGCAGGGGCGTGAGCGGTGCCAGGAAAAGAGCGAGCGACTTTCGTGTGAAGAAAGTCAGGAAGCTGGCCGCGCTTGCCATCTTCTTGAGGATGTTGCTGCCAGTCGGGGACATTGTCATGATTTCAGAGAAGAAATCCGCTGGCTGGATGTTCATAATTCCCTTGGCCACCACTTCCCCCTGGCGCCACGCATCCTCGTCGTCTAGGTCCTTGGACGCGCCAGGAGTATACTGGCTGATAGTTACGTAGAGGGTGCTGGTGGATTTCCAGAACTGCACGGGAGCAAGCGCGACCGAAGAATCGACAACCTTGTAGCCATGGAAATGGAGCTTCCTACCATTGACGCCCGTCATATCGAAGTCGTATGTCAAGTTTCGTGTACCGGGTGCCTTATGGCTGAGAATGAAAAGATTAAACTCGCCTCTCTGCACCATGAACGGCGATCCAGGAATCGCCGGGCAGACAAATGTACCAGTCAGCAGGCCCCTGTGCTGGTCATGTTTGATCATGTCTCTTGTGTTGAAGGCCTGAACGCTTAAGAAGAAACGTGCGCCCTCACACAGTGATTTTGCGGTGCGGTAGGCAAGCTCGTATGTCGCCTTGTTGTCTTCATATAGCTTCTTGTTGGCGTGAACAAATCCGGACATGACCTCGGTGAAGCCCATCCCACTCGCCTTGACACCATCTGCCGACCGAATCACCTCGTTTGCGGCGCTGAGGCTGTCCTGTTCCTCTAGCGCCCACTCTTTCTCTTTCTCCTCTGTTGGGTTATCGGGCTTAGGGACATGTTGCGGTTCGCCAAACAAATCGAGTAGGCCGTTAGACTCGTCACTAATGGTTAGGTATTTAGAGTCAGCATACGCTTCCACGGCGCGTTCGGCCAGCGCTGTGATAGTGGCAAATGGGTTAGCTCCCAGGGCAGTGGGGATCACAGCAGCATCTGTGACAATAAGCCCGTCGTACGTCTCCGGTCCGTTCCCAATGAAGACGGCACCGACATGGTTAGTAACACCGGTCGCACCGGTGTTATCCCGGGCCATGCATGCACCTCTGCAATCAGAATCAAGTAGAGTTAGCGTGGCTGCGTGCGGCATATTACGGCAGAATAAGAAAGAAAAAAAAATGGGGAAGGGTTGTGTTGTTGTTGACTTACCCAATGGGATGAACAGTCACCTCCTGACCCATGAGTGCGTAGAAGGGACTCTGAACCAAGGTGCCACCGACCGCCTCCGTAGCCTGTTTGAGAATATTATTCAGATAGTTGACGTGATGGCTTCGAGCAACACCGAGGAATTCCAACACAGGCTTGTCATCTTGCAGTGTCAGAACAGCTTGGTTACCTTTGAACTCAGTCAGCTTTGCTTGCTCTAGTTGATTATAGGTATACTCGAGTTGACTTACTGTCATGGGACATGATGAGATAGACCTGAGTCCTTTCAACGGCCCCATTTTTGAAATAAGGGCCCAGAAACCGACTACCAAACCGTGCCAGGGCAGCTTGTGTACGTTGAATGGTGGTCTCGCCCGAGGGAGGTGTGCTTCCTGGCATCAAGTCTAGCATCGCCTGCAGCACATGCGCCAGGGCATGCGGAACGGCACCTTCTTCGATGACATAACCGTCGAGGGGATTGTTATGGCCGTCCCTGCAATCTATCACGCCTGTAATGGTCGGGCCAATCGGTTTGTATGGTGAAGGAACGGGTTTCCCGATTGCGTTCACGTTTTCGTCCGTGTTATATCTATACCCTCAAGTCAGCATTCGGACCAGCCTTCCATCTGATTTCGCACCCCGGTTTTCATCACTTACCCAAATGCTAGGATATCTCCGTTACCACTCATATTCTGGCCAACCATGCTGCTCATGTCCAATCCCATGGCTTTGCTCCTTAGTAAGATCTCGGTGCTCGCGATGGCACCGGCACCGAGGAACACGGCCTTCTTGGCGTGCACCCACATAAGGTCGCCATGAAGATTGGCCTTGAAGAAGCCCCGGTTCCTACCGTGCCATGCAAAAAAGACTCGATACCCGTCCTCGGCCTTCTCGACATAGCGCACTTCACACTCACAGAACATCTCGGCGCCCCAGTTCCAGGCGTCAGCCAGGTACGTGACAAGGGTGGTGGTCTTGGAGCCGTCATTAACGCCCGTACAGTCCTGTCCGGTCAGCGCCGACGGCGACATTTCGACACCGCAGCTATTAGGCCCGTTTCGGAAGCGCGTTGTCTGGCGGACTTTGCGGAACTTGTCACCGAAGCCCAGCGACTCGGCTTGTTTCTGGAGCATGTTCAACTTTGGCAGGCTGGGCCAGTCGTCTGGATAGGTTTCAGGCTCGAGAACTTTCTCGGCCTTCTTATAGTCTATACAACACACGACACGTATCAGCAGATGAGTTAGTGGAGGTTCACCGAGAGCAACAATAGCCAACTGTGTATGGCAACCACTGCTGTACTTGACCACTCGCTTCGGGGAGAATATCGAAAAGGGGAACTTGCACTTGTTCAGGACATGGACATTATTTCTTATCTCCGGGGGCCAGGCTTTCATAGAGAGCGTCTTTTCGTCGGCCTCCATGAAGACGTTGGCATTCATAAGGCTGGTGCCTCCAAGGCCTAGGCGAAAGAAGAATCGAATCAATACCCCTTATAGCGGGACCGGCCGGTATCTGGGAAGTTGGGTTACGACTTACCATTGCACACAACAGCATTCTGGCCTCTGCCAAAGAACATGTGGTACATTCCAGTTGGATCACCACCTTCGACCATCTTCCCGTTGGTGATGCCAGGGGCAAGAGTGCCCGAAAAGTGGAGCTCCTTGGTGGCGTCCACGGTGCCTGTGGGATACTCGCCGGGCCACTTCTCGCGGCCTCGCTCGAGTACGCACACAGATTGCCCTGTCCGCGCCATGCGTGATGCAGCAACGCCGCCACCGTAGCCGGAGCCGATAACGACAACATCGTAGGAGCCGCGCAGGAGCTCGACAGGCTTAGACAGGCGAGGGAAAGACAAGTCACCCTTGTCATCGGTATAGCTGCGGATTTTAGTCCTACTACGCGTCTGGGGGCCACCGACTTCGTTCTCGTGGATACCATAGGGCGGGATAGGATGAGTTTGATGTCGCTGGGGAGGGTCATACTCATGAGTCTCGTCGTCTTCTGTGAAAGTGGCGGCTGGCCGTGGCGTAGGGCTCGAACTCGGGCTCGGGGTTGGACTCGGCGAGGCGGGTGCCCGGTTATATAGAGACCCTTTAGTGCCGTTTAGGGTCTTGCTTTCGGTCGGGCCGTCCTTGTCGTGGCTATCGTGGCCCTCAACGCTGCGGAGAATGCCCTCGGTGGCGTCGATATTGATGTTGACAGAAGGAGTGGGCGGCGGAGATATGGCGCCGTTGATTTGTAACGCCGGCGAGGGCTCAGGCAAGAGTGTGTCCATGGTGAGATGTTGCAAGCCCAACTGATGATTCTTGAGTGATAATTCCAGTGCCACTTGTGGTCCTCCCCTGACTGACACTTCACGTAAAGAGATGATAATAGTACAGTGACGGATGCCCAGTGGAGTGGACTAGAGCTCCTAACATATAATAACGGGAAGAGTGAGCGAGAAGTAGAGTGAAACACACGAGAGAGTCCCGAGGGTCAGGGAAAGGGCGTATGGCGTATTGATAAATGGGAGACACTAGACATGGGAGGCAACGACATTGCCGTTACAGTGTGGCATTTCCCAGCTCGGCGGTTCCAACACGGGGGCTTGGTCTGTTCTGCACATGGAAGACATGTACATATACAGGACATGTGGATGCGGCTAGCCATGTAGGTCGGTATTCCCAGGGCAGCCAAGGTGAGGGAGGTGTGGGGGACGACGAGAAGGGGAGCACCCAGGTACAGGCAGCCCAACATCCAGTCCCCAGTTCGCAGTCCCCAGTTCGCAGTCCCCAGTTCGTAGTCCCCAGTTCGCAGTTCCCTTCCCAGTCACTTCCTCAGCCAGCAGCAGCGGGAATGCAGTGGGCATGCAGCCAGGTCAGGGACGAGACCTACCTCGGTCGAGACTATCGAGGTCGGAGGCGGAGTGCGAGTCCAGTCACAGTTCATTGCGTCCTGATTCGACTCTGCCCCGCCGTCGCTGGGCTGAACCAGAAGACGCGGTCCATCTCTGAGGAAGAGCTCGCCATTGGTCCAGATCCCATGTAGTGTACATACATGGGGGGTTGCAAGGGGGTTGACCGAGAGGGAAAAGCGCCCGTCCCGTCTCCAGAGTCCAGACGGAGCATCACGCCAGGGGACGGAACGGAATGGATGGACTGGGGTGACGGGGCTGGCACCGCGAGGCAGAGGCAGAGGGAGCTAAGGTATGCAGCCAGGTAAATGTAACTAACGTTAACCTGAACTGCAGAATACCCAATTGGGCGTCGTAAGGCAATCGGCCTGTTTGTGCGTGCATACAGTACGTCCAGTCCCAGTCGTAGATCGAGGTGCATCCTATATGTGACATACATTAGTAGTATGCTGCCTCTGCAGACTGGGCGTGGCGCCCACAAGGCGGCGAGTAAGCAGCTAAGATTAGGTAAAAATGGAAGAAGGTCTTGTACATCCATACCTGACTTATGTGGTGAGAATTGCTTGAGTGGACAGGGCAGAGTGTCTGTCCTGTCTTGCTGGACGGGTGCCACTGCCGTTCCAGGACATGGACGATTGGGGGGGTGTCTCGGGAGCCGAGAGGCCACCTTACCCAGGACCGACGCCATCCCCTTCCCACAAGTGCGGCCTAGCACATGGATGCCCTGAGGGGTTCAGTTCAAGTTACGGTGGTATGGTATTAAGGTCGGGTCTCATGTGGAATTAATCCGAGTTAGGAAAAAGAAAAAGTCTGTGAAAATGTGCCGTGCCGTCCTTTCCTATTGTTGCAGCCCTGTTGCTGCTCCTCCCACTCCCCTGCCTCCTGCCTCCTAGACCCTGGTACCCTACTCCCCCTTCCCTCACAACAATTGCTCTTGCCTCTTCAAGTCTTAGGCAGTAGGTACTGGTAGGTCGGGTGCCGGTAGCCTTGTGCTCTATATGCAATACGGCTCGGAACCTGAAGGGACGCAGCATTTTGGCCGGATTTTGGGAGTGGGTTACCGATACTCGAGGAACATCCAGGTCGGTGTGCAAATAAGGTATGCACCCAGGGCCAAGATGGGCAAATCACCGCTGCTGTTAGGTGTCTAGCTGCGTCGCTCCCTCTCGTCCTTCCCTAACTAGTCCATGGTTACCCTGCTGTCGAGCTTTCTGAGCCATATCTCAACTATCTAGGCCGTCTGCCTCTTGTCATTGCTGCTCTACGTTCGGATAGACAAGGCAAAGATACCCGAAAAGAGTACCTACCTACTTACCTCACTACCTTAATTCTTACTAAAACTTATAACTGAAGGTGAGAGTGGTCAGCATTCCAGGGAGGACGCCGCCCGTGGCCTTTGACACCGTCAGCCATGCCCTGGATAAAATGTTCCGTTCTGACGCTGGATTACTGTTCGCCCCGATCGCCGTTCCAAAGCTGAGAGTGATCCATGTTCGTGGGTGGGATCCACTTCAAGTGCTCCTCAGTCCTAGTCCTCGTGGGGCTGACGGGCTACATCTACGGAATGGAGCCCATCTGGGTTATTTTATTCGCCCGTGGTGCCTCGGCCGCTCGGGGCCTTGCGCTGTCGTTACTATTGGCCCAAGAACGAACGTCCAGCGCTGATAGGCCCAAGATGATCACCAATCTTGACCTCTCCTGTCTATCCGTGGATTCTACTCATCAGAGAGACGCGCAGAATCGGACATCACAGCACAGCGAAACGAGGCATCAATGGCTGCTTACCACAGCACCATTCAATCAATGTACGGTTTCCTCTGTCGCCGGTTCATTCTGGAGACGACAAACCAGATGTCTACCACGCCGAACCACCCTCCTACAAGTTCTAAATGACCGTCTCGAACTGCCCTGGTTTGGTTCCCATCGAGGAAAGAGCCCCTAGCTCTAGTGCAGGCAGGCTATCCATGATTCCGTGTGGGGGGAGCCACCTTCAGCCCTGATGCGGCACGGGCAGTTATTAACGTTTTCGTCAGCGAATCTCGCTCAATTCCATTGGCATTCGCCAATACGGTGCGAACGAAAACCTGCCCGACGAAGATCGGACGAACCTGGGCTGAACTGAACACTGCCTTTCGAGGATCTGTATCTCCAAAGTAACCCCCAGCGCAATGCAATGGCGGAAACTTTGCCCGACTCCGAACACGCACGGCGCGCACGGTTCGGCAACGACTGAGGTTTCCAATATTCCGAACTAACCGCACCCAAGTAGCACAAAGGTACGTACCCCGTAGAAGGATGGGTTATCTACCTCTACTTTATACACTCCGGAAGAGCGTGCCAGACAGGAGTTGTGCAAACACTCGGCCCACTTCTAAACCCAGTTTAAGGATTGTCTACCACTACTCTGTCCCCAATCCCATGCTTATTTCTTTATTCCTCCTTGCTAGCGTACATGTTTATTTTCTCCGCTAGTTACAGAACGAAGCCGCTTACAGAATGCAGTTCTTACTTCCCCCAATAAACGTGCGGCTGTCGCCTTTCAGCTCCACTCGCCAAGGTTCCTTCCGTGGTCTGAGAGCCCGCAGTAATCGTGTCCAAAGTAGAATGACAAACGACTCCGGCAGGCATATTCACTTGGCGTCTGGTCAGCTTCGCCCTCTACCCTAGCCTATTGGATGGCGGCCAGCGAATTCTGGCTGTGGCACCCGATTGGCTACGATTGGCCCCCCTTTTGGGGTAAAAGCCCAGGTACGCGGACAGCACTCTTCAAAAGCCAAGCCTTCCATTCTCTGCAATATGGGCAATCAATAAATTCCACTCGCGTCCAGTTTGACGTCGATGGAGGCACGGAGGCGGCAAAGTGGCGCTTTCTAGGCCCCCAACTATGTACCAAGCCCAGTGCCACCCCATCCTTTCCATCCTGCTTTTCCATTCTCATCTTTGTGGCTGGCTTCCTGGTGAACCCTCTCAAGCTGAGACTGGGGTGTAAAGCTGTCATGCATGCCGTTCGGTTGGCAAATGCGGGGAATTGATTGGCCCTCGCCGCCTTCGTCCCTTTTTGTTTGGTTTGTTCCACTGTAAAAGTTGGGTTGTTGGTTGGTTTCGTTTCGCGCTTCGCATATCCGTACATATGTTAAAGTCAAAACCAACTGCGTAAAAAAAATGAAAAAAAAAAGATAACACAAAACCCGCGGATCCTTCCGAGCGGCTGGGGCCGCCGCTTACGCGAAACACAAAGTCTGCGTCAGTCACTCACATATATCTACGCTAGCCTAACAGCTACCCCTCCCCCCTCCCCAATATGATGAGGCCCCCCCGGTGCCGCGGACACACTACTGTATTGGAGATGTTCCCGCCTAGACCTTCCCGCCAACAAACTTTCGTATTCGCATTCCCGTTGGTGGTTCAAAATGGTTCCATCGTCCCAACATCACACCCACCGGTTTTCTCTCTACGCGCCTCGCTCATCGCGTCAGATACAGCTCCGCGGCGACCAAAATATGTCATCCCCTTGAAGGCATTCATGGGGTTTAGACGGAGTTAGCTGTTCGCGATGATACTATTCCAGAGGGGTTTTTTTTGGGGGGGTAGCCGCCTCAACCCCGAACCAACGATGGATGCCACCTACATACTCCTAGGTAGTACTACATAGTACGGATGGGAAGGAAAAGAAAAAACCCCCTCCAAGAAACGGAATGGAGACCAAATATAGAAAACTCCCCATGTCATTTTCATGTTATACAGCGAGCGAGGGCCCTGCTTTCAAGGACATGTATGTATGTACCATGTATGTGCACATCTCGCCCGAGTCGTATGGAGCGAGTTGAGTATGTATCTGTATCCCAAGCAGCACCAACGAACCGAACGAACAAGAAAAAAACACCTACTTGCATGACGACGGCAGGCCGCCCGCTGCTTACCGCCAGCCCGCCATGCCATGTCGTGCCACCTGACCCAGCTTTCTGGCCTGGCCTGGCCTGCCTGCCTGCCTGTCTGCGCAATAATTCCAACGAGACTAATAATAATACCTTAATAATATGCATGTAGCTTCCCGCTAATTCTTTCCCCGGGGAAGCGAAACTAGGAAACTACCTAGTTTATTAGACATTCCCAGTACAAGTAGCACAGCAGCTCCGAAGGCTTCTCTTGAAATGGTTAATATCGTGAATGTCACCTGAACCTGCAGGAACAGCCCGAACACGACAGTTGAAAGCTCTCCTAAACACCGAGGTATAAGAGCCACCCAGAAGATCATAACGGAGCAATCGCTTGTGTTTCGAATACCGGAAGTCTAAAGAGCATAGGTATGCAGCTTCGTGGGATCTCAGACCGCCCCCAGAGTCACAGGGCACTTGTCACGAGGAATGAATAGGTGTACCCCTGCAGACTAAATATTCTCGCGGCTGCAGCGCTCGCCATGCTACCCACCATCATTCTCCGAATCATGTTAGGTTTAGGAACTGAGTGTTTCATTTAGAGATAATCTCCCACTAATATAGGGTAGTTGAGATAGGAGTGTATATACACAGGAGACACAAGAGTGTCTGCTATCTCGGCAAAAACTTGCCCTCTCTCCTCTTCCTGACATCCATAAATCAGGACTCCAATCTAAAACCCAGGAACCCAGAGCATCTAAGCGCTGGGTCACACGGCCGTGTCGGTGCCCTCTCATTGGAGCAAATATTGACCATCACACGGCGCTCTCCTCCTCGAACTGACACCGGCTCCGGCGTGAGTTGAGTAGACGAGGGGGTCAGAACCCTGTATACCTTGAGTTGCTCGCATCTGCCTCGACCCTTTACCACCAGTCACCCTGGTCGTGCATGGCCTTGGCGACCTTGACAAAGCCGGCAATGTTGCTGCCAGCAACCAAGCTGGGCAGCTCACCTTCCTCGGCCTTGACGTACTCCTTGGCAGTGTTCAGGCCCTGGAAGAAAGCAGTCTTCATTATATCCTTGAGCTTCTGGTCAACCTCCTCAGAGGTCCACTGGAGACGTTGGCTGTTCTGTGCCATCTCAAGGCCCGACACCGCGACACCGCCGCAGTTGGCAGCCTTGCCTGTAGGAACTAGTCAGTCGTCTGATTGCTATATGGCTCCAATATGCCAAGGATAAGGACGATGAATGTTTGGGGAGCACTTACCAGGCGCATACCAGACCGACTCGGCCTTCTTCTCCTTTCGCTCGGCCTCAAAGACATTGATTGCCTCGAGTGTGCAGCCCATGTTGGAGCCCTCAGCAACGAACTTGGCACCGGCAGCCAGAAGGCCCTCGGCTTCCTCCTTGCTGACCTCGTTCTGGGTAGCGCAGGGCAGGGCAACGTCGACCTTTCCGACGTGCAGCCACGGCCGCACGCCATCGATATACTTGAGGCCACTGCTAGAGGTGTAGCTGTTGAGCGATTCACGCTTGACCTTGATGTCCATGATGGCGTTAACATCCTCAGGCGTGATGTGTCCGTCACCCTCGGCGACGAGCGAGCCCTTGGAGTCGGAAAGGGAGACAACAGTCGCACCGAGCTCGATGGCCTTGAGAGCGGCGTACTGGGCGACATTGCCCGAGCCGGAGATGGCCACACGCTTGCCAGCCCAGTTGCCGGCACCAGCGTACTCGATCATATGTCCAACATAGTAGATGAGACCATAGCCCGTCGCCTCGGGGCGGATCAAGCTGCCACCCCAGTCGAGGCCCTTGCCGGTCAGGACACCCTCGAAGAGGTTGCGCTCCTTGCGGTAGGTGCCAAACATCCAGCCAATCTCACGTCCAGAGACACCGATATCGCCGGCGGGGACGTCAGTGTTGGCACCAATGTGCTTGGAGAGCTCGCGCATGAAGGCAACGCAGAACCGGCGGATCTCGTTATCGCTCTTGCCCTTGGGATCGAAATCGGCACCACCCTTGCCACCACCCATCATCACTGAAAACAGAGTCAGAGATTAGCAATGTGTCACGCACAGAAAATGCCTGGCGGGGTCATCATCCTACTTACAGCCTGTGAGAGCATTCTTGAAGATCTGCTCAAAGCCAAGGAACTTCAGGCTGTTTGCAGACCGTTAGTATCATTAGTCGCCTCAGAATTCTCAGAATTCCCCATCCGACCTGACAGTTCTTACATGGACAGGTTCACGGTAGGGTGAAGCCGCAGGCCGCCCTTGTAGGGTCCAAGAGCCGAGCTGAACTGAACACGATAGCCACGGTTGACCTGGACTTTGCCGGAGTCATCCTCCCAGAGGACGCGGAACTGGATCACGCGCTCGGGGATGGAGGCGATCTTCAGGGCAGTCCGGTACTCGGGGTTTCTCTCGAAGAGCGAGCTGTTCTCGAGAGTGCTGGCGAGCTCTATCGAGACCGGTCGTATTAGTCAACGCAGCGCCCACGGATGGGGGGAGAAGGCACTGAATCAGCTCTTACCATTGTACGCCTGCTCGAACTCGGGCTCGCTAGGAATGTTGGACATGGCTACGTATCAAACGCGGGACGTGGTACGCGGGGGAGGGGAAATATCAACGGGGTACGGGAAAAGGATTACTGGGTATCACTCGAGGCTCGTTTTTTTCGCTGGCTGGAAAGAGATGGAGAGGGAAAGGAGGCAGCAGGCGGGAAGAGAGATGCTGGCCAGGTACTATATATGTGAAAGATTTCGTGGTGGGGGAGGGGCGGACAGCTCGATGTCAGGAATTAAACTTGGGATGGAAACCTAAGGTCGGGTAAGGCGAAATTGACACGCCCGGTACTGGAGCTCTGGATACGTCGTGTGTACAGACATGCACCTTACAATACACGGACGGGCAGCTCACGGCTCGCACATAGCTCGGTTTCACCGCCCCTACTAACCAAGCAATTTGTCTAGGTGGGTATCTAGCATGGACAGGCGGCGAATTCGACGGCAAGAGCACACGAGGGGGTCCCTGTGGGGGAGCAGCATCGCGCAGGTCGCATCCATCGTGCTTTCCTAGGATGTCAAGAGCTTTGTGACGCAGTTGCCCGAATTCGCTCACGCAGTTTGGAAGGGGAAGCAACGTCCCACATGCATTCTGGGCCGTTTCTGATGCCCCCCATCTCGCTCACGCGCGTCGTCAGACATGTTCTGCACTGTTGCCCTGAGGGAGATGTGGAGGGAAAAGAAAATATCTCAATCGATAGTCATGGTGACCCGCGTAGCAGTCGTCTTATCGCAGCCCGCGCCGGTCCGTGATTGGTGGTGGTGTTCGAGCAAGACCATCAAACATCTAATCCATTCAGATGCGTTGCGCGCTTTAGACCCCTTCTAGAAACAGGCTGGCCAGCTCTGGCCAGCTCCGGCCAATAGACTGATGGTGGAGTAGCCGCAACGGCCTACTGCCTTGGCGGGCCCTACTCTTATCCCGCCACATCGATTGGCCATCTGCCTCATGCAGGTCATTAGTTGTTTGGGGGGCTCTGTCCCTCCAAGAATTTGCACGGAGACCGCATCCTGGCAGAGGGGTAAAGAGAATGGAGCAAAAAAATCTCTCTTCCGGGAACTTATCGCGAGCATACAGCATGAACCATCTAGCCTCACGGCCTCGCCGCTGAGCTCCGATTTCGCAACCGCCGACTACTCATGTCGTTGCCTCTGCGCGCCACACCCCCATTTATTATTGGTAGTGAAACCTAGAGGAGGGGAAGGCAGGACGAGGGGGAAGAAAAATTAAGCTTTTCGGCATTTGCCCATGCTAGGGGTGCGAGCAGGACGCCGTCTTTTGGATCCTCTACAGTCTGAGGCCGTCAGCCTTGCACACGCGAGGCCCATTTTCAGCTAAGAACCTTCCTTGAGTCAATTATGATCATGACGATATACCATCTACTAATAACGAGCTGAAGCCTTGGCCAGAGAGGCATTTATTTATTCGATGCAACCGTTCAAAATTTCACTCTTTTCTTTTTCTTCGGCAACCCCTTTGGGCCACGGCCACATCCATCTACTCATTCTTGTGCTCTGTGTGGTTCGATGACCTGGTGATGCGACGGATGACTTTTACTGACAAACAATAGTACAGGAACCCCATTCGAGCCGGGGGGTTGTGCAAAGTTGGTGTTGCCGGAGTATTCACCACATGCTTTGGTCATTTGACAATTGCTCGGTAGGGCCTGTACGCCGTTCATCCGACGTTGACCAAGCTGAGATGACCAGAAGGACTTCATATTATTTTGTGAGAAGAAATACCCAACATCAAATCAGATACCATTAAAAGTTACAAGTGAAAAAAACACGCAACTTCTCTCCTCTTCGTTTTACAGGGCCGGGTGCATTTGTTTGCTTGAGATCCGGTTCTCGTGGAGCTCCAACTGTGTTTGGTTACTCGGACGACCCCCCTATTCGAAGCCAAAAATAACATGAAGAGAAAAATGGGAATGGAAGTATCAACAATTTTCATAACAGTCATCGCACCATAATAACACAACATGTCCAGACAACCCACGTCTAGGCATCCGTGGCTAGGACAATTTGGGCCCCCCTTGCAAAGTGAAGCTAGTAGCGGGTTATGGAAAGTTGAGAAACCAGCTGTTCACCCCAGGTAGTCAACGGCATTCCCATGGGCGAGCTGTCATCGCCGCCGCCACTGGATTCACCGCTGGGACGTGGTGGCTGGTCCACACCCTTTCTTCCATCGACGTAGCTGACCACAGTAGTAGGACCAGACGAGTCCGGGCAGGGATTGCTGGCCAGGTATGCCTCGCGCAAGCCGGAAATCTCGTACATGATAATGACGCGGCAGCAGATGGCTGACGCCATGAGGCGGCTGAGGACGCCGACAGCATCTCTGGTACCGATAAAGACGAAGCTCGAGAAGACGAGGGTGCAGAAAAGGGTGTGTGCGACGTAGAGGATGTGGAGGAACCAAGCGACGCCGACGAACAACATGCCCTCCTTGAATTTGTCGACACTCACGCCTTTCTGCGTCACGCAGAGGCGGAACTCGGTATCCCATGCAGCGCGGCAGCACCGTCTTCAGCCACCGCCGCCAACCCATGACCTCTCCGGCCTCAACCCCACCGCAGTTGCGCCGGATCCGCAGCCGTACCAAAATCATGCTCAGCAGATGCAGGAACACACGCAGCACGGTCCACAGAGCTGGCGCGAGGAAGAAGTTGGGCGCTACGGTGCAGAAAGTCTGAATGCCGAGCTCCCACGCCTGCAGCCATACATTGACGACGGACCCGATCGCTGCGACGTACTGCACGACCACAATGAGGCGGCAGAGCACCGGCGGCCGCTGGTTAAGCCGCTCGGGGTGGGCGCCACGGGGGATGTCGTGCGGCGCGCGGTAATCGAAAGCGCGGCTAAAGTGAATAGACGGCGAGTCGAGGGCCAGCAGCCAGGCGAGAAAGGGGCGGCGGCCGACAATATACAGCAGACCCGTTAAATAGTAGAAACCCTCTATCTGGACAACAGTGTACAAGAATATATACGTACGCGCCGTCAACCACAACACACTATATCTCGCCGGTGTCACTCTATCGGTGCCGTTAAACTGTTTGACCATTTTGCTGTACCGCGGCAGATGCCTAACTGTGTCCACTTTTGGTGTGTGCGTGGTGATGAGTATACGCTATCGCACTTCGGTGACAATTAGATCTAGCTGTGGAAGTCGCATCAAGAGTAGACGAAAGAAAATACTGGATCTCTCTATTTCGTCTAGTTAAGAAGGGACTTCGATAGTTAGATCCATTACTGCGCATATACTGTAAAATATATTTAGCCAAGTATTTGCCGTCGTATAGCAAAAAGTCAAATGATTGGACGGCTGGATCTCTCTTACGATTCAAGGCTGTAAAAATTTACTTCCAAAAGGCGTGAAATAAACAAATGAAAGAGAATTAATCAACAGTTCCCCATTCCAATTCCTGTTTTCTCCAGACCTTCGGACCACGGCACGGCACGGAGCGGCATGATAGCAAGCAAATTGCCATCCCCTACCCATCATAAAACGTGATGAGAGAAAACAGTAAAGGAAGAAAATAGTAAAGATTAAACGAAACGACCAATAATATACAAACCCGTCTTCCTCTCGAGGTGGTAATACATGATATTCTGCGCTTGCCCAGTAGATTTTTATTTTTATTCCCTTTTTTTCCCACAATGGTGAATATTCATGTCAATACAAAATAGATTATGTACAGGCTATGGCTTATGCTATAAACGCACATGAGCGACCCCATTTACGAGAGAAGAGAAGACAGAAGATATAAAAAGAAGAAGAAAAACAAAAGGTATAATAACAAATCGGGTTCATCTCTCTCGCTTGGTATTTTGGGAGCGTGGTTGTCTTGTCTATGCAGTCGTGCCATTCATTTCCCCCAGTCCTTCCTCCTATCTGGCCACCCTCTAAATCAGAGCAACCAAAGAAAAAGGAAAACAGGGAGGTACCATCAGGAGATTATGGAGGCAAAAAAACTTCCATATCTCAGACTGGAAACGGGCCCCATTCTTTCTCTCTCCCCCGTGGTCCACATCAACGGCTTTGTACACACTCCACTGTGAAGAGAGAAAATAAAAATAAGAAAGAATAGGAGGAACAGGCGGAGCTCATGGCTGGATCACAATGAGCAAGTCCACTCCGAATAGAATAACAGCTTAGCTCTCTATGATACCTGCATCACCATGGGGCCGGCCAGGATGATGTCGTCGGTGAGCTTGCCTGTCAAGGGACCGGCGCTAGCGAGGTTGACGTAGACAATGCCAGCCAAGTTGGGGGGAACAACGCAGCCTGTCGCGGACTGGAAAGGCGTGAAGGCAGTACCGCCGATAAGGCCGCCGGTCGTGAAGGCACAGAAAGTAGCCGTGGCCGCGGCGTCTGATTGGAGCTGGATGGTAGCGCCAGTCTGGATAGCCTGGGCGCTCTGGCCAGCGGCCATAGTCAGAGTCGGGAACGCGGTAAGGATAAGGTTGCTTCCTTCCGGGCAGCTCGCGATGAAGGGAGCGGCGAGCGAAAAGACCTGCTTGGCCGACAAGGGCGTGTCAAAGGCCTGCGGGACGGCAACAAGCTTGCTAGCAACGCGGATGACGCTCTGATGGCGGGCCTCGGTGGTGAGAATGCTACCAGCAGTGGTGAGGATGCTGCCGTCCGAGACCAGGGCGGCGGCGCCGAGGTAAGCCGACACACCGACGTTCTCGAGCACTGCGGCCGTGGCGACCATGCCTGCGGCATCCGTGAAGCCGAAGTTGTAGGTGCAGGGCTGCACCGGTTGGACACCAGCCTGAGCGATGGCGCTTTGCAATAGCACGACATGAGCCTCTTCGGTGCCGCCAATGCCGGTCAGGTCCTGGATCTCCTTGTCGGACAGCCCAAGAGCAGTGAAGTCTGACGCGGGAAACTTGGCAAAGCCTTGCTGGTAGAATGAAGCCTCGAGCCACTCCAACGTCAAGGCGCTTTGGGGAAGGAAAACACATGTCAGTCAAGATTTCGTCTCGTGTGGGTTGTTTCTTGGCATCAAAATCCTTACAATTGCAGAATATCAATATCGGTAAGGCCTGCTGCGGCGGCCGCAGCGTTCTGGCGCTTCACAACGTCCTGGATCTTGGCCAGCGTCGTGGATGCTGGTAGCGCCGAGGCGACAGCCGCCAGTCCTGCCACGACTGCCCCAAGAGATTTGATGATGGAAGGCATCTTGTCGGTTGTGTTCTTGATTGCGGTTTCCTTGATTTCCCCTTTATTTCCTCTGATTCCCTTTCTCTTTCTTTCCGTCTAAAAAGCGGCGAGAGTGCGTATAGAGCAAAGACCAGCCTGGCTGTCTAGTAATAAGAGGCCCACCCGGGGAGAATGTATTACAAGATATTAAGAAGACGTAAGACCGTCGCAACGAGAGGCGTAGAGAGAGACAGACGGAGCTGGTTGAAGGAGAGTGAAAGCAGACCAGCGCTTTGGGTGGAGATGAGGAACAGAACACAAACACAGCAAGCGTGGGATGGAGAGTCAAGAGAGGAAAGGAGGGGAAATACACAGCAGAGGCCGGCGGGAAACGGGCATGGATAAAGAAAAGGCCGCCAAGAAATGTTCCTGGCCAGCGGCTTCTGGCCGTTCCGGGGCCCGCATCGACACGCTCCCCTCCCAGACAGCTGAACAGGGTCCGGGGAGTACCAAGAGTAATGCAAGAGGCGAGTGTGTGGGAGAGAGTGAGGTTGCGCGGCACACCCCGGCATTGGACGCCCTACAGTAGTACTATAGTAGTGTAGTACTCAGCACGCTCGGGGCGTGGGCGTGGGTATGGGCATGAGCGTCAGCGAGAGCGTAAGGGAGGGAGCTTGAGAAACCTCACGGCCCGCACTCGCGGGGTCACTGCTTGATCCAGCTCGAGTTTCCGGTCCAGGGTTGCCAAGAGTCTCCGTCATGTTCCGAGGGAGACGAGACTGACTGGGGGGTCTTGGAGTTCAGATGGCAGGAGTGCTGAAGAGAGTAGGGTGGCAGATCTGGCCCGTTTCGTTTCTCGACACTAAGGTAGGGCAGTCCTAGCCCCCTTGCTGCACGCGTGGCGACATAGTGACAGGCGCACCGTCGTTGCTGTCGACGTCCATGGTCGTCTTCACGGGTGCTTGAGGCTGAATACGGCCAATCAGGGGGCGCCCCGCTGTTTAAGGTTGGGATGAAGGACATTCCTGTCCCTGGTCGGCGGCCGGGTCGCGCTTTAGGCTACTGGGACAGCACGCTTCTGGGGCTCCATGGAGCCCTGGAATCGGGTGTGCAGTGCCTCAGCGGGAATCGGGCAAGCAACCGGCCGACCACGCTGGGCCGCCCAGCACTAGGGGGTTGCAACGGAGAGCCCCGCTAGGGCCCGTCGGGGCAGGTGTTGGGGGTCTGCGACGTGACACCCTTGATGCACGTCTCAGGCACGTTTCAATCCGACGGACCGCTGCAGAACCGGACCCTCACCCTAATATTAATATAACCGAGCTCTGACAGTTGCATCTCGCTTCCGGGTGCGTGCTGGAGGACGTGCCCGCCCGCGGCTCTGTGCAAGCAGTGCTCCCGAAGCACAGAAACTCGATGGAATGCATCTTGACGCCGAGTCAGTCTTTTAGCCGTGTTTCCAAAACGCCCAACCCCCAGCCTCGTCGAAGCGTCGGCCGGGGGCCTTGCCGTTGAACAAGTCGGGGGAGGCACCTCGAGTAAATGGCACCCAAATGACTAGCATACGAGAGAGCCAAGCCCAGGTTCTGTCTCAAGTCTCTCAGAAGGCCGCCCCCGTCAGTTGATCGAGGGGCCCATGGCTCCGCTGTGATATAATTAAGCTTGAATGTTGTTTATTCCGTCGCGCTTGGCGTGTTGTTTGTCGCCGCCAAGCTCGGGTCGGCGTGGGGAAACCCATCCGAGGCCTTTGCTGGCTTGCTTGTCGCCAGGGACGGTCTGTTCTTGGGGATTGGGGATCTTGAAGCCAGACCCGAGTGGATCTCCGCTGAGTTGAGGTCACGATCCGCAACATCATCTCTGAGTGGTCGGCTTCATATACCGATACTGCAGTGCATCCGGCAAGGCTAGGCACTGATCAACCTTGCGGTGCATACGGGGCACATATGCGAAGTAGAAGGTGTGAACGTGGCGATCAATGTCAGTGGTAAAGAAAGGTACGTCTCAGCAAAGGGCGTGGTAGGTCGGCTGGCTTTGGCGGACCAGGTCTGGGTTGACGACCTAGGCTCGGCGCACATAGTTAAGGTATAAGGTAGGGCAGAACACCCGCCATGGGCTTGCATCAGAGCTGGAGCTGTCTGTCCCGGCAGGAGCGTTCGTGAGGATGGAATTCCCGTCCGCACGTCAGCCTCCGTAAACGAGCCCCCACGTCCAAGTTGAGGTTGCGGACGATGCAAGGGGAGCATACCTTACTCGGGGTATGGGGGAAACGACCTAGGGAGACGGCAGGATTCGCCGTCATTTGTGTTGTAGCACCATTGCAGTTTCTGGAAACATCTTGGCGAGGGTCAACCTACGCTCCACTAGTTGGGAAGGTTTCGCAATCTTTTCAACTTGCAGGGCAAGAGGGACAGAGATGGAAGCCACGACTTCTGGCCTTCTCCTTCCACGTATGCAAGAACTAGACTGGTACCTACTAAATCCGTCAAAGAGGAGACTCCCGTCGGCTAAGGGCATCCGATGTCCTGCCTTTCTGAATCTCAAAGTGTGCATCTGCAGATCAGGCATAGAAAGACGGCCGCCGGCTCTTGGAAAGGGGCAGTATCGGCTCCGTGCACGAGCTGCTTCTCAACCCACTTACTCTCTTCCGGCCATACCTTACCTTACCTTGTAACTAAGGTACTAGGTAAGGTACGGTAGTTCCATTATTATCTTCTACCCGCTTTCGCCACCCACGTTTACGTGACGGACAGATAACAGAATAGATAGCTCTGTTCACGCCCTCAACCTTTAGCCTTCCTCCGTTTACACAGGGAGCAGTCCATTCTAGCAATATGGTAAGTCATTATCGTCCCGCTGTCTGGAGTCTGAGTCTGAGATGCGACTGAAGGACACTAAGCGGTACCTGGGAAGGCAGCTGCAGACATAAGGCAGAAGGATCGAAAGCTAGAAGATGGCCAAGACATATGCGGCCGCAGATCATCGAGTTTCCGGTGTCGCACGGCGTTTCTGCCCACGTTGAACCTCAAGCGCGGGATTCGCCCCCGTTCTATGCCGAGAGTTAAAGTGCGAGCCCGACCAACCCTTGCTCCTTTGTCCTGTCACACTCCTATAGCCTGTAGATCTCATGAAACCTGTCGGCACGCCGGGAAAAAACTTGACTTGTATGCCATTATACCTGCCAAAGTGCGGCGCAAATGCTTCTCTGGATATTAGATGGCCGTCTTGTGTATTTCTTTTTCGCCGGGCTTCCTCTGCTCTGTCTCTCCTTTTGTGGTCCCTCTAGCACTACTGCCGGCTATTATGCTCGTAATGCTGCTGCTAACTAATCACCGCGTCCGGAAATGCACCTCCAATATTAGCATCAGACAACAACAATACCATCGTCGGGCATCTTCCCCAGGGAACAGATTCGTGTCAATCTTCCTTCATGCTCCCTTCACTTCATCTCTCAATTCTCCCCCCCGCCTCTAATAGCCAACTGCCCTCAACTTCTCTCTGCCATACAAGGCACTTTCTCCCCACCATTCAGAAGCCTTGTTTCCCATCACTGGGAACCAACTTCTGAGCCAAGCGGGACATCTAGAGCGCGTATGGATTGAGCGAGCGAATGGTCAAGCATCTAGAATAGTGTTAGCCGTGTATGTGGAACGTAGATCATGTGGCCACCTACGGTGGACTCTTAGTGAGATCCGTCTTTAAGATGACGGGAACCCGAGTCATCTCTGTCACATCCTGGATATATTCGCCGCCCTCCTCCCTCAGCTTGAAAAGCTTCAGGTACTTCTCTTTGTTGGTGAGACGAGTCTCCGGGGCATCTGCAACCGGCACCTTTGAGTCGGACCGGGTGCGGTGGAGAGTTCCCGCCGCATTCGACGAAGACCGGGCCGGCGAGCCGGGAACGCTCTGTGTCGGCCGTTCGGCCAATGAAGCCCCCGCCATCGCCTCAGTAATATCAGACGCGTTATCCTCGTCATCATCAAAGAGGGCGTCAGTGTCATCAGTTGAGATCGTTCCCGTATCAATCTGCTTGCGTGCGGCCTCCTCTCGTTCTCTCCTAGCCCTCTCGGCCTCCTCAGCCTGTCGGGCGGCAACCATGGCATTCGAGACCCTCTGCGAGGCAGCGGCTTTCGGTCGCTCGTCCTCGGGCACATAGGCTGAGCTGGGCACGCCCTTCTCCCAGTAGAGCTCAAGGACTCTCTTCTCCTTTCTGAACTCGGCCTTCTTCAGCGGTAGCTGATCGCAATGCACCCGCTTCTCAAAACCCCATTCGGGGATGAGAACATCAAAGGCCGACTCGTATACGCAAACAACGATGCCCTCGCTGATCAGATCTCCATTGACTTCTTGGCGTTTCTTGTCCATGGTGCGGCATGATTCAATATGGACGCTCTGGTCCTGGGCGTTTTGCGCCGAGTCTTTCTTGGTATTGCAAGACTCGACAGTCTTGACGAGGTTTTCCAAATCCTCATTGTATTCAATCTTGCCATCAGAAAGGACAGACTCGAGTTGGCGGTGAACAATGACGTCAGCGTAGCGTCTAGTTGGGCTAGTAAAATGAGTGTAAAGCGGCAAGTTCAGAGCGTAGTGGGGCCAGAGATGCTGGACCGTCTTGCCGGCAATGTAGTATTTAGCCCGCTGCATCGATTTCAGCAGCAACGTCTCCATTCCCATTCTAATCTCGGCATCGTCAACCTTGAACAGGCCGTTTTGGAGGGTTCCGCTGCTGGAGGGGTCAGTATCGTAACCCAGGGCCGTCATGCGGTCAACAATCGTCTGCAGGCGGCGTGGGTTAGGGGGAGACTGTCTGCGCAGGAGCGCCTTTTCGGGGAGCGCTTGAATTAAACGCTGGGCGACATAGGCATTCGCCTTGTGCATGAGCTCTTCGACCAGCTCCGTTGCCTGGCTCGAGTCGAACAGATTATGCTTGACGGGAATATTCTCGTCGTCCAGCAGCGCAAGGAGCCGAAGAGGAGCAATGGGTTCGCCACCAGCACCCAGTCTTGCTTCACGGAATTTCTGGGCAATAGCCTACAAACGTCAGTCAGGACACAATCCGGCCGGGAAGAAATTGCTTACGTTGAGAATTTGAACATCCTTGGCCTGGACGGCGTCATGGGCAAAGCCTGGCCGACCGGACAAGGCCTCGTCAATATCAGCTAGCGACAGCGTGCCGGCGCTCTTGACAATGCCTTTGCCAACCCAGGTATCGCCTTCGGCAACGGCGCCCGTATGTGGGTTGACATGGAAAACAATGCTGACAGTCAAACGATCTTCGTGGGCAACAAGAGAGCAGAGCTCGGTTGACAACTTTGGCGGAAGCAGGGCACAAAACCTGTTCACAAGGTGGACAGCGGTGCCACGCTTCTTGGCCTCGCGATCGACAAGAGAGTTTGGCTTGACGAAGTGGGTTACATCGGGCACATGAATACCAATCTCGATCTTGCCATCAGGAAGCGACTTGATATGGACGCCGTTGCCGAGCTCGACAGAGCCGTCCAAGTCAAGCGAGAAGACGGACTCTTTGCGGAAGTCCCGACGAGCGGCGACAGCGGCCTCGTCTTCTTTTGCGATTGACCAATCTTGCAGACCAACGCTACGCAAAACAGCATCCGAAAACTCGTCCGACGCAAAGTTGTTGTCACGGAGAAGAGCGTCCGTTTCAATCTTGAGATCACCCATTCTCCCTAGCTTCTCGACAAGAGTGCCAAATGGATGAAGTGACGTGATGGGCCATCGCTTGATGCAAGCCACAAAGATTTGGTCGGCATAGTCTTGATGCTTCTCGACAAAGTCCCGAGGCGCCTGTTCGGTAGGAATAGCAATCAGAGGGACGCGCTTATCGGTTGGCTTGAACCAGACAATCTTGGGTTTCTCCTGCGATCGGCTGTCCTGCTGTCGGCCCGGGTTCCCATCCCTGGCGGCCCGTTCCGCCTCCTGCTTCTCCTTGGTTGCCTGGCTGCTGGGGCGCAGCAAACCCAGGGTACCCGAGAACATCTGACCTGCCACTCGCTCTATGACAGCGACAATGTGGCCAGCGTAGAGTGGTTTCTGTTCATCATTGATCTCCTCTTCCTCCACAAGAAGAAGGCTCTGGCCTTCAACTTCAACATCGTCATTTTTCTTCTGCGTAGGACGTTGTCTGAGACTGCCACGCCGGCGAATGCCATCGCCGCCGCCATTGTCGTCGCCATTGCCATTGTTTTGGCTGTTTCCAGCGGTAGATCCAGAACGAGTGTCGGTAATGTCCTTGCGTTTCTTCTTTTCCTCCTTCTCGCGTTTCTGGGACCACACTTCATCAACATCAAGAAGCTCGACGGCAACCAGGTCGCCCTCGAGCGCGCGATTGCGGTCCTTGCTACCACAGATGAAAATGTCGGCATCAAGCAAGCCATCCTGAGTCGAAACATAGGCGTCGCTCCTGTTTTTCTTGTTCACCCGAAGAATGCCGGACACGAGTTGTCCGTCACCCAGCAGAGCGGGAAGAGTAGCCTGGGGAAGATAAGGAGTGAAAAGAGTCTTCCGCTGCTGCTGCTGCTGCTGCTGCTGCTGAGGCTGCTGGGCTGCCATTTGAGGTGCATGCTGACTAGCCTGGAGGCCAGCCATGTGCTGACTGCCCATTGAGGCGACCTGGAGAGCCTGCAGCTGGGTGAGCTGCATGGGGTTGAGCTGCTGCCCGGGATAAAGTCCCGGAATCATCATCTGGTTAGGGATCTGAACCAGCTGGGGCTGACCAGGGTACTGGAAAGCTCCAATCGACGAGATCGACTGATGGTTGACCGAGCCACGGCTCCGATGGCCCGGCTGAAAGCCCTGATTCTGACCAGTCCCACCCGTCTGGTCCTGGCCGCCCTGGTTCTGGCTCTGGTTGCGCCAGTTACCGTCAAAGTTTCGCGAACCTGTGCGAGCATGACCACCACCACGGCGGTTGAAATCATTACCTTGCTGGCTGAGGGAATCGGATGAGAAATGCATACCGCCTCCTCCACGGCCGCCCCCGCGCCCGTTGGCACCAACGGCCATGCTCTGGCTGCGGCCATGTCCACCACCGCGACCACCGCGATAGGATGACCCCTGCGCTATCTGGCCGTCGGCTGGGGTTTGGGCAACACTTGCCCCTTTCGCTTCGTCCTCGGGCTTCTCAGCAGAGCCCGAAGCGCCAGGGGCAGGGAACTGAAAGGCGGACGTGGTTCGTTTTTGCTGGGCCAGTTCGGCGGCCTTCTTGGCATCGGCCAAGGCCAAAGAGTGTCGCCTTTGGTGGCCGCCGCCGCCCCCGGGGGGGCCGCCGCCGCGTCCTCCACGAGCACCAGCGTTCTCCCGTCCGTGGCCCTGCGAGTTATCAAAATTGCCGAAGGCAGACCCAGAAGCGCCGGACGAGGGAGCCGGAGGCGGTCCCATACCCATATTCGGAAGAGCCGATTGATTACGGCGATGTGACAGGGGCTGAGTAGGAGGAGCCAGAGACACATTTTGCTGTTGTAGCTGGTTGGGGAACTGGAAGCCGGTCTGCGGAGAGAGGTTGGGCATGGCACCCGTCGCCTGCAAAGGATTGAAGCCGCTTCCGGGACCCAGGGTCTGGTTAGGCGCTATCATGCCCAAGTTTACATATTGCTGATGAGTAGCTTGGATTTGTTGCTGCTGCTGTTGCAGCAGCTCGATCTGCTGTTGAATGGCGAGCTGCTCCACTGCGGGGGGAAGTTCAGGTCAGCACATGGCGTTAAAGCACATGGCGTTAAACCTTAGAGTGTCGACGAGAGACGGCAGGGCTTGGAAGAGGACTTGATAGAGAAAAGGACGCTTACTTCCGGGATTCGCGAACATGCTCATCAATGGAGTCAGCTCCGAAGGGCTTCTTCGATGGGCAATGTGGAGTCGTCGGCCAGCCGGGCCTGGGACGCCTCCAGGCTGAGGCTGCTGCTGCTCCATGATGGGTCAAGATCGCAAGAGACAGGCAAGCAAGCACGCTGGCGGGTGGCGGCAATAAGACCGATAGCCCGGATGCACGTCGAGTGCGATGTAGATTGTTTCTGTTGCGTTTGCGAACAACAGCGGACCGGTGATGCGAGCAAATCAAATGGCGTGCGTTGTGTGTATGTGTCTGTGGGTGTCTGTTTTTGGTGGTCCAGTGCCGCCGAGTTGGGGTGTCGTCAAAGGACAGTTTGCTGCAAGGTTTTGGGTCCAAAGAGGTTAATGAAAGATGGGAAATACCGAGAGGGAGTGTGAGGGATAGATGAGTATTCAGACGGAGGAAGCTGGAAGCCTGGAGTGGGATGGTCAAGGAGGGTGCGAATGAGTAGGAACCCGGAGGTTGTTGATGACGATCGATGAACAGCCGCACCTGGGATCAGGCAGGTTGTTGCATTTGAGCAAGAAGGTCGCCCCCCCCAGGCCTGAGGGCCCACGGACGGCACAGGATGCGTGCGTTACGTGCTCCCACGTTCCAGCTGCAGCGACGCCGGGGCAGCTACCGAAATAAAATGTGGAGCCGAGTCCCGTACAGTGAGGTGCGCTAGAGCTGCAGAACTGAGCGAAAGCGCACAGCGGCTTCCGCACTTGGGAAACCCCCTGCCCTGGGCGCATCTGTCAAAATTTACCTAGCAAGTCTAGCGGTAATATAGTGTAAGTGCCCTATTACGGATAGGTACCTGACTACCTACCGTAGCCAGGCATCTACCTTCCCTATCAGGTCGTGTACCTACCTTACCTAGATATCGACCAACCTTAGCTCTGCAATCTAATGATTAAGCACCTGACTTGAGAGGCCGGCCGGTGAGGCCAGAGGGAGAGCTGTGACTTGGGAGAAAAAGAAAACGAACGAGGCTGCGAGCGCCTATGGCAGATCCTCTCCATGTTTCCGCACACTCCCTGAGAGGACGGTGGGGGAGGGGATGGGTAGCGCCTGCCACCGGCCGAAGCGGCACTGCTGGCGTAGCACTCAAAAGGTCCCAAACACGCTGCCAAGCTAGCGTTGCACATGGGAGCACGAAACATCCATCCATAACCTGGAAGGGGGGTAGTACGTGCTTCTGTCCTCGCGGTTACGAACGAACAGCACCTAATGCACTCTTCGTCTTGGCTGTGGTAGCTACCTTAGCTATTTGGTCGTGGTGGCTGATTTGGGTTTTCTTGGTGAGCTGCCCCGAGTAATACTCTTTCCATACGATGGGCATATACGGAGTACTGGGGAACTTTCACATACGGATACACTTCCAATATTACATCCGCCCACGCACACGCTCACCGAGCTTGTCAAGAATTGGAGGCGTCCCCGACGAGATTCGGAATTCCTACCAGACAGAGACACAAAACATTTTGTGTAGGTAATTATAAGCATGTATTTCACGTACGGTAGGTGCCTATGTATTCCGGACGGATTGTCAGCACCTTGAAGTTGTGAATATGGCGTCGTCAAAGACCAGATGAAATAAGGAGAAAGAGGCCATCTCGTGTTAGGGTTAGGGTTATGGGGTTTCACTGCAGATTTGAACAGCAACTCAGCGCGAACTGAACATAACCACGCCCAAGGGTCGTTCTAACGCGGCTTTCAATTCGCAACGAATCTTTGTCCAACAACGTTTAGCAGTTCAGCTCATAGCACTTACCAAACCGCTCCTTGACCTTTGCCGCCATTGCGAAGTACACACACGAAAAATGGCATTATAGGACCAATCGGCATTTTACAGCCCTCCCTCTCCTCCCCTTCAAGAACCATGGCAGGCTCTTCTCCCACGCGCCGTCGGAGCTTCCAGTTCGCCAGCCCGCAGTCGTCCTCCGTCATTATGGAAATCCTCTCCGAGGACCGAAATTCCGAGTCACGACATAAACAATTGCTTGAACTTGCGAAGAGAGAACACGAGCGCGTACGAGAGGATGCCGAGAGAGTATATCGCGACCACCTGCGCAGGGAGGAACGCCAGCAGCTCCTCGACGAGAAGCAGCAGGAGGAGCAGAGGATTAAGGTCGAGGAGCAAATCGCTGCTGACCGCGTGCGTCTGCATGCGCTTAAGTTGACGAAGGTTGTGGCTCCTCCATCTCCGCCGATTCCGCGGTTCCCCGAGCCGTCTCGAGCTGCAGCCGTCGCCGAGTCGACGACCCCGGCCCCAACCTCAACACCTTCCGCTGTCTCCAACCAGAGCTCGGTGCCACAGCTACCGCCGCAAACCAACGGCAGCGCGACACCAAAGCCACCAGCGCCCGCAACAACTTTTTCTCCGGGCCTTTTTGGATCCAGCAAGGCACAGCCGGCTGCGCAGCCCGCTGCTCCCGGGCCTTCGGTTGATAATGCAACGACTGCCGCGAAGAACCGGACCCCGGAAGCACCCCGGCCGCCGCCGTTTCCGGGAGGCTTTGGTAACTTGCTCAACAATGGCGCGGGGAGCAATGGAGCCAGTTCCGCCCGGCCAGAGTCTGCCCCCCCTGCAGGGCAGCTTACTGTTGACAGGTATACAACAATCCACAAGAACCTGAAAGAGCTACGAAAATCCATGGCGGAGCAGGCCAAGACAAACCGTGCTTTGAAAGAAAGGATGGGCGATATGCGACGTGAAATCAGGAAGATTATTGGGCAGCTCGGTGGCGGTGGCGCGCCTGCCAATCGACAACAGGTATGGACTCAGAAATTCTCTGTGCCAGGACACAGTGTTAACAGAAGCAACAGCAACAACGAATTGCAGCTGTCTTGCGTGAGGCGCTTGCAAACAGGGTACAGTCTCAGCTGGTTGACCTGAGCAACTTTGTTGCGGAGCCGCGGAACCCGGTCCAGGGCGCTGTGCATAACGACGTGCAGATGCCGTCCCTGTTCATCTATTTATTGAACGCATTTTCCAAGTCTGTGATATTGCAGTTCATTAGTGAAGGAGGAGCAAAGCCAGAGGCGGCAGATCCTATTGGGGTCTGCGTTGCGGCCACGTTTTCCGAGCCAGATTTCGGCTGGCGCGGCGTGTCCATGATCGACATCCTGATCACCAAATTCCGAATCGTTTGCCCGGTGCTTTTTGGGTATAGGGGGAGCGAGAAGACCGAGCAAGGGAGGGAGCGGCTGGGCTGGTGGAAGGAAAACGGACGATGGGTCACCGAACAGCAGCACGTGGACCGTATGACCGGCCTTGGCGCCGGCTTCGCGGCCGTGTCTCTGCGGAAGTTTGTCGCGTCGAAGAAGGAAAATCCGTACCCGCCTCGGCATTTCTGGACGGCCATGGCCAAGATCATCAACACACCACCAAACGAAATCTCCAACACGCAATGTGTGGTTCTGAAGTCGATGATTCAGAACTTCGAGACCAAATTTATCGAATTCTATGGAACCGCGGCCGTTGCGGCGCTACGCGCGTCGCTGATCGACTTCCCGGCTCGGGCGCCTGAGAAATCGCCAGCAGTAAACTCATTAGAGGTGCTAGCGCAACAGCTCAAGCGAGACACTGGGTTAACTCTCGGGTGAAGGGGAGGGTGCAGGGCGCAACAAGGTATGGGGATCGGCGTTCAATATTTTTAAGGCCTCGAGGTCTCGGTAATTCAGATCAGGGATTTTAGAGTAGCTTTTTGGAATTCATATTGACCGTGTAAATCGAATCATACGTTGTATCCGTTAGAAAGGACTGCTGGTTCCAGCGGTGTAACTTATACCCGACGCATTGGAAAAGGAAAACAAAAAAAAGGGCAATTCAAACGCCTAGCCCCAAACCTCATGTCCATCTTTACCCCGTCTATGCTACGCATTGAGGTGATGAAAGAGGCGCCCCGCTTCCCACCCAGCCTGTCCGAGGTTTTCTATAATAACAAGAGTAGAACCAGGAGGACAATGAGCACAATAATCAGCACGCCGATACAGCAGCTGCTAAGGCGGTCCTCGTTCCGACGCACGACATAGCGGAGCTTCTCCATGCCCGTCTGCAGCCTCCCGCCGACGCGGTTGGCCAGGTTGTCGACCTCCTCGAGCATCTCGACCTGCTCTTCCAGCTCGCGCCCTATGGTGTCGGCCTGGCGCCGCAGGTTCCCCACCGTCTGGAACACGCCGTCGAGGTGCTGGTCCTGCTCCCGCATCATCACCTCCTGCTGCTGCTGCTCGAACTCGGCCGTGTAGTCGTCGCCACCGTCCGTGTCGCCGTCGGCGATGGCGAACGCGCTCGGGTCCGGGAGGTCGCTTCCGCCGGCGCCGCGGCGCCCCCCTGGTCCTCCACCAACCGCCTGCTGCGACACCGTCTTGGCGAGCTCCTCGCGCATGTCCTCAATCTCGCCGCCCACCTCCTGCACCAGCCGCTTGCGCCGCGTCACCTCGCCCGCGTCCAGCCCGTACTGCGCCGGGTCGCCCTCGACGGCCTTGACCGACTCGACGAGGTCCGCCAGGTCCTCGGCGGCCGCGGCCAGCGCCGACTCGAGGTCGGCGCGCGCCGACGCTAGCTCCGGCGAGGTCGCCGACGTGGTCAGCGAGCGGATGCGCAGGTAGGACGTGAACAGCGGGCGCGCGGACGACAGCTGCGACAGAACATCTCTGGGGTCGCGCGTGTTAGTTAGTGGTAATGTGCCGGGTTTGCGGGCGGGCGCATCAAGGCGGGCCAGAGAAATTACTTGCCGTTGGACCTGGAGGAAGGGGTCCTCGTCGGTAGTGGAAGACATCATCTTGCGCGCGCAGAGGTCGGCCGCAGAGGATGGCAAGGCAGATTATCGCATCAGAGATGTTGGCAGGTAGTAAAACGCTGTTGCCGTCTGAGCATAGCGGTTCTGGCCCAGTCTGGATGGCCTCGCGACCGAGGAGAAGGTAGCTCGAACGTTTTTTGTGTCTGTGCTGGCGATTGGGAGTTTAGTAGGCTCTTCGAAGATGACGTTGCCAGCTGTGGCTGCCAAAAGGGTTCCCCAAATGCCGTCGCCCGCACCGAGACGGCTGGTTCCAGACGTTGGCCCGCCTAAAAAAACCCCCCCTGGGCGTGTAATTATGCAGGGAAACCCTTGCTCCAGATCACAGCTCTCCGCTCTCCCGTTGGGTACGGGGGACCATTTTGATTTCCCTCCTTGGATAAGCAGTCGCATTTTCATAGAAGAGCCTGAGCCTACTGAGATAAGTAAATCTCGAACTTCTAGTTACCTAGGGTTATGAACTTACGCATGTGCAAGGAATAACTATTGCAAAGAGCCACATCGAGTAAAACCCCTATGAATAGCGTCCAGTGCCTGCTCTTCCGAACTCGATGAGTCCTCGTATTCTAGGCGATCTACGGAGTACACCACCTTTAAATTCCCGTCGCCCTGCACAATCGATGCCTCTCGTACATACAACACATCAGAATCAAGTTCCCTCAACGCCTGGAACAACTAGCGTAGCAACACATAAGCAAGTCGCAACGCCTACACACCAAGCAGGGAACAACCACTAAGATGCTCAATCCAATGGTCAGGTCTTGGCGCGGATGTACCTACATGGTGTATGGGGACGGTTACAGATTACGAACTCGATGATACCTTACGTACCTAGGTAACCTACTACTGTTGATCCTTCCCCGCTGCAAACTGGCCTGTGCGTTACATAGTATAAAGGTGGACCGTACTTTCTGGCCGTTCTTTACGTAAAGGGAGGTTACTACCGTTTTAGTGCATAAACGGTTATGGAAAATTCTATCACCCACAGATCGGCGCGTCTTTCTCCCCTCTTTAGCTTTAGCTCAGGAGAGGCACATGTCATTTAACGGCAAACTGCGACGAGATGAGGCTTTTGCTTTTTAGGGGGGGTCTTATTGGCACTCAAGTTTCTCTAATAAAAGACAGCTCGACAAGAAAATATGCGAGAGACTGACTGCGAACACCTGGTGTGTAAGTAAGCGTATCCAGAAATAGCTCAGACAATGACTAGCCCTTAGGTATAGAACGATGTATTCAAGACCTGCACAGTAGCTCGGCATGTTTAAAGTGTGCTTTTGCTTATGGGGATAATTGGTGGGTCATAGGCTATTCTGGCGAAAGCTGATGCGGCAATACTGGATGGAGAGAGAGAGAGAGAGAGAGAGAGAAACAAGATAAAACTTGGGAATCACTGGAAAGAAACTAGACATATGGCGAGTATAATTTTTGTACCTAACTCCGCCACGGGGAGGGGGGAAAAGAGGGGAGTGAATCTCTTGTGACGAACGAGTGTGTTTAAAAATGGTAGCATAACTACCTAGCATGTCTCTCTATCATCTCGTGAGGAAGAGACTCGGACCAAGATACGGATATACGTATGTAAAGGAATGAATGCTATTCTAGGCTAAGTCGCTAACTAGGGGTTCTATCGATTGTTCTCGTCATGTTGAATCTAGAAAGGAGAAAGGAGAAAAAAGACAAACTAAGGGAGGTGACTCTTGTCAGCCCGTTAAAGTAAACCAACTAGCCCATAATGGGGGCGGGTAGTTAAGATTATCTTTAATGCCACGTTTAAACCGCTTCACTGCCACTGTGTCCAAAACCGAAGAGACGGCAGTCAAGTTTCTGCTCCAGGCAGTGTTCCAGAAGGCCGTACTACTGGGGAAGGAATCCCTGAAGTAGGCTTGAGCAAAGTCGATATAGAAAATCCGAGTATCGGATTGTCTGAGAAGCGCGTTATGGATGCCGCCGTCGCCCATGATAACTCCGCATTTGGTGATCTCGGACGCGGCAATGATTGCGTTCTAGGCGACTGTAGTCAAGAACTGAACGTTCAGTCCTTGTATGCTGCTCTTCTTCAGAAGCTCGCAGGATATGGTAGGCATATACTCGATCAGCATGCCCAGGGCCTAGAACTCGGGACTCGACGCGTAGTTGTTGGTCACAGTTGCCGAGTTGATGTCAAGACAGACATGGGCATACATGTTCGACACGTACTCGCCCTTAATACTGACTAGTTTGTCATAGGCTCGGGTCTCAGTCCGGAACCATCGATATTCGTCATCGTGGAGGGCGGCCTCGAACACGGAGCTCCTATCCCCCTTGGAGGCCTCTTCGTAGAAGCCCTCGGCCGGGACGGAGAGCATCTGGGTAGTGCGCTCATATTATATTTATTGCAGCACAGGTCCGGACTTACCGCTGGCGACATACTGTACAAAGTTATTTTCGTCCTGCACCGTGTGAAGGATTGTATATTTACCGCGTTTCCGGAGCCCTGGGCCGAAGTGGCGGTCAAACACCTTGAGGACTGCGTAAACACCCGTCGGTTGCCCGCAGGCGTCTACAACCTGGACGCGCATAGCGGGCGACAAGGTGACGGGGAAGGTCTCCTCCACCATCACATAGACCGAACCGACGGCTATGCCGGTAGGCGCCCTCGGAGTCGCCCTGGTAACTTGAGAGCCTTACCAGTGTTATATAGTATACGAGCCCATACGTACACATAATCCCCATCGGTGAAAAAGGCGACCTGGGAGTAATGGTCTTTTGGAAACAAAACAGGTTACTTCAGCTCCAAGTTGCGCGGCACAACAATGGATGCACGTCTCTGCCGCATCCAAGGCCGGGTGTGGGCGGCGGTCGGGTAGAAATGTGAATGATGGGACTGTATAGTATACACAAGGTATTAATTACAGTACGCGGTGTGGTCTCTTTGACCTCTGACTTTGCACGCCGCCGCCGCCGCAGGCCGATAAATATGCCTAAATTGGCAACAGCATTTAAACTCCCTCCAAATGTACTTGTACACACTACCTTCCTAGGCTCGCGAAAAACACCTCTCCCTAGTATGGAAAGTTACCACACACCACTGTGTTGCTACCTGATTAACCTGGGTAGGTAACAGGGGACTCTGACGAGCCCTTCCTTGCAAACAAAGTCCAGAGCCTCCTCTACCGTACCTCAAGCTACGTACCCCCCAACATCAAAAGATGCCGCACCCACCCTGCACTCCGCATTATACATACCGCGCCACCGCATCTTATCTGGCAACCGGTTCGAGTTGCACCACCGAGCTGTCGGGAACCGCTGCGCCTGTCTTGTTTGGCGCCCTTGCTAAAAATAAGTCAGCCCTACCGGCACCATCCAGATCCATCTTGACATTGACAAACTACCACCAACTCCAACGTGGCTGGCTTGCGGGTGAGGGTCGACAGCCATGACATTATAGTCCAACGCCACCCCCCCTCCATCTCTCGGCCTTGTCACAAGATGTTGCAAGGCTGGTCTGGTGGGAGAAGCCATCATCTAGGTACATCGTGCATCCGGCCTCGGTTCTGGCGTCTTCAGAAGAGTTGAAACCAACACGGATAGAGATTCATGACCCGAAGCTACATGTACAATCATCTCTCGCATTCGGCCTAGGTTCTGGCGTCTTCAGCAGAGTTGAAACCAACATGGATAGAGGGAGGGAGAGAAAGGCAGGCTCATGAACGAATCAGCCTCTCACGTCTTGGGGAGCACGGCATCGCCGCCCTCTGAAAACAAACCACACTCTGCGTGGGAGCAACGGCTCAAGCGGCCCGGCCTGGCACAGAGCATCCAGCCGGTATGAGTCTATCCCTCGCAGCTGCCACTGGTGGCTATATAAGCGGTAGTTGGGGGCCTCAGTGGTCTGCAACCCATGGCGAAACGCGCTCTAGTGCGAGATACACCTTCTACATCGGTTTGAGGCGCACCCGTGACGGAAATTACTGGACTTGTATCCTCGTCACGCAGCAAAATGGTACAGAATCGCCGGTCGAAGGCACCGAAGTGAACTGGGGCACGACTCAGCCCACCCTGCAAAATGTGCTGACCTACTACCGGACTAACTTTGGCGGCGTGGCAAGCAGTTCCGGCGCGCAGGGGAGCGGTGGGGGTAGTGGCAGTGGCGGTGGTGCTGCCGGTGGTGGTGGTGGTGATAGTAAGAATCAAAACAGGTCGACGATCTATAACTATGGCGACGGTGGTGACTTTAAAATCGAGGGCGACGAGACTATTTGGTGTGACCAATACGACAACCCCAAGACCGCTGCAGTCGGTGCCAGCGGTCCCCCCAAGGACGCTGTAGCCGTCTTCAAGGGCGACGGTAACATGATGTATTACCCCGGCCCTGGTAAGAAGCATACCACCGTCACCGTCGAATACGAGGATCCAACCAACAAGGAGCACCCATTCATTAAGATTAGTGGAAAGAAACACCCCGCCCTGCTTGTTGACCACACCAAGGCCGTTCGCCCCGCCGTCAGTACCGAGGTCCCTAAGACCAAAACTAGCGACTCTCCCTCCAGCGCAACGGCTACCAAGAGGCCTCCCCTCGGTGCCGTAGATCAAAACACGGTCACCAACAGAACCCAGACCGGGCTTACTGAAAATAAGGACAACAAGACCAAAGCCACGTCCAATGCTACTACGTCCAATGCTACTACGTCCAATGCTACTACGTCCAATACTGCTGCTAACCCGGCCCAGCCGACCAGATAACGCGGCTGCTCCCGCACCACCGCGATAGGTCACTTAGAGCGCAGGCGCTTTTCCCACGGTTGTTATATAGAGAGATCTCATTGCACAATCCACGCGCTCGCTCTCTGGCTTTTGCCTGGTAAACAGTTTCAAGCAGGGAGATACCTCGAGCTAGTATCGGGCTAGGCTAGGAGAAGATGGCAGGCTCACCACAGGGGCCATCATGGTGGCGAGCTGGTATCCCCCCCATGGATGAGATGGAATGAGATGACGCACAGAGTTGTTGAGGTAGGTAGCCTCGGGCAGGTGTACCTTTGGCAGCCGGCGAGATCCGGCTCGGGCCTGATAACCTCTGCAAGAAGTAGGACAGAAAACATAAAGAAAAAGAAAGACATTTCTGCACATCACATTAGCGTGTCTGCCTGTTTCAAGTTACAACGAAGATGGCCTCTTCGTATATACTAGCCATTAGCTATTTACATACTCACAAAAGATACGCCGTACCTAAGGTAGGTCCTGTTTTAGACTCTATTACCCCCCGGAACAAATACGTATCAATAGTATCTTGAGACGCAAAGGCAGCGAAGGTCTGTGCAAGATTTCGGCACTGCTTTTCTCTATAAATTTGACGCCGCATTTCTACTGCGGCACGTACCCTTGACCACCTAACGATCGGACCTACCTAGGCGTATTACTCATCAGGGGTGTACATGTTCCTATTTTAGCACCTTCGACAGCTCACGCAGTCCTCGGATATAGGAGTCTTGGTCGGGAATGGACTCAACTACCTTACCTTGAATCTAGTTGCCAAACTCCCCGGTCCGATGTGGCACGTAGCACGCATCGTTTCGTACTTTCTATTAGGCCCCAATATTATCACGTCAGGCCAATGTTGGCCGTGCCGCAACGACAATCAATTTGGCCTCTTCCTATAAATCCCTATTACTCTGTACGGGGTAGTGTAGATAGGCGGCTCCACCTGGCACATAAGCCTGCCTACAACTCTTATCGCAAAGGGCGATAAGGCGCCACTCAAATCCCCAGGAAAAAGCCCGATGGCAATGTAAGTAAGCACTAGGAAGGGAACTCATGCCTTAGGCTGTCCACATCCGCCTTACTCCGTAGTCTCCACCTTCCGTCGGCGCCCCTGCTTTAATTGGCCTTCTGCGGGAGGGCGGTGGGGGAGGGGGCTGGATGCAGCTCTGCGCGCGGAGTGAAACGTAGCTTCAACTTGGGGAGACACGGCCTAGAAGTTCTTTTGTTGGCCTCAATTCCATCTTTTTTTCTTTTTCTCCCATCCTATTGAATTCGAATCGGACGCATCTCCAGCTCGTCTCGCAGATCTACCAATTTCCGTACGCTCCTGCGCCCGTGCAATTGACATCAGGAGCCATGTTCAACATTCGGCGGGTCTTGCTGGCCGCCACGCTGCTGGTGGGCCTGTCGCTTCTCTTCTCGCAGCCGGCCGCCGCTACCAAGGGGCCCAAGATCACCCACAAGGTCTACTTCGACATCACCCACGGCGATGAGCCGATCGGCCGTATTGTCATGGGCCTCTACGGCAAGACGGTGCCCAAGACGGCCGAGAACTTCCGGGCGCTGGCGACCGGCGAGAAGGGCTTCGGCTACGAAGGCTCCACCTTTCACCGTGTCATCAAGCAGTTCATGATCCAGGGCGGCGACTTCACCAAGGGCGACGGCACCGGTGGCAAGTCCAGTACGTATTTGGCTCCCGTCTGCTGTGTGCCGATGCTGTCCCCATTGTTATCTGGGCTGGGTTCCTGACGATCGCGCTCCTAGTCTACGGCGAAAAGTTCGAGGATGAGAACTTCAAGCTCAAGCACACCAAGAAGGGCATTCTTTCCATGGCCAACGCTGGCAAGGACACCAATGGCTCGCAGTTCTTCATCACCACCGTCATCACCTCGTAAGTCGGCTGGTATATTGGCGCATGAGAAGCAATCTTTGCCTGTACTAACCTAAAATCGTACAGCTGGCTCGATGGCAGGCACGTCGTCTTCGGCGAGGTCCTGGAGGGCTATGAAGTCGTGGAGCTGATCGAGAATGCCGAGACCAAGCCGGGCGACAAGCCCGCCAAGGAGGTCAAGATTGTCAAGAGCGGCGAGCTGGAAGTCCCTGCTGAAGGTATCCACGTTGAACTGTAAATGCTTTCTTTATTTGTTGCACCATCTCACCGCTGCCCCGATTTCCCACCTACATGCCTCCTGCACCTTTGACTCGCGGAAGAGAAGTAAAATACGGATAAGAGATGGGCGAAACGAATAAATAAACGCGATCACACAGCGCCCGCCAGCCGGATGCGTGTACATCATTTATCATGTTTTCTGCGACGCCATCTATTCCCCCCTCTTTGAATTCATGTCGCTCGCTTTTGTTAGACACAAACAAGTTCTGGTGACTGGACCTATGCTGATAGTTTTGGTTTCGCCTTTCTCCCCCTTTCCACAGGCTTGTCCGCGCCTGAACGATCGGTCTTGGAGAAGGCCTTCTTCTTTGGTGTTATCGTGGCCGCCGTTGCCCTGTACTTGCGTCTTTCCAAGAGCCGTCAGGCGGCGCGCGGTGTCCACGAGAAGATTTTGGAGTAGGAGAAACAAGCCTTTTTAATTCGGGTTTTGGGGGAGCTTATAGACCAGCTCCCCGTGAAAGAGAAAGTCAACACCAGGCAGAATATGTTTTGTGTTGACTGGTTCCTATTTTTGGGCGGCATTTCTGACTTGCTCAGGGCATCACGTGGGGTTTTGTGAGACAAATGTACGGATACCCGAGCTAAATTTTTAGAGCAACTTTTTTTTTTCTTAACAGCAAGGTTATATCAAGATATCCAGATCTATTTTACCTACCCGCCTGCCTATCTGCGTATTACGAATTCCTGACTTTGCGACATTCACTCGTTAAAAATAAACTGGTGCAACGAAACAACAGCCAGGACTAACGCAAAAAAAAAAATGAAGGTCCTCACGCTCAACTTTCTGACGTGCGCCGTCAAGACGTGCAAGGCCTCGTCCGACTCGTTCCCGCTGCACCCCAAGGACGCCGAACTCGTTCACGACGACCTCGAGATCAACCCGCAGCTGTTAGTCAACGTGCTGCCCCGCCTTGACTGGACTGCGCTGCGCACTACGTCCACCGAGGTGCGTTTTTGTTTATTTCTTATTATAAAACAGCACACTGCTATAACCGTAGCTGTTTGCTTCTCTGTCCTTTCCATTGCCGTCCAACTATAATTACACACAAATGTCTTCCACATAACATAACCAAAGCTATTTGCTATCCCTTCACACCCTTCACACCCTTCACACCCCCTCACACGCATTATACAAAGCTATATGTCTCGAACTTAGTCTCATTTGACCCTACAACCCCTTCACATCGCATATAAACCAAATCTGCTTCTACTACACCCCCATTCTCAACATTCGCATCCCCCGATCACTCGCTTCTCACACAAGGGCATGACAAACTAACATGTTCAACTCGCTCGTCCGTGAACAAACAGCTGGGCTTTCCCGAGCTGCCAGAACAGCCGCCCAGCGCCGAGACGCTGGAGGCCGACGAGGCCATGCTGAAGGAGCTGCACAACCTACTGGTGGAGACGCAGATGATGGAGGGCAAGCTGGTGTGCGGCCACTGCGGGCACGAATACGCTGTGCGGGAGGGCATTGCAAATTTCCTACTGCCCAGCCATCTTGTGTAACGGCTAGCGGTAGATTAGGGGAGAGATGGGGACAGGCTAGGCCTATCATCGTGGAGGAAGGCAAGTCTCATGGTATCGGCTGGTGTTGGGTTTTGTTTTTAACGGCGTTCTTAATGAGTGAGACTCTCATGGAAAAGATAAAAACGGCACCCATAGAGTGCTTCCCCGAGCTGATCTCTCCATTTCGAGTGGTGCATCACCGGGAATACCAAGCAATCGTGACCAGAAATTGTGATTAAAGGGCGAACACCTTAATATATATTGCAAACACAACCCCATACAAGGCAGTTAATGTCCCCCCTGAAAAAGGACAGAGTCACCCTTGGGCCAGACTCTCTCTAGTAGCGATGCCGTAATTATGCACAACCTCCAAACTCCACCTATTCCCAAATATGCTACAAATCCTCAGGCCCGGATTACAAGTGCGTTTTATAGTCCAAGAAGGCCGCCTTTTACTGTTGCTTCTTCTGGGCGGCGGGCCCCATATCCTTGTCGAAAGCGCCATACGAGACCTCTAAGCTAGAGAGAGCCTTGAGGCCGACACCGAGAATCGAACCCAAGACAATAAGAGCTAGAAACCCCATGAAGATACCTTAACGCCACATTAGCCAACATGTACCTCCTGTATAGAAAACGTGCCTGATGGGAAGATGGATACCTACCAGGCGTAAAAAACTGGTACTTCTCAAACAGAGGGCGGTTGTCCGTCTCGTTTGATTGTCTCCTGAAAACAACAGGTTCCTGGTTCGACTGGCGCTTGATGTCCATATGGACAGGCGCAACAAACTCGGGCTCATAGGCTTTGAACTCATTTGGGTCCGAGAAGAACACGACGGTGTAGTCATCGCCCAAAGTGTCCAGCAGCTCTCCAAGTTTATGATCTATCCACAAGAGTTAGATTATCAGGCGTATCTAAAGACGTACCCACATAAACACAAAAATAGTTCAGCATACCGTTATCAATCAGCGCGTAGGCCCGATCGACCTTCTCCCTCGTGGAGGGCAACCGGGGCAGTTCGACCTGCTCGACCTTGCCCTGCTTGCCGTGCTCCACGCACGTTGCCGTGATGTAGTCTGCCAGAGTCTGGCTCAGAATGTTGCCCACGACTTCGCGGACACTGAAGCGGCTCTGGGTCGACTCGCTGAAGACGGCGCGGCAGAGGTTCGGCATGGTGCAGCCGGACTGTGCGTCGTGGATGTCGTCGGCGTGGACATTCGGCTGCGAGACGAGGATGTAGCGGCTCGTTGGGCACGACGCGAGCAGCTCCTTCGCTTTGCTAGTGACGTAGCTGCTCGTGCGAATCTGTTTGTCGCCGAGACTTGTGTCGACGAGTCTATCGAGTAGCACGCATGATCAGCAGCTGGTCGTGGGGGGCGCGTAATGAGTTGAGCCAATTCCCCTTGGGTCTCGGGGCGCTTGAGACATACTTGGCACTGGAGAGGAGGAAGAATGGCGACGAGTCCGAGAAGGCCTGCACGGCGGCCGTGCAGGTCAGCAATGTGGCGGCTATCGAGAAGTGCATATTTGCGGGATTCCGAGCTCGTGTTCGTCGGTTCGTGGGCTCGGTCGTGATGTGATGGCGGGATATGCTTCCCAGGTGCGGGTGAGCTTCTGCAGGCGGCCAGAGTGGAGAGGATGATGCTAGGGTCAGCTTCGATACCGGCCTACCAACGTGTAGTCAGGCGGTGGCCAGCGGCAGAAAAGTGGTTGGAATGCGACAACTTTTGTTTTAGTGTCATTTTTTCCCTGGCTCTACAGGGGCCGTCATCGCTAAATTACAGGCATCTCCAGGCAACACACCTCACCGAAAAGACTTCTTTCGCACTTCGCCATGTTTGCGCACCCGAGGATCAAGAAGGTCGCTCCGGCGCCGCCCAAGAGGCGAAAGACAGTGCACAAGATCGAGGAGATCACCTTTGACAAAGATGCTCGGGCCGAATACCTGTCTGGATTCCACAAGCGCAAAGTGGAGCGATCAAAGCAGGCAAAGGAGCAACTAGAGGCACAGGCGCGCCTTGACAAGATCTCGGCGAGGAAGCAAGTACGGACACAGCCCTCCCTCTCGCAAGGGGTGTTTATTAACACTGTGTGAATAGGTCAGGGAAGAGCGAAGACAGGCCGTCAAGGAACATATAGACACAGTCCATAAGCTGATCCGAGAGGCTCGAACCGCTGGCCTGGATGGGTCCGATTCCGACTCAGACGGCGAGGAATGGCAAGGCTTGTCCGACGAAGGGGTGCCAGAAGAGCCCCTCAATCGGGAAGACGAATACATTGACGAGGACCGCTATACAACTGTCACCGTCGAGGCTGTCAGTGTTGATCGGGACGGCCTACACAAGCCCACGTCGAAACAAGACACAGGGGATCAAGAGGCTGCCGCGGAAGACGCACAGACCGACGCGGCGAAAGACGGGTCTCGAAAACGGCCAAGAGAAAACACTAATAAGAAGAAAAAGTTTCGCTACGAAAGCAAGCTCGAGCGGAGGATAACGGAAAGGAAACAACAGTTCAAACGTTTTAAGGGGAAAGAATAAATCAAGGAGCCGCTCTTTCGCTACGGCAGTCCTGAATAAACAACTGGTCTCGTGCAATGTGATCTGGTGCCTGGGTCAAATCATCAAGTTGTGAAACTAACTGGGGAACATGGCCCATCAACTTCACCCCTTTCTCGACACCCCAAAACGACAGAATCTAAGCTAAAATCCACAAGCTGGGTTGTGCTTTGAAAACACCGCAGAATAAATATAAGTACGCAACCCTCCTTCGCACAGCACGGCATTTAGATATTGCCCATCTCGGCCTGGAACTCGTCCATCTCCTTCTTAAGCTCGCCGTACTTCTTGGCCATATCCTCGTACTTGGATTCCCAGTTATCGCGCTCGCTCTCTAGGGCCTGGACTTTCCGCTCGAGGTGTCCGGCCTTAACGTCCGTAAGTCGGAGTCTGCAAGAAAGAGGGGGGAAAAGTTAGCAAATATGCGCTGGCTAGTGCTCATGATATGAGGTCCGCGGCAAGTAGACGCAGCGGCGCAGCTCTGGCAGAGGCGGGGAGACTTATGTTGTTTGACTTGCCTCTCATTCGCTTCGCGAAGCGTCTTATCAGCTTCCTCGGCCTCGTCTTCGAGCAGCTGGATTCTTCGGTTCAGCGACTCGTTCTGACTGCCATGCTGGAGGCCTTGGTCGGCGGATGACTTCAGGCCTTTAACCGATTCCTCCAGCTTCTCAACTTCGGTCTCCAGTACACTGTTTTTGTGGGTAAGAGAAGTGATCTCTTGCTCCTTGGTCAGATTCTCCTGCTCGAGCGTCTTGACCTTGGCCTGAAGCTCGTCCACCTTCGCGGCAGCTTCGTCAGCATCCAGACGGAGCTTGTTCATTTTCTGCGTATTGGATTATCGGGTTAGCGGGCTTCATTGCCGTAGAGAAAAGCGCAGAATCGTCGCCATGAAAATGAGCTCGAAATGTCCAAATAGCTTCGTCTGTCGTGTTTGTCGTGGTGCTCAATGAGGGGCGCCCCTCCCATGCATGGTGGGGTAGGCAAGGGTCCAGCTCGAGAGACATCGAACTCACCTCCTTGATGCGATCCATGCTGGCGTCTGGTTGGGGACTGGGGATCCGATGCAAGATGTGAATGGTTATTGGGTGGCAAGATTATTGACGAGACAATATGTTGGTTGTGTTTGGCCGTGTTTGCGGAGGAAGAAGGTAGGGCGCCGTCGGATGCGTTGGTGGGTTTGAAATGGAGGCCACACGCCGTGCCCCTCCTCAGAAAGAGGCGTCGGCGTTTCGACTTGCTGCGGTTATTTAGCGGCTGGTCTTACCCGTCTGATCTCCATGCGGCTAAAGCGGGGCACCTACCTGCCGTTGCTCGGCCAACAGTGCACATTCCCTTTCCGTAAATAGAGTAGGCCAGCTGCGACCGAGCGTTCCCAGCCACCCCCTGCAATAAAACTTCCCCAGCCAGACGTCAAATCTCAAGGACTGGAGTCATCAAAATTGGCATCTGGGAGGCATCTTCTAGCACGCTGTGACAATGTTGGCAGCACATAACGACCAGGAGAACCTTTTCAGCCGTCAAGCTGGGGGAGTGAAGCAACAGCTCCAGTCTAAGACGCCCGGCGCCCGATATCCAAAAACGCCGTCGAAAGTGCCACTCAACGATGAGAATACGAACCACAGATTTCCCGGAAAGAGCGCTCTCCGAACCAAGGGAAACAATGAGAACATCGCAACAATTGGAAAGGGCGGGAATGCCCTGGGCAAGGCGAACAAGTCAAACTTGATGACACCGGTTGGTATGTCATGCGACCGCAGCGCTCCAGCGACTTGCGTAGGAAATGTGCTAACGGCAAACACAGAGCCCCGAACGTCTCGCGCGCCGCTCGGTAACAAAACCACCAATGCCAAGGCCCGAACGGGCCAACAGACGGGCAGCGTCAAAGATCTTGTTCGCGAGTTGGAGAAGACTGGCGTCAAGCCGACGACAACCGTCCGGCCAAAGCAAGGTCCCCCGCAGGTTGAGTCTTCGAAGCTCGAGGTGCACACCGATAAGAACCCTCTGGATGAAGACGAAGACATCGAATACGCACCGCCGAGGACCAAGGATGCCGTGTATCAATCTGACGTATTCCCCGACGGTGTTCTTACATTCGCAGGGTTAAAGCCAGAGAACATGTTCAAGGGCTATTACCAGTATTATTTCAACCATATCGACGAAAACGGCATGTCATCGACGGAGAGGGACATGGAGCAGCGCCGCCAGCGCACCTTCCAACTTGGAGACGAGCAGATTCGGAGAGATATGGATGAGTTTGACTGGAGCGTTGGCGACGTGCCGGCGAGCAGGGACTTTTTCAACAAAAAGAAACCCGACCAAGCGGCAAGCCAAGACAAGAAAGCACGCGCCCTAGTTTCTAAACAGCCAGCGACGATTGCGTCCCGAAAGGCGGCGTCTGCTCTCGCTATGCCCCTTAGGCCGCTGAGCGATTCAATGGCGAAAGCCAACCGACCCCTCTCTGCTGCAGCCGCAAACAAGCCGAAGCCGAATCCGAAGCCGTTTCTCTTGGCTGGACGCAAACCAGCAGTTCCAGCCATCCAGCCTAGAAGCGCAAGCGCGCAGGGCCGTGCAGGAGCCGTGGCAGCATCGCGCAGCACACTGGGCTACAGCAAGGGCCGCTCTGCATCGTCGGCCGTCCACGGAAGCGGCCCTTCGGTCGCACACCTCGCAGAACTCGCCCCCAAGCCTCGCACCCTGACGCGCTCTGTCAGCACGGCGTCGTCAGGATCAGACTGTACCATCACGCCGGCGCGCTTTGCGCAGAATAACTCATCATCGAGGGAGTGGAAGAAGCCCGATTTTCTGTGCATCTTTGACGATGTCGATGAAGAAGAAACCGGCAGCGTGAGCGTTGTCCCTGGCTTTGACGGCGCTAACGACGATTTCCAGCTCTCGACCGACTTTTAGAGTATTACCTGGTAGCCCTCTGCCCCTGCTGTTGGTTTTTCTTTTATTTCTTGTGGCTTTGTCCGTCGTTGGAGTTCATTACGAAGGACACCTTGGATGGGGTTGACCTTTGTTAGGCGGCCTAGCCACGGCGTGTGGGAAGACATATTTGGGCCTTGCATTGCTGCGAAAGATGCCTAACCTCTAAGCGGATGGATACCTACCTACCTCAGCTACTTGAAGCCCTCTGCTTTGCTTGCAGAATTTGGGAATTGCCTGAGCGCTGTGTCGCGGGCGTATTCTGAAACAGCTGTATTTTTTCTTGTGGTGAAGAACGAGGAGGGTGGTCATACACGCTGCTTGCTGGTGTCAATGGATGTCAATTCTCTTGATGATTGTATGTAAAATAACTACGTTTAATTATTACGTGCCAAAAGAGGCTGCATGTGCGTTTCGTATTTCGCGGTGCTTTGCAGTCACTTAGCTACTCATACGGCGTAAAGGTTTTTGGTGTGCCCTCACTAAATGGGTGAAACTGCAGGCACGATAGGAACTGCGATTTAGATACCAGCCCGGTAAGCAAGGCAAACTGTACGGTATGAGTGAGGTTGAACTGAGCCTGTTTTTCATCCCACCGGTCCTTCCACACAATAGGTAGAGTAATAAGGCAGCTCACAGCGCATAGTGCCTTGCTATTGTCAGGTCCTATTGAAGGTGGAGGAAAAAAGGGCGATTCTTTACCGGATTCGTAATAGAAAAGAATTTTTGACCTGGTAGTTAGGCTCATCTCTTTCTTTTACCTTCACAAGGCTTTGCATTCATTACCTTTGTTTTTACGGGGAGTGACAGCTCTTTAACTCTGCCAATGCAACCTCTCGGCACCTGAAGACCAAGCCACAGTTAAGCCACATTCTTCATTGCGGACGCACGCGAACCCACCCGCCCCATCTGCTTGGCAAAGGGCTCGAATTGCCCAGGGCCGGTTTGGGTTTAGCCAACTTACCGCTCGCGAATTCATTACCTACCATGCTTCATAGCACTCCCTGAATGCCAAACTTTCCACCTCGCACTTAATCCTCGTCCAACTTTTGCAGCCCAAAGCAATCCCTTCTGAGCGCATTCCGCGTCACCTACGCCGCCCAAGACTTCTCGCAGGTCGCCTGAGGGATCTAGGCCATTTTTGCAACGCAGAGCGCCTGGAGACATCGCCATTATCCGGCCCAATTTGCCGCGGTCCGCCACGGTCGGTAGACGCTTGTCGCGTGGACGTCGCATGCGCGCGTAGGTTTTCCCATACCAAAGCAACCAGAACCCATCGACGCACATGTATGGTGTCCCTCAGCATCACCGGCACGCGATAGGATGGTCGGAGGACGGCGGAAGCGGTAGACGTCACGCATTCTCGCAATGTCTCGCCCCTCGGGTGCGAGTTTCGCACAGTTCTTCCCTGCCGCGCCGCGGGCCGCCAGGGACAGAGCAACGGAGCGCGAGAAGGCAAGAATGAGGGCGCAGGAGTCGCCATCCTCGCACGTCGCCGATACAAATGGACATCGCACGCCGCTTGGATCATCAGCCCCGCGAGCGGACGGAGGGCCCGGTCGCCCTGGTTTCGCGTCGAAATCCCTTCCGAATGGCATGGCTGCTGATGCACCATACCCTACCCCTGAACACGGCGAGTCGCCTGTCGGCGACACGCTCAATACTGTGGGCTCGGCTAGCTCCCACGCCAGCTCGAACTCATTTGGCTTTAGCTCCTCCACGCGACACAACGCCGTGGCTTCGGTGAGAAACAGCCATCTTACGCCTCTCACCTCCATCGACTCTCCCTCTTCGTACCTCCCCCCATCGGGTCCTACCAAGGCGCAATCGAGCACCCCGCAACACGGCGACGGACCTGATGGGGCTGCCCCGAGGCCCAACGGGCTCTCCAATGAAAATGCCACTTCCATGCCTCCCGCCTTCGAACGTGCACCCATCTGGGACCCAAGCCGCTCGATTAGATCCATCGTGTGCACATATGACCCTCTTCTAGATCATTCGATTTCGAGCTCCGACAAGAGGAAGGCAAAACCGGTATACAAGGAGTTTGGATTGGTATGTATATCTGATATCTTGGTGAGGAGGGGGGAGCGTCATCTTTGCTGTAAAAGTACTTGGCTAATATCGCATTTAACAGGACGATGAAGATGACGCTCCCCCCTCAGACCCCCGCCTAGCGAAAGGTGGGAGGTTGAACTACATCAATGTCGACTTCCATCTGCCCAGAGCCCGGTTACGCCATGCGCCATACAACCTCAAGCCGTATACGTATGACCTCAAGACTTCATGCGGTCCTGGGCCCCCGACCCAGATTGTCGTGACTGGTTTCAACCCTTTGATCACCTTCTCAAAGGTCACCACCGTGTTCGCTTCCTTTGGCGACATCGCAGAGAGTAGCAATAAGATGCACCCCGACACCGGGAGTTACCTCGGCTTTGCGACATTTCGCTACAAGGACTCAAAGCCCAGTCGCGCGCACCCAGTTTCGATCAGCGCACAAGATGCCGTGAAGCGTGCGATGCGGATAATGCATGGGAAGAGAATTGAGGCGAGCACCGTGCGCGTCGAGTATGACCCGGAAGGCCGTAAGAGCTCACGTATGTTAGAGGAGGCGATAAAACAGGACAGACAGGGGTCGCAAGCGCCTGTCCTCGCGCCCAAGATCCCCACGGGCCCGAGGTCCAAAGAGATTATCCCGGGCCCTCCTCCCATGGCGCCTAAAGGGCCAGCAGCGCATCGAGCTCTATTGCCTCCCGTTGTCCCCGGACTTCTTGGCCCTCCCGGAACCGGCTGGATGCCGATAAAACCTCGGGTCCATCTCCACAGCTACGTCGAGCCAGAACCGGTTTTGAGCCGCATTAAACGCGAGCCATACATTTTCGTGGCCCAGGACCATGTCCCCGTTATGCACTCAACGGTTACCCACATGAAGAAGCGGCTAAAAACCTACGTGATCGACGACATACGCGCGGACAAGACTGGCTACTACATTATCTTTCACGACTCTACTCAAGGGCGCGACCAAGCGCAGCGGTGTTATAATGCTGCCGACGGAACGGCCTTTTTTACGTACACGATGGTCATGAGTCTGCATCTATACGGGACCGTTGGTAAAGGCGCCCATGTGCCAGTCGAGGCCCCACGGCAGAGCATCGTTCCGGAGCGAAGGGCTGCTGTGGTTGATTTCCGGGAACGAGATGAGCAAGAAAGGCGTCGACGTGAGGAGGAGGCAGACCTGGAAGAGGAAAAAAAACAGCGAGCCAAGAATTTCGACCCTGTGTACGAGGCCGTTGAGGTGATTCGGCGGGAGATGACCGAGCACCTGATCAAACACATCCGAACCAAAGTCGCGGCCCCTCTTGTGTTCGAGTTTCTAGATCCTGTCAATCACGCTGCCAAGAGGCGCCGTCTTAACATCGACGACCCGCACGGCACTAAACTTCCTCCCATCATTGTGGATGACTTCGAAGACAAGTCTCCCGTCAGCACACCGAACTCTAGGGCAGATCCCATCGAGCGACGTACAGCACGACTCGATATTGCATCGCTGCCTCGTATTCGAAAGGTGAAGAATACCGGACTCAACACACGGAAGCATGGGTTCAATGATCCGTTCGCCCGCCAGCGAGCGCCAACAAAGCCCCACGAGTTCCGATCCCTGCATCATCGCTTGAGAGGTGATAGTGACGACGAGTCTGAGGACGAGACGGAAAACAGGGATTCCTTAGCCCGAGATACTGAAGAACCTGAGTCTCGACCTCGGAGTCGGATGAGCTCAGATGACGATCCCATCAAGGAGGGCTACGTCTCCTGGGGTGCGGGTGATGATGACTCGATGACAGAGGCCAGCTTCGCGCTCAATGACGGAGGATCGTTGCAAAAGAAGAGGAAGCTACATCTTCCTATGGGAGCATCAGTCAAGCGGCAGAAGAAGTCAGATGAGGAGCTTTTCGGTGTGACAATTGGGGACATTAAAACCGTCACCCCATCAAGAGAGCCTTCTTCGGAGGATATTGTTCTTCCTGATGCCGAGCCTGTCGAGGAGAAAGACACCGATAGCTCTCGGACGCATACTCCTGTTCCTACCGACACAAAACCCAAGAAGGCTGTGAAGACGAAAAAGAAGTCAAAGAAGCAGATCTTCCAGGAGAGAGAGGCTCTCAAACGACAACAACTCGAGATATTTGAGAGCGAGGCCCCCCCGGCTAAAGAAGTGCATGAAATTCAGCCTACGCCCGACGCAGAGCCTTCACCCATGCCCGAGCCGGAACCCAAACCCAAACAACCCGAGGTCAAAGAAGCACCTAAGGAGGAGCCTGATGATCAACCGGATCTGGACGAGAATCTGTATCCTCGGACTCCGGAGTCAGCTCTTGTGCTTCCACCGAACTTCAGCCTCGATGTGGCAACTTTGAAGAGTCTGTCGCTGGAAGACCACGACCATCCAAATATCACCAAACTCAAGAAGAAATTCGGTGACGGGGGGATAAAGGAGCCGGAGCTTTGGCTGTGGAAACGGGATCGCATTCGTGAACTCAACTCTGCCGATGGATCAACAGAGAAGCCAGTGGGAATTGAGGGCTACTATGTGCCAAATCCTACTGGCTGTGCTAGGACCGAAGGTGTCAATAAGATTCTCAATTCCGAGAAATCCAAGTATCTCCCCCACCACATCAAGGTCAAGAGAGCAAGGGAGGAGCGCCAGGCGCATGCCGGGAAGAGCGGGAAGGACAGTGCAGCCGCCGCCGCTGCGGAAGCTGCCAGGCTTGCCGCCGAGAGTCTCGTGGCAAAGGGCAACTCACGAGCCAACCGTGTCAACAATCGTCGCTTCGTCGCAGATCTCAATGATCAGAGGAAGACGCTCGGCCAGGACTCTGACGTCTTGCGATTCAATCAGCTCAAGAAACGGAAGAAGCCAGTCAAGTTCGCTCGTTCGGCCATCCACAACTGGGGCTTATACGCTATGGAGAACATTCCAAAGGACGACATGATCATCGAGTATGTCGGCGAGGAAGTCCGGCAGCAGATTGCGGAGATTCGCGAGAACCGGTACCTCAAAAGCGGCATCGGCAGCAGTTATCTGTTTCGGATCGACGACAACACGGTCATTGATGCGACGAAGAAAGGTGGTATCGCTCGCTTTATCAACCATAGCTGCATGCCCAACTGCACTGCCAAGATCATCAAGGTGGAAGGTAGCAAGCGCATTGTTATCTATGCCCTACGAGATATCGCCCAGAGTAAGTCAGACTGAACGAAAGTATCCTCTTGAAATGGACGGCTTAACTAACGCTTTGCAGACGAGGAGTTGACATATGACTACAAATTCGAGCGCGAGATCGGCAGCTTGGACCGCATACCCTGCCTTTGCGGGACGGCAGCATGCAAAGGATTCCTCAACTGATCCTTCCGTGGCTTTTCATCTAGGGGAGTGAAAGCTACGGTATCGCTATCAAGTTAGCTGGTAATGGCGGCGGTCATCTACGAACGATTTCATTTCGATGCCCTCATTTGGATCAGGCTCTCCGAACCAAGGAAGGCGGGCCTAGTCCTATATAATGCATTCTAAGGCGGATGGGGTGGGGTGGCAGGGCTTGCCAGAGAGGTAAAAGTGACCTTCGATTCTCGCCATCATGTTTAACAGTGCATTTGCGCAGCAGGGAGTTATCTTTGACGATGGCGTTTTGGCAAGCAGGCGGCCTTTGCTTTATTCGAGGAGAAGGGTGGCAGCTGGGAGGCCACATGGCCGGCTGCTCATGGTAGCTTTAGAATTCCGTAGGGGGACAAAACAGGACCTTCTTATCATCCAGCCTCTCTCCGTGAGGAGATTCGAAAGCAACGAAATCGCGGAAGAGCGGGAAATGAAGTCAGTAGCCTGGAGGAGCGTAGCTTTTTTACTATTAATCTCTTGGACTTTTGCAACCAGGCGGTGGAAGCAAGGCAGGCCATTGCGAAAGGGGGTGGACAGGTATGGGTGCTCTCTCAGAAGACTGCAGCTATGGAGGGTTTTGCATTGGGTCTCTGCTCTATGTATATACTTGGCGGGTTGGCTTATTATCAAGGGGTTGCAGGTTTAGTTCAGCATAAGCGATGAGGGGGGAGAACAAAATAAAGCAAAGGCGACCATTGAAGCCGAGAATGCTCTTCGTATGTCCCCTTTTGTGCACGTGTCCGCGATTGTGTCCAAATAGGTTCGAGGACTTTGCTTGTTTGAGCACTTTATTTGCGTATATTACATGTATGTTCGTTGCTCTAAGCTTCACTCACTTCATCGTTGAGAGAGCTAATTATCCGTGCCTGAACTAGAATTGCCCGACCTATGCTTAAGATTTTGAGAAATCAGATACATTTCATGGAAAAACAGAGTTTAGTTTGTTATTTGGCTTTACAGGAAATAACGTAGCAGGATCGCTCGCTAACAGCAACGCCGCATTTTCGATGCGAAGTTGCGAACAACTTACGGCTGACCAAACCAGGCAAGCCTGAAATCGAGCATGGATTTCCCACGGGTCCTGATGTTTTGGTTCATTCTCCTGTAGCCTGTTTAGGTGAGCGGGTCTGTTGGCGGGCGGTACCGTACTGCACTTGCAAGTACCGACGTGCCCGAAACATGAACCCTCGAACAACTTTTGCCAATTTGTCGATTACGCAAAACTTACAGTCAGGCCATCGCATACGTCTGCCTAGCTGTCTACTTGCGTGGCTTTATACAGACAGCCGTTTGCATGCATGGTGTAGGATTGCGGCCACGACTGAAGGCGCGGCCGTCGCTTGTTGACCTGTTGGTCGGGACTAGAGGTAACAATAGCAGCAGCCACCAGGCGCCTCCAGCTGCCAGGGCCAGTGCCACCGCCGCAGCGTCTGCCTCCACCGCATCATTCTCTCCACTGCCAGTGCCAGTGCCAGTGGGCGGTGCTGCGGCTGCGGGCAGCGACCAGGGAGAGCTTGCCCCATCGGCCCTCGACCAAGCTGCAAACCTCCCGCCGCTGCCACCATCACCACCAACACCGCAGCTCTCCCCATCCGACCCACCGTCGCCCGAGCCGCTCGTGCATACCCCTATAGCTTCTATTGTCTCTAAATCTCCGTCCGAACTTGAGAGTACTCTGCCGTCGCCAATTAGCTCGCCCAAGATGGCTCCAGTAAGCTTTGCCCCATCGATTCGCAGCTCACTAAGGCTTTGTCGTCGCCCGCGTGGCCCAATTCCCGCATCCTCGAGCTACCCCTCCAGGACTAGACACTGACAGCAAACCCTCGCCATAGTCAAAGACAGATGGCGACAAGGATGGATTCCACACAGGTATGCCTGAATACTTGCGACCGCCCGTGCCTGGCTGGCGTCGTGCTCGTTCTATTTACTCACTGATGGCTTGCAGGCAAGATCTACTCGGTATCAGGGTTAGTCTCTACCGAATCCCGACCGACGACGTCCCTCCTCGTTGCAAACCGTAGCTAACATTAGACCCGAAGGCCCGTTGTTGTCGCCGAGGACATGATCGGTGTTGCTATGTATGAGTTGGTATGGCTCGCGGCCCCTCGCATCCTGTCGTCGTTGGTTTGAAGCTAAGCGCTGGAATAGGTGAGAGTTGGCCTCGACAACCTCGTCGGCGAAGTCATCCGAATCAATGGCGACCAAGCGACCATTCAGGTGTACGAAGAGACTGGTAGGACGCTCCATTTCTGTTTGTCCCCGAGGCTCACCACTGACTTCTTCACCGATAGCCGGTGTCAAGGTTGGCGACCCAGTAGAGCGAACAGGCAAGCCTTTGTCCGTCGAGCTTGGCCCTGGCCTGCTGAACAACATTTACGACGGTATCCAACGGCCGCTCGCCAAGATCGCCGACGTCTCCAACAGCATCTACATCCCCCGAGGTATCGCCACCCCTGCGCTCGACCGCAAGACGAAATGGGACTTCACACCAACGCTCAAGGTTGGCGACCACATCGCCGGCGGCGATGTCTGGGGAACCGTCTACGAAAACTCGTTCGTCTCGGTTCACAAGATCATGCTCCCTCCCCGCGCTCGCGGAACCATTACCAAGATCGCCGATAAGGGCAGCTACACGGTAGACGAGAAGATCCTCGAGGTCGAGTTCGACGGTAAGAAGAGCGAGTACGGCATGATGCAGACGTGGCCCGTCCGAGTTCCACGCCCCACGACTGAGAAGCACTCTGCCGACAAGCCCTTCATTGTTGGCCAGCGCGTGCTGGACGCCCTTTTTCCCTCGGTTCAGGGTGGCACTGTCGCCATTCCCGGCGCTTTTGGCTGCGGCAAGACGGTCATCAGCCAGTCGGTTTCAAAGTTCTCCAACAGCGACGTGATTGTCTATGTTGGATGCGGCGAGCGCGGTAACGAGATGGCCGAGGTTCTGAAGGATTTCCCCGAGCTCGAGATCGAGGTTGACGGCCGCATGGAGCCCATCATGAAGCGGACCACGCTCATTGCCAACACCTCCAACATGCCCGTCGCCGCGCGTGAGGCCTCCATCTACACTGGAATTACAGTAGCTGAGTACTTCAGGGACCAGGGCATGAACGTCGCCATGATGGCCGACTCGTCATCCCGCTGGGCTGAGGCTCTGAGAGAAATCTCGGGTCGCTTGGGGGAAATGCCTGCCGATCAGGGTTTCCCCGCCTACCTCAGCGCTAAGTTGGCCTCGTTCTACGAGCGTGCTGGCAGGATCCAGGCACTTGGCAGCCCGTCTCGCGAGGGCAGTGTCAGCATTGTTGGCGCTGTTTCTCCCCCAGGTGGTGACTTTTCGGATCCCGTCACTTCGGCTACGCTTGGTATTGTGCAAGTCTTCTGGGGTCTGGACAAGAAACTGGCGCAGCGCAAGCACTTCCCGTCCATCAACACGTCAGTCAGCTACAGCAAGTACATGACAACCCTAGACAAGTGGTATGAAAAGGACTTTCCCGAGTTCCCGAGGCTGCGTGACCGCATCCGCCAGCTCCTTTCGGATAGCGAAGAGCTGGACCAGGTCGTCCAACTGGTCGGCAAGTCGGCGTTGTCTGACCCTGACAAGATCACACTTGACCTGTCTACCCTCATCAAGGAGGACTTCCTACAGCAAAACGGATATTCAAAATACGATGCCTTTTGCCCCCTGTGGAAGACGGAGTGGATGATGAAGCTCATGGTGGGATTCCACGACGAGTCCCAGAAGGCGGTTGCCCAGGGTCTGTCTTGGGCCAAGGTGCGCGATGCCACTCAAGATCTGCAGGACCAATTGCGGCAACTCAAGTTTGAGCGTCCTAGTGATGGCGAGGAAGCCGTCACCAAGAAAGTATGTATCCCCGGTTTGCTCAAGGTCAAATTTGATTTACCGCTAACTTTTACTACAGTACGAGGCGATACAGCAGAGCATGCTCGACAAGTTCGCGTCCGTCACAGACGAGTAATTAACCAGCCATGGCGTCGGTGGTACCGGTAGATGTTGATATTTTAAGGAGGCGTGACGAGGAACTTCGCATAGGGAAGAGGTTGTTGTTGGTAGGCGAGAGAGTAGTGAAATTGTATTCCCTGTTTTTGGCTTGCTTTGCAGCAATTCTGTACGTGTACCCTTGCCTGTATGCACATGATTCGGTAATGGAAAGTCCTTTTCCTCCATACATAGAACCTACTATTACCCTGGCATGATTTTTTGTCGCTCGCCTCGTGTTGGCTGTTTTGTTCTTCGTGGTTGACTCTGGAGGTTATCGTAACATACATAACCCTCCCACCCCTAAGAACCTACCGAAGATAGTCGGTTGAAATAGTATATCTTGATTCTGTTTCGGTCCAATGTTTTTTGTCTGTATTGCACCTATGTATACTGTACCGTCGTCGCGCTCGAAGGCGAGCATTGAGCCTCCCCGGATATATGAAATGCGATAGAAGAGCGGCCGAGGATGAAGCAACAACACAGAGCGGGAGAATGTGCAATGTCTGGGATATCTAAGTCGTGGTTTCTTTTTGCATGGTAGGTATTCATACAATCGTCATCTAGTCGTCATACAAATCATACATAGGTAACTTCCCCCTCCCCCTCTTGTTTTGGAACCTTGAGTTGAGCCGCAACTAAAGGTCTAAACTTTCGTCCTTCGATGCTCGACATCCATCAATCCATCCACCCGTACCATCTCTCTTACCAAATCATTCCAATAAATAAAGACATTATTCACGGCTTTTCTGCCTTATTCCTCTTCTCTTCTCCGCCGCTGCAAGTCATTTCCGACATGGCAGTTCGTCAAGATACGTGGGCCCCAGGGTCATGATCCAAGCGAGTATAGCCCTTGCTCTCTCCTCGGGTTCAAAGTTAGATCCAGAAATGGCCTTGTCCAAGAGCGCGGTATAAACGCGGTATAATGCCGTTCGTTATACCGGAGAGAATAGGATGCTTTTGGAAACCCAACCCAGCTAGCAGGTTGCTGATGAGATAGCGTGAGCGCTCGTTAGGTGCCGTCATTTCGCGCCCCTGTCCCTGGCCGCCGCCGCCGCAGCAGCATTCGATGTTGTCGTCGTCGATGTAGATCCCTGGTCAGGCGGAGACAGGCTTTTCTCCCATTCCTTCATGAACTCGGTAGCAGTCCGCTTAAGATTGCTAGGCGTAAGCCGATTTAGTACGGGGGGCAAGAGCTCTTCGAGCTTGGTGGGCGACAGTGGCCCCGGGGACCGTGGGGAGCGTGTAGTAGCCAGACGCGGCTTTGACCCTTTCTTCTTGCTATTATTGTTGGAGCACGAGTCAGCGGAATATGTCCCTACGGAGGACGAAGAAAGAGAACCCTTACAGAGGAGTGTCGTTCTCGTTGCGCCTTTCCGGGATCGTCGAGATGATATCCCCGTTCGCCGTCGACCCGCTCCATCTGGGCGAGTTGACAGACGGACTGTCCCAGTTTGACCAATCGCTATCCTCATAAGATTCGATTGTCAACGGCGTCCAGGAGAACCGTTTCGATGTCTTTGATGTCTCAGTGTTTGATCGCGAGAGAGCCGGCGCAGACCTCGGCGGGGCGGCACCGTTGATGTCTTTCTCCTCTGCGTGATCGTCTTTTGCCAGCGGAGTCTCGTCAAAGACCGAATCAACCCGGGGTCGAGAGTTGGCGCCCGAGGCACGGATGGTGTCTTGTCCATCACCGCCATAGCCTGATGGGCTCGTACTTCCGCTCAAGGTCTGCCGCATGTTGCCGTCGCCGCCCCTAAGATAATCTCCATGGCCCGTGATAGGCTCGTCGCCCACTGTTGCCTGCCGCAGATCTTCCATAAAGGTCCACAAGCCGGTCTTGAGGTCCTGGGCGATTTGCTTCACACCACTTGCTTGGTGCTGCGACCGCGGAGCCCACGAAGCGCGCTTCGAAGGCGGGGCCGGTGTGCTGGGGGCGAACCGGCTGGAGTGCGGCGAATCGCTATCGAGACCAGACCTGTCCTCGCCAGGCCCGTCTTCGTGAACGGAGAAGCCAGGGCCGTTTGGCTTTGTGGGGGACAGTAACGACAAGGTCCTTGCGTGGCCTCCCCTGAAAACACGCCGACGCCCTCTGTCTGGGGTGCCTTGCTGGCTCTGGTGGCTGAGGAGCAATGATTTCCTCTTGTCGAGCTCCGCGTTTCGCTTCGTGGTAGCAGAGTCGTCTATCAGCTCGGTGCTGATGGGAGCCAGGGGACGTAGCAGCTCAATGTTGCGTCTCTCGGCCCTCTTTCTGTGCGCCTCGTGTGAGGTCCATTGTCTCTTCAGCCGTGTCAGATCGGACTCTGCGCGGCTGAGCTCTTCTCGGAGCTCGAGAACACGACGCTCCTGCGCGGCAATGGCAGTGATGAAGTCGTTGGGGTCAACAGGCGACATTAACGAAGGCGAGTCCAGCGGCGTAGGTGGGAACGAAGCCGAGGTGGTGGAGATGGGAGCCGGGCGCGACGGCAAGGTGGTGGGCAGCGCAATAGGCAACGTCAGCGAGAGACGGTTAGTGCTGCGAGATGCCGTCGAGGCCGAGCGCGCGGACCGCGTCTCAATCGAGTCGTCGACATGGGGAGAAGGAGGCATGAACCGTTCATCTGGTAAGCATCTCGGTTCTGCCTTGTCGGGCTCTCTCGCGTGGCTATAATGGGATTGGGGAGCTGGGGGTCGTGACAGCATGAGTCCTTCTAGGCTATTCTGGGTAGATATAGCCTGCTCCATGGTCGCTGTCTCGGTCGGCACGGGCCGTCGTGTCTCGGGGCGCTTGGAGGCGGGCGGCCTGTGCAGGACAAAGGAATGCGATGTCTTGCGCAGGGAATCGGGGTAGTAGGCGGCGCACGAGGTTCTCCGCCGGCGGTAAGGAGTGGCGGGCGCGGCGCAGTTGCGACGATGGCGTCTCCAATGGGCGAGGGCCGATGGCGACGGCGACGACGAGGAACACTGCTGTGACTGGGGCAAGGCGGGAATTGGGCGGCTCGTTCTTCTGGCAACGAGGATGGCCTTGTGCACGTTCAGCGGGTGGCTGTCACTTAGGAAAAGAGCGTTGGCAAAGGCCGATACAAAACAAGTTTGCAAAACAACAGTTGAAGTTTTCTTCATGGGAAACGAGTGTGAAGGGCGGTTTAGAAGGGGACGACGGCGGGTGGGCACCTCATCTCGTCCCTTTCATGCGCCGTGGTGTTTAATTGGCGAAGCAGGCCAGACCGCTAGTACGAGTGCGACGGCTCGACTGGGGAGCGATGTCCAGGCGACGGCGGGCAATGCTGCAAAAACACTCTGGCGCAGGCTGATCGCTGTCGTCCAAACTGTCCTCGGTCGTGATACCTGGTAAAATGTTTGATGCCGGGTCGGGTTGCTTTGTTTTGTTTGTTCTGTTTGCTGCCGCGGGTGGATAATAGGGAGCTGCGAGAACGAACGCGTGGGCTGCTGGCCCAAAAAACACAGGGAGCCGGGGTCCAATGGTACGGCCAGTACTCGGTACGGTCAGGTACCTCCTGGGAAGTACGAAGTAGACAGGGCGTATCCGGCAAACCCTTAATTGAGCACTGAGACAGAGAAAAAATTCAGTTGTGGCCTCCGTAGGTCAGGCTGTTATTCAAAAAGAAAGAAGGATGCACGAAAACGAAGAGTTTCTTGGAAGGAGGTCGTTCCGTCAAGAGGTCTCGGAGGGAGCTGTCATTACAAGTACTATTACGAGTCTCGGGGTGCGACTCTCATTTCGATTGTTGCTGCTCCGCTAGAGATCCTTGCCTTAAGCCTGCTGCTCACAGTGTCATGGAAACCCGCAGGGACCATCACGAGGTGTCGGGGCGAAACCAATTCCGATTCCACGATGGGGTTCGCAAAAGCAATTCTCAGGGGGGCCTCCATAGCTTGAACAGTGGCGTGCCTGGGCGGTGAGCGAGACATTGCGATGGCCCTGCATGTAGCGTACACTAAATACCGACTAGTATAAATGCGCTAGGGGCACCAGGCGTGCTGGGCCGAATCCATCAATCAGCCACGCGAGTTCAGAGGTGGTCATGAAATGACGGCGCGTTTTCGTTACTCTTCTCAATTCTGAAACAAGCCGATAAACAATCTACGTGTAAACTAAAAGCTGGGTAGATCTACGGATAGAAGCCGACGTTCGGTGAGCAGGTGTGCAAAAGATTGGTACTGGCGGTGTTCTAGAAACAGGGCCCTTGTAATTTATGCCCCAGGTTTTCGGAAATTGAGCCCAGTTCCGTGTTGTGGATGTATGAACAGTACGTACCTTCAGCGAACAGCTAAAGCGCACACGTGACAGCGTGTATTAGTCGCACCTGCCCCGTCCCGCACCGCTCTGATGATGGCCACCGTGCGACCACACGCAGCTGTCTTGAAAGGCAAAGGTAAAATTGAATGGGGTTTCATTAGACAACTTTTCAAGTCAAGAGTAATAAGGTGTTTTACCTTTATCGGCGGTACCTCACCGGGTCCATACCTTAAACGTCGACACTACAAAATACTCCATGCCGCAAGCCGCAAGCCACCAGCCGCCTGTCGCCCAGCATGGTCAGGTTGAGCAGCAGCCTCCGCAAGAGTGACGAGAACACGGCGCCTGAATGGAACATGGAAACCCAAGACAGCCAGAAGATCCTCAAAACGTATTGGAACCGTATCAGCACAGACAGCATAGTGAGTCCAATGCCATGCCCTGCGCGCCGAAACGACGAGGTGGCGTCGTCGACTTCCCCTCTCCTGCTAGCAATTGCTATTGGACCTTCAATGAGCTGTGCTAACCACAAGTAACGGGCACTGTATGAGAGTAGAACGAACACTTCACCGAACCCGACGAAGATGATGAGGCTGTGGCTCTGCCCGCCCAAACGCAAAACAATGCTGCGTCTGCCTCGTCAGTAACTTCTCTGAGAGGTGAATATCTACTGGCTAGCTTCATTTTTACTGTGATTATGTTTTATCTTAGCATCATGTTACTGACCTTCTGGCATGTACAGGAAATCGACCTGTCGCCAACAATGAAGCACTTGCACTGGGTTCGGGTTCTCAATTAGTACGTCCGCCTTCTTTGCTTTTTTCTCTTCGCCGTCCCACGCAGCCCAATCAATCAATTTCATCCAAGGCACAATCCCTGCTGCGTGTAACATGGGGTCCGCACTGACTAGCAATGAAGACGCGCGATGCCATCACCCGCCATCGTCGCAACTCGCCGCCCGCGACTCAAGGCCACAGCTTCAGTCGGGGCTCAGGTCGAGGCGCGAAGCATCGCGAATCGAGCGACCGCCAATTCAGTGCAGTGCCGAAATCAGAATATTGCAGCGATAACCACAACAGCGGTAATATCGACGACTACGGCGATAAAGAGGACGTTCCACATGTCCGCTCATCAGCAGGTTCTGCGCGCCCAGCCAAGAAGCTCCGGAAGATGGAATCCTCTCAGTCGCCTACCCAGTCCAACGACGGACGCAGCTACGATCAGTACTTCCGCACTGCGTCTCCTGGTCGTCCATCGGCCCCCAACGATGACACGAACCCTATAAAGCTCCTTCGTAGCAGCCCTGGCGGCTACCCGACATCCCTGGATGTAGATGACCACTCCGACACCGATCATCTTGACTTTGAAAACGCGCCAGCGACAGCCGCGGAGAAGAACACCTCGCCGGCTCAGGATGACTCAGGTTTCGTCGACCTTGGAAAGTTTGCCCGTCCACGGAACCCAACCTCCCAGATCCAGGCGCCCTCCCCATATGTGCCATTCCCAGAGACACCTGCTCCCCCTCAAAACCCCTTTCGTCTAGGAGGCCGGTCTCAGCTTCTTGCACCCTCGCAGCTGTTTGGGGGCACCCAGTTTTCTTCGGCAGTCAAGCTCGCCAGCCCAACCTCGTCGCGGCCCTCTCCCGCCGATTTCCCGCACAACTCCATATCTCCCAACGTCTTTATCTCGTCTCCTCTAAAAACCCGAGGTCTTCGTTCGTCACCAGTTCCCAACGCCACGTCAAGTCCACAAGTCCTACCCGGCACAACTTCGCCGCCTAGATTTGACGGTGAAGTGACTAGCAGCCCAATCCAGACTGCCTCCATAACAGGCCCAGTGATCCCTGGGTCGTCTCATTATGAGGCCCCCGCGAAGAAATCCGCCCCGGGGCCGATGGGCACGTACGAGCCGATGCACAAGTCGCAGGAGAGGCGCTCAAATTCACAGCTGTCTCTTGATGGCCCTAGCTCAGGAGACGACTCCGATGATCAGGAGTCTATTACGAGACGCCTCAAAGCGAAGAACAAGAAGGAAGCTGCTTCTAGAAGGCTTGTTAATATTAGCATTCCTCGGGCTTCGAGAGTTACGAAACCAGATGAAATCGAAGTCCCCTCAACAAATAAGCGGAAGCCAAGGAACGGTCCAGCCTGTTATTCAACTCGATGCCGTACGGCACGGTCATCTGACGAGAAATTAACTCGGCTGAAGACTGTTGCTGACTCTCAGGAGCGCCGTGTGCAACCTGATGATGGCCAATTCGGGCATGATGCGGACTCTACTCAGTCCGAAACAGGCGAAGGTCCAAAGTCGGACACGGTTGGGACGCCAGCCATGGCCCCACCACTTACAAGACCAATGCCGAGCCCGGCGATAGAAGCAACGCCATATTTGAGCAGTCGGGATACTGGCATCGCCGATGCCATACCCGAGACTAGCCCGACAGAGGAGCGGTTTGAGGTTCCCGAAGAGAGCAACCTTTCTCCAGCTGACCGTCCTCTGCTCAGAGTGAAGTCGACACCCAATTTTCTGTCGTCACCGCCGGCATTAAGTACTAGATCTCACAAAGCCAAGGCATCGTCTACATTAAATGGCGGGCCGGGCTCGACCTCGTCGTCACTGAGTAACCTTGCGTCGACGCCAGCCGTCTCGTCTGGTACTACCCCAGCAACGCAAGATTCGGGTCCAGCAAGGTCGGCTCTCGGTGTTGGTTTGGTATCTAACTCTTCACCAGCCGTTGCCAAGTATAAGCGACGTGCAACTCATGAGAGATTGCCAGCGTTGAAAATGGGCTCGGTGGAAAATCTGAGACATTCTGCTAGGATCGGGAAGCAAAGGTCGGCCTCGCCGGATGAGCTGTCGCGATCCCAGACTACGACGCCTACTTTTGAACACAGCCTCCGTGGATCTCGGGTCTCGGCGGCGTCAAAAACTTTTCGGGCCTTCGGCAAGCCCCAACAAACACAGCGTGGCACGGAGCTCTTTGAAGGAATGGCATTCGCAATATCCTTGCAGTCCCGCAGACCTGGCGAGAGTAGCGACCATTTTAACACCAGAATGGAGTCGGCAGCCGCGATCGAAAAGGCGATCAAATGGGCTGGCGGCAGGATCCTTGAGAACGGGTTCGATGAGCTGTTTGACGTGTTGCCGGCTAAGCCAGTGACTGGCAACTCGACGTCGACTCAGGTAGAGCCTGAGATCAGCCTGACGCCCGAGGGCAGATCGACGGGATTTGCTGCACTGATCGCAGATGGCCACTCTCGCAAAGTCAAATACATCCAGGCGCTGGCACTTGGGTTGCCATGCATTGCAAGTCGCTGGATCACGTCGTGCCTAGACCGGAACGAGCTTCTCGACTGGACACCATACCTCCTCTGCGCGGGCCAGTCGGCATTCCTCGGGGATGCCATCAGGTCGCGGACCTTGGCGCCGTACAATGCTTCGACTGCTAGTCTAGTTGATGTCATTGGGCAGCGAACCAAGTTTCTGGAGCGAAGTCGGATACTTCTCGTCATGAAGAAGTCACTGGAGAACAAGAAGATGGCCTACGTGTTCCTAGCGCGCGTCCTGGGTGCATCCCTGACTCGCGTCTACAGCGCCGATGAGGCAAAGGCGGAGATGAAGGCAGCCGAAGATGCGGGCCGGCCGTTCGACTGGGTGTATGCCGATGGCAAATCGGACCAGGGGAACATGTTTGCTGTCCCGGCGTCACGGCTAGGTGACGTCAAGAAGCGTAAGAGAGGTAGTGCCGCGGCTGCGGCTGCTGCTGATGAGCCGCCGAGCAAGAAGATTCGAACGCTCAGCGATGAGCTAGTCATCCAGAGCCTGATTTTGGGCCGGTTGATTGAGGAAGGCGAGATGGGGAAGTAGGACGGCGAGCTCCTAGTATTGTTTAGTTCTTGATCGTGCAATAATACATGGCTGTCGAGGACAGGCCACTGGGATGTGGGGTGTAAGATATGTTCGTCTTATCAGGGCGCAGGGCATGCATACTATCTGCGGCTGGGGCACATGGGGGTTGGGAAAACGGCGATATTGGTGTTTTTGAGGAAATTTTATTGACACTGCACTCCTTTCCAAGATTTGTTTACTTGTACTGACTGACTCTGTAAGGAAAGGTGTTTGTTTATACAAAAATGGCAAAAAGGCAAAAAGAAGGCAAAAAGAAGAGATCTGCGTCAGCCGCGAATTGAAATTGAACGCGGGGCCCATCGAATTCTGGTTGTTATATCAGAATGGCAACGATGGATTTTACCACTAAACCACTGACGCCGGGTTGATCCTGCACCCCGTGCCGAGGTGGATGGATCTGTTGATGCTGGAGGGGAGGACTATTCCCTTTTTCATGTGGTAGATGCGATTTGGGAACTCTTTTGGAACTCTACACTTGGGTGTCTTGCATTGCATTAGTTTCACCTTCGAGCCACTCTCTTCTACGTGATACTCTGCTTTTGCTGCCTAGATAATCTTGGTGCAGCTGCAAGACTCTCGTTCGTCGTCAAAGACTGTTGCACAGGATAGGCAGGCGACTTTTCGGGTTGGAAATTGCCACTCGCTTCCACTGCATATCTGTCGTTTTATTTGTCATGGACAAGCTAGGTAGGGAGGTAGGTAGGTGGTAGTCGAGAGACTGGTTATTGATCAAGCTACATAGCACTAGCAGCAAAAATAAATCAAGTATATGAAGTTACAATACAAACCGTGGACCCTTTCGTGTGTATATAGCGATGGTGATGGATATGTTATGTTTTCTTTCGTCTACTCCTACGAGAGTTCCACAGCTAGATTTATTACCAAAGTGAAATGGCTTATACTCGTCACCACGCACACACTAAAATTAGGTAGTGATGCGTATAAGCCGTAGGTCATATCTTGCTGTGATCGACTCGAAAACAGTCGAGGTTCGCTCCTCAACGGAGTCGATAAACAAATAAAGAAAGAGACCCCAGTACAAGTCACACACATGACGCTTCCAATTGCTGCTGTGTGAGCCAGCGGATTCAACACTCAACAGTGCTTCCCAAGCTCCCGTTTTGTGGTCTGTCAGAACGGGAGCGGGGAGCGGGAGCCGAATCGTGCGACAGACTCGGTTCCTAGCCTGGAGAGAGAGCGTCACCTGGTACTTGTACCTACAGAACAGAGGATAACTCTCGTCAGACCAGACACACACGCGCAGTCATGACAAATCCTGGCAGCCGCCGTGTCCGCGCCCGTGTCCGCGTCCCACCGCTCCGGAGCATCGCCGATTTGCTCGTTTCCCCTCCTATTCTCCTTGTCCTGTCTGTGTACAGGGGTAACTAGACAGGCCAGGGACTTTGTCGGCGTTTTTTTGGTCCCAAAAACAAGGCATGCTCGTGTTGTTGAGGTTTCCTGTTGCTGTTGTTGCTGCAGCTGGGATAAATGTCCGGCATCGTCCATGTTAGACGACGACGTGGCTGGGCCATGGTTTCTTCTTCAGCGCGAGAAGGCAAAAGGAGGGGACTTTTGCGCGCCTGCTCTCTCTCCGTGTTGGACTGCTGGAGGGTGAGGACTTTGGTGGCCGTAGAGTCGCCATCGGCCGATCCGGTGGCGATGTGCTTGGAACAGCCGTGGACTAGACTGGACCAACATGGAGCCCGTCGAGCCATGCTTATAACGCGACGCTGGCTGGATGGCCCCCTTTTCTTTTCTGGCCTCTCCAGACATCCAACCAGAGAGACCCAGAGGCCAAGTAGGAGAGAAGAGACCAAAGGGGCCAAGGTGAGCTTTCCAGGGCCAGGGGCAGCATAGACGGCACAATAACTGTTATATTGACGTGACGAGAATAGCAGCAAGGCCCTCTCCAGTACTACACCTAAAAGCCAAACCCAAAGCTAGCAACCATGAAGCAGTCCTGCGTCGGGCTCATGGCAGCGGCCCTGTTCCGCGTGACGGCCGCGCAGAGCACGACGCTGACGCTCGTGCCCACGCCCATATCGGTGTCGTCTGCGTCGGTGGCGTGGACGGCCGGGCCGCCGTCATCAATCTCGCTGGCCGCTGCATCCCCGGTACCATCGGCGTCGTCTGCCGCCGGGCCTGCTATCTGCGGGCAAGGCTTTACGTACTGCGGATACATCCTGCGCGACCACCAGAGTGGGTTTTTCTTCTTCTTTCTCGTCGCTGTCAACTCTAACTAACCGGGTTTTGTTCCACACAGACTTTAAGGAAGAAGACATCGTTAAGGCCTACTGCGCGGGCAACAAGGAGAACTGCGCCAACGGCAAGACCAAGACGGACCCCATCCAGGCCCTGTACGTGTGCCTGCCGCCGTCGGCGAACCCGAAGCCCAAGGCGAAGCGGATCAAGGGGCGGCAGATCACCACCACGGTCATCATCGGCGGCGACGGGCTGCCGGTATCGCTGTCGTCGTCGGTAGCGGCGGCGGCGGCGGTGACGTCCACGGTCACGGCGGCGGCGTCGTGGGGCGTGTCGCCCGTGTCACCGCTGGTGCCCGTGTCGTCGTCGGCGTCGGCCGTCGGCGGCGTGCTGGCCAACGGCGACGGCTCGTGCTCGGCCGCCACGGCCACCGTCGGCAACCGCCTCGAGCTGCTGTGCTCGTGCGGCGGCCAGTGTCTCAACCCCCTGGCCGACCACATTGGCCGGTGCGACGTCCCGTGCTCGTAAAAAAGGCTTTTTTGTGTCTGTCTGACAAGAAAGTCAGCCCCCCTGTGCGAAAAAGGAAGAGAAGAAAAGGACCCCGGGAGGGCTGACCAGGGAGAGAAGCAAAATAGAGTCCAACTGAAGGATGATGGGATGTTTGTTCTCTTTCAGTCAATGTTTGAAGGAAACAGAGAAAAAGGGGGCTAGCCGTTCCTTTGAGCCAAACAACTCTCCAGCCCGCCTTTAGCCATACCTTCACGTCCAATCGTTTTGCCACTTCCTTAGAGAAAGGGGCATGCGTGCTTGTCTATCTGTCCACCAGATTAGTTACCGTCAGTGGGTAGGCAGCTAGATCCCAGTCCAGTAATAGAATGTAAAACCTCACCCCCAAGCGTCTCTCTGTCTTCTACGGAGCAAATACTGCCTTTGAAGAAAGCCACAAACCAAACAAGCCAGCAGGTATACTTGTTTTTTTTTCTTCGGGTAGTAGTTTATTACAAATAAAAATAAAAAATAAAAATGGCATGCAATACAGAGAGACAAAAACATGGTGGGCCCTCTTCCTTTCAGAGGGTTAGTTTCGCCACTTGCGCGACCAGAAGCCACAAACTTAACACATGCTGACGCACACATAGATAGAGATGTTCCTAACCCCGTTTCCTGCTATCGATTCCCTCCCGTGAGGCTCTCGCATCCATCGCACGACCTTTCCCTGGCCAGGTATACCGCCGACGAAACACCAACCACCCTCGACAGGCCAACGTGCGGAGGAGTGGTAAGGGGCAGAGGCATAGGTAGTGGAGAAGGAAAAGGAGCAAAACAAAACAACAGCAAGAAAAAAAAGGGACAAAAGACAGACAAAGAGAAAAAGAGAGAGATATTGTGCCCACGAATGCAAGCGTTCCCAGAGTGATTTAATTCGCCTCCTTCCACCCATCCGCCAACCGACCAACCAACCAACCATATCCCCTAACCCCTCCAATATCTTTGCCAGCTATAACAAGACCGGAAAGGGCGGTAAAAAAAACAAAAAAAGAGAAAAGCCCGAGATGCCGCCAAAAAGTTGCTTTAGTGACAAATGAAAGACAAAACACACACACAGACACACAAGAACAGAGAGAGATGGAAAGGAGAGGACAGTTCTTTGTGTGTGCGTGTGTGATGTATTTAGTTTAGAGCCCCCTTTTCGGTAGGGGGGGGTTTGGATTGGGTTGGGCGACGAGGACCCAGATAGGTAGGTGTGTGTGCGTGGTTGATGGTGTGGCTGTATTCTAAAGCCACGTCGTATGGGCAAGAGGAGAAAAAAATCCAGCCCGGTAAATGGATTGCCAATTTCGGATCAAAAAAATCGGGCCCCTTTCCTTTTCTCTCTTCCCCTGTCTGTCCCCCCCTCTCTTACTCACTCGCTCGCTCGCTCACTCACACGCGCACGCCCTCTCACTCTCTCACGTGGCTTGAACAGCTACATTATTCATGATGCTGCCACCAAAGTGCTGCTGTCAATACTTTGCCGGTGAACCCTCGGTGCTGTGTGGCCCACTGCTTGAGTTTCGAAGTCTTGTTTTTTGGGGTGGGACGGGGTTATATATAGGGTGAGGGGGGGCGATTGCGAGGTTGCCGCGAGGGACAACCACCGTCAAAAGCAAAAAGCCGACACTCAAAACTCCCCGCTTCAGCACGACTGATATAGTAGCAGCGGCTCGCCGACATTACTGATTTCGGGAATTGTGCATTTCAAGTCGAAGGCTTTCGACAGCACAATTTTGAAAATCTATCCGTCCAACACAAAAGAAGCAGGTTAGATCCGATACGACCGCAAAAGATCAACAGATGGTAAATAAGAGAAAAAAGGACTCGAGCATACCTTCTGGACGTTGATGCTGTGGCTGGTGCTACTGAAGATCAGTGCCGCCCGCATCGCCTTTGCGAAGCGACGAGCCTGTTGAGAGGGGGCTTTGTCAGTCCCACGAGGTCCAGGTGACGGCCACAAAGACGGCAGCAGACACGGGGAGGGGCGGGTTGCCGTCATACCTGGTTTGAGATCTCCTCCTGTTCTTCGCGTGACAGGTTCACAAAGTGGTCGTACTTTGTCCCCACCAATACGGGGATGGCCGTCTTGTTGAATCCGCGCCCCTGGCGGTACCACTCCTTGATGCTGTTCAACGTGCTCTTGCGCGTTAGGTCGAACATGAAGAGGATGGCGACGGCGTCGTTGCACACTAGCGGCAGCATGTTGACGAACTCGCGCTGGCCGCCCAGATCCCAGATGCTGAAGGTGATCTCGGTATTGCGGATGCTGATGGTCTTCTCCATGAAGTTGACGCCCAGCGTCTGGATGTAGTCCTCGTCCCAGCTGCCCTCAACGTACTTGACCATGAGGCTGGTCTTGCCAATCTGCGCATCGCCCACCATGCCCACCTTGATCACCAAGTGGCTGCGCCCGTTGGCCTGGGCGTCGGCGGCCGCGCCGTTGCTGCCGGCCCGCGATACGTGGTCCGCTCCGTAGGCGGCGCCTTGTCCGCCCGAGAGGCCCGACGCAGGGCGCGATATGGAAACGGGGTGCGGCAGAGGCGGGGTCGCATAGCGGGCCGTGGGGTCGCTGTCCATATTGGTGTCCATGGATTGGTAGTGCGGCTGTGACCTCGGCGAATTGGAGGCGGGTAGGCCCTGGTCGAAAGACTGCGACTGGGTGTGGCGGCGGTCGCGGAAGCCATTGTTCTGGTCCGAGCCCGTGTGGGGGGGGCCCTCGATGCCGCCCATAGTGTCGTCGTGGCCGTCGACGGGCATGTGGTCGTGGTCCATGGTGTCCAGAGCGTCGTGGAACTGGGCCGGAGACCCTGCCGACAATGTTGAGGAATCCAGGATGAAGGTGGAGTGGACTGAGCTGAGCCCAAAGCAATGCAGCCGGATCGGGGGTGGGGGAGGCCAACGGCTGCCTGCTCGACCTCGGGAGCGGAGGAGCCCTGGCGGCTGCGAACAAAGTTCGAGGTCGAGGTCGAAGTCGAGATCAAGATCGAAGGGAAATTGAGATCGGGGGTGGGGACCGTGGAGCCGGGAGCGAGAGAGGGAAGGAAAGGAGCCGGCGGCGGTCTTAGGCTAGCCCGATGACGACTTCATCAACTGAATTGCGGCCAAGGTAGGCGCTGGTGGGATGAGGCAAGCTGCTTCTTGGGTCCTCGCCAGGCGCAGTGCTCGTACTCGGTAGAGTACTGACCGGTACAACCTGGAAGTAAGTGCAGCGCACCTGAGGACGGGTACGGGTACGGGGACGAGGGCGAGGGCGGGCAGTGGAGATGGGGCTTTGGCGTCAACGGAAAGAAGTCGCGGACTACTTGATGTGGATGCTGTGGTAGCTGTTGTCCCGGTCAATGCGCAACGGCTGCTCGGCGGACGAATACTGCAAGAATATTCCGTAATATGCTCGAGTAATCGTTCAACGAAATGACTGTTGTGGTGTAGTTCAAGTTCCTTTTTGGCTAGGTTCCATGCCAGGGGCGCTGAGGTGGCACTGGACGGGGGATGGAAGCCACTGCGGGCAGGCTGAACCGGTGGGCAACACAGCGCGGAACCCACCAAGGTTTGGTTTGGCGCCACCGCTCGTCCAACTCGCCGGGCCGTCACAGCTGCCCAACTACGCTTGGTCGGTCCTGTCTAGGCCCTGGCGTTCCCAGTAAATTGATTTGGCACGCGGTTTGAGACGCGACGCGACTGCGCGCTTCGAGTCCTTCCACTGACAACTCGAGCGGAGGTCGAGGCAGTGCGGGCAGCAGCAGAACGACACAAGATGCAAAGCGCCCTGAAACGAGGATGCTTTGCAAAGATAGAGAGACACTCAGTGCACACCTATATTTCACAGCGTGACCGATTACGATGTCAACAACAATACATAATACATGGCACGGAGAAATCACGGCCCAAAAAGGAGAATGGGGCTGTTGCCGCCATTTACAAGGCCAAGCAGCCTATAGCGTGGCCGCATTACCTTACTTTTGCATAGCTTGTCAATATCAGAAGCATTTAAGGCTCAGGCAATGCCAACTCTCAAATTGTAGTGTTGTGTGTGTGTGTGTGTTCCGTGTCCGGTGTTGTCTGGCGCGGGGCTCTATTATCACTTCGGAGTTGATAAACCGCGACCTTCCGGAGCCTTTATTAGGTAAGCTCCGCTCTTCGGGACCTGTCGGCTCTGGTCCGGCACCAGCAGCACCATTGCCCAAGGCCCCAAGGCCCAAGCTCCCACGCCAAGCCTTTCCTACTGAAGCACAGACTGGGCCTGGCCGCCCGCTTTCTTTTCGTCGCTCACCACCAATCGGCGTCATTAGTTTGATTCAGATTTGACCGCCAAAGAGAGAGACATTGCCAGGACCTCCACCCGCCAACTATTTTCCGCTGCCAATTAAGCTTGTCTCGACGACGACACCACCCCCTCTCTCTCACAATGGCTTCAATTGCGCGGTACATAAGGTCTGCTCGGCCGTCTGGCCTTGCCGCGCTCGCCCAGAGCTCCGTTTCGCGCCGTGTCATTGCTCGGCCGTTTTCCGTCACAGCCACAAGTGAGTTCCTCCCTTCCCCCCCGATGCCGGATACGGAGGGAACTCTGCAGACAGCACCGGCAGCAGAAAAGCAAATCTAGTCTGCCCGAAAGACAGCACACACACACACGCACGCACAACATGCTAGCCATGCCCAAATTCTAATTGGTCCCCCCCTCAGACGCCATAAGGAAATACACCAAGGAGCACGAATGGATCGACGTGGCGGCCGACAAGAAGACGGGCGTCATCGGCATCAGCGACTACGCGGCCAAGGCGCTGGGCGACGTCGTGTTCGTTGAGCTGCCGGAGCTGGGCAAGAAGTTCGCGGCGGGCGACGCCATCGGCGCCGTCGAGTCGGTCAAGAGCGCCGCAGACATCAACGCGCCCATCTCGTGCACCATCTCGCACGTCAACCTCACCCTCGAGGAGAAGCCCAACGCCATCAATCAGGTGCCCGAGGACGACTCGCACGGCGGCGGTTGGATCTGCAAGGTCACGGTCAGCGAGCAGGGCATCAAGGACCTCGACAACCTCATGACCCTCGAGGCCTACGACGAGTTCACCGCCACCGAGGGAGAGGAGGAGCACTAGATTCCAATCTCTTCTCCGCTTCGTCGAGGTGAGGTCGGGAGTGGTCCGGATATATGGCGGCCCCGGGTAATTGGGCAATTACATCCCGGGGAGACGGCCTGGGTTCATCGAGACGGGATGAGTGGCGATGCTGTCCCCGTTACTACGGGACGGGGAGAGGGAGAGGGAAAGCAAGTCTGCGACATCGGACGGGAGTATCCTCATAGCTCGGACAGTTCAACCTGATGGGAAGGGATCTACCGCATTATACAACGGCCCGGGGTTTGTATCATAGGGCTTTTCCGGGCTAAATCGGGTGGTGTTTGGTGGATGTGTTTTTTGTGTTTATTTTCGTTTTCGTTTCGTTTATTCCTCCCCGTCTCTCATTCCAAATAACCACTCTCTGGAATCGAGAGAAAGGAGAGAGAAAGAGAACAAAGTTTCATTCTCGCCCGTCAATCACACACGCACAAATCATAGAGAGAGAAAGACATATGCGGGGGGGGTTGTCGAGCTGGTAACTAACTACCTTACTACCGATGGGGCAAGGCATTTGGGATTAGGGAGACTATGGATACTTATGTAGAGAGACTTCCTCCCCTTATTAGCCGCCACGCTCTCAACGGCTGCCCGCAGGAAACAGAACCAAACCCAGAAACAAAAAAAACAGGATTCAACAAGGCTGTTGTAGAGCGCGCTCATAGACTAAAACTACGGGATATACATAACACATGATAATAATTATACACACACACAAGGAAGCACTCTGAGACCCAGTCCCCCACTTGGCACGCTTGAGTTACCTCCTTATGCATGCACTCAGAAAGATCAGACCTAGTAGCGCACCCATGGGGATGACAGAAGTGGCTTTTTTGATTGATTGATTGCATGTGCGCTGCGCTTGTCATCTCTATATATAAACTATATCTGTACCAACAATACACAGCGCCGGCCTACCTGGTTTTTCTCTCATGTTTAATATGTATGTATATTATACAGCAATGCCGGCATATTTGCGAGTTGGTAGAGTTTCGGGGGCGAGTCGAAGTGAGGTGATATGGTGGGAAGAGACACGGTATGTATGGCAGCTGTGATTTTCTTTTTTCTTTTTCTCTTATCTTTCTTCTTCAGACGTCGCCGACCTTGACCGCAGCGAGCGACGACGGGTCGCGGACCAGGTTGATGACGTCGAGGATCTTCTGGGCGCCCTTCTCGACCAGGTCCTGGGCAATCTTCTTGCCCAGGCTGTCAGCCTGCGCGAGGCTCGCCACCTCCTCGGTGCGCTCGCCCTCGACGGCGTCCTTGCCGTCGACGCTGACGACGACGGCGCGGATCCTCAACAGCGTCTTCTTTGGGGACTGGTCCTCCTCTTCGGCCTCGTCTTCTCCGCCCACCCACGCCGTCTCGACGCCAATGGGCACGCTGCACCCGCCCTCGAGGGTGCGCATCAGGCTGCGCTCGGCGTAGCAGGCCATCATGGTGGGGGTGTGCTCGATGCTCTTGAGCAGGGCGAGGGTGCGCTCGTCGCCGTCGCGGACCTCGAGGCCGAGGGCGCCCTGGCCGACGGCGTGCAGCATGCCGCCGTCGTCGGTGGCCGAGTCGAGGAACTGGGCGATGCGGGTGCCAAAGTCCATGCGCAGCAGGCCGGCGGCGGCCAGGATGATGCAGTCGAAGGGGCCGTCGGGGTCGTCGAGCTTGCGTATGCGCGTGTCGATGTTGCCGCGCACGTCGCGGAAGGCGAGGCGGGGGTAGGCGCGGCGCAGCTGGGCGGCGCGGCGCACGCTGCTGGTGCCGACGACAGCGCCGGCGGGCAGGTCGGCGAGGCGGGCGTGGGCGTCGGGGCGGCGGAAGATGACGACGTCGCGCGGGTCTTCGCGGCGGGTGATGCAGCCTAGGGCGCAGCCGGCGGGCAGCGTGGTCGGCATGTCCTTGAGGCAGTGCACCACCATGTCGACGCCGCCCGACTCGAGCTGGGCCTCGAGCTCCGACGTCCACAGGCCCTTGCCCAGGTCGGGCAGCGGCGTCGTCTTGTCGCGGTCGCCCTGCACAGAGATGGGGTGCACCGTGAAGTCGACGTGCGGGTGCGCCTGCTTGAGCTCCGCCGTCACGAGTTCCACCTGCTTGAGGGCCAGCGCCGACCGCCGCGTGCCGACCTTTACTGTGAACTGTGCTGGCGCCATGATTTTGAGAGACACAGACTTCCAATTGCGTCGTGTGAGTGACTGCTGCACAGTGGACAATGCCTGGACGCCGCTGCTAACGAAGGGCCTAAGGGAGTGCTGTAAGCTGATGAACTGGCCTGGGCCTCCAATTGTATGTAAACTGGCAAACAGAATGCAGGTACTCACGATAGTACAAGCAGTTATATGGTCAGACGACAGTATCGTTCGTTATACACGCATGTCTCTATATACGCACAACTCGGCGAGGCTTCCGTGTCGCGGCTGATGAGAAGTTGTCCCCCCCTCCGGCTGCAGCCCCGCCAAGCGGGGTGCAAGTTTTGGCGCAGCGGTGGGCCCAGGGGTCTGGTGGTTGTGGGGTTTGCTGCAACTCGCCGCGGGGAATTGGCAAAATCGAACGAACCTTTCGGCCTTCCATCCATTATTCTTCCCGTTCACGTTCACCGACTCTCCACGGAAGGCTCTGGCGTATTCGGTACGCGGGCTCCATACCTATGCGATCTCCTCCGGCATTGAAAGGTGCCTATGTAATTACGTGATATATGCACTGTATCCGCACAAAGCTGCCATATCTGCCAGCCAAGTCCCTTGTCTCCGAGATTAAAAAGGTCAATGGGTGAATAAATAGGTCGAAAGAGCAGTGTGAAGTTTGAGCAACGGAGCTTTTATTGCCTAGGTATCGACGAGCATGCCCGTCGATCAATAACACTACTCGCACTGCTGTAGCTATTAGGTATGATGCAATTACTTATTACTGTTGTGGTGCCATCCTCCGGCTGTTGGTCGGGGTCTTTCCAATCGATCCCAATCCGTCCTCTCCCGCTTCAGTCAGCAGTATCCGTCTACCGCCGCCGCCCGTAGGCAATCACTCCGGTTTCGCAGCTGACCGCTCCTTCTCGGCCCGGCTCCCCGTCCTGCTTCCCGACTTCTTGTCCTGCTCCAAGAATTGCTCGAGTAGCTGGTGTGCTCGTTGCGCCACTTTCGTGTCAACACTGAGCGAGTGCTCCTTGGCCCGCTTCGGGCCCGGCGAGGCCACCCGGTCGTCCGCCTGAATGCCATGTCCCCTGGTCGTCCCGGCTGACTCTGCTACCTGCCTGTCCGACTTGATTGAGTGCTGTCTTGCCGGAAAGAGACCTGGAGTCTTGACTCGCTCGTCGGCGTGCAGGTCGTGGTCCTCATAGTCTGGGCTCGGCGACAACACTCGGCGGTCCTGGAATATGTCGTGCTCCAGGTTGGTCCGAAGAAGCTCAGGGGTTGGGACTCGCTCGTCCAAGCGGATTCCGTGAGTAAAAGGCCTCCTGGAGACAGGCGTGGCGACCCGTGAGTCCTTGGAGATGCTGTGCTCACGCGCCGGAAGTGCTCTGGGCGTAGGGGCTCGAGAGTCTGATTCAATGTCATGCGGCTCAAACGGCGAGATTGTCACTGCTACTAGCTCATCGTCTGGGAGGTCATGGGTCTGAGCCTCTGGCTCCGATTCATTCTTGTCGCTGACTACCTCGTCCGAGCCGATATCGTGCTCGCGGAAAGGCGTAGCATCAACGGCTACGCGATTGTCCTTGCTGATGCTGTGCTCGCGGTCCGATAGCGAGGGCGGGCCAACTCGCTCGTCATCAGACAGGTCGTGTTCTGGACTCGGTATGGCCTCCGGCGTTGGCACGCGAACATCGACCTGTATGCTATGCTGCCGCTGCGCCTCGGTAGGACTTGGCACCACAATGTCGACTGTGATCTCATGTGGGCGGCCTGGCTTAGACCCGGCTATCCGGACTCTGGGGTGGTCGCCAGGCGTGATGATGATCTCAGGCATGTCTCTATTTGTCTGAACTGGAGCCTCTTTTTCCGGCGCTGCTGGCGTATCTGTCTTGTCTTTGCACTCAGGATACCTGACTGCTGCACTCGGCTTGCTCGGCGAGCCATCTTTATGGCCCTTCTTCTTGCCGTGCTTCTTCGGGGGCTTGTGACTTGGCCCGGGACACGGAGGAACGAGAGCCGGCGGGTTACCAGGCCCCGGCACCAGAGCTGCCTTCTCAACAGTAGGCTTGTCCTTGGGGCTTGGACTCATGGACTGAAGCCAGTTATGGACCTGCGGGTAGTTGGGGATATTCTCTCTCTGGTGCTGGACGCGCGGGTCTTCGATGCTGTCTCTCTCGCTGATTGGAGTCAATAAATGGGACCTGCGATCTTGACCCTCGTGAGAGTGGAGAGGGCTCGCAATTTGCGGTATAGGTGGCAGCTGGTTCAGTCCGGTTGGATACAGCGGGACCATTTGCGGCCCCCGCTCCTGCAGAGGCGGGTGGAAGTGCACCTCGCGATTCTGCTGGCCATTAGAAGTCATCTGGGGCTCCGGTCGGTAAGCTTCTGAGTTGGCCATTGCGAACAGCGGGCGGTAGTCATTCTCGCCCAGGGGCAGTGGTGGCCCAAAGCCCCCCGACATCTGGAGGCCGCGGTTCTCCGTTTCGCGTCGGCGGACCTCGAGCTCGTTCCGGATCAAGGAACACGGCTGGCAGAAGATGCCCTTGGCTACGTCGTCACTATGACCGCCCTCGATGCTATAAGTCTGCCGAACTCGTTTGGTCTGCGTGGCTGTGTAAATGCCGCTGCCAATGTCTTGAGCAGCCATTAGCCGAGTGCTATTTTGGCCCAGCCAGCAGCGAGAAGCGGGCGTACATACACAGAGTACCGACACACAAGCAGAAATAGATCCAGCAGGGGCCGTTGCACCCCTTGTAGTGCGTGAGGTCCAAGCCGTCTTCATGGAGATCGACTCGGTCCAGTCGGTAACGCGTCCGGCCAAACTGGTCGCACCCAATGAAACAGGATCTTGGGCAGTCGCCATCGTCGCCCGTGTCACAGAGACGGGTTTTCCAGTCCTGGCCTTGAGAGTTCTGGGCCATTGCGTGTGACGAGATCAAGCCCTACGGCAGGCCGGAGAGGATAGAGCTGATAATAATGCCGACTCGAGGGGTAGGGCTGTGTTGCAAAACGGAGGAAGAGGTTGAGACCTAGAGCAAGAACTTTAAGCACACCCGACGTCTTTTACGCGAGTTCCGAGTATTGGTCTACAGAGAGAGGGTCGGTCCTTCCTCCCGTATGCTTGCTCCTGAACCGACGCTTGCCAGACATGGAAAGAGAAGACATTGGCCAGAGTGTTTTGCCTTGGACTCCCTTGATTTAGTAAGTACCTTAGTAAACTATGGTAGAGACTGGCGGTTCGTTCTTTCCGCGCTTTCCGTTTGTATGCCAAGATCGACACTCTCCTTCCACCAGAAGTGAGGCTTTTATATTTGCATGTTTACCTTGAGTGGCGTTCCAGAAAACCCCAGAGCAATTTCCGGCCACCGCACTTACATTCGTAACCCCGAGTCGCCTCGCTTGCTTAATTAAGCACCCGAACTATCATATCTTACACATGGCAGCATTGCTTGCTCTCGTGCTCCAATTTCATTTTTCGGTCGAGCCAACCCTTATGGAGAAGGGCTTGTCGGTGAGCTTGTCGGCTTGCTGTGCGTGAACTGGGTTAATCAGAGACGCAGGGCCATGACAACACAACACTCACGTTATCAGTTGATTTGTCTATCTCCTTAGACTCGCTACCGTCAGAGCTGTGAGATGGGGGTGCCCTATCACCGCTTGCTTTTGCTCAAATTATCGGACTCCTTTGGCTTCTCTTCCTCGCTGGGGTTCGCCTTGGAAGACTCTTTTTCGGAGCTCTCCTTTGCTGGCTTAGAATCATCCGAGCCCTTTCTGATTCGGCCTTGGTTTCTTTGTGTCCCTTGCCGTGGCTGGCATGGGTGGCATGGCTGTTCTTCTTGGAGCCGCTGGTCCAGAGGTAAATAGCGGCCGGGATACCAATTCCTAGAGAGATAATAAACCTATGTGGTTCGATGGCCCAGTTAACATAGTTCACCGCCATGGCCGTGCCAAGTGGTTCTATGCCAGAAAGTCGTACGCATGGATATGTGCCCAAGGCAATCAACGAGCAAAAATCACACTCACCATGGCATGTCGCTCGACTTGGCAGCCTTACCCTGGGCACTGGCGTAGCCCATCCGACCAAGAGGCCGAATCAATTGGCTCTGGACAGGCCGACGACAAGCTGTCTGGAAGCTCGAGCGCAACGCCAGAGCTCTTGAAGTAGCTGCTGACATGCTGATCCAAGTATACGGATACCTTATGATCTAGCGGCCACGTCTGGTCTCTTGGCGAGTGAGAGCAGTGTGAAATGAGCCAACTCAAACCCTAATGCGGGAAACTTACATTTTTCCCGCTGCAATCGCAAGCAGTTGCGAGGACAAGGGACTACGTTGGAGACAGGCTAAAACAGTGGGTAAGGCAGATTTGAGGACTAACTAAGATCCCAGAGCAGGAGCTCCAAGCAGACAGGTGGCCGTGGTTAAAAGCACTACCTGTCGTCGGCTTTCAATCGTTGTTGAGTTACTTCATTTAAAAAATAGAATGGAACTAGTTGAGGCATAGTATAAGAATAAATAGTGTTTAGATATGGGCTGTGGTACGGATACTGACGTATATGACCCGCTCCTATTAAACTCCGACTTCCGTCTTCGTATTATTCGTATTATTGTAGCGTGGCCCTACGAAGGCCTCTGTTACCAATACGTAGGAAAGGTGGTACCTAGGTAGGTAGCAAGGTCTTCTGACCCCAATCAATCAACCGAATATCTTTGTAAGCACTCCGCAGAAGCTCAGGTCCCTCGATGGTGTAGACTATTCTAGACCTCTAGAGGCTCAAAGGCGAGGTTAACATCCAACGCAATATCCAGTAGATCGTGAACCTATTTGGGAACGTTAAGGCATTTCATTCTTTAAACGTGCATTAGGAAGACCCCGGACCTCCTGCAGGCAGCAAGTGGAACCATGCGCCATGTATAACCCCGCGCCCGCGCCCAGTTGGTCATCCACACCTACCCCACCATCCCGCCCGCTGCTGCCTTTTAGAAATCATACCCACAACCGCCTCACAGACCACCTAAGCCTTCCTCTGCCCAACTATCTTACCCAGAACCAGCATCGGCTACGGCACAAGTAGTTGCGGGATTTCTATACGCAACGAATGTTTTGGAACTCCGGCGGATTGGATTTGCTATATCTGGTCTTGCCGCGCCCGAGCGAACACGTTCTGTGATCATCGTGGTCGTCGTAGATGTGAGATCGATCCCCCGGCTTCCGTTTCCGTAGAAATCAGCGCCCAGACTGATACTCGTCAACTGTGTCAACCTTTGATCTTACTGACTTCGTTAACTCTCCTAGCTCGCCACTGCACCAATACCTAGCCTCCGCTTCTAGGTCCCGACAACGAGCCACCATGGCGACAACACTCCCGACCAACCCGAACCCGCAGACGGTCAATCAGCTCCTGCAAAAAATCAGCGATCCCGATCCCGATTTTCGGTTCATGGCCCTCAATGACCTATTCACCATCTTCTCCATAGCCAAGAACGATTTTCTCCACCACGACTTTAACACGGCTTCGCGGACTGTTGATAATATTGTCAAGGCGTTGGACGACACTAATGGCGAGGTCCAGAACCAGGCCATCAAATGGTAGGAGCCCGCTGCCCCTCTGTCTCCCATGGCAACTCTTCACATAGCTAACGGGCTATATACAGTCTCGGTCCGCTCGTTAGAAAGATTCCTCTCCCGCTAGTTGTCCCGATGATGGAGAAATTGGTAAGTATGAGGCTGAAACTCTCGGTTGACCACTCTGTTCCCGCAATGGCCATGCGAACGACGGTCGAAGCTCTCCCGCGCCCCATTCCAGGAGTAGCGACCCCGAAAGATGTGGCCGAGGCATATACGAGTATCAGCCGTGTACTACTGCCTCGTTTCTTGGGCAAACTCGCCCCCGGCGGCAGGGCAGTCCCGGGAATTCTTTATGAACCGGAGGTGGCTTCGGACACGGTCGACGTGGTCATCGAAATCGTGAGATGCTTTGGGCCCATGCTACACCCCGCTGAAGTCGAGGGATTGCACAACGCTGTTGTCTCGGTGCTCGAGCAGGATAAGGGAAATTCGGTGGTGAAGAAGCGGGCGGTCGTCGCAGTGTCGATGCTCGCACACTACCTCACAGATGACCTCTTATCGGCCTTTATCAGACGGGCTGTTGGCGTCTTTAGCCACCCGCAGGTCTCAGTAATGACTCGGCGTCTCTACATAACCATCCTAGGTTCGATGGCCCGGTCGATCCCGTACCGTTTTGGGCGACATCTTCCAGAGCTGGCCCATTTTGTTCTCAAGCCACTAAGTGACGACGAGCTACAGGCGCAGGTCGAAGAGATAAGCGAGGGCGGTGAGGCTGCCCTAGAGTTTAGCGAAGTCCGCGAGGCTGCGTTGGTGACGTTGGAAGCATTCCTGTCCGCATGCCCAATACAGATGCGGCCGTATACGGATATATCTCTCGAGGCTTGTCTTCGATATCTCAAGTTTGACCCAAACTACGCCGTGAACGAGGACGATGACATGGATATCGAAGAAGACGACGAAGAACTCGAAGAGGACGACGAGTTTGAGGCCGACGGCGGCTTCGATGACGATGACGATGCCAGTTGGAAGGTCAGACGCTGCGCGGCGAAAGCTCTCTACACCATCATTTCGACTCGGGGCAGTGGCGATCTCTTGGACAGCGGTGTTTTGTACTCCAAAGTGGCCCCAGCTCTGGTAAAGAGATTCGACGAACGCGAGGAGAACGTGCGTCTGGAGGTTTTGTCTGCCTTGGCCCTTCTTGTCCGGAAGACTGGCGAGGGCATCATTCCCGAGTTCTCTATTGACAATGCCCAAAGTGACTACTTGAACCAGCTCCCCCCGAGCCGTAAACGTAGGCGCCAAAGCAGCGGCGGCGGCGCATCTTCATTTGCCATCACCATCGCCGCATCGGATCTATCCGGAACAGGCCTCACCTCGCCGACTCTGGAGAAGATTCCCGCCGCAGGCCCACGTGCCGACCTCGCAGGTCTTACCCCTGTTATTGTCAAGTCGGCTACCAAGCTACTCAAAGGAAAGCTGATTCCCACCAAACAAGCCACGATCAACCTTTTGGACGACATGGTATCTGTCCAGAGAGGCGGCCTTGGGCCTTATTTCGAGCAGATCACAATCCCAGTAATCGACGCGATCAAGCCGTCAAGTGCTTCTTCTACCTCGGCGTCTCTCTCAGTTGGTGGAGGCAGCGCTTCGGCGACAGCCAGCACTCTAAGAATTGCCGCTCTCCGGCTAACTAGCAATATCGTCAAGAACCATTCCTCGGCTGTGCTTGAGCCTTATCTCTCCAGGATTGTCGCTGGGGTCGTTGCTGTGGTCCATGACCGCTTCTTCAAGATCTCGGCGGAGGCCATTCAAACAGCTGAGGAAGTGGTCAAGGCCATCACCCCTCCACGCTCCCGCCTGACTGGACAAAAATTCAAGGGGGAGCTTCAGAAACTGTATGATGTGATCGTCAGCCGAACCATTGCAAACGATGCCGACGTCGAGGTGAGACAGAAGGCGATCCATGCTTTAGGTACGCTCCTAGCCCGTACGGCAGGGAGTGAAGGTGCAGGGCTGCTCTCAGATGAGAAACGAAAGGCTGCTCTTGGATATTTACTTGATCGGCTTCGCAACGAGACGACCAGGCTGGCCTCGGCGCGAGCAGTTGATACCATCGCCGCATTGTCTACAGCGGGCGTTCAGTTCGACCCGCAATGGATACGTCAAGTTACCGTTGAACTTGCAGCCCAATTGAGGAAATCGAATCGCGCTTTGAGGGGCTCGAGCATTATGGCGCTAAAGCATCTTATCCTGTCGCCTGCCACAAGAGGCACATTAGACGACGAAACGATACAAGTCATTGGAACTTCTATTAACGCCGTCATTGCTAACAATGATGCCCAGCTCCTTGGCCCGGGTCTTCTTGTTCTCGCGCATCTTGTCCTCGAGAAACCCGCGGTTGTTGTGACTCCACAGCTGATTCGATCGCTCTGCGGCCTTCTCCAGTCAACTGTCGCGGGTTCTGTTCTTGATTCGTTGCTCGTATTGATGACCAACGTTGGCCAGAATGGGCAGGGCGAGGCGATGATGACAGGCCTCTTGCAGGATGTTGGTGTTAGCGGTGAACCTTCGGTCGTCGGCCGGGTGATTGGAACTCTTCTCGTTGCCAACGGCAGCTCGGCCGGGGTTACTATGGATAACTTCGTCGAAGAGATCAGGGCCAATGGTTCGGACCAGATCCGGGCAAGCCTTGCGCTCGCTGTTTTGGGAGAGGCAGGATTGCGACTTGGTTCGAAATTCCCGCTGCCGCCCACCTTATTCTTGGAGCAGTTCACAAACGAATACGACAAGGTATCGTTATCTGCTGCCGCTGCACTTGGACGAGCGGGAGCAGGCAATGTTTCCGTGTATGTTCCCGCCATCCTTCAGGCGATGCAGAAGAAAGGAAGCACCCAATACCTGCTCCTCCAGTCGATCAAGGAGGTCCTCCAGCAGGCCGCACATTTTTCCATCGACATCAGCCAGTTCTCAGCGGCGATATGGGACCAGATTCTCGCCGCTGCTGGAGCCGAGGACAACAAGGCCGTATGCGCCGAATGCGTGGGCCGTTTGGCCATCATTGACCCCAAGACCTATGTGCCAAAACTCGAGGTGAGTGATACTACCAAACCGTTTGCGCAAACGACTTCTTGTTGCTGATTACTGACAACGCTGTAGTCTCTCCTCCGGAACAAGTCACTTGTCCTGAGGGCCATCGCTGTTCAGGCCCTTCGCTACACTCTTCCGGACGAGAACGAGGCATTCGATGCGGTTCTAAAGGGTATTTTGGTTGATATGCTCAAGACCATCCTCGAGGACCCTGAGATGGAGATTCGCCGCCACGCCATGTCGACACTAAATTCTGCATCGCACAACAAGCCAGAGCTAATCCTGGGACATCTCAGCCAGCTGATGCCTTATGTCATGAATGAGACGGTCATAAAGCCGGAGCTTATTCATGAGGTTCAGATGGGCCCATTCAAACATATTATCGACGATGGCTTGGAAGTCCGAAAGGTATGTTCACGGGTATAAACATTTTCATGTGCGCCCATTCTGATGACTTATTCTCTATTGAATCTAGGCTGCCTACGAAACCCTCTACGCACTCATGGAGACGGCCTTTTCACGGATTAGCACAATCGATCTCTACGATCGTATCGTGGCTGGTCTTTCGGACGAAAACGACATCCGTGCTCTCTGCAATTTCATGGTGTCGAAGCTGGTTTATATTGACCCTGACGAGACCAGTCGCCGTCTTGACTCAATTGCCGTTGCGTTTAGGATGACGCTTTCACAAAAGTTGAAAGATACGGCAGTAAAGCAAGAGATTGAGAAGCAGGAGGAGGGAAACAAAGCCGTGTTGCGTGTTACACTTCTTCTCGGCGAGAAGTTGAAGTCTGCGCTGAATAGCGGTGGCAGGGCCAAGAGTGGCGCCGCCAGCGGTTCGAACCAGGTTTGGACAGTCTACTGGGAATGGGTGAACAAAGACTTCTCCACACAGATCAAGAACTTGCACGAGGAGACTAAGGAAACGGGACCTGCCTAGTGGGCCCTGGATTCTGTGGACAGTCTGAAGTTGATCTCGCTTGGTATCTAACTAGCGATGGGGGTCTAGGGAACTTGAAACCCAGGTCTAATTAGACGTCGAGTAGAGAGTTTTATGCGGGGGGCAAACGGTACAGGCCTTATAAGTCGCGCTACAGCAAACACTGAGATATTTATAGACCACATGGTTTGGTGAAGATGGCTTTTGAGCATTCAGTGTACTAGGTGGTGACATATTCCGTATTCGCGGCTCATCCAGCGACGACAAATGAATAGCGGATGAATTGTGTTAGGCGTATTCTTTATGTGTCACTTTTATAAAGAGTAACGCTGGTAGATACCAGATACCTACTACCTTGCCTAACATGATATGCCTGAGAGTCGATGGAATAATTCGTGATTTATGTAGGTACAGTACTGTAATACTCGGTACTGTGCCCCCACACCAACCCCCTGCTTTGGTTCCCCGGGGCCTGAATGTCAAGCCACAGTGGGGTTGTGCCGCAATCGCAATCAACTTCAAGTTCCCATCCAGTTCCAGCCATTCGACTCAGCCTGGCGCGCCATCTCCAGCAGAGCCAAAACTTGGAATAGGCTCGAGGCTTAGCAGCTGGCTACAAACGCACATCTTGCGACAATGTCACACGTACCAACGGGCAAGCCGACGGGGAAAGAGCCGGCCGGGCTCCGGTACCCAACGAACGGCAAGACCATCTACCACCGGCCGCTCAATCGCAGCAAGACGGCCGAGCTCAGCCAGTCGAGCTTTGCATACCTCTTCTCTGAGATGGTCACGTATGCGCAGAGGAGGGTGACGGGAATCCAGGAGCTAGAGAAGCGGTGCGTCGTGTCTTATTGCTCTGCCCCTCTCGTCCCAGCTTACAGCGCATGGAATTGACAGTCAACCTCCCCCCTCCAGACTCAACAACCAAGGCCACCCCATCGGGCTCAAGCTGCTGGACCTGCTGCTCATCCGCGAGCCGGCGCGGTCGCAGACGCGGCCGCTCAACATCATCTCGCTACTGCAGTTCATCAAGATGAGCCTGTGGCAGCACCTGTTCGGGCGGCAGGCCGACCGGCTCGAGAAGAGCTCCAACCCCGACACCCCCGACGAGTACATGATCATCGACAACGAGCCGCTCGTCAACGCCTACATCAGCGTGCCGCGCGAGATGAGCCAACTCAACTGCGCCGCCTACGTCGCCGGTATTGTCGAGGGTGTCTGCGACGGCGCCGCCTTCCCCGCCCGCGTCACCGCACACAGTGTTGGCGGCAACGAGGATGGCGAGATGTGGCCCGGAAAGACCGTCTTTTTGCTCAAGTTCCAGCCAGAGGTCCTCGAGCGCGAGGCCCTTATTGCGAGCAAGGTGTGATGACGGGCCGTGGTTAATATAAGGCATGGCGTATGCGCGGGAGGGGCTCGGCTCCGCGACGGCGAAGAAAATCTTGGGTTTCCGGGGCATTTCAAGTATGGCGTTGAGGAGTTGGGCGATAGGGAGTCACCGGGTGTCATGATCTCGGTTTTTTCTTCCCCACTTCGGAACAAGGGTTCACAATGGGTTTGATGTTACTGTTTAGTGCGGGTGGCTGACCAGGAGTTGGCAAACTGTGCTCGGTATGGTTGACTGAAGAGGAAGGCATTTTTTTTTCTCTACCTTCATAGACACACCAAAACAAAAGCCGGATGAGAATGAAGAACGACGCCATAGTGATATGATGTTCCCATGTGAAGCTTCTTTCTCCTTCCGTCGCGGGTCTATCTAGACCAGCCCAGATGCCGCCTTCGCCAGACTCCAAAAAATTCTCGCTAACCCATTCTCATTTCAAAACCAACCCAAATAAAAAGCAATTGGCGTCCAATTCACACGCCAGGAAGCGGATCAAATTTCGCCCTCACCTGGGCATCCCCTTGTAGTCGCGCCCGGCCCTCCCGCGGCGGGACTGGGTTCCGGACCGGCGAGTACCAGTACCAGTACCACTCCCTCCGGCACCGCCACCAGCACTGGCAACAGTACCGCTCGACGACGGGCCCTGGCGCATCAGCTCGGCGAGCCCCAGGTCGCGCCACGCGGGCTCGCGGCTCTTTTGCGTGGCCTTCTGGATCCCAAACGCCGCGTGCTGGTCCGGCACCACGTCGTCCTCGTCCTCGGGGTTGATGGGCTGTAGGTGCGCCGCTACGTAGATGTCGTCGGCCGGCAGCTTGTCCTTGCAGAAGTCCTCGAACAGGTCCGCATCGCGCGCCTGCTGCATGTGCACGAACGTGTATGTGGCGTCTTTGTTCTTTTTTTGTTTTGTTGTTGTTAGTGTTGAAGGTTTCCCCATTTGAAGGTTTGAGGGTTTTAGGGGTGGGGGTTGTGATCATGGAGGCAGGGCAAATGGTTGTTTTGAAGTTTAGGTAGGGACGTAAGTATAGGGACAGAGGGATTGGGAGCTGGGAGAGTCGAGGGGAATTGGGATTCTAAGTGTGGATTAACTGACCATGATGGCGATACGTGTTTTTGTTTGGAACTTTTGAGATTTTGTTACGCCGCCGCTGATCTGTTTTATTGATTCGGGGTTGTCGGGCGAAAGAAGACGCGATTCGCACTGGTAGGCGGAGCTACTTCTAGGCGTAAAGTGGGGGAGAGGGGCGCGGTCCGGGGTACAGGACCCGGGCCCGGGACCTATGCATCCATCGTCCTTTCCAGCCATAAGGCTGCTCAAGTTAATTACCTTCTTCTCTTTGCAGATCAACGTGAATCCACAAGCAGCAGGAGCGAGGGGGCAGTCTGGTGATTTTAACTTTATGTTTTAATTCAGAAATCCCCAAAGTTCTAGGCTTTTTATTGCCAAATCAAATCCAAAATACGTTACTCAACCGACTTGACCTAGTATGCATCTGGCTGTGATGAATTGGTGATTGGGCCGCAAGGATCTCAGGTGGGATTGTCTTGGGCTCCGGCTCGACCAACAATCCAACCTTAGTTACGGATACATACATACATTAACCTATCGAGTGCTAGCAGCGCCGTAGGGTAGCTGGGAGGCATAGGCACATACACATCAACCCTCCCTCCCATCCCCCTCTCCCGAGTCCTCCTTCAGCCCTCCCCCTACCTAGGTTCTCCTCGCCTCTTCCTCCCTGCCTGAAAGACTTACAGTGTCCCGACGGGACGACAGTAATATCAGGGGCGTTTCCAAAAGAGGCCAGCTCTTTCAGAGAATATCAATAACCCAGCCCTGATAAGAGAGGAAAGGCTAGTGTCATGGGTGCCTCTCCTCTAAAACCCGGGGCGCCAGGGACTCAGGAGACCCAAGACCTTCTTCAAGGCCAAAGGCCAATAGACCGCGATGATTTTGAGGTCGCCATCATCTGTGCCCTGCCCCTAGAGGCCAGGACCGTCGCCGCCCTGTTCGAAAAAGAGTACGATGCCATGATCTACGGCAAGGCCATAGGTGACCCAAACACTTACTCGTTCGGACTGATCGGCCCTCACAACGTCGTGCTCGTCCATATGCCCACCATGGGCAAGGTTGCTGCCGCCACTGCCGCATCCAACCTGCACGCCAGCTTCCAGAGGATCAAGCTCGCCATGATGGTCGGCATATGTGCCGGTGCCCCCTTTGGGCCCACGCGCGGGAAGGAGGTTCTTCTTGGCGATGTTGTTATTAGTGAGGGCCTCGTCCAGTACGACTTTGGACGACGGTTCCCAAACAACAAGTTTGTGCGCAAGGACACTCCCCGCGGCACTCTCCCAAGCCCCAACTCGGAACTGCTCGCCGTCCTGGCCAAGCTGCAGGCCGAGGAGGAAAGCGAGTTGCAGACTACCATCGCGGCCGCGCTGGACATCGTGCAGCGGGCGCCTGACTTGTCTGCCGCATATCCTGGCCGTATTCACGACAGGCTTTTCGAGTCAGCTTATTTCCATAAGCACCGCAACCTCGAGGACTGCGCAACATGTGGTAGTGGTAAAGAGGAGGACATGTGCTTCCAGTCCTTCGAGATGAGCTGCGACACCCTCGGATGCGACGAGCGAGAGCTGGTGTCCCGCGCACACTCGATCGAGGACCGCCTCCCAGTCGTCCACTTCGGCCTCGTTGCCTCTGGCGATACTGTCATGAGGTCCGGCCTGGACCGGGACGAGATCGCGACTCGAGACGGCGTCATCGCCTTTGAGATGGAGGGCGTAGGCATGTGGGAGGCGTTCCCTGGCTCTTGTTTGGTAATAAAGAGCGTCTGTGACTATGCCGATAGCCACAAGAACAAGAAATGGCAGGGCTACGCAGCAGCAACAGCAGCAGCCGCTGCGAAAATGGTCTTAGCCCACTTTCAACCAGCGACACCGCTCTTGAGGACTTGGCCGTCCCCGGACGCGACCTGGACAGCAACCGACATCGGCATATTGAATAGACTCAAAAAGACACCATACCAAGAGCACAAAGACCGAAACCCAGATCGCATACCGGGCACTTGCGAGTGGTTCATCGAACACAAGCTCTTCCGGGGCTGGCTAGAGACCAGGTCAGAGGCTCTTTGGGTGTCGGCAGACCCTGGATGTGGAAAGTCGGTTCTCGCAAAGCACCTGGTCGATTCTGCCCTCCCGAGTAACAACCACAGAACAACGTGCTACTTCTTCTTCAAGGACGACTCAGATGAGCAACGCAGCATTGTGACGGCTCTCTGTTGTATCCTATATCAGTTGTTTCTGCAGAAGCGCAAGTTGTTCACAAAGACGGTCCTTGTTCAGCTAGGAGCTGAAAGGGAAACGCTTACCAGCTCGTTTAGCGAACTGTGGAGCGTTCTCCTGAGAGCAGCAGAAGACGACAATTCCGGCGAGATCGTTTGTGTTCTTGATGCAATCGATGAATGCGATGCGTCTGGAAGCTCCCTGCTCACTCAAGCATTGTCTAGGTTATACCGCAATAGCAGCAACAGAAAGCCTAAACTAAAATTTTTCATTACCAGTCGGCCCACTACTACAATTCGACGAGGACTACTCGAAGATATACCAGAACTTCCTGTCGTTCATTTGAGCGGCGAGAGCGAAGATGAGATGGAAAAGATAGCAAAGGAAATCGACATCTTCGTCGAGACCAGGGTGCGCACTCTCAGTGCCCATCTGATGCTTAGCCAGGACGAGCAGGAGCTGCTGCTTCGCGAGCTTCTGCGTGTTCCAAACAGAACATATCTATATGTTCACTTGACCCTTAACCTCATTGAGCACGAAGAAGACATTGACGAAGATGGGATACTCAAGGCCACTTCTCAACTGCCAAAGACAGTGGACGACGCCTATGACAGGATCCTGTCTCATAGCCGCAATCCTGACCAGGCCAGGAAAATCCTGCATATAGTTGTGGCGGCAGTAAGGCCTTTGACGCTATCGGAAATGGGGTTTGCGCTTGCACTTCATGAGAGTCATCGGTCCTATGGCGAGCTCAACGTCAAGTCTGAAGGGAGACTCCGGGAGAGCATCCGAGACACTTGCGGGCTCTTTGTCACCATCATCAACTCGAGGATATACTTGCTTCACCAGACCGCCAAGGAGTATTTGGTTCAGCACGACCTGGAAGAGGCGATAAGCGACGTTGATGGGGATGTTCAGTGGAAGCACTCGCTCCAGCCACAGGATTCACACCGCATTCTCGCCGAGATATGTACTTGGAATTTGCTCTTTGACGAGTTTGAGACGGACCCTCTTACCGACACTCCCGAGTTTAGCGGCTATGAGGCGTCCCGGTTTTTGGGCTACCTCGTGCCCGAATACCTGGGTAAACACGTCTTCCTTGGCTACTCGGCTACTCAATGGGCAACTCACATGCGCGAGTCGCCAGCCGAGTTTGCAAGTTCGGCAGCACAGTCCATCGTGGGCATCTGCGACACTGGGTCGTCCCGTTTCTCGACCTGGTTTCAAATATATTGGGTCTTGACAAATCCAACAAGGATTTGCCCGAGATTCTCAAATCTTATGGCGGTATCCTACTTTGGACTTGCGACAGCAGTAAAGTCTTCGCTCAAGACAGGTGACTCCAAATTGATGAACCGCAAAGACCGCGATTACGGCCGGACTGCACTATCATGGGCCGCGGGAAATGGCCACGAATCGGCCATACAACTCTTTGCCAAGAACGAGCGCAAGGGGATGGGAGGCCTCGTCAAGTCTTGGAAACGACTCAAGGTCGGGCTGGGAGGACAGTCTCACGCTGCACTCGAGGTCGACTTGGCAGATGTCGACGCTCGAACGCCCCTAACCTATGCTATCTGGAGCGGGAATGAAGAGACCGTCAAGCTGCTGCTCAGCTTAGGAGCTCGAGCTACTGAAAAGGATAAGCTTGGGGCCACACCGGTGGACTACGCCGTTGCCATGCATCAAGTGACCCTCGCCGAATTAATGCTCGGGAACGAGGCTAAATCGGGTTCGACGGGCGAGTCCAACACCCTGTTGCTCTCTGCGCTGGAAAACGGTGATCAACATGTTGTTCGGCTTTTGCTGGAATCTGGTACCGACATTGACTCGAAAACGAGCAAGGGCCAAACACTGCTATCCTATGCCGCCGCGCTAGGTAAACTGGGAGTGGTTAGGCTTCTAATAAAGAACGGCGCCGACATCAACTTGGCAGATTGGGTTGGCCGTACCCCGTTGTCAATTGCCGCCGGGAGAGGTCGAGTGGCAGTTGTTGAAAGTCTACTCGAAAATGAGGCAGACATTGACTTGGCAGATGCGAATGGCCGTTCTCCATTGTTCTATGCCGCAAAGAACTTTCACTGTCTGCTGGTTGGCCTTGATGACGCCGACCTTGCTGTGGATTCTTCAGAGAACCCCAGCCTTAATGCTTTGAAGCTCGGCGATATCACAAGGGTCTTGCTCGAAAATGGGGCCAACATTAGCCTTGCTAGTTCGAATGGCCGCACCCCAATGTCGTTCTTCGCAAAGATTGGCTACTACGCCCTTGCCAATATCCTGGTTAATGTCGACCACATACTCGACGAAGAGGTTAATGGCGCGCCGCCGTATTGCACAAAAAGCGATTGCTCGACCTTTATGAAATTTTTGCTTGAGAACGATGTCGACTTCGCGTTGGGGGATCCGAGTAGCCATGGTAAACTGTTGCATGCTGCCGGAGATATTTTGCGCTTCATTACTGGGTCTTCACCGGAAGGTCATGCCGACATCAACCTCGAAGATCACAAAAGCTGTACAGCCCTGATCCGGGCTGTCGGCCAAGGCCACTACGGCCTCACCAAGCTCCTCCTCGACCACGGCGCCAACGTCAACCATATTAGGTCTAACGGCCGTGGGGCGGCCAACCCACTCCTGTTCGACGCTATAAGCAGCCTGTATTGGGACATTTTTGAACTCCTTCTCCAGGCTGGCGCCGACACCAACGCCGTAAACTGGATGGGCCAGACACCATTGTCAGTTGCCGCCCAGCTTGGCCACTTGGAGGCTGTCCGGCTTTTGCTCGCCACCGGTCCCGACGTCAACTTGGCAGACAGGGAGGGAATGAGCCCGCTATCGTATGCCGTCCGCAACGGCCATGTGGCGATTGCTAGACTTTTGCGCGAAAATAGGGCGGTTGGAGCTGGGGGCGATGAAGTTGAGGGCGGTGAGCTTGGCGACGAAGGCTTTGACGAAGAAATCTTGGGTGAGCAGTTCGAGGATAGTGAGGACGGTGACCATGGACCTAGACACGCCTAGTGCTGTTGGATAAGGTATGTGTGCTCTCTTGAAGCGTTAGTGTCATGGTACTTGCCATTTGCCTCTCTTGATCTTTTTCTTTCAGTGTTCCATGTTCATTTTTCTTCTCAACTTGAAAGTTTATCTTGTCTCAGTCATATACCATCACTGGAGTTGTATGGATGCTGCGAGCGAGTGCATGTTTGTTTGCTCAATATGTCGCCCTAACTACCAAACCCATGGCCCAAAACCGGAAAATTCTTTATAACTGGCTTCCTATCATACAGGATAAGAATAAAATGTTTTCTACTGGGTGTGCGCACTTAAGCGTATCGGTTTCGCTTGGATCGTCTCTAGAGACTTTTGTCGGGGCCAGCTCGCGCGCCTTGACGGGTTGGGGGGGGGGCCTAGCCGAGGCTGTTCTCGTACATGTCGGCTACGGTTAGCGGAGGAGAGGGAAGGAGGGTCAGCTTGGTTTGTAATGTGCACACCAGGACGGACACACACACACACACACACACACATATATATATATATATACAGGCACACACGCAGATGCACACTCACACACACGCACACTCACACACAGAAAGAGAGAGATACGGAAAGAGCGAGCTAGGTAAGAGAGGCACGAAGAGTGCTAGCCTAGCTAGCCCGGTAGCCCATCACACCACAAGAGCTAGAAAGTGGGTAGAGAAAAAGTTCAGAGATGCTCACCTAACTCTAAGTCACCATCCCGCTTCTCCTCCTTAGAGCCTTCGGCTCTCGTAGCTAGCGTCTTAGTGTTGCGGTGGCTCCGGCGCGAGCTGCCGCGCGGCGAGATAGCGCCCGAGAACAGCTCGACATGAACAAAGTCGTCCTGGTACCAGCCCCACTGGCCGACCGTAACGCATGTGTTCATGAGGTAGGGTAGCAGCTCACCCACCATCGTGTAGCCGGCGACGTCAACGGCCTTGTTATCGTAGTGGTTGTAGATATAGCCCGAGCAGCCGCCGTAGCGGTACACCTGGCTGGTCTGCGACGACCCGAGGTGGATGTTGCCGGTTACTGTATTGATATTTGTTGTTAGCTGCTGCGTTTCTTGGTCAAAGAGATCATTTCATGGGGGGGGGGGGGGGGGGGGGGTTGCTTACCGCCAATGTCGTTGAGGATCTGCTTGCAGTCGCCTTAGTTCGGGGGCGGCACGCCGTTGGGCACCGAGCACTGCCAGCCGCGCGGGACGAGGGTGGACGACGACGACGGCTCGACAACATCGGGGGACGATGAACCCTCGACAAAAATATCAGGGGCCGAGACGGAGTCAGAGCCCAGATGGTCGTCATAGCCCGCCGGTTCGATCGAGGCAATGACAGAGCTGTCGAGGAAGTAATAGCCGTACAGCCCGTTAACAACGCAGGGGTTGAACACGTAGGCGGTGAGGTCCCACGCCAGCGTCGCCTCCTTGACCTTGACGGTTCCGCCGGCTTGGTTGACGACATGCAGCTGGCAGCTTCCGGCCACGAACAACAGGCTCTTATGGGCAACCGAGAAGTATCCGGTTTTGCTATGCACTGCATCAACCATTGGTCAACCAGTTGCCAATCTAATCAAGGCAGGTAGGTCAAGAGGGTAGAGTTGAGAATGCTTACGGCTGACCAGGTCAATGACTTGGTGGCAGTCGACGGGAGAAGGCACGTCATTGTCGATCCAACCCGTGTCGAAGACGCTTTGCTGCTCACCCTGAACGCTGCTGCCGCTGATGATGGCCTGGCGCGTCGTGATCTTCTTGTCGGCCGTGTTGCAGGCGAACGCCAGGCAGCCGTTCTGCTTCTTCATCACGCACGACTTGCCGTCGAGCACCGTCGTGTTGTCCGCGATGGCCGGCAGGCTGCTCAGCTGCTGCGCGGCGGCTTGGCAGTCGTCAGGCACGATCTTAGGAAGTCTTGTCAGTAACTACTACGAGTTATAGAAGAGGGTCAACTCACGGAATAGTTGGACGACGGCGGCTGGCACACGGGCTCGGGGAGCAGAGTGCTGGTCGAGTTGCCGTTGAAAACGGGCAGGCTACTGAGGACTCCCTGCAGCAGGGGCAGGGAGCCTAGCAGAAGGAGTGCTGGGAGCATGGCTTGATTCTGTCGCAAATCAATGCCAGTGGTTGACGACGATATCTAAAGTTGATACAGTATTAGAAGAGTGTTCACAAGAGAAGAGGTCCGGACCCAAACAGCAAATGTCTTGACTTGAGAGTTGCGGTTGCTTGGTGTTTGGTGTAAGAAACTGTTCTGGTCAGGAAGGAGGGGGAGCAGCCGGTTTTATGCTGTTCACGGCACTGGCCGGTGCTCGCCCTTGACTGCACACTGAACAATAAAACAATAGGAACCATCCATGTCGGCTGCCGCTGGCATAACCGCCACTTCGATCCGGACGAGTTGGTTTAGTAGAGCGTGATGTCTTGCTCGTGCGGGGAAACTGGCCTTGCTAACGGTATACATGGCTAATTAATTGTATGGTTGCTGGCGGCGCCTTTGGTCCTGGGAATCCCCTCCACCCTCCAACCCCCTTTGTTGGGACGATGGACCGAGTCCGGCTCGGCAGACTACCTTCAGCCTCGCTGTTCCACAGCAACCGCCCTGCAGCCCTTGCCACCACTCTGCAATCTTTGCCACTGCCCTGGACTAGCTAGCTCACAACCAGACCAGCTGCCGTACGGAACCGAGGTCTTCACTGAACAATCAGAGATGAGTCCAGCTGCTTGCAGCAGACTGCTGTCGCACGGATTGGCCACCTAAGGTACTCAGTTACTACGTTTTGGCCAGTAAAGCTGTTTATCAACTCTGTAATTGTTGACATGTAACCCCTGAGTAGCGCGTAGAGACTAATTGAATCAAAACAATTGCACCTTAACATGAGACTCAATTAACCAACACACAACAGAGTTATGGAACAAGTCTATTTGCAACTCCCCCATTACGACTCCTGACAGATTACGACCGCTGGTGACCATACAACGAGGACAGCCCCGCCCGGATCAGACGGACTGATTTGCGAACTGACGTCGAGTCCTTGGTGGCCATTTGAAAAAATCGCGAGATGAAAAAGGCTGTCTATCCTCTCGCACATGCACTTTCTTCGCAGTTTTTTTTTTGCGGCAAGTGCCTGGCTACAAACCACACAGTAGCTCACAGCAAGTCCCTTCACGCCTTTGCACCATTTACGTATTCGCGCCAGTCTCGCTCGTCTACGCCAACCACACCCAGCTCAGTTGACCACTACCCCGCCACAATGGCAGACACGTGGGACGACAACACGGACATGGACATGTACTACAGCGAAGAGGAGGACGAGGTCTTCGAGTTCTTCTCCCCGCCGAAGCTGGAGGGCATCGAGAGTTTTGCCGCGTGGCACAGCGCACTGCGCAACTACATGCGCAAGGACGGGCTGCTGAAGCACATCGACGGCAGCCCCGCGGAGCCCAAGGCGGGGCCGTGGCAGCCGATTGGACGCACGCCCGCCGACGACGAGGCCGAGGGCATCATCTCGCTCATAATCGACACCATCTCGCCCAAGTTCAACTACCTGCTGCGCCCGCGCTCAAGCAGTCGTACCCCACCGAGTGCGAGTTCTAGGAGCGCTCGGCCAACCAGCAGGCGCTCACCTAGAACGGCCTCGTCGAGCAGATAGCCCGCATGGCTACGGAGGAGGACGAGACGGAAGCCGACCTGGTCACTCAGATGACGAGCATGGACCTGGGTGGTGCCGGAGGAGGAGACGACAGCAGCGCCACTGAGGAGATCGACAGCAAAGAGACGGAAGAAGCCGACAACGACACCACTGAGGACATGGAAGCCGACCTGGTCGACAAGGTGGCGAGACTCGAGCTGGATGCAGGAGACGACAGCGAGTCAGACCCGGACATGGACATGGATATGGACATGGACATGGACATTGACGATTATTGAGCATTGGCGCCGACATCTATGGACGAGTAGCCCTATTTCCCCCGGGAGAACGAGTTTGGGCCACGATGCTAATATGACCATACGAGCAGTCTGCCACTACCCTGAGAATCACGGGAACAACAACCTCTGTAGGAATATGGTCTGCCTACATGTAAGCGCATATGAACCGCGTGTTGTCTGTGTAAATTATGGATAACTTTACCTGTCATTGATAGGCACAGGTCGGTCGTGGATGGAGGATAGGTATGGGACACGGAATTGAGGTATTTACTATGTAGGTATGAACTGAGGACCTAAAGTTAGAGTCAATAGACTTTTTCTTGTCATGCCATCTCTTGGATTATTATTAAATCCCTCAGCTCTACCGATCAAGTATGGGCTACGGGTCCGCCAGCCCGGGTCCGCCAGAACAGAGCAGAATGATGATTCGGTTAGCCGAAACAAACAAGAGAATTCAAACAGAGAGAAATAGCATTTTGCGGTAGCCGACACCAAGACGTGATATCATGTGACTAGGCCACTTGTGTGAACGTACTTATAATTAAACAACATCGTAATTCAAACGGTCCGGCCTCACAAAGAAGGCAAAACATAACCAAGTTCATTCCCGCATTCGTGAAGAGTCGAACAAACTAGCTAGGACACTCGAACTGGGAAGGTCTCGACTCCAATCTAAATAATTAGGAAGGTTACATCGCCTCCCGGGCAGCAGACAACAATTTCTGCTAATATATTAGTGGTGGTTGTATGCAGGCTAGATTGATTGCACGCGCGCATGCACGCATGCACGCATATACGCATATGCAGCAGGAAGACCAGGCAGGAAACAAGATGCAAGATCCGTCCCAGACGGTCGCACTGGCTGGCGGGGCTGTCTGTCTGTCTGTCTGCCTGCCTGCCTGCCTGTCTGTGTGACATCACACTTTCCACTTGCCGTGGCATACAAAAAGGATTCGAGCAGTAGCAAACTTCGAGGTACGCTCACGCACGCACGTAATAATACCCAGCAGCAGTGCAGTAGGACGCACAGCCATTGAGCGGCGGCCACGCATCTGTGTTCTGGGCGGGTAGCGTGGCATGTAGAAGGACTGACGGGAAGGTGTGTAACGCATCACGCGCTCCGCCATGACGGGAAGAAAAGTAAAAGAAAAAAAGAAGGAGAAAAAAAAGAAGCGAGAGAAAAGGATGGACACCATAGACAAGGAAATGCGAGCGACGAGACATTTTTAACTGATAAGGAAAAGGAGGGGGAAATTGGGGCGGGGGGGTGAAGCCCCAGGGTCACGTCACTCGACCATGGTGGTGACTGGTGATCGACTATGAAGAGGCGCCGGCACTTCTTTTTGTCTTCCTTTCGTAGGTTTTTCGGCATTGCCGTGCTCGGGCCCGAGCTTTGATGGAGCCGGTGGGGTTGGGACAACATTCCTGAATCCGACATGTCGCTCAGGGGCCGCGATAAGGTAGAGAAATCTTCTCGGGACTCGCCAGCGAACCCAAGAGACATCCGCGTAGATATGAGATGCTACAGTCCCATCCTCAAATGCTTGCTAGCGCGGGGGGGGGAGAGGTCTGCTGGTCGGTGGTAGGTGAGCGAGCGACTGCCCAGGTCAGATCGTCGGATCAAAAAAAAAGAATCTAGACTTTTGGCCTTTTGATCGAAACATTTGACAATGGACCACTCACCCCGCATCGCACCAGCCTGAAAGGGAAACTAGGGGAGTGCAGTCCCCGCTCTGCTGGCGCACGTCGCCGGGCCAGGTCATAATCAGATACCAAAAGCACGAGATGGAAAATGGTATCCGTAGGGGGGGAGGGCCAACGGCGAAGACGAAACAAATGCTAAAATTGTCGCTGAACCCCTATTTCGGCCAAACGACGGGGGGCGGCGACGGAAACTAGGCATAAATCGCGAAAACCTGCTTGGTCGGTGTTTATTACACGTCAATGCTATATGACGCCAGGCGATCCGTTTTTCATTTATCTTCCACACCTTTGGTTTGGTCGCGGGCGGGTGAGGCGCTGGTGGGGGGTTCCGATGTCCCGAAATTGCGGGACTTGAGGGCGTCGAATGCTTCTGGACTGGGCTTTTTCTCAAACATTTTGCGCGGACCAAGCCAAGCGACGATCATTGGACGGACGGCGTGCGGCCTCCAGTTGACGTGTTAAAGCGTCTTTTTGAATTGTCGGGCCTTCTTTCCTCGCTTGCCTCTTGACAACCTTGACCTTGCTGCCGCTAATAATAAGTTTTGCTTTGGCGGAGACATCACAGCGCGCTGGGTTGCTCTTGTGGGGTGAACGACATCTTGAAGAGTGGGGTACCCTGGGACTGGGAGCGGCGCAAGGTTTATGGACCTGCATAAGCGCTGCACAGCTCTCCGTGCAAATCAGATGCGCGTGGATGGCATGGCTGATTGAGGTGGATGCCATCCTTCGGCGGGAATACGGCGCGACCAGGCCATGAGGCTGGACGTAGCATTACTGTGCAAAGGCTCGGAAGCTGCCATTTTCGCAGTCATCTGGGTTGCCCAATATTTGGGAGACTTACGGATATCGTTGGAAGGCACCTTCCATGTTTGAGACGCTGAGGATACGGATAAAAGATAGGACATCCTGCTCCCTGTGCTCCCAGCCTGGCAACGTTTAGTTCTGTTCTCGCAGCAATTTCGTGGCTTGTGGCGTCGACAGTCTACGGCGCAGGAAAACCTAAGGTATGTACATGTACCTCGACTTACCATGTACAACTCGTGGCGTATACCGAGATGTGCCTCATAACATCAGGCCTTCTGACAGGTCTGGTCGATCATCATGCCACCAGCCAGCTTCACCAATGGCACGCCGTGATAACAATCCGGCTTACGTAGAACGGCCCGTCGCGGTCTGCTGTGTCCGTGTTTTGGCTGAGCTGGACCGAGTTGTCCGTGGTGCTCTGGGTCGCGACTTTGGCCTGAATCGCACCGACATGCTCCAGCTTCCATTGTCATTGCAGTGCTTTACTATGTAGGTGATCTCGGGCCTGGGCCTCTCCGCCTGCAGCGAGCTACTGCGTGGACGGAGTGGATGCGTTGAATCCCCAAGCAGGGAGGCCATGCAGAGGATGTCATGTCGGCCAATCAAGACGGGGCTGGGTAGCCGAAATGGGAAACAGGCCGCCAAGCAACCTTGAGCTTAACAGGGAGCTAAACCCCGGGCGCAGGTGCCAGCGAATGGGGTGTCCCTGTAAATGCCCCCGACTTTTACCAGATTGGCTGCAGCTCAGACCATCAACCTGGATCTAAGTGCGTAGCTGCCCCCCCCTAGCCAAAAAAAAATAGGGCCTTTCATTTCCCACCTCTCCTGGGCAATTACCTTGCTCCATACCGACCTTGACTTCTCTTCTTGGGCAAGACGCTCTCTTGCGCTGCAAGGTCGATTCCTTCAACTTCACCACAAGTCGAGTGGGCGACTTGACTTTCGCGACCTAGATTGAAGGGAGTCTGGGCCTGTGACTGTCTGCCGCTTCTCCCACAGACACATCCGCATTGTTACTCCTTTCGCTGTCAACGACGACTTGACGAAGCCCGCTCACTCCTGCTGGGAAGGGGTCACGGGCCTCTCTTGTCCACTGGTTTACGTCTTTCTTCCTCGTGGTTTCCGTGGGCCGACAAGCTGTCTTCGTTCGTACGATCGAGGCCGCTGCTGGTAAGTTTCTCTCTCCCGCCCCACCCCCTTGCATGTCGGGCTCTTGCCACAAATCCCGTCATCCCTTCCCGGTGGCCACCGACTTCGCTGCCTCGTGGCACTGTCTGTTACCTCTTGTGGTTCATGGCTGAGACCTTCTACTGCCTTCAGGAAGGTCCCGTGGTCTTGTGTCGACAAACCTACATCTCTCTCACTCCAGCCACGCTCCACCGCCAGCTCCAGAAGGCCTTCAACCGACGATATAATTACCAGTCGCAGACATTACACAACCCCGTCACCCAACTTGGATCCCCCCTCGTTCTCGCCTGGCCTGCACCATGGCTTCTTCCACGCCCCGCGAGACGGCCGGCAAGCAGGGCTTGTCAATCGAAACGACGGCAATTCACATGGTGGAGAAGCATCCGCAGGACCCATTCGCCTCAGACGGTCTCACGCCACTGGGAGAGAAGCATAGTGGCATCTCGCGGCCCTCGGACGTCTCGACGCCCACCAGCTCCCATAACCACGCGAACCCCTTCGACACAGACATCGAAGCCATCATCACCACCAGCGATCACAGCACCAGGAAGTCGGCAGAATGCACCAAGGGGGGCAGCGATTGCCAGGTGTGGCCCGGACAGGACCATTGGCGACGCAAAGCCAAGGCGGCCAAGATGAGCCGACACAACTGCAACTGCCTCGCGCATCTGAGCAAACGCAACCGTATCATGGTTAAGGTCCTGATCGGTCTGCTGATTGTCGGCATCGCGGTTGGGGTTGGGTTTGGAGTCAGCAAGCCTCTCGGCGCAGGGATTTGGCGCAGCGACAGTTAGAGCTGGGCGGGATCGCGTGCTATCGGTAGCAGTCCCCAGTTCGCCTTCTTTATCACACCGAAGCTGTCTAGTTCCGGCGCTGAGACACACGATTACAACACCACGTGGCCATCTTTTATCATGGAACAACCCTCGGAGCCAGCCTTCCATAACCTCGACATCAAGGAAAAGCCAAACCTCCACATTATGAAGCCGTCCAGGCCCCCAACTTGGCATTCCGACTGCCGATTTTTCTTGTGTATATTCTTTTTTTTGTTTTTGGCTCGGCTCATGGCCCCTTGCGGTCCCGGCGTTATCTTTCTCTAGCTTTCTTTTTAGACCAAACATGTGTCGGCGTTGGGAGTAATTTGAGGGAAGACAATGTCCTTGGGCTCGCTGAGATTGTCAACTGGTTTCTCCATGGAGGAGTTGTCTCCAAAGCCTCGGGCTATATCCTCGCCTTCGAGCAACGGCTCGACGGGTGGGGCGAAGGAGAGTGGCTTTTTGACTTTGGAATTAATCACACCATTGGGTGAAAACGGGAACGGCTCGGATTGACGGCAAACCTAAGCACATAGTGATATTGGGAAATGGCGAATCCAGGGATTCCTGCCGAGCTTGCACAGCGTTCATCAATTTTCGGGCCCACCTTGCTGTTCCCTGAATGTGAACCCGTGTTTCTCTGCCGGTGCGCGGCATGTCTCTGAGAGCCCACGCAATTTAAGTTCCGAATTACAGGAATGTCTCTTGGAAACATGTCGTGAGAACTGTAGCGGATTTCGTCACTACATAATCAAACATATCACCTGTCTCGGGTCAGCTTACCTTTTTAATTGCCTCGCTTCATATTTTCTCAGCTGAATTTAGCACTATGCCCTCAAAATCAATCAATTATGAGACAGTCACTCTGAGTCTCCGACAAAACATTGTGTTTTCAACACCACCGCTCAATGCATAAGAATCAGCAATTAGGTGCCTGCCACGGAGAAAACATCTCGGCTTTTTCCATGTTATCAATTGCCAAAATGCCATTCATTGTTCTTTGTAGTTACTACTAATTACTGGGCTTGGGGATGGGACATAATGGAGACACTCACTTGCCTGGGTCGCGTCAGCGTCGACTTGGACTTGGACTTGGTGGTTCGTCTCAGATGTCGAAGAGGTCCAAGAGACTCAACCTCTGCTTATGGACCGAGTGCTTGGAACCGGAGCGGTGCTTGTCGCTGCGCTTGTCGCTGCGCTTGTCGCTGTCTTCATCCTTGCCCTTGTCCTTGCGCCCGTCGCTGTTTTTGTCCTTTTCGCTGCGCTTGTCGCCGTGCTTGGATCCGGAGCGATGGCTGTCCTTGTCCTCCTCCCTGCGCTTCTCTCGGCGCTTCTCTCTCTCCCTGTCGCGCTCTTTGTCGTCCTTGCTGCGCTTCTCGTCGTCCTTCTTCTCCCTGCGTTTTTCATCGTGCTTGCCCCGATGCTTGTCACCGTGCCTGTCCCGGTGTCTATCGCCGTGTCTATCGCCGTGCCTGTCGCCGTGCCTGTCGTTGTGTCTGTCCCTGTGCCTGCCGCTGTGCCTGCTGCTTCTGCTTCTGCTTCTCTCAGATGGGCGGTCACGCTTGTCATCGCGTGTACGCTCTCGACCGCTGTCTGCCTTGTCCCGGTTTGATCTGCTCGACGGGGTTACGCTGACATTGTCAGTCTCCTTTGAGGCCGGCGGCTGGTCATCGGCATCGTAGCACTCTTCGACTGTTGGCGGGCGGTATGTGGGCGGGCGGTATGACGACGAGTATGTGGCTGGCTGCCTCTGTTGCTGCTGCTGTTGCGGTGACGGCGGCGGCTGCTGCTGTCGCTGTTGCCGTTCCTGTTCCTGCTGCTTTCGCTGCTGTCGCTGTTTCTGCTCCTGTTCTTGCTGCTTTCGCTGCACTCTCTGTTGATGATCCAGTTCCTGCTGCTGCCGCAGTTTTCGCTGCTGGTCTTCCTGTTCCTGCTGTTGTCGCTGCTGTCGTCGCTGTAGGCGACGCTGTTGCCATTCCTGGTCATCGGCATCACGGTAGTCTTGAGCTGTTGGCTGGCGGTTTGTCGACGAGTATGTGGCTGCGGGCGGCCGTGGCTGCGGCGGCGGCGGCCCCAGGATCTCGTTTATCCTGGTCGAGATGGTTTCAGCGGTAGTATTGTTAGCCTCGATGTCTCTTGGCTGATTCCGGCGCTGCCATTTTCGGGCGCTCCACGTATGCCACCACCGGGGGTGCTCGTTGATGGGCATTGTCGCCTTTGCCCACTTGAACTCTTTGAACACCATAAAACCGCCTACCATTCCGGCGATCAGGACAATAACGCCCACGATGATCCAGAGGGGCGCTCCGCCGGCGAGCCCGGCACCATTCCACGTTATGTCGTCGGCCATGGTGCCAGCCTGTGTTGGACGGACTGCGTCTAGTTTCTCTTAATGTCTTGGGCATTTAGAAAGTCAAGCACGCGTTTTCAGAGAGATCAGAGAGCTTCTTTTTTGGCAGTCTCTATTCTCTGAAGCGTTGCCGCGAGAGATGGTAAGGCAACCCTCGTCACTAGGCGAGAGGGAAACGTGCTCGTTTTATTTTGTCCAAATGCTTGTGAGCTCTTGAAATACAGGTCTCCTTGAATGCCTTCTGTGCCGTTCGGGGCCATGCAGTTCTTTCACGGTATGCTTTTGTTTGACAGACACTAGCGGATAATTGGACGATCAAACAGCGCCATTGTGTATTCTAGACGTGGTACTGGAATCGGGGCTGAGATTGCTGCTAGACTGGTTCTTTGTGTTAGAGACCTTGACTCTTGATTTGATTGTTGTTATCGGGGTTTGATCAATTGAGACAACGCTGTTGTGTACCAGCTAGTTCTAGAGCCCTTTTTAATTACTCTACTAGCCTTGGCACATTGTTCCTTGCGAATTGCATCTGTCCAGCCTCTCAGCCAAATCATGTATCACATGGTCGCCTTGATAACTTAAATAAGAGTCGGAAATAATTACAACTCAGATATTAGGTACCTGGCCAGCCTGGATTGTTTGAATTCAGTGTTTTAATTATGGAAGAGATTGAGTCTATTGATGTCGTTGAAAGGAAATATGAAAATTAGTGCTACAAGGAAAAATGACCTCCAAAGATGCTCGCCGCCAAAATATCAAGAGACTGTGACGGTTGAGTGCGTTGGTTCAACCTCTAGGACTATGCCTGGGCTGGTTCCCAAACTTCGCCGCTGATACCTCGTCATGTGTTTCTTTCCTGTCCTGCCGAGCTCGTATCCTATCAAGAGAGGCACCAGCCGCCAACTTATCTAAGGGGCCCGAATCCAAATGTGTCTCTAGTAGCGCCTGTACAGGAATTACGGATAAGCGCCTGAACACTGGAACTGGCTACCGTTAGGGTGGAAACTGCGGTGCAACTGACGTGTATGCAGGTGGGAAAGGTTGCGACCACCACGGTGCGATAGGCGGCGGCGCAGCAGGCTCCGGGGCAGGTTCACTCCCTGGTTTTGCGGCGGCTTCCGTATCGGAGTCACCCGCTGGAAGTTTTCACAACAAATTAGTTAGAACTAGGCGTCTAGGGCCATGAAATAGTATCTGACGAAGTCAAATTGGGACCCACCCAAATCTTGCGGGCCAAGTGCAACAAACGCAAAGTGAGAGTGTGTCTAACATTGGCCAGCTTCAATTCCCTTTTTGGCTTTCTTGACCTTGAGTCCCACGGTAATAAACACGATGACGCCAATGACTCCACCGGCGACGATTCCAAAGGAGACTGCGAGGCCAAAGACTGTCGTTGTTTCCATAGTGAAGGTTTGTTCTGTGGTCACTGTGACTGCGACTGCGACTGGGGCTGCGACTGGGGCTGCGACTGGGGCTGCGGCTGCGATGAGTTTTCCGGGTCGATTTTTGCCTTGCAATAGCTAGAGAAGGTGACGATGAGTTGTCGATGACGTGTGTATCCGAGTTGTTGAGTGTCTAACGAATCAGGTATGTCATGCCTACCTTAGTAGGAACCTATGTTGTTAAATACTCAAGTGGCAGTGAACCACCACACCAAACAAGGCAACGAATGCTTTCGCGATCCATGTTTGCCTCTGGTTCAAACTCGAGTGTTTGCTGGTCGATGTCGTGAGAATTGGGTTCTGTGTGAAAGCGGGCCCGGCCAGAGTCTCGACCAAAGATTGCGTGTGGATGAAGCAATTATTTCGGACCCAAACACGTACCACATTGGCGGGAAACTTTTGCTGCTACAAACCCAAGACAGTGAAACAAGGAATTTACTTGGGTTCTTTTATCCAAGTCGGCGTTATCAGATTGTCCACTTTGTCCAGAGTGGCAGGAACAGTCAAGCCAGGCAATCGAAATGTGCTTGCCCCCGAGTCGCAAACCAAAGCTGTAGCATGACTTCCCCTTTGTCACGCCATTCGCCCCTAATGGGCAAACTGCGAAGTGCTCAGGCAGGCACTCCACTGCATTGCCAGCGACGCAGCCTAGGATCTAGAAGTGTCAGCAAGAGAATCATGGTCCATAGTTTTTCTTACCCAACAATTCAGTCGCCGTTCCATTGCTGACCAACTTTGCTACTGCACCATCTCGTACAAAAGGAACAAAGTGCTTTATCGGAGCGGTTACCAACCAAACTAATATGGTGCTGCTCGCCGCTTTGTTTACCGCACCCTGTCTCAATACTTGGGAAGGCAGACTTTCTGCCAACCTTAACAAACCAGAACCCGCAATTTCGGGTGCTACAACCTGAATCAAGTTTCAAACAATAATCAATACCCACCTGATGTCATCTTGCCCCATGGTCTGTCTTACCAAGGGGCGCCGCTTGGCCTGGGCTGGGACTCGCTCGTCCTGGTCATGTCATGGCCCGAGATCCTCGGTTTGCAACCCACAAGTTCAGGGCGCATGAAATCCGACAGAATCAACTCGTCGCACAGTGGAGCAAACAAAACATCCAAGCTAGAGACGTCCATATTCTAATCGGCATCATTCCCACTGACGGCCAACAGCAGAAGTAAAGATCAATTGACACTATTGTACCGCGAGGTGGGCCTTGAGGCTAATAGCTAGGCCACGGCGCGGCAAAGACTCAGCTTGGGGGCTGTTCTACTTGACGTTAGCAGACGTGAAGTTCACAAAGCGGTTGTGTCAGTACCTCGGCGTCTTAACCAGAACATAGACTAGTTACTGACAAAGACATAGAGACACAAACTGCTGCAGGCCACCAAAGGCCCTATAAAAAAGGCCAAAAAGGCACAGCACCCAGCGCGACAATCCAAGTTGAGAATTTCGCTGCCGTGCCAATCTCAACTCAGACAGGCACTTCATTAGACCCTAAGGGCATCAACTTCTAAACTCCAAGCAGCTATGAATGAATCAGCGGTGATGTCGAACGTATCGGCACAGGCCACAAACACATCCAGGCTGCTTGACCCCGAAGTGGTAGGCCAGACCACGGCCTCACCCGAGTTCTCGGCATGGGCCACAGTCATCATCGTGGTCCTGTTTGTGGTGCTGCTGTTCAATGGGTTTATGGGCCTCCACGTGACTGGCAAAGGCGCGCGCAAGCCAGCTGAGAGCGACCACAAGCTTGCTCCCAAGGACGAACACGCTAGAACGTGGAAACTCAACACCTCGCTCACCCCAGTGGATAACACTCTGGCCCCTTATTCTCGTGGTGATGGTGAGCCCCCAAACGACGAAAAGGGGGAGAGGAGAGACTCAAAGAAGAAGTCCTAGAGCAACAAACAGTGTCTCGCCACGATACATTAGGCCTGGCGCCTCTCCGTCGGTTGAGTGGTGGGGACACTAGCAGTAACCGTGTTCAACAGAACCCTGACTTGCAAAATTTTTTTTTTCAATAGCTTGTTCATAATTCAAGGCATAATATCAGTACATGTGGACCAGAGACCAAAGTGAACAATTATTTGCGTGAAGAATTGATGTGGCGATGCGAAAATTCCTACTCGAGTCAGCCGCCGGAGATTCTCTCGGAATGTTCACAGAGCTTGGCCATGAAGTCAAGGAAATAATGATTGCTATTACTCGGAATAACTCACTAACTAATGCATCGAAGGTAGGTAAAAACATCGCCCCGAAACTATCCCCGGCCTGCCGTGATCTATGTTGGCAACTAACACCTAGTCCAGATACAAGCAACGTCGAATAGGCCAGGCATAACAATAGGAAGTCGAGCTCAGCTGCCGTCAATTTTCCCACCAGCTCGAAGTCCTGTTGAGTAAAGAAGAAAAAGAAAGTAAAAACGAGAAACGAATGGGAATGGAGAAAGGAAGCCAAGGACCACTGGTTTTTGCTCCAGCCATACCACCCACCCCCGGGCCCCCAGCTAATCAATTACTGTATCCCATCCCCCATTCCGTAACAAAGATCCAACCAAGAAAACAGAAAAAGAGAAAAAGGAAAATAAATGGAAAAAAAATAAATAGAAAAAAAATAACACCTCCTGCCCGACCTCTCTGTTATTATCCTTATTGGTGATAATTAGTTCTCATATAAACCCCTCCCCGCCATGCACCACAGACCCCTCCATCAGCCGCTGCTCCTCCTGCCGCCCTAGCTGCTGCCGCGCGGCCAGTTTCTGCTTGCGCCGCCGCAGCAGCCGCACCGCGCCCCAGCCCACGAGCGCGATCGCTGCCACGCCCACAGCTAGTGAGATCAGTACTGTCGCTACCGGGCTAAGGCCGCCGCTGCCGCTGCCGTCGGCTTCTGCTGAGGGGGCCGATGTGGGGGTTTTTGTGCTCGCCGTGAGGGAATGGTTTGCTGTTGCTGTGCTTGTTGGTTTTGAAACTGTTGTTCGAGCCAGCGACGTTGGTTTTTTGCTCGTTGCCGTGCCTGTGGCCGTGCCGGTGGTGCTTCGCTTGGTGGTGGTGCTACTATTTTTGTTGATGCTGCTGCCACTGTAGTAGGCGGTGCTACTGATCTTGGAGGGCTCGGACGTGTCGCTGAGGGGCACGTCCTCGGACGGCGGTGGGCCCGGCACCGACGGCGGCGGCCGCAAGCTCCCCGAGAAGGACGGCATGATAATACCGGTGGTGGTGGTGGGTAGTGTTATGGTCGTGACGGTGGTCGTGGACGACGGCACGGTCACAGTCACGGTGACGAAGACGATCTCCTCGTTGCCCTGTCCCGGTATGTACGTCGTGTAGTTGGTGGCGGCTTGCTTGGCTGCGTTGTTGTTGTTGTTGTTGTTGTTGTTGTTGTTGTTGTTGTTGTTGTTGTTGTTGTTGTTGTTGGTGGTGTTGGTGTTGGTGTTGGTGTAAGAGGCCGGGGCGATGGCCGAGGAGTCGTGCATGTTAGTGATGGTAGATTCATTAGCGAGGGTGTTTAGGGCCACGGGCGTGGCCCGCGTAGCGCCCGTCTCGGGATCAGAGGTCATGGCCGTGGCCATCGTGGTGTTGTTGCTGACCGCGTGTATGGCATTGGCGGCCGTGTGAGCAATACTGCTGCCGCTGCCACCTGTTACTGTGTATGTCACTTTCACTAGACTCGACACGTTTGCCGCCCTAGGTGGACGGAGCTTGGCAAGGCGTTCAGGAGGGATGCGGATATTGTGACGGCGGAGGTCATTGCCGTGGCTGCAACGCACTTGGCCGTCAGAGACAGTGGGGCGGCGGAATCGAGGGTCCATGGCTGCGACTTGCGTGAAACCAGCGTGAGTTCGAACCTGCGGCAGTGTCGGTGTTTGGTGTTGTGCTGCTGCACCGTCGGGCAAACCTCGACTGTTAAAGGCGCCACATGGGCAGAGAGCCTGGCAGAGAGAAGACGGCAATGAAACGTGCGCAAGCCTCATGTGGTACCCCCTTTTAATCTTGACACTTGTCGTCCGAGTCTGGCTGCTGGCATGCCGCATCAAGACTTTCGACAGCGAGAGACACGAAGCGCCAAGCTTTTCAGGGTTGAGATATAATTGCGGTCTAGCCATGCCCTCTTGCAAATCTAGAGAGGCCAAGCAAAAGGCGGTGGGCACTGGCGTTGCCGCCCTCGAAAGATCAGTGTCCAGAGCAAACACGGGACGACAATCGGGGGAAAATGACCCCAACCTCCCATGCCCCGAGTTCTGATGATGATTGCCTCGAGGGCAGGCCGTCTGATCTAGCCCCAGACCAAGCTCAATGATTGATTACTATTAACGATTATCTCAGCAGTCTGCCGTTTTCAAAGGCGGGTGGACGCGTGTCTTCCATCACAAAACCCGACCGTTCACGCTTCCTTTGCATCTCCTGTCGTGTCTGTGCCCTTGATTGCCCGCTGTGTCACCACGGCGGGCACCCCTGCTTTCTCATCCGCGCTGGTGCTCGAATCGCGAGCGACCTTGTCGCCGGAAACCGCGCCTGTGTCTTGGCCAGTGCCGGCGACTTCCGCCAATGCCTTGCCCTCTTCGGACGCCTCGGTTGTTTTCCTGTCCTTTTTCACACTCCGCCACTCCATAAGAACAACGCCAAGGAGCGTCAGAACGGCGAGGACCACGGCGACAAGAAAGGCGCGCCGCAAGGACTCGTTGTACTCGAAAACTACGGCATGCTGGATCGCTTCCGGCAGCTTGGCGATGATGGAGGTGGCACCGCTGTTGCCGAGGAGGCTGGAATCAAACCCGGGCAGGCGGCTCAGGCGGTCGAGCAGCTGCGCGTTGAGGACGTTCTGGCCGACGGACAGGAACACGGCGCCGCCCAGAAGCTGGCCGACGTTCATGATGGCGGTGCCGATGGGCACGTCCTCGAGCGGCAGCACGGCCTGCACGGCCAGGTTCGGGCCCTGGAACGCGCACCCGAAGCCGAAACCCGAGAGCACCTGGTATCCGATCCACCGAGCGCTGTCCGCGTCGACCTGCAGCGTGTACAGCATGCCGGCGCCGACGGCCATGAGAGCGGCCCCGGCGATCAGGAACGGGTTATAATAGCCTACGCGCGCGGTGAGGACCCCCGCGCAGATGGAGGCCACCACCATGGACAGCAGGAGCGGGAGAAGGCGGATGCCGCTGTCGACGGCGTTGACCCTTTTCACGGCTTGGAACCAGATGGGGAGGAAGTAAACTGGTTCAACGGTCAGCTGCGGCTCTGGCCGGCCAGATGGAGGTGGGCAGGGATGCCAATGTCCATACTGAAAATCGTCGACTGCCCGCCAATGGTGAGTGTCGACCAGAAGCCGGCAATGATGCTGCGCTGCGCGAAGACGCGGCGAGGTATGGTTGCCGTGCCTGGCTTGAAAACCTGAACCAAGGCAAAGGCCACCAGGAGGAGCCCAGCAAGCACCAACAGTGCCATGATACGGCCGTTGCTCCACTAAGAAAGATCAGCCAAACGCGGTCGCTAGGCACTTACTACACATGGAGAAGAGAGATGGAGGCAAAGGCGGGAGTAGGAACGTGGCGAATGAATTACCTGGTACTCCGACCCACCCCACTGCAGCGCGAGGAGCAGGCAGACGATGCCGGGCAGGAGGGTGGCGATGCCGAGCAGGTCGAGGTTCAGCACCCTGCGCCTCAGCGACAGCCGGGTGGCGTCCCGGTCCGGCTCCTGCATGAGGGCCGCGATGAACAAGAAGGCGGCAGCGCCGAACGGCAGATTAATATAGAAGCACCACCGCCAGGTGACCTTGGTCGTGAACACGCCGCCGAGCAGCGGGCCGAGCACCGACGACACCCCGAACACGGCCCCGAACAGGCCCTGGTATATCGGCCGCCGGTGCAGCGGGACCGAGTAGACGATGGTGACGACCTAGAGGTGAAGGTTAGACTAACTGGCTGGCTGAGACCGGGCTCGCGGGGGAAGCGGCTCACGATTCCCGAGGTGACGCCGGCGGAGCCGACACCAGCAATAGCTCTGCCGAGGATGAAGGCGGCGCTGGTGGGCGCGGCGCCGCACACGGCGGAGCCGAGCTCGAAGAGGAGGATGGACGCCAGGAGCGTGGTCTTGATGGCGAAGAAGGTGTAGATCTTGCCGAAGAGCAGCTGGAACGCGCACGTGGTCAGCAGGAACGCGCTGCCGTACCAGCCAATGTCGGTGACCGAGTGCAACTCGTCCGTGATCTCGGGGATGGCCGTGCTGACGATGAGGCGGTCCTGTGCGTAATCAAATAGGTGCCTCCTGTCAGCAAATCGACAAGAGGAAGAAGAGGCACTGGTTGGGGCCAACAGACCAGAGACACGAGGAACAGGCTCATGAACACCGACGCCATGATCAACACCAGCCGAAGGCCTTGTGGATATGTGACCTCTGTCGATGTCGTTTTGGGCGCACCCATATCTGCTCCTTCATCCCTAGCTCCAGCGGGTGCGGCCGGAGACCCGGAACCAGAGGTGCCAGGGGCCTCGGCCGCCTGGTCTCTCTTTTTGAACAGCATCTCGAACGGGTGGAGAGAGAAAGAGAGAGCTTTCTGCCGGCCCTGTACCTCGTCGCTCACACGGCTGCAGGCATACCGGCTCCCAAGGTACGCAACGCGAGTAGGCGATGATTACGGTATATACTAATCAATTATAGGAGATGCAGGCATTGAAAACTCGACATGGCCGGCAAGTCCTGTCACGATTGGGAAACGAGAGACGGTGATGGCAAAACGGGAGATGCAAAAATTTGGGCGATTGGAGAAAAACACCGAAACGCGGCATCTTTTCGAGTCTCTCTACAGACAGGCGTCCTGAAGCGGTAAGGCGTGGGAGGCCGTCGAGCCCTCTTGTATAAATTTCGCTTCCGTTCCGTTCCAACCCTTGAGCATTCGCGGTTGGTTCTCGCGACAGGGGCCCCGGCCCTACTCGAGATCCAAACTCTGCCTCTTGCAGCGCAGGAGCAAAATGCAAGCGGCAGAAATATAATTACACTGAATGATAAAGAAGGGAATACGAGTTTGGAAAACGTCTGTTCTTTTGACCTATGGGTAGCTATTCCGTCACGGTAATCTGGATCCGTAGGGGGCAGTGTCAACATTGAGGCTTGGCACTATCAGACTAACGGCCGTTTAGGGGTTGGGGGTACGTGGACACTGGATACGTAGTGGTCGGAGATAGTGTAGGTGATTGTCGACCCTTTCTGGTTGCCGCACCAAGTCTCGACTCTAGATTCTCCGTCTCGAGACCAGGATATTTCGATCCAGAGAGCGGGAGTCGGCGACTGACTCTCCCGGTTTTAAAAATGGCAACTGAGCCTGTTGGCCCCAGGACCAGAATCGTGGTGCTGTTGCAAACACGGCAGATACTGGACATTAGGGACGCGCACACCTCAAGGTTGTCATCAAGCGTAGAATGCTTTCGTCACGTAATATCGTCATGGTAGATATGAAGAAGCAAATGAGCCAATGTCCAACCATGGCATAATATCCATTAATATGTTCCCACGTGCCGGAACGCGGTCTCCGGTCGCTCGAAGGCGAACTGCTAAATCCATTCATCTTACACCGGCTGCCGAACAAGAGTAGAGAAAGGTTCGTGACATCGTCCCAGAGTGAAGAGATACATCATTACACATCACTGACTGACGCAGTGAGATTCGCTATACAGGGATAGAGTTTAGAGAGAACCCGGGGGCCGCCCAGTGCCTCTCGGGCCGTTCACCACTGGGACGACGGTCCCATCCCAAATCCCGCAAATGCAGACGCCATGGACTGGTCTCCGCTCGCGTTGGAGGTGCCAAACATGTCCCAGTCCAGTGCCGTCGTGTCGAGATATCCCCCAAATAGTTGGTCGAGATCCGGGCCACCAATGGGCGGGCCCAGACCCAAGCTAGCCGGGGTGAAGGGCCCAGGCGGTGTCGGTTCGGTCTTGAGGTCGTCGATGGGCAAGGATGCTTGCAGCTTATCGACGTAGAAGGGAGTGTCTGGTATTTCCCCTGTCCGGCACAGGAGTATCTCTTCCCTCTTCCTCCACGCCTTGAGGATATACTGCGCGATTATTAAGTAGACCTTATTGGAGGTGTCGAACAGCTCAGGGTGGAAGCTGTAAACGACTTCGGCCATCTCCCATGCCCGGTCGACAATCTCGCCTTCGGTCCGGTGGCAGAGTTGGCCCGCCATGTACATGAAGACATCCAGCTGGAAGAGGAGCAGCGAAAACCAGATGAAGCCCCTGTCTTTCATCGACATGTAGTTGTGCGCGTTGTGCTCCAATGTTCTGACGGCGATCTTGAAGGCGCCGTCCTGTGCGGACGGGAGGGGCTCCGATCCCCACCCCGCCAGCGGCTTCAAGGGCTTCACGAGCTCCATTACCTTGTTGATGATGTGCATTCGCATCTCAACAGCCATTTCATGCACCGGCCCTGCCTTGGCGTCGGAATATCTGTCCAGCATGTCCAAGAGTTCCTTGGCGAGATTCTCCACAATCCGTCGATATTCGGTTACTTGCTCGTCGCTTATGCCGCCGATGGCCCCGGAATCGGGCGCCATGACAATGGTTTCTAGGCCGGGGTTGTCGATGAGAAACCTTCCGAACCTGCAAGTGAGCAGACAGAAAATCATCTCGGTTGGGCCATCCCGATCCGGGAAAGGCTCCGTTGCAGAGGGGTGAATGTCTGCGTCGTTGAGATTTTTAGGCGACTTGGTATCAAAGTCTCGGGGAAGCAGGGAGTGACTAAGTCCGGAGAATAGGGCGTATTTAGAATCGACCATGATGATTTGCCACCAGACTCGCCTCCTCATCTCCGTGTCAAAGGGCCCCAACCCCAGGGCCTCGCCATCACGGTGAAGGCCCATTTTTTGGGCGATACGAATGACGACACCGTTCATGATCCATGCCGCGTGCCGGTTGTAGCGGCCTTGGAGAGCGATCTAGCTCGCAAGTTAGGACGGAAGTGTGGGGAGATGAAAGATAATGGGACTCTTACCATGTATATCACGAGGGCCTGGAGAGTTGTGAAGTCGTGAGACTTTAGAAATCCCATTCGCGAGAGATTCTGCCGCACTGCTGACGAGAACCGCTGCAGGGCTTCCTCCCTGGAATAACCGACCAGGTGCTGACACTCGTCTGGGGTCAATGACACGCACGCCATCAAGAAGATGGAGAAGAATAGAGTCTCGGTATTCCTTGGGATGGAATGGGAGCCGCTTGTCGTATTGGCAAGGAAAGGCTGCAAGGTGGGCACGTGGATGATCTTGGTCAGGGGGTTGACCCTGTCCAGATAGATCTGCCAGAGGCTGAAGACATGGGTGGGCTCGGGCCAGAGATTCTCGACATTCTGCTGCGGAGACTCGCCGCCGAGCAGCAAGTCGGAGTTGTCGTCAGGCGTCATGGTGTCCGAGTTTATTTCATCATGGTCATCGGCATCGACGATCTGGCGCATTGCTCGGAGCTGCGGGACTCAGTGGTGAGCGAAGGCGCGGCAAGGCGCAGGAAGAGAACCATCCGAGCGCACTAGAAAATCACGAACCTCATCGTAGACGGTGCCTAGCAAGAAGTTGTCCATAAAACGGACGCCACCGCCGTCCTCTTTTACGAGTTTACCGGGTGGCTGCCATTTCGGCTGCGTCTCCTCGTAAAAGGAGGGGGCTTGCGAAGGCGGACGAGAGACGGCTGGCTCTGGGCTCTCGGGTTTCTCGCTTGCGTACTCTTTGAGAAGCTCCTCGCAACGGGCCAGTCGCTCTTGAAGGTCCTGGTTTGGTCGCCGTCGCTTGCGAGCGGGAGCGGGCGTGCTGGGCGTGCACTTGACGCCGGCCTGTTGGGGGTGGTCAGCTCTGGTCCAGCACAGCAGTGTAAGAGGGGAAGGGGGGCGATAATGGGAAACCCCAAGCCGGGACTTAATCTCACTTTAGTGCAGTTAGAGCAAGGAAAAGTCCTGTCGCATTTAATTTTCCGGTGCTGGCAAAGAACACAAGCCAAGATGCGTATGGGCTTGTGAGATGTGTTGCTGTGAGAAGTGTTGGTGTTGGTGGACGTTGTAGGGGGTTGTGGCAGCTGTGAGGCGGCCGAGCTGGGCGCGGGCGAGGTTGGCGACGCCGGACCGCCTGGCGAGGTCGACGATGTGTCCATCATGGGCAGCTATCGCTCAGAAGCGCAGCATACCTCTCAAGGCAGTGGGGTATAGACTCGGGCGCGCTTTCACAATCGCCACCAGAGAGCCGAGATGACGTCGGGAGGACCAGTTCAAGCAGCTGTGTTTGTTATCGCGGCGGCGGCGCACGCATCGACAAAGCTGGGCGGGCTGTAATGGTCGCAAAGGGCACTACGACATGTGGGCCCTTCGATTTTCTATGTCTTTGGTGGGGGGTGGAACAAGCTTATGAAGACGGCCGTTTTTGGTCTATTTTGTTCCGCCGAAACTAAGGCGGAACAAGGGCGACCTAAGAGAGGTAACAAGACCCAAAGAAGGTACCCTCACTAGGTACCGGGGTAATTGACGGCAGATGGCGAACGACGGGAAGGGAAGTCGAGGTTCCAATGAGCGGCGGGGCTCGAGGCAGTGTTCCAGTCGTCTAGGCGTACCTTCCAGGTTTCCAATGGAAGTTCCCAACGCTGGATGCGCCCGACCGAATAAGCTTCCAATCAGGTACCTTACTGGACCCAATACACTGGGCTGTCTGCGGTGCGGTGCTGCGAGGAGGGGTGGAGGACTAAGGCGTCCGCACCGCAGGGCATCTGGATCCCTGGAGACCAATCTTTTCCGGTTTGGGCAGGGCGAAAGCGAAAGCGAGGTCGACGTCCTGAGGTTTCGCTTTTGAGACTGTATGTCGACTGGCGGGGTGGGCGTACGTATTCGTGCCCTACCTTATCGTATTCGGGTTCAGAGGAGTTGAGAATATCTCCTTGGCCGTGTAAAAAGGACATAGGTAGGTAGCCCCAAGTCAGCCTTTTCCACTGAGTTGTGGTGGGGGTTGATGGGGTCTTTAATCGATTTCCATGTGCATCGTGCGGGGCCTCGACGATTGTTAATAATACATAACATAACCTGAGATCTCGTGAAAGTCAGGTACTCCATACCGCACACTCGGAGACTAAAGCCTCCGATTTTTAGTTTTATGCATCCAGGACATTATCACTTGCAGGCTGTTCGAACCTGCCCGGGGCTGGGATGCCAAGTTGGGGATTTTTTTCTTTCATTTTTATTTACAAAACACCGATTTTAATTGATTAGGTGGGCATTACGTACGCGCGCAACACTGCCGCGAGCCAGAGGAGGTACGTAAGCTGCCGAAATCAGTCGATGCCCTGGGCGAGCCTGGGTTGCGGCTCGAAGTGAAGCCTGCCCGGCCTCAGTGACATGACAAGGCCAAAAACGACAACCGAAGCTGCACCGGGGTGATTGGGCAAAAGCTCTGTGCGACGACTGAGCTCTTGGCATACAAGTAAGTCGCTTGCTTTGGCATGGCACACCATCTCGTTGTTTCAACCGACTGGCTCGACAACAAAGGTGCTCGGATTCTTTCCGAGTCTGCTGAGATGCACTGCACTATGCTGTATCGGGTTGCGACGATAAAGACACAGTTACTGGGCTTATGTCACAGGCATCGGGAGTGGCGCTTGCCGAGATACCTTACACCACCAACACACAGTGCCCTCGCATCCCCCAATGCCACACATAAGCAACCTGCCGAATATAAGCGCTATAAGCTCGATGGATGTGCAGCTCGTCGGAGCTTGCTTTGGACGTTGATTGCACGCCTCTGGGACAAACATGGCTGCTCTGTTTACTTACCTGACGTAACGATCTAATGTATTGTACATACTTCGTACATACTTCGTACATACAGACAAGTGCACGCAAGAGCCAAGGAAGACATTCTTGGCTGTGCGGATATTGAAAGTTCAAGTTCCACCCAGAGGTGCACTCGCCGCTGACTCACCAGTCACAAGCATTGAAGCTGCAGGACGAGCACTACTGTCCTGTCCCGCCTGTGGGTCCGAGCAGAACTTGCCCTGTGGATGGGATATCCATCCTCTTGTTGGACTTGCAGCGACTGCGCCTACTCCCGCACCAGGGGTCGAGAACATCCATGGGAGAACGCCCAGGCACCGATACACGCGTCTGTTTCAACAAGAGTTGAAATGAAAGCGGCATATGATCGTTGTAGGAAATGATTACTACGGGGTGAAATGCTACCAGCCAGACTATTAATGAGCTCTATCTCCATCCGTACAGGCCTTCCAATCAATTTCGTTCGGGGGCGTCCGAGTTGAGGCTGTGAAGGGGACGCCCGGTGTCATCCAGGTCAGATTGCGGGGCACCAACCTCACAACTGAGTTTGGACGAGCATGGCAGCGGATAATGGATGACGACAGTATCCGCACCCAGGCACATCACCCAAATGCGGACCGTGCAGAGCCTGCTGAAGCCCCCTAGGATATCCCAAATTCCGAACCCAGGCGGGCATCTGAACGGGGTTAAGAACCCCCTTTACACTGACCTCGGCCGAGCCCGGGGATATCAGGTTGCGGAGTTCTTGCGGAGTTGCACCGGGCGGGCATCCGTCCAGAAGCCACCCCACTTCTCGGCGGGCGGCAACCAATTCGAGCACCAGAAGTATGGATGCGGCACGCCGAGCAAGCGGAGATTATTACTAGGTGCTGAATAGTGTACTAGATATTGCCCCTCGCGGCTTTGGCGTGCCTTTACGAGATACCATTCAGGTTGCCTTAGCACTGAATAGCCAAGGTAGGTAATAATACACTAGACCGTAAACGTGTGAATTTGCGAATTCGAGAGAGAAAATCCAACAAGAGCAGAGAACCTTCTCGAAACCCAAGACTCAGGTAAGGTACGTACGTAGACTGATCCTTCCATCCAGGATCGGTTCCAAGACCCGTATTGGGGAGGTTGAGCAAGTGCGCCGCTCAAGCTGATGCTGAAGCTGTCTTGTTGTGGCACATTCGCCGAGCAAAATGACAAGAGTCTGGAATTGGATCACCATCACAGGCATCAGGCATCAACCAAGCTACGAATCATCATGACGACAGATGAGAACCGGTGAGTCGGTAGGTATTTTCCCAACCTACCGCAACAAGGCTCTGAAAGGAAGTGAAACGTGTCCCCCCCACAGCTTTTGCCTGTTGTGACTCCTCCCCCACAAGGAGCGTTCTCGGAGACATTCGCCCTGGTGTTTTGGTGTGCGCGAAAAAAGAGACGTCAAGATTTCGTTCCGCCCGATTGGTGAATCCGAGCAAAACGAGCAAAACGACGCCCGCGGCTTGCAGCTAAGAGGGCTGGTTGACATTGACTCACCACCTAGTGAACAAAGTTGCATCCTTGGCTTGTCACGCGACAAGGCAATCACGGCCCGTGGTGACACAGCATTGTTGAGGATCTCGTTCATTGTGCCAACCACAGACGGGTTGCTGGGAATTCGCTCGTTTGGGACAACAATCTTTTTTCTTTATCAGGCTATTGGGTGTGTGCTTCGAGGGGCTAGAATGACGACTGAAGAGATGCTGCCTGGCTTGCGAATGATAGCAAGGAAGGCAACACGCGTCAACGGCTCGGGGTAATTGGACACACACAACCCAAGTGGGCCATCTGATAACATGTCGGGCCCGGCAGTCTGAGCGCCTGATATATTGAACGGCTTGGCTCTCAGGCCTCTGCAGTCTGCACTGCCACAATGTGACGAGTAACCGCCAGGAGAGAAAGAAATGAAGGTTACAACAACAAGAAATGTCGTCGACGTACCAGAAAACGTGAAACGGCCATGTAGGATAGAAGCTTTTGGTTGCCCGCGCATTCCTCCCCGCGGAAGCTCCACGTGTCTAACCAACCTAGGTAGCAGGTAAGATATTCGTACCTTCGGTACAAGATATTTCAGTCCACGCCCTACCTTCGACAAGGAGAAAGATCCTCTCGACAAGGTCTACTAGTGTACCAGACAGACAGAGCGATTGCAAGGAAAAAGTGCGAGCCGACCAATATCCCCAGTCGCACGAATCGAGCACCATTTGTTTGGCCTGACCCATTGTCATAAATAAATTGCCTGTATGGACGTGAGGCAATCTTGCTAATGTATCCTATTTCGTACATGCAGGTTAGATCCTCCGTAGCTGATAGAATGGAAGCTTTGGAATCACATTGCCATCCGATGAAAATCATCATTCCTTAGTGTTTGCTTCGACGGGGGTAACAAATTCGAAAAATGCATGCCTTCTTTATGAGTGCAGGTGGCTTCACAGGCAGCCATAATTGTCACGGCGCGCAACGGCCGTAGCACACTATAACCCACTACAGGTTGCAAGTCGTCGACTTGCAATTCTGGCATCCTTTTGGGGGTTCTAGCGCAGTGGTAGTGGGTGCTGTGAGCTGGCGCCGTCACAATAATGTTTGTTGCCTTGCTGGGTGTTTGGTGCCGAAAAGGCGCTGAGGCACTTAAATCGGGCGGCGGGGACGGATACTCCCCCGATCAATCGGCCGTCGGCAAGAAGGTCTCAAGCTCCGCCTTTTTATGAAACGACGGCGTTTGTAAGTCCGGAGCTCCGACCCGTGATCGGAGGCTTTACGCCCACAGGTGAGGAAGGCGGTGAGCGGTTTTCTGACCAAATGTCGCACGGTCGCCAATGACAGCTCAATGGGGAATTCTCCACAACCTGCCCCACAGAATTTTCTGCCAGAGGCCAGTCCCGTAAACGGCATTTGCAATTGAATCTGGGGCCGCGGTGTCGTTGACTGGTTTCGTGTTCCTCTTCTGCAATTAGCATATTTGCGATGGTCACTTCTGATCCAAGACCATCATGCTGCTTCCCGTGGTATGTCACTGACGGGCGCGACCCCCCGGCATTCAGCCACGGCTCAGCTAATTAACGATAACCCGTTCACAGAGAAGAAGCTTGGCACTGGCCACTGGCAGGGCATATCGCCAGGCACTGCTCGTTTCGAGAAGCTCGACGGCGTTGAGGACCCCGGCCCAGCGATTGCGCGTCGCCTCGTATAGCACGACTCCCAGTTTCCGCCAGGATGCCTTCCATACCCAGCTGGAAGGTGCGCCCTTCGCCGCGGCATTGCCCAAGGCTACGCAAGCACCGCAGACCCTGACTGAGAAGATCGTCCAGAGGTACTCAGTCGGCCTTGCGCCGGAGAAGAAGGTCAAGGCTGGCGATTATGTCACGCTGTCGCCCCATCACTGCATGACCCACGACAACTCGTGGCCCGTGGCCATGAAGTTTATGTCTATTGGGGCCTCTAAGATCCACGACAACAAGCAGGTTGTCATGACCCTCGACCACGACGTCCAAAACAAGAGCGAATCCAACTTGAAGAAATACAAGCAGATTGAGGACTTTGCGCGCCAGCATGGCGTCGACTTCTACCCAGCCGGCCGCGGCATCGGCCATCAGATCATGGTCGAGGAGGGATACGCCTGGCCCGGCACCGTCACTGTCGCCTCGGACTCGCATAGCAACATGTACGGCGGCGTGGGATGTCTTGGCACACCCATGGTGCGCACCGATGCAGCCAGCATTTGGGCCACTGGCCGGACATGGTGGCAGATCCCACCCATAGCCAAGGTGACCTTTACCGGCCTCTTGCCCTACGGCGTCACCGGGAAGGATGTTATTGTCGCCCTCTGCGGCCTGTTCAACAATGACGATGTCTTGAACCACGCCATTGAATTCACAGGCTCCGAGCAGACCATGCGCACCATCTCCGTCGACGACCGTCTGGCAATTGCCAACATGACAACCGAGTGGGGAGCTCTCAGTGGGCTGTTCCCCATTGATTCCGTCCTTCAGTCGTGGCTCAGGGCGAGAGCCACAGTTTCGTCTTTCATGGATCCCGAAATTGGCTCGCGCGGCCATTTTACTCACGGAAAGATCGACGAACTCATCCAGAACCAGCTCCAGGCCGACCCCGGAGCCGCTTATGCCAAGTCTCTGTATCTAAACTTGTCAACCTTGTCCCCGTTTGTGGCAGGGCCCAACTCTGTGAAGATTGCCACACCGCTCAAGGATCTCGAGGCCCAGAGCATCAAGCTAAACAAGGCATATCTCGTTTCGTGCACAAACTCGCGTGCGTCTGACATCGCGGCCGCTGCAAGAGTCTTTACCGATGCCGCCAACGGCGGTACCATCCCCAAGGTTTCAGATGGTGTCAAGTTTTACATTGCGGCCGCTTCGATTGTTGAACAGCATGCGGCCGAGGAGGCTGGTGATTGGCAGGTGCTTCTTGATGCCGGGGCTGAACCGCTCCCATCTGGATGCGGCCCCTGCATCGGCCTCGGCACTGGATTGCTCGAACCAGGAGAGGTCGGAATTAGCGCAAGCAACCGCAACTTCAAGGGGCGGATGGGCTCGACTGAAGCGAAAGCCTACCTTGCCAGTCCCGAGGTGGTGGCGGCGAGCGCGCTGCAAGGCAGGATCGCAGGGCCCGGCTGGTACGAGAAGCCCGAGGGCGTCGAGAAGGTCATTATCGGCGAGGGCAATGGAGACCACGTGCAAGACAAGGCGCTCAGTGTCGAAGAGGCTCTCGACAAGCTTATCGCCGAGGCCGACAGCATGATCGCCGCTGCGGAGAAGCAGTTTGATGGGGCGAGCCCAGCTGTCGAGGAAAGCACGGAGACGGATGCTGAAGAGACTCTGACAGACATCCTGCCCGGGTTCCCAGAAAAGGTGGAGGGCGAGATCGTCTTCTGCGACGCGGACAATATTAACACGGACGGCATCTACCCTGGCAAGTACACATACCAAGACAGCGTGTCGGTCGACAAGATGGCCGAGGTCTGCATGGAGAACTACGACAAGTCGTTTGGCGCGGTCGCGCGCGCCGGCGACATCCTCGTGTCGGGCTTCAACTTTGGCTGCGGAAGCTCGCGCGAGCAGGCCGCTACTGCCATCCTGGCCAAGAAGATCCCGCTCGTCGTTGCCGGCAGCTTCGGCAACATCTTCAGCCGTAACAGCATCAATAACGCCCTCATGGGTGTTGAGGTCCCGCGCCTCGTGCAGCGCCTCCGAGAGACGTTTGCCGCCGACAAGACCCCGACTCGGCGCACCGGCTGGAAATTTGTCTGGGACGTCCGCCGCAGCAAAGTCACCGTCACCGAGGGCGAGGGCGGCAAGACGTGGAGCCAGAAGGTCGGCGAGCTGCCGCCCAATGTGCAGGAGATCATTGCCCGCGGTGGCTTGGAGAAGTGGGTCAAGCACCAAATCTCCCTGAGCTAGGTATACCTGCCAACCTACTGGTAGGCTACCGATTTTTACGAGGGGACCTTGATGTCGCTGTCCGTGTCATCCTGTGCCTTGTATCCATGTATATAGTGTTACGCCCCTTTACTTGATTTTCTCGGTGATACCACGCATTCAAAACATTTTGGCGCAAGACACTTAAAATAGGGATTTGGTTACGAATCCCCGCTAGATAGTAGAGCAAAAGTCTTATTATAATGTACTATCTTGTTTCTGTATATGGTTGTGAGATTCTTCCAGCACCTGAAAGTCTGCTTCTAGTGCCTGGGAGTCTGCTTCCAGGGCCTGCTTCCCAGCCATCACATCTGGCCGAGGCTGATCGACACCTACTAGCGCCGTCCTTTTTGCATATCGTACGGCCGCGCGATGCCGGTTGCTTTGCATGTGAGTTTGCCACAGCTCCTCTGTGAGGACTACCTTGTTACACAAGTCACAAACTCTACGGCACGGCGTGACCTGGTGGTTGCTTCTTTCCACCTTTGACGTGAGAACTGCCCGAGCAGTCTCGGACAAGGTGGTCGGCAGGGGCATCGGCTCGCCAGCGAGGAGCTGCCCCGTCAGCTCCACGCTCTTTGCCAGCACCTCTTCGCCCCATGACTTGATGTCTGAGCTGTCGAGGAGATAGAACCTATCGAGGGCTTTCTCTTCCTGCAGCGAGGTAAGAGTCTTCATCGTAACCCACCGAACTTGATACTTGGCGTACCGGCGGGTTGCCGTCTTGGTGTCCACGATCCCGGCCTCCATGAGAATGGACAGGTCAGCGGCCGCCGTTTCGCCGGCCTTGAGGGCGCAGAGATAGGGCTCGAACTGCCGGAAGCCGATGGACTGCCAGATGCCTTTGGTGCGGTCAATAGTCTCCCCAGATGTGAGCCTCGCTTCGAGGTAGTCGTACACTTCAGCAGTCTCGGCAATGAGGCCGTTCTCGACCATTCTATCCACGCGGCTGTCGAGCCGGGGGTTCAGTGACTCGGGGTTGGCGTATAACCAGAGCAACAGGGCATTCCAGGGACTCGGGGTCGGCGCCGCAGGGTCGGAATGTGCCCACTTGGACACTTTCAGGCTCTGATTCTCGGCATAGATCTCGGATGCGCGCCTCCCGGTAGTTAGGAAAATCTGGAGCGAGTTCCGGATCTTGCGAACGTCGTTCGGATGCCACTTGTCGGCCATGGCGGGATCTACCTCGCGTAGCTTCTTCAGCATGGCATCGGCCGAGTCCGAGAGAATCGGAAATTTAGCCGCGATTTCGGTTTGGGTCAGCACGTCGCCGTCGGTGTCAGGCTGCCTCTCGACAACCTGGTTCTCAAACAGTAGCCCGTCAAGATAGTATGAAGACCCGCCCACGAGTATGGGCAGTTTGCCCCTAGACCGTATCTCAGATATTATGCGCGTGGCCTCCCTCTTGTACTCTATAACGGTCCACGGCTCCTCCTCAAGTGGGATGTTACCAAGAAGATAGTGCCGGACGTCACGCTGCTCTTTGGCCGTGATCTTATTGGTAATGATGGGCAGGCCTTGGTACATCTGCATCGCGTCGGCATTGATGACCTCGCCGTTGAATCGGACGGCCAGTTCCACGGCGAGCTGGGAAGTCAGTCGGTCAGTCCCGTGCGGCGGCAGTAGTAGCGCATTCAGGTATGGATGACCCGGGTGCACGCAACTAAATACATACATCAGACTTGCCCGTGCCCGTGCATCCGTAAATGACAACCAGAGGGTCCATGACGAGCCGGCGACTGTGGCGGGCGGAGAGCGAGAAGCGGCGAATGCTGGCGAAGAAGTGCCTCATTGGCATTTGCTCGAGCAGCGCCGCAGACTATTGCGGCGCATCGTCGCGCAACTTTAATTTCCACGAAATAATTTTTTTACCTAGCCGGGTCGGTTCGAGATGGAATGATCGAGTCAGACGCTTGATGTTAAATCGTCGACCCAAAATCCCCATCCACAAAAAATTGGAGAACCCTGTCATCGCAAGCTCAACGCTCGGCTGCCATGCGGAGCAGTTTTACACCAGCCGCAACTAGATACCAAGTCACGTGCGGGCCCCATTCAAATTTGGACACATCACAGAATAACTTTAGAAGCCAGATCTCGAGCAGTCGCCAGCTCCCCAGCCGCCTCCACTCACCCCTTTCCACAAAACAGCGCGCCGACAACCTCTCCTCCTCCCCCAGAGTCGTCGTCGCTGACTTCGATCCTTACACTTCTCCTGGATGATTTAGCCCCTCGGTTTTCTTTCTCTGCACAATTGCCCAAGATGAGTTCCTGTAAGTCCACTCCCCGGCGCGGCGCGCGCGTCTCGGCCCCAAAGCTACTTCCCAGTCGTCGACCTCATGCCCGAGCTCCCCATCCGTTCCAGCTCCATCCATTGCGCAAGCCCGCTGATTGATTGGCATCGACGATGCAGTACGATTTCTTGACCTCGTCAAGCCCTTCGTGCCGTTCCTCCCCGAGGTTCAGCAACCGGAGACCAAGATCCCCTTCAACCAAAAATTGATGTGGACTGGCTTGACGCTTTTGATCTTCCTGGTCATGAGCCAGATGCCGCTCTATGGCATCGTTTCTTCCGACACGTCCGACCCGCTATACTGGCTGCGCATGATGATGGCTAGCAATAGGGGAACGCTGATGGAGCTGGGTATCACTCCCATTATTTCCTCTGGCATGGTCTTCCAGCTCCTCGCTGGCACCCACATGATCGACGTCAACCTCGACCTTAAGTCGGACCGCGAGCTCTACCAGACTGCCCAGAAGCTGTTCGCCCTCATCCTCTCTGTTGGCACCGCTACCGTATACGTGTTCACTGGCCTCTACGGCCCCCCGAGCGACCTCGGTGCCGGCATCGTCTTCCTCCTCATCCTCCAATTGGTCGTCGCAGGCATGATTGTCATTCTCCTCGATGAACTCCTCCAGAAGGGGTATGGCCTGGGCAGCGGCATCTCGCTCTTCATTGCCACCAACATCTGCGAGTCTATTATGTGGAAGGCTTTCTCGCCGACCTCTATCAACACTGGCCGCGGCCCTGAGTACGAGGGTGCCGTCATTGCTCTGTTCCATCTTTTGATGACCTGGGACAACAAGCAGAGGGCTTTGCAGGAGGCTTTCTACAGACAGAACCTGCCCAACATCATGAACCTTCTGGCTACTCTTCTCGTCTTTGCCGCCGTTATCTATCTTCAGGGATTCCGCGTCGAGATCCCCGTCAAGTCGTCGCGCCAGCGTGGTGCGCGTGGCTCGTATCCGGTCCGCCTGTTCTATACCTCCAACATGCCCATCATGCTGCAGTCCGCCCTTTCGTCCAACATCTTCCTGATCAGCCAGATGCTCTACTCTCGCTTTTCCGAGAATCTCCTGGTTCGTCTCTTCGGTGTCTGGGAGGCCAAGGATGGCTCTTCGCAGCTGTCGGCCGTTTCCGGCCTCGTCTACTATATGTCCCCGCCGCTCAACTTCAAGGACGCTCTGCTGGACCCCATCCACACTGCCGTCTACATCGCCTACATGCTCACCGCCTGCGCCGTGTTCTCCAAGACGTGGATTGAAGTGTCTGGCTCAAGCCCCCGCGATGTCGCCAAGCAGCTGAAGGACCAAGGTCTCGTCATGGCTGGCCATCGCGACCAGAGCATGTACAAGGAGCTAAAGCGCATCATTCCCACCGCGGCTGCCTTTGGCGGCGCCTGCATTGGAGCCCTCTCGGTTGCGAGCGACCTCATGGGCGCCCTCGGCTCCGGCACCGGAACTCTCCTTGCTGTCACGTAAGTGGCCCCGCGAAATTGAACTTGACAGGCCTGTTGCTAACAGTAAACTAGAATCATTTACGGCTACTTCGAAATCGCTGCCAAGGAGGGTGACCTGTCGGGCATGAAGGGCATGATCATGGGCTAGACGTGGTTAGAAGTCAGCTTGAAATTGTCCTCTTGTTATCGATGCAGCTCAGTCACCGCTGCAAGATATCTTTTGTTTGAGTAATCTCACAATCTATTCGCTATGTTACTTTTATTTGGCGGTAATGGCCTGAGGAGTCGAGCGGGCTACCATGTATTTTAGCACCTAGCAAAAAAGGGCTATAAAGGGAGGGCATCCTAAAAGCGGGTAAGGTTTATGCATCACGGTGGTCTGTTATTAGTCAACTTGTCAGATCTCAATGAATCATATAGCTAAGAGACAGAGGGCATCTTTCCCCCGTTTCGCCCTCCTGGAATAGGTAATCCGGTTTCTTCTCGAGAAACGGCGACTAGACAGATGCGTTACACACGACCATATCTGCGTCCTCGTGGTCTTCGTGTGCTAAAAATTAAGTTAAACATTCCTTGGCACGGTTTTCGTCTTACTCTGAACCGGGGTAATTTCACTCCATGATCGGTGGTTCTAGGTCTTGCGTACCGCAGATTAAGCATAACGTGAAGGCAGAGCAGGTTCTTATCTGATAATATAAGTAAATACGCACATCAATAGCCAAACCAACTCAACGCTCGGAGAACGAGGCGTGCAGCGTAATGATCACGTTCCCATCTAACCATCCACTCAAATGCCGTGGGCATTAAAGGGTTTCGGAAGCGTCGTGTGATACTCCCTATATACAGTGTAATGTTACTGGGTGCGGGTTCCTACGCATCGAAGGAGCCCAATTGCATCCAACTTTATACGTTGATACGGGGTGACTCACTGCGCATCTTGACTTCCCGCTTTTCACGTCTTTTGTGGTGAGGGGGCACAATTGATCCATGTCGTCGGTAACCGCCCCGGCTAGACCTTACCCGCTTCCCTTTCCCTACTAGACTAAATAGCATTGCATAGCGACTCCACCAAAAGTCAAGCACGTTATCCGGCGCCCGCAGCAAGGTATGTATGAATGAGGAAGGTCGGGGTGAGTGGCTGCTTGAGGCGCCCGGACAGGGCACCCTATAACAATCAGAGCTTGGTAATTGCGTGCGACGAAGCGAAGCTCCACAGCTTCTGCAGTCGGTAGTCTGCAGCAGCTGTCGTGCACTGTGATCAATCTGCTTTGCTCTCATCATTTGGTTGTGTTTGCTCCCGACAGCAGTGAAACAAACCGTTGGGAATGGTGGGAGAGCAGCGCGGCCAACAGGGCCAATGCGGCCAGCCTAAATCTCCAACCTGAGCCAGGAGGCCGTGTCCACTCCTTTGGGCAGTTGCAGCCGCGGATCTGACATCATTGATGATGGCTGGGAGAACCAGAACAGAACGTGGCTTCCCCACCTTTTGAAGTCTCACAAAAAAAGAAGAAAAAAATACGGTTGCAGAAGAGCGGGGGCAGGGGTTCGACGACGTAATTGCATTCACCCATGCCACCTGCTCAATCTGAAAGCCACCACGCCACGAGGAAACCGCCCTCCAGTTCGCCGCAAATATCCCCGGCAAAATATAAATCATTCGGGGCATCGCAGATAAGAGTGATTAACTTAGGAAAGAGTGGCAAAGAAGACGACTAGGAATCGCAGCAGAGGCCGCTGAAACCCTCGTATCCCCCACAGGCCTTTGCGCAGAAGCGGCGACCTGCTAGCTAGGCTACTTCTTTGGCTGAGACACCGCCTGGGCTGTATGACCTTTCAAGCTACCCAGGCCAGTGCAAGCGGTCAACAAGACGGCCCTGAGCATTGGTTATCCGTTTCAAAGTCTTCTGCAGCGCTTCTGATAAGCGCAGGTTCCCTCGTTCGGGCCGTGCAGGTCCTATTTTCGGGGCGGTCTCTGATTGTTGGACTGCAGGTGGTGGCCCCGCCTTTAACCAGCCGGTGAGCCAGGCTGGGTAGGCCGTGAGCCTTAGGCGGGCGGGTGGAGCATAGGCCAAGGCCAAGGTCCGAGTTCAGTATTGACAATTCCGTGTAAAAGTGCAGTTTGCGGTCGAGCGAGAGCGAGCCCCACTGTCCCCCCGCCAGTGTGTACACTAGAAACCCGGCCCAAAAGCAAAGGGCCGCAAGAGCTAGGCGGAGAGAAACAGCCTCCCACCCATGCCGAGGCGCTCCGTTCTCCAGTCAGGGAGAGAGAGAAGGGAAAAAATCGTTTCTCTTCCCCGTTTGCCATAACTCGTCGGTCTTGCCATAAAGTTCGCGTCTCCCACCCCCCCGCTGTTGCCGCAAGGCATTCTTGAGGCTTTGCATGTGTCTCAGCTGATCTGGGTCACCATTGCTTCCACGCAGCACCCACCGATTCACATTGCTTCTTCCGCGCCCTCGCGCCCCACGGCCTAGCAAGACGCGGGCAACATGGGGCTCGGCTCTTGCGCATGGCCAATATGGCATACAGACGACTTCACTCGCTGTTTTATCCATGAGTGCGTTTTCTGCTATGTTCACTTCTTTGGGCGCGTTTTGGAGGAGCTTCGCAATGATTGCCCTCATACGCCGCCTTTATTTCCGTTCTCGCATCCGCTTCCCGAGTAACGCATGTCTTGCACAATGTCTAACCCTTCTTCTACAACAGTTACCTCTTGGTCATTCTGCCATTGGCTGTGATAAGTCTATCGTCCCTCCTGCTCGCCGCTCAGGACATCCAGCGCGCCGTCAAGCAAAAACGCAATGCCCGCGGTTACGAGCAAATTGCTGAGGGCGAGCCTCCGATATCGCCCCGCTCCCACACGGACCTCCCACCCGACGAGGACACTATCGGCGAAAGCGACGACGAAGGCCTCGTCTTGAACGGTGGCCGTCTCGCCCTCGTCAAGACGACCACAAGGGGCTCGATTGTACAAGCCGACTCTCCCCCGGCACAGACGCTGTCTGTCGTTGTCGAGGTTCTCGCTATTGCGGGGCTCGTCGCAATCCATGTCATTGCGGTTGTGACTGGAGCTTTTGGCCGGAATCGCGGTAGCAATGCTGCTGCCGCTGGCTTGACCGTCTGGGTCTACGTCTTGATCCTCGCCTTGCTCCGGCTCTTCTTGGGCAACACGCAATGGCGCGTACCGCGAATATGGAACCACACAGCCGCCATCTACAGCCTGCAGTGGATCTTCTATCTAATTGTCTTCCGATCAGTCATCGTGCACCCCATTCGCTGGCTTTCCGAGATTCTGGTCATTGTCGAATTCACTCTGACGACCCTGCTCTTTGGTCTGGCTATCTCTACCCGTAAAGGGAACAAGACGGTCATCCTTGAGTGGGAGGATGGCCTAAAGCCCGGGCGCGAGAACCTGGCGTCGCTCTTTTCGCACTACACTTTCTCATGGGTCGACACAATCATCTGGGAGGGCTGGAAAGAGCCCCTGGATATCAAGAGAGTCTGGAACCTGCTCCCCAAGGACAAGGCCGCCACCGTCTTGGCTAACTACCGTCAATTCAAAAAGACGACGGTGTTGTCCATTCACCTGCTGAAATACTTCAAGGGCATGCTGATTTCACAGGCTATTTGGGGCATCCTATCCGGTGTTACCACTTTCTTGCCAACGCTCTTGCTCAAGGCAATTTTGGAATATGTCGAGGATCCTTCGGTTGCCCCGAGAAATGTACTTTGGCTGTACATCATCCTACTTCCAGTGTCTGACATGATTCGATCGGTCTGCGATGCCCGTGCACTCTGGATTGGTCGCAAGATTTGCATCAACATTCGAGCCATTCTAGTCGGTGAGATCTACGCGAAAGCCCTCCGGAGAAAGGCGTCCGCCGGCAAAGATACAACCCTTGGTAATGACAGCAAGACGGTCACAGACTCTCCGAAGAAGGGCATCCTCTCCAAGGTAAAGCGCGCATTAGGCTTCCGACAAGATGACAAGAAGGCGGACGCCCAATTAGCTGAGAGCGGAGCAGCAAAAGACGCAGACGGCAAGGCGGACAGCTCCGACGAGCAAGTCAACATGGGCACCATCATCAACCTAATGTCCGTCGACAGTTTCAAAGTCTCGGAAGTGACTTCGTACCTGCATTTTCTTGTTGCATCGGCCCCCGCGCAGCTTCTTGTCTCTGTCATTCTCCTCTACAATGTCATGGGGTTGAGCGCCATTCCTGGCTTCATTGTCATGGCGTTGCTGCTGCCAATTAACATTGCTTTTGGAAAGGGGTTCAACTCGACACAAAAGACAATCATGGGTGCAACCGACAAGCGTATCCATACTACCAACGAGATCCTGCAAAACATCAGGATCATCAAGTACTTCGCCTGGGAGCATCGGTTTGCCAAAATCGTCGATGAAAAGAGGAAAGCGGAACTGAAAGCTCTGCGGGCCAGATTCATGTTGTGGGCTGCTGCCGTCGCTGTCTGGAATACGGTTCCTATCCTGATCACGTTCTTCTCCTTCTTTGTCTACACTGTCATTGAAGGCAAGCCTCTATATCCGTCTGTTGCATTCACCGCCATTTCGCTCTTCATGCTCCTTCGGTATCCTTTGGACCAGCTGGGCGACATGATTGCGCATGTGCAGGAGTCTAGCGTGTCTATCGACCGTATTGAAGAATTCCTCGCAGAGGAGGAGACTGAAAAGTTTGAGCAGTTAGGAAGGGACAACATTGACGGAGACGGAAACCGGGTGATTGGGTTCCGGGATGCCACCTTTGTCTGGGGAAGCAAGTCGACAGTTGCCGAGGACGGAACCATGGCTTTCCGTCTCCTCGACCTCGACATCGACTTTAAGATTGGGAAGCTGAACGTCATCACTGGCCCGACTGGGTCTGGAAAGACTTCAATGCTAATGGCTCTCCTCGGCGAGATGACGATTATGCAAGGCAAAGTTTATCTGCCCGGTGGCCGCAGCCGCGAGGAAGTTCGCCCAGACCCCGAGACCGAGCTTGCCGAGACCTGTGCCTACGTTGCCCAGCAAGCCTGGCTTGTCAATGCAAGCATCAAAGACAATATTATTTTCTCTGCCCCCTTGGACGAAGAAAGGTATCGGAACGTCATTGTTGCCTGCGCCTTGGAGCGTGACCTGGAGATACTCGACAACGGAGACGAGACACTAGTTGGTGAAAAGGGAATCACGCTCTCTGGAGGCCAAAAGCAACGCATTTCTCTCGCCCGAGCAGTTTACTCTAACTCTAAGCACCTGCTCCTGGACGATTGTCTCAGCGCCGTGGACTCGCACACTGCGCAGTGGATCTTCAGCAACTGCATTATGGGCCCCTTGATGCGCCACCGTACCTGCATTCTAGTGTCGCACAATATTCCGCTTTGTGTGCCGTCTTCGGACTATGTGGTTATGATGAATAACGGGCGCGTCACGGCTCAGGGTTCGGTTCCGGAGGTTGTTGCAGCAGGGAAGCTTGGTGAAGAGCTTCTCCAAAAGTCGGCCTCCGGCTCGGCCCATGTCTCTCGTGTCCCTTCGCGCGTCCCTTCTAGTGTAGGAGAGGAAAGCGGGAACACGCTAGTCAACGAGGCAGATGCTAACGAGCAACAGACGAAAGCACAAACTGCCAAGAAGGAAGCTAAGAAGCAAGACGCAATGGAAGAGACCAAGGCAACTGGAGCCGTGAAGTGGCCCGTCATGAAGCTTTACCTACAAGCGATGGGCAGCTGGCGGTTCTGGGTGGTCGCCCTTCTCGTCTTTGGTGCGCAGCAGATGTTTGGTGTAGCTTCGAGCTTGTGGATCAAGGAATGGGCCAACCAATACACAACCGAGGAGACGGCAAGCATCCCGTTCAACATGAACTCGCAGAGTTATTCCACGCAGAGCTTCTCCCCGACCTACTTTGCCTCGGTTTCTACCTATGGAAAGTCAAACAGCTCGTTCTCCGCCACTGCCGCAGCATCAGAAGTCAATGTCACCTATTATCTGGGGGTACTAGCGTTGATCGGTATTGCAGGCGCAGTATCAGCACTTGTTCGAGACCTGTGGATTTTCTTGGGTTCGGTATCCGCGTCCTGGAAACTTCATAACCGGCTGATGAGCGCCGTGAACGGAGCGAGGTTCAAGTTCTTTGATGTCACGCCTTTGGGACAGATGATGAACCGATTCAGCAAGGACCTAGAAGCTGTCGACCAAGAGGTGGCGCCCATCGCCATCGGCGTCATGAGCTGCGGTCTGGGAATTGTGGTGACTGTGGTCCTGATTGCATATATCACGCCTGGGTTCCTGATTGCTGGCGTCTTCATCACCTTGGCCTACGTCTTCCTGGCACAGTTCTACCTCCATGCGTCGCGGGATCTCAAGCGATTAGAGTCGGTTGAGAGAAGCCCGCTGTTCCAGCAATTTGGGGAAACCCTCAGCGGCGTCACGACGATTCGCGCATATGGTGACGAGAGGCGCTTTATCCGCGACAATATAACCCGAATCAACACGCAGATTCGGCCATTTATCTACCTGTGGGCTGCCAACAGGTGGCTCGCGTTCCGAACAGACCTCCTGGGCGACATGGTCGCTTTCTTCGCTGGAGTATTCGTCATTGTCAGTCTGGACAAGATTGACGCGGGCTCTGCGGGTATCTCGTTGAGCTATGCGATCGGGTTTGCCGATAACATGCTGTGGCTGGTGCGTCTCTATGCCTTGAACGAGCAGAACATGAACTCTGTCGAGCGTATCAAGGAGTATCTGGATGTCGAGCAAGAGGCGGCGGCAATTGTCGAGGATAATCGTCCTCCAGCGAACTGGCCCGCCCAGGGCTCAGTCGAATTTATCAACTACTCGACGCGCTATCGTGAGGGTCTGGATCCCGTTCTCCGCGGCCTGACATTCAAGATTGAGGCCCGGGAAAAGATCGGTATTGTCGGGCGGACAGGAGCCGGGAAGAGCTCGTTGGCGCTAGCTATTTTCCGAGCACTGGAAGCGACCGAGGGCAAGATCTTGATCGATGGTATCGACATTGGCCTTATTGGGCTTCGCGACTTGCGTGAGGCTATCACGATTGTGCCGCAGGACCCAACTCTGTTTATGGGCACGATTCGGACAAACCTAGATCCATTCGACAGCTACACGGATGAACGGATATTCGCGGTCTTACGGCGCGTGCAGCTTATCGGCCCCGATGAGGTAACGATAAGTAAAGGGGCAAACGCACCTCTCCTCCTTCAGGCTCCGGCACCTGCTACCGGCAGCGCCAGCGCAGAGCCCTCCCGTCCGGCTACTGCCACCAACAAGAACGTCTTCCTGGACCTCTCGTCGACAGTTACGGAGTCGGGAGGCAACCTTTCTCAGGGCCAGCGCCAGCTCTTGTGTCTTGCACGAGCCATGCTCAAGAACCCCGAAGTTTTGGTCATGGACGAGGCGACGGCGTCGATCGACTACGCCACCGACTCGGCGATTCAGGACACGATCCGGGAACTCACCAGCACGATCATTACAATCGCACATCGGCTGCAAACCATCGTCGACTATGACAAGGTCCTGGTTCTTGACAAGGGCCAGATCGTCGAGTATGGGCACCCGTGGGAGCTGATTACGAAGACGGACGGCTCCTTCAGAGGAATGTGCGAGACGAGTGGGGAGTACGATATATTGCTAAAGGCTGCCAAGAAGGCCTTCAAGTCGAAGCAGCTGGTAGATGTCGATGGTGAAGACGAAACGGCGGGCGCGAGCAGCAGCTCTGCAGGCGGCTCACAGGCCGGCAACGACGGTGGAGAGTCTCAGCAAAGCACATTGGTGGGCGAGTCCCAAAAGAGCATATAGTAATTTGCTCTATTTCGGCTGTCTTGGATATTCCGACTATAGCTTGCCCCAAGCCAAAGAAATGGTGTGGGGTGTACCATTATTACTTAGCGCATATTTTCAGCCTCAGGCTTGTAACTCTATCATTTCACGCACTCCGTTTAAGGAGCGTTGTGTTTTTGGAGCGCGCCGGTTCATAGAGGGTCGATGGCAATTTCGACTGTGTGTAAGCGACGGCATCTTGGCATCTAGATTGTTTTCATGTCACTATCACTCTTGTCTCAGATAGTAGTGGATCTGTAAAAAGGCGTCTTGGGTTCTATCTTGAAATCTTTATTTCAATTAAATATTTTGCTATTTTACCATCATGTCGGTTTGATACAGAAGGTCCTAGGCATGCTTTTTTAACTCTCGGTGCATGCTCTGAAGGGGGGTTTCCCCTGCTGAACGTTCTTGCCCCACGGCGCTAAGCCTCACCATGCTCAGCTGCACCCCACGGCAAAGCTAGCGTGCTAGCTCCCGTGCCATAGAATTTCAAGGACACAGCAGTGCAGTGCATTTCATTACGCCTCGCCAACTTCTGCTTCTTAACTGGCAAATACACCTCCAAAAAAAAGACCGCTTCCTAAGCCGTCAAATAAATCCCCGCCACCATGCCGCCTAAGCGCATGACGGCGAACCCGGTGCGGCCGGCGCGGTACCGCGCTGGCAAGCCGGTAGGGAACGAGTCGGAGTCCGACAACGAGAGCAGCGCCTCGGGCTCGGGCTCAGACGAAGACGACGGCGACAAGGCAAAAACGACGACGCGACGCAAGATCGTGCCGCCGCCAAAATTCTCCTCCAGCGCCCCCTCGGGCCCCGGCAAGGTCATCAGCCGCGGCAACAACGCCAAGATCAACCTGCAGGGCGTCTCGCTGCGGCAGCAGGACGACGCCGAGAAGGAGCGGCTGCGGCGCGCACGCATCGCCGCCGAGCAGCGCGCCAAGGCCGAAGGCTTTGTGACCGACGATGAAGACGATGACGAGGAGGGTGGCGATAAGAAAGCACAACCAGGCGGAGGATCCGAGAGCGGCGAAGAGAGCTCCGGGGAGGAAGAGTCGTCTTCAGAAGAGGAAGAGGAGGAAGAGGCGCCTCGCAGGCTGATGATGCGCCCGAAATTCTTCAGCAAGAGCGAGCGCGAAGCGTTGGCTGCGGGAGGGGCACCATCAACGACAACAGCAGCTAGCACGAGCAAGGCGACGCCTGCGCCGACAGCAGAAGACGCACAGGCTGAACAGGAGCAGAAGGAGGCGGCGCGCAAGCGGGCGCTTGACGAGCTAGTCGAGGAGCAGATCAAGAAGGACTTGGCAGCGCGGCGCGGCGGCAAGAAGCACTGGGAGGACGACAACGACAACGAGGTGGGCGAGGACGGGATGGTGGAGGGTGGAGCCGAGGTAGACGACACGGACGACGTGGACCCGGCGGCGGAGGAGGCGTCGTGGCAGCTGCGAGAGCTGCGGCGGGTGCGGCGGGAGCGCGAAGCGATCGAGGCGCGCGAGCGCGAGCTGGCCGAGACGGAGCGGCGGCGCAACCTGACCGAGGACGAGCGGCGGGCCGAGGACGACGCGCACCTGGCGGCGCAGCGCGACGACAAGGAGGGCCGCGGCAAGATGTCGTACATGCAAAAGTACTTCCACAAGGGCGCCTTCTTTCAGGAGGACGCCGCCGCCGCGGGGCTCGCCGGCCGTGACCTCATGGGCGCCCGCTTCGCCGACGACGTGCGCAACCGCGAGCTGCTCCCCAAGGCTCTGCAGATGCGCGACATGACCAAACTCGGCAAGAAGGGCGCCACAAAGTACCGCGATCTCAAGAGCGAGGACACGGGTCAATGGGGCCGCCTCGACGACGGCCGCGGCGGTGGGCCGCGGCGCGACAACTTTGGCGCCGACGAGCGCTTCCAGCCCGACGACCGCCGTGGCGGAGGCGGTTGGGACAGGGATAGGGGAGGAGGAGGAGGAGACGGCGGTCAGGGCGCGAATGCCATACCGCTTGGCGACCGGAAAGTTGCGCTAGTCGGAGCTCCCGACGGCCCACGAAACAGCAGGCCGCAGGGCCAGGATCGCTACGGCGGCCGAGATGGTGAGCCAGACCGGGGAGGGGATAGGGATAGGGACCGCGACCGCGATCGCGCTCGTGACTACAATCGGCGTAGAGATGAGGACCGGGACCGACGGCGGTCGAGGTCCCGGTCTCCAAGGCGGCGGGAGCGGCGGGATGACCGCGACGACCGCCACGGCAGCGACAGACGAAAACGATCTCCCTCTCGCGAACGGGATCGGCACGAGGGGGATAAGCGGAGAAGGGTAGAGACCAGGTAGAAAGATCATGTCATATCCATCAAATCGACAGAGAGAGAGAGCAAAATTAATTTGTGTAAAATTCGCAAGATAGTGGCTCGATACCCAACAAAAGAAGCCCCGGTATTGTTCCCACATGCAAAACCCAAGCCTTTACCCCCCCTATCGACACACGATGCCTCCCAAAGTCAATTCATGTCATCATGCACTACACAATATCAAATCCTCGTAATTTCTACTCTCGCTCTTTCAAAGACCTTGTGGGCCATCATGCCCCCGCTGCCTACCTCGGCCTGCGACGTCTTGGGCGGGTACAGTGTCATCCTCGCATAGGTGCCGGCTCCTCTCCGTTTTGACAGATATCCGGGGTTGATGACGAGCACGCTCTCCACCACCTTTCCTAGAATGTTAGTGGGCTATTCACGAGAACAGACAGGGAGGGGGAAATGGGCTGACCTTTGCAAACGGCGGTAAAGCACTTGGCACGACTAGCACATCAGGTCTCACGTTGACCATCTCGCCAAGCTTGAGGTAGCTGACGTCCAGCACGGCGCCGGGGGGCACGCCGTCAGCCGTGCCCGTCTTGGGCAGTTTCTGTCTGTCGGCGGGCGGGAACAGCGGGAAGTAGTGGCGCTGCTCGATGAGGTAGCGCGACACGCGCGACAGCAGCGAAGGGTCGGCGGGCTTGCCGCCAACGAGCTCTTCGTGGCGCAGCTCCCACAGCGCGTCCTGGCTGCTGATGCCCATCACCGTCTCGTTTATGCTCAGCGTCATGGGGTTGCCGATGATCTTGACCGACTTGTGCAGCCCGAGCTCTTTGCGGGGAAAGGCGTCCTGCGGCCAGGACACGTGCTTGTCGAGCACGTCGCGCACTGATGGGACGAGAAGAACCGTGACGTGGGGGTTAGCGGCCACGACTCGATTCAGCGCCGGCGAGATCATGTACTTGAACACGGTGCTCATAGTGGCCGTGTCGGGTTCGTACAGTGCCTCGTCGGGCAGATCGAAGTCACCCGAGGCGATGAGCGGGTGCTCGGCGTCGATGAAGGGCCCGGTGAAAACGAGCGCGTCGGCATACGTGTCGGCGGCCTCGTTGCAGATAGCGTGCAGGGGCTCAAAGTCTAGGTTGTCGTCTGCCGTATAAGGGCCCGACGCAAATATTATGTTGAGGGGCATCGGCTCCGTGTCGGCATCCATGGCGTCCGGGCTCCCGCGCAGCTTTTCACAGTGCGCCTCGAGCACGGCAGGCGCAGAGGCCGCATTCGGGAGCAGAGGAGCGCTTAACACCTCGTGCACAGTGAAGTCGCTTCCCGAGGTGTTGACGCCCCTGACGGCGACAATCTGGCCGGGGAAGAACTGGTATCCCGGGAGCCTGTCGAGCTTCAGGGGCACACGAAGGCCAGCGCCCATACGCCTAGACATCTCCAGCACGAGAGAGGCGGCGTTTAGCTTCCCCTCGGCCGAGTCTGAGGCGATGCGGCCGATGGCAACTATCTCAGTGGTTCCCTGGGTGGCGGCACTGCCGAACGCCGAGTCGTCGAGTTTGTGGTGCCCCATTATCAAGTTCATAAAGTCGTCTATCCGGTCGTCCAGAATCTCGGAGGCTTCAGACAGCTTCATGGCCAGCGGCTTATAGCCGAGCTTCTTTTGGTCCGAGGCTGCGGTCAGCCTGACGCGCGATTCGCTAAAGGGGGCGATGGGTGGCTCGGGGGCAAGGAGGTGGTCATTGAGGATCTCGACAACCTCGCCGGGGTTCTGTCTGTCGGCGAAGGACGACGGCCTAGTAGTGTTAGTTATTTGCCAGCCCTTGGCTTGGTCAAGGGGCGGTGTGCTCGCGACATACGGAATGGCGCCCATGGCGTTGAGCCGGTCCTCGAGTCTCAGGGGCGAGCTGGCGGGCTCGGCTTTTAAGCGGGAGACAGCGGGGGTGTCCTGCTGCCTCCTCCTCGCGGCGGCCGACTTGGCCGATCTCCCGGGACCAGGGGTGGTGAGGGCATCGAGCATGCCAAAGACATCGCCGGCCTTGTTGGCGGACCGCGGGGTGGCAGCGACACGCTTCTCGGTCTTGATGTGGGGCTGGGAGCGGTTGGTGCGCTCGAGGGCGTCCTGGAGGTCCTGCTTGAAGGCGCGCAGCGAGCTGAGCGAGACCTTGAGCTCGTCCCTGTCCATCTTGATGCAGTAAGATTCCCACTTGAAGAAGACATCCTGGGCCGAGAGCTCGTGCAGGCGCATGATGGAGAGGAGCTCGGCCAGCATGTCGGCCGGCAGTTCCTTGTCCGCCGAGCCGAAATGCTCGTTGAGCTCGACTACTATGTCGTCCGCCATTGTGTTGTTACTGAAATTGTCCGTGTCGGCAATCTATAATCGTAATTGGCAAGAAAGAAAGGCCGATGCGATACAGTGAAAATGGAGGGGCAGAATCAGTATTCGCAGTATTGGGTAACTACGGAGTACGAAGTATTTAGTGGTGCGTGGTGGTTTGATGTGGGGGACGCGATCAGACGCGCTTGCTGCTTTTTCGTGGTCACCACTTTACGCGAGAACCACGCGACCGCTGCAGCCCAGCTGGTGGCCCCCAGGACAGGACAGGCCCCTGCAAAATCCCGGTCGATCAGAGGCTCCCACAACCACCTACGGGAGCCATCGTCCTTCAATTCCTGCTTGCGGAGAATTGAATCTTTAATACACACTGGCCAGGCCAACTGCTCAAACTGTCTATGCGAACTTGGCATACCCTAGCTTACGAGTGCTGACCAACATCAGTTCCACATCATAAACGTGGCTCAACTTGGCGCTACAGAATCCGGGAACAATACCTTTCCTAGGGGGCTCCGCTGTCATGAAAACGCACGTATCACCCATTCTCGATTCCCAATTCGGCATCGACGACTGTCTAGTTGTAGTGGTAATTTACTCAGTACCATGTATTCGTATTCGTACCTACCTACCTGCCTTGCCAACCTGACCTGTCAGCTAGGTCTTTCCCTCAACAGCTAAGTATCGGAATTCCGTATCAGCACGCGGATGGAGTACCCCTCCGTTTGAGTCTGTGCCAAGACTCGCCCAATCCCGAGTGAGAGATTATACTGATCCCTGCACCGAATTACAGCTTCTGGCTCTTCTTGTTTCTTATTTCATAGACAGATAAAAATACCTAGATCGCCCCAAGGGCCATTCCGTCACCATCGTCCTTAGTTATTGTCATTTAACCCTACTTCCCTACCCGCGTCAAGACTCTTACTCATTGCGAAAAGAAACTTGACAAATTTCGCCATGGCTACTGCTGGTGCTGCCTCACAGGCGCCCCCTGCCAAGGTCTCGCCGACAGAGGATGCCGTCGAGGTCCACGAGAAAGCGACGTCGAGTGTCCTCAAAGTCCCGCTGGAGTCTCCAACCCCCGAAAGCCATCCCGGCGAGCGCTCGGCTCTGACTGCGGACCAGCAAGCCAAGTTGGACTGGCTGCTCGCCAAGGTCAAGACGTGGACCGAGATCCCCTCGACCAAGGGCAAGGCCGGCCCTCTCACCGACAACGACCGCTTCTGGCTAACCCGGGACTGTCTGCTGCGCTACCTGCGCGCCACCAAGTGGCACGAGAAGGAGTCCGAGAAGCGCCTCCTGGCCACCCTGACCTGGCGCAGAGAGTACGGCGTTGACGACCTGACCTTTGACCACATCTCGCCAGAGAACGAGACGGGCAAGCAGGTCCTCCTGGGCTACGACAACCAGTGCCGCCCGTGCCACTACCTCTTTCCCGGCCGCCAGAATACTCCTGCCTCTCCCCGCCAGGTCCAGCACCTCGTGTTCATGGTCGAGCGCGTCATCGACCTCATGCCGCCCCAGCAGGAGGCCTTGTCGCTCTTGATCGACTTCACCCCAAGCAAGACACGCTCCTACACGGCCCCCGGCCTCGGCATAGCCCGTGAGGTCCTAAGCATCCTTCAGAACCACTACCCTGAGAGGCTCGGAAAGGCCCTCATCGTCCACAGTGCGTCTGCCCTGCCGCCGCCCCTGCCGCCTGCAACTGACCGACTGTTCTGCAGCCATGCAATTAGCTAACCGTCAGCAGCTCCGTGGGCCATCAACGTTTTCTTCAAGTTGATCTCGCCTTTTATTGACCCGCACACCAAGGAGAAGCTAAAGTTCAACGACGACATGACCAAGTATGTACCGGCCGAACAGCTCGTGACCGAGTTCAAAGGCAACCTCGAGTTCGAGTACAACCACGCTTCGTACTGGCCGGCGCTGCAGGAGCTGTGCCGCAAGAAGCACGACGCTCGCTGGCAGCGGTGGGTTGCTGGCGGACAGCAGATCTTCGAGCTCGAGGACTACCTGACAGGCCACCTCGAGGTTGGTGTTGCTGGCGCCAAGCCCATCGAGGCTACCGAGCCACCGTCCGAGACTGCCGAGACGACGTCCGAGGCTGGCGTCGCCGCCAAACCTGCTGAGGCTGCCGAGCCGTCACCTGTCCCAGCTGCCGTTGCGGCCACAGAACCAGTTGCAGCGGCCGAAGAGGCCAAAGCGGAAGAGGCCAAGCCTGAGGCCGCGACGGATCAGAATGGGACAGCATAGGTGTTGATTGCCCCGGCTCAGCAGCGCATCCATAATACCCGTAAAGTCTTGTTGGGCGACTCGTTGACGGCTCTCGAGTCCAATTCACACTCTGTGCACCAGCCGTACGGGTCGCGGGCGCAATCTCAAACCCGACACGGGCACCGAGCTGTCCGGGGCTGCGGGGCCCGGCATTAATTGTGCGAAGGAGTTAGATAGACTAGCCGGCTCACTTGTTTGGTTTTTTTTTTCTTTTGGTCTGTTCTTATAGACGTTTAATAATACCACGCTGCATTATTTTCTTTCACGTGTATCCTCACTTTATCCAATCACTCCTCCCTGCAAATGCTTCGGATCCATCGCGGCGGTTCCTAGGATCAAATGTCGACAGAAGACGGGCAAACTTCCGGCCGCAGCACTCAGCTCGGCTTGGCAAGGACACATCGACGTCTTTTTTAACAGTCAGTCTTTGTCTTCTGATCACCGACAGACACCCTGCATGCCCGCTGGTCTGTGCAATCCAGGCTGTTTATAGCCAACCACCCGCCAATCGACGTTACACGCGGGCGAGCTAGTCTCCAAGGCTTCAAGCTGCCGCGAGTACAAATGAATGTGAGTCCCATTCTCTTCGAGTTTGTACGGTGAATGCCTAATGGAGACTTTTACGCGACTACGCACTCTCTCATTTTCTCTGGTGCAATTCCTCAAATTGAGCCTTGTCCCCATCCATCAAGAATAACAACAATGATGCTTCGTGAAACCTGACTTGAGCCCTTGTCCCTTTTACCTTGTGCAGTAACTACCCCAGGAGCTTTTCCCGTCATCACCATGTCTGCCGCCGCCTCAACCACAACCACCACAAAAGCATGGGCCTACACTAAACGAGGCCTGCCGCGCGCCGCCCTGCAGCTCACCACCACGCACCCGCTGCCAGCCGCCTTCCCGCCGCCCGGCCCCGCGGCAGCAGAAGAATGGCTGCTGATCCGCGTCTCGTACGCCGCCCTCAACCCCGGCGACGCTGTCGTCATGGCCTTCCTCCCGGCCGTCTTCCGCTCCGCCAAGACCACCGTGCCGTGCTATGACCTCGTCGGCACCGTGCTCGACGTCTGGACGCCGCCGCCACCCTCTTCATCATCCCCTTCCACCACACCCACACCTGCCCCTGCTGCACCCGCTCTACGGTTCCGCCCCGGCGACACGGCAATCGGCTTCCTCGTCGTCGCGCACATGCTGCGCTCCGGCTCTGGCGCGCTGCAAGGCACCGTCGCCCTGCCCGCCAAGTACGCCGTGCGCCTGCCGAGCAACCGGGTGCCGCGCGATGCTGCGGGCTTGCTGCTCACAGCGTGCACGGCTGCCGAAATGATCACCGCTGCGACGCCGGCGCCGGCGGAGGCCAAGCTGCGCCGCGTGCTCGTTGTTGGTGCCAGCGGCGGCGTTGGCACTATGGCCGTGCAGCTGCTGAGGGATGCGCTGGACGCCGACGCCGCTGCGGCTGGTGAAGGGGAGGAGGGGGAGGGGCCGGCGCGGCTAGTGGTAGCTGTTTGCTCTGGTCGAAACATCGAGCTGGTCAAGGGGTTGGGTGCGGATGAAGTACGTTTTGCGGGTTTCCTTTCTCACTTCGTTCTGTGCCCACTCTGGTGTTATTTCTGTAAACATTTACCCCAGGGCAAGCTAACAAAACAACCAACAGGTCGTCGACTACACGCAGCACGCCAACCTGGCCGACGAGCTGGCGCGGCGCTACGGCCAGTTCGACGCCGTCATCGACGCGTTCGGCGACCAGGCGCTGTACAAGAGCTGCGCGCGGATCCTCAAGCCGGGCGGCGTGTACAGCGCGGCGGGCGTGCACTCGGCGACGTTCTCGCTGTGGGCGGTGCTGAAGGTCGGGCTGACGCTGGCGGCGAACGCGCTGTGGCCCAGGACCAAGTGGCTCGGCGGGACGGGGCGGACGTGGAAGGCCGCCAGCATGATGGATCCAGGGGTGGAGCTCATGGAGCGCGTGGTCGGGCTGCTGGGCGAGGGCAAGCTGCGCGTCGCCGTCGACAGCGAGTGGCCGTTCGACAAGGCCCTGGACGCCTTCGACGTCTTGCTGAGCGGGCGGGCGCGGGGCAAGATTCTGATCAAGGTCAACGACGACGAGTGAGCTGACATGTATTGTACATGCTGTATACCAAAACATCAACACCACTCACTTGTGTCATCACATGCACAACACTGCTTGTTCAAGCACGCTTCGCGGCCTCAAATGTACAGATATTTTGTGTGGAGATAAGCAACCCAGCTTCCTCCGCATTCTCCCATAGCGTCACGTAACCTTACAACAAACATGTCTTCACTTGATCATCCTCAACATCGTCAACGATCACCATCAAGACACACTCTAAAGACGAAGGAAAAAAGGCAGTAACAACCAGCTTCCAGTTCATATAAACATTAACGACCAGTATGTAAGTTTATGTGCATGTCATATCGTTCAAGTGGGTATGTAAAGGTATATATGTGCGTATGCATCATCGCAACACCAAAAAGAAAGAAAAACATCAAACCCCTCCGTCCTACCATCCCGCTTTTTCTATCATGCACCCCTTTCCCAGATTAACATTTCGCGCCATGTTTTTGAGAAAAAGAAATGAAGTAGTGAACCTCTTGATGCTTTGAGCCTAGATAAGTCAAAAACGCTCCTAGTATGCGAGTAATGCAAGCAAATTGATACAGCCGCCTTATGCCTGTGCTTTTAAAAAGGAAAAATGATCAACATGTCCCACCAGTTTCGATCTTGCTTTCCGGCTTTTCGCCCTTTGCCCGTTGCCCGCTGCCTGTTAAACTGGGCCGTTTTGTGTGATCCCGTCTCTAGTTCGAAAGGGGCCATGGTCTCCCCCCACTCGTCGGAGTCTTGAGCTCGACGGGGCTCTGGGTAAAGTAAAAATCCTCGTTTTGCGCTGATCCTGCGCCCGCGGCGGCGGGTGGATTGGTCGCCACTATCGTGGGTGACTCGTCGTGTATCCATCTCCCTGTTCCGGCCCCCGGTGTCGACTTTTGCTTCTTGCCGGCAATATCCATCGGGTTTTCGCGTTCCTCAGCGGGTGGGGTAAACTCTGGAGGCACGTAATGCTCATCGGTCATGTGCCTGCTTCCTCTTTTCGTGCCTCCAAAGTGCCAACCGCCCGTCTCTCTCAGAGACAACGAGGGAGCAGTGCCGATGGGTGCCGACACCGCGGTACTAACGCTGAGCTTTTTAGATGGCGGGTCCGCGGCGTTCTCGTCTGACTGGTACACGGGTCCTGCTTCGCCCCCGTGCTCGCCTGCATGCTCTTTGATCACGTCCATGACGCCGTCAATATGCTCCACCTCTTGCATGAGGTCCTGGTCCGTGGGCCACAGCGACTTGCGGACAGCGGAAACCGCCAGCTCAAACACAATCAGTGCAGAGAGGGCAACGAAATGCACCAGCCACCACATACCATTTTTCCCGAACCCCTTGATAAATGATCCGCGCACCACGTACGGCCCTGGACTCGGGGAAAACACAAGGCTGAGGAGGACGTTCCACAAGAACCAGCCAAGGATAGATATAAACAACCCAAGGAACGAGATGACGGTGCGGTTGTGGAGCTCAAGGACAAGCATTTTGAGGTTGATGAATATGACCGCTAGCGAGAATGCCAAGGTCCCCACGGCGTAAAGACCAGTGTCGGCCGGGTAATGTGAGGTTCCGTAAAGGCAGTACACAGAGAAGAATATGATGGCCGACGAAGAGGCGGCCATAAACATCCAGCCCAAGTATTGCAGCATGTTGAAGCCTCTGTTCTTTTGCCCAAACGAGTAAAGCTCTGGAACGGCGATCAGGGTTTCGGAATTTAGATCCTTCTCGAAGATGCCAAGGAGAATGACGGGCAGCGAGGTGAAGAGCGTGTTGAACACCGTCAGGCTGGTTGACTCAAAGAGCGATGTTCCAGTGTATCCATTGAACTTCTGGTACTGTGCCTGTAGCATGTAAAACAGCACCTCCTTCCAGAAGGTTCCGACAATGTATTTGCCTGTCCTGATATAGTTCCAGCGGCCGTGGACGAACAGAAGTCGCTGGAGAAAACGGAACTGGGCGATCGAGTAGTCCGAGATGCGAGCAGCTTGAAGACCCTCCCGGCCCGAGATGCCGATTCCGACGTGTGAAGCCTGGATCATGGCAATGTCGTTGGCGCCATCACCGACGGCGAGCGTTACAGATGACGGAACCTGGTGGCGAATGCACTTGACCAGATTAGCTTTCTGCGATGGCGACGCGCGACAGCATATGACCGAGTCAACCCGAACAGCCAAGTCCAAGAACAAAGCATGAAGCACCTCGTCTCCTTCCACGACCCCAAGAGTATGGCCGTCAATGACGATCACTGAATGGGGAGCCATGCCGCGACCGACTTCGACAAGCGCATCGGCCATGTTTTCTTGCCAGTCGGGCTGGGCGGCGTCCAATATGTAGACCTGCGAAAAGGGCTTGCAGATTCTTGTCGAATGAGCAATATTGATGGCCGTCTCGCGCTTGTCCCCCGTCAGCATCCATACCTTAATATTAGCTCGGCGGAACTTGTCGATCGTCTCCGGGACGCCTTCCTGCAGCTTGTCCTCGATCGCAGTGGCCCCGGCAAGGTCGAGGCTCTGCTCGATGAGCTCCGCCGCTTCTTCGATACGTTCCTGGCGCTTGACGAGACTTGTCGTGGCCTGGTGATACACAGTCTTCCACTTCTGATAATCGTCTTCCTCAAGGTAGCGATAACCGAAAATGAGGGTACGAAGACCCTCGGAGGCAAAATCATGAACGTGCTGAAAGCAGCGTTCATACACCGCAGCTTCGTTCAAAGCCAGCGACTCATCCACCAGAGAGTCATATGGCTCAATGGCACGTGAGGCTTCCATGGATCGCCCCCCTCCCATAAAGTGGTCATCGCTCTCAAATTCCGACTCGATCCCGTCATTCTCGCGCCGGGATAGCCAGTAATCAACTTCGTCGGTGATGATGTTGGACTTGCGGCGTCCTCGAGAATCCCTTCGGTCCAGTGTTGAGGCAGCTCGGACGAGATTCATGCTGTCGCGCTTCACGTTTTGGAGACTCTGTCGCTTCAAAGCCTTCTCCAACTCGATGCTCTTCCGCACACTTGCTCTCCGTTCAACAGACGACATGGCTTGGGTGGCGAGCTGACTTTGCTTCAAACGAGGTAAGATGACGTTGTCGGCGCCCTTGCTAAACAGACATAGCTTTCCGTCTGGCATGCGGCATACCACCGACATACGCTTGCGTTCGCTGCTGAATTCGATAACATCGAGGATTTGATAGCCCTCCATTTTAGTCGATCCATCAATATCGTGGCTTTCTAGCTTGATGGACTGTGCAGCTCGGTCAACCAGCAAGTAACCCATATCCCTTGCAGCTTCCACCAGCGCAAGCTCATCGGGAGATGCAGCTTGAAAGGTGACCGAGCCATCATCGCGAGTCTCGGGCAGACACGTATGACACAGCGCAATGCAGAGGATGAACTGGCGCGCCTTTCGTGAAAAGGGGGAATTTGGTTTGGCACGGAGAAAGCGGAGGATGTCCTCCGTATTCAACTCTGGCTGTGCTTGGCCTGGACGAGCCGTCGACTTCCATTGTGAAGCGGAATTTAGCCTCGCAGAGTGGATATTCGGGAGGCGGCCCTCGTCGATCAGATGCTCATTTGTGAAATCGACGCCGGAGCCAGGTGCTGTCGCTTTGGGCGACGGAGTCTGTCGCCCCTTTGCTGTCTCAACCCCCGCTTCCTGGTATGCCGGGAGCTTATTCTTCGCTTCTTTCTCCGCTGCTATTTTTTGCAGATCCGAGTCATGCAACCAAGCAGTCCCAGCCACGCTCACCTTTCGAAGTTTCATCAGGTTCTCGGTCAAGGTGCCCGTTTTATCCGAGAAGACGTAGCTGACTTGGCCGAGGTTCTCTAAAATAGTCGTGGTATTGGCAACCATTGGCGTGTCACTCACAGGGTCGTACATCTCAATGTCGTTGAGGAGATATGCCTGCCCAAGCTTGACTATTTCCAGGCTGACGTATAGCGAGAGCGGAATGAGGGTGTTGAACGCAATGATGAAGGCAATGAAAATATTCTTCAGCGGCACCGAAGTGTGTCGGAGATACCAGGCACGACCTTCGTGGTCGCGGCGCCAGACGATGTAGCCTGCGGTGCAACCGAGACTCAGCGCGATCACAAACCCCACCAAGACCACGACGATGCGGTTCACAGCGTACTGCATCTCGGGCGCCTTGGCATGGACGTTCTTGCGTGCATTCATCCGAATCTTGCATTCTTCGCCGGTGTTGATGACAAGTCCAATGGCCTTGGTCGTGTTGCGCAAGATCGAACCCCTATACACGACCTCGTTCATCGTCAGCGGCATGGTCTCCCCCTTGACCGTGGCTCTGCCCTCGAAGTTGTAGAGGTCGAGATTTGGATCCTCGACAACGACCTCGGCATCTAGGGATGTCATCTCGGCGATAGAGTTGCAGTGTTTAGCGAACAAGGGGCAGGCCCGCTTGCTCTTCAGGTTCGTTTCACCATCGAGAGCCATTGTTTCGATATACGCCACTCCGTTGGGGCCTGTGGCGTGGAGAAGAATGATGTCGGCAGGGAGGTTGTCATCTCTCCGTAGCTGAATGATGTCGCCAACCCGGACGTCCTGCCACTCAACCTGGGTCCACTTCTTTGCCTGTTCGACTTCGTTGCCCATTCCCGCCTCCACCTCAGCTATTCGCACGTGTGCACCATGCGATCTCCCCAACTTCCCAATCCTCAAGAGCTCTGAACGGCTCCTCCGATCTGTCTTGGCGAAGAGATTCTCGGGATCAAGTACCCAAGCGACACTCTTGTTCTCCAGCTTGTCGAGCTTGTATCTACGATAATCGTCATAGCCCTCTTTAGCCATGCTGAGAGCGACGAAGGCGATCAGGGGTGCTATCGTTGTGAACGAGCCGGTAGTACTGAGGCCGGGTATCATCTGGAGGATACCGATGATGAGGAAGTAAAAGTTGGCCAGCTTGCTAAACTGGAAGAAGAGTTGCTTTGGCAGGAAGTTCCAGAGAGTATACCTGCTAGACCGAATGAAATTGGACAAGTAGGGGCGGCCGGTTCGGTCATCTTTCAGTGGTTTCCGTCTCGCGAGGCCAGGCTCCAGGGGCACATGCCTGCCGTCCTGACTTGGTGGTATAAGCTTCTGTCTCAATATTCCCTCCAGGACGAAGCGCTTGTACAGCTTCTCGGCTCCATCTCGAATCCTCGCCGGGTCAATGGCACTCCTCCACCGCCGCCGACTTCTTTTCTGGCGGTCGACCCATCCCTGGTACTGGGCGAGGGTGACATTGGTCTCTTCGGCGGTAGCCATGGCCCGCTTCACACTTCCATGCAGGTGGTCCAACTTCTTCTCCGGCCGCGTCAAAAGAGCCGGTGTCGAGGCTTTTTGCCCAGCTCCACCATCCTGGTGTCCTCTCGAAGCTGTATCGTTTCGCGCACGAGTACTGCGCTGCTCCGACAACAACTGTGGTGGTGCAGCGACGGGAATGTGCGACTCGATAGTGTAGAGTCCAGTCCCAAGCGTCGGGGCTGGGCGAGGTCGCTGAGGGCTCCGGCTCCGGCTCCGGCTCCGGCTGTGGCTGCTGCTTTGGCCGCCGCTCTGGCCCGTGTAATCTCGAACGCCGGGGGAGAGAGCGAACGAGGGCGTCCTCTGGGGCGGTGCTGGCTGCCTATGGGATTGGGTAGCAGCACTGGTGTCATGGTCGACGTCGCTCGAGAGGAGACTCTGGCGCGAGTGTGAAGAGGGAGAGAGCAGGACAGCAGCAGGACGGGGATCTTGTGAGGATCGCTGCTGAAGCTCAATGTGTTCTAGGCGAACCTCAAAAGCCTCTGGGGCCGTCGGGCCACCTCGGTGGCTGGCCGACATGATGGGCTCTTGCCGACGTGTTAGCCGCAACGAGAAGAGAGGGTGGGGCGGCAATGGCGGCGGGAGGCGCTGCTATTGCTGCTCTACTGGTACGCCAACATGCTCTGGATGGTTCTGGCTGGCATGTAAAACGTCAGAAAGTACGCATACGCGAAACAGGCTTTGGTAAAAGTACGGTGGGTGTTTGAGCGAAGAGCGTGGCGGTGGTCTGGCCAGGTTGGACGAAGTCCCGGGCATTGGACCAGGGCTCTTGGCGGCTGAATCAAGCAGGCGCTCTCAGCGACACTGCATTATTTGCTGGGCTTCCATGGCAATTGCGGGATTGCGGCTGAAGTGATTAGTAGTCGAATCGGTAAACTAAAACGACTAGCATTCGATAACACCTAGACGCCTCCTTGGCTTTGGGGTTCTTTGTCAGAAAGGTGTGACAGTCATTCCACGCTTTGCTCCTGCGAGTCGCAGTGCATCTGACAAAGAAAACGGATGCTCGTAATCCCTAGACAAGAATAGAGTTGTAGGCCTTGTTCAGTGTGTGTGATTCTGTCCAGAGTCAGACGAGAGGAGTGAACACCACAAGACCAGACCACCTTGGGCTAAGCCCCTTCCCCTGGAGGAACAGGTCGACAGCGAGAGAACCCGGCTGGCAATGTAGGGGGGGCCAGCATGAGCATCATGCGGATTGAAGAAGGTTGGTACGTCTTCTAATGCAGATTAGGTTAGGAAAATCCCAGCAATGGGGTGGGAGGGGGGCGGCACATGCTTGGCTCGTGCCCGCCCATCCTTGGGTGCGCTTGGCCAGAGCAGGCGGCGGGATAAAAAAAAAGCTGGAAAACCTGGGAAAGCGGGACTGGATGGACAGCGAGTAGCCAAAAGCGAGTCCTGTGATTCGACCGCCTCCAAACTGGCACTCGACCTGTGTGGAACGTGGATCGTGGAACGGGGAGCGAACCGAGAGAGCTTGACCCCCGCCACAGGTGAGCGCTCTTTGGCAAACTTACGGAGTACAACTTTGGGCATTCCTTCCCTTTTCGCAATGTTTGCCGTAAGGTCCATCCAAATACGACCTTGATCGACGGCTAGTCTGTTCCGTGCCCACCTTCGCTGACTGCAGCTGCTGAGCCACAATTTACCAGGCACCGATTGCTTTTACTTACATAGTACACGAGACGCGTCGTCAGACTCGATCAGTAGACGAGCGGCGTCCGGTCCGTAAAAAGGGGCTGTAGTTTTTGAACTGAATGAAGATAAAACGACGAAGCCTTCCTAAAATAACACCCAGAGAACGATCATGTGTCAGGCCGCGTGACGTGATTGTCTGGTACGGTACTGTTTCCGCATGCATGTCGTCCCACGTAGTACAGATAGCAGCGGGATTTCATCCAATGCACCGACTAACTGTCCGTCCGTCGCCTCTTTTGTTCCGAGCGCGCGGGCTTTGAGATGGAATAGAGTTCTGGAGGTTTAAATGGGGTCAACGACAACCTGAAAAGGCGGGGGTTGAGGGGAAAAGAGGAGAACCGGAGCATCCCAACTTGTGGGTGTGGGCCCGGCCGCTGAGCTTTTCCCTTCAGGCCCATCTAGACCTGATTAAGGCTGAAAACGTAGAGCCAGACTCCCGCTAAAGAGGGTGCTAGCACAAAGAGGACGGAACCTCCGCGAACACGTCCTTGAAATACATTGCACCATCAATGTGTCCGCATCAATACCGACGCATTTATCAAGCATTTGCAATACTTCTATCCGCACTCTCGCCGACACTATAGACTCAGATGGCGCGCATATTCAGGCACAGTAATCGGCATCCCCCAAAAATTCTGTTCCGAAGAAAGAAGTGACTGCACTTGATACCGACGCAGCACAATGAGACTCCAAAATACTCTTGGAGGTTCTTTGGTTGCTCATACAAATGGACTGAGCAAGTCGGTTTCTTTTTCATGCTGTAGTACGAATCGAAAAGCCTCACCTCTTCATTCGTTGATGCTGACGAAAGTCTCAACAAGGGGCTGTGGTGAATAATCACAAGTCACGACTTTCCAAGCACGTCTACAATGCAAAATGATGATAACATTTAATAGATGTTGTTCGTTGATTAGGATCCTGCCGTGAGTCATAAATAGCAACCACGGCGACAACTGCTATCAGTCAGGAGAGTCCGTCCGCACGCAACCCAAGTTGAGGCCAGTCTGAACCTCGTTTGTCATTGCTCTTGCCACGACATTTCTCCTTGGGCCTTCCCCGCTAGCTCATTTCTTAGCTTCGTTAGGCCTGCCCCCTGATATTTAGATGGGCTTCACCATGGCTGCTCAGTCTGCTTCAAACCGCAAGTCAACAAAACGCGTCTCCTTTGTTGCGTACCGCGAAATACCCGAGCCCATCCCTAGAAATTAGAACCGGAAAACCAAAGCAGCCTCCTGGGCCTTCGCCATTCCATCTTTTCTCCCGCAGCCACGAACATCTGTTTTTTCCCTGGAAAGTTCTCCCCATGTCAATCCCAAGAGCCAAACGGCCAGATAAAAACTAGATATTAAAGGGTCTCCTAGAACGCTACAACCATGTGCGTTCATCGGATTCTTATAGATGAAACCGCCATTCCAAAACAAAAAAGAAATGTAAAGAAGCTGCCAAACTAAAATGAAAAGAGTCCGCAACTGCTGTGCCGGAAGCGCATGAAAAAATAGGTATCGTCATGCAGATTTCGTGACTAAAAATGGATGAAATGGGACAGAAACAGAACTCAGACTGGGGATGTGTGTCGCTGATATATCGAAGGGGGGGTAGATATGTCGTCAACTGTTTCGAGCCGGAGATAATGAACGCAAAGCTCCCGGGTATACAACCAAATTCCTCTAAACGCCGGGGGGGGGTCGAACCAGGAGTGGTGCCTCGACGGTATTTATTATACGTGATGACCATCCAGTCGGCATTGCCAAGTTGGGCACTGAGCAACGCTACAACGCTGATTGCAAGCCAAAGTCCTCGAGTCCCACTAGCCTTGGTGGATGCTTTCGGGCGATAGAGATGCAGGCTCAACTTCAAAATGCTTGAGGTCCATAAACTGGTTAAGTTCGAGATCGGCTTGGTTCGGCTCCGCAAATGGGGAGTGCGGGTGAAGAGGAAGCGTCATGGTGTGTTTCCCGGGTTGGTACATCTCGTTCAGACTGTTTCCGTCGTCAGACAGCGCAGAGCCTTCGCACATCGTAGGCATAGACATTGGCGGGGATTCTCCAACAATGGCCGGATCCTGGTGGTTGAAGGAAAGCGGTGAGATCGAAGGCGGGATGCCTAGATTGGATGGGTTGATGAGGGGCGAGAAAGTACCGCTATAAGGAGTATAGCTAGCCGTCTGGATTCCACCGCTCTCCGGCGCTTGAGAGGCGAAGAAGTTAGGGCTCGAGTAGTCAGATGGGGAAGGTGCCGTCGTGGCCGAGAGCGGATAGGCCCGCATGTCCAATGTGCCGAACCCAGCCTGTGTATCAATCCGCAGGTTCGGTCCAATGGGGCCCAGCATGTTCGGCTGCTGAGGTATCGGGCTGAAGAGTTGAGGATTGTGGTTGTGATGATGATTCTCATGCTGAGTGATGTGAAAGCTCGGCGGCTGTTGCAGCATTTGCATGGTGTGGAAGTCAATCGGGCCAGGCACACTCCTACTTCGTTGCCTCTTGTGGCCTGGTCCACCACGCATCATCAGACCTTGGTGGGCAGAGATCCCCCATTGAGTCTCCTGGAACATGCCAACGTGAGGTTGGGCGAAGTTGGGTTGGGACGAAGGCCTGACTTGGGGCGAAACGGGCGCAGACATGGACAGAGGGTGGTGAAGTTGGTCGAACATTGGGCTTGGGCTATGGCGGTGAATGAATGTCTCGAGGCTGACCAACTTCGCCAGTTGTCCACTCAAAACCTTCGGGTTTCCACCGAGATTATGAGTCAACACCCGAGAAGCCTGCTGCTCTTCGGTGAAGTCCCCAACCTGGAAGAAGCCGGCTGCTGACGCGGCCGAGTCCATGAAGAAGTTTGGTGGGTGCAGTAGTTCGATCGTGATTCCTTGGTGGTCGCCTTCAATATTATTAAGGAATATGTTTTTGATATAGGCAAATGGATACTCAATCTTGTATCCGGCGTTCTCGCTGTTGATGTAGTAGGTCATCGTGCACTTGTCAGGCGAGTAGAAAATGATCAGGTCCATCGTGTTCTGTCCCACTCGCATCCATTTCCCGATAGAAAGGGACCGGCAGGTGAGATGATGAATCACTGCAATTGTTAGGCAATTGGCCCGCATTTAACCTCAGGACTTAGAACAACTCACAAACTTTGCCCTGCCCACCTTGGTCGCCGCCGAGCACGCCTTGGCCCCCGTATGTCATGAGACCCGTCCGGCCGAAAAAGCCGCCAAGACTCTTGCCAGACTCCATAGCCTGCAGTGCAAGGTACTGTCTCACAGACTCGGGAATTGAGTCAATATCTTCGCCAGTTTCGAGGCTCTTCTTCGCCAACATCTTAATCTTGGCGCGTCTACTCGGGGTCAGATTCCGAAATGCGCGAGGAGGCAGTTGCACGGGAAGGCTCACCGGTTCTGAAACCAGATCTGGACCGACCTCTCGGTCATATTGATCTCTTCCGCTATCCTATCACGAACAGTGGCAGTGGGTGTCGGGTTCTTGTTGAACTCGATTTCCAGAGTCGTCAGCTGGTCTTGAGTTGCCCGCTGCCTCTTCTGGTTCTTCTGCTGCTGCGTGAGAGTACTCTTGCGGGGAGGGCGTCTTGACGCAGAGCCCTGGCCATGGGAAGGCGTGGATGGCGAGGGCGTCTGGCTGCCCTTGCTTGGACCGGCCGAGTTGGGTGTGGCAAGAGCCGCATTGCTGGGGGACGGCGAGGTGGACAAGGACAGCGCCGATGGGGCCAGCGTATCCTCCTGCTTGATTACATCGGTAGCCATTTCGGGCCTCGTGGGTGTTGTTTGTCGCACGGTATATGGGTTATCTAAAGGTGAAGGTGACGCGCGTGGTACCCCTCGGTACTATTTATATTTGAACAAGCGCCAATCCCACCGAGCCAAACGACACTGGCCGGTCTCGATATGGCTTGTCGAGCGAATATCAAGGCCGTGTCGTTTCGGGGCGGGGGGCGGTGTGTGGTATGGTTATTTGAATATTGATGAAGCTTTGAGCAAGTCGGTGTCGCAATTCGGAAGTGGTGCAAGTTTGAAAGGAATGATCGAAATATAATGGAAATCGTCAGCTGTAAAAAAAGAATGTTGTCCTAAAATCCCCTAGTCGGGATAGGAGGTAGTATCGAGGATCCGCAATTGGGCTCGAGTTGCTAACGATGGTGGTGAAAAAAGTAGAGATTCAAGCCGAACGAAGGTAAAAGGACCTGGAAAGAATGAACGGGTTCCTTAGAATGGGCTGAATGTTGATTTCAAGAGAGTGACTGTGGTGAGAAAAGCGAAAGGAGAAGTGGGGGAGGAAGGGGAAGGGCTGGTCGCGAACGACGTGACGATGGGGCGATCAAGGAGAACGAAAAGAGAGACTGGAAAAGAAAAAACGAGAGTAGGCGAGGGCACGGGATGGGGGGGGGCCTAGTCAAGAGGGAAAAGAGTGGGAAGGAACGGGAGTGTGGGCCTGACCAAAGGCGGCGGCTCCCACACTAGGCGGGTCAAGCACGGCGGGTCAGGTCAGGTACAGCGCAGGCTCCAAGCGCCTTTGGGCGACAGAAGCAACGCAGCCCGCAAAAGAAATCCAAGGCCCGACGGCAAACGGCGCGGGGGGGAGACTTGAAGGGATCTCGCAGCCACACCGTGCCGGATACAGTGCCACGAAGCCTCCGACCTTCACGGGTTTTGGTACCTGCCCGACTTGGTTGCGCCCAGTCAGCCCACCTGCAGCTCACTCTGGACGCGGCGCCCAAACTGCGTCACTACAGCTTGCACGCAGCTGGAGACACGCCAAGCTTGGACGTGAGGGGAGCTGTTCACTGCAAAAGGCCAACAAGCATGCCGGCCCCTCTCCACACCACCTCACCTGGCCTGGGGTCTGAACAGAAACCTTGAAGCCTAAGGTGGCGCGGAGGGAATGGAAGATGCTCTCCCGTCGTCGACTCCTCGGCTGCGGCGAACGAGCCGACAACTACGATACTCGCGGCCGGTGAGCCTCCACTGCTTACCCAAGGCACTCAACAGATCCCCGACGAAAGACACACCCTTCATTCACTGCAGACTGGGGGAGGAGAAGAGGCGCCGTCAAGGCACCGTAGGTAGCGCCGCGACTCGGGAGGCTTGGAACACCCTTGCAGGCCAGGGCTCTCTCATGCAAAACAGTGAAACAAGTGCGAGTGAGACGGCGGTCTCTCAGAGCAAGGATATACCGTGCAAGCGCAGGCACAACGCTGCACGAACTGACCAAAACAGTACTAGTTTCTGCTCGAGACAAGAGAAAAATGCGGGAGAGACCTCAACTTTGTTGGAGGACAGGAAAGGGGCAAGCTAATCCGTCCGTACCCGCCGTTCCCCTCCGATCTGACCCTCACCTCAGTTAGCAGCAAGAGTCCTTAGCTCCCTAGTGCTAGCCTAGAATCCATATCTACACAGCACAGTACAGTGCAGTGTCGCACAGTCCGGGCAATCCTGAGGTGCATCGAGCCTGGACGTTCCAAGATGCACGCTCACTGTGGCAGTGGTTTAGCAAGTCAAGGGACGACGCCCGAGTTTCTGGCTGGCTCAGGCTGCAGGACCCTTTTCAATGCGCGCTCCCCGCCTGCATTCAGATACTTAGTATACGGCACAGTCAATAGTACTGTGCACACGGCGGCAGGAAGCACGATCGACCTCCTTCGCAGTGCTACCTTGCAAGTACAAAGCACTCGTCCGCCGTGCCTAAGGTGCCAGGCAGGCAGTGTACAAGACGAAGGCCTCGAGGTGCGAACGACATATCCGTACCTGAATGACAACAGGATGGGATGGCATTGCCGTATCCAACAAGTGTACCCGCGGCCCGGGCTCCTTGTACCTTGTCGTACAACCTGGAAACGGGACTGGCGAGCGTCGAGACCGAGGACAGACCGGGCATCACTTCAGAGCTCAACCCTCTCCTGGCCTTCGAGGACCAGCTACACGTCTTGCCGGTGAGCCCTGCCAGAGCTTTTGAGCCGCATGCAGTCATCGTGAAGTGTCTTCTCCCAGATGTCAACCTCGAGATTAGGAGTTAGTGTATTGCACGGTACTTCAGATAACGGATTCCGGTCACGCCACTGTGTACGCCAGTTGCCGTCGTGGAACAGACCACACCGGTCTCCTTTGTTCGGCCGCATCGTCTGCCTTCTCGCCGGTCGTAGACAGATCTGCGCCGTTGACATGTGTTGACCGATCTTTGACAGGCCTGGGGGACCCCATAACTGGCCCGGGATCAACAGCACTAAAAGATAGTTGGCTGTCAAGCGGACTTCGCGCACGAAAGGCGGTCTGGTACGCACACGCGCATTTTTCTTCTCGATGACGCCGGCGGGCTCGCTACTCGCTCGCTGTTTGGCCAGGTGGACTGTCACGATACGGCGATACAGATGGACATCGTGGATGGCATCATCCGCGTCTACGGGGTACTCCGCTCACCTTCCTTCCCCTGTCGGCGCCGAGGCAGGTCGTGTTCGGGCTCTGCTCTGCTCAGGGAATGCATGCCAACATAATCCAAAGCATATATTGTACACACACACATGAAATGTACAGTAAATGATACATACAGAATATAGCTTGTGCAGCGCCCCAAGGCAGATCTGAGATTGAGCTCTCGAGCCTGCGCCGTATTGTGTCTCTAGTACCGAGGCAGGCGGGCTGCTATTTTTGAATGGGGCCGGCAGGACGAGGCAGACGATCAACTTGGTGTTCACTCCCGACTCGTCGGCGCATTCTCGATGACCAATCCTGGCGGTGGTGGCCAGCCAAATCCACCCCCACCTTGGGGGTCCGGCATAGTTCGGGAAAAGGGGGGAGACAGCCAGCAGGCTCCTCCGAACACAACGGCCTGCCTGCTTCAAGACGGCCAATACACAGTGCGCGATGTGTGGTTTCTTCCAGGCAGGCAAGTCATCGACATCCATGGGAAGGAAGAAAGGAAAGGCAACCACCAAAAGAATCGTAAATCCGACTGGGCGATCGATCTTGAGCCAAGTCTCTTTTCGATAGTTGGACCTGCGGGACGAAGGGCTGGACCTCCTGACCTCCGCTTCAGTGAGACATGAAGACGGATATCGGCCAATTGCCGATGAGAACCTTGTGCACCTTTGCGATCTACGTGCACTACGCCCAACCTAGTGTAAGAAAGACAGTCCCAAGCTCTCGAGTCTTTTCGGGTCTCAGTCTCTCAGAGCTCTCACATCGCCACAAGCTGTGCCACAGCGCAACCTTCTTGTTCCTGCAGAAGCGCGGAGTATGCGATGCAGGTCGCTGACACTGTGTGCGACTTGCCGTGTTCCTGGATTTTGTGCAACTTTGCAAGACTGGCTCTAGTGCTTTGCACCTTCCATGGATAAAGCGGACCACTAAGAAACAGCCTCCTGTAGTGGACCCACCACCAGCCCGACCTTGCATTGGCCAGCGCTGACAACTTTTATGTTCTTACCGTATCCACGGCGTCGTCTCGCACCCTCTTCCATATCTCGAGCACCGCCTTAGACGGGACGACGACGCCAGTCATCTTCGGGCCCAGAGCTAAGGTCGACAACCGCCGGAGTGAGGCTGCCTACGACGCAGGCCAAAATCCCGGGCGATACGTCAATTCTGCCGATTGCTCGCCTCAGGCCCGCGCTCGCCTGCATGTCAATAGGTCCCGCAAACGAAATGCGGGTCGGGCGCTTGAATGGCCCGTCCTGGACTCAAGATGCGCCGCTTGGGGCTGAAGTGAGGTCGTCGGCCTGGCCTTGATCCAAAGAAGCACGGCGCACGCACATGCAGAGATCCAGTAGTTAGCAGGAACAACCGGCCGGCCAGCAAACATCGAGGCTGAACGGCCCAATAGCCAACCGCGGCCTAACCATCCGGGCAGGCCCGGCAGACGGGCAAAACAGAACAAGTCGCAATGAGGGCTTCCCCACGGATCCTACAAGGCACTCACTCAGTTTTGGCATAGTTGAAGGCTTCCCGAGAACCTTCAGTTACCCCCCTTCCTCCTCTCTGAGTTTTGTTTGTGGTCAGCTCAGTTGGGCCTCCTCGCCACCACGCCGCCGCGACAAGTTTATTGGCTGACCAGCTACTCCGTTGCTTAAGTAAAAGGGGGGAGCGGAGAGGGCGGCCAACAGCCCTGCCAGTCTGCGCACTGTGGGCTTTCTCGACCTGAACCTTCTTCCCCTGGGTACGTATGGAGAAAGGTGGAGTGGGCCAGGCTCGCATTTCTCCACTTTACCCCTGAACCGCCCTTTCTACGGGGATGCACGCCATTGGCCCAGCGGTTTCGGGCGCCTCAAAATAGGTTAGCAGGCGATCGCTCCCGAACCTGGTCGCTCCTCTCTTCTCTTTTTTTTTGGCGTGAGAGACGGAAAAAAAATCCGTCTGATCTTTTTTTGCGTGCACGCGTAAATCGGCAGCCCATGCTTTCCATGCAAATCCTGATCCCCTGTCGAGCCGTTAGGAAGCCCTGACCAGGCGAAGGGGGGCACGAGATCGCCCCTGCCCCCCTGGCCACCCCTTGGCGAGTCAGGGGGCACGTAACCTGGGCATGGCAGGCCAGGCAGGCCATGACGATTCCATGTTTCTCGTCAGACGTCTTTGCACCGCCGCGGCAGTTACACGTACCTAGTGGTAGACCATTGTGCCACCCCGCGTTTTGCAGAGATTGTCGTCGACGTGTGCGGCAGCCAGCCCTGAGGTGAGGAGCATAATAAGGATAAGGTGCTGCCCGGCTGGGATTGCCCAGGTGGAATTCCCACTGTTGACGATCCGCCCGTGTTTGAACGCGGCAAGACGCGCGTGGGCCGTGGGGTCCAGTTGAACGCCAGGAGAGCGGTTATCGTTCATGCGCTGGACCCAACCTAAAGCGTCCGAGCTCCCACACCGCCCGCCGCATGATTGGCCCAAGCCCATCTGTTGTTCATGCAAACCCGGGCAGAGCGGAAGCGGAGAAGGGAGGGCAAAGCTCAAAGGTTACCCAAGGGCCTCGAATCGACACCGAGCGGCGACCACCTTTTTTTTTCTGGGCGTGCTGGAAAGAGCGGGAGGGGGCAACGCGGACCTGATGTCCGCACGAACGGCAAGAGCCATGTGGTTAAGTTGACGGGTTATCGACGTGGATTGGCTGCTGGCGGCCAGGCGGCTTGACGGCCTGCCACTGGGGGCTTGCCTCCCCTGCAACCAATTGGTGACCGAGGTCTCGGTAGTTGACACATTCGGTGGCGCTCCGGGCAGCCCTCAAAACCACCTGGAACTCCAGACTTGGAACAATACCATCGTTCTACATCACCGAGCAAGGCCATTGGACCCAGCGATGCGCATGATAATTACCAGAATACAAGCCCAAGAGGCATGTGGCCTCGGGAATGGTGTGCACCAGAGGCTAGATCGATGTTCTTCTCTTCACAGTTCCACGTTCCACGTTCCACTTCCGGCTTCGGCTCCGAGAACCACCCTGCCTGCACACCCTCACTCCTGGCCGGCCATGGTCAATGAAGCCAGACAATTCCCCGTTCTGCGTCGCCATAGGAGAACGAGAGATCCTCACACCGCATGTCGAGATAAACAAGTGGTCACAAGTGCGGACACACTCGGTACAGTGCGTTGACGAAAACCACCTCCCACCTTGAGCTTTCTCCCTTTCGGGCAGACAGCCTTGTTCAATATCAGTGGCCAGAAGCTTGACGCTTCTTCTCGACTAGCTGCTAGCTTTGAAGAATGTTCCGGATCAATCAGATGCGTAATTCGCCCTTTTCTCGATCATGGCTCGCAGTTCACATATCAGCTGAGTCCTCGAGGGCTCAAGTACCAAGTAGGGTAGCCAGCCAGCACTTCAAGAGTGTGTTTTGACTTTGCGCGCAGCCTTATCCTTGTATCGCGCAACGACCAGGTGTATGAATGTCAGTGCGGATCATGCATCAAAATACCGTGGCACGTCCGGGCACTGACAAGAAAATCATTTAACGGTCGGTTTCTGGGGTGCGGCGCACTGAGCCTCTTGATACTCGGGACTAGCTTCCGAGAAAGATAAAAAGATAAAAAAGGAAAGAAAATCTGAAAATCGGGAGGAACTCGGGTGTGGAGGCGGGGCCATGCCATCGGGGGTCGTCCCGGGGTACTATTCCATATACTAGTAAGGGGATGTCCCTGGCTCGTCAGTGTCATATCCTCACGCCTTTTTTTTTTTAGATCCGTAACTACCTGGAAGCCTTTTCTGGAAGGCTTCTCTACAAAGCCCAGAACCCTTCCTCTCTCGTCGGGACATGCCCCAGACCTCCGCCCTAGGTTACATTGATTGGGCGAGACGAGAAAATTGCGCGGCTGAGCCCGACTCTGAAACCGTCTCCCATTCTGAGCGATTCCCAGGTGCCCCCCTGCCGATAGGAGCGTCCTTCTATGACCACCACCCCAGATCTGACGATCTACCCCAAGTCGCGCCAGCCACAACAAGTCATGCGAGCCATGCACACAGGGAAAGAAAGAAAAAAGGACAAAAGACAACGAACTTTTCTTCGCATTGGCGGACCTGTCGCGTGCGTACTAGAACTAAGAAAACAGCCGAGCTTCTGTAAAAGGGGGGAGTGGATGACGCTGATCCGAACAACTATTCCCCACTCCTCACGATGTCCCACTTCAGATGTATGTACTTGGTAGATATATCAGGGCCAGCAATGCTGCCTGCCATCCAGAACCCAGCTATCCCTGTCCCCCTTTCGCCCCTTTTTTTATGTGTCTTGGGGCAGCGGGACCAATCCACACAGGGCAAACACTCGTGAAGCGGCCTTCTATTTTTGGCACCGATGGTGAGATCTACAGCATGGGCAGGGAAAGCTGGCCAAGAGAGGTAAAAAGAAAAGAAAAAAGAAAAAGAGATGACTTACCCAGCTAGCGAGCTAGGGAGGCCCTTTGGCCATTCCATACATATCCGTAGTCTCGACCACACCGGCTCGCTACCTGGCCAGGACCGGACGGTTGCTTCTTGCTATATTCCTCCTTTGCTCATAGTCACTTCTTTTCCCCCTAATAGCGTAACTAAATCTGCTTTATGCAAAGACTTTGAATTTTCTCCTGGGTAGGGTCGAAAATGGGTAGATGGCAGCTTAGCGTACCGCAAACACGTGTCATGCGGCTTCTGGCCACCTAATTTTGGGTACTTAGATTGAAGTTGGTCACGAAAAAAAAGCCAGTACCCGGCGGAAAGCAGTAGTATATTCATCACAGCTCCTTCATTACCTCGGTCACTGCCTTCTTCGCCATGCGCTTGCGCTGCTCCTCCGGCATACCGGCACTCATGCCTCTCACGGCCTGCAGCTTTCGCATCATGCGCTCCAGCTTCTGGACGTCCTCGTCTCCTAACTTCTCGTCCCCGTCCCCCTCTTTGCCCTCGTCTTTGACGTCTGTTGGCGAAGCTTTCTCCACCGCCGCACCCCCGCTGCTAGTTTCTGGTATCACCAGTGCCTCATCGTCCCCGCTGTCCCCATCCCCGCCTCCAGCTAGTATGGCCTTCCTCAGCCCCACAAAGTCCTCCCGGTCAAAGCCAAAGTCTAGCTTGTCCGGGTCGGACTCGTCGTCCTCGTCTGTGTCTTCGCGTCGCCCTGCTGAAAGCTTGTCTCCGCTCTTTCCTTTTGACAAGATTTTGGCTTCCGCATAATCCTCCTCGCCGTCATCGTCGCCGAAAGAATCTGCGCCGGACCAGTCGTTCACCTGCAGCGCCTCAAGCACGCGGGGGATGCCCATCTTCTCGCCGAACTCGTTGCGCTGGCCGCTAGCTCCGCCGCCAGCAGGAACAGCAGGAGTCGCAGCGGGAGTGGCGCGGGCGTGGACAAACTCCAGCCCCCACTCGGTGCAGCAGTCCTCCCACTCATCCAGCGCGTCGAGGTCGCCGTCGTCGAGGTCGCCGACGCCGATGCCGAGGGAGACGCCATCCCAGTCCCACCCGCCGAGGCCCTCGCGCACGACGCGACCGACGTGGGCGATCAGCTCCTTGGTCTGGGCAGCCGACTCGGACGACGACGACGACGGTGGGGAGGACGACGGGAGGCCGAAAACGACGACTACGCCGCCCAGCACGGCGAGCACCTCGCGCGCCTCGGGTGAGAGGAACGACGCGGCCCAGTCGGCTGGGGCGGCGACGACGTCGAGCCAGATGGGCACCTGGGCCGTGTAGTATGGCGTCGACAGGGCGAGGTTGTGTGTGGTGCCGGCGAGGGACGCCGTTGCAGCCTCTGCCTCTGCTTCTGCTTCTTCTGCTACTGCTACTACTTCTCCTGTTGCGGGTTCCGGGGTAGAGCCGGTCAAGTCTACATGTTTATTTGTCAGTAAAGAGAATTCAGCCCCCTGCACTCAATCCGAGATGTATATCTTTCTCCTGGACACACAACATGTCCAAGTGGAAAGTCAGCTAGATTGTTGTTGTATGACACGCGAATGACGAAAGAGCAAGTCGCGTAAAGAGATAACCACACTCGTTAGTTTTACGAATAGGATTGTCGTCTATTTCCAAGCCACGTCCGAGATGTTGAAGAAAAGAAAAAAAAGGCACAGGAAAGAGAACGAGATATAATTCTAGACTCGCGCCAATGCCCATAATACAGGGGACACATGAGCACACACAAGCTAGATAACTCATGGAAACTTGACCCAGAATGAACTGAATGTTATATCTCAAGACAAGAAGACGAAGAGAAAGAAAGTGGGAAATAATGAAAGAATAGTTAATAAGACCCCGCACTAACCTCTGATGACGCGGCTGAGGTGGTGAGTAGAGTCGGCCAGCGAGACCGCTAGGATACGACGGGGGTTTGTAATGTCCATGTTTCCGGTTTGACGACGCGGCTGTCTTGTTGTGGTATGGTGCACACGGCCGGGCAATCGAGGTGTTCGTCGTAGCCCGAGTCCTCCGTTGACGGAATTGCGAGGTGCGCTTCGGACGGTTGACTGTGGGGGGCGGAAAGCTTATGCGGGGCCGGAGAGTGGCGCTGCGAGGCAGTGGGTTAGGTGTATTCGGGCCTAGTTTTGCTGCAAGACTGCTGCGTGTCATTGTCGCCCAACATGCACCGCGTCCAGGTCCATCTAAACTATGGACCTTCCGTGCTGTACGGGAGGTAGATCATACTTTATCAGGTTTTGGCTGGCTCAGTTGTGGGTTGGGAATAATTGGGGCCACAATAAAGCCAAAGCTGGCCACAACCAAGTTCGAGCGACTGAGGCCATTTTCCTGTTCTAACGACATTGACTCCTGTCTTCCAAGGACGGTTACCTTTTCTTCCATATGAGTTAATACTAAAGCCCTGTCACAAGCTGTAGTCATATCGTTGTTTATCTAGTGATGCGGTACTTCCTAAGACACTGACGCTGTTTCCCCCCATATAGGTTCCTTCCCAGGCCTAAAATACCTGATGAGCCGAAGGCCGTAACAAACGTAGTGAAGGAAAAGGAACCACGGAGCGGTGAGAGTGGCAGCGCTACCGCATCACTCCAATACAAATACTATATAAACAAAGGCTTCCGGCCTTGGGAATACAAAATCAAAGCTGTGTAAATGCACATTTTCCGAGGACAAGACTGAATCCGTAATGATAAGGCCAGAAAACAATAAACTCCATTCTCACAGGCATGGCGCTCCCAGCTCAAGATCATTGCTCTTCGCCATCATCTCTGTCCCAGTGTTAACACCCCAAAAGCGCGATCAAGTTCCTCTCCCTCATCGGGCACCGCCATCTCGCTCGCGCCGCCGGGGCCGTGCCCCTCCTGCCCAAAGCCTGGCATGGGAGCAAACTGGCCCGGCGTGTGGTAATGATGCTGCTGCTGTTGCGAGACACCGGCCATGGCAGTGTCTTCGCCAGCCGCAAGCTCGCGGCCCCACAGCGACGACGAAGAAGGCGGGCCTGGCGCTAGAGCCGGCACCGGCGTGGCATTGTTCGCAGCGCGCTCGGGCTCGAGCAGCCGCGCGTCGCTGTCGAGCCAGCCCGGCGCCAGGCGGCGCTTCTCGGCCAGCTCGCGCGCGCGGATCCGCTCGTCTAGAGCCCGCAGCTCGGCCTCGGTCTCGGCCTGCAGCTTGGCCACGTGTGCCGCTAGCGCGCGGCACGACGCGATGATGTCGTCGGGATGCGCCGCGTGCCCTGACGACGACACCACGTACTTGGGCCGCGCCGAGCCGTCTGCGCCGGGCACCCCTGACGACGACGACGACGACGACCCGCCAACGTCGGCGGCAGCCACTATCCCCGACGCTGACGGCGGCAGCGTGTTGGGCATGTTCTTGTATGTGTAGGGCAGCGTCGTGGCGGTCGGGAGGTTTACAAAGGGCGACACGGTCAGCGGGACCTGCTGAAGCAGCGGGTGGGAACCTGCAGATTGGGATTTTGTCAGCAAGGTGTAACCATGGGGTAGAAGAGAGCCGGGGTCGTACGATTGTCGTGCATGGTGAAAGGCTGCTGAGCAAATGTGAGGGTGTTCTGATTGACATTCAAGGAGCTTGTCGATGAATTGGTGTCCTCTGCACGGATTCTGCAAGGTTGTTGTCACTCGCTTGCGGGTGGCGGGGTTCGAGTGACTTGAAAGCTCTTGTGGGGTTGCAGGCACCCGCGATAAGGCCGATAAGGAAGCTCACCCAGGAAGCTCACCCCACTAAAATTTCCCCAAAGCCCAAATAATGTCTACATGCAGCGATCTGCGACTCCCGTTTCTGTACCTCGAAACACAAAACAGTACAAAGCACAAATCTCGAAGATGCTGCCCTCGATAATTCGCTCGTCGCCGTCTCTGGGCGACTTCAAGACGCTTTCCGAGCATCTTGAGCAGACGCCCGAGACGTTCTACGGAGGAAAGCCTGTTCTTTACTACCATGCGACGGGCGCAAAGGCTTGGATCCCGCGGTCGCAGCTGGGCCATCTGCCCTTTTTCCCTGCAGATTTCTCATCCGCGCCCACTGCCCCAGAGAGCAGCACTCTAGATGAGTCTTCCGAGGAAACCGTCGAGCAGAAAGTCGACATCTTTGTCGATTCCCGGTATGGGCTGCTTTTCTCTAAAAATAACCCGGTCTCCCTAAATCCCCTTGCTCGCGCACACCCATGCATGCCCCTGCCCGCACCCCTGCCCAGTTCTCGTTTCTCGAGCCTCAAGCTGACAGCCACTCCCATCTCTTTCTTCCCAATCTAAAGTAACCTCACCATTTTCTGTTCCGCCGCCGAGTCTGGTCTCTCAGTCCCATACCCCTTAGTCAGCATCCACGCGATCAAGACGCTCGGATCGGGCGAGAACAAGTTCCCTTCGCTGTACCTCCAGCTGGAACTCTCGGACGGTGGCGCCACCGACGACGACTTCGAGACGATCGACCTCACAATTATCCCCTCCACCAATGCCACGATGGCCCTGACTGTGATCGGCAACACCGACCAGTCGCCCACGGAGGTCTCGCGACTGTTCAGCGCCATCACCGACTGCTCCAACTTGAACCCCGACTCGGACGACGGCAGTAGCGATGACGACGGCGACCGCATCATCTTCGAGGACGGACCCGAGGTTGTGGAGGGATGTTCGGGCGTTTATATGGGCGCCGGCAACGGGGACCTACCTCCCCCCATGCCCGGAAGCGGAGGCTGGATCACATCAGAGAACGTGAGCGAGTTTTTTGATGAGGACGGCAATTGGATTGGAGGCGAGGGCGTCAGCGGAGAGCTGGGTGACGGCGCTGGCGTCATCCACAGCCGCGACGACGATGAGGAAATGGCCAATGGAGCCAACGGACACGACGAGGCCACCGATACTAAGCGCCCTAGAACAGATTTGTAACGAGTGGTCGGTTGCTTTTGTTGGGGAGTTGGAGTAGTCATAGATTTGGAACTTGAGGGGGTGGGCCGTTGGGATCTTTTTTGCTCTCCTGTTTTAGGATGGCTGTGAAACTAGGACATGGCGCTATATCATCACTGGAAAGTTTCGTCTCTTTCTTCAGCACCGACCTGTTGACGCTTGCGGCTAAGTCGACATCTTTTATGTAGTTGTTCTGACCTAAGTAGGGCGTTCGACGTTCTGGCTGAATGAAATAATGAACAGACTACTCACAAATCTAACCTGTATTACCCACTTATTTGTCTTTGTGTCCCAAATGGCATCTAACAGCGTCATCCTCAAACTACAACAAGTATTCGGCGGTAATAGCAGTGAGGAGGCCCATGACAACGTCAATTTGCGCAGAATTCTGTAAATGATCAACATGAATCAAGTGATCAGTGTCATTGATGTGACGGAACAGTCAAGCATAAATGAAACTGGCCTATCGAACTGCAACTGAGAAGAAACTCTAGTCTAAATTAAAGCATGGGAAATATATGCAAACTCTAGGCTCTCATCGGTCGTACATATGAATGAGTAGTCTCGGATGGGTCGAGAGTTATGATGTGTTGACAGTTGTAGCGTATGTACTGGGACGGAAGGCGAGTCGGGTTCTAGGTATTTAGAGACTTGACATGCATCACTATTGCTGGAACCGCTATTCCTCCTTCTCGCTGCTCAGCTCCTGGTGCATCTCCCTGACAATGTCCATGAACTGGCTGGCGCCGATGGCGGTCAGCACGTGCCACCACCCGTGCAGCTCCAGCAGCCAGGCCCAGGGCAGGCCGACGTGCTCCCTGAGGTCCCTAAGCTCGGCGCAGAACTCAAGGTCGATGTTCCAGAGGACGTAGCCAAAGACGAAAGCGAACAGGGCGCGCCACCCCCTGAACCGCCACGAGCGGCGCTTGGCCTCGGGGAAGGCCGGCTCCAGGTAGTAGAACAGGTAGATGCCGCGCAGGGTGATGAGGACGATCATGGCGCCGAAGGCCGTGTAGTGGTAGATGATCTCGCCAGTCCAGACGTAAAAGGCCGAGAAGAGCGGGTTGAAGAGGGCCAGGCCGGCCGAGATGAGCCGCGCGTTGGTCGGCGAGTGCCGCACCGGCATGGTGCCCTGCAGCACCGACCACGTCACGCCCAGCATCGACAGCTCGTCGGCGAACTGCATGTAGTGCCGTAGCGTCGCGTGGAACAGGAAGCTGCACCCGCCCAGCACCAGCAGCGACGCCGACATGAAGTCCCACCTGGGTGACAGCAGACCCCGGCTGCCCGGGCCGTACATGTAGCGGAGGGCAAAGTATACTGATGGGTCCCATGTCAGTCAGTGCTGAGTGATTACAGGTCACGCATATCCAGAGTTCCAGATAAAAATCAACCCCCCCCCCCCCGGTCTCGAACCGGGAGGTCAGGCCAGGTCTGAGGCTGGTCTCTGAGATTTGAATGCCATCCACATACCATAGGCGAGATTCGTCAGCGCATTGATAAACTCGGCAAGATAGCGAGTGACGACATAGTCTTCTTCGCAGAAACTGTCCAAAATGTCAGCCTTGCTGCGCCACACGGCCCGGGACCGGGTGCTCCCGCTGTCTGCTTGGCTTACTTCGCCGTGCTGGTTGGCGGTCCATAGGCACCGCTCAGCGCCGTGGGATCGCCGGCGAAGTGGCGGTTGTGGTGTCCCATGTTGACAAAAATAGTTTGTGTTTCCAAACTGATTCAATCACCCCTTTCCAGTCTCTTTTCAGTCTCTGGTTGGTGAGAAATGTGAAAATTTTCAAGTTTCGTTATCGTCGGATGGCGCGGATGGAAATCTTGGCAATCGCTTTTTTTTGAGATTAAGAGGGAGAGATTGGATTGGAAATCGAATGACTGACTCACGTGATTGATCGGACCATCACTGCAACCAAAGCTTAGCCCGTTTAGGTCAATTGATAGTAAGAAGTTAATGAGATGCAGATGTCAATGGGACGATGCAGGGCTTGGGGCTGGTCAATTGCTGAAGATTTGTCCGGCTAAGTCGGCGGTTCGCTGTTCACTGTTGAGAGAGAGATGAGGTGATTTGTAGATTGAGCGCCACGGGTGCCGGCTTGGGATTTCTAGTCATGCTGTGGCTGGCAGGGACTCGGCCATTCAGCTTCTCAGCTGTGCGCCATTTGATATTAATTGTGTGAACTTTTGCATTGTTTCTTTCTTTCTTTCTCTCTTTCTTTATTTATTTATTTATTTATTTATTTATTTATTTATTTATTTATTTATTTATTTATTTATTTATTTATTTATTTATTTATTTATTTATTTATTTATTTATTTATTTATTTATTTATTTATTTATTTATTTATTTATTTATTTATTTATTTATTTATTTATTTATTTATTTATTTATTTCTTTCCCTCTTTCCTTCTTTCTTTCCTTCTTTCTTTACTTTTCCTTTTGCAGCTAATTAGTTAACATATTTGAAATTAATATTCTCACTTGAATGAGCGACCAGCAGTTGCACGTCAAGATTGGCCCGGGAATCAATTAGACTGGTAAATTTTAATTGGTATCGATTGACAGGTGACGAGACAAAACAGTGTGTGAGCAAGACAAGCTATTTGCTTATACCTACCGTTCCCCATCGCCATGAGATCTGTCAGTTAATTGTTTTCTGCAGCTCAACGCTATGATTTCCTTCGCCCCCCTTCCCCATAGAGAGAGAGGAATTCAATCTTGAAGACAACGGGAATTCCGAGGTAGATGCCGCTGTGACCGGCCGTCGATGTCAATATTGCGGCTTCTAGAACAAACCGCCGAGTCTCTGCGTTGGAAGATGGAGGCATCATGTCCATTCACTTCGGGCACTTGTTGCCCGATGCTCTGACTGCCAAGGAAGAGCCGCACACCACCGGGGATATGGCTTGATCGGCGAGAGCCCGAGCTACATGGCAGCCAAGACAATACCGTCATTAACCAGGAAGGCATGCAACTCGATCTTCTTGGCCCTGGTGGCAGCAGAGGGGGGCTGCTAGCAAAGATGGTCGACGGGGTGGCGGACGGACGTTGCATTCGACGGCAAGACGCCTGTCAAGCAGGGCGAGCCAAGCACGGTACTTATAGAAATAATCATTAGCCATCGGGGAAATTTGGCTGCACCCCAGCTAATCCACTTTGGCGGCGGGCCAAGCCTACACCTATCTAGCTGTCGATACTCGTGCTACATATTACCCGGCGAGTTTCAGATATTGCGCCGCCAATCACTACCGGTCCGCAGCCAAGCACGCCGCCGCCCTGGCCAATGGACGGGTCAGGGCAGGCCGCTGCCGCTTAAAGCCACGCTCCCCTTTGGGTGGCCAGCTGACTCTGCCTCGCTGTAGTCGTCTAAAGCACAAACATGGATTCCCCATACCCCACACGCCCGAGCTCGAGGCATCAATAAAGGATTTATATAGAGATTGGAGCCGGGTGGGTGGCTGCTGCCACCTCGGCAGTTGGCCTCGAGCCTCCCAAAGCCTGCAACGGTCCCGGAATAACGGATGTCGGTCCTCAGCGCTCTGGCTGGCTCAGCAGCACCGGGGCGTGTCTACTGTCCGCTGTCTGCTTGCAGATATAAAGCATAGATGGCTGAGCGGGCTCGTCGGTTGTCCCCTCCCGGCTCGCCCCGACACGGCCAGGGACGCGATACAGAAAGCCCGTGGCATATTGCAAACACTAAGCTACCTAGTTGCCTATTTGTGGCTGCCGCCGCCATGCTCTCTTTTGCCATTCTTGTTCTTTGCCTCTGGGCAAGCGGGCTGGGAGTCGTTGCCGCTCCCTCGGCGAACTACTTCTGGTCGTCCTGGAGCGACGGCAAGCCCAAGCTCACCACAAAGAATGGCGCCGACGGGAAATTCAGCGTCAAGTGGTCTGGGGACAAGGGCAACTTTGTGATTGGGAAAGGCTGTAAGTCTGAGTCTGCTGCTCTATTCTACGTGAATGCCTCTACATATTGTAGTCGCCAGTGCTAACTGCGTCCAACTCTAGGGAGCACGGGCGGCGCAAGGTAATTACTATCTCTCTCTGTCGATTCATTTCCCCTTAATTATAGAAGCTTATTTGTTTTGAATCCAGGGAGGTGACGTACTCGGGCTCGTTTGAGCCCGTGGGCAACGGCTACCTAAGCATCTACGGGTGGATGACCAACCCGCTCGTCGAGTACTACATCATCGAGGCGTACGGCACGCACAAGCCGTCCAACACGTCCGAGGCCAAGATGAAGGGCAACTTCACGAGCGACGGCGGCTCGTACGAGATCATGACCAAGCAGAGAGTCAACAAGCCGTCCATCCAGGGCACCGCCACCTTTGCCCAGTACTGGTCCATCCGCTCCGAGAACAAGATCGGCGGAACTGTGAATACCGGCAACCACTTCAAGGCCTGGGAGGCGGCTGGCTTAAAGATGGGCAAGCAGAACTACATGATTGTTGCCATCGAGGGCCAGGACTCCAGTGGAACCGCCGACATCACGGTTGGCGTGCCACCCGCGCCGGCAGCCACGGAGACCTAGGCTGTCTTCGATGTCGGTGGTAAATCTCTCTCGGCTAGAGGTTGGCTCTAGGCTGTGAAGTTAGGTGCCTTGTCAAATTCTGGGCGGTGCCGGAAGCACGGCATCTGGGCATCGTCCCTGGCGCAGTGAAACGATAGCTCGATGTCGTGCTTAATATACTTTTTTGCTGCATGATAGTGGCTCAAGTTGAATTGATTAGCTGACGGGGAAAACAGAGCATTGCTGTTTGGAAAGCTGATTTGTGACCCATTACCGTAACAATTCATTGAATGAAGCTGGTAACAGCCATCCCCAACACAACGTGGAGGTTGATCATCAAGTACAATAATAAGACCAAGGGATAGGAGACCGTCTTGGGTGTCATCGGTAGTGCAATTACAAGAGTCTGTCTGACAGGGTTGCAAGGAACGGAAGTGGATTTTTACCAAACTTGGCGAATCAAGTGAAGGGTCCCCTGAACCAGCAAAGTCGGAAGTTTTGGCTTTAGAAGTAAACAGTGGCTGGCAGGGGAGGGAAGCCGAAGACCTGTCGTCACTCTTGCCTTGGATCCTTAGTCATATTTCATCTATTCCTCGGTCTGAGATTTTGAGTACGAGACCTTGAACATTACTGGTACCTTGTGGCAGTTACTGTGCAGGTAAAATGCAGCCCGCCACACGCAGCAATTGAGGGGGCGCGAACCCTAACCCTGGAACTTACACGGCACAGACGGCAAAGCAAGAGCGCGCCGCGCAAGACAATTCGGAATTGAGCTTACCATAGGGTGGGCAATTGCAGTGATGCTCCTCCCTCCACAGGCGCAGGCGCAGGCACATGCAGGCGGCACAAACAAGGCGCAAGCCAACGTAAGACACTTGTGAGGTCGGGCCAACCACCGACGCGGGTCAGGGCGATGTGGCTGCCCTTCCTTCACTTTTTCCTTTTTCCACATTCTTTCTCTCCACTGGGACATGTATCTGCAAGCTCACAACGGGGCACGTGCAGGCATGGCCATCTCGCAGACAAACACCTCCTCCCTCGAAATATTTAGTGTCCCTGATAATCGGCCATCCCCAAGAAACTGCAATTTGCCCTTGGCGCGCTTCTCCCGCGCAGAAGATGTGCCTGAAATTTTGTGGGACACTGCTGTGACGCCGGCGCATCCTGGGTTTTGACGGCTCAGGTCGTCTCACTCTCCAGGACCAGCCCGGTCGTTCCTGACCCCCTTTTCCCATTATTGCCCAAACCACCGGAGGCATTCCACACCCCGCCGAGTCCGTATCTTCCGCGGAGATGCTCTTTAGGTTGCCGTCTTTTCTGTGGCGGCGGACGCGGCACCGCTTGCACGTGCGCCTCCGGACCCTGCTATACGTCACCATCGGCGGTCTGCTCTTCGCATGGCTGTGTCTGCCATACGACAACACCATCCGCCTGGCCATCCGATTCAATGTCAAGAGGATACAAGCAGCCCTGGGTGGCCGGCCAAGTGAGAACTGGGTCTTCGCCCCACCTAGGCGACCCATCAACCTGAGAGAGGACGCCCTCGTCATCGTCAAGACCGGCTACGGCACACAGCAGAGGGTGCAGGCTTGGTTTGAGTCTCTGAGCGACAAGAGCGAACTCCACGACTTTCTTCTTGTCGGCGACTATACATCTCAGCCGCACAAGCACTTCGTGTACCGCGGCCAAGAGCTGCCCGTCCACGACGTGGTGAATCAGACGTTGAGCCAAAAGGTCCTGTCAAACCAACAGATGCACCCGCGGGTCATCAAGTACCAGGAGCTTACTGCGGCTATTGAGAGCGGGGATAAAGAGCATAGTCTTGAGCTTGCCAAGTCCTCTGGATGGGAGCTAGATGCTCTGAAGGTAAGAATTTTGATTACCCCCTTGAAAATACTGACCATCTTGTTCTGACTGCGCGGACAGTTCATCTCGGCTCTTGAACTCGCATATGCAAAGTTCCCATACAAAAAGTGGTTTATCCTCGTCGACGACGACACGTATCTTATCCAGCCCTCGCTGAAGCAGTTTCTGAGCCAGCTCGACGCCGAACACCCCTACTACCTCGGTAATGTCGTCGGTAGTTTCAGCGCCCGATTTGCTCATGGGGGGTCTGCCATTATCCTCTCGCACAAAACCATGCGAAACCTCCTTCTCAAAAACCAGCCGGTGGTCTCGAGGGCCCACTCCGAGACTCTGTCGGAACCGTGGGGCGACCGGTTGCTCGCGAGGACGCTGATAAGGACGGGCGTATTTCTCGACGAGAGATGGAGCCACCTGTTCAGCGGCGAGACTCCGCGCCTCAGCAAGATCCGTGCCGACCGCTTCTGCTCTCCCATCCTGTCGTTCCACAGCCTGCACTCGCCCAAGGAAATGGTTGCCACCGGCAAGCTCTACCAGGATGTCAAGAAACCTGTCCTCTGGATCGACCTGTGGGAAATGTTCAGAGCGCCAGCGCCGTGGCGCAGTGGGGTCCAGACTGTCCGCCAGAACTGGGACCACGTTGGTGACCCGGAGACGGGCGACCCGAGCACGGTTTCTACCGTTTGGTACGGCGTGAAAACTGCCGATGAGTGCGCCAAGAAGTGCAAGACACACTCAAAGGTCTGCATGGCGTGGGCCTGGAGCCCCAAGTTCGGCAACCAATGCCGCGTCAGCCCGTGGATGACTGTCGGGCATGAGGCAGAGCACGTGCAGTCTGGATTCAATGAGCCACGCGTCAAGAAGCTTGAGATGAACTGCTTCCCGTATTAAGAATGAGGCAAACAACAGACGAGCTACGAATGCCAATTATTAGCAATGAAGAAAGGAAAAGAAAAGAACGTCTCACCGCCAGGTTGTCGATCAACCATGGCAAGACTCGAATAGGCATTCATCTCACCCCCGAGATTGGCGGCATCTAAAGCCTTGACGTCTTTTCAACTCTACCCGCGGAACACTTTCAAAGCAGTGTGGAGAATGCGGCTGAAACAGAGCCGCTGTGTCACGGTTACCGAAAACATGTTTACATATGAATAGCACAAACAAGTTACTCGTAGGAGTACAATTGACAGTACCTACAGATTCTTTGTTACCCGTTTAGCAACTTTGCCGACTCTGCGAAATGTGTTTAATGGGAGATGTGGCAAATTAGAGAGTCTCTGCATGGCTTTGTCACAACTTGACATGGTAAGATCTTGGATATTCTCTAGATTAGTGTAGTACTAGATAGTTGAGGGTGAGTAAATCATCAATATGCGGCCATTGGAAGCGGTAGTTAGAAGGAGAATTAACCGATGCGTAGGCAAGGAGAATTAAATAATAACGAGATAAGATTAATAACCTATTTATTATCTATTTATACTAGATCAAAGCAAAGCGTGAGACGAACGTAAGGGAGGGGATACGACGCTCAACACCGAACGGCGTAATAGCTACGGCGTTTTCTTTTCTTTTTTTATTAAAAGAGAAGGAAAAGAGTTCTGTGAGTGAACTCCCACAGTGTTGAACCACACAATAACGACAGTAAAAAGGAAAAGAAAAAAAATTCTTCTGCTATAGAGACAAAAGAAAAGGGGAACTCGCCGCCGGGAATTGAGCCCGACGTGGGGGTCGAACCCACAACCTTGAGATTAAGAGTCTCACGCTCTACCGATTGAGCTAGCCGGGCGAGGTTCTTGAATACGATTCTAGTGGGTACATTGGATCTTCTCCTCCCAGGAAGTGGATACTACGAATGCCGCTCGGCAGTGTCATTCCGTCAATTCGGTTATGGCAAACTTGAAGTGGTCTTTATTTGATTGGAAATACCTCCGAGAAAGAAGCAAGCGGATGTGACATTCTCAAGGGTGCCAGGCGATAATTAGTCATCTACGAATCCTACTTTGGTCATTGAGCTCTCTCTCGTTTGCAATGTCTCATGGTACTCATGGTCCCCTCATCTTCCAATTTGGCAAGTCTCAGGCTCTTCACCCTGCTCAGAGCTTTCACACTGTTGGCCCTCTCCATGCAGTTGGCGCTTTTGAGCCTTTCAAACCCCAGATCCTAGATCCTAGATAATTAGGTAGGCAACCATCTCATGATCAGATTCGGCAACCTCTCAGAACTGCTCACACCATGGACGCTCTATGTTGCCCGGCGACTGATGCCTCAGTAGACTTGCGAATATGGCAGGTTCATCGCCGGCAAGAGCTCAAGTTCCAGGAATCGAGCTGGCCACTTTCTTGTGCGACTCTTTCTTGTGCGACTCTTTCTTGTGCGGCTTGGACGACACCTCCTTCTTATGCGGCCCGGACGGCAATTTCTTTTTCCTTGAGCTAGTCTCGTAATCCCGTTGATTAACCCTTGACGGCAGCCTTGCCCAGCTCCATGCCAATCAGGTCTTTGACCTCCAGCACCCACGTCCCCCGCCAGTTGGCCTCCTCGTCAACGACCTGCTCATATCGCCAGGGGTACCTGGACTTCCTGTTGAACCGCTAGCCCCTCGGCGGTGAAGACCTCGGTGGTGGTGTAGTATCGACCACGGCCTCGTTCTTGCGCATCGAGCGGCCGGTTTTGTAGTCTTTTCATACCTGCCTTTTGGACTGCGGACAGTGGTTGTCCGACGGTCTTGGCGACTCTACCCATGTTTTGCCCTCGGTGTGTTAACTTTTCGGGTGATGAAGCGTGAGATCCGGATTCCTGCTGCAGAACCTAACGAGCTCGTTAGAACTGCGAAGAAGAGCGAGGGATTGGACAGAGTTAACAAAACATAGCCGAACCTGGTTGACTGGAAGGGATAGCCACTAAGACTCGTGTTAGTAACAAATACTTTTGGCGCTCATCCGGGCGACGATTCTACATTGATGCCGAACGTTTGGGATTTTTTAAACGGAGCAAGAAGATATTTCCCATTTTTGGACAGGGTGCTTCCGTGTATTTTACATATGTAGGCCTAGATTTAGGTTCCCGACTGTTCTGGCTGCTTCGTGATATCGAGAACTCGGTTAGCTGGGCATCTAAGGTTCCCAGCGGCAGCGAGGCCCTTTTTTGTGTTCAGGCCTTCCTAAAGATTCATGTTCACAAAACAACCCTTACAGCAGATTTTGAAGTGGGGTTGAAGCTGGAGTTGAAGCTAGAGAAAAGGTGGCAGGTGCGAAGAGTGGGGCCTGTTACCGCGGGGAGATCTCCATAAGTGCACAAGGTAATGCAAGCGTTGGAGAACCTAATGATCGCTGGCAGGGCGAGACAGACAACTGGAGCAAGCAAGAACTTTGACATGCCAAATCCAGACAATTACGGCATACGAGACTTAGCTCCCCTATTCTTCTTTGTTGCTTCTTGCTTCAAGTGTGTTTGCCCCGAGATCACTGAGGGACCTCAGTCAGCCCCATTACCAAAAACACTTCGGCGAAAATTAGTAGTAGTGAGAAAGCAACTGCCATCCAATATCGTACCAAGATACTGACTAGCAACCACCTATGTTACTAAAGACGTCGGTAAGCTTCTTGTTATACATCAAGCTGATAACGAATCATAATCTGAAACATTCACGGGAGCATTGAAACATCGGGCTGTTCTGCGATGGAAAGTCAAAAAGAAGGGATTCTTTGCGGGCCGTTCTGCATCCAGATCCGTTCGGGCCCATAACGGAGACACGGAGCTTTTTTGGGCCGTCATTGCGCCAGGAAACCCTGGTCCCGCCAAGAAACCCGACGGGACCCTGGCTGGGAAATTTGGTTGGGACGCGCGCGGTCCCTTTGTCAAGCCGCGGACCTAACCCAAGTGAAATAACGGCTGCGGCTGCATCGGAGCGCCGTCCATCTCCCGTCATCAATTTCTTGCCTCCTACGATACCGCGTCCGTCCTCCGGGTTGCCGACCAGGAGCACCGTAACGATGCGCCTCTCCATCAGGGTCTCGTTTGTCTTTTGGGGCATTGCCCTGCTAACGGGCATCTGCTATGTGATTTCGCGCGGGCTCGTTTTCAAGCAGATCTTCATGAACCACGCGGGCATTCCCATCTCGCAACCCGAAGTCGCAAACGCCTACAACGCCTCAGGGGATTCGCGCCCTCAGCTCATCCCCAAGCTCATCCACCAGGTTTTCCACAACTGGCACGACCCCGGTAACGAAGTGCTACCCGACGACTGGGACAAGGTCCGTCAGACGTGCATCAAGGCGAACCCCGACTTCAACTACACGGTAAGCACGCTCCTGCCCGTTCAACGCTCCTGCACCCGTCTCGTACCACGCAGGCGCCAGAGTCTACCCGTTGCATGCGACGAGAAGTGCTTTGTCGCAAGTCGCTGACAGTTTGCCCTGCCTCCTAAAGCTCTGGACCGAGAAATCGTCGCGCGATTTCATCGAGAGGGAATATGCCTGGTTCCTCCACACATACGACGGCTACCGATATCCCGTGCAGAGGGTCGATGCAGTCCGCTACTTTATCCTTTTGCATTACGGCGGTATCTACCTCGATCTCGACAATGTACGTAATACCTAGCGTCTGAATACGGCCCCATCTCGTGTGGCTCCGGCTCCCTGGCATTTCTGCTGACACTTTTCACGCTGTAGGGTTGCAAGACGGATCTGACGCCTCTCCTGTACTATCCTACGTGGATTACCGAACCTGGCCGCGGCGCCTTGAGCAATAATGTCCTTGCCTCGCGACCGAACCACCCATTCTGGAACCGCCTCACACTGTCGCTGATGCCTTGGGACTACAACTGGTTCTTCCCCTACGTCACCATCAGCTACGCGAGCGGCCAGTGGTTTGTGTCGGCCATCTGGCAGGAATACCACTCTCTCCTCCCCAAGGTCAGCGAGAACCCCGACATTGAGCACCGGCTGTATCGGCTCATGATGGACGATCGCGCCGGCGAGGATCCCTGGGTCTACTTCACCCAGGAGCGCGGCGGCACGTGGATCAATTGGGACAACTACCTCTTCTTGATGATTGGCGATCATCTTTTCCTCTTTGTATTGCTCCTGGTCAGCAGCATCTCCCTGGCGGGCTGGCTCATCACCCGGATGATCCGGAAGTACAAGACTGGCGGCTACTCGCGGCTGAAGACCCAGCTCAACAGATACACGATATAGGGATGCGTGGTTGAGGTTTCGCTATTTCGAGATTAGCCGCTTGTTCGCGCCACTTGGGAAACCAAATGGTCTGATGCTGTACCGCAACCGAAATGAGACGCCCCGGTGCCGAAGGACGTGCCCGGCGACTACGGACCCGACGTTGGCCATTTGGGCCAGAGACCAAGACACATTACCGGCTCCTTGATTTGGAGACAGTTATGATGGCTTGCAATCTGACAGGTCCTGGTACCTTCAGCTTGATCCGCATTCCTAGACCTCGCCGTCGGCCGTTACCACGCAGGGTGGGCTCCAAACCGGCGGAGGTGATGGGACCATCGGCACACCGCTACGTTTATATAGGCGGTCTGTCGAAGACAGCCTTGGTCTCCGCAATTAGTTGGAAATGCTGCTGCGCTGGAGATGCTGGGCAGCTTGATAGGAAGAGACCCGCCATTCCAAGCCGCGCCTGTTGTCGGTGTTAGAGGCTTGATAGAGAACAAGACAAACCATCCCCGCTTGGGGCTTGAAGAAATACTGATGCTTATACATGGCTTGAAAATTTGGAAGTTGGCGAGATATCTGGGATACATAACGTAATTGCATAGCGAGCGCGCATATATAGCGAGCGCGCACTTTTCCCACCCCAATTGAACTATCGCAAAACATCGTAAATTTCTCCACGATAAAACATGCCCGCCGTACGAAATGAAGCACAAATACAGCTTGCCCTTCAAGCTATGCAACGCGATAAGAATCTTCGCCTTGCAACTGCTGCAGCCCGATATTCCGTACCACGAAGAACACTTGAGCGGCGTTCGAACGGAATCCTCCCTCGAGCAGAAATTATTGCCAATTCGCGGAATCTTGACCCCCTTGAAGAGCAGGTTATCATACGAAGGGCTCTCGACCTATACGAGCAAGGATTTTCACCAGGATACGGTATAATAGAAGATATGGCCAATTTGCTACGCGCGACGCGTAACGCGTCACGCGTCGGACCACGCTGGGCTGCAAACTTCGTACGACGACAACCAGAGCTCAAGATGCGTTGGACGCGTCCGTACGACTACCAAAGAGCTAAATGCGAAGATCCAAAGATAATTGGCGCGTGGTTTGACCGTGTTCGTAATACAATTGCGAAATATGGGATTCTCGAGTCGGATATCTGGAACTTTGACGAGACTGGGTTTACGATGGACCAGATCTCGTCAACACTTGTTGTTACCTCGTCCGACGGCCGTGCGAAGGTGAAGAAGATCCAGCCTGGTAATCGGGAATGGGCTACCGTGATTCAGGCCGTACGGTCGGGTGGTGATACTATCCCTCCGTATATAGTGGTTGCGGGCAAAGTCCACCTCGAGAGTTGGTATCGCGATAGCCCTTTCCCATCCGACTGGGTAGTGGATCTCTCAAAAACTGGTTGGACGAATAACCGGGTTGGTCTTGATTGGATTAAACACTTTGACCAACACTCTTGCCGCCGTACGATAGGTGGAAAGCGACTCCTAATCCTTGACGGGCATGAGAGCCACCATTCGGCCGAATTTGAGGACTATTGCAAAGAAAATAACATCATTACGCTTTGTGTGCCTCCGCACTCATCACATCTACTTCAGCCTCTTGATATCGGGTGTTTTAGTGTATTGAAGCGGTCGTACGGCAAGGAAATTGAGAAGTTGATGCGCAACCATATTCACCATATCACTAAGCCCGACTTCTTTCTCGCCTTCTTCAACGCATTCCACGCGACATTTGAACCCGAAAACGTACAAGGAGGTTTTCGAGGGGCAGGCCTTATTCCATTCGACCCAGAGAAGGTCATTTCCGGGCTAGATATCAAGCTTCGTACGCCAACACCTACTGGGCCCCCCGAGGCCTCGTACAATAGTTGGGTCTCTCAAACGCCACAAAATGCTACCGAAGCCTCTCTACAGTCAATACACATCAAGGATCGTATTGCTAGACATCAAGGCAGTTCACCCACCCCGATTATTGAGGGCCTTGATCAGATTGTAAAGGGTACGACAAAGGTTATGCACGAGATAGTGTTGATGAAGGCGCGCGTGCGAGAGCTTGAGGAAGCAAATGCAGCATTGAGCAAACGCCGGAGAGCTAAAAAAAAGTCGTATCCGGGCAGGAGGACCATTAACTATGGAAGAAGCGAGTGATATTTTGGCCCAAATGGATACGCATGCATTGGTAGAGAAGGAAAAGCGATCGAGGGGTGGTCGTACGAGGAGCAACGCAACAGGTTTACGACACTGTAGTAATTGCGGCAAAATAGGACACAACTCTCGTACATGCAAGGAGGATGCGAAAATGGATGAGTAATTAGATTCTGAGTAGTTTCTATTAATTTTTTTCCTTTGTGGTGTTGGTATTTCGTATAATAGTTCAATTGGGGTAGGAAAAGTGCGCGCTCGCTATACATGCGCGCTCGCTATACAATCACGTTATACATAATTTAATTAGACGATAGGAAATGCTATAACCGGCTCAGCGCAGAGCGCACACCCGTACTAATCACGTCGTCAACTAATGGAAGTTGCTCTTGTGCCTTCCGCATCGTCAGGGTACCGCATTGTATCCATGCCCGTGGAGAACTATCGAGGCGTAAGGGAAGGGCCGGAGGGCCAGGTTTACTCGCCAGATACCATTCATCTGGCGGCGAAGGGGGGCTGGCTACGGATCAACAGCGCGTCGTGTATTGCTTCGTTGTGACATTCCCTGGCCTACTGATGTGCATTCTTGCTGCGCTTTCCCTTTCACAAGGCATTCATGACCTTGGTAGGCGTCACCGCTTTTCCTGGCGCCGCGCTGTTGGCAACATTGGCCTTGGTGGGAGAGGCTGGGAGACGTGTGGCAGCAAGCTCTTTGGGCCGTCGTGGACGCTCTGCAAGGCATATTTAGTTGCCTTCCTTCGCTGTAGGACATGTCAGCAGCCGATTTACCCTCCAAGGACGAAGCAGCCTCCGAGTCATTCGAGCCGGGCTGGAAAGCCGCTTCGAGCTTCTCATTGCTGGGGAGTATAATTAGCTGTTAGAGGTATGGTCATGGATCTGCTACCGCGAAACAGGCAGCCTGCGAGCAGCGAGGCTAGTTCTTGTGTGTCGAATGCGGAGGATATCACGACACTCGAGGGGGATGTTGTTTGGAATATCTGACTGCCAGGCTGGTCTAGATTATGTATGGCACCTACCAAAGTCTGTGGTAAAAGCTCCTTGTCTTTGTAGTTGGGATCTCTAAGGCATACCATATATGGCTGTGAGCTTGGTCGACTAAACTTGGCGTCGCTTTTCATCTGACAACAATAATACTTGACCGATGGAGTACATTACCTGCCATACTAGCTAGGAAGTGTGATCCGATCCGGTAATCCGGATAGTTGAAAGTGGATGAAGACGCGCGATCTTCTTTCAAAGACTGGGTGTATTTGCAGCCTCAGCTGAGATAGCTTTCGATTTGGCTAGGAATGGGACTGAGTTTCTTTCGGCACGAGGAGATCGCCAATCCCGTGAATGTATCACATCCATGTGGTGATATCGCGGCGGGCCTGATCCTGCGGGGAAAGGACTTGGAATGGTGGAAGTCGCGCTGGGTTGCCGTACCCTCGGATTTCGAAGCCATCACAACTGAGAAAGGCTCGGATGGCGGGAACTACTAGAACGATTTCTAGCTCACATGAACAACTCAACTGCTACTAAACTGGGAGACAGCGGCAAAAGTTGCCAAGATTATAGGTCTAGAATTTGTGTGACGCACGCTTTTATGCCCAAACTAACCTGAAAGCGCCAGGGCGGTCGTTCTTTCCTCTTGAGAGAAAGACGTTAAGATTGCCCCCAACAGAACTAACGTATCTCCTCAGAGCTGATTTACACCTTGACCAACATGGAACTTTCCAGGTTGCCTTACTTGCCACTTCCTGTTCGAGATGCCGCGTCCATATTGCACCCGCACCTCTCGTCAATGTCATAGACCCCAACAGCCGAAATTGAAACCCACAGCACTACCGGTATGCATCTGCGAGTCGGTATTAAAACGCCTGTCAGAAATTGCATGAACCTTGGGACTGGGACAGGCACTAATGAACAGCAGTGCCATACAAATGACAATGCACCCGGCCTTATCTAACTGCCTTGTTCAACTACAAAACAAGTGACTGAGTCTCCGCTGGCATCGGCTTGCCAAGTTCGCTTACAAAGTTGGTTCGTTTTGCCTAAAATGGGCTGCATCGGTACCGAACCACAGTCACAGGAGCACAGGAGCAATTCCAAGCACTGTTGCATGCCCCCACAATGGATGCGGCGTGGCGGACCCGTCTTGGTCCTCGTAGCGCCGCTTGGCCTTCCCAACGCGGCCCGGAAGATGCCTCCGAATCAAACACAGAGCTCACTGTTCCCCGTTCCCTGGATTCCATGTTTTTGCACGCGACTCGCCTCGCGGCTTTCGCCAATCACGTCCTGCTTCGAGCCCTAGACGCCCGGCTCAGCGAGATTGCTTCCCGGGGAACTGATGGACACAAGGCGGAAAGCTATCCGATATTTCCTCATGTGGGCTGGTGCATCCGGGACAAATGCTACCGTCGTCCGGAATGGCAGAAGGGCGTCATTAGATGGTGAAATTACTGGGTTCAGGAACGCCAAAGGCTGAACCCACTCGGTTTACTCCACAAACTTGGACTCTCGCCATCGTTGCTGTCACCAGGTGACCAGCCAAAGTCTCTTTCCATCACCTGCCTCATTGCGGTGTCGCCGGTCAGGATCGAATATCTGATGGATTCTCAGGTCCCATGTATCCCAGCCGGCCCGCTATCCCACTTCCCCTCCATACTGCGTCCTCGGATTGCAACGATGCTTGGATTCGGGTGGCAATCCCCTGACTGTAGGATGCTGCCACAAAAGTTTCGCAGCACGCCTGCGTGACATCCCGTGAAGTATAAGATGTTGTCGTTGTCGTCTTCGTTCTTTCTAAGGTCCTTGTATATGTGTATATCAAGCCGCCTTCAGACCTCGACGGCCGCCATCCCAACCGAACTCGAGCATAGTTAGAATATGTCTCCCAAGTCTACTGTTCTCCTCGCCTCCTTGGCCGGCGCCGCTCTTGTGGTAGCGCATGGCCATGTGAGCCACATAATCGCGAACGGCGTGTACTACCAAAACTATGACCCGGGATCCTTCCCCTACCAGAGCTCGCCGCCAAAGGTGGTCGGCTGGACCGCGAACAACCTAGACAACGGCTTCATCGAGCCCAACTCCTTTGGCGGACCCGACATCATCTGCCACAAGGGCGCGACACCTGGCGGCGGTCATGCTACTGTGGCGGCAGGCGACAAGATTAGCATCGTGTGGACTCCCGTCTGGCCTGAGAGCCATGTTGGGCCCGTCATCGACTACCTCGCGGCGTGCAACGGCAACTGCGAGACGGTCGACAAGACAGCGCTGCAGTTCTTCAAGATCGACGCCGTCGGCTACGATACGGCCAAGAGCAAATGGGGCTCTGAGTTGCTGACCGACAACAGCAACAGCTGGTTGGTGCAGATCCCGGCGACCCTCAAGCCCGGAAACTACGTGCTGCGACACGAGATCATCGCGCTGCACGGTGGAAACCAGGTCAACGGCGCGCAGGCGTACCCGCAGTGCTTCAACCTGCAGGTGACAGGATCCGGCACCAACGTGCCCAGCGGCACGCCCGGCACCGCGCTGTACGGTGCCACGGCTTCGGGAATCTTGTTCAACCCCTACACCAGCCCGATCATCTACCCGATCCCGGGGCCGACTTTGATCGCTGGCGCCAGCAATGTTGCCCTGAGCCTCTCGTCCATCACTGCGACCAGCAGTGCGACAGTCCCCGGGAGTGGAAGCGGTGTCGTCACCACCTCCTCGGCAGTCGTGGTCACCCCGACCACGAGCAGCACGAGTGTCAAGAGCACCACGCTCTCGACAAGCACCACTGCTCCGGCAATGACAGCCACCACGACCCCTACACCGGCGCCAACGAGCGTCCAGACCAAGTACGGGCAATGCGGCGGCAGCGGATGGACCGGGGCCACGGCATGTGTAGCCGGCTCGTCGTGCTCGACCGTGAATGCTTGGTATTACCAGTGTGTGTGATTGGTTCCGAGACGAAGTTTATGACGTATAGGGGGGCATGCGGCGGGGTCGTTGTGACCTGAGAATGAGTTCACGAGATGTGAACGATATCGGCTGTGATTCATGACGGGGATGACGGGGTTTGTTGCTTTCAGGTTCTCTTCAAGATTTGCTGTATATAGTTAAAACAAATCACATTCAAATCATTAATGTTGCCGAAGCCTGCCTCGTCTCGCCGCTACCATCACGAATCGCCACCAAGATCTATAACTGGGTTGTTTCTGTAACGGCAATAGCGGACGGAGATCAAGATAATGCCCAGGTATGCCTCTAGGATTATAAAATAGGCATTCAATGAGGTATTACCCCCTCACCAAAAAACCTTTACGGCGAGTCGTAGGCCCTTTAGACCTTGGCAACCTTTCGCAGTATGGTGGAGGCCGTGGCAGTTCTGGCATCTTATTGGCTTGAGGCATTCCTTTGGAAAGGTGGTCCGACTCGCCATAATTGTGGCATTGGTCAGACACGTTCTGGTTGTCAAGGTACGGGTACCGCGCCGGCTGGCTGTTTGTCGAGGCTCGATGTTGCAATGCCGCCGAGCCTGCCAACGTCCTCGTACATCGTTTCCAAGGGACGTACGTTGTGTCCGTGTGGCCGCTCGAGAGGATCCTCGTCGATGCCCAAGAAGCATCCCCGAGACATGGGGATCAATTCGCCCTGTCGAGTGCGTGTCAAAGCGACACAGGTGCGCTGACGATCGCATGTGAACCTGGGGAGCAAATTTGAACAAGGTCGACAATGACAAAGCCCGCCGAGGAGCCTGGCGATCCATCAACAGTGCGAAGTTTAGTCTGTTGGCGTTCTTCGTTGGCGAGCTGATTGTTCCGAACCCGGTATTCTAGCTCCATCTGGTACTGGAAGAGCTGGAACTAGTAGAAAGCAATGACGAGAATCTCCTTTTTTGCCATTGAGACACGTCAGGCTCGCATTCCTAACTGCCTCGATCGCCATGTCGCAACCGTACTTGACATTGTCCAAGTTGTAGGTGAAGCCGCCATACTTTCTGTCTGCGCGCCTTGGAGATCTACTAAGAGGTGGATCCAGCCTGAACCAGAAAAAGAAATCGGCACATGCAGAACCCAAAAACATCTGGGATAACCAGGAATCGAACCTGGGTCCTCTCGGACGTTGGAGCTCCCACCACAACGAGAAGTACTGACCACTATACTATTATCCCTTTGATGAAAACTCCCAGCCCTAAACGCGCGTCTTCACCAAACACCAGGCAGGGCAACCCCAAAACAAACGCGACCTCTGTGCGATCTCACTCACTCACGCGCTAATTGGTCTCGAAGAGTTTTGATGGTCCCTAAATATTTACTAGCAGGGGACTTCTCAAGATATAAAAGGCCTTAATAACTTATAGCTCGTCCTGAAGGTTTTTCGCTAAGGGAGGCAGTCGTTATGAGGATCTATATTATAGAATCCTAGAGGCCTATCCCTTCGCTAGAAATACCTATAAAAGACCTTTTTTAGCCGGTTGATTTATTGTTTCCTTTTCTTTAAGTACCACGCCAACAAACGTACAGTGATTGGATCGTAGGCACGCTTTACCACCGACATTATTATCGATAGAGGGCGGAACTTGCGGTCGGAAAACCCGTGGTTCTATTCAATTGCAACATCGCAGAACCACATTCTGGATTTGCGAGTGATGTCTACTGCCTTTCCTTCTCACGCCGCTTGATTTGCGCAACACAGTATTCCCACTCCTCAAGACTTGACCTCTTCATCTGTTGGAGGAAAAAGTCGGTCAAGGGCTCATACCGGCTTGATCCCGCCCAGTGCCTGAATACCCACCGGCTGGCTTCACGATAGCTCGTCTCTCCATTGTCGTTGGGATTCATCCAGCCCCCGGGACTCCAGTTCCTAAAGCAACCTCCTTCATGGAACATGAGTTGGGGGCGGAAAAACTCGATGGGTGAGATGGGCAGCAGGGGGTGGTCCTTGAAGTGATCCGAGTCGGACGGGTACACGGTCGCCAAGTTGAAGTCTATAATGACGATGGGTCTGGCTGGGTTGTTTGTAATCATGACATTCCGTGGGTAAATATCGTTATGTCGTATATGGGCGCGCCAATACAGCGTCATGTCAGCCTCGACAATACGGAACATGTGGTCGAGCCGGTCTAGCTCGAGGGGCAAGAACTGGTGGTGCGAGGGCCTTTTTTCTTTTTCGGCCTGCCTGACTGCGCGGTTGATAATGGCACCCATGTTATCTCCCTCGATGAACTCGAGGAGAATCAGGCGTACTGGCCTACGGGCTGGCTGCGGCTCGGGGAGGCCGGTCTCAACAAACATGGTCCATGAGCCGAAATAGCGTGGCACGAGAGACCCCTGGAGCTCTTGCGGGATGTGTTCGTATGCCCAGGCCTCGCGAGTGTAGTCCATGTCGGCGGCCCACATACAGTCCATCCAGAAGTCAGAGGCGTCAAGTTCGCTCAAGGGGTAGCCCATGGCATCGTAGATCTTCGCGACATAGTGGTGGCTTTTATCAGAGTCAAGGTAGCAGCGGACAAGACGCGCGCCGCCGGCCCTGTCCCCAACTGGCCCAACAACTGTGAGCGATTGATGTTTGTGGGTGAAAGCTATCTTTGCCCGGACATGAGGCGGAAGCTCAGCCGGAGGGTTAGCAATGACCACTCGCAGTTTGTGACGCGGCCCGTCCCCACTTTCCAGCTCCTCGTCGGGGATGGGACTGCGCGTGTTGTTGGGGTAAGGGTATCCGAATGGGTCAGGCGGAAGATGTGAATGGATTTCAAAAGTGGCGCCAGGGAAATAGAGGAACGGGTTGGGGCGGTAATATTGGCCGTCTCCATCTTGCCCCGAAGATTCTGGCTTTGGGAGTTTACTTTGGGCTCTTTCACTCGAGGAGCGGTTCGATGCTGATGTGTTTTTGCTCGACATGGCGCAAAGGGCAAGGAGGTTGGTTGACTTATGCTGGTGTTGGAAGCAATGGCAGTGATGATGATGATGATGATGATGAATGGCGACGGCGGTGGCAATGGCGATAGTGTGCAATGTGATGGTGTGTTGGTCGCTGAGTCTGCTTCAATAATCAACTGACTGACGACCAGGCGGCTTGTGTTTGAGCTTTAAATGGGGAAACACGTCGGTCAGTGCTTTTCAAGGCTGGCCAGTCAGGAGGACGACAAAGGTGGGGGCTTCAAGCCTTGTTCCGGTGGATTGTCTAACCCGCATCCGTGACTCGAAAGATGTGGTTATAAAACAACATCAACGCCTCCCACAGACAGACACGCGTTTCAACATTTGGGGACATGACCCACACGAGACGAGGCATCACCTGTTGGCCTCTGTATTGCGCCGTCCTGTTGTCCGCTTGGAGAGACATGTTGTTGGGTGCGCGTGTGCACATGCACAGTGCGACTGGAACGCGTTACCACCTCCCTGGTAATCTCCCAGGGTCTGTACGGCAAAGGACCCGACAGCTTGGGACGCCCAATCATACTTCACCAAAAGAGTGAGGCCCAGGACACGGCTCAGAGACGAGGCCAATTGAAGAACGAGACACCGCCATCTATGCAGGTCCAATGTTTTAGGACTGGCAGTTGGTGACGGTGACCGCTATTTCGATTCAAGTGGGAACGGTTCCATCTGCCCCCTCCGCCTCCGCCTCCGCCTCCGCCTCCGCCTCCGCCTCCGCCTCCGCCGTCCTCCTCATCCCCGTCAATGCTGTTGGAGGCTGCTGTTTGAAGCTGCGGGCGACCAGCGGCCTCTACAAAGGTAGCGTACCTTACTGACTACCTACTGAGCCAACCTTAGGTACTGAGCCAGGCACTCATCCGAGGTATATTGATCCTCGGTAATCACCGCCCGGTACCTCGCCTTGGTTCCCCTCGCAAGTACCAGTAGTACCAACACCCTAATTACACGCCAAGCAGCTAATGGTAGAAATGGCTGACCCCTGTCTGGCCCTATCCCCGCCGCCTCGATGGCTGCATTTCTTCACATCAGATAGTCGTTGGGCCTTTACGCCGCAAGCTGACACACCATCACTGCATATCTCAGCCGTTTCAAACCGACCAACAGTTCATCTCTCGGAAAGGAGATGCAATGGACGTGGTAGAAGCTCTTGAGATAAAAGGATGGCGCTCTCCCCGCCCACTTCTCCCAGATAAATCGCCAGCATTCTCTTCAGACCATCCAATCTTCAAGACATTCTTCCTCGATACTGATAGACAACGCCGGCCCCCTTCTTTTGCCTTTTTGTTCCCCCACCAAGACCAACACTTCTTCCATCCCCTGTATTATCAGCAGTCCCAGCATTCAGACCGATAGCTCGCAATCACAATGTCAGATACGCCACACCGCACGCTGCCTGTGGGCCAGGCAACGTCGGAGCTAGGGCCATCGCAGCTGCCGCCGCCCAACCCGATGTCCCAGACATCTTCAAGAGAGTCATCAAAGCCGCCGTCCAGGGACTCATCTCTGTCAAGAGACCCAGTGTCGATGTCAAACGCCGTCACAATTAGCCGTGCCTTCGACTTGACCTTGCCCACGATTCCTATCAAAAAGAACTCCGACGACCCTGTAGCTTCTTCTAAGAAATCGAGTTTCGGTACTCAACTGCCATGGTTTTGGCTACATCGACCAGCTGCAATCTACGTTAACATGGCAGAAAAAATCTTAGAGAATTCGATTGTTAAAAGGCAAATAATAGCAAATTGCCTGGCTCCTTTGGATCCGATGATTGTCCTTCGACACGAGGCTGACGTGGTGAATGCCGGCGACCAGCAGTTGCTTAACCCAGTGAATTTTACTTTCAAGGCTCTGCATGCCGCAGTTCCGGAACTCTTCATGCAGTCTGAATTTACAGCCACTTCAAATGATGAGCCTGGCGATGACAACGACACTGACGCACAGACGACCAAAAGTAGTAAGAAACAAAAGAAGAAAGACAAACCCCGACCCGATATTGTCTGGAAAGCACACAACCAAGTTTTTGCAGTCCTGGAATATAAAAATATCAACGCCATTGACCCCAAGGAGTTCCAAACTGCAGCATTGGACCTTGGACCAGACTCTGACAAAGAGGCTCTCATTAAGGACAAAAAGAAAGAGGTTCAGGAATTTTCAAATTCGCTTACGCTTTTTACCGGGAAATCCCTTCAAATCATGAGGCAGCTATCGAAATATGCCAGGCATAAGGATTTCAGTCCCTTCGCCGCCATACTCACTTATGAGCACCTGTTCCTAGCTGATTACTCGAGCTACCAAGATGGGGACTATATACACGGCACCCTCCTCATCCGCAAGAATGACGATGGGAAACTGCTTCGAAAAGCACTGCTCGGCTGGTTAGCACATGCTTACGATAAGACCTTTGAACTTGACCCCAAAACTAGTGAGGTACTAATTACTCCTCGCATTCCACCGCCGCCTACTTTACCGTCGAAGACCTCGACTGTTGAGCTAAGATCCGGTCCTGCCCAGACAGCGGCATCTCTACGTGAGCCGTCGGGTAGCGGGAGTGATAACACCAAAAAGAACACCAGTGCTAGGGACGCCAAGAGTAGGGGGGGAAAGACGTAGGGGATGGAGTTTAAAGCGCGCAGTAAGCCAATAAAAGAGCGTTCTCTTTGCAATTCATCACACCATTTTAAACCGCGGCCCGTATTAGAGAGCTTGCTGGCAAGCTCTCCTCTGCTTTGTTTCGTCTTTCTGTCTTTTTCTCCCTTTTTCGCTTACTTCCTCACCTCTGTTATTCCTTTCACTCTTTATGTGCTCTTGGTTCTGTCTTGATTCACTATCACACTCGTCATTACAAGAAAGATGATATTCCGACATACCTTGATGGTTTAATGGTAATTGACCGGGCTGGCCCCATAATTACCTTGGATTATCTTAGATTAGTCTTAGATTAGATTCAGAGCTGCCGTAATAATTATCTAGATTGGGTACTCGCCACCAGCTCTTTTCTCTCATGTGAAGTCCGAGTTAATTAATCATAATTATAGCCTGGGAACCGGGTGAGTGATAAATGGAGAAAGCGGTTCGGACTGTCGAAAACGCATGTTTGGACTGTGGCCCTTGAAAGGTTTACGGCGCAGCGAGCATCAACCTGGCAGTGAATGCTCTTAGAGATGTCAGAGCCTCGCCGAGGAAGAAAAGGGGCTGGCAGAGCCGAGGCCTGCCTGCGATGAAATGTACACAGTAAATTCGATGCGCTAGTAAGGGATCCTAGTGCTTACGGACTCCACATTTCAGGGATGAAACGTCTCTTTGCGTTTTTTTCAAAAGGCCAAAGGCGGTTGGTTTCATTGGTCGCCTCGCCGGCCTGTGATGCGCCAATGTGCCTAGACTCACTGACCCTGCAGTGTGAGGTCTCACTAGACCGGGATCCATAGTAGTTTGTTGCGGCGTGGTAAGATTTCCGGACTACGCGACATGAGAAAATCGACGTTGCATCGTGTTGCATCCCCAGCGAGTACCTATCAAGCTCAGCAAAGTGGGCCACTGGACATGCGCAATGAAACCCATACCCATTCTCAGCCTCATCAGCAAATGCAAGTCTTACTCCTGCTCGGATACAAATACAATGCAGTGAACACGCCACGCGTCAGCCAAGTTCAAGCTGTGGAAGGACTGGACGCAAGCATTCATTCCCGGTCAACGACCAATTCATTGCCTTCACCATGGCAGTCTTCAAGACCCTGCTCATTGCCCTCGCAGCGGCAGCCAACGCGCCAGCAGCTGTCGTTGCCTTCCAGCACGACCCCAGGGCGACCAACACGGGCCTGGCCAAACGGGCCGACGCATACCCGTTTTGCAACCCAGCCACGAACCCCAACTGCATCGCCGGCGGAAAGTATCTCGTGCCGATCCTCGAATTCTCCTCCGAGAACGGCCCCGGCGATCTGGCCTACCAGCAATACCTACCCGCCAGCCCGTGGACCTTCTCCAAATGGACCAACGGCCTGATGCCCGAGCGGTGCTACTACTGGGGCGTGACGGCCGACAAGTGGAAGGCCACCGACTTTCTCGTTTACAATGTCACGTACACCGACTGCGCGACGCCCTTTGTCGTGTGCCGCCACCAAAAGTCCACCAAGAGCATCGGCCAGCTCGCGTCGGTACGTGACATCATGCTGGCATCGTCCCTTGGGCAATTCGTGCAGAATGTATTCATACTGACAAACCCTCTCGGCTGGCAGCAAATTGGCAAACTTCCCGTCAGGATGCGGCAGGCGTCCTCGTGAGTTTTTTTTTGTCACTCCAATCAACCACTCCCCCAAACTCCTCGAGAGCGTAAAACTAATTGCCAACCCACCCTCCGCCCAGAATCTACATCGTGTACGGCGACCTCAACACCGACAACCCCAACTACGGGGGGTACATGGCGACGCTGGCGGGCGACGGCGTGGTGGTGGGGCGCAGCGTGGCCTACTTTAGCACGTCGCTGGTGCACGAGACGGGCCACGCGGTGGACTCGACGCTGGCGTCGCCCGGCGGCGGCAAGCCCTTCTCAGGCACGGCGGCGTGGGCGGCCGCCGTCAAGGCCGACGGGTTCGCCGTCAGCGCGTACGGCGCGGGGTCGTACGTCGAGGACTTCGCAGAGGCCGGCCGCGCCGTTCTTCTCGACACCGTCGTGCCTGGCGGCCTCGCCGCCTTCACCGGCGGCAAGAACGCAAACCTCACACAGATCGCCGCCCAGCTCAAGGCGTTCAAGGCCGTCGCCGGCACGTTCTATACCCCTGGCGGTAAGTGCGACTTGGCGAAGAAGTTCCCGTTTCCGACCAAGTTGGTGAAGAGAGAGTAGTCACGCAAGGGGAAAGCCCACGCGGGGTTTGGTGTGGCGGGATGTTGAAGTTGAATACAATTATTTGGGTAGATTTGGTTCGCGGTTTGGCTCTGGCGGCACTTGTCACTTGCCCTAAAGGGCGCTTTTAAGCTGGTGGAATGAGAGCAAGAAGCCCGGTACTACCCCTACTAGCGGCGCTACCTCTATCGATAAGGACAACGATAATGATGATGAGGAGTCTTCCGGCCTCCCAAAGCCAAAGCGGCTCAAAACCACACTTAAAACACCATCAGGCCCTCGCAAAGCTCCATCGTCCAAGAGTCGCGCCTATGAGGAGGCAAAGGCACAAAAGAGGGTCCCAGAGTCTTATAAGGGCATATGCGTCCTCACTGGTGGCACTTACCAAGTGGAAGAGGCTCATCCTTGATCTCCGAGTCATCGAGAAACTGGGCAATAGCAAGAATGCCATTTCCATTTGGAATATGTTGCAGAGTTTCTTATATGTCATTTTAGTCTTCTTAAATAAGAAGACGCCGTCTTCGTCCTCGCCGAAGACTAAAGATATTAACTTGGCGCTCCGGAAGGCCGTGGGATAATATCCGCCGTCATTGACTGCCTTGAACGCGCGGCTCAAGGACATTCTGCGCTCTTTGGCGGTGGGAAACACCGCGCGTAAGGCGGCGTCTATACCATCTAGAGCCGACATCTTATGACGATATAGAGCAGGAGAGTATATATTGCGGTTTCGAAGACTTCGTGGACAAATAGATGTGAAATACGCGAGATCTTACGTAGTTTTGTTCAGGGAAAGGGAAAGGAAGCGTGGTAGGTTTTGGAAAGACTGGAGCGCGTTTTATTTTCTAGGTCTGAGCGGAGAGCGCGCGCGTCTTTTTGTTCCATTCACCTGAATAGAAGGCGCGTGCTTCCTATTGTTCAATTAGTCTGAATAGTCTCCCATTCATCGCTCGGCTCTGCCTGCTCGATTTCTTTTCCTTATCCTCCTCCACGTAGCGCAAGTATAAAGATCTTCTCTTTCTTTGTGCTTCCGACCATTACATGCACACTTCAATCGCACCAGAATTTCTTCTGATAGCCTCCGTGATCATCATGTCGTCCGCGGCTTCCGCCAGCTCTGACCCCGCCGACCCCGACCATTCAGAGGTCACTATCGAAGCCTCAGGCCCCTACCAGCCTATTATGGCCGCGGTTCGCCCTTACGATCTCTCACGGGTATTCTTCACAAGGCTAGCATTTAACTTACAGTTCACCCGACAATTTAACCAAGTTTGGCAAGACGATACGCTTTGGGAGCACGTCAACCAGGACGAGGCCTTAACTACCATGGCCAACGCACTCCTAGGCCTGAGAAACAACGATGGCCAGACGGTTAGCGATGATAGGAGTGAGATTACGATAATGAGGATAGCGATAGCCATGACGAGGACGATACTGACGACGAGGACGATAACGACGACGAGGACGATAACGACGCCGAGGATGATGACGACAGCGACGAGGACAACGACGATGAAATGTTTAACGCGAACGACCCCAACGCCCCGGTCGGTATAAATCTTCATATTAGCGATAGCTTCACTATCAACGGCCTTGAGCGCCTCCGAGCCGCCGCGTGTAACGCCCTTACCGGCCTCGTTGTTATGGCGATCCACCAAAACTCGAGCGTTCCCCACACCTTGACCGAGGCAGAGGCCCGCTCAATCACTACCCTCTTCTTTAGGGCTGCAACAACGTCACAGCCTTGGGTTGCTCCTGTCGTACGGGTAATACAGTCAAACTGAATTGTTACTCAAAGTGTATGAGTACAAAGAATGTGTATTGCTTGCTTGAAGAACCAAGCAAGCTCTAGCCAAGACCTTGGCTATCGTCATCGTATATATTTTTATGGTGGTGGGCCAATGGGCGATGTCCCACTGTCCCGAGGTCCTGGTGCTCGGAACCGTGGGGCCTTGGCGTTGTGTTCTGGTGTCCCGCGCTCCTCCAGTACAGGGCCCTGGGACACCCCTGATTGGTTGGCACCAAACTGGGCGTGCCCCACCGCCGTGCATTTCCTCAGGGAACTCGTAACAAAGTGGATTATATAGTATGGTTACGCACCCGTACGGCCTACACAGCGCCTACGGCCGTGCCGTGAAAGTTCCAAGGCTCCGAATTCGACGAATATATCTGAATTTATATATTTTAGACCGTTAAATAAGAGCACACAACATGGCAGCAGCCAGTCACGGAAATTTTCCACAAACAAGACACCACATGCTGATTGGCCTCGATCGCACCCGGTCTCGATTTGGCCTCTATCGCACCCAGTCTCGAAATCGGTTGTCTTTGCTATCCCATCCTTGTTGCGCATGGCCACAGAGTCACTTGGCATCTTCTTTACCAAGTCTAGGTTTACACCGAGATTGGAGATGGGCAAATCCTTCATCACCGCGGACCACACGTAACCTAACACACGGCTGTTCGCTACTTATCTAAAGCCGAAGCTATGAAACTAATAAAAATGGCATGTATTCGACAGATCAAGCTGTCCTGCTAGCCATGGACGTATCGCCGAAGGCATGCAGCCAGCTCATATCGGCGGGACCGGGGGAATCTTCGTCTACTATTCCTGCTACACCGCTCTTCAGCTCACACATCCGATTCTGGCCTGGCGAAGTCAGATACGAGGAGACCCTGGATTGGAGCAACGATGGATTCGTAGGCTGGTGACGATGTGCGTGGTCGAACATGTCCTTGAAGCCGTAATTACTGCGGTCTGGCGACAGCAATGCTTTTGGTGCAGTGCTCGAATGGAGCGCTCTGGCACCGCCGCTACCGATTCTAGATGGCATGGTGCTGCTTACCATGGATACCACCCACCCATGCACCTCAGATTGGAAAATTTCAATATTCTGCACAGCTCGAGCGGCACACGACCACTCGCCCAACCCCCCAAAAACGGCTGGGTAGACGGCTGGCGCCACTATAAGAGCCTGCTTCGGTCGTCTTCGGGTTTACATTTCCTCAACCAAACATGGCCGTGATAGGGGCTTTTTCAGGACGCGCTGAATATTGAATAGGGCGAGTGCGCCATGATCATGGGTGGCGGTGCAGAGAATAACTGGCAATGGGGACGTGATGGTCACCCGACGGTGGATAGGAACATGCAGGCGATGTTCGGAGCGCCACCAGCGGGAGCTCGCCAATTCCTGTCCGTATAGTCGTTCGCCATCCGCTGTGCCACTCAGGGGTGCGTGGGCAGCGAAGAACACGGCGAATCGACAGAGCCGTGAGCACTTCCACCGACTATAACTAGCCTCAACATGTCCCAGTCAATTTCTTGTCACGCCTCCAGTCTCAAGCAGGCCCAGCGCAGTTTTCCCCAAGAGTCCCAAGGCACCTACCTCCACATCACACACGATAACACGCATTCTCCCTAAATCTCGGCCGCAATGCCTTCCACAATCCCCTACGACCCCCAGCTAGTGCTGGCCAACATTGTCAGCAGCAAGGCGCTCGACATCGTCGAGCAAATCTCGCAGCTCCAAGCCCCTGTCGATGCCGACCAGGAAGACCTCAACGCGCTGCTGGCGTCGAGGCGCAGCCTCGACATGACGCGGACCGAGCTGCAGAACCTGGGCATCAACACGGACAAGCTCACCATGTCACTAAACACGCTCAACGACAGCATCGAGGCCTCGGCAGTCAAGTACGCCGAGGGCAAGATGACGGCCGAGGCGCAGATCCAGCCGCTGCGGGCCAAGATCTCGGCGTTGCACTCACAGCAGGAGAGCCCCGTCGACTTCGTCAAGACGCAGATCAAGACGATGCCGCTGGCGGCCGACTCGGTCAACATGGACGTGCAGTACTTCTCGCTCGACAGCAACAAGCAGGACGCCGCGACCTACGCGCGAAACATCTCGGGGTACGTGTCGTCGTCGATGAGCTGGATGGGCTACGACGTCAGCAACCAGATGAGCGCCGCCGCCGCCGCCCAGGTGGCCGACCAGACGTCCAAGCACAGCCTCCAGGGCACGCTCGTCATGTCCGTGTCGTGCACGCACAAGAACGCCTCCATCCTGGCCCCCTTCGTGCTCAACGTCGACAAGGCCATCAAGGTGTGGAACCACCTGTTCCCCGACGACAAGATCGTGCCCACCAGCACCAAGGACATGCTGGCCATCGCCGGGCAGGACGACCCCGACGCAGGGCCCGGCGGCGGGCCGGCCAAGAAGTTCAGCATCATCTCGGGCATGACCTTCGGGTCGAGCTTCGTCGGCATGGTGCACATCCTCAACACGAGCTCCACGGCCGTGAGCGAGAACATGACGAGCGTGGTCACGTCGCTGCAGTCCCAGATGGACGCCGGCGCGTGGTTCGCTAAGGCGTCGGGCGGCTTCGGCGTCACCACGTCCATCGCCAACGACGTCAAGAACCTGCTCAGCTCGCAGAACATCAACGCCCACGTCACCATGCTCTGCATGGGCGTCATCCCGTCCATCGTGGCCAACGAGGTCAAGCTGGGCGTCGACAAGTTCGCCGTCTTCGACCCCAAGGCTAGCATGGACGCGCTGGCGACCCTGCAGAACGCCACCGTGTCGGACCAGGACACGGTCAAGAACTCGGCCGACGCGGCGCGCACGGGCGGCCAGATGGTGTCGCTCAAGGCCGGCGAGGTCAAGGCGGCTCTGTCGGCCCTGGCCGAGATTGATGACGGCTCCAACAAGATCATCGACATCAACTCCATGATGACGGCCCTCGAGGACTACCTCAAGAAGGCCGCTGACGGCTCTTCGGGCGTCCCCATCAACTACTACCTCAAGGACATCACCAAGGGCATGCTCGCCGAGATGTGGGTCGCAAAGTACTACCCCGGCAAGTACATGGCCATCAGCTACGACGACTCGGCGCCCGCGCCCGGTCCTGCGCCCGCGCCCCAGCAGCCCTAGTCGTAACTGGGGCCGTTGGGGGGAGGCGAGTCGCTTTTGCAACTGGCGCTGGCATTGGCGGGAGACCTGGACGTTGGAGACGATTTCGTGTCTGGGGTCGTCGGCCCGGCATAGGTTTCGGTCAAGGGGTTTCCTTATCTCTCGTACTGTCCGCTCGGGGGGTCTATTTTTCTGACTTGACTTTCTTCCTCTTGATTCCTTTGGGTAATTATTCCTCGTCTAAGGAAAATACTACTTCTTCCATTCAAAGATCGATCAGCTACTACCACCTAATTTCGCACACTTTTTTTGCTTTGTTCTTGCTTCAGTTCTTGCTTGAATTCTTCTTTTTTCCCCCTTTTTTTCTTTCCCTTTCCCTTTCTGTAGCGTGGATGGTTCGACAGAGGTTCAAAATGATTCAGTTAGCACAATAGAAAAAGCGCCCATTTTCTCGTCTTTCGCTGTAAATAAGTGAATATATAACGATCATGATCTCACTCGTGGTTAGATCATTATTCACTAAATTAATCACTCCCGGCCACACAATCTTGCCTCGACCCACAACACCGAACTACCGAGTCACCTAGCCAAAGTTGGGACCGCCGCCTCCCTGCCAGCCCAAACTCCAGACCTGGCCAGAACAGGCAGATCACCGCGAGATGGACGTCAGCCGCGTTGGGCAGCCTACCTGGTGGTAGTCAATGGGCCAGGTGTTGACGGCGTCCCTAGCCCAGTCTTAGCGCCAGTAGCAGCCGCCCTGCAGGTTCTAGGGAAGGCTTGCGCATTCGGCGCCCGACTGCACGCCACCACCGCTCTGGCCCCTTTTCGTCACAATCACAGAAATTAGTCTCATTTGCTTCTCTCAAGGTCCCGAGATTAAATATGCGTCTGTTTCAAGAGAAGAAGAGAAGAAGAGAAGAAGAGAAGAAGAGAAGAAGAGAAGAAGAGAAGAAGAGAAGAAGAGAAGAAGAGAAGAAGAGAAGAAGAGAAGAAGAGAAGAAGAGAAGAAGAGAAGAAGAGAAGAAGAGAAGAAGAGAAGAAGAGAAGAAGAGAAGAAGAGAAGAGAGAGAGCAAAGGAGCAAAGGAGACAAACAACCAAGAAAAAGAAAAAGAAGAAAAGAAGAAGAAAAAAAAACACCCACTAGTTCTTGCCATACTGGCTCCTGCACCCGGCATCATTGCCCCCGCTGCCACCGCCTGGCGTGAGGATGACAACATCACCCACCTTGACGTCGGCGCCGCCCGTCCACGTGAGCCGGTAGCACCCTGCAGCAGCCCGCGGCCACGTCGCTGAAGGCCGCGAAGCCGTATGACAGCGCGTCGCTCGCTGGCGCCGGCGCGTACCGCGTCGCACAAGTAGCCTGTGCCAGGTAGCCTGTGCCGCCCGCCTCGCACCCCGACTGCGCCTTGAGCCCGTTGCTACTGCCTAGCGCGTTGTCGTTGATGTCGCATACTTTGGGCGCGCCTCTGGGGATGGGAGATGGGGTTAGTGTTTTTTTTTAAACCGGTATATGCTTGGTCAGAGGGGAGTGAGAGGGGACGGGGTTAGGAAGACGGGTAATTACTGCACGCCGCTAAGGTTGGTCTGCTAGGCACAGGCGGGTTTGCAAGTGTATCATTGTATAGGAGGTCAGTATACCGAGACAAGTGGAAGTATGATTGGCGAGAAGCGTACCAGTCCCACCCTATGTGGCTCTTGGCTGAGATAGCATAGCTAATGGGAGCGGACGCGAGAACGCCCACGCCCACGCCCACGAAGAGATTGTGGAGATACGTTTCTTCGGTTGCTGTTGATATGTTACTATTCTAGTGCCTGGTAGAAGATAGGAGCAGGTCGAACACTAAGAGTCGAAGCTAGATACCTCCCTACGTATGAAAGTAGAAAGGCAGGCGGAAGGATCATAAGCATTTATACAGGTATTAGTGGGCATATTGCCTAGTCTTACAATCGCCTATCCCAGCTTAGACCCAACTCGCCCGTTCCCTTTGAGGTCGATTTAACTAGACATGAACCAGGGATCTATAGAGTTTGGTCGAAGAATGAACACATAGCCAACCCCTAGAGATGTGCATCCTATGCTCGCCCAAACACCTATAGCGTCCTCAAACTATTTCCCTCGCGCAGCATTACAATATCGGAAAATTAATGGCTTAATAGCCTGCCCTGTGTCACCGCACAGTTGGCCTAAGGAGACAAGGCTGCAGTAATGATCCCTGTATTCGTAGAATCTAAAGCTAAGGAAGGAAAAAAGAGAAAGCTACCACAGGCTCCGCGCAGGGCGCAGGGAAATGGGTGGCTGTGCGGGTCACGTGCCAGGTCCACGCACGAACCACACTCTAAAAGGGATGCAACTAATCGGGTGCAGGCGCCTGTCCAGGCCACGCCGTGACAGTGCTCGCATTCCCCGTCCTTCGCCGCCAGCTCTCTTAGCCCGGATGAGCATAGGCAAGCGGAGAGCTGACCATACTGACGAATTATCTTCAGCATCTTTACAGTATTTAGTATGAGCGATATCGGATTTTACGGACGCCAGGCGGCGATTAATTAACCGGGCAAAGACGCAGCACTAGAGCTTCTACCGACTGGCGACAGGAAAGATCTGGGGCAAGCAGTCGCCTATCTCTGGACAGTGATCAGCAAACCCTCGTCTCCGCGGACTTGTACACGAAGCGACCCGCAGGGAAGAGCAATGATCTTGTCGGCACGAGTGCACAGGTGCTGGAGGAGGCAAGGCGGAAGAAGAGAGAGCAACTCGTGAAACAAAACGTCGTTCCCATTCTGCAGATTCTTGCTGGAGTATGGATGACCGCTGCTGGAGGCGCAACCATGGGCGTCCTGATTGTCCCGGGAGTAACGACTTTGGTGACGGGCATCACGGCGTTGAGGTTCTCGACAAAAGACAAGAGAAAGGAACAAGGACTCGAAATGCCTGGCCCCCGTCACCAAGTCAGTGATGCGGTAAACGTACCTCCTCTACGCAAACTCGCCGGTTCTTCTGTCGAAGAGGCCGCCACAGAACTCGCCCGATCCGATGCGGGTCAGATCCGGGGACATTCTGAACATCTCAAGGAGCCTCGGCCGGCCGGTGAACTAGACAGGGGGCCTTACCAGAGACATCCTGTCTCCACGAGCCTCACCAGTGATCGTGTCCCAGACTTGGATGTCATCTTGAAGTCTCTTCCCCTCCTTTGACTAGACAGCGTTGCAATCCGGCTGAGGTCGGTCGACCAAAAGACGTCGAAGAACTCGATGCAGCGGATTTGTAATCGTTGCACCGTTAAATTGTTTCCATGGCCCTACCACTAATCTCTAGACGTACACGTAGACTGAGTAGGAAAGGTCCGCCGGAATTGGATGGTTACTGCTGCAAGCATGCCCCCACCAGGGGATCATGTGATGGACTCAACTGGATGCTGATGAGGCGAGAGCGTCATGATGAGCCCGCCCCGAAGTTCTCAGACTTCGATGGCATTTCTATACTCGCCAGAGCGGGCTGAGCTGTATGCTACGAATTTGAAATCTAGCGGGAGACTGACCAAGCCAGGCTTTGGCGTGCCATCATCCCGATAGTACACGTAGGGCATTTTATGAATGCGAAGCCCATCTTGGGAAGAGTTGGACGCCATGTTTCAGAGTGACCCTGGCAAGAGCCATTTAGGTGGTGGTGGTGGTGGTGGTGCGAGGTCCCAAAGCTGAGTCCTCGTGATTCCACCGCCATTTTAGACCATGGGAACTATAACCGAGGCAGCCCAGAACAGTGACCCCCTCGCCCAGTCTGGCTCAGTCTGGCTCAGGCCAAGGCGGCAACTGCTCAGTTCCAAAGAAGGAAAGGGAAACTCGTGGTGTCGATTTTAGGGTGGCCAAAAGGCTGCTATAGACATGACGCAGCGAGTGCTTCTCCTAGGTCTGAGATAGGCGTGTACATTAAAACTACGTAAGTATTGGCTTTGCATGATTCATACCTTATTTATTCCCTGTGTAACGATTGAGGATCGCGCGCGCTTGTTTTGGAAAATTGCTTTTCTGAACTCACCTCGGCTCAGGAGATGCTCGCTGTGCCTCACCCCCTGCTCAGGCCCTGCGACTAATCCGAACTTGGTCAGAAAATGTGGTGGGGGATGACTATAGAGGTAGTTGCCCGCCATTACAATCTGGTGTCCATTTGTCCACGATTGCTTTATCGCCCCAAGATGCATAATATCTCTTCTTCTCCCTGCGTCGCTGCTTCTCCTCCGTCATCGCTGCCTCCCTGGCGTCGCGCTTCGCTTTGCGCACAGAGAATGGTGGATCTAGAGCAAGAAGCTCCAAGCAGATGCCTTGATTTGCATTCTCAACGCTAGCGGTTCCGTTATATTTTGCCTTGTCTCGAAGTCTACGGCGCGGACTGTGAATGACTTACCGATCCAGGGAAGGCAGGGATGGTTAGGGCCTGCCCCGTAGGGAGAGATTAATCTAGCTTTCGTAGCTCCGGACCTTCGGCCCACCAACTTGGAATGAGAGAAATATAAACGGTCACAGGCTCGCAGCATATCGAAAATGATCAATTCGGCGATGGTGTGGTGAATATTTACTTCGTCTGCCTAGGACTAGCTACTATCATGCTAACCTTCGCAAGCTGTGAAGGCACGAAAGCGTGGTAGTCCACCCAAGTAACAACGAGATTTTGGTGTAATGGTCTGGAGCTCTGCGGGGGCTAAAACAACGCATTTTGGATGGGGTTGTCTGATTGAGCCACAGATCAAGTACCGTGCTTGAAAGTTTGGCTGCGACAGACGATCCAGAAGGCAGGGTTCTCCAAAAGGGAAAAATCAACAACTTGGCGATCAAATATTCGCCGTCTCACTGAGAAGAACCTCGGCCTTGATCCAGACCCTCTCCGTGCTCTTGCTATAGCCCCTCCCATCGCTGCTCCCCTACCCGACAATAGCAGGTTGTGTCACAATGCTGATAGACCAACCGTCGCACCTGTCGTCGTCATCGTGGAGATGGTGAATGGGGTGCGCCTTCACGAGGTCAGATCCGACTGAGAACGATTTGTCCATGAGGCCGGGCAACCCAATCAAGTGCAATGCCGTCCGCTGAGACTATAACTTGAGGGATGTCGACGCTGCTTGTTGTATCACTGAATCCAGGTCGCTGGAGGTTTGGCTAGAACTTTCTGGCGAAAACGCCAATGGATGGATTAGGCGCTTGGCCGGACTGTTGAGGAAGCATTTTGTGAGGACTTGAATAGCGTCTTTCAGACCCAAGGCAAATTCGTGGTTCTGCGATTGTTGCACGTTGTCGCCGCCACTGCCGATTTCCCCAGTTGCTAGCAGGGTTGACAAGAGGCGAATGGTTCTGAATCGCCAAATGTGGGCCTCCTTTTCATCCACTGTTGAGGTCAAGTCGTTAGTTCATCGAGATCCTGTGGAGAGTGGAGTTAAATAACATCTTACCCTTTTTTATGTTGACATAGACGCTTTGTAGCACGCGTCCTCGCTTTCCCAGCGCAAAAAATGGTTCTTTAATAATGTTGGTATAGATTCGACGGGAAAGAAGGGCCTGAAGACATATGGTGGGCGCCTTTTTATTTATTGGCGACATTTGGAGGCATTCGAGCTCATCTTTTTGGTGCGCAGACGCACGACGTTGCCCAGTGCCTTCAAGAAGATCTCATAGTTGTCGGCTAGAATCTCTTTGATGCTATTCATGTCGTCTATAGCATACTTCCCGGCCCATGCCTTGATGTTGCATTGCAGGCTCTCGAGTCCTGCCCGAATTGTGGTATCGTCCCCGGCTGCCCACGTACCGCCGTCAAATCCTTCAAAAGCAAGAGACTGAAATTGGCAAATTTGGTACTCTTGGTTCTTGATGATGACTTTCATGTTGTCACGCTCGCACTCAAGGGACATGACCTTTTCTCGCAGCTGCTGATCCGTATGTTTGAGGGCTTGGTGGAGCTTGGCCTGTGTCTCGGTGGCTAGGCGCCGCGCTTGCCTGGCATGATTCTTTTCTTCCCAGAGTTGGTTCTCCATTTCGGACGTCCTACCCTGTGCCTCGGCAGCCAAGTCCTGGTCGACCTCGATTTGAGTCTCCAACTCCAAAATCCTGCCTTGCAGCTCGGTGGAAAAGTCCTCCACTTCCTCAAGTCGAGCATCCAACCTCAAAATCTTAGTCTGTGCCTGTTAGAGCTTAGCCTGTAAATGTTTAATCTGATTCCCACCATTCTCATCGATGATTTTACCGAAATCCGACTCGATTCGAGCATATCCTGGTATGAACACCTGTTGGATTCACCAGGGTACCGGTACTGGAAACAACAGGGCGCGCTGTGCGCCGTAAACTGGTGGTTCAAGTGATGAATTGTAGATGTGTATTCTTCTCTCTAGCTTTCTGGCAGTGCCAGAAAGCCCGTTCTTATACTACTATTATGGTGGCGAAGTGGGTGGCGAAGTCTCTATCTAGAACCTTCGAGGCCCTTCTGCTTGACAAATTCCAACAACACCGTTGTTGTTCGCGTAACGGTCGTCGAGGCTTAGTTCTCGGTCGTGTACCCGGCATGCTCGCTTGGCTGTGACCCTAGCCCCGATGAGCAGGGTTCAATAGATAGAAGAGCGGCGACATCTTCCTTGTCCCGGGGATAGTCGGCCATTCCGGCTCGCAAGGTGATCACTCGAGCAGGGTTCAGTAGATAGAAGAGCGAGTGAACATGTGAAATTTACGGCCGAGTGGGCAAGGTACCACGTAATAGATTATGTGCAGTCGAAGTGAGTGAGAAAATTGAGGGAGCCGTATTGGCAGGAGAAAGAAAGAGCGGGTCAATAAATCATGCCCTAGAGACGAATAGTGATACTAAACAAGTGGTGGTAGAGTTTGAAGATTCGCTCCTGCCTCATTCGTTTTTAGGGCCGAACCTTAAAGTTCGGCCTGGAGTAGGCGCTATTTGGGTGTCAAAGGAGCTACCTTCGTCCCGATGCCCTCCCTTACCTAGGGACCTTAGGTATGGTAGTACCTACTTAGTACCCGGGAGGTACCGTACTTACCTCCTACCTACATTACGTCCTAGCCCGTGGACTAGACAAACCACACCGTCATCCCCACCCCGTCTTCCTCACCACCTCACCCGGATCTCTCGTTTTCGACCATGGCGGCCGACGCACAGCGCGACCGGCAGTCCGGAGCGACTGCCAACGTATTGAAAATCATCATTGACGTGGACTATGGCACCACTTTCACAGGTAAGCAAACTCGTGATTCCAGGAAAATTATGAAGCCCATCTCACAATCTCTCGCCATATCAGGTGTCAGCTTCGTAACGTCGGACAAGACTAGCGTCGATGATATTGACGTTATCCGAACGTGGCCTGGAGATGGAGGCCCTGTTGAGGGCAATTGGAAGACTCCAACCGTTATCGCCTACGGCAGCGAAAACAACAGTGAGGGTCGAAACCGCTAGGGCTATGAGGTGCGCCGAGGCATGGAGGCATGCTCTTGGACAAAGTTGCTATTGGATAGATCGGCCGAGACAGCCGAGTTCGATGACCCCTCATTGCGCGAGGCAACTGGCTCCGCCCTCTTCCATCTGCCGCCTGGAAAGGACGCTCAAATGGTATGCCAGGACTTCTTAGTTGAGGTGTACCGTTTCGTCGTCCACAACCTGCAGATACGTATGACGCCTCAAGTCTTCAAAATGACGCCTGTGGAATATTACCTCACAATTCCAGCAATGTGGACCGACAAGGCACGCTCGGCTACGTTGGAGGCCGCCAAGGCGGCCGGGTTTGGATCCCGCAAGATTAACTCAATCCACATGATCCCCGAGCCCGAAGCAGCGGCTATCGCAGCTCTAAAAAAGGATCTCCGACCAGGTTCAGTCAACGTCATCAGTGTTCACGAACGTCGACATGTCGGAGTTCAGACAAATGCTAGGCCCTAATGGAACCGAGACCAAGCTGCAATACCAAATTTGTATCGAGTTCACGTCCGACGAAGGCTTACTGAAATGTTTTGCATATCTCAGAGCCAAAAGATTGGAGTTACCACTATCGACTTCATTAATAATTCCGGTTAGGTTGGCGCTTGTCGAGGTGTCGTCGCGAGCAAGCGGGTGAGTCCAATGGTGGAAAGAACCACCAATGATACCAGGAGGATCTTCATAGCGATCCGCAGTGGGCCGATGGTCTTATGATTGGGCAATGGTCTTACGACTGGGCCATGATCTTAGGATTAGGTAATGGTCTTGGTATTATGCTTTAGGTTGTTTAGAACAATCTTTTCTCGGCTTTTATCACTATATAATTACTGTCCGTGATAGTGGTACTAATTAATTAACTCAGGTAAGGTGTTGTGGCTTAAAATGTCCAAGTAGCCCACGCTTGGCCCAATGAATTAAAAGTGCATTCAAAGTGGGCGGGTGGATACATGTCTTAATTCCTAACTCCCGGAGGGAAAATACAAGCCGCTGATTGCCAATGGACACACGGCACCGAAGAAAATGTGCCGGCTGAAGAAACGCCAGTGGCAACTTCATAAACTATTATGTAGGCCTGGAGCCCTCACAGCAAAGCAGCCAACACGGCAATCCCCGCCAGGCACCCGCCGAGGAAGAGACTGACAATCCGATCCGAAGCAGCGGACGACGGGCGTGGGCTGCTGGACGCAGATGCCGACACAGTCAGAACTGACACGGAAACACTTGGCCCCGAGCCCGGCGAGCCCACAGGCCCCGTCGTCCCAGCACCTGAACCGCCTGTACCTGCGCCCGCGCCGCCACCGGCCTTCGCACTGCTGCTGGGCGTCGCATCGCTGTCGTCCGACGACGCTACGGACGTAGGAGTGGGACGGCGAGTCGTGGCTGGAGTAGGATCCGGCAGCGTGGGAGCTATCGTGGACGATGGCACAGGCGGCAGAGGCTTCGGCGAGGGCGACGATCCACCCTCCGGGACATAGCACGAGTCGTTATGGATGTTGCACGTCGATCCGGGCGGGCAGTTGTACGAGGAGAGGCCGCTGGAACCCGTGCAGATGACGCTAGGGCGAGGGGCCTAGTGTAGATCTTATTAGTACCTAATTCATTTAGTCCTAGACGTTGCCAAGTCTAGGGCAATTATGTGTTGCATGGAGAGAAGGAAACTCACCTTCCCCGTCCCGCAGTACGTGACGTCGCTGTAGTCGCAGCACGTCTCTTGGCTCGTGCCTACTCCGACACAGACCGACAGCAGATCGCAGCACCCCCCGGCGCAGCACTGGGTACCGACGCCGCAGCACTTGGTGTAGTCGCCGGCCGAGCAGGCCGTGTAGATGGCCTGGAAGTTGGGGTTTGAGCAGTCGAATGACGGGTCTGTGGGGACCTTTTGGCTACTCGAGCGGGCAACGAGCAAGCTCGAGATGCCCGCCAAAGCGAGCTTGGCGTGTTTTTGGAGCAACATGATGGCGTCTGCCGTGCAAGGATGAAGATGTGGTGCAATAATTAACAATAATAGCGACGAATGCCGGTGGAGGAGATGTTGACGGTGCCAGATGAAACTCGAGCCAAGGCTCCGGGGGAAAGGGCAAGCCCGGGAGGAATAAGTACCTACGTACTCAAAGTGTACAGACGATCAATTGCCAGGTTCGTTTTCGTGGCTTCGGACTAGCGCTTCAGCTGGGCCAGACTGAACCAACACGTTGTTGATTGGCCTGTCGTACTCACCGATATTCCGGACATGGACACTCTTTCTCATTCGGTGTGGCAATAATTCTTGCTGGATTTGCCACTTTGCATCCGGTTTCGCAAAGCTTCACTCTGGCTGAATTAGATATCCATCTACATGAATATAAATATACCATTACCTACGGGGTCCATTTAATCTTAGCTACGTGTCTTGTTATGATTTCACACACTCAGTAAACCCTCTCAAGGGGAGTCGGTGGGACCCCTCTTTGCGGAGATTTTCCAGAGCAGCAGAGATGGTTCATGAGAGCAAAACAAATCGTTAGAGCCGGCCAAAAATGGCAAATGTAAATATATCGACGAGCTGGAGGCGAGGACCTGTAGAGCATGTTAGCCTTGTTAGCTGCGGCTACACAAGCCTGTTAATTAAGAGAGCTACGATAATGATGGGTGCGCTCGGATTGTGAAAATGCGACGTTCGATGAGAGAGAGAAAAAAAGAGAGAGAGAGAGAGAGGGATGCTTTCGGTTCCCCGACCCGCGTTGTTGTCTTAGCAGCATTGGAACCAGAGCCCCAAAGGCGGAGCTTTTATTTCTTTAGGATCCATTCTCCGGCACAGCGCATTGGATCCTATTTCATTTGATACAACCACGGTGTAACCACGGTGACCAATAGGGGCTACTCTCCGTGCTCGCCCATTTTCGCTAGCAAAGATTCTAAAGCGCGCGAAATAACATAGCACAGATAAAAATAAAGTGCCATTTTCAGTCTTGTACAAAGGCTTCCTTTGCTCCTGTTATTTTCTCCCTCTTTCACTACCTGGTTGTTTTTCGGGGTCAGTGACTGGCCGTTCAGCGCCCGTCTAGTCGCCAGACAAGCTGATATCTAATTAATTCACCCTTGTCGTTCGTTACAGTCTCTCATTGCCATTATGATTTCAAACAAGATCGCCGTCTTTGCTATCGTGGCGCTAGTGTCTTTAGCAGCAGCTCAACGGTCAAGCTGTGTCAGGCCCGCAATTATCAAATGGCCCATAGAAAACATTTCTGTCGGTACCATGGGTATCATGGGCGACCATATGTGCAGCGACCAGATGGACGTCTGCGGCGCCTTGTGCGGAGGAAAGGCCAAAACCAACACATGCGCCTCCAACAACGAGGGCTACGATAATGCCTTCCAGAGCTACACATACTGCTTCAGTTGCATGTGCGAAAACGGCAGATACCCCGAGGACTGGAGCAGCTACCAAGACACTGTCGACACCGTCTCATGCCGTCGGGCACGTCAAACTGCGGAAACGATTGGAGTCAATTCGGCGAGACCTCCGTGGGTAGATGCGAGGATTGGGTACCCAGCTTGTCATGACGCCGTCTCAGGGCATTGACTCCATACCCCGGACGAGCACGACGACGTCCTCAGCCTCTAGCACAGGCAGCAGCAGCAGCAGCACCGAGCTTGAATCGATTACCACCGCTTTTACTCTTGATCAAATATCTCCATCTTCAACTGTAACGTTACTGTCATCTTCCCAGGCGAGATCGACAAACCAGACATCGGTTGCGACTTTGTCGCGACCTTGTCGGCCTCCGTTACCAGCGCAGACGCGACGAAATCTACCAGGGCCGGCGCGCCAGTCCCTACTTCTGGGGCGGGACCTGATTGAGCCCGTGGTGGGGATTTTGGGTATGGCGGTTGCTGCTTTGGCCCTTTCGGTTATATGCGAGTTGAAAAGAGAAGAAAGCAGCATTTTTGGTTTATCATATGATATGTACCTAATTATTGGGAAATATATCGAGATGTAATAGGAGAGACTGGCAGGCTGCAACTTCCGAGATAATCGTGGCTTTAATTATTAGCAATCAATGCTTACAATCTAATTACTGCCTTATCAGGCAGAGAAATCAAGCACTCATCAATATTGACCTTAGAAGAAGACGATATCATGTAATTGGGGCTGGAGTTCTATTTCAAAGGAGATCTTGTTCTGGTCCATGATGATTAGCATTTAGCAGGGCAGGGGCGGTGGCAGCGTCAGGTTAGCTCGGCAAGTCGTGAGGGGCATCAATCCTGCCGGCCCCCACCGCCAAAAATTTCTAGGAAAGCATCGGCCTGTCTGATTTCCCAACACTAGGAACCACGACTCGGACCTTTTTGCCTTCCAGCAAAACTGCAGCACACAACACAATGGCAGGCACAACATTCAAGAAGCGCTCATTCAGCGGCGACGGCCCGAAAGGCGGTAAGGGCGGGGCTCGGCCGACAAAGAAGCAGAGGCAGGCAGCAGCGTACCACAGCAGCAGTTCCGAGGGTGAAGACGGCGACGATAACGACAGCGACGACAACGAGGACGGCGGGCCAATCCCAGACAATCTATTCGACTCGGACGATGCAGACCTCGACAACATTGAGGTGGACGACGGCGGCTCCTCTGGGGAGGATTCCGAGGGTAGCGATGCCGAGAACCAGTCGGACAGCAAATCGCCGCGGATAAAAAGGGCGGCAGCGAAACACACAAAACCAAAGCAGCCCAAATTCGTCGCCAAAGACGCCCCAGACTCGGGCGGCGACTCGTCGGGCGACGATGACGGCTCCGACGACGGGGAGGGCTCCGTCTTCGGGTCCGACACCAGCCGGTCGTCTAAGCCCAACTCCAAGTCGAAGCGCAACAACCCCGAGGCGTTCGCGACGTCTATCAGCAAGATGCTGTCGAGCAAGCTGCCGGTATCGCGGCGGGCGGACCCGATCGTGGCGCGCAGCGCCGAGTCGGCGGTCGCGGCGCGGCAGCTGGTCGACTCTGCGCTCGAGACCAAGGCGCGCAAGCGGCTGCGCGAGCAGAAGCGCCTGGCCATGGAGAAGGGTCGCGTGCGCAACGTGCTGATCGCGAGCACGACGCGCACGCTCAACTTTACCACGGGCGAGGTCGAGGATGTGGTCGAGGAGGGCGCCGACACCACGGCCGAGATCATGGCGACGGAGCGCCGGCTCCGCAAGGTCGCCCAGCGCGGTGTGGTCAAGTTGTTCAACGCCGTGCGCGCGGCCCAGGTCAAGGCGGCCGACGCGCAGCGCGTAATAAGAGGCGAGGGTATTGTGGGCGTGAAGCGGAAAGAGGAGAAGATCACCGAGATGAGCAAAAAGGGCTTCCTGGACTTGATTGCCAGCGGAGGCGGGGGTCTCAAGAAGGGAGGACTAGAGGAAGCATGAAGGATTTTAGTTTAACGATCGAGAAGACTCTTACAAAGGGCACTTGAGCTGTCACGGTTGTATCGGCAGATGTTACCGCTGCTATCAGAGCAGAGTCTTTGGTGATATACACAGCCCCCTTTCGGGCGCGCCTCCCGGGCAATCCATATAAATGTATGTACAGTGGCTCATCGTGAGCTGGGTCATGGGCCCCATATGATGCCCCTTCTATAATCCAAAAGAATAAAACGCAGGGCGTGCGCTGAAAAGCCCGCAATCCCATCCAATGCTTTTGCTGGTATCTATGCATCATCTCCCTGCCCCTGAATGTTTCGAATTCATGTAACGCCAGTCCCAGGAAAATCACAGCAGGCTCTCACTTGAAATCGCTTTCTTGCAGGTTCCTCGTCATGGAGGGCAGCTTGACCCGCAGGCCATCTAGCTCGGGCGTCATGACGACCTGGCAGCCCAGGCGGCTCGTCTCGGTAAGCCCAAACGCCAGGTCGAGCATGTCGTTCTCGTCGTCGTCGGCCGCGGGTATCTTGTCGAAGAACTCCTCGTCTGTCACAATGACATGGCATGTGGAACAGGCACACGAGCCGCCACACGCGCCCTCCATTTCCAGATCATGGGCCTGGGCGATATCCAACAGGTTGTCACCCTTGGACACGGCAAGTTTGTATTCGAGGCCCTCCTTATCGATGAACGTAACGTATAGCCTGGGACCGTCAGCAGGGCGGAACTTGAGTGACGGATTGCCTGCGGTGACCTACTCTTCGCCTGGCTTTGGAGGATCCACATGGCCGTGGGAAAGTGCGGATGACGTGGAAAACAGTCGCGGCTGGAATCGCAGAGACAGCCTGGAGTCGCGGCTAGTTGCAAGTCGTGGAGAGCAGCCCGGAATGGCCAGGCGCGGCGCGGCGCTGAGTCGACTGTTGCACCGTGCCTGCTGCTGTGCAATGCAGCCAGACGGCAGCCTCGGAACAAGTCTCAGGCTGCGAAGGCCCTGGGCTAACCGCGGCCGGGGCATCATTCTGGCTCAGTGTCTCGGGAGGAGGAAGGCGACCAAAGTTTCGTTGCGGAGGAGGGAGTGGTGGCAAGGGCTGTCGAGGATTCGCGCGACAATTTCGAGTGAGGGAGCAAGGACCGTCCCGTAGGTGGTAGAGAGTGGAGGGGAAACCCAGGCGCGACGAAGAGGTAACGAAACCGACCGCCCCGGGAAATATTTGCACGCTGGCTAAGGACGTCCACGAAAGCTGCGCAATCACCGTCAAAGCAAATGGAAACCCCCGCTCAAAAGGCTCAGAACATGTTGGTTTGCCTGCAAGAAGACAAACCTGTCACAAGCCACTCAGTGCGGCCGCCAATTGCAAGCTCGGGCGAATCTTGATGCCCGAATCGCTGGGACAGAGCTCCGATATGAAAATTTACCCCTGCAAAGCTGCTTGAGGCGGCGGCTTATCGCGCCCCGCTTATGCAATTGGCAAGCCGAACGCCAAAAGTTTAATGCCTGTGCTTGCTTGGCGACAGGCCTTGGCTCTCCTTATCGCCGAGAGATTTCACCTCATCTCGTCATTCGCGCCGCACATGCAAAGATACAAACTCAGTCCGCCACCGATTTGTGAGGGCCGCGTTTCAACACTCGCCTTACCTTACGGGCCATGATCCCGCACACATAACCAGCAAGCAACCATGGCGCACCACGGCGACGGGGTCAACCCCCTCCGACCATACTACATTCCGCCGACGATTGGGGAGCCGCCCGAGCCGCTACCTACCCCCGGACCGAATGCCTTTGCGCAGGGCAATGCCTCGGGCATGTACGCGTCCAAGGCACGCGACATGTTCTCCGACATTGACTACAAGGAGTTCCTCGCCGAGCCTTCGCCGTCGGTCGTGCAGACGGTCAAGGAATTTTTGGACGAGCTGTTGTGGAAGTACACGTCGACCCTGATGGCGCAGCCCTTCGAGGTGGCCAAAACCATTATGCAAGTAAGGTCTCAGGACGATTTAGGAAGTCTAGCTGCCGCAGGGCTGCCCGTGACGCCAGCTCCAGAAGAGATAAGGCAGCGGCGTCCTAGCCAGCAGATTCCCGTTCATTACGAGGTATGTGAAACCCTCTCGACCCCCCGCCCTCGGTCCTCCGTAGAAGCCGGCGGTGGCTGACGCTCCCCACTAGACCGAAGGTTCAGACTCCGATTCCGACCTCGACGAGCTCGCATATTTTGGCGCAAGCCACCACCATCACCACCCAAGTACGCCGTCGCCGTCCCTCCGTCGCTCTCAACAAAGACCGCAGCAGCCGAGCCCACTGCCGTCACCACGGTTTCCCCCCAAGCCCATTCCAGCGCACCACCTAGTTATTCGCACGCCTGACTCAGTGTTGGAGGTGATTGGGCAACTTTGGCAAAAGGAAGGCGCCTGGGGCGTATGGAAAGGAACCAACGCAACCTTTGTTTACCATGTCCTGCAATCGCTGCTTGAGAACTGGTCCCGGAGTCTCCTCAGCGCCCTCTTCAACGTACCAGACCTGGGTTGGAAGAACGACTTGGATCGGCTGGTCGACGTTGCATCTCCGTATCCATGGGCCTCACTCTGCGTTGCCGCCACGGCAGCTGTCATGACGGGTCTGGTTCTCGCCCCCTTGGATCTCGTTCGCACTCGGTAAGGACTCCTGCCCAACCTTGAATGCTAGCACTAACCTGATGCAGTCTCATTATCACATCCACGGCACGAGGCTCTCGGCGGAGCCTATCTGCCCTTCGAAACCTCCCGTCCTATTTCTGCTCTTCAGGCCTCGTCATTCCTACTATTCTACACTCTCTTGTCCATCCAGTCCTCACACTTTCGACGCCCCTTGCTCTGAGGAGTTACTTCATGGTTGAGAAAGAACAGTCGCCGACGGCGTTCTCGATCGGAAAATTCTGCTCTTCGACCGCTGCCCTCTTCTTCAAGCTACCGCTAGAAACCGTGCTTCGGCGAGGGCAGGTAGCCGTGCTTAGTTCACCCCAGTACGTCCAAGCTTTCGAAGTCTCGCAACCCAGCAAGGGGAGGAGAGTTGGTGGGGAGCAGCTAGAAGCCATCGTTCCTCTTGGGTCTTACAACGGCCTGTTCGGCACCATGTACACAATCACAAACGAAGAAGGGTCGCGGCCCGTCCCTTCGCCAGTCTCGCGGGCCAGGGTGCCGCCGGCTAAGAGGGGCAAGCCCACGATTTCCGAGACTGTCTACCGGCAAGGACAGGGGCTGGACGGCCTCTGGCGTGGCTGGAAGGTGAGCTGGTGGGGCTTGGTTGGTCTCTGGACAGCTACAGTCCTTGGTGACAGAGGGGATGGCGAGTTCTAGGCGCTCCCGTAAAGTCCGCATTTAAAGCGTAAAGGTAGGATGCCGTATCCTGGTGGTATCTGTCCGCCTTTGACAGGCAATAACCTTTTTTTCTCTTGGCGTCGGACTGGTTAGTTTTGTTGTATGTATGTATACTTGTGTCTGTGTGGGTGTGGTGTGTAGTGGTTGGCAAATGATTCCCCGCTCACGAATGGTATGATATCCCGGCTTCATCTTCATTATTTCTGGGCTTTATGATATTACCAATCAGCCCATGTGTGTTCTCGGATAATAAAATAGATTATATACTAGGAGAGGAGGACAATATCAGTTGGTTATTTACTTCTCAGTGCGCAATGTTTATTACATGTCCGGGAAGGTTTCTTGCCACAAACTAAACTGCGTAGCTCCAGGGGTAAGCGTGCCAAACAAGAGGACATCTATTTCAGATAAATAATGCATCGTTGCAGGGTTGTGGCGAGACAGTAGACAGGTCAAAGGTATGTATTTTATGTTAGCTTGCTGCATCAACAAGCCTCTCAAACAGACAAAAGTAAGCACCCAAGCTTGACAGTGAGGCTCACGATTATCAAGAGCGGATCGGGAGGCCAAAAAACTGGGATAACCAGGAATCGAACCTAGGTCCTCTCGGATGCTGGTACACAACCACATCGAGAAATCCTGACCACTATACTATCATCCCGTTCTTCCTGTTATTGTTGTTCCTAATTGTGGATAACTCAGGACCGCCGTACCTCGGGAGCCACGGCAATTAATCCCGTTAGTCAATTAAGTTTGGTTTGTAACTTTGGGCCTTGAGGGCTGTCTTTCTCATCGTCGTGCGTGTGATGTGACTAATTTGAGAATTCTCGGAATATGGTAAGGTGGTAGGTAGAAAGGTAAAACTTGGGATGAGATTTTGCATATCTGCGAGATCCCAATGACACGACTAATTAGAAAGAAGTCATTTCTCAATTTTCGCGCAATTCTAGTCGGCCATTAGACATGCTCCTGCAAGACATTCCGCACATTATCGCCAATCACTAAAGCTGTACGACCTGTCTTGACTTCTGTCTACCAATTCGCATCTTTAAGCGCCCCTTCGGCCAGATTGAGAAGCAGCACATCGCTACCTTTCGCGCCCATGAAACTACTCACGATTGGCAGGTACTCTTTCAAACCGCTGATCCGCGAGTCGTACGATTTTTGTCCAACTGAAAGTAGAATGTGAGCGAAACCGTACGCCTTGAAGGGCGAGTGCGGTGACTTACTGAGTATTATGAGCGTTGGCAACTGGAGGACCGCTGGCAAGTAGAAAACCGATGATCTCACAATGCTAGAGAGCCTTTTCGTAGTTAGGAAAATGTCTGAGTGGTAACCGCGAGCAGCACCTACTTGTTTGCGTCGTCGCGGTATTTCGGCACCGCAGAGCCAAACGGCATGACCATCACTGCATTGGTCACGGTGTCCTTATCTGGCCCTATGATGTTATTCCCAACCCAAGTTCGGAAGACCTTCATCTCGGCTACGCCCTGGGCGCGCTCTTCTTTGGTAAACGGAATAGCGATACCCCTAAGTAAAGATTAGTTCGGTAGTATGGACTCCGCCCTCGCCATTCGATTGGACGCTCACCATCGCTTCCGTATATATGGTCCCACATACGGCAGCCTCCCAAACTTGTTAAGGCAGTCTTTTCGGAAGTCATCGAAGGTACGGTATGTATCGTAATACATTGGCTATACTGCTCTCTGCTCAAGTCAGCTTGTGGTAGTCAAAATTATAGAGTATGCTCGTTAAGTACCATTTCGAGATACTCCAGTAGCGTTTTCTCTCCAGTAGCGTTTCTCTCCAGCTTCCTCGGGAGGATTGGATGTCCACGTGTTAGTAATACTGATGGTGGTTTGCTTGATACCGAGAAACTTCTCTACTATGGTGATGAATGCCTCAGTCATGGCTTCTTGATTAGCGTCCGCCTGTGGAAAAAAGTCCAGAGGATAGAGTAGGCGTGTAGGGAACTTGAAATGTTAGATATGAAGACATATGGACTAGCGAGTTACTCACCTGAGACGAGTCAGGAACGTCCAAGGTTGCGTTGATGAGCTGTTTGGCATCCTTCAGGCTTCTGTGTAGCGTTCTAACTGTGTCAAACTCACTGTCCAAAGCATTAATTAAATCCAATACGACACTGTGAATCAATTGGGCATACGTACTTGTAGCTCAGGACGATGTCTTGTCGTGAGGCAATATCATACGAAGTCCTAAGGCCGAAAAGATGGTTAAAAGCGACAGGGAGACGTATACTACCGGATGCTTTGAGAGGTTAAGTAGAATGACCATGGTAACTGGGATAATGAAAAACTCACTGTCACTCCCGACGGAATGGTCGAGCTAGGAAAACCCTGCAAGCGAAGCGCCAGCGTCAGCAGAACTACACGACGGATTCTGATACATGTCGCCCCTTGGGTTGAAGGGGTAGTAGTAGTTAACCCACTGGTTAGTTAGCTCTTCTGCAGATGTAAAGGCAGACATCTTGGTCATTCCTATAATGACAGCACCCAGTTGCGGGAGCTTAGTAGCGTAGTCTGTAGAGGACGTACGCGGTGGATATAGCTCGTTAAAGGCTCTGTTTATTATCGTGGTTCGGATTCCCTTCAAGTCGAAGTTGTCCTAAATACTGACGCGAGCGCCAGCCAGCGGCTTTTCTTTACTCGGGGTGGCGTGAAGTCGACTGGGCACGGCGGCGACGCTCTTGAAAGTGCTATACTGTGAAAATACTTGGAGTACGGAGAAATTGATCGGAACGTCGGATTAGTACGGGGTGCGATATGAGCAAAATCTAAAAGCGGCTTGCCCAGTTGGATTGGCCACGTCGTCGGTAATGGTAGGGACAATAAACGCGTTGAGGTCGTCTTCATAGAGCTTCTAAGCCTGATGGATGGACTTGCTGTGGATGAAGTTGGGTCCCTGGGGGAGAGGATCATGCGTGAGGACCGGCTCGCTTGTGTAGACTCCTTGAAAACGGCCGCCTTTGGCGAGTCGGGTAGCGACGGTAGTAATGTCTATGCCTTGTCTTGACTGTAAGATGACTGCCGAGGTGAAATCATCGCAGAAAACACCATCCCGGTGCACAAAATCACCCAGAGCCTTTTGAGCATGTTCTGAGGCAAACCCGGCATCTTGTCCACAGAGTAGCACGGCGGGCGTCCAGAGGTCACTGCTCGGGGCCGTGGTTTCGATGAGGCGACCCTGCGTTGGCCAGCAATCCACGCGCCTCGAATCTCTTTTTTTGCGAATCGATATCCTAAATCCACATACCACTTCTTGGGGATGCTCAAAGTATAAGTCCCAGACGAGCACACGCGCGGCAGAGGAAGCCATTGCGGATTTGTCGTTAAGACCAAGCCGAGCCAGGCAGCTTGTAAGATGAAAGGCATCCATCCACCTTGGCCAGGCTGCGATGACAATGATACCTTAACACCTTAATTAATTACTACCTCCAGGGCCCAGGCTGTTCCAGCTAACCTCATCACTTGATTGACACCAGGAGGTGCCCACAGCCTGACACCAGGCACTGAGGTAATACATCACCATGATCCTTGATCAGAGTTCTTTTCCACCAACACATCACCACTCTCCGGCGCCGCACGACGACGGCTTCTGGCTCGATGGCCCGACTTTCATTTCTCTTCAACGAAAACACGCCTGGCAAGTTCCAATTTACCCAGACGTGTTTGAGCCACGGCCGTCCCTACTTTGAATCTAGCATCTTTCTGCTTTATTCCATCGCCTTCTTTTCACTTCGTTTGTGAACTCAAAATCAGGCACTGCTCCACCCTCGTCATCGGCTGGAGGCATCCTGCGTTACGTGCGTTCAAGGCAGCGGAGGTACTTAATATAGAGTCTCGTTCAGCACCCTTCCTGCGAGTTTTGCACAGCACCTCTTCTCCGTTCCTTCTTCACAAAACCTCTCCTTCACACAACACCTCTCCCTCACACAACACCTCTCCCTCACACAACACCTTCCCTTCACACAACACCCCTCTTGCCCTCGTTCTGTATAACATCTGAAATCCAATGCACAAACTCCCCGAAGTGCGTCACTTCAAGATTCATTTCAAGATTTCTGTCTTTCCGCGCCACAAATTTTCCAACTTCTTCACTTCCTCCCAGTCCTTTTCGGCGCCGTGGTCCGAAATACCCACGCGGGCTTTAGAAAAACCTTCACTATTTTCCATTCCCAGAGCCCTTTAGCATTTTGATCTCCATTTCGCTAACCAAAGCTGCTTCAGAATCCGGGTCTTGAATACCAGTCGGCTTACTTTCAGCTCCATATTATCAAGCCTGCCTTCCTTGCCGGCGGGATCATGATGGCGAGGGGGATGTCCAGCTATGCTGGGCACTCGCGCGCCTCGAACAGACCTAGGCATGTTCTTAAACTGCCCCGGACTCGGGCACGTCAGTCACCACCACCCTGGGTATCCGTCCAGATCGGGTGAGGCTATAATCAAAAGCTTTAATCTGGGTACCCCATCTAAAAATCGGCTTACCCCCTGGGGGTCATTGGCAGCTGCGAACGCAGGGACCGCTTTTTGCATGGTAAAATGCCGTATTTCCTGGCAGCCACCCAACGGCATACAGGGTGCCAAGGAAGCCTGGCAAAGTAAAAATTACACTATTTACACTCTCAACATGCCGGTGGCTTCAAGTTTGTATAGGCTAGGTAGATTTATGGACTCAACACCAAGGAAGTGTATTAACATGTCAACAAATCAGGATTTAACGGATTACTCAGGCAACTGGGCGCCCGGCCATGACTTTTGGCTGATTTGAGTACAAATTAGGGCCTCAGAGTTGCCATTTGCAAGTTGCCCTTATTTTGAGGCACTCACTCGGCAACGAAGAAATCGTCAAAATGGAAAACACTACGGCAAACGCGTTTTCAAGGCTTCAAACCTTGTTAGCCCGGGCGGCACATAGAAGCGCATGCGCGGCGCGGTTAGATAGTATTTCACGATTTTACTGGCTGAAAATAAGTCCTGAGTATCTCAACTGCCAGCAGCTGGCAAGGACCCCGGAGGCGATTTTTAGAGATCGGGTGAGGCTATAAAGGATGTGTGCACCACGTTACACAGAACTACGACCCATTGTTCCCACATCAAAAACAACCCCTTCCTAAACAAGCTCCTGCCTCAAAAAAATCAGCCACCTAACAACCCAACCCATGGTCAGACCATTCCAAAAACAACTTCGCGGAACAAAAAAACCACCCATTTCCACCTCGCACCATTTAATGCGTTCCTTCACTCAACACGGCTTTTGACATTGGCGCCACAGCCTTTGGTTCGTTAATGCATTCAAGAAAAGTAAGTTTCCTATTTTCTTATACAATCTCTTCGCTGAAGACGCTAGACTGCCTTGCGGCTTGCCTCGAGGATTTTCGCCAAGGTTGGAGGAAGCGGCCGGAGGCCCTAGTGCAGAACCCAAAAGCGCTCTCGTCCTATCACACAATATACCTTACCATGTAAAGGCTTTTCAGGCATCTGGCATTCCCTTTACCGAGCCCACACATTCCTCCTACTTCGCGCCTTCCTCTACCGCAATTGACCCCTAACACAAAACCTTCGGAACGAGGCGTCTACCTAAGTCACCTCTACAGCTCCGCACAGAAAAGGAAAATTAAGACGCCTTGTTCGTTAATTTAACCTTTTTCGGACATCGCTGACTTTTTTCCAGAATGGAGTTTACTCAGTGCAACGTCTTGGGAACTCCCAGTGACGGACCTGATAATCCTTCGGCAGCCCTAGCTGTTGCTAGAATCAACGTAAGTGCAGAGTACTTTCCTCAATTGAACCTATCCAAGTCAGGACCAATGCTCACCTTCTCCCTAGGAGACTCGATCCGTTGAGATTTGGATCACTGTCCCAATCACCACCCATCCGAATGCTGGAGATTCAGTCGCCGAAGCTAGAGACGACAAATCATTCCGTGACAGTCCCGATGAGAGTGGCCACTGCCTCGAGGAATGCGCCGTTACCGTCAAAGATGAGACTCGTTTGGAGTCAGCTCATACAATATCAATCAAGGATGAGGAGCGTTTGGGGTCAATTCATATGATACCAATCAAGGACGAGAGCGTTTGGAGTCAGCTCATACGATGCCAATCAAGGATGAGGAGCGTTTGGAGTCAATTCATACGATACCAATCAAGCACGAGAAACGTTTGGAGTTAGCTCATACGACACCAGCCTACCAAAAGATACCGCCCATTCGCTGCTCGATATGCCAGAGTATCGGACACGACAAGGACCGGTGCCGCCGCGCAAATATCACCTGCCATGCTTGCGGTGAAAAAGGACACTTCCATTATCGGTGCCCTACAAACATCGTCTGCTATATGTGTGGTGGAAAAGGACACAGTGGCATATATTGCAAGAAACCTCCCGAGCTATGTGAGAACTGTCAGCAACGTGGTCACACGCTCAAAAAATGCAAATTCTGTGTCTATTGCAACGCAGAGGGCCATGCCACCAAGACATGTATGAGCCAGGTCATTTGTCGGTTATGCAAGGGAGCAGGCCATAGGGAACTGAAATGCCCAACTCAGCCATGTATAATGTGCAACAAGACTGGCCATCAAGAGTTGAAGTGTCCTGAGCGTTTCGTTGGCGGCGATCCGGGAATCATGCGGGTTCCCCACCTCATGGGCATGGGTTTTCGGGCAAGGCTACGCAAACAGCAAAAGAAGGCCACAATTAATTCAACTGCTAATTCGGCGCGCCAAAAGTTGATCGATGAAATAATCCAGAAGGTCTACCCAGAGACACTACCCCGAGAGCCCCGAGCCGAAGGTCTGACATCGGAAAACAACCATGACGATGAGGCAATTGATACAGATGATGAACACTAATTATTATGGCGTTGCGACACGAATCGAGATTTCACGGCTTGTCTCGATATGGACGGGTGTTTGCCGGATTCCAGGAGTTACTGCAGGTGGCCGCCGACGCCCGTCATTAGATCTTTGAGCTGCAGATAACTAGATTGGGTCCATAGGTAGATAAACGAAACTAGACTGCATCCATATTATTCGTGAACGGCGACGCGTGTGAAAGCACAGGCTAATGTGATTGTCCCACCATCTGGCCTATGTAAATGGATATATTGGGCTGTCAAGAGAAGGAGTTCCCTGCCGGAACTTTCAATGGTTTTGTTGAAGTCCACAGATAAATTATATTAAAAAAATATGCCTATTAGGAGGTTCCGGGTGGCATATGAGGGTGCGTAGAGAGGCTTTCTGGGGCGCTCTAGTCAGAGTCCTTTATTTTCTCAATTCTTCAAGCCAAATAGCCTAATTAGTTCTATCTTGTCGCCGAACGTCGTCCGTGACCCAACCTCACTGGTTGCCAACCACATACCGTGCCGTTGCAATCCTCATCCGCTTCCCCATCCAGATGACTGGAAGAATCAGCAGGGAAAACACCCCCATGATAACTGTGAAGCCGCCAAACGGAATCAAGTACCCATCCCTCTGCACCCACTGGCTGACGAAAAATGTCCAGGCAAAGGGGATGATGCCTCGCAGGATGCAGATCATGACGAAGCAGTCGCTCGCTAGTTGCGCGTAGGAATCAATGAGCTGTAGGTAATTTCAACGTCAGCCTGTGAGTTTTCATGCCTGACTAGAAGCCTTGGGGTTTCCGGAACTTGAACAAAACATTGGCACTCACATAGCTGAACCATATCGACGGCACTTGGGTGAGGGCAAACGAAACCATGCCGTAGGCGAACTCAAGCCCGACCCACTGGTACCGCCCGGGATTCTGCGCGCAGAAGCCAAACACCAGCAGCCCGCCCGTAGCGACTGCCAGCGAGGGGAGCAGCACGGGGATTCTCGACTCTGGTTCCGCAAAGCCGTGATCTTGATTCTTTGCAAACTGCTTGAGGCGCTTGTCAGCCAGGAGGCTGGTGTAGAGGCCACCGAGGACGATGCCGACCAAGGCGCCGATAAACAGCAGTCCCGAGTTGTCTCCCCACTGGTACGGTGGCAAGTCGAGAAGCAGCGGTCCGACAGACGATATCACCGCGACGCCGCCCACGAGCCCGCCATACTGGAACATGACGATCCAGGTGGCGGGGAGGCGGAGGGTGAACCACGGCTTCTTGAACTGGTAGAGGACATTGCCCCTGTACATGCCAAACTTGAGAGACCGCAAGAAGGTGAACGGGGTCTGTCGCTCGCTGGCAATTGCATTGGCTGTTGTTGCCCGAGATGACCGATTCTGCTTTGAGACTTTGGAAACTCGGAACGGAGTCGGCGAGGACAAGTCGCTCGAGGACGAGGTCTGGTACCAAGTAAGGCTCGGGCCTTGGTCTATTGAGCCGACAAAGCGAGACGGCACGGTCATGTGCATTGAAGGGAGCGAAACGAGGCTCAAATATGGCGCCGGCGTCCGGGGCTGGAAGCGAGAAGTCCGAGGGATGTTCCGCTGGACCGGAAGACAGAGCGACGCGCGGTGGTAAATTGTTTCGGGGACCAGGAGGATGGCGCACAGCAACGTGAGCCCCGACAGCACTGCGTTTACCTCGAAGAGAGCGAACCAGCCAAGGCGGGCGGCAATGTAGCCGCCGCATATTCCGCCAACGACGGACCCGCTGGCCAAAGATGCCGTGTAGAGAGCCTGAGAAGAGAAAAAAAAGCCACGTTAGCGGAAAATCTGGGAACATGATCAGAATGGTTCCTTGGCAACTCACCATCCAACCCCCTCGCTCGTGGACAAAGAACATGTCGCCGACGATGGCGGGAGTCACGGTCTCTGAAGCCGAACTACCCAGCCCCTGAAAGACGCGGATGGCGAGAACGCGGCCGAAATCCGAAGTCATCGTCCCGCAAGCGGTGGCGATGAAAAGCGTCAGCGTTGAAAAGACCATGATGGGCCGGCGGCCAAAGACGTTGGCCAGGGGTACCCAGAAGATATTCCCAAGGCCGAGGAGAAGCACGTTGAACTATCGAAGAAATATCAGCATAACAAGGGGGCGTTGGGACCTCGTCGGAGAGTTGAAGAGGCATTCGTTATTACCGCAATGAATTGAACCAAGTCCTCGGGCGGCCTCGGGCTCTGGGGGAACGACAAGTTCCAGATTGGCAGCGCGGGCGCCAGCGAGGCCGACACGAAGTTGGCCACGAAGGCGTACGAAGACACGGCAGCCAGGCAAGAAAACTTGCGCCAGCGCGCCCAGTTGAGGGGATCTGCAGGGTCCGCGGTGGGCACGGGGAAGTTGGCGACGCGGTCGACGTATCTGCCATTGTGCTGCGTGATGCTGTGTTCTGGCTTGCGAGTCAGTTGCTGTCTGATGAAAGCCCGACTCGTGACGCTGTGGGCGGTTTTCGTTTTTACCTATGAGACGGACTGTCCCTGGCGGCGTGGCAGCCTTGACGGCCTCGCGGGACAGGGAGAAGGCATAGTTCCAACCAGGCATGTCGTGAGCATTGAGGCCGTGTTTTCTTTCAGAAGCCCTGAGATGAGACAGAGCGGCATTCAAACGCAAAAAAGTAGAAAAAAGGCGACCAAGCCATGGTAGCTTCGACCCCAGCTCTTATCTAGTTACGAGAGCCGCCGTCCATTTCCCCCACTCTGGATTGGTCTGCAACACTTTCCAAGTTGGAAATGGTGCGCGGCGTCTTGTGATTCCACCGCTGCAGCGCATCAGGTAGTTTCGGTCTCGGGAGAGGGCCGCGACTGCGCTTGCGCCAATTCCGGACTGCGGTTCAACCTTGTTTCTGAGTGAGCCAGCGCGCTTATCGAGGCTTAATTGACAATGGGCGCCGACAGGCTCAAGACGGCGCTTCTTCTGATGAGAAGCTCGCATAACTTGGAAGTATACAGCTGTGGATGCACCTATGCCTACCCCGTACAGGATAAATCAAGCAAGCCGCCTAATCTGGGGCAAGAGATTGAACCTGGAGACGAGAACGCAGAGCGGTCTATGGGGAATCCGAGGGTGGGATCAAAACCTTAAATCATGCCACTCAGCGGGAGTTCAGGTCACACAAGGTGCCCGAGCTTCTCAATAATAGACAGGCCCGGGAGAGGAGCTACCTGGCCAGGCCTCAGCATCATCTTCCGTTAGTCTTTTCCTTCTTTCCTTTTATTCCAAAGAGTTTAAGAGAGGCAGCCGTCCGGACCCAATCTCAAACCGGCCCAATTAATTACGTTCTCACCTACTTCAAACTCGTGGGCCACGGCCTGTTCCCCCAACCCACTACCAAGATCGATCATTGCCTGCTGTCCAACCCCAAGCTCCAGTATCAACCTAAGCAGGGCTAACGAATTAGGCTTTCATCGGCGCATGCTTCCTCCGCTGTCGTCGGCGCAGCTAGAGAGACAACATTCTCGCGTCGGCCATGCAAGAAGAAAGCAAAATCATTGCCCACCTCTCCCCAGAGAACACTAAACACCTTCAGGGCAGCTAGCGGATCGGGCGTCTTCGCCACCTGACACTCCTTGCCATGGGCATGCCGGGCCGCCGCGAATCGTCATCAAACGCGCACCCATGTACGGAATACTTGGCGATTTGACCGTGTCGACACCGGGGGTGGGGATCGACCGGTGGTGAGTCATGGGCCGGCACGCGGGTGTGGTGGGGCCATATGGCAGGCAATGAAGTCTCCGGAATGTCGCCGAATCCGAGGTGGTGCGGATCCGGGCAGTCTGGTCTGACAAATGACTTCCTTGTCCTGTCAGCCGTGCCGTCCATTTATTATGGAGCAAATGGAGCCGCAAAGCCTCAAAGGAGCACTAGGCGGTAGGCACCTGGTTTGCGTGGGCCTGGAGAGGCCGCAATTTGTCAGCCCAGGCTGCTAGTCAGGCTTCCAGGGGGGTCTGTATCGCCGCCTCGGCGGAACATGACAAATGCCCCAAACCCCGAGCTCTTCCAAAAACTGGCCCTCCCACTCCGCCGCGCCGGCTCCAACTGTCAAAGCAGCTTGTTGCTTCTTTCTCGGGCTTGTGCTCGTCTTGTCGCACCCTTGGCTGGCCTACCAAGAAATCCAGAGGCGGCCGCGCCAGTTTGTCAGCTGCCAAAGCCGTTGGGACGCTTATGTTACCAGACAGACAGGCCCAAACACGCCGCCGCCGCTGCAGACTGGCACCTAACTCTGGAATCTGAACACAACTGTTTACCTACTAATTATGGATACCACTACCTCCGGGTCTCGAGGCGGGCGCCCGCTTTCGCCCGACTCGCCTTCACGAGCAGGCCCTCGCGAATTCGGGTCGCCAGACGGGGCTGACGCTGCCGACGCCGCTGCCGCTGCCGCCGAAGCCAAGCGGCGCAAGATTAGGAAAGGGACTCGCAGTTGCTGGGAGTGCAAACGGCGCAAGATACGATGCACCTTTGCTTCCCCAACCGACCCCGTGTGCATTGGCTGCCACCGCCGAGGGGCGCATTGTGTCAGCCAGGAGTTCCCCGAGGAGGCATCTTCCCTAACCGACCGGGGCCGGCACATGGGCGACCGCATTGTGCGCGTCGAGGCCTTGATTGAGAAGCTGGTGAAGCAAGTCAGCACTGATGGCGGCGCTGGCCCGACACCGCCTGATTCTACCTCAGCACCAGACAGCACCAGTACCAGTACCACCAGAGGGGTAGCGTTCAGCGGCGATGACCACACTACCTGCTTTAACCCTAACCCCGACCTGCCCACCCCAGATGGGTCAATGGACCTGGACCCTCAGTCCATTTCCAGCACGCACATGACAGCGTCGGTATGCTGCCTCTGCCCCTAACCGCCCAAACATGATACTGACACTGAAGCAGGAAGGAGAGCCGAGCAGCCAACCGACGCCTGCCGTGTCGTTGGATTTGCCGGCCCCTCCGAGAGTTGCTTCAGATTCTTCAAAGAATGAAAGAATCTCGGCGGCTCTGTACGCGGCACTGCCGTGTCGTGGCGATCTCCAGCTGCTCAAGCGCTACGAAACCGAAGCTCTTATTTTCTTCAACCTCCTGGGCTTAAGACCATACAGCGAAATCGATCGGGATGGACTAGACTCGCCTTCCCACCTTTTTTCCCTGCCCGACCCCAGGTCACATCCGGTGGTTCTGGGAAAGCACTTGTTGCTTCTCGCAAAATTCCTTCAGTATTTCCGTCCGTTTGGCCTGTCCGAGAACCATGTTGCCTTGAGGGAAAGACTGTTAGATACGGTCAAGCGGCTAGTCACTTCCGACGACGAACTTGTCAGTACCTTTGAGGGCCTGGAATGCGTCTATTTGGAAGGCCTCTTCCACTGCAACAATGGCAACTTGCGACATGCGTTGACGGTCATGCGAAGGGCCATGGTCATTGCGCAACTGATGGGGCTACATCGAACCCATAATCCACAGCCGTTAAAGAAGCTCAATCCGACAACGACGATTGATCCATCGTTTTTATGGTACCGAATTGTCTATGCGGATCGCTTCCTCTGCATGATGCTTGGTCTTCCCCAAGGCACCCTCAGCACCACCATGGCCTCGCCGGCTGCACTGGCCAGCGAAAGCGATACTGGTCGGCTCGAACGCACCCACACCGTCATCATGTCCCGCATTCTGGAGCGCAACGAATCAGACCCTTGCGCAACCGACTACTCCTTGACGCAAGAAATCGACTTAGAGTTGCAGAAGGCTTCCAAGTTGCTCCCCAGTAGGTGGTGGCTCATGCCGACGCTGGATTCTACCACAGTTGATAAGCAAACCTTCCTGAACACAATGAGACTGTTGAATCAGCTGTTCCATTACAATCTCCTCAACCAGCTGCATCTGCCGTATATGCTGCGGTCCGACGACCCTTCAAACCAGAGTGAAGGACGTGCAAGCACCAGTTATAATTTTAGCAAAATGACTTGCGTAAATGGTGGGTGTTTTTGCCCTTGTCTACTACCTACTTGTTGACCCGTTGCGCTGACGTGTTTTTGCTTTCCAGCGTCTAGGGAGGTCCTTCGCCGTTTTGTTGAGTTCCGATCCTTCAACCGCATAGCATTTTGCTGTCGAGCGATCGACTTTTTCGCCCTCGTAGGGGCCATGACGCTGTTGCTGGCTCATCTATATGGCCATCGCCAACGTGTCGGCGAGAATATTCTAGCACACCAGCGGCTCAGTGACCGCGCCATCATGGAGGAGGTGCTGGAAAGAATGGACGGCATCAACGAAAACAACGGAGACAGCTTAAGCCAAAAGAGCGCCGATATACTTCGCCACCTCCTCGCTTTGGAGAACGAGGCTGCCGAGGGTCGGAGCGTCTGCCCTGGGCACCTGCCCTGTCCTCAAGAGGACAGGGAATGTGACGAGGACGAGGACGACCATGTTCTACGCATGATCATTCCGTATTTTGGAATTATCAAGATCGCCAAGGAAGGCGTCATTTCGAAGGAGTCGCCCAGAAAGACGCAGCCAAGCGCACAAGCTATGCCGCAGTCACTCAGAGCTCATTCAAACTCCGCCGCTCCTAACTCAATGGGTGTTCCTGGGCTCGGTGATGGTTGCCTGCCTCCTATCAGCTGTGACAAGCCAGCGGCGGGAATCAACTTGGAGTCGCCGGCCCAGCCAGACTCTCAGTTGCAGGCGCAGGCGCCGCTTGTCAACGAGTTCCAGTTTGCACCCCAATTCCCAACTGGAATCAACGACGCCCTTCAAGAGCAATACCAGTACCCGGGACTGACGGCTCCCGTGAATGACTGGGCACTTCAAGGTGTCGACATGGCATTCTTTGACAGTTTGATGAGAGGCAATACACCCGCGAGCAGCAACCCAAGTGTGCCATACGGCGGGCAGAGCGCACAGGAAGGTCAATGGGAAGACTGGCAACCCCTGGCAAAACATAATCCAGGGGCTAGCGGTCTGTATTAATATTTCAAAGATCGATGTACCATAGAGAGCTTTCACATTGCTATACCTCTCCCCTTGACTTTCGAGAAGTCTACTATCCCTCAAGAAGACATGAATGAATGAACGAGACTTGACACTCCCCTACAAGGAAAATATTACGGCAGGAAGCCAATTTTAACAGTCGAGAGGACCGACGGAGCGGCCGAGGCTTTAGCTTCTCATTACACTTTCAGATTCGGATCTTACTATGCTGTGTACTCCGTGAGTCTATAACTAACTAATGGAACGCAGAACCTGCCCGTTTCATTCGCGTCATAAGTCTTCTTTGTTAAGACAAGTGGCCAAACGTGTTCCTTTGAGCGAAGACTATGAAATGCTGATAGTTGTGGATGCTTGCAGGTGATGATAGAAATCACATGTGTTGGACTCGGTGCAATGTAAAGCCGGTCACAATCGGGACGAGCATTTATTTCCAGCACCTTGACATTTAGTGGGGGGTTGGCATGGGAAAGGAAGCCATTTCTGACTGGGGATCAAACGTAGCCAGGAATGGACTCAAAATAAAAAGTATTGGACGTCTCACCACGTAATCACATGTCCAATGTCACCCAAACCCGAGCCCTCCTTCACCCACGTCTTCCGATTGGCCCACGCAACAAGAAGCGTATCCGTCTACGAACCTAGAACTATTAGTATTTGGCATCCAGCTTGTTGTGTGTGTGTGTGTGCTCGGGAAGCTCCGCCCCATATTATTACCTTGCTCAGTCAGGCGTCAAATCATGCATTTGCATTTGCATTTCATCTCAAATGATTACGATTCCAAGCACGCCCCATACGCACTACGGAGCACGCAGCACGCAGCACGCAGCTTATCTCCATCGCCGGCGGGGGAAAAGCTGGGCCAGCCCAACACAGCTGCCAGTGCCCAAACACATATCGGAACAAGTGCTTACTCCGTATTTTTATCTCCCTGTTAGCCGCGTGTCAGCCGTAATTACGGCCCGTACGTCCGCATCCACGTGCGTATGCGCGCATGCACAAGTTATTGATTGATTGATTGATTACCTTCCGTGCCCGGCTGACATCTTGACAGGTATGTACAATACATAATCAGGCCCACGTTTTTAAAATAAGATTCAAGGTAGGCAGGTGGGCTGCGACGAACTTGAAATTTCTAATTATTACTATCTTGCTCGTTTATACGAAAGTGGAAATGCGAGGGGGAGGGGGGGAAGGGAGACGAAAACGAAAACGGGTGCCCGAGGGGGGGTGATTACTAAATAATCCCGAGTCCCCGACGATGCACGGAAACCGTTTTTCAGAAAAAGTCCGGGGGGTTTCTACCTCCCCACTAGTCGGCGAGGATATGTACCCCATTGGCGGTTTCATACATGCAACATAGCTGGCTTGGTTTCCTTTGTGTTGGGAGAGGAAGCTTGTGTGGGGGGGGGGGGGGGGAGGATGATCATGTTGGGTCAGATTCCCTGTTGGAAATGAAACTAGGACGACGGATCTTCCTTGGGTAGGATGCGTATCTATCTGATTGAAATTTTGACGGCCACTAAAATTTATCATCCTGTGCGCACTCATTAGGCGCTTGGCTTTGAGCAGCTAATTGGTGTGTGTCTCGTTCGCTGGTTCGCTGTGCTGGGCAGGTTTTCCGAGGGAGAGAGATTGAACTAGTCCGAGGGCGAGAGCCGAATCGCGGGTGGGATCTTAGTTTTCACATCAATCCCTCCCTAAGTTGCTTGAGTGGGATGAGTAGCTGGTTGGTGTTAGGGCTGAATGCGCTGGGTAATTCCCCAAGGAGATATCGTAGTTGTTCACGTAAAGTTAGGAAGGATCTCGCTGCTAAGCTCGTCAGTTCGACCTGTCTCGCGCTCTCGCGCCCTTCCGTCAATTCACAAACACTTGTGGTCGCGATTAGTTGCTTGGCAACTGGTGCCACCATTTCTGTTCTCGAGTTCGGGGTTGGGTGACATGGCAAGAATTTTGTGTTGGAACGATGACTTCGTGGCCTCACTGCCCCTCAAGTTTTTGAAGTTCCAAATGTTGGACAAACATTGCAGAGAGGACGTGGAAACCGAAACACCATAGTTGTTTTCAGAGACGAATGTGCGAACGACTTGATTCAAGTGGAGATGGCCTCTTGATATTAACATTGTAGAATAATTATATCGGAAAACCCGACGGCCCAGGACAGCCGTCCCATCTAACCAAGGGCAGTGTTTAAAAAAAAAACGCAGCCCTCAACGCCGTTGGTATCTCTTCGCTGGTTTCTTTTTTGGCCTGTGAAGCTCCGCTCCGGTCTTCCACGTTGATTCCAAGTCACTCCATCCCAGTCTATGGCCGCTATTATCCCCTTCCCCCATGCCAGACTTGTACAGATGAGCAAGTTCCGAACCAGTGCCAGCTGTCTGCCTGACGAGCTGCAGCTCCTATTCTTAGATTATAAACTCATGGAAGACGTATGTGCCGCCCATATACATGCAGTCTAATTATAATAAAGGAAAAAAGAAAGAACAAAAGGAGACGATTGAGTGAGCGTGACAAGAGATCGGATGCCGGGGTATCAAGCCTAAGCCGCTCCGGCACCACCCTTCAACGCATCCGTGTTGAGACGCTTGAAGCTGGCGAAGAGACTGAGAATGAAAGAGAAGCCGACAGTGCCGGTAGCGAGGGCAAAAGTAAGCTTGATGCCCGCCATGTAGGCTTCGAGGACTGCGGGAAGCTGTTGCTCGGTAAATGCGATGCGGAGCGACGTCGCACCAGTGGCGAGGATCATCATGGGGTCGACATCGGGTAGCGAAACGGAAGCCGTGCTGATAACCCTGTTGATAAAGGCAGACTGTGCGGCAGAGACGAGGAATGCGCCTCCGGTGGTTTGGTAGACTGTTTTTTAGGGTCCTATTAGCCGAAGTCATTTCAAGGATGGAGAGAAAGAGGAAACACATACACAAAACAATAGCAGTGGTGGAAGACAGATCGGAGACCTCGGCAGAGGCTTGGGCGATGATCATGGGGACCTGGAAACCCGCGCCCCAAGCAAGACCAGCAAGGACCTGGTAGCCGATCCACTTGGGAGAGCCAGTACCGATGTCGAGGGTATACAAGAGACCGGCGGAGACGGTGGCAACGGCAGCGGAGCCGACAAGCACGGGGGCGGCAATGCCGTTCTGCGTGATGCTACCGCCTGATGCGACGGTCGCGACGGTGACGGCGAGGATGAGAGGCAGGTTACGCACGCCCGAATCGGTAGGGCTAGTGTTGTCGATGCTCTGGAAGTAGATAGGCAGGTAGTAGACGACGATAAAGTAGGTGCCGGCAAAGAAGGCGGCGTACAGAGAGCTGTTCCAGACAGTCCGCATCCGCATCAGACGCGGGACCATCATGGCACGCTCGCCGTTGTACCACTCCCAGAATCCGAAAACGGTAAAGATGAGCACGGAGCCAACGATCAAGCCGATGACCTTGGAGCTGTTCCAACTCGCGGTCTGGCCACCATATTGAAGGGCAAGAACATAAGAAATGACGCCGGCCATGATCAGAGCGGCACCCAGAGGATCCATCTGGAGGAGCTTCTCGCTAAGAGGCGCGTCGATGGGCTTTGCACGCTCGGGCGCCTTGAAGAAGAAGAAGAGGATAACGGCCGAGAGGCCACCAATGGGAAGGTTGATGTAAAAGCACCAGCGCCAGGTGACGTGGTCCGAAAAGGCGCCACCGAGCAGAGGGCCGATAACAGAGGCAATGCCGTACGACGCGCCGATAATGCCGGTGAACATGGGCCGCTTCTTGGGCTCGGCGGCGAACGCAATGATGGTATAGGCACCGGCACCGACGCCGGCAGCGCCAACACCAGCAATGGCACGTCCGATAATAAAGGCGACAGAATTCGGCGCGACGGCGCAGATCAAGCTACCAATCTCGAAGATGATGATGGAGAGAAGGAATGCGATCTTGAGGGGAAAGTACTTGAACGCCTTTCCCCAGACAGACTGGAAACCGCCAACGGTCATGAAGAAGGCTGACCCGTACCAGGCGACATCGGCGAGGCCGCCGAACTCGTCGGTAATCTTGGGGATGGCGGTTGCGACAATTGTCTAGAGCGCCCAAGTTAGCAACAGCCAAGGAGAAGACGAAAACACAAACCGAGGGGGGGGGTTTACCATATCAAGGGCAACGAGGAAGATGCTAAGGACGAGGGCGATGACGATAAACGTGAGGGCGACCCCCTTTGGATAGTCTCCAAGGTCTTCTTCGCCTTCGGCGTTTGCGAGGATTGCGGGCTCCTCCTTGGTGCTCCCCGCGTCGTCAACCGTCTTCTTCTCGTCTCCAACAGTGGATGGCGCGCGCGTGGAGTCGCTGCTGAGGTACGCATTGTTTGTGGCCTCGTTATCGGGGCTTAGGTGAGACGGGGCCTTCTTCTCGCTCGTGACGGGCCGGTCTCCTTCGGCGAGGGTAGAAGTGGACTCGGCCACGGGCCCAGTGTGGGCGGGGGCGAGTTTGGCCGCGGGCGCGGTCTCGTTTGACGAAGCCATGGCCGGCTGCTGTCTGGCTGTGTCCCGGGTTGTGTCCTTGTCCGCAAGAGTTCGATATGGTTTGTCGATGACAGTTGGGCTCAGGTGTCGGGGACAAATGAGCTCTGTTTGTGTGATGGACAGACAGGCGGAATTGGATATTGGAAGAGCAAGCCGGGGCGAGGCAGCTTAGTTATAATAATGTCTGGATCCTGGGCATGAACATGGAATTGTGGACAGTAATGTACATAGACGCCCCGCAAAAAGAAGAACAGGGAACGGCCGCGTCAGAAACCCGAGAGATGATGGGAGATGATGACAAAAGCAGGGGGGGGGGGGGTGGTTCTTCCTCCGAGAGTGTGGGTTTGTGTTGCGTTGCGGAGATACGGACGGACTCTATCAATGACAAACCTAACCTATGACAGTTATGGGTCTGGGTTGCAGCTCCAGTACGCTGGGACGTTAGAACGCTGGACCGGGGGGTCTTGGGCGCCTTTCTCGAGCCTTCTCTCTCTCGCCAACATGATGACTGTTTGAGCTGAGCCTCGTCTTGGTTGGTAAACTGCTGTCCCACGGCAGCGCCTACATGTAGGTATTCTTGGTAGGTGCTTGGCACTGACAGCTTCCCACGCCCCCCCTCGCCCCTCGCCCTTCTCACGCCCATTTTCGGGTCGGTCCTCGGGCAGATCCTCGTTGCCGGGGGTTGCGCCGCAAGCCATGACGCTCTGGCGTTATTTTGTGCTCCTGGGCCACGATTCAGCGCTCAGGCGGCGTATTCTGGAACCCTCAAAGAGCCCAAAGCCTCAGGCCCCACCCATGCCCCCTGCTCCGTAATGGGTGGCCCCAATCCGGCCCTGGCAGTGGTGCTTTGGGATGAAATCCTACGAAAACGGTCGCATTCTCAGCCAATCAGAAGGCTTACCCACCATCAAGTCTTCAGCCCAGTCTGGACCTCTCTGAAGTACCGGGCCTAAGGTCGCGCCGTAAGGCCGGTGGGCCCCTGGATTAGCGCTGCTTTTGTGTTCTTTTTTCAGGGTTGTATTATTACCAACCGAGACGGCACACCCCTGCCGCCATCCGCCCGCGCTCGGCGGAAGAGTCAGCGCGGAGCTAAAAAGAACCATCCGACCGCGAACGGGAGGATGCGAGGGTGAGGGTCGGGTGTGCCGTAGCATTCACACACCATCATCGCACTTGCAATTGTCCGTTTGCCGCTTTGCATTACGGAAACTTGCAACCGCTAGACGAGAATTTAACAAAGCACGAACAGACTGTTCACGGTATGTAGTGGTATAGGTAAGCTGACTCGTTATCGCCCGGGTGCTCGTGAAAGGCCGAGCCGCCGACCGAATTGGCAGTACAGCGGCGGTGGTGCAATAACGGCGGCGACGAGAGAGCTGCGATAGAAAGAAAGCATTCCCAGTTTCGTTGTGCTTGACTAGATCAAACTCTGCGGGTGTTGCAACGATGCGCTAGCATATCGGCATTCGATGCCCCCAATTAGCAGGCCTCGAGCTCCTCGAGAGTTGGGTCCAACAACGGTTAGGATGCGCTGTTGGTTTGCGAGGCCTGTTGGTCTGCAAATCACTTCCTGGCACGGTCACAAGGCGATGGATGTACTGCGTATATCAAGGCGGTCTGACATGACACCTGGCAGCGGGTCAATTGCCGTTTTCTGATCATTCCGGCGTGTAGCTGGCTGGGCCTTGTTCGTTGGGTGAGATTGGGATTCGAGAATTGAGAATAAGTTGCTGCCGCGAATCCAAGGATACGACGCAAGGGAAGGATCTCGCGCGCCATCGGGAGCCTCCTGTCACCCCTGTCGGATAATGGTTTTGAAGAAATTTCCTAAATGCGTTATTCGTAAAACGGTGGGGTTTTGCCAAACGGTTGGTTGGTAGAACGGAACTGGAACCGGAACCGGAACCAGAACGTTGGCACGCTCGCAAATGCAGATCCTCCGTCGCCGCCCGGAGCCAACAAAATAAAGATAAGGTGGGGCTGCATTAGTTAGGTATTCCGTAATGGCTTGCAGGTAGCCCTTAACTCCGGAGTAGCTCGGTTTCCCGCAAGCCCGCCTGCCATTGCTATTTTTTGGAGGGTGGCATGGCTGCTGCTGCAGATCTTGCATCTCGTCTCGTTATTCCGAGCCTGCCGACAACCGACTGAAGCTAGGAATGCGACGCTATCTGCTGCTCTATTTGGCATTTGCAAAGTGTTAGGGCTCGGCCGATGACTCAGAGATGCGGATGCGTGCGTTTGGAACTTTGAAGCCACCATCACTTGGCACTCGGCCGCCTGGCCCGCCCGGTTTCCTCCCATTTCTCGGCGGAGAACGCAAGCTGTGCCGTGTTCAGGCGCCCAGCACGGAGATTGGAGATAACCTTAGATCGCTGGAGATACCTCTGTAGCCCCGAGCCAGATAACAGATCTAATCTTCATCCCCACTCATTCATTATTGCGATAATCTCCCATCCCCCATCATGATGGCTCATTCAGATTTCATGTATATCAAAGACAACCCCCAATGCTTTGGACAGCAATCGGCGCCGCCGTCTCCCACGCGACGCGAAAACTCGCATGACGGCTAATAAATAGCCAGTCTGACGTTGAACAAGTTCACCTTAATGACAGCCCGTCCCTCCATATCCACGCCGTCGGGACCCTGGTGTTGCCCGATGTGCGTGGATACTACCCCGCCACCACCTGCCTGAATTTGTGAAACAACCACCACCCCAACACGCTGACTCCCACAACGGGTTTCTTCGGGATTCTGCGCGCGAACCCCCGTGCTACGGTACCTACCCGCAACACGTCAACACGTGCCTTTTGCCTCGCGCTGTCCAAACCCTCAACCCCAAGCCATGTGCAAAGGGTCTGTCTCACCGCCAGACTTCTCTCTGACCTGACCTGACCGATGTGGCTGTGCCGCGGCGCACCACACCACACACAGCCCTGTTGCACAGGGGAAACTTGGAAGAAACCCTATTACTAGCGTGCTGGGGATCTGTCTTGCATCTTTGATCCCATCTAGGCTAGTTCTCGCTGTATCTGACTGAGCGCGTAGGTGTGTATGCCTTAGTGGCTATTTTCCTTAACTACCTTCTACAAGAGGCAAAGTCCCAAGAGGCGCACCCATGTGGTAAGGAAATAAAATACCCCACAAGTAAGCTGACGTAAATCTCGCGAGCTCCAGTCAATCATGGTAAAAGTGCCCCTCTCCCAGCCAAATCCTCCTGTGCAGTTGAACTAGGAAGGACGGACGGGATTGGGCCACGAGGGTTGAGCGAATAGATGAGAATAGCACCAAAGACATTGGCATTGGGGATGTCGCTATGCCATTTGTTGGCAAAACAATGACAATAGATACATCGTCGTCCACTCTCCCTGCACTAGAATTTGGAACTAATGGCCAACGTCCGTTCTCCACTTGTCGTCTTACAAGAGGATGGCGCTAGGAATGTGCCGTTCCTCAGTAATGCCTTTATAATACGCGTACTATGAGGTGAACACCAAAATAATCTAGAAAACCACCGTACGTGTATGGAAACACATTCATACATCTTCATTAGTTAGTCTAAATTACTAGCGTACGGAGCATCCGTAGGGCTGTGGCTGTGAACAAAACCTTAAGGTGAGATCAACCACATAGGGTATTATCCCCGCGAACGCTGACCAACATCTATGGGGCAGTTACCTGTAACAAACTGGATCGTCCGGGCTTGCCTTTTAACTGCGGCCGCTGACTTGCTCCATTCCATCCCCAGGTTCCTCGTAAAACAGGGCGGCTCAATTGGCTGTGCCTATTTCTACGCACGCAAGAAGCGCAACTTCCACCGTCTAATTAGCTCAAAGCGGAGGTGTATGTAAGTGCGGCGGTCAGGTTCAGTGACCGGTCGGCCAGCGGACCGGTCAGGGACAATATGCCGAGCCGGGGGATAACCAGGCCGGTCGGCCGAGCTCCACGTCCTCCAGGATGGCTGGCGGTAAGAGATGGGGATGTGCGGTTGAATACGGCCCCCCCAGCAACCTACACAGAACCAATTTGCTGAAATGTCGCGCGGCCGCTGTCGACACCGTTTTTGTTTGTTGTCGTGCGAGTGTGTTAACCCCCCTCCCAAACACCCCCCTCCCAAACACCCCCCCCCCCCCCCCCAAAAAAAAAACAGCGGTGGACACGCCAGCGTCGTCGGGATCCCGTCCCCCGTCCATGGGCCCCCTCCTGTAAATGACCACCAGCCGGGTGGCACTCAATCGGTGCGCCGCATCACATCACACATGGATCCATGACAAAAACGCCCGGTCTCACCAAATGCCCAGAAAAGCGCAAAATGCCGAGAGTGTAAAACAAGCAACTTGCAGTCGCATAGCGCTACTCCCAAAGGCAACTTCCTCTGTCTGTCAATTGTCAACAGTACAGCCTCCACAGGAGCTAGGGAATAAAGCGGCTCAAGGCAAGTAAGTAAATGGCTGATGGCGAAGTGAACAGTGGCGGCCAATTAGTACACAATTACTGCTGCGATGCGATACGTAATTAATCGGTCAGACCGACCAACAACACATGGACACTCCGGCCCCATTTGCCGCCTTTCTTGGGAGGCGTTAATCATTCATTCATCACAGCCTCCTATGGCATACACAAGAAGTCTGGGATCTGTTATTGTTGGTTGCAGATGATGCATGTGGCGCACGATGGGCCGGTGGGACGATGGCACCTGGATCTCGGCTCTTGGAGAATCCCCTTTGCGGCATATTTCCAGTTTCAACCAACTGACCCAGAACATGCCCCCAAAACTAGGTTGTAGAGGCGACTGAACCAACACTTAAGTCCCACACCGGCGGTTCTCAGGTTGAAGGATCGGGCGGAGTTGGTCATGCATTCCTTTGGCACAACGCTACATATTGATCGACATGATAACCATTTTATTGTATGGGATTATCATCTACAGCATCCATCTGCCTAGTGACTTGCGCTTTTCCCCCGTTACCGCATCAAAGGAAAATTTCAAGGTTAACTTCTAAGGTGCTCACTGGGTATCTGCGCGTAAGCTCTGTTAGCAAGTTGTCCAGTATTTTGTTACTACCCCTGGGACATAGAGGCCAGCGGGGGGGGGGGAGGGGGAGGGGGAATGTAAACATACTTTAAGTCAAACTTTTCCAGAACCGTGGGATGTAATACGCCGAATTCGCCAATGCGATGCACTTTCCCGCCGAGTCGCAGATAGATGGCCGCGGCGCGCCCATGGAAGAAAGTCGGCTCGTTGATTTCCTCAATGAAATAGCCGTCTGACGGGCTGGGGTTCTGCTTAACTTCAAAGTCGACGCTCTTGCCCGTGAGCCCCTCCTCATGTGTGATGAAGGAGATGCGGAGCATCGACAATACTCGGTCTAGAAGGCCGTGGACGACCTCAAAACCACTCGTCTTGCCGTAGAAGGCCGCTGCCCAGTGGCGCTCGTTTCGAGCACGGCGCTCGCAGGTATCGTCCTTAAGTGCGATATCGGACGTTTCCGTGATTTTGAGCGGAAGAGCAACCGACTTGTTCTCGCGTATCGTCTTGAGAAGACTAGTAAACTGTCAGTTGTTGCTACTCTCTTGTTTTGGACTGCAACCAGAGCGTGTAAAGAAAGGATGAGATGGTAGGGTTAAGACGAGACGGAAAGGTCTACTGCCACGAAATACGTACCCAGGCAAGAGTGAAGTCCGCACAACTTGGTACTCAACCGACTTGGGGTTGGCAAGCTTGACAGCCGCCGTTCCATCGTCGACGCGGTTCAGCCACTCAAAGTTCTCCTCGTGGGAGCACAGAATCAAGGGCATAACCTCGACCCAGCCCGCCATGGCGCACTCGTTTCGGACGATATCGCTGAGTTTGTTAATCATCAGGGGCTTGCCAATCGTGGCCGCCTTGTTGGGCGATGACCGCGGGAGATTGTTGAAGCCATATGCGATGGCAACATCCTCCATCACATCACAGGCGTGCAGAACATCGGCTCGCGTTGGCGGTACCGCGACCCTGATGAACTTTGGATCTTCGGACGGCTCTGCCGCGTAAGCCATCTTGCTCAGCAGCTTGCTTATCGAGGCGGGCGACTCGTTCAGACCGCAGGATTGGTTGAGGTAATCCACCTCGACGTCCATGGTTCTGACGGCCAGACTGGGTGTGATCCGGGTAGTCCCGTTGTGGTCGGAAATGATCTTCACCGGCTCGATGGTGAACTGCTCCTCGCAGTACTTGGAGAACATGGCCACCATGATGTTGCAGACAATGTCCAGCTTGGTCTGATCGGTAGCCGTAATCTCAATGAAGACATTGGTCGTGTTCAGTGTGATCTTGGAGTGGTTGCCGTTGATTATAGGGGGAAGAGAGCACACGACCCTGTTGGCGTCGAGGATGACGGGGTAGACGGGCTTGTCCCGGATAATATGAAGGAAGCGGCCGAGATGCTTGTCATTGTTATAGAAGGCCATCAACTCCTCGCCATCCATCTCCGTGGTCTGGTTTAAGGGAGCGAACTTGATGTCCTTCGGAGGAAGAGCCTCATATGTGAAAGGGCCCTGGATCGTGTCGAGATCGTGGGTCCCGATACTATGCGCCAGTGTCAGTACTGGTAGCCCTCGCCATGCACGCATAGCGCATTGAGGCGGAGGTTTGCGGACAGCCACTTACGAAACCAATGTCCTTTGCCGCGCCAGATTCTGATGGAGCTTGTCTTGCAGGCCGATGAACGAGTTGTATGTGGCCTCGGTGAACTTGAGGTTGCGAAGGATTGCGCCGGCAACATAGGGGCGGACTTGGGCGGTCTCCTTGGTGACCGTGATGCTCTGCATCTTGCTCTCGGGTATGTCCAGCAGCCTGTATTTCGGCGTCCCGTGCTTGCCCCGGAAGATGTTCAGATGCATTGCGATTCCTGTCCATGCAAAGTCAGCACGCCGTACGCCGGACTGCGTCCTGCTCTGAAGCATGCCGTACCCTCGAAGCATAACATATCATAGCGGTTGGCGGGGATCTCGATGGCCAGCTCGGGAGCCTGGTCCTTGGGCCGCGCCGGGTCATCCTCGGTGTCCTTGTCGAGCTCGATGCCGAAGTCAAAGCATAGCTGCTGGAAAGAATCGGCCGTGTACCTAGTTAAGCGGCATTGTTAGTGTTGATGTCTATGGAGGGGGCATGTTTTGACCATGGTGGGGTAGCTTTTCGTACTGCTGGCCGAGCTCCTCGAAGAGGGCATATTTATCCACATTTATGGTCGGCATCTTGACCTGATTTCTTGGTGCTCAAGTCGTAGGGTTGAGTAGAATTGAATTGAATTGTCGGCAGGTATCGCGAGCGCAAATACGGAAGCCGCACTCTAAACTGGTGTGAGAAGACCTGAACTTTTTGACACGGGGCCCAACCACCTGGGCTCGATGATCTGCCGCTGGATGACTCAAGTGCGCGGGGCACTTTTACTGCCGCTGCTGACCGCCATTCCCCTCCTAGGCCCCTAGTCGCCAAGACCTTAAGCTGTCTGGTTCTGCACAGACCACTAGCTCAGTATATGTGCATACGGTACGCTAGTTCAACGCCTTCGCACAGCTACGACTCCTGAAAAGAAAAGCCTCGCTTCACATGAACGTTACTGATCGAAATACGAACTTGTTAAACCTAAATAGCTCCTATTACATGTCTATTACTCTCTATCAAATCCCTCTTTAGGCCGCCAAAAAACATACGCTCACAGTTCTAGAGACTCTTGAGAGAGAAGAAATGGCTTTATAAATGATCTGTCGCTAGCAGTAATTTGGTATCTTGAATGAAACAGCAGAGGCAGAAGAAAAAGAGAAGAAGAAGAAGAAGAAAAAAATGGTGGTATATCCGCCCCAGCCCCTTATCTAGAACATATTACCCTTTACTTTGCTTTCGACGCGCCGCCCTCAAGCCCGCCGATGAAAACCCTTTCGCGCGCGTGAGGTGAGTGCTTCAGTATGACAACCCTTGAAGAAAAAGCTGGCCCTGAAAATGATCTATGCTGTAGATGCCGACGCACCGCTATAAGTGAGCAAGACAGTGGATGGGTATGCTAATGCTATGCTAGTGGGGCGTAAAACGAAACACATGTTGATGATGCCCCTTTTCAGGTCGCCGAATACGGGGCCAAAATGATGCTATGGGGTTAAGCAAAAATGCTGATGCAAGTGCCAGCGCGAATTAAGGACATGAACATGAGGTTAAATGTGACAGGGAGGAGATAATAAATAAGGCAATGTGTTAGATGGAAGCTGCACTGCAACTGAAAGAAATAAATAGGTAATAGGTGGCAAGAAAGAAAGAAAAAGATAAGGGGGTTATATAAATAGTAGTGGCAGAATTGCAGGGCCATGGCTGGCAAAACACGGAAGAGCTGGCAAGACGGAGAGGACTTGCCGCTGGATTCCCACTCAACCCATCAGCCCCGCACCGATCTCGTTCTGAGCCATGAAAGTCCTGGCCAGCTCATCGCTGCCCTGCTCTGCTGCCCCCATCCAGTGAATTGCTAGGCACATGAGGGCTGGGTCGCTTCGGACGTCACCCACACCCATACCGCTGGCACCTAGGCCGCTACCGTCTTCCATTCCCGAACCGGTTCCAGAACCGGCGCCACCGGTGCCAATCCCCAGACCAATGCCACCGCTCCCCGATTGCCTCTGGAATTGCGACTGAGTGGGCGCGCCAGGATGATGCCTGCTAGACGCAGAGCCAGCCGGACCGGACCGGCCCGAGGATCCACCGCCATATTTTTCTATGACTGCCTGCTTGAACACCTCACGCGGTTTGCTGAGAGGCATTGTGGTACGCTGCACAAGTTCGGGGTTGGAAAGGTAGAAGATGGCGAGTTCACGTTGTGCCGTGGGATCGCCCTCCTTCGCTGTAATTGTCCACATCTTGGCTGCATCGGCGAGTGAGTGTGTTGTCAGAGGAAGCGGTGATGGCGGCGAGACAGGAGGGGAAGACGGTTCTCCTGCCACTGGCCCAGAGGCAGTGCTGCTCGCATCCGCATTGGAACCGGTCGCTGTGCTTCCAGTTCCCGGTCGGTTGTTGTTGCCGGAGCTGGACGGAACTCCACCACGTGTCTGCGTGTAGTTTTTGACAATATCATCCGCAACTTCGACCATCGTGCGGCAAACTTCCTGCTTCAGGCCAAGTGCGGCAAGACCGGCATCCCAAAACGCCTTGCCCTTTTCAGTCTTGTCAAGGATGGAAGAAGGTACAAAGGAAGAAATAAACTGAAGATCGCGAAATAGTGTCTTCGGCCGGAGTGACGGGTCCCGAAACAGCGTCTGCAAGACGTTTGCAATGGCATCAGTATTGGCAGGGTAAACCGAGACTACCGAGCGAGTCTCGATATTGCCGCCTCCTCCAGGAACTCGACTGCTCGGGCCGTGGCCACCCGAAGCAAAAGCAGGAGCCTGGACTAGGGTTTGCGAGCGCCTCTCCTTAATGTTGTCGATGGCTTCCTCGATAGGCTGGGACCGGCCCGTCCCCACACCACCGCCATGATCGTCGGTGGCAGAAGACGCCGAGCCCAGCTCAGATCGCGCCCACGCCAGTCTCGACCGACGGGACCCCGAGTTCAGAGAAGCAACGATCAGGTGCTCCAACTCGGACAGGGCGTTCAGTTTCACGTACGGGTTCGGGTGGACACAGAACATCTTTAAAAGTCGTTGGTATGCCTTTGTGAACGGGAAGTCGGGTAGGGGGTCCTTCTTTGGATCTTGGTTCTGTCTCTGAGCCGAAATCGTATCGCTGGTTGCAGAACTCTCGTTGCCATGGACACTGCCACCGTGGACGCTCCCTCCTAAATGGCTGCCGCTAGCCGCTTCAGGGCCGAGACTCTGAACATCGGAGAGGGCTTTGTCGCTTGGCGCGCCGCCAGTGCTTGTACCCCGTAGGTCGCCAAAGCTCCTCTTCTTCTCGATGATGCGCTGCTTGAGTCCCGCCTTGCGTCTGTCACGAGCCTGCGCTTGGCGCGCGCGACGCTGGATGGCTTCCCGACGGTCGATGCATTCTTGGCCCAAACCTTCGAACCATGCATCCGTCTCAGACCCACTGGCAAAGACGTGATTTCCCAAATCGGAGAGCAGGAGACTGGTCAGCGTCTGCCGCAGTTCGCCGAGGAAGCGGACTTTATCCTCGGACAGCCGTTGCTGATAGACTGTCTCATTTGACGATGCCGATGTGCCCGGCCGGCCCGTGGAATGAGAATGAGACGGTAGATGGTGGTGTTGCGGCGGGTGGAAAGAGCCTGAGAGGTTCGTCAGGCTTGTGGTTGGCGAGTGCGCTCTGGATGTCGTACTGGGAGAGGTAGCACGGTGTTGAAAGGGCGACCAGAACGTCGTGTTCGAGTCGATCTGGTGGATCGGGGATGAAGCACCAAAATACTCCTGCCCATCCAAGATATCCGACATGACCGTACTGGCCTTAGAGAAGCTGAAGCGGCCGGAATCAAAGGACATTTGGCTCATGTTCTGGCCAGACATGCTTCGCAATGCTCCTGCCGCCGACGGTGGCCTCCCGATAGAGGTGAATCTTCGTTCGGGATCGCTGACAACGCTGGCCGAATCGTCCCAGACAGACTGGTTGTCTCGGTCCCTCGGAGTCTTTGTGCTCTCAAATGTCCGCCGGTCGCGCGCAAAGAGCTCACTCGACCACAGCACAGGCCCATCGATAATGCTATCGCCAACCAATTTGTTGACGCAACTGTCTACCTCACAGCAAAACCGGTGTATTCGCTCCTCGCCACGGCAGAAATTCTCGACGCCGCATTGCTGCAACCACCGGGCCGTTTTCTCTGCCTGGTCGTCGCGTAGTTTGTTCGGACCCCCTTGTTCCTCTGACGCCGCAAGCAAGTCAAGAATCTGCGACTCGGTTCTGAAGATGTAATTCGAAGAGGGTCCCCGCTGCATCTGGCTCTTAAGTTTCTGGAAGGAATTCCACCTCCTCGGTAGGCCCATAGTCTTCAGTGCGGCAGCGATATTCCGGGAATCCTCGTATGGGGCCGAGTTTCGCACGTCTGTAACGTACCACATTTTATCGCGGAGTGCTCGCAGGCGGCGCATCATTGATTCTATCAGCCCTTCAGCTCGTTCCTGGCTTTGCTTGAGCCAAACCAGCCAGGCATCATACTGCTCAATGGCCGCGGCTGACCTGCGAATGGAGTCACGCGGCCCACGGGAGAAAATGTTAAGCAAGGTTGCAAAACCATCCCGCCGTAGGGAAGCGGATGCCAAGGAGTTGAGTTGTTGGAGGGTTTTCCAGTAGATATGAGCCGAGACGAAGTCAGACTGAGCTCGCGATTGAGAGCAGGCCGCCGTCAACATAGTAATCAGCTGAGACGACGATTCCGCAGACTCGGCCGACTCCTTCCCTTTGCCACTCTTCGGGGGGCTCTCTGCTAGGCTGCTCGCGAAGCTTTCAGCCCGTTGGCGATAGGGATTCCGGCTTCCCATAGTCGTAATGATCCGATTCTTTGAGCGGTACTTTTTGAGACTCGATGCACGGTTGCTAAATGTCTGCTTTTTGGCCCCGTCGTCCTCCAGATTCTGCGGGATCTCGTAGTCCTGGACAAGTTTCAGAATGGAGTCACGAAGCTGGTGGTAGTCTTTATCGAGTTCCGGGCGGTCATCCTCCGTCTCATCGCCCTCGGTGTCGCTCGTGGAAGAATTGGCCTCCTCCTCGACGTCGTCGTCTGGATCATATGTCATCTGTGTAGACAAGTCATTTCCGTCGGCGGAGATGAACAACACAGCCCATCGCTCCGCACACGGATGGCAAAGCCCGTAAACAACATCCTGGCCCAGTATCTGAGTCATCTCGTGCATGGCAAGCCGCAGCCGATATCCATCATCCTCGTAGTTAGTCGTTTGCTTCGGAGGAGCCTGATCCTGGACGGGGGGGGAGTAGCGGCGCGGGTCTTCATCATCTAAAAGGGGCTCACGAGAGGTAGTTGTGTCGCTGATAAAAGACTCGGCACTTATGCTAATCACGGACATTGTGTCAAAATTGCTTTGGGTAGTTTTCACTGACAGGGGTTGGGACATGGCAGAAAATCCCGAGATGGAGGGGGCTCCGGACCGCAGACTGCCCGAGTGTGCCGACTGTGGTCTCCTTTCAGGAAAGAGGGCATTGACGAGGGTGGCCAAATCAGCAGGGCTGATCACGAGGTAGGGGTGCACCTCTGCCGTTTCTCTCAACGATGTGATGGATCGCGCGGGCAAGAGCCTGGGCTTCTTGCGTAACTTGGAGTCCTTGAACCGGCCATAGATATTCTCAATGTGGGTCTTTACCTTTGGCGGCGTAGACACGGGCGTCTTGCTCATGAGCATATCACCAACGAGCTTCGAGGCATGCATGGCAACCGCCTTCAGGATCTTTTGCCGGCCGTATTCGGTAATGTGGTACTCTGCCATCATGCCATAGGCCTCCGGATGGATGACAACCCCGAAGAGCCAGACGGTGAACAAGTATTTAGCGACCAGCCACTTGCGGGTGCCTTCGGCCACCTTTCTATCCAGCCGCTTGAGGATCTCGTTGCCCAGCTCAATCAGACCCTCGGGTATCCCGGTAGCGTCCTCATCATCGATGACTTCGAAGAGCTCATCGACAGCTTTGGTGTAGAACTCCTCGGCGGCGATTGTGTCCTTTTGAGTCCAGTCGGAAAGATTGAATCGGGTCCCGCGCTGGTCCTCTGCACGGTCAAGCAGGAAGGCTCCGTCCTCCAAGATTTTCATCAGATACCACTCCATGTTGGACTTTCCGGCCCAGTCACGCATCGAGATCCAAACATTGAGCACCGAAATGACCGTCTGTTCACTGCCTGTTATAGGGATGGGGGCGGAAATTAACCGCGCGCATGTATTTGCCCAAGTCACGGTTCTGCGCTTGTCCTCGGCGCTGTCCGGGCCAGCAGAATTAGCAAAGCATGTGTAAATCAAGGCGGAAATTGGATCGTGTCTCTGAAACGAAAGCAGCCGTTCGATAGCACTCCGTTCTTGCGTTGAATGGCGAGTTCCGGGCCCTCCAGGCCCAGAAGAACCGCCAAAGGCTGAGCCTGGAATGGCGCCAGATCCGGGAAAGGCAGAAGTCCCGGAGGAACCACGGACTGTTGGGCGACTGTGGTACGGAAGAACGGAATCGATAGGTTCAAGTGCCTGGTGAAAGGTGGTAAGCGCTGCTAGCTCGTGCTGGGTTAGAGACGCAATCCGCGTAGCTAAATAGTCTGGGTTCGTCCTGATCTGGTTGAGAAAGGTCAAAAAGGTCTCCCGAGCGGACGCAGATATGTCGTTCAGAAATGGCGTGGCGACGCCTGGCGCATTGCTCCCACCTGTCACGGATGCCGTGGGGGTATCCAGACTCTCGGAAGACGCAAGACCAGAAGATTGCAGCAGCTCCATTTCAGGCTCGAGCAAGGCATAGCGACGGGTCTCGTCGCAGCTCTTGCGAACATCGATTATAGCATTGTACAAGGCTGCAAAGGTCTTCTTGTCGTCTCCTCGGAAGCAGTCCACAAGGTTGCGATGGGCAATCTCTCCGCATCTCATCAGCCGGGCAGAGAGCGCCGTGGACACCAGGCTCCTCTGGAGGCGGATCCGCGTGTTGGCGCGCTTGCGCTCTTGGTACTTAGACAGGCGTACCAGATGGGCAAGCTCCTCCAAAGTTGTCCCGTCGTTATCCGGGCCGAGATATGGATTCGTGTAGAGCGAAACATCAGTCAGCAAGGGCCGTAGAAATTTCATCTTGGACGGTTTGTCGCCGAGCGGGGACGTCGGACTGCCGACGGTTTCTAAACTGTCAGACGAGTCGTTGGGCGCCGGGGCCGGCGACGGGGCGCGTGCCTGGTCGATGATGGGCCTGCCGCGACTCTGCGTAGAGCTCGAAACCTGCTGCTGGATAGATAGGCGCCTCGGAAGGTCTTCGCTGCGACGCGCCGAGGCCATTATAGCGTCCTTGGTGGCGCGGGGCGGGCTTCTTGACCGGAAGCGTCGCGAATGGGAAACCTCGACATGGCCGTCGGGAGGCGGCGGGCTGGGCAATCTCGACACGGGTGTTGGTACAGTCGGCAGAGCTGTCATGGCAGGCACAAGTCAGCACGCGCGCACGTTTATACGGTGTCTCCCCTTTTCGCGACCGGCACTTCCAACATACGCGGCGACGAGTGAATGGCGACAGGCGACGAGAGAGAACGCTGCATGGATATCATAATGGGCCCATGCGAGGAGATGTCGAGTCGCCAGGTGCGGTCAGATCACCCACACATCACCAACGAATGCTGACGGCAAGCAGAAGTGATGGGACAACCCGGCGAGGTGTTACCGGGGGGGGGGGGGGGGGGGGGTTGATAAATAGCAGCTCGGGCTAGCGAACAGCAAGGCAAGTTAGGACGAGAACATGGGACGGTCGAGAATCGAATGGATTAACCGGTAGAGATCTGGCGACGACGATAGGTTGGGGGAACAGCTTTGGGCCCGGCCTCGCTGCCGCACAACCAACCAAGGTCTTGGACTCAGAGGCCCCGCGGGGACATGGTCTCGTCAAGAGGGACGGCAGCAGTCGTGGAGCTCCGTGGGATCGGGGAGGGAGAAGAGTGGCGCTGCTAGTCGCCGGCGGGTAAGGCGAGGTAAGGCAAGGCAAGGCGAGGCGTCGCGTGTTAGGTGGTCGGGCGAAAGAAACCGAACTGCGGCGAGGGCACAAGCCAATGTACCGTTCGTCCGCTAGGTCAGGTCAGGTCAGGTAAGGTCGGTAAGGTAGGTAGGGTTAGGTTTCTCGCACCTCGCAGCGCCTTCCTCGTGGGTGTTGATGTATGTACAGCGCAGGTAGCAACCTAAGCGTGGGGTAGAGATGCCAGGACGCTAGACCAGATGGAGGCTTGCAGCGGGCGGGGACCATCCCAACCCATCCAAACCACCCGGGCAGGCCCAAGCCAGGCAAGAGCGAGGGCCATGCCATGGGTGCCAAGCCAGGGCACTGGGCTCCAGCTTCCATCTGCCACGCCGGGATCCTTGGGAGATCCTTGTCACTCGTGATGCAACGCGTGCGGTAGTAGTGCCGGCCAGTGCCAGTGCCAGGGCACTCTGCACACCGAACACCCGACTGCCCTGTCACTGAACTCAATCCTGGGCAGGGCAGCCGTCCCCACCCGGCTGGCGCTGGTGCTGGCGCTGGCGTGGGTGCTGGCGCTGGCGCGGGTGCTGGCGCTGGCACGCCGCAGTCCTGGCCTCGAGCTGGCCTCGCCCGGCGCGGCTGGCTCTTGTGAGCTGGCTGCCCTGAAGTAGCTAGGTGGCTGGTGTAATCCAACCGAGCGTGCCTACCGAGCACTGCATCTGGTGGGTTGCGGTCCCGTGAACAACCCGACGACAGTCGGATCCGTCGCACGTTTGTATCCCACCAATAATCCATGCCAAGCCTTGCACCTCGGCCTGCAAAATGTACTCCGTACCTATGTATTCGGTCCATACCTTAGGTAGGGAGGAGTGTACATGCTCCGTACGGACTACGGATATCTCCCATGGCAGATTGAGGTACTCTGTAGGTTGATGCTCACCCGACACCTTGCTTCTGCGGGTGACTGTGCTCTTCTCCAGTTGTTCTGCTTGTTCATAGCCATGTCCCGCCCGACATGAGCCTGACACGACTTCAGCTTGCTTGCCCCTCCAATCAAGAGCGCGTCTCGGCCTGCCCCTTTCTACATGGAAGCTCGGCTCTGGCTCGCTCTCCACAGACTGGCCCGCGCAGCGCACTCACAGGTCATGAGCCGCCTCTACCCTCGATCTCTCCCAATATATGGGAGCTTGCCGTTCACTTCCGTTGTATGTCTGACTATTCGAGGCGGGTGCTACCACCAGTATGTACTTGTGACTTATTAAGGAAGGCCGCAAGACAATACTGCCAGCTCACTAACCTCACCCACTTCACCTTCCGACACTGCCTCTGTGTGGCAAGTTGGCACATGCTGCTTCGATGGTGATCCAACCTAGAAGTAAGGGACTAGAGCTAGCTTACATGGTGTGCCCCTATGGATACTTAGGGACGGTACGGTACGTATTGCCAAAACACGCATGCATCGCCGTAGACAATTATTGACTTCTGCGTCATGTCACTGGCTGGTTTCATCGCTATTCCCGTCGTCCCATTCATATTCTTTCTTCCCAAAAGAAATATCACCTACCTCTAAAGCCTTCCTCTCACCAGACCACCACAGCCCCCCTCTCGCTGAGCTGGCCTTGCATTTTTTTAGAGGAGGTGGGGGGGTGGAGGAGACCTATGTTTCGCCTCCCCGCCTTTTTTTGCCCAGGGGCTCAGTCTTGGATTTTGCGGCGGGATGCACACCAGCCAATCTGCGCTGTCCACGAGCCCAAAACCACAGAGACGGAGTCCTGCCCACATCGTTGAAACCCCAGCCAGCGCCCGCAGCGTCGCCTTGGGTCCTGCCAGCTCAACAACCTCCCACCGCCAATCATGCGCCGCCACCCATTTCTGCCTCTCCCGCTTGCCTTCTCCCGCTGCCACTCCCGCCCGCTCCCTCTTCCCCCTGACTATATGCCTTTTTTTCCTTCTGATCTTTAACGGGTTAGTTACCTCGTTCCGTTTTTTTTCATTGAGGCCTGCCACCGAATGCCGAGTTTTTTTTTTTTTTTTTTTTTTTAAAAAAAAAAAAAAAAAAAAAAAAAGGAAAACTAGAAAATAAAAACCAAACTCCCCGTCCAACATGGTAATGAGCCCCCGATGTCTGAGCGTCCTCGTCTGATATCATGGACATCTGCTTCTGCTGCAAAGAGGCAAAGTCAGGCATACCGTTCCCTGTCGTTCTAATCCAGACCCCGTAGCCGCAGAACGCCATCTAGGGCCTCCTCCACATAGGCATGGGAAAGGGGGTGCGGCTGCCAGCAAAGCCAGCTAAAACCCGAGCCACATCAAGCAGCAGGCACCGCCATGATGACAACATCGAGCGGACCAACCAGAGGGAGAGACACCAGTGCAGTGTAAGTGCGATGAGATACCTCACCCACCTTCTACTCCAAGTACATACGCATGTACTTCGTACAATACATATACTCTTGTATGTAGGTATGTACGTGGGGTGCGGCAGTCAGTCATTGTTTGTTGTTCTCAGTATGTCGTTCTTTCTGCCTGCCGATGGACGACAGCGAACTGGTCTGGTCCAAGATCCGCCACTGACGAAAGAAGTCCTCCTCATGTCTTTCTCGTTTTTTTTGTCCCTTACTGCATGTCAGATGCCACAGTTCCATTTTAAAACATGTCGTGGACAGTCCCACGAGCATCACGAGCAGCACCGCCCCTAGCCCGCCCTCGCTGTCCACCTCAAAGACTCGTGTGTGTGTGTGTGTGTGTGTGTGTGTGTGTGTGTGTGCGTGTTCCGGTGTTGTGGACGGAATGCTACACCATCTGCGTGCGTGCGTGCGTGCGTGCGTTGCTGAGACCAAGGTCCCCTCCTCCCCTTCCTCGCCCGTTGTATCGTGCGTGGCCAAATATTTCGTAGTACTTCTCTCTCTATTCCCTCAACCCGTGCGGAAACAGTAGGTACCAAAGTAGGCGGCCGCCGAGCGTGGGTCAGTCAGCAGCCGTCCGGACCTGCCGGGCTGAAGTCCCCCCACGACGACGGGATTGGCTCTCAGGGCCCCGAGAGTTTATTTTTGTGGCCGTGTCCGGTTTCCCGTCTGCTATGGTTCATTCGTCCGACAGTGATAGGCGGTCTACTATTATGCTTTATTTTCATACAAACACTCTCGAATCGTCCCATCATGTTCAAGATGCATGGAAAAGCCTTCACTTCGGTTTTATTTCGCAGTCGTGTTCCACAAGAGAGGTCTTGTGCCCTTAGATCAGACATCACGCACGCCCGCTGACGTATAGAGACATGCACCTCACCCTATCGCCCGTATGGAAGTTGGCTTTCTTGCTGCAGTGCTCTCGTTTCTGCTGGCTCCGTCTACTTGCAGATAAAATCTGCAGAGTTTGCCAAACACGGCAGTTGATGTCCAACAACAGTTAGCGAGACTGGACGACTAGCCTGCCTAGCTGTTTTCTCGTTGGATGCGCGGGGACAAAATGCAAGCCGCTGGTGGACGGCGCGCTAGCCCACCCATGAGGGCCGGCCGGACCCTTGTCCCCCCGGCTCCGGACGTCTCTGTTCGGGACCACAGGAGTGCGGAATATTGATAGTTATCTGCATTACGGCTTATCGGAAATTTTATGCCCGCTTGCTTGCTTTTTGTTGCTTGCTCCATCGCCATTGCAACCGAAGCCCCTCTTCTCGCACGCCAGTGCTTGGGTGAATCCCCCGAACAAGGCGTTGTCAGTCAAGGATGAAGCAACTCTAATATATCTGGGCTTCCCGTCCTCGGACCTCCCCTTTCTACCTCCCTAGAACCCATTTCAGAGTCATTGTTTGACACGATCCTACATAATATGTAATGCAACATGCTGGTTGTATGCGCAAATGATTGCGCAACCGCCCACCGACTTCACCCGCCGGGGTGCTCGAGGACCAATCCCCCACCGCGGCCAATCCCTCACCAAGCCGCGATATGATGTCGCATGCAAGTGATAACTGATTAAATGCCGTGAACAAGAGAAAGGAAGAACACCTAGCAGGTAGCACTAGTGAGCGCAAACAGCAGCTTTTGATACCTTGGCTGCATATATGGCCGCATGCCAATGGAGAAGGCTCTCCTTCCTCATCTGCCTTCGCGCCCGTCTGGCCAAAAGCACATGATACAGTCGAGCTGCGCCGGAACTCTTCCCCGCGATTCGAAAGCAAGGGTGGGGTTGAGGGGGGCAAAATGTTATACCCTGGTAGAGAATCGCATACACGCATGTTCTCATTCCCCCCTGCCAAAGCGAATGTCAAAGTCTTTGAGCACGCTCATGATGCTGGCTGCTTCCACCTCGATTGGAGCCCGCCCCCGGCCGCTTAAACTGTGGCCGATGTAGCTGTGCCGCCTTGTTTCCGGCAGCACAGGAACCGCCCGCAATTTCGGCAGCCATGAGCCAATGTCATCGGCCGCCGCGTCAAAGTTCCGATGGCTAGCCAACGTCTTGTACGCGTCGGCGCATGAAAGACTGAGGCCGAGGTCACCAGAACCGGCCGCGGCCGATGCAGGATTGTTGCTCTTGCTCTTCGCGTTGATGTTGTCGCCAGCGCCTGCTGCCGGCTGATCCCCCCCTTTACAGCATCCCCCTGGCCCGCCATTGCCGCAACACCCACCTCCATTGACACCGGCGGTTGGGCTGCTGTTTCCGGCAGCCTGCTGCAGCCTGCTATTCCTTTCGAAATTGGCTGCCAGCGAGCGACAAAAGAGGCCCGACTTGGGGTCTGAGAGGCACTGTCCACAAGTCCCAGGCCCGTTGGGGCCACATCCAAAACCAGCAGCCGCCTTCACTGCTGGATTGGGGGGCGAGGCGACGCGTGCTCCGGTACCGCTGCTCTGAGGTTGAAGCGGCTGGCGTATGCTGGGCAACTTGATTGCCCCTGTTGCCGTTACTTCCATTGGCACAGGTGGCATGACATCATCCTCTGACGGTGGTGGTGTATGAGTCTGTTGTGCAATATGCGCTAGCTGTGTAGCCGGCGCGGGCGTCATGACAGACATGGAAGGGATCACCATAGACTCTGCATCTGCACATACGCAGTACGATCCGTCTTTGCAAAACCCGCAAGACTCCCTCATCTCTTGCGATGCCGTCGGTAGCGACCGGGGCGGGGGCTGTAACTGGCTTGGTTGAGAAGAGTCGGGCCCGTTGGCCATCCTGCTGCTGCCAGAGGCAAACAGGGCTGTGAAATCCGTCTCCATATCATCGAGTATCCCCGTGTCAGAGCGCTGCCTCTTCTCCCCGGGCGCCGTGGACAAAGACGGGGAGCTGGGAGGCAATGACCGCTTTAAGTCGGCCACAATCGAGGCACGTATTGATTCCTCGAGACAGGCACACCGTGTGCCCATGGTGCAGTTACCGCATCCCATGATGACATCTGCGCTCTGAAGAACTTGCTCGGCACAGGCGCAAGGTCCGTTTGTCTGGCAGGCGCCGCAGGTCAGGTCTAGTGCCCCTCCGCTCGTATCTTCTGGCGGAGAGATGATATGAGAGATGGAGAAGGGCTGGGCCAACGGCCGAGGCTCCGCTATTACTCCTCCGGAATTTGCCGCAATGCTTCTGTGGACACGGCGCTGTGGGTGCTGTTCGGGGTGCGAGATATCTAACGACATCGGCTGATGTTGTGTGTTGTCCCAGCTGCCAGCCATGCCGATATCACGTCCCTGCCGCTCCTTCTCAAGCAGCGCCTCAAGCCACTGGCACCGTGACTGCAACGTTTGAGTCTCGCTCTCGAGGTGACTGACACGTTCCTTCAACTCCCGTACAGTGCGCTCATGCTCCTCGCGCTCGTCGTCCAGCAGCTCCTCCAGCTCGCCGACGCGGGCGGCCCTGCGCTCCCGGAACGCGCGCTGTGCAGCACGATTTTGTGCTTTGCGCTTTGTCGGCGGGGTGTCGGTGGCAGGCTTGCGCCCCGGCTTCGGCCGAGGCGGGACAACCCATTCCCTGGTCGTCATAGTCATGGCTTTCGCCTGCCCCGAAACGCCCGGCGATGCAGCCGACGGCGCAGCCATCATGTGGCCAACCGCAGCCGAAGTATTCAACGGCGGCGGCCGGGCTGCTGTGCTGGGGCGGATGGCAATCTGAGGTGCGGTCGTCGAAGCCGTGGATGTTGGGGTGGAGACGTTCGTGGGAGAGGAGGCGGCTGATGCGGGGCTCGATGCAGCACTCTCAAGTTCTTCCCTGCTGAACATGGTGCTGACCTGAATTGACGACATTGCAACTTAAAAGCGCTGGCGGTAACTTTGGCAGAAAGAAAAAAAAATCTAGAGTACTGGTCAGAGCGGTACTGTTAATTCGTAGACCGCTTCCGGTTTCGAATGCCGCCAATCTCCGGCAATTCTATGGAGTGAGCGGGCCTGGAATATTTATGGCTTCTTTGTTGATGCGACGGGCCGCGCTCTCTTCTGACTATCAGTATTCGTTCGGGTAGTGTCGTCGACCTTCCGAATCCGATAGCGTGGGGCTGGCAGGAGGACGAGACAAGAGGCAGTCGGTATTTGATTGCTCACGGCATCGAGAGACGGTGCAAACTACGTGAAGAGATGAAGCTGCGACCGAGTCTCTGGTTCGAGGCGTGTGACGCAATGCTAGAGGACGACTCGCCCGACTTAGCTGGGAGATTGTCTCATAAAGGCACTTCTCAGAGGGCTTTGAAGGTGCGTGGGCGAAGAAACACGTTCTCAACGATCCCGGAATACAAAAGAGGGGAATTGGCAGTTCAAATTTGCAAATGCGAGCCACTTCTCCGGATGTCGGGCACGGGAAGCGCTGCCTCCAGCACCAGTGCAAGCCCCTCGTGGGGTGGGATTCGGCCGACCCGGTTGAAGATGGCTCTGATGGTGGGCCCACTGATCGATTGATAAGATAATTTCAAGGGCGCTTTTCCTAATGCGGCCTAGGTCTTTCGCATAGGTCCACTCTTGGCTCCTTGCAAGCCGGTCGCGGCAATTCACCGAGAGAAACTTGGTTATCAGATGGCATCGACTAATACGGAGGTTACAGGCAAAAGTTTTCACAGTGGGTCGGGTACTGGCAAGGGTCACGGTCAGGGACCCACTATCCCCTCCAATGTACCAACGCGTCGCGCACAGCTGTCAATCCAGAAAACCATCACCACCTTTGCAATGGCTTCGGATCCCCCCTCTACGCCACCCTGCCAGCATTTCAAGAATCCTGATATTTCCCGCGATGAGCGGCTTCAAGTTCAAACTCTCCGCAATATTGGCTTGACGTACGAGCAAATAGTTACGCAGCTTGGGTTGACCTACAACCAAGTTAGATATGCTTCCAGCGCTCCAAATGCTACACCAAAGAAACGCTCTGGTCGACCTGGCCTTCTCAATTCCGATCAGATTGAAGATCTGATCACCTTTATTACCTCCTCGAAAGCCTCTCGCCGAATGCCTTACTCGAAGATTCCTCTTGCCCTTGGCTGGAGCTGTTCAGAGTACGCCATCCGCTACGCCCTTCGTAACGCTGGCTTCAAACGCTATGTTGCATACCGAAAGCCCCCGATTACCGAGAAGAACCGAAAAATCCGCCTCGACAACGCTCTCGATCGTGTACACTGGCCTCTCGAGCGATACTACGAAATCCTCTGGACCGATAAGACCTGGGTAACTGCTGGTACCCATCGAAAGGTCTGGGTTACACGCCGTCAAAACGAGGCATACGACCCGACTTGCATCGTTGAGCGTGAACAACGGCCAAAGGGATGGATGTTCTGGGGTTCATATTCAGCAAAACATGGAAAAGGGCCTGCTCTTTTCTGGGAGAAGGACTGGGGATCGATCACTGGAGAGAAGTACTCGGAGAGAGTTATCCCTCTTGTTGATGCGTGGTTTCGGCTTCATCCCGGCCAGGTATTTATGCAAGATAATGCCTCTCCTCATACTGCCCAGGTCACTCATGAAGAGCTTACAGCTCGAGGGATTCCTGTTTACACCCATTCTCCCTATAGTCCTGATCTTAATCCGATCGAGAACGCATGGAACTGGATGAAGGATTACATTGCAGTCAACTACCCGGCAAAGATGTCATACGACCAACTGCGCGAAGCAGTAAATACTGCATGGGAAGCGGTCCCTGAGGAATTCCTTAGAGAGCGTGTAGATACAATGCCCGTACGGCAACAGGCTGTCATTGATGCCAATGGAATGTATATTCCTTTCTGAATTGACAGCTGCGCGCGACGCGTTGGTACATCGGAGGGGACAGTGGGTCCCTGAACGTGACCCTTGCCAGTACCCGACCCACTGTGAAAACTTTTGCCTGTAACCTCCGTAGGCTCTAGTATCTACTGAGTCACTGGATAAATGTCGTCCCAACTTCCGGGGAAATTCAAATGTACTTAATCCGGGGATATCTTACGTACTCCAATCCTGAGGCTACTAATGTTTTAGATCTTGACCCGAGCGACATCGGACGGGATGTCATGTTCTACTAGCCGAAATCCGACCTCGAACTCAAGCGCTGCGTAACTCAAAACTCGGATCGGACAGATTACCTGAGTTAGGGAAAGCCTTGTACTGCGCATTCTAGGAGAGATCGGGGCTGTTGGGACAGGCCGTGTTGAACGTGAGTAGAATTCCGAACCGTCTCCAATTTGGAAGAGTCTCTATTGCCCCCGCTGAAGCGCTCCAATGCCGCAGCAAAGCGACACGATCCGTAGGCCCACTTTTATGCGCTATAGCCAATCATATCTCGTATCCATCCTCCAGGCTCTCAGCTCTGTCCCTCTCTGACGTTTTGGAGCAATTCGGTTAATGGTTGATTGGCATCCATATCGACATCCCGACTGCCGTTCACATCATGGCGCAGCTTGGTCTCCCATCGCCCACCTCGCGGCCCACGTCTTCTTACTCGGGCTTCAATCTTGGATCTTCGTCCTCGTCCTCAGATGGCGAGGGGGGGTCTGACGACGATGCGCCGTTGCCCTTTCCAACTGCACTTGCCCGGCGCGATTTCCTTGCGCCCGACTTCGACCCAGCCTCGTACCTGTCGGCGCTGCATACCGGTTCTTCGGCACGTCACCAAACCCTCGAGGACCTCCGTTCAGAGTTGCGTGACCGCAGCACCGCCATCAGCGCGGAACTGCTTGAGCTTGTCAACTCCAACTACACGTCCTTCCTCAGCCTCGGCGACGAGCTCAAGGGTGGGGAGGAACGCGTCGAGGACGTCCGTGTAGCATTGCTCGGCTTCCGCCGCGCCGTCGAGGAGGTTCAGAGCCGCGTCCGCGAGCGCAGAGTCGAGGTTACGGTGCTAGATGACGAGTTACAAGAAGTCAAAGACGCTGCCGAACTTGGACGGGAGATGCTCGAACTTGACGAGCGCGTCGCCGAGCTAGAAGCCCGTCTCGCCGTCGGAAGCATACCGGGCTACGCAAAGCAGAAATTGGATGACAGCGACTCGGACTCTGACGATGAATGGGCTGATGACATACAAGACATTAACGACGATGACGGCGACGGCCTTGATGAGGGGAGTAATGACTTTGTCTGCAGCAGCCCGTCGAAGCTAGCCACCCTAGCTCAAGAGTATGTCCTCATTGGCCGATTATCGCGGTTCATTGGGCTTGACCTGCCATTTGTCAAGAAAATAGAGGAAAGAATCATACGTTGCCGAAACACGATTCTACTCGACTTGAGCACGGCTATGAAGGAAGCACGAAGAGCCGGAACCAGAGGCCAAGGGCGCGTCATCAGGTTCTTGGGCATATACCGTACCTTGGACGCGAATGTCGAAGCAGTACGCGTCCTGAAGGAAAAGTAAAGCATTCATATGGGAAAAAGCGAGAGGACTTTGGATTGGGCAGCTAAGGGAAAGGTGGCTTGGGCGAAAGAGGCATTATGACCGGATATCGATACCCAAAAGCTATAGACAGTTTCTTTTTTCTGGATTCCGAATTATGATACACCACGTAACGACGTACACCAAACACCAATTATACATACAAGACAACCCTGCGTGGCTTTACATGACAGACTCGAGGTCCCCAATCTCGAGGCTCTCGCCTGAGGGGTTGAACTTGCCATTCAAGCTGAACCCAGGCCCGCTGGTAGAGCTCAGCACGACCTCATCGAGCAGCTTGACATGCGAGTCGTCAATCTGGTTCATATCCGTCTTGACCTGTCCCATGAATGCCTTGAGGTTGTCGGATAGCATTTGCGGCGTGAAGCCGAGCTGGCCAATGGCCAGCCGCACCACGCCGTTCCTTTCCCTGAACTCGTCCGCGCCAATCATCTCCTGCATCGTCCCTTTGAGATCTGTCGTCAACGTCTTGGTCTTGGCGCTAGGCATCAATCCCTTGGGACCCAGCAGCTTGCCCACGTTCGCCTTCTTGAGCGCCGCCTCGCTTTCCTTGTGGCAGATCAGCTTGTTGAACTGGATGTTGCCCTGCCGGATAGCCTCGAATAGACTCTCCTCGCCGACTGCTACAGCACCGAGCTGCTGCGCCTCCAAGGCTAGGGGGCTGTCCTCGGGGCAGATGACGGCGATACGCGTGTCGGTCTTGACCGGGAACGGCAAGCGAATGCGATTTCGCAGGACGGGGCCGTTCTTTTGTGTCTTCAACTTGACGGCGACCTCGTATTTGACGCTGGTAGGCGGGCTTCCGACTTCGAAGGCGCGGAGATATCTATCATTTGGAATCACCATCAGCACCTGGCGCACAAGCGGCAACTGATAACTAAGCCAGGGTGCCAAACTCACCTCATGGCATCGCAGAGAGAGTACTGGTCCATATTAGTCATATCATAGGAGCGAAATGTCTTATACGCCTTCTTCTTCTTCACCACGCGCTTCCGCATGTTGTTGTTTCCACCTGATGACTTCTTGGAGGCATATCGAACCAGTGGTGTCGCGACCGACGGCAACAGGAAGTTGGGTATTGTGGAAATTGCCATCGGCCTTGCGGGAGCCCGCAGACTGAGCCTTGCCAGCGAGGCGAGGCATTGGGTTGTCGAGGCCATTGGGAGTTGGAATCGAACGGTTGCTCCCACAACGAGTATCGCGAACAGGGAGCTCGAATTACGCTGGGAAAAAAAGCGTACGCCAATCTGGGCGACCCCAGCGTCGCGATTTGATGCCTTGGTTCTGAGGCCGAAATGCGGTCTCTGACAGGGGGGTCAGAGCTTACCGTAGTTGACGAACTTCAGTCTTCACCGCCCGGCATAATGAGCTGCCCAACCACCTGCCCCGCCACACAGGCATCCTACTGACCCCTCCAAAAACTTGGGGCGATTGACTCAACTTCACTGGCGACGATATACCACCGCCACTGCATCTCTCTTTATACAGTCACTCTTCGCTTTGATCCGACATGAAGCTGGACGAGCTCAAGCCTCTCGAGGCGCTTCTCGCAGCGGACTTCCGCCAAATCGAACCCCGGCTCCAAGCCCTCGACAAGCATCTCATTCTTCGAACCTACCTCAACGGCTACTCGCTTGGCGAGATCGACACCAAAATCTGGCTCGCCCTCCGTGGAAACAAGGCAGCTGTGTCCTTCATTAAGAGAGGCAGCCTCGCAAACCTCGCCAGATGGTTCCAGTTCGTCGAGGACAACCATCCTGAGATCCAGGGCGATATCAAGGCCAAGGATGCCGCCGCAAAGGCCAAGGTTGCTGCCCTAAGCAAGGCGGGTGGAAGCTATGCCTTGGCATTGCAGAACGCCGACCAGGGAGTCGTGACGAGATTCTTGCCCGAGCCTTCGTAGGTTGCCCTCCCAAGGACCATTGCCTCGACGAATCCCCCGGACTAACAGTAGCCAGAGGATACTTGCACATCGGACATGCCAAAGCCGCGCTGCTCAATGACTACTTTGCGCAGACTTATAAGGGAACAATGCGGTTGCGGCTTGATGACACAAACCCGTCAAAGGAGAAGGAGGAGTTTCAGGACGCCATCATTGAGGACTTGGCCTTGATGGGAATCAAGCCTGACACTCTCACCTATACCTCGGACGTAAGAAGGCCCAAATCTTGTCCTTTTCTACAAGGATTCCATCTTCCCATTAAACCCATAGAATTCTAACATTTAGTCTCCCGGGATCCCAGTACTTTGAATACCTCCACGACATGTGCGTTCGACTCATCAAAGAAGGGCACGCGTACGCGGATGACACAGACCAAGAGACGATGCGTGACGAGCGCTTCAAGGGCATAGCTTCCAAGCGCCGGGACCGAACTGTTGAAGAGAACCTTCGCATTTTCGAGGAGATGAAGAAGGGCACCGAGGAAGGTCTCCGGAATTGCATCCGTGCCAAGATTTCGGTGGACAACCCGAACAAGGCGATGAGAGACCCAGTTATCTACCGATGCAACGTCGACACTCCTCACCATCGTACCGGTACTCGTTACAAGGTCTACCCGACTTACGATCTCGCCGCGCCGTTGGTTGACAGCCACGAGGGCGTCACACATGCCCTGAGGGCCACCGAGTACACCGACAGGAACCCCCAGTACCAGTGGTTTATCGACACGTTGAAGCTGCGGCAGGTCCACATCTGGGACTTTGCCCGTATGAACTTCATCAAGACGTTCCTCTCAAAGCGGAAATTGGCCAAGTTGGTCGACACTGGGCGGGTCTGGGGTTGGGATGATGTATGGCCACCTAATTCCCCTTAATTGTTGCCCCTCGCTGTTGTTCTGACTCCAACTAATATTTTCTTCACAGCCGCGATTTCCGACAATTCGCGGAGTTAGGCGAAGGGGTATGACGGTTCCAGCCCTTCGGGATTTCATCCTGAAGCAGGGCCCAAGCCGAAACATTGTGACTATGGACTGGACAAACTTCTGGGCCAGCAACAAGAAGGAAATTGATCCTATTGCACCCCGCCACACAGCCATATCCCAGAAGAATGTTGTCAAGATTACCATCACCGGCGCCGATGCTCCTGCCGAGCCATTCACGGCAGAGAAGCCGAAGCACCCCAAGAACAAGGACGTCGGCACCAAAAATGTCGCCTTTTCATCTGAGCTTATTCTGGATCAGGCTGATGCTAAAAGCTTCAAGGTTGGCGAGGAGATCACACTTATGGCGTGGGGCAATGCAATTGTTCGAGAGATCGGAAGCGGTGACCCTATCCCTAGCCTCACCTGCGAACTTAACCTTCAAGGTGACGTCAAGTCCACCGAGAAAAAGGTCACCTGGCTTTCTTCGAAGGGGCAGGCCTTGGTGCCCGCTGAGCTCTGGGACTTTGACTATCTCATCACCAAGGATGTCCTGCAAGAGGAAGATAACTTGGAAGACTTCTTGACGCCAGTCACGGAGACTGTTGAGGATGCGTGGTGTGACGAGGCTTCAAAGGATCTGAAGAAGGATGATATCATCCAGCTCGAAAGGCGCGGCTATTACCGGGTCGACAAGGGGCTTGCTGACTGGAAGGATGGTGAGGAGGGCGCAAAGGGGAAGAGGCTTGTGCTGTTCTGTATTCCCACTGGTAAGACGGGTTCTAAATAGATGGTGCCTACCAAGTAGCTTGGAGTTAGTGCCCCACAACTGCCAGGACTCATAGTTGTCTTGGGGTGAGCGCAATCAAGTGAATAAGCGTGGATAAAACTGATTTCAACTTGACCATGACCTCTACCCACCTACGTTTCTGGTTTGTCTCGTCTTCTCGGTGGAGAAACCCTGTTCCCATTGTTAAAAACGTTAACTCATACTTCAGAGCGTTCACATGAAGTTGGCATTTAATACAAAGCCCTTGTGTTTCTCTATGCTGGGCTTGATGCGATTATCACCAAATACACCCTTTGTATAAGCTACCTATAGACCAAGTAGGAGTTTCGAATAGCCCGAGCAGACTTATGTTAGGGTCATATCCACCAATAGCCTCGCTCGTTCTGTCGTCATCGTCAGCTCAGTCAGTCTCTAGACTCAAGACTGAAGACTCACTCAGCAACACTTGTCGTTTATTCAATACTGGAATATATTGACCAATGAAACAACCGCACTTGGCGTTCTGTGCGGAAATAAGAACCGAAGGATTAATGGCGAGTAAACTACGGTCGCTAAGATTCCTTGTTCTAATAATCAAAGGCATTATAGCGGCGTGGCTTATTATTGGGTCCCTTATGGTTACGAAACAGCCTGTGTTTATTCTGCAAGTGGCTGCAAGTGGCTGCAACGATGTTATATAGCTCGTTAGTCAAACGGAATCATTATTAAAGCCGCTCTCAGCTTGTAGTTCTGACCAACTTCCCGGTCGTTGATTTGAACTTCTCTTCTGTGCAGAGGCTCGTATCAGCTTTGAAACTCCTAAGACTGACGACGGGACACCAATTCGATTTCTTGAATCTTGCCTGCTTATCATACTCCAACAACAAAGAGGCTTAAGAATGGCTGAGGCGATTGTTTTGGGGGATGTCCCCCCCTCAGTCCTCGATCCTCGAATGGATTCATGATTCGGATGACAAGGGCCACGTTTGGTCCTTCACATTCACTCTGTTGCAGCTTAACCTATACACGGATTTCTTTGAGCAGCTCCTACTCTGCGAAGTGCTAGACGAGGACCACGTGCTATCACGCAAGGTGATCGATCCGCTCAGGGCCGATATCCGCGACATCTTTCTGCTTTCGCGCCATCCAAACCCTGATAGCAACGCCCCGACCGAGGCAGTGAAGATTAAGGGCGGCGATCTCGCATTGCTTATTTTAGAGGCTCTGGAGAAGATAGCTTCTGTCGAGGAAAAGTACGTCTAGAAGCCCAAAGCTTTGAGCGGCAGCGAGGTGGTTCAAGAAGGATGGGTAGCCTCCGAAGTGTCCGATTGGAATACCATCTTGGAGAACCCGGTCGGTCTCGACCCAAGCACTGTCGTAGACACGGCGCCCCACTTCCTGAGGCGCACGCCGAAGCAGATCGCCGGAGACTTGCCGTCTTGGCTGCGTGTTGTCCATATCGAGTCCATCATGCGGCAAGATCTGGCTCGGGGCTTTGTAAACTACCAGACGAGGTTGCGAGAGAAGCTCGAGGGTATGGACGTGTCTGATCTGCGTGGCAAGCTGCCGCCACACAGGGCGCTCGCCCGCCGTGTCTTGTCCATCATCTCCAAGGAGGATCTGATCGACGAGATGGTCAAGCCGCGCGTGACATACTACGGAACGCCCCTGTCAAGTGTCAGCTATATCCTCCGGTTTGGATTCCGAATGACTGGGAATATAGTTGACGGGAAAGTGATTGCGTCGCCGCGGTCCGGCTTCGTGTTTAACCGTGGCATCTACAGCTCCGACAGGGCAGGGTACGCCATGGCTTATGCCACAGGACAGCGCCAAAGGACTCCCGTGGGCGATATTCCCACCATGAGGCTCTTTGTGTGCGCCACAATCATGGGCCGCACCCTCAGCGGGGGAAACGAGGCTGTTGATCAAAGCCACCCCGTGCATGGCCCGCTCGTAGAAGGCTACGACAGCCATTTCGATGGCGGTTATGAGTACGTGGCGCACAGCGAGCGGGCCATGCTGCCCTGCTACGTGGTGCACCTCGACGTGGGCCCAGAAAGAGCGGCTAGCATGCTGCAATGGATAGAAGAGAACAAGCAGCGAGCCAGTAATGACAAGCCCAAGGTCGATCCGCGACTCGAGGGCATGACGAACGAAAAGAACAAGACCCCCGGCGACGTGAAGCGCGAAAAGGAGGCCAAGAAGGCGGCGGCCATGAATTGGTTCCCCTACGGTTTTGGCAGCGCGTCCGGTACCAACTTTATCATTGAGGAGATTGGCGAAGTTAGCGACGACAAGGAGGAACACGGCGAGTAGCAGAACGAGAAACACGCCGTCGCTTTCTCTTCGGCCTTTGACGACTCCTCGTTCTACGACAAGGAGGGAGGTAATTTCCTCGACCAGTACCAAGCCGCACGATTCGACAAGAGCACAAAGAAGGGCTAGACTTGTTTGGGGGAAGACGGTTAGCTGGAAAGAACGAGTCAATCCAAGAGCGCGGGGAGTCGCGTCTTGTGTTCTGACTGTGCCTAGCAAAACTGAAATTATTCAATCATTATATTATGCGTACTAGCTCAATGTCAGTAGAAAAACACCTTACTTCGGGTGATTACCTTATGTACATTACTCTAATTATTTAGAGATAGAAGAATGTGAAAGTCTCAAGATTTTGGTCTCCGCTGACCGATGGCCCGACAACGAACCGTAAAATCCCGCTCCGTCACTTTCCGTGACCCGAACACTCGTCAAAAGTCCACATGTACGAGGGAACCCATTTGTTGTTCCCATCCATGCCAATGGCAGATGCAATGAACCCGCCAGCCCATTGATAGTACAGCACTCCGCTCTCGGTGCACGCCATCTCCCCGACGCTGGGACATTTGCTGGCGAGGATCTGGCAGGTGGCAGCGCTCGCCTGCTCCCTGGTTGATACCAGTTGGTTGGCATTTTTGAGGTGTGAGCCCGTGGGTGCATTCGCTGGAAGACCGTAGGCAAGGCTGTAGCTGAGGGCCCACCAGACCGCAGCCAGAGCGGCGGCGGCAGACCCGGACAACATCGCGCTAAGTTTTTGCAGTTGGCTTAATAAGGGATAATTAGGTTGTTGGTAGTGGAGTTGCGTTTGTGTTGTGACAACGATCTTGATGAGTGAAATCGCTGCATCAAATGTTTGTGTCAGAACCTACCTCGACTTGTGCCTGGGTTATATAGGCGCGTCCATATCACAACCTGGTGAAAACACCAAAGCGCGGGGTGGATGGGATATCTTTCTATTACACGCGGATCTGTGGTCTTGATAGGGTGGGGGCACTCGGCCTACCAGACCGTAAGAGCTATCGGTCGTGAGGCTCGGTTCCTAATAATTCTCATAATATATAGGGTTGCATACACATTGCCCATCAGCTAAAAATAGGAGACATTCGGGGAGTTTTTGCCGTAAACCATATATGATATGCTTCCACGTGCCGGCTAAAAGCACTCTTCTCCTTACCCAAACCGGGTAACGTTTCTTTAGGAGTCAGATAGGCCCGCAACGTGCTTCTGATAGACGCGTAATTAAACACAATACAGAAGCGTAAAAACTCCGATTTAGTATTGCAGGTTGCTAGAAGAACAAGGAGAACTGATTAGAATGCTCATAGGTGGGCTCATGGGTGGATGTTTGGTCTTATTTGATCTTCAAGTCATAATTAAGACTCGCACAATCATTGGCTCTCCACTTCCCGGTATCACAACTTGGGTCTCGTAATCTATCATTCGGCTATTTCGTCAAGTGCTAAGCACAGCGGTGCAGAGAGTTGCTGATGAAAGAGCTGTACTTCTGTAAGTTCACTGAGCTCGAAATGAGAAAATATGGACTTTCGGACACGTCTCCTAGGTAGCTCATGATTGAGGCTCTGTTTGTTTTCCGAGTCAAGCCGTTGTGTCGATTCTAGAAAAAAAAACTATGCCCTGAAGAAGATTGGAAAACCATCAAGTGAACTCCCTCAACAAGGGAAACACGTTAAAGCAATATCAATACAACATGTTCATAAAATGTGACCATAAATATACGAATACGTAAGGTACGGTAGGCACTAATCTCTCTTTCCCGAGACGGAAGTTATCTCTGCAGGCACGGCCTCTTTTCCGTGCCGCTCTGCCGCTTTCTATTGGCTGCAGCCACAATGTGGAGTCTCGGTTTCTATCACTTCAGCTGAACGCACAGAAAGGTCTGAGCTTTGCTGAGATAAGTTGTTCCCCAGATCTGGGAAAGTGCCCCTGAGATCGCAGATCGGCGCTCGGTAGTGGCTTGGCGGGGCGGCCAACCCGATTGTGCAAGGGCAAGGGAATTGGAGAGCAAGCGATTCTAGCGCTTTTACGTCATCACCCATCAAGCTTTTACGCCGCGCCGTGTTGCGTTGGGCGGCACCAACAGTTTCCTTCCGAAACATATCCTCCAGTGTGGTATTAGACATCTTCTGACGGCAGTACTCGTCCGTCCTGCAACAGCTTCAGGTTCGTCAGCTCCCGTGCATTCCATTTGCCAACAACCCGCAGGGGTCCGCCCGTCCTAACGCCCAGCTGCCGAAGCCAGGCTGCTGCGCCGTTTCCCAGCTCCCCCATTCGAGCTGAACCGAAAGATTTTCGATCCATTCTGCTTGCAACCCCCCCTCAGGACGGCATGTCGGGCGCGTACGGCGGCGAGGCTACCAGCTACAACAACCCGCAGTATCGTCTCCCTCCTCCTCCGAATTCTTACCAGATGCAGCCGCCGCAGAATGGATACTACAACAACAATGCGCCCCAGCAGCCCAATGGCCACAATGGTGGTGGCCAGTACGCCCCACCAGCAAACCCGCCTCCCCAAAACCAGGCCGAACCCAAGTTCAACGACAACTACGGCGCAGGGGGGCCGCCCCCGACTTTTGATGAGGTCTTCCAGGTGCAGAAGCCGAAATGGAACGATCTCTGGGCTGGCATCCTGTTCCTCATCACCTGTGCCGGGTTTGTGGCTATTTCGGCCATATCGATTCAGGGCTACGGTACGTCTAAGCTGCCCTAGGCCGTTCCTCCCTAGGGTGCCTATACATGCCGAGAAGCGTGTGTGCTGACATGGCAGTGTCGTTAAAACAGCGGCCACACGGCGAGAGAACGGGGGCGGTCTCAACGGCCAGGCCAACAACTTCGGACTGACTACGCACACCATCTACCTGTTTCTATGGGTGCTAATAACAGCAATCACGCTCAGCCACGGCTACATCTGGCTTGCCCGCATGTTTACCAAGCAATTCATCTGGATCACGGGCATTCTGAACATTGTGTTCGGCCTCGCCACTGCCATCTATATGCTGACGCAGAAGTACTACTCGGGCGGCATTGTCTTCATCATATTCTCCGTCTTCATGATTTTTGCTTTCATATCCTGGATTCCAAGGATCCCCTTCAGTGCCCTGATGCTCAAAACCGCCATTGACGTCTCCAAGAACTACGGCCATGTCTACGCCGTCAGCGCAATTGGAGGGTTCTTGGGGACGGCGTTTGCGGCGTGGTACTCGGTTACTCTGGTTGCCGTCTATGTCAAGTACGAGCCAAGCACGAACAACCCTTCCTGTAACCAAGGTGCTGGCGGTTGTGGCAGTGGCAAGGTCATAGGTCTGATTGTCTTCATCACATTTGCCTCATACTGGATATCGGAGTGGCTCAAAAACACGATTCACACAACCATCTCCGGCGTGTATGGCTCTTGGTACTTCAATTCTCGCAACCTCCCGACCAAGGTTACACGTGGTGCGCTTAGACGGTCTCTCACCTACAGCTTTGGCAGCATCAGTCTCGGCAGCTTGGTTGTTGCCATCATCAACATGCTGCGTCAAGTGTGCTCCATTGCTCAGCAACAGTCGGCCGCAGACGGGAACATCGTCAGCACAATCCTCTGGTGTATCCTCGGTTGCCTCATCGGTCTCCTCGACTGGGCGGTGCAGTTCATCAATCGCTATGCCTTCTCCCACATTGCTCTGTACGGAAAGGCATATATTCCCGCCGCCAAGGATACCTGGAAGTGAGTATATGCACACCCCCTTTGTTGTACCCTTTTCGAAAGGGCCATGAGTCTGATACTTACTCTCTCATTTAGAATGATCAAGGACCGGGGCATTGACGCTTTGATCAACGAATGCCTCATTGGCCCTGTCTTGAGCATGGGCGCCACCTTTGTCGGCTATGCTTGTGCTTTGCTGTCCTATGTCTACATGGTGTTCACACACCCAGCCTACAACTCAGGTGGCGGCTTTACTCCTGTTGTTGTGGCTTTCTCCTTCCTTATTGGGCTGCAGATCTGCAACATCTTCACGACTCCGTTGAGCAGCGGCATCGACACGATTTTCGTTGCGTCAGCCTGGGATCCTGATGTCCTCATGCGAGACCACCCCGACCTGTACAACCAAATGGTCCAGGTCTACCCCCATGTGCAGCAGGCTATCCATGCTTGATTACCTAGACCTCATAGACCGTTGAAGGGTATGGAGCTTAATTGGTTGTAATTGGGGTTCTTTTCTGCATGAGAATGCACGCCGCTCTCGTCACCACTTGGGTAATAACCCAGAAGTAGTCTAGTAATGAATTATTGCAATAATCGCACCAAATAATAAATGATCAAGGCCGCGATCGAGTAACTCTAGATCGCCGACATGTGTCTTTGTATGATAATCTAACAGTGTCAGTCGGTAGGAAACTAGGTGTCGCTGATACTCCCTCTTTTGATCTGACAGAGACGTAGAGATATTCTTCGTTCCTTCGGTATCACTCTATCGGTGCCGTTCGATTGTTCGACTTTTGTTGTACCGCGGCAAGTGTTTAACTGTTTTATTTTAGTTATACGTGGTGATTAAGCCATTTCATTTTGGTGATAGCTAACTATAGAAGTCGCTACTTGAGTACACGAAATACAACATGGATGAACGAATAAAATCTTCTCTCAACACCCAAACGGATTCAAGTTCTAGTTCCGTTAAAAAATCAAAGGATCGGGTTTCTACTTAATCGTATGACACCCCTCACCTGACATACCAAGTTCCCAACGACAACAAGTGGCGGGCTGGGAGCAGAAAGTCATGCCAAGACATAAAACTGCAGATACGAGCCGCAATTGTTCTCTTGGTGACATTCGGCAACAACGGCAGATCAACGACCAGCACCCGAGTGCGTATTCTAGTCCTACCGTGGCTGCCCGCAATAATACGGCGAAATTCAGCCCCGTTTTGGAACACATGATTGCAATACAATCTCTACTTATTGCCATTGGTCATGCCATCATCCTTTTTTGCGTATCATTAACAGTTGTTGCACTGGATATCTACCTAGCTGGGTCACCACCTTCAACGTCGTTGTGGGCAGATGAATACTCACAGAGTTTCAAACGAGACACATAGTTATTTTTCATATTTTCGAACCTCAGTTTCCATCAAATGCAAAGGGGCGCGTGTCAGCACACTGGACCAAATGTTGTAGGGCATCCATCCCTCGGCGGCTGAATACGCATTCAAGCTGACCGGTAAGCTCGGCGAGGAAAAGATCGGCAAGGCGGGGGGGACGAGCGGTCGGCAGTCAGGCTCCGCCTCGGATCTACCGAAAGCTGTGTCTACACGTGTCGCGCAAGTTCAAGGTCAAGCCCAAGTCCGCGATGCGACGGTGCGATGACCAACGACGCCTAGGAGAGTGAGCTGAGGCCTGATCATCCATTATGGGACTTTCTATTTTCTGACTAAATATATTCCCACTCACGTATGATGTAGGCCAACTTACCCGGCTCGGAAGGGCGGATCTGCAGATGCACCCCGTCATAAGGTGCCAACAGACGGTAACGGTGGGGGGCTCACCTGACTGACCTGCTCCTCTGTGCCTTTCGTATTCAACTCAGCCAGCCAACGAGAGGATTCAGTGGGTCGCACCCGCTTCCTCTTCGCTACTTGCCCACCTCTCACTGTCGGGTAATCCATTGGGCTCGACTGAAAGTTCGTATTCCAGTAATTACTCGCCATGCCTTTTTGTTACCTATTTGGAAACCTCAATTCGGACCTATTATTGAAAGTCCGTTGCGAATGGCGCTCACGCCGGCAAGACATGTCTTTTGAGCGACGCGTAATATGCCGTATGGCGAGAGCCCTATGAGACGAGAGCGTGGCTGTTGTTCTCTTGCGCCTCGCAACAGGCCCACCTGATTCTTGCTGCTCTTCAGGAATCGCAGCAAGATCCGAGTAGCGCGGCGCCGAGCATGGCAACCTACAACACGAGGACTGTATCGTGGTCGGTTGCGGGACGGTGACGTCGCGCCGAGCATGGCAACCTACAACACGAGGACTATATCATGGCTAGTTGCGGGACGGTGACGTCGATGAAAAGATATAAAACCCCTTGGCCTTTCCCCTCATGAGACGTCTCAATCTTTCCTCATCCTCACACACACAAATCTAACCTAATCTAACTTACAACGCTCAAACAACTCTAAACAACTCCAAACCACACAACACCACAACCCAATATCTACCACCCAACATGCTCAACGCGCTCACCATCCTCGCCCTCGCCGCCGCGGCACCGCTGGCCTTGGCCTTCGGTAGCGCGCGCGTAGTGAACAAGTGCAGCGCACCCGTGACACTGTGGAGCGTCGGCCAGAACATCGCCGGGCCGTTCACACTAGCCGCCGGGACAGGGTCGTACGGGGAGGAGTTCACGCGGGACCCAGTGACGGGGGGCAAGGCGCTCAAGATCACCAAGACGACCGACGGGCTTTACACGGGGCAGCCGCAGACGATCTTCGCGTACAGCCTGATCAACGACGGTGTGTACTACGACCTGTCGGACGTGTTCGGCGACGCGTTTGCCGGCAGCAAGCTGGTCGAGGCCAGCGCCGACGCCTCGTGCCCAGTGATCAGTTGGCCTAACGGCACGCCGCCGGCAGGTAGTCAGGTCAAGGTGTGCACGGCCGAGAAGGACATCACCTTGACGCTGTGCGCTTGATTGGTTTGGGTCTCTTGGATGGATGGCTGGAGGTGTTATCTTGCTGTGATGGTGGCTTGGGAAGGAGGGAGAGCTTGGGGACAGTCAGGTGGTGAAAATAGAGATGCCAACATGCTTGACTTGGGGGTAAGGGGTTCGAAATCACGGGAAATAGAATCAGCTTCGCAGACACGAAAATACACTCCTTTCACACACAACTATCAGATCTAAACACTTTGCTGTTCATTTTAACGTCTCAAAATAATAGACATGAAAGGGAGATCAGTTTACTTGATTATCGCAGAAATTCCCCTCATCAATGAGGGCAGGAAATATTGATCCTGGAATTACCATCTACGACTACTCTAGTCACCAAAATACTAGAAGCAAAGAGTGTTTAGTTTGTTTAGTTTCGTCTCCTCAAGGAGTGACTTCCACAGTCGCAAATAGATGAAGATACAATTGGCGCAGAACTGAGGCCATGTCAAAGACCGGTTGTTCATCCACGGTTCCTTATTCTCGTGTCCCTTCATGAGAATCTTCTGACGCCAAAGTCTTCCTCAGCAAGCGCTTTAATCATATAATTATTTACCAACACCATTCTCCTCAAACCTAGTACTCCACATCTAGGAATTTTACCACTCGCTTTGAGAGTACTAATTTCGGACTTAATTCGTTTTAGAGAGCAAACGCCACATTTATAAGTACAGTACCTTTGTTGGACCCCTTTGTTTACTTAGGGTGGGGACCGGGGCGTGTATTGGGTAGGGGTGGATTTCGAGTTGGGTTCTAGTGGTGGCCGGTGGGGTTGGTCTTCGATTTGAGAATGTGGGGTTATTAGGGTCTTCGATTTGGGCGCCGGGATGAAAGTTCTGCCCACCGTCCCCGCCAGAATTTTTTGAGATTTGGGCCTGACGGACTTTCACAATCCATCTTTGTGTCCCTGAACCAGCTTGACTCGCAAGATAGTGAATCTTTGCAGAATAACCGCTACTCTCACTAGAAAACTCGAGCAAAAGAGATATCCACAATCCTAGCCAAACCTTGAAACATGGAACAGCCCGCGACCGAACCCGCGACTGAGCCCGTGGCTCAGGCGGTGGAGGTTGTTAACCCCGCCCCCGCCACAGCGCTCGGAGGCTCAACCCACTCGACGACATCGCCTATTCCGGCGCCGGCAACGCCAGCCAAGGCCGTGCACTGCCTGGTCTTGGACGCCAATGCCATAATAAAGAACGATCCTACGGTGTCTACTCTGATTGCTCAAGCAGACGAGCTCTACACGATCCCGGCCGTGGTGGCAGAAAGTATGTCTTGGACTCTGGGAGCGCCGCCAGTTGATTCTAATCTCCAAGAGTGCCGCAGTCCGTGACGAGGCGACGAGATCTCGGTTCGAGATAACCTTGCGACCATTTCTCAAAATCAGAACCCCAAGACCAGAGTCGGTCCAATTCGTCACTAGCTTCGCGCGGCGGACAGGCGACCTGCAAGTCCTCTCGGCGCCAGATCTGCATCTTCTCGCCCTGACGTACGATTTGGAATTAGAGAAAAATGGCGGTGACGTACGTTCTTCAATCCCAACCAGTTTGGCCCTTTTGGCAAAAGGCCGTATCTAATACAGGGACATACAAACAGTGGCGTCTTAGGCGTGAGCCGAACCAGAAAACCATCAATGGAAAGCCGCCTGGAGCCGTGGAAGCTGCGCAAGAAGGGCAAAGTACTACAGCCGAGGAAGTCGGCACCGCAACCGAGCAACTAGAAACTGGCGCAGAGATAGCGAAGGAAGTAGATAGCAGTGTTGCAGTGGAGGATAAACTTGAGGCGGCTGCAGAAGTGAACGACGCCTTGGCTGAGCCAAAAGAGGAGGCCAGCGAAGCCTCAGTGCAGGCTACAACAAACGAGCTGGAAGAAAAGCTGGAAGACCTTGACCTGAGCGGCCAAGTAAGCGAGGACGCAGCTGTCGATGCACCGGAGGAGGTAGAAGGGTCCGGATCAGAGTCTGAAGAGAACGATGGTGCAGGAGAGTGGATAAGTAAGGCTCCCGAGGCACCTTTGCTGCTCTTTGCCAGAGCCTAGCAAATGCTAACATTTGACTCAATCAGCCCCAAGCAATATAAAGAAGCACCAAGCCCGCGAAAACACCCATAAGGCGCCGCAGCCGATTCAGCGAACCCTGAAGGCTGCCCTGATCACCGCTGATATGGCCATGAGACACGTGGCATTGAGGATAAACCTGAAGTAAGTGAAAGTTGTCTCAACCTGCAGTTGAATATGCTAACCAACGAAATATAGTCTCTTGGATACTGGCTTCTCTCGCATCACCTATTTGAAGACATGGGTTCTGAGGTGCCATGGCTGCTGGAAGGTTTGCAAGGACATGTCAAAGCAGTTCTGTCCTTCTTGCGGGCAGCCGACTCTGACGCGGGTATCCTGCTCCACAGATGCCTCAGGAAACTTCAAACTGCACCTCAAGCAGAACTTCCAGTACAACAACAGGGGAAATGTGTATAGCATTCCCAAGCCCACACACGGCTCGGCGAGCGGCAAGCTCGCAAACGTCAAGGGAGGTGGCAAGCAGGGGTGGGGAAGCCAGCTTATCTTAGCCGAGGACCAAAAGGAGTACAGCAAGATACTCGAAGAAGATCGCCGGACGAGATACCGAGATCTTATGGACGAGGATTATCTGCCGAGCATCCTGACCGGTTCTAGGAATTCGGGCCATGGGAGGCCCAAGGTGGGAGCGCCTCGCAATGTCAACGCGAATAAGAGGGGCTGATTGCAAATTTCGGCGAGAGGCGAACATTGACATTGGCCCAGTGATAGAAAGGATGTCAATGAATACCTAAGCCATTTTGTCTGCACCGCCCTTATCTAGCTGTTTCTGAAAACGGCTCACATGAAAAAAGTGCCAAAGTGACGCCAACCCACAAAGCCTGACCCAAAGCAAACGCCGTCCTTTCCAGAATCAAGCCGTAACCAGCCCTGACGATCAGAAGCGAAGTCAGGGCATTCCCAAAGCGCACCGGGCGACTCCAATAGCCGCTACATCACTACCTGACAATGCTCGGCGAATGTCCCTGCTGCTCGGTTTCCGGTCGGCGATTCGCCAGTACCGACGGCCAGCGCGCCGAGCCATCGTTCCTCCGAGATAAAAGACAAAATTGGTTCGAGCGTCCTACTCAGCAAGGTCGTAGAATAGTTTTTGCGTGGGTTTCCCAGAGGCGCAAGCATAACGCAAGCGTAAGCCCGCCGCCCAAGCCGTCGTTGCAATTCTCGTGGTGCCCAAAGTAATCGGGTCGCTTTCTATTGCTTGCAAGCTTCTGCAGGTGGTGAAATAATGGCTGTCAACTTCCATCCTATTTGCTTGTAGGTCATCGCCACCAGCATCGACCTATCTACCCCACTGGGGAGACTCGGGAAAGGGAACAAGGGAAAAGGAAAACTAGGTTCGAGAGGAAGAACGCACTATTCTTCTCAATCAGGATCGCGTAACGCTTCTTCAGCGCAATCCGGTGGCGCGACCACTTGTCGTCGGGCGAGAAGCGCGCCGGGTGCGCCGACTTGGTCACCTGGCCGTCCAGCACCTTCTTGAGCGAGTACTGGCGCCCACCGTGGCCGTCGGGGATGAACATGAGATGCATCGTGACTGGGAATTTGTTCGGGGTTTATCGATTGATCGAACTGGACCGTTTGTGGGTGGGCGAGTTTGTTGCTGTTGAAGATGGCTTCAGATTTGCGGTCTTCTTCGCTCCGTTTGTCTGCTGCAGCAAATATTTTTCTTTGCGAGAGGAAAGGCTGGCCCCACCCCCTGTGCCTTGCCCGTTTAGGGCAATCTGTGGGGCGCGCTGTGCTTGCTGGTTTCTGGAAACCTTGGGCCCCACAGCTGCACAGTCGTGCCTAACGGCTAGCTGTCTACGGGGAAAGAGCAACCACTGTCACTAGCAGCCCAATTTTTGGGCAACGGTACCCAACCCACCATCTTGGAAAAATAAAACAAGAAAAGAACATTTCAGCAAGATTACATTTCACTACTCTAATTCGGAGTCCTTTTTCATTGAGCTTAGAGTTCAAGCTGCCCATTTATCCTTGGAATTTCCATTTCCTCGCGGAAAAGAGACTGCCCTCTGTTTTGTTCGAGTCGCTTACTAAGGCGCCTCACAACATGGAGTCACCAAAAAAACGAGGAAGCAGTATCTCGACAATGGCATCTTTTTGTGGTCATTAGGCGTTACAACTAGGTCAGTCTAGAGACCCTTGAAACTACACTAAGAAAGTACAGTGAAGAAAAGAGAAAGAAGATCCTACACAGATTACACGGAAAATACACTCGAAAGCGGAAGAGGAAGAAGAGATAACCCCGTCCATCCTTGGAGTACCGTGATCGAGGACCCCCAAGACCCAGAACCGTTCCTTCCTTTATACCAGAACGCCGCAAAGAACACCTGTCACGAAACATTCATCATCTTCGTCATGATCATCGTTACACGAGCCGCCCCGTGTTAAATCGGGCTGCTCTCGCCCGTTCGGGGCGCGTTATTGTCGGGTCCAGGGACATATCTAGCGGTGTCCGACTCCGAGGCATTGTTGCCGGTGCTGGGCTTTTCTCCGTCTGCTACGCCACCGGTGCTTACTTCCTCCTCTGCCGTCTCTACCGGCTCCTCATTCTGCAATCGGCCGTCATCGCTCACGCTGAGCTCCGTCACTGCCTCGTCGTAGTCGCAGTCTACCCACCAGCCCGTCTGCAGCGGAGGGTGCGGCGGTAAGGGAGGTGGGCCGCTCTGGTGCTGTGCTTCGAACCCGCATACCGTGTCGCGGTAGATCTGCTCCGGGGATGAGAGAAGCGGCTCCGCAGCAGGGGGCAACGGAGACGAATGAGGGAACGTCGGCCAGTATGTGGGGAACCTGGCAGGGGCCGGAGCCGGAGCCGGGACGTTGGTGACGCAGAAGAAGCATGGCGGGTGCGAGATGCTCGAATCTTGCAGCTGGAAAACGCGGTTGCAGAGGCCGTCACCGGGAAAGTGCTGACACCTTGGTGAGGCGGCGCACGCGGGGCAGGATGCCGAGGGTTTGCAATTCGACCCGTAGTACGTTAACGGGCCCGGAGGACCGCCGAACGGCGGTGGCGGCAGAACTTCTGGTGTAAACGGCGGCGGCGGCGGCGGCGGCGACAGATGCTGCTGCTGTCGCTGCTCACCGCCGCCGCCGAAATAATCTGGATTGTACATGGGAGCATCCACGGTGCAAAACGGCCGCGGGGGCGGGGGCATGGCGTAGTCGCCGTAAACGTCTTGCGAAGTGGGCACTGGCATGGGGAGCGGGACTGATGTGTCCGGGTACGGCGGCGCGACCACCGACGGTCTATTGTACCTGGCAACGCCGGGTGGCGGGGAATATGACCGAGGGGGAGTCGGGGCCGGCGGAGGAGCACATCGATACGAATATCTCGGCGACTCCGGGTATCTCGGAAGCGGAACAATGTCCCCATGCCAATCATTGCGGCGTCGTACCGGAACGCGCGTTCTGGTGACGGGCCTTCGCCGAATTTCTACCGGCGAACCCTCACGCTCACGACGACGGCTGCGATAGGATGGGGGTGAGGTGCGAGTCTTCAAAAACTCCTCAGCCCGACGCTCTCTCGCCTCACGAAACTTCCGCAGGTTCTCGTTTATGTCGGCCTGTCCCCAGGGGTTGCCGTTTCGCGTGGCTGTCTTAAAACCATCAATGCCGCTACAGGTCTTGGTTTCGGCACCTCGGATGACGAACAGATAGTCAACCAGATCTTTGGAGCCGGGATTCTTCCAGAAACGAATCTTATGGCGCTTCACCTCAACCGGTTCGGCGGTGGTAAACCGTTCACGCAGCTGCTCTTGCATCACAGCGACGGACCATGATCGGATGCGGAAAGCACTCGATGTTGCGATCCCCCGGGCGGTGAGAATATGAGCCAGTTCTTCCCGGACAGGCGCGGGAAGCCTGCGGCATCGGTCCTCGAGACCTTGCTCGTATGTTTTGGCCTTGGCGCCGAGAATCCGGGAAGCCAAGCAGCGACGGTGCTTTGCCTGGAACTCGCTAATGGCGCGAAGATGCATGTCCGCCAGGTCCGACTCTTGGAACTGCTCAGGCCGGGAAGTGTTCCAAGGCTTGAACTGCTCAAACTGTTCCACGTTGACGCCGATGAACCTGTAGCCGCCAACGACTTTGCGGGTATTCGAGTTCATGCTGATACGATAGACCTCGTACGCAGGCATGTCTAGCGGGTGGCTTTCCGCGACGGTGCTGTCGTGGTGTCAGCAATGGCAGAGAATCGCCAAGTGGGAAAGGGGGTCAGGAGGGGGCTCACAGTGGAGGATCGACAATAACAGGGGGCCGATACATGTAGTTGTCCTCAGAGTCGCTGCTGGAGACGCTCTCGGTATCATCGTACAGTGTCCAGTCGTCATCGTCGTCGTGGGGATTGGGATACCGATGCCTGGACGTCGAGCGCCGTGGGGCACGCCGCCGCGATGCCACTCTATCTCTAACGTTGTACATGTTGCGCAATAGTGTCACAACAGCGAAGTCGGAATGGTGGCAGTGACGGAGCAATTGGAATCTGACGGAAGAAGTCGACGGCTTGGGATCAACGAGCGATCCTGAAGAGAGGACCAAGAGGGCACAGCCAGCCACGACAGCTCGGGATGACGGCCTATTTATCTCTCAGTCTCAGCCCACCATGCCAAGCCAATGGGTACGGTACCACACATTTGAGGAGGGGTTCAGAGGCAGAAACGGGACGGCACAGAGTCGGTTGCGGTGCGGTGCGTGTGCGCTGCTCTCTTCGGGAAAAGTGCAGCACAGTTCACTCGACTCACTCCGATTCTACTACGCAGTAGCTAAGGTATGTAAGGCTGCATGCGGCCACCCGCAAGCAACAAGGTCTTGTCGAGCGATCCCACGGCGGCGGAGTCACTTTTGCAGGACAGGCCTGCCCTGTTTCTCTGCCACGGGCCAATTGAGCAGCAGCACATTTGAGGCCCTTTCTTGGCCGTCTGGGGCGCGGAATGACCTTCAAGTGGATCAAGGGATTTAGTGGGGGAGCAACCTATGTGAGGAGGCCGCTGCCTGGCCAGAGCACGACATCGCAGCACCTCAACAGCAGGTGCAGGACCCGCAGTGAACCCAGATGTTGATTGGGTCGATGCCTTGCAGAAAAAGAGGCCTCGGGGTGGCAGCACGTCCAGGCTGTGGCGGGTGGCTGGCCAGCTGCAAGCTACCCCCGATTAGGGAGGGAGCTTCGACTGAGCTGCTGCGCATTTTCTGCCCCAGGCCCCCAAATGTCGGGTCTTCCAGGGTTTGACTTATGAGGCTGCGCCGAGCGGGGTGCCTGAATCAACCTCGCTTGCAGTTGCAAACGACTTTGGCGGCTTACGGCGCTTGATTCCGGGGCTTGCACCCACTAACCAAGCCCACTGTCCGGCGCCGAACTTGACACACACAGTGGCCTTGGGGCGTGCAGGTCCACGCCGCCGCAACTGCCGAGGCCTCCGAGGGCGCCCTCGTCAAGAGCCGCGGGCCTTGCAGCGATAGCGCGGCCGGGTCGGTTGCCCCAGTGGTCAAATCGAGCCAGGACGGTGCCAATTCATTTGTCCTGCCGCTGACAAGTGGCGGTCAAAAGTACCATCGCCCTATGTATTTAAAGCACGACAGGCAATGAGGTCACGAAGATGATTATGGCTGACTCTAGATTCTGGTGTCATTCTTGTTCTGGATTTTCTATCGGAAGTTCATTGCCGGGCAGTGGCTGACCTCGGACACTCAACGATTCAAGCTCACCGCAGCTTCAGTCCCACCCTCCAAAGACCTGCCCAGCCGGGCCACGTACGTACGTACATACACACCTACACACAGGTCGGTGACAGCGGCGACAAATCCCGCATTCCTTCCCTTTTCTATCCCGGCGGGGGGGGGGCAAAGAGTAGATATCCGATATCCAATTGGCACCGGATTATGTTGGCATGAAGTCGCATTTCATGTTTTGACTGAATTTCGGTCTGTTGGTCAAGGACTCAAGACCTGTAAATTCAATTCCCATCAGTATCTGGTTTTTGTATATCGGTCCTCAAATCTGCAGTCAAACTCTCTGGGTAGGTGCAGCTCTTGATTTTCGAGCTCTGTCTGCATTGGCGTGTGCACCGACGTTCCCAGTTTTTCACTCTTTTTTAAGACTGGTCCTTTCAAAGCGACACGGTCTCTCTACCCGTCAGTTTCAAACTCTTGCCACCTAGATTTTTGTACACCACCTAGGTTTTGGGAATACAACACACGACAGCCTGCCTAATCAATGTTGCTAGGCTATCCGTACGTAGTGTAGGATTGCCAACTCTGCCAACTAGGTGGGTATAACACGAAAGTATGATGTCGATATAGGTGTTAGCACTAGTCTGGCTTTCTAACCGGAGCAGCTAACGTTGATACAGACACGGCATGTTAAGTTGGATACAACCCCCGGCGGCCGGCTTCAAGTTTTAGAGTCTAGACTTATGCAGCTTCTATCTGCTCAGAGACAAATCCTAGTTGCAGACAGGTGAATGGGCAGCTCGAAGGGGGGCGAAGCCCTCTGTGCATACGCACCCCGGAATAGGTCACAACTTTCGTACTAGTTTCTCTTTCTTTTCAAAGCTGAAACGAGAGATAGTGCTCCTTAGGACAGAGTACATATAGCCCACCTTGCCCTCCAGGCTAATATCTCACCTCCATTCCTTCGTACCTGAGTGCCTGAGGCAGCAGCACGTTGACGGAGTCGACAGGTTTCGTTATCCGTGGGAAAAGCAGCGTCGCCAAGGCCGGCGAAGGATCGTTCGGCATGATATCTCGACGCTAGACTGTAGTCGTTGAGGGTAATTGTTAATTAATCCCGTTAGATGTTAGTATGAGAGCATCGCGGTAACGACAAGATGGTTGATGGATTAGATAAGCGATATGCTACTTGATATTCCGTATACTTCTGTGTCAAATGTTCTGTTTAGGAATCTTATGCTTACTTGTCTGTGGTTGAGGTGAGGTAACCTGGAATTAGGAAAACCCTGAGGTTGTGAGTGAATATGGGCATGATTCACTTACAACCTTTGCTGATGGGTCAGGAAAGGCAAGTGCCAATCTCGCGCTGAGGAATCAAGAGGGGCGAACAGTTGCAGTACGTACTCCGTCCCGTGTGGTTCGCAAGAGCCAGATGGAATTTAGCCTTGGAGGGGCAAGAGCAGGCAGCCAGACGAAAGGCGTTAGCGTAGGTCCTGTCCTTATCAAGACCGAAATAAACAGACCGAAATAAACTCGTGTTTGGGGGGGGGGGTTCTCCCGGCTCCGTAAGACGCCGAGGGGCCACTAGCCAATCAAGACATTGTCACCCCCCATCCCGCTGTGTGCTCCACGAATTTCGGTGAAGAGCGGGGTAATTTCCATCGCTCCTTCCCTGGTTCTACAGTACGTAGCGAACTGGTGAACCCTGGCTAGCCTGGATTTGACAAGCAAAGATTTTCTGTCTCTTTTTTTGTCACCCGGATGATGTCAAATGCTGCACCTTTATCCCATCGTTGAAGACCCGGAATCGAGAACAATACGGGATACGAATTGGGTGCTCTGTACGTATTTGGCTACTGAATTGATCCCTGTTACATCGTCGCCGCAAATTTGTGCAATTCCGTTCCCACCCAACTGAAGCCGCTGGACGGCCACACACCGGCTTGGTCATGGCCATCATTAACGGCCCCGAGAGAGACGAGGCTCTGGTTCGCATCCCGTTGATTGGCCTGTGAATGCTCAGTCCCCATTTTGAGCTGAACCACCCTTACAGGAGCCCCTGAAACGGCCCTCACAGGCCGATGCTGGCCTGTGAACCGTGAGCACCGCCCCAAGCCGCCCAGCAAAGACGGCTGGGGGTCAACCCAGCGGACCCAGGCGCTCGTGTTCAACCTTACATAGCCCACCATAGGGCGAGATGACCTCGAGGGCAGTGCAGCCAGCGAGCATTGCTCTTGTGTTTGCTTAAAGGAGACGGTTTCCCTGGTCAAGGTTGATATCGACTTTTTCTCGGACAGTTTCCTTTTTTTCTTCTTTTCTCTGACACGAACCTCGGCGACGAAATCCCAAAGCCAAGACGCCTACATGGGCGTCCCAGCGCAGTGCTCACTAACAAGCAACTGGCCGCATTTCTGTTTTGGGCTGTCCTTACCACACCCACTTCTCTGCCTTGGACGGACCTTCCGCCTCCCTGGCGACTCAACACCAGCAGCGGAAGACCGCTTAAGGCTCGCTATCTCTCTGCCCGGATGATTCATGCCCATGGGCGGCCTCGCTGCCTTTTCGCTCCTAAGGTGACGGCCGCCGATATCCCCTGTTGAGCTGTGGGGGGGGGGGGGGCCTACGTACGCTTGACGCTGCACGCATCTTCTGGGCCTGCCCGGCTAGTTTTGAACCCGATGAGCCCAGTGAGTGCCTTAAACGGTGCGTCGGTGAACGCAGGCTCCCATGCCGCGCATGACCTCCACTGTGCCTTCATGGCCTCTGTTTTCTTCTTTCACTTTTCACCCCACGGAAAAGGCATCCACGTCGACACCTCGTTGTATCACCCGTCGCTCGCCTAAAAGGAACAGGACCGATTAAAAATACATCATGGCGGATTGCCTCGTCATCCGCCTGTCCAATAGCGGCAGGAATCGACTTATCCACTGCTTTTGGGCTACACTGTCGCTGCAAGACGGCGTTTCAGGCTGGCCACCTCGGTCAAGCTCCCAGCGGGCTGACGACTGCTAGCCCTGGCATTTGGCCTTTATGGCAAATGGAATTTCGTCCTTCCTGCGGCGGACCTACACACATTGCCGTCCAGTAGGTCCCGCCATGGACAACAACCCCAGAACACCCAATCAAGGCCAATGAAGGCCTGTAGATGATCGAGATATCTGCTGTAACCTTCGTTCTTGGCCGGCGCCGCCTTTGGCAGGCTTCGAACACAAAACCTACAATGGGGGCCGCTCTTCGCCACCATGGCGTTGTCAATCATCTGCTCCTTGGTAGTCAGTTACTTGAAACCTTTGACCTGGCGTGATTTGCGATCAAACCCCCGCTTCAAGATGGCCTTCTTCCACGACCACCATTCAAGTTCTTTACGTGCGGCTGTGCCTGGTCGCCTCCCCGCCCCGACCGAATTGGAGCTCCCGGCCGAACCCCTCCCGGCCGAGACCCTCGGTCTGGTCCGGCCCTCATCCGTACCTCCACCGGTGACTGCTCCGTGCCCAGAGTATGTTTTGTCTGTTTTGCTCCAGTCTTACCTGCCTTCTCCGGTGACTGACAAAACCACAAAATCCAGAGCATCTGATTCCCTGTCTCGTGACTGTCTTCATGCCAGGTTCATGAACAAGATATTGATGTCGCGCACATTTCCATCTCATTTCAACGCCAACGATGGAGACAACACGTGCCCAATGCCCCTTTTCCGGGAACGCTTCAGCGACCTGCAGTCCATGCTCATCCACTTGGAGAAGAATTGCGAAATGCTGCATGCCTCGGAATGCTTGGACTGCTCACGTGCTCGGCAGCCTCAGACGGCCCCAACGACGTGCCAGCCTGGGCGTTGCCTGTGGTGCTGGACAAAGTCTCGGCTTGGGAGTTTCAAAAGACGCCTATCGCTCAAGTCGCTCGGGAGATCCCGGCATAATCTCCGGGGACAGACGTCTAGACCCGCGTCTCCCGAGGCCCGCTCTCCCCAGCAAGAAATCGAATTCCTCATGGACCAGGAACTGCCCGGGCCCCCGTTTCCTCAGGGAATGGGCGAGCTGCCTCAGTCGTCAGAGGTTTCATATCGCCCAGAATTGCCCCAGTCGCCCCCGAGACATGAGCTCATTGGAAATGCGTCCGCCCAACGGTCGCCGTTTGATTCTCATGCAGAGCTCTGCGGAGGCGATCTCGGCTACATGGACGCTCCAGTTTTCCCTCGTCAACAATATCGGGCTGAACTTTCAGAGCAATCACCGGTTCAGAGCGGGCCTGTTCCTGTCTCTCGACCAGCCACACCAGTCCGTGAAAGCGAGTCTCTTGTAGAAAGATGGATCCCCCATGACGTCTCCAGCTATTCAAACCCGAACTCGTGGTCGGAAAAATCTTTCACTGGCTTGTCAATGATGAGCGACACGACAGCGGCACTTCAGGGAGACCATTCTCTCGTAAGCCCGCAGCCATCATTGTTTGCCATGTCCGCGAATCCGACCCCATTTTCGCCTTCACTGCTGTCACCCGGCGACGAAGGGCGTTATTTTACCGAGCCGACCGCATATAATCCCGCCGTCTACGGAGAGCAGGCCCATGCGTCCCCATCGCGAGACGGGATTTTTGACAAGGGAAACCAGGATTCATGGTCGTCGAACAGCACTTTCGCTAACTCATCTGGTGCGTGGTCGGGGACCGCTCAAAGCTCTCAAGGCTCTCAAAGCTCGTTGTCTTCGGCAAGCACATTGGCTGAACTGCCCTGCACCCCATACAAGAGCTTTCCAGGGCCCATGCAGCTGAGTCAAGACCCGGAACCCATCGAGACACCTTCAGCACTAGCGGCACTCAACTCCGCGTCGACCCCATGTCCGCCGATTCCATCTCATGTGTTGAACTTCCCCATCCGATCGAACGTGGCCCGGCGATATCCAGAAAATGCGCCGACACTATCCCAACAGCAGTTAACCTCCATTGCCAACAGGCTGTCGCTTCTGACAAATCTCGTGGATTCTTTTTCCGAGAAGCGCAACACTATAGGCGGATCCGGAGCGAACGTTGAGTGCTTATCTAACACTATTTACGACAAAGCCTACAACAAAGCCGCTCTCGTGACTGGTATCAACGTTCTCAAAAGCACATTGGAAGAGACAACGCCTGCCACAGCTGCCGATAAGCTCTGCTTTGGCTACTTGGCGCTTGCGATGGCGTCTGAGCTGAAATATGATCTCCCTCGACAGCTATATGCTAGTCTAAATACAGACATGTCCGAGTTGGTGAAGAGCGATGGGGAGAGGGAGCTGTCTTGGCGCTTTCTTCACGTCGCAAAGGAGTTCTTGAACGGTGAGTGATGGTCTGCGATGCCCTTCGCCGTGCTTTTAGACAATAATGCTGACATTTTGCAGCCCTGAAAGCCCAACTGGACTCCAACCCAGGCCAATATGGATACAGCCCATCCGAAAGTCCGTCCACAATCTTGGGCTCGCTCGAATTCTTGAAGTCGCATTTCGAAAACGAGTTTGGGCTTCGAGATGTCCAGACGAAGCTTACCCGACCCTCACCTCCTCGCCAGGATTCGTGGGACTCGGTTGCAAGCACTGTCCTCGACCTCGAGTCAGAAGTTTCCGACGTATTTGTCGGACGAGATGCGCCTAAGGAGGACAACCAGGTTCTGTTCCTAGAACCTATTAGGATTTTCTCTCTTGAATTGCCAGCTAGCACTCCTCCGGCTGCTGAGGTGCCACGGCCACTTGACCTTGACACGATCCGCAACGCCCGCAAGGATGCCTCGCTTGGCCTCAAAAGGAGCTACGACGATCGTTGCGAAGACTGCGGGTACTTTCCAGAGAAGGAAGCGGGCGATTTGAAGAAAAAGATGACCAGACACCTCAAGTCCAGAAAGCACATCGTCAACACGGGACAGGAAGCTGACGAGGTCGAAGTCTTTCCGTGCACCTGCCACAACCCTGACGGCACGGTTTGCAGCAAGATTTTCGGCAGGAGAGACAATTTCCGACGGCACTGCTGGGACTTTCACCACCTGGAGAGCCAGGTAAAGAACGGCCGGAGGCGTTGGGAAGGCATCCCGGAGCTGCCTGGCGAGGAGGTCGATCCGTACAAGATGGCCTCGGACCCGAAGAGGAGGCGGACGGCGACGAGCAGGTGATTGGCTCAGCCAGTGATGATCTTCTAACTATCTGCCTCAAGAAGGCAGCGGGGTATAATTATGGGTAAAAATGGAAGCATGCATATAGGGGTGTTGTGTTTTTGGGAGTTGGGATTCGGAAAACGGAGTTTTTTTGATCGTCATTCGTCACTGGAACGAACAATAATTCTTAGTGAGGGGAAAATAATCCCGCCATTGGCTACCAAATGCCAAAATACAAAATGCCTTGGGGAGTCCTAGGCACACCTTTATGCCCTCTGAATTTCCATTTCCAACTTGGGATACATTTACTGCTGTGCTTCCTACGTAGGGAGCTATCTATCTACTCATGCTTGTTCGTACGGGAGTTCCTTAGATATATAAAGCCTTACTGCCCTACCTTACCGGTCCCCCGAAAGTCCAGCTATTATAATCCCTAATAAAGAATCCAAAACCTCTTGTCTTCCTCTTTCCACTGCTTTTAAGGATATAATCCCTATCAGTGCCTGTCTGCACCCCGCAACCAATCAAGGCAGATTACCTTCACTTACCTAGTCCGCGAAAACTCTCTTTTCAGAGTGGAGCCGGTCTGGATTCTGTCTCCTCTTTCATCAGTGGAGTCGCCGTGCAAAGTCTACTCCCGATTAATTGCACATTAGAAAAAGAATTGAGCAAAAATTACTCCACGCTATAGCCGCAATCCACACCTTCCAAAAGCATAAATTAATGAGAACACACCAGCCCGGTTAGCTCAGTTTGGTTAGCAGCGTCGTACTAATACCGTCGAAAGGCAGTATCTGGTTATGCGAAGGTCAACAGTTCAATCCTGTTACTGGGCACAATCCTGTTACTGGACACTCTTGTTTACTTTTTTTGTCACCTTTGTAGTCGCTTCCCAACCACGACCTCGACCCTGCATCCCGTGCTGCATTATATCGTTGCTGTCCCATCTTATGCTCACCTGGTTGTTATGTTACCCAGTCCGCGATTCGTAGCAACTATTCATTCACCGTGATTCTAATTTTGAATCCCTTTGTCACCTCTCTCAACTCAACAGTCCGCGTTCGTACAACGACCTAGCTGATTTACGAGCTCGATGCCAATCCGCACTTTGTTTTCAGGTGCAGCTTGACGACATCAATGTTAATCTGTTATTTCCATTTTTTTTTCTCTTCCTCCTTTTTTTTCCTTTTTTTTTCCGGAAGAGCGGCGTAATGGAAATTACGTTGGGCTAGCTTGAGAGGTTCAATACGACGGATATCTGCATTACGAACAATGGCAATCGAGGCCTGCTCGAGGTCAACGTGAAAATAAAAACTTGCATGAGGCACGGGTTTCGAGATTGTTACAAAAAAATTGCTACCTGGGCCAAATTACTGTCAGGGGAGCGGTTTTCTTGGTCCGACCAAAAGGATTGAGACTGACGTGCCGTGGGCTCGGTCGTCAATTGGCCGAGGCGGCAGCCCGGGGAAGGCGACTGCGGCTCTCAATTGGCGACGGAAACGAGAAAGAACAAAAAAATCCTGTGCGTGTCAAAAATTACGTGCAGGATAGGGATATAACAGCGGAACCACGTCAACTCGCATTGAGGCGTTACCGAAAAGCGACTCGGTGGGTTCAGACCCTAGGAGCGTCTCGCGAATGGCAACGGCTCAGCCAAGCCGCCAGCTGCCCCATTGGTACACGTCTGCCACGTTTCGATGCAGAACCCCCCCAGACCCAGGCTGCCAGCAGAGCAACTCACTGGACTCTGACGAGAGGGGAAATGGGAAATGGCAAGAAAAACATAATAGCCGGGGTGGGGGTTTTCTGCACTCTTGTTTTTCCCTAGCTCGTCCCGCCAAAAAAAAATAAAGAAAAAGAAAAAGCATGTTTCCCTCAATGCCAATGTCACACGGATACTGACTCCTGCGGGCTGCTATGCCTTCAGCCCCCCCCCCCCCCCCCTCCACTGCCCCGGTCTTCTTGCATTCGTGGCGGCACTCCTATGAGTGGCTGGTGCTCCCTCCCCTACCATACGACTAGACTACCAGGTGCTGGGCACTGCCATAACATCCGATTGTTCCATCGATGCCCATCGCTGCCCGTCTGCTGGGTAAAACGTGCCTTTTGTCCCAAACCGCGAGCCAATATCAACAGGTCGCCCCCTTGTTGGGTCCTCTCTTGACTTTACCGTATATCCCTCCCCAAGGCCTGTGCCACTAGGCATCATGACTTCGCTCAAGCTCAAACTCTTGTCCGTCGTCGCCAAAGCCTTCGCGGGCGCCATCGGGGTTGCCCGCGCCGTCAGTTGCCGGGCCAAAGACGCCGTCGACCATGTCTGGCAGAAGCCGGCGCCAACAGATCGTATGTACCTCCTGTCCTTCTTGTCGTGCTCCTACCCAAAGAGAGAGGCGAAGAAATGCTAACCCGACTGGAAACACAGGCCGCAGCCCCTGCCCCATGGTCAACGCCCTCGCGAACCATGGCTACCTCCCGCGCGACGGCAAAGGCGTGTCACTAGCGCGCCTCATCACAGCCTTCAAGGACGCTATCAACCTCGCGCCGGCCGCGACGCTGCTGGTCGGCTTCAAGTCGCTCCAGGCGTCGACGACGCGGAACCCGCTGACCTTTAATCTCGACGACCTCTCCAAGCACGGGGGTGAGTGCCAGAGGGGGGTCCAGCAAGCCAGCTGTCTCCATGTTCTCTTGTCGGAAACAACAGAGCAGCTAACGCAAGCATGTTCAGTGATTGAGCACGACGGCAGCCTAAGCAGGAACGACATCCACTTGGGCGACAACCACAGCTTCGCGCCCGAGGTGTGGGCAGCGGTGGCGGCGCACTTTGCCGACGACGACGTCATCTCGATCGAGACGGCGGCGCGAGCCCGCAAGGCGCGCCTCGCCGCCGCGCCCAAGATGAACCCGGCCTTCAGCATCACGGACGAGCAGCTGGGCTTCAGCTCCATCGAGACCAGTTTGTACCTGCTCGTCTTTGGCCACGGCACCGAGGGAGACGCCAGGACCGAGTGGGTGCGCACTCTGTTTGGTATGTTGGCTTCTGTTTTTCTCCTTTCCGATAGTTTCCCATTTTCCCTGGCGATAGGGAGAGATATCGTCCGAGCACGAACACAACTGGCGTACTGACACCGCCTTCTAACTACAGAAAAGGAACGCCTGCCGTTCGACGAAGGGTTTAAGCGACCCGACAAGCCGCTGAAGGTCGTCGACGTCCTAGACCTGCAGAAAAAGGTCGAGGAGGCGGCTTGATTGATGTTGTGTTATGTTATGTGTGTTATGTTTTATGTCTCAATGTCGAGTCCCGCGGGATCATGACCTCATGTGTCATTGTTGGATCTGGTGGCGGCTCAAACTGAATTCTGTTCTGTCGAATGCTTCCTTGTATAGATTCTGTCAGGTTCGCCACCCCAAAACTTTTGTGTCTCTGGGTTGGTTCAGTGGGGGGGGGATTTGCGTGTTTTGATATATTTGAAGGACAAGGAGGTGTGGATACGGTCCCACATGAAAGACCCCTAGGCCGTGGCTGCCTCTGTTGGCGTGTTATTTTGCTGACTGGTTCGTTTCCATTTTGGAGGACTATCACATATCTAGAGTATTGTTTTGATTAGCACGCCGACTTAGCACTCTGGCAAATAATGAGCGAATGAGCCTGACAAACAGTATGACGATGGCAGCGTTTGAAGCGTGAAGTTGTTGCCGATAACAGGGGAAGAGAAATGATAATAGACACGAAGAGAGGTAAGGGTGATGGCAGAACTTCCGATTTGGACTGACGCCGTTGAGATACACTTTTCTTAAGCTGGCTGGGTCTGTGTGACGCCGTCTGATGGAAGAGCCGCCCCGTATCAGTAATATTACTGAGTATAAAGAAAGCCTTAATCTTATTTTAAAACCTCAATAAGATACTTGGCTACCCACCTCCTAGCCGGCTAAACACTAGTTATATACGTACCGCTAGGCCGAGGCACCTCAGCTATAGAACAATCTGTGAACGAGTTTTCGCCGTGATCGATATTTAAATAGCCCGCTTCACCAATTAATTACCCCGAGACTTTCACGAGGCAGGTTGATCATGCATGCAGTGCTCACACCAATACGATCTGACAAGCACCCCGGTCGAATAGCAGGCAGACCTGGTAAATTAGCTGCACTCGGTATTGGAGGCTAGACTTCGCGCCTGTCATTCCGGGCTTAAACAGAATGTTTGCCACCCCAACACCTCTCTACCCGCACATGCTCGACCCGAAATTTTCATGGGCTAGAGATTTCTCGAGTTCTCTTTGATTAAATTAATTTCGTCCATGTGTTTGCTTCCCCGGTGTGGCCACACACTTCTAGGGGCGAAAAATCATCACAGGAACCGAAGCTCACGGTTGCGTTTCTTGCAGCTTGTGAGCTTGTGCAGAGCCACGCCGTCAGCGATCTTGGCATCTCTCCCTTTCTTTTCCCGCAGAGAAGAGCTTTCCTGATTCCTGTCACACACAACGCTGCAAGATCAAGGGCAAAAAGGTGCTTGTATTCGGAAGGAAAAGAAAGGTGGGCACAGCCTAGATACCGTAGTCATGCGGCATTCGGCTGACACAGCCTAGGCTGGCTCAGATGCGGCTCCTTCCGACACACCCCCTCAGGGCTGTCCCCAGGCAGGCCTGAAGCTCAATACAAGCGGTATCTTGCGTGTGGTCATGTTTTCCTTGGCGTTGAGGGGGCATGTGCGGGCCTTCCTGCCCTGTTCGTCACCTACCCTGGGCGTCTAGATGGAGCCTTTCTACCAAATCTTGTAATTCTTGAAGGTCTGATTCGCTGATGACTTTCTCTTGCCTTCCTTTCAACTAGGTTGTGATTTCAACAAGACCAACTCGGTCCCCGAAAGCTCTGAACTGCTTAGTCCCTAGGGCCTGCTCAGTCCCTAAGGCCTTTGTGAGGCCGTCAGCGAGCATGCCCAAGGTGGAAATGTGCTCCACGCGTATATTCTTCCGAGCAACTGCCTGCCGTAGCCAGTGGTTGTTAATATCAACATGCCCAAGCTTAGTCTGCAGGGTAATCATGTCCTTTGTGACAAGGCCGACCGTTTGCTCGTTGATGACTCTCTCCTCTACGAAGTACAGCCCCGGCGCCCTCCGACCAGCCCCAGGCAACCTGACTAGCAGGATCGTGTTCCAGGCTGTTGGAGCGACGTACCTTGACCTGGTAGTCAGTCCCGAGGAAGCCCGTGATTCTGAAAATATAAAGATTGACAGGTATAAATGTAGAGACACTGCCCGGGGATCCCATGTATGAAGCTATGTACATCAGATAAGGAGAGTCGCTCTGCTCAAACATGGCCGCGTCCTTGCTAGCAACGACTCACAAGACACAAGACGGCCCTTACCGCTCCCCAAGACCCATCTCACGACCACACCTCGAGATCGAGTGTCTTATTACTTGGCCAGACTGTATCCCGCATCTACCACAGCACTGGCACTCGCAGAAAGCGCAAACCCAGCCCACGGCCCATCCTCAATGTGATAATGATAGAAGCCCGTAATGACGCCCTCGTCATTCCAAATGACCGAGCCGCACGTGCCGTCTGGAGGTCGCAACTTGCCCTCGTTACCCTCTTCCTGGCCCGTATATGACCAGTTATAGATATTATAAGCTAGCTGACTCTCGGCAAGATACGGGGAGGTTTTAAAATATCGTATTGAAGCCAACAAGACGGCTTCCATGTTGCCCGTATATAGGCTATTAAGGTAGCATAGGGAACCCAACGGCAGCTCCTCAGTCGAAGTCTTCAGGCGAGTAAACTCGGGCACCGCGCCGGCATCCGTCTCAAAGGTCTGGTTGATAAATACGACATCGTCCTTAAGCTTAAGTAGGCTAACGTCGGTACCGGAAATCTCGACCACGGCCTCGCCAATTATACGGTCAGGGCGGTTGGCATGCCACACCATCTCGCCCTCTCCGATCCTGTGCGAAGCGCTTGTTATGAAGGTATCCCCGACGACGTTCTGCACCAATACGCCCGATGTGGTGGAGAAGACAGCCGGGTGTGCGTGGTCCTGAAGCATCTTGCTCCGGATCAAGACGCCCGGTCTCAGGACATCGTAGGTCGTATCGTTAATAACGCCAGTCATAGGCTGCGGCTGAATTTCACGCTTGGCTGGTAGATCAGCCCAAGACGGCCGGCGGAGCTCCTGGTTGTGAATATACCCGACGAACCGATTGGCAATCTTGCCTGGCATCCACTTGGCTGGTATCTTTACATGATCGTCCAGGACGACGTAGAAAGCGCGTTCGCACGTGTGAATTAATTCCAGCATGCGGACACCCGGAGGCGCGTGCTTGAGGAAGTAGGCATTGACATCAGACCCCAGCCGGCAGAGAAGTACGTCGGAGAACGTGGCCGCGTTAGTATAATGGGCTTCGGAGCAGATCGAGATGGTACCGTTTCCAAAGATTTGCCTCGGGAATATGAAGGCGCGACCCTCCGCAGTCAAAACGTCCTCAACCACAAGGGTGATAGGCAAGCCGCCGACCGTGAGCGGCCAGGGGGGGCTAGGCCACCTACTGAGCTGAAAGATGAGATGGGACTGGGCCCTAGTGATGTTATAGGCCCCGGGGAAGATGCTACAGAGTAGCTTCTATATTTCTTCCGAGTGAATGTTGATGCTGAGGTCTCGCAAGTTATATGGGAGCAAGACGTGCTTCTTGTGCCAAATGGCATCTTTTTCTCCATCTTGCCTCCATGGTGGTGGTGGCGGATGACTATGCGTGTATTGCCGGGCTATCTTTGCCTCGCCATGTGGAAAAAGCTGCTTGGGGGCAAAAAGGGATTGGGCGGAGAATGCTGCACCCGGGGAGACGCTGGATGGTTGCTTGCTTGGGGTAACCAGGACCGAGATATGCTTTGGCGAGGACGTCTCGGCCGACGGAGAAATCTTGCGTTTGCTTCTTGGCGTGGAGGGGGCGAGGCTACCCGATCCGGAGGGAGTAACAGAGAGGCCGATAAGGGACGACATGTTCAAGACCTTGTTGCTTTTGGCCACTCTGTGCAGTCCGTCAGAGGGCTATTTGAGAGACGTGTTTCTTGCGGCAACAGGAGATTTGGTGAGGAGATAGAGGAGATTTGGTAAGAAGATGGGGGAACGAAAGGTATTTAAAGCAAAATTCGGCCACCTATGGCGGTCTAGCTGGATACTTTATGAGTCAAAGCCTCAACCTTGTTGTACCGCAGCCTCTGTTTGTCAAACTTTTTGTGTAGCCGGCTGCGCAAACCTTCGAGGTCGAGGTTGGGCTCCAGGGCACAGTCGGCCGCCGAGCGGAGCCACCGTAGGCGAGCTTGCGATGATGAGACAAAGGCGAGGAAGCACCGATGCCAAAAGAGCGGCTGGTCTGCACGAGTTGTTAGTCATGGCGGGACTGGGTTTTGTTTTTGGGCAGCAGCACTTACGAAGACCAAATTCTGAGTGATAGACGCCGAAGCAGCTAATACAACGAAGAGAGAGGGCGCGCGACGAAGAGAGAGAGGGTGGCTCGTGGCCAACAAAAAAAAAGGCACACCAAAACATGACCACCACCACTTTGAGCATCCACAATATAGCCAAATATATACCAAAATTGATAAAACCAAGTTCATTTTAATGCCCTATTATAGCGACTTCTAGCTCTATATATCCGTTGAGGATGTGAGGGATATTATTAATACATTTTTTTTTAATTATTTCCTGCTTGAGGGCCGCCCAACACTCCTCGGCCAAGTATTACAAACCACTCGACTGTTAGGGTCGTCTGTCTGTAAGGGAGCACGGGCTCCACAGAATGCTGGGGTTGGTAATTATGAAGATAGAACAAAGGGCAAGCTCCTATCGCACGGGTAATACAGCCAAATCGGAATGCCACTCAAAGTGTATGAGTGCAGTGAATGTGTATTGCTTGCTTGAAGAACCAAGCAAGAACTATCTAAGACCGTGGCTACGGTCGTCGTATATATCTATCTAAGGCGGACCAATCAGAGCGTTGGTCCTGGGTGATCAGTGCGGTCAGTGTGCTCAGTGCGGTCAGTTCTCTCACTGATCGCCTGACCATACTGATCGTACTGACCGCCTCGTTATTGGCTGCACTCGAGGGAAGCGGGGAACTACCCCACTTCCTGGCGTCAGCCAATAACGGGAGGCTCCGTGCAGCCTCCTGCGAGCCTGAACCAGGATCGTAACACCAAGTCCCTAATAATCTCGTCGTCTTAATAAAGTCTTTTCTTTACGTATTACTTTAGTGACTACTAGGCTTTCTCGATAGGTGAAAAGTCAAGTGAACCGCTATAGTTGAAGTAGCTTCCGAGCCTATTTTCTTTCTTCTAAGTCCTAACGATATTATCCTTACTTATACTATAACTAGGGTTATTATCTTCCTCAAGTACTGTCACGGTCGCCACAGGGCTCATGTGACAGGATTGATTCTATTGGCTGCATTGTGCTTAGGGTGTGGCCTGTGCTGTAAGGAAAAGGACACCCCAAACACCAACTGCGCGCACAGGGTGCGCGCCCACCACTTGTCACCAACTGGCTAGAACACTGCCAGCTGGCTAGAACACTGCCAGCTGGCTTACGCTACGCCGTGGCGCCACGACCGCAGACTGATGCCCGGGCCGAACCCCTGAGCAGGTATATAAACAATGGCCCTCGCCCATCTTCCTTTGCGAGGGCCAGGTTGAAGTCTTACACCAATACAAGTCATTGCTCCCCTACCTTCTTGCCTGCATTGTGACCACCTTGATCAGGCGTACCTACTGTGAGGGCCTGGTCCTCCAGGCCTCCCAGACACTCTGACTAATCAGACGCCAGTTGGGTGGATCCACCCGACCAGCCAGAGCCCCACCTTGAGACGCCCTGGAAGAATCTCGCGACGGGAGGCTTTTGAGCTTCTTTTCCCTTTTCCCTTTAGTTTAGAATCTTCGTCTATAGCGCCCAATAGAGGAGTTCCGCCCTCATATTACAAACCACTCGACTGTTAGGGTCGTCTGTCTGTAAGGGAGCATGGGCTCCACAGAATGCTGGGGTTGGTAATTATGAAGATAGAACAAAGGGCAAGCTCCTATTGCACGGGTAATACAGTCAAATCGGAATGCCACTCAAAGTGTATGAGTGCAGTGAATGTGTATTGCTTGCTTGAAGAACCAAGCAAGAACTATCTGAGACCGTGGCTACGGTCGTCGTATATATCTATCTAAGGCGGACCAATCAGAGAGTTGGTCCTAGGTGATCAGTGAGCTCAGTGCGGTCAGTGTGCTCAGCGCGATCAGTTCCCTCACTGATCGCCCTGACCATGCTGATCGTACTGACCGCCCCGTTATTGGCTGCACTTGAGCGAAGTGGGGAACTACCCCACTTCCTTGCGTCAGCCAATAGTGGGAGGCTCCGTGCAGCCTCCTGCGCGCCTGAACCAGGATCGTAACACCTCATTCCAAGCCGGCCGTGACAGTGGCAAGGTCCGGAGAACGCTTCCTCCGTAGTGCGGGGCAGTTTTCGAGCCTCGCTAAGGCTAATAGGGGAGCCCGGCCTCTTACGGTGAGTATCTCGGTCGTTGCCGTTCCGGAGGTAGGACCTGGCGAGCCAAATACGCTCGCACCACTCGGCACAATCCTTAGCCGACGTAACGTCAGGGACGGCCTCGGCGTACCGGTTATGATAGAAGCGGTCGAGTTTGATCCAGTAGTCCCGTGCCATAAAGGTACTATTAATCTCCATACCAGGGAGGCGTCGTATTACAAACCACTCGACTGTTAGGGTCGTCTGTCTGTAAGGTGTGAGGGCCTGGTCCTCCAGGCCTCCCAGACGCTCTGGCTAATCAGACGCCAGTTGGGTGGATCCACCCGACCAGCCAGAGCCCCACCTTGAGACGCCCTGGAAGAATCTCGCGACGGGAGGCTTTTGAGCTTCTTTTCCCTTTTCCCTTTAGTTTAGAATCTTCGTCTATAGCGCCCAATAGAGGAGTTCCGCCCTCATTCCAAGCCGGCCGTGACATAAGGGAGCGCGGGCTCCACAGGGTGCTGGGGTTGGTAATTATGAAGATAGAACAAAGGGCAAGCTCCTATCGCACGGGTAATACAGTCAAATCGGAATGCCACTCAAAGTGTATGAGTGCAGTGAATGTGTATTGCTTGCTTGAAGAACCAAGCAAGAACTACCTAAGACCGGTGCCACGGTCATCGTATATATCTATCTAAGCTGGGCCAATTGGAGCGTTGCTCTGTTGCTCTCCGACAGAGCTACAGAGCAGCCAACCAAACTGTTGCTCTGTACTCCACCGTGCAGAGCAAATGCGGGTCCTTCTGCTCTGTTCTCCACCGAACAGAGCAACTGTGGGTCCAAGCCCCTCCTTTAACGTGACTAGCCAAGGCGGGTCCAGCCACCCCTGCCCTGCTTCCCAACCAGTACGAACAGGGATTCGTGACACGTCGGACTAGTGCGGCCCATTCCCGGTAGAATTCCTGAGGGGACCTGCCGTGTTGACTACATACTAGCCAGTCCTTATGGGCCTGGACCTCGCCGGACTTGCTACCGAGGTAGTCCGAGCTAACGTAGCTCTTAAATTCCTGCCATACGATTTGTTCGAAGTCCCCATCGTGGAGCTGCTTCTGGTAGGCGCGCCACTGTTGCTGCGTCTCCGGTTCCATCCAGGTACTTGTTACGATCCTGGCTCAAGTCTGCAGGAGGCGCTGGAAGCCGACTGCTGATTGGGCAGCACTGGCGGGCAGGACGGGCCCCACATGAGCTCGGTGCGGCCAATCAGGCGGCGCTCAGTGCGTTCGGGTGCCAAGACTGGGAAGACCCACTGAGCAGAAAGAACAGCCAATCAGGAAAGTGCTCAGTTACCATTGAGAGCTCAGTCGTCCTTGAAGACTGAGCGCCCCGGAGGCCCTGAGCACTGTAAGGGAGAACCCTGATTGGTCCGCCTTAGATAGATATATACGACGACCGTAGCCACGGTCCTAGATAGTTCTTGCTTGGTTCTTCAAGCAAGCAATACACATTCATTGCACTCATACACTTTGAGTGGCATTCCGATTTGACTGTATTACCCGTGCGATAGGAGCTTGCCCTTTGTTCTATCTTCATAATTACCAACCCCCAGCATCCTGAGGAGCCCGTGCACCCTTATAGACAAACGACCCAAACAGTCGAGTGGTTTGTAATATATAGCTGTATTAGCGATCCCTTTCCTTCTGGCTATTGACTGTGAGGGCCTGGTCCTCCAGGCCTCCCAGACGCTCTGGCTAATCAGACGCCAGTTGGGTGGATCCACCCGACCAGCCAGAGCCCCACCTTGAGACGCCCTGGAAGAATCTCGCGACGGGAGGCTTTTGAGCTTCTTTTCCCTTTTCCCTTTAGTTCAGAATCTTCGTCTATAGCGCCCAATAGAGGAGTTCCGCCCTCATTCCAAGCCGGCCGTGACACAATTCTAAACTCTCAATTCTCATCGCTGGCTAGCGATCAATAAATACGTCAAACCCCACAAACAACCCACTACGTCGGCTGTGCACGACGATAAACCAGGCCACAGAAACCCCCAAACACCACAGCGTCGATGCCCAAGAAGAAAGATTACGGACCACCGATGCGCCAATCCGAACGCCTCTCCTAGCCAAAAGAGCTAAGCGAACGGACCCAGGAGGAAGCGAACTTGAAGACCGAAGAGTCCGACGAAGAAGTCATAGCAACCCCCTCGAGCACAGAGCTTGCTAAGCCCGCTCCACAGCAACGCGACACAGAGCCAATCGAGCCAGTCACCAGTATAGAAGTCGACGCCCCGATAGACAACATGCCGGGAAACGAAACCCGTAGCGTACCGGGTGACGATGGCGCCCCGAGCGCCGAGGATTACCGAGTTCTACTTGCCCAAGTGGCAGAACTCAGGGCGGAGGCAGCCGCCCGCACCGCCGACGGCGTCAATCGCCGGGCCCGAACTGTCACCCCCGCTGAGAGCGCTTTCAGTGGGGACAGCTTCACACCCATTGGCTTCGCCGCCCTTCCCGCTTTCAAGCCCTACGGTCAGGACCAGCACGCCGCCAACCAAACCTTCGACCGGAAGGCTCGCAAGGCCGGTGTCGACCCTGGAGTTTTCAAGGGTGTTGACGGAACCTTCGATAAGTGGATCATCAAGGTGGCCGACAAGTTTGTAGAAGACGATGCCACTTTCAAGACAGAACGTAGCCGCATGGCGGTTCTGAACTCTCTTACGGAGGGATCCCCGAACGACCTGCTGGAGAGTCGGTACAGCTCTCAGGAGATGCCCTTCCGCAACGTCGCCGAGATGGTGGCTACGTTGTCGACTGTCTACCATGATGACAACCAAGCCACGAAAGCCAGGGCCGAGCTAGCCAAGCTCAAGTATGATCCGGCGAATAAGGACGTGACTATCCATTCATACATTGGATTAGTCAATAGCTTGGCTGATAAGGCTAATATTGCCAAGTCTGAGCGCAAGACCCTACTCTATGAGCATATTCCCGCCCGGCTTGACACCCGACTCTTGGGAGACTCAAAGAACCCGACAATCTCCTACGAAGCTTTTGCTGGCAGCGTCGCGGATGCTGCTCTAGCCCACCAGCGCGCTTGGGAGGAGAACAGAGAGCGCAAACAAGAGAAGAGGGATCGCCGGACACGTTCGCCAACCACTCACAGCGAACGGGCCTATGTTGGGGAGTCTCGGTTCGAGAAGCCAACTTCCCAGCCAGCTGCAACCAAAGTTCCCGAGGCTAAGAAGGATAGAGGGAAAGACGATACTTGTTTCATCTGCCGTAAGGAAGGTCACTTTGCCCGTGACTGCCCCGAGCGGAAGACTATGGCCAAGATGATGCTAGACCTCGACCAGGATCCTCCTACCTCCCCGGAGCAGTCATCCTCGTCGTCTAACGAATCGGAAAACTGCTAGGACTGTCGGAAGTCTCCACGACAGTCCGTATACCACGACTAGCTAAAGTGAGCAGATCGTCTGGATCAAAAACCTTCCTATTCCCTATTCAACTCCAATTGGAAGGAATTAGCCTCAAAACCAAAGCTCTTTGTGATACCGGAGCAGATATCTATTTGTCAATGACCCCGAAGATGGCCAATAAGGCCGTGAAGCTACTAGGCGCCGTTCGAGAACAGCTATCTAAGCCCATCCGCCTTAATGACTTTAATGGGGTGCTCGCCGCCAAAGCCACCCACCAGATCCGCCTCTCCCTGGAACTCGACGGACGGAGATTTCCACGACAGAAGTTCCTCATTATCCCCACTGCCGACGATGTTATTATCGGACAAGAATGGTTCATTAAGTATCGCGTTGGCCTTTTCCCCGCCACGCGAACCATGATCTGGCCTCAAGATCTACCAGCGCTCGCCAAGTATTCGCCCACCATTACTATTCCATGCCAGACTGGTTTGCTCGACATACAGGCTCAGGCAGACGCGGTGCGTCGCGACCGCCTGATAGCTGAGGACGAAAGGCAAGCGAGGGTCACCAAGATTATCCAGCGCCCTTTGAGAACGATAAACCCAGTTTTAGCACCCATCGCCCTTTCTAGCCCCAGAGACCAGGACAAGCCCCTCGTGGTCAATATTGCAGCTCTCTGTAGGCATGTGGAAAATGACCCCCGGCAACCTAGATGGGCTCGACAGAACATGCCGGATACACCTATTTCTTTGAACGTCGTTGCGTCTCGTCTAAACTGGCAGACCCACGACGGACAGCCAATTCCTTTCCCTGCCGGCGAAGATCCCGAACACGTCAAGAGAGTTCGCGATAAACTCCCAAAGGAGCTCGCCCATCTCGAAGGCTTCTTCTCCAAGAAAGCTTCGACCGAGCTGCCGCCGAGCCGTGAAGGGTTCGACGTGACCCTAGACTTGGAGCGACCTTTGGAAGGGAAGCCCAAGAGGTTCTATACACCCGGTCACCTTCTCCCTCTGGAAAAAGAGACGGTAGACGAGCTTCTACGGATTGGATTCGTGGAACCCTGTATGGAGGAGACAGCCGCTTCGACGCTATTTGTACCAAAGAAGGGTACCGAGGAGAAACGTTTCTGTGTGGATTACCGATGGGTCAACCAGTTCCTGAAAGGACGCCAGTTCCTCGCACCCGATATCCAAGGAACGCTTTCCAACTGCCGTAACGCCCGCCGCCTGACCAAGATCGATATTATCCGAGCTTTTAATCGTCTACTAGTCCACCCCGACTCAAGATTCTTGACGGCCTTCAAGACCCGTCAAGGAACCTTCCAGTGGAAAGTCCTACCCTTTGGACTCAAGGTCGGCCCTGCTTGGTGGCAAGCCTTCATCAACGCTCAGCTGAACGAGCTCCTAGACAACTTTGCCAGCGCCTACGCCGACGACGTTCTCATCTATACTCAGGAGAACGAGCCACACTTCGCACACGTGGAGGAGGCCATCTATCGTTTGTATAAGGCTGGTCTACAGGGAGACATCAAGAAGTCTAGCTTTGACGTGGAAGTCATTGACTACCTAGGGTTAGTTCTCGAAGCTGGGAAAGGCGTACGTATCGACCCAGAGAAGATCAAGGCCATCCAGAGTTGGAAGTTTGAGGACCTACGCTCGATACGCGCCGTCAAGTCCTTTTTGGGCTTGTGCAACTATGTCCGAGTCTTCTGCCACCACTCTAGCGATGCCGCCGAGCCCCTGTCCAAGCTATTGAGGAAAGGTAGTGAATTTGTAATGGGACCCGAGCAACAAGCGGCCTTTGAGAAACTGAAGAAGCTGGCCACCGAGGCCCCAGTCCTCGCCTTCTTCGTCCCCGGCCGCCCGACGCGAGTGGAAACGGATTCTTCACGCAACGCCACTGGAGGCGTGATCATGCAACAACAGCCCGACGGAGTCTGGAGACCCGTGGGCTACTCGTCGAAGAACATGACTCCGGCCGAACGTGCGTATCCGATCCAGGATCAAGAGTTGCTCGCCGTGGTCAACTGTCTCAAGGATAACGAACCTTCTCTTCTCGGCCAGGAGTTCTTCGTGGTCACGGATCATAAAGCCTTGATCTACTGGTCTACTAAGCGGTTGCTGTCAACCCGTCAGGTCCGATGGTCCGATTTCCTAGGCCAGTTTGATATCACCTTCCAGTACCGCCCGGGACAAGAAAACGTGGTTGCCGACGCTCTATCACGTAAGACCGTCGACTCACCTACGGTTAAGGCACGAGAGGAGGAAGATCGTACGTTCCCTTTGATACCAGTGGAACGTATCCAACCAGTCCTAGCGCCTATCTCCCGAGCGGTAGTGAATCCGGATATGCCTCGCGGCGCTGACCTGGTAGACCTGATCCAAGAGGAAAACGAGAAGCAGAGTCTGGGCGTAGATAACGGTCGTCTCGTGGTACCGGAAGTCACGTCCGACGGAGCGGTATATCTACGGACGGCCCTAATCCGAGAAGCCCACGAGCCGCCTATCTTCGCACACCCAGGCCAAAACAAGACTATCGCGTTCCTCAAGAAAGACTTTTGGTGGAGTACCCTCCGACAGGATGTCAAGAGGTACATCAAGAACTGCCGAAGCTGCCAGAGGAACAAGACCCGTCATGACAAGACCCCGGGCCTCTTACACCCTCTGGAGGTGCCGAATGAAGTCTGGAGCCAGGTAGTCGTCGACGGAAAAGATATGCCGAAGGATCGTCACGGCTACGACTACGTTTGGGCCTTTATTTGCAAGTTCAGCAAGATAATGGCTACGCTCCCTGGACACAAGAACGATACCGCACCGGATCTGGCAGAGCGCTACTTCCACAAGGTATACCGTTTCTTTGGTATCCCGGCTGTCTGGATTAGCGATAATGCAGGACCGTTTATCTCGGAATTTCTGGAAACAATTAATAAGCTGACCGGGACCAAACACCGTCACGGCAGCTCTCGCCACCCACAGACGCAAGGCGCCGTGGAGATCACCAACGCGGATCTAGACCAACGAATGAGGCCTTACCTCACCAAGTACCAAGACACCTGGAGCGAGTACCTACCGGCACTCGACTTCGCCCATAATGTGTCCTGGCATTCGAGCATCGGCATGGCCCCGTTAAAAGTCGCGTTGGGAGCCACCCCACGGAACCCCCTCTCTATTGATATCCTAGACCTCAATACCTCGACCGACCCGCAAAAGAAAGCATTACAGCTCGTCACCCAGACCAAAGAGGTACAAGACCTGGCAAGGAAGAATGCCTTAGAAGCTCAAGCGGCCCAAGCCGTCCAAGCGAACAAGAAGCGACGTCCCGTCGACTTCACCATTGGAGACTTGGTATACGTGAGCAAGAAGGGTATGAGGACAGAGGCCCCGAGTACCAAGTTGGATTCACAGTGGGCAGGACCATGGAAGATCGTGGAGGAACGAGGACATAGCTTTGTGCTGGATACTCCGCCCTATGTCAAAGGCACGAACCTCTTCCATGCAGATCGGCTACGTAAGGCTGATGACAGTCCCCTACCCCAACAGACCAGCTTACCGGAACCACCTGAGGAGATCAACGGGGAGCCAGAGTGGGAAGTTGAGAGGATTAATGCCTCTCGACTGTTTGGCCAACGAGAGACCCTACAATACCAAGTTGCCTGGAAGGGGCACGACCCCGACGATACTTGGTATAAGGCAGAGAATCTCAAGAATGCAGCTATGGCGCTGGATAGTTTTCATCGAGAATACCCCGAAGCCGCAGGACCTCCAGTGAGGCTGCGTGATTGGATAAAGGCAGCAGCAGAAGACGAATATCCGGAGGACCACGAAGAGGATAACAAGGCAGAGCACAAAGGGTACAAGGCAAGGCAAAAGAGGAAGTATACTAGAAGGCACGCTTAAATCCGCTCTTCAAAGCCACGACCACCGTCACGGCAGTCGCGGCTTGGAGGGGGGTAGTGTGAGGGCCTGGTCCTCCAGGCCTCCCAGACGCTCTGGCTAATCAGACGCCAGTTGGGTGGATCCACCCGACCAGCCAGAGCCCCACCTTGAGACGCCCTGGAAGAATCTCGCGACGGGAGGCTTTTGAGCTTCTTTTCCCTTTTCCCTTTAGTTTAGAATCTTCGTCTATAGCGCCCAATAGAGGAGTTCCGCCCTCATTCCAAGCCGGCCGTGACATTGACCGCCGTCACACAGAGTAAGCTTGGTATACCTTAGGTCGTAGACGGTAGCACTAATGTGATAGGCACATATCGCGAGTCGACTCTGGACGCCGCGTCGTTGGATGGCCCGACACATCCGCGCCGCGACCGAACCGAATACGCAAAGGTAACTACCCCAACCCTCGAACAATGCACGCGACGGCATTTCTCGGATGGGACGTGACCGGGCGAGCTCCACTAGGAACGGGTTTAAGTAACGGCGAAGAAGCGAGCGCCGAGTAAGAGGGGTTCTACTTACCAAAAATAGTAACTACTAATAAGTAATAACTGGAATTGACTAATTGGGAATACAAGGTAAGGCAATGCAATCCTACTGTGCGCGTTGTTTTCACGGTGTGCTCGCCGAAAGGGGAAACTTAGGGCCCGGCGTCTAATTGATTGGGGCTCAGATGTGGCGTTCCTAAAGCGGAAGTTTAAGTCCGCGTCCACTAAGACTTGACCTCCATTCCCAATGGGGAAGTCGACCGCTCCATTGGGCCCCGGGGGAGCGAGCCAGTATTGAAAACGCGACTCGATCCAACAGGTGAAATCCCATGTATAGTACCGCAGATTTTCTTGCAGAGGTACTTCTTGCTCTCTTTGTTTCTCCACTACTAGTATTCCAACATCTTTTCCTGCACATACGCTCCGATCCCTAAATGTTTGTTAGCGAGGTACTTGGGTAGAATAAATGTCTTAGCCCAGCAAATAAACTGGCCTGGAAAAGCCTTCGTGTTTTGGAGAAGAGATGGGCCTCTAGGATTCCAAAATAAGAATTCCAATAGCCTTTACCTCCCTTGGCAAAAGATCTTGACGGCGAGCCGTAAGACATTATGGCCTTTTAAATATTGAAAAGTTCCCCGCTAACAAACACCCAGGGATTGGATTGTAATACAGGGCGTAATCGTTGCTCGGCCTGACAGGAGCACCGATCCACCTGGCGACAACCGGCCTTCGAGTGTGCACTACATCTGCTTTTTCTTTTCTGGAGACGGGCTCTGAATTCCGAAATCCGTGTCGACTTTGCCAGTTTCGTGTGCACCTGCGTTTCCTTTTCCTTTTCGACCTCGTCTTCCAGGAATAAAAAGCTGCCACATCGTCTCCAAGACAAGCAGAGCCAAGCCATTGTGCCGGCATTCTCACGAGCTATCCATCCTTCCATCGGCAAGCAAGAAGTACCAAATCCAGATCGCGCTGAGTCCTTGACGCCTCTCCCGCACCACTCGCACACCCTCACACAGCCACCTCTACTCCACGACACAACCCTCACCTGAAGAAAAGAAAACCCGGGTCCCGGAAAGAAGGACAATGGCGTCAGTACAGGAGCCTGTACTGGGCCCCAAGGATCGAGAGTCCGACACCGACGCTGCCAGCATCCCCGCCGGTGCCGAGAAGAACACCGACGCCGTCAACGATGCCGAAGCCGCTGTTGTGGCGGTCGACACCACGGCCGCAGGCCCGCCGCCGCCTCCTCCCAACGGCGGCCTGCGCGCCTGGCTGCAGGTCCTCGGCGCCTTCTTCCTCAACTTCAACTCGTGGGGCATGATCAACACGTTCGGCATTTACCAGGCCGAGTACTCGACGGGCATCCTCAGCGGCTCGTCCGAGTCGGACATCTCGTGGATCGGCTCTCTGCAGGCCTTTCTGATGCTCGTCGTGTGCGTCCTGTGCGGCCGCCTGCTGGATGCCGGATACTTCTACGCCGACATCACCATTGGCGTGTTTCTGGCCGTGTTTGGCATGATGAGTAAGTCTTTTCCCTTTCTCCTTTCGTATTTTCGTCTTTTCTTCCTGTCGTGGTTCCCCCCTTTTCCCGTTTTCTGAAAGCAAGAGAGCAAGAGGAGCGAGCTAACGAGCGCGATGGCAGCGACGTCCCTGGCAAACGAGTACTGGCAGGTGATTCTGGCGCAGGGTGTCGTGGTCGGCATCGGCGCCGGCATGATCTTCATCCCGAGCATCCAGATCGTGGGCACGTACTTCTCGACGCGGCGCTCGACGGCCATGGGCCTGGCGGCGACGGGCTCCAGCATTGGCGGCATCGTCTACCCCGTCGTTCTGAAGCGACTGGCTGCGGAACTGGGCCTGCCCTGGGCCACGCGCGTCGTGGGCTTCATCATGCTCGGCACCCTGCTCATCTCGGTCGCCGTGATGCGGCCCCGCCTGCCGCCGCGCAAGTCGGGCCTGCCGCTCGTCAACGTGGCCGCACTGCGGGACCCGGCCTTTGCCCTCTGGCTGGTTGCCGTTTTCTTCACCTTCGTCGGGCTCTACGTCCCCTTCTTCTTCGTCGAGAAGTACGCCCTCTCCATCGGTGTTTCGTCCGATCTCGCGTTCTATCTGCTCATCATCATGAACGCTGGCTCCGTCCCCGGACGCATCGTCCCGTCCATGATCGCCGACAAGGTGGGCAACATGTCCATCATGATCCCCGCGGTGCTGTTCTCGGGCGTCATCACGCTGGCTTGGATCGGGGCCCACACGCAGTCTGGGCTTATCGCTGCCGCCTTCTTCCTGGGCCTGGTCAGCGGTTCCATCCAGGCCGTCCTGCCAGCCAACGTCGTCTTCCTCTGCCCAGACCTCTCTATGCTTGGCTCCAACCTGGGAATGACCATGTTCACCTCGGGTTTTGGTCTGCTGATTGGCAGCCCAGTTGCTGGTGCCATTATCGACCGCCAGTCTTCAGCCGATGGCGTTGTGTTTTGGGGGGCTCTTACGTTTGCTGGTGCCTTCATCATTGCGGGCAGTATCCTTCTCACTGCATGCCGCGTGATCAAGGTCGGATTTGCCATCGTAAAGGCATAATCAGGAAAGGAGTTGTTGGTGGATATACCCTTTCAAACTTTATCTCCAATCTGTGGACGATAATTAATAGCAAAGAAATGGGCAAAGGAACGCGAAGAAGAACGGTGCATTGATCACGGATCAGACATGGTTCACAGGTCACAGGGACGGATTGCTCTTTCATCGGGATCTTATAATCTAGATGGATACAGGCAGTCAGTAGTTCTAGGGACAAAGATAACCACTAACCATGGTGAAATACATTGCGCGCCGCCCAAACACTCAAGCGCTATTGTGTCCTTGCATTCACCTCTACCAATCGCATTGCACTGGATATCAAAAGCGTGCTAGTAAGGAAAGAAGAGAGAGGGAGAATGTGAAACATTGGTAGAAAGGTAGAAGAGTAAACTAAAAGACGTCTGCATATGACGGGGTATCACTATTCCCAGAGCGATTCCATGGGTGAATCGTCAAAGGGTGCTAGGGTGGGGTCATCTAGGCCCATGCCTCCAGTTGGGTCTGTTGAGAAGCTGAAGTTGGACATGAATGAACTGAATGAAACATCGGTTGGAAAATCAAGAGGCATGAAGTCATGATCCAAGAACGGCGTGCTGCCCGCACTAGATGATGTCTCGGAGTGGCCTAGAAACGTCATCCTCTCCGCAGGCCAAGCAGAGAACATGCTCGAGCCCGGGCTCGGCAGGACCGAAGAGGGTGTGGTAACCAGATCGGCGGGTATGGGGGGCGGCTGCTGACATTGTGGCTGCAGGGTGAGCTTCATGTCAGCAATTAGCCGTTCGGCGGTTGCAACGCCCTGCTCCACTAGCCTCTGCTGCGTGCTGGGGGAACTGTGGTTGGGCGAGGACAGATTGCATGTAACATCTAGGCTGACGGCTAAGATGAGATTCATCTTGGCTGCTACGGGCCCCTGGTGGAATCTGCTCTGCCAGAGCTGGGTTAAAAGCAAGAGGGCCTTTGTCAGGAGCTGCTGGAACACACACGACGTATGCTGTGGGTGTGGTATGATCCGGCGGAGGTCCAGCCGACGGAGACGGCCGATGATGAAACATGATGTCAGAGCAGCTCGCCCTGCATCTGTCCAGAGTAGATGGCAGGCCATGTTGGTAGTGTCTTGCGAAGTCGAGCAAATCTTCTCGAACTGATGCAAGACCGACGTCGCGTCGTCCCAGATCTCCATGAGATGGCTGCGCTGCGACGAGTCGGCGGGATCGCTCGCCGCCTTTCCAAAGGAGAGTATGGTCAAGAAGCTGTGCATCGGGATCGAAATCAAGGACTGCTGTACTTCCTCAACCGGATCAAAGGTTTGGGCGCCAGGCTTCAAGCCGGCAGGGAGCTCGGCCAGGAGCGAACTGAAGGAAGCCCGGATCTCGCTCTGCAGCCGCGTTGTCTTGGGATTCGGCGAGTAGAGGCCCTGGTACACGGGCGCAACGATCCTGGCTAGCTTTGCGGAGGCAATGCCAAATGCCAAGTCAGCTTCCATCTGCTTGTCAGACTCGAGCTCATAACCTTGGGCGGCCGGATCTGGGTTGAGAGCCCGCAGGTTTGTCAACGTGGGCAACGGGCAGTCGCTCTCCTTGAGGCGAAGGTTGCACTGCGTTCCGCTGCGGACGCAGTATTCCAAGTTGAGCCGCAGGAAACACGACCAGAGACGCTTCCTGATCTCGGCATAGTAGGGAGTGACCTCTGAAAAATAAGCGGGGTTCTTGTGGAGACCCATGCTCGAGATGATCTGGCTTGTGAGCCCCTGAAGGGCCATTGCTTCGTAGATCTTGTCATTGTCGGAGGCCGAGATGGTCTTCATGATGGAGAGGAGGAGCAGAACTTGCACCACACCGACGCACGGCTTCTGAAAGCGGGGCGAGTTGTGGATGCAGTCTTCCACCTGTCTTGCTATCCGTCGACCGTGAAGCCGTTCCGACTCGTCGTTCTGCATGGCTATGGCGGTCACCAAGAGGATCTTGCAGATGTGGACCGGGTTGTCGAGGGTCCCTGCGCATATCCGATCGAACTCGCTTGCCATGACATCTGGCTCGAGAACTCTGTAAATGCGGCCATAGGTCCGACGGTACTGGGCCATCCACCCCTCACACTCGTGCCGCGGTGGGAGCAGACTCCGCAGACTGCTGCTCTCGGACATGCCCGAGGGCATGGGCGCCGGGATTGCGTTGCGGGCACGAAGTAACGACTTGAGCTCGCCGAAGGACTTGCGGCTAGTCTGGAACTCGTCAGAGTGGTCCAGCATGGCCTTGACAACCGTCATCTCGTTGCAGGGCGCCATCCAGTGGCTCAGGCCGACCATGCGGGTCTTGAAAGTGGAGCCCTGGAATGCATTGCCGATTGACGCAAAGGGCGGCTCCCGAATCTCAATACCCGATGCCGGCTCGGGAGTCTCTCCGCGAGAGGAGGAGCTGTCAGGGGGCGTGTGGATCTGGATCGGGGGAGGTTGTGGGGAATTTTGGCGAGACAGGGACGGGGTGTTCGGACGAGAATACGCCGGGCTATTCTGGCGAGATGAAGCCGGAGTGGATCTCTTGGAGACACGCGAGGCGGGAGGCTGTGGGGAGAGGTGCTGGTCCTTGGAGGAGCCGTAGATACAGTCGTGGGGGACTCCGCGGTCCTGGCATTGCTTGCACGGCAACTCGCGGTCGCAGCGGATTTTGCGGGTGCGACACTGCCAGCACGAGACAGCTTCACGTACCCGAGGGCGCTTGCGACCAGCCTTGAGGTGCGACTCGAAGCTGTCGGCGTTGAGGTGACTAAAGGTAAGCATGGTGAAGGCTCGAAGGTGTGAGGGCGTTGAGCCGGGTCAGGTTGCTGGGATGGGATGGGAGGGCAGAGCGACGCGGCCGAGGTGACTGATTGAAGGGTAGTGATGCCACTACTTCTTGTACCAGCGACGGGAGACAACGGCTGCGACTCGAGCGGCGGGATGCCACGAGCTTTCTAGGCCTCGAGAGGCGCGAGCGACAGAGGCGCGCAAGCCGGCCGCCAGACAAGTACCAAGTCACGCTAAGTAGACGGGAGCTTCGTCAGATTACGGATACAGGGCGGGCAAAGCTCGCGGGTGAGGTTCCAGCGGTTGCGCCGTGTTGGCAGCAGGAGCAAGGTGGGGTCGTGTCTTGCGGGCCAAAGCCAGTGGGTGGAGGGCTGTGCCAGCCCGAAAACTCTATTTCGTGTGCCAATAAGCGGCCAGTTTCCGACGCAGGCGATGAGTCCACTATGCCGGGTGCCATTGCCCCCCCATCCAATTGCTCTAACCGTCTTTGGTCCAGAACCCCCGGCTCCCTTTTCGGCGAGCCCTTGGTGGACATCTGTATTGCAACATGACAGAATGGCTGCGATATATAGTGTCCTCCGGATATTGCCTGGTCCCTTTTGCTTCTGTGTGGCCCTCTGGAACACTGGACGTGGGAGCATCGTGAGCTGACCCGACTCGGGTTCTGGCGGACGGTCAATAACATGGACAGAACAGACGGGATGCGGAACGCCAATCAAGTTTTTACACATAGGTTGCCACTCTCCTTCGCTCCCTGAGGCCATCCTCGGCTAAGTAAATGTCGTGTCTGCATTATTAATGCCGGAATCCCCTCATGCAGGAGGGCTGTGTTCACTTGCTCTGTTATGATGGCCGATTCACGGAAGTCTGCCAAGCGATTCCACAGTGTGGGTTTAGGGGCTACGGGAGAAAGCTCGACACAGGTTGGTAGCAGGGTTAGGGTTGGACCCTTGTCGCCTTCCGGTCTGCGCTTTCGTTTCTTCCTACGCGGCACGCGTCTGGAGCGGAGAGCAGTTATCGCCTCAATCTTTGCCCGGCAGAGTCAGTGCCGCCCCCCTCCACATTTTACACGCATGGAAATGCGGAATGTGTGGTGCCAAGTTCCAGCGGTGAAAAGTCTATGAGCTCGAGGTCGCAACTTGGGAGGGTGGCTCATTTCTGCGGCCGTAACTCAGCCACGCCCGTGGTGCCATCCAAGTGCGGGGAATGAAGCGGTGATGGGGTTCAGCTGATGTCCCAACAGTCCGGAACCGTGGACTAGTGGTGATTATTGGCGTTTGGGAATGCCGGTTCCTGCAAGTGAAATCAAGTCGATAAATTGCTGCCCTAAGGTAGCTGCTTTCCTACCTTACCTTACCTTCCTAAGGTAGCCAGCCCCCTGGCCGTTGTGATGGAATCCCCACTCCAGACGCAAGAAGATGGACACCTACCTCTACCACCTTACGGGCTTCCCGTCGCGACACTGCGAGGTAGCGGCGGCTTATCCACAAAACATCAAACTAATCAAGTTGTCGTCAGACTTGTGCTTACTTCACATTTGAGAGATCTGCTTTCGATGTGCGCCACGGTTCAGTGGAGAGCTTAAAGTTGCTCGGACCGAATAGCCCGCGGCCCCGACGCACCGACGCTTCAGGGCTTGCTAGCTGCCGCCACCGCGATCTACACCTCCTCCGGGGTAATACATGTTAGCGAGGGAAGGTGGCAAAGTTGGTGATTAGCGAGATTTCCCTGGAAGATACTAATAGTAACCAACGTACCAAGCTAACATGTATTTCCCCGGTGGAGGTGTAGTGCAAGTCTAGAAACACATTCGAAGCTTCAAGAGCTTGGGGCATTGCTTATCTCAGTGAGGCGGGGTAAGCGCCACCACTTTTTGACCCGGCATCGAACTTCACTGTGAGTGGTACACGTACTCGGCGAGCCTGATCCCATCATCCGTACAATACATACAGATACCTTACCTACCCTACCTACCTACCGTACTTTGGTGAACACATTGGTGTTTTGGTGTCTCAATATTTGGGCCCCTGGCATCACAAGTTCATCCACTTAATCACTGGATGTTGTTCACCAGAGCACCCTAACGGGCACTTGGGACATCTCATGTTGTGTAAGTTGCAGTGTATTTGTGCAAACATGCACGATAGGGAGTGTTTTGCACAAGACTCGGTACGAGGCATCTTCACCCTGTAGGGCCGATCTCTTATCGTCTTTGAGTGTTCTACTCGGATATTCGAGATAATGCTATGACGCAACCTGAAGTCGTTCACGTCAGGTTTCTCGGATACCTTAGATGACTAATACCTGGAAGGAGCCATTTGCTGTGACCCCGCGGAGATGTTGGCCGTGCTTGGCTAAGGTGAGGTGCCTTAGGTAGCAATGAATCGTGAAGCGGCAGGAGCAGACAACAATAAGGCCATGCCCATACCTTAAATTCACCAATGCAGACCGACTCTTGAAACCCGCCCGCCCACTCTCACGCCATTGGGCCTCGAGCTGGAGACCGCTTTTTATCCGCTAAGCGAAATATCGGGGCAGTGCGCTCAATTTTGTTTCTGCCAATTCTTTTATCTTTTATCTTCTTGTCCGCCCCGAGTCCCAGGCCAGCAAAAGCACACTATTCTGGTGGGATTTTAGTTAATCCGCTTCAAATTTACTGATTACATCCATTTATCATAACATGTCTACTCGGTTCCATTTCTCTGTTGTCTTTCGGCCTTAATCCAAAGGCCACCATGTTTAGCACTGTGGTCTATGATGCAACATCTCAATGGCGTCAAAAAGTGCGGGATGCTGACCCTTTCTGTCCCGCACCACATGAGTTTCAGCTGTCCACTCGCACACTCGCGCATGCAGCTTACCACAAATGTAACACCAGATCCACGCCCACGCCTTTCAGGTCACACTGGAGCGCCAAGCATTCCCCTTCGGACCCTACCGACGCTGGGACAACCTCACACGGAGCCCGGACTGGGCCACGAGCCAATGGTTGTTGACGCTCCAGTCCCCAGCCAGAGACACCTGGAATCAAAAGGTCAGCCCTGCTCGTGCTCCCCGAGATTGATTGCTCGGCGACCAAATCATCGAATGAGTGAGAAGAACGCCTCTGCATGGACATGGGGATGGATCAGGAGCATAGGGCTGATGGTCCGGGGATTCGGGGACCCACCTCGTATCGAGCAAACATGGTCGGAATCAGCTTATAGATTTCGAGGTACGAGATGTTCTTGCCGATGCAAGTGCGGTGTCCGGAGCCGAACTGTTGCCGCGGGCAAAAACGAGCAGCAAACACGCGCTGTTAGCCGAGACCAAGATACCACTTTCCCCATGCATGATGCAACGGCACCTGGTTGAGATTCAGCAGTCAACTTACGGTAAGCAAACATCTCTCCATCACCACTCGCTGCCCCTTGTCAGCCAGCCAGCGGTCGGGATTCCACTCGTCCGCGTCGGCGCCAAACACGGCCTTGTCGCGGTGAATTACCCAGGGGTTCATGCCCACAACGGTGCCCTCGGTAAAGTGCCGCCCACATAGCTCCACTCCTCCTATCGGGACGACGCGCTCCATGCTAAGCCCGATGGCAGGGTGGAGGCGCCCTGCCTCTTTAACGCATGCGTCAAGATACGGCAGGTTGCGCGACTCCTTCCATGTGACTATCTCAGACAGCCTGTTCTCGCGGCGGGCCTGTTCGAGCTCGGCCAAGAACTTCTCGAGGCTCGCCGGATGCTTGAGGAGAAAGTAGATGATGGCGCGCAGCATGATGGCAGTCGTGTCGCTTCCCGCGAGGACGTTGGAGGTGGCCCACGCCGTCACAAACCACTCTGGGATATTCGGATCTTTGACGCGCGCCTCGAGAAAGCGCGACATGAAGTCTCGAGAGTTGTAACTTGAGGCGGCCGCCTTCTCGGAATCACTGCTGACCCCCGCCCTCTCCCGCGCTCTGGCCAGCGCAAATGCAACCACGGGTGAGTTCCTCTCCGGGAGAAGGCGCTGGAGATAGCGATTCTTGACCCATAACTTGTCCACCCACGGCATCTGGCCGGCCTTGATGGTTGTCAGTTGCGGTGTTTAGAATAATATCGAGAGACGGGGAGCCGAAGAAAAATTGGCGACGGCAATGATGGAGCTCGCACCCACCCAGGATGTGTATTCGAAGAACTTCCAGATGGAGCCCATGATGCCGTCGACGTCCTTTGCCTCGTCCAGAAAGCCGAGGCGTTTGCTAAACGTGATCTCTCCCATGACATCAAAGGCAAACCACTGCAGCCACGTGCCGAGATCGCAGGTGCCGACAGCAGCATCACCGCCAGCCCGGCTCTGGACCTCCTCAAGCCGGTCGAGGAAGAAGCGGATGGTTGTGTCCACGTACGGCTCAAACTCGATGAGGCTGCTCATCGAGTAGATGCCAGCGATCGGGCGCTTCATCGCCCTGTGCAGCTTCTCGTCCTGCGTGTTGAAGAGCCCCTGCACGACCTTGCCTCGCGACATCGGCTGTAGCACTCTGTAGTAGTCTGACTGCAATGTAACCAAGCCACACACGTTTTGTGTGAGAGTTTTCAGTCAGCCCTATATCATACATGTCCCCCACCTCACACCCGTCTAGAGTCAGACAGAAAGCAACAGAAAAATCTGACATGCAGAGCCAAGCCAAGCCAGGTAGCTGTCTCATGTTTGTGTGTGTGTGTGTAACAGAACCAACAAAAGAGCAGACTGTTTACGTACCTTGCCCATATTGACCCCTGTCCCGTAGATCTTCTGAATCTCGTGGGGGTCGCCGACGCTGACGCAGTTGGGGCCGATGCGGACGAGCTTGCCGTACTTGTCGTGGAGGCTGATATAAGTCTCGTGGGCCTTGCCGGACCACGCCCACCCCAGCCGCGGGAGGTTGGTGATGGATGCGAGGAACGGGCCCGGGACGTGGCGCTGTTTCTCCCACGACCGGAAGAGCCAGACGAAAAGGAGCAGCGGTATGCTTAGAGGGAGAAGTGAGGTCAGGGAGAGAGCGCGAGCCCAGTCGGGTGCCATTATGGCGGTCATATAACAGGCGTGAGAGGTGGAATGATGATTAAGATGTTTGTCACAAGTCTCGAGGTTCTTGCAAGTTATAGCCTCGGTATAGAGAAGCCCAGAGGAGATGAAATGGCTTTGCCTATGCTTGGCTCTGTTTCTCGTTTTCATAAATGTCAAATAGGAACAAGAGACAGCCTATTTAATGAAAGTTAAAAAGCAAAAAGAGGTCCCCGGACTTGTAATACGAAACTGTCAAGGCGACTGCGCCCACCGCAAAATAAAACGGCCGCTAAGCAAAGTCCGCGTAGATTCAAAAGACGATTCAAAGGGACCCCCGGATTCGTAACACGAACCTGTCAACGTGACTGCACCCACCGCAAAATAAAACAGCCGCCAAGCAAAGTCCGTGTGCATTAAAAAAACGATTCACAAAGACAACCAACGGTTTCATACAGAACTGCAAAAGAGGAGGTCTGTGATAAGCAAGCTCGGTGATGCGAGCTTAGAGGATGGTAAGACGAAGGATTACTGGGTGGTTGGTCGGTCGCAAGGGTGAAAGGATTGGGATGTCATTGCCGTGACCGAATTGGGCAACTAAACCCCGGCGTGCCCGACCCAAACCACATCATAGCTTTGGATCGCGCTAGTTGAGGAGCCAACTGACTTCTAAATCAAGGCCCCAGTTGACTGCCAAGGAAAGGATCCAATGAAATGTCAACTCAAAAATCCAATTGACTCTCTAGTTTGTGTTATCGGGCGGTATGAACGAGTTGGGAGTAAAGCAGCCATAAGCAGCCAAGCCGCTGGGCGCCGCTAACGGTCGTGCTTGAAAAGTCTTGGAAGGGGCTCCGAACGGTATAAAAAGGAGATAAGAAAAAAAAGGGGGTGAGTCGGCTGTTTGTTGGGGTAGGGCGGGGCGGGGCGCGGCGCCATGTGCAGGGTAGTACGTACTCTGTCCTTCTGCGTATTCCCAAACTGCTTCGCCGCTCTGTTGTGCGTCTGGAATTTTCCGGACGCCACTCACCCCTCTAGCCCCCTACCCAGATCATGACGTCCGATGGATATGCGGCTTACCAACACCGATGGAGTTAACCCAACCTCTCACCGTCTATATGCCCCTAGAAGATCCTGAGCCCTAACTCCATCTCCGACCATCGCATTGATGGTGAGGTCTGACCAAAGTCACAAATGGAGCAGCTAACACAGCCTCCTGCCGGAGCTGAGCGACACAAACCGGCGTCTGTGTATGCTCAAGTCCGTCATTCCCGCGAATGCGGACCTGGCTACCGGCCCTTTTGAAGCTCTAACGATTTGGCGGAGCTATCTCCATTGTCAGCTCGAATGTAGCGTATCGAAGGATCCGGCTAGCGTGTCTTGAGTTGTATATACCGCTCCTCTTTTTGACAATGCACGTGAGTAGGGAAACCTGGAGTCGCCGAGATAATGGTCGAGCAGTCTTGACCAATGTGATAAACTAAGGGCATGTCTGGAGGCCGTTGTTGTGAGGAAGAGTATAATAGTACCCATGGCTGGAGCACAGTCTCTGGAAATGGCCACCCCTCCACACCGACTTCACCACTCAATTCCTTGCTTCCACAGCTGACAATCCCAGAATGTCTTCAAAAACTTTACTCATCTTCGGGGACCAGACCGGGGAGGTCCTGCCGTCCATCGAGGAGCTGAGTCGACTTACTCCTAGCTGCCAGAGCCTCAATGCCTTCTTTCGGAAGTCTACGGATCGTCTCCGGACTGCCATTGCCCAGACACCAGCACAATACAAGCGCCAATTCCCTTCGTTTAATTCGCCGTTAGAGCTAGCGACTGCTGTCGCCAACCAGACTGCCCAGAGCCTAGCCCTGACAGCAGCGCTTCTCAGCATTGCTCAGTTTGGCCATGTAATCCTGTAAGAAACAGGATCAGTGAAGTTGTGAACAAGACAGACAAATTACTAATACCAATGCTCCACGCTCAACAGTTATCTGGAGTCTAGCCCACGAGCACTCGAGAGCTCCAAAAACCCTACAATTCTGGGGATATGCACCGGTACACTCACAGCTGTGGCCGTCGCATGTTGTCAAAACTTGACCGAGGTTCTCTCGTTGGCCGATGAGGTTGTCCAGCTGGCATTTCAAGTTGGCCTCGAGGCTGCCCGGAGATCCCAAGTCATCGACCGCTCGACAGATAGCTGGGCAACCTTGGCAATCAACATCAAGGTGGATGACGTCCGACAAGCAGTCCAAGCCTTCAATGTCGGGTCGGTCCTTGAGCCAAGCCAAAATGCATACATCAGCGCCGAGAGTCCCTCGTCGGTAACCATCAGCGGCCCACCGCCCACCACGTCCCGCCTGTTTGGCCAGGAACTGTTTCGAAAATGCAAGAGGATTCCTCTTCCGATCCCGGCGGCCTTTCATGCCAGCCACCTGGAGCCCATCTCAAGGAAAAGGCTCATAGATGGACTGAGCCCATCGCTTCTCGAAAGCGTCGTGCAGCATCGATCGATGATATCCCCTTCGTCTGGTCGCTTCTACTCTGGCCAGACGTTTGCCGACATGCTCGAAGAGGTTGCTCACGACATATTCCAGGCTCCAATCTCATTTGAAGCATATGTGTGCGGATTGTCGCAAGCACTTGGCCCACAAGCGACGTTGCTTAGATTTGGGCCAGTGAACTCGGCCAAAGCCATCCAACAGGCTTTGAAACCGTTGGGAGTGGATGTCGACATGGCCGACCTGCAACACCAGGATGAAAAAATTACCCCTGGAAACACCGGTGCGATTGCCATTGTTGGAATGTCCGCCCGTCTGCCCGGAAGCGAGACGTTGGAAGAGTTCTGGAAGGTGTTGGAAGAGGGGCGTGATCTCCACGAAAAGATCCGCCCAGATCGCTTCGACGTCAAGACCCATTGCGATCCTTCTGGAAAGACCAAAAACACGAGCCTGACGCCATATGGGGTGTTTATTGACAGGCCCGGTTACTTCGACACGCGTCTTTTTAACATGTCGCCGCGGGAGGCGTCACAGACCGACCCCCAGCAGCGACTGATGCTCCTCACAACGTACGAGGCTCTTGAGATGGCCGGCTACACGCCCAACGGCACACCCTCAACAAACACGAGGCGGATAGGGTCGTTTGTCGGTCAGACTAGCGATGACTGGCGAGAGGTGAATGCGAGCCAAAATGTTGATACGTATTTCATCACGGGCGGAATTCGAGCCTTTGGTCCCGGCAGGCTGAATTATCACTTTGGATGGGAGGGTCCGAGTTATTCAATCGATACCGCCTGCTCGTCGAGCGCCGCCTCGATTCAGCTGGCATGTTCCGCTCTGCTGGCTCGAGAGTGCGATATGGCCGTTGGCGGGGGCGCCAATTTCCTAACCGCGTCCGATCTCTTTGCCGGATTGAGCCGCGGCAGCTTCCTCTCCAAGACTGGGGGCTGTAAAACATTTGATCACGACGCCGACGGCTATGTCCGTGCCGACGCCGTCGGAGTCGTCGTGCTGAAGCGGCTGGACGACGCGCTTAGGGACAGGGACAACATCCTCGCCGTTCTTCGAGGGGCGGTAACCAACCATTCGGCCGAGGCCGTTTCCATCACTCACCCACATGCAGAGACACAGGAGCGCCTTTTTCACTCGGCACTGTACCAGGCGGGTATCCGACCTCACGACATCGATTATGCCGAACTGCACGGAACAGGGACACAGGCAGGCGACGCAACCGAGTCTAGATCCGTGACTAACGTCCTCGCCCGCGGCCGCGCCCCATCAAATCCCCTCTACATCGGCACAGTGAAGCCAAACCTCGGCCACGGTGAGGCGGCTAGCGGTGTGACATCGCTCATAAAAGCAATTATGATGCTGAGGAAGAACACGATTCCGCCCCATATTGGCATCAAGGGTCGCATCAACCAAAAGCTGCCGCCTCTTGCTGAGCTCAACACGCACATCTCCTTCGGAAACACGCCTTTTCTGCCGCGCGCCGAGGGAGACGGGAAGCGCAGGATTCTCATCAACAACTTTGACGCAGCGGGAGGAAACACAAGCATGATCATCGAGGACCCCCCAGCCACCAGCATCAAAGGAGCCGATCCCCGCTCCCACCATGTTGTTGCCGTGTCGGGAAAGACCCCGAATGCAATTCTCAACAACACTCGCCGGTTGCTCGAGTATGTGCGGTCACATCCCGGCACCCGCCTTGAGGACATCGCGTACACGACGACTGCGCGACGCATGCACCACGTCTTCCGACGGGCCCACGTCGCCTCTACTTTAGACAGCTTGTCTCTCAGTCTGGAGAGAGCAGTGTCGGAAGAGGCGTGGACCAAAGTCTCAGCGACTAAGCCCCCGGCCGTGTTCATTTTCACGGGCCAAGGCTCGCAGTACACTGGCATGGCTTCTGGGCTGTACAAGACCAACCCGGTATTCCGCGATTCTCTTCAGGACAGCGCACGGATCTGCAGCTCGCACGGCTTTGCATCCTTCCTGCCGCTTATCGCCGACGACGCCTTGGACATGTCTCAGGCAACAGCAGTGCAGGTCCAGTTGGCCATTGTGTCGGTCGAGCTGGCCGTCGCCGCGCTGTGGAAGGCCGTGGGGATCGTGCCGACTGCTGTTCTTGGCCACAGTCTGGGAGAATACCCAGCTCTGTGCACGGCAGGGGTGATTTCGCTGAGCGATTGTCTGTATCTCGTCGGCAAGCGCGCAAGTCTCATGATGGAGAAGTGCACCCCCGGCACGCACTCAATGCTCGCCGTGCAGCTGGGCTTGGAGGAGGCTGAAGGCCTCAGCGACGAACTAAGTGCCTCTTACGAGATTGCTTGTGTCAATGGCCCCGCATCGACAGTGATCAGCGGCCCAGTCGACCGGATAAGAGTGCTCCAGGAGAAGGTGAGGTCAAGAGCTGTCAAGACCACGCTGCTAGAGGCGCAGTTCGCCTTTCACTCGGCGCAGATGGACGAAGTGCTTGAAGATTTTGCTGCAGTTGCCCGAAAAGTCCATTTCTCAGCGCCTTCGATCGCGGTAGCATCAACAGTGCTTGGGACAGTCGTTGACAAACAGGGAGTGATAGATGCGAGGTATCTGCAACGCCAGACCAGAGAGAGGGTGCAGTTTCTCAAGGCCGTGGATAGTGTCAAATCCTTGCTGGGGGATGGCCGCAAAGTCAAACAGACGGTGTGGGTTGAGACTGGGCCCAACCCCACCTGCCTTGGCTTGGTCCGGTCGGTGTTGGGTGACTCTGACAACGAGTTGCTCCTTCCCTCGCTCAAGCGCAAAGAAGGCGACTGGAAAATCCTAGCAAGCGCGCTAGCCAAGACCTTCACCGCCGGACTCGACATAGACTGGAGAGAACTCCACCGCCCCTACGAGACTGCCCTCCAGCTTGTCGAGCTCCCCAACTACGCATTTGACCTCAAGAATTACTGGATCCAGTATGAAGGCGACTGGGCAGTTAGAAAGGGAGATGCCCCGGCCACCGCATCGACGCCAGCAAGCCCAAACACGCTGCCTCCTTCCTTTTCCACGACAAGCCTCCATCGAATCGAATTCGAGAACAGCGACACTGCAGGAATCACCGTCACATTTGCCACCGATGCCAACGAGCCCAAGCTTAACAAGGCCCTCCGCGGCCATCTGGTCAACGGCGCTGGCCTCTGTCCGAGCTCTGTCTACGCTGACATGGCCTTCACTGCCGCGAGATACATCCAGAGCCTCGGCGATGCGGCATTTGATACGTCGATGGACGTCCGAAACATGGATGTCTTCAAGCCTTTGCTCATCAATCCCGGCGAGACAAAGCAGATTATCCGCGTCAAGGCGTCAAAAAAGTCGTCTTCCGACCAGGTTGAAGTCAAATTCAGCTCCCAGGACGGCGAAATCTACGAAGACCATGCCAACTGTACTGTAGTCTTTGGCAACGGCAGCAACTGGAAAGACGAGTGGGCAAAGACGGCGTACCTCGTCAAGGCAAGGATCGACCACCTCATCCAATCCGCGGCCCTGGGGAAGACACACCGGCTGCTACGGCCCATGGTCTACAAGCTGTTCGCGGGTCTGGTAGACTACGATACGAAGTATCAGGGCATGCGCGAGGTCTACATGGACAGCAACCTCTTTGAGGCTTCTGCCAATGTCAAGTTCAACACGACTGACGCGGACGGCTGTTTTACCTACAGCCCTTACTGGATTGACAGCCTGGCTCATCTCTCTGGGTTCGTGCTGAACGGTGCTGACACCACCCCGCCAGACTCGGTATACATCTCGCATGGCTGGGGAAGCATGAAGATAGTTGGGCAGCTCTCAAACGATAAGGAGTACCAGAGCTATGTGCGCATGCAGGAAACAAAGACGCGTGGAGTCATGGCTGGAGACGTCTACTTTTTCGATGATGGCGTGGTCGTTGCTGTCTGCCAGGACCTCAAGTTCAAGCGGATCAAGCGGACTATTCTCAACAGCCTCATGCCTTCCACCCTTTTTGGGCAAGATATTCGAGTTTCCGCTCAGAGTTTGCCTGTGACAGGACCAGCTGCGCCGAGCCGGAATCTCATAATACCACAAACCCGAGAAGATCCAGTCCAGGCGGTCTCGTCTCTGGATTTCAGCATAGTTCTCAATCTCATTGCCACGGAAGTGGGGGTAGAGATATATGAGCTCAGCGACGATGCCACGTTTGCAGATTTGGGGGTCGACAGTCTTCTCTCGATCAGCATCGCAGCAAGACTAGGTGCTCTGCTTGGCGAAAATATTCCTGCGACTCTCTTCACAGAGTGTCTGACCGTCGGGGATCTTCGTACGCACTTCACGGGGCATCGGGATTCCAACGACGGCGCCTCAGTTTCGGACAGCAGCTCTGACAATGGCGAAGACATCTTCACTGCTCCGGCAACGACTGCAAGTACCCCCATGTGCGCCACCACCGAGACCATAGGGATAGGGACACCGGCTGAATACTCGATCGAAGTATTCCGAAAGATTATTGCCGACGAAGTCGGAGTCGACGCTAGCGAGGTCGACGACGGGACGCCTCTTGCGGATCTCGGAGTTGACAGTTTGCTCTCTCTGGCTATCTTGGGCTCCATCAAGTCACAGACAGGCCAGGTGCTCCCGTCGAGCTTCTTGGTAGATAACCCGACCATCGCCGCCATTCAGTCTGCCCTTGGCCGCCCTTCGACTACCCTGCCTGTGCAGAGGCTTGTGCGCGTCCTTGAAAAGGCACAGCAGAGGCTTGATGCCCCCAGAGCAGAAGCAGTCTTGCTCCAGGGTTCGGTTTTGTCGCAGGACCCATCGTTGTTTCTGCTGCCAGATGGATCGGGGAGTGCAAGTAGCTACGTCGGTTTCCCGCGCTTGCACCTCGCTGGGGCAGTTTACGGCCTGAATAGTCCGTTCCTGGACAAAGCAAAGGATTTTACTGTCTCCATCCAGGATGTGGCAGCCATGTATGTGGCTGAGATCCGGCGAGTGCAGTCGCACGGGCCGTATCACCTTGCCGGCTGGTCCATCGGTGGCACATATGCATTCGAAGTCGCGTCACGGCTGATGCGGCATCACGGAGAACGGGTCGACAGCCTCACGCTCATTGATGCGCCCTGCCCGAAATCGCTCCCGCCATTGCCCATAGAGACTATTGGGTTGCTGGAGAGGATAGGCGCCTTTGACGGGTTGAAAGATAGGCCTGCAGCCGGCGCCGGGGAGGGTAAAATGAGAAAGGGCGTGCAAGACCATTTCGCAGGGTCCGTCAACGCACTCAAACAGTATCGACCGGTGCCAATGCCTCGTTACATGTCGAGCAGCATCAAGACGATTACGGCTGTGTGGGCTCGTCATGGCGTGTGGGAGACGGTTGGAGAGGAGGTGCGTGCAAAGCATGCCACGAGCGGAGGCGATGCAAATGCTGCGCAGGACTGGATCATGGATCCCCGGGAGAGCTTCGGGACCAATGCTTGGGAGATGCTCTTGCCCGGTGGAGATATCAGATGCGAAGTCATCACGGGGGATCATTTTAGCATTATGCGCAAACCGGGAGTCACGGAGCTGGGACATCGGCTGGCTGAGGCAGTGAACAGCTCACGGTAGGCTTACTGTTGGCTGGCGGTGGTGTGATTTGGTGTTGGCGCTGGCAGTTTACTTGATTGATTTGTCCAGTTATTTTGAATTTCTGGTTTAAGGGGCTTGGTAATTAAAGCTGATGGCTTCGCGAGAAGCTGAGCGTTATCAGAGAGCAGTTAGACTTGTTTCCTGAAAGACTTGGGTACATGGATATTTTTTTTCAATGGCATGGTTTTATCGAACCGATGACATTTCATATATATATATATATTTTCACTTCGATTGTCCAGTTGCTGAATGTCTACAACCGTGGAACTCGAGACAATTAAAGATGAATTACCTAGTTACAGCAAATACAGTAATTAAATACATAGGCCGAGAGATCTAAATATCCCGCCCTGACAAACATTCAGAGATTCGGCTGTCCTTGAGTCTTTAATGCACTGATTTACCGTTTGACTTCCATTTGTGACTTTTTGCCCGACTCCCCTTCTCCACCTCGGGCGAGAGCCTGTTATGGTGCCTGTCGGTCAGCGTTTGAGTCTTCTTCTGTCGGCCATGCGATGGCGGCTGTGATTGGACGCAGGGCTTGTCTCCGTCCAGTCTGGCAAACTTGAGAGCGGAGGACAAAGGACGGCACGATCGATCGATTGGGCACACACGCATCTCGTTCATTCGCTGCGACCCTAAAAACAGTGGCCGGGCCCGATCCGATCGGACCCAGTGATTGACTGGTGGGCGGCGCGTGGCACCTTCAAGCAGTAGCCACACGATCGGGTGGGCGCGTCTTGTCTAAGCGCTGGGTGTGGTTTTGGGTTCGGGCTTTTTTGCTGCGAAACAGTGGCCGTCGCTTGTCTCGTCGAATCGCTGCCCGCGCACGCCCCGCCGCAACCCTGGCCCTGACACAGGACCCTGAACGGCAAGACGTTAAAACGGGTTTTAACCTTCCCCGCAGCGCGCGTCCCCAAACCACCGCACCCCAAGCGGGATCGCACTTGTTTGGGTCTCGTTCAACGCCGCGGGAAAAACCTGGAAGGGGACAAGGTGAGCGGGCTGCACCTGGGCGAAATGCCCTCGGCGTGACCCGCCCGGCTCTGGTTCCGGGTTGATTGTCTGGCTGCGTTAGACGCCGTGGGAATATGACATGTTTTTTTGGGCTTTGCATTCCTTCCATGGGCCGCGAGAGGTAGCCAGCCGGGCCAGGGCAGGGTCACTCCATTACACGTATTGCAGGCGCCTGAATGAGGCGCACAAACAATAGTGTATAGTATGTACCATTCCATGCCATGTATATAACCACCCACCACATGGCCTCACCAACACATGACTTTTTTGCTCCTCTGTTGTTGTGAGTCAATTGTTATTGCCAGGCCCAGCACAAAGCATTGTCTTTGTTTTTTTTCCTTGTTCTATTTTTTTCCTTTTTTCCTGTTTTCCTGGCCAACGTCTCCTTTGTCCGCGCAGGGTTCGTTTGTCTATTGTCATCGCGCTTTGTGTCCTTTGTTGCTGGTCAACATTAAGACTCTTCGGTTTTTCCGCCCTATTGTCAGCCACTTTCCGTCGACTCGTGATATTTTTTTCCCCTCTTCCTCGCCTGTTCGAAATTAAAAAAAGTTCTGTCTCTCGAATTCGATATCTCGGAAGCACATCCCCCCAATCAAGCCATTGACATCACAACATCGCCGCCATGGGTGTCTTCCAAGTCGTCAAGCTGTTCTTCAACCGTACGGTTCCCCCCTTTGCCGGTCTTTGAGAGTTGACTTTGCTGACGTCTCAATAGCTTACAAGCTCCTTCGCTTGCTCCCCTTCACCCTCATCATTCCCATCGTCCTCTTTGATGGTAAGCTCGCTTTGCCACCCACCCCCTGAAGATGGGCTACGTTTGCTGACAACATAACTATAGCTCTGTCGCTCTCGGGTTGCGTCTCGACGTCTCCCGGCATCCCCGGCCTCTATGTCGTCTCACTGCGGTCAACAAAGAACACGACTGCTCTGGCTGACGTGCAAGTCCGGATCGGGTATTTTGGTATGACTTCCCCCTCTTTGATCCGTGACCAAACTTGGCCACTGGCTAACTCTCCCTTTTCTGTGCACAGGCATCTGTGGCACCGATGGCTCCGGATTCCGCTGCCAATCGTCGTCCAAGAGCTCCGCGTCCGACGCCGTGACGGCGAACCTGTTCCCCGGGCTCGGTCTCGGCAACACGACGACAACCTCCAACAAGTCCAGCAACACGACAGTCGGCAGCATCGTAGGTCCGGCCAACGCGGTGGACGTGCACGAGCTGGTAGCAACAGCGCTTGAACTGCAGGTGCAGATCTTCATCTCGATCCTGGCGGGCGGGGCGTTCCTGTTCGCCTCGGGCCTGGTGTTCCTGGTGCTGCACAAACGCGACGCGGCGAGCCCGAACCCGGACAAGCCGCGGCGCAGCGCCATCCTCAAGCGCGGCACGTACGGCCTGCTGTACCTGTCGGCGGCGCTCGTCTTCACCGCGTCGCTCGCCACTAGCGAGACGGCCGGCGCCCTCGCCTACGCGTCCTCAACTATCCGCAACGCCCCCGTCCTCATCTCCGAGGGCATCGCCCTGCCCGTCCTCCAGTGGATGGCCTTTGGGTTTACGCTCCTCTTCACCCTCGCCGTGCCCTGGATCGCCCGCCCCGGCTATGTCACGTCGCTGGTGCGCTCGCAGAAGAAGGAGCAGCAGCCGGACAAGGAGATGGCTTGATGCGGCCGTCTCTTGTGTCTCTCTATTTTTCTTTTTTGGTTTTCCTTTTCCTCTCGGTGTTTTGCACTTGGGACAGCCCAGGTCGGGCCGGTAATGAGATGGGGGGTGCGCGGCGGCGTTTGTGCCGACTCGGATAGGCGGGCGCCGTCTTGGCTGCTTACATTTTTTTCCATTTCCTCGGGTACCGGTGCAGCTAATTAGTCTAAAGAACCCTAGCAGTAATCATGGCACGCCATGTGCTTCCTCACAGATGCAACATCATGAGATGAATTACCCAAGATTATTCTCACTGCATCTGTGGCTTACTCTGTCTTTAGTATTTTTCAACTTGATTAGACTTACCCCCATTTAGTTTACATCACTCCCAGAAGACTAGCCAAGAGGCTTCTATGGATGCCATCCAGCGTCAAGCGTGCTTTGCTTTTGTACAGTGTCGGCTCAATATCATGACTCTGGAATCGTCTATCGGAGAGTGCTCCTTTGCGTGGCACGCTTGTGGCTGATGAATGGTACGCCAACCCACAACTCGGACTTTTTTCCATTGTGCAAGCATCAAAGTGCGAATTTCTTGGCGGACTTCGACTTGTATAGCAGGTGTAACCAATAAATACGTTTTAGCTACCTTAGTCAGTGAGGCTCTGTGCTAGGGTCCGCTGTAAATCAACATCTTCGTTGAGCTGCTGCTTCGATTTTCATTCTGAAAGCTTTTTTCCCGACTGATTACCACTAATTACGGACAACTGACTTGGAGTTTGGATAGCAGTTACCGACGAAATGTGATTTGTGACATGTGATTGATCAGCCCATCTTGTTTGTTTGTTTGCTTAAGCCGTCTCTTTTGTACGTTGACATTGTTATCAATTAGAGGAATACATCATGCGCCTGTCGTGTTTCCGGGTCGACTTCCTTTCCACCCCGGACTCGCATGAGGTCGTGGCCCACGAGTGTTTGTGTAGCCTGATGAACAAACTCGTGATATGTGATTCGCTGAAGACTCAACAAACAATTAGATGTCCATTCATCTTGCTTATCTGCACAACCCATTACGACAAGTGACTCTGGCCAGCACGGTGGCATCAGTTAGCTAAGCGTCATTTTTAGCCGAGCATTCATCGCTAACTGCGCAATCTGTCCAACTTGTGTCATGGCCAGCTGACCGCGACGGCACGATCAGGATTGCTTAGTTTTAGTCTATTGTGCATCGATACGAGCTCTGTTAGAAACAGTCGGATCAACAACAACATTCGACATTGGCGTCGTGTCCTGTGTAATGGGAACGACTCCGCCTCAGCGATTGCACGGAGGAACTAGCGTCGTAGTGTAATAACAAAGTCGGGGTGCTCTCGACTGCCAAGGGCAGCCTAGCGTATTATGTAAAAAGTCTAACGGCGCGCGCTGAAGCACTGGTAGGGCTCCAACGAAGAAGTTCCGACGAAGAAGTTCCAACGAAGAAGGAAGAAGCTAAGCTAAGGGATGGAGCAACTTCAACTTATCCGTCCACAATTAGACCTTCGCTTAATTATTCCCATCAATGCTTCCATTGTTCCGTAGACCCAACACGAGTGTGGGCCGGTGAGATGGAGCAGGCAACAATACGTGTGCGTTGGTTGTGCAGAGACAACTTCGATACGCCCTGCACCCCATCACAAATGGCGATGCGTATGCGCGTGCTGTTGCGTGTCAACTCGGTTTCGTCGCATTCGCCTTTTCTCCATTTCCGATGCTAATTCGTTCCAAAGCTGCCGCTAGTCTCAATCAGGCCAACCAGGGTGCCATGTAAGGTAACCATTCACAACACCAGCGCATCCGAATTCCAAACAGAATTGGAGTTAAATCCAAGCTTGCAGTTACGGGGCACCTTGAGTAGTTAGCTTCCAAAGAAGTTCGTGCAACTCGTCGAAAGTCTGGTTCTGAGGACAGAAAGGCCACTAGCAGAGCTGCCAAGGACCCGTTGCTGGCCCCTGTAATGTTGTCTGCTCGGCTTCCAAATTCCGTTTCGATGCAAGGCCAGCAGCAATGAGCGATCAATCCGCTTGGTCCTTGCCAAATTCCCAGGTCACTCCCTCAACATCGGCTGCTCCAGCGCCGCAGCCAACCGGCGGCACAGCCATGCATCCAAGACCTGTAAGGCCCTGCCTATCCTTGCCCGGGCCCCTTGGCAATTCCGTACGATTTTTAGCCTGTCTTGCGTCCCAGAGCGCATGGGGCCCCTTCAGTTACCTTAATTATTGTTCTCTTATGGATAATGGTGGCACCCCCGGCCAGGTATAATAGGAGAGGCCATGCCTGGCCCAAAACGTTCCTATTGTTTGTTGGGCCTCAACAAAACCTCGCATTGCTGCATGTCTGACGAGCCCTTCCCTATTTATGGCGCCTATTTACTACCGAGACACATGGTAGATAACTAATTACCCGACGGGACTTCTACTGCCGTCTCCATAGTTACATGCACCATATCTTCTACTTGCTCTCCATCATCCCGGTTTTCCCACTCACTCGGGTCTTGGCATCCTCGTCGACATCTTATCCCCATTTCCCCACCTACAGCCACGACGAATACCAAAATGGACCAGGCAGCCTTCAAAGTCGTCGTCGTGGGAGGCGGGCCTGCGGGCCTGGTCGCGGCCCACGCCTTCACCAAGGCCGGCATTGATTTTGTCGTGCTCGAGGGCCGAAGCTCCGTGGCACCCGAGCTGGGTGCCGGCGTCGGATTCTGGCCCATGAGCCTGCGCATCCTCGACCAGCTCGACATCCTCGAACAGATCCGGCCCCTGCTCAACGCCTTTCCCTCCAAAAACGTCATCCTCGCCGACGGAGGAGTCTTGCAGAATTACCCTCTCAAGATGGACGAGTAGTGAGTCTTGGCTGATCGCCCCTCCCTTCTTTGCCCCCCTAACCAGTTGCATGACCACCTGCCCAAGCCTCGGCGAACACTTTTATATGTGCCACCGAGCCGACCTCCTTCAGACCCTCTACGACACGCTGCCAGACGCAGCCAAGGCTCGTGTTCTTACGGGTAAGCGCGTCGAGGTCATTGAGGTCGGCGACAGCGGCGTCCGCGTAGGCTGCGAGGACGGGTCCTGGGAGACGGGGTCCATAGTCTTTGGCGCCGACGGCGTGCACAGCAAGGTCCGCCGCCTGGCACGCGAGGCGGCGCTTGAAGAAAACCCCGAGGCGGAGACGGACCCGGTGCGGCCGTTCCTCACCAGCTTCGAGGGTCTTTTCGGCAACTCGCCCCTGGACGCCCTCCCGGGCTTTTCACCCGAAGATCTTACCGAGGTGCACTCGTTCGGCACCGACATTCAGGTCTTTGCCGGGCGGGAGCGTGTGTGGTGGATCGTGTACCACAAGCTGGACGAACCCACCCGCGAGCCGCTCAGATACTCGGACAAAGACAGGGACGCGTTCGCAGACAGGGTCGGCCACCTTCACATCTCGGACAAGCTGACGTTCCGCGACATGTACGCCGCCCGCAACAGCAGCTGCGCTGTGGCGCTCGAGGAGGGCTCGCTGAAGCACTGGGGTTGGAAACGTATCGTGATGCTCGGCGACTCGTCCAACAAGATGACGGCCAACGTCGGCATGGGCATGAACTGCGCCATCCAGGACGTCGTCATCCTGGTCAACCACCTTCACAACCTCTTGTCCAAGGCGGGGGCACCCGGATCCGGGCCGTCGGCCGCAGCAGCCGAGACAATAGACACGCCGACGCTGGAGCGGCTGTTCGACGCCTACTGGGCTGAGCACAACGAGTTCTCGCCCAAGTTCACCTACCTCTCGGCGCGAGACGTGCGCATCGGCAGCTGGAGCACCTATGTCCGCTACTTCTTCGACAGGTGGCTCTACCCGCTGATCGGCATGCGCAGGTTCATCTTCAGGTTCATCGTTGCGCGCTTCATGAGCCGCGGCCGCGTGTTGGACTTCCTCGAGATCAAGAACAACTTCTCGGGCACTGTGCCCTGGACCCACTCGCCCAAGAACATCGCCAGCAGCGGCAAGGAAGCAAAGCTCTGATAATATCTGATACGAAACATTTCTTTTGTCTTTTGGGCTGGTTGGGTACCGGGGAGTTTTTGGTTGACTTGGCTACGTCCATGACATCGCGGATATTTCTATTTAGAGCAGCAGTGATTTCTAGAGCAGTTATTACCCCTTCCAGATTCTAAAACCCCAATCAATATTCATCGTGCATCGACAGTTACACGAGGTAATCAATGCCGGATCGATCCGAGCGATGCGGGGTACGCGGGCAAATTGCATGAGTGCCGCTTAAGACGAATGTGGTATCGCAATTTAAGTGACAATAAGTGGTGGGCATATCAGTTCGTAAAAGCTGGGTTCCCAAGACATGTATGTATATACTGTACATTTAGCCTCCACGCGCCCCCAAATAAGCTCTTCCTGATATTGCGTGTAATTATCATCTGGCCTCCAGCGGCCAGTCATATCAGAACGCCACGGCTCATAGCAGGGGGGGGGGGGGGGGGGGGAAGGGGGACACGGGGCAACTGGAATGTCCTGGGACAGAGCTGCTATTTAACCAGGACAGGAACACCGCCCAACACCCACATTCCTTTCCTCACCTACCTGACTTTCTCAGGCACAGGCTGACTCCTCATCGCCACTATGCTCTTCCCAACAGCAGCTCTGGTCCTCGCCGCGGGCGCGCTTGTCGCGGCCCAGACGCCCGCCGGGTTCACGCCCGAGGTGACCGCCCGGTTGGACCTCGTCTTTGGGGCCAAGACGGTGACCGTTCCCGGCACGAGCTTGACGAAAGCCGGTTAGATTCACCCCGGATCCAGAGTTTGCTTGGCTATGGGAAATGAGTCGATAGAGGAGGCACTGACACTTCTCGGGCGGATGTGTGGCGAACCAGAGACGGCAAAGCAGCCGACTATTGGCACCACCGACGCGGTCCTGAACGGCACGTACCTGTGGATGATGATAGGTGGGTAGAACTTATTCAGAACTGCCGGCGACATACGCTACCTCTGAGCTGTCTTCCGTATTCTAGACTGACAAACAGCAAACAACAATCACAGACCAGGACGTGTAAGCCCACAGCCACCCTCCACAACTAACACCAACTCTCCTAGACACCCGGTAAAGCCAAAACCATCACTCACGCACAGCCCAACCCTAGCCCAGCCAACTTCCAAAACCCCAGCGCCGGCGGCCGCCGCACGAACCTGCACGCCATGCTTACGGGGTTCAAAGCGAGCAGCAGCGGCGGCGGCGACGTCGGCGCCGTGCACGCACTAGCCTCGTCAGCGACGGGGCCCGTCGCGTACACGGGACCCGCGCCGCCGGCCGAGACCCCCGCGCACCCGCACCGCTACGTCAGCCTGCTGTACGAGACGCCCGCGGCCGGCTTCGCCGTCACGCGCGCCCAGGTCGGCCAGACGCTGGGGTTTAACCTCGCTACGTTTGTTGCGGCTGTCGGGCTGGGCGCGCCGGTGAGGGCGAACTATTTCAATGTTACGGGGTGAAGGGCGGGATTCGTTTATTTATATGGGGTTGTTTGTTTTGAGGTTGGAGTGAGTAACAAGACTTGATGGATCACGCGGTAATGGCTACACTGATGCCTGGGTAGCAGGCAAAGCCACTTTGAAAATGTTAATACTATGCATGGATATACAGGACGGGGAGCCGGACGAAAAGGCCAAGCTTTAGAAACCGAAAAGATTCAATGCAATTAGCTGACAACTCCGTGTAAACCCATGCTGCGGTATGCTGATCGTGCAACGCCGTATTCTCCATGACGATGTAGGATCGACTCTCCTGATAATCGATGTCTGTGCGCCCTGAACTCCAGGTGGAACAGCAGCCGAAAAGCCGAAAGGATGAGAACCGGAAAAGAAGTAGGAAAAATAAAAAGAAGCCCGTCATCGACGCCGCCATCTCGTTTGCTCACGGGTGAGCTCTAGGCCATGCCAGCAAGATAACCAACCAGCCACCATCCAAGTTGCAATTTCATCAACCCGAGTCGAGTAATTAATTAACCAAATCTGACTTGACTCCAAAACTACATGCGAGAAGAGACTGCCGTCCTATGATGATGATGATATTAACATCCACATTCACACCTCCAGCGCGGCCAGCGCCGCACGCATGTCCTCCACGGCAGGGTCGCGGCTGGTAGCGGTAGCGGTGTCGTCTTCGTCAGCATCATAAAACTGCGCGCCGACGTCGCTGATGTCGTGCATGACGCAGTCGCCACCAGCTTCAAACGCCGCAGCACCGTCCTGGACATTGTCGTTGTTGTCATTCCTCTCTCTAGTGCTGGTGCCAGTACCAGTGCCAGTACCAGTGCCAGTACCAGTGCCAGTACTGGCATATTGCACGACAGCCCCAGCCCCTCCGGCACCATAAAATCTAGCCACAGCGCCGCTACTGTTGCTGCCATTGAGAAACAGATGCTTGAGGCGCTGGTACGCGGTCCAGGCGCCGTGGACGGCCAGCTGCAGCATGACGAGCCGCTGGCGCGAGTATATGTCGGCGACGGCGCGCGGGTGCACGGCCAGGTGGCCGACCATGGCGTCGTCGCCGCTGCGCAGGTACGCGCGCGTGCGCTCCGAGAGGTAGACGGCAGCCGCGGTCGTCGTGATCTGTCCGCCGGGGGGCAGGATGCTCGTCGGCCGCCACGGCGATGACGCGGAGCCCATGCCCACGCCGCGAACCCGCTGGCGAAGGTCGTTGGGCCGGCGGAAGCTCTGGTTGTTGTTGTTGTTGTTGTTGTTGTTATGGTGGTCGCCGCGGTTGCGGTTGCGGTTGCGGTTGCGGTTCCTGCCGCTGTTGCTGCCACGGCCGCCGCCGCGACGCTCTCTGCGCGGTGAAGCGGGAGGAGAACCGGCTGGGGTCTCGTGCTGTGGGTTGTGTTTATTTTTTTTTCTCATCCGCGGAAGGAGTGGTGAAAGGGCAGCGTTGAGGTCGAGAGAAAAAGAGTGGAACCGGAAAAGGCGCGACGAGGATGAGATGAGAGGGGATTTGCTTACCTGGACTTGGCTGTCCATTTTTTTCGTTCTTTCCCGTGAATGAAATTGAGCACTGTGGATATCGCGACTACAGACGAAAGATAACGAATTAATACGGTTAAGATTTTCACGTGCGTGCGGAAAGAAGAAAGTTGGTGACTTTAAAACTCTTACGGGCGGAGGAATTGGGTTAAGGTTTTGGAGGTACGGTCGATCCACCTTCCCCTGCACGGCTAATTGAGAGTCGGGAAACGTGAACAATGAAGAAAGCTGGAGAAAGATGTGAAAAGAGATGCAACTTACCAGGGGAGCCTGCCTGCCAACTGTCGGGTCGAATGTGAATGTGAATGCGAATGCGGTAAGAGTTCGCAAGGAAACTTGGGTTTTATGCCACGAGGTGCGGCGTGTTTAACTCTAAAATTAAGCAGGTAAAAAGAAACCTAGGCCAACGAATAAGTCCAACGGCGAAACGAGGGCCATCAAGGTATTCTGAATTCTATTTAGAAAGGCTCGCGGTAGGGCACATTTGAGTCTGTTCTGACTGATTTGTATGAGAACCAGCGCAAAGCAAATTCCAAGAGCAGCCACGAATTCCGACGAAACACCGGGATCTTTCCCAGACTTTATAACCCAGCCTATTATACAAATTTGCAGGCAACGACGGTGATGAAAAACAAGCAAGTCTTTCACCGACGCAATTGCAGCACTAGACATTACAAGACGTGAAATGCGGCAGCAAGTTTGGTGTTGTTCCTCAGTATTTGCACCTGAAATGCGGCCTAGTCGTGTCATTTTACAACCGAAAAGCCGTATTTGTAAATAAAAAAACCAGCCTAGCGATCTTAGTCTCGGAACTAATTAGCCCAGGCGCCGATTTGGGCAAGCATGTCGTCCGCATTTTGGTGTAATTATAGTTGAAAGGGACACAACAAAGAGGAATTTTGCCCAGAATATTTAACACGCAGCCTTTCGCTCCACCAGACTCACACAAGTGCGCCCATATCCACGTCTGCGCCTGCGCTACCTCGCAATGACATGTCTATGTTATTCCATATGACACTTCTTTGTTTTCAGTCCCACTGCCGACAGGCTCTTGCTGCCAAATGTCATGTAGCCTGTGGGCTCTTTTACTTTGAGCGATTTTCGATGGCCTTGAAGTCTTTTCTTGACGTGGCCCATGCGAGAAAATCCGACGCGAATCCAGGAGCAAACTGTGTTCGTCAATTATCATGAGACAACGTTCACAGTGCTGTCCTTGATGTTTCCAGGTAACCGTAATAGATTACCCAAACTCTTGTGGAAGTTGTAGGCTTATAGTTCAGACCACCAGGCAACAGAAGTTATCTGTTTTGTCGTAGGCAGGCTACCGCTGCACCGGTAGACAAAACAGAAACGTGTTGCCTGAATGGATTCTGGGGGACTGTGGTTATGTAGCCTGCACAGCTATTCCCTACCCAGAAAATGTTTGGTCTGCTGGTAAAGCGGTGACTCGTCACACAAACAGGGCTATCAATCCGTCATGAAAGCAAGCAGGTTTGTATTAACTAGGTAGCTTCGTTGTCATGACAATCATGCCACTTCACGATGCCATTCATAAACGTCGTCCGGCTCAAGAGTCGTAAAACAGCGATAAAGGTAACCGGATAGCCCCCTCCTGCTAATAACCAAGAAATCCCGACACTAATAGGCACCTCCCTGGCGAGGTGTGCAAACTTGGATCCGCCCAAACAGATTCGACTTCGAACGCGGCCGCGCAGATTGATTACTCGGGTTTTTGACCATACGCGACGTGGCTGCAGTATCCCGTTAGCTTCACGGGCCGCGTAGTGGGAAACGGTCTCAACAATAGAGACGGAGATGGGGATAGAATGACCACTCACAAGTCAAACTGGATGTGCAGGTTGGGGTTCCGCACGTCCTTGCGGACGCCGGCTATCAGAACCTGGACCTCCTCGACGGCCCAGCCGAGGACGCCGACGAGCAGGCCCAGGGAGAAGCCCTCGACGCCCTGCTCGAACTGGGCGATGTTGTACAGACCAATCTCCTTGTACTTGGGGTCCTTGGGCCAGGGCCCGAGCGGGAACTTGAAGCGCTGGTGGACGACGTTGGTGAAGCCCGCGCCCTTGAGCCAGCCCTCGAGGTAGCTGCCCGGGTTTAGCTCGCGCTTCGTCTTCTTGGCCGCCTCGTTGAGGGCCAGGATCCACTTGCGGACCGACAGGTCGTCGTTGACGGAGCCGTCTTCCGAGTAGAAGTTGAACTCAAAGTCTTGAAACTCGGCCCAGCCGCCGGCGTTGAGGTTGCTGTGCAGACGATTTCGCGCTAATTAGCCTCTGGATTTCCAGAGCAAATAAGTGGCGTTCTTCTCTTCTTCTTTTCACACTTGAAGAAAGAAAACAAGGGAAAGGGACGACTTACTCATAAGCGTTCTTTACGAGCTTGGGCCAGTCGAGGATGCACGCGGTCAGGTACCGGCAAAAAATCCAGTCGAACTTGGCGCCGTACACCCACGGGCTCTCAATGTCGTCAACCTCGAATTTGACGTTGGGGGGGATCCTAAGCGACTTGTTAATGACATCTGTGCTGCAGCTCGATCCAGAGAGGGAGCAAAGCCGTCGACGTACCAAGTCGGCTGAATGGCGCTCAGATCGTTTCCGATGACCTTTTGTTGCAGTCAGCAGGCAGCGCGCTGATATATCAAAGGCGTAAAAGAACACGCACCTCTGCATTGGGGAACTCGTCGCCAATAGTAATGGCCCAGATTCCGGTTCCCGTGCCGAGGTCGAGAATCCTGTGTAGCTTGCTCTCCTCGACGGGGGCCAGGTAGTGCTTCTCGCCAGTGCCCACGTACATGAGCTCGTGGGTCATGTCGAGGCGGTCCATCTCGTCCTAGAGCGGAAAAGGGTCAGCAGGGAGCCCGCGAGGCATGGCGGGGAGAGTCACGGTTAGAGCCCACCTCGTCGTTGGGGAACGGATAGGCGCCGGAGCGGAACTTGTGGTACCGTCGGCCGTGCTTGATGGGGTAGTCGACGACGCTGGAGCTGAGCGATTCGGTAAAGGCAGAGCTGGCGCGGCAGATCCGAGTGAGCACACCAATACTGCATTAATCGCGACTGGATTGGAAGAATTGCGAGCGCTTACACCTGAGAACCAATGGCCGAATCATCGTCTCGCAGCTAAAGGGCCGAGAGTCAGAATCAATCAATAGACTAGAAGGCCTGCAGTGGACGGACCGCGTCGTCGATCTCGATGTTGGCATCGGGGTCGATGGGCGCATCATCGGCAGCCGGCGAGGCAGCCGCCGCAGCAGGAGCCGTTGAGGCTTGAGCGGGAGGTGAGGCGGCGGCGGGGGCGGCAGCGGGAGGCGCCGAAGTGGAGGATTCTGGAGCGGGGGCCGATGCCGGCGCTGCCGGCGCTGCTGCGGGGGCTGCGGCTGGGGTTGGGTCCGCCATTGTCGCGGCTGGCTGGCTTTGCTCGGGATAGGTGGAGAAAATTAGACGTCTAGAATCAAGAGATTGCAGTCTTAAGCAATTGGGGGCAGCTGTGGAAGACAGAAGAAGGGGTTTTGGCTACAAAAAGAGATGAAGGCGGGAGGAGACGGGGGGGGTGGGATGAGACGGGAGGGTGGGATGAGATGAGGGGCAAGCTAAGGGACCCAAGGTGAGGTGGGCGAGCGAGGCTGCGGGAGTAGCGCAAGCATGCCGGGGTGCCGTGGATGAAGAATAAATATTATCTCCTCTCCTAGCGTTTTCGCCCGAGTTCAAGGGCCCCGGAACAGGGCCCGCTTGCGGGCCCAGTGCCCGTCCGTTGTGGCTTGCTTGCGCTATCTGTCTTGTTGCGCAACGCGCCGAACCCACGGGGAAGCAAGTCGACTTCCCCCTGGTCATGAACGCTAGCACCGTGCCAATGCTTGCAGCTGTGCAGCGAGAATGCAGGCGGGGCGCATAGCATGCCCACGAGCAGGGACGGAATGGCCTGGACTCGTTCCTCTGGCAGCCAACGGCATCCCGTACGGGTCCGAATTGCGTCTGGAAACCAATCGCTTCCCCTACCCGGCTCGAACACTTGCCTTGCTCGGGTAGATAGCTATACTAGATCCGGCGGGCGAGGTTTTTGACACCTCCCACGTTGTGCGCAAGCGTCCACAGAAGCGCTAGGCTGTAACGGCCCTAGCCGTCTGTCCCCTTTGGAGTTTATCGCCTCGTTGCGGGGTATTAGGGTAGTTATTACTAAGAGTGGGGAGTCTTCCATTGGAGCTGTGTCGCTCTCAGCCACTGAGAGCCCGGCTCACTGGGCCAGACTGGTTTCCTAGAAAAGGACCAGATCTCACATCCACAATGCGAGAATCGACTGTTCACATTTACCTGAGCGGTGAAGGTGAGGGAAAGATGCGCTGCTAGCCCGTTTATTAGCACGGATAATGAGCGCACTTCTTCGTGCGTACCCCTCAGCGGGGCTGTCAGGGAGTTTACCGAAGTCTGTCTGCGTGCTATTCAGGCGTGTTGACACGGTCTAAGCAGGCTGCATTGAAGTGGCGTCTCGATTTCTTTCCCAGCTACCCTTACGAGGGCGCATTGGACGGATTACAGTTTTGTTCACAAATGTCATCCAACGTTTGGGGGTGCGAAACTAGTGGCCCCCACCCCATTTGCATTTGCATGGAGCCGAGGCGGAACGGCGGCAGCTTACAGCGGGTGGGGGTGGAGTCAGTGCGAAGAGCTCGGCCGATGACCTTTCATCATCACTTCTTCACCAGCTCTTTCTCACGTGAAGTGAGGGGAGAGTAGTGGGCTATTATTACTTGACATGTCATAAACAAGTCAATTGCCTTCCAGTCGAAGACACACGTCCGCATCGCGGTCATTATAGCATTTATCACGCATTGGAGACTCGTCTCGAGTGATGCCAGGCACTCTGAGTGGTTTTCCCCTTGCTAGTGGCAGCCACCTGTCAGTGGTGACTGACAGGAAACCGTTCAGGCCACAACTGACAGCTGCACGAGGGAATGCCTCCCTCTCACAAGCAAATTCCAACGGACGCACATGTCCGACACAAGAGCTTAGGTAATTTGCATGCACATACATGGAGACAAAGAGCCCCGTGCGACAACTTCAACTTTCCATATTTTCCGCAATTAAAAAACTTGCCACTTCCCTCGGCGTATCACTCTCGCATTTCTAGTGTTTCACCTAGCATCGACATGGACACACTGGCCAAGTCCGAGCTTTCCGAAACTACGGTTGGCGAGTCCTCCACCACGCGGGAAACAAAAGCTGAGCACGTAACTCGGGACACAGATTCCACAGTGATCCACATCCTCCGCCATGGCCAGTCACTGCACAAGTAAGCCGGCACCGAGGCTGCTGATTAATTACAGGTAAATTAAGGTAAACTAACCCGACATAATTGTCACAATCGAAGCATAGAAAGGGGCTATCCCCACCGAGACCCGCCTCTCACCGAGTTAGGCGAGGCACAAGCCAGGGCCGTGCAGCTGCCCGCGGCGCCGGACCTCATCATCATATCTCCGATGACGCGCGCGATCCAGACGGCGCTCCTCGTGTTCGGCACAGCGGCAGAGGAGACCCCGCCCGACATCCCCCGGCACGCCCAGTCCCAAAACCCGGTGTCGGTGCCGGTGCCGGTGCAGGTGTGGCCGGACCTGCGCGAGACGCACGACCACGCCACGTGCAACAAGGGCCTGGGGCGCGCCGCGCTGGCCGCGCGCTTTCCGGGGCTCGATTTCTCGCTCTGCGGCCCCGAGTGGGACGAGGCCTATTACCCCGCGCACAGCGCCGCGCGCGCCGAGGCCCGCGCCGAGCGCGTGCGCAGCCGCCTCTGCGCTCTGGCGCGCTCTGGGCTGTACGAGAATATCGTGCTTGTTACGCACCGCGGCTTCGTCGCGTTTCTGGTCCCCGGCGCGAGGTTCGGGCTCTGTGGTGCGTTGCCGTCGCCGCCTGTCGGGTGCTTACTGTAATGACATGGCCGCTTTTGCGGGGCGGCTGGCTAACTGTTTGCAGAATCTCGCCGGTACCGGTTCGCTACGGAGAGCGAGGCGGAGAGGGAGAGATTCGGTGTCAACGTTGACTCGGACGAGGCGCAAGACTTTGGTCCTACGGTGCTGGTGCCGTGCGAAGACTTGGGCCAGCCTGCACTGTGAGGGTGCACGGTCTCGTTGTATCAGGATTGAAATCAACGCGATCACTAGAACAAGCAAGAGGAACTGGATCCATGCTCCTTGGGGGCTTTTCATAAAGACCGAGTATCTGCTGATCTAATCGTTGCCGCTCCTCGTTAACCTCAAGAAAGTAACAGCGCAGTCCACACGGCAACAGAAATCCCCAAAAACATAACGCCTGTTGCCTTTTTAGGATTCGAAGCAGCGCTGGTAGGGATAGGCGGCTGTGGCAGATGTCAGTAACACATCTACACCGACTCCCATGAAAGGATGTGAGAGACAGACAGCAGTGGAAGCAGAAGTCAAGCTGCCGGTCGTGGCGTTTGAGGCTGCCGTGGGAGGCGCTGTGGTGGGACCTGTACTGGTGGTGGTAGGCAAGCTCGCGGGGGAGGAGGAGGAGGACGACGACGACGTGGTCACAGGCGGCGCAGTCGGCGTGTCGCCCGATGGCGAAGGCGTGGGAGACAGCCCGCAGGACGAGGCGGCAGAGGAGACGCCGCCGCCGTAGATGGTCCAGATGTTGAAGTCCAGCGCGCACTCCAGACAGTCATCGTACGCGGCCGTCCACGTCGAGTTGCTGCAGTGCGCTGGATCTCGCCTGCCGGCCGAAGCGGCGCCTGGAAGGGGAAGGTGTCAGTGACGAGCAGCATAGGGAGAGATGCCTCTGGCCGCCGTGCGGTGACACGTTGCTTTGGCGAGGCATGTCTGAGGAGATGTCGGGGCGGGGGTTGGCCACGACACGGATGGCACGTACCGCAGTCGGCGTGGCAGTTGTACTGCGGTGTTCCGGGCGCCTGCCTCTCCAAGATCAAGCCGTGGACGTCAGAGTGGTCGTCCGGCAGGGCGGTCGCCTGCACAGCCACGGGTATCACCACCGCGAGGATAAGAGACAAGTGCATTTTGGTTGTGGTTGTGGTTGTGGTTGCAGTCAGCAGACGGCTTGGGAAGACTAGGTAGTAGCCAGGAGATGAGGGAAAGCTGGGAGCACTCAAAGATAAAACAAAATAAAAAAAGTTGGTCCGAATCACGGGGGCAGCAAGCACTTAAAGACCGAGTCCCACCCAGGAAAAGAAAGTGGCGGGAACAATGGGCAGACACGCGACTTGCATGTCGATAGTGGGTGCTGAGCTGATATACGATGCTGCAGGCCAAGACTGGCAGGGTGTAGAAGAGCCAATGCTTGAACGCCCTTGAAGACGGGGGTCCAATCATGGGAGGCGATATGAGCCGGGTCTCGCCGCCAAGCCAATTTATCAGATCATCTGATAATCTAATCCACTTGCCTTATCAGGATCACAGTCGAGGGTGTGGATTGCCACGGAAGGTGTCATTGGACCGGGCCAGCAAGCGCATCTTGGCGTCTAGCGACCCAGCCAGACCTTTACCGCCAAGCGAAGAGCCAAGCTGAGGTAGGCCGGGACTGGTCGCAGCACAGGATACCGCGGGGGAACTGCTTGGACTCGTGTAGCTGAGTCCTTGCCGACTTGTACATGTACATGCTTATTGGTCTTGACCCCGCAGTCGGTGACGGACGAGCCTAGTGGGAAAATAAAAGGGCAGCATCACCCGCAGTCAGTCATGCCATCCATGGAGACACACCCTAGACCTGGCATGAATTAGCCGCCGTACTTGAACATATCTCTAGCAGTGCCAGCTCCATTCCATCAGTCTTATTTATCAAGCAGCCCGAGTCACTGGCTTACCCCCGGGATGGCGCTTTCACGCATACTGCTCGCCATAGCGGCCGCCGTCGGCGCCCAGGCCACCAGTAGCGACCAGGGGCCGGCGGCCTTCATGTGGCCTCCCGACCGTGTCTGGTCCGGCCAGATGGACAACACGGCGCCCTGCGGCTCGGTTGACGGCGCCACCACACGCACCGAGTTTCCACTCAGTAAGCTGATGTCCCCCCCCTGCCACTGTCTACCGCAGACACGGACTGACGTCGGCCAGCCGACGGCAAGGTGGCCCTTGTCGCCCAGGACGACTCGTACCGGGCTTTCCTGGCCGTGTCGTTCAAGAACGGTTAGCTTCTCTCATTATTACCTCCCAACGTGCATGTCACAGCACCCCGTCCATCACCCAACCCCTGACATCCATCACCCCTGACATCCATCAACCCAGACCCCCAAACCAACGCCGACTTCGACTACTTCCTCAACGTGGCGCCCATAGCCGAGCTCGACCCGGGGCACACGTGCCTCTCGGTGCCGGGCCCGCCGGCGGACACGGCACCGGGCGCCAACGCCACCATCCAGATCCGCTACACGGCCGACTTCGACCGGCCCGAGAACCAGACCTTCTATGCGTGCGCCGACATCACGTACGTGCGCGCCGCCGACTTCAAGGCGCAGGTGCCGTGCTTCAACGCCACCGACGACCAGGACGTGCCAGCACCAACCACCACCGGCATCCCGTCGTCGCTGCCCGGCCACGGCGACAGCGGGCCGCCGCTCGTCACCCCCGGAGCCACCCCGACACCGGCACAGGCTTCCTCGTCTTCCGGGGGGGTCACGCTGTCGAGCGGCGCCATCGCCGGGGCTGTTGTCGGCGCCGTCGCCGGCGTCGTGCTCGTCGTTGCGCTCGCCCTGCTGTTCTACCGCGAGCGCCAGAAGAAGCTCCGCCTCGAGCACCAGCGCGACTCGGCCCGCGGCGTCCCCTGGCGCGAGGACCCGCCCAAGGACTCGGCTTCGGCTGGCAGTATTCGGATGCAGAATATGTAGTTGGTTAACTGGTTTGGTTGCTCGCGTCACGTAATTACGATCAAGGTTGATGAGCTGAATGTCCATCTATCTAGGGAGTTACGACGAGTAGACGGTGGGAGTTGGAAGGGGTTCAGGGAGCGTCTATTTTACGGATAATTACCCGTGTGCTTCGCGTGTGGCAATGGCAATGTTACCGTCGTGCATTGTGCAGGGTTCGCAGAAACGCAAATACTTAAAGATGACTTGCTTGCTATTTACTTCTAGTTTCGTTTATTCTGAATTGACGACTGACGTTACACACCTCAACCACATCGCCACGAAGTGCATCATGCTGCGTTATAATCAACAATTGGTGTAGAATAAACAATTGGTGGTGAACATCACGGTGTCTGATCGGCCCCTACGATACCTCCAAGGCCTTGATCACGGCAGCGACGTGAGAGCTGCGCCGCAGATGAAGCGGCCCGAAACGGCGGCGACCTACAACCGCGCCACGCCATGGGAAGCACCAGTCTTGAATAAGCTTATTTCGTCCATCTTACGGGCCCCCAGCGGGCTGCCCGAGGCCACGGCCAAAGGTGATTCGCCGTGGCCCGGCAAAAGATGGTGGGAAAGCGGCCGGAAGGGGTGGCCCGTTGTTGGGCCCGAGATTGTCGACTGATCTGATCATATAGAGAGCGAGGCACTCGACACGAAAGGGGACATTGATCAACGCGCCTTGGAACTGCGGGAGACTGTGGTTCCGCAAGTGACTTTCTTTTTCGCCCAATTCCTTTCACAAACTAAGCCGGTCAGTCAACCTGTATATAGTGCACACACCCCCATGTCACCAGCTTAGCTGGTGGCTCCCGTGCATTGCAACCAGTTGACTTTGTTCTCTGTGTTGCTGGCTGTGGTCCCCCTGTTGTTGACCGCGACTCCCACCCCTTTGGGTTAATATCATTGTTCTCCCATTTGAGGCCTCGACTGTAAACATCAGCCGCACAGCATAACATGTTCAGACGGCACACAAAACCGCCAGCAGGCAGTCAGCAGCTGCGACCCGCGACCACCTGGCCTGTCCGTCAAGGTGAGCAGCCCACCCCCAATCATTCCCACCCAGCGCTGCGACGACAATACTAACCCCTCCTGAACAAAGCCTCCTCAGCCCGACCCGAACGGTCCTGGAGAGAGACCGTCATCCACTACCACGTCATCTGGAAAGAGATCCTGCACCTCCCGCAGAAGCAGCACAGGCCGCAGGCGCAGCCGCGCACGACAGGGAGGTCGGCGACGTCGACAAGCCTGCTCGCCGCCCGCGAGGCCACCCGGCGGCAGCAGCAGCTGCAGCAGGACCTCTCTGCCATCACAGCGGCCGGCGGCGGCGGCGGCGGCGCTGCGTCCCCGCCGACGCCCCAGCCGCGCTACGCCTCGCACACGCCCGTGTGGTTCGCCGAGCCGCAGCCTAACCCTAGCTCCGACGGCGCGCTGCTGCTGCTGCTGCCGCCCCTGACCCGGCCGCGGCAGTCCACTTTCTCGGGCCGGCCTCCGACACGGCGCGGGCCACTCTCCGCGGGGGATGCGGAGTCGAGTGGCCAGGCGCTCCCTCCGAGCGAGACGGTTCAGGAAGTCGCCCACGCCCAAGACCAGGGTCAGGGTCAGGGTCAGGGTCAGGGTCAGGATCAAGGTCAGGGTCAGGGCCAGGGAGAAGAACCGCAGGCGGAGGATAGCACTGCACTGCCTGCCCTTCCGTCACGTGCAAGCAAGCACGATATGATTGATTGCTGATGATGAGATGAAAGGCTGGGGCCGGGGATAGGAGGGAGACGAGGGATACGAGGAGGGAGACGAGGAAGAAGAGAAGGGCCAGTCAAGCAGGCGCAAAAGACAGAATGACCCGGGTCGATGCCGGAGAAGTAATTAGGTAGCCACGGCGAAGTTGAGGAGTGGGACGGTAATTAATCAGTGATTAATCAGTTTGGTGTCGATGTTCGTTTGGTGTCGATGTTCGTTTGGTGTCGATGTTCGTTTGGTGTCGGTGTTCGTTTGGTGTCTGTGTTCGTTTGGTGTCTGTGTTCGTTTGGTGTCGATGTTGGACGCAAAACGAGAAAGGTTGCACTGGTGAAATGGACATGGGAAGAAAGGAGGTGGTCAGATGCAAGAGTGGTTAGGTCTAAAATCTAATAGCGGTTTATTCATACACGTACCTAAATGACTTGTTGACCTGGAAGTGCAATGGTCTTGCACGATTTCGCTGGTGATTGAAGAGTTGCTTTCGAGAAAACCTCTGGCCTCTAACACGTAATTAAAGGGACATGGTTCGTGTGCGTGTCAACCAAATTACCATTTGAATGTCACCTCCAATAAAGTAGCGCTAGAATGGCTGGGATAAGATTTTGCAACCTATTGGACTGAACAAGACGAGTACTCTGATCTTGCCAGACAATCCCCCAAAATTGAAGATGACATGCTGTCGCCCACTTTTGAGCCACTTTTGAGCCACATTGTCAAGTCACACACCTGCATATTCCTGCATATCCCTTCATTCGTTACTTTCAGCCCTGATCCCTTTTTTCGGGCTCCCGGACTTCCGAATGCCCTCTTTTTCTCCCTTGCTACGGCTGAGTCCCTTACGTAGTACGACTGAACAGACTGTTGAACCAGGTTTCCTTTGTCCTTTTCATGGAAGCATAAAAGGCCCTCTTTCCTGTATTATTAGATTGGATTTAGACAGACAATTCAAGACCCTTCAAGCCACTGTCAACTTTGATCACGGGCCAGGCATGCATTACAGCCTCCCCCACCCTACAGCGTCGACAACGTGCCGAGCCTCGGCGTCTGACCAACACGGCCCTGGGTAGTCCACGACACGAGGTCGCGGGCGAGCTTGGTGACGACCTCCCACTTCTGCTCGTTGGAGTAGCCGTCCATCTCGAGCTTCTTGCCAGGGTCCTGGAAGAAGCTCTCGACCTCGACGCGGCGGTCCTTCTCGCTGTAGCCGCCGTCGCTGACGCGCACAAACGCGTCCTTCATGGCCGAGAAGCGCTTGATAGTGCGCAGCGACTCCTCGCTGACGGCGTTGGGGTCGTTGCTCTTGCGGCGGTGGAAGTTGTAGATGGCGCCCAGGCGCACGACGTGGATGATAAGCGCCGCTAGCCCCGCCGCCAGCGCCGTCGCCACCGACGACCCCGTCTTGGGGATGTCGTCCTCCTCGTGGATCTTGTCGGCCTTGCTCATCTCGACGTTGTGCCCCGGCAGGATGAAGTCGAGCGTGCGCTGCGAGCCCGCCCAGTTGTACACGCTGCCGTCCGCGTTGGCCGCGCCCACCTTGAAGATGCTCTCTGACGTGGTCGGGCACCCGAACGGGTAGTACGAGCTCAGCACCTGCGCGCTGGTGATGCCGACGTCGGGCGCCGAGCAGAAGACGAGGATCTTGTTCTTGACTGCCCGCTCGAGCGCGGCCTGCAGCCGTGCGATGTCGGCCGCGTTGTTGTTCTGCTCGTCCTCGACCCGCTGCACCGTCCACGACATAGAGATGATGTCGAAGCCTCGGTTGACCGCGAACTCGACGGCCTAGCGCCGAGTTAACCACTGCGCGACCATGTGGGCGAGTTTGGGGGGTAGGACATGTTCACTTACGTCGGCGGCGCTCTTGGCCGTGAAGCTCGCCTTCTCGCCCCCCTCGCGTCGCGTGACGTTCAGCTTGCAGACGAAGATTTTGACCGAGGGGCACACGCGGCCGATCATGTAGGCCATGGTGGTGCCGTGGCCCGTGGTCGAGCCGTGGAAGGGGCCTGGCGCGCCGCTGAGGTCGGGGTCCTCGTAGTTGCTATCGAAGCTGCGCCCGTTCTCGATCTGGTTGGCGATGGCCTTGTGCATGAAGTCGGCACCGTCGTCGATGAGGGCCACCTTGACGTCCTTGCGCAGCTCGAGCGGCAGCTCGTCGACGGTCAGCGGGTTCGAGGGAAAGTCGGGCGGCAGGTTGGTCGGCAGCTTGCTGATGCCCTCGGTGAACTTGTCCATGATGCCGAGCCAGCGGTGCGTGTCGATCAGGCTGCGGCGGTCCGTGTCGGCGTTCTTGATGCCGCGCTTCGGCCGCGAGCTGGTCTGGTCGCTCGGCTTGTCGTACTCGACCTCGATGGGCGGCCACTTGGCGTTGCGCACCGCCTTGAGCCGGTCCCGGAACTCCTGCACGTCCTTGCGCGTGCGCACCGGCGGCTCGAGGCCTTTCGTCGTCTGGTGCAGCCGGATCTGCACGAGGTCCTTGAGCATGGCGAGCCCGTCGGGCTCGCTCCACGCCCGCAGGATCGCGTTGTTGCCGCTCCACCGGAGATGCAGCTCGCGCAGGTTGGAGTTTTGGCACGCGTCCTTGATGGCCCGCGGGTCCAGGTCGAGCTTCCGCCAGTCGAGAATCTCCACGTTGAACGGCTTGAGCGCGTCCTCGATGGCCTGGTCGCTGTGGGGCGGCTCCTTGTTGTCGGCGACGATCACCTTGATGATATTGGTGACGCCCTTCTTGGAGAGCCACGAGAAGAGGGCGACCATGTCCTTCCTTCCCGCGCCCACCTTGTCCGAGTCCGACTTTCGCATTCTGGGCGGGTCGAGGGGTGCCGCGAGCGCGACGGGACCAAAGTCGACGTATCGGAGAACCTCGTCAAAGGAGAGCCCCTTGTAGCTCGTCTCGAAATCGGCAAAGTTGATTGTCATGATCTCGTCCTTGACCACATTGGGAGGAAAGTCAAAACAGATGTGCTTGTCTAGAGAGAAGACGAATCAGTATTGCGCATCGGGGCACAGCACGAGGGGGGGAAGTGTGACAGCCTCGTCTACCTTCTTTGTTCTCGCCAAATAGAAACTCTATTGCCGAGTTGTGTGTCCTCGCTACGGCGGCCTCGTCGGCAGGGCCCTGTGAATCGGCCGAGCGGCTTCCACTTGAGAATTCCGGTCTCTGCCAGAAAGTAGTGCGAAGGTAGTGCAGTTTCAACTCTTTGGCCACAGTATTTGCAATCTCTGGCGATGGTGCTTCAGCTATCACCTTGCTCCGTGATGACTTTGAGGATCTGGATTCTGATGTTGTGAGTTTTGGCCGCTTCAGCTTTGGGGTGCTTGGTTTGCTGCTGTCTTGAGCGGCGCCGTCGTGTGGCAGGTGGGGCTGGTGGGCGTTGTCTTTGGTCACAGGAGTCGGGATGGTGGTTTCCTTTCCGAATTCGACCGTGGTCGCTCGTCTCAGGGGCTTGGGAAATGGCGGAGGGCGCATCTCAGCCACCATGATTCCCGCGGTTTTGGTCACGTCAGTACGGGATTTGGAGGTCTTGTTCGCCGAATCTCCATTCTGCTTTATCCGCTCCCAGTCATCCAAGTCGTCGTCTCGTCTCTTGCTCGTCGTGGGCGTCGGAGCTACCGGGATATCGTGCCAGCTCTTGGACTCCTTTCCAGGAGCGGCCTTGGCTTGGGTCGGGGGTTCCTTTGGCAGCAAGTCCGGGACGTCTTTGCTTGTCGACGACTTGACAACTTTTTTCTTCTTTGGCTTGTCGGCTTTGGGCACCGCTTCTTGTTTGATGAATCTGCGTTTTGTGTCAAGGTGGTATCGATAAGGCGAGAAGTACTCGGGCTTTCCGGTCCTTTTGTCGAATGCGCTGTCACCGCACTCGATGAGTGCCCGCACCACCCGAAGACCCGAGGTTGTGCATCGCTGATACTCTACCGCATAGTGAAGCGGCGTGAGCCCCCGCTTGTTGACCGCTGCAAGGGTGGATGGAGAGGCTCTCTTGACGAGCTGAATGGTGGTTTCCGGGTCAAAGCCGTTCTTGACGGCCCAATGAATGCTATTCCCCACCGTCAGCAAGATGCAGTGACGTGAGGCGAGTTGGAGACGGAACGGCCGTAGTCACATACCAGTTCTCGTCCTCGGGTCCAATCGAATGCAGCGCCTTCTTGAGATGGGCATCCTCGACCTTGCTATCAAGTACTGTCTTGACGAATACCACGTCGCTCTTGGACACGGCAACAAGCAGGGCGCCGCGGTTCGCCTCCTCGAGCTCGTGCAGGAGCTCGGGGAACTTCTCGACCAGATGCCTGACCAGCCAGGGCACGGGCTTGACATCGTAGGCCATCCTGAACAGTAAATTCCTGATCTCAATACGCACCGTTTTCTTCACAGCCTCGGTCTGGGGTTTCAAATAGTGGCGATACTTGTTCAGGTACTGGCGTTGCTTCTCCTCGTTCTGGCTCAGCTCGGGGGACTGGCTGAGTTTCTGCATTTCGGTAAGCTTGTCCGAGAACCTCGCGATCATATCCATCTCAGGCTCATCGTCCTCCGAGCCGGGTTCGCCATTAGACTCGTCGTCCTCCTCGTCCTCCTCGTCCTCGTCGCCTTCCGACGTCTCAGTGTGGTCCGGCGGGTGGTATGAATCGTCGCCATCTGTGTCGTCGCCCGTGGCCAGCAACTGGCTGCCAGCGGGTGCGTCCTCGGAATCAGACATGATTATTGACAGGCTCTTGTTGTTGTGGGGCTAAATTATCCTGGGCAGACGGCCTCGTCACGTCACAGACTGACGGCAGAATGAAGACAAGTGGTGAGAAAGGCGGATAGGTAACGAGCTCAGCAACGTCTGAATGGTGGAGGGGTCGTGAACGGCGCTAACGAATGAATGCAGTCGCAGTCTTCGTTTATTACTTAGCATATCACAATAAGCGAATGACCTCCCCTGTCCGCCCGTATGGCTGCTTCAGGGATGGTGCTCCTTGAGGAGGCCTTGAATTCTGCGGCCCATGGCTGAAATCAGCAGCAATGCCGAGGACTGGGCCGCCGTACCCGTCTCAGTGGGGACTAGCCCCCCTTCCGCCCCTTTCGTTTGGCTGTCCTGCACCCTGACAGCACAGCCTCTCTCCCCCTAGCTCATTCTAGTTATGCATCAATTAGGCTGCGACAGGACTCTCGAGGGCTTCCGCGGTGGAGTCGAGACGGGGCTCAAAATCAAGAAATAGATCAGTGTCCCAGCCAGAGAATCACTCAGGATAAGACAAGACAAGCCCCCTGCCGACATAATACCTACGGGCAGTCAACAGCAACACACTGGACGAGACCGACCGAGTTTTCTCTTGGAACCCCCTTGCAACCGAGCAGCCATGGCCGACTACGAAGAGGGGGGCGTGTTTGCCGAGGACCTGGAGCTTATCGATATGTCAGCAGTGCCAGAGGCAGAGCCGTCCGGGTTCCACACCCGGAACGATCCTAGCAACCCGTTTCAGCGAGATAACATTATCGACCGGAACAAGGGCCACATCATCATCCAGAGCGAGCACGTGGATGTTGCGCACGGCTTCATGTCCGAGGACAGCGACGACGCATGCTCGCTAGTCGTCGTCGCCTTCCGGTTCGACCCCAACGGCGTGGCGCGCCGGATCAAGGAGGCCCAGATCGTCATCACGTTCGCGGCGCTGGAGAGGGGGAAAGAGGACCCCGAGGTGGTGGGCATGGAGCCCAACGGGACCCTGTTCATCGAGCCGACGGTGCAGCACGAGACGAACACGGTGGGCGGGGCAATCAAGGCTAGCGGGGCGGGCGCTGAGATCAAGCTGCTTGGCTCGCACACGGTCGAGCGCGACACGACGGATTCGGCCCGGGTGCGAGGCTCGATCGACCTGCGGAACCGCAAATGGGGCGGTAAGAACTCGGTGTCGTGGTCGCTGCTCGAGAACGCAACGGCAAAGTCGGGCGTCGTGACGAGGCTCCAGGCAGCCATCCTTCTGAAGCGCCGCGACACGGCCCACTTCAAGGCAACCGTCACCGTCAGGGTCGTGGCCGACACCTGGACCGCCCTGGGGTCTGTCTTCAAGGCCGGCTCCATGAACAGCGGCAGCGACGACGACGACGTCTGGTATAACCCAGACAGAAAGCCGCCCAGCACCGACCGCCTGCAGAAATACGATGTCGACAATCTCGGCCACGTCGACCTCAAGCTTCTCAGCGATGTCGCCTTCCGAACTCTGCGCGTCGGATCGATCAGGGAGGGGTAATTAGCACTAAGCAAGCCAAAAGCTCCCCCGCCCGGTCTAATGACTGTGGGGCAGTGGGGGACCTGGTGGGTTATGACGGATGCTGTATCCACTCGTCCCAAGGACAATAAATGGGCTCCAGCCCCGTTGGATTATTAGCTCCCCCTTAAATTGACGGGATCTCTCTACTGGCAGCGCAAATGGGTGATGTGAACACGCTGACCGGGGCTGGGCCGATGAAACTCGAACCTGGGAAGGCGTGGATTGGGGCGGTTACTTATTTAAGGTGCTCAAGCCTGTTTGCACCTTCCCACCATGCTTTTGCTCGGCTGGCACTGGCTGGCAGTGGGTGGGCAGCCACGTTCATGCATTCATTCCCTGCAAAAGCGCACAGCTGCAGCAAGAGCGGTCTTTGTGAAGGCCAGGTGGGGATATCCTATTGGTATCGGTATCGCGTGATGCTCGATAATTAATTATGCCCCTTTCTGTCTGTGGCTTGTTATTTTTATCCATTGCCACACACACACTTTCATGTTCCCGTGATTGATTGTCTTTCTACACTGTCAAGACTGTACACTGGGCGGATCGGCGCGGAGCTGCCCACCTTCCTACGGCTTACCTGCATTTCGCATTACGCATTACCGCCTTCCAGGAGACCCTGTCGCCTTGCAGCACCTGCCAAGGCACGCCTGGAGGGGTTAAGGTAGCGGCGTGTTTAGCCCCCGGTGAGCACCACAGCGTCCCGCCCAGGCGCCGCCAATTTCCTGCAGGCACTTCAAGTCGCGAGTGAAGTTGAACTGCTTTGTTTCTGGTGAAATCTCAACCCTGATCTCGGTCCGTGTCGAGTCCTCAGACTCAGGTGACAAACGCCGAAGCGGTCACCATCGCCATGGCGACATCTTTCGGCCTGGAGACGGTGCTCGTGCCGAACGGCACCGACCCCGACCAGTTCATCGAGTAGGTTCTACCGCCAATTGTTCGTTCGCGTGCACTGCCGTAATTAACGCGCCCTCAGCGTCGTGGCCCTGCATGGCATCGCCGGCCTCGGCCGAGAGTCGTGGCTCTATGCCGGCGATGGCGAGTTAAAATACAGGAGATGGTTCGAAGACCAGTGCCCAAACATCCGCTTCTCCGTCTACGATTACCCCTTTCTCGACGGCCAGGCAAATGTCTTCGTGCGCGGCGGCATCCGGCGCGAGGCTCTCCGCCTGCTCGAGGCCCTCACTGCTCTCAGGGCAGCGGCTGACGAGGTGAGATACGACGGCCTGGTTGGCCTCGGTGTGACAACCGAGCTCAAGGCACCCTGCTTATTATTTGCTAGAAAAAACGCCGCATCATGTTCTTCGGCCATGATATTGGGGGGGTCATTATCAAAGAGGTAATTGACTCTCTCTTCTTTCGTCTGAAACTGGACTCTCTACCTGGCATGAGCCTGCCACTGACATTTCATCCCTAATAGGCTCTGATAATGTCTGCATTTGGCGATGTACGGTTTCGAGATATATACTTGTCAACTCGGCGGATTGTAAGTTGATTAGTGATTGCTGTCTCCATGGCCGTGGTATCGGTTGCGTAGCCTAACAAGAGGAATAGATATTCTTTGGCCTTGGCCAGCAGTGTGACGGCGTCGAATATTTTCGACAGAGCTTCATACACCTGCTTAGACAGAACAAGACATCAGATTTTGGGCCCGTGGAGAAGCTGGCCGGCCCCTTGGCTAAAACAGTCGTGGAAATCAACCGCAGTTTTCTCGAAGCAAAGGTGCAGTTCCGCACTGTCTTGATCAACGTGTATTCCACCAATGCCGAGTTCGGCGAGAGAGTATGTCTTCGATCCTTCCAACCATCTCCTACTTGAGAGACCAACATGGAGCTAAAATCTTTGAAAAGGTCTTCAGCCGGGATCCCATGGAGCAGCAGGATTGGTGGAAGTCTACATCAGTACCACACGCTCAAATAACCTTCAATTCGGACATTGCTACGTCCATCGGAGGGACATTGACATCTCAGGTTTCTACCACCCCCGCCACTGAGCGCTCCCTATTTCTACTGCGGGCCTTCTCTCGCCTCGCCATCAGTTTACCAGAAATAGAAGAGCGTTTCACTCCGAGCAAGATTGTCAACGATAAACTTCTCTGGAAATGGGGCCTCGACTCGAATCGCAGTATCCTGGTCGTCCAGAAGGCCGGTGCCAGCACAGACGAAGCCGCAAGATTGGGCGCCATCATCAACAGCCGCCTCTTGTCCGACAACTTCCCCACGGGAGCGCGGTATTTCCAACATGTCTTCTTCTTCGCATTTCGAGACTGGGACCCTCGATGCAACTCGGTCGAGGCACTGCTCTGCACATTTCTGTCCAACTTGGCGCGTTGGGAGGTAAACTACGTCGATAATTCAAACAGCCGCTGTCTGACAAACGACTGGGATGAAAAGGTGCTGGGCCACCGCTTCTGGAACTTGGAGTTTCTGTGGTTTCGAGTATACCAAGCCGTGCAGTATTTGACCTACGGAGATGGCCGCTTTCTGTTCTGGACACTTGCCAACGTTGACGACAAAGACAAGTCTCACCGATGGCTGTTGAAGAAGCTCGAGACCATGGCCATCGATTCAGACATCAAGTTCAAGCTAGTGATTGTCAACCATGACTCTCCGCCGCCTAGTCTAACATCCCAGAACTTAAAGATCGCCGTGGGCGACATCAACCGACAAGCTAACACAGAGAAAGAGACATCACTACCAGAAATCGATGCCGAGACCGATACGAAGATTGCCGTGGGCGACATCGACCGGCAAGCTAGCACAGAAGAGGAGACGCCGTCACCGGACCTGGATACTAAGACAGATGCCAAGGCTGACAACAAGGAAGTCTCCGACGAGGAACACATCCTTCTTCAACCACTTGCGAGAGACTTGGATACGTTGGACAATATGAGCAAGTCATTGGAGTTGGTGCTCGAGTTTCCGCGGCTATATCCCTTAAAGTCATCACTTGCCAAGTTGTTTGCAGAGAGTGAGGCAGAGGGCTTGGGAGAAGCCCTATGTGTCTGGGTTCGAGAAAAGGGCATTGACACCCCAATCGACAGCCTGGAGCAGGAAATTACACAGCTCTCTCCCATTTCCCCCGAGAAGTTGTTTAAGCAGATAATCCTACCGACCCTTGCGCTTCCTCGGACGAAAGAGTGGGCAATCCCAACGCTTGAATTGCTCCTTCACGCGTTTCGTCCCCTCACAATCTACGAGGTAGAAGATCTTGTAACCACGCAGCCCAGCAATCAACTACAAGAGGATGAAAGTTCCCAAGCGCCCCGCTATGAGGCGTCCATGACTGGGCTTCATGGTCTCGTCGTTGTACGACACAGCGAGATTCATTTCGGCCATCCCGCTTTCCGACAGTTTCTCCTGGCTGGGGAGGGCGGCCAAAAGCTTCAAGCCTCAAGTGAACTACACGCCAGGATCACCTCTGCTTGCCTAGAATACTTGCTTTCGGCCGTGGACAACGGGTTGCTGAGTGATTATCAAGAGGACGATACAATGCCCGAGTCGCGGCTGGACTTTTCCTCCTACGCCGTCAACTACTGGCTACGGCATCTCAAGCTAGCAAGATCTGATCTCTCTCCCGACTCGCCACCTATCAAAAAGTTGATCGAACATGAAACTGCCCTCGACGTCTGGGCAAAGGCTTACTGGAACCGCTCAAATCCTACGACGCGCTCCCCTGCATCTTGCATTTCATCTGCGGCCATTGCTGCCGAACACGGGCTGGAATCTCTACTCGAACGGATTCTCAAAAAGCGGAAGCAGCTTTCTTCTTTTGAAGAGGAATGCTTCCATGCTCTGGAGGCTGCCGCTAGAAACGGACACGGCTCACTCGTGCGCAAACTCCTGACAGTACCACTTCCAGAAGACCGGAGGCTGGAAGCGGTGGCTCTGGCGACCCTAGACGGAAGACACGTCGAGATCTTTCGCCAGATAATCCAGAAGCTGGACGTGGAGGCAACAAGCCCCAGAGCCTTGTCCGAAATTTTCCAAAAGGTTGCACTACTGGGGCTGGTCAATGAGATGAAGCTTCTCATTCCCCTGATGCCAGCCGACACGGATTGGGATCCAATCCTATACACGGCATGCATGGGTGGCAGCTTGGAATCGGTGAAGCTTGTTCTCGAAAGTGTTCCCAAGCGTGCCACGCCGCCTACTGTCTCGGGTGACTCTGATGAGCCTGAGACTACCGATAAATCCGAAGCTCCTGGGGGAGATGAAGCCACGGAAGACGAAGATAAAGCTACGGAAGATAAGGCTGCGAACGATGAAGCCGCGGAAGATGCCGAAACCCCCAAAGTTGTTGGTGATCCGGGGCCTACAAAAGAGCCGCCAGCTTCTGGAGAGCTCAGCAGTGTCGAGGAGCCCCCTGCTGCCGAGGGTACCGATGCTTCCGAGCGCTCAGAGGTAGCCAAAGAGGCCAAAGGTGCCAAAGACAGCGATGCTTCTCAGAGCTCAGAGGTAGTTGAAGAGGCCAAAGTTGCCGAAGATAGCGATGCTTCCGAAAGCTCTGCGGAGGCCTCTGAGCGCTCGGCATCCCCGGAGTCTAAAGTTGCCGAAGAGCCCAAGGCACCTGCTTCTGCTCTCGAGGTGGCTTGTATCTACGGCCACGTCGAGATAAGCGCGTTTCTCGCGGAGAAAAAGATCATATCAGCGCGTGCCATCAACAAAGACGAGCCGGAGCCATCCGATAAAGAGTGGTTCGACATGTTTGCCAAGGCGATTCACATCGCCGAGCAATCGGGCCAATCCGAAGTCCTTCGGAGTTTGTTGGCTGTTGCGTCCAAGTGGGATTACACGAGCTACTCTTTTGCACTGGAGAGATGCCTTCCCTGTCTGACACAACACCACGTAGTTAGGTGTTGTAAAGTGGTTTTTGACCAATTCGCCAAGTTTCTAACTCCAGAGGAGGTGAGCGAAAAGGCAAAGCCCCAATTGAAGAACGCGGTTGAGAGAGGAGACCCCGACATGTTACGAGAGCTGCTCTCTCGCATTCACGGAACGATAGACAAGGAGACCCGCGATGAGCTGTGGAAAGCAGCCAAGGACAAGGGCGACTTGGCACTAGACGTCTTCAGCCTGCTTGCAGACGAAGGTTCCAAGGTCTGGGGTAAGGAAGAGCTCAGCGACGTGCTCGGAGCCACACTTTGTGCAGCAGCAAAGAGCAACTCGCCAAAGCTCGTCGACTTTCTCATTGAGCGCGGGGCAGAGCTCAACAAACAGGACGAACTCGGCCGCACGCCTTTGTTCCAAGCGGCGTGGCACGGCAATAATGGGATCGTCAAGAGGTTGATTGAGGCGAAAGCAGATCTCGAGAGCACTGCCCCTTGCGATGACAATGGGTGTTGCGGCTGGACGCCGCTCTTTGCTTCCTATGACCAAGCGGAAACCCTCGAAATACTGCTCGAAGCAGGATCGAACGTAAACGCCAAAAGCGAGCATGGAACGACAGTTTTGTGGCTGTCGGGCACAAGAGGTCACATGGACGCAGTCAAGACGCTCATCAAAGGAAAACCCGAGGTTGCCACTCTGGACACTTTACTCAACAGGAAAACCCCCCTCTCGGATGCGGCGGCGCGTGAGAATCCCGAGGTTGTCCGGCTCCTGCTCGACGCCGGATCGAACCCGTCGGCGTTTCCAGCCGAGGACCTGGAAGCTCCGCTTCTCCATGAATGTGTCAAAAACTCCAACCTGGAGATTTTGCGCATGTTCCTAGAGTATCCTCTGCCTCTTGATCAGCGGGACGGAGACGGGAACACGCCCCTCACGAGCATTACTGCAGACACGTCGGTTCCAGTCGTCAGGCTCCTCGTGAACCGAGGTGCATCTCTCGAGTTGACCAACAGCAGTAACCTAACCCCCCTGGGGAAGGCCATAACCGTTGGGAATATCGATGTTGCCAAGTATCTAATTTCCGTCGGCGCCAATGTCCAGGCCTCGGTCGGCCGGAGTGGCACCATACTGCACGTGGCATGCAGCACAGGGGAAGGCGGGTTGCCTGCGGTCAAGCTTCTCATTGATAGCGGAGCAGATGTCAACAACGCCGACCCAGGGGCAAACGGGACTCCTTTCCAAGCGGCCTGTCGTCGGGCGGAGACCGACACCTTGTCCGACACAGTCGAGATCATCAATTACCTCGTCGACGATGTCAAGATCCAAGTCAGGCAGCAGAGCAACTGGTGGGGTTCCAATCTCAGCGTTGCCTGCTTGGTTGCGGATCTGGATGTTGTCGATAAGCTCATTGAGCGAGGCGCGGATGTCGAAGCCGAGGACAGGATGGGGAGACAGCCAATCCACTTCGCTCTATTCCGCACCGTGGCCTATGTGGAGCGTCTCCGTAGCCAAGGAGCCGACCTGTTTGACACCGACCTCATGGGCCGCGGCCCCCTCCACATTGCGGTCCTGAGTGGACGGCTGGAGCTGGTACAGTACGTTCTTGCGCAAAAAGAGGGCCTAGCCACTGAGAGGGACGTCGACAACTGGACGCCCCTTCTGTGGGCCGTCTGTTTCGTCGGGAATTGGAAGACGGAGACATCAGAACGGGGAGCCATTGTCAGCGAACTGCTCAAGCACGGAGCCAGTCGGCTGACCGAGGGAGAGGGCCTAGACAGGACGTGGACCGCGTTCAAGCTGGCTCGGTACTACGGATTGCCTGAAGAGATTATCGATCTTGTCACGCCGACGGAAGACGAGCTCAAAAGCCTCGGCAAGGACGAAGGCCCGTGGCGGTACAGCATTCGCAACGACACCAAGGAGGCAAAGGTGTATCCAAGGTCGTTCTGCGATGCATGCCTGATGGTGAGTCCAGGAACAAAACAAGGTGTGAAAGTCGTCCGCATTGACGCGCTGCTAATTACTTCTTTTCTGCTATTAATTAGGTGTTGGCTGGTGTGTACCACTTGTGCGACGAATGCCCCGGGTTCTGCCTCTGCTTCAAATGCTACCGCTCCAAGAACACCATCCACCCCGAGCACGATTTCCACGACACGGGAGAAAGCAACGAGTATGTGGAGGACCAGGCGGACGATACCGTGGCTACCACTCCGGGGGCTACCACGGACGCGGGCGGAGACGGAAACACCTCGTCGAGCTCTGAACACCCCGAAGCAGACCCCCTGGAGGCACTAGTCAAGACCAGATCAGATGATAGCGACGATACCGGGGAGGAGGAGAGTAGCGACGAGGAGGAGGAGGAAGAGGAGGAGGAAGAGGAGGAGGAGGAGGAGGACGGAGAAGGGGACGGAGACGATGAAGAGGAGGAAGAGGACGACGACTGATATATTAGTCTATATGCGGGCTTGATCTTGGCGGCCGAGGCTGCCGTGCGTCGTGTGTGGATTTTGTGTCTGGTGCGAGTTTTCTGTTTCTAGATGGTCGAAATGCAGACGTGTGGTTGTATTCAAAGCTTGGGTCTTTTTCTGGCGTCATCACGACGTGGCAAGCCAGCCCTTCCAATATTGATGCATAATTATGCCTCGGGCACGATTGCGCCTTTACGATCCAATCCCCGGAGGATTGTGCGATTTATCCAAATACCGAGCTACCGGCCACTCAGGGCTGGGCTGCAGGATAAAGGAGGAAATGCCGCCTCCGATACCCCTGAACACAAGCATTAGCATGGAAGGGAAAGTGGATTCGGGTGCCAACTGCCAAGAGGCCGGATAGACTTATGCCACCTTCCCAATCCGGGCGGTGCTTGTGCAACGCCGAGAGCATGGCCATGCCGTCGACACCGCACCCGGGGTTGGACCTGCCCGACGCGGCAGCAGCCTAGCACCGAAGGAGCAGTATGCCATCACCGTGCTTCTCGCGCAAACGGCAACGATTATTACTTGAAGACGGCTCATCCGAGTCTTCAGTCTGGAAGTCAGGATCAGCGCTCCTCGTCGGTCCTCCGTGATCCGTCCCTATCCTATCCCCTCCCTCAAGATGCAGCGTCTCGTGTCCATCTGTGTCGCGGCTGCTGCCCTGGCCGCGGTCACGGTCACGGCCATCGAGCCTGCCCGCCTGCCCCATCAGCCGCTCGGCAACGGCACCAAGCTGCTCACGTACGACATCACCACGGGCAGCCCGGGCCAGCTGGGCTCGTCGACCACGTCTTACACGTGGGTCGACTCAGAGAAGGACGGGTCGTTCATCACCAGGGCCAGCGACGGCTCCTTTGTCTTTGGCGACGTCGTCGCCGGCAACACGACCACCTTCCTGGCCGCCGACAAGATCCCCGCCGACTACCATGACTACTGGATCTCGCCCGACTATTCCAGGGTCCTCTGGGCTGTTAATCATACTAAGCAGTACCGCTACTCGTACTTTGCCGACTACCTCGTGCAGGACGTCGCGTCGGGCACCACGCAGTCGCTCGTCGGCGGCTCCACGGGCGACGTGCAGTACGCCGCGTGGAACCCGGCGTCGTCGTCGCAGATCGCCTTTGTGCGCGGCAACAACTTGTTCCTCTGGAGCAACGGCACGGTGGGCCAGGTCACGGCTGACGGCGGGCCGGACCTGTTCAACGCCGTGCCCGACTGGGTGTACGAAGAAGAGATCCTGGGGAGTAACTCGGCCCTGTGGTTCTCGCCCGACGGCGCGTACGTAGCCTTTCTGAGCTTCAACGAGACGGGCGTCGACACCTTCACCATCCCGTACTACATGGACGGCCAGAGCTCGGCGCCGCCGTACCCGCGCCAGCTCGACCTGCGCTACCCCAAGGTCGGCACCACCAACCCCACCGTGGCCTTCCACCTCGTCAGCACCGCGGACCTGGCCGCCGTCGCGATTCCAGTCGACGTGTGGCCCGCCGACGACCTTATCATCGGCGAGGTGGCCTGGCTGACGGGCGCGCACGACAAGGTCGTCTACCGCGCCTTCAACCGCGTGCAGGACCACGAGAAACTCGTACTGGTCGACACTGCGTCCAGATTGTCGACCGTTGTCCGGCAGCGCGACGGCTCGGACGGCTGGCTCGAGAACAATGCCGCCATCCGCTACATTGGCGCCGTCAACGCCAGCTCGCACCGAACAACAAACGGCACTGGGTCCGGGGCTAAGTACTACCTCGACCTGTCGGACGAGTCGGGCTGGAACCACATCTACCTGTTCCCGGTCGACGGCGACAGCAGCGGCAAGATCGCGCTCACGTCGGGCGAGTGGGAGGTGGCGGCCATTCTCAAGATCGACGCGGCGCGCGGGCTGGTGCACTACACGTCGACGCAGCGGCACAGCACCGAGCGGCACCTGTACTCTGTATCATGGATCACGGGCGCCAAAACGGCGCTGGCCGACGACAGCGTGGCGGGGGTGTGGAGCGCGTCGTTCTCGGCCGGCGGCGGGTACTATGTGCGGCGTTACGGCGGGCCCGACGTGCCGTACCAAGAACTCTTCTCCATTGACGCGCCCGCCACGCCCCTGCGCACCGTCAATGACAACGCCCGCCTGTACAACCTGCTGCAGACGTACCGCTTACCCAACATCACGTATCTCGAGCTCGCACACCCGGCCGGGTACACGCTCAACGCCATGCTGCGGCTGCCGGCCAACTTCTCCCCCGCCAAGACCTACCCGGTCCTCCTAACCCCCTACGGCGGGCCCAACGCGCAGCAGGTGACTAAGGGCTTTGCGTCGCTCAACTGGAACGCCTACATCGCGTCGGACCCGGAGCTCGAGTACATCACGCTCACCGTCGACAACCGCGGCACGGGGTTCAAGGGGCGGGCGTTCCGGTCGCTCGTGGCGGGGCGGCTCGGCGAGCTCGAAGCGGCCGACCAGATCTGGGCCGCGAAAGAACTGGCCAAAAACCCGTGGGTCGACGCCGCCAAGATCGCCATCTGGGGCTGGTCGTACGGCGGATACCTGGCCGCCAAGGTTGTCGAGGCCGGCGACGCCATCGTCTCGCTCGGCATCGCCACCGCGCCCGTCGCCGACTGGCGCCTGTACGACTCCATGTACACGGAGCGGTACATGAAGACGCCTTCGCTCAACCCGGCCGGGTACGCCGCGTCCTCCGTGCACGACGCCGCGGGCTTCAAATCTATCGCGGGCGGCTTCCTCGTGCAGCACGGCACGGGCGACGACAACGTGCACTTCCAGAACTCGGCGGCGCTGGTCGACCTGCTGATGGGTGCAAAGGTAAGCCCGGAGAAGCTCGCCGTGGCCTGGTTCACCGACTCGGACCACAGCATTAACTACCACAATGCCGGCGCGTACTTGTACAAGCAGCTGTCGAAGAAGCTGTTTGACGAGAAGGCGCGGGTGGGGAATAGTACCAGCGGGCATCAGTGGAGTAGGCGGAAGGTCGTGGCTTGAGTCTGGCCGTGTCTAGGTAATCATTGATTGCGTGGTTGGGTTGGTGTGCCGGGAAATACTCGATATCCTGTAATGAACAATAATTAATTGAAAATTCGTTTTGGTCTGACTCTATTCCGAGTTTTGCGTACTTTGATTTGGACTGATAATCAACTGATGAGTTACGGCACCGGTAAGCTACTGCATTCAGCTCTGATAATTAACAAATAAAGAGGCAGACAGTGTTTAGATTAGGGGGTCTCTGGGTTGTTTATTTGTTTGTTCGACATGTTTTGTAGAGAGGTGAATTGAGCCCGCAGTGTTTGAGTCTCCAGTCTTATATCCATTCCTTTGGTAACACTCTGAAAGGATGTTAACTCTCAAGCAACCAGACTGAAGAGGCTCTAGATTGAGTTTGCCGCAAACCGTCATTGTTGGCAAACCGTCATTGTTGAAATAAGAAGGATAAAATTGGAGAACTTGGAGAACCCGATACATGTCAAGACCAAACTAAGCAGGTAACAACCTCACTTTGATGGACTGTGGGAGTTGGAGAAGAAACACGCATCCCGTGTTTGTCTGCCTGCAACTGTATCCACACTAGAAAGTGTATAGCCCAGCCAATCTCGTCTAATGCAGCCGTGCGCCTATCGTCAAAGTCTATCCAGTAATCATGATTCGTATCCGAATTCCCCAATCCTTTGTCCGGGGCCCCTTTACCATGCCATGCTCGCAGCCGAAACACTTTGTATGTACTTCCATCCTCAGAACAAGCCCTTCGTGCTGCCCTTCGGTAGCCTCTGAGCCTGCCCACAATCTCACGACTCCCTGCTCGCAACCGCCTGCTGTACCGGGACTTTCTTATATCTCACCACCTCGGCGCCGCTCTCGTCGACCTCCCTCTCTACCGTCACAACGTAACCCCCCAGCCTTGGCCACAGCTTGGTCCATAGGGCCCAGTACACGCCGCCAAACAGTAAAACGCCCAACCCGACCAGAGGGAAAGCGTAGTACGGGTAGCCGTCCGCATTCCAGGCGCTGTTTGGCGGGATGAAGGGCGTGATGGCTAGGAATGCGTTGAGCAAGACGTAGATCACTGACACGACAATCGGCGTGTGCCACGGCGAGGTCCAGTTCTCCGACCTCTTCAGCTGCAGGTAGATCAGGCCGCCGCCGACGAACGCGTTGATCCACGCACCGGGATACGTGTACAAGTTGACAATGAAGTTGTAGGCGGCCCCTGGAGGGGGTGCCACGAGGACTATCACCGTGACAATCCAATGAAGCAGCATCTACAAAGGTCAGCGTCGTTCAGGAAGTAACAAGACAGATGCAGACTCACCGACGCCGACGGCGTGTTGAAAGGCCTGTTTGAAGCCCAGAACTGGCTGTATGGCAGGATGCCTTCCTTGGCTAGTTCTTGGTTGACTCTGGCGTGGGCAAAGCTGACAGCCAGGACGTTGCCAATGTTGCTGAGGGCGACAAAAGCCGGCAGACTCCTAGCCGCAGCGCTCTCGCCGAATACATTCTTGAAAAACAAGCCGGCGACGATGACTTCAGACTTGGCGAGATCTCCCTTGGGAATAGCGGCGAAGTACGCCACGTTTGCGAGCACGTACAGGATGGTAACACCCACCACCGCGATCGGCGCAGCGATGGCCAGTGTCCGGCGCGGGTTCTTGAGCTCCCCGAGCACGTAGTTTGCATTCTCCCACCCCTTGTAGCTGTAAACAACCTGGAGCATGGCCGTGGCGTACGCGTAGGCGCCGCCACCGCCGTAGCCGTCTCCCTTCTCGATCGCCCACGGGTTATCGAAGTTACGCGGGTCAGGCACAAGCCGATGGCCCGCGAGGGCTGCGAAGCCAGCGAAGACGATGACGAGGAGGACGCCGACTTTGAAAATGCCGAGGGCGTTGGTAAGCCTGAGACCCCACTGCGGAAGAGTCGAGTGCAGCACGGCAACAAACGTCACACACGCAATCGCAATTCCCCGGGCGGCCCACCCGTCGGGCGATTCCCTGCCGGCGGCGAGCAGAACGTACCGGCCAAATGCCAGCGAGTTGCCGGCCGAGAAGCCCAAGAGGATCATCTGGACAGCAAACACGCTGGTGGCCAGGTAGCGGGGCTGTCGGAACACGCGCTCGAGGTAGTTCTTCTCGCCGCCGGACCGTGGTATGGCGAGCCCAAACGACAGATACACGCTCAGACCGCTGAGGGTAAGGATCCCAGCTGGACTCACTCGTCAGCCATAGTCACGGCTTGCAGCTGCAAGCTTTGCATAGGTTCCACAAACCAGCCGCCCAGAGCAACAGGCAGATGCCAACAGACCCGGTGGCGGCAAAAATGCTCGAAGGGGTCGAAAAGACTGCAAGGTTGGGCGTCAGCCATCTACCTAGTCTGCAGGTAGCTAGGTAATTAGACGTACTGCCAGTCCCGATCATCTTATTCAGTATCAGAAAGACAGCGCCCATGACCCCTATCTTCCGCGAGTCGGGAACGGCGTATTTCAGCACGCCGCTTCCGCTGGCAGCACCCGGGCTGCCTGGGGTGAGGCGGGCGCCATCGGCCTCGCTATCGACAACGACATTGAGAACGGGGCTCCCGGGCAGCTTCTGCCGACCGTCACCTTCCATCGGGCGGGCTTGGGGCGGGGATTGGCCGTTTCCAGCACCGACAATCAGACTAATGTTTCAAAAGCCTAAAAAATAAGGGGACGCTTGATGACTGCTGTCGGCTAGAAAATGCGGGTGCTGAACTGGCATGGCCTCGAGCGGTCGAGGCTTTGCCGCTTTGTAATTAACTGGTTCGAAAAGTAATGGTGGGAGCGTTTGCCAAAGTCTGCCTCGCCGACAATCTGGATTTCCGCGCCACTAAAAATACGGCCAGTTAAAGTAGTCGCGGCCGAAACCCAGCAGCAGCGCGCTTGCGGTCGAAATGGCAGAGTTGATGACCATGATGCAGTTCCCAGCCCCAGAGCCCCAGACCTGCCAATTGCGTGCTCGCGGAACGCTATGGCAAACTCCCACCATTGGGCCGGGCTCCACTTGGCGCTACCGAGCACGCCGATGCTCGGGTTTGTCCATGCAAGGCTGAGCCGAGCAATTGGACGTGCAGTCTTAGATTTGTTTCTGACTACGGATATGCATTGCTAGTAAACAAATACCTCTTCATGATGCCGTGTTGCGGTTCAGAAGGCAGGGGGCTCGCGGTCACACTGTGGCGACAGCACTGCTCAATAGCCACAGCATGCCTTCGCCACAGCCACACAAGGTCAGGTCCAAGCAGCCAACAGCGACTACATCTAATCGGCACGTGTCAGCCGTTAAGGTGGAAAATATAAGGTCAATGATAAAGGCATCAGGATCAAATAAATATTTAGGTTCCAATATTTAAACGCTTTGCTAATCCTCTTTGTCCCTGAACCCTGGCCTGGCCTGGATGGTCGGGCGGTGAGTCAAGAGGTGGCGGCAGAACCTCGGATCCCCACGCAGGGCGACAAAAAAGTTTACCCCGCTGTGGGCGCAATTGGTTTCGGAAGGAAGCAATCGTCGCCGTGCCGTGCCCAACGCCAAAACTCTGACTCACCAAAACCGCATCTCGCCTTGCGCACCGTCCACGATTGAAGCAAGACGACGCCCAAAAATCTCACCAGAGCCCGGTATCAAAGACTGTTTCAACAATGGTTTCCGCAACAACAGACGAGCGGCTCGCGTCGGCGGCGGACGCGAAGCTGACGGTGACAGACGGCAAGGCGCCCCTCTCAAAGGATGAGCAGCTCGCCCTCATACGCGTTAACCTCGCCGAGTTCATGAACCCCGAGATTATCGAAAAGGTGATTGACGAGGGCCGCCATCCGAGGATCTACTGGGGTAATTTACCTTCCAGACCCCGTGCTGGGCGCCGTCTTTGGCGCTTTCCTGCGAACGACTGCTGACGATCTCCATGTCTCGTAGGAACGGCCACAACCGGTTCGTCGCAACCCGCTCCCTGTTTTCAGACATGACTAAAATGCATCAAGGCCGGCCACACTGCGGTTACTTGGTCCCGGGGCTGAAGATTGGCCAGCTGCTGGCCGCCGGCTGCCACGTCGTCATTCTCCTCGCCGACATCCACGCCTTCCTCGACAACCTGAAGAGCTCCGTCGAGCTCGTCGAGTACCGCGCCAAGTACTACCGGTGGGCCATCACAAATATGTTGGAGGCTCTAGGCGTCCCGACAGAAAAGCTCGAGTTTGTCTTGGGTAGCTCGTACCAAAAGAGCCCAGCTTAGTATGTCCAACCCTTTGCGCGTCGCGACGTCCAGCTCGCTCTCGTAATGGAGTCTACTCCCTGCTGAAGCTGACACATGTCCAGTATAATGGATGTCTACAAGCTCGCCTCGGTGGTGTCAGAGCACGACGCCAAGAAGGCAGGCGCCGAGATCGTAAAGCAATCCGACAACGCCCCCCTCTCAGGCCTCCTCTACCCCATCCTCCAGGTTCTCGACGAGGAATACCTAAAGGTTGATGCCCAATTTGGCGGCTTGGACCAGCGGAAGCTCTTCACAGCGGCCAAGGAGTGGCTTCCCAAGTTGGGATACAAAGAGGTAATGTCTTGGCAGCCTGGCCATGTCGACCTCTGGCTGACCGTTTCCAGCGTGCACACATCATGAACCCCATGGTTCCCGGACTCCAGGGCTCAAAGATGTCGTCTAGCGACCCTGGTACATCCCTCTGTTGTCCTGGCAGCAACCGGAAACATGGCTAACGATGCAAAAGACAGCAAAATCGACCTTCTGGACCCACCAGAGGTAGTGACGCGCAAGATTAAGAAGGCCGAGGCTGCCCCCAAGGTTAGCGAGGGCAATGGACTTATTGCATTTACCGAGTTTGTTCTTCTCCCCGCAGCGAGCCTGCGCGGGGGCGATTTCCGCGTAAACCGGGATCGGGACGGCTTGGAGCCGCTGATCTACACCGACATTGCGCAGCTGCGTGCCGACTACGAGAACGATGTCGTATGTGCACCCCAGTGGCTTTTGTTGTCGAGGCCAAACGCTAACCTGATTCTAGTTGACGCCGCAATTACTCAAGCCTGCGATCTCGACGGCCCTGAACGCCATTCTGGCTCCCATTCAGGCCGCCTACCAGGCGTCAAGCGAGTGGCAAGAAATCACGACCAAGGCCTACCCGGCAGAGGACAAGAAGAAGAAGCAGAAGAAGGTCAAGGGCAAGGGCTCCCGCTACCCCGGCGCTGGGAAAGAAGGCGGCCCGGACGGCAAAACAGATGGCGCCGTAGATACTCCCCCGCAGTAATAGAAGCCTCGACTCAATGTCAACACTAAAAGTTAGATACCAAGCCATTTTGAGCTCCGCACGTCTCAAATCCGTCGTGTAGTAAGCCCCTCCAACTCTTGTCTGTGGGTATAAGGGGCTGTCAGGTCTTGGAGGTTCGATGCATCGTTTCTGCCTTGTCAATACAAGTCCCGGAGGCTTGGCCCTTGGTTGGGTTTGTTGGTGGTCTCCGCGGCCGAGATTGTCGATGGATGGGACAACAACAATTCCACCAACCAGCACGGCCTCCTCAGATATGGACATGACGACACCGGGACCGAGTTTGCAGTCGTGGGTAGTTGCATATAGCCACTACCGACGGCGCAGGGGGATAAATTGCGGGAAAAGCAGCCGCGTCCTATAATTCGTGGGCTTATAAGCCTGTATAGCCTGCCTCTTCATATCCAGCAAGATCCAATGGGCCCGTTCGCAATATAGCGGCAGCGGCCCAGATCCCGTCCAGCAGCAGTACAGGGACTATGGCCCGGATAGATGTTCTCTCATAGCTCCCGATTAGCGGAGCCGGAGAGTCGGATTCACCCGCACCTTGAGCCGCGCCCTACCTTGTGTACACGGAACTGCTATTCTCCGCTACCCCGCGAGATCCTTCGTCCGACATGGCACGGACAAGGCCCAGAAATACAAGGACCTACCCGACAACCGGTGGCGATGTCTTGGTGCACCTGAGTGGAATGCATCTACAGACTCGTCGCGACGACTATGGCGCCCCTGTCACGGCCAGCCGCAGCCACCATGTATTATTTCAGTCTTTTGAGTCTTGTTACATTAAGCCTCGCGCTCCTGCTGGGCTCGAGCCCCTCTGAAGCGCGCACAATCAAGCAACCTCGCGCCGCCGATGCCGCCGCCGCCGCCGGAGGCCGCGAGCGCGTCAGCATCAACGCGGGCTGGAAGTTCTCGCGCTTCACGTCGAACCCCGACCAGCTGTCTTACACGACGCTGAAGCCATGGATGCTGCCGTCGGCAAACGATTTTATTAAGAGCGCCAAACGCGTGCAGCCTTCGGGGACGGCCCCTGGTGCCAGCATCAGCTACGTGCAAGCCACCTTTGACGACAGCGGCTGGGAATCGCTCAACCTGCCCCACGACTGGGCCATCAAGGGCCCGTTCAACGCGCCCGGCGTCGGCGGCGGCATGGGCCGACTTCCCAGCAACGGCGTGGGCTGGTACCGGCGCAAGCTGACCGTGACCGACGCGGACGCGGGCAAGACCATCTTCCTCGACGTCGACGGCGCCATGTCGTACGCGGCCGTCTGGCTCAACGGCAACTGGGTCGGCGGCTGGCCGTACGGCTACGCGTCGTTCCGCCTCGACCTCACGCCGTACCTCAAGCCGGGCGCCGACAACCTCTTGGCCGTCCGCGTCGACAACGCCGTGGAGAACTCGCGCTGGTACCCCGGCGCAGGCATCTACCGCAACGTGTGGCTCGTCAAGGTCGACCCCGTCCACGTCGGCCAGTACGGCACCTACGTCACCACGCCCGTCGTCTCGGCCCAGTCGGCCACGGTCAACCTGGCCGTCACGGTCGAGAACAAGGGCAGCGCCAGCCGCGACGTCAACGTCGACGCCAAGATCTACGCCCTCGACGCCGACACCGGCCAGACCCTGTCCGACAAGGTGGTGGCCACGTTCCCGACGGTCAAGGTGACCGTGGCCGCGGGCGCCTCGCAGGCTGTCAACGGCTCCGCCACCGTCGCCAGCCCGCTGCTCTGGGGCCCGCCTCCTGCTCAAAAACCCAACATGTACGTCGCCGTGACGACGCTGACGGCCGCCGACGGCGGGGCGGCCGTCGTCGACACGTACGAGACGCAGTTCGGGATCCGGTCCATCAAGTACGACGCCGACAAGGGCGTTCTGGTCAACGGCCAAAAGGTGTACGTGCAGGGCACGTGCAACCACCACGACCTCGGCTCGCTGGGCGCGGCCTTCAACCGGCGCGCAGCGCAGCGGCAGCTCGAGATGCTGCAGGAAATGGGCACCAACGCACTGCGGACATCACACAACCCCCCGGCCCCTGAATTCCTCGAGCTGGCCGACCGCATGGGCTTCCTGGTGCTCGACGAGATCTTCGACTGCTGGAACAACCGCAAGACGACCAATGACTTTCACCTGATCTTCCCCGACTGGCACGAGCCTGACCTACGCTCCTTCGTCCGCCGCGACCGCAACCACCCGTCCGTCATTGTGTGGAGCTACGGCAACGAGATCGGCGAGCAGTCGGGCGGCTCGGGCGCAGCGACCGCCCAAGAGCTCGAAGACATCTTACGGTCTGAAGACGCCACGCGGCCCGGCACTACGGCCATGAACAGCGCGTCGGCCGGTAGCGCCTACGCCAACGTCATGGACGTCATCAGCCTCAACTACCAGGGCGAAGGCATCGGGCCGACGGCCAGCTCGACAGCCCCCAGCTTCAAGCGCGCGTACCCGGACCGCATGATCTGGAGCTCCGAGAGCGCGTCGACCCTCAGCACGCGCGGCACATATCTGTTCCCGGTCTCGAGCGCGCTCAGCACCACCGTCGGCGGCGCGTCCGCCGGCGGCAACAACTCGGCCCTCTACGTCAGCGCGTACGACCTGTACGCGCCATCCTGGGGATCCTCCCCAGACAAAGTCTTCGCGCAGCAGGACAAGAACGCGTTCGTGGCGGGCGAGTTCGTGTGGACGGGCTTCGACTACATTGGCGAGCCGACGCCCTACAACGCGGCGCGGTCGTCCTACTTCGGCATCATCGACCTCGCGGGCTTCCCCAAGGACCGCTACTGGCTGTACCGCGCGCGGTGGCGGCCGTCCGTCCCCGCCGCGCACCTGCTCCCACACTGGACGTGGCCCGACCGCGTCGGCCTCGTCACGCCCGTGCACGTCTTCACCGCCGCCGACGAGGCCGAGCTCTTCGTCAACGGGGCCTCCGCCGGCCGCAAGAAGCGCTCTGCATCGTCGTATCGCCTGCGCTGGGACGACGTCGTCTACGCGCCCGGCGACCTGCGCGTCGTCGCCTACAAGGACGGCGCGCAGTGGGCGACAGATGCGCGGCGCACCGTCGGCGCTGCCACCGCGCTCAACGCGACTGCTGACCGCGCGGCCATCAGCGGGGCCGCCGGCGACGACCTCGTGTTCGTGAGCGTCGCGGTCGTGGATTCCAGGGGCGACGTGGTACCGCGCGCGGCGAATGCAATCGCGTTTTCGGTCGCCGGCCCAGGCGTCCTCGTGTCGACTGACAATGGCGACCCGACGGATATGACCGTCTTCCAGTCGCCCACGCGCAAGGCGTTCAGTGGCCTGGCGCTCGCGGTCGTGCGCCCGAATGCGGGGGCCACCGGCACGATTGTGGTTTCGGCTACAGCGGCGGGGCTGGCTGGCGCGAGCATTTCGGTGCAGGTCGTTTGAGGTCGCTGAGGGCAGGCTGGAGGTGTTCTTTTGGCTAAGGTGTTGCTTGTTAAAATTAGGTAGCATAGGTCCCCTCTTTGTTGGGGGTGTTGGATGGTTGTTTGTTGTGGCTGTGTTTGTGTTGGTCAAAAGCAACATTTGAACATGGTCAATATAGATGCCCACTCAACTGCGAATTTCACAACCAAAATAAAGCCATGGAACTAAGAGCTATTCAAATCTCGAGCAGTCAGTTCAGCTTTGACCTAGAATTTGTCGAGCTTCGGGTGTGCATGAGGTTTGGCATGTCCAGTTTAGTTAACCCGTCGAGTCTAAGCTTCGAAATAACAGACTCGATGTGTATGTTGATAGCTACTCAATCTTCTACTTAAGCGGGAATTACTCTCCCGGTTTAATAAAGCAGGGGTCGGTTTAAAGGGCGGCAGCGTAGGGGAATAGGTTAGCCAAAGTTGTGTTGATTCTCAGGTTGGGGTCAGGGGCTAGTTGCCGTGTCAACCTGCAGGGAGCCAGTTGTGTTTTGAATGCAAGGCACATTACACAGCTAGTTCCAACGTTGGGCAGTTAGCCTCTGGCCAAAATATTGTTACATAATGTCTGCTACGGAATATGAGTGTACTGCACCCGTGTCTCGTGGCCTCCTCTAGCCGAGACGGCGCGCCAATGGCGTGGTTGTCGTTACCGAAGCCTTCCTTCCCCCCTCACCCTTCAGTGATAATTAGAAGGCCGGGGTGCTACTATTATTCTGTCAAGCCCCTTGAATGTATCCGAGGGTTCGGCCCAGCGCGGCCAGCTGCATTTGATGCCGAGGTGAGGGCAAGAAGGGGTGTCAAAAGATTTAGGGTATCTGCCATCGAGATCATAGCAAAGAAGAAGAAAAATCTGGGTTTCAGTGCACCGGCAAGATGGCCTGTTTCCTATATCATCGTAGACGGCAATTCTGGCGTAGTATGTGGGAATATGATCTGCGCCCAGACCTGCTGCGAGAAGCCAGACAAACTCCATGTTGACCGATGGCGGTAGTTGTGAAATCGAGTCGTCGCTGGTGGATTGGCTCGAACCGTATATTATTATCAAGTATGGAAGAAGCTGGCTTTAGTCCTGGTGTCCGATGGCTACGGCACGCTGGATGGACACAAACGTAAGTGTATGCTATAGCCGACGCCAGAAGCCCAGTAAATCGTCGAGCTCAGCATAGATGTTCATGAGGGTTAGTCTGCGGATTCTGGGGAGCTCGGCCCGGTCGGCGAGTGACCGGAACACGGCCATAGCCGATCAGTATTCGCGAGCGGTATTAGGCTGATCGAGGCGAACGACCAGGGCCTCGAGATTTAGGGCGAGGTTGACAAAGCCTAGCAGCCAGTTAAGACGCCGGCGATTGTGAGGCGTGTCATGGGCCCGAGTGTTGGCCACATCCAGAGAGTTCAGCGCCAGCTGCAGGCTCGTCAGGGATTCGAAGCAGATTCCCAGCTTAGGTGGCACACTGGGATTGAGGGACAAGGTCCGAATATCCAAGGAAGACTGTTTGTCATCACTGTGCTAAACGTGAAGGCCCTTGAAGGCCCTGCCCTCTCTAGCCAAGGTCGAAACAACAACGGCACGGAAGAGGGCGGTGTGAAGCCGAAACGAGCCGTTGATGAGCATCTTATACTTGCTGAGAATCTTATTCTTTATCGGGTACCGCGACGAGTCGATGTAGTTCATGGGGCCACGACCACGCCAACGAAAATTTTATAGTTGAATCCACTTATCTACGCATACGAGGACTTCCCAGGAAATTGCAGTCTTTTAGCCCTGAGAATCCAGATTTGTATGTCGACGGAGCTTGCCGGCGATGCCCTCAATCTAGGAAAAATTGGCCTAAAAATGCCCTACTTCTGGCAAATATAAACAAAGTAAATCAAATATGAAGTTTTTTTATTTGCTGTATTTGAGCAGTATTTTAGCCCTATTTGATTTGGCTATATTTGGTTGTATTTAGTTTGCATCATTTTATTTACATTGTTGAGATCGCTGCGTGTATAGGTTCTTGTCCGGAAGTTCCGGACAAGAACCTTTACGCCCAACTAACCGATTTAGCAAAAGCCTTGAACTAGTCTAGACTCAATAATTAATACGCCCTGCACAGAGATGGTGTAACAGTGTGCCATTACGCCGGCAGATAAAATAAATAAGCGCTCTGAGCAACAGCCACGATATGGTCGCAACCCCCACAATAGATGGTGGCTAGACCGGGTTTCTTGGGCTGAAGATGAGGTCTATTATTATAGACAACGTCTAGTAACTGTGACCGGATGATTTCCTGTCACACACACTGTCATTTATTACTCTGTGAGAAAGTTAAATACTTCTTTCAAAGACCACAGAGAGAAGTTCAAGTTAGGGAACATGTATTATTATTCAACATGAAAATAGCACTGTTTCCTCGACTGTTGTTTTGACTGATGCAAAATACCACAAGCGATGCTACTAGTCAGTAGGTAGCCTTTCACTTATGACTTGAGTGAATCTCATCAACCTCGAAGATTCTGGTCAACAACCAACTCTGCCAACAACTCTTCATCAGAATAACTAATAGCTCTTAGGTTTTTTTTAAACATTATAATTATCTAAAATTCGGAACAACTAAAAGTCATAGCCCGAGCACAACACCAACTAGACTCTAAAACAACTCTCTATGTCTCGATATCGTCCCCCGAAGCACCACTTTCTCGACTGCAACTAGCTCCGCATGAGCCAAGTTTGCCAAGCCATGTGCCGAGCCGAGCAGCGTAAGAGCCCCGACCCAATCCCGGCCGCTCTCCGGGATGCTGGGAAAAGTGGGGGCAGCGCCGAGCATCCGCAATTGGGCGAATGTCAGGGGGACGAAGCTAAACCGAGTATGTGCAAGATTTCCAATATTTCAATGTCTTGGCCTCGAAAGGGAGCCTTGCGGGCCTTGGCAAGGTTCTTTCGAAAAGCGCGTGGGCGCGCTGCCCCTCCTGACAATCTCCCAACGCCACCTGCTCGCGCCGTCGAGTCAACCAAGACACAGAGCGAAACATGGCCGCTGGATCAACAGTCTGGTCGGCGCCGAGCCTCATGGCGCGCATCGCAGCGCTCGCGGCTGTCTCTGTGTTTTGGCTCGCGGGTCTTGCGAATGCGGCCGACTGCAACCCGACAAAGCAGAGTAATGAACCCCCTGCCCGACCTCCATCTCTCTCGACTCAGAACCGCAGCTAACCACCACCCGTTTCCTCAACCGACAGCATGCCCCGCGGTGCCAGCGCTGGGCACGACGGTGACAGGCGACTGGACGCAGTCTATCGACTACGGCCCGTTCGAATTAGTCACGGACTTCCCGACGTTCGACTCGGGCACGGGGCTCGTCTTCACGCTGCGGAACGCGACCGCCTCGCCGATGATCCGCACCGCCAAGTACATCTTCTTCGGGCGCGTCGACGTCACGCTGCAGGCGGCGCCGGGCGTCGGCATCGTCACCTCGCTGACGCTGCTGTCCGACGACCTGGACGAGATTGACATGGTGCGCGCCCCTCTATCCCACAAAGAAAAACTAAACAGCAGACTAACATTTGTCCCGGGGGACGCAGGAATGGCTCGGTGCATATGACAACCAGGTGCAGAGCAACTACTTCAGCAAGGGCGACGCGTCGGTGTACGACCGGGGTGCGACGCACAACGTGTCGTCGGGAGGCAGCTTGACGGCAAAAACGCACACGTACAGCATCGTGTGGAGCCGGGAGCAGATCGAGTGGCTGGTTGACGGGGCCGTGGTTCGCACGGTGCGGAACGACGGCAGCGGCAGCGGCAGCGGCTTCCCACAGACGCCGATGCGGGTCTTGCTGGGGTCGTGGGTGGCGGGGCGCCAGGAGCTGAGCGCGGGCACCGTCGAGTGGGCGGGCGGGCTTGCGGATTTCAGCAAGGGCCCGTTCAGCATGACGGTCAAGAGCTTCTCCATCGCCGACGACGCCACGGGCGCCGCCCAGTACAGCTATGCCGACACCAGCGGCGCGTACCAGGGCATCCGGGTTGAGGATGCCAGTGGCGCTCTTTTATCGAGCTCTTCTTCGTCTTCCTCTTCGTCGAGCACCGTCGGCCAGACAGGGTCGTCGTCGACGAGTCAGACGGGAACACCAACCGGATCGAGCAGCTCCTCAGCACCGACTAACAGCACATCATTGCCCGGTGAGGACGGAAGTGGAAGCGGCAGCGGAAGCGGGGGAGGCAGCGGCCTCGGGGCAGGTGCTATCGCCGGTATCGTGGTTGGCGTTGTCGCAGCAGCCGTTATCATTGCCGGGCTTGTGTTTGTTGTGCTCCGGCGAAAGCGGCTTGCCGGTGCGCCGGTGGCGGCAACCGATGACGTTAGCGGGAGACCCGAGCTCGGCGGCCAGGCGCTGGAGAAGCACGAGGGCAAGCCAGAGCTCGACGGGCAGCATGTGGGCGAGATGGACGGAACGGACGTGCCGCATGAGCTCAACACGAACCTGGCAGACAACGCCCCTGCGGCCGGCATGCCGCCACAAGAGCTGCCGCCGGGGACCATGGGCTACCAGGCACAGCCAGGATATGCGCCAGGCCACGGGGCCGAGGCGCACGAGCTCCCAGCCGACTGGACGAAGTGAATTGTGCTTTGCAAATAAATTACAGCGTAATTACTTTAATATAATGGGATCATAGCAAGCTGCCCAGGTCTTCCATCAACCGGACCGCTCAGAACACAGTGGTGTGTTCCGGTGTCGTCGCCAAACAAGCCAAGTCTAAGTAAGTATGAGCAATGTAACAAAGATCATAGTACTCCGTTCTCACCCAATACGCCAATACTCCCGACATCTGAGATCACAAAGTTGCGATAATCTCATAGTTTGCGGTTATCTGCATCGCACGCCTTTGTAAACTCTCTTAGAAGAGCCTAGATCAAAAACACGTTAGTAAGGCCACTTCCCACCGTACGACCGTTGGCATGGGCAGCATGGCGACGTACCTCGAAATCGTGATGAGCAAGCGACCGGAAGGCAGACAATCGCATCAACCCCAGCTGCGATACTCGGGGGCTCGAGATGCCAAACGCGACGCGCGTCAGGAACCGCGGGTCGTCGCGCACATCCGTGGCTTTGAGCACGCCTTGGATGGCCGCCGCCGTCGTACGGGTTATTGCCCGAGGGGGCGCCATGACCGGGACCCCAGTGAGGCAGAAGGTGCAGTGACCACACTTTGATTTGCCGTTGGGCAGCCCCATGCCAAAGTGCTGCGCCAGCGCCAGAGCAAAACATTTGCGCCCCGTGATCAGAGCCATGACCTCTCGGCTCCGCTCGAGAGCGTCTTTCTCCCGTGTTTCCATGTCCGTGTACAGCTTGTCGAGCACGGCGTCAATTTCTGCGTCAGTTTGGGGGAGCTTTTTCTGGATCAAATAGCGTTGCTCGATCCCAGCAACCTGCAATTTGATGTGCCCAGAGTCACTCAAGAAGTTGAGCTTCTTGACGATGTCCATCCGTCCAAGGTCGGATGACCTGGCTACCGCGTTGACATCGATGTCGTGGTATTTGACCTTTCTCTTGGCGCCTGAGAAAATGGCCTTGGCTTCAGGGCTTGGGTCTTTCTTGATCACCGGGAAGTAGGACTTCATGGCCTCAAACTTGTACGAAGAATACTCCGGGGTAACAGCCCGGAACAGATCAAAATGGAGTTCCAGGGTGGCATAGATAATAGCCAGCGGACTGGCGCCAATGTCGAACTCCCTGCCCTGTCTGTAGTGGCTCACCTTGAAGGCTTGGCCCACAGAGAAGTCACTACCAATGTTGAATATGTCAACAAGAAGCCCTCTGAGGGATTGGCGAGAGGGGAGGTCTCTGCGCGCGAAGACTTCGCGGAGGTAAAAGGCGCTGGGAGAGAGATAGAACATGCAGCGACTCCTCAGGCCATCTCTTCCCGCGCGGCCAATCTGCTGGCTATACTCCTCGACCGTGTTTGAGAGATCCCAATGCACGACATTGCGTATGTCTGCCTTGTCGATACCCATGCCGAAAGCAATTGTGGCGCAGACCTGAGGATCAAGTCAGTTGATAGCCAGCCAGGATATCCAGAAACTAGGGGCTGGTTAACGACTTCACGTACAATTTGAATCTTCGAGTCCATAAAATCGTCCTGGATTTTCTGTTTCACCTCTGTCTTCATGCCCGCATGAAAAGCTGCAGCGTTAAAGCCCGCCTTTTTGAGAGCTTCCGCATGGTTCTCGGCCTGCTGCTGTAAAGCAACGTAGACTAGCGTCGGACCCGGATTGGCGCGCAGAAACTTGAACAACTCTGCGAACCTTGCATCGCATTCCGTCTTCGTTTTCCCAAACATGACGTCCAGAATGGATTCTGCGTCACTTGCTGAACTGGCAACTGTCTTGGCATTCAGCTCAAGACTATGATGTGTTAGAAGGTGATTCTAGAACAGCCAGCCAGCCATGCATCTTACTTCGGCCTGTATGGGGATGTCTGAAAGACACACGATGGACTGATCTTGAACGCCTTGCAAACGTCCTGTGCAACTTTGGGCGTGGCAGTAGCCGTCAGACAGATGACGCGCTCAGCCTTGACTTCTTCAACAAAACGGGCCACTACCGAAGGTCAGCAATACACCGCGAATGAAGAGGCCAACGCTCTTAATTTACCTTTGAGATAGTCCGGCCTAAATGAGTGTCCCCACTGTTTGCTCACCATTAGTAATTTCGGGGGAGCATTCTGACATTGGAAGTGAAACGTACCTCTGAAATGCAGTGAGCCTCGTCAACTGCCAGTAAGCGGATGCCGCCGGGAATGTTCTTCACACTCTCGATGAAACCCTCGTTGTTCAGCCTCTCGGGTGCGCAATACAATATCCTGAGGAGGGACTTGCGCAGACTGTCATGGATCAATTTGACATCGTCCCATGACTTGGTCGAGTCGATGCTGTCGGCCGCTATCCCGCGCTTTCTGATGGCATCAACTTGGTCCTTCATTAATGCAATTAGGGGCGACACGACGATGGTGACGCCCGCGTTTTCCGGTTCTCTCAGTCCCGAGGTTTCATCCAGCTCTGGGAACGCAATGGCTGGGATCTGCCAATGTTAGCAACAGTCGCTCTGATACAAACAAGTAATGGAGGCACCATACTTGGTAGCACAACGACTTTCCAGCGCCGGTCGGGAAGATCACAAGCGTGTTCTGCCCTGCAAGGATTTTCTGGATGGCCCCTGCCTGCTCGTGTCTGAATGCCTTGTGGCCAAAATTTTCAGACAGAAGACGCTCTGCAAGTGTAAGATGGGCTCTGTCTTGCGAATCGGGCGGCTCGGTTTCTCTGGAGAGCTTGATCCGTTTCGAAGGGTGCTCGAGCCGCTCGAGCTCCTTGAGACCAGCCTCGTCGACGCCGTCAAACGCATCATCGCCGAACCCGTCAGAGTCGTCGAATGCGCTGTCCCCAAGCTCGTCGGGCTCATTCCCTTTCGCAGACATGGTACAATGCAGACCGAAGTACAGGATTTGCGGGGCAGTCGGTAGCTTCCAGGCTGCACTATTGCAGGCGATATTTGCAGAGGCGTGGCAATGAAGAACGCGGTGAAACAAACGCGTCAAGCCAAGGCCAATGAAATTTAGGGCGCGAATTTCGGAGGTAGCTCCCGCGGTCAGGTGCCCAGGCAGGGGCCCCATGGCATAAATTTCCACACTGTGTGACATCATGAAAGTGCGTATAAAACTTTGTGAATAACGTCGACAAACCCCCTCAAAGGGAAGGCTCTAAAAGGTCGTAATCATGTTGCAAGGTTGCATTGATACTTGTAATTGTTGGCGGCAATTGGCGGAATCAACTGCCGGGCACCTTCCCCGACTTCCGAGTGCCGCTCGAGTGCCGTCCGAGTTCCTTCCAGTCAGCCGCCAAGCCCCTTCCTTTTGTGTTCACAGTTTTCACAATGATGACAGAATTTTTGATTCGAAGCATGACTTCAATCCATGGGCTCGAGGACCGAGAGGGTCGTGGTTTCTCCAAGGAGATACCATCAATCTCCCACAAACAGCTACATCGTCGTTGGCATCGCAAGACTAGCTAAGATGGAAACGCAGCTAGTTTGACCTCTGTTACCCAAAAACTTACCGACATCAGGATTCGTTTGCATCACACCGCTATGCCATACCGAAATTGTCGAAAGTCAAATAACCAATACAGAACGGTGTGGCTGTCACTCATCTTTTTTCTGCGAACCCTGCACGATCCTGCTGTTCTAATTCGGAGAAGGCGTAATTGGGTTTCGTGGCACCCGAGCCCCTGCGTTCGAGGCAACAACGATCGCCTCAACTCCGCCCGGTAGCCTGCAGATGCGGTTTTTCTTGTTACTATTGAAGGTATCAGTTGGATTTTATTAGGCTCAACCAGCCGGGAAATTTGCGCGGTTTTTTTACGAACCGCAGAGCGGCGCGCGTTCCTGCTACTGAGAGGCAACAAAGGCTTCATTCTGCGACTTCCATTCTCATCTCACCGCAACTCAATCCGTGCGTGTCTCACACCTACGTTTGATAAGCGCCGACATCATAGGAACTACCGCGTCCTTCTTCCAGCCTTCCTTTTTAATAAGTTCCGCGTGCTTCAGATTACCTTGCTAGCCGATGCCCATGAGTAAGCGAGGCGGGTATCTCGGCGTGACGACCGGATTTGCTTTTTTGCCTCGGGTCTCGGGCGGAAATAGCAGGAAAAACATTTCCGCGGCGTTGGGCGGTCAGAAACTTTCAAACATCTAAGCACACACAAGTCCGCATCGGCACCCCGACTCCTGCCACTCTTCGGAAATCTGGCCAACCCGCACCAAGTAGTTCCTCGGGAACTCTCTTCAACTTCCCCATCACCTGACTTACTTCCAGCCTCAGCTTTCGCCTGTCTCTCAACTTTCTATACGAACCCCGTTATTCTGCGTTCTCGCTGCATATATCATTAAGAAACAGCAACTCCCATAACGGCATCCTTAAGTAGCTTGTCGTTGACCTCGACATTGTCAGCCCCGAGCTGCCCCTTGAGATCCTCGAGTGCAGTAACGAAGTCGTCTCTCTTAATCCCCTGGGGCACAACTAGGAGGCGTTGTCTCTCTCGTTTCGGCTTTACCCTTCCATCACAAATACCTTCTTTGGTTTTCCTCGCCTTTTCCAGGAGGCAGGCCGGGGTACCAGAGTGAGTGCCCGGAAATGTGGGTACGTCGGAGCGGGCTTCGTTTGTGAATGACATGATGAGTGGTTCTTGGAGTGATATGTGCAGAGTTGCGATGAACACGTAAAATTAGGACTTGCAGATACTTGAAGATGACCTTCTCATCCAGGGTGGGCGACGAATAACAATATTCGCGTATTTGTCAGCGGATAATTCCGTATTTGGAATATCGCAAATATTGACGAATATTCGTTCGCTTAGTCAGCCTGCCAGAAGTGCCCAAAAACAGCCAACGAATATTCGTCTGCTTACCTAATCTGCCAGCACAGCCAACAAATATTTGGCTGCCCAACCTAACCTAACCACCACAAATTCTACCAAATCCTTCCAATTCACATCAGGAAAGATGTCTTTCATCTCTGAGGATTCTTCAATATCCAGAGATACGGGCCGAATTCTGAGCCCAATCACAGAGCACACACGACCACCCCAAGACGAAGAACCGGCACGAAAAGGCAAAAACCGCATGTATTATTGCAAATATTGCCCATCATGGAGTGCTCAAAACACATCGAACTTCCGGCAACACATTCAATCCAAGCATGGTATTGCAATTATCAGCCAATCGAGGAAAGCCGACGATTCCAGCCATACAACACTGCAATCTCTATATGAGAAAGCAATGGTGATCAATCAGATCTCTGAGTTTGATGCTCAAATCTTGAAACGAGCGTTAAATAAAGAGGTTATCACACAGGCGATTATTTCGCTTATTGTTGTTGGGAATCTTTCTTTCCGGATCGTCGAAAGCCCCTATTTTCACACCCTTTGCAAAGCTCTTAATCCAACGGCATCAAACGAGATCCTTTCATCACATTCGACTATCAGAGAGCATATCAGAAAATCCTGGCTTTTTAATAAGGATCTTATTCGGAAGAAACTTCAATCATCCCGCTCAACAATCCACCTCTCCCTCGATGTTTGGACTTCTCCAAACCAGAAACTGTTCCTTGCAGTTTGTGCTCATTTTGTGGATTTCGAATCAGAAACCCTTCAAAAAGCACTTATCGGCCTTCCATCTATCCAGTCACATCATGCAGCAACACAATACGAAGCCCTCATCTGTATTCTTAAGGATTACAATATCTGTTCAAAAGCTGGGGCAATTATTAGCGATAACGCTTCTACCAACGACAGTCTTTGCAAAATTCTCGAAGCAACCTTCAGCGAAATGGCAGTCCCTTGGTTATCATCAGATAATCGAATCCGATGTAATGGGCATATTATCAATCTTGCTATCCAGGCATTTCTATTTCAAGCAGTCGATGAACACAACAAAGGGGCAGATAAGGAGGCTCAGATCTCTGATGATCTAAACCCTCTGATTAAACTCCATAATATTGTCCGCCATATCCGAGGATCTCCTGCTCGAATCCGCCAATTTACTCAGCTTGCTGGTCGAATGATCCCTTCAGATAATTCAACACGATGGAACAGTTGGTATTTAATGGTTCAAGTTGCTATTGAGCATGAGGGTTCAATTTATTCATATACCAAGTCCTGGTATGAATATCTTCAGAAGGATTTTCTTTTTCCGGAAGAATGGGAATATCTTCGAGCGATATCGACTTTCTTACATCCGTTTTATCGAGCAACAAAGGCTACAGAGGGAGATCAAGCGACAATTGACCGAGTTCTATTCACAATGGACATCCTTATTCAGCATTTCAAGAAAAGCCTTTTAACACATCAGTCAAACAGTCTTCTATCTTCTCGGATCGAAAATAGCTGGGCTATTTTCGACAAATATTATTTAAAGACAGAGGACTCTCCATATTACGCAGCAGCAGTAATTTTCCATCCATCACGGCGAACCTTATATCTCAAACAAAACTGGGATAAGAAATGGATACGGCCAGCAATCAACTCTGTCAGAGATCTCTGGGAAAGGCATAAAGATCACTCAGCAAACGCCTCTCCAACACCGCCATCAATGCAGGTTGATGATCTTGATGAATTCGACATCCTTGCTCAAAACCTTGATGTTCTTCCACGACAACAAATAAAGGATGAATTCGAAGATTATATCTCAGAAGCTGCAATTTCGATCCAAACTTCAGCATTATCCTGGTGGCTGAATACACAACAACAACAACGCTGGCCAAGGCTATCTCAACTGGCAATCAACATTTTATCCATTCCGGCAATGAGTGCTGAGCCAGAGCGAGTGTTTTCTGGGGCTCGTCGTACAATCTCTTGGGAAAGAATGCAACTAGGTGAAGATACTATTGAGTTTCTTGAGTGCTTGAAGCATTGGATGAAGTCAGGGCTTGTAAATAGTGGCTTGGAGGAGATGGATCTTGATGACTAAGTGGATTCGGTGGGCTTGGCGAATATTGAAATGATTACTAAGCAGATTTGACGAATATTCGTTGATGTGTCAGCAAATATTGACGAATATGCGATATTTGATTTGTCAGCGAACGAATATATCGCCGCCCACCCTGCAGATTTGATCTGACATCAAGCATTGAACCATGCCTTCGCGATCCTCGCCCCTTGTGCGAATGAAACATCCCGATACTGCCGCCATGGACTGATAGCCACGTGAACCACCCGACAATCCCAATCATACGCGATGGCGCTTTCGCGGTTCATTCCTGGCCTGTGTTCCGATGCACCGGTCAAGGCGAAAACAGGCACCAAGATAGATAACCAGATAAATATGAAAAACGGAGCAGTAAAAACGGTACCGGTGGAGCGGTTGGAGATTTGACCGAAAATATTCTCCCGGAACCACGAGGGGATAGGGATGATCCCCGCTCTAATAAGTGTGTATAGACTGGTGGCGAAGCAAAATAGGCTCAGTAGTGAGAAAAGAACGAAGACAAAGCCCAACATCGCCCCTACCGTCGCAAGATGCGGCACACTAGGATCGCCCAACAGTCGCCCCGCGGCTGCGACATAGCTCCTCCGCCGAGCGCGTCGTGTTGCCCGGGGCTCGGATGAACAGGTCCATATCGCATTCATATCTTTTAGGTAGCCAGTCGTTAATGTATGGGCTGGGTTTTGTTTCGGCAGCCATTTGAAAGTCGGCGCTCTTGGCATAAAGGACGAAACATGTTCCCATCCAAATAATGAGACTAACAAGGCTGCACAGGATTATGAGCGCGAGCCTTGTTACTCCGTGATGCTCTAGTCGACAGCCCAGAGGGTGATTGAACATCATATAGATAAAGCGGAAAGATGTGAACCAGGCCAAAATCGAGATGCCGGTTGAAAATTCAGAGCCACGCTTTGCCAACAACGCCCACTCGACACACCACCACAAGATCGAGGTTAGATCGCACGCATAGCCAACCCAATCGCGCATCCTGATGTGGGAATCGAAGCAGGAGTATGTGTCATGGTCACTCTCCAGGATCGCTTCGCGGAAGCCCCACATAGCCGTCAGTGCTGTGAATTGGACACTGAACTATATATCAAGGCCGTTCAAAGGGAAAGCACTATCGCGGGGCTTTGTAGACAGGATCTTAAAATCTCGGAAGCAGGTACTGAGACTGCACCAATCGTTGGGCTGGCGGAGGGTGCTGTAGTAACTTCCCACTAGCGCCAGAGCGGGCTGCCTCGAGTCAACGAATTGAATCTTGAACAAGTCCTGGAACTCAACCGCCGAGCAGTTTGGCTGGGCACGGAGCGTTTGTGTGGAACATTGTTTGAACCGAGTGTCTTTGTATAGCGCAAAGTCGAGGCTGTCTGTGCTGTATGGCACCCGCTCCGTGGTGAAGTAGACGAGAGTGAGGACGAAAAGAGCGAATTGAATGAGACACAGAACCCCGAAGGTTATCCAATATATCGTTGACACGCGAATTTTGATCGAGAAAACAGTGAAAGTTCGCGTTCCTAGGCCGTCAGACATGGCTGTAATTGCATTTGAGGCTCGGGATGCTGGTTGTTGAAGGAAGCGGTGGATGCATGTTGTCAGGTTCAAGAGAAGGCCTCAGCGTTATTTAATCTAGAGACGATAGACAAGGCTGTGACTATAGACTTGATACGTCCCAAGATCATAAGACGGGAGTTTTGAAGGTAAGCGTACAGGTGGGCCTTTTAGTTATTTGTTGGATATGTGGTGCTCATTGGTTCGGGTAGATGTATGACCCGATGGCGCAGCAGGTAACTGCAGGCCTTGGTCGGTTGTCGCGTTCAGCTTTGTTCAGCTCATGCAAGCGGAAAAGATATCAATGTGCTCGGGTGGTGGTCGTAATGTTGCGTTCAATATTATTGGGTGGTTAGTGCAATATTGTGTGCAACCATGGGGCGACGCTATTTTGGGACCCTTCGGGCGCGATTTTGTTGGCCACCGGAGATCCGCTAGTAGTCAGGACTATTTATAGCGGATTTAGGAAAAAGTCTAGTTTAATCTACAACTTTATAAAAAAAAATACCTGAAAAAGGCCCTCAATTAGCTCAATACACTAGTATACTTTTTATTGCAATGCGACGCCCTATTGTTGCGATGCGCGGGTTGCAAGTGCCGGCCTACCATTACACACGATGTTGCATGGGCCGATTTCGTCGAGCTTGCTTGTGAACGAATGGCAGGGAGTTCTCGGTGTGAAAGTCAACACGAGGTGATAATGGCGGCAGCAATTAGCCACTAATCTATAATAGCTCTCTCCCGCCCCGATACCCGAGAAACCCAAATCATTATTACTACATTCAACTCGTTTGCTTGCCTTGACAGAGGGTCCCCCGTCCCCCCGTCTTCAGTCCGCTATCTGCTCTTCTGAGGTGAAAATTAGTATACTCCCTCCCAGCGCCCTAAAAGAAGCGTTTCACACAAATTTGGCCCGCATTATTGCCAGCCCACTCCCTTACTCAATCTTCCAAGAGCTATAGTATTCCGGATTCTCGCTATTCCCATCGAGCTGCTCTATTCCGTATTGAGGCAAGTGCCCCGCTTTGCGAGGTTCTATCGAGCCGTTCTACAAGACCTTTCCAGCATAACCCTTTTCGTAATACTGCCAAGGGTGATAATCCATTGGCTTCCATCATTTTATCTTTGTATCTAGAGTCGGCAGTTCGACCTTATTAACACGGCCTGAGACTGCGTAGACAGCCGAGAGATCGCTTGTACCAATAGTGTAGGATGAAGCGGCTGCTTGAATACTGTCGCACTTGCATGGTCTGCATGCCTGCAAATCATCCATCCAAGGCCTCCCCGGCCGGTCAAGGAATTCCAACCTCTATTCATCACTCGCGATACCTTCATTTTATCCCTAGATTCGGATTACCGAATAAGGCCACCTAGCATCAATACAAGGCCTGATTCTTACCTACAAATAGAAGCAACAGATCCTTCATTTTGGGCCCTGCTTCCTTAGACAATTCAGACAATTTGAGCCTCCCTGCACCAATGCCCGTTTCCACCGTTGCCCTGTGAATGCGCGTGATAAATACAGAAGCGCCAACGCCTCGGCGTATATGGCTCGACAGGTGAGGAGTAAGCTGTGGAAGGAAGACAGGTTGGGGGCGTCTTACGCCGTACTGGAGCTATTCAGGCTGAAAATAAAGGGGAGGCGCGGATCTCACGACGCCATGCCGGCATAGAGGTAGATATGGCGGCGGATGTCGGGCGAGAGGCGCAGCATGAGGTTTGACCCCAAGACTTCGATATCCATCATGTCGGACTTACGAGTGGAGGTGGTCAGGTAGTATCCAAGTTCAACTCGGAGAAGAACCTGGGCGTAATTAGTATGTTGCGAATTTGAAGCATTCACCAGCGCCGGCGTGGCCAGCGTATGTTGCCACTGGAATGCATGCTAAGGAAACGACGTGCTGGTAGGCCATCGTGTGTGGTGATAGACAGGTCGCGAAGACGCGTGCGATCATTTCAAGGCTTTTAGGGAGGGGTTCTGTGACTTGCCCGCCTTGACAGGGCTTATGTAGAGAGTAGCATATATTGAACAAGAGGGTATGGACAGACTTAGCTAAACTCAGGACCAAGTCGCCACGAGCGGCCAACATGCACTGGTAATCGATCCGATCTGTATGCTGCACCGTGCGTGTAATTATCCCTTGCGAGCGCGCGTAGAGAGCTATGTGTTATTCGTTTCGTAGGAGATTAGCGCAAATTGCTTTTCAATAAACCATGAAAGACTCGTTTGTACTCCAGTAGCGAACTCCTTTTTTTGATCCCATGAAAAGTGTCAAGCATCCAGTCCAAAAACGGCATCATTGTCACAGGATAACCTGTGACAGGTGCCACAGCCCTTGACGGCTGGCGACACCTGGTCTCCTTATTATTATTTTTACAGAAAACTATATTTTTATAACTTCTTTCTTAGAGGTACATTCTTCTTAACAGGACTAGCAATCTTGAAGACTAGAAAGAAATAGAATGCTTATGTCTAGGTATTTACTTGGCATAGCCGACAATTCTTTCTCTTGTTTTCTTTGTGGTTGACTTAGTCGTTCTTTGAAGAGGCCTGCTATCTGGACTGGAACGTTGCACGAGATTGTGCTTGTTATCACATGGAAAAAGCTACCTAGTGTATGTCATCAGCGGAGTTGGCCGTGAACGCTAGCGACGATAATATCGATGAGTAACATCATGCTTTCTTAAACTCAAAAGTCCACCATGGATAACATAACATGTTAATTACAGGTTGTTTCTGTTCGGGGCTTGACATTCTGTGTGGTTAGACCAGTTACAATGTTACTTCCATCGTGTGTTCTTTTTCCATGTGTTTCCCTCACGTTTCTCCCCATAGCATCCTGTCTGCCCTCCCCCCAAGTTAAAACTCAGCTAGGGCCCAAACAACGACTACCCTACCTACTCAACACCGTGAATTACCAGGTAATCCGCCACGCATACGCATATAGCTGCGGGAACTTGGTGATGTGGGTGGCGCGGATGACGAGCTGGGTGTGCCCGGTAGGAATCTTTGCCCAAAGGACCTGCTCGACATTATTAACAGTATCGAAGCCGGCGGCGGTGCCCATGTTGCCGTGGCGCTCACTGCCGTCTGCGGCGACGACAATTAGGTCGAGGTCATTCTGCAGCATGCCATTGAGCTCGGGCGGGTCGGACCAGACCAAGGTCATTTTAAAGGTCGCTGCCGAAGGTGGGCTGGGACCAAATGTATTTTTGTCTTGAGGCGGTCTGGGAGGAATTTCAATGTCAATGACGTCCTTGTCGCCCTCCTTGAGCGGCCCGCCTTCGCCAAAGCCGCCGTCGGCAACCCCAGGCGACGGGATGATAACGGACCCGGCGAGGTTGACGCGACCAAACCCTTCGATTTTGTTTGGGGTTGAGCCAACCTCGGGCGGGCTGTACTGGCCGGTAAGGCCGGCGGCTCCGTTGACGAGGAGGGCTTTGACGAGGGAGGCAGGCGGTTTAGGGAAGCCGTTCTTCACCAGCGTCTCGCGCAAGACGGCGGCGCATCCGGCAACCAACGGAGTAGCCATGCTCGTGCCGCTGTCGAAGAACCAGTCCGGGTCGGGCGACGTCCCGAACGCGTTGTCGCTCGCCGGCGCATTTCTGGAATGCGTCGAGAGGATCGACGTGCCGGGCGCCACGACATCGGGCTTGAACCGCCGCTCCAGGGTAGGCCCGCGGCTGCTAAAGGCGGCCATGCCCTCAGCGTTGTTGGCCATTAGGTCGGTCTTCAGCGGTGGCACGGGAAAACTGGATGGACGGACGTCTCCGTAGGTGGGCAACACGGGCTTGGCCTCGCGCCGAACACTCTCGCAGGCGCCAACAGTGATGCAATTCTTGGCCGCGGCAGTCGAGCCAACCTGGCCCAAATCGACGATGCCATCGGCGTTGCCGTCGGTTGCTCGTTGCCGGCGCTGAAACAGATGACCAAGTCCGGGTTGTTCCAGACGAAGTCATCGATGTCATTAGACTGGCTGTCGTACGGGTTTTGGATGCCTGCAAACATTGTCAAGCCCCACGAGTTGGTGTGCACTCGCGCCTTTTCGTTGTTGTAGGGCGGGGCAAAGAGATCGTGGAGGTCAACTGGGACGCCAGAGAGACCCCCCAAATCGCCAATCAGCGACTGCATCACCAACCTCGCTTTAGGCGCGGTGCCCTGGATCGTACCGCCTGCCGATGCTGAGGTGCCACTGCCGAGAACTGACCCGCAGACGTGAGTGCCATGGCCGTCGGGATCGTCAAACTTGCCAGGCCGACCGAGGTCGTACAGCTTCACCACGCGGCCAGTGAAGGCAGGGTGGGTCGCCGAGACGTCGCCTTTATCAAAGCCTGTATCCGCAACAGCCACAACCTCTCCTTCGCCCTGGTACGCAATCCCGCTCACCGTGACAGAAGCGTTCATGATGGACCGGGCCACGTTGTTATGCAGCTGCGGCGGGCGAACCTTTTGGATGGCGCGGACTGCATCGATCGAGGCTAGTAAGTCTAGCCACCGCTCCTCGACTGTTAGCCGGACCTTGTTCCTTCCCAGCTCGAGGCCGTCCCTATCGATGTGGGCCGCTGCGGCAATGTCCCGCTTGAGTCGTCCCGAAGACGTATCGACACCCTCGTGGAAGATGATGTCGACCGTATTCGTAGTCCGTGAATAAGCGGGCCCTGATAAGCCAGGTAGATACTATGCGATGAAGTGGCCGTGTCGGCCTCCTTCAAATCGGGGCTGACCTTGAATTGCTTCAGGTAGATGTCGGCCCAGATCACAAAGGGAAGTGATCGGATTTTCTGAAGATCCGTGCCCTCGTAACTGTATAAGTACGTCTTCTCCGAGATGTACCCGTGGAGGACAAGGCCAAGGTTGGCCAAGTTGCCCTTCTGCTCTGGGGTAGTACGGGCGTCAGAAACCTGGATCAGGACATAGTCTGATCCGGACGCGTCGGGGGCTTCGAGGCCGAGGGCCCTGAGCACTGGCCCTTGCACGACAGGGTCTAGCGTGTTCCCGTTTATGCTGATGGGGGCCATGGTTGATGGTAGTGAGAGGAGTTGTACTTCAAGTTGCCCACTAGATGATGGTAGTTATAAGTATATCTCCGACACTGACACTGAACTTGAAGTTGGAGGAAGCTAGTTCCATATGGCGTCTGTGATCTATCGTCCAATTTATACTTCAAGTGTGGGTGTAGGCAGAGACCACTATCTGTCAGTTTTCTAACATGTCTCTAAGGCATAGATGCATCTACGTTTTGGTATAGTGGTCTGTCATCAAGCCGAATTACCCAAAGACTACGTAACCGATACTACCCCAGGAAGCAAAGCATACGCTGCTTTGGCGACACTGAGTGTCAAAAGCAAGTGTTGATAGGAGCACTAGTCATTCTGCACACTCCTTTACTATGACCCTCCGTCACAAGGTCATGTCTAGCAGAACCTTGACCGAAAGGTGTCTGAGGAAGGAAAGAAACCCCCTCCCACGATTGGACCGTTGAAACAAACTCCGAATGTGGTAGAACAGCCCAGGAGTTGCCGAGCAAATGAAATCACAGCTTCCTCAATAACCATATGGAAATAAATTACCTACTACAGACGACATCGGTCGTCGAGATGACTCAAGTACGGCAGGGTGGGTTCGGTGAGGCTGAGTAGGCGAATGAAACCGCGGCGTATGTGACACAGAGGAAGAGGGCTGAACTAATACTGACATTAGGAGAAGGAGTCATCAATAGAGATTGGTCCGACCAGTAGAATAAGCTCTAGATGCGGCTGGGATAGGCTGGGAGGTGCCGAGCAAATAACATGGCAGTATATCCCCACCAACTTCAAGGTAATTATATGGAAGTCAGCTGCTCACCATGGATAAGGCCCGTTGTTGGGCTTATTCGAGTACGGCCAAGATGGTTCGGTGAGACGAAGCGAGCGAATGGGATCGCAGAGTGTTTGATACCGAGGAAGAGGGGAAGCAAATGCCAACGCCGGTGGCGTCTATGTTGGCGTCTGGGTCCGATTGCGCGGGGTCGGCATTTGTTCCACGTGCGAGCGCGGTCTTGAAGACACAAACCTGTTGGTTGAGCAAAGCACAACGGATATTGACTTAAGTCAGGTGGGGGACTTTTGGAACACCCCTGCCTATGGAACAGCCCCTGAATCGGACCCCGCACAACACCACAAACTTCAATTGCCAACAACTTTGTCAATTAATTAGCTACAATGATGAAGTCTTCAGTATCGGATTCTCCTGATTCTTCTCTTTCAGAATAACTAAGGTCCTCTCTGCCAGCCTCTCTCTGTGAGGCACGAACCTCCTCAATTCCAGCGAACTGCGTATTAGGGTCGACTTGGACCTTCCTTCTCTTTCGGCCTCTTGTGCGTTCTAGGCTTTTTTCTGCAGCCTCCAATTGATGCGCCGTATTGGCTAGTTGGAAAACCACGTAATCGAAGGCTTTTGCGGCCTTGCGTATGAAAAGTCGGTCGTTGGAAGTCCGTTTCTGGCCGGCTAGAAAAACCTGCCCCTGAATACGGAAATCCTTCGGCTTTTTAGGGGTAAACCATATAGGCCGGCCCTCCGAATTCTTATTTAGAATGGGGTTATGGACCTCTTGAAGGTCTATAGAAACCGTAGAGGTCAGTTGACCAACGTCGCCGTTAGAATTCTTAATAACAAGGCCGTTGCTTAGGGGCTTCCTGAGGCTGACCGGCCAGAGGCCTGTAGCTTTCCAGCCGGCTTTGGTATTAGATTCAGTCATTCCATAGACCCTGGCTTGCCGGTAGCATTCTAGGAAGGCTCTCTTTTCAGCAACAGTGCCTTCGTCGAAGCCGGAAACAACCTCGTTATGCTTGGCTCTATACCGGGCTTTTAGAGGGCCGAAAACCGATAAATCCAGGGGCTGGAGAACGTGGGAGGTGTGGGCTGGTAGAAATAACAATTGTACGTTATTAGAAAAGGCTAGCCACATGAATTCTTCGGTGGTATGACTACCGTGGCCATCTAAAATAAGGAGGCGCTTCTCCGAGGGGGTAGCTGGCCGAGTCTCTGGAAGAAAGATATTGCGGAGCCATGCGACGGCAGTATCATCGTCAGACCAGCCGTTTTCAATGGGTTTCCACTTCCAGCCCTTAAATGGCTGTAAATCGCGTGGATACCATTGTTGTTGAAGGCTTCCACCTTTGAAAATGACGACTGGGTTCAAATACCGGCCGCCAGCGGAAATACATTCGATAATCGAGGTCCAAATTCGGTCTCCTTTCTTCTTTTTCTGGAATTTCTTTCTTTCCTTAGATCCAACAACCAGGCCGTTATCTCCAATGCCAGAAGCAATGCCAGTTTCATCCATATTATACCTATGCTTGGCTGGAATAGCCTCCACGCCTGGAGGCTTCAAATAGTCAAACCAAGGCCGGATAACGGCCTCACAGGCTCGATCAGCACGGTTTGCATGGATTCTCCGAGGCCTAATTGTAGAAATAGATGGATTTCTAGCCAAAAACCGGCTAGTCCAGCGTTTTCCGAGGGTCTCGTTATCTTCGAGCATTCTTCTAGCTAGTTTCCAAATTTGGGCGTGGGTTGGAGGGTGACCGAGCGACCCTTGGAATAGAATCCATTCGGTTAAGCGTTCTTCCATAGCCGGAGAAAGCTTTTGATTAAGAATTTGGGCCTTGGAGGCTGGCTCGGAACCACGAACCCGATTAAAGAGAGTAGTAGGGGGGATGCCGTGATTTTCAGCAGAGTTACGGAGTAAGCCGGTTTCTGCATACTCTGCCAGCGCATTCTGCAAATCCAACTAAGTATATCGCTTCATCTTTCATTTCTCAATTGAATGGAGAAAAGAAGATAAGTATTGAAGCAGAATTGGTCGAGTTGCAAGCGATTGAAATAGGTGAGTTGGGTGGCGAGCGGCAAGTCCTTGATGACAAACCTTGTTCCAAATCCAGGGGTGTTCCATAAGCAGACCACCTGACTTATATCTGCACAAGAACGATTATAAGGATTAAATGGCCGACAAAAAGCCATATACCTTTCAAGAAGTCTTGGGTCAGCCATATATTAATAAAGTTGACTCCAGGCCCTTCGTGGCCACCATTTTTAATACGAAACTAGCTGTTCCCCCTGATATACGTGGGCTCTTATCTCGTCGTCCAAATAATATCAAAATGTGGCGGATGGATGGAGCTGAGAATTGATGCCGGAATATTGGCATTTAGGCCTGAGTGCCCTGATGGATGACTTAGAATACGTTCCTTGTCTTAGTACTCCACGGTGGTGGGGTACCTAAGGCAGGAGGGTACGTACAATGCGGACTAAAAAGGCATTGCCCACCCACTTCAGAAAGTCGATCATCTAAAAACTTAAAAAAAGAAAATAACGAGGGCAAGATTCAGGCAGCATTTTAATCTGTACTTCTTGGCCAAGCCGCACTTTTCCGCAAAAAGCGGTCAAGTAAAAACGTCTTTCTAACTGATAAAGCATCAATGGTTCCTATCTGATGCATGTTCGGACTCTCGGCTTAGGAACTCCCGAGTGGCTGTTGTACGTCCCTAGCACTATTTAGTAATCTGACCGAGGTCTCACACCGTGAACCCTGGAAATCAGTCATATGCTACCACCATCCGACTAAGTGAAGGGAGAAAGTATCACTTCAGTGGCGTTCCAGGCGGCAATTGGCGCTGAGCGAGCAACGTGCAGCAATACCTGGTAGCTGAGAGTGTTCGGGGCTTTAGGTTTCTGTACAAGACCTTGTCTTGTCACATTGGTAAGCGGCAGGGTCACAATAATCCCCAAAGGCGCTCAAATATATCCATTTCTATTGGTTTCGTCGTATAGATGAGTGTTATTTTGCAGCACGGAGGTCGGGATCTCTGAAGAGCGTTTTCATGCCGTCGGCACGACTGAAAGCAGGTGGCGCCGGCCGGTGGTATTATCATCCCGTGGGGATGAAGAGCCGACCGAGACAGCAATCTCTACCTGATGAGATAATATGACCCTAGAAATGAAAATGTTTTCGTTATCAACTACAGTACCTTAATTATCATCTCCATCTTTTATAGCAACTACCACAATTTCCGAAACCTATAACATGGAAGACCGCACAGCTTTGGTATTCGGGGCGTCGGGAATTACCGGCTGGGCAGTCCTCCATGAGTCCTTGCACTATCCGACGACTGATTCATTCTTCCGCGTAATCGGGCTTTTCCAACAGACCGGTGGGCCGTTCGCAGTTGGTTCTCCCAGACGATGATAGACTTATTCTGGCATCTGGAGTTGATCTTGGTGCTGGCGTTGATGCGGCCGCTGCTGGATTGAGTGGCATTGAAGGCATCAAAGGTGTCACCGATGTGTTCTTCGCAGGTACGTGCTCCATCTTTAGACGAAAGTTGCGCTTCTCTTTCATATCTGGCTAATCCCACTTGCGCAGCTTATGTCCAGCCACCTGGAACTTCAGATTTTGTCGGACACGAGATTCTCAAACAAGTCAACGTTGGTATTCTTGAAACGGCGGTCCTAGCCGTGGAGAAAGTTTGTCCCCGACTTCGGTTTTGGTCCCTACAGACTGGTGGCAAAGTCAGTCCCCTAATTTCCTGGACCCGGCTTGATCTGTTAACACCCCCTAATTTAGTCTTATGGCTTTGTCCACGCGCGTGAGATCGGAGTTCCAAAGGTGCCCTGTAACGAGTCGGACCCGAGAATACCGCAGCCTTTTGAAGATCAGGTCTTCTATTATGCCCAGTTTGACGCACTGGAGAAACTCTCGGTTGGAAAGCCATGGCGGTTTACTGAAATCCGTCCCGACCTTGTGGTACATTACCCTTCATCAAACTTTCTTCAGGTTTTGGAATGCTGACACCGATACATGGATTGGATTTGTTCCGGGCGGCAAGAACGCGATGAACCTTGCCCAAGGACTCGGCTTGTTTCTCAGTTTCTACGCCGACCGCGAATCTAGTGGCGTTGCGGGGAACAAGAGCATTCATTTCCCCGGCTCCTTGCTTCGTACGATGCTCGCCACACCGAAATTGGCCAAAAGACACTTGGTCGTGCGCAGATCTTTACATCCCACTTAATCGGTGACTCAAATGGCGAGGTCTATAATGTCGGTGATTCCCCCTTGGCCGCAGGACTAAATTGGCGCGACAAGTGGGTAGCGATCTGCCAGTCCTTTGGACTGGTGGGACTTGGGCCTGAAGAAATTCGCGCGATGGGGTTTAGCTCAAGCGAATACATGACGCAACACCGAAGCGAGTGGGAGGGGTTTGGGTCAAAGCATGGTCTGATTCCCGGCGTCATCCAGCATACAAGTTGGGAATTTATTGGGGTGATGCTGTCCATGGCGGTCTTTGACCGGCAGCACAACCTCTCCAAGTTTGCAAAAGCTGGATTCCAGGAACGAGTCGACATCCTTCGGAATTACGAAGAGGCTTTTGACCTGATGAGGAGTGCCAGGATCATTCCTCGCCGATCTTTGGTAGTTCTAGCATGAGACGGGGGCCAACAATGTAAAAGAAGTCCCATCGAGGGCATGGCTCCCGAGCGTTTCACTACTTTCTACTTATCACGCGGCTAACCAACGGAAACGATTCCATGATGCATGTACTTCAAGAGCTGTCGAAAGAAGGCAACTAGTCGCGTTGACAAAATGACTTTATTTATTTGCGCCCTAATGAAACATTTTCCCATTTCACCTCCCCAATTCAATGACATCGGATGCCCGATCTCCGGTCTTGGCGTACTAGTCGTTTCCCTCCGCGAAAACATCATCTCGCCGCTGGTGCACGCGGTGTTGCGGTGAGGAACCGGATCGATCGCCGATACTAGAAGCGCACCAATGAGATGCCTATGCGGATATTAATTAATCAAGGTAAGGTTCATTTTACCATCTTCTCCGATGTGTGGATCCTATCAGGGGTCTTCCCCGCATGCCAGGTACAGAATAACTGAGGCTATAACGCTATAAATCATTACGGCTACTTCAAAGTCACACATCCGTCGCTTGATCATATCTTCTAGATTGGTGGAAGATTCTGCTCGGGTCGCTACTAGAGGCTGGGCGAGCCGGAGAAAGTAACTCCTCCGTCTTCACAATGCTGCTCCCGGTCATCACCGTAATGATATAAGCGTGGTGGCTCTCCGCTTCGTCCTTCCAAATTGGGGATACGAGTCGTCGGTTTTGCTACAGCAGCTGGAATCTAAAAGTGTGACGATGAGGTTTCAAAATACCATCTTGGTGCTCGCGTTAGCGGCGTTTGCATCGGCACAGACGACCTCAGCATGCACAGCTGGCCTGCCGTCTAGCTACCGCTGGACATCGACCGGCCTCCTCGCCAATCCAAAGTCGGGATGGGTCTCGCTTAAAGACTTCACCACGGTTCCATATAACGGCCAGCATCTCGTGTATGCAACGACACACGACTCAGGATCAAGCTGGGGCTCCATGAACTTTGGCCTCTTTAGCAATTGGTCCGATATGGCCACAGTCAGCCAAAACAAGATGAATGGAGCCACTGTTGCGCCGTCACTCTTCTTCTTTGCTCCCAAGAACATCTGGGTCCTTGCCTACCAATGGGGCCCGACAGCCTTCTCCTACAAGACTTCCAGCGACCCCACCAATGCCAACGGGTGGTCCGGAGTCCAGACCCTCTTCTCCGGGACCATCACAGGTTCTAGCACTGGCTGCATCGACCAAGCTGTCATTGGCGACGATACGACCATGTACCTGTTCTTTGCTGGAGACAACGGCAAGATCTACCGCGCCAGCATGCTCATCGGAAATTTCCCAGGCAGTTTCGGGACATCATCGACCGTGATTATGACCGACACAGCCAACAACCTGTTTGAAGCAGTCCAAGTCTACACAATACAGGGTGAGAAGAAGTACCTCATGATCGTTGAGGCCATTGGATCAAACGGGCGCTACTTCCGCTCGTTCACGGCCACTAGTCTGGGCGGCACATGGGCACCTCAGGCAGCAACTGAGAGCCAGCCCTTCGCCGGTAAAGTCAACAGCGGCGCGACCTGGAGTAACGACATCAGCCATGGCGAGCTGATCCGCGTCAACGCTGACCAGACCATGACGATTGATCCGTGCAACTTGCAGCTGCTCTACCAGGGACGAGCCCCTGGCTCTGGGGGCGACTACGGCAAGCTGCCGTACCGACCGGCACTGTTGACGTTGCAGCGCTAAAGCGGCGAGAGGTGAAAGGACGTACAGCGTTGGTGTATCTAGCAGACAATTAAGTTGAGAGCAAAAGAGATGGGAATAAGACAATTTCTCACCTCGAGGTACATGTGCATTGACTGTTTCTCTCAACGATAGAGGGGTTCTGCTATCTATATATTCTTGTCGATCAGGAGGCTACTTCACTTAATTAACCATGACAGCGAGCACCGGAAGTTACTCTTCCCGACCATACACAACCTAAATTGTCCCCAGTCTAAGCATTCTGCCTTGCACGTGACGGATAATGTGTATGAGCATGGCTGGTTCTGGTAGGCGGAAGCTGGGCTCGCGTTCAATCAACGAACTGGCTAGCATGTGAGTGACGCCAATGAGATGTAAGCAAATGTGTGCGTGCACTATCACATTCAAGGGCTGCATGTAGCTGCGCTACTATTTGACACCAAATTGATCGCTTCGGCCACCTCCGTCGCCGAGCCCAATGATAGCTCGACATTGTCGTGGGGGAAGACGCGGGCGTGCAGTCGCCGCAAGCCAGCATGGTAGAAAGGCAGATTTCGAGTGTTGCTGTGTTGTTGCTGTATCATTGGTGGCCTTCTGTCCCAGTTTCGACAAATATCGGCTTGAGAACACCCACAGTCCAGCCAATGGCCAAGTTTAAGCGACATCGCTCCCCAACAAGAGCAGCGGGGCACACACAAAGGCAGTCGCAGCGCAGTCTCCCAACATACATCTCTCCCGTGTTTGCCCCTCATCCCCTGCATGGGCCGCAAGCTTCTTCTACATCAAGCACGCAACGTCAACAAAATGTCATTCCACCTTCCGCCAAGATCATCTCATCCGTCTCATCCGGCCTCGTCGCATTCAGCGAGTTGACGGAGATGCGCACCCAATGATTCCTCTCAATGTTGGCATTGGCAACCCGCACCGTTAACCCCGCCATATCCGCGCTGGCCAGCGAGTCAACCGTGGTAAACCCACAAGCCCTAACTCGCGGCACAATGTCGTCCACATACTGCTTGGGCATGCGGTCAGTAACGGTGGTGGTGTGGCAGTCGTCACTGCAACTGTTACGGCACGACTTGTGGCCGCTCGAGTCGGTGCCGCAAGTGTCGGTGCACCTCTTGACGCAGTCACGCTTATCGTTACAGTTTCTGAACCACCCATGGACGACACCTAATATAGCGACGTTGCTGCCGGTGTTGCCGTTGACGGGGGACACGAAGTACTGGTTCCATGTCATGTCTCGTCCGGTGCAGGCGTAGGCTTGAGCAGGTTTGGCGCCGCCGATGAGTCCGAGCACGGCCGTCATGGCGGCTTTCTTACCGATTCCGCTGCCGCTGCCGCCGCTGCTGCTTGTCCCGGGCCGAGATCCGGATCCAGCCCGGGAGTGGGCGGATGATGAAGAGGAGGAAGAGGAGGAAGAAGAGCGGCAAGATGCAGCTTGATCAGTACTGTGCCCTCCGGCTGCGGATGCCATCCCTCCCATGCCTCCTAGTCCTCCTCCTCCTCCCCCACCACCACCAGAGCTCTTCGTGGGCATCTTGGGCATCTTGGGCATCTTCCAAGTACCAGGCCTCTTGAGCGACGGTGGCCCAGACTAGCTCTCTTCGCCTTCTTGTTCATCTTCTGCTCCCGCCGTTCCGCCTTGGTCATGGTCAACCTGCGCCAGACAATATAAGTAATCACAGCACCCAGCACGCCACCAAGCACCGTCAGCACGATCAGCGCGTACTGGTTGCGGTACGACTTCTTGAGCTGCTCGAGCGCGTCGCCCATCATATTGCGCGCAATGGTGGTCAGGCACGAGGCCGGATACCGGTCGGCGTCCTTCCAGTTCCACATCTTGTTGCCGTCGCATGCTGCGCCTGCTTGCATTGTGCGCTGGCACGCGTTACAGGCGAAATTGGGGTCGTCGCAGTCGTTGGCGCAGCCGTGATAGCATGCGTCGTAGACTTGGGAACGCGCCATTTGTTGCCATTTGTTGATGTCGCCGTCAACGGCGGCGGTGGCGACGAGGTGTTGGACGCGCGCGACGACGGCGAAGGTGTTACGTAATAATGCCCTCCTGACGGAACTTTGCCATCAACTAGGCCACCAACGATGATCTTCGCCACCAACCAGGCCACCAACGATAATCAGCCCCTATAGAGGCCTTAATGCCTACATTGTTGCCTAATACCGGTCTTTTAGTCAAAGGATAAATAAGGCGTTCTTTTCTTTCATTTTTACCGAGAATAGACAGAGACTTGGACACACTTGAATTGAGCTGCATTGTGCACTAAAACTAGAGCTACACTGTGGCACCACGCTTCCGCAGCACACACGGGACTTGGTCTCCCAACCATGTATAGAAGCAGCGGCCTTCGCCCACCTTCCTTTGCGAGGGCCAGGTTGAAGTCTTACACCACTGCCAGTCATTGCTCACCCCTCTTGTTGCTTCCATTGTGACCACCTTGATCAGGCGTACCAGCCCTTCCTTACACCACGGAAGAACTTATCCTCGTATTCACAAACTTGTAGCCGTGGGCTAGCGATAATTGGCATAAGTTACACCAGGCATAACTGCGCCATCCTTCCCATCCTTCCAATTCATTTGTAGGTAAGCAAGGTGATTGTTTGCCCCAGTAGGGTAGAAAAAATAAGACGGGGTAGCCAGGTGGCGGAGCGCCAGTGTCCTGAAATTGGGCTCAGAATGCTATTTTCAAACTACGGCAAGTATAACCGGGTAGCCCCAAAAATGACCTCTCGCTCAGCCTGGCTCAGCCTGGCTCAGCCTGGCTCAGCCTGGCTCAGCCTGGCTCAGCTTAAGGCGCAACTGCTCAGCTCCGAAGGAGAAAAGGGAAATTCTCTTTGTCGGGTTTGGGGTGTTGCAATGGCTGTTTCACGGATCGACTTTTGGCATCATTTTTAGCAGAACGAGAACGCCGTTGTGGGAAGCTACTGCCAGGGGCCAGTCCAAGTTATGGCGCCCATGACCATGAGAACGGGAACTATCCGGTTTTCAGGCGGCAACCATCGCCCGCAAGTGTTTCGAAGTGACGGTGCCCTCGCGGCAATACTGGTTGTCTCCTTGCTTGCCTTGCTTGCTCCGCATGACGGATGACCGACCACTGGAGGCTCTCAACTAACAAGCATCAATTTAGGGTCAGATACACCGTGTAATATGCGGCACAGATATGACGCTGTTTTGGTAGAGGGAGAGAGATGACTTCTTGACGATAGCCAAAAACAGTATCTGACTTCCTATTTTGATATAGGCAACTCTCTTGGAGACACAGAGCTCAATGCAGGTTTGGACAATAAGTGGCATTATAATGCAAAGAAACCAAAAGCTGACATGACCAAAGGCAAAACGTGCTCGCGCGCAATTAAGGAATGTAGATCTCTTTTTTGAAACTATCGCCAGACTGATGCAACCGGCGATAGAGATTAACGACGGATCATTTCTTCTCTGGGCACCCATAGACACCAAGATGCCTAGATACCATGTTGGCGCACTGCCTAGGGAGGTAAAAGCAGTGCCATGGCCGGGGCTCCCATTCTATCTAAAGAAGAAAAAAAGGAGAAAGGGAAAGCTAAGAAGCGAGCCGAAAATTTTCGATTTCATGTGCAGCCAGCCAACGGGCCCCAAGTGGAGTAGTCACGTGCGAGCAGCAAACGAGAGCAAGCTCGCGTGGTCCGTGCCCCAGCTTGTGCATGGCCCATTCGAATCACCCGCGCTTCTATTGGCTGGGTGGGCCGAGGTCAGCCAGCCGTGGTGCCGGGACGTTTCCGATCAATCGACATCATCGCCAACCAGCCAAAAGTCCGCCCGCCCACCTGCCTCCCTCACGAACCACGCACGACCGCCCGATCGACATCATTGCAACGGAACCACGCCCCGCGAAACCATGATTGCCCAGCGCGTAGGAACGACGGCGCTTCGCCGAGGTACGCAATTGCCTGCCCTGCCCTTGGAGGGAATTGACTGGTCTCTCCCTGCTCCCAAGCGACGAGAGAGAGCCCTCCCCCAGGGGAAGCTCCCTCTGTTCGTTCGCGCGGTACCTCTTGGATGATGAACAATTGACTGACGCTCGCGGGCGATTGCAGTGGCGGCCAAGCCCAATGCCTTCTTCACAGCCGACGTGGCCCGCATGGGGGTTCTTGCCGGATCTCTCCACAAGGCGACGCAGACCAGGTGCGTTCAAACCCCCTCCCCTCCTTCGATCTTCACACCCATAGATTGCACCCATTACACCCCCAACGGTTATTACGAGAGAACCCCCGAACTGACATTGACCCTCACACCGACAGACTAGTCGCAACGCAGAAGCTGACGTCGGCGGACGCGCACGACATCCTCAACAAGCAGCGGCTGCAGCGGCCGGTGAGCCCGCACCTGGGCATCTACGACAAGCAGCAGACGTGGTTCGGCGGCAGCGTGTGGACCCGGCTCACGGGGATGGGGTTCAGCGGGGGGCTGTACGTGTTCGCGACGGCGTACCTAGCGGCGCCGCTGCTAGGGTGGCACCTAGAGAGCGCGTCGATCGCGGCGGCCGTCGGCGCGCTGCCGCTGGCCGTCAAGGGCGGGCTCAAGTTTATCGTGGCCTGGCCCTTTGTGTTCCACTGCGTCAACGGCGTGCGCCACCTCTGCTATGACATGGCCGTCGGCTTCAAGCGCAAGACCATTGTCCAGACGGGCTGGTACATATGGGGCGCCTCGCTCGTCGGCGGGCTGTACCTGGCTTTCTTCCTCTAGATTGTACACGCTATCAGCTGAGCGGTAAATGCTGAAGGGAGAGCGGAGCAGAGGTATGGGGGGGGGGGGGGGGGGGGTGGTTGTAGAGGCTGGCGAGAAAATCGAGTGTCACGATATATATTCTACAGCACTGCACATGTTTGGGAGGGAGGCTTAACGGCGGCGCACTATGTCACTCCCGTTCCGTCTCCATTGCCACGACAGACGGAGGCGGCGTGCCCCGTTTAGATATTGTAAATTCATTGGTAAACGTGCTGTTTAACCAGCCCACCTAAAGGTGACTTCAATGTAGCGTCTTCTCCGGCCATGCCTAGAACGCCTGGAGGGGAAATCACTCTGCAAAAACTGCCTAAACGCCGCGCTGACCCCCAAGATCCATGTTAAACCTGCTTCCCAATCCGAGAGCTGCGAGAGGATCACGAGTGCTATTCGAGATGCCTGACCTCGAGGATCGCTCGGTTGAGGCTGTGGTGGGCCAGTCGCGCGATCCTCCGCCCAATTGTCGGCCCCAGGAAGTCTGTCACCTGCTCGGCCTCCCGCGAGAGGTCGACACCGTTCACCCCGTTCGACACCACATCCAACCCACCGACTAGTGTCTGGACGGCCTTGATAATGCCGCCCACCAAGGTCTCGTACTCCAGCGAGCTTCCCTCGCCCTTCTCGAACAAGGGCTGCAGGATCGCGGCGTCGAAGCTCTTGAGGTTGGGCAGCACGAGCACGCGCACCGCCTCTAGGCCGCCGGCCGCGGCCAGACCGCTGATAGCGCCGTACAGGACGGCGGGCGAGCGCGACGGGTCCAGGAAGTTCTTCAGGCAGGTGCGTGTCAGCTTAGGGCGGAGCAGCGCGTTGGCCTTGCTGTACTTCTTGGCGATGGTCCCCAGCAGGCTGGCCGACAGCTCGCGCAGCTGGTACTGGTCGCGGACGCTGTCGGTGCCCTCCTCGGTGGCGCCCAGCTTGCGCGACATGAGGCACGTCAGCACGGGCGCCGACAGCGCGCTAGCGTAGAACTCGACGAAGGTGTTGGGGTTCTGGATCAGCGCCTCGGCCAGCTCCATCATCTGGCGCAGCACGAACAGGTCGTCGAGGCGGTGCGTGACCTGGTTCGTGATGAAGTTCACAAAGTATGGGAGGAGCTGGTGCAGGCCGGGATCCGAGCGCACCGACTCGAGCGCCGCCTCGCGCAGGCGCGTCTTCTCCTCGTCGGGATCGTCGTCGAGGATGGCGGCTTGGATCTTGTCGAAGTATAGAATTAGCTCCTTGCTGATGACGTGCTTGACCGAGGGCCGGAAGGAGACGTTATCGTTTCCGGCGAGGGCGGCAAGCGCGGGGTGTGCGCCGGGTCCCTTGGGGAGGAGCTCTTTGGATGATGTCTCGGCGGTGGTGGGGTTCTGGGGGATGGAAGGTTGGACGCCTTCGACGGCAAGCCAGTGCGCTGCGGGGGGGGAAATAGTTAGAACGTTATCACGCGCACAAGGGGTGAGATCGAGGCCTGCCACTCACCAGTGAAGCTCATGTCCCGCGGCACCTTGGGCAAGGGCGCATTGATCAACTTCTCAAAGTCGATCTCCTCGTCGTCAATGTAGAAGAGGGATTGGTTGGAGCCGATGCTGGCCTCGCCGTAGCGCAGCGGTCGGGTGGACTCATAGCCATAGAGCGGCTCGACGTCGAGGACCTTGAGGGCTTGCGAAACGTCCTGCACGGTGAGGGTGGTGCGGCAGGCGGCGCGCATGAAGCGGAGCGCTTCGACGAGGACCTGCCCGATGCGGAATTCGACATCCTGCGTCAGCAGCCGCAGCGGCTCGTCGGCCAGAGAGATTCCTATCGATTCGGCGACATCCTTGACGTTTTCTGGGTTCCAGAGGAGCTTTGGTCCGTCCTGTGCGGCCATGTTGGCGAGCGGAGCGAGCTTGGTCGGGTTCGAGAATCGCGAATTGACGACCAGAGTTTGGTGGTGGTGTTGCAGGAGAGGTCCCCTGGGTACGTACCAGGTGCAGAGGCGTAGAAGCCTTGCAGGTGGAGGGGCTGTCACGTGATGCAATTGACACGCTGACTGAAAGTGTGCTGGTGTTTCGATTTAGAGCTTTTCTTAAGAAAAGGTAATTCCGGGAGAGAGTCGGAAGATGCGCTTATAACTAATGGCGCCTCGCTCTCGCCCGTTACCTTTCTTGCAGCAGTAGTAGTTGGGCGATCGTTGAAAATGGAATTTGTGCAGGGCAAAGGTGGTAGGTATTGATCAAGCGGAGCACACACCAGGCCCCACTTTGACACTCCGCGACGAAAGTCAGGTTGTAAGGATTTAAGTTGTTCGTTGTATTCCGGTCACACCATTAATGGTTGGGTCCTGAAGGTTGCGTATTAGTACTACTAATGGGGGGGTTGTGATTGTTCTTATAGTTCTGGTGCTAAGCTAAAGAAGTAGAAAGGTGTGCGAACTTGGTTTTGGTAGATGTGTGCGAGTCCAGTCGCTCACGTTGGCACGTGAGCTAGCACATAACTCACACCGCCTCCCTCCTAGACCAAAAGTACGGTCATGAATGTCGCTATTCCAACATGAGTACTTCGCGCACCTACCTTACTCAGTGAGCGCCATAATGGGTAATTTCGTAGCCGTGGCAGACTAGTGTTTGTTGTCTCAGCGGGCTGTCGTCTTCCCACTCTAGAATCGGTAAGGAGAAAATGGCCTCTGTAATGCTCACAAACTGCTCACAGTTTCGCTGAAAAACGAAGTTTACATTCAATGGAAGGCAAAGAGAATTGGGTGCTAATCACTGGCTGAGATAGAAATCAGCAGATGGGTATGTAATAGGTGAGCCGTAAAAGAGGTAATTAGTTAATTTTGACATAAATCAGCGTCTTGCACGTTGGCTTAGAATCACAGGTTAATCTCCCCACCTACTGTTTCATTTATTCTATTTTTGACTCGAACGCTACGAATCGTTATACAAGATACCCTTCAATTCCCTCACGAGGTGGATAGTACCCCCCCGGTGGTAGGACGCTCCGAAGGCCGTAGGAAGTCCAATAGCTCTGTTGGAATTAACGCCTTAATACTTTGATATATTTTCTGCCCCACACCGCCACCTGGTTCTCAACCCGCACACCTATCTTCAGACGTGCACCGTGGTGGAGCGACGTCGTGGCCGTGCACTCGGCCAAGGTGCACAGCAAGCCGAGCGACTTCAACGCGCCGGCGATCAGCGGCAAGAGCCTGACGGTGCTAAGGCGACGATGCGCCGCATGACGGGCACGTTGGTGGCGACGCCCATCGCGGTGGGCATCGTGGCGCTGCTGCTCGAGCTGGCCATGCTGGACGTGCCCGACGACGGGGCCACGCAGGCCACGCTGCGCCGCGTGCTCGCCCAGCTCAGGACGTACGAAGGCATGATGGAAATGCTCATGGCTATGGCGGTGCCGACGCAGGGCGGCGAGTACTACAACATAGTGCCCACCAGGGTACTCGACACGGCCGGCAACGTCGCCGACAACAGGAAATGGCTTCTTCGCAATAAGTTTGGGTTGGAATTAACTGAACTCCGACGGCCATAGCTATGCGCACATCGTGATAGTAGATCCAACTAACTGCCAGTCACCAGCCAATACAAGCAACGTGTAATCATCCGTCGCGAAACGCTTCAATACCTAATCACAAACTGGCTGCGTATTTCTCGCGGCTCGTGGGGGTGCTTCCTTCACGTGCTATACTCAACGGGGTCCCAGATGTGTAGAAGTATTTCGCTTAGCAAATTAGCGAATGTGGGCTTCGGTCTGTATAATACAGGCCCCGAAGGATTGGCTCGGGCCACTGAAGGGTTTTGGGGCTTTTGCAGTTCTTGGCCCGCCCCGAGTAACTATTGGAACGTAGTAATTGAGAGTGGACGGATGCGGCCAGTCGACTGGCGGGTGGTGCTGGATCGAAGAGTAACTGCTAATGCGGGGATCGGAGTTTTAGCAAACTTGAATGTTTAAGATGAAATCTACCTCCATAACTAGTCATAACATGATATGTGGTCCCCACCTGTCATGTGCAAGGGCATTGGGTGGAAGATGACAGTCACGAGGACAGGCACAGATCGCAGGTAGTATGGAGTCAAGAACTTAAAGGGGAGGGGTTAATACTAGTACTTTCCTCGGGGGGGGTGGGACTGGGGTAAGGCCCTTCCCGATTTGGCTCATACTCACAGTTGATGTTGCCGAAGAGAGAGACCTGCTTGAGATTGGGCAAGTATTTCGTGCCCTGGGGTGCCCGGATTTGTGTGGCCGGATCGGTTATTGCCGAGACCCTAATCTAGGAGGGGAATAGTCTTTGAAGGGCCGTTCCCTTGACGAGCACCCGTTTCGTGAGATCGGGCAGATATAATGGAAGACGAGTTAGACAATCGTAGATAAAGGTATCCTTTTTTCTTTCTCATAAGGCCCCTGCGGCCGGCCGCTGTATTAGGCGCTGTTTCGATTCCGACGACTGACTGGCCTAGGATCTCAACATACCAATCTCTTCTATTCTTAGCAATCCCAAATTTCACGGCCACTCGTCACCTGTCTCTCACGGCGGGTTTAATTCAGCCCGCTATTCAATTGGTATCATATAACCGCTAAATACTAACTTCCTCGGCCCCAAAAGCAACAACTTACAGCCCTCCTAGGCTGCGTTATGCTTATCCCCTGGCGCTCGCCTTCGAGTTCAACCAGCGTCTCCGCTTCACTCCCTCCCCACACCGGCTTTACTTCTCCGAGCCTGGTAGGTTATCGCTCGAGGCCTCGAGCTGCTGGACCTGTGACTTTTGCTCGCTGCTGCCGCGGCGGCCAGCAGAGGGCGCGGGGGCGGCTTCCAGGTCATCGAGCCGCTTGCCCTCCTGGACGAGGTTCATGCCCGCGGGCTTCGTCTTTTCAAACTCGCGGCCGCGCTTCTCGGGACCGAAGGCGGTGGTGACGGCGATGCCGAGGGCGATGATGGCGGTGGCGATGCCCATAGTAGAGCCGTAAGCATCGACACGGTGGCCCGACGCGCTGGTGACAAAGTGGCTCTCAGAGATGGCGTTGACGATCTGGGCCGAGGGCGACGAGATCATGTTGCCCAGCTGGTACGTGAGGCCCGGGAACGACGAGCGGAACGCCGGCGGCGACAGCTCGTTGAGGTGGATGGGGATGACGCCCCATGCGCCCTGCACGAAGAACTGCATGAAGAAGCCCGTCACCGACAGCGACCGCTCGCCCTGCGGCAGGATCCACGCCGGGATCAGGAAGCCGCTGACGAGCGCCGCGACGACAATCGACCGCCGCCGGCCGAACCACTGTGACAGATAGCCGATTATGGTGCCGCCCACGCACGCCCCGACCTTCATGAGGATGCTGGCGCGGCTGGCGCCCGAGTTGTCGAGCTCCTTCTCAGTGAGCATGAAGGTCGTGTAGCTGTCCTGGGAAGTGTGGCTGTAGTCTGCATGCGGGTGGAAACAGGCCAAGTCAGCTACCGGTCCAGACGGAGCCAAGACACGGAAAAGGGGCGAAAAAGAATGAAACACTCAGGGGCAACACCCACAGTTGAACCAAGTCATGAGGATGACACAGTAGATGCACATCTTCCACTCCTGGCGCAGCATGATCTGGGTCTCGCGCCAGAACTCAGACGCGTGGCCCTGGGCCTTGCCGGCCTTCTTGGCCTCGATGAACTGCTGCGACTCGGGGAAGAAGCAGCGAATGATGCCTACGCCAACCGACAGGCCGGCGGCGATCCAGAAAACGGTCTTCCAGCTGTCGTCGCTGCCGCCCACGCCGAGGTTGGCGCACGCCGCGCAGACGTAGCCGAACGAGTAGCCCTGCTGCAGGATGCCCGACATTAGGCCGCGGGCATCGACGGGGCTGTTCTCGAGCGCCATGGCAATGGCGTTGCCGTAGCTAAATCAAACGCGAATCACATGCTTATTTAGCCAGGATCCAACAAGAGCTGAAACGAAAGGACAGAAACGAAGAACAAGGCCACAGCACCAAAGCCCGGACGTATGTAGTAAGTACAGTAGTAATTGGGGACTGAATACTTACACTCCGCCCATGAACAGACCAAACAAGGCGCGCACGGCAAGGAACTGCTGAAAGGTGCTGCTGTAGATGGTGGCGACCTGCAGCACGCCGAGGATGATCATGTTGAAGACCATGGGCCACTTGCGGCCCCAGCGGTCGCCGGCGAGGCCGAACGCAGCTGCGCCGATGGAGCGCAGCAGCAGGGTCAGGGTGATGGCGGTCGACACGTCTGTCTTGCTGATGTTGTAATAGGCGGCCAGCTTGACCTGCTGGATGGACAGGGCGTGAAAATCAAAAGCGTCGGCCGTCCAGGCCGCGAAGCCGACGAGGAAGAAGAGCCAGTCGCGGCCCGACAGCTGCGCCAGCAGGCTGATGGGGTTGCGCAGCGCCGCCGGCCGCGCCCACTCGGCCGTCGTCTCGCCGTACGCGTTGGTCACCACGATGCGCTGCTTCCAGATGAACAGGTCCTTCCACGACTGCCGCGCCGTCGCCAGCACGCCCTTGGCCACGGGGTCGGCCGTCTCGTTTGTCGGCTCCATGGTTGGTTGTTGCTGTTTTAGGTGTGTGCGGGTCCTCTCTAGCCGGAAGCTCGTCGGGTAGGTAGGTGGTTGATGTAAGGGATCCGCCTACGGGATAGCCGGTGGAGACTGGACGAGAGGCCACCCGAGGTGAGGTCACGGTGCGGTGGGTGCACTTGCAGTTGCAGCGTGGTCGGCGCAGGACAGGGCAGACTCGGAGACGAACCCGGGCAGGAAGGAGGTGGACCTAACTTATTGTTCAAGGGCGAGTCCTGCAAGCAAAAGTCGGGAGGAGAAGCGGAAAAGCACACACCGCCAGACGATCCCAGATTAATTAACAGCCCGCATGTCTTATATGGGGATTGGCGAATCACTATCCCTTCTCGGTAGCCGTAGATAAGCGGTCATGATTTCATCTACCACCCGCTGGCTGTACTCCCACTCTGTAGCTTCTTGTCTTCCCGGGCGGGCAATTTTGCAGGTGATGTGCATGCGATGATGCGACTCCAGAACGAGCTGCAGTGTGACCAGTGTGGACCATACCAGACGAAAAGAGGAGCGAGGGGCGTTGGGCGTGCGGGGACAAGCTTTTGGCCATTGCTGGCTGATGCAGAGCGGCATTTCCCTGACTGCCTGGGGTTCATCTGCAACTGCCACGGCGCCCTCCACTGCTCTTGCTCCGTTGTGGAAAAAAACCTGGATGATCGGGAAAGGAAAGAGCAGGGCAGCATGGCCGACAGTGATGGCATGTGGGGTTGGTCTTGGCCTCTGTCAGTGGCAGACCCTAGATCGAACGTCTGGATTGGCAGCCAAGAGCATGCAGAGCAACGCCATTGTGGCTTGCCAGGCGGCTTGGCGTTTGCTTAATTGCTGTGCCAAGAAGAGGAGAAGCGGGTCCGGGACGGCCATGAGCTGGGCGCGCCAATCAAGCAGCCGTCTTGTTTTCCCTTCATCGGTAATTCTCTTGGTCGCCCAAGGGCAGTAAGGGCAGTCAGCTTAGAGTCAGCCTGTGCTTGTGCTCGTACGTGCTACCTAATTAATTACACGTGTGATAGTGTTACCCAGTGTAGCAATGCCTTCGGGTAAGTCGTAAACTCAATCTCCCTCTCTTGAGTCTGTGGCTTCAGTCACGTCTTCGTGGAGAAGCCTCCAAGTGCGGAGACTGGCATTTAGAGTTGAGACCAGCCAAGGGCCATAGATAGATTGCCTGTGGGGTATGGAGAATTTTGTTGCGGGGAAGAGCACAAGGAGGAGCTGAATGATCGTCAGTTGACCAGGGATGGGATGGAATCTGGGCTTTGTCAGGGCCTGCCCTGTAAATAAACCGCGCAAGGGCTCGGAGGTATTTGGCGTTGAGTCGTGGACAGAATGCGAAGCCGAGGATTGGGCAGGATTGGCCAAACCCGAACGTGGAAGTGCGGTTTAGATGAATTCCATCGCATTGCGTGATGACCGACGGGTCGTATGCTGCTGCACTGCGCTGCGCTGTACAAGATGTTGCGGCGCTGATGCTCGGGCAGTCAGACCGTATCGTGATACCTTGGCATCACACCTTCCTATTCGGCGCTCTCATCACGCCAATCGCCGGGCTTCCTCACCGCCTGAGGGGGCCAAACACCCGATTCTCGTGTGTTTGCCGGTCCGGTGGAACGGAGACCGGCTGCAGGCCAGCTTGGGTGTTTTCGTCCGTGTATCTTTGACGAAACGCTAGAATTATAATTTAGGTGGCTCGCCGCTGGCAGACAAACTGCTGTTTTGTTGCCGGAACAGCGGAAAGTACCCAGGTACTTACTTTAGTCTCGTGTCTCGTAAAAGAATAGAACCTACCTATCTTATTCTGTACCTAGTAAAGATTAAGACGCGGGAATCCACCACAGTCTTTGTGCTCGAAAGGCTACAAGGCACCTGCCTAGAGACTTTGCATTTTGCTAGAGCCTCGTCCTAGACCTGGTCACGCTACGCGCCCTAATTACCATCCTTTTAGCGGACCTATGAAGATTTAGACTTGCATGCTCCTCCCATCGTGACTACCTTGATTTAGGTACGGCGTCGCAATGACCGCAGAAACAATGGAACCATTCGAACCACGCGAGAAGTTCACGTCACTAACTCCCGCATAATACCCGCCGTGTTAGTCGCCTCTTGTAACTCCCAGCGCCGATGCAAAGTTTGCGCAGAATCTCCCAGCACGGCAAACTCGCCTTTAATTACAGCAAAGACGAGTGTCCCACCAGCACAGAAGGAGCCTAGAAGTAAAAGTTGGCGAAGCTGTCCCTGGCGTGGCCAGGCTTCCCAAAATACAGGTCAAGAGACATGGCTCCTTCGTAGGTCCTCCGAAATTCCTTCCCCGCCTAGCACCTTACCGTCGTCCCAGCGTTGCTTTGCGCGTCGCGCAGATCCGCGACCGTCAGGTTCCCGCTAATACCGCCCGAGAGCTCGATGAAGGAGCTGAGAGGCGTTTTGTAGACCATCTCGCCGCGTGCGCCCACGTGCACGGCGTCGTGTTGTGACAAAATGGTGAGCACGCCTTGTTTGTCCAGAGCTGCGGCGCTGACAAGACTGCCTAAGGCGCCGAGCTGGTCTGCGGTGTCGACACACTCAACAACGTTAGCGGGGAGGGATAGATCGTTTGCGACAACGACAGCAATGCTGCTCAGACCAGGGGGTTTTCGGTTCGTTGACTCGGAGAGAAGTTTAAGGATAACGAGGCTCGGGGCTTGGTAGACAACGAAGTCCTCGATCAGCGGTCTGCCGTCGAGCTCGAGCGCTGCGAACGGCACCCGTGTCAGATGCCCGGCAGGTATAAAGCAAATGTGACGGTGCCTGTGTGTTGAAGACTTCAACAGGGACCGAATCGGATCCACCAACGCCTTGGACAACTCCCGCATGGCGCGGCGAAGCCGGGTATTCATGTCGGGATCGGAGTCCAAGATATTGGCCTTCTCGATGACTCCGAGAATTTGCGGCGTTATGTGCAGAACATCCCATGTTCCGAAGCCTAGAAGGCCTTGAAACAGCCGGCATACTAAATTCCGCGGGCGTCGAGAGACAGACGATGCCAATCCACTCGTAGACGAGAGAGTCAAATGAACAACAAGAGTTCTTGCATCTATCTAGGTCGGGAGCTGCTCGAGACGGCCCTCGTCTCCCTGCAGCCTTGTTTTCGGGTTCGCGTCCAGAAACCCAGCTCCGTGGTGCTTCTGGAGTGAGTCTCCGATGCCACGAGCCTTGCCCATCTCGGCATAGCGAAGAGCCTCCTCTGCCCAGGAGTCATATTTTGCGCTTGGGTCCAGCTCTTTCGGCGCTGGACTGCCAACAGAGACGTGGAAATGGACCTAGACCCAGACGGTCCAGTCAAACGCCTTTTCGGCGTCGCAACTCCCGTACAGACTGCGTCTTATCTCTCCGTTGGTAATTTGCCGCCGTTGTTCTACGCCGAGCGAGCAACTGCACGTGAGCAAGGCGAGAGCTTCGGCCCATTTCTCCTGGAATATGTAGACCCTTGCGGCGTGGACCAGTTTCTGATAGTCGCCGAGCCCGTGCTGCCGCGGATCTGGAGACAAGCTCAGAAACCGGCTGCCAAGAGGAGATGGGGGTTCGTTTTTCAAGTGCTCGAGAAAGCGAACGCTGTTGGCAAACGCCGTCCTCTCCACACAGCTCGAGAAAGCAATCCATGTGTCTCTCGGAGGCCTCTGACAAAGACAGACCGTCGAAAAGAAGCCGTGCGGCTCGCTATCAAGTTCCTCAGCGGTCTCCCGAGCAAGCTCAACTAGCCCATAGTTCATGCCAAAATTCGTCCGGTAGAGCAGCAGGCGCTCTTCGCGGTGGAAATCCCCAGATGCTTGAAGGGAGCGGTCTCGGAGCCTCAATTTGCATGCCAGGCGGAGACAGACACTCGCTGGTGATTCGACTAGGGAGCGGAAGTTGGCCATGCGCCTTGCAAGCACTGAGCCTCGTTCTCCAGAATCATTCCTGCTCTCGCATATGACAGACACCACATCGGCGATGAAGAGGGACCATGAGGCCCCCCTGGTTTCCCCAACCCGCATGTACCCGGTTTCCGACATTCGGGCAGGCTCTTGAATATCCGACAAGCAGGAGTCATCGTTGCTGCCGACATGTATCCAGCGCAAGAGCCTTGCGCACGCGATTCCTAACACGGCGCCAGTTTTGTGATGCCCGTGGTATTCCGCAACGGCGATGTCAGGAGCAATCGTCGCCGCTTCTTCACAGAGGGCGAGGACTCGCTCGACCTCTGCTAACTTCACCTCCAAGATACGCTCTCAGGCCTGAGGGATCTGTTGTGTTATGTCGAGGCCCTCAACGTGCTTGACGGGAGTGTCAAGCGTAGAAAGAAATGTCGAGTTCCCAAGGACATCCCATTCGAAGCGTAAAGCCTGGAATATATAGAGTTTGAGGAGCAGCTGAAGCTTTTGGGTGGCAAATAATTAAGCATGGCCTAGTCTAATGGGTGCTGGCAGCAATTTTCTTCCCTCCCCTTTTCCCCTTTTCCCCTTTTCCTTTGTTGTTACAAAACACAACGAAGAAGCGAATAACCCAACAAGTGCACGATCATGGGCCATGATGACTACCCAATTGCTGTTTTGCCAGATTGGGTACCATACCCAATGCGGTAGGCAACCAAAGAGTGGCCAAAGTCGGGGTTTCAAAAGTGTTTGGGGTAACGCCAACCAAGAGACGCACAACCACGAACCCCAACTCCTGTCTCCACCAGCCTCGGTTGCCAAGGAGACGGCAGCCCATGTATCTCACTCTTCCGGGCCATGTCAAATCCATTGATCGATATATTGTTGTGGTCGAAGGGGTTTATATCTGAGGTCAGATGCGGCTCTGCAGGGCGGGCTTGATGAAGTCGTCGTATCCAACATCATGGGCTCGGGCCTCCAGCCTCCACAACGTCATGCAGCCTCCGTGATGCTCCGTGCAGCGCGTGCAAACACAGGAGCTTGCACGCCTAGCATGCCTCGGCATACTAGCCCGTTATGCGGTAATATCACTCACCCAGAGCATAACTCGCCAGTGTCCAGCCCGGAAAATCATTGCATGCGGCACATGGCCCAACCACTCAGCATCCCGCGGAAGAGCCTCTTCCTCTCACGCCCACATGCTTCGGAACGAACCGAGAATCGCGGTGTTAGAGACATTGCACTATGATTGCCCATCTCGATTGCCTCCTTGGCTCCAGGGGGCCGGCACCACAAACGGGCCATACTATTCGGACAATTTCGCTCGACCACCGAAACCAGGCAGACGATCTTCAACCGTGCCCCTGGCCCGGCCGTTCTTCTCTGCAAGTGTTCGAAGCCCGGGGCCATCTGATTGCCTTCCCGCGCGCGACACCCCACATCTCTCATGGGGTTAAAAGAGAAAGAGATCCCCCGCAGTCTTGGCCCTGGGTGAAGAGAGAACGGGCCATAACCTCTCGACCAGATCCTCAAGAAACCAGACGTCCCCAAAGAGACCCGCGGCGGAACGATAGCAGTCCGCGCGTGGACCATGAGCTTTGCAGTGTCGTCCGCCCACTGCTGAACCAGCAAAGCCCCTAGACGTCGACTCATGTCACCACGGCCGTCATCCAACCAAGTCGAGGTGTAATCAAGAACCATGGCGACTCCCGACAAGATGCCCTTGCTCGTCTCGAACCCGGCCGAGTCGTACCAGGCCAACATCATTGCCTGCGCCGCCATAACGTGGGCCATCGGCGCCATCTTTGTCGCCCTGCGCTTCTACACGCGCGGCCGCATCCTCCACAATGTCCTCGGCGCTGAAGACTGGTTCATTCTCGTGGCCCTGGTGTTCTCGGGCGCCACCAGCGCCGGAATGATTGAGCGTTGGTCATGCCGCCCAGATAACTGGACGAGAACACACAGACTGACCGTTGAGCAGAAGCCGTCTACGGGCTGGGAAAGCACATGCTGGACATCAACCCGGCCGTGATGATGCCAATGGCACGGGTACGTCTCTCTCTCTCTCTCTCTCTCTCTCTCTCTCTCTCTCTCTCTCCCTCCCTCTCTCCCTCCCTCCCTCTCTCTCTCTCTCCCTCTCTCCCTCTCTCCCTCTCTCCCTCTCTCCCTCTCTCCCTCTCTCCCTCTCTCCCTCTCTCCCTCTCTCCCTCTCTCCCCCCCCTCTCTCTCCCTCTCTCTCCACTCAACACCAACCATACCACTGACAAACCACACCGCATCAGGCCGGCTGGTACACGATCCTGTACTACATGATGGCGCTGCTGTTCACTAAGGTGTCGATCCTGCTGCTGTACATCCGCATCCTCAGCTACCAGCACGCGCGCTACGCCGTCTACGCCATCACGGCCGTCATTGTGCTGACCAACGGCCTGTGGACCATGGTAACCGTCGTGACCGCCTGCATGCCGCTGCGCGCTTTCTGGGACCCTACCGTGCCTGGCGCCTACTGCCGCCCCGCCGCCTTCTGGTTCGCCAACACGGGCATGCACATCGGTACTGATGTCCTGCTGTATATCCTGCCCCTGCCCATCATCGTCAACCTGCACGTCCGCACCCGCCAGAAGATCGCCCTGTACTCCATCTTTGCGCTGGGGCTGCTGTAAGTCAACTTTCCAACCTTTTTTTCCAGCCGGTGTCTGACAGACAGACAAACAAACAGCGTCTGCATCATCTCGGTGGTGCGCCTGTGGGAGCTAGTCGAGGAGTACAAGCGCGTCGACTTCACCTTCGACAACGTCAGCATCTCGTACCTGACGTGCATCGAGGTCAACGCCGCCATTGCCTGCGCGTGCTGCATGACGCTGAAGCCGTTCGTGGCCCGCGTGTTCCCGCGCCTGTTTGGCGGGTCGCGGTCCGACTCGGCCGTGGCGGCCGCTGCCGGGAGGCGCGATGCCGAAGCCGCCGCCGGGTCCGGCAGGGAGAGAGGAGAAAGGGGACCGCCCACCATCGGCTCCAAGCCCTCGCGGATAACGACAATACCGCCGCAGCTGCAGAAGCAGCAAAAGGGCCAGCAGCGCCAGTACTACCCGTGGCCCGCGGTGGCGGCCATCCACGGGCGCAACGACAGCCACTCGCAGCTGCTGGATGACGACGACGGCGACGACGACGACAGCACACTAACCGGAGGCAGCCACAACGCTAGATCTGACGAGAAGCACTCCCACGGGGCGCTAGATGTCGACTCGCCCATGATGTCGCCGCTTTCTCCACCAATGCAAATGCCCAGAGAGCTGCCCGCGGCGTACTCCTCCGAGAAAGGTGACAAGAGCCTTGGGCAACCACCCAGCTAACACTCCGAGTAAGGAGACTTTGTGGGTGGGTGGCGCAGCAAGGACAAGCCTGCTGCTCTCAAATTTAATGATGCAACGAGCGACGCTTAAGGACTATAATATCATGCTTTTCTCTTATCCACAGGGAAAGGGGGCGCTAACCAGTTGTGATCATTACATGATGGTATATTTGCTGGTTATGACGGGGCGTTTTAGGATTTGCTTTTCTAGGTACCTTACCATACTCATTAGGCATGGAAATATTCTTGTTATCATTTGTAATCTATTTCTTGTAAGAAACGTCTAGTTAGGGAAGGTTTTGCCTAATCTTAGGAAGCACGTTGCGGGCAATAATTAGATATTGAGCTTCTGGTGTCCGAAGTCCAACCTAACCGATTTAATCAATTCAAAGCGTAAATATAATGCGTCTGGAAGCTGCTGTCAACAAGTGCATACGAGGGACTCATGGCAGAGAATCCAACGAGAGGGCTCAAAGTGTATTCTACTCAGCAGCCCAGCACCGGGAGAAGGCTTACTTCCTTGTTTGTGCAGGGCTACCGTTCGAGAACTAGAATAAATACAAAAGCCCTATCGAATCCCTAGATTCACTGAGCCAATGGAGCTACCGTCTAAGGCGGCTGGAACAAGCTGGGAAAGATACCTTTCCAACATCTTTATTCCAGTCCCCTTTTTGTCCAGCGCGTTTTCTTTTCTTTTGCCCCTCGCCAACCCATCTCCGAACCGCCCTCTCCTTCCACACCCAGGCAACCACCACCGCAGTGCCCGGGCCCGCGCAAGCTAGGAAGACCGGTAAGACTGCCACCGCGAAGAGCCAGCCGCGGCCCTCGGCAGCCCCGGCACGGCTCAAGTCGACGCAGGCGTAGACCGCGAGCCACAGGAACGAGGCGCCAAAGGTGACGAGGCAGTCGAGCTGCAGGACGAGGCGCGAGTGCAGCACGAAGCCGTCGTGCGCCATGCTGTCAGGGGTGAAGACGGTGGCCAGCGAGAACGGCGCGGCCGCGAGCATGTGGCGACGGGAAGCCGCCGCTGCGGTGCTGAGCCTAATTAGTTATCCGGGGATATTATAGTACAAACTACGATCCTGATTTGAACCTAGTTCACACCAAGCTTACGGTAGGAGTCAGGTCTTAGAAGACAATTAGTTAGCTTGGAACCCTACTTGTCGGCTTCCAGTTCGGCCCGACTTCAGATCTCTTGTGCAGGTCACACAGTTATCAGCAGTTCTGGTTACTTGTTACGCGGAACCAACGAGGCCCCCTGTTTGATATTACCACTTGATTGGATTTTGGATGGCTGCAGTTGGGGGCTGTTTCGGCACGCATCTGCGGCACGCGGCACGGCCATCGCAGTGTTGATTAATTCACTCGGGTCCTACTCTGAGATTCTCTGATGTTTCGGGTCATGGACGGTTGCTCAGAGGTGTGCAGAAGCTACTGTGCCCATACCTCAGTTGCCAAATTATGTATCTAGGAAGATATTTAGATGATTGCAGCATGGACAACGCCAACTATTTGTTGAACACAACGCTGTCACAACGACATACAAGGACAGAACCCCCCTGGCCACACCTGCGTATTCCGGATACGCAGTCTGCTTGGAAATCGCTGCTTTCAGCCGTGTAATTATACAGTAGATTAGACCCTACAATGGCAGTCAACCTGCTGGTGGTGCCAGCTTGGCCCCATTTCACTTCTTCTGCCTTTCTCCCTTTTCGGCGTTTTTGCCTGCGTCTCTCACTCTGAATCTGACTCTCACTTCCGTCTCCGACTATGTCTGCCCCCACCCCGATCCCATCTTTTGGCACAACGCCCGAGAAGCAGGCCGGGTTTCGTCATTTCCTGCGCTTGACGCCACGCCGGCCAAGGGCTAAGACGCGCCCGGCCGCATGATGGTGTCCAAGCTGCTGGGCCAGTTTTTCGTTGCTGAGCTGGCCAGGCGCGTGCCACCGTCCGTGGCCGTCGTCAACGCCGCCTCGCCCGGGTCCGTCCACGGCTTGCAGTTCAACTGCGACATTGACGGCACGCTGGCCGGCGCCTTCCTCAAGACGGTCCTCCGCCGCGTCGGCATCGATACATCCTCCTTGACCGGGGATGAGAAGGCAGAGGCGTCGTGCATTGAAGTATTCATTGTGACGCAGGTGTTCGTGTGGATATGCTAATAGAGAAAGTAAGGAAAGTCAGCAAGTAAAACCTATAGCTGGTAGGTCTCAATCAAATCCCTGGGGTCAATCATAACAGTGTAGGGACCCTAATCAGTGCTTCCAGTGCCCCTCAGCTCGATCGCCGCTGATTCATGCATGCGTTGTGTGCTGCAAGGAGGATCCCCCGAAGGGGCGGCTATAGTATGACGGACATCACGCCTCAGAGAGGTCGCGCCACGGCTGGTGTCTTTAGAAGGTTATCCTCGGGGCAGCCCTCATCGGGATGTTATCCTCGGGTCGCCATGGTACGCCGCAAAACACAAACAGACCAACGACCAAGCAAGTGTCGAAAGCCGGCCGCCAGCGGTCCTTTCCCACCGGAGTGTTCGAAACCACCAGAAGCTTCAGGACAGCGACCCAAGAAAAACAACTGGACCCGGCCCAGGTGGACCAAGTGAAGATATAGTGAAAAACAACCGCCTAGTCTCTCCTAGCCCCCCCACGCTGAGGGTGATGCCCCAGCCCAGAGTAAGGTGGTGGTCGCCAACATACATGCATGCCCGGCGGGTTGCGACGGGGAGATTCCGGGCTGCTTGTGGTCGCCACAGTTTTGCGTTGATCTTAGGAGGAAGGCAGCTGATAGGAGGTGTACTCGGGGTGGCCGAGGACGGGAAACAAATTGAAAGAGAACCTACTTGTCCTAGGGCGCGACGCCGCGCGATGTGTAAAAAAAACCCCCCTGGCGGCTAGGTACTGAGTTTCTAGGTAGGAATGGAGTTAGCATTCAAAGCCCGAAAACTATTCTCAATTGGGGCCCGCCGATATTACAATGTTGAATAGCGCGCAAGGAGATTGCGCAAGGAGATTAGGGGACAAATATAAAGAAGGCATTGTTTGTCTTGAAAAAGGTCGCGACTATTCTCTTTATTCAAAAGGCATCTGCACCTAGGGACAGGCCAAACTCATTATGACATGTCGTTGTTTCCGTATGGGTCCCGAGTACGATACCCGCATCTATAAACCTGAACGCTTGCTAGATACAAAGGAAGTAACTACCTTACCGCTCGGCCGAGGGGGGGTTTTCCGAGAGAAGTATAATCTTGTAGAGCCACTATAAAAAAATCGTAGACATAATATATCAATCTTAACTGCGACTAGTAACGGCGAGACTGCTTTGGTATATTCCGGCTCGCCCTGAACGTCTTCCTTGAAAGCGTTCGGCATTAAAACCAATATCTTAGAATTCTCAAGAATATAAAGACCGGCGGCGAGGAGAAGCTTAATGCTAAATTGACAATTACTGTAACAAGAAAAACCCGCAGCCATATCCGCGGCTATTATTTCCAAGTCGTTTTGCTTTTCTACAATGGTAATCAAGCTTGAATTACATATCTCGCCAAGCTATTAATAGAAAATTAATACGTTGTTTACATTCTAGAAGCTAGAAGGAAGACGACTAAGCTAAGCTATTTTTAATTTGCTAGAGAGAGGTCTTTTTCAAGTATTTAGAGGCCCGCGATCTACTCATGTTTGTGGTGACTAGATAATATCAGCTATTTATCCTAGGCTAGATAGCTATCATAGTACGAGTTGTGGGACACGTCGGGAGGGAGTGAGCACGTCTGGATGGGGACGACTAATATCTCAAGGGGTATAGTACGTATCCGAGGAGGAGGGGTATAGGCTGAGCTGGCACAAAAGACCAGCAAAAATCTCGAAGCAAGAGTACGTACTGTACCCCAGAATCCGATATAGACCTTGAGGGAGCGGGTGGCCAACTGCGATATTGGCAATATGGGGGAGGAGAGGCTGATTAATCCAATCCTGAGGCCAATTTTAAGCGATAAGATCGGCGACGTTCATGGGCATCTCATCAATCTGCGTCGAATAGTACACTGCAATAATTGTTAGGGGCATTTAAACTGCTGTGGCGAGGAATCGACTTACGCTCGATATCACGCAGAATGCGCACATCCTCGCTAGTAACGAAGTTGATCGCAACACCCTTGCGTCCAAATCTGCCGGACCGACCGATACGATGGATGTAATTCTCACGGTTGCTGGGGAGGTCGTAGTTGATGACCAAGCTGACTTGCTGAACATCAATACCGCGGGCCCAGACGTCGGTGGAGATCAGAACTCTGCTGTTGCCCTGTCTGAAGTCCTGCATAATGCTGTCTCGCTCCTTTTGCGGCATGTCTCCGTGCATGCTGCTGACGGTAAAGTTCGCTTCTCTCATCTTGTCCGTAAGCCAGTCAACCTTTCGCCGCGTGTTGCAGAAAATGACGGCCTGGGTGATGGTCAGAGTGTCGTAAAGATCGCACAGGGTATCGAATTTCCAGTCTTCCTTCTCGACAGCAATGAAGTACTGCTTCAGGCCTTCCAGAGTCAACTCATCACGCTTGACGAGAATCCGTACGGGGTCGGTCATGAACTTGGTGGTCATGTCGAGGACATCGTAAGGAAGAGTGGCCGAAACAACGACGACCTGCGTGGCGGGCGGAAGATAGCGGTACACGTCGTAGATTTGCTCCCTGAACCCTTGGTTGAGGAGTTCATCAGCCTCGTCGAGCACTAGCATTTTGATGTGACGCGTGCGAAGATGGCGGCGCCGGATCATATCGGCGACACGGCCTGGGGTGCCGGAGACGATATGTTGGCCGTAGTCCAGCTTGCGAATGTCTTCTCCCACATTTGTGCCGCCAATGCAGGCGTGGCATTGAACGTTCATGTAGTCGCCGAGGGCCATCACAACGCTTTGGATCTGGGTTGCGAGTTCGCGCGTCGGAGATAGAACAAGCGCCTGCGTCTCGCGGACTGCAGTGTCGATAACTTGGAGCATGCTGATTGAGAAAGTCGCGGTTTTGCCGGTACCCGATTGCGCCTGGGCGATGGTGTCGCGTCCCTTGCAGATCTGGACAATGGCTCGGGACTGCACGGCAGATGGCGACTCGTAGCCGTATGCGTAGATGCCACGGAGAAGGCTTTCTGTTCGGGCGCTGGTCAGCACACCGATTGAGTGGCGGTCGCATCGGCAGGAGCGCAGCCTCCTCTACTCACCCTTCAACGACATCGACTCGAAAGTTGGATGCACCGTGACCTCTTTGGAGGTTGAGAATTGGATTTTCTCATCCGCCTTGCGGTCGATTCCCCCAGCCTCGGTCATTTTGGCAGTCGAGCCTTTTGCGGCTTTGATGTAGGTTGACAAAGCGGTTTTCTGTTGAGCAGCGAAGTGCTAATTGAGGATGCGCGATGCGAGATGCCAGGTCGAGGCGGCGGAACTTGCGCTTGGCAGAAAAGAACCGAGCGGCAGAACTTCGGCTAGCTAACCTTAACTACTTTACGCGCATTGGCCAGGCCCCGTCCCGACGCGAGTGAGTTATTCCTAGAAGCATTTCGCGGCGCGCAGAAAAGACAGCGTTGACCCTCTTCCAAAAAAGTGCAAGTGCAAGTGCCTGAGTACCAGCTAATCTCGCCAACACCAAGAACCGCCGCTGCGCTCCACGAATAGACACATCGGGGACGGGAAAATCACGACAAATCCGGCAAGATGTTGTTCGAAGAAATGAGATACATCCATGAGGATCTCGAGCGCCTCGAGCAGGGCATCTCGGATCGCATGGCGGAGGAACCCAAGCACGTACGTTGCAGCGGCAGAACCATGCAGCACAAAAACCTGGCTCCCTTACCCATGGTTTGCATGATTAGAGAGGATTGAGAACAATGGGCTAAAAGCGCAGCTATAGATTCGCGACCGCCTCAACCGAGACCACGAGGTTGCCCAGCTCCTCGAGCAAATCCAGAAACAGTCCGCCGAACTTTTACCATTCTACGAGGATAAGTCGGGAGATCGTTCAAAGGAGATCCTCCAGATAAGCTCGGGCGATCCATTTGACGAGTTCACTCGGCAGGTGGCCGGTATCAGAGAACACCACGCGCGATACCCGAACGAGCAGGCCGAGAATTCGGAGCAATGGTACCGGCCACACAAGGGCGGCGACGACCAGCCACTTCTTGTCGAGAGCATGTTCTCTGGCGAAGAAGCATACGGTCGTTATTTTGACCTCCTCGGCTCCCACGAGTCGTACCTCAATCTACCGAACGTCAAGCGACTCGCCTACATGCAGTACTTGGACGTCTTTGACAACTTTCAGTCTGGATATGGTGGTGTCAAGCGAGTCGACAAACTGACTGACCAGTACTTCAAATACCTTGGCGACCTGATGGGCTACTTCGAGTCGTTCATGCGGCGTACGCGGCCCTTGGAGAACCTGGACAAGGTGTTCAGCGGCTGGGAGAAGGAATTTGAAACGGCATGGGACCAGGATGAAGTTCCGGGGTGGGAGAGAGAGAAGGCATCCGCCAAGAAAGCCACTTCAGCCCGAACAACGACAACACCTGAAGCGGTGTGGTGCGAGGCCTGCGAGAAAGAGTTCAAGAACGAGAACGTTTACAACGGGCATCTCAGCGGTCGCAAACACATCAAAGCGGCCGAGCTGCTTGCGCCAAAGAGTGGCCCCGACGAGACTAACGGAGGCCACATATCCCTCGCATTTCGTCTGAGAGAGCGAGCTGTTGCTGACAGGGAGTTTCGAATCAAGAAACTAACTGCAGCGATGAGCACCGAGAGAGATGATACTCGGGTCAATGTGGAGCGTCGACAAGGCATGACAGAACGAGAGCGTGCACAAGAGCTCGAGAATCTCTTTAACTTGACGGCAGACCAGCAAAATAACGCCGCCGAAGAGGAGGAGGAGGACGGCGGTGACGATAAGGTTTACAACCCCCTCAAGCTGCCGCTTGCCTGGGACGGCAAGCCCATCCCCTTTTGGCTGTACAGACTGCATGGCCTGGGCCAAGAGTTCCCTTGCGAGATTTGCGGCAACTTTGTTTACCGTGGACGGCGAGCGTTTGACAAGCACTTCAACGAGACGAACCATATCACGAACCTCAAGCGCCTGGGTATTACCAATACCCATCTGTTCCGAGACATCACCTCCATCGAAGAGGCTGTGAGACTCTGGGACAAGATCCAGCGGGATCAAAAGAAGACCACGCTGGATGATGGCGCCATTGTCCAGATGGAGGACGCCGAGGGTAATGTCATGCCCGAGAAGGTCTACCTGGATCTCCAGAAGCAGGGCCTGCTCTAAGTCCATACCTTGATGTATATTTGTTTGTACGGATGCCTGTGTAACCATTTCGCATGGAGGATGGCGAGGACAGCGTGATGACAAGGAATTTACCTGGATTGGAAGAGGCAGGGCCAGATACGAGCCTGCGTCTTCGGCGCCGGGTAGACAGTTTGTTTTGATGGAGTAATGTATATAAGGATAACCCAAAAGCGTGTTACAGATACCCAGGTGTAGCTGGTCTGGAGAAGGTGGCTTGCGGCAGTTCAGATGCCTGAGAACTGTGCAGACAGATCAATGAGGAATCATGAAGCCAGAATTCTCGTGAATATTTAATGTGGCGAAACAAGCTCCAGCGTCGGAAATGCCGACTCTGACTCCGTCCTGCCCTGTTGTTGATGTCCTGGGCGAGTGGCGGCCCTGCGATCCGCCCCACCTTGGGAGGGGTGAGCCGCCCACCATTGGACAAAACGTCAGGGACATCAGTCTGCGCTGGGAAGGGTCAACGGCACGTAAACAAAAGCAACCCGACTCAACGACATTTGCTTACAACAACTCTTAACGACAGCTTTGGGTTACCTGGCTACACATCCTGCGACACTTTGGCGCGGAGCGGCTCTTGGAATGGCTGCATCTTGCTTTGACGTGGAAACATCCGATTTTCCCGATTGACGAGGCGCGACAGCGAACCACGATGCGCTGACCCAGACGACGACAACGACAGCACCTACACCGACGACAAGAACAACAGCAAACATGGCAATTCAGACGAAACCGATCCCAGCTCTTTATACCGTATACATCCTCCGATCTACAGTCCGCCATGCCTCGCTCTACATTGGCTCCACTCCCAACCCGCCGCGGCGCCTGGGCCAGCACAACGGCACGGCGCGTGGAGGGGCCGCGAAGACGTCGAGGAACAGCCTCCGGCCGTGGCAAATGGTCGGCCTGATCTCGGGGTTCCCGAGCATGGTCGCGGCCTTGAAGTTTGAGTATGTCTTCCCCCATTAGTCACCTCCGCATTCTGCGCCCCGTTCAAAGCTGATTCGGTCTTCTCGTCGCAGATGGGCACTGACCAACCCCCATCTCTCGGTGCACATCCCCTCCGACTCGCGCCTCTCTAGATCGACGCAGGTCAAGGCAAATGGCCAGCCGCGCAGGCCATCCAAGAGCATGGTCTCCATCTTGTCCAACGTCCACCTGCTTTTGCGCGTGCCCAGCTTCGTGCGCTGGCCGCTCAAGCTGCACTTCTTCGTCCCCGAGGTCTACGCTGCGTGGCAGAAGTGGTGTGCAACGGCCGCGGTGCCGTTGCGGCCGAGCCTCGAGGTTGTCACCGACTTTGGAGGCGCGCAGACGAGCGAGGGAGAGCCAGACGACTATTCTGCCGCCCCTCTGGCTGAAGAGAGCGAGTCGTCCGATGAATTAGAACAGACCAAGACCTGTGGTATACACGCCCTCCCGCTGGACTACGAGCCGATCAAAGACTACGTGGCCAAGGCGCGGGGCATTTTCGAGTTTGAGCGCGAAGGCGACTGTGTCGTATGCCACAGGGCCATCAAATCCGGTGAGGGCCTGCACGCGGTCTGCACGAACGGCGGATGTGACGGGGTCGGGCACCTGTCCTGCTGGAGCCGGCATTTCATGCCCTCCCAAGGCCTCGACAACATACTGCCCATCCAGGGATGGTGCCCAAAGTGTCACGGCGAGATCCAGTGGAGCGACATGATGAAGGAGCTCACGCTGCGGCTCAGAGGAAAGAAGGAGGTGGATAAGCTGCTCAAGACGAAAAAACGGCGCGCGCCCAACAAGGCTAAAGCGAAGGTCTAGCATCGATTATCTAGGACAGGTCACGCAGGGGCAGGTTTTAGCCCGCCAAAGGTTTAAGGCGGACGGAACCCGGGGAACAATTTGCATAAATCGGGTGTTTTGGTTAACGGGAAGGGGTGTTTGGGGGTGGGTTCTTTTTTATGGGTTCTTTTTTAATTTTTAAGAAAATTAGAACTGTTCATTCAGAAATCCTTGCATCACGAAAGGCTTGGGATATTCCAGGTGCTGCCCTTCTCCTTCGTTCACTCACATCAAACTGGAAGCCATAAGCAAATCTCCACAGACCAAGGCGCCTTGCCTAAAAATACGCAGTGCTAGCGTGCCCTAGCCATGTCGTTTGGAGCGAACCGAGCTAGGAAATCAGATTGCCGATCTCGAGTCACATGTTTCTGCTGAGTCAGGTTGGCCAGCCCCGCAATCGCCCCCAACCCTTGGGTCCTTTTTTTGAACGTCAATCGACCACCCATTGGCCGATTTAGCGATGAATTCTGGACGGCTTACCCACCTTCCCCCCCTGTCGATATCAGATCTCTCTTTCCATTTTTATTGTTTCCGAACGACGCCGCATCTTTATCATCTTTTTGTGGACGGATGCAGTGACGCTCACGTCTCACGAAACGCACTTCCGGGCTTGACAGATGGCTTTTTTTTTTTTTTTTGGCGGTCATGCATGCCTTAAAAAAGTCTGACATTTTCGCAATTTTTCCTTTCCCACACGCGGTACATTTTCTTTTTCGCCCACCCCCCCTTCCGTTTTTTACTTTTGGATATTGATGGCATGCCATGGGAGGTCCCACAAAGGATGCGATAGTTCAGGGTACAGCACCGTAGCAATTTGCATCCTCTGCGAGCGAGCGAGCGCTGACTCCCCCAGCCGGCCCCCAGCCGAGCCGTTTTGTGCTGCTGGTATGCATCGTTGGCTTGTTCACAGTCCGCTTTTCTTTTTCTGCCGCATTCCACAATACGGATACGTAATGCCACTTTGATAATCCGTTCTTGGGGTGTAGCATTGGGAGCAAGGAAGACAGCCCGTTGGCATGCGTGCATTTGGGATTTAGATGGCATATGGCTCCGGCTCACGTTTATACTAACCCTATTGCGAGCAGCAAGTGTCTCCATTTTTAGTACATACATTGGTAGGTATCAGGCCATCGGCGCACTTGAGCCCCCCATTATGTGACGGGGATGATGAGGCTTGCTGCAGCTCGAGCTATCGCATGCAACATGGCCGCATGTTCCGCGGTCGGTGCTAAAGAGGGCAGATGCCGTTTGCTTGCGCCGATTTTGCGCTTCTTTTCCCTGCGAAATCTTTTGACTGGTGATGTCGCCCCAATTCTTCATTTTAGGGTTCGGGTACAAGGGATGATAGGAGCATAGTGAAATGGCATTGAAAGCGACGGGCGGAGAGCGGGAGGGACAGGCAGAATCATCAGCCTCACGCCGCGCCGCGATTCGATGCCGGAGTCCAATGCTGGCCCCGACGCGATAGCCGTTCCATAGTTTCTAGCCCCATGCTGGCCGCGCTTACCATGTGGTTTGGTATAGCATTTGCGGACATCTTCCAAAAGCCAACTTAGGGACAGATGTACAGATATTGAAGAACCTTCTGGCATGTAGGTGTGTGCGTATGTGCAAGATATGTAGGTAAGGTAGGTAGACACCATAGTTTATTTTGCGCCTTGAACCTTGCCCTTCTTGGGGAACGTCCCCCGTCCTATGGGGGAACCCATGCTCCCCTTCCCCCCCCCCCCCCCCCCCCCCCCCCCAGCACCTCCGCCGCCCTGGGCTTTCCTTCCTTTCCATTCACCTCGCTCCCGTCACCCGCAACACTGCTTCTCCCCCCCCAATCCGAAATCCACGGCTGTCGTCCAATTCCGTGTCTACCGCTCCCTGCAAACCACCAAACCAAAATAACTGCCTCAGTGCATCCAATCACTATTCATCTAGAAGTCGAAAGGGGCAGTTTGCATAGTATTGGAGCACTGGCTTGCGTGACACCAATTCCCTGGGCAGTGGCGGAGGAAGGAGAGGACGAATATCAGCACCTTCCTCGACCTCTTGGTTTTCGGTGCGCACACTTTTTTAAGCCTCCAATTACCAACTTGCGCCGTCTAGTACCTTCCCTTGGACACGTTATGTTTGGTCGTGCCGCTATTCGTTATGCGGGCAGCCTCTTTACTCGTTTTCTGACGGCGTTTGTTCTTGTAGGGGTTGCATGCTACGATGCGCCGATACCATTGATCCGTAGTCCGGCACTTCGTCCAACTCGACGCTCTCTCGAGCACCCCAAGTCGACAGCCTAAGCCTTTTTGTCGCCCGTTACCGGTTACGAGCGCTCCGCGAATATGGTCTCGGCCCCCTCGGTCGGCGGGATATCCGGATCAGGCGGCGCTGGACCTTCGAGCGCCAGTGCCGGCGTGCGAGGACCGCCTACAACGGCCGCTTCTGCCACCCTCTGTGCGAGCGGGAACGCGAAGCCAGCTCAAGTCTACGCAAATGGCTACCACCCCGCGAAGACCCAGAACCCGCTTAGTTCTATGATAAGCCCTCCTCTCGACTTGACATCAGTTGAACGCCGCGAGCAACCTACATTCAAGGAGCCTGTGAAGAAGAAGAGCCGGCCCCACGGCCTCCAAGAGGCGCCAACATACTACCCAACTGAGGAAGAATGGAAGGAGCCTTTTGAGTTTATTCAAAAGATTGCGCCCGAGGCGCGGGAATATGGCCTATGCAAAATCGTCCCGCCTGAGTCATGGAATCCCGATTTTGCCATCGATACCAAGGTTAGTTGAGTGGTTTGGCGCGCACCCGGCTCTGGGTTCTCGGAGGAATGTCTCTCCAAGAGTTCGCAAGTTTGCGACATTCTCGGCTCGCACTTTCGGCCCGCGGCGATCGATTCTTGATTGGGAACCTCGTCGTGCTAACCAGGGAACTGCAGAGATTCCATTTTCGCACGAGAAAGCAAGAGCTTAATTCTATCGAGGGCAGTAAGCCACACCTCCCTCTCCCCAGCACACCACCACCATGGAGCCAGATGCTGATCCAGTAGCTGTAGGCTCGCGCGCAAATCTCACGTACCTCGATGCTCTTGGCAAATTCCACAAACAGCAAGGGACAAACCTCACCCGGTGGCCGTACGTCGACAAGAAGCCGCTCGACCTGTACCGGTTGAAGAAGGCCGTCGAGGCCCGAGGCGGGTTTGAGAAGGTCTGCAAGCTGAAAAAATGGGCCGAAATTGGGCGCGACTTAGGATACAGCGGCAAGATCATGTCATCCCTGTCGACTTCACTGAAGAACTCTTACCAGAAGTGGCTCTGTCCTTACGAGGATTACTTGCGGATAGCCAAACCTGGCGTTCATCAGCAGCTCGAGCTGGAATATGGCGGCCCTCTAACACCCAGCCCGGCGCCTAGCCCGATGAAACGGACCAACGTCAACACACCGTTCAGCCTCCGGGCAGAGTCGCCAGCAAGGCACGCCACGGATGCTCTACAGGCTACCATGAACAGCCACACCAAAGACGCCGATCGAGATTTCTCGATGGAAGAGGCATCCCCATTTGCAGCGCCACAGGCGCCCGGATTTACTGCTATCAACAACTCGGGCGGTTTCACTGCAGTCAATTCTGGGTTTACGAGCGTGAATCGTCCGCCAACTGGAAACCCTGACATGAAGGCCCCAAAGACATCCAGCACGCCACTCTCGTCCAGCAAAAACACCCCAGAATCCCGTCCTTCGGGTCTTACCGTACTTAAGCGGCAATTAAGTGGCGACAATCAAGACACGGATGCAGGGACGGACAAGGACGATGGGGAATCCGGCAGTCGCAGAAGCAAACGGTTAAAGAAAGGTCAGGAACTAGAACAGCCTCTTCTAGAAGTTGCCCATCACTTCATAAGGCTTGGTCGCTTCTAAGTTTTTGAAACGGTCTCGCACAAAGCCAAGTGGCATGCGTCAGTTTGTCAGACAAGGTCAAGGTGGTTCTCCAGTGTTGGCCCCTAATTTCCTCGGAACACCCCTACCCCCCAGCCTGTTCCTATTGGTGATAGAATTCCCTTCATGTGCTGACATGCTTCAATAGATGCCGTGCCAACCATCGCCGGTTCACATATGTCTCTGTTCCGCCCATCGGCTCCCAGGATTCCAAAAGACGAGGTATTCTCTCCTGGGGAGATGTGCGAGCATTGTGGGAAGGGCGGCGAGGAGCACGGCGCTCTTCTCATCTGCGAATCTTGCGATCACGGATACCATGGATCGTGTCTCGACCCGCCTGTCAGGAGCAAGCCTGACACGGAGTGGAACTGCCCTCGATGTCTCGTTGGCGATGGCCAGTTTGGGTTCGAGGAGGGAGGGCTTTACTCGCTCAAGCAGTTCCAAGAGAAGGCTGCCGACTTCAAGCAGGCCTATTTCGAGAGCAAGATGCCGTTCGACCCCGTTCTCGACTGCCACCGTCCAGTCACGGAAGATGACGTCGAGCGGGAGTTTTGGCGACTTGTGGCTGACCTGGAGGAGACTGTCGAGGTGGAGTACGGCGCTGATATCCACTGCACTACCCATGGCTCTGGCTTTCCGACCATTGAGAAGAATCCCGAAAACCCCTATTCTACAGACCCGTGGAACCTCAACCTCTTGCCGCTTCATCCCGACAGCCTTTTCAGGCATATCAAGTCGGACATTTCCGGAATGACAGTCCCGTGGGTATATGTCGGCATGATATTCTCCACGTTCTGCTGGCACAACGAAGACCACTACGCGTATTCTGCCAATTACCAGCACTTTGGCGCCACCAAGACTTGGTACGGAATTCCAGGAGATGACGCTGAGAAGTTCGAGAAAGCAATGCGGGAAGCTGTACCCGAACTCTTCGAGACGCAGCCGGATCTCTTGTTCCAGCTGGTCACCCTTCTCACCCCGGAGCAGCTAAAAAAGGCTGGCGTACGTGTCTACGCCCTCGATCAGAGAGCAGGGCAGTTCGTCATAACCTTCCCCCAGGCATACCACGCCGGATTCAACCACGGGTTCAACTTCAACGAGGCTGTGAATTTTGCCCCCTCGGATTGGGAACCCTATGGACTCGCGGGAGTGGAGAGACTTCAGCAGTTTCGGCGACAGCCCTGTTTTTCCCACGATGAGCTGCTGTGGACCGCGGCGGAGGGAATTACCGGCGCCGGCCTGACGATCCAGACTGCGAAATGGCTAGCACCCGCCCTCGAGCGGATACATCGGCGTGAACTAGGCCAGCGCGACGAGTTTGTTGCCAAGCATGATTTTATTGCCAAGCATCTCGATGCCAAGCGCCCCGCGCAGACGCACGCATGTGTCTTCAACGGCGCAAGCGGCGACGAATGCCCCATGACGTTCAAAGTGGACGACGTCGATGTCCCCGAGGAAGAGTATGGCTGCTTCTACTGCAAGTCTTTCACCTATCTGTCCAGGTTCATCTGCCTGAAGACTGGCAAGGTCTTGTGTCTGTTACATGCGGGCAGCCACCCATGCTGTGGCAGTCAGGAATCTGATCGCTACCTCGGAAAGGACCATGCTCTCTACTATCGCAAGTCGGGTGAGGTCGTCGCCAACACCTTCAAGAAGGTCTCTGACAAGGCCCATCTGCCCGAAGCTTGGGAAGAGAAGTACGAGAAACTCTTGGACGAGGAAGCCACTCCGTCGCTCAAATCGCTACGGACTTTGCTAAGCGAAGGCGAAAAGATCCCTCACGACCTACCATCCCTGCCGATACTAAAGACGTTTGTCGATCGCTGTAACCACTGGGTGGAGGAGGCGACGAACTATACGGTCCGGAAGCAGCAGGTCCGCCGCAAGAACGAAAAGGCCTGGCTGACCGGCGCGCGCAAGTCAATCGGGGGCACATCCCAAGAGCAGAAAGAATGGGAAGAAACGCGCAACGCATCCAATATCTACCGCCTCCTTGACGAAGCAGAATTGATTGGGTTCGACTGCCCCGAAATCTTGCAGTTGAAGGAGCGTGCGGATGCCATAAAGGCCTTCCAAGAGAGCGCAAGGCAGACCCTCACGCACCGCACGAACCAAAGCATCGATGTGGTCGAGGAGCTACTTGAGGAAGGGCAGAGTTTCAATGTCGACATCCCCGAGGTTCAGAAACTCTCTGCCGTTTTGGACCAACTCAAGTGGAACGAGAAGGCCAAAGTAAGCCGTGGGGTCTTCATGACTCTAAAGGATGTCAATGACCTCATCGAAGAGGGGGAGGCTCTCAAAATTCCTCTCTACAACGACCACCTCTCGTTCTACAAAGATCAACTTATCGCTGGCCAAATATGGGAGAAGAAGGCACAGGAGCTAATTAATGCCGACGTTGTCAATTACGCTCAGCTTCAGGCACTGTCGGACCAGGCACAGGCGAGTGCCTTGCCGGTCTCTCCGGAGACACTTGCCGCCGTGGACCAGATCTTGCACAAACAACGCGAGGCCTCTCGGCAGATCATGGACCTAAATGAGCGTTCACGAAGACCCGACTACCACGAGAGACCCAAGTATGCGGAAGTATTAGAGGTCATCAAGAAGATTGAGGAGCTCCAAGCAAAACCGACAGGCACATTGGACCTCGAACGGGAACAAAAGCGCCATGAAGACTGGATGCGTAAGGGGAAGAAACTCTTCGGAAAGACCAATGCCCCGCTGCATATTCTCAAGAGTCACATGGACTACGTGCTCGATCGGAACATCGAGTGCTTCAATATCGTCACTGACAAGCCGCGTGTCCCTGCCGAGCCAGCATCACGGGAACCGAGCCCGGAAAGAAGGAAGTCAAACAACTGGGAGGACCCGCAGTTCCGAGAAGTGTTTTGCATTTGCCGCCGTACGGAAGCGGGGATGATGATCGAGTGCGAGCTTTGCCACGAATGGTATCACGGCAAGTGCCTCAAGATTGCGCGCGGTAAGGTGAAGGAGGATGATAAATACACCTGCCCAATTTGCGATTGGCGTGTCAAGATTCCACGCGACGCGGCTAGGCCGAAGCTCGAGGATTTGATCTCCTGGTTCGAAGAGATAGAGGGCTTGCCATTCCAACCCGACGAAGAGGAGGTGCTCAAGAAGATCATCGACAACGCCCAGGAGTTCCGCAACCAGATTGGATCATACTGCAATCCCGTTTTAGCAACAGCAAACGAGGCCGAGACACAGCGGTTCTATCTCCGAAAGATTGAGGGTGCCGAAATTCTCCTGGCGTTCGAGACCAACTTCTTCCGACAAGAGCTTCACAAGTGGAGCCCTGTTGCACCAGAGGCGCCGCCTGTACTAGAGTCTTCCAAGAGCACCCGCAAGCCCCGCCCAACAAAGCTGCAAAAGATGCTAATCCAGTACGGTGTCGACGACCCAGACGACCTGCCCGAGAGTGTCAAGGGGAAGGCAAACAGCCTCAAACGCAAGGCGCTGAATGCCGAGGCGGCCGCAGCCATGTCTTCCACTCACTCTGGAGGCGGCATGGAGACAAGTCCGGGAGCGAATCCGTATGGGCCATCAGGGGTTCCGTTCTTCTCGCAGCATTCCCCGGGGCAGCTGCAGACACCGGGTCTCACGATTGCTAGCAACTCTCACGGTCATCCATCCCGTGGGCCCGGGCCGTCGTCGTCATCGCATGGCCACCATAGACGCTCAGACTCGAACCAGGGTAACGGCATAGACCTCGAGTCGGGCTCTATCCACCCGTCCTTCTTCATGCAGAACAATGGTGGAGGTGGCCCACATCTGCTTGTCGGGGACAACTCTACGCACAGTCTTGAGGAACGGCTTCTTCGAGATACCCACTATGGTGGTGAAGATCTCAACATGGACTTGACCACCGAAGCTGGTAAGACTAGGGCGCTAGAGATTCTTTCACGGACCGACGTCGGTCGCCGGCGAGCAGAGGAAATCTTTGGCCGCGACGTTTGGGGCGGCTCCACGGACGACAACGATCCGATCGGTATTGGAGTTGGACCCGAAGGTGACGATAACATCTTTATCGACCTCATGATCGAAGACGACGACGACGAGAGGAAGGTACGCGATAGTTCCAATGACGGCCATCACCCCGAGGATGACCGGAACGAAGCAGCCTCTTTGATGGACGCCCAGAAAGAGGCATGACCGAACGACATGTAGCGGAAGAAGCCGAGCACAATACCCTCTTTCTCTTCTTTTAATGCGACACGAAACTTAATTTGAAGAGCATTTATGTCCAAGGGTCCGCTTATCCAAAGTGGAGGAAACGGGTCCGATGATTCGGTCATGGCGGGTGGCGGCTCATAAAATATTGCGGCTCTGTCGCGGTGCATTGGTGTCCAACTATGGCAGGCGGTGGGCAAGGCGTTTTCTGATATTTGATGAGATATTTTGGTGTTCACGGATTGCCACTGCCTCATTCGCTTTTTCGAGGCTTTTTTTGTTTTTCTTGTTTTCTTTTCCTTCCTTGCATTTCTTTACTATTCGTGCAGAGAGACTGAGGGAATATCGCCGGATTCCTCAGTCCATTCGACTGCCATCAACTGTATATCATTAGCCTTGTGCCTAGCACAATACACTTAGACAACCTGGCCTGACTCGGGTACGGCTGTCAAGCATCACCTACCATCAGCGTTAGACCTGGGTCTTTACTAGATAACTAATTCGAAAAAGCAGACATAACTGCGGAGCGGAGCATTCATTAGTTTTATAAACGGTTACGCACGCTCGTAGTTATACCATCGTGAACCTTGATCACTTTTGCTAGGCATCCTGCCTTTGTATGAAGATGGATTCATGTCTCCAGAGACGGAAGCTTACTCCCGTAAGGATGAATTGGCAGACGAAACAGACATTTTGCTGCTTGTTTTTCGGCGGTATGATCACTCTAGATTTGCGACAGTTGACCTAGAAATATCGTAGTGATGCCGTCATAGATCTCGTCACTATGGAGGTATCTACACAGCAACTAGGGCAGGTATGTAAAACACCGGGAGAGACTCCCGCTTACTTGTCCCTCTCTTCTGCCGTCGATGACAGCATCATCAACCAGGACTAGGACCAAGACCAGGGTCCAGTGTCCAGTGTCCAGTCTCCCCCGTGATGGAAATGTTCGCATATTTACCTCCAGTCGGTTCTGGACTAACGCACTAGGGCGTACGTGCCACCTCTTTTCCTTCGCTGTGAGACAGTAGTAGCCTACTTACTGTCTTTCATATACTGGACTCACGCTTCAGGATCTAGCAACCGCAGGTAGTCTCATCAGAAACACAGGGGTTGACTAAACAGCATCGCCGTCGGTCACTTGGTTAAGAGGACAGGACAGGGCATCACAAACACAACACGATGGCGCTCCCAGCGGCAGCCAACATGAGCTTTACAGCCCACGTCGCGTCGCAATTCACGACGTACGAGACGGACCGCAAGATGCAGTCGCAAGACGCCGTGTACACGACGTCTAACGGCGTGCCGATGCCGCACCCGTACGAGTCGCAGCGCGTGGGCGAGTCGGGGCCGCTGCTGCAGCAGGACTTCCACCTGATTGACCTGCTGTCGCACTTTGACCGCGAGCGCATCCCCGAGCGCGTGGTGCTCGCCAAGGGTAGTGGTGCGTACGGCTTCTTCGAGTGCACCGACCCCCCCCGAGCTGTCGCAGGCCGACCTCTTCGGCACCAAGGGGAAGAAGTGCCCCGTCACGGTGCGCTTCTCGACGGTCGGTGGTGAGGCGGGCTCGCACGACCTGGCGCGCGACCCGCGCGGCTTCGCCGTTAAGTTCCGCACCGAGGATGGAAACTGGGTACGTCTCTCCTCAACAGTTGCGTGCGTGTGTGTTTGTGGGCTTTTCAGCCACCCATGGATGTGAAAGCAACTGAACTGACGATGGGAACACGGTGGCGTGGGAACAGGACCTGGTAGCCAACAACACGCCCGTCTTCTTCCTGCGAGACCCGGCCAAGTTCCTGCACTTCATCCACACGCAGAAGCGGGATCCGTCGACGCACCTGTCGAGCAGCGACGACTCGACCATGTTCTGGGACTACCTGTGCAACAACCCCGAGTCGGTGCACCAGGTCATGGTGCTGCTGGGCGACCGCGGCATCCCCGACGGGTACCGACACATGCACGGGTACTCGGGACACACGTTCAAGTTCGTCAACGCGGCGGGTGAGTGGGTGTACGTGCAGATCCACATGAAGAGCATGCAGGGGGCGCGCTTCATCACGCAGGAGGACAGCGTCAAGCTGTCGCCCGACTACAGCCAGAAAGACCTGTACGAGGCCATCGCGCGCGGCGACTTCCCGCGGTGGAGCGTCGAGATCCAGACCATGACGGAGCAGCAGGGCGAGGAGGTGTGGGTGCGGCAGGGCATCAACGTGCTGGACCTGACGCACGTGTGGCCGCAGGGGCAGTTCCCGCGGCGCAAGGTGGGCGAGTTCACGCTCAACGAGAACGCCGTCAACTACTTTGCCGAGATCGAGCAGGCCGCCTTCAACCCGGCGCACATGCCGCTGGGCATCGAGCCGAGCGCCGACCCGGTGCTGCAGAGCAGGCTGTTCTCGTACCCGGACACGCACCGGCACCGCATCGGCGTCAATTACCAGCAGCTGCCCGTCAACGCGCCGCGCACCGCCTACTGGCCGGCCAGCTTCCAGCGCGACGGCGGCATGGCCTTCTTCAACCAGGGCAGCCGGTCCAACTACTTGTCGTCGATCGACCCCGTGCAGTTCCGCAGCCGGAGCTTTGACCCGCGCAAGGTGCACGGGTCGTCCTTCTCGAGCGACGCCATCCTGTTCCTGTCGGAGATCCGGCCCGAGGACTTCAACGCGCCGCGGGCGCTGTGGCAGAAAGTGTGGGACGAACCGGCGCGGCAGCGCTTCATCAGCAACGTGGCGGGCAAGATGGCCGTGTGCCGCAAGCCGGAGCTGCTCAAGCGGCAGATCGCCATCTTCCGCGAGGTCGACCCGGACATTGCCTCGCGGCTCGAGAAGGCCACGGGCATTCACGGGTACGACGGCATCGCGGGGATGCGCTTCAACGGCACCCACAACGGCATGGCCAAGAACCCGTCGCTGCGCCTTGCCAACGGCCTCGACGTCTCAAAGGGGAGCAGCCTGCCCATGCACAACGGTGCGCCGGTGAAGTCGGCCGCCAAGGGACGCGGCCACGCCAACGGCGTGTGCTGAAAAGCGTGTGCTGAAAACTCGAGCATTTTATTGATTTTGCCAGATCCGAGCGCTGTCATGGCTTTCTGGTGTGGTCAGTCAAGGATGTGAAGAAAAGGGCCTGCGACCTAGCTGCATTGGGCATCTCAGGGGTAGCGGTGCCGGGTGAGGTGAGTGCTCAGTGCAGTGCTGAGTGCACTGGTGATTCGGATTTCAGGGTCCAGCAGGGAGGAGATAGTGGAAGTAAATGAAAGAAAAACACGTGTGTGATGGCTTCATGCCGCTGCATAGCGTCGGCTTGAGCTGCGAGATACGGGCCAACAACCAATAGTGTGTGGGTCGGGATTTTTGGCTGGCCGCCCTTGGCGAATGGCCATTTCCGAAGCCAGCTGTGGCGACGATATTCCCCAAACCGTCCGCTTGCATAACTCCAAGAACGTTAAATCCGCTCTTTACGGAGCACTGGCTCCAAGACTGCTTCTCGCAGGCGGTCTCGCGGGCGGTGGATGTGATAGAGATTATGGAGACCAGTTCTTTTTACTTTTTTGGGAATAACAAAATGGATATCGCAAGGTATTGAGATGTCGAGGTATGGAGCAGTGTGTCACGGCCCACAGAGCGTTTCGGGCCGACGTCGGCTGAGCACAATGTTGTCAGTCGCGGGCCACTGAGACCTGCCCGACTCCTTGGAGTGCACTCGGGCTTTGCTCCGAACGCATAATTAGGCCTCTGTTATTGGTTAGTTTTTGATCTGATTGCATGGACTGTAGTGCGAATCCTGTAGGGATACTCGGTACTCAATACTATGCAGTATGTAGTTGACCAAAGACAACTCCGCCGCGCATCGTTGTCGTTACGTGATTGTGCCAATTCCACTGACACACGATTTCCGCATCTTCTGCTTACAAACATGGTTAGAGGACCGCTGACGTGAAAAGGGGTTCGTTGGTCTGGCAGTTGTGGTGGGTGCGGCTTCAAAGAAAATGCTGAAGGCCGAGTTGAGGGGCACCTAATCAGCGACCGTGCATAAATATTGACTATCATTCCTTGGACAGGCACGGCAACCTCCGTTTTTGCTAGCTTGAGCTGGTAAGTATCTTTCTGTCTTGTCTTGCAAACCAGATGATAACATGGAACACGTGCAAGCAAGTTGAGGGAAATACCCGCTGGCTTTCTCTCTTGTCACTCTTTGAAGCTCGCATTTTCTATGGAACTGAAGGATTGCGTTGAGTTCCCGGAGAGGCAACTCGAATAGGTCGAAACGATCCATTCGATTTTTTTTGGTAAATTTTGCCTCATCCGTGCGGTGGTGATGGTGGGTTGAGGTTGCGCTGTGTGGACTGTACCTGCAGCAAACCATGCGGCTTGGCAGGGGTCTTGTTCGTTAGTGGGCTCCCGATTTGGAAGCGCCAGGCGCGGCCACCCTTTTCGAGCCACTGAACGACGTCCAGTTGGAGCGTCCCCGGCGTGGCTTGCAGGGGCTCATTTGCCCAGAACCGTGGAACCGGAGGAACGGCGGGTGGGCCGTGGCGCGTGGTGGTGAATTCAGTTCAGAGCTTCTCCCTTCCCGACTTGAACTCCTCAACGAAGGTGGCCTGCGGACCGACCGCTCTCGCCCCGGCCTAGGATATCCTGTGCGGCGTCGCTAATCGACAACTAACGACCGCTAGTGGAACCACGGCTCGGGAAGCTATCGGTAGGTATCGTGTGGCAAGCGAGGATCGAGGAGAATTCTGGGTGGGGTACGGAGTATTACTGGGTACGTATTGTGTTTACCATTACATACCCACGCAGTAGTACGGATACCACGGTGGGAAGAAGGGGGCGCCGGTGTGTTTCGGTGATCTTAGACTCCCTCAGACTCACTCCTCGGGCGTAACGGTGCAAGCTTCTTGTTGTCTTGTTGTCTTATTGTCTATTGGTCGTAGTACTTCTAATTGGTAGGGAGTGCCGATAAAGAAGAGTACCCCCAGGATCCGACAGAGACGAAGGAACCCAAGTCTCGTTGTCAAAGTCGTCAACTACGAACGAGTCGTGGTTCCATCGCGTGCAACTTCCTCTTTCTCTCTGTGCCCGGTCTCTGCCAGTCAATACAGCCCATGCCCCTGCTCTCCAAACATGGAGTCGTCCGGGCACCCACCGGAGAACGTTTGACGAGCAATCAGCCCATCTCGAGAGAAAGGGAAAGAGGAAAGGGGACAACCCCGCCAATCCCCGCTCAATCGATCGACGATCCTGTCCCAGTCCCAAAGTGCGTGCATCCCCTCTTGACAGCCGAATCCAAGCTTGATCCAAGAGACGACGGGGAAGGCAGGAAAGTCAAAGAACGAGACGAGTTAACTGGACTGGTATTGACCGACTTGTTCTCGGCTTGTCTCTCTAGCTGTAGCCTCAGGCCTAGGCTGCGCTGCTGCGATTGTGAAGGGGAACCAGATGCAGGTCCGCTTCCCTCCAATTTCCCACTGCCAAAGCTTAGCTCCTCTCCCCCCCCAAAGTGGAGTGAACCCCGCCTTCCCTATCGACTGAGGTGAGGTACTCGCCCTCGCCCTCGAGCCGCTGTGCCCAGAAGCCCCTCGTAACCGCCCCATGTGCAGTTCGGGAGTCAGTTGGCGATTGCCAATGCTTTTGCCAGGTAGCTGACCCCGGTAGATGCCCGACCAGGCGCAACTAAATCCAACCTATGTAGGTAATTAAATCTCGCGGCAGACAGCAGGACGGGCGGGAACCCGTCAAAGGCCTGTCCCGTCCTTCCATCCAGTCCAGTTATTATTCTTGTAGTCGATTTGGTTGCCTTTCGCCGTCTGCAGCTGCGCTCCATCGGTCTCGGAATCCAAACGGCTGCTGTTTGTTCTTGATCGTGTCGCCGTCCGTCACTGTCGCTGCTGTCGCTGTCTTCCCTCCACCCCCTAAAACTCCCAAAGATACAGAACGGCGCTACTAACAAGGACGTTGAGGTGCTTCGTTGGTCCTTCGGCAGCTTACTGGTCCAGTTGGCATCCGTCTGCAGTAGCTGTGCCCCACGCGTCACAAGATCGGCCTCTTCCGGGTCTCTTGCCAGACCGCCACGACTTGGGCCACTGAGCAGGGCTGCTGGGGCGACTAAGCAGGAATGGGGCTGTTTTCGCGGAGGGAGAGGGCGTCGAAGACGGTTGGCGGCGGTGTCGAGCCAAAACTGTCAACTTCGCAGTCCAAGTCGTCTCTTGCATCGGCCGCCTCGTCCAGCATCAAGTCGCCAATCGCCTCTAGCAATCGCATCATGAATCGAACCTCAGGCGGCACCGCGAGCACGAATGGCCCAGCCACGCCCCTCACGCCCTTTTCCCCGGGTCTGGCTCCCAAGATCGACATGCCCAGGGCGCCCGATCCGCAGCTCGACCCCGTCGGATACCTGCGAAGCTTGGGCGCCGTCCGAGACCGCTCCAAGATCGTGGCGGACAAGGCCCTGCGCAACGACCTGCACCATTTCGACGTTGACATGCGCAAGTTTGGCGACGTAGTGTCTTTTGTGTCAAACATTATCAAGGCAAGTCCAGCCAGCCCGCCCGCCTATACCATGGCATACGGCATTGCGCCCGACTCGTGCTGCTGCAGCGCAGCTTGGATGCATGCACCCAGCCCGCCTCCAGCTCCCACACCTCGGGAATACCAATACCTTACATACCCCCCCCCCCCCCCCAATACCCCGCAGCCGTTCGCATGGCTAACATGACGCTGTCAATCGCCAACTGTAGAGAGACTACGATGCCCCTTTCACGAGCATCCCTCCCCATGGCCGACACCAGCACTTCGCCGTCGGCGGACGGGACCGGATTGCCCACCTCCTGTCGACCTTCCCCGACGAGATTGACAACACGGAGAGGTGCAGGCGCCTGATTGACCTGTTCCTTGTCAGCGTGCTTCTCGACGCTGGCGCCGGCACCAAGTGGAGCTACAAGAGCGCCGAAAACGGCCGCGTCTACAAGCGGTCTGAGGGCATTGCCGTGGCGAGCTTGGAAATGTTCAAGGCCGTGCGTCGAGCTTCTTGTCTCCCGCCCCTTGCCGTCTTGTGCTGACACTAGTTCTGCAGGGCTTGTTTTCGAGCGACAAGACGAACAAGAACCAGGTGGACAAGATGGGCCTCCAGAGCCTGACGGTCGAGCAGCTCGCCCAGGGGCTGCAGTCGAAGCCAGGCAATGAAATGGCTGGTCTAGAAGGCCGCGCGCAGCTCCTCATACGCCTAGGGAAAACCCTCGAGGAGAAGACCGAGTATTTCGGCAGCGACGGCCGCCCAGGCAGCATGCTTGGTATGCTTCCCAGGGCAGCTCCTCCGCTGACGAGACGAGCACTTGTGCTGACGTGGAATTCCAGATTATATCCTCTCCCACCCATCCACACAGGCATCCAGCGTCATAATCGTTCCTCTGCCAGTGCTCTGGAACGTGCTCATGGACGGGCTGGCGTCCGTTTGGCCCGCATCCCGGACAGCCATTAACGGTGTCTCGCTCGGCGACGCCTGGCCCTGCAGCTCGATGCCGCAGCCGGCGCAGTCACCCTCGAGCCCCACTTTCTCGCCTTTCCCCAACACCACGGGCCAGTCCAACGGCGTTGCGCCCTGGGAAAGCATCCTCCCGTTCCACAAGCTCACACAATGGCTTACATATTCGCTCATGCAACCAATGCAGAGCATCATGAAGATACATTTTGCAGGCCAAGAACTCCTCACTGGGCTACCCGAGTATCGGAACGGAGGGTTGTTTATCGACCTCGGCGTCCTCACCCTGAAGCAAGAAGACCAAGATCGGGGGTTGGACAACTATAACAAGTTCTGCGACCGCACCGGTGTCAAGGGAGTCGAGGTTGCACCAATGTTTGAGCCCGGCGACGACGTCATCGTGGAGTGGAGAGGTGTTACTGTCGGCTTTCTCGATCGGCTCTGTCTCGAGGTTAACAGGGTGCTGAAACCCGAGCTGGCCGGAAACGAGCTGAGCTTAGCCCAAGTCCTAGAGGCTGGCAGCTGGAAGGTACGTCCTCCCACCTGAACCGCTCCGATTTTATTGATCAGGTCGCTAATTCTCACTCAGGGCGGCCGAGAGATTGCCGAAGTCAGCCGGCCAAACACCAAGGAACCGCCAATCTTGATTGACAGCGACGGGACAGTTTTCTAAGGGGGCCGTGTTGAAATGGGGTGGTGTCGGCTAACGAAAGCTGTGTTGAAACCACATAGCCCCCATGGCTCAGGCAGCCTCGAGACTGGCGCTGCCCTTCTGTGTTGAGCACCATCGTCGACACTCTAGGTTATGATGCTATGAGCTGGGAGATAATGGAACCGGGTTGGGGGTGGGAAATGGATGCGAGCTGGTATGATTCTGGCAGGCGTCGTTCGCTACAATTAGGCAAGATTGTGATAAAAGGAGCACCTATTTGCATACAATGCCATGCTATTTTGACGGGGCGTAAACCCTTCTTTTTGGGGTAGCTGTGATCCGAATGTCTTGAATGTTGTGTCTTGGGTCCCAGGTGATGATGACATGGGAGGCGCCATTAACGGAGTCACTGAGCCCACTCAACAGGAAACATCCCTCACTGTGCGACCCCTTTTACCGACATCAAAGCCGGCGAAGATGTCAGGAACATCTATTTCTTCGCAGAGCGCTCGCACCTAGCATGCGAAGCTCGCTGGTTACATTTTCATCTTCCTTTAATTACTATCAACTGTTCAATGCGTGTATATACCCCAATGGCGGTAAACACGTTACTGCGTGACAGGCGTAAGAGACATTAACTATCATAGGTAAATACGGCTCGCATGCACGACATGATCACAGCATGAACCCTCCAAACAGGGCCGAGAAGGTCAGCACGGCCCAGACAGCCGTGCTCATCGGATGTGCAATCCCCGCGCCGTTCTTCTTGTCGTCGGCCCCGCCACCGTTGCCTCCACCAGCAGCGCCGGTATTGTTGCCACCGTTGCCACCCGCAGTCGAGCCGCCGTTGTCGGTGCCGTTCGCCCCAGGCACGACACCGGAAAAGGTAAAGGCCTTGCTCGTGCCGACGCCGCCGGGCGAGATGCAGTTCATGCGCGGGAAGCCGGGGCCGCGCTGGGAGTCGGTCGCGTTGGGGTCGACGGTGACGTTGACCATGACGGTCAGCAGCGGCCAGAAGTTGAGCACCATGCTGTCCCAGTAGTCCTGCAGGTCCTTGGTCGAGTTATAGTAGCTGCCAACGTCGCCCTCAAACAGCCACCCGTCCGAGTCGGTCACGGACCCGTTGAGGTACGGCACCGGCACGCCCAGGTACGCCGGCACCGCGAATCCCGCGTTGCCCGGCCCCGAGAGCCCGCACTCGTCTGGCACCCCCACGCGGTCGCAGCTGACCATGGATCCGTACGGGCCCTTGGACTGGGCGGCCGAGTCCGCCACCCAGTAGCTCGTCGACGCCCGCTTCTCGAGCGCCGCGATGCACGCGTCCGGCAGGAACCCTTTGCACGACCCGTCGGCCGCCAGCGGTTTGTTGGCCTGGTTGTTCCACAGCGTCTTGTTGATGTGCGACGGGTGGCCAAACGACCACATGCACATGCCCCAGGTGGGGTCGGTGCGGACGGTCTTGGTGCCGTCGGGGTTGGTCACGAGCAGCGCTTCGGGCGCCTGGATCGTCAGGCTGTAGCCGAGCATGGCCTCGTCGGCGTCGGCCTGGCGGTAGTCGTACTGCGACAGGTCCAGCGCCGTCACGCTGAGCGTCCACCCGTCGGCCGGCTCGCCGGGGAACGGCTTCGACACGTCGTATCCCGGGATCCGGAACAGCCCCGACGCGTTGGACGCCGCCACCGCGTCCAGGAACGCCGTCGAGTTGGCGTCGTAAGGCCCCACCCGCTCCTGGAACGCGTCCGCGTACCCGCCGAAGCCCCGGTACGTCCACGCGCGCGCCGGCGCTGTTAGGAGCAGGCCGGCCAGCGCCGCGACGCCCGAGAGCCGCGTTGGCGCCATTGCGGTTGGTGCGTCGATGTGATAGGGCTCTCGGTGCCGATTTTACGCCTTCGGTTCAGAGCTTCAGCCGCTATCGCAGTTGCAGCCCAGCCCAGGCGAGGAGGAAGAATGTAAAAACAAAGACGGCGCAACAGCGACGGGGGCTCTCCCGGGTCGCATGGCCCCCTTCTTCACATGCGTTCAAGAGCTCCTCGCCGGTGACTCAGTGGAAGGTCAGGATCGCTGCCAAGGCGCGCAGCGGCAGAAAACGACATTGCAAGGTGTGTTTGCGGTGGGTTACCCATTCCATTGTTGGTGCCCTGTTGAAGGCTAAATGGCACGCACCGTATTAACGTGTGCCAAGCCAACCGACCTCCTTCCTCTTTCGTCCTACGAAAAGGCGTTGCATGACCCCAGAGATTAAAAGACTGTTCCTTCGCCTTGTTGAGAGTTTGACAAAAGTCTCTGGCATCGATTGCAACCGTTGCACCCGTGCTGATTTTTTGCAAAAGTTCCCGTTGTAAAGCACGGTGATGAATTTGTAGGGCATGCACGCACATTCAGGAGTCAGTGTTGGAGGATGAAGCTCGGGTGGATTAAGAGTCACAAAGACTCAACGAGACGCAGCCTATGAGTTATGGCGGCAAGTGAGGATAACACTTGGAATGGAACATCCATTTCATCGAGATTTAGTTGATGGCATCTCGGATTGTCCTCAAAAGCGTTATTCTGTCTTCAGCAGCCAAGGCCGATTTTTTCAACAAGAGCTGAGATTTAGATAAACTATGAAGTGTGGTTGAGACATGCTGCGCCATTTATATCCGGAGCAGGTCACTCACTGCCTTAGCCAGACAAGTAATGTGCATGAACAGAACTCAACTTATACCTTTCCATGGTTGGGTACATGTTTAAATATTCAACTTGTTGTCTTTCAATCCCGCAACTCTAGCCACCTGCGAATCCAACGCCCCTGCGTAGACCGCTAGCGTGATGACACATTCCGAGAAGTCACCAAGACCCGGCCACGAGAATTCAAGAGGCCAGACAAACTTGGGAAAGAAGACGGCGCTTTCGGTTCCTGAGCTCACTCGTCGTCCTGAGAATGTGGCTGGTCTTTTTGTTTCACACATTAAGGTGCTTTGCGTTGAAGTCTTAATTTCACATAACTTTGGAACAAATCCATCATGAACACGAGGCAAAGATTGACTGATTTTAAGTACTTCCCTGTCCGCCCTCGATGGGCATCCCCAGCCATAAATAACACAAACCCGTTGACCCACGGAAAGAAGAGATGGCCACTTGCAGACAGAGCAAGAGCAAAAAACCCGTCCCCAAAAGACAGAATGAAAACTGAGAGAATAGGATTCAAAGTGGGTCCTTGAGAAACTCCAAAGCGCGCCCCGACAACGCCACTGCAAGTCCAGAGTCAGTCCACAACGGCTCAGGACTGCCACCAACAGGCCAAACACCGCCTGACAAGAATCGAAAAGCGCCTGGCCGGCGAGGTGAGAAGTGAAGAGAAGATAAGAGAACCAAAAGAAACCCACGGCTCTCAAGAGGCCGCAAAACAAGCGAGAGGCCGGCTGGCGCAAAGTGTGCATTCAGACTCAGTCAGGCCTTGAGCCCGGGACATGTCGATGCAGCAGCGCCATCAGCCTTTTCTTTCTTTCTTGAAACGCTCAGGTGTCAGTTTCTTGGCTAGACAGGTAGATATAGCGACAGACGAGATGAAGAATCGAAAAAAAAAAGGATGAAGAGAAGCGGGCGAGCCGATGACGGTGTGCGCCAGCCACCATCCAGAAGCACCCCGACGAGGTGTCCACAGGCGGCGGGTGAGCGGCCGCCCAGTCTGTTTCCTGCATGTCACGCGTCGATTGGGGCTCTCGTTTTGGCGTTTGTCGTCCAGGTGCGTCGTCTGCTCTTGACCAGGGGCAGGGTGCGTCTGATGAGGTTGATGACGGAGCGCGAGAGACTGCGCTTCAGGGGCACAGTCTGGAACATCACGGTGTGGTGGTGAGGTGTGGTATGAGATGTGAGGTGTGTGGTGAGATGAGGTGTGTGGTGAGATGAGGTGTGCGGTGAGATGAGGTGTGTGGATATAATCGGATCGAGCAAAGACGGGTGTAAGTGCAGGTAAGATGAGAATCGAACCAGCGACTCGGGTCATATGAACAGCAGAACAGCAACAATAAAAAAAAGCGACAAAACTTAAGGACAGAGCAGAAAGAATAAGACACACACACACACAAATGAGCACCGATGCTCGATATCACTGATGAGATGTCACGCACGGCTCACCCAGAGGGCAGAGGGGAGACGGGAACGGCTAGGGTCGGGGGGCTTGCGACGGGTATTAAAGAAGAGAAGGACTTGAGGCCCCTTCCTCTGACGTTAGCGCCGTGCCCCTCCGGAATCAGACAGGACGGCGGGCCCGTAAGCACGGCCAACACCTGGGCGACTGAGACGGGTTACTAATGCAGTCTTCCGCAGGTGTTGTTCCGGTTTGGTGGCGGGATTGGGCCGTCAGGTAGGCCGACTCTCTTAGCCAGACCCTGAAGGAACCTAAAATTGGGCCCGGCCTCAGCTGTTGCGGGCGGCGCGGGCGCTGTGTTCGTGCTGTTTCGTCACCGCGGGAGGTCCCTTCTCGGCCCTGAAGAGGCCTGAAGGGGGACGGGAGTGAGGGGTTTCTCAGTGCTGTGCCGCAGCCCTGCGTCCACGGATTGGGGGGCGTTTGCGCGTTGGCCTGCACGGGCACGCGAAACATGCATGGATTCCTTCTACGGATTCTTCTTTTTTTCTTCCCCAGTCCATTTTTTGCTTTGGACCGCATCGGCTTGCGTGCCTATTTCTGTGGGCATGTGGCTTCCCAAAGACGCAACCCTAGAAAGGTAGCACGAGCCGCTCGACGTGACACAAGACCCGGGAACCGCACCCGAACAACTAATTCACCTGGGCTGTCCCTTCCTTTATGATGGCGCTGCGCGCCTCCGGGGCGACAGCCTCACTCAGCAAAGAACCCCCGCGATATATGCGGTAATCGGCATCACACCCGCGTGGTGCGTGGTGTGCGGGACCAGCACCCGGCCACAGTAAACGGCCCACCACGGCCGCCTTGGGCCGAGATGGGGGGATGGAGGGATGGATCAAACAAATGACTCCCTTGTGGAGTGACGGTGAGGGAGAGGGAGGGGCGATGGGGCGATGGGGCGATGGGGCGGCACATGTGCCTGTCTGCCTGTCCGCCTCCCTCCTCTGCATCAGCAATCCGTTCGGAGACAAGGCCGCGCCGCACTTTCCACTTGACTGCACGCACTGCACTGCACGCACTCACGCTTGCAAAAACAATGTCGCCAAATGGAACTATCGGACGCAGAATCCCGGGCTCCGGGACGACGCAACTCTCCGTGTTGCAATGATAACCTAATACACACAGACACGGCAACTTTGCGACCAAAAAATGAAGGCACGAAAGACAGAACCGATCCAAACTCCAGATCAGGCCCCACGTGTCCACAAGATCCCGAGCCCCCAACCAACAACCACTCCTAACCCCCAACCAACAACCACCCTAACCCCTGAACCCCGCTTCTCAACCTCAACCCAAACAATCCATCCAACCCCTTTTCCTGGCGCCGCAACCGCGACCGGCCGCCGCGACCACAACTCCACCGTCTAGCCACTCGGCGACCCGGCCACGGTCAGGTTGAAGGCGAACAGGTTGGGATCGGCCTTGATCTCGGCGGCCTTGGACTTGAGCACGTCGACGTCCCAGTGCGCCCACACGAAGCGCGGCGGGAGCTCGCCCAGGAACGCCGCCTCGGGGCTGGCCGCCCACACGGCGAAGCCTCCGGGCAGGTTGGCTGTGCGCCGTGGTTAGCCTTTATTTCTCCTTTCTCTTTCTTTCGTCTTGTTTGAGAGATGGAAAAAAAAAAAAAAACTCACGATTGTCCTGCGGCATTTCAAAGCCCAGAGCCTCGGTCGTCTTGTTGCCCATCTCGGTGGGGAAGATGCCCGGGTGGAAGTGCACGACGCGCACTTCCGGGTGCTCAAAGGCCCAGTAGTTGAACAGCACGATGGCAGCTGCCTTGGAGGCGTGGTAGCTGGGCGACCCGGGCATGTACTGGCGCTGCACCATGCCGGTGCTGACGTTGAGCACGACGGCGCCGGGCGCCGCGAGCGGGCCGAACGCGCGCAGGAGGTCGAAGGTGCCCCTGTTGTTCACCTCGAACGACGTCCAGAAGTCGTCGCGCGCGACGCTGTCGAATGGCGCGAGCGCGCTCTGGTGCCCCGCGTTGGCCACCAGCACGTCGATCTTGCCGCCGGGCGTCGCCGCGGCGAACCTCTGGACGGCCGCCGTGGTGGAGTCGCCGTCGGCGAGGTCGGCCGTCAGGGCCGTCACCTTGACGCCCGGGTAGGCGGCCTCGATGGCCGCCTTGTTCGCCTCGAGGTGGTTGGCCCGTCGCCCCACCAGCCCGATGTGCGCGGCGCCGGACCGGGCAAAGGCCGTCGCGATGTCCGCGCCCACGCCGATGCCGCCGCCCGTCACGAGCACGTTCTTGCCCTTGGACGACAGCTCGGGCCGCGTCGGGTTGATGGCTGGGTATTCCGCGCGGTGGTACGGCAGGATGGGCGTGGGGAAGGGCGGTTCCTCGTCGTTTGCCATAGTGAGTGGTCGGAGAGGGTCAAGGCGTGGATGAGATGGTCACGGATCACGGTGATGGTTGGGATGTGAGAAGACACGATGTCTTAGGCTGTACGTTAAAGCGTGAGATGCGAGCGTTAAAGCGTGAGATGCGAGTGTTAAAGCGTGAGATGCGAGCGTGTGATGCGAGCTGCGTGATGCGAGCTGTGAGAGAGTAGGAGCTGGAATCATCGCGGTCTTTATACAGACTTGTCCCCATCCGTCTGTCCTGGACATCATGAAGCGGGGCCCAAGTGAGGACTCCATGGACTAGCCAAGGCAAATGCAAACGCATACTGAGTAGGGAGCTTGGGTAATCCAAAAGATTGAGACCTCGGACTCGGTCGCTTTGGAGGATTCTAAAAGCGGAGCCGACCAAGACCGACCATGATGATTGACGCTGGACGGCGATGCCATTGGATGAATTGTCAGCGTATATCGTCACATTTGGCCTCGGATTGGCTAGTGCGAATGAAACGGGCAAGTATTTGCGACGCCAAGGGCATCTAGCTCAAAGTGGATGAATAATTCGAGTACCAGTACCTAATTAACAATCTCGGCGCTCGGTCTTTCAAGTTTCGCGGAGAAGACGGCTTAGGAATCCAAAATGTCCAGCCGGCTCCTTCGGCCGTGATTGGTCTGGCGCGGCCCCACGCCAGGACGGCTTCCACTTCCCACGAATGAGAGGCGCCCTAGGTAGGAAGATCGCCCCCTGGGTTTAGCAGCACCGCCAAGACTCTGTCAACTTTGCCCCAAAGGGGAATAAGGTAATGACGCTTCCAAGCCGTTGCAACGGCATCCGCACTTGCAGTGTCTGCAGTATCCTCAACCTCTTGCAGTTCCTCCATCTGCCCCGTGCGGCTCGTCGAGTCTGGCCGTGTCTTGTCTCCGGCCCAACAATGTCGCCGCACCTAGGCTCCGCTCTCCGTGTCAAACCCTTTTCATCGTCCGGCTTCTTCGTCGAGGCTCAGATTTAGTCCCACGAGCCCAGTTGCTGTTCCCACGCAACGTGTCAGATGGAGCCCGGCCCTGAAGGCCCGTCACGTTGTTCTGTTTTCAGGCTAGCGTACCGGAAACCCGGTTGTTGCTGCAACTGATTCCTATTCATAGTCAGGGCCCTCACCCCGTGAGATTAACGGTCTGGGTAGGTAGACCTTACGTGTCTGGGTAGGTAAACCTTACGTGCACGAGTTACGCCCATCTGAAATAGTAGAACCGACTATGGCTGGGTAGGAAGAGGCGTCGCCCTCGCAATGAAGCCTTGGCAGCGGCTCCGGGTAGACGAGGCCACCAGCGGCCGAGACGACTTGGCCAAGCTGCTCTCGCCTCACGGCGGCGAGCTTGCGGGCATACTCGAGCGAAGACTCGTGGGGCAGAATTGCGAGCTTGCCGACGAGCTTCAGTCTCACCTGCACCACGCCGCTCCAGAGCCGTTCCCTGCTGGTCTGCCCAGAGCCCCGCCACTTTATGCACCGCTGTTCGGAGAAGCGCCCGGCCAGTAACCACAGGGGAACGGGTTCTGAGCGTGTAAGCTCCAGAGAGCGCGCCAGATCTCGTCGCCCCTCACACTTTCCTCCGGGAACTGTGACGCCACACCGCCGCACCAGCGCCTTGACGGCATTGAGGCTCCCGCAGGCCGTGGCAAAGACGAGCGCTGTGCCAAGCGGCGACCCTTCGAAGTCGGGTCCGCTCCGATAGTGAGGTAGTTCTCGACGACGTCTGCGAGGTCGAGCTATGCGCGCGGCAGAGCGGGCTCCACCAGTGAGCAGGCTCAAGGTGCAGGAGGCGCAGGTTCTCTCACCGCGGCAGCTGCCGCAGTGAGAGAACTGCGTCCTCGACGAGCTTGGGGGTGCGGGGGCCGGGACCGCAGAGAAGCGAGAGGACGGTGCTGTCGAGCTAGTGGAAGCGGCTGGACGGTGACGACTCGTCGATGTCAAGAAGCTTAAGGGCGTCGGTGTGATCTCGAGAAGCTGAGAGATGGAGTGCGGTGTATCCCTCTTTTGTGGGAATGTTGAGGTCTGTGATGAGATAGTTGTCCAGGAAAAACGCTATGCAGTCAGCCGTTCCAAGCAAGGACGCTAGATGGAGGCGTTGGCTTCTTGGTACGTGTGGCGTTGGCCTCGAAATGTTGCGTCGAACTGGAAGGATCCTTTCATAAGATGGTATGTGAGAAGCGAGTGTCGGGGCGAGACAGAGGGCTGCGCGTTGACGTCGACCTCCTTTCTCGCGAGCTTTTTGACGAGCCAGACGATGGTGCTGGCATCCTTCCTGGTGGCCAGTCTGTGCAGTACTCCTAATCCCTCTTCTTCCGGCGGCAGTTCGTTCAACCTCTCTACAACCGCGTGGTCAAAAAGCTCAACAATTATGCTTTTGTCCTTCTCGGAGGAACACAGGTAGGTCGAGGGCAACGCGATAACCGCAGGCGACTTCGAGTGCGGATATTTTATCAGCGCGTTAGTGAACACTGACGCCATTTCCAAGAAGCAGCTTGACCATCTTCACGTCTCCAGCCTTGACGATGGCTTGGAAGAACCGTAGCGTCGACGGTGACTGCCTGCACGACGTCCAGAACCTTGTGGGCCCGAAGTTATTCGAGAGAGCGTACTTCCAGACGGCAGGAATTAACTGCGAACACCATCCCGATTCTTCATTTTCGAGAGACTTCAAGAATTTTATGAGCGCCAATGTCGACGTTTCTAGCCTCTCATTGTCGCAGTCGGTGTGGATATTGTTGAAGCTGTCCTTTAGTGCCGTTATATCGGATTTATTAGGAACGAAGCCTGTGGACAAGGCGGCGACGACTAGCGTAAAATCTCTAAGTCTAACTGCAAGGATGCAGCCAATCGCGAATACCAATAGAGTACCAAACAAGACCGGATTTTCCGAGATCATGACGTTCTTCGACAGAAAATTTCGACCGACTCATCACGCCGATTGGAGCACGGTAAGATATTCTCTATAAGAGTGCGCAAGAAAAAATCTCTTTGTTCGCTGCGTCCACTGTCACGTAGGCAAGGGGCTAGTATCGACGCTATGGCGAGATTAGCCGTGAAGCTTGCGATCGAGAGTTGAAGTTTCCAAATTTAACTAGAACTGAGCATACCTCTAGAAGGTTTAAGGCTGCGGCAAGATAAATCGGCTTGAAGCTGAGCTCGGAAATTGATTCCCAAGCCCTCTTATCGGGCTTGGGGCTAACCTGGAAAGTTCCATCTTCTCGAAGAGCCAATGGAGCAGCTCAGTTGCCCACAGCACAAAATCGGCCGTCTTGTCTTGGTGGAAAAGCGACAGGGTAAGGTCCAGCAGAGTTTCATCCCCGTCCTCGTCGTCTGTATAGTCCGGGAGGCCTTTCTTTGCAAGTTGGAGCCACTGTATGGCCGCATACTTGTAGAAGGGGTATGACATATCTCTTTCGCGGGTGCGCTGGATCTCTTCCTGGAATCCAGGTTTCTCTGGAGGCCCGCAGAAGTTCGCCAGTTGCAGAAACCGAAGACAATACGTAGCCAGGAGGCTATTGCTCACGTGCTCGGAAATGAAGTACCTTTCGAGGCTTGGCTGGTCCGCCGATCCGTAGAGGGCTGGATAGTTCTGCAGGAACTCCTTAACAAGAAGGAGCAAACTCAAAAGAGTCACCATCGTCCGACTTGCGGATTAAACTCCTGCACCGCCGGGCAATTTCCCGCTCCGGGATAATGGAGTCCTCGTCCGATCGTGCTCCGACGTACCGAGGCGTTGAAACTGCCTGTCGGAGCTGTTCCATAGTCAAGCGAGGCCTGGCATAGGCGATCATGTGAAGACACATCCGAACCATAGACGGAGCTCCAGGTGAGCGTGACTTGTTGATTCTCTCAAGCAGATAGAGCTTGATATCCTCGGCATGTGCCATGATCGAGATATGTTCGAATGCATCCTCCAGCCTGGTCATAGTGATCTCTCGGCTGAAGATAGCCATCGAAACATTGCTAGTAAAGGAAGCCAGCTCCGTTAAGACGTTTAAAACATCAACTGCACTATCACCGCATTCGTCCAACCCATCAACGACGATGGTTGTTTGGCTTGAGAGTTCAGTCATTTGGCAAATCACCGCCCGGAGGTCCCCGGCATCTGGTTTCCTCGGCAGGCATCTTGCAGGATGAAGGCTTTCATAGTAATGTTTGAGAAGGGTAAAGGCATCGTCATGCTGCCGTGCAAGCTGAGCGGCCACGGCGCCGAGAACCTTGGCAGGGCCCAAGGTATCCGAGTATTTATAATCGCAAAGAAGAAGCCGACGCTAACGTCTTTCGCCTCGTTGCTCCTAGCAAATGCTTCCTGAATGACAGATCCCGCCAAGACGGTGTTGCCGGCTCCGGGGATGCCGCTGAGCCAGAGCTTGGAACTGGAAGTCTCCAGCCAGCGGGTGAAGTCTACTGACTCGGTTAGCCGTAGCCCGGTCATGGGGTGCCTAAGCTTGATGCTCATATCCAGATTGGACTGCGGGTTGGTGGTCATGAAGTAGTTCAAAATGCGCTCCTTCTCATCGTTGACGGCAATGCGCGCCGTGATCTTCAGCGTCCTGGCGATGGTCTTCTTCAAGTTGTCGGCTTTGGAGAGGGAGAGCTGCAATTTTCGTATCGAGTCAGCCGAGAGCGCAATCATGATGGTCTCCTTATGGCGCGACAGCTCGCCGAGCAGATCCTTGGTTTCGGAAGCCGAAAATGGCCATTTCAGGTGCCGTGCGATGCCTTCCAGATTCGACTTGCTCTCGCCAGCTTTCTTGACTTGCAGCCGAATCTTATCCAGAGTCCTCTCGCAATGACCCAGATAATGGATCCGCGACGTCGGGTTGAAAGCATCCCCTTCTGCCTCGAGATCGAGGGCAATAAGGAGAGGCTCACCCGAGCGAGCGATGATCGGTATATGGTTACAGCAGGCAAGTGCAACTGCGCCATCCTTCCCTTGACCCATTTCTATTGCGGACTTCCCAAATCGCAACCGCTAAAGCTAGGTTCACCTATGCTGCTGCGCCTTGCCGTTGTTACATTGAATGGCTTGCTTATTAGTGTGTAAGCCAAGGGATCGTTTGCTCCGGTGCGAGGGGAAAAAACGAGGTAGCTAGGTGGCGGGGCACCAGTGTCCTAACGTTGGGCTCAGAAGAGTAGCCTTAGAACTCCATTCCCTTTTGAGACTATGGCAAGTATAGCTGAGGCAGCCCGAAACAGTCACCCCCTTCCTCAGGCTGGCTCAGGCTGGCTCAGGCTAAGGCGGCAACCGCTCTGTTCCAAGTTCAAAGAAGGAAAGGGAAATTCCTGGTGACTAGATTGGGGTCATGTTCAGGTTGTATGATGGAGTATGAAGAGATTATATACTAAATCAGATTCCCGGAGGCAGAGCAAACCAACAGGGATGGTTCTGTTGTGGCCGCGCGTCAGAGTCGAAGGCCGTCGCAACCCGAGTACAAGGCATACTACTTCATCGATGGGTACCGGCTTGACTCGGCTCTGGGAACCGTATCCTGGGTGCTAACTCCGGGATCCTGTCCAAGGGGACAGGATTTGGGACCCTTGCCCAGAAGGAGGCCGCCAGGTGATCACCCGGTTAAAGTTTCCGCATCATTTACGGGGTTCTTGGAGGCCGACGAGAAGTAATCTAGAGAGTCGAGGACCCAGAAATGGGACCAAGAGGGGCTTCGGAAACCATCAACCACAACCAATGCGTTTATCCCTTCCCTTTCCCGTCTTTCCCCATCTCCGCTCAAGCTGGCTAAAAACTGAACTCGGGCACGTGCGCCACGGCCTCGCTCGGCCCGAACCCGGCATACGAGCCGGCCTCTGCGAGCCAGGCATCGACGAAGCGCTGGACCGTGTCGACGCGCCAGCGGGGGCCGGCGACGCAGGTGCTGTTGGTGGAGAACAGGCGGACGAGCTTGCTGAGGAGGTACGTACGCGCGGGATCGGCAGAACCGCCGCCGCGGAGTACGGCAGCCCAGGGGGCCCAGCCGGCGGGGGTGGCGCTGAGGCGGGCGCGCACGTAGGCGTCGAGCTCGGCGGGGTCCATCCAGAAGCGCAGGTCGCCGAGCGCGGCCATGTGGCCCGGGTCGGTCACCGTGTCGGCGAACAGCCGGATGCCCGCCTCGGGGTCGCGCCCCGGGTGGTCGCCGGTTAGGCTGCCGCGGACCCGCCACACCGCGCGCGCGTGGATCAGGTCGTACAGCGTGCGCTCCGACACCAGGTGCAGCGTCATGCCGAACAGCTTCTGCACGATGGCCGTCGATGTCCGCAGCCGGTCCTCGTTGGCGTCGCCCGAGCTGCCGCTGCCGCTGCCGCTGCCGGCCGAGGGCGAGCTGGGGCCCGAGGACGGGGCCGAGGCTGCAGGCGTCGCGGTCCCGTCTTGTCCGGCGTGTTGGTGCTGTTGGGGATAGGGGGCGGAAGAGGAGTGGGATTGGGGCGGCGGCGGCCACGGGGAGGGCGAGAAGCGGGTGCGGTAGACGACGTCTCGCAGCGCGGGCAGGGCGTAGCTCGCGCTGGTCCAGAAGACGGCGCCGCCAAACGAGTATACGCCCTCGCCGAGAAAGGGCACAATGTCGGGGGGTGCGTGGACCACCTTGAGAGCACGGTCGGGCTCAAACCATAGACCGTACGTCAGGCGCGGCGAGAGGCGGCCCGGCGGAGGGCTGTCATGCTGTGCTGGTGCAGTGAAGGGGGCCAGCTGGATAGCCTGGGCCTGGGCTTGGCTGGTAAAGTGGGTACTGTGGACGAGGTTGAAGGCCGTGCGGCTGTGAGTAGAGAAGTCTTGAAAGTGGTTGCATGCTTTCACGGTAGCCACTGAGTGGTTGCTGTGAGTTTCGGGTGCATATTCGGCTTCGATGTCGCCGGCATGCTCGGCCAATTCAAAGCCGGCCCCCGGAGAGCCCGAGGCATGGGTTGCGGCGTGATGGAGTGTGTCGTGATTGCTGCCGTGAACGAGTGCTGGGTCGTCCGTAACTTGAGAGAGCTTGGAGATGGTATCCCTGAGAGCCTTGTTCTCTTCTCTCAGCTCGCGGATCGTGTCAATCTGTCGCTGGCGAAAGGCTCGCTGGGCTAGACGGCCACGCTCACGCCGATGCTGCTCACATAGCTGGGTCAGTCGTGGTTACGTGCTTGGAGATGCCTGTCAATGTGGTTGGGATCATGATGGAGGGAGCCCGAGAATGAGAGTGAGAGAGGGGGTTGTTACTGATAACTCGGACTCGTCGAATTCATCTGGAGCCGGTGCCATATTTGTCGCCATTACTCTAATGAGACGGGCACGAAGCCGTCACCGTCGCCGTTGATCGTTCGCTTCTTCCTTGTCTTTCTATCAGTATTACCGGAATGTCGGGGGGTGGAGATGGGGTGAACTGACGAGTGACTGCGCCCGGCTAGTCACTAGTGGAGCCAACTATTTAGTCTATTGCCCCAGGGCAATGTCTGCCTAGGTACGAATATTGTGTCTTACGTCTCAGAGTACGAATAGGCGCAGATTAGTCGTGCAGAGTAAACCTCTGCTGGGACTTTGGGTACTCAGCCCTGTTATGGTGTTGCATGTGCCCACTCTCACAACACCCGACACGGACGGCGCCCTCGTCATCAAACGAAGAAAAACTTAGGCCTGTCAGCCTGCCTGGGGGTGCGTTCGCTTATTCAGCCGAGAGATTTGGTGGTTAGTACTCGTACTAGTGTAGTACGGGGGCTGCTGGGTTGGGTCGTCTGAGGCGGTCAGACTTAAGCGACGAGGCACTAGCCGCGATTTGGACAAAGGGCGCGAACCAAATAGCATCGAGACCTGATCGGCAAATGGGAGCCCGAGAGAAAAGAAGTCTTTACTACTATGTAGTTGGTTAAGAGTCCGGCAGCAAACGGCAAACCCCGAGCAAGGTAGGTTACACAAAAGGGAATATCCAATTCGACCGCGGGGAATTACATTGATACAAGGGCGCGAGGTCCGGCGGCAACGTCTCCAAAGACGGTACTAGCTGGCGAGCAAGACTGGTCTTGAACTCGTTCGTAGACGACAGCGACTGGTCGGGGCAAAAAGCCCACGCTTCGGCTTACCGCCATGGCCCCTGGCAGGCCTTTCCAGCCCTGCGGATAGGGCCCCAGTCCCTCGGGATTTCGACTGGTTGCTGTCCTGCCATCGGTGGTCTGCTGGATCTCAGGCTGACGACGGCGATACTCGCAATTAACTCCGCCAAGGCCTCATTTTACGTGCACGTAACTAGGCAATTAACCTTTCTAGTTGCGCGGATATCCTGACGAGGTGTTACCTGGCATTCGCCGACAAGACTTCGGGAATGAGGGAAGACTGCACGCAAATATCATTCGGACTTAACCCGGCAACTTTAGTTTCGACAGGGCTGAGATAAAGTGCTGTCCCCAGACAGCACGCAGTATTGCGTAGAGTTCGGAGTGGTCGGTCAGTTTGTTAGCGCAACGGTCTCCGCACGTAAAAGTTCGTTGCTGTCCACTGGGGGAAAGCAGAGGAACGTGTCGTTCGTTCCACTCCCGACATCTGGTCTAGAAATATTGGCGCACACAGATGTGGTGTTGAGTTGGACGGTCTTGACGGTGCACGACGACCCAGTATCGCAAAGATCGACAATGGACGGGACTGAGTATGAAAGCGGTCAGCACTCAGTCAAGAAAGACCCGTTGCTTGGCGATTCAAGTCCGGCTTGGCAAATGCCAGGTTGGTGGCAGCGATGACGTCCTGAAACACTGCTAACACAGCTTCTGGAACGGATTGCCCAGCACCCAGAACCCGGCGCCACAGCGCCTATCGGCACAGAAATAGGCTGCTAACCTACAGCTGCCGAAGCGTCCCTCCCGTAGAAGGAAGGCCACCAAGATGCTGCAGCTTAGCAATCCGCCAAAAAGGAGAGATGCAGTCGCTCGTGGTGTAGGTTCACGGGACGGATGGGAACGGATGAGGGAAAGAGGAAAGAGGGAGATACGTCGGAAAGGGAAAGGAGTGGAAGAAAGACAGGATGAAGAAAAAGAAGCGAGAGGAGTAAGGTAAGCAAGTCGGTAGGGAACAAAAAGCAAAGAGAAAGCAGCGAATACTGTGCCGAAGGGCTTTTCCTCCATGGCTTTCCGCCAATGGATATGGTGCTCCCGTCGACATGCAGGTTCTAGTGTAGAACGAGAGGGAACAAGCACTCGGCAAAGAAGTAAGCACGCTCGAAAAGATGTGAAATGATGGGACGGGGTGCAGCAGTTATTAGAGACTTTAGAGTTTGGTCGATTCTACTTCCTAGCTCGCTGTCGTGGAGAAATCCTGCTCGTACAACGAAGGTACGACGGGTGTGGGGGGGCTTACATGCAGGAAGTCCCGTCGACAAAGACACTAAGGAAAGAACGGACAAGATGGGCGAAGGACAACACACTGAGGCACGGACAAGATGGCCAAGAAACATCATGCGGATGCGGGGCTTGGTCCGTTACCTGTCAATTCTGTCTTCATAGGAGCACGTGGCTGCCAGCTGCACAAGACCTAACCATGTGCTAATAAGGTTGGGCGAGCTCTCCAGCTTGGTGCACTGATCAGGGCAGCAAGGAGGAGGGTCGGCGATACGAGCGAAGGAAGAAATCAAGAATTAAATGTGTAGGCCAGTGGGGTATGCAACCATCGGAGGGGAAAATGTGTCGATCCGGACAAGAAATGCTCAGAAAGGACGTTGGCCGAGGGCTCGATGCAACTCGCGCCGGAACCGTCGACATCCGGTTGAAACACGGGCGAGCCCCGCGCAGCTTCTGGACGTGTTCTGCGGTAAATATTGACTAAGCCGGCAGGAAAGGGAGAGAACGCGGACGTCGATTGGTGAGTCCACCCGAGCAGCCGGTGACGGCAATCAACGGCGTGCAGAAGAAAAAGTTGGCTATTGACGCCGGCAAGTGCGACTTCCGCGCCTCCCAGAATTCCACACGTGGGAAAGTAGCGAAGAAGGGCTTGCTGTCAAGTGGCAGGTGCGCCAGCTGGAGCGCTGAGGAAGAGGCCGGGCCAGCCTTGGCAGCCTGAGGATGCAGCAGCTTCCGGCGGCGCTAGGGGCTGAAAGCAGTTGGGTTGGAACCTGACCTCTCATCGATGAGGGGAAGGCACGCCCCACTGTTTCCCGCCCTTCCCAGCTGTCTGTCACTCGACTGCCTCAACCCCCAGACGAGCTTGGGCCACGGCAGGGAAGTCGGTCTCGCTTGACCCCCATTCCGAAACAAAGAAAGCCACTCAGCGAGCACCGGCAAGCCTCAGTGCCGTTTTGCGACCTTTAGCCCACCCGAATGACAAAGATGTAACAGATCCCGGACTGTGCCTGTCTGGCCGCAATCCAGGCGTCTTTCCAGCCCGGAATGGAAGATGGAACGTCGCACTCACCTTACTGTCCATTCTTTCTCTTCTCTCCATGGATTTGCCTGCACAAATGCGCGCCGCGCAGGAAAAGAAGACACGCTCGCGGGGACGCGGGGACACGCGCACGTACGCGCACCGGCCGGGACCATTTGCTCCTTGCTTGACCTTCCAAGACAAGACCTTGAGTGAGACCTTGGCCATCCTTTGTCCTCTGCCAAAAGGGTTTGTTGATCACTCTTTCCTATTTCCTTTCCCTCTTCCCTCCTTTTTAGTTTGCCTCTTTCCTCCCCCCTCCTTTTATCTTGCTTTATTTTATTTCTTCCCCCCGACCTTGTACATATTATCAACGAGAGGGTCCATGTGTGGAGGATAGCGGACCCTTCTTCCCTTCTCCCCCACCCCGTCCCCGCCCCCTTTTGGCTTATTAGTCGTTTTTTTTTTTTTTTTTTTTTTTTTTAATTCTTTCCCCTTTTGGTCGCGCGGCATGCCTTTAAGAATGCCACACTTCCCCTCGGTGGTCTCGTCGTTTCCCCGAGACCTCGGCCTCCGCTGGGCATCGTCAAGTCAGAAGCGGTGGTCAAAGATGCCTTTCCAGCTCTCGCTGCTGCACCTCTCGGCTCTCGCCATCCTCGTCCTCTCCTCGGCCCTCTTCAGCCAGGGTAGGTTGGCCGTGGCCCCGGCCATCTGTGCATCGCACGATCTCCCGAATCCGCTGGCAGAGCTGTTTCCGAACAATGCCACGGGCGTTCTCAATGCCACGCTGGCCATCATCCCCATCCCATTGGACATGGCCCGCCGCCTGATTCCGCCCCAGTACGGCATCCTCGAACGGGCATACCGCGCCCTGCTGCCCGACTTCCCCGAGGCCATGTACCCCGTCCTGGTGCAAGCCGCGCATGACCACGATGTTCAGTTCCGGGCGTACGGCATTACGATAGATGACTTCTCAGTATGTAGCCCGGGCCCAGGGACTCTGTTTCGGCGCTTTGCTTTGCTAACTTGTCCTCCCGCAGCGCGTTGGATTCGAGTTCCCGTTCCTAGACCTCTTGGGAGACGGCTACTCGTCGTTCCGCTGGGCCCCTGCCCAGCTCATCAGTGCCACCAACCCTATCGCCCTAGAGGGCTCCCGTGCATACGGCACAGTAGTCTCTCCTGCCGAGTACGAGCCGGTATGCGATGCCTACAGCGTGCTGGCCAGCGGGGCCACCTACTTCAAAGGATCGAGTCTGGAGTCTTCAGAGTTCTTCGAGGTCGAGATGGCACCAGTCCACCACCCGGCCTTTAACCCGTACCCTCTCGAGCTTTTTAAAAACATCACGAACCAGCCGACGTTTGCGAATGCGACGACGTGTGACAATATGATTCGCCTCTTCAACACGTCCATGACGACAGGCGGGCATGCGCCAGTCGCCGTGCATGGGAGGGTGAGGGCCAACACGTTTCCCTTCGGCAAGGCCGCCAGGGAGTGGACCGGCGTGTACGGGGTGCAGGTGGCGACCCCGTTCATCGAGAACAACTATCTCGACTGCCAGACGATGCAAGGCTATGCCGGCACCGGGGGTCCAGGCGACTCTTATACGAGCACCAAGACCAGCGATGATTTATGACCAAATCGGACCAAGGAAAAGTAAATAATCAAATAAATGATACCCAGGCACAACGGCAGCGCATGGACGTGCAGCTGCCAGCCACTTGCCCTAGAGAGGTAATGAAAAAAAATAGTAAAATATCAAGAATTCAAACCACAACGTCTCTTGCCGCGAATTAGTCGGAGACATGTACGATGAAGCGCTGATATCTAGTACCGAGAAACTTTTTCTCCCTCGGCAACAACTTAGACTGCTCTAAGAAAAGGGGAAACGAAAAGAGAGAACCGATTAAAATTAACGGCTGTTCACCACAGCTATAGCCGAGGTAGTAAATGCCTCATGACAGCAGGTGAGTCACTAACTACCGAAGAAGCATCGGCCTTCAATACGTGGAACGAGGTCCGCTTAGGAACCAAGCATCTTGAGCTGCTCGGTCATAGCATTGTCGATTGTTGGCACCCACTAACTGACCTCATAGTATCCTACGTGGCCGCGTCCGTCATCCATCCACTCCTATGAGATGCCATCAAGTGCCTTCCCAAGGTCTGATAACAGCGGACAGCCCGCTCAACCCATCACATCACATCACGGCCAGTCGGGCTTGGCGTCGAGCGCCGCGACCTGCGCGAGGAAGCTCTCCAGATTACCTGACTTCATGGCGCGGATCTCGGCGAGCGCCTCGTCGCGCGGGCGCGCAAAGTGCAGGAACTCGATGCCCATGATGGGCTCGAACGCGCCGGTACGCGTGCGCATCGGCGTGTGCGCCGTCATGTTGTAATGAGACGAGATGGTGAACTTGGCCCCGGCCGCCACGGGCCCCAAGTCAGCGCACTGCGAGATGGACGACACGTGCATCACGTGGCTGTCAGAGCCGTGGTCATGGTGTCCGCCGGCGCCCGGAAGGTGCGTGATGTAGCCCGACGTCTCGCCGTACCCCGGCACGTTGCGGCACACAAGCGCGCCGTCGCGGAAGACTTCTTGCCCCGTGCTGCCGTCGTGCACGTGCGGCACCGCCAGTACCAGGTCGCCCGCGAACGGCGCCGTCCAGCCCGTGGTGGATGTCGCGTTGAATATGGTCGCGTTGGCCGGGATGCCGTCGGGCTCGTCGAGGCAGTTGCCGCGTGCGTCGAGCCACACGGGCGTTACTACGTCGAAGCCGTCGGGTGTGCCAGGCAGAAACTCCCACTCGATGGTGAGGGATACGTTGCGCGGCGCCGCCGCCAGGTTCATCACCTCCGTCGTCAGCATCACCTGGTCGCCCGTGCCGAGGTAGTAGCCGGCTTTGCGGGTGCTGTGAGTGTAGCGGCGCGGCTTGTCAGCCAGACAGACACATATCGCATGGACATGATGACATTTGATTTGGTAGGCTCGTGTTTACTCACCCCTTGATAGTAAAATCGAACGGCGACCGCTCGTTGCCATTGACACTAATACTCTCGGGCCAGTGTGTGCAGGTGGCCGCCGAGCGGTTCAGGTTCATGAGGCCGATGTGGTGCAGCCACATGTTCTTGTTGGCGTTGGCCGACGTGCCGTCGTCCGAGAACTTAAGGTCCGGCACGTAGCCGGTCACGAGGCAGCCGTAGCACGGCATCATGGCGTCCATGTCCGGGAATGCCTGCATGCCGTGCGTGGCCGCGTCGCCCGACCCGGCCACGAGATACGGCCCGTACGTGATCCGCACCCGCTGCGCACCCAGGTCCTTGAAGTACTTTGGCTGCAGCGGCTCGACTTTGGCAGCTTCACGGGGCATGTTAGGACGGTCAACATGCTAGGAGTGGGGAAAGTAAGAGACATACGAGTGGGACTTTCATCTCGCGGCAGCACCGCCCCGAGCGCCACGTGAATGGCGCCCAAGGTGAGGACGGCACGAGCGGGGACTTGGATTGTATGTACTTGAAATGGTGTAAACAAGGGCACAAGAGTGGATCGCCCTACGGCGGCCATGCCAAGCGCCCTCTCGCCTTGCACATATAGTTCCAAGGCTTATCCTCTGTTGTCAAAAAGCTTGACCACAACCCCAACACCGGGAGCCACGATTTGGGTATTATCAGGTTGCACAAACCACTCCGGGAAACTGCCGCGGGAATATTCATGGGCGCGGCAGATGTTGTTATGGGCGGCAAAATACCAGTACCTAGTAAACCATCTATAACCATCTATCGACGTGGTGCAACAGAATTTGATTAGAGCATGCTAATTACCTTACCTACACACCTACACACCTACCCCTCACCAGTTCTGTAAATACCCCTATATGTGTATGTATAAGAAGCGTGTGTAACACAAGATAACCCTCTCAACTATCCCAATGGGTTAATAGGTACGGGAGTGTACGTAGAGAGTGCTTAGGCACTCGTCAAGATCCAAACAGCAGATACCCCAAAACACGACCTCAACCCGACTGCCCGAGGCGTGCGTCTCGCGTTGCACAAGAAAATGATCGATAGCACGGCCTATATGGTCTGCTTTTGCCATATGCATTGCCGAAGCCAGCGTTGCCGGGGTGCCGCCCACGCAGATGTTCTTTCAGTCTCCGTTATTCAAAATTTGATTTTCCTTTTCGCGTTCACAGTCCCATATCGCTGTATAACCCGCAGTATATAGAAAAATACAACATCTCACTCCCTCAAACTCGACTGTTCCTCGAACACGTCCCACCCGTCTGCAGCCATAATTACCACAACCCGGCCAGACAGACACTTTTGACGACGCAAGCAGCCCACATACCGCAACACACAAAACTAACACGAACTAACGCGCTACGGCTTCGACGTTAGCGCGCCGCCGGTGATGCTTGCGGGGCCGGACCACTGCAGCTTGGCAGGGACCTTTGGCTGGATGACGGGCTTCTAGATGGTGTCATAGAGGCTGGGGCCGCCGTTGGCGGCGGTGCTGCCGGGCTCGAGGCTGCCGTACTGGGCCGAGTCGGTGCAGCAGGGGCTGTTGGGGCCCTAGAACGGGCCTGGCAAGAGCGTGTTAGTACTCTGTAAAAAAATAAAAAATAAATAAAAAAGATTTGAGGGAACTAATTAATTGATAGACCAAAACATACCAGCTGCCCACGCCGTCCAGCCGATGTACTCCTCGTTCTGCGCCATGTAGTCGAGCATGTCGCCGAGCATGCCGACGCAGGCCGTCGTGTTGGAGCCGCCGAACTCGGTGATGAAGGCCTTGAGGCTGTGCTGCTTGAGCCACGCGGTGACGCCGGCGAGGTTGGTGGCGGCGGGCTGCGTGCACGGGATGTGGCCGCCGCTGAAGTCCTGGTCGAGGTACTCGTGGATGTCGATGGCCGTGTTGTTGAGCGGGTCGACGAGCTTGTGCAGCCAGGCGCTGTTGGCCTCGGCGCCGCCCTGCGTCCAGGCGTGGCCGCCCGTCCATGAGTTGCCTGGCGCGATGATGAGGTTCTTGGCGCCGGCCTTGCGGATGGCGTCGACGGCCGCCTGCAGGTTCGCCAGCAGCAGCGAGCTGGGCATGTCGTGGGGCTCGTTCATCAGCCCGAAGATGACCTTCTCGTCGCTCGCGAAGCGCGACGCCAGCTCCCCCCAGAACGCGCCAAACTGCGCCGTCGTCGCCGCCGTCGGGTCTGAGCTGTTGCCGATCACGCTGCCACTAAAGGGCTGCGACGACGGGTTATTGTACCGCATGTAGTTGTGGGGGTCAAGAATCGCATCTACAGTTCCCGGCACGGTTAGCATGCTAAGTGGCGGTGGTTACCAGCGCCGCCGGCGAACAGGGGAGGTCAACACACATGCGCCCTTGGTCTTGGTGATGTAGTCGATGGCGTCCTTGAAGTGTCCGAAATGCGACTCGTCAAACTTGGACCCCAGCCCGGTCGCGAGAGGACACATGCGTTCGAGCAAGAAGGCGACCCTGAAAAGGTTGATCTTGTGCTGGTCGGCCATGACATCGATGCCGCTGTTGCTGATGAAGGCGTAGTCGACGCCGAACTGGCCGGGCAAGCCGGTCCCGACCTGGGCTGTCGCGCTCCATGCCCCAAACTCGCCGCTCGACTCTGCCACGCCGGCGTAGTAGATCGTCGCGGACGCGCCGGGAAGGGCCAGGGCCGCGTACGCCGCGGCCGTGGCAGCGGTTGACAGCGAGATCTTCATCTTGGGCCAAGAATTATCTTCCACTGGCAGTTGGAAGGAGTATTTACAGACAGGAGGGCTGGCTATTCACTTTCCATGGTTGCCAGCCATGGCGGCCTTGGTGCTCTTATATGAGACCTAGACGCCATCCTCGAGATTGGCCAGCCGCTAGGATGCGAATATCCAGGAACGCGGAGCGTTCTCCATTCTTGGCTGCGGAGCCCGTCACATAAAAGCAGCGAGCGAGCCGGATCCGAGACCAGGGTAGCAAGCAGACGAGCCCATATCGACCGCAAATCGGCCCCAAATCGGCGAGTTCTAGAGTCTTGCGCCGCTGCAGGAACCGCGAGTCAATACGTCTAGATTGAGGGGGAATGCATTTCACCAATCTTGTCGGTTCATGCGAGTGAAATAATACGTCGGTTGGGTCGAGCACACAGTTCTTCCACGGTCAAATTTTGAAGAGGCGGCGCGAGGGCGGAGGAAGTGTCTCCGCGGCAGATCTATAGTGCATTGCCAATCTGAGTCCAGCTTCCCGCGCCTTTATTCGTTGTGCAGAATAAAGCCTGTGGGGGGCTGGCGGGATCCGATGCCGTCCCGGCTTCAGGTACGGCATAAAAGCAGCTAGGGCTCGTAATAACATTTGCATGCCTGTTTATATCTTCGTTCCCATCTGATTGAAGGTCATGAAATGCAAATAAATGTAATTGACTTCACTGGCGTTGCTGGCATTTCTGCTCATCCCTCAATCGTCTCCTCTGCTCTCAGAAACAATCTGCGTCTTCAAAATAAGATGCAACCAAGGAAGAAGACAAATGAAACAAGGAACAGCTCCAAAATGTAACGCGGATAGATGCCGGAGGCTAACGAGAAAAATAACTGAAGAGACCCCTCTACTCGCCTGAGCGTCTAGAAGTGTGTGAGATCTGGCAAACAGATGCATGCGACATGGTCTTGATCTAGTAAACGGAGCCAACCAGGAGAGCATGTATGTACGGGCTGCTGTGTATATGCAGGGGATCCTTCTATGACTTGAACCGGGATTCGATCGCTGCTTTGATGGCTATTGGTGGCGTGTCAGGGGCTGCCTCGGCTTGAGGGGCAGGGGCATCCAGGGGATAGGGGCTGCTCACCTTCTGTTGTAACTCTAGCATCTCCAAAGAGCATTCTTGTTCCAGGCATGTAGAACATTGGATTAGGGACGTCGGCTTCAAAACGTGTCAGCTCTTACTGCTAATAGAGAGGCTTGCCCGGGTTCGCAATCTTACCGTAACCGCTCGCCAAGCCCCGCTTCATCACCACGACCTGCTTGCTCTTCCAAGCGTGAAGTACTGGCATGCCGGCGATCGGGCTGCCCGGCTCCAGAGCGATGGGGTTAACCGTATCGTTGGCACCAATTACAAGCGTCACATCGGTCTCGCCAAAGTCGTCATTGATCTCGTCCATCTCAAGCACGATATCGTACGGCACGCTTGCCTCGGCGAGGAGAACGTTGCACTGGCCAGGCATGCGGCCCGCGACGGGGTGGATGGCGAACCGGACCTTGATGCCCTTCGATCTCAACATGTTCGTAATGTCTGAGATGGCATATTGGGCTTTGGCGACAGCCATGCCGTATCCAACGACAATGATGACAGATTCCGCATTGGTGAGAGCTTCCGCCGTATCCTCCACATTGGTCTGGGTTATGTTTCCCTCGATCTTGTAGTCAGATGTTGTCGGCGCGGATATGCCCCCGAAAAGAACGTTGACGAGGGACCTATTCATGGCGACACACATGATATAGGAGAGGATGGAACCAGATACCCCAATGAGAGCCCCGACCGTGGTGAGGAGCGGGTTGTCCAGCATAAAGCCTTCTGCCACGAGAGCGAAACCGCTATAGGCATTCAGGACAGTAATGACGACGGGCATGTCGGCACCGCCAATGGCCGCCGTCGTCGTGTATCCCTTGAGAAACGAGAGAACCGTGTTGGCACCAAGAGCACCTGCGGCGATCAGCGGCGACGCGGGCGCCAGTGTCACGAAAGCGCCCATGGTGGCAACATTGGCCGCCAGCATGCCCGAGTTGAGGACATGACGTCCGCGGAAGATCAATGGCTTTGATGTCATTCTGCCAGCGAGCTTGAGGAAGGCTACAATCGAGCCCGTAAAAGTGACGCCGCCGATCAGAACACCGAGGTAGGCAGTAACGAGGTGAAGTGTCGACACGTTTGGCAAATCAGCCATGACGCTGCCGACACTGGTCAAGACAGCGGCGAGGCCCACGACTGAATGAAGCGCGGCGACGGTCTGGGGGAGGTCTGTAGGCGTGATGCGTTTGCCAATAACAAAACCCAGGATGCCTCCAATGGCAGCCAGGCCGCCAAACTGCGTCAACACTTCGGGCGAGAACCCAACGGCAACGAGCGAGGCAAGGACACCGGACCCCACACCTAGCATGCCCAGCATATTTCCCATGCGGGCCGTCGACTGGGAAGCCAGCCCCGACAGCGACGTAATGCAAAGAACCGAGCTGACAAGATAGCCGGCTTGCACGAGTCCAGCAGCACCCGTCGAGGCCGCAGCAACGAATCCGCCACCGAATAGGAGTCCCGGAATAGCATAAAGCCACGGATATTCGGGAGGGTCAGTTTTGCGGCGGAACATGTCAAGCATGCGCTTGGAGATGACGAAGCCGCCTGCAACGTTGACAAAAGCGAGAAGGACCGATGCCGCACCAAAGGCTTGGGGGATTGTCTCGGGAAAGTAACCTCCACCAAGAACAAACAAGCCGCCGACGCCGACCATGCCGGAGATGGCATTTGTAACACTCATGAGTGGCGAGTGCAGGGCCGGAGCCACGCCCCAGACGACGCGGTACCCAATGATTGAGGCCAGGGCAAAGGTGAAAACGTTGCCCATGAACAAGGGTCCAGTGAGCCTGCCCAAGACAAGAGCGCTGCCTAGACCACCGGTCACCAGCGCAACTTCACGGGAAGTCTTCTGGAAGGGTGTCAGGGCCACGACTTCGACTTCCTTGGCAGCGGCTGGCACGGCGGCTGGCGCAGGTGGGGGAGCTGGACGAGGTGCAGGGGGGATAATCTCGCCCTTTCGGGTGACAATCGAGCCCCGAACCACCTCGTCTGTCAGATCAACTCCGAATTCCCTCTCTTTTGGGGCCATCGACAGCAAGAACTTAGTAATGTTGTTCGAGTACAGAGTAGACGATTGCGTGGGCAGGCGCGAAGGGAAGTCAGTGTAGCCAATGATTTTGACGTCCTTGTAAGTGACCAGCTTTCCGGGCTCTGTCTTCTCGCAATTCCCGCCAGCCTCGGAGGCCAGGTCAACAATGACAGACCCGGGCTTCATGATCTCCACCATGGCCTTTGTTATCAGCTTCGGGGCCGGTCTGCCGGGAATCAGAGCCGTGGTGATGATGATGTCCACCTCTCGAGCTTGCTCGGTGAAGAGCTTCATCTCGGCTTCAATAAACTCCTTGGACATCTCCTTGGCATAGCCGCCAGCGCCAGACCCATCTTCCTCCAGCTCGACCTCGATAAAGTCGGCCCCGAGGGACTGGACCTGCTCGCGCGCAGCAGAGCGCGTGTCGAAGCCACGCACGATTGCCCCAAGCCTCCTCGCGGTAGCAATTGCGCTCAGTCCTGCGACACCGGCGCCAATGACAAGAACCTTGCACGGCGGGATTTTCCCTGCGGCCGTAACCTGGCCAGTGAGGAAGCGACCAAAGATGTTGGACGCCTCGAGAACGGCCTTGTAGCCAGCAATGTTTGCCATGCTGCTCAGGGCATCAAACACCTGGGCCCTCGAGATACGGGGGATCAAGTCCATGGCGAACGCCGTCGCCTTCCGCTCAGCAAGCTTCTCGACGAGAGGCTTATTCTGCGCCGGCTGCAGGAAGCTGATGATGGTCTGCCCCTCATTGACACCGTCGGCCTCAGCGGCGCTCGGTCCGCGCACCTTGAGCACGATGTCCGCCTCTTTCCAGATGGCGCCAGGGCCGTCCACCAACGTCGCCCCGGCCTTGTCGTAGGCTTCGTCGAGGAAGTCAGCCTGAGAACCGGCACCTCGCTCAACAATGACTTTGGAGAACCCCTTTTTGAGCAGGAGAGCCACATTCTGCGGTGACAGTGCCACACGGCGCTCCCCGGGGTACGTCTCACGCGGCACACCGACGGTCAGCTCGGCATAGTGCGTAGTAGGGGGGAGAACTACAGTCGAGTACGCGGCCGAGCTGCCCTGCGCCGGGAGGGTAGAGAGTACCGACGCATGACGGACAAGCTGCAGCGAGAGGGGGTTGGGCGCAGCGAGTGCTAACGAGGGCGAAGGCAGGATTTGCGGTCGCTCGCGTGCCAATGTATTGCGCCATGCTCGCTGGGCAGCGGCAACGGTGCCAGCGCGCCGGGCCGGGGTGAAGTCTGTGGAGGTGGATTAGGTTCAGCGGCGGCAAATCGAGCATAGAGTTCAATGGCATCCATGGCACTTGGAAACGTCTGCTGCGAGAACCACAACGACGGCGGGGCAGCTCACCAAGGACTCGCGCCACCGCTTGACGGGCGGCACGCGCAGCTGGCCGCGAGGAGCAAGAAACATTAATGGCGAGCGAAGGCCGGATAACGGTGAGAGGCGGCGGCATCATGGCTGTCTACGAGCGCTCGCGCTTTCGAGACAGACCAGGCAGGTGTTATCATTTGTTCACAATACGCAAGTGGCGATTTTGCACGACGCGGGGCGGGCGGCCGAGAGCGCAAGCCTGAGATGGGAGCTGGCGGCACCGGCGGAGACGGGACAAGACGGTTGGCAGTTTGTTGAAAACCGAAAGGACGATCAATCACGCACGGTAATGGAGTGGAAAGGTTGAATGGCTTCCGCCCGACTCGGTCAGTTCGAGATTCTGCGATTCTGCAGTGTCGCGCCTACCTTACATCGGTGGCTTGTGGGTGCCGTATCTGGGTGTCAAGCAACGGCAACAAACGGCAACAGCAACAGCGTCGGCATCGGCATCTGTCACTGCGACTGACAATGCGGCTGCGACGTGACTTTGTCTGCTTGTGTTAGAAGCAAAGGACTGGACTGGGCTGGACTGGACTGGGCTGGACTGGACTGGGCTGGACTGGACTGTGCTGGACTGGACTGGACTGGACTGGAGGGAAGCTCATGTGGTCGGTGAGCCCAGGTGGTGCCTGCCCCCGGTTACATTGTCGCACCCCAAACGCTTGGCCTTTGCAACGCCTGCTACCCCGCCTTTGGCCTCGTGGGTGTCAATTCCCAGAAACCACCTGGGGCTAAAACATGCCGGCGGGTATGTATTGCAGCTCACATGCTGAATGCGCGGTTCGTCGGTCGATGCAGCCTGCTGCCACGGTTTACGAGAAACGTCGGCTCACGCGGGACGGCAGCTGTGCGGGGTGCAACCATTGAGAAGGTGCGCCAGCCATGCAGTAGAGAGGCCCAGGCAAGTGAGGCGGCCAATGCTGGATCCCGCCAATTCCTGAATGGAAGCGTGCGTTGCTGTGCGTCCACTGTGCGAGGGTTGCGGTGCAGAATGCGGAGATATCCCCAATCACAATGGCCCGCAGTTGTGTCAGCGTGCTGTTGGTCGTTCCCTCGCTGGCCTGCCGTGGTTCCTAAGGTACATGCCTAGCTCCATCAGTCCGGCTACCCATTTTATCCAATGCACATCGGAGGGGTTTGCTTAACGAAGCATCCCCAATGATTGCATGCATGTCGGAGGTGACCGACCACCTCCAGCTGCCTTGAAGATGTTAGTGTTAGCCACGCCGGTCAGTTAAGACCTTCGCAGTCTTTTTGGTGACGGTTTGTTGCTTCAGGATCCGAAATAACGGGGTTTCGAGCATTGGCTGTCCTATATCCGGGCAATTGAGCGGTTTCTAGGAATGAGGTAGCCGTACCTCTTTTTTCCAGAATATCGCGGCTTCGCCAATGAGCGGAAAAGCAGAAGCTTGCCAGCTCGGTATCCGCCAGCTCGGTATCCGCCAGCAACTTTTTCGCCCCAATTCGATCGTGAATTTGTAACTGGCAAGGCCACCTGTCTCCGCGTTTCCGGGGGGCGTGCTACGGCGGTGTTTCACCGGTAGGCCAATCGATGAGTTTGTATTTGTTTGGCAACCTTGTCCCTTCCCGAATAGCAAGATTAGACTGTCAAGTCCCAGCCTCCCAACCTCCCAGAATTGCATGCTCCGTGGCTTTGCTAAGAGAGATTAGTTCCGATGTGACTTGGAATAAACCAGCCAACGAGGCGACATCTGCGAATGGTCAGTTTGCCGGTTTCTAGCCTTAAGTCTCGAAACTGGCAGCAACACAATGTAGACATAAGTGGGCGAGTAAAAGCAGCAACACAATGTAGACATAAGTGGGCGAGTAAAAAGCAGCAAGTCTATTTGTGACTATCGCATATGTACAGGGCCACTTGGATGCGTGCTCCGCAGTATCTCATTGCCTCGCAGCGGCAACCGGCTCCCACGCCTGGATCTTGGGCTTCGTTCTGTGGATGTGTAAGCAAAGATCTGGCCGTTTCGCAGGTGCCACGAGCTCGACCTACGTATTATACGGCTTGTAGGCTCCCCTTGTCTGCGTGTGGTTGGGAATGTGGTGAGGGGACGCCCAGCTGCGGTTCGATACAGCGAGAGGATCCTGGCTGGGCGGCGTGTCGACGCCGTAGGAAATCCACATGTGCCACAGAGGTTCGATGTGGCCACTAAAGGGCGAACTCGCCGTCAGCATGGCTCGCAAATGCATTCCGGTCAAAGTTCCGGCCCTACGACCAGAATCGGGGAGGCTCAACGTACGCGTCATGGTCGTGCTTTGCATAGTCGACCCATCTTGTTCGCACTAAGCCCCAATCAATCCCAGTCAATAAAATTGTCCTTTTCCTAGAGCCCAGGATAAGACAGCGACGCACGCGGGAGCTCCTCGTTGTTCTCGTAGAACTTGTTGCCGAACTTGTCGACGCCGACCAGCACGCCGGCCTTGGTGTCACCTGTGTCGCCCGTCAGTCTCTAACGATACCAAAACTATTTCTTTCGATCCCAGCCATACCAATGTACTATTTGCCGGAACCGGAGCGGTTAGCAGCTGTCGGACGGTCGTGGGACCTAGAAGTCAAGCGGTACGCACGTTGAGTTGATGCCAGAATTCCTGCAGGCGCATTGTCAGCTTGTTATCGCATCCGGCGGATTTTCGGTACGGACCTTGAAGCCAATCTTGCGAAGATTGCCTAGTGTTCGCGTGAGGTACGACATCGTGGCTAGGGCTGCCCAATTGACCGCGGGTGAGGTGATGACGGAGGTTTAATTGACGATTCGTCTCGTCGCGGCGAAGTTGCGTCGAACTGACGCAGTGGGGTTTCTGGGAAGTCCCGAGCCAATGGCGAAGCTCGGAGCTATGGTGGACAGTAGCAGCGCAATAGGCCCCTGCGCCAACCAAGGGCCGGGCTGGCGACACCCAAATTCGGGAAAATTCCGCCGACGACGACTGACAAAATTGAGACGAGAGCTTGCGAGCTTCGACTTTCCCCACCGTTCGTGGCTATGCTGGTAAGGAGTGTTCCGAGATGCTTCAGCAAGCTCAGAGCGCCGGCCTCTCGACCATGCATTAGGGTCGCGAGGCCACAATGCCGACAGTTCTCGATGCCGACGACAGGAGCGCCCAACGCCTCTCCATCTCCCGCCATGTCCAGCGCTGCCATCCTCGAGCCCTTTACGACCGAGCTTGACAGAATCGCGCCCTCGTTCAAGATCAATGGCTCGCAGGTCCGAGTACTGCAAACGCCAGCTGAATTCTACGAGACTCTCAAGGTTGGGCCGGCTGCCCCCCGAGTCTTGCGGTCCCGCCCAAGCTGATCGAGCGGCAGGACAAAATCCGAAACGCTGAGCGGCGCATCTTCTTGTCGACATTATACATCGGCAAGTCCGAGACGGAGTTGGTATTGCTACCTGAACCCTGCTACCTCTGCGTCGGCTGATGTGTCCAAGATTGCCACCCTCCAGGAGGCGCTCCGCACGAAGCCCGACGTCAAGCTCAGCATCCTCACCGATGCTCTGCGAGGTACTCGTGAGGCACCGCAGCCATCATGCGCCTCGCTACTCGCCCCGTTGATTGCCGAGTTTGGGCCCGATCGAGTCGAGGTGCGCATGTACCATACGCCGAACCTGACGGGGTTCAAGAAGAAACACATTCCGAACCGCATCAACGAAGGCTGGGGATTACAGCACATGAAGCTGTACGGCGTAGACGACGAGATCATCCTGTCTGGCGCGAATCTCTCAAGTGACTACTTCACCAACAGACAGGACCGATATCACCTATTTTCGTCCCGAGACATCACCGAGTACTACTCGAATCTTCACGATGCCGTGGCGTCCCTGAGCTTCCTGGTGCAGCCCTCGGACAAGCCGTCTGGGTTCGACATGGCGTGGCCCGACACCAATGCGGCCATCTCTCCGTTGGAGAACCCAAATCACTTCGTCGCCGAGTCCACGAGCCTTTTGGCTCGGTTGATCTCACCTGGGACGGCCCCGGTGACAAAGCCCGACAAGACGATTGCCGGAGCGACGGACACTTCGGTTTACATTCTGGCGCAACTCACGCAGTTGCTATCGCCGGATTCGTCAACCGAGCTTCCGGCGATCACACATGTCCTCAAGACACTGTCGTCTCCACAATATGCCAAGTCGTCCTGGACGTTTACCGCAGGATACTTTAACCCTGCGCCATCGCTGACTAAACTCTTGCTCTCGACGGCGTCGCAAGGCAATACGGTCATCACCGCGTCCCCGTTTGCCAACGGGTTTTACAAGTCCCCTGGCGTCTCGGGCCTGCTGCCAGACGCTTATACCCTCCTGGCGCGTCGGTTTGTACACGCAGTCTACCAGCACAACCGCGAGACGGCGATTACTCTACGAGAATGGAGAAGGGGCACGGTTGGTGTGCCTGGCGGGTGGACATATCACGCCAAAGGGTTATGGGTCACTCTGCCAGGGAGTGAAGACCCATCGATCACGCTCATTGGTAGCTCCAACTACACAAAGAGGAGCTACTCGCTTGACCTAGAGGCGAATGCGCTGATCGTGACAGAGAACGAAGAGCTGAAGCGGCGCTTAGGCAACGAGCAGCGCTCGCTGCAAGAGAACACGAGCATTGTGACAAGAGACGACTTGGCCAAGACGGATCGCCGCGTCGGACTCAAAGTGCGCCTCGCCATGCTGATGGTGAAGCTCGCAGGAGGTGCGTTGTGAGGGCCTTGGACGTGGTCATCGTTGTCATGCGCACAACATTCCTCAGAGTTGAAATGTATATAATTAAACGAGGCCTGTACCAAGAAGTGTTTAGACTAGATGGTGATTATACCCAAAGTGCGATTTCCATTACTTTCGATCCCATCTTTATCCACCACCCGAGCATTTTCGTTGCGCAGATAAAAACAACAGCCATTTCTTTTCTTGACTCAGGATAGCGCTGCACTCTAACACCCAGCCTAGCAAATGGCTAGATTTTGCTTTATGAGCTGGTACAATGCGTAACACCTCCTTGGCCCGGCAAGAAAGGAGGCCAGTATGGCTAAGGTTGGCTTTGGTAATCCTAGACTTGTGGGCTTTGGTAATCCTAGACTTGTGGGCTTTGGTAATCCTAGACTTGTGGAATTGGGGGAGTCCCATGTTCTCTGTTGGTCTAATTCTCTTTCATTCCGGTTGTGCAACTTAACTAATACGAAGAGGGATAAAGGAAAGAGTTGTGGGGTGTTCCCTTCGAGGCTGTAAGAAACTTTTGTGGACAACAATGGGATTGTTTCTTGGAAAAAAGAAACCGCAGAGCATGGTTAGTAAGTGGCGGCTGGGTAAGGTAGGGAGCGAGTTATAGGGGCACAAAAGCGACGCTCGAGAATGTCCCCGAACAGCCCCGGTACGGTTGGGTCGTGGGACTCGAGGACGACGGATAAAAGACAGCGTAACTCGGAGTCTTCTTGACTCGTTCTTCTTCACTCGCTCCTTGTAGACCGTGACATAGAGCTGACGCTGGGTTAAGTTAGAAATATATCAGCCTTCTGTTGGGTCCTGACACAGGGCAAACAGCAAGGATGGCTCTGTCAGAGCAAACAGCAAGGACGGCTCTGTCAGAGCAAACAGCAAGGATGGCTCTGTCAGCGGTTTGGGTGTTCCTGGGCCTGGCCCACGGGCACATGATAATGAATCGCCCGGTCCCATTTAATCCCGGGAATGTCAGCTTGTCCCCGCTGACTGCTCCCGGAGGCAAGCTTCCGTATCCCTGCCAGGGTCTGACCAGCTTTGACTACCGGACTCCAGTGGTTGCTGGCCAGACAGCCTTGGTCAACTTCACGGGCACCATGCCCCACGGTGGAGGGTCGTGCCAGTTTGGCATCAACTTCCACGGGGAGCCTTACACGACGAACCCGGCCGACTGGAAGACCATCTACACTATCATCGGAGGCTGCCCTGCCGAGGTCACCACCGCGTCAGGCAACCCGGACACGGCTGGTGTTGACTTTGCGGGGCGGAGCGAGTCGGTCCACTGCGGCGATGACAAAGGTGTGAACTGCATTCGGCAGTTCAACATCCCCTTTCCTGTCGACCTCCCCAACGGAAATCACACTTTCGCATTCACCTGGTTTCGGAAGAACACGGCAGGCGAAATGTACATGAACTGCGCGCCTATTTCCATCACCGGCGGTGCGTCGTCGCCAGCCAGCGCGCCCGCCTTTGTCGACAGCCTGCCGAGCATGTTCCTCGCAAACATCAAGGGGCTCACCAACTGCACCACCAACACCACTGGCGAGCACGGCGTCTTCAACATCCCCAACCCCGGCCGGTACGGCGTGCAGCTCATCGAGCCGGACCCGGCCGCCGCGGGCAGCTGTCCGGTGGCGCCGCCAGCTCCGTTCGCTCAAGTGCAGCCACACCTAAACCTGGCAACCTCGCTTCCAGGCCCTCCGTACCCAACCCGCACTGCTTCGAGCTCTGCAGGGACCTATAAGCACACTCTGGACAAGAGAAGCGATGGCCCAGTGGCTCTGATCACCCCGGAACCCATTTACGCCACCGTGACCGTGAAAAGCGGAATCCTGACAGCCATAGCCAGCGACGGAAAGCTGACAGTCATGGCCATCGACGGAAAGCTCACAGTCATAGACGCTGAGCCGACGCCCATGCCTATCCCAGTGCCCACGCCCATGCCTATCCCAGTGCCATCGCCAATGCCCGAGCCGACGCCGTCGCTGGCCCCTGTGTCTACTCCCCCACGCCCTACAGGCACAGGGACGGGCAAGGGCAAGGGCAAGGGCAAAGGAAGCGACACTAGCACGAGCACAACCACAACCACGCGGACAAAGAAAAGCACACACACCACCAGCAGCTTGGCACCAGGAGCAGCAGCAACGGGTAGCTCCCACTCCAACTCCCACGATGACGATGACATCGCTAGCGTCGCGTGCAGCGTGGCCAACGGCGCCGTGTTCTGCATCGGCGACGCCAAGTTCGGGGTCTGCAAGGACGGCCGCGCCGTGCCGCAGACGCTGCCCGCTGCGAAGATGTGCCAGGGCGGCCGCGTCACGGGGCGGTTCCGCAAGTGCAAGCGCGGCAGCCCGGCAAGGCGGCGGCGGTCGTGGTTCTTCTGAGGTGTAATCAATCAACGAGGCTGGATCGGTAGTGACGTGGTCGGCTGTGTGTGTAGGTACCTATGAGCAAGGACTGATAGAATACTAGTAAGAATAAATAGACCGGACTGAATTCGGCAACATTGTCTCGATTCCCCCCTATTTTATTTCTGTTTGAATATTGTGTTTCTGTGAGACTGTGAGTGTAGTGAATGTGTTCATGTGCCAGACGAACCGTCAACACCACCCGGGGCTGTGGCTGATATATGTCCAGCGCCGTGTAGTAGGATTGATGGCCCCGAAGTCGTGGTTGTTTGGATAACCCCCCTCGGCCTCCCTGACGTACCTTGTTGTCTCTTGATTTGATTCCGAGTCCATTCTCTAATTTCGCCGCAGTATCGGGTCAGCAACGGAATTAGCCAGGAACTAACATATCATGATGCCTGTGCAATGTGCATTCGGGAGGAAGAGGGCCCAAGCATCCCCGGCCTCGTCGCCCTCAGGATGACAAACTACGCTCTGCTCGGCGAGTTTGCACGGAGGAACACTAAGGGTGGTCTTACAGCCTACAGGTGGAAATGACCGGCCAGACCTGATGAAACATGGCCCCCGGGCCTGAGGCCGACTTCGCGCCAAGCCGCTAAGTAGCCCAGTTAAACCCCAGGAAGGCTCAAAAAGCGAGGCCGAGTCCGAGGCAAGAGATTGAAGGAGTGCCGGAAGTGACAACCACCCAGGTAAAAACCGAACCCCTTTTAATTCCGCCCGCAGCTGCGCGGCACAAGGCAGACGACGGGCGGCAACTCGCGGCTAGGGGGCTCCAAAATAGCTCCCAAGTAAATAATTATAAGGATATGAACCGGAGCCCACGGCGTGTAAGCACTTTGACACCAGGCGCCTGGCTAGCAAGACATTGCCGTCGTCGCTCTTTTTCCTTCACGGTGTTGCGTCTTTGTCACTCATTTCAGTCCTTCGTTTTTGCTTCTTTGCGGTCTACGACCCGTCGACGTTCTCTTGCACGTTTTTTCTCGTTCTTTTGCCAGCGAAACTCTGTCGGCGGCATCTCTTCAACAAGCTCGACTGTGTCACGTTTTGTGAACAATCAACACACGTCCGGCACAATGCCCTCTTCACTTCTCTTCGGCCTGGCGGCGTCCCTCTCGCTGGCGGTGCCGGCCTACGCCGGCTTCCAGGTCCAGTGCTTCAGCCGGCTTTTCGACGAGCGGCTCGACCCCATCGTCAACCCCGGCAAGCTCTCTGGCCACGTCCACGTCATCTCGGGCGGCAATGGCTTCGCCGCTGCCATGGACTTTGACCGGGCGCGGGCGTCATCGTGCACGACGTGCAACGTGCGCGACGACCTATCCAACTATTGGACGCCCAAGATGTACTTCCACGCCCAGAACGGCAGCTTCCTCCCGGTCCCCGTTGTCGGAGACAACCAGTACGGCAACATGGGCGGCATGGTCATCTATTACAAGTGAGGCGGCTTCTGGCTCTTTGCAAGATCTGGGTGCTGACTGGCTGAAAAAAAAACAGCGACAACCGAGGCGACGTGCCCACCGACACCATCCACCCGTTCCCGCCCAACTTCCGCATGCTGGCCGGCAACCCGTTCAAGCGGAGCGCCACGGCGGACGAAGCAGGGCAGGCGGTGCACATGAAGTGCCTCGGCGACGGCGGCAACGTCAACTACCCGGGGTTCCCGCCGCGCAAGTGCTCGGGCGGCATCCGCGCCGAGGTGGTCATGCCGTCGTGCTGGGACGGCGTCAACGTCGACTCGCCCGACCACAAGTCCCACGTGGCGTACCCCGTCGGTGCCGTCGAGGGCGGCCGCTGCCCGCCCACGCACCCCAAGCGCCTCTTCTCCATGTTCTACGAGGTCACATACTCGACCGAGGTGTTCCAGGACATGTGGCCCGACGGCGGCAGCGGCCAGCCGTTCGTGCTCTCCAGCGGCGACCCCGTCGGCACGGGCTTCCACGCCGATTTCCTGAACGGCTGGGACGTCGCCGTGCTGGCCAACGCGGCGGCCAGCTGCCAGAACACGCTGACGCCCAACGGCAACCGCTGCCAGCCCGACTACGCGGGCGCCGACAAGGTCCTACGCCACATGACGGACCAGGGCGAGGCGTTCGCCTGCAAGCTGCCGTCCGTGTCGGGCGAGAGGCCAAACGATGTGCTCGGCGCCCTCCTCGGCTGCAACCCCCTCACCGACACCGAGGCGGCTGCCCGCGCAGTCAGCTGCGGCGGCGCACAGAAGCCGGGCGGCACGGCTTCGTCTGTTGCTCCGTCTCCGTCTCCGTCTCCGTCTCCCTCTCCGGCATCCCCCGCTAGCACCGACACCAGCAGCAGCAGCAGCAGCAGCAGCAGCGCGAACCCTGTCCCTACCACCCTCGCAACCGCAACCAAGCCGACTTCGGCTTCCACCTCACCCTCCATACCAACACCAACCAGTACCACCCTCGCCAACGTCCCCCTCCCAGGCGGCGGCTCCTTCACCGATACGACGCCCCTCAACTTCTCATACATCGGCTGCGCGGCCGACGACCCGGCGGCGCGCACTTTTGCCGGCAGCAAGTGGGTCGCGCTGGCGGACATGACAGTCCCGAAATGCCTCGCGTTCTGCAGAAGCAACAGCTACGCGTTCGCCGGCGTCGAGTGGGGGTCTGAGTGCTTCTGCGGGAATGCGTTGCCGGCGGGCCGTGCCCCGGTGCCTGGGGCGGTGAACAAGTGTGTCAAGCCGTGTAATGGCGATAGCAAGCAGACGTGCGGTGGCGGCGGGGCCATGTCGTTGTACAAGGCTTGTGGGGCGGCGCAGGAGTGTGTCAATCAGCCGGTGCTGAGGCGGCGTCGGGGGTTCTTGTTTGCTTGATTTTCTGCTGGTGAGGTGGAAACAGGAGCGGATTCAATTGTGTTCGATTCTCAGGTGTGTGTTTTGTATATTCTTTGTGGCTCGATGCTTCGAGTAGAACTCTTTTTCTTTTTTTCCCCGGAGCCGTGTGTTGGTGCGGCTTTGCAGATTGAAACTGCTCTTTGTATTTTATTTTGCTCATTCGTGTATATCATTCGATTCTTGACCGCCCCACGCAGCGGCATGCTTTGTAGCCTATTTATCTTAGGTACCCAATTAGACTACCTAACATGCTCCGTTTTTCTTGTGAAGGGGACTACCATTGACGAAGGTTTAAACCTCTGGCCTCGTCTTTTGTAGGGGGGGCTGATGTTTTTGGTTGATTAAGTCAGGTGGTCTGCTTATGGAACACCCCTGGATTTGGAACAAGGTTTGTCATCAAGGACTTGCCGCTCGCCACCCAACTCACCTATTTCAATCGCTTGCAACTCGACCAATTCTGCTTCAATACTTATCTTCTTTTCTCCATTCAATTGAGAAATGAAAGATGAAGCGATATACTCAGTTGGATTTGCAGAATGCGCTGGCAGAGTATGCAGAAATCGGCTTACTCCGTAGCTCTGCTGAAAATCACGGCATCCCCCCTACTACTCTCTTTAATCGGGTTCGTGGTTCTGAGCTAGCCTCCAAGGCCCAAATTCTTAATCAAAAGCTTTCTCCGGCTATGGAAGAACGCTTAACCGAATGGATTCTATTCCAAGGGTCGCTCGGTCACCCTCCAACCCACGCCCAAATTCGGAAACTAGCTAGAAGAATGCTCGAAGATAACGAGACCCTCGGAAAACGCTGGACTAGCCGGTTTTTGGCTAGAAATCCATCTATTTCTACAATTAGGCCTCGGAGAATCCATGCAAACCGTGCTGATCGAGCCTGTGAGGCCGTTGTGAGGGCCTGGTCCTCCAGACCTCCCAGACGCTCTGACTAATCAGACGCCAGTCGGGTGGATCCACCCGACTGACCAATGGAAGCTCGGCCAGAGCCCCACCTTGAGACGCGTCCTGGAAGAATCTCGCGAGGGGAGGCTTTTGCTTCTTTTCCCTTTTCTCTGTAGTTTAGAATCTTCGTCCATAGCGCCCCATAGAGGAGTTCCGCCCTCATTCCAAGCCGGCCGTGACAGCCGTTATCCGGCCTTGGTTTGACTATTTGAAGCCTCCAGGCGTGGAGGCTATTCCAGCCAAGCATAGGTATAATATGGATGAAACTGGCATTGCTTCTGGCATTGGAGATAACGGCCTGGTTGTTGGATCTAAGAAAAGAAAGAAATTCCAGAAAAAGAAGAAAGGAGACCGAATTTGGACCTCGATTATCGAATGTATTTCCGCTGACGGCCGGTATTTGAACCCAGTCGTCATTTTCAAAGGTGGAAGCCTTCAACAACAATGGTATCCACGCGATTTACAGCCATTTAAGGGCTGGAAGTGGAAACCCACTGAAAACGGCTGGTCTGACGATGATACTGCCGTCGCATGGCTCCGCAATATCTTTCTTCCAGAGACTCGGCCAGCTACCCCCTCGGAGAAGCGCCTCCTTATTTTAGATGGCCACGGTAGTCATACCACCGAAGAATTCATGTGGCTAGCCTTTTCTAATAACGTACAACTGTTATTTCTACCAGCCCACACCTCCCACGTTCTCCAGCCCCTGGATTTATCGGTTTTCGGCCCTCTAAAAGCCCGGTACAGAGCCAAGCATAACGAGGTTGTTTCCGGCTTCGACGAAGGCACTGTTGCTGAAAAGAGGGCCTTCCTAGAATGCTACCGGCAAGCCAGGGTCTATGGAATGACTGAATCTAATATCAAAGCCGGCTGGAAAGCTACAGGCCTCTGGCTGGTCAGCCTCAGGAAGCCCCTTAGCAACGGCCTTGTTATTAAGAATTCTAACGGCGACGTTGGTCAACTGACCTCTACGGTTTCTATAGACCTTCAAGAGGTCCATAACCCCATTCTAAATAAGAATTCGGAGGGCCGGCCTATATGGTTTACCCCTAAAAAGCCGAAGGATTTCCGTATTCAGGGGCAGGTTTTTCTAGCCGGCCAGAAACGGACTGCCAACGACCGACTTTTCATACGCAAGGCCGCAAAAGCCTTCGATTACGTGGTTTTCCAACTAGCCAATACGGCGCATCAATTGGAGGCTGCAGAAAAAAGCCTAGAACGCACAAGAGGCCGAAAGAGAAGGAAGGTCCAAGTCGACCCTAATACGCAGTTCGCTGGAATTGAGGAGGTTCGTGCCTCACAGAGAGAGGCTGGCAGAGAGGACCTTGGTTATTCTGAAAGAGAAGAATCAGGAGAATCCGATACTGAAGACTTCATCATTGTAGCTAATTAATTGACAAAGTTGTTGGCAATTGAAGTTTGTGGTGTTGTGCGGGGTCCGATTCAGGGGCTGTTCCATAGGCAGGGGTGTTCCAAAAGTCCCCCACCTGACTTATCTGGAACGAGGATCAATGGGACCCTATTGGTGCAATGGTTTCTGGCGGAGGCTCTAAGTGTCTTGAAGTGTTTTCCAGTCAAAGTCGAGCTAGTGCCGATCTGGGCTAGAGGAAAGCGGCGCGAGATCACGGTCGTAGACTTGACCGGGGTTTTAGAAGGGAGTTTGTTAGTTTGAGGCCATGAAACAGTCGAACTCGGTCCTTGAATTTCTAGACAAGCGGGACAACTGAGGAGTCATTTATGTAATAATTAAGTAGGTTATATAATAATCAAGTAGGTTATGTAATAATTAAGTAGGTTATGCAATAATTACGTAGGTAGTTAAACTGTTGGAACAACGCGCTAGTCAGCCACAGATGTGGTGGTGGAGGGGCAAGCAGCCACATGTGGCTGTGGAGGGGCAGGGGGCAAGGCCACCGAACCTAAATAAGTGGCCGACGGCCACTTCCACCTTCCTTCTCAGAGACACATAGACAACGAAATCCAACACTTGAACCACCAGTATACAGCGCGCAGCGCGCCCTGTTGATTCCAGTACCGGTACCTGGTGATTCCAACATAAACACAGACGGAGTAATATCAACTAAACGTAATAATAGTATTATGCGTTCAAGTGTTTAAATCTAACCCCCAAATCTACAATGCGTCAGCTTCACTCTCTGCCATTATCCCTTTTATTCAATCAAAAGCAACATTCCACCCACGCCCGCTCATTAAACGCCACGCTCTTGCAGTCTATTCAGCTGTCCGGCACGGACATTTTTACACGCAAAGAAACAATTTACGACAGTACAAAAGGGTCATATCGACAGGTTGACAGGCAACTCGTCTCTCATAATGTAGACTTCGCCGATAAGGACCACACAGCCGACGGTCATGGCGAGGGCGATGATGGGTAGGTTCTCGCGGGCAAAGTCGACGCCGCGTACGTGGATGTGCTTGCGGCCGAGGATGTCGCGCCACAGCAGCCCGGCCAGCGACGCGCTGAACGTGGTGCTGAAAGCGCCGTAGTTGACGCCGAGCGCCATGGCGTACACGGTGGCCCAGAAGGTGCGGTTGCTGATGGGGATCAGGTTCTCGGCGTGGATGGCCTGCCACGCCTGGATGACGCGCGAGAGTAGGATCGACGCGCCAATGTTTGTGCCCGTGAACTGTTACATGTCAGTATTTCGTGTCTGAAAAGTGATTGTCAGGCTTGACAATGACTCACGTTGCAGATAACCACAGACAAGAACCCCATGCCGCCGATGGCGCCGACTGTTCCCGTCTTGTCAACCCAGTGGTCCCACCCGTGGGCAAACACCTCGACCCAGCCCTTGGTGACGAGAGCCTGCACCAGCACAAACATGGAAAAGGCAAACGGCACGAGGGCAAAAGGCAAATGCGTGACCACGGCCGTGACGGTGGGAAACGTCTCTTGCGACCATCTGTATGCGCCGGCGACGACCGACACGAGCGTCGCCCGCTCGTCGGGCTTTTGAGCGCCCACGCCCTTCTCCAAGGCCAAGTCTCGCCCTGCCTCGTCCAGCTCCGTGCTCGACGACAGATCGACCGGCGGGCTCTTCTTGGGGTCGCCCTGGCTAGAGCGACTAGGAGGCTCCTTCTCTGAAGTAATCTCGTCGCCCGTCGTGGCGCCGCCAGCTGCAACAATCTTGTCCTGTGGTGATGAGTCGGTTGGTGCCTGGCCCTTGTCTGCCGAGCCCGTCTTTTCCGCGCCCAAGGGCGCCAGTCTCGCAGCCTCCCGCTCCTTCAGCGCGCGCTCACGTCTGGCCTCTTCGACTTCCCGCCGGCCCTTGCGGGCGATTTCTCGTGTCTCGTGGCGCTTCATCCACCCAGACCCAACGTCCCAGCACAGCATGACAAAGGCCGCAGGCACCGTCACGTAGAAGACGGGATGCGCGCCGATCTCGGTGCTGGCGGCGTTGAGCGCCAAGACGGTGACGAGGGTGGCGGCCATGATGGCAGCGCCGAACCAGGCGCCCCCCTTATCCAGGAAGGGGTTCATGATCTCCTCGAGCGAGAGGAGGTTGCCGTGTTCGCCGTTGGCGTGGTGATTCTCTTCCTCCTCGGCGGTGCCTCTTGCGTGGGGGATGTTGGGATTCACAGGTTTCTTGGCTCGCAGATTCTCAGGCAGCTCGTGCATCTTGATAGAGATGGGGATGAGGTCCTCGCTGGCGAAGATGATGTAGAGCAGGAAGGGGAACAGAATGATGGCGGTCGCGACGACGGGCACAATCATATTGGCCGTATAGTCAATGAACCTAATGCCGAACGCCCCAGCAAGCACGAGGTTTGTGGGGTTGGACGAGACCAGGATGGCCGAGGCGATGTTGGCAACGGCGAACTGGGTGAAGATCCAGGCCCTGGGGTGGATGATGTTGCTCGACACGCGCGTCATGTAGGCGAGGAAGGCAGTGCCAGACAAAATGATGGGGTCATTGCCAATGAAGCTGCCCAAGACAAAGAAAAAGGAGTAGAGGTAGAAGAACAGCCTATTGCCGTTCTTGCCGCCCCATTGCAGCACCCTGAAGGCCAAGTAGCGGATCAGACCGGAGGCGTCGATGGAGATGGCGATGTAGGCAAGGGTGATGAAGAAGGCCATGATGTCGATAGGAAAGATGTTGTCTGCCCCTATGGTGCCGTCGGCCACCTCTTGCCGGCCAATGGCCAGGATGGCGAGCAGAAAGAGATCCGCGATGAGAGGAGCCGTGACAAAGTTGACCGGAAACCTCAGCCGGACGAACCGCGACCGGGGCTTCTCAAGATCGAGCTCATGGCCCGGGAGGCGGTCTGGCCTGGGCGCGATGATGCGCATCCAGCTTAGGAAATCCAGAAAGGCGTTTGAAAGCCATCGTGGAAGGTAGACGGGGATGTGGAAGGGGGAGATGACGATGATGTCTGTGCGCAGGGGGGAAGGTTTGGGTTAGCTTGGATGCTGCTTGAATGAATTAGTCGGTCAAAACGGACTGTGAATGGCCTGGGATTGGTCCTCGTCCTTCTCGCCCAACGTGTGATGCTCCAGTCATCAAAACCAGGCATCAGAGAGATGCACGCAGAGTGAATGAGAGCGTAGGTGAGAGAGCGTAGGTGAGAGAGCGTGGGTGAGAGAGCGAGACAGGGCAGGTGAGTGTGCAATTTTTGTGCAAGTTTGGGCGCGACTCACTGGTGGCGACAAAGACAATGAGGGTGACGATGGACCGCCAGTCCTTGATGTCTCCTTTTTCCTGTGTGTCTGGCATGGTTCCTTCAGCGGCTCTGGTCTTGATGGAAAACTGACCTGGCAGAGTCGAGGCCGGCGTGACGACTCTTGCTCAAGTAGATAACCAAAAGTGCAGTCTCGATGGCGCTGGCTAAAACACCAACGGCGAGCAAATCGATGGCGCACGTGGGGAATAGAAATTCTTGATGTGGGGATCGACGACACCCGTCCCAACGCCAACTCCACTGGAGTCGAGGGTATGACGGGCGGCGCGGGCGCCCAGGTTGGAGCGAGCTTGGCACGATTAGTTAGCCCTGCTGGGCACAATTGGCGGCGCGGGGCAGGGAAAGCACAGCCCCTCGCCGCCTCGTCGTCGCCCGCCGCCTGCCCACCGCTGTTTGTCGCCTTTGCCGTCCGTTTTCTCATCCATCCCCGGCCTCGTCGTCCTGGTGTGTTGGTCACGTTTGTTGGACCGACAAAACAAAAATCAGCTTATCATCCCGGGAGCCGCCAGCCTCGAGGTTTCATGTGTGCTGCCCTGGACTGTGCTACAGTACTAAGCTGGGGCAAAGCTGGCGCATGAGGTAAGGTAAGAGCTAACGTTCCCTTCCCATGTCTTTTGGTGGGACTTGTCGGCTGGACGCAATTCTCAGCGCAAGCGCCAGCAGAAATCCCATCCTCAACGGTTCACTATTTGTCGCAAAACACAAAAGTTGCCTAGCTACTGTTTTACAATTACGGCGTCGCAAGTGTTGGTGATGTTAGCGACGTTGTGACCTCCCAGCCCAGGGCAGCCCAGTGCCGTCCGAAGTGAGCAAGGACGTCGAGCAGCGAAGGATGAAGCGCCTCGCGGCGGGCCGCAGAGGCAATCCAATTCTCTTGGAATCCCTCCACAACATCGACCCAACCTAACCCCAGCGGGCTCGCATCCTCCCCCCCCCATCGAATTTACGTGGTATTTGGTGCCGGAATGCTGAGGAACGCAATTGGCCATCAGGCTGGACACGCGACCGCTTTGTGAACCCGGAATGCCATGTTGTGGTCTCCCCATCTTGGCAGCTCGGAGCAGTTCGGAGCAGTCACTGCAGCGAGTACGAGGTGGTTCGCCAATCTGTCTCTCCTTCGGTGGCCCTTCGGTGACCCTTCGAGAACTGGCGTGGCTTTTTGATCAACGCAGGATGCAGAACCAGTCGCCACACGTCGCCCCAGCCCTCTCCGATCTTGGCAGTGCTGTTCATTCGGCATTGCTTTTCATTCGGCGTTGCTTCCATGCGTCTTCGATGGCTTCCACTCTATTCCAAATGGAGCTAATATTGAGGTGCCGTATTCCACATTGCGAATCGGCACTGCACGCCCGGCTTTGGTTTGAACGATGCATTCAGTGGTAGCCTTCCAATGGAGATATTAGCAGCAAACATCACCCCGTGCGTCTGCCCACAGCCTTGCCATTTCTCTCCTTCGATAATGTAAATGGACCAAGTCCGCCTCGCACCTTTAAATCGGTGAGCATTCTTCCAAGGCCACCTCTCCACCATACCTTGTGCTGTGAGTTCAGAGTATTCCTGGACTGTCAGTCTTCAAGCGTCGAACGCCTAGCAGCCGCCATCAGCTGTTTTGCAACGTCCCTTTGGACGAGTCGGAGTCGAGGACTCGAGAGGTTATGCCGGTGGTCTCGTCGTCCTCGCTGCTGCGGCCTTTAGTCAACGGCAACCTTGGCGCCAATACTTCTTTGTCACTCGCTACGAATCGGTCGTCCGATGCAATAATCCAAGTCGTTTGCGCCTGGCCCGTGTCTGGCCAGTACGGGGCCGGCTCGAGAGTTCTGTAAGCTGTCCACGTCTTTGCATTGTGCATATGTAGATATACACCAATGCAACGCAACGATGATGCCCCTGACGTTTATTGTGGCCAATACAGTTACTATGTGCTCGTTGCCGCCTGTCTCCTTGCCCGAAAGGCTACCTGGCTCCGCGGTCCTTGCCTAGTCGCTGCCCTTCTCTTCCCAGCCGTCGCAGCCATTCACGGCATCGTGTTAGCAGCAGTCCATGTCGATGGCAAGCTCAAACCCCCCTTCCAGTTCAGAGACCCCAGCTGACACGTCACATGCATGCTTCAGGCGCCGTTGACATGGACCTTTATGGCGCGTTTCAGCTCTGCTCCATAGGAGTACTGACTGCTCCAACCACTGTCAGGCTGTCTTCAACCTACTTCAACGACCCGGGTCGGAATACCATATTCTTGTGGACTGGCCTTGTTCTTGCAGGTGAGCAACTGTCCCCCCCTAAACGGACGAAGGTGCCTGACAAAGGTATGTCCATCAAGGGCTCGTAAGCCTGACGGTTGAGTTCTACCGAAGCAACACATTTCCGTGCTCGGTCGACGATTTGGGAACCGCCTTCTCCTCCGAGGTGGCTGCAAATCTGGACAGATTCCCCTATGGCACAGCAACATGCGGCCTCACCTGCTCGAGCCCTGGCGGCCCGTCGTCTCCTTTGCGGCAGGACGCGGCGAACAACATCTACGTCGTCCCTGCCCCTACCAGGCTCCCTTTCGGCACCGGTACCCTTCTCGCCGCCGCCTGCGGTATCCCGGCGATCCTGTCGCTCGCCTTTATGTTCAATAAGATCCTCGAGATCAACTGGAAATCGCGCTTCGGTAATGTGAACCAGGACGAGCTTGTTAACGAGCCCATCCAAGGCACCAATGGCGCCACCCCGGGCACAATGAAGAATGTCAACAAGATGGTCCGCGACCTGTTGAGTGCCATCGAGGTCCCCGTATCCGGCGCTGCTGTTCTAGCTATTCTCGTCATCGGAGAGACAAATTTCTTCAGCGGCCAGGTTAGGTACCAGACTGAGCCCATGGCCAGTATTGGTAAGTGGCATATGCGACTCGTGGCAGTCAGGGGAGGTTCACTAACATTTGCGTCATCTCCCAGGCCAGTGGGCGCCAGTGGTAGGCACTTTGCTTGCTGCGCTTGGGTCGCTATATCTTCTCCTAGCCGCGGAGGAGAACGAAAACGAGTGCAACTGCCCGCATAACTACCACTACCAACATGGCCGGGCTGACCGGCATTCTGCGTCGAGGTGCGATCAAGACATCCGAAGTAGCCAAGACAATACGATTGCACATCGGCCTTCCATGCAAGAAGTTGACATAGGCATGCTTGGACACCCCCATTTCTTCACCAGTTCAGGAGCCCCCGAAATGGGGACTCATCCATCTCATGAGCTGGCGCGGCCTGTGACCCGCCACACCGTATTCGACATTGACCACAATAACAGCCGACGCAGAGTGGCCAAGGCACTTACCCAGTTCACCAACTGGCTTGGCGTCGCCGCGCATGTCGACGACTCCGAGTTCAAGCGTGGAAGGGCGACCGACTATCCCGAGATACCGGGCGAGCGCCACCGGAACCCGGAGCTATCTCGCATCAGGGACACGTACAACCCAGCCCGAGACGCCGACGGGAATGCGACCCCGGTCCCTTGGGAGGGCCGGTCGCGGGCCAACAGCTACATGACGGCCGGCTCGACGACCCCGAGAGCAACATCCCCTTCCCCGTCCGCAAGACTGCGGTCCGTCACACTGCCAGATCAGCCGACCACTTCGGGGCTGCTGCGCACCCCTAGCTCGCCGTCTTGGTCTATCCTCCCGCTGGTAGACGCGAGACACGGGAACATCCTCGAGGTACCCCCGCCGAGCCACCACAGCCCGTCGTGGAGCAACGCACACTCGCACCCCCTGACCACGACTTCCATCGTCTCGGTTCCCAGCGGGCCCAGCTCCCCTGCCATTGTGGTCTCATCGGACACGGACGCCATCTCCCGGTCTGATGGCAACCAATTGCCATCGACGGACTTGGCGAGGATACCTTCCTCGGCCGGGGCCCCAGCATCACCGTCGGCAGGAGATCCGCCTCGCTCCCCATGAGCTGACCGGTTACTCGAACTGCATCATTACCACCCACCATTCTGGAGACGGAAACACCAAAGCACGAATGACAGCATGTCGTATCTTGCGGTTGAGCCAGTGGGGTAAATCTTTGGGCCGATACATGAAGCACATACAAATTTCCCAAAGAAGCTGGCCCACCCTGATGTTGCAATAACAAGCCCACAGAGCGGCAATACAACTGTATGATCAATTATGTTATACTTATATACGGGCAACAGGGGGGATACATGTACAATAGGTACTGTTTGGTGATATAAAGCTGGGGGGCCAAGTACTTCGCGTATCCAGGGTATCGGGACAGCGTAGTAGAGGTCGTGAGACAGTTTACGCACATGCAAAAGCCATTTCGCTTTAGTGATAGATATAACTATGGAAGTCGCTCCTCGAGTGGACGAAGAGAAAGTATAAATAACACACGTAAGGAGTTTACGTCCAGACAAGAATGCCAATAGAAGGGAGGGTAACTGCAAGCAAGTACCCCGTTAATGAAGCTGAAGCCGTTCGAACAATTAAAAGTTGCGATACGTGAATGGCGAGGAAGATTTGATCGTGGCGAATTCCCACTTCACATGACCAATCGACGCCATGGAGCATCTGCAAGTGAGCTTGCCTGCGAGGGTAGGGGTAGGGGCAGGGGCTGGGCTAGGGCCAGGGCCAACCTTATTTTATTGTCGTCGAAGACGGGCGGCTTGGACTTGTGAGTCCAGCATTACGAGGTCGACGCCTCTTTTAACTCACTGGTCGCCAGTGAGTCAAGTCGTGATGAAATCTGGGATACGGGAGGAGTGGGTTTCTTCAATATGGCCATGGAGGCGTTGCGTTGGAAGATGGACCAATCCAAGGTATGAGAACCAGCCAGCTGACTTATTATCTTATTCTCCAGGAAAGAGGGAAGAAGGTTGTACTTTCCCGTATTCCGACGTCCGAGGAAACAGTAAACCTGGCTTATACACGAGTCCACCTACCCAATTTTTAGCAGGCCCAACGTAAGATAACTTTTAAAGACGGCAATAGCGAACCAGAGCAACTATCTGGGCAGGTGCTCTAGGTGCCGAAAACCTTTCCAAGGTAACTAAAGTAAATTCTAAAACCGAAATAGGTAGAAAAGCAACCGCACCCTTCCCTAGTCGATCTAAAACTTGAGCAACCTACTCGGAACCGAAATGGACGGACAGGACACGATAATTGTTAGGAAGCGGAGAGCCAACCCCTCCAGCGAAGAAGATGGCGGCGACCCCAAAGTCAGGGAAGTCGCCCAGACCCGACAGTGGCTCCAAGACCTCCTCAAGGACTAGAGAAATGGCCAAAGGGTTATGAGCCCCGCGACCGAAAAGCGAGCCAAAGCGCTCGTTGCTCTCTGCGACACTAAGGAGCTGAACGCAACCACCCTCGAGGTAGTACGCTTCGCAGCAGAGGAGATGGAGAAGCGCCTCGAGCTTGACGAGAAGTATGCACCAGCGCTGGAACGAATTCGGCAGCTGGAGGTCGATTCGTTCCGTCTACGCTACGGCGACTACTTGGCCGCGTACATGCATCGCGTGCGCAAAAACGCGAGAATACTAGGCAGATGGGATCACGACAATTTCCCATCAATACAGTACAGCTCGTCCCTCCACCTGTTCGAAGCGATCCAGAAGCGTGGTAGTTCTTCATGTCACGGCGCTGGACCGATATATACGACAGGCTAGAACACGAGTGGCGGGAAGTCTTTGACCCAGCAGAACCCAACGTACGCGAGGCGCCCCTAAAGCAACTACTATACATCATTGCATTGAGAACCGACTAGAAGGCAGCTGATATATATCATGCGATCGGAGCATACTCTAGAAGAAACAAGGTTGCGCATAGCACGTTTAAGGGCTATGCGAAGCAACACATCGTCTACGAAATGAAGAACGAGCTAGAACAAGACCTCCGCAACCTTGTCGAAGCCCTCAAGGATTGCCGATGGGACGTACCTGCAATCAAGAAGGCAATCCTTTTGACCCATTCGTATGGGATGATGAAACCCGGATGGTCACAGTAGCACAACAGCGACCGCAATCCGAGATCTCTGCGCCACCGGAAGATACTCCACACAACAAGAAGAAGCAAGAGGGGAAGGTGAAGAAGGCGCGGAAAGAAGTGGCCCGCGATGAGTCCAATACCGATGGCGCGGGTCAAGGGGCGGCAGGGAGGAAGAGGAGGAAGAGCTCCTGGATCTCGGCGATCTTTTCTACGAAGAGGTTGGCGAGAATTGAACCTCGGCAACGACTCCCTAGGCATTCCCTAGGGAATCTGTTAGGGTGGACAATGTGTGCATTGGCTAGCTAATTCTAGGGGGAGGAAATCTGTAAGGAAAGAGCACCAACTGGCCGGCCACTGCCCGTTGGCACAAGCCACTAAGCCGCACTACGGCGCCACAACCCACAAGCTTTCACAAGCACACGCAGGACTGAGCCCCTGAGCATGTATATAAACAGTGGCCCTCGCCCCCTTCCTTTGCAAGGGCAAGGTTGAAGTCTTACCCCAATACCAGTCATTGCTCGCACTTGTTACCTTCATTGTGACCACCTTGATCCGGCGTACCTGCCTTCTCTCACATCATACTTCCTAACTTCAGTCCGGCCAGCTAGAATAAATACCGCTCGGGGTAAGTCTTCTTCAGCTTTCTAATAATGGCATTGACGTAGAAGGTATCGTTAATAATAGTATTAAGCTCCGCTAGCTTCTTATAGATGAAGTGAAGTCTCGTTAGAAAGGCCTATGTTGAAGTGAACGATACCCGATCAATCTTTATATATTCCATAACGAAGTCGGTTATTGCTTCCTACGTAAGGCGAGGGATCATACGCCTAATCAAGTCGTACGTAACCTTCGGGTTTTTCTCTCTGGGGTTCCAGTTCTGAGCGTCCAGTTTCTCTTGAACATGGGCAGTCAGGGTCTGGAGTAGTACGACCTTAACGTAGGCTCTCTCAGTGCGCTACTCATCCTTCTTTTCTTTAAATATATCGATGACTGCTTGGGTTGCTCCTTGAGGTGCCTGTGGCTCGGGGACATCCTCTTCAATGTACTTCTCTAGGCCTTGAAGCTCTAGAACACCAAGGAGGGAATTGTTCCATTAGCTAAGGTTCTTCCGCCTAGGAGGGAGACAGTCTCAATCTTGAGGTTGCTGCCGGTGTCGCATAGCTTCATCTTGTCGGCGATGACTATGATGACTATAATGACTTCGTAGTCAGGAATTGGTTCAACTACATATTGTTAATAGGCTTCAACGCTCGTTGAAATGTTCCGCTTGACGGTCAGGAATGCCGCTAAGGTAGAAAGAAATTAACGATCGGAAATGCCGTCAAAGTAGGAAGGAATTGACGATCGGAAATGCCGCCAAATTACCTCGCAGTCGCTCGACTACGATCTCAGAACGCGGTTGCAGGGTAACTGTGCCTTGCGCACGCGCTGAATGCGTAGACTACGCGTTCAGGTTGTTAATTGACTAAACGCTCAATAGGCTCTCGAATTCACCAGAAAGCAGTTGCGAATAGCTTCAATGGAAGCGAAAAGAGGGCTTCGTAACCTGTTGGAGTGGACAATGTGTGCATTGGCTAGCTAATTCTAGGAGGAAATCTCGCTACAAAATGTGTGGGCGAAATCTCCAAGGCGGGGGCTAATGCCCATGTGATTCATCACGTATGGTGCAACCCCGCCACAGAATCTCTAGGGTGCTCCTGGGGACAAGCTTGGAACTTCTACTATAGCGTATTGGACTCATACTTTATCACTCCATGGGATCACTATAGCGTATTGGACTCATACTTTATCACGCCATGGGATGGGAAGACAGAAAGAATGACAGGAGGACAATGGATCCTAATAAGAGAAGAATGATTAAGAACGTTAGTACAATAGCAGTGCGAATATCATTCTCTGGCTCATTCTCCGGGTTGGGGCCTGAGTTAGATCTCCTTCTTTTCTTCATCTCCATATCCTTGCACGACCAGCCCGGACTTTTCGTACGGTTGAGTTCCCGACAGTACAGTAAGATGAGGTGAATGAAGAACAATATTACCTATAACAGGCTTTGAGAGCTATGCTTTTTCTTCTCGATTTATATGAAGGGTCCATGAACACACAAATTTTCCTTCGTGCGGGTTCCGTCGCTACTTCTTCCGTGCTACTTCTTCCGTGCTACTTCTTCCGTGCTACAACCTCCTTTACGAACTTTCCACCTGCGGTCGCATCTTAGTCCTCAAACCCCACAAGCTTCCCGCAAACCATTTCCAGACCACGGTTGATTACCACACAAAAGTTGGCATATAACGATGCACTAGTCTCTCAAAACTCGAATCATTTGGGCCGCATCTGGTCATCATTCGATGATATGGATGACAACGCGAAGACTCTCGCAAAGGATCTCATCGACCTACTCGGTCGTGTGAACAAGACTGGCCAGGTTGTTGATGCGGAAGTCAGGAAGAGGTTCTGGGATAAGTTTTGTTTCGCTGGAGGCTGGGATTCAGACTGTACCAACAACCTCCCGGGGAATATCCCCAAGCGTCGAGCGGCCGAGATCACGACACTGGTCGGCACCATCAAGGCCGGCATTCCAATCACCAAGAAGGCGCTGGCGAAAGGCGGCCCTCGGGCGAACAGAGTCCCAGGCGCCACCGTTTATTTGAAGCCCAACATCAACCGGGAGGACGAAAATGTCACCTTTTTCTGGTGCGATAGTGCAGGAGGCGCCATTAATTCCAAGTTCGTTCACCTACGCCCCGGATATTCGAAAGCGCATGCGAAGACTGACTCTGTGATTCGCTGGGACGAAGCGGAGTACCAACGCATCAACAACCATAACATTAGATGGGTTGTTTACTGGGCTCGAGCCCGCCTGGTTCGATGGATGTTCGGCCACATGCCCGTTGGCGCCACAGATACGGATGGCAACCGTCCGACGATGGAGGACTGGAGCGCCGAGGATCACACGAAGCTCGAGACGCTACGGACTTGCAAGATGATGCTCGATGAGATGAGACAGGTGGCGGCAGATGTTGATGCTATCACGGGTAGCCGAAAGGCCGGCGAGGTCCGAATTTGAGTCCATAGGCAGATATGGCCGGCTTGAGGAAGATGAGGGAGGGAAGATGGCATCTTTTTTTTGGTCCTCGAGTCCAAGATAATGAAATGGAAAAACGAATTCGTTGCCTCTTTCCTGGGTGAAACCAAAATGGCAGGGTCGTGAATACTGTGAATGCAACTTCCCTCTGAAAATGTACGAATAATAACGCGCATATTTGCCCTCATCGAGAAATACACTTGAAGCGAGTACCATCTGCTATGACCAATGAACCTATGTCATAGTATTGATGCATCTAAGTACATATGAAACTCCAATTCCATCTATTAAATGGCAACGGTAATGTAGGTGTTACGGGCTGAGCCATGGAATCAGAGGAGTCCGGAAAGGGAGTCGCTCTCGTGTTTGTTGCAGGACAAAGACCCACCCGAGGATTGTCAGGAAAGGGTCTCACAAAAATCCGAGCTCTTGAGCATAGAAAAAAAGAGAAAGAGGCCTGCCGACTTGGGACTCGGGCCGGCCCGAGTAAGGGGCAGGCGGGCGGCACGAGCGGGCCAGCGCTGAACCAAGCTTTCCATGGCGCTGCAGATCGTTATCAGCGCCTGGATGCCATCGTGAAACATCAGCCAAAGTTTATCCATGTCCAGTGTGTATGCCGTACGTAGGGCGGTGGCCGTGCTCACAAAAGGTCCCGGCCGAACCGAAGCTAGGTAGCCCCTGTGAAACAACTTTGAACTGAAAGAATAGGCGGCCGGGTAAACTTTGTTTTTGGCGGGCGTTGAGGAGGGGGGAAAATGTAAACGAAACATGTTAGCCGGGACAAAAGCCATGCAATTACCCAGCGCTAAACGAGACGCGAACCAAGCGTGTCGTGAGATGTATTTCGGTACGCACCGAGAAGCAGTAAGCGGAAAAGCAGCAGTAGCGACAACAAGGGGGCCAGAAGCGGACAGACAGCATGGTGCGTCTGGTTTGGACATGGGGGTGCATACGTGATTGCTCTGTAGAATTCCATTCTGTGCCAGTCTAGAAGTAGGTTACATTATACAAAAAAAGACGAAACCAACAAAAGGCCCCGGCATCGGGCCGGCTGGGGGTACAGTCCCCCCCATCAGTGGGACGACAAGACCTCGAAGATGCCGCACATGGCGTCTGTTGGGTCCATGATGACGGCGGGAGCGGCCGCCCTATCGAGTGTAAAGTGCGGCGGCGACCGCACGGGCGACGGCTCGAGCAGGTCGAGTCCCGGTACGGCGGCCTCTGGGTGGTGGAGAAACGAGAAAGGAGAGACGAACGCGCCGCCTCCGCCGCCGCCGCTGCCGCCGCCCGCGGCGGGTGTGGTGGGAGTGGTTGTGGCACTTGTGGTGGCCGAAGCCGGGGTATTATTACTAGTATCGTACAGATATGCACGGAGCAGCTCGTGGAGCTCGGCCGTGGCCGTGGGCGACAGGAACAACGGCCTGCTGACCCTCTTGTAGGAGCGCGACGACTGAGATTCCGCCCTCCGCGGCTCAGTGGCTGTCTTGGGGCGCTCGGTGAGAGACTCGGGAGGGAAAAGAGTGAGTGACGGACGGCTAGGTCGGTTGTCGTCGTCGTTGCCGCCGCCGTTGTCGTCACTACTACTACCTCCGCGCGGTAGAGGTGCGGGGGCCGAAGGAGCGTTGACCGTAGCTTGTTGCGTCGACAAGTGGGACGTCGTAAGCTGCAGCTCGGAAAAATGCTGCCTTGTTGGATTCTGTGCCGTGGGTCGTTCGCCTGTCGGAGGCTCCGAGGCCGTCTTGGGGCGCGGCCGTGGTTCGGGGGCCGAAGAGATTCTCTTGCTGTGTCTGCGCTCGAGTTCGGCGTGCAGCGTCCTCACTGGGGACGAGGCCCTGCCGAATTTGCGTTTGGGCCTGTTGGGGCCCGACTCGAACAGGGCAATGGCGCTCGAGACGGGCACGTTGCTCGGCGTGGTGTGGTTGAGGTCGTCTAGCAGAAGGGTAATCTGCGTGTCGTCGAGATCCGCCAGCAGATCAAAGACTCGGTCGATCGAGGACCGGGACCGGTGGTGCGTTTTGGTAGGCATTGCGGCTGGTGACGATTTGGAAAAACGAGGGGACGAGAGTTGGCTCAGGCAATCAGGCAAGCAGGCAAGCAAGCAAGCAAACTGCAGCGCGATTGCCGGCTTCAACTGCTCTTCACGAGAGCATCATGGCGTTGTCGATGTGAAGAAAAAGAGAGCGCGGAGTAAAAAGACGGGAGATTGACAGACGGGATTCCCCGGCACAAATTACAGGCCTCGAGACGCGCCGCGCCAGCCCCAATCCCGACGGCTCATCAGTGGGGCGCAGATTGGAATGCCCCGTCTCCGCACTGAGCAAGGGCTGCCCCGAGACACCAGGGCACACTAACTTTGTTCGCATTAGCCCGCCCCGACAGAGCTTGCCTGCTCCATCCCTTTGTTTCAGATGTCTGATCTTGGTCCTTCCCGGTAACTTTGGGATGATGCAGACCCGGACCCTGGTTCAAGGTAACAACTTAATGCTCGACTAGGTCGATTCATAAGCTGCTAAGTTGCTTCCTGGATCCAAAGTGAATGACCTCACAATCAGCGATCTGCTACCGCAAGAGGTTGGGGTTTGCTCCCCTTCACTTCGGGTCCTCAAACCCCACCAACGGGCCATGTCTCAGCACGCACGCGCAGCAGCGTAGAACCGCACTTGCCTTCACCCTGACGAATGACGGCGATTAAGATGCTCGACGCGATAGTATATGATCGACTTACGAACGCACGTCCTGAACCGGCGTAGGTGCTTCGTCACGCATTTAGGCCGGGCGGGTGTTTAGTTTGTTCCTTCGAGGGCTGGAAAAGAGCCGCGGATTTGTTTCGTCGGGGGGGCCGAAGTTAGGAGACGAGAAGTAGCTTAAAGTCCCTCACGAGATGAGATTCTATTCGCGTCTCTCAATTGGTTATCTTATCATAGGAATATACTTTGTGCTATTATTGGTCCCAGATCCGGGCTGCAGCCAAGCTTCACAGGTTTTTACGTCTGCACTCTGAGATGCAGTGCACAGTCACTGTTTCAGCCTTAACCCCCCCATGTTTCGGAGCAGCCACCTTCAGCTGGCAGAGAGGGTGTGATGAGACAGCAACGCCGCACTCCACGTGTAGACTACAGAGTATCCGTGCTGCGGCATGTCTCGTTGAAGTTTGCGACAACTAAACTCGTGAAAACTTGTTGTCGTAAGCGCCGTCGTCACACTGTCATGCGAGAATATAACCCTGTAATTAGACACGGAGTGCCGAACGAAGGTGTCGGCTCGGGCCAAACCGCGCGTGTTGGTTCACCGACAGCTGTAAGGTGGTACGGATTCCGTACCCACAAAGACATGACCTGGCGCACCTGCCCTTCGGGTTTGTTCCTTACTGAGCGGCATCGTGGCGATTTTAGTGCTGAATAAAAACCATAAGAGCTAGCGACTAACGATAGGAAAAACTGGACTGGATTATGAGAGCGCACTGCGTACTGTGGATGCGTATGTGCTTTGGCGTCAGGATGCTCCGTATTCCGTACCCGTACCCTACTGGATTCCGTACGGAACTCCATTCGGCACTTTCGCCCGAAGCTGCTAAATTCGCGATCAAGGGTTAGGGTTGGGCTAGTGCCAACCCGTCGGGTTTTGTTGGGTTCCATTCCGACGTTGAAGCTGCACGTTCGTTCGGTACGGTAGGTCGGGTGAGGTGTGTAAGCCAAGGCCCAGCCAGCCAGCGAGGATGGCAAGGACGACCTAGGCGATGCACGCCGCGGGCGGACTCCGAATTGGCTTATCTTTTGACACTTGCAAATGGCTGACTCTTTCTCTTTCGGGCCATGGAAGCATCCACATCGACTATTATTAGCCTGTGCCCCCCTATGGAGGATCGTGGGAAGCGCTTACGGGATTTCCTGGGCTAGTGGGTTAGGGCCTGTCCTGGGTAATATTGCCTGCTGTGCCAGGGGCATTGGGCAGTCGCCGGCTTCCATTCCATGTCTCGACACGACACGGCAGGACACGACACGACACGACACTCACGCAAGCCGATGGCCAGAACAAAAGTCGGCCCCGAACCCGCCACCAAGGCCCGAAGCGCCCCACGCAAAAAGGCAAGGATGTCGGAAAGCTGACGGGCGGGCGATTGACAAGCTTTTGCAGCACGTTTTTGCCCTGGGGGCCGCTTACCGGGCGCCGCTTTGAGCGTTGAAGAGGTGGAGGCCCAAATTCCAACACGGGCGGCGGCGGCGGCGGCGGCGGCGGCGGCGGCGGTGGCCACTGCCATGGCGAGCCTTACCGCACCGCACCTCAACACCGCAGCGAGCACGCACCAAGCACCCACGAACCCACGCAGCGCAACGCAACGCAACTCCGAAGCTCAGAACCTTCGGCACCTCGGCGGCACATAGACGTCTTGGCAACGTGTACGCCGTGCCGAAATGCCCACCTTGGGGGCGTCGAGATGCATCCGGCGGAATCCTGCCGTGACCTGCGAGTTGGGCAGTTCTTCCCAGTTGGGTATCTTGGGTCTTGTTTCGCCGCTGGGGTGGGTTCAGCCCAGCTTCCTTCAGAGCAGCCTCTGACCGAAATAGAGAGTCCAATTTCTGGTCTGAACCATTACAATGGATGGGTGCACTCCATTTCATCCACTTGTCTGTCCTCCATGTGCCTGCAACTGTACGCGTGCCCGTCCGTACCTGTACTGTATGTACATACCTTACCTGTGCCCGTGCATACCTTACCTGTGCCCGCGCCCGGGTCCGGAGCTGTCCGGAGCTATCCTCTCCCGTCCTGTCCTGTGCCATTCCATGCCATCCCATGCCCTGCACCCGTGGCCATAATTCCCAGCTCCCATTGTTCCCGACTTGGAACCCGTCAGCCCATCACCAGGAACATACTCATTGTTTCTTGGACATACATATTGTTTCGTGGGTGCCACCAAGACACTCCTCCGCCGCCTCTCCTCCGCTGCCTCTTCTCCGCCTGGGCTCTGGTGTTTATATGCCCGTCCCTGATCGATGATCTACGGCTCTTTCTTTCTTCCTCCTCGCCCACCCTTGAGCATACCACCCAGCCAAGCAACTGAAATGCTCTTCCAAAAGTCCTCTCTCTGGCTCTCGAGCCTTTCGGCCACTGCCGTCGCTTCTATCATCGCCGGCGCCGCCGCCTTGGTTCTCGTTGCTGTTGCTCTCTCTGCATATTATGCCACTCGCTTATCACACATCAGGAAGCGATGGGCCGCCCCCCTTCCCCCAGGACCGCCCGGAGAGTTTCTCCTGGGACACTACCGCCTTGTGCCGGCCGAGGCTGCCTTCAAGAAGTACGCCGAGTGGGCTCATGAGTACAGTATGTCGGTTCCACCGCCCCAGGCCCAGTGTTAACCAACCCCGTCTTCTTAGCCAACCTTCTGACACAAGACCCTCGGTGGCAAACCTTCAGAATCCGACGTGCTCTTCTTCCAGGCCCTGGGCACAAAATGGATTGTGTTGAATAGCCTCAAGTCGGCCGTCGAGCTGCTCGACCGCCGCGGCTCAGACTACGCTGACCGGCCTCGATTTGTCATGTTTGAGGAGTAAGCCCAACCATACCTCTTGTCCATGTCCAAAGACTCTGCTAACCTGGTGCTGTGCATTGTCTAAGGATGGGGTGGTCTCCAACTTTGACTTGGCTCCGCTGGGGCCCAAAGTCCCGTCTCCATCGTAAAGTGCTGCAGCCGCCCTTCGCCAAGTCTAGGCTGGGCCAATATAAACCCCTGCAGAGAAAGGAAGCTCTTGTCTGCTGTAAAGCCATGATCGACCGACCTCCCAGCTGGGTGAGCTCGGTTCGCCAGTTTGCCGTGGCAATTGTGCTGAACATTGCGTATGGCCTTGACGTCGACGGGCCCACAAGCCCTTGGGTCAGACTGGCCGAGGACACTTCTAATGCCATTGGAAAGGCTGGTGCGCCGTCAAGCTCTCTGATGGACAGAATCCCTGCCAGTGAGTTTGACAGCAGCCCTGTAGCTCGACTTGTCGTTGGCGCATGAATAATATCTGACCTATACCGCGTCTCAGCTCGCTATCTTCCTGATTGGCTCCCCTTCATGGAGATGCTGAGATATGCCCACCTATGGCGCTCTACCATTGAAAGCATCACTGCCCTTCCTTTTGAAGCCTCTCAGAAGGCAATGGTAAGACAGTGAAGGCCCCGATTAATTACATTGCGAACAGCATAGATTTGCCAGATCATAGCTAATCAAGCCCCTGCTCCTGCTCCTAGGCTTCCAAACCAGACACTAGAATCTTCACGCACAACAGGCTCGCCCTATATAACCAAAACGTGAAGCATGGGATGGCCAATGAATTCGATCTCGAGGATATCAAAGGCGCGGCGGCCACGGTTTTGATTGCAGGAAATGACACGGTAAGTCGGAGTCCGCGCGGTAGTCAAGTCTAGTCTAACATGCAAACCTCGTGCGGACTGCGGCAACCGTCATGCTGTTGGTTCTGTACCTCATGCAGAACCACGGCGCGCAGCGCAAAGCCCAAGAGGAAATCGACCGCGTCGTCGGCGGCGACAGACTGCCGACCTTCGACGACATCCCCAACCTGCCGTACCTCAACCTCATCCTGCAGGAGACGTACCGCATGAACCCGCTGTCGCCGCTCGGCATCCCGCACGCCAGCACCGCCGACGACATCTACGAGGACATGTTCATCCCCAAGGGGACCATCGTGTACCAGAACATCTGGGCCATGCACCACGACGAGTCGGTCTACGCGGACCCGTTCCGCTTCTGGCCAGAGAGATACCTGCCGAAGGAGGCCGGCGGAAATGGCGAGCCGTTTCCGATCGGAAACTTTGGGTTCGGCAGGCGGTAAGTGGAGCGATATTCATTCACTCATTCATCCATTCAGACGAAGGGGCTGTTTCGGTGGCAGCAAAGGAACCATTACTAATGCGGAGGCCTATACACGCAGGATCTGCATCGGCCGCGACCTGGCCGAGAACAGCCTGCTCATCCTCCTCGCGACGATGCTCGCAACGCTCGACATTGAGTGGCCGCTGGGCCCCAGCGGGAAACCGACCAGCTTCGAGCCCGAGTGGTCGTTCATGGGACAAGCGTAAGTCAAAGCCCCCGGGAGCTATTTAGGATTCATCCCCGGCTCGCGCTGATCAAGACTCTTTAACTGCAGGATTGTTCTCCCTTTCAGAACCGTCATCACGGCCCGCTCGGAGAAAGCAAAGCAGCTGCTTAATTCCGAAGTGCGCGCCCTGGGAGATGTTCCCACGTATTAATCTAGTATTTGTTTTTCACTTGATAATTACCTCGCATCACTTGGCCGGCCGACTCTGTTTCCTTCTGCCGCATGATATTTCACTAGACTTATTTATTTACATGGCATAGCCCTATTTTTTGGTGGCATCATTCGTTCTGATTCGTGGATCCTGTTGAGCGGAGCTGACATGTTGAGCGGAGCTGACATTGTGTGAAGCTCTTCAGCGGACCAACTTTTCTTTTTTTTCCCCTCTATTTGAAGATGTCCAACGAGAACCCGTCGGCCATGGCCTGGTACCCTGCCACGTTGGGGTGCAGGTGGTCGCCGCCGTCAAAGGAGCGGGCCAGCTGGCTCTTGGTGCTGGGGTCGCTGGTGATCTTGGCGAAGTCGACGACGGCGTCGAAGTTGCCCGGCGCCAGGATCCAGTCGTTGACCTTCTGGCGGGCCTGGTCGCGCGTCGGGTTCGAGTAGCTCTGGCCGCTGCCGCCGAACGGCGTGATGGTAGCGCCGATGGTCTTGATGCCGGCCGCCTTGCAGTCCTTGGTGATCTGCTTGTAGGCGTCGATCAGCCGGCTCGCGATGCCGTTCTGTGACCCCGAGTCGGTGCCCCCGCCCCCGATGTCGTTGACCCCCTCGAAGATCATCACGTACTTGACCCCCTGCATGCTCAGCGCGTCCCGCTTGTACCGCGTCAGCAGCGGTGGCCCCAGACCGCCCGTCAGCACCGTGTTGCCGCCGGCCGCCTGGTTGTTGACGCCGATGTTGGTGATGCCCGCTTTTTGCATCCGCGCGAGGACCAGGTCGGGCCACCTGTGATTCGCCGTCAGCTGTTAGCGTCGGTTCTTTTGTTCTTCTTTATTTCATGTCTGCTTTTTCCTCCTACTCTGAGAGCGACGCGGTGCAGGAACAGACCTACCGGTTGTTGGCGTCGTCGGTGCTCCCGCGGCCGTCGGTGATGCTGTCGCCGAGGATGATCAGGGCGCTGCTGTTGGCGGGCGCCCAGGCCTCGACGGCGCTGACGAAGTACCAGTGCTTGGTGTTGGCGCCGGCTATCGTCGCGTCCTGGACGTGGTTGCCGCCCTGCATCCACGACGTGGTGCGGCTGCCGGGGTGGCCAGTGATGCTGCTGCCGGACTGGCCGGCCTGCGAGAACAGCGACACGGTCACCATGGCCTGCGGGTCCGCGTTAAAGTCGATGGCGTCCGTGTACGCCACCTGCCCGCGCGCGATCTTGACCGACTCGGACCCGTTGAAGGTCAGCTTCTTGAGCGTCGCCGTGTCGATGCCCGCCGCCCCCGCTTTGTTGCCCGCCGTCAGCGCGATCGTCGCCGCCGTGATCGGTAGGTCGCTGCCCCCGAACGTGTTGCTGATCTGCACCCGCAGCCGCTCCGTCCCGATCGACAGGTGCAGCGTCTGCCGCAGCGTGGCGTCCTTGAACACGCCGCCCGACGACTGTTGGGCCGCGGTTAGCAGACAGGAGTCTGGGTTTGCGACGAGGGGAAGCTTACGTAGGGCGAGGGAGGCATGTTGCTCGACTCGACGAGCTGCGGCATCGACGTCCACGTGGCTACCCAGTGGTTGTCGTCGGCCGCGACGTCACGCACGGCTCTGTCCAAGACATCACTGCTCGACGCCGCCACCGGCACAGCGCTGGCTTGGCATTTCGACGACAGCAGCACCAGCAAGGCCGCTGCCGCAATGCCAAACGGCTTGGACACTGACGGTAGGAGCATAGTACCTATTATCCTTCTGAGATGCGCGTCCTTCTCTTGGCAGCAGAAAAAGAGGAATCCGAACGAGGCGACAGAGACAGGACGGATATGCACTCACTTCCCCACGCCCTGTCGTTCTTGTCTGTCCATTTTCTTTTTTTTCTTGGCGACGCAGCTTATTAGTACGGGAAGAAACGCAGGGGGTGAGGGAGCGGGACGCATTTTTGATCGCCATGCCATGCGTCCGCTGCTCTGCCCTGGCCCGTGGAGAGATGGATACCGGCACTAGAAACCCGGCGGACGGACGATGATTCCCCGAGGATTAATTTGCGCGCGTGTTGGATTGGGGGGTGACGAGTTCCGACTTTAGCCACGACCCATGCGCCTGCGCCCCATTACCACTTGGGCGGGTGGATATGGCGTTAATGCCATTTACCCAGCGACGGGCGTTGTGGGGGGAGGACGATAATGGGGTAAGGCAATTAGATGAGATCTGGGGAAGGCTGGGGAAGGCGGAGAGAGTCGGTATGGGTTAATCTCTAATTGTTGTTTGGTGGAAATAATTGTCTGCTGTCCTTGTCTACATTGCGCTGAGGTGTTGATCCACATCGAATAATCTTTGAGGAACTCATTACAAGACCGCTGGTGTGCATGTTACTACCTTGATATGATATTTATAGGCTCAACAGACTCGATTTCTGATTGTAGTACGTACCTCAGGCTCCAAACTTGTGAATTTTGTAGATTCAGTTATAGCGCTGGCGGCTGGTTTCTAGGCTGTTGACCTCGCAAGTTGTTGCTGCCGAAATAATGATGTTGATTCGGGAGAAGCAAGGTCAAACTTGAGCAAGGTCTGGGATAAAGCAAAAATGATTTTCACGATGAACTTTGCCTATCGCAAACAGATAAGGGGCTCGTACAAGATCGTGAAAGTAGGTAAGTCCTATATGGAGACGAACTCTTTCACTGTTGTGCCTGCCCTTTATTATCTAATGTCGCTTATTATCTAATGTCGCCTGGAATTGACCCACTTTTCATGGAATTGAACCACATTTTCCCGGCCCTGGTTAGCATGCCTCTGTACATCCTTCTCTATTTTTCTTCATTCTTGGCCTCGGAATGCCCTCATTTCGGGCTGATCACAACACTTGCCTTGCCCTCTCGGGCTGATTACAACACTTCCCTCGCCCCTCTCAACGAGTATAAGGAGCGTTTTCTTTTCTGTACTTTTAGACCCATTTGGCCAGACAATTCAATGCGCTGTCAACTTCGATCACGGGCAAGATCTAACGAAGCTACAAAGGAGACAAAACACAACAGAACAAAATAGGATAGCAGGATGACTTGAAATTTCAGGCCTATATCTATTCACAGACATGGCTGTATTTATCTAGGGTAAATAGGGCCCTAGGGCGAGGTATGATCTGATCCAAACAACTAGACGACTCGTCGCCGCCTCAACAGCGTCTTCCTCCACCACTTCTCGCCCTTGACTAAAGCCGTCGGGAAGCTCTAGGCGCGCCGAAATTCGCTTCCCTCGCCCTACAGTACAATCAGATTGACATCGCCACCGCCCCCGGCGCGGCCCTCGATGACACGCTTGATCTCCCTGCTCTGGGCAATGGGCACAACAGCATCGGCGCCGTGATCCTATCAGCGTGGAACAGCGGGCTGCAGGCGCGGAACAGCGCGTCCTTCTCGGAATCCGCCTTGCTAGCCAGCCGCAGCTGCACGCCCATGTAGTGCGACTCCATTTTGTGCGACTCGGCGGCAAGCGCGGCCACATCGCCGACGCCGCTGACGCACAGCCCACCAGCGAACGTGCCGCCCAGCAGCCACGCGAGGCTGCATAGCACGTTGTACCCGCCGGCGCTCTCGCCGTAGATCCCTGCGCGCCCGCACCCTGCCAAATACGCCACCGCCTCACCGGCGTCGTCCCGGTCAAGCACCCCCCATCCGCCGAACAGCGCCGACCGGTATCCCCGGCCGAGCCCCGACGACCCGGTGTAGTTGAGAGCCAGCCACGCGTACCCGCGGCTCGCCGGATGTCGTGACCCGGATCGCCTCGGGCGCCGAGAACACGGCTGCGGAAAACGTTTGGTCTACCGATGACCACACGAGCGTTGTCGTTGCTTGGTTGTTGGCGCCGATGCCCGACACGCGGTACACGCCGCGTGGCCTCGTGGCGCCGCTGCCGACGGCCACCACGCTCGTCTCTGACTGCCGCGCCAAGCAGTCGACCGACGGGTCACTCAGCGGCACGTCGTCGAGCCGCGTCTACGTTGATGGTGCTAAGTCCATGTCTCGGTCAGGAACACGTAGCTCTGCCTGCGGTAATTACACTATCAACCCGGCTCAGCTGTCTTCAACTGCGTTGACAACTAGACTCCAAAGGCAAGTGACAAATCAGACTGGCTAGCTTACCGTCCAACAGCCCACCGCGGCACGCCAAACTCGGCGTCCTCGAGCCCGAGCATCACAACCTGTTCCACACCGCCCCCAGCCACGCGGTGGCACGTCGGCGGGCGCTGCCGGCCGCGCTTGATCCTCATCGAGCGCAAGCACCTAGCCGCTGCTAGTGAGCGGGTGGGCGTCTAGGTCTGCACTAAGCCACCAACTTCTTTTCTTATTTTCTTCTTTACACTCTGCGGGATCATACAAACCTATGTATTCAGGTCTCTAATTGCTGCCCCGTCTCTTCTCTGTGCCTCCTTCGTACCAAAATATAGCAAGCAACCCTGCAATCTTGGTGTGCACGGAATGCTGCCAGTTCCTACATCCGAGATATAAGATCAGCACCACTGGCTCTGATACGTACAAATTTTACCGATCCATCTCTGGACTAAGATCGGGTTCTACCTCTTGCAGCCTATGCCAAACAGCATGTGCCCCGGCTCTGGACATGGCAAAGGATTAGCTCGAGAATTGCCTTTTGAATCACTACTTTTGCTAGGCAAGACCGCCCGAAATCATCTGCTCCGAGACCTACCCAAAAGCCGAGCCGGTCGAGCTGTTCCGGAGAGCAGCAAGATCCAAGGCGTTCCTTGGACAAATAGCCGCGGACAAGCCAGACTCACCGGTACCGCGGCCTGCGAGTCTCCAACCTCTCCCCACCAATCCTTATCACCTCTGGTACGAGCTTGTTGGCATATACTCGCGCGGCGGTCTAACCAAGACCACGGACAAGCTTATTGCACTATCAGGCATTGCACGGGAGATCCTACCACATCTGGGAGGCGTGGAAAGCCATTATGTCGCTAGTCTATGGCGCCGAGACATTCTATACGGACTGCTCTAGAAGACGCCAGAAACGACAGAGCGGAAGAACCAACCCGTTTGCCCGAGTCCTGGCGAGCCATATCAAGCGCCGTCGTGGTCCCGGGTGTCCGTCCACTGCCCCGTCGCTGTCGACTACCAGCTGCATAGCACCCCACACGACGCTCTTGCCACTGTCGAAGAAGCCCAGGCCACGCCGAAGCTGGGCCCGTTCGGCGGGGTTCGCCCAGGCGCCCACCTCAGGATCAAGGGCACGGTATACAAGGCACAGTTCCGCTACTCCCACTTCTCCGGCAGAGGCTGGCCCGAGCTTACCATTGGAACCAAGAGAATATCGAGCAAGTTCAAGGGCTCGTTTGCCATCTTGCCCGACGATCTCTTCGCAGATGATGCACACACCCGCCAAAGGTATCGCCATGTCCGCCTGCTGCCTATCCTCCAGTCCAAACAGAAAGGCACGTTCAGCCGTCAGAGTCCTGGCAGCTGGGCCTGGCTGGTCATGTTGATGCTGGTGCCAATGACGGACAAGCCGGGCGAGTGCAGGCGGTTTGGCCTCCTGGAGCTCAAGGGCAATGGGAGTGATACGGGGAAGCGAGTGTGTGATCCGCTGCATGGGACGTTCACCATAATATGAGAGATGTTGGAAACACCTTTCCTTGAGATGGCACGTCTTTGCCATCGTTAGATAACTATTGGGCCTAATTAACCAGGGATACATCGGAGAGAGCCGCTTACAGTTCACAAGTTTGGAAGAATTGCGGGCGGTAATTAGGGGTGGGCAGCGGTGCCATTCTCGGGCGGGACAAACTCAGGTTTAGAGACCAGCCATTGGAATCGAGCAGTCCTTCCTGCGAGCAGTCCTTCCTGCTGCGCTGTGGCAAGTTCTAGACGTAAACTGGCGGCGAATGGAAAATAGTATTAGTGAGATCTTGAGGATCTCGCTGAAGCGAAAGATCTATCTAGATTGATTATGTACAAGAGAAACCCGCCAGATTTTATATCCTCGATTTTCCACTTCAACTTGTGTTCAGCCCTCCTTTTTCTTCTTGTACTCAAATCGCTCACTCTTTTCTTTTTTTCTCTTTTTTTTGTGTGTTGTGTGTGTAGCTAATTATATACAAAAAATATGTACAAGATAGGTAATAAGACTAGCCGGGCTGGCGTATTAAAGATAAAGACTGTGCGTCAGTAATCAAAGTAGGTAGTCGGACGATAATTGAAGAAAAGTGGTAATAGCAGGGCAAAGAGTGTGGAGACCAAGAAACACCACAACAAAGGCCTTCAAATGTACAAGAATCAGGGCACGGAGAGAAAGCAACAAAGGAAAAGTGCGAGCGGGATCGAGACCGGACCGGAACCACCAGAGGACAGTGCGGCGATCCCGGTGCGCGTGCCGGTCTCGAGAAATGGTCTGTCAAGTCATGCGCATCTTGTCCATGCCTCAGACGATTCAATACTACGGCACAAGATGTCAGCGACACGTGGGTCTGGGTGGTTAAACGTCGGCAAAGATGAGCTTGTCCTCGTTCGGGTCCGGCCCTATGGCGCGGGCACGCTCGCGCAGCTGTTCCAGGCCGGGGCTCCGGAAGGCAGACAGCCGGTGGATCACGGCAGGGGGTCCGAGAGCGCTCACCTTGGCGATTCCGGGGGGGCTGGCCGCGTGGCGCCGGGTCAGCTCGTCGAGGATGGACGTCGACGCCCTCTTCTTCAGGTTCCTCGGCGGCGGTGTCACGGCCAGGAAGCGCTCGGCCGGGCCGCTGACCGCCTTCTTGCTGAACACGGCATCCACAAAAATGGGCGTGATTGCCTTGAGCACCGTGGGCACCGTCTCTCGCACGAGGCCGCCGATGGTCTGGGCGGCCGTCTTGACAAAGTCGAAGACGTTCTCCTCGTCCGCCGACGACTCGTTGTACCGGTCAGCCGGCACCAGCTGCAGCTGGTCGAGCTCGCGCATGCTGAGCTTGGACAGCGCCTGCAGCGCCGCCTCGCCCATGAAGGCGCGCTTGCTGACCAGCTCGGTGGCCCTGATCTGCTCTTCGGCGAAGCTGCTCTCGCCCACGGGGTCCGCCGCGCTCAGTAGGCCCCCCACGAAGCTCAGGCCGTGCTCAGCGCCTTCGCGGAGCAGCGGCTTGGCGAGGTTAAAGCCCGTGTTGATGATGGGGCCCAGGAGGCCAAAGAGCTCGGCCTCGCCTTCGAGCGGCTTCGTGGGTGCCAGCAGGCCGTTGAGGAAGTCGTTGCCGCTAAAGCTGACCTCTGCGTTGCTGACACCCTGCAGAGACTGAGCGGGAAGGGTCCTGCGCCGTCTGTTGTTCTTGTCGATATACCTGCCATCCGAGGTGATTTTCTTGGCCGATGCGATGAGGGCCGGAGCGATCTTGGGAATCAGGTCCTGGATGTTGGGGGCGAGGGCCATGTACGAGACTTTCATATCGTTGAGAACCCTGTGCGTGATGGGGTCGTCAGACGGCATCTTGAAGACTGCTTGCAGCGATGCCTCGGCCAGAATCGCGCGCTCGGTGACGCCGGTGTTGGAAGAGCCAGACCCGAGGCTGGACGGGCGCGACATGGACGAGTCGAACGCAGACTCTGCCGCATTGGCGATGGTGTTGAGAGTGGCGCCCGCAACGGCCGAAATCGGGCCGCCGATGGGGCCGAGAAGGGGCGAGATTGTGGAAAGTGAGCCGCTCACGAGACGTCCGACGGCTCGGAAAACCTCTAGAAAGATCTCGGCATCCTCGTCATGTTCAGTAGAAACAAATGGTACAAAGTCGCCTTGTTCAAAGCTGTGGTCCGAGGCGACCGGACTGGACTCGACCGGGTTGAAGCCGCTGTTGTTGAAGCCGTTCTGACTGGAGCTGGTCTGGATGAAAGGATTCTGGTTCAGACCCGTCTTCTCGAAACCCGAACCGAAGCCAGCCGAAGGCTGAGGGACAACCCCGTTCGCGGTCTGAGGCCGAGGGGCCGGGGCATTGCTCGCTGCACCCTCGTGCTTCACGAGCTTGATGCCCTGGTACTCGCCAGCGGTGGGGAGCTGTCGGGTCAGAACCTTGAGCAGCGCATCGTAGTCGTTCCCGTAGGTGCCGATGGCGCCTGCTTGGTTCTTGTCGCCGCCGCCGTAGACATGGGTGCCGATGGCAACGAGCTTGGAGCCCCTGCAAAGGACCGGGGCTCCGGATTGGCCTTGGATGTTCCACGTCAGCTTGGTAGGATACATTGAAGGGACACTGAAATACTTACCGCCATAGGTCGAGATGCGGTACTTCAACATGCCGAGCGGGTTTTGCTTGTTCTTCTCCAGGCTGTAGGCCACGCCACCAAACTCTTCGTACATCTGCGCCCCCCTCTCCTCGGGGCCGTCCTCGTCGGCAAGCACTTTGTCAGCCGGGTATCCGACGACACCAATCATCTCGTCGGCCTGCTTGGGAGTCGGCTTGTAGGTGAAGAGGCGGAGGTCTCCGGTGAAGGGGCGGTCGAGCTGGATGATGGCGACGTCGCGGTGGCGGTTCTCCCTGCTGGTGAGCCACTCGGCCGTGGTGACAATGCTCTTAGCTAGGCGCTGCTGAACAATGGGCGAGTCGATGTTCTTCTTTCCGTGGTAGCCGATATAGCATTTGACGTGAACGGCGCGGCCGAGTCCGCGGCCGTAGCCAGACCAGTCATAGACGTTGTGGCCGGCCGTGACAAGAGTGTCGGGACTGATCAACCAGCCGGTGCCCATCGCGTAGGCTTTGTCGCCCGGCTCCTGTCCCTCAAAGCGCATCTGCAACTTGACAATAGCTATAACATTGCGCCATGCGTTAGAGTGCCAAAGTCATATTTGCAAAGCAAGATATGGGATACCCACATCGATACTTGCCACCATCCTTGTAGTCGTTCGGGTCGACAAGGGCACGGTAGTCGGGGTCAAAGAGAGACTCGTGAGTAGCCTCAGTAGAAAAGCTGCTCTCGGCACCGGGAGCATTGAGACCCAGGTTCATGGTCCAGGTCCCAGCAATACCAGCATACTTGGAGAGAGACATGAATGCTGACGTGGTCGTGAAAATCAATGAAAAGTGGAATTTCTTGAACGATCATACGGGAGCGAGGAATGCGGCAGATTGAGTCTGAGTGGGGGAAGTCTTGGGAGGCAGTTATCAAACAGGTCTTGGAGCTGTTTGAAGCGGCGTATTTCGGTAACGATGGGGAAAGGGAGAAATGAAGAGGAACAGAGGCCAAAACCTGATTGGCGGTGGCAAAATTTTGTAAGCTGGTGTGCTATAAGGCCGAGGAAGAGGGTGTGATGGTTTGTGTGTTGGCAGCTGGTGTCAGTGATGGCGATGGATATGACTCAACGGGGTGGGAGGAGCCCAGTATTTATAAATCTCGACGTTCATACACGTGCCTTGCTTTTCACCGAAATGCCCAATATGATAAGCTGTTGTTGGCGATCAATAATCCCCAAAACAACTTTTCTCGACAAGTTGAGAAGACCCCCGCGCAGTTTTCTCGACCTTGTGGATCGCCGCCACAGGTACAGGATCCGAACGGGAAAGGGGGCCGGGCTTACCCGCACAGTATTCGTCATTCGCACTAGCGATCCGATATATTTGCGGAAGGGGACTCGATGTCACACTCTCACAGCCAACATCCGTCCCGAAAACCTGTCTGTGTGGAGCTCTTGCAACCTGTCCAATGGTCATTCGGAACTAAGAAACCTAGGAAGACGGAGGACGAAACGAGAAACGGTGGCGGGAGGGTGTGAAGCTGAAATTTCTCACCTTCTTAGAGATAGGGCTATCTAGAACCAGGAGATCCTGCAATGGTTGCAGGTGATGATGCAATGGACTCATTTCGCAGAGACTCGGAGGCTCGGAAAGCGAAGGTGAGAGCGACCGGAATCAGCGATCATCAAAACTATCGAACGCCAACTGGCCATAAACATCATATATCGGTCAAGAGTTTGTGAGGAGATGTCAATAAGCGAAGCTGTGACTCAGAGGCCTCGGGCGTGGTAATCTAGAGCCGACCGAGTGGCGGCGACGGGCGCATCATCGCCGAGTTGGTTGGGTGTAGTGATCGTAACCGAGCGAGCAGTGAGCCCAAGTTGGGATGGACAGTGTTGAAGCCATTCCTAAGTGGGATTTATCGAATTCAGAGCCCGAGGGACACGTTTGGTTTGATTTCGATATTGACAGCGAGCACGCGGTGTGAGAGGGCTCAGGAGAGGGTGGGCTGGTGTGACTGGAGGCCAACTTTGAAGTTGGCATCGACCAAAACTTGTCGAAAGCAGTCTCTTTGCTCCCGAACAAATACAAGGACCTCGAGCCTTGAGATTGCTTTCGACTTGAAGCTGTTGGCAAGCTCACAGCGCCGTGGTGTGATGATGCGGTGAAACCCGAAAAAGCCACATCATGGCATGAGCCATTGGGAGGCAGAGACAATGGAAACAGCTTGCCAAACCCCCTTTCAGGCTGTTTCAGGGGCACGGTTGCACGAGCGACGACGAAGGCGTCCAGCTCCCTCCTTCCCCATATCCAGAGTCGAGTCTGCCTTGAGCCGATATTGGTTATTGAAATGACTAGGCTGCGGGGAAGTTTTTTTCGGCTGGGGCGTTTGTGGGAGGATAGCTGAATGCAGAGGTTTGGGGACGAGACGGCCGTGATTGGCCGGCGAGTGGGAGGGCGCGTTCAGGGCTAATGCAGCCTTGTGCAGCATCACCGCAAAGGCGAATAGGAGGCCCCTTTGCACTAGCCAATCACAGCTCAAGTGCAAAGAAGGCCACATTGGCTCACGGAGCGGTCCGCAAACTTCAGCACATCACTTTTCCATGATGCTTCCGGGCGACCCAAGAATACCATGTTTAGCTGAACCTCAGGGCCATTTTAAAGATTGTGCCAGACGATCTGTTCAGCTCGAGAGCGGCAGCACACGGCCGGTTTGGTGATTCGGGAACTGGCATGAGGCCTGGACCGTTGATGGTCGGTTCCGAATGCGTTTTCATAGCTCTTGTCAGCATACCTCAAACCGGAGGTGCATGGCTTGTTGTGAGCTTTGATGTCTCATTTTCAACTTCTTTCAGCAGCAGATTGGCCAGCCACTACTCTTTCTGGAAGTGAAGCCCTCAGACCTATTCCTCCGGCAGCCAACTGCGCAACCCATTGCCGAAAAGGGTGCTCTGTCAAGATTCACACTGCAGGTGAAGATAGTGAGAGATGGCAGTATGCACCGTCGCGGAACCGGATATAACGCCGTGGGCCGCGGCTTGGCTGACTGAGCGTGCCCAGACTTTTTGGGCAGTCTCTATCACGGCTTCTGCCGTCTCAGCTTCCACTTGGCCATGGCAAGGTTGGTAGGGGCCGGCTTGTTGCAAGTTCTGGGGCAGCAAAGTGTTGACGTGGATGGCGAACAGTCGAGCCCCTTGGGGAAGATAGCCAGTATTGGCCACGCGCACAAATAGCCGTGCACCGCACAATTGCTCTGCAGCCATCTCCCTGACTGTAGCTGTGGACTCATCGAGCAAGATGCTTTGGCTCAAATTGGCGACCTTTTCCCGCGGGACATGGTACTCCTCGTCTTCTTGGCTTGGAGAAGTCAAGCCCAATCTTCTATCCGGGCCACCACACATCTAATTTCCTTGCCAACTTCGGTCAGCTTGTTCAACTGACTTCGGCGGCCGGACTTGGCATCGCTTCGGTGTGGTCATCGTCATCAGCCGCACTGTTCGTCAACGGTACTGTTCGTCAACGGCACTGTTCGTCAACGGCACTGTTTTTAAGCGAGGCTAGATAAGTTGCAATCCGAGATAGGCGACCCGAGAGCAGAGAGAGTACATGAGGGTGAATACTTTGATTGATCGACAGCTGTTCTGAAGAGCGGACCGCATTGCCAGTGACTCACTGGCAGCTAACAAATCCATCTCTCATTCATTTCCCAAATTGCGGTTGGATACCAATTTAATAGAGCCATGGGCTTGGCTCGGCTCTCATATGCACTAAAAGTGTGTGAGTAGATGGACCGCATGAGTGCTTTTGCAGTTCTTCGCACACGGATGCGATGCGCAGAGAACGGAGATGGGTGAGCGAAGCCAACGACAAAAAGAGATTGAGAAGCACGCATGCAGCGTCACCTTGGGTCATTTGGAGTTGCGCCACCCTCTTGGCTGGCGGGGTATCGTCAGAAATTTCGAGGCCATTGGCTTCCTCATGATAATTGCGGTAAGCTTCGCGGACGTACGCTCATCTGTTAGTGAGGGTAATAGTCAAGAGGCCAAATTTCACAGCTATTAATTAAGCCCCACCAACAGCAGGGAACGAGATGCGTGGTTACGGCCTCCCCGCACAGGACTTGGAATCTTCTTTCCCTTTTCCTTTCCTTAGGTTTAGATTCTACGAATACAGCGACCATAATGCAGCCTTGCCTCATCTAGTTGACTGTGCGGTGACAGCACTCGTATTAACTAGTATCGGGGAACGAGATGCGTGGTTACGGCCTGCTGAAGGGAAGTGGCGAGCCGGAGCCCTCCAGAACTTGGAAGGTACGTATTACAAAGTTTCGACGAACGCTTTTGTTCGAATTCATTGCGATCTGATTAGATAAGATAAGACGCCACAGGCCAGTGACAGTTTAGACTAGCCGTATTAGGTCTAGCGCGTCGCGCAAAGTGAGATGCAAGTTTCACCCGCTGCCATTTGTTAGCGGCACGGTGTGCTGTTGCTTTCCATTCCCACACCTGCCGACTGGCAACCCACTGCAACTGCAAGCAATAACTTCAACCTTAAAACCCCCACACAAACAAATTGCACTAGCGCTACGCCAGGCAACAAAGCAAAGCAAAACTAAACAAAATATCCATGGCAGAGCAGGATCCCGCGCCCGCCAGTGCGAGTTCCGCAACCGCCGCTGCGGCTGACTCACTCATCAACCGAGACGATGGCATCAAATACTGGGAGAGCATCGACGCCGACAACAACGGCATGCTCGGCGGATTTGCGCACATCTCCAAGATCGACCTGCAGGGCTCGCGCAACTTTCTCGCCAAGCTGGGCATTGGCCAGAAAGCCGGCCTGCGCAAGGTAGCCAGCACGCTCGAGGGAGGCGCCGGGTGAGCTCTCTTTTCTCAAGTCCCTGCCCACCATCCCTCGTTTATTAACCAACACGGCCGGCCGGCGGCCACACCAACAACAGCATCGGCAGGATCACGCAGGGTCTGCTGGTCGACATCTCAGAGCACGTCGACGTGGTCGAGCCCGTGGCCAAGTTCACAGCTCGGCTCGAGGGCGCGCCCGGCGTGCGCAGCATCTTCAAAATGGGCCTCGAGGCGTGGCAGCCGGCCGCCGGCACGCAGTACGACCTGATCTGGATCCAGTGGTGCGTCGGCCACCTGACGGACGAGCAGCTGGTGCTGTTCCTGCGGCGGTGCGCGACCGCCCTCGAGCCCGACGCCGGCCTGCTCGTCGTCAAGGAGAACATCAGCACGTACGGCGCCGACGAGTTTGACGAGGTCGATAGTAGCGTTACGAGGTCAGTTCGCATTTGTTTAGTCGCTGTTGCTGAGGGGTTTGTGACGTTTTGTTGGCGGATGGATTCACTAACACGAACCGCGCAGGGAGGACGGGAGCTTCCGCAACATCTTCAAGCAGGCAGGCTTGAAACTTTTGCGCGTCGAGCTGCAAAAGGGCTTCCCGCGCGGGGGCGCGGGCAGTTTACTGCCGGTGAGGATGTATGCGCTGAGGCCTGAAACCTGATCTCCTCCTCGGCATGCTTTTCACCTGCAATCGAATAATGTGAAAGAGAGAAGGCGTCTGATATGAGATCTCTCCTGGATCCCCCCTTGCTCTCCCATGTGATTGATAGATGAGAGACTGTGGTTCAAAGGCCATCCAAAAACCACCTCTGATCCCTAGATGGCAGCATTTATTCTCGCTCTACATTCACAAAGTGACAAATCATTGCTTCGCACTCGAGCTAGAACCCTCCTTCTCATCACCCTCGCCCTCCGTCTCGCCCTCCTCGAGATGGACATCAGCCACCGCCACGTCGAGCGCCTCGTCGCCGTTCTCCGTCTCGAGCATACCGGCCTGCGCGAGGAAGTAGTCGACGACGTCGAGCTTGTCGCCGAAGCTGGCCAGGTCCAGCGGCACGTAGTTCTTGTCGTTGGCGAGCGCCGGTGACGCCCCGGCCTCGACCAGCAGCTTGACCGCCGCCAGGTGGCCCCCCAGCGCCGCCCAGTGCAGCCCCGTGTTGGCGTACTCGTTGGGCGCGTCCAGGAACGCCTGCCGCTCCTCCTTTGGGCGGTCTGCGAAGTGCGAGAGGATGGTGCTGACGACTTCTTTTTGGGGGGTGCGTTGGAGTCCCGTTAGTGAGCTGAATCTGAGTGGCTGGAGTTATCCCGCGTCACGTTCCATGGTGCATTCATCTTCTGCTGCACGACTTTGCGCCATGCCAGAGAATATTTAACTGAGAGAGCATAAAAGGTCCGCTTACCGATGTGCCCGTTCCCTGTCGCCATATGCAGGCACGTCGACTTGCCTTCGTCCTTGGCGCTGGCCAGGACCTCGGCGGGCGACACCTTCTCGCGCGCGGCCAACGTGGCCAGCAGCGTGCTCAGCTCGTCTGTGTCACCGGTGCGCGCCGAGTATAGCAGGTCGTCAGTCTCGTCTTCGCTGAGTTGTGGTGGCGCCATTTTGTGAAATTTGGGGGTTTGTATTATTCCCCTGATGTGGTGGTGTGAGGAAGGAGCGGATATGGTATCGTGTAGCTGCCAAGGATTCACCCAGTTTGCGATTTTTGATGGATGGCTTCCAAACTCGAGGTCTCAGGCGCCTGCTTCTTGCCCCTCTGAAAATTTTTGGAAGGTTTCGGTGGGTGTGGTGCCCAAACAGTGCGACACATCCCCGCACTGTGCTGCCCCTTTTCTCAGGGGCGAGTGAAACTTGTCCCCCCCATACAATTCACCGACCTATCTCACTCGCTATTCAGACTTGACGATTGAATTTCTGGTTACTTTCAGAAAGTGGTATTTTTGATGGCTACTATGACGTATATCTTTCCCTGGTGAACGCAGTTTGTCTTACGCCCCGAGTAATAGCGGCATGCGTAAAAATCGCCTAACAATGTCTAATGGATTTGTCTTGCAGTGAAAACAGACTGTAGAAAAAATACAAGCCTTTACTTGAATATCCTCTCTCCAAGATAAATCATCCATCTTGCCCTCACTTGGAACATCTTGCCACCCATATCGTATTGCAAATCATGTACTTCATAATCCATTTTCATTGGGGGCAGCAGGAGCACATCTCAAGTCCACACCTGGACTCCGGCACACTTCGACTTGGTTAATCGCACGTTCAAGAAGCGATTCCTACAGATCCTCGAAGATAAGGGAATTCTAGCCCTAGGTAATATAATCTTAGCCAAGTTCCCCAATCTCTTGGAAGAAGTCCTACCAGAGTCTTTAGACTCTAAGCTCCCAGTACTTCCTCGCGATCCTCGCGATATTCCAGCAGCCTCGCGTGAGGGAGGAGGAGGAGGATCTGGCTATCGCGTGAGAGAAGACGGACCGGGTGTACGTCAATCACCCCTTTAGCATCAACAACCTCCAGTTCTACGGTATCCGTCAGCCGCGCCATTCCCACAGACGTACCAGAACTAGAGAACTCCTTTAGAAACGCCGCATCTCAGAAGCCAAATAGCATGCAAAACAGTCAAGAATGAGGGTATTCGTAGTGTGTGTGTTAATGATGTGTGTAGAAAAAAAGGTCTGCGCCTGCAGGTCGGGGTCCTGTGTTGACCTCGTGGAAAAGGTGGTAAAATTACAGTGGCCTGTGCAGGCCCTGCCCTGCACCATACCCGATTTAGGTAGGTCTTTCTAGCACCGCACGTCTAATATCAGAATATCCCGCTACGGCACCCTATAAACCCGGTAGTCGCCCATCCCAGGAAGGTATCGGTATTCGTCAAGGCATGGAAGCCCTCGCGAAACTATACGGGACGGCCGTACGATATTCTCCACGACAAATTCAAACATTTCGTTAATATCTCTGGCAGGTACGAAATTACGGAGGACATGTATCGTGTAGTCTTCCCAGAGATACTTTTAGATCTTATGGAAGCTTTCTACTTAAATTACATTAGGCCGGATAAGAGGTGGGACGAGATCTAGTATCTTCTAGATACCCATTTTAGCGCGAACATCAATCACGCAGAATACTATTCCGACTAGACGACAACCAGCTTCGCACAACTGCGTCGGGAAGACCCAGAGACACCGGCAAAGGAAGTGCTCGAGAATATGCTCGATAAACTCCAGCTCGTACAACGTGGACTGGGAGAGGGATACCAGGGAGAGATCGCCCTCCATGCTACTGTGACACGAGCGGGCGAGGGAGTGATAGAACTCGAGCCAGCAATAACTGGACAGAGAACAACGTGCGAGGCACTATTCGACAATCTCCGTGCCGTAATCAAAGTCGCGGAAGACCGGAAGACCGAAAGACCGGAAGACATCTCAACAATTCCTCATCGAGCAGCCGTACGGCCAGAACCTCGTCGACCGGAGATACTACTCCAATCGTATTAACAACAAATCTCAAGTCCCAAGAAGTCCATACCCTTAGTAAAACCCTTCATACGGCGTCCGACCGAGATTCAATCGAAACCGTACGAGTAAGAAGTATTTTATTTATAAGGAGGGATATCAGTCGTCCAACCACTCCCAGGCAGAGAGGGATAGATCTCGCAAGCAACATATACAAGCGTACGAGAGAATAGGAGATAAAGAGGAGGACTTCGCATTTTTCTCGTGGAGCACGAGGGCACACCGGAGACTTATGAGAGCGATGAAGAGAGTTCCGAAGAAGAGGAAGAGTAGAAGCAGAGATCAATCGCACAGTTCCTCTAAGAAAAGGCATATATGCATCGTACGTTTGGAGCGAGCGTATATAAAGCACCTCAGGAGGGACCAGCAGAGCAGTTCACCCTAGAAAACCAGTACACGACGATGTACTGTGACGACAGAAACGGCAGGAGTTCGGCATGGGGTCAACGGAAACTGCTGTTCGGATTCGGATTCACACTATCCCCGCTAGCATTTCCACCACTACGAGTACGATTACGGCAACTTGGTCGGAATCTAAATCTGAAAGCCCCACAAGACGATCGCGGCTAGATCGGAAGGGAAACAGGACGCTAGTTATGGTCACCGGTAATACACCTGGTACATGAAGACGAAGCGTCTGAGGCAGGCATTCCATAGAGAGTGGGGCGAACCGGACCCGTACAAAGGCAAACCTTGCTTTTAGTTAGCTCATCGTGACAATAAGTCAGTTAGATTATCATGACAATAAGTCAGTTAGTTCATGACAATAAGCCTACTGGTCATTATGAGGTGGCCGATGACAATGGGTCTACCGATAATGACGGTTCTACCGACGATGGCAAGGTGGCCAACGGCAATGAGCCCACCAACGACGAGGAGCTACTCGCTGACAAGGAGGATTTAGTATCTCAACGCCACCTCCCACGCCGCCATCCCCGGAACCTGAGACACAAGTTCTCGGCCTCGATATTCGCTCGCGGCTTCATGACAACGAGTATCTCCAAACGCCATCTTCCTAGATGTTCATAACGGGAACCTCGGAGCCAAGCTTCTCCGCCGCACACACCGCTAGGACTTGAACCGCTCTAGCACGCGGCCAGAGACAAGTATCCAGGGATGTGGATGAGGTTTCTAGACGAGCCCGAGGTGATTCCAAGCTGCTTCACTGAACTCAAATGCAGTACTGGTGATTGGTATCGGGCCTCGGAGATTCGTGCGGAGCTGCAAGACTTTTCCAATCTTCGAAATAGTATATATAGTATTATATCTTTTACGTAATAACCAAGTTGATAATACTGTTGGAATGTGTCAAGCAGAAGGGCCTCGAAGGTTCTAGATAGAGACTTCGCCACCCACTTCGCCACCACAATAGTAGTATAAGAAGGAGCTTTCTAGCACTGCCAGAAAGCTAGAGAGAAGAACACACATCTACAATCCATCACTTGAACCACCAGCTTTCGGCGTACAGTTGCGCCCTGTTGATTCCAGTACCGGTACCCTGGTGAATCCACAAATACTAATTAAAATATTTTATTATAGTTTAAATAAGCTGGGTAATATAATTATATGCATCTTTAAAAAGCAATTAGTTCACTTAAAGATATGATAGAGCTATCGATATAAGAAAGGTAGTGAAAGGCTAGTTTTATACTTATATTATAATCTAAGCTCTATATTCTAGCGAGTGACTTGAGAGTGTGATTATGAGTTGGCAGCGTCTTGGATTGGAGACATGGTTCATTGGAGAGCTAGTCGGGTCGACCCAGGTTGCTCTTATTCTACCTCGCTCTCCGGAGGCCATCGTCTAATGAAGCGGCCACTGCATCCAGGCTCTATCCGTTCCACTAGGTCGGACTGACCGGAAGGAGCGTCTGGCGCTGGAGAGCCAGGAACATGAAATTCCCAGCTGCCTTGCTGCCATGCTCAACCTTCTCCTTGACCAAGCCCACGACACATTCACAACACAACACAAAACACATACACACACACTCACGCACACACTAACACACTGACAATCCCAGAACAGGCAGAGACTCGAGACATTGCACCCCATTGGCCTGAGAATGTCCCTGGCGACCCGACCGACGGCGACCAATGGCCGTGCGCGCGCGCCTGGAGGTACTCGGGCCATATATCGAGAGAGCAGGCCAGTCCATCTCGGACGCCATCATGGAGCAGGCGGCCGCAACGCGAGAGCAGGCTGTAGCGATGCGGGAAGCTAGCTTCCCTCATTGGGCCAAGATGCTGTTGGCGGTGGTAGGGATTGTCACCATTTTGGTCATGATCGCTGACGCGGCCTCCAAAGCCATCATTCGGCTGGACAGCCGTCGACACCGGAACGATGATAGTAGCCTTTCTTTCTTTCTTTTCCTTCTTTCTTTGTTGTTTGGTCTTGGTCTTGGGAAATTATTATTCTTCATCCAGTGATTGTGGCCTTCCTTTCCTTTACTTCTTTCTTATTGTTTGCTGTTAGTCTTAGGAAATTATTGTTTCTTATCCAATAATTCTGGTCTTCCTTTCCTTTATTTCTTTCTTTATTGTTTGCTCTTGGTGTTGGGAATTATTCTTATGTCATGCGGCTTTGGCCACCCCAACGCGTTCGGTAAGTGATCTCCTTCAAGTTCTCTGATACGATGCGAACAAGCCACATGTTGGATTGGCTATTGTCAGATGGACAAGGGTTGCATGTGGAATAGAGCTCATCCCAGCTGAGCTCTGGTGTGGTCATCCGAGGTGAAAAGAGGCTCAGGGGAGCTGAAATGAAGTGGCCAGTTCAGCTGGTGTGGCTACTTTTGCCACCACCATTGCCACCATTTACAACTATAATAGAGGCCCTCTGGCAGGACCAAAAAGAACAAGGAGGGAGATCAATGAAGAAAGTTGAGGTGCTGAATCCAACACCACACACAACGCTTGACCAAGATGGTCAAGCCTTCAAGCTCAATGTTTTCAACTCCATGTCTCTTTGCCACATGTTCCATTTTGTTCAGTCCTGAAGGTCTATCATTTTTATGCCCCAAGAAACATGAAGCATCATAACTTTCCTTACTCGATGCCTCCACTTTCTTTCTGTTTTCCTGCATGGGAGGCCTAAGTGCGAATGTGCTCTGAAGGTTTCAACACCCCCTAAGCCTTGACCTGGTAAGGCGGTAGTAGTTCCTACAACCCTGGTCCTTACACCAATACACCCCGAAGCCTCCGATATCCTTATTCAGACCATAAGAGTCTGGATCAAGTGCGTGGTACCAGTTCGCGTTCATATCACGCAGGTGCTGGTTGCTCTCACCCAACGCAACCACCACGCGTGAGTGGTAGCTAACCACGGTGCAGTCGTTGCCCTTTTCGCACCCAATGATATCCGCGCCCTGTAGATCATAGCACCTCTGAAAGGGTCTTCCTGGTGAGAATTCATCGTAGCACTGGCCATTGATCCTCTCGCCACCCACCACTTGCTTACGTAGACGTGGCGACCCAACAAAGAAATCGCCCCACAACGAAATTGGCCCACGCCATGCCCACACCCACTCCACGGGCGCAAATTATCCATTTCTACACAAAATAACTAGCAAAAAAATACTCAATCCTCTTCTTCGGCCTGTCTATATTGTTCGAGCCCACGGGCGATTATTTCCCGGGCTTCTTCGACTGCATGTGGCTGGCTTTCTGCCCGAGCCGTTTTTTTCCGCTTTGGGGGTATTTGACTAGCTTTTTGTGCCTTGGCGATGTCCTCTATACGTGCAAATCGCTCATTTCCATCTTCATATACCCTCTTACGCGTGCGAGGCTTTGAAGCCTCTAATTCGGTTGTGAGATGCGTAATTTGTGCCTTCAAAGACGCGATCTCTGTATTCTTCAGATCCAGGGACCTCCCGACCTTAGTAAACAAGGCCCGCACACGCCGCTGAGCCGGACTGAGGGCATTCCGAATACTGTCCTGGTACTTCTTGATGTCCTGACTGCCGTGCGGTGTTTTGAAGAGCCTGTCATCGTCGTTCGGGGCCGTCGGCGGCGGTGTTGAAGGCCGGGCCGGGAGTGCCTCATTGTCCTTGACCGCCTCAGGGTCATCAAGTAAACAAGCCGGGTTGAAGGGCCAAATCCCGGTTTTACTGAAGCCCGACATGATGTTACGGGCACTCATGCCTTTACCCGAGGCATCTCTGTAGCAGTAAAGGAACCGAACCTTGTTGACAGGAGCTGACGATGTGAAGCTCGCGAGGGCCTTGGTATTTTCCCTAAAATAGGTCTTTAAAGGTGAAAAGACCGAGCGATCGAGAGGCTGAGACTTGTGCAATGTATGAGAAGGTAAATAGACGAACTGGACCTTATTTTGGAAGGCCGCTAACATGAATTTTTCGTTCATATGGCTCGAATGTTCGTCAAGGATCAGTATACGCCATTCGCCCGGCCTTTGGGGCTTTGTTTGGATCAGGTAGACCTCTTTGAGCCATTTCAGCGCAATACTGGCGTTGCTCCAGCCTGTAATTGAGTAATCGTACTTCCATTCCCGGAATTCCTTCGTCAGGTTGAAGTTATCAGGAAAGTGTTGTCCTTGAAGACTGGCCCCGGTAAATATGATCACGGGCTTCAAACGAACGCCCTCAGCAGTGCCGCATTCGATAACTGAAACCCAGGTTGTTGCATCAGAGCTTTTCACGTAGGTTCGGTTCGTCAGGGAGCTTCCTATGACCTTTCCGGCCCGGGTCTCGAGCTCCTGCATGCCGTGCTCATCCATGTTAGCGATGTTGGCCGGGATGACCTTTTTATCCTTGATTTGGAAGGCCAGGCGCTTGAAGAAAGCTTCATAAGCTTCACGAGTAGATCCGCAGACTCGAGAGGATTCCAACAAGGTTGAATTCTGCATCTTTACCGCCGGGTTGCGGCGTAGGAAGCGGTCCACATATCGCTCCCCAATGGTCTTTTTCGTGCCGGCCTCATTGAGTATAGCTTGAGCGAATCTCTGCACCTGACGACGGCTAGGAGCCCTGCCTGCAGCCTCCTCATTGAGGCACCAGTCGGCTAGGAAGCTTTCCTGCGCATTGGAGAGGTTTCTTTCGGCTTGTTTACTTTGTGCTCGATTTTCTGCCCCGTGGATGCGTTTGCAGAGGGTAGAAGGAGGGATCCCGAAGTCATGCGCGGCCTGCTTCTGCGATGCGCCCTGTTCAACTGCAAGTATTGCAGATTGAATTAGCTGCTCTCGACGGTTCGACATGATGTATTTTGAAGCTATTCGAGCCTGAATTGATGAAGTTGTGTTGTGTTGAAGTTGAAGGGCGGGAAATTAGATGACAGGGGCAGAGATTTCGTTGTGGGGCGATTTCTTTGTTGGGTCGCCACGTCTAGATGCTTAACCACACTACCACGCCCAAGGCCAAGTTCCCGGTTAACACGGCAAGTTGCCCTTTCTTTGCACTCAGCTGGCGGGCGTGGCCATCCAGTTTCCGTTCGCCCCGCATAATTGACACAGTCGCAGCGTGTGGGATCACAAAGTCTAGCGCCGGCAACGGGCCCTGGTCTGATCTGCAGACAGATGAAGTGCCCCTGCTCCCGGTACAGTTTTTGCAATCCATTCTCGAGATGCTGAGCTTCGAAATACCCATCTCGGCCCATCGTCAGAGGCATATGCCCAGACCAGGCGAGCCTCACCACGAACTTGCCGTATTTACCGGCGTTCCTGAAGCCACAGCTGGCGGTAGGGCTGAACGGGCAGCATGACTTGTGTTTGTCCATGTGATCTCTGTTGGAATTCTGTCCGTGAAACCAATCACGAAGCCGCCGCCTCGGAGACCACCATGGACCAAGGCACCGTCACATGCTTGCAGAGGCGTATATGGCCTTGTTAGCCAATGCATACTCGCTTAGATAGCTTCTTTCGCCGATCCGGACTAGAGAAGAGACAGGCTAGGTGGTCAGCGTTGCAGGCGGAGCAGTGCAAGTAGGTTTTCGCCAGGGCTGTAACGCGGGCCTGCCAGTTGGATGCCTGCCTAGCCATGAGGCAGTCGTCGCAGAATGAGTCTCTAGCGAGCAGTAGGGGCAGTCTTGAGCTCTCTTCGGCGGATAGGGGTGTTGTGGATACCGGCCATGGGAACCTGTTCATGTGGCATACCGAAAACTCGAGCGCTGAGGTGCTCGTGCAAGTGGCGGAGAACAAGCGGGGGAAAGTCCGGCTGCAGCGCCGGAGACACTCGACTGTGGCCTTGTCGGATAGCTGCATCAACCGAATCAAGACTTCGTTGGGAAGACGGCATAGCCTGGGTTATTGTGTGTCAGTCTTCGCAGTTTGGGTGGTTATGAGGAATCACCCCGGCCGTGGGGAGGGCACCTACTGGCTTTCAGTTCTTTGTGGTAGTCCGACTCGATCAATAGGTGCATTATTCCATCGTAACTGTGGCCATTGTGATTCTGCCGGGGCTGGTTTGCCGTCCCGACGGCAGTATATTATTCCCCATCATGGTTGGGCCTTGGCTCGTTCGCCGCTCCGCCAACAGAGCGTGTCTGTTTCAAGTTACTATACATGGTTGGTGTGCAGAGTACCTCAAGCAAAGAGAGAACGTCAAGATGTTTTCGAGAGGCGATGTCGAAGTTCTTGTATAAAATAATCGTGGAAAAGCTAGCTAACAAGGCGTGCGGCCGAAGGATTTGCGTGTCACAAAGTATGAATGAGATGTGGAGGCAAGCGAGAGGTAATAGTTAGAGTCGGGAATATGTGTCCTAGGCGAAAACTTTGATCTTGAATGGCGGTGGTAAGCTTCATGAGCCGGCCAGTATGACTCTGTCGGAGTAGTGCCGTTCAATTGTTTTGACTTGTTGCTGTACCGAGACAAATGCCTGTGTTAACCTTCAATGTGTACGTGGTGATGGGTATGAGCCATTTCACTTTTTTAATAAATCTAACTGTGGAAGTCCCTCCTTAAGGCAAGTCTTATTGAAGTAGGCAGGTCTTATTGAAGCAGACGAAGTATAATATATAGGGTTGGGAACAGCAGCCCAAGTCTTGTGGCGTCGGTAACGGGCTACTGGCAATCTAAATAGTTGGGCAATAACATCATCTTGGGGGAAGGCAAACTACTTGAGATTTGCTAAACTAAGGTACCTATTTACTGAACTGGCTATGGCGATCTGTCTTCTTGTTCTAACTACCAATCCAGCAGCGCTAAACGACTGGCTGCCAGAGGTGTGTCGCATCGTGTGCGTGTTCGTCGCCAGTATGCTCGACAGTGGCATGTTCTCACCCGAAGGGTGCGGCTGGCACGTCGATTTGGCGGATGTCAGGTTCGTGAGAAAAGTGTCTGGGCTACCGGAGGCGAGCCAGGGTAGAAGGTTTTCTGATTGAACGTAAGCTTGTTTTCGGCTTCGGGTGACCCCCAACCAGAGAGAGAGCCGAAGCCAATATGTTTTTTTTTCTTCAGATGGAGACTTACCTGGCGTGCAGACGGAAGCTTTAAACGCAGTACGCACCTATTGAAGTAGAACTCCGAGGATTGGGAAAAGACAATTGGGATAAAGGGTTAGAGAACTTGTAACCAATTGACGCCGTGTCGACACAACAACAAAGCACAGATACACACACACTCACACACACTCACACAAACTAACACACAGATAGATCAGGCACGTACCGAAGAGACCAAGGGCTGAGGTGACGGAGAATATGGGTGACCACGGCCTGGGCCGAACTGTGTTCGTGGTGACCACGGCCTGGGCCGAACTGCGTTCGTGGTGACCACGACTCCTGGTGGTGTTGGGGAGTCTGGATGTTGTATCTGGCTATTGGATGTTCAAAACCATTCAACATCAGAAGCATGGCATCGAGACTTGACCGTGTCGCCAAGAAGACCAATGGACGGTTGTGGTTTGTGAGGCGAGACCGATCTGTGAAGCTGGAGAAAATGGAGGTTGGAGGACTGCCGCAGGCTAGAGATTAGCCAGGTAGGGTCTCGGGAGACTGCAATCGAGAATACGCGATGCAATGATGGAGTTGGGGGAGTTGAATGGAATGGGTGCGGGTTGTCGGGTCTGTTTTGCCGTGATCATTCGGTGAATGTGGCCAGCCCGTCGATCAATTGTTTTGGCGCCGGAAGTATGAGTATGAGGGTCGCAGAAGCTGGATTTCGAACGATACCTGGAGTGAATAATGTGTTATCAGGAGGATCTTGGGAAATGAAGCCGGGGGAACGATGGGCCTTGCGATTACGCACCATAGACTGGACGAGAAGACACGTTGATCGACGTCAGGTCCTGCCGATCTGGATAGGCTTTTGACATGCCAGGTCTGGTGGTCGAGCAGCGTGCTGACCACTGCCACCATCAAAAGTTGCTGAATTCTACCAAATCGGTTGGAAGGAGGCAAACGATGATGGCTGAACGAGGTGGTGTCCCAGAGCTAGGATTGCGAGCTAGGAATGAAAGCTGCGGGTTCGATTGACGCTGCGGGTTCGATTGACCGAGAGAGAAGATAAGCTGGATGAACGAGACAACTGTAGGTATGCACTCCCACACAGGGAGGGAGCTGATGCTCGAATGAATATTTGCGGTCGATGGCAAAGCCGAGCAATGGAACTCCGAGGGATGGCAAAGGACACACCTTTGGCAATTTGGAGACTCCCCAGCGCCGAAAATGCAGCCCCTCCTACGTGGGAAGAATGAGGAAAGAACGAGATTCAACACAGGCAAGGCCGAGGTAACTTTAGAACTCGGAGGTTGCCACCAGTACCCAAAGGCCAGCCCACGCGGGACCACCAACCGGGAAACTAGCGCTGCTCCGGCCACGCTGAGCGCAATCTAAAGCATGGTACCAGAGCGAGAACCACCTGTCCCGCCAAAGGAGAAGGTAGATCGGTTGGACGTGTGCAATGAGCTTGGGATGGGTGATTGGACGCGCTGGGGAGGTGTACACCGTAGGTGGGAAGGCTCTTTCTGTTACACACTTCAGCCCTCTGGAATGGAACTGCTCAGGCCAGCGATTGGCTACCTGCAGATGCAGAGGGCCAACGGTTTTGTTTTCTTCGGCACGTGGTGTGAGTAATTGGTCCATCTCTTTGGCAGCGTTCTTACTTTTAGAAACAGGGTCCGATTGCATGCCGGCCTACAGCAAGGCAACACTGCAATTTTGGCGTCGTGGAAGGATTATGGCTGGAAGCGGCCTGGAGAGATCTAGGTCAGCCGGAGGCCTTGGGCTTGTTCTTTAGGGGATTGGCGTTGGCGTCACGGTTGGTGTCACGTTTTGTGTATACAAGACAAATAAATGAACATACGTATATGAGGCCTCGATGTAGATATACGAGCCCGTTGCCGTGGGGAGTCCTCGCAAAGTTAAACCCCAAGTAGGGTGACGAGTAATAAAGGCAGGAGACTCGGACACAGGAGGCGCGAGATTCAGGGCCACCAACAAAGGGCTTGTACTGAACACCATGAATTCACCACCTTTGCAACCCACAATAGTAACTAGATATGATACATTTGCTAGCCGTGAAGAAATTAAACAGATAGTCTCTCATCAAGCCAATCAGCGATGTCGCCAAAGTTGTCCACCGTTTGTATCTCGGCCTTGACATTGAGCATCAACATTCTCTGAAGCTCCTGCATCTGTTCTAAGCCGGCAGAGTCAAAGCCTCTCTCACCACATATTTGCTTCATTACGCTGACAGCCTTCTTTCGGTCGTCCCGTGTGAGTGGTGCAACTGACTCGTTGGAGTCTCTCGGATAGTTATACTTTGGTCTCTTAGCAGGCCGTTCATCGTCGGAACCTGAATTATGTCAGCTAAAGAAACATGAGGGAGACCTATAGAACCTACTACCCAATGGGTAAGCGAGAGAGCCCTGGCTCGAAAATTCTTGGCTTGTCTGACTGTCACCGCTCTGCGGATCTTGAAGACTGTGTGACATGATGATCGAACTTCGCGACATTATGTCTAGACTCCGGATTCCAAGCCATTTCAGGTGCGGAAGAGTGACATTTTCTTCGTGATCCAGGCGCTGGCTCCCGTATTGGAATGTTCGCAAAATGGAGACACCATGAGGGTCAAAGTCAACAAGTGCGAAGACGTTTAGTTGGGGCCGAACCGAGTGTAGGGTGCTAAGAAAGCGGCGAGTAACTAGATCAGGGAACCCCTTCGCCTATCAAAGACATCAACATTGTCAGCCCTGCAGTCAAAGTCTGCATAGTCAGGATAAAACTTACAGTGACAAGAATCCCATGGCCTGCCCTTGAAGTAGAAGAATATCCAGAATTGGCGAGAGTCCGGAAAGTAGCCTGGGAACGGCACTATCATGTTAGCAGAGTCACATATAATTGGGTTTCCTGGCTTGCAGACCTCCTTCTCGATAACCAACAGCCACCGCGTGTTGTGGAAATCAACCTTATCGACAGAGTTGATTGGCGGAATCAAGTTTCCCTGAGAAAGTTAGAGCGTATTTGAGGTCATGGGAGTGAGGCCCATACATTGCCACCTGAGAGACCATGGCCGTAATGAACGGTAGCACCGTTGCGCATCATCACATCGATTGGACCAGCAATTAGCCCCCTAGCCGCAGCGACCTTGAAGGGGGTAAGTGAGTGTAAAACATTTAGGAGTGGCCGCGTCTCACAATGTTCAGATCTCCACGTCCGACCCCAAGCGTGAAAGCAAGGTTGTCCACCATGTCATTAACAGCGCTCTGGGACCTGAATAACTCTGTATTCTGGTAGTATATGTTTCTAATTTGTCAATTAATCCAGTTTGCGTCTCATGATGTTAGTATTGGGGGAAGTTTTTGATAGAAACTACCTCTTTGTAATGAGGTTTCCTGTGAGGAGGGCCTCGTGTGACAGTTCAAGGATGCGGAGAAGAGCATCTTGACAACGTTAGGAACAGCACGAAGACAAGACAGAAAGACTTTATCGGAAACATACCGAATCTTTTGACCTCTTGAATGTTCCGCCCAGGAAATTTGACTACTTCAGTTGTCATTTGCCGAGCTCCCCCTGCACCGGAAGCTGCTGGCGACACTCCAGGGCTAGACCGGGCGGTTTGGTAAGGAATGACAAGATCGGCTCCGTTAATGACGGCATCGAGAATTGATTCCAGCAAGGACTCGATCTGCGAAAGAGCTCCATCATGTGAGCCTTGAGGTGGAATTGACACAAGGCTCGAGGGAGCAGGAATGTGCGGGGAATGGGGCAGTGGCTGTCGCCTTCGGAGGACACGTGTGCGAGCAGAGCCCTGGACTTGAGATTTAGGACCAGAAATAGGTCTTTGCCGCCGCTTTGAAGACGGCAAAGGCATCTTATCAATCGATTCGTATTAAGACTTGAGACTAATAATATTGACAAACGTACTAGAGGGTATAAATTATGGTAAGATGCTTAAATAATTCTGGCAAGGAAAAAGAATAAAGGATTTACGGATCTTGGAATTTTGACACAAGTGGCATTATTTAGAGTCTTCGCTTGTACCATTATGTGATTGGTTGCTCTTGCCTTCTCGGATCGAGGAGCCGATGCCGTTGTCTGTCGTTGTCACATGTAAGCCACACTGCGGCTGGACAGGTCGCTCATCAAATTGGACAACCTAAATTGGCCTTAACTCTTGGCGGCTTCGCGGCCCCTGAAAGTCGTTGCCAGCCAGCGGGGTCCTGCAAAAGCCCGGCGGATCCCCTCCCTGAAAGATTTAGGAGCCAGTTGGCGAATTGCATTCCTTCGCGTGATGGCCCATCTCCATTCTCCCTCGTAAGCGGGCCCTTTTTGTGCTTTCCCTGCTCCGTCCTCGGTTTTCGGTCGCAAAGTGAACAAAATTTACGTCGAGATGGCGCGCAAAAAGGGAACTCCAGTGCGGATGGTTGTCGTGCCTCCGGTCGAGAAGGGTTCCACCAAGAAACGACTCAGCAACATCACCAGCGACAGCTTTGGGCACAGTGCCAAAAAGGCTCGGATCGAGGACAAAACCGACTATTCGCGATGGCGGCTTCACGACGACGAGAGCCGGCACACATGGCAATATTTGGAGGATGACGAAGCCGCGAAAGAATGGCCGCAGACGCATGCCGATAAATATTTTCTTGGTCTTCCTCTAGTACGCGCTTCGAGTGCGAGCCGCCAACCGTATAGCTGTCCTCCATTTGCTGACCTTTCCACCCCCTGCCTCCAGGATCTCCCCGACCTGCCAACAGCGCAAAACCCCCTCGATGCGGTCCGGAACGGCCTTACCTTCTTCGAGAAGCTCCAACTCCCCTCTGGCCACTGGGGCTGCGATTATGGCGGGCCCATGTTCCTCCTTCCAGGCACCGTCATTTCCTGGTACGCGACCAAGACACCGATCCCCTGGTACTATGCCACCGAGATTAAGAACTACCTCTTCGCCCGCGCGCATCCCGAAGATGGAGGCTGGGGCTTGCACATCGAGGGCGAGACGTCGGTGTTTGGCACGGTGCTGAACTACGTCACCCTGCGCTTGGTCGGGGTCGACGCCGACCACCCTAACATGGTAAAGGCGCGCGCAACAATCCACAAGCTCGGCGGAGCAACACACGCTCCCCATTGGGCAAAGTTCTGGTTGTCGGTGTTGGGGGTTGCAAAATGGGATATCGTCAATCCAGTGCCGCCTGAGCTGTGGCTTCTGCCTGACTGGGTCCCCATCGCGCCATGGCGATGGTGGATTCACATGCGGCAGGTTTTCCTAGGCATGAGCTATCTGTGGTCGAAGAAATGGCAGGCCGAAGAGACGGACACGATTCGCTCCCTGCGGAACGAACTCTTCGTCGAGGACTGGGACACGATCAACTGGGCTGCGAACCGAAACACAATTCATCCCATGGATAATTACCATCCCAAGTCGATGGTTTTGAACACGATCAATTGGTTGCTGGTAAACGTCTGGAACCCATATCTCCGAACAAATTCCTTGGCTGCGAAGGCCGAGGCGTGGGCATCGGAGCTCATCAATATGGAGGACCTCAACACCGACTATGCAGATCTGGCTCCTGTCAATGCCGCCATGAACCTGGTTTGCTGCTACGCTCGAGATGGGCCTGATGCGTACTCGGTGCGTAGACACCGAGAGAGGAGCCACGAGTTTCTGTGGGTGCAGCAGGAGGGCCTCCTCTGCAACGGCACGAACGGCGTGCAGTGCTGGGACACGGCTTTCGCCATCCAAACCATGCAGGATGCCGGGCTCACCCAGGACCCGCGCTGGCGGCCCATGCTGATGAAAGCCCTCGAGTTCCTTGACAGGCAACAGATGCGGGAAAACGTCAAGGACCAGGCCAAGTGCTACCGCCAACAGCGCAAGGGCGGCTGGGCGTTTAGCAACAAAGACCAAGGCTACGCCGTCAGCGACTGTGTGTCCGAGGCCCTCAAGGCCGTCATCATCCTCCAAAAGACGCCGGGCTTCAAGACGTTGATCTCTGACCAACGGATATTTGACGCCATTGATACTCTTCTCACATATCAGAACCCCTCTGGTGGCTGCTCGTCGTATGAACCCCAACGGGCAGGTACTTGGATGGAAGTCCTGAACGCGGCCGAGGTGTTCGGCAACATTATGGTTGAGTATGAGTACCCGGAATGCACCACGGCGGTTGTTACTGCCTTGTCGCTTTTCTCGAAGCACTGGCCAGACTATAGATCCAAAGATATCCGACTCTTTGTTGACCGGGCCGTCAAGTGGATCAAAAGCGCCCAGAAGCCTCATGGCGGCTGGTACGGGGCATGGGGCATCTGCTTCACATATGCTACCATGTTTGCGCTTGAGAGCCTGGCCAGCATCGGAGAGACATATGAGACCAGCGAGTACTCCAAGAGGGGGTGCGATTTCCTCCTTTCTAAACAGAGAGAGGACGGCGGCTGGTCCGAGCATTACAAGGTTGGTGTTCTCCCTTCCTTGTTATTGTTCCCCATTTATGTCGTTTTGTCTGGAGCGATGCTGACTCTTCAATAGGCGTGCGAGACGAGCGAATACCACGAGCACCCTTCTGGCTCCCAGGTCGTGATGACTTCGTGGGCACTAATTGGTCTCATGAAGGCCAAATACCCCGACGTCGAGCCCCTCAAAAGGGGAGTCAAGCTGATCATGGAGCGGCAACAGCCCAATGGCGAGTGGCTGCAGGAGGCGATTGAAGGCGTGTTCAACAAGAGCTGCATGATTTCGTATCCGAACTACAAGTTCACGTTCACCATGAAGGCATTGGGCATGTTTGCTCACAGGTACCCCGACGAGAAGGTGGTGTGATCTGCAGGCTTTTGTTGAAACGGAGAACTAAACGAACTAGAACAGCATTAATACTAGGCCTAAACTCAAATAATAATAATAGCTGATATTGGAAAGAGAGATGTCGTTCTTGCGGCGACGTGGACCAAAATCGCGAATTATTGGCCGAAGCCCACTATCCGTAGAAACCTGGGGAAACCCCCCAAATGATGGATGGGATGGGGACCTGGTGAGGGGCGCTTACCCTGAAATAGAAGGCGGTGAGAGGAAGGCGGGGCCGCCTTCACGTCACATAGCCGGCAGAATAGAAGCTCACGATCAACCCCACTACAGCTCTCTGCCTAGGGACGTTGGTTGGTGGCCTTGAACCTACGGCAGCCCCAACGAACCTCCCAGGCACGCACGCTGAGCATCAACAGCCGCCGTCGCCAATATAAATACCTGACCCTAACCGCCAGAGACAATTTCTATTTCCAATCTCGAGTTCTCCCGTCGACTCCCAATTTCCGACCAACCGAATTACAGATCAATCCGCGCTTGCCGCGCCCATCACGGGAGTCCCACAATCGCTGCCACCTAGCTTCTCACTTTTGGACCACAGCTAGGTACATAATTATCTATGCGAAAATGCCCTTGTGCATTCCATCTCATTTGTGTCCCAGTTTACAGTTGCTGGACACTCCGAGCAATTGCTGATGCAGCAGACGAACCAGATTACCAGCCAGGCCTCCCTTCAGCTGGCCGTTTCGCGCACCCCGCACGATGTCCAGCACAACCTTCGGCCAGAAAGGCATCGATGCCGTCCAGAGAAAGGACTATGCAGCAGCCATTACTCTTCTCGATAAGGCGCTCAAAGACTCAAAGTCACCAAAGTGGTTGCTTGCCCGCGCGCAGGCACAGCAGCAGCTCAAGAACTGGGATGATGCACTTCACGACGCCGAGACGGCCTACCACTCCGCAATAGAGCGCGGATCCGGCGACTCGCGCAAGCTCATGATCGAGGCCCAATACCGTCGTGCCGCCATCTACTTCAAGCTCGGTCGCTACGCCGACGCAGACTGCTGCGCTAAATGGAGCATGCTGCTTGCGGAGGGTCGGCGTGCCGGCGAAGACGACGGCGTCGATAAAAATGTCGACAGCGAAGGCCATTACACCGTCACTTATGCGGATGGAGTTGCAGACAAGGAAGGGCAGCCGGGCCAGAACGGAGGAGGCATTGGTGGGCAGGTTAACACCCTGGTGACCACACCCAAGACCGGATTCGAAGCAGATTGGAACCGTGCATATGCCTTCAGGAGCCAAGCCCTCGGTGCACTGAAACAGCTTCCCGAAGACCACCCAGGGCGAAAGGTTCTGGTATCGAAGGTTCCCCCCAAGACACAGAAGAAGGCGCCCCAGCCGGTAGAGTCTGATAGCGACGACGACCTACCAACTTCGAAGGCTGCAAATAAGCCCGAACACCCTGCGCCCGGCTCGGTCCCCGACGAGAAGATGAAGCTCCGTGCAGACTTCTACCAGACCAACCAAAATATCACGATCTCTCTATTCGCAAAGGATCTGAATAAAGAGGACATTCAAGTCCAGTTCACCAAGACCACGGTGGGTAGATCTAGAGATATCCGCGCGGCGTCTAATACTGACTGACTTGTGGCAGGCCCGGATCTCGCCGATTCCGCGCGAATTTGCTTCTTATGTGAAGCCAGGTGACAGAGAAGCCACCTCGACGCTTGTTTTCGGCGGTGAAATTGTCCCTTCTGGCTCGCGGTGGTCCGCGACACCCCGCAAGATTGAGTTGGTTCTCCAGAAAGCCACACCTGGCAAGTGGAGTGGATGGGGAGAGGAGAAGATTGGTGCCCAGGGCCCCGAGACCACTGAAGTCGGATCCAGTGGACCCTCTGGAACACACGAAACGTCGAAAGATGCAGTATCTACCGGTTTAGAGAAGATTGTCGCGCCATCAGCGTCGGTTGCACCCCCAGAACAAGCGAGTGCTCCAGTATATCCAACGAGCAGCAAACTCGGGCCGAAGGACTGGGATAAACTCGGCGAGGGCGAGGATGGCGATGACGAGGATAAGCAGGACGTCAATTATTTCTTCAAGCAACTGTACAAAGGCTCGAGCCCAGAGCAGCAGCGTGCCATGATGAAGAGCTTCATCGAGAGCAATGGCACGGCACTTAGCACGGATTGGAACGACGTCAAGAGCCGCACGGTGGAGTCAGTTCCTCCCGACGGTGTTGAAGCGAAGAAGTGGGAATCTTAAACCCAGGACTCGAGAAATCTACGAGTTGTTTATGAAGACGAGTTATGACACGTGCATTAGCCGGCTCTATTTATGCCGCCTGGGTTTTGAGACATTCGACCGGAGCAGGTTCTGGGGTACGCCGGTAACGTGTGCTGGGAAGTAGATTGGACAGGTAGCTATGTACATAGCTCCCAACTGGATATCTCTAAAATAAGGAAAGTTGCCGAATGTTATTGCCGCAGACCAACTTCCCCCAGGGTCTTGGCGCGAAGAGACAAACGACGGGTAAGACTGAGTGCTTGTTTTATTTCTTCCATACCCGGTTATCGAAAGGATGAGATCCGAAGCATGATGCATATATCGCGTATGCAACTGCGTACTACCTTAGCTCGGATCGACAATGCACACGACCTTCGTACCTAGCGGCCAAGGCGCTCGTCTCCAATATTTCCTCCGAGCATAGAGTGGCTTGCATTACAAGTGGATGGCCTGCACATGATACTACATGTAGCAAGAGAACCCCGCACCACCACGCGCCCTTTGGAATACACTGTGTCAACAACGAATCGAGCGACGAGAATCGTCTTGTGTGGTTTGTCTTGCGTGACCTGAGGTGCTTCCTTGCTTGTGGACTGGTCCTCGCGAATTCCTCGAAGCGCCACCATCCTATAAAACTCTGAGAACTATCGTCGAGAACCGAGCTCCACGCAAGGTTGGCAACCTAGGTTCTTATTCTGTCTCTGTTGCATCTACTCAGGGCAACAGTTTTACCTAACCCTTTCTTGGCTGTCTTTCTTTGACTTTAAAGGAACCCGATCAGGCGCTCCCCTCACGAGAGAATATCGTCCCGTCCGACCCAGCTTCAACTCCAAACATGAAGAACATCCCCGAGTTTAGGATTGACAAATGGAGTAGGTGCATCAGTTCACTGTCTGTCTTCTAGAACCGTAGATTAACCCAACGGCCGGCCGTTCTTTTTCTCTAATTAGTACAACGCGCGGCGGTTGGTTTACTCCTGCTAGTTCTGTCCCGAGGCCGTCGTGGCGCTGCCAAAAAACCAGCACCAGCACTAGCGCCGTGACAAATGGCTGTGTCAAAAGCTTGTTTTGAACCTTGACCGTCAGCTAATGAGTACCTGGGCAATATTTTTAGCCTGAAACGAAAATTGCGCTCCATGGTTGGTGGTTCTTTTGCTGTCCTCCTGCTCTTCAGCCCCGTCGTGCTCTTTGTCTGCCCGCTGCTGCTGTGTTATGAAAAACATGTATAATGGACTTCATCGCTCGGAACTGTGCTCTTCCATGGTCAGCCCTAACCAACCACCTGACATGCCGCAGGGTCCGTCGCCGGCGCCCTATCTCTCGCTGAGCTGCAGGCGCTTGCTTCCGCGCCGGGGCCTGATGGAGCCGGGGCTGGGGACAGCAGCGCCGGCCCCGTCGACCCGGAGCTTGTGCTCACGTACGGCGACGCGCGCGGCTCGCACAAGCTGCGGGCACGCATCGCCGAGCTGCATTCATCGCCGACCGTGAAGCTGATGGCCGACAACGTCGTCATCACGCCCGGGTCCATCATGGCTAACTACCTCGCGCTGGCGAGCCTCACTGGGCCGGGCGACCACGTCATTTGCATGTATCCTACTTTTTCTCAGCTCTGGACAATCCCGCGCTTCCAGGGCACCGAGGTGAGTATGTGGAAGCTGAAGTTGGAGGATGGGACGGCGTGGCGGTTGAGCCTGGACGAGCTCAAGGGGATGATCAAGGAGAACACGAAGGTCATTATTCTCAAGTATGTCTTCCCTAGTCGACCTGAGAATAAAAGGGGTGCGAACGGTGGTGGATCTTCGGTTCGCTAACGAAACCACGCAGCAACCCTAACAACCCCACGGGCGCCGTGTTGCCTGAGTCGATGCTGCGGGAGCTCATCGCGCTAGCCTCGGAACGCGGCATCACGCTGTACTCGGACGAGGTGTTTGCGCCGCTGTTCCACACGTCGGATCCGCCTCCGCCGCCGCTGATCTCGCTCGGATACCCCAACACGGTCTCGACGGGCTCCATGTCCAAGACGATCGGACTGCCGGGGATCCGCGTCGGGTGGGTGGTGTCGCTCGACGCGGCAGTGATCGAGCGCATCATGACGGCGCATGACTACACAACAATAGCCGTGTCGCTGCTGGACGACGGCGTGGCCGCCTACGCGCTGTCGAGCCAGGTGCTCCCGCGGCTGATGACGCGGAGTCTGGCGATCTGCGCGCGCAGCATCGCAGCCATCGGCGCCTTCGTCGCCCGCACTGCCCCGCGCACCACCTGGGTGCCGCCGGCGGGGGCCGGGACGGCGTACGTGCGCATCCTAACTCAAGATGGCAAAGAGCCTGTCGACGACAGGGACTTCGTGGCGGGCCTCGTCCGGAAGACCGGCGTGAGCCTCGTGCCGGGCGGCTTCTGTTTTGAGGACGGCGATGATGGCGCAGACGCCGAGCTGAAAGGCTACGTGCGCATCACCCTTGGGAATGCGGACGAGAGCGTCTTGCAGGAGGGCCTGAGGGCCATTGAAGAGTTCCTTAAGACGTATTGATGCAGGAACATGAGAAAAGGGGAGACGTCTATTTTCTTCGATCGAAAAAAAAAATTTGAACGTGGTTGTCTTTCCGCTGGACTAGAACAACATACCATGTTTTGCCACACTAAAAGTAGGACCCTACTAGATGATGCAAGAAATGTATGTTGTTTGTATAAGGGGGATTTATTCGAGCTTTATCTTTTCTTATTTAGCACGGTGCCGCGGCCCCAGGGACATTAATCGACGCGATCTTTGCTCCGAGACCGAGGAGTTGTTGTCCCTGCCAGTTGACGTTCCAGCAACTGAGGAGTACGCTTCTCGTCTTCGATCTCCACCACACTCATGTCCATCCGCACTTTGAACTGGTTGCCCCTCCACGATACCGTCGTACCGAGCAGGACGGCCCATGTCCAAATAGGCAGAGCAAGCAGCTCCCTCCCAAGCCACGACAACAGCCACTCTAAAAATGGCCGAGCCTGTGTTCCGCCCTGGCGTGAGGTCCCTCGTGCAAAAGCGGGTGTGTTTTCGTCCACGTCAAGACTCTGGAGCCGGAACAGCATGGAGGTAAGGAGGTAGTCTAGAACCACCCATATAATCATGGTTGAGGCCCAGATGGTGCCCATCGCGCCCCATGTCTGGGGGATGGCGAACACGTCGTGGAACCAAGGGAGCGTAGTTAGCGCAAACGAGATGTGCAGAGAACATAGGAACGACTCGACGCCTGGTTCTACAAGCGTCGCTGCTATGACTGTCCACTTTCGGACGCGCAGCCAGCGAACGCGTCGCGCGATGTAGGCGGCTACCGACATTCCGGACGTGGGCTGGACGGCCACCTCGCCAAAGACAAGCCCATGGCGCTGGAAGCCGGGTAGTTGTGACTTGAAGAATAGGTCGCCAATGAGATGGTCCTCGCAGATGTACGACGAGAAGAAGTCGATGCCTCGACCACGTGAGGCGTCGGACGGCGACAAGACTAGATTCTGTTTGAAGTCGGTAAGGCGCTCGAGGTGCGACTTGCGAAACATGTTGCTCTTGCCAAGCACGCAAGGCGCGATGCCGATACCGTTTATGCCGTTGTAGAACTTGGCATGCGTGGTTGCCAAGAACATTTCCTCCAGCCGCCCTCCACAACCCATGGTCACCGCCGGGCCAGCGCCGGCCGTCAGGAGCGTCTGCGCTTCCTCGGTGTTCTGGGTCTCGATGTCAACCACGAGAGGCAGCTGGTGGACAAACCTGTACGGAGCTGTCTTGGCGCCGCCGGGGCGAAAACCAAATAACTTGTCGATCAATCGCCCGGCCGCATACCTCGACACCCAAACGTTGCAATCCATAATCCAAATCACGTCGCCTTTCGCTTCGCGATACGCACGACTGATGTTCCGAACCTTGGGGTTGGGCCCCAGGCTGTTGACATGCCCATCGACGCCGTGAAGAACAGGATCATCTTCCTCGACGAACAGTCTCGCGTCGGCGTCTGGGAAGTCGGCAACGACCTGACGAAGAATCGGATAGGCCGGATCGTCGGTGGATGCCACGCAGAGGTGGATGGTGAGCTTGGTCTTTGGGTAGGCTTGCCGAAAGGTGGACGCCAGGCACTCGTACAGGCCAACCTCCACGCCCTTGGCCGGTCGTATAAGAGTAATATGGGGGACCTGGTTGTCGTCTAGCAAGGGCGAGACCGGCTTCGATGGGGGCGAGCGGTTATGCCGGACGCTGGGAGAGAAGAGGTCAGCGCCAATCACCAGGAGCCGAGCGCAGAACGGGAGGCTGGCGGTGTGTGCGACCTACAGCTTATAAATGCCAGTGGACGAGACGGTAATGACAACAAGGCTCCAGACGAGGGACACCAAGGCCGCACCTTGGACGATTAACGACATCGCAACATCGCTGACGGGCATTGAAGCAAGCTGAAGACGGGGCGAGCGAGCAAGCAAGCAGAGTGCACTCGGCTGAGACAAGATCTGACGTGGGCAGGGATAAATAGGTAAAGTAGATACGGTAGGCCAGGTCGGTGCTTAAGTACTACGGATGTGGATTTTGGTCGTGGGCATGCCCTTGAAGTCGTCAATTGGTGCCCTGGCAGGCCCCAATGCAAGTGGTCATGAGGCACGGAGGAATCGAGTACTTCGAACAGAACAAACAGGGTGAGATATCCGTAGGATCTTGCATGATTGACGGACTCTTCCGCGTGCGTATACCAATTACAGCCAACGCGCCCACACTGCCCAACGGCTGGGGTGCTACTCCGAGCCCGCCAGACGAAAAGAAAATTGAAGGTGAGAGGTGTGGGTCTCCGACACCCGAACGACCCGAGTGGTTGGCTCACCGCGAGCTGGCAAGCTTTTTACTGCCGATTCCGAAAATCAGCCGGGCTACCGCGCAGCAGACTTTTGTGAGCAATTCTGCGCCAGAAGCCGACCCGTTCCGTCCTTAAAACTTCACAGTCACAAAAGCGCGCAAGAGTCAACGCACAGAAAAATTTGCCAGCCATGACTCGACCTCGGCCGACCAATTTAAAGTCCTTCAAACCCCTCTGAAGCTTGCGGCAATATCTTTCGGTCCACTACATGGCCGAGCTCTCGTCGCGATCGTCGACAAACTGGGTGGAATATCCCTCACAAGAGTAAGTTCAATTGCGGCTTTCCCTTTGTCGATCACAAGCCCCGACAATGTAGGATAATGGCAGAGACGAGTCTTTCCTAGCTCGCTGCTCTGCGTCCCACGGTTGCTCCCGGCCCAGCAGCTTCGTGCTGCATTCTCCAATTGCGGTGATGACACCATAACAATCGTGCCTAGAGCAACGTACTTCAGTGTACGCTCGATGAACGCCTGATTTATAGACTACAACGGTATCTGAGCAAGGAGGAAGAATAAATGTGTTGTTTTGGGCAAGGTTTCGGTACTTGTGGCTAACGAACTTCTGCTTCCAGGCCGACATGAACACGGATGAATATGTCCGAGACCACGACTGCCATTATGCCGTCCAGTGAAGAGGTTCCCGGGCATGCAGTCGCCTCTGCCTTGACCAGCGACTCTGCCTTGGCCAGCGACTCTGCCTTGGCCAGCGACTCTGCCTTGGCCAGCGACTCTGCTCCCGCCGGATCGGTAGCAACTACAGAGCCATTGGGCACCTCGACCACTAGTGAACCTTCAGCTCCGACCAAGATTCCACTGTACAAGGTCTATGCACTTCCTGCGCCGATTCGGACATTCCCTCTTCCCGCATTCTATCCGAGCAACCCGATTTCCCTGATCTACCTCGTGTATGCCTGGTTGAAGCAAGTCATCTCGCCTCCAGCCGAGCCTTCCATCATCCACGAAGGATTCTGGGACCCCCACACGCGCTCTGTCCACATCAACAACTCCGAGTCTATACGCGCACTATGGGAGCAGGGCTTCTTTGGAAAAGGAAGCCTAAGTCGAAGCGAACCGAACTGGCTGAAACGCGAGTTGGCGCGACGCGGATCTCTGGGGGGCAAGACTGTGAGCGAGGAACGTACGGAATCGAGACGCGAAGAGCGCCGACTCGCGAAGTGGGAGCGGGCAAAGGCGGAGCTGGAAGTCGTTGAGAAGCAGAGGCTTGAAGAAGCGGAGGCACACAGCAATCTAGCTGAAGAGAAGTCTTTATCGAATGGCCAGCTCGATACTGAAGAAGTGGCTCCACTGTTGAATGGCGAGCTGAGTAGCCAAGAGGTGACACTCGCGAATGGCACGCTCAATATTCAGGATGAGGTGGCCTTCGTGAACGGTGAGCTCGAGTCCCAGGAGCTGACGCTCGTGAATGGCTTGCTTGATGGGCCACGCTCGTCCTCTGTCCCACAAGTTCCGTCGCTACTTGAAGCACCAACCAAGCCGTCTCGAGATCCCATGAATGGCCATGTTCAGAGGCTGAAGCCACCCATCGGCCCAGCCGAACTATTGGCCCTCCCCAATTACCTCCCTACAGTCACGCGAGAGGTCGTTACAAATGGCCATTCCAAACCCCCGAATTCCCCAGGTGGCCCAGCAGATATCACGGCCCTTCCCAACGCCGTCACACACCCTTCGGAATATGTCTTGAGTGCTCAGTCTGGGAGTTCTAAGCTGCCGGTCAGCGCAGCAACAGACCTTGTTCTTCAGGCAAAGATCGAGGCAGTCCCATTGAATATGACCACAAACGCTGTTCCCGAGAGCCCTAGGCCGCCAGTCGGGCCTGCCGAATTGCTGGCACTGCCCAACTCGCCTCAAGACCTTGCTCGATATACAACATCCGCTGCCATCACGGCATCCACCCTCGTTACGGCATCCGACCCCGTCACGACATGCACTCCCGTCACAACATCCACCCCCGTCACAGCATCCACCCCCGTCACAACATCCACCTCCGTCACGACACCAAACCTCGTCCAACCGCCAATCATCGAGCCAACACCCACGCAAGACACGAAAGGAAGTTGCCCCTCCAAGGAGCCAAAACCTCCTGTTGGCCCAGCGGAGCTACTGGCCCTCCCCAATTCCCTCATTAGGCCCACTCAGAAGCCCATCGCCAATGGCCATTTTGAGACCCCGGGACCTCCAGTCGGCCCCGCAGAATTGCTCGCCCTTCCCAACTCTTTGGCTGACCTTGTATCAGTTCCGCCCTTGACTGTGGGTGTGGCGAGTTCCGATCCAGCCCCGCTTGATCTGCCCTTTGTCGGTGTCTCATCTCCACAGAGGGGCCGCCATACAGATAGCAAGGCTGTCAGCGACCATGCCCAACTAAATGGGGTATTCAACGGCCTCAATGGTCATTTGGGCAAGGCGAGTGCCTTGGATCAAGACCGAGACGTACTCGTCGATGCCCAGACCAATGGTGCCAAAGTGAACGGCGTGACTGAGACAGCCAATGGCATAGTTTCTCCTGTGCCGTCTTCGCCTTCCAGTGCGCCGATAGCCGAGGTCGTCACCCCCCGAAAAGCGCGGCCACTGAAGCGTCAGAAGAGTGTTCGTTTCTCGCCCAAGGTTGAGTCAACAACCTTTCAGCATTTTGACCCCCCAAGCCCGAATCGATTCACTGGAACACCACCGAAAAGCTTAGCAACCCTGAATGGTGGGGCCATGGACGCTGTCCCTCCTGCTGTTCCATCGCCTCCGGCTGCTCCTGCGCCCCCTGCTCCTGTTGTTCCTGCGCCTCTTGCGGAACACGACGAAGCAGTGTCGAGCCTTGATTTCCCAGTTACCGTGGGAGAACTGCCGAACAGGGAGCATTTCCAACTTTCTCCCGAGGAAGCGTTCTTTCTGGTGTTTGTGCTCGGTGCCCTCTCTGTTCTTGACCCTGCGACCGGGGCACCATTCCCCACTGACCAGCTGCTGAGTATCTTCCGGGCATACTCGTACTTTCCCCCCAAGGAGATTAGCTCCGCGTCGGACGCTCTCCAGCCAAGTGACCCCTTCCTTGTGAACTACGTCGTCTATCACCACTTCCGTTCCCTTGGCTGGGTTCCTCGCCACGGTATCAAGTTCGGGGTTGACTTCATTCTCTATCAGCGCGGGCCTGTGTTTGACCACAGCGAGTTCGGTATCATAATAATGCCGTCCTTTTCTGACCCGCTTTGGAAGGAGCACGAGCATGGCGCAGCGACGAAATCCTGGCCATGGCTAATGGGTGTGAACCGAGTGCTGGCTCATGTTCTCAAGGGACTGGTCCTTGTTTACGTTGATGTTCCATCTCCGCCTGTCTTTGACAAGGCCATCAAGGCTGGCGGCCTTGCCGCCGCTCTCAAGCAATACACCATCCGCGAGGTCATGGTTCGCAGGTTTTCGGCAAACCGCAATAGATGAAGACATGTCACGTTGTATCTTCCTGTTGGATAAAGAAATAGAGAATTCCATGTACAAAATATGTATAACGGAACAAGATTTGGCACCCTTTGGTCTCGCTTGCGTGCAGAGCAATAAATGATGGACAAAGCGGTCTGCTATCTATCACCTACACCCATTTCAGTCCACAAGCGTTCGTGAATCTGCCTTGACTCGGATCCTGTCTCATTACAGCGTTATCAGAGCGATGTTGAACTATAGGATTTAGATCTATATGTTCGGCCTCGGGGATACTTTTCGACATCTCCTGACTTGGACTTGTTAGCAGGCGGAGATCCACTAGAATTGTCACTTTACAGACATTGGGGGCCAAATGCCAAGGTATCTTCTTTGACCTTCCAGATTTGGGAAAGGTGGTTTTATTCGCTCTGCTGGTTGGTTACGACATTCGCAACGGCCTGTGCCGCGTACTCTCGAGTCCCGAAGGGCATCGAGGTGGCGCGGCCTTTGACGCAGCATGCAAGCATGACAGCAAGGTTGCAGGAAACTATCGAATACATATATCGCACCTCGCCCGTAGACCTAGCACTACCTACGTGACCTGGAATCCCAGCCCTGACGAGTCCCATCAAACTTGTTGCAGCGGTGGGATAATTAGCTAGGTAGGTATGGAGTTTTCCGGGTGCCCCGACGACGCATCGCTCGGCCCGGCCGTGCAGGGCTGTCGCGGCAACTTCGACTTCACGCTCAAGTTCGAGAAGATCTTCTTCGCCCTGATTCCAGCCTCCATCTTCATTGCCGTCTCGGTGTCTCGCATCGTCTATCTTACACGTCGGCCGCTTCTCGTCGGCGGTGCTCTGCTACGAAGCGTAAAAGTGGTAGGTTGCTGGCCATGTGACTCTGTGAATCCATCGAGACTGTGGAGAGAGATGCGTGGCTAACCGGATGACTCTTCAAGGCCGCGGCGCTTGTATACAGTGTTGTCCAGCTATGTCTGCTCGTGCTGAGCACCACGAGATCACTGAAATATGGCATGTTTTTCATCCCGGCCGCCGCTGTGACGTTTGTCTCTTCCCTCTCCATGATATGGCTGTCGCTGCTGGAGCACTCGCGGTCTCCTCGGCCGTCCATGCTCCTGAATGCATATCTCTTCCTCACAATCCTCCTCGACGTGGCCCAGACTCGGACGCTGTGGCTGGCATCAGACAATTTCGATGAAGTCACCTTTACGCGGTTGTTCACCGCGGGCGTGGCTACCAAAGCAGTCCTCGTCTTGCTCGAGTCTCGGCACAAGACGAGATGGGTCGTCAACTGGGACGTCAAGCAGCACAGCCCAGAGGAGACCACGGGGCTCTACGGCCTCGGCGCCTTCTTCTGGCTCAACAAGCTGTTCGTGACGGGGTACCGCAAGCTCTTGACAATGGACGATTTGTTTCCGCTGGACCGCGCCATGGCCTCGGAGGCGCTGCTCGCCAAGCTGGCAGGCCGCCTGGATGTCTCGCGCATCCGGGGCCAGGACTACGGCTTGGCAAAGGCTCTCGCGAGAGGGCTGGCTGTGCCCCTCCTGCTTCCCGTTGGGCCGCGGATCGCGCTGACTGCTTTCCAGTTTTGCCAGCCGTTTCTCATCGAAACTCTGCTGAATTATCTGGGGCGCCCGGAGGAGGAATCCCCGCAGAATACCGGCTATGGGCTTATTGGCGCAACTATCATCGTTTACTCTGGAATTGCGATATCGGGCGCTTTCTACTGGTGGGTTATCCGCCCTGGCTTGAAACAGGAACTTGCTCTAACAAGTGTATTCAGGTACTTTCAAGAACGAGCAATGTACATGGTACGAGGGGTCCTCGCCAGTGTCATTTATGACAAGACAACGGAAGCTAGCGCCTCCGCATCGGACAACTCAGCCTCCATCACACTGATGAGCAGCGACGTGGAGCGCATCATACGAGGCTTTCTCGGCCTGCACGACTTTTGGTCCAGCACGATCGAGGTTGCCCTGGCATGCTGGCTGCTCTACCGTCAGATCGGCGCGTCCTTTGTTGCTCCCTTAATCGTTGTCGCGTGTTGCATCCTGTGCATCGCCTTCTTGGCGAGATTCATGGGGCCTCGGCAAAAGCAGTGGATGGAGCTGATCCAGAAGCGTGTGGGCCTCACCAGCAACACCATCAGACAAATGAAACACATCAAGATATCGGGACTCGCCGGCCCGGTGGAGGAGTCGATCCAGAAGATGCGCGAGGACGAGCTCAGGGCCGGAAGCAGGTTCCGAGGCCTGGCCGTCGTCTTCGTTCTCATCTCCTTCGCGCCCGCCCTCCTGTCGCCCACCCTGACTTTTGCCTTTGCGGCCAAGTCGCTGGACACGACATTGATTTTCACGTCCATATCCTATATCATCCTCCTAGCCAACCCGCTTACGACTCTTTTCCAGACGGTTCCCGGCGTGGTTGCCTCGTTTGCCTGTTTGAGTAGGATCCAGGCATACCTAGAGACGAAGTCCCGGTTCGACTTCCGAGAGGAAGAAGGGCTGTCGTCATCACCACGAACTGGCTCGTCTGGTTCAGCAGAAAAGGCATCCAAGGGTAAGGACAAGGCTAGCCATCCGGCTCCGGGGATGAAAATCACCGGTGGAAACTTCGGATGGAAGTCGGGCGGCCATAATCTTAAGAACCTCAACCTCGAGATAAAACCCTCGCAGCTCACGATTGTTGTTGGCCCAGTCGCATCGGGCAAGTCAACACTCTGCAAAGTCCTGCTCGGCGAAGTACCCATAGCCGAGGGACGTGTTATTATGGGTCGAGCCCCCTCTTGGAAGATCGGGTACTGCGACCAGAATCCGTATTTGACCAACGCAACGATCCGAGAAAACATTGTTGGATTCTCGCCTTTCAACGAGGGCCGATACAACGAAGTTATTAATGCTACTGCCCTGCAGCCGGACTTGGCCCTGTTCCCTCGGGGCGACAACACCAAGATCGGAAGCAACGGGATCACGCTGAGCGGGGGGCAAAAGCAGCGCGTGTCCATGGCGAGAGCTCTGTACCTGGACTCGGACTTCTTGGTCTTTGACGACATCCTCAGCGGCCTGGACGCCGACACCGAGGAGCAGGTTTTCCGCCGCGTTTTCTCCCCCGGGGGCCTTCTCCGCCGCAGAAACGCGACGACGGTTCTTTGCACGCATTCTGTACGGCACCTGCCCCTGGCGGACCACATTATTTCTCTCGGGCCAGACGGGAGTCTTGTTGAACAAGGCAGCTTCGGCGAGCTCATGGCCAACAAGATGTACGTGTCGAGTCTAGGCGTCAAGGAGACTGGCGGCACGAGACCAGATGGGGATGCCATCCACGCAGATGACATGGACAAGCCCACTCCGTCGGAGGTTCTGAACACAAATGTCACCGCTCCTAGTAGCGACGAGGCAGAGAACGAGCCAGAGAGGATGGTGGGTGACACCACCGTCTACCGCCATTACTTTGCGAGGATCGGGGTTGTGACTAGCACTTTGCTGTTCGGGTTCGCCTTTGCCTGCGCCTTCTTCGCCAACTTCAGCACCATCTGGGTTAAGTTCTGGACCGAAGACCTCGGGCACAGCCCCCCGGAACACTCCAACGCCTATTACAACGGCCTGTACGGCCTGTTCCAGGTGACCGCGCTCGTCTGCCTCTACGTCGCCGCCTACGTGGGCTTCACCGTCATGATCTTCGAGTCGGGCCGAGCCCTGCACCACGAGGCGCTGCGCACCGTGATCGGCGCGCCGCTGAGCTTCTTCACAGAGACGGACACGGGTGTCGTCACCAACCTCTTCTCGCAGGACATGACGCTCATCGACGGCCAGCTGCCAATGTCCCTGGTCAACGTCGCGCTGTACATGTTCAACTGCGTCGGCATGGCCGCCATCATCGCCACCTCGTCGCCGTATCTCGCCATCACGTACCCTTTCCTGAGTGCTATTCTGTACGGCATGCAGAGGTTCTACCTGCGCACGTCGCGGCAGATCCGGTTGTTGGATCTCGAGGCAAAGAGCCCCCTGTAGTAAGTCGCAGTCTTTTTCATCTCTATCTCCCCGTCTTATCTACCACTCTCTCCCTTCCTCATCCGCTCAGGATGAGACACAATGCTGACACGACACCACCCCTAGCTCGCACTTCATCGACACCATCAAGGGGATCACCACGTTCCGCGCGTTTGGCTGGGTGCCGCAGGGCGTGGCGCGGAACCACATGCTGCTGGACGACTCGCAGCGGCCGGCGTACCTGCTGGCCATGATCCAGCGGTGGCTGGGCTTCGCGCTGCAGATGGTCGTGGCGGCGCTGGCCTTTTCCGTCGTGACGCTGGCCACACAAACGCGCTCCGACACGGCCTTCACCGGCGCCGGCCTGATCGCGCTCATGACGTTCGGCGACTCGCTGAGCTACATCATCATCTTCTACACGCAGCTCGAGACGTCCATCGGCGCCGTCAGCCGGCTCAAGACGTTCAGCGACAAGGTCGAGCCCGAGAGCCGAGAGGGCGAAGACACAGTCCCGGCGAGCGACTGGCCGCTGAAGGGCGGGATCCAGATCCGTGGCGTTTCGGCGTCGTATGGGTAGGTCGACTGGAGGCTGTGATTCCTTTGACTCGGATGTAATGTGTGCTAACGGTTGCGTTTTGCGATTATGTCTGTCCAGCACTCCCAAGCGTGTATCCGCTCCTCTGAGCGATTCCAGTGCAGATAGTGTCGCGAGCGTCGCAGCTGGCGCCGAGCACGCGGCAGATTCCCAACAACTGGCCCTCGTAGACTTGAACCTGGACATCGCGCCAGGCGAGAAAGTCGCCATCTGCGGGCGCACGGGAAGGTAAAACACCTCCCCCCTCCCCCCCCTCCTCTCTCAATTATATTCTCCCCTTGAGATATGACAAAGTAAATTCGCTAAAAACGAATGGCAGCGGCAAATCCTCCACAATCCTCCTCCTGCTCCGCCTCCTCGACCCGCTCCCCTCATGCAGCCAGAACATCACCATCGACGGCACGCCGCTGCACAAGATCGACCGCTCCACGCTGCGGCAGCGCATCATCGCCGTGCCGCAGGACCCCGTGTTCCTGCCCGACGGCACATCCTTCCAGGCCAACCTCGACCCGCTCGGCCTGTCAACGGCCGCCGAGTGCCGCGCCGTGCTCGAGGCCGTCGAGCTGTGGACGTCGCTCGTCGACCCCCCTGTCCGCGGCGGCGGGCCGGGGCTGGCGGGCCCTCTGGCGGCCGACGCCCTCTCGCAGGGCCAGAAGCAGCTGTTCAGCCTGGCGCGCGCGATCCTGCGGCGCCGCATCCGCGCACGCACACGCGTGGGTGGCGACGGCGGCGATAGCGGTATCCTGCTGCTCGACGAGGTCAGTTCGAGCGTTGATAGAGGTACGGACCGTGCCATGCAGCAGATTATCAAGGACGAGTTTGCGGGGTATACGATTGTTATGGTAAGCCACCGCCTCGATGTGGTGATGGACTTTGACCGTGTCGTGGTTATGGACAGCGGCCGGATTGTCGAGACGGGCCCGCCAAGGGACCTGGTTGAGTTGGAGAGCTCGAGGTTTGGGGAGCTGTGGATGATTGGGAGTGAGAGCAGAGGGAAGTGAGAGCAGAGGGAAGTGAGAGCATAGGGAAGTGAGAGCAGAGGGAAGTGAGGGCAGAGGAAAGTGAGAGCAGAGGAAAGGCTTGAGGTGTGTGTTGTTCGTTGAGCGTCGAAATGTGAAGAGAGTGGGGAATGGAAAAACTCGAGATGGTTGGTTGAATTAGATAATATAGATCCTGAAAGTTCATTAGCATGCATGGTGATGCATATAGGCCATTTCACTTTGGTGATAGGTCTAGAATAACTATGAGAGTCACTCCTAGAGTAGACGAGAGAAAAGAAACATAGGCCCTGAAAATGTACAGCGAGAATCCACTTCTCCCTGTAGCAGTATTTGCAAAAAGAAGAGATGAATTTCTGCTGACTTGACTCTTGATGGCTAATGCCCGTGCAATTTGGCCTTGTGTGTGCACTCGAACGGTATCTGGTACCTGTTCCAAGGCGCTGTCAGCCACCATCTCACCGCCTCTTACTTAACCTTAGTCTTGGGTTTGTTCCGAGTAAAGAAGTGCTGCAGCCTAATTAACTAACGGCGAAGATCTATGCTGTTCCAGAATCTACTTTTGGCTCACTCCTGGAGCCCACAGATTAGCCTTTTGGTGTGGGCTTCAACCAATTACCCCAGCCCCTAAACGTCTGTTAGTTTAGTTATCTGGGGCTGAAATTGTTCAATACTTGTTCCATGACAGTGATTTGAGCTGGAACTGCGGTACTGTTACGTTTCTTTACTCGACTTTATTCTACTAAAATCGATTCGTTGTAATCCTATTATGAGTGCTTCGAGGTATCGCGCGAACGAACGTTTAGGGGCTGGGGTGTGATATGGATTCGGAGATTGTTTTTGATTCATAGAAATGCTTGACGATTACAAGAACAATGAGACCGGCAAGAGCACGATGGATGAAGCACGGTGCTTTTGATGGCCATACACTGTCACTATTCATGGCCTGGGCCCGCCAAAGTGAAGCCATAAGCCTTGGCATTGCTCTCGGAGTTTTGAGCCCGGTTTATTGAAGGCTTCTCGCAGTTGACCAGCTGGGAGCTGAAAGTCGGTTGACAGCCATTGGTAGGCGAAATGCCAACCATTCCCAGTCCAGCATAGGCCGAATGCACGGCCGTCTGCGGCATCTGGGTCTAGGTCTAGCGGCACGCACGGCGTTGATACGGGCCCTCGACAGCTGAATTAGAAAGCAGACGACCGGAAATGGTGGTCAATATTCTAGGCTGGCTGAGCGGCCCTTTCGGTAGCCTGGCGTGGCTTTGGGAAAATCGGGCCTGGTTGGGGGGCGTCACCCGAGACATTCGTTGCAAATAACTTCGGTGCCTCCGAGGAGTTGCTATCGGCAGCGCTCGGAAGCCGGGCGAGCGAAGAGTTTTTAACGTTGGCCGAAGCGGCGCAAACTCAGGCGCGGCGAATTTTTGAGGAGGGGTACTTACCTTGAGTGGTGGCACCCGTGGAGGCGGTTCCACACAGACACAGATGAGACGCAGACTTGTTCGGCAGGGACCTGCGAAGGGATCCTGGATACCTAAATCTATATAACCGTAAATCCTCTGCAGCGCGTCCAGGCTTCTTCCATGTCAGGTGCCGTCATTCCCGGGTTGTGGCATGGTACGCCAGGGGAAGAACAATGGGATCTTCGGACCTGCATTCACCACCCTGGCGCTGTCACATTCCAACCTGGTAGGAATGTGGCTTCCCAGGCCTCGCAGGGCTTGCCTTATCCTGGCGGTTCAGCCCATGGCGGCCATGTGGCGCCGATTGTTCTGCTGGCCCTAGTCAAAGTGGCGCGGCCCTTCCGAATTGAGCGCGAAAAACTGAACGCGAAAAACTGAACCGGCCGGTGAAAAATTCCAGCGAGACCCCCACGCCCGGTCACCCCTAGCTCCTTGCCCAAAGCTGCCCAGTGCGCAGTCCACCCATGCACCACAACAGCATCTCCGCACCAAATGCGCTTCCCCGCAACCTTGCTCCCAACGAAGCCAATTGCCCCGTGGCCAGGGCTGGGCACATAGTTGGGCGTGAATGAGAGGAGATGAAAAAAGTAAAGAGAAAAGAAAAGAAAAGAAAAGAAAAGAAAAGAAAATCCATGATGCCCAGTCTGTCCACATCGTTTCTCTAGAATTTCGTTTCGGAGCAAATTTTGTGTTCCTATGATGGAAGACGTGCATCCCCTTGATCACGCTGGTAATTGATTGACGGGTCTGCGCTGGCAGTCGACGCGGGGTGGGAGATGAGCGTGGGGGTTCTGGGCCGTGTGGGTCTGGGCGAGTCTGGGGAAGCTGCCCCGCTGTCGAGCACGGTCGAGCTATTTTCTCCATCCTCCTGCGGGACTCGAGTGTCTACCCCAGACCGACCTGACCAAGTGCATCCATCCATTCGTTCGATTGTAAAAGCTCCAGACCAACACGATGGGCACCTCATCCACCGCCATGCTCTGGACGAGCGCGGAATAGCGATACCTATTACCTAGCAGTGGAGAGCCAGCAACCCTACCTTAGGTGCGGTACACACCTAACTGTTTACAGCGCTGGGACCCGCTCTCTCCGCTCCCGCTCGCTCGCCGCCCGATGAGCTTTCTCCCTGTCGAGTTAGGCGCGGCAGCGGCCTCTCTCTCGCCACGCGCCATTATCCATTATTAATTCCCTCCCGCAGAGAAGAGGAGGATGAATCTAGGCTCGCCACGGCCATGGCAACCCAATCGCCCTCCAACGGCTATGGCGTCTCTGCGGCTGACCGGTACAAGCGCGCCAGCCGCAAGGGCGCGCCGCGACGCTTTAGCTGTGACTTCCCCGGCTGCGACAAGCTGTACTCGAGGGCCGAGCATCTCCAGCGGCACCAGCTAAACCGTGCGCTACCTTTCTTTTCCCTACCTTGCTGCTGTTACCTTGCTGCTGTTGCCTTGCTGCCGCCCGCCGCCGCTGACCAATGCCCCAGATGAGCCCAAGGAGATCTTCCGCTGCGACGTGGCTGGCTGTGAGCAAAAGTTTGTTCGCGCCGACCTCCTTGCCCGCCATCGAAAGCGCCACTCTGCCTCTTATATCCCCCGGAACCGCATGCCCAGCTTCGGCGCCCCCAAGGACTCGTCGCCTTCCGCCCCTGCCAGCGCCGTCGTCTCTCCTACCGCCCCCGCCGAGCCCCGTCCGACCTTCGTCAGCGCCCCTCACGACGCCGCCATCCTCTTGACCCCCAACCCGAGCAACCACCCGCCGCCCCCGGCCCTGCACTTGCCTCCGCCGCCCTCGGCACTGCCGAATCCCGCACCCGCCAGGATGAACCACCCACCCGGCTGGCCGCCGCATGCCCACCTGCCCGACATGGCCCCGTGCAACATCATCCGACCCAAGCCCGGCTACTACTCGCGTGAGGGCCCCCGACTTGCAGAGCAGCCTTCGGTCGTGCCTTACCACAGCGTCGAGTTTCCGCACGACGAGATATCGCGTGAGAACTTTGCCGTCTGGCTGTTCAACCCCCAGGCCTCGTACGCCGACTTCAGCGTCTCCAACCTGCCGTTCATCGACGGCGGTCTCGAGTCGACGCTGAACAATAACATCCACTACGACTACGAGTCCTTGACCAGCAGCCGGTCCCAGCTCGAGACCCCGCCCAGGTTCGTCGAGAGCGACGAGCTCATCGGCGAGTTCCGTCGCCAGGAGGTCATACGCTGGTTCGGTTCGTTCCGCCAGAAGCAGCCCAAGTCCGAGCCGCTCATCGCCAACATTGTCCAGGACGGCGGCGGCGACCTGCCGGCGCTGAACGTGGAAATGATGCGGGACTGCCTGCAAGAGTACTGGGAGCATGTGTCGCCTAGACTTCCCATTGTTCATCAGCCCACCTTCTCCTGCAACCGCTGCTCCATATTTCTCCTCATGGTCATGATAGCCCTGGGAGCTGCGTCGCTACGCAGCAGGGACTCGAGCGGCAATCTTTCCGACTACGGAGGCTTCGCCGACGTCCTCATCTCAGGCGTCAGATGGGAAATAGTGACGGCCGAAGAGGCGTCGCCGCCCGTCGGGCTCTGGGTTGCCCAGGCCCTCCTCCTCCTCGAGTTCTACGAGAAAATGTACTCGTCCCGAAGGCTTCACGAGCGCGCACATATCTACCACTCGGTGGCCCTGACGCTCCTCCGACGGGGAAGCCCTCTGATCGGTCGGTCGGGAAGCGAATCGCCCCCGGAAGTGGCCTCGGCGGAGCATCCGCACGGTGTCGGTCTCGATTCCCGCACCTGGTGGAGCCGATGGGCCGAGACGGAAGCCATGCATCGCGCTGTTTTTGGGCTGTTCATGCTCGACATCATCCACGCCGCCATGTTCGGCCACGCCGCGGACATGGCTCCCCATGAGATTCGGCTGCCCCTTCCCTGTGACGACAATCTCTGGACGGCGTCGAACCCGGACATGGTGCGGCAGCTGGACCAGAACCTGCGCATGTATGGCGTAAAGACCATATCTTTCCTGGACGGGCTGAAGCGAGCGCTGCACGGCAAGCCCGTCAAGACGCACAGCTTTGGCCGCATGATCATCATGTCGGGCCTCCTCAGCGTCGGCTGGCACCTCAGCCACAGAGAGGCGCACCTCAAGTGGTTGGATCTAACGACGCAGCCCGCGGATGCCCAAGACAATTGGAAAAGGATATTGCTCAAGTCCTTTGATGACTGGAAAGCGAGTTTCGACGAGGCGCAGGGCATAATGGGAAGCCCGACTCTCGCCGACCCCTCGGGCCAGCGCTCGGACTCCAACGGCCCCATACAGAGCGCTGCCGTCCTTTACCATCTTGCCCAGATCAGTCTGCATGTGGACATTGTCGACTGCCAAGTCTACGCTGGAGCGAGGCGGCTGCTGGGAAGAAAAGTTTCTGTCCGCGACTACGCCAATGTCGTAGCGCGGATGAGGAGCTGGGCGGCCCTGTCTTCGACCAGACATGCTGTGCTGCATGCCTTCAAGCTTCTACACCGGGTGCTTGTCGACCCGCGGCGAAGCGCGAGCGAGCGGGTGGCGCAGACTGCTGGTGGCGTCAAGCTGCCCCCCATCGAAGTCCAGTCGTACTCTTGCCGCAACGAGCCAGACCCGCACCGGCCCTGGATCATGTATTACGCTGCCCTGTGTATCTGGTCATTTGTTCGCGCCCTAAGCCGGCACGATTCTCTCCAGGAGCCGCCAATTCCATCCCAGGGCCCGCTCCGCCAGACGAAGCCGCTTCCCGTCAACTTCCGCCGTGTTGTCGCATATCTCTCCAATATTGCAACCCTTACCGAGCTGTCCGAGCAGGCCGCCATGACCCTGGAGGACGGCTTGTCGGATCTCCTCGATGCGCTCCACTCAATCTTTGCCGAGGCGCACTCCGAGTTACTCCAAGAAGCGCATGTCCGGATGAAAGTGTGCAAGGAGACGCTAGCCGCCCATCCGGGATGAGACTTGGCTCGTTTGGTTCATGCAATTCCGACGGAAGGAGGCGGCGGACTGGTACCGGTGCTCTCAACCATCCGGCTTTGCGCCGCGATGGCCACCGTCCAGTGCGTGCCGACTCCATGACTGCGTCGACTGCACTGCCACGACGATAAAGGGGATGGCCTGCCCGACAGCTCGAACTATAGCTTCAGGTTATAGTATCTTGTTGCGGACGATACGCAGCCGAGGTAGCTGCATCTCGCAATAATCTGAGCCCCATGGCCGGGGCACTTCAACAGTCGGGCCCGATGCTGATCAACTACACCATGACACGAAGCCGGCGCGTCGTGGAGTAGCTGATGCCCGCGCAAGCCAGCCGCCACGGCTGGCAGGACGTGGCTTGCTCCCTTGCGTGACAAGGGACGCTCAGATTTCCAAAGTGCCGGTGGCATTGGCATAACGCGCGCTTGAACTAGAATAGGCGGCCTGCATTGTGGTGGCGCAAGAAGAAGCTGTTGAGCTTCTCGTTGCTTCGAACGAGCGACTTGATACGGGAGCAATGGGGGCTGCGAGTATCAAAATGGAGTCTTGCGTTATAAGGCCCTCGGTCGCGAGCATTAATTATCACGAACATATTACCTTGCCCAGAATCCTCAAATAAAAGTCATATATCACAGTGCAGCCACAATAGTTTGGCCAAATGGCCAACTCTGACGTGTTTCGGGGAAGCCACTGAGGCTGTGTTGTTCGTGGTCCTCGCTGGAGCCTTGCTGCGGGTCGTCTGTCTTCCGTTTGTTGTGTTCCGTTTGTTGTCTTCCGTTTGTCTCTTAACCTTTATCTCCACGAGACTTTCGTCTCCAATTCCTAACACATGCCGTCAAGTCAACCGCTATTTCGTTTACGCATATTTTGGCGGCGTGGGAGATTTTGTCTGAGTATTGACCAAAAACCTACTACTCATTGTCCCCAACGACAGATGTGGCTTCTCTTCTAGTATCAGGATCGTGGTTTTCTATGCAAGAGAACAAGCCTGAGGGAGAAGGTAATTAATTAGGTGTGTTCAGGCCCAAGGTGGAGTAATTGGCCCTGGGAAGCCCCTAACTTGCACAATGTTGTCGCGGAGCTTAGCCCTCGTCTCGTCGCCTTTCCCAACCTGAGCCCCGTGTAAATTGTAATTAGCACTTCGACTTTGAACGCTGGCGCCTTGAGCAGCCGATATCAGAATCAACATGACGGCACGATCTTCAAGAGGCAGCCGGGAATGGAGTATTGCTGGGAAAGGCTCGTGTATGCGGCCCTGGCGCAGTAGGAAGAATATGGCGGAGAAGCGGTGGAAGCTTCGCTTTTAACAAAGCCACCAAAACAAACCCAAGGCGAGCCACAAAGGTAGGGGAAATCATATCAGGTAGTTAATATATTGAACGGCGGCGCGGGCTCGTACGCAAGTCCGGGAGGCCTAGGTATTAGTGAAAACAATCGGGATTTCTTCTAAAACTCAGGAGAAAGAGAAAATGAAAGTCCCCCCGTCATGTGAAAAAGGGCGAGCCAACCTCTTTATGTAGGGCGGTTGGCAAAGAAAGAAAAGGAGCATTAGATTACAATAGGTTAGGGGCATAATTATAATCAACCCCTTTCCTAGGCCATTTATACCCGCGCTAATGGGCTCTGCTAGAAATAGACCTAATCGCACACATGAGTTGGGAAAGAGATAGGGAGATAGGGCGTTGTAGATTAGAGATTGAGAGAAAACTTAATGTAGCCGACGGCTACACCAAATCCGCAGCCCACTACACACTCTCCCGGGTATCCCAATTCACCAACCTCCATAGACTAGAAGGCTCGTGACACTGACCTTACCGAAACCATGCTGGCGTAAGAGCTCCCGTCCGCGGTAAAGCGGGAGCTCAGCCACAACCAAGACGCTGACTCGCTCTATATTGACACCGGCCTTCTGCAACAGCTGCAGCACCGCGCACAGGGTCCTGCCCGAGGCGAGGACGTCGTCGATAACAACGACCTTCACGCCCGCCGGCACCGCATCCCTCTCCATCTCTAATATCCCCCTGTCAACCCGACCGCCTCTACCACTACGATCCGAACCACTAGAGAAGACGTGCGACGCCGGCTTTTCCACGGACACAGTCGGCGGCGGCAGCCGCCCCGCCGCGCGCACAGGGACCAGCGGCAGCTCAAAGTGCGGGTCCAGCTGCATGACGAGCGCAGCCGCGAACACGAACCCGCCGGCCTCGGGGGCCACGACGGCGCCTACACCGCCAGACGACAGGAACAGGTGCCGCTGCAGCAGCGTGGCCACCAGCGGGATCCCGCCGGGCGTCTGGGACACGCCCAGCACGTTGCGGAACGCCACACCGGCGCGCGCGGGAACCCGCCCGTGCTGGTCACCATGCCGGCGAGCTTGGCGAGGTCGTCGTGCAGTAGCGGCAGCAGCTGCGCGGCGGCGAAGCTTCCCACGGCGGCGGCGTTGTCGCGCTTGTCGTTGGCGAACGTGGACGCCGGCCGGTAGTTTTCCCCGGCGGCATCGGTAAAGGATGACGCGTCATCGGATATGCGTGCGGGACTGTCGTCGGTGCTCATGGGCTCGTCGTCGATGTAGATTGGGTTTTGCGCACTGTTCTCCTGCTGGTTCTTGCCCAGGCTGCGGCGCGCGAGACGTGTCGTCTCGGCCGCCGTCACGCGGATGTCGACGACGCGGCTGTGGCACGCCAGGTGTGCGAACGCGGCCACCGGCGCGGCGTCCCGCATGCCCGTCACCAGCAGCACGTCGACGTCGGCGTTGCCGCACACGACGTCCTGGAAGCGCTCTGCGGGCAGCGCGGGCCGCTGCTGGACCTGCTGCCTGAATAGCGCGCGCGTCCATCGCCACGCGGTGCTGTTTCTTGTAGCTGCGGTCGGCTAGGAGGCGGTCGTAGTCAGCGCCTGAAGCGGTGGCGTACTCCCTCTTGAACGCGTCGCTGATGCTGGCCACGCGTGTCTTGAGACGCCGCTGCGAGTTGTTGTGCGGGTTCGTCAGCCGCTTGGCCCAGATGGCTGCGCAGTAGTCCTTGCCGGCGCCGCTCTCGCCCGTGACGAGGATGATGAGCTTGGGCGTCCTGAGGTGTAGACACGTGTAGGCGAGCGTGTCGTGCGGGTCCAGGTGGCTCCTGATGCGGGCCAGGCGCCGCAGGTTGGGGCCGAAGGCTCGAACGGCCAGGGGGCCGTCCCGGGGGTCGGGGCCTAGGTCGGCGCTGTCCACGCCCTGGCTGATGGGCAGCAGCGTGTTGACGGCCTTGTACACCCAGTCCTCGGCGGCTTGGGCTGCGTCGGTCCCATCGTCGTCGTCGCCGTCGCGCGGCCACACGCAGTCACGACACAGGCAAAGTCCCAGTCGCGGCAGCTAAAGGCGGTTGCGTCGGCCGCCACCTGGCTGATCGCTTGGCCACCCTGGACCAGGTGGAGGTAACAGAGCGGCGAGGGGCGAGATTTGATGGCCGAAAGCAGCGCGCGGGTCACGACCGAGGCATTGATGTGCTTGAGGAACACGCAGCGCTCGAACGAGCTCGTCTTTACGCGGCCGCGCACGGCAGCACCATGTACATGCTCGTATCGAGCACGCCGACGCCGTCGACAACCGTGGTGGCGGAATCGGGCCCCAGCACTCTGTCGAGGGTGCGGTGGGTGTCGGTGCCAAAGGTGAGGAACTCCGTGTTGGACTCGGTCACGGTGACGCCGATCTGTAGCTTGCCCGCTTCGCTAAATATGACGGCGTCGGCCGAGAAGTTGCGGGGCAGTGTCCGAGCGACGAGGGCGTCGAATTTCCCGATGTGTCGTTGCGCCTCGCGCTCGTTGCCCAGCGGCACGAGCCAGTTCCGCACAGAGTACTTGGGCGCTGGGCAGGTCTTGAAGATGATGCTCACGACGATGAACATGTGGGTGCCGGCGCCCTTGATGGCCCAGAGCATGTCGTCGTCCATCGCGGCTGTTTCGGCAGGCATGGACAGGGGCGGCTTGCAGCGGACGGGAACGGGGCCGACGCAGACGACGTTGCCCGTCTGCACGTCAACCACGATGGCGCTCTTGATGGCGTCGCACGCAAGCCCGTGCATGCGGGCCAGGTGGCTAATGCCACCCTGGAGCCAGAGTCCGGCGCCCACGCTGGGCCGAGAGCTAAGAGGAACCGAGACGCCCGCGGCCATGGCTGCGCTGATGATGTCGCCCGTGGTGCAGCCAGCCTCGACGAGAATATCAAGATGTTCCTGCTCTTTCTCTTCGCCATCTCTCATCACGACATCTTCATCTCCATTCCTCTCGTCTTCATTCCTCTCGTCTTCATTCCTCTCGTCTTCATCGTCGCCACTGAACTCTACGGACTTGAAAATCTCGATCCTCTTCAAACCTGACATGTCTACAGCGACCACGCCAGGCGCAACACAGTGGCCGCTGTGGCCCCCGCCGATGACAGTCAAACTCAAGCCGTGCCTCACAGCCCAGCGGACCGTGCAAGGAACCTGGACGATCTCCACGGGCCTGGCCACGGCAGCGGGGCGAATGCGGCTCGCCTGGCGGTTCTTGACGGGGAGATCGCCCAGCACGAGGGGCACCAGGTCCGCCAGCTCGAGCAGCGGGTCGACGAGCTCCGGCGGGGCGAGCAGCGGCGTGGCTCGGCGCGTGAAGACGGCCATGCGGGCAGGCGAGCCAAAGACGATTTCGTTGCGGAACGGGCTGCCCGGGCAGCTCATGTCGCGGCACAGGCAGCGCCACTGGGCGCGCAGGGCGGGGCTGTCGACAGCGAACCCGGCCACGAACGCCGCGAAGCGGTCCAGCGCCTCGTTGCCCTTGTTAGCGTCCTGCGCATCGTCCCTCCCCTTGGCCACGGTGATGAGGCCTGCCGTGAACTGCTCTGTGCGTTGGCACACGCGCAGCGGGCCGCGCAGCGCCACGTTGTCGCGGTGGAAGATGATGACCATGGGGCTCGCTGGCTCGGGCTCGCGCGACGGGTCGGCGCCGTCGACAGAAACGTCGGCGACGCTCTCAGACGCGTTGCCGTGGTCGTCGCTCAGCATGCCTAGGGCTTGCCGGAGCAGCAGGGGGCGTTGTTTCATGCCGTACATGCCGTGACCGAACAGGACGACGTCGAAGTTGTCGTGCTTGGGGAAGTCGGCGTTGAGAGCGAAGGGGGTTTCGCGGATGTCGGGCGGGTGCTGGAGATGCGGGAACAGCACGCGAGGTGGCTCGGGTGCATTATTATTATTATTGTTATCGTTACTGTTATTACCATGGCCCAGGACCTCCAACAGGACCTTCGCGAACGACTTGTTGGGCTCAAAGGCCATGTACCGCGCGACCTTGGATCGCAGCTCGAGCGGGAGGAGGCAGAGAACGCTCTGGGGGCCGGGCGTGATCTCGAGCACCGAGAGGGAACCGCGAGAGCGGGCGAGCGCGCCGACGAGGGTGCAGAGTTGCGGGCCGATGAACTCCCGGTACGTCTCCCGCTCGCCGCGTACCACGAGATTATAGCCGGCAATGGTTTCGGCGTCGGACAGCGGGCGTTGCTCGACGGGCGGGTGGGAAATTTAGCGACGGCCCTAAGCGCGGATTTGAGGGCGTCGATAGTGGCCATCGCGCCAGACAGTGTGGGGCAGCTTTGGTTGTTGTTTGCGAGAAAGTTGAATTGTGCGAGTGGATGAGCAATCATATACCAGGTTCACGGAGGAGATGGACTGTGGAAAGAATTTGCAGGCTGGGAGAAATTACAGGTCCCCGCGACGAGACGCGTTGCTCCTGCTGCACTGATGCCCTGGTGACTAGGTAGGCAGGTACACGGCCGGCTATGGGAAGAAAGGAGGAGATTAAGTTCCATGTGTGCAAGGATGAAAGCCCAAACTTTATGAAGCTTGCCTGCCTGCTTTGGCCAGGTAATATTGTTTGCAGGAGCGGCAGCATGCTTTATATTGTTTCAGAACACACAGAATATATGTTGCGGGAGACGGTCTTGTGCGACTCCTAAAACTGGAGGCTTCCAGCATCGAGAGGGAATCGCATGGTGCAGAAGAATGGGGGTTGTAGCTTATTTTCTCCCAGAACGTACGTCTTGTTCTCTTCCCACAATATCTAAGTTGTGGATGAACAGTTGTGTTTCATTGAAGAAGGCGGGGACGACTGGGGTCTATTTCACTGCCCGACCTACCGTGGTCCCATGTGGGTAGATGATGGCTTTGCTTTGTGGTGTGGTCACTCCGAGCGTGCATACAAAGTGCTTGCACTACTTTGTAAATATAAAGGTGGCGTGCGTCTGCTCTCAGCCCCATAAAAACACGCCATATCCGATGGCCAAGATGCGCTCTACCACGTAGTGAGGCTATGTTTCTCTCTATCGCGATAGGGACGGTTGCCTTAGCGCACGCTTTTCTCCTCTGGGCCTATAGCTTGCATTGGTTGGTTCTCATTTAAATGAGTGACTACGGCACATCCCCGTTTTTACCTGAACTGATTTACTGGGGCATTTACTCGCCGGACGGATCTCTACATACACGAAAGAAAGGGAATATGTTCCAAGACATCTCACCTGGAGCTCATACTGTTAATGTCGCCCACTTTTGAGCCACTTTTGAGCCCATTGTCAAACCACATACCTGCATATCCCTCCAAACACTGCATATATCTTCATTCGTGACTTTCAGCCCTGATCCTCTTTTCCGGGCTCCCGGACTTCCGAATGCCCTCTTTTTTCTCCCTTGCTACGGCTGAGTCCCTTACGTAGTACGACTGAACAGACTGTTGAACCAGGTTTCCTTTGTCCTTTTCTTGGAAGCATAAAAGGCCTTTTCTGTATTAATAGATTGGATTCAGACAGACAATTCAGACAGACAATCCAGACCCTTCAAGCCACTGTCAACTTTAATCACGGGCCAGAGTTAAACTACGTGTTGTAGCCAGGCGGAGCGGAAGCGGTAGCGTGTGCGGGGAGCCAATTGCAGCGTAGATCGCAGGGAACTATGCCCTACGGCTTAGGGTAGACTATAGGGAACTATGCCCTACGGTCCAGTACAACAGTGCCTTGTATAGAGCACCGAGGGAAGCAGACCGACTGCTACAGACTTGTATGACTCTGCTACAAGCCTGCCATAGGTCTGTAGAACTTTGCTACAGGCCTGCCACTTAGACTGTGAGGACTCTGCTCAGCAGTCTACCTCGTAGGCTACAGGGACTCTGCCCTGTAGACAGGGTCTTCGGGGGGCAACAGAAGTGTTGAAGAAGACTGAGAGGAGTTGTATTATAGAAGGATTATGGCACAAAGAGTGGTGAGTGCGATGCTTGCTTGCTGACTTGGAAGAAAGGAAAGGAAATCTATCTAAGGAAAGGACAGGCCTTAAATAGATCAGAGGCAGGCCCTCTAGAAGGTTCTAGAAGCCGTAAGTAGTCCTGTGTTCGACAGTCTTCTAGTGGGCTCGTAGGGGGTTCGAGAAGGTGCTGTGGGCCTGGTTGACGATTTGGGTGTAGCGCCCACAACACCAACCACATCAACACCAACCACATCAATACCAACCACATCAATACCAACCACATCAACACCAACCACATCAATACCAACCACATCAATACCAACCACATCAACACCAACCACATCAACACCAACCACATCAACACAACCACATCAACACAACTACATCAACACAACCACCATAGTGCCCTGCAATTTAGGGCCCTGTAGCTATAGTGGCCAGCCATACTTTAACACATACTAACGCCTTGTCGTCGTTGTCCGGATCCTGGGCTAACTTTGTTACATGTGCTAGCTAATGGTGTTTCTTTAAAAGGGCTCTAGCGGTAGATAATCAAGGGGTTTCGCCACAATTAGCTGACGTGTTTTCTGTGTTTAAAATCATTTATAATTACAGATAGCCTATTTGGACCTCGCTTTCGGCATTGTACAGCCTAGTACTCTGAGACGAATCTAGGTACGTGTGGTTTCCTTTTTCGTTCATAGTCCTGAGCTGGGTTGACTGCGTCTGATTTGATCTGAGTTTTCCCTAATTCTCCCTGGGCCAAGGCAATCCATCCTATACACGGCTTATCTCAGCGAGCTCAGACCCTCCTGTCGATTTTTGGGGGCATGTACTTTTTCCACACCACCCGCCGGGCGCCACCTCGGAATACCTAGAGACTGTGCTTGCAGAGATAAGTGATACCCCTTATCACCTTCCCCTTATCACCTTCACACGGCAATGAGCGCGACACTCTTGGCGAGCTGCCAACTTGCGCAGATTAAAACCATTCAGCCTTCCCATAGATGCTAGAAAATTCCAATCCTCCCACAACGCGGTAATTATCACCTAAACTTTCTAGCCTCACTGTGATAATAGGCTTCGAATCCGAGATCACCAAATGCGTACCCTCCATCATCGTTCTTGGCCTTGGAGCAGCTGTTATGACCAGTACTCAGGACTTTCTCTACCAAGTAGCGGCTAAAGTCATTTCTAGGCGGATTGTATTTCGCAAGAGTCCGGGTTTCTCTCACGCACCGTGCCGACAAAGACATATTCACGGATTGCACTGTTGTACACGCTTGGCATGTTTGATCGTAAAAAAAGCGTCGGGTGTGTGGAGCAACGCAACGCTGCCTGGGAGGCAATCCTTCAACGATCGTGCTTTCTTTGTCAGACAATAACACAAACAAGGCGTTTTGTCCAGATTCGGCCGACATGATTACTTACCAGGGCATCGCCCCTGGCCTGTTTTTTCGTGGGCACGTGAAAAACATCGTCACCTTGGCTCACCAAGGTGGGCGTGGAAGTGGATCGATCTGATCTGAGCCTCAAGGATAGACAGGGCCGAAGAGCTATTTGGGAACATCGGGAACCCGAATACCGGCGAGTTTGAGGAGTGGTAAGAAACGCCAAGAAGTTTGCCCCAATCATGGGGAGTTACCTCTTTTATCAGGCCGTTACACGAACTGCAGGGCTTTGTGCGCCTGAAAGCCTGAAATAGACGAATACCTTATAACGGTGGCTAGGCTGAGAACTTTAAAATCCGCAGACCCGAGTCTGGGATTCGAGTCCAATCGGCAGAGAATTGATTTGTCAACGTAATCATTAATCTCAAGGACAACGACAAATGTTGACCCTCTGAGGTGAGCGGGCGGGCGCCTCCGGTCTCCCAAGACGTGCTTCTGGGTCATCTCGTAACTAGATAGTTATAGTCAGCCCTGCCCATGGTGTTGCCATCCACGGTGCCAATTGATGACTCGCTGCCACCTTCTCCCAAGGACATTGACCCCGAAGGCAGGTAAGGTAGGCAAAGGCTCCAGGTTCATCAACCTGGCCGCTCACGGACAAACCAGCATTTGTCGCCGCTGACTGCAGCCAAGTGCTCACTGCTAAGTGCTGACTGAAGAAGGGTCAGCAAGGGTCAGGAAGGGTCGGGATACGACTCGGGATACGACCATCTGCGCCAGCGGCTCGACAATCATTAGTAATTCGGATTGATTCGGCCAGTAAGCGTCATGATTTGGCCATTCTCTGATGACGCGCCACAGGAGGCAGGCCTTGGGTGGTAAGGCAAAAAGGACCTGCCAAGATTGGAATCTCGTAATCCACCAGGTCAACCGACGTTGCGCCAAGACACTGGCTTACGTTGTACACCATCCCATCTCAACATCAGCTCAGAAATCATGGCAGCCTGGCTGAGCAAACAGAGCATGCGCCGTTTGCGAGCAAAAACTCATATAACTGCAGTCAAATCTTGCGGATTAGCTGAGCCTGCAAAATTCGCTACACAAATCTCGACATTATTAGCCCTTTGCCAACCAAGACAGACCTGATCAGTGAATTCATATCGAGATGGGACTGTACGACAAATTGCCTGATGACTTGCAGGAGGTTGACATTATAATTGCCGGAGGTGGGTGCAGGAGATTGCTGCCCAGATCTCGAACAATGGTTGACAACAAACTGCAGGCGGCGCTGCTGGCTGCGTTGTGGCCTCAAGGCTGGCAGCTGCGGATCCAAAACTGTCTATTTTGGTTATTGAGGGAGGCACCAACAACTACAACAACCCTACCGTCACCAATCCGATGCTGTTCGGATACCATCTCGCCCCAACCAGCAAAACTGTCAATGTTTACCAAGCCAAAACAGCACCCCAGCTGGCTGGGCGTGCTCCTGTCGTCCACACCGGAGGCATCCTAGGAGGTGGGAGTTCCGTCAATGTAGCGATGTAGGTCCAACTGGTTCGAGGAGAATGGGTTGTCAAGCGGATACTTACACACGTGCGTGTAGGTACACTCGAGGCCAACGGTCAGATTACGACTCGTGGAAGACACCAGGCTGGTCGACGGATGAGCTCCTGCCGTATTTCAAGAAGGTATGGTTAGCCCAACGGGCCGCACATGAGCTTCGCTGACAGCTGCCCGTATGAAGCTTGAAACGTTTCATGGCGACGGAGACGCTGCCACACATGGCTCTAGTGGCCCTATCCAAATCTCGGACGGCGGCTTCACCGTTGGAAGGGCCAAGGCAGATTTCCTCCAAGCGGCCAAAGCTGTTGGGATCGCCGAGCTGAGGGACATGCAAGACTTTGATGCCAGCGACGGCATGGGAAAGTGGTACCGCTACTCGTCGCCCGAGGGGAAACGCCAGGACTCGGCGCACGCCTATCTCCATCCTCTGCTGCAGGACGGACAGCACCGGAATCTCCACGTCCTGGTGGAGCACAAAGTGCTGCGCGTCTTGCTCGACGAGAAGAAGCAAGCCCGCGGCGTCGAGTTCACCACGAACCCCGCTTATCAGAGCGACGCGGCCCCGACGACGCAACGCAAGCAGACGGTTAGGGCTCGCAAACTCGTTGTGCTCTCGACTGGCAGTGTTGCCACTCCCCTGGTTCTCGAGCGGTCGGGTGTGGGCAGGCGGGAAGTGCTGGAGCGCGCTGGCGTGCCGCTAGTGGAGGAGCTGCCCGGAGTAGGACACGACTACCAGGACCACGTCTTGAGCCCGACGCTGTACGTCACGGCACTGGGGCCGAACGAGACGGCGGACGAGATCATGAATGGAGAGCTGCCTGCCGAAGAGGCCATTGCCAAGAAGAACAAGATTCTGGGGTGGAACGGCATCGATGTCGCCATCAAGATGCGCCCCACCGAGGCCGAGGTCACGGCTCTCGGGCCCGAGTTCCGCGCAGTCTGGGAACGAGACTTCAAGGAGAACACCAACAGACCGCCGAGTCTGGTTCCCTTTTTCAATGGGTAAGTAAGACTGCGAGGTGGGGGCCACGTAGGGGGAAAACCAACAAGAACCAGAAACCTGACAAAATCCAGAAACCTCCTCCCAGTGCCTACGTCCCACGCGCTCCAGTACATCACATGCGCGAACTTCCTCACGTACCCCTATTCGCGCGGCCACGTCCACATCACGGGCCCAGAGCTGGCCGACGCACCAGACTTTGACGTAGGATTCTTCACGGACAAGGGCGATTTCGACCTCAAGATGCAGCGGTGGTCGTACAAGAAGGTCCGAGAAGTCATGCGGCGATCTTACTTCTACCGCGGCGAGCTGGCCGGCGTTCACCCGAGGTATCCCGCCGGGTCCAAGGCAGCGTGCGTCGAGCTCGACAGGCCGCTTGCCGAGGTCCTGGGTGGCGAGATCAAGGACCTCGTGTACTCGGCCGAAGATGACGCGGCGATCGACCAATTGCACCGCGAGATCTCGAATACGACGTGGCACTCGATGGGCACGGCCAAGATGGCGCCGAGAGGCGAACTGGGCGTCGTCGACAAGGATCTCAACGTCTACGGCGTGCAGGGGTTGAAGGTTGTCGATCTGAGCATTGTTCCCAAAAACGTTGCTGCGAACACGTACAACACTGCTCTAGTGGTGGGCGAGAAGGGTGCTGCCATTATTGCGAACGAGTTGGATCTGACGTTGCCATTGTAATAGGGCAATGAGCTGATTTTTCGAGGGGTTGTTGGTTTTCGGTTCTCCTGTAAGAGGGCACTGGTTGCACGACCACTACGATATAATAGCGTCAAGTAGCGGGAAAATCGATCTTGTTCTGTTTGTTGAATCTAGGAACGACGATATGATAGGTGGACTCAATTTGCATTTGCGTTCGGGTCCTAGGCTGAATTGGGATTGCGGAGACGGTGACCGAAACAGCGCCAGACTCGGGCGCACCTTCCAGTTAGCTCCCACGGGTTTCTCACCTGTCTCGCTAAGGTTTGGGTATGCCGGTCACCTGGCTGTTCATAGCAACGCAACGGGAAGGCACTGGCAGGGCAAGGCACTGGGCAAGGCACTGATCAGGTCTTCAACCCGGAAGCTCTTTCCCCCAATGGACTGCCTTTGACACATCTTCTGGGCCCATTGCGAGTTGTGTCCCACGCACGCCGATCCCGTACAGTGGTGCATTCAAAATGTACCTTAGCCTTGCATTGAGGTCGGAGCTTGGGTGCCGCACGACCAGATTGGAGATTCAACCCGCGCGATGGCACAATCGGGAGTCATTTTCCGTTCCTTTTCAGCCGCCGAAGCGAGCTTGTCGGGGTGCATACGATGTCGTTCCGATATTACCACTCTAGCGTGGTGTTTGATGGCTGCATCGACATCACTGATAATCACATAAATAACATTACTTGTGCAATTGATCGTCAGCCGCGATTTGGGTTCCCTTTGACGCGACATTTGCGATCCTTGGGCTAGACGAAAACAAAGCACACCGCGAGATGAGGATCAAAGACGCCGTTGTGCTTGGCTTTGCCACCAGCCAGTTTGTTGCCGCCGGGCCTGCAAGTAGTAGCAAACCGACAAAGGTTCGTTTCGGCCATCGAGATATCGGATATCAGTTGTCTCTGGCCACAAATGGACTGACATGGCACAAAGCACTCGTGCGGTTGCCAGAAGGGCAGTCTCAGCCCGATCTCAGCCCAGGACTGGATCAAAGCGGCCAGTCCGGGCTGGAATGCCGGCAACACGCTCGATGCCACGCCAAACGAGGGATCATGGAACAACCCTCCACTCCAAGGGTCAACACTGGACCATGTAAAGGCTGCCGGTTTCAAGTCGGTGCGCATTCCCGTGACCTACACCGAGCATTTCACCACAGGCTCGCCGAGCTGGACAATCAACTCGACATGGCTACAGCGCGTGTCTGACGTGATTGACATGGCCACTTCACGTGGGCTCTACGTGATCACCAACATGCACCACGGTAAGCAACTGCCAAGGTGTAGTGAACTTTCAGCTCGCTGATTGACCTACAACAGACTCGTGGGGTTGGGTTGACGTGTCAAAGCCCGACGCAAACCAGACTATGATTCAGGAAAAGTTCTACGCCGCGTGGCTGCAAATTGGCAAGACCCTGCATTGCAAGTCGTCGCTAGTGGCCTTTGAGCCGATCAACGAACCGCCAGGAAACAACGCCGCCGACGGCGCGAACCTGAACAAGCTCAACGGCCTCTTCATCAAGGCCCTAGCGGACTCGGGTAACTCAAAACGAGTTGTGACGCTTTCGGGGCTGGGCATGAGTATAGACAAGATCCAGTGGTTCAAAGCTCCCGAGAACATGACCAACCCGTGGGCATTCCAGTTTCACTTCTACTCGCCTTGCAAGTACCTCCCCCGACATACTTCCATTAATTTTTCTTGGACTTGATGCGGGTGACGGGGCTAACAACTCTACAGATGATTTTGTCTTCGGTGCCTGGTAATTCCGAGTTTCTCAATTTCTAACCTGCATCAGCAACCTCTTAATTTGGCTGACTCTCGACTCAGGGGCAAGACTGTGTGGGGCTCCGATGCCGACAAAGCTGCCATCGATGCTGACCTGTTATCCGTTCGGGGCAATTTCACCGACGTGCCCCTCCTCATGGGCGAGTTCAGCGCGTCGCAGCTCAACTGTGAGGCTGCTGCCCGGTGGAAATGGTACGACTACGTCGTTCGTAAATCCACTGCACTGGGAATCACCACCATGCTGTGGGACAACGGGTTGGACAACTTGGCGCGGGAGTCTGGGGAGTGGCGCGACCATATCGCCGTCGACATCATCACTAGTACGGTTAAGGGCGTCAACAACTCGCTCGCGGACAGCACTGTTGACGCTTCGGCCACCAGCCAGACCAGCTCGGCTTACATCTTCAACAAGGTCGGCAGCGCCCTCGCAGACCAGACCCTGTCATTCCTGCTCAACGGCAACACATTTAAATCCCTTGCCGTCGGAGGCGTGGCGTTGAGAAGCGGCGAGGATTACACCATCTCGGGGTCGTCAGTCACATTCAAGGGAGGCTTCCTCACAAATTACCTCTCAGCCAATGCGGTCCCGGGCACAAAGGCCAATGTTACAGTCGAGTTCTCGGCCGGAGCGCCGTCGCAGGTTGAACTCGTGCAGTGGGACGTGCCGGCCTTGGCCTCTTACTCTTCTGCAGCAAAGTCAGTGCCGACGGGGTCGGATCTGTGGGTTCCCATTGTGTGGAAAGGGCTTCACAAAGTGGCAGCCGTGGCGATCTCGACGAGCGACGGGGCGTACTTGGTCGACGACTGGACCAAGTGGCTGCCACCGCTGCAACAGGGCCGAGGGGTGAGTTTTGATATTGTCCAGTTTTTTCGTGCTGCTTTTTGCTAAACATGGCTTCGCGTATGCAGACCTTCAACAGCCAGTGGAATTTCGACTTTGACCACTTCACCATCACTTCCCAAGCCGTCAGCGCTGTCATCGCCGCGGGGAAGAACGCGACCTTTACGATCGAGTTTTACCCCCGCCGTGCGGGAAATGAGAACAGTGTCGAGTACACTTTGACTGTCTGATTTCTCAAAAGTCTCGCATTCTGGTCAACTTTCAATGTTCAGGATATCATGTCAAGTGCGCCAATCGGTCGGCCTGGCAGCAGTTGCAGTCGGCCTGGGAGCAGTTGCAGGCGGGATTCTGTCATGTTGCCATATTACTCTGTTATAATTCTACTACTACTATTTACCAACGCCTTGTTCTGCTGGAAATTACCAAGTCGGGCTGTCGAGCTTGAAATACCCCTTCCACAGCCGTTGCAAGAGCCCCTGGGGATCCGCCGTCTTGGCGACCCGCTTGAGCCGGGCCAGGTTTGCCGCCCCATACCCGCGAAACACATCTTGCGATTTCCCAGCATAGTTGACGTAGATGAAGCCGCGGTCGAGCTTGCGGGCTGCCGCGAGCGCGTCGACCTGGCTGATCAGCTTCTGGCAGCTCGCCTCGACAGCCGAGTCGATGGCTGCGTTCTCCCACGTCACGGCCAGCTGCACGATGACCAACGAGCCATCGGCCGGGTACAGGCCCAGCGCGTTGCCGCCGTTGGCCTGCATGGCGCGCAGCACGTTGATGGGCAGCGGCTGGAAGATGAAAAAGGGCGTGATGGCCGTGCCGTTGGCCACCGCGAGCAGCCGCTGCACGTGCGCCTCGTACAACGGCACAAGGTCGACGAGCAGCTGCGCCGACGCCGCAGACACTGCCGTATTCCACCACGTCTGCCGCTCGCCGTACGCCTCCTCAATGCCGCGCGACGTGGTTGAAACGTTGGCCACCTTTTGCTGCGTGATCAGCGCCGGCACCGCATGCAGCGGTTGGAACACGGGCGGCACGGCCGCGCCGGGCAGCGGCGTGGCGCGGTACTGGTCGGTGAGCACGATGTAGCCGCCGAGGGCGGGGATGTAGGCCTGCACGAAATATGTGTGCGCCTGCGGGTCAGCCGGCAGGCCGTAGACGGTCAGGTTCTGGAACAGCGGGATCAGCGTGGCGTTGAGCGCGCCCGGGTAGATGAGCTCGGCGCTCCACAGATCGCCCTGCTCGAAGCTGGCGAGGTCGAAGCGCGTCACGATTCCAAAGTTCGATCCTGTACCGCCACGAAGCGCCCAATATAGGTCCGCGTTCGCCGTCGGCGACGCCTCCACCACCTTCCCCGACGCCAGCACCACCTCGTAACGGCGTACGTTGTCGCACACTAGCCCATAAATCCCGGAGAAGAAGGAGATGCCCCCTCCCAGCGTCAGTCCGCTAACGCCGACGTTAGGGTCGCGCCCGCCGACCACGGCCAGGCCGACCGGGTCGAGCGCCGTCGACACATTAATCCACCGAGCCCCAGGGCCTACCGACACGGTCTTCCTATCGGCGGCGACGGTGATCTGGTTCAGGTGGAACATGTCGATGGTGACGCCGTTCTCAATGTTGGAGGCGCCGGCGAATGCGGTGTGGCCGCCGCCCTTGACGGTGAAGGGCGACGGCAGAGACGTGAGCAGCTTGACGGCCTTGGCTACATCGCCCGTCATCTTGGGCGCGACGAAGCAGTCGGGCGTCACGGCCTCCTGCCGCAGAGACCAGTACGTGTTCTCCGTGGCGAACAGGCTCGAGTTGGGGAACGTCACCAGCCCGGGCAGTGCGGCCGCGAGCGTATTGCACTGCGGAATGTGTTCGTCAGCGAACTCCCCCAAAGCCGAATCCAGAAGTAAGACGTCTTCTTACCGCGTGTACGCCGTCGACCACCTTCGTACAGCTACCCGTCCAGGATAGGGCCAATACCCAGAGCGTACCCCAGAGCATCTTGACTTGTTGCATCGTGGGTGCGTTGACAGTCGAGTTGGAAGGCCACAGTCAACTCGGCAATACAGCGCACGAGCTTCCAGCGGGAGGAGAGACGGCAGAGGGAACGTCTTGCTCGACAGGAATGACAAGTTTGGCAAGATGATTTAAGCAAATTATCTCGGCAGTCGCCCCTTCCTGCCCGTTGGAATCCCGCACGGCAGTCCCATGGTCATGGTCAGGGAGGCGCTATGTAAGATATGCAGGAGTCAGCAGCGCCCCACAGCAGTCGGTCCTAAACCACAGCAACCACAACAACCGCGACATCTACATGATTTCTAAGTTGGCGGCAATGGGCAGGCATCCTTGCCCCGATGCTACATGTCCCTCGAGCACGGAGCATTCCGCGTGGATTCCCCCTCGAGCGGCCAGATACCACCGTGCGGTGCCACGGTGCCACAAGCGAGATGGGCCAAGTGGGCAAGCCCTGCCGGAACGTGGTGTTTCCGGCGCGGGGTCGAAATTGTGATCTGACTGGTCTGGGCGTCAGCAGAAGATCCAGGCTTGCTCCTCTGGCGATGTGACTGGGCTGCCATCAATCCAATGATGGCAAGAAAGGGGTTGGGAAGGGGAATAATTGGCGGACTCGCTGCAAGCCACAAATGCATGAAGGGAAGGAAAAATGGGCAATTAATAAAGTTTTGGAGCCCGACGCCCCGGATCCTACCTCGCACCTCGCCGCACGGGTCGTGTGCTGTGGTGGGACTGGTGTCGCCTGCCGCGCCGCCGGCTCTGGGCCTTGCTGATCACCTTGCAGCAGGCGCCAAATAAATAAATGCTCCGTTCCGGGCTGGAGCTTGGCCCGGGTTCCTGCTTCTAGAAGAGAATAACTCATCGGGGCACCTACCCTAACACTACGCACACCCACCTCCACACTTGCCAGCCGTGTCCAAGGACCCGCATTTTTAGCGGCAAAAAAGCCGGCAGCTGATGCCAGCTGCCATGGCGGGTTTTTTGTGGGTAGGTAGGTGTACGTAACGATAGGGTGGGTGCCCCGATGAATTCTCTCTAGAATGTGTCACCAACACGCCAACAACGATCACACGGATGGGTTTGTGTAATTGCTTGTGATCCATATCATTGTTTGCACGATTGGGTCTTTTGCACTGCGTGGATTTCGGAGTTTGGATAATCATTGGCCAAGACAGCGGCCCGAATCCAAGCAGGATCTCCATGCGGTGTGATAATTAAGTGGTTGTCAGGTTGCAGACTGCATGCAACCTTTGACAGAGCAGCACATATATTGACCATGGAGTATTAATCCCAGATTGGGGGCCGGATAGCGACCGTCTGGCATTCGGGATTGGAAAGAATATGATAATATGAGGGCCACGGCTGGACAGAGAGTTTCGGATTTGAGCAGAATAATGCTCAGAAGCAAACAATCAAGTCGGCGAGAGACATGGGCGTGGGGGGGTTTAGTTGAATAATTAGAAACGATCTAGATGAATCAAGACGGAAATCTCGATTTCGGCTGGAATCCGGTGTCTAGGATTAATAATGGGGTATCCTACAGCAGTTCCCCAACTCATTAAACCCATAATTAAACTTCTTTTCCCCCCTCCGTCTATAGTGGCTCCTATATACCACAGCATGTACACGACAATTCTAATTAGGCCCGAGACTCAAGTTTGACAGTTGGATGTCCACATCCCTGTCCTCTTCGGTGACTGTCTCTTTGCTCACCATCTCTTCGCTGACCATCTTTTCGCTGACCATCTCTTCGCTGACCATCTCTTCGGGGGGCATCTCTTCGGGGGGCATCTCTTCGGTGACCACTTCATGGAAAGTTTTGAGTTAGGGGCGAGACAGGGTAAAAGTATTCCAGGTCTTCCACCTGCTTTGTACCACTAGTACCAGGCTGGTCCCACGAGAACTTGGAATAGTCGGGCCCCTCGACTGTGGCTCTCGTGATGTAACGGCTGCAACGGCTGCAACCGCAACGGCGCTTACGGCCGCGACGTAATGGGTGTTTGACTGGAGGAGTGCGAGAGGGGTGCTTGGTCTCGCGCGGGCCTTCCATGGTTGGTTCTGCCGGCTCGGCCGATGCCGAACCAGGGTGAACGTTTGTGGTGGCGGTGGCCATGTCGCGTGGGGTGATTCTTTTCAGCTGCTGTGTAAGAATTTGACCGCGACGAAGGCCGAATGATGACAGGGAAGGTTTGAAACTAGTTGGTATGCGAACAGGAATTTACGTCACAATACCAAATGGAGAACTAGCTATTTGAGCAAACAATAGGCGGGAGATCTACTTTTATTAACTATTATAGTAACGTTAATTGTACACGCAATATTCTAGCACATGTCAACTACCACAAGACATGGCTGGAGAGCCTCGTTGCTCATCGCCTAGCCTCTTTGTCCAAAGAAAGCACAGATATCTGGCCGTGACAGAGTAACCAGCGTTTTTTCGTCTTCGTGTCAGACCCGACAAGCTGGTAACCAAACAGCTGCAGAGCAGGGGGAAAATTGAAACAGCTCTTTGTTCGTCTGCCGGGACCTAGTATTGATCGCCATTGCAGACGGCAAGCAAGAGCCAATGGCCCCCCCATCAAGCCAAATTTCGAAACTTGCATCAAAGCCAAAGTTAACGACGTAGATTTGACGAAACCAGTTCGCCCGGGCCCCGACAGTTTGACGGGGCAATTTCAGCATGATGGCCACGCAGTTGAACCGCCGGCAACAGCAAGGGCCGATGGCCGAGAAAGCGGCAGCGGCGATAATAATTCCGGGCACCATCGCGGAAAAAGCACCCAGGACTTAAGCCGCAGCATGGGGATTCTGCCGCTACGTCGGGCCGCTTTTGGAGGTTCGTGCCGAGTGGGCGGGGAACTGACTAGAACTAAACACCGAGACCGAGGGGGTTTCTCAGTGCCGGGACACCAGGATAAATTGATGCCAGGACCCGCTCCCTGATGTCCTTTGTCGTCGTGACCTTCAAACATCACTTGTCCGAAACAATATCCCCAAAGTGACCTGTCAGACATATCAACCGCAATGGCTACCACTACTACCACCACTACCGCTACTACCACCGCCACCACCACCGCTACCACCACCACCACCACCGCCTCCGCCACCAGCGACATCCCGCACGAGATGAAGGCGGTGCAAGTCGTCCAGTACAACCAGCCGTACGCCATCAACACGGTCCCCGTCCCGCAGGCGCTAGGCCCGCACGACCTGCTGGTCAAAGTCGGCGTGGCATCGTACTGCCAGTGAGTGCCACTCCAAACCCAATATCACTTGTCTTGTTTCACGAAAGAAGAAACGCTAACTAAACACTCCGCACCTCAGCACCGACAGCATGGTTCGCGCCGGCATCTTCAGAGCAGCCACCACCCTGCCCCTAACAGCATCGCACGAGGGCGCCGGCACAGTCGTGCAAGCCGGACCCGCCGCGGCGGCGTCCTTCCCGCCCGGCACGCGCGTCATGTGCGGGCTCGCACTAGGCCCTTGCGGAGCGTGCGCAGAATGCACGACGGGGCCCGAGAGCGAGCGGCAGTACTGCGCGGCGCACGTCGCCGCGGGGATCACGGTCGACGGCTTCTTCAGCGCGTACGTGCGGGCCGACGCGCGCACGTCGACGCGCGTGCCAGACGGCGTGTCGCTGCTGACGGCCGCGCCGCTGGCCTGCGCCGGCAATACCGTGTGGCGCGCGGTGGCGGTCGCCGGCCTCAAGCCTGGCCAGTGGCTCGCCGTCGTCGGCGCCGGCGGCGGGCTCGGGCACATCGGCATCGCGTTCGCCAAGGCGCTGGGGCTGCGGGTGGTCGGCATTGACGCGCGCGACGAGGGGATCGCGCTGGCGCGCGCGGGCGGCGCCGACGTCGTGGTCGATGCGCGGGCAGGGAGGGAGGCCGTGGTTGCTGAGGTGCAGCGTGTGACGGGGCAGCAGCTGGGCGCGGACGCGACGCTCGCGCTGGCGGATGCCGATAGTGCGGCGGCGCTCGCGTGCGCAGTGACGAAGAAGCACGGCACCGTCGTGCAGGTCGCGCAGCCCATCGAGGTCAAGATTCCGTTTCAGGAGCTGATCATGCGTGATATCCGGATTCGTGGCACGATGCTGGCTTCGCCCGGCGAGAGCGATGATATGATGCGCTTCGTTGCCGAGCACGGCATAACTGTCACCACGAGGCCGTTCTATGGGCTGGACAGCGTGCATGAGTTGCTCGCTGCCGTGGAGGAGGGCACGGTCAAGGGCAAGGCTGTTATTGTCGTTGACGAGGAGCAGGTTCGGCGGGAGAAGGAGTTGGGGGGGAAGTAATAGATGAGCGAGGTTCATTCGGGTCTCTGTAACTACAAATAGGCAACAGAGGTGACGGTGACGTGCCAAAAGGGTGGGGGCCTGGATACAAATAACGGCTAATGGTTTCACGATTAACATGAAAATTCACTCCTTGATCTCTTGCTTATGAAACACATCTGGATAAAACGTGTGTTAACTCATTGATAATTGTTCATTTGCTACAGTTAGTGTCGAGATACTCATCTGGAATCTCTGGCATCCACTCGTCTCTGTACCTGCAGAAAAACTCGCCCTTGGGCGGGATCTCGTCCGGGTCATCAAGAGTCCCCCACACAACGTAGCGGAACTTGTCGGCAGCTTCTTCCTACTCAGGCCGTCAGTTTAACTACGGTAATAATAGGGAAATAATGGCGTACACCGTATTCGCAAATATAATCACCGCAGTTGTCGCAAAACTCGCGAGTCACGCCATTATACTGCTAGAACTTTTTGGGGCTGCCGCTGTCGTGCCGGAAGGCGCCGACGGGCACCTTGGCCGTGAGCCCATGGTTGGCCCTAAAAGCGTGGTGGCAGCTCTTGCAGTGGCAGAGCGTGGTGCGGGCCTGGTCTGGAGATTCGAGGTCGAGCGAGTACTGGATGTGCTTGCACACGCACCGGCCTTGCAGGTGGAGGGCCATAACTGACTGGCGGTAATGACGATGTTAAAAATGGCTTGAAGGGGGAAATCGACTTGCCTGGCTGAGCAGGGAAGGGGTTCGTTTCGCTAAAGTGAGCGGGAACAAACCGCGGGAATAAACCGCGGGAAACGGGCATGCCGTTGTTAGTTATTGCAAAAACCTCGTGTTTCTTGTGAAGACAATATGTTACGTCGGGTTTGTTGTCGATGGGCGGGCAGGTGACGTCAACGATCTTCGCTACACGGGGTAGGTAATTACAGTGTACATACATACCTTATCCGGACGGGGGCATGTTTGCGTTTGCGTCTGCGTCTTACATCGTGTGCAGGCCTCCACAAAACAATCCAGGCACTATTCGAATTGAACTCCGCACGAAACGGCAATCCTACTACATCTCGCCTTCTCGAAAGTGGGCTGCGTTCGCCTTCCCGAAAGTGGACTGCGTTCGTTCTTGCTAAAGGTACCTATCTTCTGTCACCTTGTCTTGGCACTGAAATCGCAGTGGATGCGCCCCCAACTTGACGCTGGGGCTCACTGATATACACTGTCTTTACAGCGTGCAAACTCAACAACAAAAGCCCGGTTAGCTCAGTTTGGTTAGCAGCGTCGTACTAATACCGTCGAGAGGCAGTATCTGGTTATGCGAAGGTCAACAGTTCAATCCTGTTACTGGGCACTGTCTTTTCATTTTTGCCTCCTTGGCGCAAACCAACCCTAAACAATCGTAATCCTCCGCCGGACACCAGCTCCAGCCAAGGCATTTTCCGGATAGTCATAGATCTCATCGCCCCAAAACGATCTATAGGCCAGTCCAATTCGACGAAACTCAGACAGTCCGCTTTCAGTCTCTCGCAAAATAAGAAGATAGATGAATGTAACGTCCAACTCGACTGAACACACCGGAGCTAGCCAGCACGGGCATGAGTCGAGCGTCTCTTCAAACACGTCCTGTTCGTCCAGCCGGCAATCGAACCCAGCGAACACATCCATGTCAGAGCGAATCTCGCCCCCTGGGTCTCGCCGTAGCGTGATCTGGTAGAGCGTGGCAACTGCTTCGATTCTTCCACCCGAAACCGCACCGAATCCGCCTGGCGAGTCTTCATCGACGGACACGTCGACGACTGTCAGAGCTTGATCCCCAGTGCGGTAGACGCTGGGCTGGGCGACGGCCCTGGTGAACATAATCCAATCTTGGTACCGGACAGCACCATCGACCGAAGCCCAGCTCCATGACGGGGCCCGGTTTCTGTGCCTGACCAACGTCCCTGGGGCGGATGCAGACCAAGTGAGGCCCACGTGCAGATCCTCTTTCCATATCCCCGCTGCGTAGGTGAGGCCAAAGGTCGAGTTGAAGTAGGCCGCGAGGCCGGCCATGGCTGCGAGTTTGTCGCCCGGCATGGTGAGCGCCCGACCCGAATATTCCGCTACCCATTTGGCCCAGCTCCTGCAATGCTTCTGGTAATCATGATGCCGACGTTCCTCGGCGGCCTCGGAGACCGAGGATATCATACTCATTTGAGACTTTCTGGAATTGCGGATATAGGCACGGCTTACTACTGCGAATCCCTCCTCGTAGTTGAGGGCCGAGCAACACTCCCAAACTAGGCCGCGCCAGGTGACAAACAGAGTTGATACCGAGACAAGGGTTTCCTGAAAGGTCCATCCCCGCGTCGACAACAAGGATCGCGACGCGCCGCTGCGGGGACTGCTCCACAGCACGTCTTCAGAGGCAGTATCCGCTACCAGGCGGTCGCAGTAGCGCTGGGCCGCGATGCGCACGTCAAGGCTGCCGTTCTCGCAGGAGCCGAGCAGCAGAGAGGCATCGTCCAACCTACGAGCTGCCCCCGAATCGCAGTTGGGCGCATCTGACATGGCAATGTTGAGGGCGCAGCCCCGGTAGATGGCCGTCATGCACGCGGCCTGCTCACTCCAGTCTGCCCTGTCATCCTGCGCGATGCATAAGGCGTCGATCCACAGATAGCGGAACCCAAGAGCGCACGCCAACGTGATTGCGTCCCTCAGGGTTTCGGGGAATTCTGACAAGGGTATTCCAGCGGTGTGGCGCGCCATGTTCTTGGTGGTTGTCGCAAGAGGCAGGCCCTTTCCCCAGCAGTAGCTCAGTGTTGCGTAAGGCGCTACCTCGCCCTGTTGTGACTCGTACAGGCGGACTAAGGGGAGTGATGAGATGTCAAGAACCCGCTTTGGAAGCGCCACCTTGACTAGTGTCTTGCTGCAAACCTTGTGGCCACGGCACTCGTCCATCCAGGCCTTCGCCAGTCGGGTCCTTAAAGGGAAGGCCGGGGAGCCGTCCGAAACGTCCACCAGGACTGTGTAGTCCAGACTCCCTCGAGTTCTGCCTTTACTAACTCCGGTGTGGACCTTATTGACTCCTCTATGGATGACCTTCTCACTTCCACTGGGACCTGGCTGTTTACGTCGTTGAAATAAATCAAACGACAATTCTCCGAAAGGACCTTGATCATCCTGCGGCCCTCCGAACAAGAGAAGTTCAAGAAAGACGTAAGCTTGGGCTGAGGGCCGGTAGCAATTCAAGCTGATTCTGTAAGTAACTCTATCTTTGTCGCCCGTGATACTAGATTCGAGCTGCCGAGTTATGAAGTTGCACATGTCGCAATCTCTGGCGGATACGAACAGAGAAGCTAGTTTCCTATCGAGGTGGTCGGCGATGTGATCTTCGCAGTTGCCGAAACCCGGCGATTCGATAATGCGAGAGGACGCCTCAACCAGCGGCAAACAGGAGCGACAAAGAGATGCTGTGACACTGAGCGGCGCATTGTCGTAGGCCTGCCATAGCGACGGATGATCTTCATCGACCCGTAGGTACGCCGTGAATTCCTCTGATCCTCGGCGTTGCTCGAGGTGCTCGAGGAAGTACATACCTGGGTGGAGGTAATCCGGAACAGGCGTAGTATGTGCAAAGGTTCCGGTGATGAATCGACGATGACCCAGCGCGTGGACCTGACAGGTGGAGTTGAGGCATTTCGTGTGTCTTGGGCTGCTGCAATGGAAGTACGTCGGGCTTCACGTGTTTTGTCCAATCTGCACGCCTGGCGGCCTGAGGTACCTGCTGACAGACTGCCAACAGACTGCCAACAGACTGCCAAACCCCAAATTTTCAGTGGTAAACGGTACGGGGAGCGTTGCAGCGACATCCGTGCGGCCCGGTGATTCGCCAAACGGATCACCCGTCCAAGTATTGGAATCGGTCAACAAAATCGACCCGACAGCGATCTCTGCCACGGCTATGCTCCCCAGGCACATGTACTGGTCTCTGCTGATAGTGACGCGAACAAAAGTCTCGGCATCCAGCATCCAGACCTGCTCTCCATCACGAAATTCCAACCTCGCAGTGCCTGCAAGGTCGCTCTCTCTGTCTCCAAACAGCCAGTCACTGAAATCCTCGCAGTAGAAATTGTTGTGGGGGTTGCGACCATATAGCTGCTGTTGCTTGCGCCTGCTAGTGTAACGGCAAACCGTAACAGGCCATGAGCCCTAGCGTTTCCGGCGGCCAAAAGCAACCCCACCAACAAAGAGCCACCCAGTTCAATCCCAAACCGGTCCCCTAAACCCGCACAGGTTAAGGCATGTCTTAAAAAGTCACATAACCTCAGGGGTGCTGGTTTAGACTTTATGTTCGGCGTAATTCACAGGGCAAAGGCGGTGGAAGAGGGCATTTGAAATCGAGGGCATTTGAAATCGAGGGCATTTGAAATCGAGGGCTTGAAGTGTCTGAATTGTCTGAAGAAAGAAAAGAATCTCTTAAGTACTGAAGAGTAGCGTGTGATGTGTGATCTTTTATACCTGGTTACCTAGCCTGAAAATAGATGGCCAAAGACTCTGTTAGTACCGTGCCATATCAGACTGGTTTCACACGCCTTGTGTTGCCCGTGATCGTAGTCTACAGCGCATTAAATTGTCTGCTAAATAACGTCTATTAGTAGTACAGGAGAAGAGTGCTTTCTTATACTCGAGAAAAGAGAGCAAAAGAAGCACTGTAATCAGCTGTGTTCCTTCCCGTATTTCTTCCCGTTATCCTCGTATAACAAGGAACATAACATGTGAGGCATCTAATATCTTTTAGCAGTCGCCATCAAAGCTTGATGAGTGCCCCCTGGACAACGTAGGCAGTCTCCGTGTCGATCACCAGCGGCAGCACCTTGAGGCCGCTCCTTGACTCTCACTACAAGGATCAAACGCAAGATCCATGCTAGGTATACCCTTGCACAAACGAGACGAAGCTGAACGGCTCGATTGTGCAATCTCAGACTCAAGCCGTCTTTTTGTTTCATCTAAGGGAGGGACAGTTAATGTAAAAAACAGTTTCCTGTCACACAAAAAGTCCTATAGAGCTGCTGGGAGATATTCAAGTTTGAAATTTAATATAAAAGAATTTTGGTAGGCTTTCGGGCACTTATGTTACGAATCCCTGAGGAAATGCACGATACTGGCCGCCGGTGCCGAAGAGAATATATCTTCATCGTTTCCGCTATCGGCAAGCCTGGGACGAGCTTACGGATCTATCTTTGCCGGGGCAGTCATTGACACGCTTTCTGGCGTATCTTCGCCGTTACTCGTATAGGAAGAGGTTTTAAAGGAGGAGCTAGATAATAATAACTGGGAGAGCCTCTAGCTGGACGAGCCAACCGGTATACGATAGAAACGTATAACGAGTTCTGCCACTCAGTCACGACGGTATTAAAAGCGCGGGGAATTTTCTAACGCCCTATCTAAGGATTTTTGCTTCAGCGCCTAGGACGAACAGTAGACTTTTTCGTGGTCTAGGAGAACCGCGATTCCTTTGGCCCGCTTTAAGGAACGTTGAGATAACCTACCTATATACCCCCGCCAGATGTTCCCAGAAGCTACTGGTTCTGTAGAATCTATCTCTCTGCCCGGCGGGGCTTAGTTCAAAGACCAGGAGCATACGCGGGTCTACAGTATGGCATAACAGTTTCAGCAACTCTACCCGGGCGATTGGAATAGGGGCTATAGCAACTTATTACAAACCACTCGACTGTTAGGGTCGTCTGTCTGTAAGGGAGCACGGGCTCCACAGGATGCTGGGGTTGGTAATTATGAAGATAGAACAAAGGGCAAGCTCCTATCGCACGGGTAATACAGTCAAATCGGAATGCCACTCAAAGTATATGAGTGCAATGAATGTGTATTGCTTGCTTGCAGAACCAAGCAAGAACTATCTAAGACGGTCATCGTATATATCTATCTGTAGAACCAATAAAAATGGTCGCAGGGTCCCGGCCCCCGTGCCCGGGACGCGGGACCTGAAAGAAAGGTCCCGTGTCCCGCGAACGGGAAACGGGACACCTCTTATTGGCTGTCAACCAGGCCCGGTCCCATGTCCCGCGCTAGAGGCGTGGGACACTCCTGATTGGCCGAGATTGACTCAGTAGGACCCACTGAGGTGCATCCCTTCAGGGATCCGTAACACAACTATATAGCGTCCGCGATTTTGTTCTTCCTCAGGGGCGACCCACGTGCGCCATCCGTCGCTAAGATGGCCGCCATTATCGGATTTCGCCAGAAAGTCTACTTACTAGCCGATAAATTTATCCAGACCTACAAGCTAGAGCACCCAAACGGAAAAAGCTACGTACGGTACTATATATACGACTTCCGGCCGCTTGGTAAGGGAGGTGAGAACCGAGAATATAAGAATCGACACTTATTAGTATAGCGGATAATAGTAGCCGGTAGCGTAGACATCAACCTAGTAATATACCAAGAACCTCCTTTTCCACGCCTTTCCATATACGTATTACATACTATTACTAAACCATACCAAACACCAGATGTTACGATCCCGGTTCAAAGGTGCAGAGGGCGTCGCCCGCCCGCTGCAGATTGGCTGGAACGACACTTAGGGCAGGGCTCTCGTCGTGAGAAGGTGCACCCAATTAGGGAGTGCTCAGTGGGGCCAGTGCCAAGGTGCACTGAGCATGACTGAGCTCAGTAGGATCAGTGCCGAGATCCACTGAGCACACTGAGCAGGGAGCTCAGTGAGGATCAGTGCGTCCAGAACTGAGCACGACTGAGCATGTAAAGCAGGAACTCTGATTGGTTGCTCGTAGTTCTATATAGGAGCTGGCAGCACGCTCTCTCTGGGAGAACGGTTCTGCAGCTATCAATGCATCTGGTTAAGCATACAGTGGTTGTGTGTTGAAAGCCTGTCTTTCGCAATCTGTGCACGATACTCCTTGCCTCCTGTCATCTCCTACCTGCCGTCCAGACCCCCACAATCCTAGGCCGGGCCTAGCTCCGTGGACCTGTTGTCCAGATTGTAACACATGGCCACGATGTCATATCTAATTAATTATGTCTATAGTTATAATACACGTTGCGGGCCGTTTCGTTTAGACTATCTATCTGACATTTTGGGGTTGCCTCATATCACACTGCTAGGCTCACCTAAGGTCAACAGAGTGCCTCAACTCCTTGACTAGGGCTCGCAGTAACACGTACACACACTCACACATTATAACTATAGGTATAGTCTTCAAATCATAACCATAGGTATTATGCGAGGCACGGCGATGTATGAAAGGTGATGAATTGCTTGGGGAACCTAAAATCTATCGGTCCGCAGGCGGGAAATCTATGTGGCATGGATAGGGTGGATCCGCAGGGGCCATTTGGTAGACCCGGCTGGGCCAGGTTTGGCCTGTGCCCAGCATACATCCCCTTAGCCTAGATAGCCAAATGAAGCTATCTACATACTCCTTATTGTATATATACCGTAAAATTTTGGTTTTGATTAGACCTGCACCCCATCTGACCAATCAGAGTTCGTCAGAGTGATCTACATTGTGTTCAATTACCGCCACTTGCTTTCTTCTCGGAAATGAAGCCTTCAGGGCCCTGTCAGGTCCCGGGCTTCAAATGCCTTCCTGACTCCTTCTTCCTCAGGTTCCTTTGTCCTTTGTTGTTTGCAACTATGGTACGATTTCTTCCGTGAGTCCCAACATCTTGACGAATTTGCCGTGTTTTTCCGGGTTCAACGGCTTTGTTAGGCCATCTGCTGCCATGTCATCTCCCGGTATGTGGACAACCTTTATAAAGCCTTTCTTGACTCTATCGATGATCTATTTGTACCGTATATCGATGCAGCGAGTACGGGCGCCGTTGAGCGGGTTCATGACCGTTGTAAGGGCATTCACACTGTCTGTAAACAGCACTGTTGGTGTAGGTTGTTCAATACCAAATTTTTTAAGCAATTCCGAGATCTATTACGCCAACTGAGCTGCTGATGTGAGATTCGTGAATTCTGCTTCTATAGAGCTATATATAACGAAGGTCTGCTTTTTCGTCTTCCAATAAATTGGTGTAAGAGAAGGCAGGTACGCCTGATCAAGGTGGTCACAATAGGAGCAACAAGCAGGGCGAGCAATGACTGGTATTGGCGTAAGACTTCAACCTGGCCTGAGCTAAAGAGGTGTGCGAAGGCCATGGTCTATATACACGTGAAAGGGGTTACGAGTCATCCTTGCGTAGCCAGGGTGGTAGTGGCGATAGTGCGTGGCCCTGTTAGCGGTGGCGATAGTGGCGACGGTGGCGAGGGTGGCCCTGGTGGCGGTGGCCATGGTGGTTACGAGGGTGGTTTCCTTACAATTGGTGATCCAGCCAAGTAAACAATATGTGCTCCTGTTAAGAATCGGCGAAGCACATCGTCTACAAACGAAGCATCTGTAAAGACCTTATTATTAAGGTTATTCAGGGATAGTTTGCCGCCGTATTTCAGGCCGAATTTTGTAGTACCAGTAAATTAGCGGAAAAGGTGCTTCATCATGGTCCTATAGTCCTTTGAAAGTCCTTTATTTCCTTCGCTCAGGCGAGCACACGTACATGCTATGTCGGGCCTGGTGTTGATAGTGTTGGAATTTGTCAAGCAGAAGGGCCTCGAAGGTTCTAGATAGAGACTTCGCCACCCACTTCGCCACCACAATAGTAGTATAAGAACGGGCTTTCTGGCACTGCCAGAAAGCTAGAGAGAAGAACATACATCTACAATCCATCACTTGAACCACCAGCTTTCGGCGTACAGTTACGCCCTGTTGATTCCAGTACCGGTACCCTGGTGAATCCTGTGAGGGCCTGGTCCTCCAGGCCTCCCAGACGCTCTGACTAATCAGACGCCAGTTGGGTGGATCCACCCGACCAGCCAGAGCCCCACCTTGAGACGCCCTAGAAGAATCTCGCGAGGGGAGGCTTTTGAGCTTCTTTTCCCTTTTCCCTTTAGTTTAGAATCTTCGTCTATAGCGCCCAATAGAGGAGTTCCGCCCTCCTTCCAAGCCGGCCGTGACAAATCCAACAGATAGCTAGGAAGTTCAATTTTCCGGTCTGCTTGAGGTATGCCTTTAATTCTTTTAGTTCGGGCGGCTCCCAGGTTTTCGGAAGCTCAAATTTCGAAGGCCAGGGCGATTTCACAGGCTTGAGGTTCTCATAACCATACTAGTGCAGTATGGCTTTTGTATAGGTTTCCTATGAGATGAATACCGTCCGGTTCTTCCTGTCCCGGACTATACCAAGTCCTAGGAAACGCTTTGGCTCGCCAACTTCCTTAATTTTGAAGTGTTTGTTGAGTTCGTCGCGCACTTTGTCGATCTCTCTATTCGTTAGAGCCGTATTGAGAAGCTCGTCAACGTAAAGGATGATCCAGATAATTTTAGAAGTATGATTGAATAGACAAAGATCTAAGCCAAAGGGCTCAAATTTCAACGTCTTCAGGACTGGCATAATGGTTTTGAACCAATAGAGGGCGCTCTTTCGTAGGCCATAGAGGGCTTTTCCGAGCAGCCAAACAAAGTCTGGATCTCTTCCTGGAATGCCGTAAGGTTGTTCGATATAGTAAACAACTCCTTCCGGTATATCAGAGTTCAGGTACACAGTCTTAAAGTCGAATTGACGAGCTTCCAAGTCTTTGACTGCAAGAAATACTAAAAACATCCTCGCGCTAACTCCATTCGCGACTGCTACGTAGATCTCTTCGAGGCTCCAGCCGCCCAATTCGAAGTTACCGCATACAACCCAGCGTGCTCTAGCGATCCACTCGTGGTTCTCGGTGTTGAGTTTCTCGTCAAGGACCCATTTTCCCGGTAGAATCTAGGTATTTTTCGGTCTCTTTACAAGCTTGAAGACTTTCATGTCCTTGAGGCTTTCGACCTGCTTGATCGTAGCTGGTAGCCACCGTGTAAGGAAAGAGCACCAACTGGCCAGGCCACTGCCCGTTGGCACAAGCCACTAAGCCGCACTACGGCGCCACAACTCACAAGCTTTCACAAGCACACGCAGGACTGAGCCCCTGAGCATGTATATAAACAATGGCCCTCCCCCCTTCCTTTTCGAGGGCCAGGTTGAAGTCTTACCCCAACACCCGTCATTGCTCGCACTTCTTGTTACCTTCTGTAAGTGAAGGCAGGTACGCCTGATCAAGGTGGTCACAATGAAGGTACTGAAGACGGCGAGCAATGACTGGTATTGGTAAGAGACTTCAACCTGGCCCTCGCAAGGAAGGGGCAAGGGCCACTGCTTATATACATGACAGAGTGCAGAGCGAGCCATTGACAAAGGAGTGAGGTCTTGGCCCGCTCGGTACGCGTGCGAGTTGGTCGTGTGTGTGGGTTGGGGGTTCTTTCCTTACAGATATTGTTGTAATGTGGTGAATAAGCGAGTACGATAGATGACAAAGCGTTGACCCCCCTAGGGTCAAAGTAGTAAAATGCCATCTCAATTATGGTTTTGGCCGACTTGGCCCTATAGTATGCCGTAATCCCCCCCCCCCCCGTTCGCGTGCCCTCAGCACAGCCACGTTAGGCGTCTGTGCTCTTTTTCTCAGCTACACACTATTTCTCCCCAACTGCTTCCTACTCAACCTCATTCCAGCTGTCTTCTGACGTAACGACACCAGTCTTCACTGATCCCATTTCATAACGGACAAAATAGCAAGAATATAGCAACAGCCTTACAAGCGTTCGTTTCTATTAGAATTAGCGACCGGCTGGCACGCAGATTGGATGACCGTCGATAGTATTGCTCTAATTGAGAGCCCAAACCAAACTACCAAAGCTTCCTTTTACCAAAATGGTAAGACCTGATCCTAGCTGGTCATACTGCTTCGCTGATTTAATAACTGACTGAAGGTCTATTATAGGAAGTAAGTAAACCTAAGCCGAGTATGATATGCCACATTACTGATTTGATGACTGACTGAGGGTCTCTTATAGGCTGTAAGTAAACCTGGGCCGAGTATGGCATGCCGCTTCACTCATTTGATAGCTAATGCTGATCACACCTTTCAACGTTTATAGCAGGGATCTGTCTACGAACCCCCTTCGCTACGAAGAATCGGAGATTCGTCTCCTTAAATAACCCCTCCCACATCCGACAGCACGACCTTGGAGTGCAGACTATCATATGTTCCCCTACAGAAGGCTCCACGGTATGTGGAACTATCCTATAACTGGGGTGATCCAACGGTCACGATCAACATTAAAGTCAACGGCAAAGAGATTGGAGTTACCGTCAGCCTCGAAGCCGCTCTGCAACGATTGCGGGCTGCAGGGTCATACGTTGTCTGGGCAGATGCATTGTGTATCAACCAAATGGACAAGCAAGAAAAGAGCCTCCAGATTCCTAGGATTGGCGCAGTCTTCAGAAAGGCATATGGGGTGGCCATCTGGTTGGGTGATGAACTCGGCATCGATGAAATCTCCAGAGGGTACTTGCGTGCTGAGACGGCTCCTAAGCTTGAGGGAGATACCTGCCTCTCAACTCTCCCCGTGTTCAATTGATCGGCCATTTTGGAGACGTGCCTGGATCATTAGGAACTTGTTGTTGCTTCACGCATTACTCTCTACTGTGGGCCTTACCGAGGTCCATGGAAAGAAATTGACGCCAGTTGCTACGTGGAGTCCGAAAGAAGGTTTTCACTCGGCAACCGATCCGCTTGTTGGACGCCCTCCACCTTACCAAATCTTCTTTAGCGACGAATCCACGGGATAAAAAATTTTGCCCTGCTTGGGCTCACGTTCGACGCCCAACACTTCGTTCCGGAACCAAGCTAAATGGATTCGGCCTCAGATAGCTTTCGGGAGTTTGCGACTTTGTTGCTAACGAGCAATGAGCCCCTTGACTTCATCTATCTAGGAGTGCCAATCGGAAAGTAGATGCAGAGCTGCCCTCGTAGGTGACTGACTGGGCTGATCTTGACGATCCTGTTGCTCACCGGCAATTCGATTACATCATGGCTCTCGAAACGCCTGTTTCCGAAGATCCGGATACTGACAAATATCCGGTGATTTCAAGCTCTGGTCTCGAGCTGGAAGCTAGAGGTGTTTTGTTTGACGCTGTAGACAGCTTAGGGACCGCACTTGCCATGGATTTTGGAGACGTTTCCGCCGGCGAAATTGCAACCACACACAACTCGATAACGCCCTACAGTTCAGAGGATGAAATATCATCTATTGTTCACCAAACTCTGGTGTCGGCCGAATCACTCCCTGGTGTTCAGGACAAGATATTAGACAGCCTTCCCAGAGATTTTCATCGCCTTTGGAGTATACAGACCACAACAATTGGAGGAACTTTCGACTGTCGTCTCATCAGCTTCATCAAACTCAATCTCTATCTGGCTTGCGGAGAACCGGTCTTTCGTGGTGTACGGACGGATGATCGAGTGGCGGACGAAGAGCTGGAGCTTACTAGGGACTGAAAACAACTCCGTTCAGGATGCGCGTCGTTTCTTCAACGCTATTCGATCCCGCATGCGACCTCTCATGCCGGAAGGAGGTTATCTTAGGTGGCACATCCACAGACAAGGAAAGGGGGCAAAATTGGAATTCTTTTTGGATGCAGTAGGCCTGTTATACTGCGAGCATGTTAGGGTGGCTATCGTATTGTGGGCGATGCTTGTCTTTCAGGGCAATCGATTGACGGATTACAGAAGATGACCGTGGATGAAAAGGCTGAAATTGTCCGAATCCTGTAAGATCGTTCTACAATGATCATCATTTTTGACGTTTGGGTAGTTGTCAAACGAAATGCCGTTCTGGAGATTGACCTCGTCCTCTGTATATCTCAGCGCTGCTAACAAGGCAACCAAGGCAACCAAGGCAACCAAGGCAACCAAGGCAAAGCAACGGCCTTCCTTGCCTTGCTGACAAGTATGCTAAGTCTGGCTCGGAATGGGTTATTCTGGGCCGACTTAGTGATTAGAAGAACAGGCAAGGAAGACCACCTTGCCCGGGCAATTGATCATGTCGTCGTCTAGATTCCGCAAAGCGGCACCAGGACATCAACCCATTTCCACTACATAAACTCTCACCGAGCCACCAGTGTCACGGTACCTCCCCGCTACAAGTGCAATCTTGCTAAGCCACACAAGCCACAGGCCTCCTCCGCATTCCTTAAAAAGCTAACTAAAAGACGCGATAACGAGCTGCAGAGATGAATCTTGATAGTGGAGGAGATGCTATCGTTCGTGTTCACTAGCGTGCTCTCCTCTTCCTGTTTATCATCACCTTTCTTGTTCAGAACCAATGTTTTCGGGATGAAGGCAATGACGCCGAGGCCGAGAAGCGCAATGGCCGCCGTTAGCATGAGCGGTACCCATGGCGAAGTTCGTTGCATCAAGAAAGATGACACGACGGGTCCAACGAAAGTACCCATCAGTGCAGCGAAGGAGAGGAAGAAGGCCGACGCTCTAGAGAGTGAGGGGTTGTCATCTGAGAAGCATGGAGGAAGGAGCCCATAATTGATTACCTGCCGACGTCAGAAACCACATCAGATATGACTGCATAAAACGCGGCTGCAATAGCGCCGTTCCTTCCGCCAATAACCTGAAATACTGGGCTGACGAGGAGTGCGTGAACGGAGATATGCTCTTCAAAACGGAGAACGAGCAAAACCCAGGCGAGAGATAGAAACCCCAGGCAAGAGAGAGAAAGCTGCCGATAGCGGCGAGGACGATGACCAGCTTGCGGCCGCCCTTGTCGGCAAAGCGCGCCGTACGGAAGGTCCCGACCAAATTGTGTTCCGCAAACCCCAGCGCAGATGGTAAGCGACCTGAGTTTACGGCGTCAAACACACCCTCTTTTGTAGGCTCGGTGGTTGGGTGAACTTCTGAGCGGAGGGACAGCTAATGTAAAAAAAAGGTCTCATGCCATACAAAAAGTCCTGTAGAGCTGCTGGGAGACAACGCAGTGCTGTGGTTTCCGCTCACGAGGTTGACGTTGCGGCAGAGGGAAGAAGCACCCAGCGTGCGTGAATTGAGAATGGCACGATGTGTTGTCATCTACACGAGACGAATAATCATGCCATATGCATTTGCGACTCTGTCTCAAAATTGGAATCAAGGCCAAAATTGGAATCAACGCCAAAGTACATGTAAGGCTTTGCCAGTGCCTGGAAGCTCTTGACCCCACGCTCGCTCAGCTGCCTGGAACAACGTTTCCAGCCACGAGAACGAGAAAGGAGATGATCTTGTTTCCAAATCCTGCGCGGCGCATATCTCTTCATCTCGCAAGAATCCAGGCGGACCCCATAAGCAGGGCCGAGACACACGCCATCACAGCGACCAGCGGCACACCCCCATCTCCCGACCCCATCCGCCCAGGGCTAGCAGCGTTGGTCTTGGACGGGCTGGGACCCGCGCCACCCCCGTCACCACCAGTCCCCGCCGCATCGTTCGCCTTCCGGACAAGCATAACCATAGGTATGTACTTAACCCCAACGAGGTCTGCCGACTGCTCAGCAGGCACCTCAGTAGTGACCGTAGATGTAATCAGTCCGGAATTAATAGGAGTGATGAGCTGCACCGTAGTATGTACGCCGAGCAGAGTGATATCAGTGGTAACGGTAGAGACTTCGGCGCCGGGCGCGAACCGCTCGCAGAATGTGCTCAATCTATAGTCGGGCAGAGTCGAGACACATACGCCGTCCGTCACGGCCGTCATGGAGCTGGGACAGCACGCAGCGGCCGTCTCGCCTAGGTCGAGCGCGGCGGTAAAGGCGTTAACAACGGGGTTGTAGAAGAGGGTCCCGAGGGTGCTATCGGTAGCAGCCTGATCCGAAGAAGGAGCAGTTGTAAGGGTCGGCGCGACAAAGATGCCCGACGCACTGATCGATCCATCGGCCGCGCGGGCAGCGACGCCGACCGTCTTCCAGCCTGACGGGCACACCAATCCGGGCGAGAAGTATGCCGCCTTTGGATGGACACCAAAGGTGTTATACGCAGCCGAGGCAGCCGCATCGAGCTGAGACCCGGACGGATAGCACGCTGCACCCACCGTCGGAACGGCGCATTCAGCGCTGTAGCCGAAGCCGAGGGCGGTCCGGAAGCCCATCATACTGATGCCCAAGGTGGCGCATGCTGCATCTGCTGAAAATGCCGTCGTCAGCGGCCCCCAATTGGTGAGCGTGTAGTCGGGAATCGTAGTCGCGGTCGGCATGGTGAGTGAGCTTGATGCTGTTATTCACTAGCGCAGAATACTGGAGTGTGAAATAGGAGACGAGGCGCAATGGTGAGGGTGAGGGCAGGACTGAAAAGAAGAGAGGGCACAACTGAAAAGAAGAGTGCCCCGCGCCCATCGCTCCGCCATGTTTTAGGGACGGGTTTATGGTCTAACCCCAGACAAGCAGATGGAGTTGCAGCCAGGGGTTGATCCTTCTTCTATGGCAATGTTACATTGGAGAACTGGGAATGGCGGGGATCAATGGATCTCGGGATTCTTGATTGCCCCAGTATTCCAAGCAAGTAAGCGTGGAATAATAGTTTGGGGTCTGTGTCGCCCGTAAGCACGGCACTGCATTGCGCCGGGCTAGAGTAGTATCTGTCAACGCCTAACCGCCCACTTGCGTCCTCCATTACCGAGCAACGCTCTTTTGTCGAGGTCTTCTAGCGCTAAGAGAAACGCGATTTGTTAGCCTTTCACGTCTAGAGCTACCCCATGAAAAAATGCGCTAGAAACTCCTTGCGCTCGCCTTTGAGACCGAACCCAGGGTAGGCAAAAACGAGGCAAAAAGCAGTAATTAAGGAGTCGTCGCCTTCACAAGCCCACATGCTTGAACTTTGCGGGAGAGCTTATGAGGGCATTACGGTGCGAGAGGTCATGAATCTGTCACTCGAATACGCTAGCTACTTTGTCCAGCTCTGGCTGATCAAGATTCCGATCTTGATGGGCAATGATGCTGGTTAGGGAAAGGAGAAGTGTTGCCAGGACGATCATGACAAATGCTGCGGTCCTGGGAATTAGAGGTGTGTAACTGTGGTCCGAGGCTGGCTTGCCGTCTGGCTGTCGCTGTGTAACATGGGTGGTAGTAGTTCTAGACTTGGACCCGAGTCTTACCAGTCTAGACTCGGGTCCAAGTCTAGACGTGCCATCTTTTGGATTTGATCCCCGAGGTGGATATTGAGAAAGTTCAAAGTCAGATCCGGACTTCAGTAGGGAGTTTGAGGTGATGGAGGCTGGTGATGGAGGCTAATCCATCTCAGATCTTGCAAAAGCACTATTATGTATTGGCGGCGGATGGCATGGCAGATGAGCGAGAGAGGTAGGAATGCGAGGGAAGCGGATAACTTTCTCACTAAAAAAAGATTCGGGGCACTACCTCTAGGTGAGGTAGGTAAAATTTAACCGTGCACGGGAAGACTTTCTCGCTAAGACAAAATCCAAGCGTTAAACCCTGGTTAACGCTGAATAACCTGGCTGAAAGCTAAAAGAGTACAGCCGCTCCTACGTGACAAGGCCAAGCCGTCCGTCCCAACGGAAACGGATGCTCTGACCACGGCACCCAATTTCTTATCAAACCCGCGAAGAAGCATAAACAAAAACGTCAAAATGGCCTCATGTCCTATTATCGAACTGACTTGCGGGTCTTTGTCATGTCCCGACAAAAAGGAGCAATTGAGTCCCGAAAGTTCTGGTCATTGACACAGGGTCAGTTCGTGGCCACTAATAGCCCCTAACGATTTTCTAACACCTTCAGCTCACACCACCACCATCCACCACACCAAACAATCCTATAGTACTACTACCAGAATGCCATTAAACGCCGGCAAAGGCCCTAATTATCGGCACAGCCAACTACCTACAAAACCACCCCGTCCCTCTCTTCAAGGCTAATGTCTTTCGCTATTTCGGTGCTAGCAAACCCTGGGCTGGCGTTAGAAAAAGGAGTAGGTTTGCGAGCGGCTAGATGAGCTGAATAAGGGAGCTCAGAGAAGCTGAAGTGGACCAAAGTTACCACGCACCTTGCCACATCCATCTCTCAAGCTTTATTAGGTAGTACGAGGAAGAGAGACACCCAGAAGCAATACAACCACGTTTCACACTTTTACATAAATTTCCCCTGTAGATATCATTTCCACTCCAAAACCAATAGTTAAAATGGCTTCCATCAATAACGATAACAAAAACCTTCTGAATACATTGACGACGGCGAAGATGCTGGTCCAGCCAGTAGACTAATTACGGTAGTTGACTTGAGGGCTGGTGGCTTGAAACCCTACCAGCTGGAATGGGCCATTTATGAGGCTAATTGCAAGGCTATATACAGCAAACTGAACAGATTGAACGACTGAAGCAGTGGGTCCTAAAGACTGTAAGTATACACTATCAGGTAGGTATTTAGAGCAGGGTCCCGGCAGGGGAAGTGGGAGACGAGGAGGTCGCGTGGGTAGTGAGATGGGTACTTTCCCAGGTCAATACAGGGGGAAGGAGCCCAGAACGGCGTCAGCTCTGAGCAAAGATTTCTCATCTCGCCCGTGTTCTCTCTGTCTCAGCCATTCATGGCCGCGCCAAGTGTCTCAGAACGGAGCAACAACGGCTGAGACATTCCGCTTATCTAAATAATCTTGAAAGAGAAATAACTAACAGGTATTTGCCATTAGAAGCCGCTGCCACCACCATCACCACCACCGCCAACGCCACCATCACCGCCACCGCCAACACCACCAACCCCGTCGCCACCACCATCACCGCCGCCAGCGCACTTGTTTGGAGATAGGGGCGAACTTACCGCACGCAGGAATAAGACAACGGACAATCGACGGCAGAACCCTTGAGTGGGCTTGGCAGAGTTCATCGAGTGATTTTATATCGCCGAGTTGACGAAGTTAGGAACCCTCTACAGCCGCTTGCGAGTCTGCCTGAGACATGGCTGGTGATGCTCGTACGTTAAATTCGCGATCGATGTTGGAACTCGGTCTGCACGGGTGCTGATAAGAAATAAAAGGGGAGGCAGGGTGCCGAGTAAACTTGCAGGCTGGATAAATAAACCTCTGAAACTCGGCGGGATACCTGCCAGGCAGATAATGACGTAATGAGAGTAGTGTTGGATTTTACATTCAGACCGAAAAAATATGAAGTGTTGTGTTCTGTTCAATGTCTCCCCTCCTCTGGCTATGCCAGAGGTGCAGGTTTTATACATATGAGTGGTGGCGAGCTGTGTGGCAATTTTGGCTCACATCAGCTGAATAATCTAGTATTTATCATCCACTAGAAGATTCCATATGGTGAATTCAACAAGTAGCCTGGTGAGCCTTGTGCAGCAATGTTGGACACTGTTTTATGCATGTTGGGGGCACGGAAGCAACCTGGTACCCTGTATCTGTAGTAGAGATGGGCCAGCGCGGCCAAGGCAAGCATCGACGCCAGTCCCATGTACGGCAGCCCAAGCCACGGCCACCAAGCCGCATCCCTGTTACAAGCAGCTGAGCAAGTTTCATACCGCGATCCCATAACCTCGGCGATGCTGATTTAAGAGTACAGCTGGTGGTGTGCTGCGCGTCGACAAACGTCTTGGCGAGAGACCGGCACAGCGACGGGAGACCGGCACAGCGACGGGAGACCGGACCCCAACGTATTCAGAGCGAGGCCGGCTATCACAAAGGAGACGGTGGGCCCGGCCAGAAGCAGCGCGCCGACGGCCAGAAACAGCCAAGTTTAGGAGCCCCCGTCTTGGTGGGCGAACGTTCTTAGATGCACACCGTGTCGACCCAGCCGTAAATGTAACCATCTCTCAGAGCCGCCCACAGAGCGCTTAATCTTGGCATGTCCCCTTCTATGCCTCTGTCGCGATATGTCGGCCACGTCCTGGTGACACAATCCGTCCGGACTCCATGTGAGGGACAAAATGGCGTGTGGGGGGAGTTCCGCTGTCAGGAATGGACCTGCTAATTTCAGGGTGTACATGTTGATGAGACGCATTGCTCTAGAGCAGTGGAGAGACAAAAATTGAGAATTCGGAACCCAAAGTTGAGAATTCGGAAAGGACCAACTAGGGACGGTGGGGTTGACTTGGTGGTGCCTGCCGTGGAACGGAAATGCCTCATACTCACAGGCTCCAGGCCATTTTAGGGTTGGGGAAAGGACGAAAGGCGGAGTTTTCTCGTCGTCATGTAGGTAAGGAAGGTATGTTGCACTAGGCACGGAGTAGCCTGTTGCGAAAAAGAAGAAACAAGTCCTGTCAGACTGTCGGAACATGGTTAGGCCAAAATAAAGGTAACGCTCCCCACGCTCACCATAACACAACAGTCAATTTTACCCGGCTGTTATTTAGTCTTCCGTTATTTAGTCTTCCACCAAAGGTCCTCGCCCAGTTCCCGCGGGAAACCTCGGCTAGAAAGCCGCGAAAATTAGGCACGTCTCGTAACCACCCCACCAACCCAAAAGAAAGAGTCTGCCCTTCATCACGACCATTGCAAATCCTGGTACTCCCTCGCCGCAACCAGCATAAGCTTATTGGCATCCAGCTTCTCCCCCGGCATGACGATGGGTCCGTAGTACACGTTCAAGAACTTGTCGATTCCCTTCCAGGGGTCGCCGCCCAGCGAACTGTTGCCCACCGGGTACGCCGTCTTCTCGTTCATGGCGTGCGTGAGCTTGCCCAGCACGGCCGGGTCGGCGATGGCGCGGCTAGCATAGCACGCGGCGTAGATCTGGTTGGTGCGCCCGCGGATGGCTGGGAGCAAGCTGATATCCACGACAAAGTCGAGCTTCTTGCCTTTGCCCGCGTTGTAGATCTTGAACTTGCCCGTGTTCTCGTTCTGGGCGAACAGGAACACGCTCTTGTCCCAGTCGCTGTAGCGGAACAGGATGGTTAGCGTCTTCATGTCGCCCCGGTAGGTCTGGGGGAGGCTCTCGTAGACATTGCGCATGTTCAGCGTGAGCGTGTTCGCGCTCGTGTCCACCAGGTTGGCGATCTGCACCGTCACGTTGAGGTTGGCGAAGCAGGCGCCGAGGATTTGGAGAGACATGGTGTCGGTTGAGAGGGTGTTCAAGATATGTTCAAGGAATGATGTTTGTATCAGAGGGTTTATTGTTCTGACTTTTCATTAGACAATAAACACTTGAGTCTGGCGTTGAAAGGCGCGCTCCGTCTTATACTCGCTTGTTCGTATCGGTGCCTATCGCATCCCCATCACTTTGTGGCCGGCCGAGATAGGATCATGAGCCCTATGGCGTGGCAGGCACCTAACTATTCGGACACCCTATTTCCCAAAGAAGTATTCGTTCCGCAATGACGATGTTGGGTTGGGCGTTTCGCGCTGGGGGGCGAAGTTGGTGGAGTGGTCGGTGGTAAGATTTGCTCGGCTGTGCGATTTGCGACCTATCGTAGGCGGTTGCGGCAGAAGGCGGTTGCGGCAGAGAGCGGATGACCCGGTAATGGACGGGAATGGAGTAACCTCAGCTCAACCAATGCGTTCTCGTCTTGTCTCGGGCATTTCAGCTGTCTGCGCGGGGTCTGGCGCCTCCATTGCGGGCGGCCTGCCCTCGGGCAAAGATCAGGCAATAAATCAGCTGACACCTCGTTTTCTTGCCCATTGCTAAATGGCAAAACCGCGCCGAGCACGACAAGATTGCTGCTAAGTTGACACAACAAGATTGCTGCTAAGTTGACAAATATAGCGACACTTTGAGCTTCGATCCTTCCCTCCTTAACACCAAACCTAACTACCCAAAATCGTCGTGCAGGTTTTGCGCCAGATACGCTAATCGGTACCAGGAGGATGCGATCAAAGCAACTCCATCAGGGTCTTGTATTCCAGTTCCTTGGGCCAAGGGATGCCCCCTTTTGACGGGGGGTGGTACTTTGCTTCCTCAGTGATGTTACCGCCTCCCATTGCCGATATGGGAATGATATAGCGGCCTCTGGTTTGAGTTAGAAGCAAGCAGAGGTGAAATTGGACTGTAGTCGCTTACTGTGCCTGTTTGAGAGCGATATTGTCGAAGGAACCCAATGTCACCGCAATGACCCATTCCGACCAGTTCACTAGGTCCCTACACTTGGGGTCAGTGCGTGTTGGGATGGAATGCGGTGATGTGGGTACGCGTACATCTTATTGAGGGCGATGAGTAGTTTCTCCTTGGGAGCCAGCCCGCTAGTGATGAGCTCGGCTAGTTTAGAGCCGGACTCCTTGCCGTGGTCTGGGCTGGCGATATCTACAACCCAGATCAGAATTTCTGGCGTGTTAGTGTCTGTAGAGACATGTCAATTAGCCCGCTCCAAAAGGGTTAGAGAAGCAGTTTGTTATTCGCTTCTTTCTTGTTGATCAGAGTCGCTCACTTTCAACTACCACTGAACCGGACGGGGCATTGAACGTCTTTGGAATGTTGTTCTCCTCAAAGTGCAGCACAATATCTGTATATTGCCGGCCGGTCTTGGCTTCTAACAGCCCCGGTTTGTTCGGATCGATGCCACCCTGTAAAGATCAGTTACTGATCGGCGTTTGCGGGCAGTGACCGCTTACCCCCCGGGAGATCAGATTGCCGACCAGCGTCTTCTTCCCCGCGCCGTCCATGCCCAGCACCGCCAGAGTTTTGGACATGATAACCTATTATGCTAATCAAAGGCCAAACTTAGAGGAAATGGTTAAGAGGCAGGTGGAGGCGTTTGGTTGATGAGGTGGGGTAGAGGGAGTTGGGGCAGATAGAATTATCAATAGGAGATCCCCACCTGGCCTTTGCAACTGATTTCCGTGCAACCCGCCCATCCGAGAGCCGTGTCGAGGAAGAGTCATAGAATCGGCCCGAAGCTACTATTACACCGTGCCAACCCAAAGTCTCGTTGCTGTGGGAGCCGTCCAGCTGCACTGTATATTTCAGGGCTTATACCCCCTGGAGTCCGCAACTCGAACCGTTTTGGGAGATGTCTAATCTTTTCTTGACATCTTTAATACACCGCTAATTTCAGCTATCCTCTGGACGCTATCTAGCCTAGAGAGGTTCCCTTTCCGCATTCCAGCAATTTTTGTCGTTACAAATACACACCTTGCCTCGTCGCCCTGGTAACTAACTGCCCGATACCGACACCCGAGTCGATGCGCCAAACGCGCTCTGCTTGACGTCAGCGAACTCGACAGCGGCACGGTGCCGTCCCCCGCTGCTGCTGTCAAAAACAGCATTCTTCTTCGCCGCGTCGCGCAGCCCCGCCAGCTCGTACATGGAAATGATGCGGCACGCCATGACGGACGCCATGTAGCGGCCCAGGACGGTAAGAGCGTCGAGCGGGCCGATGAAGGTGGTGCTGGAGAAGATGGCGGTGCCGAACAGGATGTGCACGATAGTGCCCATTGACAGCAGCCACGCCATTAGCACGAAGAGCCGCGACTCGGGGAACACGTCGAACCGCACGTCCGTCTTGGCCGACGACAGCTCAAACTCGGACCTCAACCACGCGCCCGGCAGCCGAAGCAGCAGCGACCCCACGGCCCTCAGCCTCTGCCCGAAGGAAGCGTGGCGGCCCGACATGGCGTCCTCGCTCGGCCACAGGAGCCTCCTCACCCATTGCCGCGCGGAAATGTTGCGGCCCGTGGCGTCCTCGCCTGGTCCGAGTCGCCGCAGCCGCATGCGCAGCGTCAGCACGGCACCAACGTGAACCAAGAAGCTCAGAGACCCCCAGAGCATGGGCGCAAAGATGAAGTCGGACCAGAAGATGCCTGTTTGCGATTTGCTGTCAGTTGGCAACTTGGGAGGTTGTACTTGGGAGGTTGTACTTGGGAGGTTGTACTTGGGAGGTTGACCGGAGAGCTCACATATTGTTTTGATGCCAAGATCCTTGCAGACGACTACGATATTGGTGACGGCAGCTAGGGCTAGGAGATACTCGCCCGCGATGATGGCGGCGCGGATGGGGCCGCACGGGGCAGGCTGTTGCAGCCGCAAAGGGTGGTCAGCCAGGATCTGGCTGGGGTCCGGGTACTTGAAGGCCCGTTCGAAGTAGACGGAGCTCGTGCCCAAGGACAGGAGCAGGAACAGCAGCGGCCGTCGGCCTACCAGCAAGAAGGTGGCCGTCTCGTCCGTGCCCGGCCCTATCAGCGAGAGGATGGTCGGCATGACGCCGAGCAGGACCTGCGACGTCGCCATCTGGCCCTTAAGGTACTCGCTGATGTTGGCCAGGATGCACTGCACCACGGGCTGGGTCAAGGCGCTCAGGGTCCCGCCGCCGCCGACCCGGTCGATCTCGGTGTAGTTCTTGACGCCGGCGCGGTACTTGGCCAGCTGGTCGCTGCAGTTGGCGTGCAGCGTGTAGTCGAAGATCCATCCGAATTGCGGGTACCACTGCTGGAACTGGTTCGTGTACGTGGACGCCTGCGCAGCTGGGATCGAGAGGCCGAGGACCGTCGCCAAGACGAGATAGTAGTGTAAGGCAGACATTTTGGTAGACTGTCGCGATAGCCCCTCACTCATGGGCACGTAGCGACGTCTACACAAAGCTTGGGAAGAGTTACGTCGAGCTGCAAAGAAAGACAAAGCTCGGCCAGGATCAAAGCTAGGTATTAAGGGCGCAGAGACGTGACAGCACCAAGCTTGACCGTGCCGCAACAAGCATTCAGCTTTTCTTTTCTTCGCCCCTAACGGGCGCGCCGACATGGAAATGCCGTCTTCTCATTGCTGGCCTTGTCCTGCCGACTAGACCTCGCGCTCTGTTGCCATTTCTGTGCGTCTCGAGGGGCGGGAAATGGAAGTTTCATTGGGTGTAAACCATTCCACACGTTTCAGCCAGCGCCACAAGTCAGCCAGCTGGCCTTGGCGGAAGCCCTCGTAAATATCTCATACCTCAAAATCACACCCCCGTCCCCCAGAATCCTCACCATAGCTGGAAGTGGTGAGCCAACCGTCCTCCTTTTGTTGCGTGAGGTGGTGAGTGAGAATGACCGGGGAAAGTGGCGATGGTACGTCTTGTTGACTCATTGCCTCATTACTCTTCCACGCACGCCAAAGGCCGGGTAGAGGGCGTCGGCTTGGACTTGCTCAACCTTGCCCGATCACAAAGTCACACGAGACAAGGCCGTGGTCCGATATCTGCTGAAAGCGATGCAGTAAACTATCGAGCTTGCGCCTTCAGCCAAGAGCCTGACAAAAGCTCTTTTACAGCCATGCGGCGTTCTGGCAGCCACTGGAGCATTTTCCGCGTCGGCTGCATGAATTGCTCCCTGCCTTCTTTGCCCCCCAGTGTCGTTTCACTGTCTTCGAGCAACCGAGCGAAATTAACCAAGAACTCTGGCTTCTCCTATTGAGGACATGTTATTAATATGCCCTCTCTTAATTTGCCTCGACGTCTCAAAATAGTCAGCACTTAAACATGCAATGTAACTCAGATAGTGTAGCTTCCTGTTCTAATTACCACATTTCTCCTATTCTCACAACGTCGTGAGTACCTTCGGGGCCCGCATTTTCCTCTGTGGGGATTTCTACCCTGTCTCCATCAGCGAAACTTTGAGAATCTTTCAAAGATTCGGCACCTTCGGTCTCATTGAAACGATCATCATTGTCGGGAACTCTGGAATCTTCAGATCGAGTCGAACCTCCAGACTGTGTCGAATGCTCAGACTCTACCCAATCCTCGCCAAATTCTTGGTTCAGGGGTGTGATATGGTCCGGTACTTTCCAAATATCATTGATCCCACGCGCGTCCAGTGGGAGATTATATACATTCTGTCACGCGCACTCATAGGGCAACGGAAATGAAGCATTTGGTGCAGGGAGGTAAGGCTTGAATTGTCTGAAAATGTCTGCCTTTTTTTCTTCTTTGGGAGGGCCAAAAGTCTCTCTTTTATAGTTATGAATAGTGGCAAAGTCTAGTGGCCAAGAATCAAGTGGCAGCTTCTAGGTCCTTCTTTTGCCCACTAATCCTTTTTGGCCCACTAATCCTTATTATCGTGACATATTCTCTGGTCAGCTTTGAAGCCCGGATACAGTCCATAGTAAAAAGGGATAGAAATTCCACTTCTCAGTCAAGCCTACCCATTTCCTGTCTTCTGACCCTTTAGTTGGCGCATGTTCATTTTTGCCATTAATAGCCGTGAGGGTCTTTGGCCATGACTCTTTCAACATGCGTTTCCAATCTTCTGCGACCTTGCGCTCGCCTTCAGAGAGACTGGCTGGGTGAAGTCTAAGAAATCGGTGACTGGATGATGCCTTGAAGACAGGCAAAACCAGCCGCAAACTTTCAAATGGAGACTGGTGTCTGAGGGAGGATTGACAGGATCCAGGCTACTGCGTTAATTTAGTGATGTAGCTTTAGCTGGGCAGGAGCAGACATCCATAAGTTGTTCCAAGTACGTGCAGATTGACGAGGGAATTTGTTGTTGGAACAGAGTTTAGAGGGTTGGCTTCTTGTTTCGTTATTCGTGGCGACCGGTCTGGGTTTGTCGGAACCATGGTAATGGCAGGCGATTTGGAGACCTCAAAAAGGGATTTGGTATTGTCATCGAATTGGCATTCGCTTTCATGTTGTCTTCCGTTTCTGGTGCTTGAAGATGGCTTGATCGGCGCGATCTTGCTTTGCTCTAGATCGATGATACGAGTGCCGGTGGTGTTGAGTTCTCGCGCGAGACTCGCCAGTGTGGCGATCTCCTGCGCTTGAGAGGCATCCTCCGATATGCCCGAAGCTGAACCGCTCTCGGAATCCATGAATGGCCACGACTGAAGTTATGGCGGGATTGTGGAAGCTGCTCCTCGAAACACGGAATGAAAGATGACAAAGAAACGAAGAAGTGAAAGGTTCTGCTGGTTTCCCAGAGTTTGGAAGGCGGAGGGAAGGTCGATGGTACAGTCTGCAAGCGGCTTTCCAGCATTTGATGGACGCTGACTTGAAAGCGAGCCATTCTCCTTGTTTTGAGCTCGCGCGCCAAAGTTTCCCCCTTGGTTCGAGGCTTTGGAATCTGCCTTTCGAAATCGATGCATCTGAATGCATGTCTCAGGTCCCAGGGAGCAGGAAGATGCTCCGCTGACTTTCAAGGGGAATCACGTTCGTGCGATGAATTGCCCCGAGTCTTCGTCTTCATTTGCTGACACTGCAGCAGACTGCGTGACCGTACAAGTGCTCAAACCAGGGCCGTAAGGCGTGCGTTCCGCAAGGCAATGACTCTTCGGAAAGGTTAGGCAGACAAGGCAGACACTCCGGGCCCGTTATCCGCCGGCTCGTTATCCGCCGATTCTGAATTGTTTCACCGTGCCCTCTGACTCTTTGACTGGAAGCTGGATGTGTGCCACGTGCCGCAACAAAACGCAATATAGATGTTGAGAAACAAGATGCCCCCAGAGCAGAGTGAAAGTGTATGTCGGGTTGCAATCGGTACGCCGACGTCTATCTGATCTGCCCTTTTCGCTCCCGTCCACGTCTGTCTGAGCTGCCCTTTTCGCTCCAGTCCACGTCACCCGATCCGATTTGGCCGATCGAGGCACGGGACGTGCGATCTGCACGACGCACGAGGGACGCTTCCCCCACAAACGAACGTGGAGAACCAGGGCGACTATCCATTGCAGAATTGGAGTTCTCGCGTGTCTGGTCGGGAATGGACAAGATGAATTAGGCGAAGACGCGGGGGCAGTGATGCCCGCCGAAAGGGCGAGTATACTTAGATTGGCGGCCGTCACGTTGCGTCTGCGTCGTCTGCCCGAGATGGAAGGTGGCACACGGGCCAGACCTATTTCCTGGCCTGTGGGAAAAAGATGTTTCCGGGCGGAAGGGTGGTTGGTTTGATTGGGCCTGGATAATAATATATTGGCCCGGCTACAGAGACAAAGAAGCTGCCGCCTCCTCGTCTCTCTCCTCCCCCGCGCCGCAACGCACGTATGTACGTACTGGACGAGGAACCAGTTTAAAACCCCGTACCACCACCGACGTGGACCGCTGCGGTTTCCCGTCGCGCGAGGGTTCGGTGTCTCGGCATCGCACACGCCCCCCCGCCCCCCCGCCCCCCACAACACAACATGAACTTCGGACTGATTATTCGGCTGGTGGCCATTGTCTTGTTTGCCTTCTTTGGCGTCGGTTTTGGGACCGGCAGCACTGTTCTCGACCTCTCCGCGCAGAGATGGACGCTGTCTAGCCTGCCGCTGAACATCTCGGTTCGCGGCAGGGTGCCGTCCCACGTGCACCTGGACCTGTTTGAGGAGCGAGTCATTGGAGATCCGTAAGCCCCCGTCCTGGTAGGCAGGTTCGGAATCAGGAGGGCTGATTCTTCAAACACATAGCTACTATGGGCTGAACGATTTCAACCTGCGATGGATTGTGTGGAATGACTGGAACTACACGACCAAGATCAGCGGACTGTGAGACCTCACGTCACTTACCCGACGATTCTTGTTTACAGCCCCTGCGGCACACATCTGACCCTACACAGGCAGCCAAGCAAGACGGCCAGCACGTTCCTGCTCTTCAACGGGCTCGACACGTTCAGCAACATCTCGCTCTGCGGGCAGCACGTCGCCGTCACGGACAACCAGTTCCGGCAGTACTTCTTCAACGTCACAGACATGCTAGCCCGCTGCAACAACAGCACATCACGGCCCGAGCTGAACGTGCTGTTCCCGAGCGTGCCCGTCGCGGCGAACGGCATCGCCAGCCAGCCGGGCCAGGAGACGTGGCCGCAGTACGTGCAGATCCTGTTCGAGTTCGCCAACCGGCATTTTGTGCGCAAGGAGCAGTCGGATTTCGGCTGGGACTGGGGCCCCGGGTTCGTGCCGACGGGGATATGGCAGAAGGCGTGGCTCGTGTCGCTCGAGCCCGGCGAGGTGCACGTCCGCAACACGCTGCTCGACGTCTACCGCGTGGGACAGCTGCCGAACCTGCCGCCCGACCAGACGCAGGACTGGGTGCTCAACGCCAGCGTGGACGTCCTCAATGTCGTCCCGGCCGGCTCGTTCCTGAACTACACCATTGCGGACGCGGCGACGGGGGAGATGGTGAGCGCTGGCTCGCTATCGAACATCACCAACCCCGGCGATGTCATTGGCGGGACCACGGTGCTCGACCAGGCGGCGTACAAGCTCTGGTGGCCGGCAGGCCTGGGCGCGCAGAACCTCTACACGGTCACAATTGACATCATCTCGCCCTCTGGCAAGATCTTGGCGTCCGTGTCCAAGAGAACTGGGTTCAGGACCATCTTGCTCGACATGGCCGAGGTGACAGACGACGAGATAGACCAGGGCATTGCTCCCGGCAGCCACTGTGAGCGGCACTGACGCGTGCACACAACCCTCCGGGAGCTGACACGTGGCAGGGAACTTCGAGATCAATGGCAACCCGTTCTACGTCAAAGGCAGCAACTTCATCCCGCCCGACGCCTTCTGGCCGCGCGTGACGCCGGCCAAGGTCAGGCAGCTCTTCGCGGCGGCCGTCGACGGCAACCAGAACATGCTGCGTGTGTGGGCCAGCGGGGCGTATTCGCCCGACTTCATGTACGACCTGGCCGACGAGATGGGGCTGCTGCTGTGGAGCGAGTTCGAGTTCGGCGACGCGCTGTACCCGATCGCGCCGGGCTTTCTGGAGAACTGCCGGCTCGAGGCCAACTACCAGGTGCGGCGGATCAACCACCACCCGTCGCTTGCGCTGTGGGCGGGCGGCAACGAGCTCGAGAACCTCGAGCTGGGGATCCTGGTCAACTACACGGCGGAAGACCAGTTCGAGCGGTACCGGGACGAGTACGAGATGCTGTTCCTCGAGACCCTGCTGCCGGCCGTGTTCGGCAACAGCCACAGCATCACGTACATGCCGTCCAGCACCAACAACGGGGCGACGCTGAACTTCAGCAGCCCGATCCCGGTCAAGGAGAGATACTTCAACCTCACTAGCGGCTCCATCTACGGGAACACGGACTACTATAACTACGTGGCGTCGCAGGCGTTCAACCTGTCGGCATATCCCGTGGGCCGTCTGTCGACCGAGTTCGGGTTCCATAGCATGCCGAGCGTGGCGAGCTGGCGCAACGTGCTGCCCGCCGACGAGCTGCGCTTCAACAGCACGACCGTCATGCTGCGCAACCACCACCCGCCGGCGCGGGGGCTCGACACGGCTAACTTTTACAACAGCTCCGTGGGCCAGGGGGAGATGACCATAGCCGTGCAGCAGCACTACCCGGCGCCCAACAAGACGGACGCGGTCGGCAACTTCTCGGCGTGGAGCTGGTCCACTCAAGTCTTCCAGGCCGACTTCTACCGCAGCCAGATCCAGTTCTACCGCGTGGGCAGCGGGCAGCCGAACCGGCAGCTGGGGAGTCTGTACTGGCAGCTTGAAGATATCTGGCAGGCGCCGACGTGGGCCGGCATCGAGTACGAGGGCCGGTGGAAGGTGCTGCACAACGTTGCCAAGGACATCTACCAGCCGGTGGTCCTCGCGCCGCTGTGGAACCTGACGTCTGGTCTGCTGCACGTGTACGCGGTGAGCGACCTGTGGACCGAGGTCACAGGCACGGCGACGATATCGTGGGTTGACTGGTCGGGCAACGTGTTGCCGGGAATCGCGACGGAGGGCAACAACGTGACACTGCCTGGACGGCCTCACACGGTGGTGCCGTTCACTATTGGAGGACTCAATACTACGCTGCTGACGACCGTCAACATCACGTCGCAGTTTTCGCCGCCGCCCAACTCGACGCAGCTGCTCCAGCGACCTGGTGTTGCCAGCGGGGCGAACAACGCCAGCAACGCCCTGTTGGTCGCCACGCTGACGGCAACCGGGACGCCCGTCAACACAAACGCGACCAAGACGTATACGCATACCAGCTACTGGACGCCAACTCCACTTAGCAGTGCGGCGCTGGTAGACCCAGGCCTGGCTGTGAACCACGACAAGGTTAGAGACCAGTTTGTTGTCACGGCGAAGACGGGGACTAGCGTGTGGACGTGGCTGAGTGCCAGCCTGGACGACGACGTTGTTGTGAACTTTGATGTCAACGCGTTCCTGCTGCTGAAGGGCCAGGCCAAGAGGGTCAACTACACGGTGCTGAGCGGCGGGGCTGAAGGCTGGCGCGAGAGAGTGACGGTCCTCAGCATGTGGAACAACACGCTGGCTTCGTAGCGCCTTCTTGGCTACTACTGAGGTCGCCCGTCTCGAAGTGCTGTAATTAGCCTATCTTGTTAAGTATATCCACGCTCTCGGATTCCTGAATATGGGCTGCGCGGCCTCGAGTGTCTCGTGCCTACCTACTCTCCATCCCCCGAGACACATCCATCTTTCCATATTCCCGAGATCAGCAACCGACTCTTGGCAAAACTCGCTGCATCGTAGACCTCGGAGAAGGGTGCGGGGTAGGTGACTAGTGGGTCGCTGCAGGCGGTCCGCCCTAGAAGGCAGCGGCTTCTACCGAGAGATAAGCCGGTTGGCATCCATCCGACAACTCTAATCGGCTCTCCAACACGGCTGTCGCTCACGATGAGGAGGCATTGGCAATGGCAGAGGCTTTGCGCTCCCGACAGCTCTCGGCAAGACAATCCTGTCGAGAGTGCCGGTCCCAGTTCAGGGACCGGCGACGAGCAAGGCAACAGGGCGGATGGCGCCGACGACGGCGAAACCATGACGCAAGGGGTGCTGCGCAAGATTGACAGGCGCCTGATCCCCCTTTTGTTCGTCACGTACATGCTAAACTTCATGGACAAGACGATACTCTCCAGCGCGTCCGTGTTTGGGCTGCCAGAAGACACGGTACGCATCCACTAACCGCTGGCCACTAGCCACTGGCCACTGGCCGCAGTATGTATTTGGCCTCGCTGACCAGAACGGCCAGGGACTGCACGGCCAGGAATACAGCTGGGTGTCGTCCATCTTCTACTTCGGCTACTTGGCCTGGTCGTACCCGACGACGCTGCTCATCGCACGCCTTCCGCCCGCCAAGTACATGGGCAGTAACACGCTGTTCTGGGGAGCCGTGGTGGCACTGACTGCGGCGTGCACAGACTACGACGGTTTGCTCTCGGTGCGCTTCTTGCTGGGTGTGGCTGAGGCGACCGTCACGCCCACCTTTGTGTTCGTGACGTCGACTTGGTACACCCGGGACGAGATGCCTGTCCGCACCGGCATCTAGTTCTCAGGAAATTCCTTTGGCGGCGTGGTGGCGAGCCTTCTTGCTTTTGGCATCGGCCACATACACGACAGTGTCGGCCCGTGGCGTTGGATGTTCATCATCCTCGGCGGGGCCACGTTCCTTTGGGCCTTTGTCCTGCTAAGGTTGCTTCCCGACTCCATCTCGTCTGCCAGCTTCCTCACCCCGGCGGAGCGCCAGTTCGCCAGTGACCGGGCTGTCGTTGCCGGCACTGGCCGCACCGAGGGGGCGCGATGGCGCCGGGAGCAGGTCGTGGAATGCCTGGTAGACCCCAAGACGTGGTTCTTGCTGGCGCTCGAGCTGCTGACGCAGATTCCCAACGGGGGCACGCAGAACTTTGCAAACCTCGTCATCAAGTCCTTCGGCTTCAGCAGCCTGCAGTCGACGCTCATCAACATCCCGTACTCGATGCTCTCGGCTGCCGCCATCGCCGGGACGGGGTACCTCGCAGGCCGATACCGCCAGGCCAACTGCCTGCTGCTCGCAGCCGCGGTCCTGCCCTGCGTGGTGGGCAGCGCCCTGATCTACGCGCGCGACAGCACGTCCAGGGGCGTGCAGATGCTCGGGTACTTTTTGCTCTCGGCGGGGCCGGCCGCCATGCCGCTCGCCTTGTCGCTTGTCCAGGTCAACTACCGCGGCGTAACCAAGAAGATGACGGCGACGGCACTGCTGTTCGTGGCGTACTGCGCAGGCAACATTGCGGGTCCCCAGCTCTTTCGCAGCAGCGAAGCCCCATTGTACGCGACGGCGTTCCGGACCATCATGGTGTGCTATGCTCTCGTCGTCGTCTTGGCTCTGGCCCTACGCGTCTATCTCAAGTGGGTGAACGCGAGAAGGGCCGGCGAGGAGGGTTTCGTGGGCAGCGCTGGCGTTGCGGGTGCTGTAGCGGGGGGGAAGGATTTCGGCGTCGGCCGGAGCGTGGCTGCCATTGTCGCGCAGGCTGAGCCGAGTTCTCAGGCTTACGAGGATGTGACGGATTGGAAAGCGGCCGGATTCAGATACAGATATTAGGGGGACCAAGGGGCAAGAACGGAGCTACCAGTCAGTCTAGGAGCACCGTGTCAGTCCAGGAGCTACCGTGTTCTAGCAAAAATTTAGAAAGTTGGTGGAATAAAACCTTCGCGTTCCACTTCCTGATCTGGACGATAGTGGACCCGTCCCGAGGCGCCCCTTCCAATCACAACGGGAGCCACCCCAATGGTTCAGGGCGCCACGCCGCCGGGCCATCCACTAAATTTAATTTCTTGGTGACCCCGCTCCCCTGTGGGTCCTCGAGCTCTTCGTCATTTAGTGTGCACGTGTAGTTCCTAGATTCGAGACAAGAATTCAGGATAGCAATTGCGGCCTCCGCAGCTTCATGTAAAGGATGCGCTCAATGTCCCGGAAAATGGAGATGCCGCTAGCATGAGACCCCGAATTTGAAGTCTTTCTCTTGTCCTTGCCCTCCAGGAATTCGGGTGGGTTTAAGAGTGTGATCTATTTCCTGGAAAGTGGCTCGGAAGGCTAGCGCCAGAAATGACGGTACCTCGAAGAAAGTGGGCTACGGATTAATATTTTTACCGAAGTCACTCTTACCTTGTACCCTTCATTTTATTGTTAAGGAATTCTGGGATTTGAAAAGCTCGGAAAGAGTCACGTGGTGTGCACCCTTTCCTATTAGTCCAAAAAATTTAAGCGAGCAAAAATGGCTCATGGGGGAGCCAGAATTTTCCCGGGCCAAAATAGGTCCGGAATCTTTCTGGGCCTCTTTTTGGCGTACGTCTTTACCGAGAGCGCCCGTACTCCAAAAAGCCAACAAGAATTGGGGTTAAATTCGCAGAGGGTACCCCACCCTAGGAGGGTGGCTCTAATAGCCGCGTACTGTCATTTCTGGGGATAGATTTCCGGGTGGTTTTTCGGGAAAAAGATCACACTCTAAGCAACAGGGATGGTTGCACTAAGCTCCAACTCCTTGGCACGAGCTGCCTTGGCTGCTTTGAGGCGGCAGCTGCCCGGAATTGTGCTGATTTGATTTGCCAGACAACCGAAGATATTGCGTGTTGCTGGGTGGGGTGCTGTGTTTGTTACGTGCAGTGCTTGTTACGTGCTGTGCTTGTTACTTAAACATCAATTGCAGGGGCGGGTTCAGCAAGTGCCAGATCGTCGATCGGACGGAAACAACCTCCCCTTTATGTCGCAAATATTTCTCGCCGTTGTTCCAACCCACCTCCGGTTCTCTTCAAATCCCCAAAGCCAGAGCTGAAAACTCGAAGCAGAACAACCGCGTCCTGCCTGCCACGTTTCTTATCTGAGAAGCCAGCCTGCGGAGAAGCCCCAGGAGAATATCCACCCGCCCACTCCTTAGCGGCGCCGTGGTAAATTGACGTGCCTGGTTCCCCCCTTGTTCCTGGGCAAGCCGCTCCCAGCGGGCGGCGCTAGATGGCGCTATTGCCATCGTGTATGGAGCCCAGGGGTAGTAGCGCGGCTGTGTCCAAGAACCAGACCGCCGATCTCTTCTGCCCTGCCCTGGTAACGTGCCCCCCCGGGGTGGATGCCGGGAGCAGGAATAATCGGGGGCTTGGCTGTAGTCGCTGTTTTCGCATCGCGCTGGCTTTGGGCTTTGGCTTCACCTCGTCGCTTTTCCCTCTTTCGGCTTCAGCTCTTTGCAGCAGCCCAGTCACTCGTTTTTTGTTGGTCTTGTCTTTCTGTTGGTCTTGTCTTTCTGTCGCTCTTTCAACAACAACAACAACAACAACAACAACAGCAACAACAACAACATGGTCTTCACCAGGAAAAGGCAGGGCGCGTTGGCGCTGCTGCAGGCTGTTGCAATGTTCGCAATCTCGGGCGTGGCCGCCAGAAGCTCCCGATGCCGTCCGGCTTGCTCCCCCGACGATCCCGTCGTCGCCCTCCTCGGCTCCAACGACGGCTCGCTCTCCTTCTGCAGCGAGTTCCTCGCCCTCCCGGTGTCCACAGTTGGCGCCACTGTGACGCCTACCGTGTGAGTCAGGTGTCTGCCCAGACAGCCAATCCGCGAGGTCGGCGCGAGCAGCAGAATCTAACATCGAATTGTTGTTGCATGCCGGCAGTGTGACGACGGTCACCGAGACGAGCTATGTGACCGAGGCCGTCACCGAGACCGACGCCACGACCACCGTCACTGTTCCGGCCCCGACTGTCCCAGTCGCGACCATTAGTCCCGTCAAGCGTGGACAGGCTGCCCGGCAGTCCGTCGCCTATCCGACCTGGCTGCCCACCACCTATCTCGAGCGGCGCGTGTCGTCGGCCTGCGCCTGCCTCAGCGTGCCCCAGTCGGTGACCACAAGCACCGCGACCGCCGACGCGGCAGCGACACAGACCGAGGCCGCGACCGTGACGGAGACGACGACGACGACGCTGCACGCGACAGCCACGGCTACCGCCACGGCGGCGCCCCTCGCCGTCAAGCGCAGCGCCAAGATCGAGATCCTGCGCAAGTCCACGCTGGACAACGTAGGGTGGCTGTACTACAGCTCGGGGCCCGCGATCGGCACCGCGGCGCAGGCCGCCACCGTCAGCTTCACGCTCGACGCCGACGCGACGGCCGGCTCGCAGGTCCGCATCACCATGGACGACTTTGCGCCCTTGGCGCTGGGTTTCGTCAAGGACAGCAACGCGGCTAATGTCATCGAGCTCGAGAACGGCTAGTTCGTCGCCGCCGGCCCAGTCTCTGTCTTTCATCGTTCCAGCCTCGCTGACTGCATGTCTAGTGGTTCCGTCGCGATCATCGAGCCCAGTACGTAACCGCATTCATGCCTCAAGCTGGTTGACGTCATATGGGTCGTTTCTTTTGGTTGTCGTTGCTGACCGTTTTATTAGCTCCGCCCGGATCTGCCCCCGCCTACGTGACCCCGGCCAGCAAACGCGAGTCCGATATTGTGAGCCCGTTCCCCATCTTCTTCACTCGGATCAGTACACTAATGTTTCGCTGTGCAGTGGACCGTTGACACTGTAACCAAAATGATCGGCTGGAACTGGATCACCACGAGCGGAGCCCGTATGTCTTCTTTTTTTCCCTCTCCTCGTCCTTGTTTCCCTCTTGGTCACTCTCTTGGTGTGAGAATGACCCCCACAGCTGATATGCCGAGCAACTTCAAGCCGCCACCATCCATCTTTACCGTGTCGGTGGCCGTCTCTACCCCGTCGGAAATGTTGCCGCGTTCAATTCAGCCACGGGCGGCGCGAGCTCGTCCAATTACGAGGTTTTGCTGCGCTTCAGCTTGGTGTAACAGCCTTGAGGGGTCTCTAGTAGTTGTGTACGGATACATCGATGCCCTGGTGCTTAGGCATCTAGACATTGAGATTGTTAGCTTGAGTCTTGATTATGTCAATTGTACCGTTCATGTCCATCAACTTCACTGTCTGCAGAAGGCCGACTGGCTGCCAAATCTGTAACAGGGGCCCGAGTACGACACTGGGAAAGACACTTGTTATAATCATGCAGCTGAATTCAAATGCCACGAGCCCGAGTTTTCATCCCGGCCACCAGGTCTTACCGTCGTCTCTATGCGCCCCGTGTCTCCCTCATTCGTCAGTTGTTTCCAGGGTATCCCTTCTCGCGAGCTGAAACGACCCGGTCTTGGCACCGTCCCCCTTCTGCCGCTTCGCCCTGATTCTAGTGAGGCTGTTCTCGAACTCCCGCCTGGACGCGAGAACCGTCTCGACGTGCGCGACGGACAGCTTGACATTGTTGAAGCGCGCCAGCGTCCGGGCCGTGCTCACGCAGTTGGCGATCTCTCTACCATTCAGCTCGTCGCGCAGGAACTGGTCGACGTCCTCTTCAATGTCGATCTCGCTGTCGCCGGGGGCAACGGCGCCGAGGTACTGGGACCAGATGCTGCGGCGCATGTCGATGGTAGGCGGCAGGTACTCGAGCGCCAGGTGGATGCGCGACTTCATGGCCTTGTCGAACACGACGACGCGGTTCGACGTCAGGAACACAATGCCCGAGAAGTACTCGAGGTGCTTGAGGAACACGGCCACGAGCGCGTTATGCTCCGTGGCCACGCCCGCCGCCTCAGACCGCCCCTCTAGAAACACATCGGCCTCATCCAGCAGGACTACGGCCTTCCAAATGGTCGCGTACTGCAGCACCTGTTTTAGGCGCCGCTCGAAGCGAGACGGAATGTCGTCCCGGTTTAGCTCCCCTATCGTCGCCGTAAGCAGCGCCCTTTTGGTTGCCTCGGCGGCGGATTCTGGGTAGAGGTTCGTCGTGTGTTGGTTAGCATTGATACGGGTAGTGGATTTTGAGAGAAGTTTCGAGGCGTTCGCTTACCTGCAGTCAGGGTCTTGCCGCTTCCCGGGCTGCCGTGGAGGAGCATCACGAGGCCTTTCCCCTTCTGCTTCGCTTCGTCTCGCGCCTGGTCCTTGAAGTCGTGGCACAGTACTAGCGCTTTGAGCAGTGACTTGCGCTCCCGCGACAGGACCATGGTGTCCAGGGCGGATTCGTTCCAGCTGATCTCGGAAATGCCATCAATGTAGAACCGGCACCAGTCTTTCAGAGCGAGAGAATAGCCATACAGGTACGGCGGGCACAGCATGCGCTCTAACCTGCTGTGCGCGTCGTTCGCGCTCACCGAAACGCCTTCGAGGTAGTTTTCCTCCTTGAACGTCTTTTGGTCGAGGACAATGCGCCCAGTCTCCTGATACCAAAAATTAATACCTCTTCAGACCGGACGAGACGATATTAATTGACGGCAAGATTTCTCATACGAACCGTATAGGGCAGCCAGACACCAGCAAAGCTCTCCATATCCGGGTCATAAAACCCATAGGGAGGGTCTTTGAGGTACCTGGCAAGGCCGTTGTATGCCTTCACCAGGACCCCGTTCATTGCGAGGTACCGTTCGCCTCTTTCGGCGAGCCGATCCTGCAGCGCCTCCCCATCCGGGTACCAGTCCAACGGATACACGGGCAGACTGGTGATGCCGCAGGGATTTTCGGCAGCAAACAAGCGCTTCTGCCGAATCTGGAAGACGCGGGTGGTTTGGCCGTGGTTCTGCCCGTCGTAGTCGGTGTATCTGCAATGAACCTCGACGTACTTGCCTATACGGCTGCTCTCTTCGTAGGCCGTTTTCTCCAAGCGCAATATCCATTGGTGTCCATCCACCTCGGCATAGACTAGGGAGCCAGGCCGGAAGATTGTCCACAGGGTGGAGAAGCCGATAGAGCCAGCCTTCAGCATCGACTCGACGCGCTCTTTGCTCGGGCCCAGGTCGGCTTGCATGAAGCCGAGCAGGAGCTTCAGGTGCATGCGCGCCTCGTCACTCAGGTCGTCTCTCTCCGTGGCAGCGTGCAGCTCGTCCCAGTAGTGGAACAGCAGCTGGAAGGGCGACTCCATCTGGAAGGCAACATTGAAGTCGGCGGGCACGGCTGGGTAGTACTTGACCGTGGACCCCAGGATGGAGAGCAGATGTGGAGAGTTGATCTGTAGCGTGGCCTTCTCTAGCGCGTTCTTGTCGTCAAAGTTTCTCTCAAGCACCAGCGCGTATGCGCCATTGGTGTCAGCCGCCAGGTTCTTCAGGCCATACTTGACGTCGGTCCCCTTCGTACGGACAGTGCGGATTTGGACCTCGCATTGCTGTCCTCGGCTGGCCATGTTGGAGGTACAGAAAGTGAAGGGATGAGCTTGGCTATGGTAAGCTGTCAAGTGTCTCGCTGTGGGAGGAAACTCGCTGTGGGAGGAAACTTACGGCGAAGAACGAAATGATATGACGGTATATCGGTGCGATTCTGAATGCGGGGACAAGGTGAGCATTCTTAGCCCTTGGGCTATTGGGCTACTATCTCTGCCTTACCAAGCTCGAGCATGGATTAACTGCTATTGGTAAGCGCTGGTGCATGAAAATGGCCCCCACGGGCATGTCGTGGTGAGCTGCGAGTGGCTGCCGCCCTTGGCGGCGGCCTCTGCCGCGTCTGCCTCAGTGCCGATGGGTGCGGGGGTTCGCCGCAAATCCCACTGTCGTATGAGCCCGAGCACTTTATGCAGCCACATGTAGCCAGCGTTCACCTCAGCGTCAAAAGTCGAGCGTTCACCTCGGCGTCAAAAGTCGAGGGCATGGAGTTTTCTTCCTCACTTACCTAACCCAGTTTCACAAGTCGCGACTCGCTACTCGACGTACAAACACCGTGCCCGCGTGAGATACTAGGCCGAAATGGCCGCGCCTGTCGTCACCTCGGACGCCCCGTTTGCTCGTGCCCTGCGGGAGTGGGTGGCGGACCTGAAGGAGAGCGAGGACAAGAAAAGCCCGTTCTACGAAAAGGTGCTGGCAGCCGGCCCCGAGGATGACGGGTCCGAGCCTTTCAATGCCCGCGACCCCCAAGTCTGCTCAAAGCGTCTCTCCGAGTTCATCGAGAAGCTGCAGCAGACGCGGCGCGACGAGAGCAAATATCTCCGCCTCTGCGCCCGGCTCGAGCCCTTTGTCGACGGCATCACGCGCCTGATCAAGATATTCGGCACGCTTGCCCAGGCTGCGCCGTTCGAGGTCGGCATCGCCTTTGCCGGGGCGCAGCTCGTCCTGCAGCTCGCCAGCCAGCATGTGTCGGTGTTCAACAAGATGGTAGACATCATGGTTGAAATCGAGAGACAGCTGCGCTGCTACGACAAGTTCTCGGTCGCCTTTTCGGATTCGGCCGATGTCCACAGCCTCCTGCTCGAGGCTTACAAGACCATCATAAGCTTCTGGCATAGGGCATCCCAGATTTTGAGCCGCAGTTGTAGGCGTTCCTGAGGTTGGCCCTGTTGCAGCGAGAACACAAGGAGCTGATATTCAGTGACAACAAAGCCTTCCGAATTGCCGTCTCCACGCTGATCAAGCCCCTTGATGCCGAGTGGAAGAATTGCCTCGAGAAGCTGCAGAGAAACTCGCAGGCCGTCCTAGCGCTTACCCAGGCAACCACGGCTGTCGAGTCGAGGCAGAACCAAGAATGTGAGTGAACAGTCTGCCCTACCGGTGCCTTACCGGTGCCTTACCGGTGCCTTACCGGTGCCTTACCGGCATGTTTCATAGAAAGCTCACATACGACTAAAGTGGACTTGACCAAGAAAGTCGCAAAGTGGATCTTGGCAGGAGAAGACGCTGCGAAGCTGCTCTTCCGCCGCGACCTGGCTGAGAGTCGCTCGATCCGCCACGAGGGAACGTGCAGCTGGATCTTTAACCAGCCTAGTTTAAAGACGTGGTTCGGCGCGAACAGCAATGCCGTCGCGTGGTATACCGCCCCCCCGGGGTCAGGCAAGACAGTCCTGTCGGCTGCCGTGGCACAGTATGTCGAGGAAAAGGGAAAGGGGCTGCTCATCTACTACCGGTTTTCCTTTGACGACAGCGCCCGAAGGATGCCCATCAACGCTCTGCGGTCCATCGCCCTGCAGCTGCGCACCGCCATGGGCAAAGTTCCCGAAGAGGTGATGGAAATCTTTAACAGTGAGATGCAGCGCCATGCATATCGACTACAGGACACCGAGATCGCAGCAAATGTTGTCGAAGGCTTCCTCAAACAAGTGCCCCGCATCCATATTGTTATTGACGGGCTGGACGAGTGCTCAGACATTCAGGGCGCGCTCCGCTTGTTCAGTCGGCTCGCGGGCTTCGAGAACTACGGGATAGCGAAATGGTTCTTCACCAGCCGCGACGAGCCAGTGATACAGGCCGCGATGGGGAAGATGCAAGCCACTGAGCTGCGCCCGGCGAAAGGGACTGTCATGAGCGATATCACGACATTCCTCGACGCGAACAGCGCAAACTTGGCTGTGAGAAAGTGCAAAGACTGCGTCGAATACTGGACCGCGGCATCCCAGGAGAACTTTCTTTACTCCCGACTCATGCTTCAGCTGCTCTGCGGCGACGGCGTCACCTGCAGCGATGAGATCCACGAGGAGCTCCGACGGTTTCCGCCGGGGCTGTCGGGATGCTACACTCGGTGTCTGGACAGCCTCACCCGAAGGAAGGATACCGAGCGCGAGCTTGCAAGGTACGCAACTCCCTTTGTCGTCCGGATTCGGCGAACGCGGCCGTGACCTTTACTAACCCCTCGGGTCGTGAAATGCAGACGTATGTTCGTGTTCCTAGTGTTTGCCGCCAAGCCTCTAACGGTGAACGAGCTGCGTAATGCGCTGGCTATCCGTATGGAACCGGGCTTCGACGATCACCAGCCGGGCCGAGTACCGAGTCTTGAACTCATCAAGCTGCTCGGCGGGTCCCTCATCCGAATCGAGCATGAGGGCTCAGACGCGGGTCCTTTGGTCAAGTTTGTGCACAAGTCTGTGGTTGACTTTTTCAAGGAAGACCCATCAAGGCTAGGAATCCCAGCAGGAAGAGCCGACCTCGGGAATTTCTTCACCAGCAGGAAAGAAGGCGACCTGCTGCTCGGGAGGTACTGCTTGAAATATTTGCAGTTCCGACGGTACCAAACTGACGTCGACATGCCGGCCGTCCTTGCCAACAACAACGAGCATGCGTTTCTCAAATACGCGGCTGCTTTCTGGTTTCAACATCTCGGCGAAGTCGAGCACGACCAAGAGCTCTTCTCCGAGGTACGGTCGTTCCTCCGAAGCCAAGCATTCCGAACCTGCCTTAGCGTGCAAGTCCATGTGCGGCCGCACCTTTTTGCCCGATACACGGGAATAGGAGGCGGCAGCATATTTTCGCTGGGCCTCGAGGCGGGAGACTTGAGCAAGGACGACAACATCACCGATCCGCTTCCGCACTGGGTCGAACTCTATAAGCCTGATGGTCAAGACATCTCCAGGGCGCTCTATGATTTCATCAAGGACTGGCACGAGGTGCTAGTGCTGCACCCCGAAGCCCGAAATCAGTGCCAGCTGGGCCAGGCGGCCAAACTGGTGTTCCCGGGGCTTGCGTCAACAATGTCGAAGGGCATCCGGGTTTCAATTATCAAGCTGCCGCCTGGGGCGCATAAGGCAGCAATGTCGAGCGTGTATTTCAATAAGTCAAAAGCATCCGCCCGTGTGACGTACGAAGGCAGCAGTAAAACAGCTGCACAGTGGCACGACGCTCCGATATCGAGCGGAGAGCCGTCGGCGAGTGGGCAAATTGCGTTCGCTCCGCCCGCAGCAGGCCAGACAAAGGATAGGAAACGACTAATTCGATTTACCGAGGCGGCAAACCAGCCAGCCACACCCCCCACGGCGTGGTCGATTGATTTATCTGACCTCGTGGTGGAACGGTCTGAAGGAGGGGTAGAGTCTGAGGCGTTGCATGCACCAAAGTCGTTCCACATCGAAGGGACCAAGTCGGGCAGGACCGAATGGGGCCTGTTGAAAGAGTCTACTCCGGTGCTTTCCGGCTGTGGACCAGCAGTGGCGTTCCACTTTCGGAATACGACCCTGGACGACATGAGGAAGCAGGAGACGGACTCGGGGTACGATTCAGCTTCCGACACGGACGCGGACTCTGACTCGGGCTGGAGCAGCAACTCGGAGAGCGATTCCGGAGAGGCCAGCGACTCTGAAGAGCAGACCCCCCAGCAGAAGCCCAAGTCCAATGCATCCGACTGCCTCGTGATATGTTGCCACGGCGAGAAGCCGGTCTGGATTCCGTGGGACAACCAATCGAACAGCCAGACCTTGGTTTCTTGTGCTTTTCACCCCCGTGAAAAGCTTGCCGTGTTCTCTCGCCGCCTCGGCGAATTAGAGCTTGTCGATATGGCCAACGGCGAGATCTCCCGTCTGGCTATCGAAGACCCTGCCGTAGCCGGCGCGTCGGCATCTGTCATCTTAAGAGGTGCGTAGCCACTGTTATTAGAAATCTCCCTATTAAATGGCCTGACCAATTATCACTGACCAATTATCACTGACCATGCACAGAACTTCGATTTTCTCCGTGTGGCCAGTTCCTCCGCAGCCTGCTCGTCTTGATTGACGACAACGCCGATGTCGGGTCGACGTGCCAAGTCCTCCTGTCCATCTTCGAATTTGACGGCCAGAGCAGAGACGCCGGCTTGTTGTCGAGGTGCGCTGCGGTTCAGCGCGTGACGTACAAGTTCAGGGCCTCGACCGAGAGGCTCCGGGCGCCTTTCATTCTGTCGCACTGGGACGTCGACATGCTGTATTTGTGTCTCCCGCTGCTTTCCTGTAGCCCCAAAGTCGTGCGGATCGATGTCGCACTTGCTCGCCACAACACATCGGAAGATGTGACATATGCCCAGACACTAACAAGTCCCGTCTTCTTCCCGAATTCGACTGCTTCTCGGAATCCAAGACTGCTCTATCGCTCTTCGCCGATGGACAGCAAAGATATTATGCTTTTGGCCCTCGATGGGGTTTTCCATGGAGAGGGCCTAGGAGACGACGGAAACAGTTACCCGCCGGTGGTCATGGAGTGGAAGATCAGCAAGAAAGACGGGTGGAAGGCGTGGGATGAAGAAACAGATGGCCAGGAGTCCGCGCTTGCTGAAGATCTTCGAACATATTCGCAACTCCGCGGAACCTTTGTCAGCGCTGAGAAAAGATTCACCGTCGTTGTGCGCAGTGGGCTGGACTGGACAAAGAAGGCTTTTCTTTCGTGTGTATAATTAAACTAAACACAAGCCAAACAGTCTGGGTTGGAATCGGAGGCCGTTAGTTACAATTAAAGTTTATGGTCAGATAGGTCAGGTACCCAGGTAAACAGGTATTTGCCTCAACGGCAAATTTCAGGCGGCTGGGAGGCTAAGAAGCTAGCCCGGCGTGTTGCGAGAGCCAGAACACCGGGACCCCACAGTTTAGCCCGGCGTGTTGCGAGAGCCAGAACATGGGGACTCCACAGTTTAGCCCAGCGCTCCTTCCCATCTACGGGGAACGGTAGACTACCCGGTGATGCTACCTTAGACCTAGGCAAGTGCGGATAATAACCGTGGACGGCCATAGGGCTGCATTCTTTCTTTTACCCAACCGCTCCTTCCTTCAAAAAGTTCTCCGAACTCAACCCTGCAATTTCCTCGCGAGGCGGTCCTCCTTGGCTCCCAACCGAGCAAGTCGACGGGTTGGGCCAAGATGGCCGCCCATAGCATCGGGCCTCTTGGCAGCGACCGTCGCCCTGCAGTCATAAATGCCGACCCGAGAGCATAGGTGGAGACAAGCCAGCTCAGGAACCAAGCAATTATCCTGTGGCCCGCCTACGGCCTATGAGCATGAAACTTTTTACCTCGGCGCCATAAATTTGGGCCGTGGACTGCAATCAATTCTTGCGAATGCCCAGGAGCTCTACCTCTCTAGAGTTGCATCGGGTCAGGCACGCTTCTGCACCGACTTTTCCGGCTGCTTGCAGAAATGAGAAATGCCTAGGGCCGGGCCAATCCCCGAATTGGGCGTGTTACACGACTTTTGCAACTCCTTTTCGAACCATGGATCGTTTCCATGAGCCGTCCCGCCCCAATTGAAATTTCCCATACACAACCTGGGGATGGTAGCTATAAAGACGACACCAGCGACCCGTTTAGTTGGATGGGCCGCCCGCAACTCCCGTCTGTTTTCTTATCCCCCTCCTCCCCTCCCCTTTGCCGCTGACCGCCGACCGCCCAACACCGACCGCCCACCGCCCACCGCCCACCGCCCACCGCCACACCCCATCTGCATCATCGGCACCATGGGAAGCCGGCTCTTTAATCTCTTGGGTGGCGGGCTACTTCTTGCCCTAGGCGCCACAGCATCCCAGAATGAGAGGGGCAAATGGGTGCACCGTAAATGGGCCGGCGCCGACTACTCATGCAAGTGCTATCTCGGCGACGCGTGCTGGCCCGGCAAGCAGCAATGGGATGCCCTCAACGCGACCCTTACCGGAAACTTGCGGGTGGACGTCCCTCCCGGAGCCCCCTGCTACAATCTGTTCCAGGGACCCCTCGGCAACGTCACGACTTACAACGCAGCCCAGTGCGCAAACGTGACTGCTGGATTTGGCACCGAGCAGTACCAGTGAGCGATCTCAATGTCTTTTTCGACACAGGTACTGAGTCTCGCACTTAGGATTGAACTGCCGGCTGCTGGCTTGTGGACCTACTTCACCAATGACACCTGCAGGCCAACCACCAACCCGTCAGACACCTGCACTCTCGGCTATTACCCCGTTCTCGTCATCACGGCCACGACGGTCGGCCACATCCAGGCCGGCATCAACTTTGCCAGAGAGAACAACCTGCGACTGATAATCCGGAACACTGGCCACGACTTTCTCGGTCGGAGCGTGGGCTGGGGCTCCCTCGTCATCAACACGCATTCCTTTCAGCAGATTTCCTTCACCGATTCCTGGAGCGGCGCCGGTGGTTATGCCGGGTCTGCCATCACGGTTGGCGCTGGTGTGCAGGCATTCGATGCGCTGAACAAGCTGAATGCCCTCACCCCTCCTAAAGTCATGGTCACTGGAGAATGCGGCGTGAGTCCCAGTTTTGCTACGCTTCTTGGTTACCGATTATTGGCAAGTGCTGACTCTCCGAATCTATCTAATAGACTGTCGGTATTGCCGGAGGCCTGCCCCAGGGGGGTGGCCACGGCCCTCTGACTAATCAACAAGGATTCCTCGCCGATACGGCACTCGAATTCAAAGTCATTACAGCGGACGGGGTACTCCGGACCGCCAATGAGAAAACAAGCTCGGACCTGTTCTGGGGGCTGAGAGGTGGCGGGCCTGCTACGTTTGCCGTCATTGTCGAGGCGTCCTACAAGACATTTGCTGACGTCCCGAGCACTGGCATTACCCTAAACATCAACATAGCGAACACCACGCTGTTCTGGCAGGCTGTTACAGCGTTCACCGGCTACAGTAACCGATTTGTCGACAACGGTATATACGTCTACTATGAGCTTGGAATCGGTGGTCAGATCCTGAATGTCCAACCCATTGTTGGCGTCGGGAAGACTGCCGCCCAGCTCCAGGCGATTGTTAAGCCTCTGTTCAGCGAGCTGGATGCGCTGGGGGTCCCATACCAGACATCGACCAAGACGTTTGCTACGTTCTATGACCTGTACATGGGCTTGTTCGCTACTGAAGGAGCAGGGAGCTCTGCCCTTACGGGGGGGTGGACAATTGGCAAGGCCGATATCGCCAACAACACGACTGGAATTGTGGAGGCGTTTAAGACGGTCCTTGCCAACGGCTCGTTGATGGTTGGCCACATCTGGAACGCAGGGTATGGTCTGCCCAGGAGCGAATGGAGCAAGAGCGCCGTGAACCCGCGCTTCAGAGCAGCCAGCAACAAGCTCATCACGGTGATTCCTGTGGATGGCAATGCGCCGCTTGCCGACAAGGCCGCCGCCCAGTATAAGCTAACCTACGTTGTCGACAATGCACTGAAGCAAGCCGCCCCCAGCGGCGCGGCGTACGTCAACGAGGTAAGCCTTGCGCAGCTGCTCGCATGATTTGACGAGGTTGCACTTGCTGACCACGAGACATGCAGGCCGACCCCTTCATCCCCAACTGGCAGGAGGCCTTCTGGGGCACAAACTATCCGGCCCTGCTCAAGCTGCGGAAGAAGTGGGATCCTGCCGGCGTCTTCTACGCCGTCTCGACCCCCGGCACAGAAGACTGGGAGCAGATCGAGTACGGCACGCGGCTCTGCAAAAGGCTTTAAGTTGTGGGCATATGCTGCTGCTATTGGTTGTTGCGTGGCCATCAAAATAATTACGTTTATTTTCAAAAAAAAGCATCTCCAATGACCAAAAGATATCGCTCCTCCTCCCAGATATCTAACAAAACCCGAACCCTGGGCCTTGGCAGTAGAGTCTTGGCAGGGTTTCATCCGGCGTGGAGGGTCACGAGAAATGGTGAATCTCGCGTCTCGCTTCTTCCGCTGCAATCCGTCCGCGCACCGGATCCTGTCGAAGCCACACCGCAAACGATACTTCGCGGCGCTGAACACTCTAGCTTAGATGCGTGCTCCTAATCTTGATCCACTGCGCTGAGTTCTGGCGCATTTGCTGTTTCTGGACAAGGCGAGTCTTGGGCAAGCTTGCGACAGGAGCGCAGAAGCGACAGGAGCGACAGGAGCGACGCGTAAGCCACTTTCCGTGAGGGACCCTTAACAATAGCGGCCGTCGTCTCCAGATCCCAACCAGACCCAATGTGAGCCAGGCAGCCAAGGCTCTGATTAGTTACCGGCCATGGAGAAGCTCAGAAACCGACTCCAGCGTGGCACCATCTACGTTCGTCTTTTCGGCTGGGTCTACTGGAAGCTCGCCGTCCCGGTGCCACTCACGCGGACCGTTCAAGACAGGCGCGCCAGGCTTGCCGAAGAGAGGGTGCTGCGGACAAGCCAGCCCGTCCCGTACAAGTACCAGGCGCTCGGCAGGCCACGAGCCATTCGTCTCCTCAAGATCGACAAACTAGAACACGCGGGGATCTGGCGGCCCGGCGTGATCAGGTGCACCGTCCACGAGTTCCCCATCGCCGGCGCGCCGCCGTTCAACGCGCTCTCCTACACGTGGAAAGAAGACGAGGTGATTCTCGACACGGTCCGCGATGCCCGCTACCTGATCCACCCCTTTGTCCGCCTCTACGGTTCGAAGTGGTGGAAGGCGCTGGTCAACCGATCCGAGGGCGCCCCGACCCGGCTGCCCTGGCTTGACGAGGCGGTCAGGCGTGTGACGACGGCGACGGTGCGGTCGCCACGCCAGACTCTGGACGGGCTTCCCCGTCGACTGATCCTGTGCGACGGGCAGGCCATGTTCGTGACGCAGAACCTGCACAACGCCCTGAGCACCGTCTCGCGCAAGAACCCGGGGTACTGGTGGATCGACCAGCTGTGCATCAACCAGGAGGACGCGCAGGAGAAGAGCGTGCAGGTGGCGCTGATGGGCGAGCTGTACAAGACGGCGTCGACAGTGGCCATCTGGCTCGGGGCGCGGACGTCGTTCGAGGCGCGCATCGTGCCGGCGCTCGAGCTACTAGCCAACATGCCCGACGACGACGTCGAGGCCATCGCCGTGTCCAGCCTGTCGCTCTTCTACCGCGCGTTCCCCAAGCTGTTCGCGCTTTTCGGCTTCTTCTCGCGCGCCTGGTTCGACCGCCTGTGGATTGTGCAGGAGTTCGCCGTCGCCCGCCACGCCGCGTTCCTGCTCGGCGACGTCGACATCCCGCTCGCCCTGGCCACGCGCGCCCTGCGCCGCATCGAGCAGGTCCTCTCGGCTTCCAGCCTCGGCACCTTCCTCAATTCGGCCGACGTTCCCACCGAGAACCGTTCGGGGCTGCTCGACTCGCGCGACTACACGGCCACCCACGGGCCCTGGACGCTCGAGAAGTGGCTCGGCGTCGCGCGCGGCCGCAAGACCACCGACCCGCGCGACTACGTGTTCGGCGGCCTGTCACTGCTCGGGCGCGAGGCCGACCCGGCCGTGCCCGACGTCGAGAGCCAACCGGTTCTGGTCACGCGGAGCGAATCGACGGCGCTCGGCGCCGACTATGCGAAGCCGGTCGAGGCCGTCTACTTTGCGTTTGCCGTGGCGCTGTTCCAGAGTGACCTGGGCATCAACGCGCTGTCGCTCGTGGGGACGCGCAAAGACGCCAAGCGGTACCCGACCTGGATGGTCAACCTGCACGAGCCGCTGTCGCCGAAGCCGCTGCACCAGCTGCAGGTCCGGCAGCCGCGAAGCGTGCGCTCGCCGGGCCACCGCCCGACGGAGACGGAGATGTACGTGGGCAGGGAGTGCGTGTTTGCCGACGCGGTGCACTTTGACGAGATCGCCGCCGTCGGTGAGCCGCTCACCCACTGGCTCAGCAGCGGCGACGGCGGCGCCAGCCCCGACGCGCCGTTCCATCTCGCCGAGACCTTCCGCCTCGCCCTCGAGCTCGGCCCGCGCTACCCGCCCACCGGCGAGCTGCTGCTGACGGCGCTGTGGCGGACCCTCATCCTGGAAGACGAGTCCGCGTCGCCGAGTCTCGACGCGTCGTTTGCAGATGCCGTGCGCTGGTATTTCGACCTCTCGCGCGCGGGCATCGCGAAGCAAGACGCGCGGACCGACTGGGCGAGCAAGCACGACGAGGACGCCTACTGCGAAGCGCGATCCCTGCACGGGCAGCTCGGCGCGTCTCTCATGTCGATGCTGTCACGAGAGGAATACGCGTCGACGGAATTCGCCGGGCTTCGGCTACCCCCGGCCGTAAATGCACCCACCAAAGGCAAGCCCGACGCGACGACATCAGACAAGGGCCTCAACGACCCGGCGCTGTGGTACGGGTCGTGGCTGGCCTTTTTCGAGGCGTTCCACGAGGCCGCGCCGGGGCGCCGCCTGTTCGTCACGCGGCGCGGCTTCCTCGGCATGGGCCCCGCGACGGCGCAAGCCGGGGATGATGTGCTGTTCCTGCGCGGCGCGTGGGCGCCCTACGTGTTCCGCTCCGTCGACCTCGCCGAGGTCCCCGGGTGGGAGCCGGGCTCCGAGCTCGCTAACCTCCCCCCGCCCCGGATTCTTGTTGGGGAGGCCTTCGTGCATGGTGTTATGGGGCAGCTGCGCGCCGGCGACGCGGAGCTCGTGGCTGCCGCCGGCAAGGACGCGTTTACGCCTGTTATGATTATTTAAGCGGGGCTTTGGTTCGTGGGCATTGGCTGGAGAGAAGCTCATGTGGAGATGTCGACACCTGAGGGAGTTACAGTAATCTTCGTTCAGCAGATGCGGGGAACCGAGGCGGGCTAAATAACTACCAGCGCCATTTTCGTGTATCTGAGCAACATCTCCTTGCTCTTGAATAAAGACGGAGTCGATATTCTAACTACATCCCGTGGCTCTAATACTCCCGCGAACTTGCTGCCAGCCAGCCAGCCAGCCAGCCAGCCAGTCTGTCTGTCTCTACCAGTTCCCCCTACCCACCGCCTTCACCATGGCGCCCCAGCCGCGGCTGCAACTCCAGCTCCGTCCCGCGAGGGCCTCCGACATCGCCGACATGGTCGCCTCCATCTTCTCATCCTTCGCCACCAACGCCATACACACGCGCCTGTTCCCTGCCTCGCTGGCCGCGTCGCAGGACTTCTGGCGCGCGTTCGCCGCTGACGCCGTCGACGACCTGCGCGCACACTGCATCGTCGCCGAGGACCTCACCGCCGCCTCTCCCTCCGCCTTTGTGGGGTTTGCGCTGTGGCGGCCGCCCGCGGACACCACCAAAGAAGAAGAAGAAAAAGAAGACCCGCCCTTCGACTGGACCGCCTGGCCCGTCGACTCAGAGCTCGCGGCCGCCTTCTTCGGCGCGCTCGCGGACAGGCACGCCGCGCTCATGGGCGCCCGCCCGCACTGGTACCTCGAGTTCGCGTGCGTCACGCCCGCGCTGCAGCGCCGCGGCGCCGGCGCCGCGCTGGTCCGCTGGGGCGTCGACCGTGCGGATGCTGATGGCGTCGAGGCGTATCTCGATGCCACGCCTGACGGGACGCGGCTCTATGAGCGGTTCGGGTTTTGTACTGCTGAGGTTGTGGAGTTCATGGGCGGGGAGTATAGGCAGTGTTTCATGCCGCGGCCAAAGAGGGAGACGGAGACGAAGACGGAAAGGGGGGCTAATGGGATGTGATGTGGTGTACGTGATGTGATGCTATGGGTTGGGATGGATGGGGATATCAATAGTGGCTATGATACCATTGGCAGGTTCAGGTAATAGATGCATTGTGCATTGATTAGGTTCATGTTGGCTACTTTGGCTATCATTGAGAAAGGAACAGAAAATAAAGAGCCAATTTTGCAGTTTGCTGACTATTTCATACGCTCACTTGTTTGAACCTTCATGTGCTCTTCATTTCATTTTTTCCTTTATCCAGACTTGGGTATTTGATCAGGGTTCCTTCCTGAAGATGGATGACAGGCCCTTGGTTTCATGGCCTTTATCACGTGTTTTGACTTTGGTCTCAGTAGGCTTCACTGTCTGTCTCATCAAAGCTTGTCACTGGTGACTTTACATGTGGTGTGGTTAAGGTATGTACGCACCTTGAGTTGGAAGGCCACCTTGTTCGTTCCGGTCTCCATTCTGTGGTTAATAAATCCTTTGTATTATAGCAAAGCGCATCGTACTGTTTGATATTATCACCCACAGAGCCGCAAGCTCAGTCTCCCGATGTAAAATAATCAATGAATTAATCGGGGGGGCATAACGCTGTTTTACACCAATTTTCTCTTCCGCAGCCACAAAACTCAGGCTTTGCAACGCTCGCCGCTACTTGTCCATCCGCCGCCAGCATTTCTAGCTCGCCACCCGGGTCCAAAACTTCTACTCGGGTCTTATGCCAAGCAACCAATCAAACAGTAGGAGCAGATAAGGGTGAGCTGAGCTGAGCTAGCTGGGCGTTGGCGCCACCGCTGCATGGAAAAGCAGAGAGGCCAGGTTAACTCAGGAAGCCGAGAACAGGCACCGAGCCGAGACTCGAGTCCTGTTCTGATGCTGCTGCGATGCTAAGACTTCGTCGTGCGAGTCAAGTGTGTGAACGGGTTGGTTATGACACTGACGATAAACAGGTTGTACATGTAATCATCACTTGGACATGTGACAGCCACAATCAAAACACCTCAACCGCATATCTCTCGCGCCTCGCTTCCACCAGCCACTCCTCCACCTGCTGCTCGGTCGGAGCGCCACAGCCCCTCTTCTCCGCCTCGGCCAAGTAGATACCTCTAACGACATCCTTGATGCCCTGGCTGACTGGGCGGCCGCCACAGATGTATACTCTCGCGCCGCGGTCCCACAGTGCCGCCAGCTCGCCCCCGTCCTCTCGGACGCGGTCCTGCACGTAATATCGCCCTCCCTGCGGCGTTTCAGCCTCGACACGCGAGTACGCGTACCGCACGTCGACGGCGCCAGCAGCCTGCCACTCGGCGAGCTCGGCCGCGTACGGCGCGTCCTCGGGGCTGCGGCAGCCGACGAGCAGGACGGCCGGGGCGAGGGCGTGGCCGCGTCGCACCATCTCGGCGCGGTGCTGCACGAACCCGCGGAAGGGCGCGATGCCGCTGCCGGCAGCCGCCATGATCACGGGGGTTGCCGCCGCGTCTACATCTGCGGGTGGCCGGAATCGCGCCTGTCCGGCCCGGATGGAGATGTCGACCGTGTCGCCGGCCTTGAGCCCAGCGAGGAAGCTCGAGGCCAGGCCGACGGTGGGCGACGGGTTCTTGGCGATGTCGGGGTGGATGGGAGGATGCGTGATGAGTGACCACGTGATTGTGCACGACTCGGCTGACCACAGCGGGCTCGACGAGATAGAGTACTGGCGCGGCCGGAGAGGCGGCAGCATTGACACGAGCTGTGTCGCCGGTACTGATATCGAGGGGAACAGCTCGAGAATCTGGGGGATGGAAGGCCGCCGGTAGGTTGTTGCGTGAGAAGCGAGGTTTGCCTCGGCCGATGAGTTAGCGAGCCACTCGAGCCGGGTTCTCTCCATTTCGTCCTGACAGCTCTTGGCAAGTGTCTCGATTTGCTTGATTTGTTTGTCAGAAACTGTGCCCGAAACTGTCACCGGTGCCTATTTTCTCTTACCTTTGCAGTCGCTGGCTGATTTAGTTCAAGCCTGGACGTGAGCGAGAAGCGGAAGGAGTCTTCATCGCCCCCGCTCCCGTGATCCTCAAGTCCTCGAGTCTTTAGGATTCCCAGCAGTCTGTCCACATCTTGTCGAGTATTTTGAGGATAGACTTCGAGGTAGTCACCAACATCATATGTCGTGCCCTCGGGAAGCTTCAATTCCATGTGGCGCTTTGGGCGTTCGCCGCTAGCCGTCAGCACCAGCATCTCAGTGACTGTGGCCTGTCCGCCTGGCGCCAAAGACGGTGCGGATAACTCCAGCCGTTCGCCAGCCCAGGCTCCACTTGTCCAGGGCTCTTCAGTCCGAGAAACACCGTTTTGGGTGTCGTAATTATATATCTGAGCAATTCCGGGCCAGAAGTTGTCCACCTGCCAGGCTTCAAAGTCCCCGAGTATGTTACCCTCGCTCGCATCGGCGTCGCCTGTCGGTGCGATAGCTGTTGCTCCATGTTTCTGTAGCAGAGAGCCGACAAGAGTTGGGATCCGCTGAAACGTATCATGCCAATCGCCTAGTTCGGTGGTGTGTTAGTGGCTGGCAACCGTGACTACATACTTAAGGGAACCACAGACTTACGGTTTCCGCAACCAAACACGGCGAAGCGAGCGCCTTTGAAGGCGTCGGCATCTCTAGGCTCGGATAGCCAGTTGACGAATTTAACAGCATTGTCTTTCATCACAAACATTAGCATTGTCTTGACATTAGCCACGTCTTGCAGCAAGAACCGGCCATCTGAAGCTGTCAAATACCTGGAGGTTCGCCTTCGTAGCTTGCCGTGATGATGACCACCGCATGCTCTCCCGTAATCCTGCCCACGGCATCATCTAGTGGAGCCACGGACGAAGCAAATCCCTGGCGACGGGATTTCAAGGCGAGGCTATCGGCTAGGCCTTTGCAGGTTCCCATGTTGGAGCCGTAGAAGATGGATATCGGCCGTTGCTGCTCCTTGGACTTCTCGCTTTTATCCGCCTTACTCTCGGTGCGGTCGGCCTCTTCCGCGGGATTGCTGAATAATCCCCTCGACAACACGGTTGCGTCGACCCCCGGGCGGAGCTTTGCGTAGATGAACAAATTGCTGGGTTTCACGGTTACGTTCTCTTTGATGGTCAGCTTGTAGTTGGGGTCGACAAGCTTGAAGTCGAACTTCTGGAACAGGACCGCGACTGCTAGGATTGCCTCTTGGAGAGCGAAGTCGCTACCTGTAGATGCGGTGGCCATATTAGTACGGGGACGGAAGCATGTGTCGAGACGCACGACCCCAGGCAACACCACTTACCAATGCATGCACGCGTCCCATTACCAAACGGCTAGCCACACCACTGCAATCAGCTCAGGGATCCAGGAAGCACAGTGGTGGGATTGCGAGTTGCTCTCACCTTCCAGCAGTTCTTGGGGAGCTTTTTGAAATTCTCGTCGAGCATTCTCTCCGGCCTGAACTCGTTGGCGTCGTCGCCATAGACGAGGGGGTCCCGGTGAAGCAGGTCGTTCATGATCAAAACCGGCTGCGCGTGCTTGAGCTTCCACTTCTTCCCCACAATCACAGGAAGTTTTGGGTCGGATGACACTGGTTGTATCCCAAAGATGGGAATAGGAGGCTGAAGCCGGAGGGCTTCCTTGAGGCATGCCTTGGCGTATGGCAGCCGAGTTAGATGCTCGGCTGTGAGCGGTTCTCTCCCGAGCACTTGATCGATTTCGGCCTGCAGTGTTTGATACGGCCCTGGGTTTTTCAAGAGCAAATAGAATAGAAATGAAAGCATGGCGGATGTTGTTTCGTGGCCTGCATCGATAGTCAGCATGTTTGACGGAACAAATGCGCACCAGAACTCACCAGCAATCAGGAACGTTATCATGTTGTCCCGGATTGTAGAGTCGGAGAGATGCTTGCCCGTCACTGGGTCGACACCGTTGAGCATAGTATTCAGGAGGTCTTGTTTGGTTGTGGGGTTAGCTCGGCGGCGGGCCATGACGTCGCCAGCGACCTTGTGCAGGTATTTCATGTTTTTGCTGAACCTTCTATTCTCGGTCCACGTGAAATAATTGAGCCACCCCGGCCTCAGATCCCGCGCGTCTGATGTCTCGAGAAGATCCATGAAGGCCGCGACAAAAGGGTCTAGATCGTCCTTGTAAAACGAGTTGAAGCGAAGGTCCATGGAGCAGCTAGTCAATGTTTGTCAGCAGCTAGCCTAGAGGAGTGACAGATCCAAGGCCCCCAGAGCGATCAAACGGCCACCAATTCAAGGGTTTGGACCTACAGTGAAATCGTGTCGAGTGTCAGCCGTGTAAAGTCCGAAGTGAGGTTAATGGCTGTCGTGTCACCAAAACGAGCCCACTTTAAAGCGAGTTGGGATGTTATGTCAAGCATTTCTATATTGAGATCAGTTTTAAAAGTTTGATCAGAGGTCTGAGAGAAGTGCTTCGGCAAAGACACACCAGGAACCATTTTCTGAACTGCAAGTGGTCCAAAGGCGGAGACTAAAACGCGATGTGCAATGCCCCATTCTTCTTGTTCGTGAAATGCCGTCAAAAGACCATCTGGGGTGAGGGCTCTGAGGGTTATAAGCGAGCCGATTGGCTGTTTGATAAAGTCCTTCCGCGAGAAAACCTCGTCGACAAGTTCCTGGCTGCCGAGAAGGACCATGTCTAGGCCGCCGAGATGAAGCCTGTATATCGGCCCTGATTGGCAAGAACCACGGCAGCGTGTCAGCCTGCCATGTCCTGGCTGGTGCGTGAAATATCAAGGTGGTGCGTGAAATATCAAGGCGGTGCATGAAATATCAAGGCGGTGCGGGTACAGTACCGTAAGTGGCGGAAAGAGCACACATGCTCGCGATGGCTTGCGAGATGTTGATGTCAAGCAGATTTCCGATCACCGGCAGAGGCCTCGGCCCCGGAATTGGAGCCATTGGGGCGGTCGCTGGTCGTCAGCAAACCGGCTGAAGTGGAAGACGATGAACCAAGTCGCTGACTCGGATGTATTGACACAAGAAGCGTTCGATCCGAAAATTGGACACAGTAGTTCGTCAAACGAGAGGGAAGGTAAAAGGAAAAGGAGAACAGGTGGGAGAAAAATGTGGAATGCGACAAAGGAATCTTGGCAATGAAGAAGTCCGACGGCCGAAAGTCCATTGCTGCAAGCATGGCAAATGATCGATGGCAATTACGTTGCAAGCGGCGGCCGCGGACCCCCCCCCCCCCTCCCGGTTGACGAGAGCGAGCCCAACGCCAAAACGGCCCCTGGGTTGTGCAACGCCATCGCTGCCAATCAGGATGCGGCTCGCTCCTCCCGGACACAGCAACCACGGAACACATCACATTTTGGCTGTGCCGTGCACATTGCAAGGATGGTGCGGATCCCACAGTATTTAAATACGCGATAATTAGGTCAAGGCCGGAAAATCCGGGCTGAACGAGTCCGGGAACGAGAACAAATAATTAAAGTAGGTACGCGTGAGCACCGAATACGCGTTGCCTTGAACTTTTAGACATTTGAGATTTGCTTGCAGCTGTGCCGGGTTTGCAGGGGAAGGTGCCCACACGGCCGCAGCGGCAACAGTTGCTGGCAGCAGCTGCTGGCAGGCAGTGGCAGCTGTCCGAGCCACCAATACGGCTCTTTCCAGGTGTCACTGGTCGCCGTCGTGGCTTCCCTTCCAGATTCATTTGTCAATGTCCTGCTGACCTGTGGGGGCGAGCTCTGGGCCTGGGCAGCAGGCGCAACTTTAACCAAGGATTAAAATCCGTGCCGGTGACCCTGATGCGACGCAGCAAGCAAGAATCTATCTTAAACCGTCGGATCGCCGCTCTCGGTCGGCGCCTTCTATTGCTATTGATGGTTTTCCGGCCAGCGCTGGTGCTCTGGTCCTCCAGCTCCGTCCGGTCCATCGCGGCCGCCGGACTTGACCTGACGACCGTAGCACTCACGGGCTCCAACACGTGACGATCGAATTCCACGCGCTGACTCCACGCGCTGACTCCACGCGCTGACAGCTGACAAGCTGTTGATCCGCACCGTCTCAACCGCGCCATTCCCGTAGTCGCTCTGCACACTCTGCGTAGCCACGCCGACCCTTATCTCTCCTCTCTATCTAATGCCATAGCTTTCGGCTCGTCCGTCATCTCTTTGCTTTTTATTATTTAACAAGCTAAATGCCCACTTAGCTCAGACCAACGCCGTTCTGTGCTACACTGTAATTAGACAATTTCTGCATTGCTGCAAGACATATTCGGCCTCCAGTTGCACCGCCACGCACTCGTGACATGGATATCGGCCTCTAGAATCTGACCCCCAGCTCAACCTTCTAGAATATTAGGCCACTTGACATTGACTTCATAACTAGCGATTGTGCATGGTGACAGAGGCCTGTTTTCGGGATTCCGATCCTCAAGTCTCACACCGTAGCCATCAGCATGAACTGTGCAAGGATCAGTGCTGAGACGGTGGAACAACACAAGAGAGCACTTTGATGGTGGGCACGATTGACCCGCATGTCTTTCCACCACGCTTTGAGCACCCTCTGGCCTTCTCTGGGCAGGGTATTCAACAAAAAGACCACAGGAATTATTCGGCGCCCTGTCAGCTTACCCTTGTTGTAAGCTCGACTATCAGCAATCGAACTCACCTGAACACATGACAGCTAATCGCTAACCAGATTCAGTCCAGCTCAAAAGGGCAATGAAGCAAGTCCGAATTCTCATTCCAGGCCTTGGCAAACGGCGCCCAATTCCGAACATGCCATCCTCGTTCCCACTAGATTCTCCATGGTTTCTCTGCAGCATCCGGAATTGAGGCCAAATCCTCCCAAACGGCTGGCTAGGCCCCCAAAGCGGAAAAGAGTTTCGGTGCCACGCATGTATCACCCACCTGCGGACCTGCGCCGCACGCATGGCGAGCATGACGGCCCCAGGGCCCAGGTGTGCCACTCTCCCCACCTGCCGGCTTGCTTGCTTGGTGCACCTGTCGGCTTGCTTGCTCGGTGCTTATACTCATGCCGTGACTTAGGTACCCGCGCCCTAATGCTACGTCTAAAGGGGTGTGTTCACTCACGCCTTCTTGACACGGACGTGCCAGAGTGAAACGCACACTTGTGGTGCGTGAGGCGCGGGCCGGGGGTGGTGGGCCTTCGGCAGCGCTGCCAGTGTGTTTTCCGCTGCCCTCCTGCCGAGGCCATGCATGCGCTTCACAAACGAGTACTTATCTTGGCTGAGCCCATCTGGTCAAGGCCAGGCCCTTGTTGCTTGATTCTGGTTGACGAATGTCTCTCTGCCTTGACCCGTCTCGAGACTGCTAAGTCTGCCCGGCACCGAACAAGCTGCTGCCATGTCGTCTGGCGGGCCGCAGCTGCCTCTTTGCGCCGTAAGCTCGCAATCCCCACCGCCTCGACTCGGTCGGTGTTCCGGCGTCTTCCCGGCGTTAGTGCTTACGTATCCCAGTTTGCGTGCCTTGTCAACGCCATCTCAAGGTCGTCTTGCGCCTCCAGTGACCAGCACTGTATTTGCACTAATGCGGCCCTCAACAGTGATGCTTCATCATGCATCGCTTCGGCATGTAGCATCACTGATATGCTCAGTGAGTTGCAGTTGCCCAGAACACGGATGTGGTTTCGAGAGTCTCGTCGGCCACTGATAGCCTCCGCCAGCGGCCAAGAACATAACCGCGACAACATGCGGCATTGCCACCCATTCCAGCAAATCATTCATGACCGTCGAAACCGTCTTCACGGCCATTGCGACATTTGCCGTGCTGCTGAGATTCCTCGCCAAGTGTTTTGGGAATATGAAGCTGTGGTGGGACGACCCATTGATCATTGTAGCTCTGGTAGGTTCCGGCAACGAGGATGCTGCCGAATTATGTACCCATAAACACCAAGTTAACTCGAAGCCGCAACGCCGCAGCTGGCTAGTATCGCTTACACGGCCCTCGGTTGGTTTTGTATGCCCCTCCAACATATCAACATACATGCGTAAGCTCCTGTCGAACGTCTTGCTAATGCGTCTCGCTACCTGCAGTGGCAAATATCGGGTTCGGGAGCGATATTTGGACGGTACACGCCGAGGACATCCCGACAGTTCTCAAGGTGCGTGCTACGAACTCGTCTGAATGACGAGCGCCACTAGTTGACTTCTTTCTAGGGCTTCTATACCGGCTTCATCATTTATGGCTTCACGCGTTTCTTTGTCCGCACGTCCATTCTGCTCTTCTACCTTCGCATCTTCAGCGTCCCCCTCGCAAGACCTCTGATCATCGCGTCGCTAGCTCTCGATACCGCGATAGCTATCGTGGTCGTCACTACAGTTTCCTTTCAGTGCACACCGGTCAGCTACTACTGGACTCGGTACGAAGACGGGGAGCACGCTGGCTTCTGCGTCAGCCGTCTCGCTATCACATGGACCGCTGCGATTCTCAGTATCGCATTTGACCTGTGGATCATCTTGCTTCCTCTGCCGTTTGTGGTACGGCTCAAGCTCTCTTGGCAGAAGAGAATTGTCGTGTCGATAATGTTTGCCGTGGGCGTCTGGTACGTGTCTCTTCGTGGCTAAGCCGGGGAATTGCTGGCGTCGAAGCTGACGTCTGGTCACTCGACAGCGTCCTCATAATCAGTTTCATCAGGCTGCCTACCATTAGCCAGTTCATAAACTCGACCAACCAGACCGGTGAGAACACTCTGCTACCGAATCACATTATCACTTGATCCAATCCGCAGAACTGACCCGACGGCTAGTCGACACGGTCCCGCTCGCGATGTGGACAGGGGTGGAGATGAATGTAGCAATCATTTGCGCGTGCCTGCCCAGCCTGCGGGTGCTTCTGGGTCCGGCGCTGGGGCGATGGGTCGACACGGGTAAGAGTGTCTTGCGGCGCGGCGGCCGCGGACGCGACTCGAGGGCATTGGGCGCCAACAGCTGGGAAGTTAAGCGCCACCACTACCACCTGTCGACGCCCGGCTCGAGCTCCGAGGTTCAGACCGCCCAGGCGAGCGACAGCGAGACGACGTCCAAGATCAGGATGACCACCACCACCCTCCAGACGGCATCGTCGTTACCCGCGTCCAGAAGCGAGCTTCTCCTGGACGACTTGCGAGCGCCGGGCGCCGTGAAGCAGGGGTTTGTGAATTCTCAGGCCTGGGCCGAGTGAATCGCGGTCTGTGACCCGATGGTTGTGGTTTTATTTGTTATGCTCTTTGGTCTTGCTCATGTCACGTAATTCAAGCTCTGTCCTACCGCCTAGTATCCATGACTGCGTGGGCCGAAGGCGAGGTGACACGGGTGTTCATGTTATTTTATATTGCCAGTTATCGGCTCGACGGCTTCCAGGTCCAGACAGTAATTACTTGATTTGGACCTTGCACATCACGGGGTGTTGCTGAAGACACGACACCCGATGACCTTTGGGTAGGGGTCTTTCAGTACAATAATTGAATCACGCTTGTCAAGGCTGGTGGCGGCGGAGCTAGTCAAAGGTAAGGACCGTGTTGATGTTTAATGCTACTGCCAAGGTGATCGATCCCGTCAACGCCAGACGGGGGGAGTCTAGCCACGGGTGGGGCAGATTCAAGCAACATTCAGCAACACAAGCCGACTCCCGGTGACGTAGCCTGCACACAGCGAAGAATAACACTCATGCCGCATGGGATGGCGGCACTAGGATGCACTGCCGCCATGTCGTCCCGGATGGAGACGGACGCGGCGCACGGCAACCAACTTCCAAGGAACGCCACGATGTCCCCGAGGCCGCGCGGTCCGAGGTTGGCCGAATCTCTCTCAACACGATATAGCATCGTCATTGCTCGTCAACATGGCATGCGGGAGTGGTGTGAGCTGGCTGCGCCTGCGTGCACTTGCGCAGGCCTACTGCACGGCCAATGCGCGCCGTGCAGACACGCTATGCTAACCGTCGCCACCGTGCCCGTCCCCCGAAACCGGATAGAAATGTGACGGGGCGTGTCTGTTTTGGATGTCTGACAGATGCGATGCTCGACAGCAGTCAACTTTCTGGCCGATGTTTTTGTGGCGGTAAATAAAGATCCCTCAACCAATATCGGATAATTCCTTGATTACTTGTTGGTGCCAGCCCCTGAATGAGCCGGCCCCTAAATGAGCCAGCCCCCGAGTCGCCCGTGTCGACCTCCCCACGTCTAACGTTGTTTCGTCTCGAACAAAACAGAGGACAAAGAGTCCGCAAAGATGCAGAACTCACAGCCAGTCGCGGCCGCCGCCCCCGCCGCCCCCCAACGAGCTACGAAACCGAAGACGCGCAGGTGGCCGTCGTATTTTTTTCTGCGGCACGCCACGACACATGAGAGCCGTGATGGACAACACAGCACGCCGCAGAACGGGCCGCGATGGAGCTTCGGCGTCCTCAACCCGCGAGACACGGCTGCGCCGGTGTCGGGTATGTGCCCACTTACCATTACCATTGCCCCATGAACGACGAAGATTTACAACCCGGCGGCTCAGAGTCTAACCAAGCCCACTAATCACCTCTGTATCCAGGAACCATCCTATTACTAGCCTCCGAGTCTCCCATCACCACCACCACCCCCATCACCACCCCCATCACCACCCCCATCACCACCCCCATCACCACCAAACACCAGCAAACCACCTCCGACGGCCTCGTAATCCTCGACCCGCAGCCCGAACCATGCACACCGAACGACCCGCTCAACTGGCCGCGCTGGCGCCGCGACAGCGCACTCGCCGCACTAAGCCTGTTCGCGCTCGTCGGCGGCGGCATGACGCCCGTCCTCGCGGCCGGCTTCCCCGAGGTCGCCAGCACGTTCCACACTTCGGTCCCGCGCACCGCGCTCACCACCGGCATGTTCATGCTGGGCCTTGGGACAGGGTGCGCTTTCACATCTGGACCGGCTGCCGCGCTATTCGGCAAGCGGCCCGTGTACCTCGGCGGCGCGGCGCTGTTCTGTGTGGCATCGGCGTGGTGCGCGGCGAGTCGGAGCTTTGCGTCGCTGCTGGCGGCGCGCGTGGTGCAGGGCGTGTGCATCAGTCCGGTAGAGGCGCTAGCAGCAGCGACGATTGCGGATCTGTTTTTCTTGCACGAGCGCGCGTTCAGGATCGGCGTGTATGCGCTGGCTATGTTGGGTGGGAAGAATCTGGTGCCGCTCGCTAGCGCGGCGGTGCTGGAGAGGCGAGGCTGGCGGTGGGTGTTTTGGTATGCTGACTCCCTTTTTTGCTCCTTGACTTTTCTGGTGGCTGTTTGGTTGGTGGGCTCCTTTGGCTTTGTGGCCGGAGGATATGAAGTCCTGACACCAGAGCGTCTACTGATTGCTCGCACAGGATCGTGGTCATAGTGGGCGCGCTGTGCGGCGTCGTCATGTTCCTGTTCCTGCCCGAGACGTTCTGGGACAGGGAAGAGCCGCCGCGGAACCTGCAGACGGTGCTAGTTGAGGCAGCAGCCCCGGCTCCTGAAGTCGTGGTCAGCCAATGTATTGGCGAAGCGGACGAGGGAAAGGACGAGAGCAGGACAGACGAAAAGGACGAGAGCAGGACAGACGAAACCGAGTCAGACCAGGCCAAGGCGTCTACCTTGGAGACAGCAACACCCGCCGAACAGTCCAGCAGCGCCCAGCTCGCCAGCACGGTGTCTGTCGAAGATAGCCTGGCCGTATCAACCCCTTGTCTCGCAGCCGGGTCGCCGCTTATTCTTAATGTCCACGACCCCGAGCGCGCCGCAACCTGTCCCCCGCCCAGCCAGAACATATACACCAACCGCCTGCGCCACGCGCCGCAACCCGAGTCCTTCGCGTCCCAGCTCCGCCCCTGGCACGGCCGGCTGCGGCCCTTGGAGTCCTGGCGGCGGGTGGCTGTGCGCCCACTCGTCCTCCTCACGTATCCAGCCGTGCTCTGGTCGGCGGCCGTGTACGCGTGCAGCATCGGGTGGCTAGTAGTACTGTCAGAAACAGTCGGGGTGGTGTATCGACAGCGCAGCAGCTACGGGTTCGGCGCGTTTGATGTTGGGCTCGTGTACATGGCGCCGTTCGTGGGCGGCGTGCTGGGCACTGCGGTGGCGGGCCGCGCGTCCGACGCTCTCGTGCGCGCCATGGCTAGGCGCAATGCTGGCGTCTACGAGCCCGAGTTCCGCCTCGTCATGGCGCTGCCCGTTGCCGTGGCTACTGCGGCGGGGCTGATGGGATTTGGCTGGAGCGCTGAGGCGGGCGATGCCTGGGAGGTGCCGACTGTCTTCTTCGGCCTGGTCTCGTTTGGCTGCGCACTGTGAGTCGATTCCCGCGCGCTTGTTTTGTGTTTGGCTCGAGGTGTCGTCTGGTTAGCATGATCCCAAAAGAGCAGAGAAATGCCAAGGCGGGACGGAGATCGGGAGCAGCTGCTAACTCGCCATTTTGGGGTCAGCGGCTCGACGACAGCCATCACGTTCTGCGTCGACAGCTACCGCCAGTTCGCGGGCGAGGCACTGGTGACGCTCAACTTCAGCAAGGATATCTTCCACGGGCTCGTCTTTAGCATGTTCGTGACCGAGTGGGTGGAGCGCGACGGGCCCAAGACCGTGTTCCTATGGATCGGCGCCATTCAGCTGGTCCTGCTAACGACGACGGTGCCCATGTTTCTCTTCGGGAAGCGGGCGAGGCAGTGGACGGAAAAGAGGAAGATATGCGCATCCATTATGTGCAGTCGTTGAAGGGTGCGTGTGGGGTGTCGTGTGTGTGTGTGTGTGTGTGTGTGTGGGTGGGTGTGTGTGAAGCGTGGGTGGGCAGTGGGCAGAATAATAAGTCAAGGCAGGCTAGGAAAATTCAATGTGTAGATATTTTCGCAGTGCACCTCGGGGAAAACAAACAGGCAGTGATGCAAAGTTGCAGTGGAAGTGCGAATAGCATCATGAGCGAGGAGGTGACAAGAGAATATCAACCGAAAGGGAGGCAGGGGAGGGACGAATGCTCGGGCGGGTGCAGACAAAAGATAAAACCAACATATACCAACATATAGAGAAAAGAAGAATAAAAAAAAGAATGCAGCAGTGGTCAGTTTGGAGGCGGGAATCGAATTCGGGACCTCTTACCTCTGGTCGTTCCTCTTGATAGCTTCCGTGGTCTCGTTCGTGTATCTTTCGGTCGGTGGGAGAATCGCGTCCTATTTCACAAAGACCTTAGCTACTGCGCGGAACAGGCGGGGGACAGGGACCTTATAGCGCGTTGGCGCATGTATCCTTGGTCTTAATTCAGTTCGAGGTTCGATGTGGCGGAGGGGGTCGGTACCGGCGGTCCGAGGTCTTCGCCTAACACCTGGTTAGCTGGAGTTTTTTCTTCTCTGAATCTCCTCAAACTGACCACGCTGTCTGCTTTGCTTGTTGAAAATATGAGCACTTGAACGAGGCCATATACCCCCCGGCGACGCCCTCGCTCGCACACGCGAGGCCCGGGGAGGGACAACGACGCGTACCGCGGTGCCTTTCCTTGGCGGTGACCGCGGCGCCTGCGCCTGGGGCACGCCTCCTCGTTACCCGGCACACGCATCACCTCGTGAGGCTATCCCCTGGCTGCCCTTCTGCCCCCACACCCTCTCTCCCCGATGTGAAGCCTTTGAGGGCACCCGTGAAGCTGCACCACGCCCAATATTCCCGTCCTCTGGTGTTGGCAACCGCACACCGGCCCTCTTGCAGCCATAGCGCATTTTGATTCCATGCCTCTGTCCTCGATGCTCATCTTGCAACCACTACGTGCACCGCACATGCAAGCTCTGCACGCAGCCGGGCTACCTTTCTTTTGTTTTTGACTTCCACGAACCCGCGCGGGTCTATTCCCACTCACCACCGCACCGTCACCACCACCGTTGTTTTCTCTTCCTCTGCACATGCCACCACCGTTGTTTTCTCTTTCTCTGCACATGCCACCATTCGGACCCTCACTGCCCCATATAATGCCGTTTCCCTGCCGTGACTGAACCACAAGACCCAAACCACACCCAACATGCCGCCGGAGCTTTGACTAGATATCCTACCTGCACACGGAATGCCACCCTCTTTTGCCGTGCACCATCACTCCCATGAATCACGGTCGACGCGTCTTTCTTTTCTTTTTGCAGCAGGCGATGCTCCGAGATACTTGCTGCCAGACGGCGCACCAGAGCCTCCATGTTGCACATCGACCACCTACTACTACTACCACGACGTCATGTTTCGTTTCTGTCTGCGCTCCTCGTGATGCCCGCTGACCTCTGCAGCTTTCTGCTCATTGTACTAACTATTCTTCCCACCTAGAATCGGCGCGTACTCACGCGCCACTCGATGTCCATTCTCTACTCTCGACGCCGTTTCTTCGCCGCCCGATGTTTTCTGGCTCTCTTTGCTTTTTTCTTTTTCTATTCTTGTTTCTTCTTTTCCTCCTGTTGGAATGTGGGCTTCAAAAGGGTTAGGCAAAGGATTAGGCAGAGGATTTGTAGCCTACTTCGCGACCTCCTTCGCAGCCTAATCGCGACCTACTTCGCGGCCTACTTCCCCAACTATTTCGCTACCACAATAGTAGTATAAGAAGGGGGCTTTCTGGCACTGCTAGAAAGGAAGAGAGAGGGAGTAATATACATATACGAATCCATCACTTGAACCACCAGTTTCGGCGTGCAGATACGCCCTGTTGCTTCTAGTACCGGTACCTGGTGATACCAACACCTCCCTTCTTTCTTTTTCTTCCTCCCTTTTTTCTTTTCCCCTTCTGTCCTTCTTTTCTCCTTTTCTCCTTTTCTCCTTTTCTCCTTTTCTCCTTTTCTCCTCTTCTCCTTTTTCTTTTCCTTTTTTCTTCTCCAATTTTCAAGACAAGACACCACCACCTCCTTTACTACTACCATTACCACAAAGCTAACAATTACAGTCATTAGACCAACAAATACCACACCCATCCATCTTCGCAGACAACGAATCCTTGCTTGGAAAGCATCCAACAAGGTACCGACTCCAAGATACCAGCTAGCGGCACCGGAGAAGCAACGCTATACTCCCTAGCAGCTCGCGAAACCCTCATGCGGATATATCCTCTTCAGGCCTGCACAAGATCTAAACGCGGACGCGAATAATATTTGGCATGCGATAGGGCTGTTTTGTTGCGACGCACTCAATCGACGTTGGAGAAGACAGGAGTGCGACTAGTCTTCCCCTCTGGGCCCTGCAGGGGGTCTGTTTATATGTTTATACTCTGTCGTACGGAATACTCTATATTTGAACTATAAACTTGGACTCATATTAGTTATCACTATTCAAGGTTGGTCGGCTCACCGATCGTTACACAAGTGCTCCGGGATGGCTGTGTTGAAAGATCAGACACGTTTGCCAAGCTGAGGCTGACGGAGATAGGTTTGGTAGTACAAACACGGTTATGGAATATCCATGTGCTCAAGCAAAGATTGGTTTCCCTGATCTTAGTCTATATAAATGCACACGGCAGTCCCGCTGTCCACCACATCTAAATGTACAAGGCGACGAGCAATGTAGGAAACGACACTGTTTTGCCCTCGGGTATCTATAGAGAACAAGTCCATCCAGAAATACTCGTAAAAGAACCAACGCAAAAGCCCAAAAAGCCAGTCCTCTTTGCCCCCAACTCCTCTGGTCCATGGTGCACGTTCTATATCTACCCTATCAAAAGAACCCGAAGGAACAAAAAGCAAACATGCGCGTCATCTCACCCACCCAGCACCACCGCGCTACACGCCAGCTCAGCGTCTCGGCTTCTTAGGCTGAGTCGGCCGGCTGGACGGGCTGGGAGCAGCCTCGTCGATGGGCTTCTTGTTCTTGCTCCCTGCGGCCGGAGGCGGCGGCCCGGGTCGGCGTCTAAAGTTGTTCTCGGGGGGAGGACGGGGCTTGAGGTCCGAGAGAAAGGGGTTCCTACCCGTGTTGCTATTGGGGTTGCGCAGGTTCTGCGGCGTGCCGACGTTGAGTCCGGGCACGCCCTTGAGGCCCATCTTACCGACAGTCCTAGCCTCGATCATGGGCAGCTGCGTCAGCCCCATGGCCTCGGAGAGCTCGTTGGCCAAGCGCACCACGCCGTCGCTCTGGATGCCGTAGTCCTTCTTCTGCGAGTTCGTGTATCCCAGGAAGGCGATATATGCTTGCTCCTTTGTCTGTAGGGGGACCTTGGCCAGAGCACTGCTGATGACCTTGTCCGAGTTGAAGGTGGCCAGTTGAGGGTGCTCGCTACTACGTGTTAGTCCAAGTTTGCACGTCGCCGCTAGGGCATCTCGGGAGGGAGAGCAGAGACTTACAGGGCAGATTTCTGGATGGGAAACGAGGGATTCTTAGTCATGAAGCGCATTTCCTGGGGGAGCACGATCATGGTGGCACGCCCGCTCTTGCCGGCGCGGCCTGTCCGGCCCACGCGATGCACATACTGCTCGGACTCGGAGGGCGGGCCAATCTGCACGACGAGCGAGACGTCGGGGAAGTCCATTCCGCGTCCCACAACGTCCGAGGCGAAGAGCAGGCCGCGCTCGGCATTCTTGAACTCGTCGACAGTGCGGGTCCGCTGGGTCTGGCTCATGCGGGACTGCATCTGGAAGACGGGCAGCTTGCCGGGAGCGGCGCCGCCGGTGGAGGCGAAGACGTGGTAGAGCAAGCCGGCGTGGCGGGCGGTGGAGCTGAAGACGACGGCCTTCAGGTTGCGGTTGTTGAGGGACTCGATGGCCAGGAGTGAGTGCAGGGTCGGGAGGACTTGGTCGACCGAGGCAACGGGAAGGTAGGACTGGGGAATCCTGTTCACGGTAGGCTCCTCGCCCTCGACGATGGTGGAGATGCGGGCGTGGTCCTTGTCGAGAACCAAGTGCACCACCTTCTCGATGCCCTTGGGTACGGTGGCGCTGAAGCACATGCCCTGCCAGTTGGCCGACTGCTTGGACGGCAGCGTCTGGAGAATCCTCATGACGTCGGGGACGAAGCCCTGGTCCAGCATTCTATCGGCCTCGTCGAGGATGACGTTGCGGATGCTTGTAAATCGTGCGCGCACGGCGGGGTCGGACAAGTAGTCGAGCAGGCGGCCGGGGGTGGCGACCATGACGGTGGGATTGCCCTCGGTGAACCTGCGCAGGTGGGAGTTCTTGTTGCTGCCGCCGACGGCGAGGTGGCACTCGAGGGCGGGTCTGATGGTGGCCGTCAGCTTGTCGCACTCGTCGGCGATCTGCTGGGCAAGCTCGCGGGTCGGGGCCATGATGAGGATGCCGACCTGGCCGCGGGGGAGTTTGGGCGACGTCAGGAGGGTCTGCAGGGCGGGCAGCAGGAAGGCGATGGTCTTGCCGGTGCCCGTCTTGGCCTGCACGAGGCAGTCCTTGGTGAAGGAGGGCAGGCTGAGCACCTCCTGCTGCACGGGCGACATTGTCGTGTAGTTCATGTTGGCGAGGGCCTTGAGGAGGCGCGCGTCGATGCGGCCGGCCATCTCCGAGTACTGGGCAGCATTTTGCATAAAGTTGGGCGCCATTTCGTCGATGTCGACCTCGGTTGCTTGTTCGGCGGGGGCGGAATGAAATCGCTGAAAGGCGTCGTCGGTTGTTTGTTGGGCGAGGGCCTCGGCGGGGGAGGAATAAAATCGCCGAAAGGCGACGGGAGCGGCGGCGGTAATGCGGGCGCTGCGGAAGTTGAAGTTGAGCGAGGGGACGGGTTGGTGGCGCGACGCGAGTGTTGTCAATCGAGGCGAGAGGCCCAGAGCTAGACGAGAGAATCTACGCATCTGCGCTGGAGTTGAAAGAGCGGACGGTTGTGTAGCGGCCGTGTTTAGTTTTGGCAGGAATAGCAAACGCGGAAGGAATGGCAGACGAGATAACGACGCTGCAGAAAAAAAGTTTTATCGGGTCCCCAGGCCGGGAAATTGCCGCTGGCTGCCTGATTGGCCTTGTCTGGAATTATGGGGCCCAGCTCGACTCGAGCCTGTTCGCACCTTCTGGGCGTCTTCGGCCCGGGAGCCCTGCCTGCCGCCTCGGTTTCAGCCCCTGACAGCCCTAGCCAGGAGCTTGGACTCTGACGAGGTTTGCTAACAGCCTAGATCCCCACTACTAGAATCCACTCCCTATTGTAGACTTGACTCGGAGTGTGTTTCTATCGTCGAGTTTTCACTAGAATCTGGCTCTCTATTTTACTCAGTCCTCTATATGCTCCTGTAATTGAGACCTTTTACTCTTGTCTGTGGGAATTGGTTTTGCCAACAGAGAGAGATGGGGGAGCGACACTACGGGGTATTTCTTTGTTTACAGTACCCTACTACAGAACTACATGCAACCGCGGCCCGTGATGCACGTTCCCTAGCGGACCCATAGCCCACAGCCCCTTGTGGGTCGAGTTTTGCATGTGTACGGCATTGTCGAAGTGAGCCCACGAGGCCTTGTGTGGGTTGTGGGTTGTGTCTTTGTGTCGATTGAACCGTGCACGCCAATTTTCAGGTCTATTGAGACCATTCGCCGAGGTGCTAGAATGTGCAAAAGAATAACCAAAGTGCATGTTGGCTCTTGAATATGGGACGGAACGGCTTTGTCGATTTACATCTAAAAATCGACGCGCCGGATGCGGCCGAACTCGTTTGGCTGCTTCGTGACAAAACAAAGACAATAGCCAGGCGTGCGTTCTGTTTCCGGAGACAAGGAGATTGACGACTGCGTCGTGATAATGCTTTGTGACTGTGTTATAGCTAGCTCATAAAAGCCCCTGCCTTTAGTTTATTGAATCCCGTCGCGATGTGTCCTGCAACTTAGCTTAGACAGCCCCTATGTGCTAGGAAAAAACAGCGGAACAAATTTCACCAGCAATTGTTTTCTCAGAGCTAGGCCCCTCAATATATTGTAGCCCGGTAAAACCCAGCTGCCTTTTTCTGACCCCCCCCCCCCCCCTCCCCCCCCAACCAAAGCAGTTATGGCGAAACCATCTGGCGTCAGAGACTCCGGCGCATCCAAAGCCAAAGTTGTCAAGAGGCCTACGAAGGCGGCCAAGGCCAGGAAACCGGTGCCCATACCGAAAGCCAAGGCAGCTCCGAAGAAGACAGCGGCCACCAAGGCAGCTCCGAAGAAGACGGCGGCCACCGAGGCTGCTGCCCCCAAGACTCCGACACCCAAGAAAGCGGCTGCCCCCAAGACCCCGACGCCCAAGAAAGCGGCTGCCCCCAAGACCCTGACGCCCAAGAAAGCGACTGCCCCCAAGACCCCCACGCCCAAGAAAGCGGCGCCTGTCCCTGTTCCCAGGCCGACCTCGGCCCACTGCTACGCAACTCGCGCCAACACCAACGTCAAGCTAGAAACTGAGGAGCTGAAGCCGACGCCCCGGAAGAGAAAGGCTCCCCCGAAGAAGGCGAAGGCCGCGGTTCCTCTTTCCCCACAGGCTTTTTTCGAGGGGACGCACAAGGCGAATTCTTCGCAGAAGGTGGCTCCGGACGGGAAGTACCGATCCGCTCCGAAATCCTGGCCACAAGTCAAAGAGAAGAAGTAGCCTACGCCATCGAGGAGAAGGAACCGATAATTGCCCATTTTATAGAAATTTTTACTCGCTATATCACTGGAATGACGGGTCGGTGGTTTACTGTCTCGGGATTCCATTTTACATTTCCTGTCGTGTTTCTTTGTTCAGGGGAGTTTGGTTTACCCTATATTTTGGTTCCGTTGGACGGTGGATGATGTAGATTCTCTCTCCTAGTCGTGTTTGGCTGTCGTGTTTGGTTGAACGAGATAGACTGCCGTGTATTTATCACCAAAGAAACAGCCGAATTGATCAGCTCGGCCATGCAATGGAGTGCCATATCAGGTAATCAATGTATCAAAGAGAAGCACTGGCCCGTAAGTAAGGGCGGAAGGCCTTGATTATGGTAAAAAGAGTTGATTTCTTCCAAAGAAGCAGCAAAAAGAGAAAAAAGAACAAACACTACGTCACAGTAGGTCAGGGGCATATCTCCTTTTCGGTTGCATGTAAGCAACCCCATTTTCCTTGGCCACTTGTACCGGCGTCACTAATTGCCACTCGAGATTCAGTCTTCTGACTCCCTGTCAATGTAGAGGCTACTTGGCGATGGCAAAGTTGAGATTCCCGCTGGCAGCCAGCAGTCCGGTCGCTTTCCCGGCAACCTTGGGATCCGGGCCTATGAGATTGCTCGGGAATCCAGGGTCGAAGGGAACGACGGCCTCCAGGTACTCGATTTGCTGCTGCGTCAGGCTGATGTGCAGACACTTGACGTTGTCCCTCAGGTGCTCGACCTTCCTGCCCCCGACAATGGGATACGTGTAGGGATACTTGCTCATGACGTAGGCCAGGGCAACGGCAGTCGGGCTCTTGATGCCGTGCTCGGCAGCGACATTGCAGAGAGCTTCACTCATCTTGGCCTCGGCCTCGGATTGCTCTCCGCCCTGGATGCTGCGAAGGGCTTCGCCTCTTTGCTTCCGCTCTTGGATTGCTTTTGAAGATTGGAACTTGCCAGAGCCCAGGGCGCCCCACGGGGCGAGTGCCATGCCGAAATGGCGTGCCATCGGGATGATCTCCCGTTCGAAGTCACGCATCATGACGTTCCACCGGCCTTGGTAGATGCTGATGGGGGTTTTGTTGTTGGCACGGGCGTAGTAGTTGGCGGCGCTGACGATCCATGCCGGGGTATCCTTTTTGAATGGGTATTAGTCCTTCGCGCTCTGATTTCTCTGATGGTCGGAGCGGATGGAGATGGTTGTGCTATGATGGTTGTGCTATGACGGCTGTGCTATGATGGTTGTCCTATGGTCAGGCCACTTACGGACATGCCCAAGTACAGGATCTTGCCTTGCTCCACCAGGATGTGGAGGGAATCCATGATCTCTTCAATCGAGGTGGTATGGTCCCACCAATGAAGGTAGAGAATGTCGATATACGAAGTGCGGAGCTTTTTCAGGCTCGCCTCGACGCTGAGGCGAAGGGACTTCCTGTGGTTCCCGGCGTAGTTGATTCCGGCTAGACCCAGGTCGTGTTTGCGGTAATGCGTGGTATACTTAGTGGCGATGACCATCTGATCGCGGGTGCCTTTCTCGTCAAAGTATTCACCGAGCCATTCCTCGGATTCCTCATCTTGGTAGTCGTTGGCGGTGTCGATGAAGTTGCCTCCACTCAAGACATATTCATCGAGGAGTTTGAATGCCCCCGCCTTGTCCATGGGACCCAACTCGGGCTCCCATGCCTGGCCAAGGCTCATGGCTCCCAGTTGAAGCGGGGAGACTCGAACTCCGGCGGTGGAAGAGAGGATCCGGTAGCGGCCCAACTCCGTAGCCGGTGCCGCGGCGGGCGCGAGGATATGGGCCATTCTGAAAGGTGAAGCTACGAGGCGGAGGGAGGGCTGACGATGAGACTCGGACTAGAGGTTTGTTTAGTTGGGAGCGAGTTGATGTGAGCCGTTTGAATCAGAGTGGCCTTAGGACTCTGTATGTTCGAGGCCTCCTGGGTACCAGTATGCTTTCATTCGTAAAAGTCAGTCCCGCTGCCATAAGGACACACCAGTACTCCGGAGATTATCGACAATCTCCACTAAAGTCCGCTCACAGGGTTACAGTAGATCGACAGGCAGAGTCCGAGGCAGAGACCACAATATCCGAGGTGGGAAAGGGTGCTTGTTGATTCTCTGGCCATGGGGAGTCGGGGACTGGATGGCTGGCCGTCAGTGGCACGTAAGTCCGAAATATTAGCCCATAAATCCGAAATGATCCGTAAGTCCGAAGAAAAGCCTGCCAGAATACATGCCTACTAGGGAAACACCGCGATGGCAAATTACCCAAATTATCTAAATATCTACCTTGGTCTCATGGAAGAGACTTGTGTATTATACTTACAAAAAATACCGAGGCTGCGCTGCGACGCCGTATCCTACCACCGCGCCCTGGGCCGCGCCGTATCTATCTCGTCCAGTTTAACGGGTTATTTAAGAGCTTTGATGCACGCACCCACTACCTTTTTCCTCGCACTACTTGGGGGTCATTGGCAGCTGGCAACGCAGGGACCGCTTTTTGTATGGTAAAATGCCGTTTTTTATGGCAAAATGCCGTATTGCATGGCATCCACCCAACGGCCTACCGGGCATTAAGGAAGCAAACCGGGCACTTAGGAAGCCCGGCAAAGTCAAAATGACACTATTTACACTTCCACGTGCCGGCATTTGTGTGTGCAGTTGGTGTTTTAAGGTCTACAGCGGCCAGAGGGCCTTTGCAGGCTTTTCCTTTGCCAAACAACCCTTGAACACATCATGTCGTCTGGAATTGACCCACTTTTCATGGAATTGGACAGGCTCTGGTTGACATGCCTCTGAGCTTCCTTCATTCTTTGTTATTTCCTTCATTCTTGACTCGGAATGTCCTCATTTCATTCGGAATGCCTCTTTCGGGCTGCGCCTCCCTTGCCCTCTCTCCATGAGTATAAGGAAGCGTTCTTTTCTGTACTTTTAGACCTATTGAGCAGACAATTCAGTGCGCTGTCAACTTCGATCGCGTGCAACACATCATCAACCTACCTTTCCGCTCACAGTCTTCGTAATGCCTTTTATCGAGATTTCCTCTGATGATTCGAGCTCCCTTACCCTCACCGTCTCCAGCTCCGGCTCCCTCGACCTCGATATCCCCGGCTCCCTCGCCCTCGCCGCCCCCGGCTCCCTCGCGCTGGCTGTCGCTGTCCCGTGAAGATGACCCTTATCCTCGTAGGAAGGGCGGCGAGGGTGACCAGGTTGACATAGACTAGGTTACTAGACTGATAGAGTCGACACCAAGGAATTGCATCACTGTGTCAACAAATCAGGATTGAACAGATGGATCATTTAGGCAACTGGGCGCCTACCATGAAATTTGGCAAATTTAGGTACAAATCTGGGCCTCAGAGTTGCCATTTGCATGTTACCTTTATTCCGAGGCCGACTCAGCAACGAAGAAATCGTCAAAATGGAAAACACCACGGTTAACGCATTTTCAGGGCTGTTGAAGGTTTTGATGGCTTCAACGTTGTTGACCCGGGCGGCCGGCGGCTGGGTTGGCATATGGGAAGTGCGTGGGCGGGAAGATGGGATTTCACGATTTTACCAGCCTAGAATAGCTCTGCGTATCTCAACTGCCAACAGCTGCCAAGGCCCCCAGGCAGGTGCAACGAAAAAAGTGGTGGGTGCGTGCATCAAAGCTCTTATGCGTCTCCTACTACCGTCAAATCGTCCTCACATACTGTAATTCACCATATATAACCCTAACCCTGACTGTATACCCTACATCTAACTTTCTGTCGCGTAGTAATTTAACACTTTTTACCACAACGCAACCGAACCTTACACCTTTCCACTACAACCGACCTTCCACAACCACTAAAAAACATCGTCGGTACTGCATTCAATCGATGCATCGGTATGACTTCATTTCTTGATCGCTTACTTCGTCGCGGAGTACTAACTAGTGATAGAAGTGTCCTTTTTTGAAGATCTAAGCGATCTCAGCGACTTTGGCGATATCAGCGATGCGCCCGATGAAAATGCGCCGCCGCCACCACCACTCTCGAACCCACCAGCCGGCCATAAGCTCTTCAACACCAAATATGACAGCCTCGATGATCTTATCGAGGATTTGAACGACTGGGCTGCTTCTGCCCTCTTCAACACAGTCAAACTACGACCCTCTAATTACGTCAAGAACTCCGGTCTCAGAGTGGGAGGGCGTTACTCTTAACGATGACGACCACGATGTTGACGACGAGGTTGAAGACGACGACGACGACGACCTTAGCCAGGCGCCTGCGGAGCCTCCTCGCCGTACTATCAATAACTTGGACCCGGCTCGCCGTAGTAACCGGGGCTCAGGGAGCCAGGGTGGCCGTGGCACAGGGAGTCGGGCTGGCAGGGCAACAAGCAGTATTCAACACCAAGGCACGCAGGGTATTAGCCGGGGGGGCACAAATCACGAGCTTCACATGGCCCTACAGCCTCTGCAGTGGCTGAAGGTGGTGTTGTACGGCCTGCACGAAGTGGAAGGGTTCCGCGACTGACTGCCCGGGCTTGGAAGGCATAGATCAGTAAGGCTGTCAGTTGCATGCAGTTGTGAGTAGTGTAAGCGGCCTGTAGTTTTTTATTGCATTTTTGGCCCTGTTACGTAAGCGAATTCAAAGAAGTCAGCTTCGCTTTTTATTGCAGATTTGAACGATTTGAGTGAATCTACGGCCCTGAGGTGGAATTACCGCATTCGGAAGTATGTTGACGTTGACGACGGTGGCGAGGTGTAATTGCGGTACAACTGCGTTGCTAGCGCTTGGAGCGGGGCAGCTAGCGAATGCGGTAATTTTAGGTGTAAAATTTGGTGATTTCCTGGGCGGTGAGTTGTAACACTTGGGCGATTATGTACCTACAGTATGCGGGGACGATTTGACGGTAGTAGGAGACGCACTCTATTTAATACTTTTCAGGGGGTGCAGGTAGCTAGGCACTCTCCATCACACATACGCCATCCGGCTCTACTACCCGACTAGCCTCTTCATAACTAGACTTGGTAACCACACGAGCCACTCCGCTGCCACTGCCACTGCCACTGCCACTGCCACTGCCAAAAACAGCCGCCGGTACTGCAGCAGAACCGAACCCTTGGTTAGGCATGCTGCCAGGCTGTACACGAGCGTCGAGCTGAACAGGGACTGTGGCGCGGTACGTTGGTTGGTTAGCGCTGTTCTCGGGACTTGAGATGGGGAGGTGGCCGTGCCTTGGAAAAGCGGACATGGTCCTCGTCGGACGCGGCCCAGACGTGGCGGCCGAGGCCGTATCGCGCTTCTGTCGGCAATACCCAAAAAGTCAACATCAACGGTGATATAGCTGTGATGCCGGACCTGCAACGCACCGAGGCCAAACGCCACAGTGGACGCGATGGTCAGGCACTGAAACAAGAAGGTCAGCTCCGTTGACAAGAAGGTCAGCTCCGTTGACAGCTATGAGCGTAGCAAGAGTCTCGGCAGGTAACCGTCGCTTGATTGGGACAAGAGACGTAATTAACGATCAACGGTGGTCAGGAAACGCAGAGAAAGGGCAGATCTCGCGATGATATGGGCATGAATATTCAGGCCAGAGAAGAGCAGGCCAGAGAAGAGCAAGCCAGAGCAGAGCAGGCCAGAGCAGAGCAGGCCAGAGCAGAGCAGGCCAGAGCAGAGCAGGCCAGAGCAGAGCAGGCCAGAGCAGAGCAGGCCAGAGCAGAGCAGGCCAGAGCAGAGCAGGCCAGAGCAGAGCAGGCCAGAGCAGAGTAGGCCAGAGCAGAGCAGGCCAGAGCAGAGCAGGCAAGAGCAGAGCAGGCAAGAGCAGAGCAGAGCGAAGCAACGGAAACAGCCAGCCGTCGGCAGCAGAGCAGAGCAGCGAGAAGCAAACAAGTCGACAACACCCAATCCACGATCTATCACATTCGCCGGATCGAGAATGGGATATCATCACTTACTCGAGATTCGCCAGTATGAACACCGCAATGGCTTTGACTCCAGCCCCAGAAGCAAACCGCCACCACCGCAGGCTGTTTGGAATCTAGACGCCGCCCCACTGGCCCGATCATCTCCACCGACCCCAATCACATCACAACGGTCCTTGGGAGGCAAGCAAATTTGGTCAACGCCATTTCCGTGTCCAACTTCAAAAGTTCAAGTGGGCTAGAACTAATCCAGCCAGCACCAATGCCACCAACCACACCTGTTTCAACTCGACGGAACCAGACCCGCTAGGCCAAGTCCGTTAAACCCGTCGAATTAGTTAGTAGCTCTCCCCTGCCTTAGTACACCTATCACTTATCATAATAGCGCGGTACAGCAGCTTCTCGTCTAGCTCGGCGGGATGCTGTCCCCGGCCGCCGCTCAGCGCAAATTTTCCGCCGGCGAACAGGTGCATGAACTGCGGATACACGTTCTTGAACTGGCCCGGGCCGAACAGCGCGAAGGCGCCGCCCGTCAGCGGGTCGTGCGACCACGCGTACGCGTGGTGCGTCACGTACTGGCTGCGCAGGAACTCGGGCGTGACGTGCCGTGTTTCCTCGCGGCCGGCGAACAGTTTCACCAAGCCGGCGAGGCACGTCGAGACGACGGGCTCGTCCATGTGCGGCTGGGCTTGGTTGGGGCCGTACGGCGGCATCAGGGCGCCCATGCGCGTGACGTCCTGCGCCCAGCTGTACGACACCTTCAGCACGGCCGGCGCGTCGGGGCCGTCGTCCCATGACGGGTAGACCACTTTGCTCATGGGAAGGTCGGTCGACGAGTCACAACCCAAGATGTTCCAACACGGAGACTTGAAGTTGATGGCCACCTTTGGTGGCGCGGTCGTAGCTCAGCGCGCGGATGGCCGTCAGCACGTTGTCGGGCAGCTCGAGGCCTTCAATGTCCATGCGCTGCAGCGGCGCCATGGCCGTCGTGTTGAACACCATGTCGTAGGCTTCGGTCTTGGGGTCCTGGCCCGCCGTGTTGGTCGTCGTGACGTGCACCGCCTGGCCTTTGTCTACCATGGCCACCACGGGCCGGTTGTACGTGATCTTGATGGGGGTAGCGGGGAGCTCGCCGCGCACGTCGGCCGGCGGCCAGTCGGCCGACAGCAGCTTCTGCTTTATGGTCTTAGGGATTAGCGACATGCCTGCTTGATGCGCTACTACTTGGCCTTCTAGGCTGCCTAGAAGTCGCAGTAGTCGCAGATAGTCTCGGTGAAGGCCTGGTCGAACAGCCTGGTCGATCTGGCGGTCTGTCAGTTGTGGTCAGGCATGTCACGGCTCCAAAACTCGGGCACTCACGTGTTTGCGGCCTCGGCGTCGACCGTGTCTTGGAACGAGAAGCTGCAACACCCGACACCAGCTCAGTCCAGCTCCGTCGTGGGTGATGCGTGCAGAAGCGCTACTCACCCCTTTTTGAGCATCAGCCAGGCCCGCGTCGAGTAGTTGTCGTCATCTTGCGCTAGGTAAGTGGCAAAAGCCTGCTCCCAGTTCTTCTCGTCGTCTACGAGGAAGTCCTTCACCGTGTCGGCAATGGCGGTCTCAAACTTATCGCGGCTTTTCACACACAGCGCGTTAGTTATGTGTATCAACGACACACGATACTCATTTTGAGTAACGGCACGATGGGGAAGACGGCTTACCTCGGAGTGTCCTGCTTGAATAACCACACATTTGGCACGTCTTGCTTGTCGTCTAGAATGGCCGCGCGCGCCGATTCGGCCGTCGACGGCGACCCTTTCTACCTTAGGCCCGATGCGCCCGCGTCGACCGCTCCGCTTTCCCGGTAACTCAGGACTCGTACGGATTCTGACCAACTACATTGGTGATTAGTTTCATTGTCCGTGGATTAGTCGCGGGAGCGTGGGTGCTACAGACTGGGAATGGCAACTTGAGGCAGCCCCAGAACGGTGCTAAAATCAACTGGATCGTATGCAGACTCGGAGAATTCACCTCTTTGCTCTTGGTTAGTATTTGATACAAAGCTCGCCGCGGAAGAGGTACATACGCAGGGGTGGGGACGGTGTCTCGACAGTTGGCTCCAGGTCGCCCGAGAGGAAGGAGAACGAAATTATATTCGGTCTCCGGCTTCAGGATGTATCTCGGACCCAGTCATAGTACACATTTAACTCAGCAATGCCCTGATCTCTCTGCTCTTGGGTGATGGAAGATGCTAAACCCCTGTTGTGGTGGATCTTAGATCCTGAGGTCCACTCCTTGCCCACTCTTCTCCAAACGACACATACCACACCTTTGACCCCAGCTTTTCCTTGAGGACTTCCAGGAAATGATCCACCATTTTCTGCTGTCCTGCATTCCTCATTGAAAACTAGTCTATGGGGACAACAATCCTCCCTGGTCTCCTGCTGCCCGGCGTGAGCACGGCCTCGTTTAATGCCTTGGGTGCCTCATTGTGCCCTGATCTCGTGGTCGGCACCGGACACGCGGAAGGGGCCGTGCTTCTGCCCGTCAACGAGAAGGAGGACCAGGTCGGCTTCCTTGAACTTCATCTGCTCGTCGACGTCCGATCAGATTGAATCCATGGGGGTAGGTTAAGATGATGCCAGGCCCCGGATGAACAAAAGGCACGAATGTCTTGAAGAAGGGGGGGGGGAGGGGGGGGGCTTACCTTGGTAGCGGCCAAGATTTTGCCGCGGCCACTGTCCTCTACGATCTCAAAGTCGGGGATGTCATCGTAGTCACTACTAGAGAGGGTAAGCGAGAGAAAAGCCAAAATAACCCAACCCAACCCAACCCAACCCCCCTCTCCCCCCAACAAAAAAAAACGAATAATGAAGTAAATGGAGCAAGGCATAATACATACTGCAACTCGAGATCTGACATGATGAATTGAATGGCGCACTGTCGGCTGCACAGCTAGCTGCGTTGGTGTTGTGCCGGGGAAGGGGTATTCGTCGTTTTAATCAGGTGAAAACATGAACGATCCCAGAAACACACTATGTAGGTGGTAATTAGTAGAAAAAGGGTTGGATTCTTCTGGACTGCGAGGTAAGCGTGGTTTGAGTTTATCACGGGTTGCAGACCGCTGGACTTGTTTGTAGAAGCCAAGGTAAGGTAGCTTGAGGGGGCTGACGGGGAAAAAAAATTCGTCCACATGCGTGCATATATGTGCATGTATGAACGGTGCTCGTGTTACACAGCAGGACCAATTTCGCCATTGAGGTGGCGGCATTGTCATCGCGCCCCCAGGCTACCCGGGCAATAAAAGTAAGCATAGCCTCACCGGGCACTCAAGCCGTTCCTCCTCAGAGTTGAGTTATCAGCGTAGCACCGGGTGGAGTCACGTCGCAGCGTTACAGCGCCTCTAGCCATCGGGCAGAATGAGGCTGTCGGGAGTATGTTAGAGAAGCAGGTCCGCAGGCATCGCCCCCTAAGGCTTTCATGCCTCCACACATAAGAGTTACCGGGGCCGACGTAACTGTCGGCGCTCGGAATTTGTCCTGTCAAACCTGGGCCGATGAATTACCTTGGCGATAACTTCATGTCAGCCGGGAGGGTCGATTCGAAGTCAAGTCGCCTCGCAGCCATCTTGCCCCAAGATCCTTGGAAGCTTCCATCGATTACTCGCCAGTCCGCGTTGATGCCAACCACGCAATGGAGAACTCAACGCTGACCCCTGTGCGCCGCTGGGTTGAACTCTCCAAGTGGTTGTCAGTGTTCAAGTTGAGCGTTTGGGTCCAGCCAAAACAGCAGCAGCCGCCATCTGATAGGTGTTTCATGCAAGGTAGGGCAGTATTTCTATCTCTAGTCATATACCTGTGCGAACCCAGAAACTCGGTCTAAAATACCTGTGGTAACAACAGTCGAGGACTACCCGAGAGGTTATCCACAATACTCGGCTCTCATCGCCGCTCACGACCCCTTCCACATCTGCAGACGCTTCTCCAACCTCCGCATCCGTCTACTTCTACTCAAGCAGGACGAGGTGTTGGTGCTGGAGAAGAGGCTCAGCGAGATCGACGAGCGGGTCTTCTCCTTCTGAGGATCCATCCGATACGACACCGATCCTGAAAGGACGCAGGTTCTCAGTGACATCGACAGCGCCCTCAAGGACTACGGTATGAGCCTTTTTGGATTGGGAACTTGATGGAACCATCTCTCGCGCGTCGCGGTACCGATAATTTTTACTAATGAACACCTCAATGGCTAGACGCGTTTGTCGAGCGCAACAGCAAGACGCTCCGGTACGATGTCGCACGGCCAGGTGATGTCGACAGCCTCCGTAATTGGGTTGATAACATGGGGTTCCCCGCTAGCGATGAGACCGAGTACCTCGAATGCCGCGGTAACGGCGAGCTCGTCACGCTGGCGACCCAGCGAGGGGAGGACCCAACCACGCGGCTCGAGACCTGGATAGAGAAGCGAGTCATCTGGCTCTGTCGCTGGTTCCGGACGCGGCTACTCAGCCAAGCATCCAGGGACGAAAACGTTTTCATCTTCCCGGGCGGGCTGATACCGCGTACCGCGCGGACCATGGTGGCGTGCTTTTTCATTGCTATCCTGCTGGCGCCCGCTGTTATCTGCAGTGTCGCGCTGACCGGCCTAGAGGCGCGGACTGTCGTCGTAGTCCTCGCGACGATACTGTTGGTCGTTGTCCTCTCCGCCACGACTAAGGCGAGGGCGGTTGAGATCTTCCTCGCGGCTACCGCGTTAGTTCCTGTTTCCCCTCTTCCTCCATGAAGGCACACCGCTGATTAGCAGCTCGATGCTAGTTACACTACTCTGTTGGTTGTCTTCATCGTCAACACCAATGCCTCGCCAATTAATGGACGCTAGTCGGATGACGTCGGCAAGAGGGTTTTTTTCAGATGTAAAGTGGGTTTGGCTTTCCCCGGTAGACTACCTATAACGTCTAGGCGAGGTTTTGGTTGCTCATAGCAACATGCTAGCATCTTTTACTTGAGTGTGTTGGGAGAAGGGGAAAAAGGGAGGGGGGAAAGGGTTGGGGCCGGGTTCGATAGGTATGTACAATACCTTACCCAGGGTACCTGCCTTCGCAGGGAGCTTTTGCTTTTGATAGAGGGGGGTATTTAAATTTTAATACCTCAGCATCTAGAGTCAGATAGACTATCACTTTTATTCAAATAGGCTGGCATCGATGAGATTCTAATAGAGGGGGTCTGCACCCCTTATTCTTAGGCCTGGTTTCAATCTTCATCGTCCAAGGTGCCTATCATTCACACTCGCAAGCAGTCCCTCTACGGTAGGTACCTAAATACCCACTTTTTGAAAGGAGTCGAGACCTAACATCGACATACACTTGTATGTCTTCCAACCCGGGGAAAAGCCCGCGATTCGAGAAGCCAGCACGGGAAGATTGGGTAACTGCGCTGCCAGCCATTGGGTTATGTTGCCATACGTATGTATGGCTTAGCCTGCATGTCTCAGACTTTTCGGGGTCTAGAATGAGGAAAAGAGTTGTTGTCCAACGAGAGTATGATATGTGATAGTTGAGGCTGGAAGCAATTGGAGAGGAGAGATTTGTGGCTTAATTACTTTTGCTACTGTACCACGGGAAACCTTGGATTCAAAAGCTTGCCTAGAAGTTAGGCACTTGAGCGTACATGACCTAAAAAGGTTATTAGTGGTAGAATGCAAGACCGTTCTAAACAGCATTGTTGAGCCTCTTTTCTCCTTTTGCTCTAACCTCTCTTCCCCGCTAACTCAACTGTTACACTCGGATCTCTCTACAACAACTAACAACCAAACGGATAAGCTTGAAGAAAGGTACCTTGCCTAAATAAACTATGATGAAAGCGCTACGACCACTCACCCTCTTCGCCGCCTTTACGATGCCATATCCCATCGCCGCCGCAAAGACGATCCGCGTCTCCCTCGGCAGCCTCGTCTTCACGCCCGACACCGTCACGGCGGCGGTCGGCAACGTCATCGAGTTCAGCTTCCCCGTCAACAACAGCGCTACCATGAGCGACTTCGACACCCCCTGCACACCAGCCAAGGAGGCGGCGGGATTTCACTCAGGGTTTTTCGCTACTTCTAGCAGGCAGAACGTATGTTGTATACCTTACCTTACATACACCTAACTCCCTACCCCGTCTTCCATCTCCCATCTCCCACCCAAAACTCAAAACTACACCTCCCCTCACTAACAAACAAACCCAAACCCCTTACTTACTGCCCTAAAAAACAGAAAACCGCATTCCAAATCACAGTAAACACAACAAACCCAATATTCATCTACTGCGGCTTCCTCACGCATTGCCAGAACGGGATGACCGCCGTCGTCAACCCGAACGACACCCAGACGCTCGAGGCCTACCGCCTCGCTGCGAAGGAGGTCGAGCGCACGATCGTGCTGGACGGTGGGGCGTTTGGTGGCCGGCTCGTTGCTGCTAGGGAGGGGTCTCCTTCGCCGCCACCGTCGCCGTCGCAGGCTAGTAACCCTAGTGAACTGAAGGGAAATGGGGCGGGAGGAGTTTTAGCCGTTGGTTGTGGTGGTGGTGCTGTTGTTGTTACGGTGGTGGTTATGGTGATGATGGTGCTCTAAGGGGGTTGGAATAGGTAGCGAGATGGTGGACGGTGATGAGATGGGAGTTAGTTCAGACTGTACCTTAGGTAGCCACACCGACATTTGCCTTTTGTATAATGGGAAATGAAAGCAAGGGAGTTGTAGACGGCTTGTTGGAAGGGGGGACTGAATGATGGGCTGTGATTCATGCTTAGCCGGCTATGCCTTGACAAAAGGTAGCGTTGCCCTTTTTGTAAAAAAAAAACATGCTTGTACATGCTGAATTCGGAAAGGCAAAAACCGTGCAGGAAAAGCTCAAGACAAAATTAGCCACAACTCACCCTAGCTCGGAACTGCGAACGATAAAGGAAATTTCGTGAGCCCGGACTCGTCTCAGACGACCAGGCTGTTTTCATCTATGAGGTTTCTAAGGAGGGAGATGGAGGTATGTGTATCCGGGATCTGCAAAAAGTTTGACGCTGTCGGCTTCCCGATTGCTTGCGCGGAGATCTCGTCGCTGCCAGATCATGGAACACGGCGGAAACACCAGCGTCTAAAAAGGAGCGAGGCGCATTCGAGGCCATCGAGGGCAGCTGTCGAGGGCAGCGCGGGGCCTAGCGAATTGAAGGGTGGCGTGTCCAACCAGCTTGCCCCGGCGAGGCTGACCGACATACTGCCTTTGCGCACTCACCCCGCGGTAACGCTGCTCGAGGCAGATTGTAGAAGTCGGACTGGTCTGGCGTATGTTGGGACCCTTCCGACCAAGGGGCGCGGTAAGGGATTGTCGATGTCGAGGATTCGGCGGACGGAGAGGACGGCTGAGGCTGGCGCGGAGAAGGTGTAAGCGATTAGCGAAGCTCTCAATAGGCGACCCGGGGAGGAGCTTGTCGGTTGGTTTGTCGAGCAGCTCGTAGCGGAGGTGCGCAAGTTCGACGAGCTCCGGTGAGAGCGACCCGACATGTGGTTGCTAGTCTCCGACTGCGTACGGAATAGCGTGGTCGTGAATCGGGGCGCCCGTGCGCACGCAGAAGGGCGATCATGTCGATTAGCAGCTAGCGCGGCGCGTAAGCGAGTCGAGGGCCGCCTTAGGTGGCGCGTGCTATTGTGCCTCGTCGGGCGCTCGAGACTTGATGTCTGGACCCAGTTCTTGTTCCTTGACCTCTTTGTCCGGCTCAACCAAGCTTGCCCGGCTCGCCCATACGGCGCCCGGAGGGGGAAAACGTAGTGGAACTATAGCACCGGCCTGGCGGATCGAGGGGCGCGGAGACCCAACAAGTTCAGCCTGGCGCGGTAGCGGGCTGTGAGGATTTGTAGAGAGCAGCAAGGGGCGGTCGAGGTTGGCCGGAGAGGTGTAGAATTCCATGTAATTACCCTTGGTGCGTGTTCGCCCATTTCCCCCCATTTTCTTTCTTGCGAGCGAACGACATCTGATATCAGCAAAATGGATCCGGCTTCCCCAACACCACACCATCGCCACCTATCATCCTTGGAAGGAACTATCTATTTTTCCCCTGGGCCGGCCTTAGAGACGGGTAAGCGTGCTCGCGCAAAGCAGCAATTTTACGGCATCATCGACCATTTCCAAGGTTCAGATAAAAGTCGAAACAGCCAATACAACCGCACTCTGCTCGTCCGCCTCACATATAAGTATACACGCTCGGAAGAGTCTCAAGAAATTTTCCTGCGCGCTTTTTTTCAGGCTATGTCACTCTCGATTGACGGCGAAGACGATGTCGACCTTGAGGACACTGAAGAGGATCTCCGCTTAGCCCTGTCCTGCTTTGCAGACTATCTCTTAGATAACTTTTTCTTACCTCGTAAGAATCACCGTTATTTAGATCTTCTATTCATTAACGTCTTATAGTGCGTGCTTCATTCCACAAGACGCCGCAGCCTTCACCGCAAATACATTCCGCAGTCCGACAGGCTCAAGGGGGTGGCGTGCAAGACTTTGTTGGGACACCAGACCAAGTAGCAAGCCTTCAAGGTGACTGTCTTCTACACAACCGCTACCAATACGTGATTAGTCGCCGGTTCGATGCGGAAGAAGCGAACAAGCATCTGATGATGCATGGCGACAAGGCAAAAGACGAGAACGGGAATTTACTTGTTGCTGGCCCTAGGTTTTCGCGTCTTGAGGTGGCCCATATTCTTCCTCATTCCCTTACAAAAACAGGAAATAACTCCCAGCTAGTCTGTTCTCATCTTACCTCAGTAGAGGGATAAAATAGCTGACCTTGTAGTAGCACCCTTCCAAGAAGGCTGTACTTGACATCCTCAACATGTTCAACAACAGAGTCATCCACCTTATTAAAGGCACCGACATCAACAGACTAAGGAACGTAATTACACTAACCCAGAGCCTCCACAGCTGGTTTGGTAACTTTGATATCTATTTCAAGCCTGTACTAGATCAAGAGCACACCTACCGGATTCAGTCATTCCTCCACCCTATGGTTACACCAGATCTTCCTGTAGTACATAAGCTCCACTTCACCAAGAGCCGGACTATTAAGCCCCCTTCTCAATGCCTTCTTACACTTCACCACGCGATTTCTCACATCCTTCACCTTTCTACGGCGGCAGGTTACATTACAAAAATCCTAAATGGTATGGAGTGGAAGGACACACGGACAGATGAATCGACCAAGTTAGGTCGCATTGTAGCCCTTAAGTTTGGCGGCTGGTCAGAGGCGGTCCATACCTAGCATGGCCCGATACCAATGACCCGCCATAGACCGCATGGAACATAGTGTAGTGTGGGAGGACTCGACGCAGCTCAGCGCTCTGGTGAACGTCGCCTTTGCAGATAAAAATATAGCAGTGGATGAGTGCATCAGATCAGGAAGGGCGTTGGTAGCACTGGCGCACTAGGTATCTAATCCTACACCCTTCAGAAGAGTTCTGAGAAGCGCACTTCCAAGAACATCAGATAATCTTCGAATACCACCTTGGGCACATGGCGGAACCACCGGCGCCTAAGCAGGAGCGACGCATGCTGGAGCTGGAGGAGTTTCCGGGAGGGCGCATTGTCAAGTGTCGATAATGATGACCGAGCTTCATTGGAACTCTTCGGGGCTAGAACATGGCGTAGCGGGTCTCGTTTCCCTTCATGGGCGCGACGTCGTCGAGAATGCAGTGCAGAAGCAGGTTGGTTCTGGGCACGAAATGCAATACTGCGAGACCGCCTTGGCCTGCGGGGAGTCGTAACGCTCAAGAGCCACACAAATCTCAGCACCGCTAACGACAGCTGAAGACGTAACGCCTATGCCGACTGCATTATTTGGTATATTCCCGGTGGACAAAAGTATGATAACTCCCTCATGCTGTAAGTCGGTGCATTCTCCATATTTACTGTTTAACGTCTAACTATGAAGGTCCCGACCACTATTCCCTCACAGGTGCTTTAGTGGAGACGATAACGGAGTGCGTGGAGGTTCAACTTCGAGACCCAACTTCCCGTCACGACATACTCAAGCTACGGAACATCGCCTACAAGCCACACCGCAGACTGATGAAGCTGTCGGAGGTCTGGCGGACGCTTTCTGGAGGTCGTGCTGCAGCCGAGGGCGGCTGTCGGTGACCTCAGCATCTGATGGCGCTGAAGGGATACGAGCGATACTGGAGTAGAACCATTCCGCGATCGCGGAGCTGCGGCGGAAAGGAGGACGTTGCCACGTTGGATGCTGACTCGCGAGGCCGCCTGAACTTACATTCCATAACCTCGCGCATGCGCACTCGGTCGGGCGACGTCGTGACGAGCACGTCGTCGAGCTGCAATGCGGTGGCGCCTAGTCATCATCGTCGCCCACACGTGCCAGTTGGGATTTTCTCCTCGGGTTCTCGTGCCAATGTTTGGTCTCGAATAGGAGCGCGCGCTGTTGCGTACGAGACGCTAGATTACTATCCAACATCGAGGGTGGCTGTCGAGGGCAGCGCGAGGACTGGCGGATTGAAGGTCGGCGTGATGCCTAACGAGCTCGCCCCGGCGAGGCTGACCGGCAGCCTTCGTGCATCTACCCCGCGGTAACACTGCTCAAGGGCAGAATGTAGAAGTCGGACTGGTCTGGCCTATGTTGGGGACCCTTCTGACCAAGGGGCAGGGTAGGGATTGTCGGTGTCGAGGAGTTAGTAGACGATGGGCAAGGAGAGGGTGCAAGCGATCGGCGAAGCTCTCAAGCTTGTCGGTGGTATTGCCGAGAAGGTCGTAGCGGAGGTGCGCAAGTTCGTATGGCTCGGCGAGGCGGCTGGTGGATGAAAGGCAGGCTCGATGATGTCGAGGGAAGACGAGGTGGGGCCGGTCGAAGTCGTGCCGGTGACGACACAAAGCTTCTACTCCGGGAGGAGCTTGTTAGTGGCCTTGCCGAGCAGGTCGTCGGGAAAGCGTCTCAGCCCGTCTCGAAGGGGTAATCGGAGGATCCAAGCGGGGTACTTACGAGGTGGTTAAAGTCGGGGCAAGCAATCTGCTATATCTGGAGAAGCCTTTCGTGGCGCGGCAAGAGAAGCGCCAGTCTGGGCCACACCGCACTGCACGTCACGAAATCCAAATCTGGCGCCTGAATCAGGCGAGCAGAGGCTCCAAAGATGCAGGCTCAGAGGGCGCATTTGTCACGAGGATGGCCGAGCTTCGTGGAACTCTTCTGCACCACAAGGGACGAAAACCGGGCCTCAAAATACTTCGCCTCGTTCGGCGGCGAGCTCACAGAGGGGTGCAGTCGAACATGAGACAAGGGGAGATTCGGTCCACCGCTGCAGGACCCACTAGCGCGGCAGGGGAGCTTGGACCACAGACTTTGCGTACCGTCACCTAACTTCGCATACTAGGCCGTCAGCTAGCTCCGCGCAGGGGCAGCGCCATTTTTAACCCGACGGTGAAAAAAAAATAAAAAAAAATTGCAGGGCCGCGCCAAGTTGCGTGCCAAGGGTCGATACGTCACTGTCCTTCTTAGCAAGGACAGCCCTTCCACGCCACCCTTAAATCCGCCTTTCCCAACCCCATAACAAGGTAGGTTTCTCACCGTCAGATCTCGAGGCGATGTTCGAGATTTAGCTTGATTAGTGGTGCGTATACCCCCTTCCCCCTTCTCAACCACATGGACTGACCACCATCGCGCTGCGCGCGATCCCTAGCCCGCGGCAACCTCTCATCGTGGGACACCTCATCATCACGCCTACCATTCCTGACCCCACACAGCCTAGACCTCCGCCCATTAGCGCGACAGGCACTGATCAAGATCTGCATAAGTTATCGACACTTTCAGGACATCCCACTACCCTCAACAGCACCCTCGACGGTTACCAGCACCAGTGGGGGTGAGCAAGGCTGTCAAGAGAAGGTTAGGCTTGCGAGAGGGGTGTCAAGGAGTGAGATAGGACGCTAGATGAGCGCTACCTCGGTCGAGGTGTGAGCATCAGGCTTCTCCCGGGGACGGCCACCTACCAAGTGATGATGACGTCCGGGAAACGCTACCTTATACATCAAATTTCGCCCATCACCTCCAGCTCACCTCCTCAACCGCCTCGAATCGAACCGTGGTCTAATGCGCGCTGCGAGCCTACACCGAGATGTCCCACAATACCTTCCCTCGAAGAACTCAGGTGCTTAGTTAAGGTCACCACCTACAAGGACAACGTGTCGGCACGCTCCATTAGGGGCGGACGCTCTCGGCACCGCCAAAGGTGACCTAGTTCCCTGGCTTCGATCTATCACATACAACCCTACAAGCTGCCTCAAGCAGCGTTACCACGGGATGGCCTGCCACTAGTGACGATAGCGACAACGACAATGCCGTCTCTCAACCCCCAGTACTCTTCATGCTCTCTAACCTTGCGTACCCCATCAGCATAGCCGTCATCGCCATCAGGCCATGCGTTTCTGGCCGCCAACAAGACCACGGCACAAGCACAAAAAACAACAAAACTCAATCCATCGATCAGCCCTCAATTCCCAGTACAACCCCCCATAGCTTCACTACAATGACTGACTACCCTGCCCCGTGCTAACCTCCACCTAGATCTCCTACTGTACCCGGCCCCATCCACGCGACGCAATCCGCGGCGCCTGTGTCTGACCACGCTACCTCAAAGATCGACGCCTCATGCCACAGTTCCGCTTATATGCCTTGCACAACCCCGGAGGCACCGGCACTCTCTGGCCATTACGTGACGCGACGGCTCGAGACGGATACGCCGGTTGCCACCCACGGCACACGCGCCAGTTGGGGTTTAGTTTGGTTCCGAAGAGTTCCACCGGAGCCCGGCCATTCTCAACACGCCCTCCCGGGGCTGCGTCCCTGCGGACTTGGAGTGAGCTTTGCGGCTCCCCCAGCACCGACTCGCCATGCGATAAGGACGTCATGACCAGAAAGCTGGGTGGCGCTAGATCAGAGATATGGCAGAGTTGTAATAATGCAAATAGCGGGAAGAGTACAGTAGCTACCGGCGAAAGGCAGTAAAGCATTCTTCAAGACCTTCCCTGTTACGGCCCAGCTCGTACGCGCTATCGACGGCGCCACGCCCGGCTGATTAACGCGCTTGAGCTGGTGACGGCAGGGACGTCACGCGCCTGCCTGAGGCGGAGCTACGGCATATCCAAGCCAGCATTGGCACACCGCCGCAAGCTGCGCGTCGCCAAGCTCCTCGCCGACCAGCGCATGCCGGTTGGGCTAGGCGACTTCGTTGATAAGCTTTCTCCGGAGCCACCGAGATTCGGTGCGCCATGGTGCCAATCCAGGTGTCAGGGGCGTTCAGCGTGTGACACAAGCCCAGCCTTTGGTAACAGCTGTAGGACTAGCTGTAACAGTGACTGCTGGGTGAGTTGCTAGGTTAGTTCTTGGTTTCCAAGCTGGTTCTTGACCTCCTGGGCGTACGTGCGTGGCTGTTGAAGACGTAGTTGTCGTTGCTGTTTGTCTAGCCGCTGGTTTTGTTGTAGTCTTTGTGTCGAGAACATCGTCATACTCGGCTTCATCGGCATCAGAATGAGCAGCAGGCTCAGCATCGGCGATCGCGTAGGGTGGATGCCATCGATCGCTTCGTTCGCCGAGCTCTAAACCGCTTCCTGACCGCCTGGTTAGCTCGAGAAAACGTGCGCGTAGTGTTGCCTACCTCTGGGGACTCCATCGCGAATGTTGCGCAGTTGAGAGTTGTTGTTTGCGTGTTGCAAGTGGAAGGACGTCGGCGTAGTCAATTAAATCAATGCGGCTAGCAATGTAGGTCACGGTTTTTGATGGGGCAGAGGGTGGGTCATGGTGCAAATAGACCGATGTCATGGTGAAAAGAGACATTCTCTTTCTCTATTGTCGTTGGAGTGAAGGAAAGCGCAGCTGGTAATGGTGGGAGGCCCCAAAACTAGGTCCTCGCAACTGCACGGCCATTTAGGTTAGGAGATAAAAGGTATATCGTGCATGGAGATGTCATGATCCGAAGGATCCAGCCAATGAATAAGTGGGGCCACGTGGAGGGGAGCCAATCAGCAGCTAACCAATCAGAAAGGACCTAGGCAGCCAGGGACCCGTGGGACCAAAGCCAGGTCCACGGAGGTACATGCCATTCATTGCGTCTATATAGGAACCTTGTGTTCACCATTGCTTTGGCTTGCGAGTTGGAACTCCAAGTAAAGCAATATCACGTTCGGGTACCATACCTTGTGGTAGCAATCCAGATTGTGATATTCAGACCAAGACCCCTTGCTTGAGACTTTACCCCTTGTGTCCCTCGATACCTTAAGATTCTATCACCTGCTGTCACCAACCCCTCAGACCTCCACACGGTTACCTGAACCTCCAACATCCAACGCGTGACCCTCTGGGAGTTTAGGATTGTAACATATACGCTGCAGTAATAACAAGGCCAGACTTAGCCTTTACAGTATCACGGTTGACGAGATTCAATGCCAACCCTAACCCAGTACATCACAAAGCCGCAGACCAAGTACTACACTACCTACACCAGACTAAAGCCCTGGTATTACAGCTAGGTGGGAAAGACGATTTCGTCGTGGCCAGCGATGCTTCCTTTGCCGATAACTCCATCAATCGAAAAAGCTCACAAGCTTACACCATAGAACTGTTTGATGGTCTGATTAGTTGGAGCGCTAACAAACAAGACACCGTTACCACATCCACCACGGGAGTTGAGCTTTTTGCTCTAGCCCAGGCTGCAAAAGAAGCCCTCTTTGTGAGTCGCTTACTTACAGAACTAACAGTCCGGCTAGACGACAGCCGTATCAAGATTCTGTGCGACAACAAGCAGACAATCTGGCTTGTGATGGCTGAAGTGGCTACCTTGCAGACCCGACTAAGGCATGTGGATATTCACAACCACTGGTTACGCAAGGAAGCAAAGCCGCAAGAAGATCTTGGTAGACTACGTTCCATCAGAAGACATGATAGCTGACGGCCTAACGAAAGCCCTCACACCCCAGAAACACCAGAATTTTGAACGCCAACTACACCTTGTTAATATCACGGATAGGCTGGCAGTCAGATCTAATGTAAAGGCTTGAATCTGGGGGGTGTGTCGAAAAGGAGGCACCAGAAGATGCTGGAACCCCGTAGTAGCAAGCGCCACAGGCGCCATTGCCACCACAGTGGCCACTGTATGCAACTATAAGACTGAGGTCTCTGGCGAAGCCAGAGACCACAACAGAACACACACAAGCAATACAATCACGTAGTTGCAATCCCATCAATTCCACCAAACCCAGAGTGAGGTGTTTCTGACAATATCAGACCATGCCAGGCATGTAGCGGTTCTAACCGGTAGGCTTGGCATCTATCTTTTCCCCCAATTCCGTATGCCTCTTTACTCGTATTAAATTCTTTTTTTTTGCGTCTCCCACGAAACATTTCCTGTGCCGTCGCGATTACAGTACACTCTGGAAAAACATGTGTCTGGGGCACACAAGCGAAGCACTACCAATCACTATGCTTCGAGTATGCGCAGTTGGCGCCAGCCGCCCAGGCGCCAACTTCACCAAATGCCCAACTACGGGGTTGGCGATCCGGGTAGCGAAACACTTGGCCCTCGAGAACCACCTTTGGGGTTCAACAACCATCAGACCCGCTAAGATTCGCGCGCCGCGCCTCGACTACCAAGAGCATATAATCACCGGCTATTCCTAGACCTCAGTTTTAGCTACTGACCTGCTGTACTTATAGATCCCACGAATATTAAGCGTTCCGTTTGCGTACCTCGTTTGCTGTTTCCCCCGCTGAACGCCGATATGAATAGCTGCTGAGAGAGCCGAGTCTGGTGATCTTGTGTAATGCAACTCCTGGAACGCGATGACACTGGCGAGTTCCGCCTAACGAAACATCTCCCAAACGATATAACCCTCGAAATTCGCGTTACGCGATACTTTTACACATATGGGGTGACGGAGAGGTCCTCTTCAAAGACTTGGAGGATAGTACGGCCAAGGACAGAGCAAACTATGCCAAGATTCGGTTTTGCGGGGGTTAAGCTAGGTATGATAGACTGAAATTCTTCTAGGTAGATATATGCTATATCGACAAGTCCGACGCTACCGAGCTTCAGTACGCTCTTGACTCCATATTTCGGTAGTACCACAATGCGGCCAAATGCTACGTCTATCTTTCAGGCGTCTCGAGCTGCCAGCAGGACGCTGATGGCAACCCGAGTCGGGAGTTGGCCTTTCGAAAATCCAGGTGGTTCACCCGGGGATGGACCCTCTAAGAACTCATTTCTCTAGCAATCATCGAATTCTTCTCTATGGAACACGTGTGCCTAGGGGGTAAGCAGTCCCTAGGGGATCAAATTCATAACGCAACTGGCATTCCCCTCGGAGCTCTCCAAGGCAACACACTGTCTGATTTTAGCATCTAAGCGCGTATGTCGTGGGTCAAGGAGCGTAACACAACAGATCTATGTCTCTCGCTAATGTTGCCATTAGCAATTTCCGTAGTCATGCATGATCCTGGCTTGCAGGTTTGACCAATCATCAATTAATCCAGTCCACACTCATGTACGCTGGTGGGAGCATGCCGCACGTGACATAAGTGTGGAGAAATACCTCATCGCAAGAAGTAAAAGGCGGGGAAATCCCTGCCGATTTTGCTGACGGCCCATTCCACTTGTCAACTTGACACTAGTGTAAGCTGTTAGATGATCAAACCGACAGTGTGAGCGCCTTGAGCTTCATTGTGCTGCTTACCCCATTCGCCAAGCGCGGAATCGTTGGCAGCACAGTACCGAGGGGGAGAGCCTTACCAGGCCCAGAAACCAGCTGGCTCTACCTACTCTCCCTTTGAAACACACCGCCAACATGGATCCTCTCAGTATCGCGGCGTCAGTCGTGGGTATCTCACAGGCTGCCATTATCGCTACTAGGGAGCTTATCGCGTATGCAAAGGACGCTAAGAACTCGTCCCGCGATAAGAAGCTGCTAGCTGAGGAAGCATTGCTCCTATCCAATCTCCTAGAACGACTACGACAACAGACGCTCGAGAAGGAGGATAAGACTTGGCTGAGTCAGCATTCGGATATGGTGCAGCAATTCGAAGCGGCCTTTATTGACTTTGCAAGAGTCCTCAAGGTGGACATGCGGACGGGGAAAATCCCAGACGAGTCACGCTTCAAGTCGTTGATCTCATCAGCAGGATGGCACTTTTCCAAGTCCGAGGTATATGGCCTACTACAACGAGTCGAGCGCTTGCGACACCATGCGAGCGCTCTCATGTCAGACGCCCAACTATCCATGCTCTCGCACATAGACCGCCAACAGAAGGAAGCCGTAGATCGCAAGACAATGGATGATATTCTCCACTGGCTCTCCCCCCTAGATATGGCACGAATACACCAGAGCATCTCCGATAGAGTTCAGCCTGGATCGGGGGAATGGTTCCTCTCCACGCCACAATACCTCGGTTGGTTAACCGAAGCCGGAGATGTGGATTCTCTCTGGTGTTGGGGCATTCCAGGTGCCGGGAAAACCGTTCTTGCATCTATTGTCATAAATCACCTCCGCCAATCAAGAGGTGAGAATCTGCGGACCGACATTGGTGTTGCAGTTGTCTACCTGAAATACAATGAACCCGACCAGACGGTAGACACGCTGCTGGGGAGCATTCTCAAGCAGCTCGTCCAAGACTCCAACGTGCTCGATCAGACCATCCGAGACCTTTACGAGCACCAGGGTCAGCGAAATGCGGCACCTTCTCTCCATTCCATCACTTTGCTTCTCCAGAAGAAGGCTGAGACATATAAACAGACCTTCTTAGTGATAGATGGACTGGACGAGTGTGAGGAAGAGACACGATGGGATCTCCTTGAGCAAGTCAACAATATCCCTGGAATTTCCCTCATGGTTACCTCGCGTCATCTCAGTTCGATTGAAGAAGAGGTCGAGAATTTCGTCCGCATTGAGATAAAGGCCAGCAAGGTGGACATCGAACTCTTTATCGAGTATCAGGTCCAGCGAAACCGAAACCTCCGGCGGATGATACTGCGAAACCCGCAATTGAAAGAAGATATCAAATTGGCAGTAGTCAAGACCGCCCAGAGCATGTTTTTGCTAGCTCGTCTCCATGTAGAGTCTCTCGCTAGTGCCGCATCTCTCACCATCAAACATGTTCGGCAGAAGCTGCGGGAGCTTCCCACAACCCTCGACACTTCCTACGACAACGCGATGCAGCGCATCAATAACCAGGAAGAGGATCACCGGAAACTCGCCTTCAAGACGTTGGCTTGGGTCACACACAGTTTCCGCTCACTCTCCTTACGAGAACTGCAACATGCGCTAGCCGTGGAGCCTGGGGACTCTAACTTGGACGAGGAGTTGCTCATGGATGCGCAGGGCATCACCGCCCTCTGTGCTGGACTCATAGTCATTGACAAAGCGACCGGCAATGTCATTCTCGTTCACTATAGCGCCAAAAGCTACTTTGAGAACACGCGCCAAAAGTACTTCCCCCTGTATCACGCCAGCATGACCCTCAGCCTAGCGACATATCTGACTCTGGACGCGCTGCAAATCATCACAATAGGCGAGATGGCTCAGCGTTATCCCCTCGCCACCTACGCTGCCCAGTACCTCGGCGATCATGCTCGCCACGCGCCAGAGGAGTCCTTAGAAACTACAGTTCTAGAGACCATCTGTCGCCTTTTGACCGATGCCGACAAGCGCAAACCCTTGCTCACACTGCTGGATGGCTTAGACCTTATCCGTTCCGGATACTACTCGACTCTATCAGCAGACATGGTCGAGGACACCACTGTTGTTGGATCAGAAGCCATCTGTTCAGAGCTTGAGAGCGTGAGCATCAATGCGGGCAGTTCGGTCTCTGGGACTACGGATTATACCGTGGTAGATCCAGCTATGGAAACGTGGGAAGCCAAGATGAAAAGTAGCCGCATACCCGAGGTCACTGCACTCCATCTTGCCGCCTCCATGGGTCTGGCAAAAGTGGCCTCTATGCTGCTTAAGGAGGCTCCAAATATTGACGCCGTCGACGAGACCGGGAAGACGGCTCTTGCAGTGGCGATGGAGCGTGGATTCGAGAAGGCAGTCGAGTTTCTGATTGACGGCGGCGCTTTCATCAACCTTGTTGACGACCATGGTCGCAGGACCCTCCTCTACATGGCTGAAAAGGACTGGAACGATGCCGGGAATAGTCTCGTCTCCAAGGTTCAAGCCCAGCTCGACGATGGAGACTCAGCTGACGACCCAGAGCTTCGGTTCATGATAGCCGTGTATCTTGGCAACGCAGACGAAGCCGTCAAGCTCTCTGAAACAGGTCATGTTGACTTGAATGGGAGTGGTGCTGCCATAGGAAGTCTATCGCTTTTCCTGGCAGTTGAGCACCGAGACGGTGCCATGGTGGACACTCTCCTGCATGCCGGCATCGATGTCAATGCCAAGGACAGTAAGGGCCAAACGGCGCTGTTCAGGGCAACTCGTCGCCAAGATGCCGTGATGATGAAGATCTTCATTTCCGCCGATGGGATTGAAATCGATAGCCGAGACGACGAAGGCCTCACAGCTTGGAGCGCTAACGTCAAATCACGCAACAAGGAAATTCTAGATATTTTGCTTCGAGCAGGAGCAGACCCGTCGACGCGTGGCCTTCAAGGTGTCAGTCCGTTGTATGAAGCCGCGACGAATGGGGAGACGGAGCTAGTGCGCTTCTTGCTCGAGAGCGGAACCAACCCATCCATCCAGACCGAATATGAGTGGGCACCCCTACATTGGGCTGCTGCGAATGGCCATGAAGAATGTGTGCAGCTGCTCCTCGACGCCGGCGCCGATCTCCATGTCAGGTCAGACCAAGGCGTCACCCCACTCGACCTTGCGACACAGGCGAGGCAGACGGTCGTCGTAGAGAAGCTGAAGAATGCTGGAGCGACGACTGCGGCTGCGACCCAGAAAGGAGGACCTGACCTAGATAGAACAGCTCGGGTCCGTATCGAACCGCCACTCTCAACACCACTTGGTAGCATCGCCGCGCCTTCTTCTTCACCGTTGGACTACAAACTCTTCTTGGTATATGACAATCCCCTCTCGCGCACCCTCATCAGGAGGACAAACGTTGGCCAGTTCCTCTATCCCAGAGTGCAGCAGGGCTCTCCTGAGCCCGCCGGCTACATTTACCAAGTCTCTCACGTGATGGAGACCAGCTCGTCCACCATCAGCGTCCGTCGATCTGTCCGTCGTGCCGAGATGAACGAATATCCGCTGCAGCTCGATGATTTTAATTTCAAAGATGCATTGTACCACATCACCTGTCTACGCGCCGACTATCAAGACTTTGAGCTCTGCCCTGGCGTTCAAGCCGCCGCTTCCTACGACACAGATAATACTATATCTAACAAGTCTAATACTAGTAATGAATTCTTATCGGCGTCGTCATACCGCATGCACAAGGACTGGACGGGAAACTGGAAAGTGCGCTTGAATTTCCCGGCAACGCCCATCTCGTCAAACGAGCTGCTCTTCCGGACGACGGCAGACTGGGCGGCAGCGGCACAAAGCGACGTTGACAGCCAGCCCGACTGTCATTGGATGACTGAGGCGGGTCGTTTGTTGGCGAGGTCCGGGTGGGACGACGGCACGCTCAATATGTGCATCGAACCAGCGTTGAAACGTGGCGTTTTAGACCTGCTTGTTACGTGTGCTGTTATCAAGCTGTGGTCGGAGACCGCACTTTTGGGATTTGTCGAAGCGAAAGGTGTTCCTAAGGGGCAATAATTGAAGGGCGATCCTTTTTTATTATTATATATATATATACCACTAGTAGGAATAGCTGGTATAATAATGTAAGTGTAGTGGATTTAGCAGATTGATGAAACGTAGATGGTAAACTACCATAGCGATGTCGGTTACCTACCTTACATGCCTACCTATCTTAGAAGCTTCTAATCTGGGGGCGAGGTTTCGACAGACAGTCTACCACATCACGGGCAACTTCTCGACCCCCACGTCCCGGTGCAACTCGGTGAACTGGACTTTGTCGATCGGCGTAGCTAGCTGGAGGTCTGGCATCTTCTTGAAGAGCGCGGTAAAGGCGGCCATCGCCGAGGCGGTGTAGTAGCGAGACAGCCCGTCGACGAAGGCGGGGGCCCACCTGTTGGGGTCTGCCTTGAGTTCGGCGAACTAGGAGGGGTGTTAGAAGAGGGTGACGACGCCCTGATATTCACTTGTTACTGCCTGTCTAGCCCACCTACCTACGAACCTAAGTAAAGAGGGGAGATGAGAAGTACCAGCATCATCATGTTCACCGTGGTAGTATTGCCGGCGACAAGCAGCAAAAAGGCGATTTGCACGGCGTCAGCCGTTTCGAGGTGGCCCTGCTTCACCTAGTTAACGACGAGGGAGGAGATGAGGTCATCCTTGGGCGCCGTCATACGATTAGCGACAAGGTCGGCCATGTAGTCGAAGAGGTACCTATTCACCCCACCCCTACTTCAGTGCTGATTCCATCACTTTCCCTAGACTAGACACCTAAAACTACCGGGGGGGGATGGAAGGGGGCAAACCCACTGGTTGGCCGCCGAGGCTTCCCGCGCGTTGGAGCTGCCGCTGGACGGCACAGCCGCCTGTTCGGTAAGAAAAGGGAGGTCCCCAAACGGCACTCTCGGGTGCACCGCCCGCAGCGGCCTCCTCACCGACGTGACAATGCCGCAATCGACGCCGGCGGGCCCGTGATAGTAGCGCCAATGAAGCTAAAACAACACGGAGTCAAGCCCTCACATACAGCACCATGACCACCCAGCAATGATGGTAGGATACCGAGACCTGCGAGTCTTACAATACAACGTCCAGAAATCGAAAGACTTCGTCATGGCCAGCCTGTTCCGAGACAACAAGACCCTAGAATACGACATCCTAGCCATCCAAAAACCCTGGTGAAACCCATTCATCGCCACATCCTACCACCCCTTGAGAATGCACTTCCAGCTCATATTGTCAGATTGCGACAGCACTTTTGGAAAGATGTGATGACCGAGAGTGAATTGCTTGTATTGCTTCCCATTCTTCCACAACTGACTTTTTCTTATACTTCCAAATATGGCAATTACATGACGAGTCAAAGGTTGTTGATTCCTCTCCAAAAGCTGTGCCCGAAGGACCTGCCTTAACCGTGGCACTTTAAAGCGCTCGTCACGTGACACCTTGCTGAACTATGTCAAGAAAAGAAGGCGGAAAGTCAAGGCAACAGACCTACCCCAAGCCAGTATATAAGGGCCTCAAAGCCAATCGAGACTTGGAGACTCGAGGTCTTCAGGTAGAGCAATTCATAGTTCAGAATCTACAAGTTCTTGTGTCGCAAACTACGACAGCAGTTCTACTGTGAATCATTCAAGCATTTGTACGAAGCCTCTGCCCTTGTCACACTTGTCCCATATAAACAGAACCCCTTTGGATTCACTATCCCCCTCAAACCCCCATTTTTCACCTGGACCACCCATATCCAACGAGTGGGACTCTCGGAGCTAGGATTGCAACACTCTTTTATAAAGATATCGTTCGGAAAAACTTCAATTATCTTATTCAAAAATTCACCTTTCGATCGATGTCTGGACTTCTCCGAACAAGAAACTATTCTTAGCAGTTTGCGCCTATTTTGTGGATTTCGAATCAGAAACCCTCTAAAATGCACTTATCGGCCTTCTATCTATCCTATCATACTATATAGCAATTTAATACGAAGCTCTTTCATTCGTCCTTCAAGATTATAACTGTTGGAATAGCGATGTTGGTGACTGTGAGGGCCTGGTCCTCCAGGCCTCCCAGACGCTCTGACTAATCAGACGCCAGTTGGGTGAATCCACCCGACCAGCCAGAGCCCCACCTTGAGACGCCCTGGAAGAATCTCGCGACGGGAGGCTTTTGAGCTTCTTTTCCCTTTTCCCTTTAGTTTAGAATCTTCGTCTATAGCGCCCAATAGAGGAGTTCCGCCCTCATTCCAAGCCGGCCGTGACAGTGACCGTACTCTACTCTGGAAGGGAGGCGGTGCGATGCACGTGCTAGCGCACGTGCGCCGCACGGCCCTCGCACGGCCATGTACAAAGCCAAAGACCCCCACCATAGATTTCTAGAGCAGAATGAAGGGTGATCGTCACCTAGATCACGGAATGCGGTAGGCTATTCGTGAAAACGTAGGTAAATTGATGATCGAGGGAGGAAGCTCGGGAGCACTGCCCTGCCGAGGACCTTAATGTGGTCCTTTGGTGGGGCAGACGCGGTCTAACCGCGTCAGGGTAAGCCCCGCTTCCCTATGTATCTATGTACTTAAATTACACGTGCCGGTCATATGACCTTGTCTTGGCGCTCCCTCGCTCAATCAGGCATCACAGAACATGAATCAGAACAACTTTACACCCCCCCGGTAGTACTACCACTTTTTGACCCGTTGGAACACCTACGTGGTTGGAATACCACGAACAATAACATTCTGTTAAACATTAGGACAATTTAGCGACAATGCTTCAACAAACGACAGCCTTTACAAGATCTTCGACACAGCTCTTAGTGAGAAGGGAATTTCTTAGTTATTATCGAACAATCGAATACGATGTAATAGGCTTATCATCAATCTTGCTGTCCAGGCATTTCTATTCAAAAAAAAATAGAAAATCAGGATGAAAATACCGAAACAGAGGAATCTTAGATCTCTCTTGATCTCAGTCCTCTTATCAAACTCCACAACATTATCACCCGTGTCCGAGGATTGTTGCGCACGAAGATGTCAAAATAGATGCATTCAATTTTTCTGTGTCTGTGGAATCGAAGGAAAGGGTGGAGGGCCCTTTTTTCTGTAAAAAAGGATGCTCCTTTCCAACATGTAAGCACTAGACCGGTGTAGGCGTAGATCATCGTTTAGAAAACATGTAACCCGATTGGGCCTAGTATGCAACAATGATTCCCTACTTGAATGAATCAGTTTATTCAACTTGCCGGCCGAATAATACCTTTGGATAATTCTACACGATAGAATAGTCAGTATTTAATGATCCGAGTTGCACTTGAAAAAGAAGGTGCAAATTGATTCATATTGTCACGACACTGAGCAAGGACTAGGCATATGGACTTTGTTGTTGTGCGAGGAAGCTATCTGTGGCCGCTGGGGGCTCGGTGGAGCCTCGGCAAGACTCGTCTCCTCTGGCCGGGATATTGGTATCGTGACACATATCAAATCGTGGTTCAAATCTCTCTAAAAGCTGAGCTGTTTTCGATAAATACTATCTGAAGACAGAGGACTCTCGTTCTATGCAGCAGCGGTAATCTTTCATCCATCGCAACGAACCATATATCTCAAACACAATTGGGATAAGAAATGGATACGGCCAGTAATCAGTTCTGTCAAAAAACTCTGGGAGGAGTATAAAGACCAGTCAGCGATTACACCTCCAACAACATCATGTCAGAAACACTGCACTCTGGATTTTGTGGAATTGATGGAATGGAATGGGGGTTGCAACTGCGTGATTGTATTGCTTGTGTGTGTTTTCTGTTGTGGTCTCTGGCGAAGCCAGGGACCTCAGTCTTATAGTTGTATACAGTGGCCACTGTGGTGGCAATGGCGCCTCTGGTGCTTGCCATCGCTTTGGTTCCAGCATCTTCTAGTGCCTCCTTTTTGACACCTTATGGTGCTTTCAGGAGACATTTTCCTCCCTTAGCAATCCTGAACCATAGCGTTAAATTGTGATGATCTATACCGCACTATCTAGTTATCATTGCACTGGCGAAAGAATTGTCTACAACGATAGATTGTTTGTTCGAGAAAAATGGACAACTCGACCTAGATGTAACAGGTTTAAGGAGACTAGAAAAGGTTTACAGTGATTTATCGTGTTAAAATTACAGATCTTTTTCTCTCCTGTAGTTGGAGTGAAGGGAAGCGCGGCTAGGTGGCGGTAGAGGTCCTAGAACTGGGTCCTCGTAACTCCACCGCTATTTTAGTCCCGTGGCAACTGTAGCCGGGGCAGCCCAGAACAGTGAGCTACTCGCTCAGTCTGGCTCAGTCTAAGGCGGCAATGGCTCAGTTCCGAAGAAGGAAAGGGAAATTTGTGGTGTCGATTTTAGGGTGATGAAATGGCTGTTTTTAGACAACGGCATCAAGGACCGTTCGCTCAGCATCGACCCGGCATTGCGCAGAATCGGCATCTTCGACGGCGGCTACACGTACTGCTCGTACTCGACCGTCCGCCTCGCGGCCGCAGCCGTCGTTCGTGTCCTTGATAACCCGGACAAGACCAAGAACAAGGTCGTGCACGTGCAGAGCTTCTGCGTGTCCCAGGACGAGATCAAGGCGTCACTCGAGCGCGTTACGCGTGAACGATGGACTCCAGTCAGCATGGGTCACCCGGTATACACCCCCTTCCTTTTGGATCTGGCACAGCGTGATCATTTCGAGGCGACCAAAATACTGGCCCATCTAGTGGGCGTGGCCGAGGGCGACTATGCTACAGAAAGCGGCCTCGACATGACTGAACTTGGTATGCCGATGCAAATGGAGCCCCTGGATTATGTCGTCAGAAAGGCTCTTGAACTCGAGTCCAACTGAGGAGGTTGAGCAGGTGACTTCAAATAGTTATTAGTTGCTTTGGTGAGGACTCTCGAAGATGAGGTAAGCGGGCCGCGGATATACATCATTAAGGGCAAGGTTGCTAGCGTAGCTGAAACTGTTTCGGCATGATACAGTAATACCAGGCTAGGTCCCTCGAATAGACCGAAGGCTTAGGTATGGAAATAAAACCCCAATTTTTGACTTGCAAATCTGGGATTTTTAGTAGTGGCAATGCTGTGCTGCTCCTTCCCATGTCAGAACCCCCCCACCCCCCTCCCACCCCCCCTTGCTTGCTTCACTCGTCGTTATGTCTTGTGGAACAACCGTCAAGCTGGCAAACACCCGCCGACTCCCGGGCAATTAGGGTGAGCACCCAAGGTAGGGCCGAATCTGCTGGTATTTTGCTGCAGTTTCCGGCAGAGGCCTGCTGCTTAACCCCTGTGTGAGGACCCGTCCACCAAACTGGCCCTCAAGCAGCCAGAGCCGCCCAGAACCCCCGGGCCTATCAGAAGCCTCCTCGAGGCCCCACCTACCCCACTGATAGATGAAAACTTATTCGCGAGCATGCGACGCGTTGTCGGACTTTTCCTTCTTTCCCTCCTCAGTTTAGAATCTTCGTCGATAGCACCCAATGGACTGAGTTCACCTCAATGCCTTGCCCTGGTCGTGACAGAACTTAATCCGGTAGCTCTACAGTGTGCCGCCACGATGGATGATAATTATCACCGATTTTAATAGCTTAGTAATTTACTCTATATACATTTTCTCTCGAATTCAAGACCCCAGATTAATCCTCCCATACGCACTCTCGAATTCCTTCCTACGCGCATGACTTATAGTTCCTTCACCCCCAAGAATTTTCGGTTTCCGGACGACCCTTCCATCTCACGAGATACTTAACCCGTCCGCTGCATATCTTTTTTTTAAGCAATTCCACTCCCGAATGGTTTCCTCCGTTCTTCAAGTAGCTTATGTTAAAATTAGCAAGAAGATGGTCGCTTATGTTCTCTGGTGGCTCCCACGTGTTGGATTCGTCCCCAAAGCCTTTCCACTTGACCAGGAGCCAAACTCCCCGGCCCCGCCCCCACTTAGCAAGCAATTCCTCAACCTCCCATGTGTCTTTTTTCTCGTCAATTGCGGTGGGCGGGAGGATCCCCCTACTATCGCCAACCCCTCCTCCAACTGAACATAACTCTGTCACAGCGTCATTCGTTTGCTTAGCAGGGGCCGTATCGGTCAGCAGTTCCGGATCAATTAAGTTCACAGGAACAATGGATGATAATGATGTAGATCGTGAGCTTGCGCTTGCCCATTGCTCTTGAAATATCGTCTGGTCGCCCTGCGCCATAAGGTTGTCTGTCTGATCGGTAAGATCGAGGATCCGAGATGGGAGTGACCGAGTATTAGACACAATTCCATCGCTACATTCCTCGACGTTCATTCGAGACATGTCGTAGTAAGCGGGAGGCAGCTCTACCTGTCTAATCCGAGACACTTGCCCTTCACCCAATCCCTTCAGGTCAGGGTCTGTAGTTGATGGTGAAATGCAGGCCCCGGGATCGGCATGCTCGCTGATACCAAGGCTCTCGTCATCAACAAAGCTGGGAGATGGCCTCGAGCTCGAATTAACTGATGGGCAAACTTCTTGAAGAGAATTGACATCGAAGACGGAAGAGAGGGCAATAGTACTGAAAGGAGACGTGCTGGTTTCCGAATAACTGCCGTAGGAGATAGAAAAGTTTGATATCAATCCATGGGATTCCGCCGCCGGGTTGGCGTCTGTTGCTGATGCCAGCTTGGCGTTGGCAGCCTCTTCCATAGTATAAACTCGGCGCCGTTTTCTTCGGGAGGGGGAACATCCTCCATCCACAAAGACTTCCCTCTTCTTTTGCGTCTTCTCCTTACTATTTCTGGAAGGATAGCTATGGGCGTCTTGTAGATGGTACCAGAGCTGCTGGTCTGACTTGTACGCTATAGAGCATTCGGGGTCAGGACACGGTATTGCGTCCGTCATTCTCGAAGTCTTCGCGTAAATAGTGAAGCACTCATTGACATGCCTTTCCCAGCTAACTTGCTTCCTAAATCCGAACAGTCGTCGGGTTGCAGGTAGTTGTTCGTTATGCATACATGTTTTGCACATCCTGGCGTAGGCAATGGCTCGGCGAAACTTGACAAAATTGCAGCGCAGCGGCAGTTCGCGTCTGTCGATATGCCCCCGGTAGTGGACTTCCAATGCTTTCCTACCCGCTACGGGGTTGTGGCATAAGTTAGGTGGGGGGGTAAGCGAACACTACTGATTTAGAACATTCTGTATAAGCAGGAGTCCCAACTAACCCTCCAACAAAAGAAAGGGTGATCTTTTTATTTACAAAACTTCAATACAATCTTTGATATCTGTCACGACCAGGGCAAGGCATTGAGGTGAACTCAGTCCATTGGGTGCTATCGACGAAGATTCTAAACTGAGGAGGGAAAGAAGGAAAAGTCCGACAACGCGTCGCGTGCTCGCGAATAAGTTTGCATCTATCAGTGGGGTAGGTGGGGCCTCGAGGAGGCTTCTGATAGGCCCGTGGGTTCTGGGCGGCTCTGGCTGCTTCAGGGCCAGTTTGGTGGACGGGTCCTCACACTATATAGATTTTTTTTTGCATATGCGACTGTTTTTAAGTAATGGAGGAGAGTTTAAAGGTACTGTGAGATGTTATTATGCTGGCAGCTTGCTGCTAGTTGTATAAGAGTAGTATTTGTAAATGCTTGGTTCAGTGTATAGGCTACTCTGGCCTGCATTAGACTGCCGTCTGACTGCCGTAATGGCCGCTGTATGCGCCATTGGCATTGCTTGTTATTGCGCTAATGGAGCTTGTCTCGTCGGATTACAAAGGCAATGATATTCAGTGTGCTAAATTCACATTCGTGCAAACTGTCCCTTGACGAGCTTGCCATCTAGTGGAGCCTCTCCTCCCGTCTTCTGGGTTCCCCGTGAACATTCTTCCTTCTGCCACTCTCGCCTTCAATGAGGACTGCTGCCTGGTCCGCTTAGTTGACATCTCATGCCTGATTACAAATGGAACCCCCCATGTTTTTGGGGTATAGGTCTCAATGTCATGTCCAACACTCCCGGTCCAATATCTACCTTTTTCATAGGTTGGGCCTGTTGTAGGACGTTAGCCTCTCCCTCAGCAGCGGCAACGCTTCCCGCAGCGCTGGTCGAGGGTGCAGCAGCAGGCCTGTCACCAGCACTTGCCGAAGGCAGTATAGCCGTGATTCCCAACCTATTCAAGAAGTCCCCACACCCAATTATCTTCTCCTGGGGATTTCCACGGCAAGGTTCCAGGACTCTAGGGGTGCCGCCTTCACGGGAACCATATGCCACAGCTCTTTCGAGAGTGCCTCCCAACCCCGCTCTGTTCCAGAGGTTGTAGGCCATGACCTCGCCGCAGGCTCCGCTATTCCTGTGTTCAGAATCCATGGTGAGTTTGCCCGCTTGCGCGAGCACGGGCTTGAGCTTTTGGAAGTAGAGCTTGGGATCCCCTTTACTGACACCGCGCATGGTCGACGCGAACACGACGATTGGCGTCTTCAACCCAACCACCCTAACCGCGGCCACGGTATTGGGCCTGCGCGCCTCTTTCCGCTCATCGGTCTCTTGTTCCTTTATGCCATCGTCACCCCACTTGCGGAAATGGAGCTTTTGGCCCGGCCCACTTCTGGCCCATGAATATTCCTCAAAATCACGCGTCATCTCGTCGTAGGCCCGCATGCTCCAGTGAGTCAGATCGGCATCGGTGGGCGGCTTGTCGAACTCTACCACAGAAGCCCACATGTGCATCTCATGGCTTTCGGTCCTCCCGCGAACGTTGGTCATGTAACGACTCATGCCAAGCGAGCCCAAAGGCTCCTTTGTCCCTCCCTCTGCCGGAACCGCCTTCCTTGTTTTATGTTTATTTTTCCCCTGCCCGCCGCTCGGATCGGACCGACCAACCGGGTCGTTGCCTACGTACGAGTACAAGTTGAGGCCGTCCAGCGTGCCCATCGGGTCGGGCGACGTCCAGCGGCCGAGCCAGGCGGCGTAGTAGCGCATGCCGCAGTGGTAAAGCCCCGTCTCGTCTCGGCAGTAGTGCGCGTACCGGTACTTGGCCGGGGCTTCCACGCGGCTGGACACCGCGCGGTACGTTGTCGCGCCGTAGGGCGAGTACTCTTCAAACGAGATGATGCGGCCCTCGTCGTCGACCTCGAGGCCCTCGTCGAGCAGGAAGCGGACGAGGCGTGTGTCCGTGGCCTTCCATGAGGTGGCTTCGATAAGAGCTACCGGTGTGGCGGGATCATCCCCAACGGCGCGTGTGGTGGCCACCTCGCCCGTCGTCTGCTGGCCGCTTCCAGAGTACCGCCGGCTGAGCTCGTATGTGGCGAGGGAAAATGTTTCTTTGATCTTCCGGGGAGGGCTCGTCCCGTTCCCCGCCGTCCGTTCCGTGACAACCCGTACGCGCGCCCCGGCTGCGTTGTAGACGTACCATGTTTTCGTCTCAGGCGCCACTTCACTCTTGGGGGTGCCGCTAAGGGATACGCTCGACCGCAGTCTGTTGGCAAAGTCCCACGAGAGATGGCCCACGCCCGGCACCCGCACGGCACATCCAGCTTCGTTGTACTTGTAACGCTCCTCCACCTTGCCCACCGATGTGCTGGTCAGCCGGTTGCTGGTCGCGCCGGAGCCGTCAAGACAGCTGGCATCCTCATATCGATACGCCCTCGTCCAGCCAGAGACGCGACTGTCAGCGGATTCGTGCTTGACGCTGGTGATGTTCCCAGCTACGTCATACGCCGTAGTCTCAATGTATGCGCAGACCTGACTGCCGTCACCCGGGATCCCGTGGGACGTCTTGGTATACTTGGCGCTGTACGGGTCCAGTTTTTCCGTGGCTGGATCGAACTGCTCACGGCCCCTCGCCGTCACGAGCTGCCCGCGGGCGTCATACGTATAGTCGTTCTCCGGCCGGATCACAGCATTACGGAAGTACACGTCCTGCTGCGCCATATCCTTGGTATAGCATACGCGTCCGAGGCAGTCGTGCGAGTACGAGATATCTCGCAGCGCCGTCTTGGATCTCCACATCTTTGAACGTTTTGGTCTAAGTGTCGTCATGCTGTAAATGAATTTGCTCTCTACGCCGTTGCCGTAAGCAACGTACTCAGGCTGCATGCCGGCAGTGTAGCGGATGTCGCTGATATAGGATGTCCAACCTGAACTTGAACCGCTAGGCTCATCTAGGCGAAGTGACGAAAGACCACCCGAGTGAGTATATGTTCGTTCCCATATGGTCCCATCGCTGGCGATCGATCGATATTCACGACGGAAGGCGTCGAACTCGCCCTTTTCCACGTATGTCTCGGGCGCCACGCCACCGGGCGATGCTTGGCCTGTAGACCAGTCTAGCAGCGCACTGTACACGGTGGCAAACTTTGTCTCCCGGCGAACACAGTTGCCCTGAAAGTCGTAGAGCGCATGGGTGTAAGTGCCAGCCTGATCACATGTCCTGTACTGTTTCCCGCGTAGGTTCCTCGCGACATCGTCCGGCTGTCCCTCGCCGTACTCCTTACGGACGATCAGCTTCTCCAGTGCATCCGGTGAATCCTGCAGCCAAGAGCCAACGAACCTCCTCTGTTTGTCTCGCGTTACCCGTGAGCGCAACCCGGCGCCATGTTGGGTCCAACGCAGCCATTCGTAGCCCGAGGCGTCGGGCAGACTCCAGTATATGCCGCCCTCCATGGTGGTCTCGCATAGACACGCGCCAACCATGTCGTAGCGCCGACGCGCCACCTCGCGGCCGAGAGCGTCGAATGCGGCTACCACATTGGCGGCAGCATCCATATGAGCCCGGGACGTCTGCTGGACAGCCGAGTCCGCGGCCGCGACCCAGGCCACAGCCCTGCCCGCCGGGTCAAGATGACTCACGTCTGGCGTGTCGTGATAAATTTCCGACTTGATGGCCGCTGCCTGTTCCGATGCGCTACCTCCTTTGTGCTGTGCATACCACGAGGGCAGATAGCTCGAACTGTCCGCACCGTGGCGAAAGTAACCACCCACGTCGCCGTCCTCGGCGGGGTTCTGCACCAGTACCGTGTCACCCGCGTCATACTGCGTTGTGGACCAGGCTCGGATTACCGTCTTTTCCCACGTGTGGTCGGGGTGGAGGACGGCTATGGCGCGGCCGACCGGGTCGTGAAATGTGCGGGTGGACGGCGGCGGAACGCCCTCATGTTCTGTGCGCGGACAGAATAGGTGGCTGTCGGCGAGGCGCGGTAGGAAGCTCAGGCGGACACGCCCGACGCCGTCGTGGATGCTCCACGCTCCCACCCTCCAGAGTGTGTTGGGCACCAAACTGTGTAGATCAACGGTCTGGATTGGATTGCCGCGCCCGTCTAGGTACGTGATGGATATGGAGATTTTGGAGTCTCTGCCGCGGTCGGACAAATACCAGTTTTCCCGCCTGAGTACTGCCTCGAACGCAGGTACTAGTACCCCTGAATCGAGATAGAAGGCCCGGCGGTTGTGGACACAGCGGGTCCCTGTCGAGCCTAGGAGCTTCGGCGCTGCTCGAACAGGGTTGCGGACAAAGTCCATCAACCTTGCTGTGTCGAGGACTCGCTGAAAGCCATCAAGAGTATCGCCGACGCCTTCGCCCTTCTTGCCTGCTGGCGCAGTGCCCACCGGGACGCCGAAGCCATCGTATGCGATCTGGGTACGGTTTTCGTTTTCGTCAATCTGAACGGCGGGTGCGACCGCGATGTAGTCGTACTCATAAGAAGTCTCGTTACCAACGGCATCAACAAAGCGAGTCCGAAAAAGCAGCGTAGGGTCAAGTTCACTGTGCGAAACGCTACCGAAACGGTCAATGGTATACGTCGATATGTAGAAATGAGACCTCGCCGTACGCAATTCTGATGCTGCGTCCGTCGTGGCCCCTGACGCTAACGGTGAGATGAAGCGCAACAGGCTGTTAGGAATCCACCAACACCCGTCGCCATCCAGGTCGACATAACCCCCATCAGCCAGGGTAACACCTGTTAACAAGTCCCTACCCTTCACAGTAAATATGTCTGAGCGCAGCCCTGCGGTTGACGCGAGCTGGTACGTCTGTCCGGGAGCCGAGAAGCGTTCAATCTGACCCTTTGGCAGTCGACGGCTTAAGTCAGAGCTTCGGTAGTACACGCGCTCCTTGGCTACCAACACTTTGCAGAACAGAGTAGACGACAAGCCTGGGTCTTCCGCAAAAGGGACCTCGGTGGCCTTGTTGAAGAAGACACCGTCGCTGGCCGCGAGTTTTTCATAACCGAAACGTGGTTCTGGTGCCTGAAAGCCGCGCAGGACGTATGTCCTCGACTCGGACAAAAGGGACAGGAAAAAGCAATCGGGGTCATCGATATGATTTGTGAGGTCCTGTTCGAAGTACTGGAGTATGGTACCTTGCTGCATGGCCTGGGTGTCCGAACAGAGATCGGCTAGTGGATTGCGCCTCCCGTAGTGAATAACGGCTCTCTTGGTACACTGGCCAAATTCGTTAACTGCGAGACATAGCTGGTGTTCTACGCGAGCATCTTCCGCCATGTTACGCTCGTAGTGCGTGATCAAAGACTCCCGATCGACGACGCGGAAACACGCGTGTGGCTGGTCATATGTAACCGTGGGAGATACCACTGCGCTCTCCTTTCCCCTATTTTATCTGGTTAAGCTAGAGTCCTGGTACTTCAATAATCCATGACAAGAGGTAGACTCACCCAGTGGTCGTTGACTTGATACCTTGCTCCATCAGGACGGCAAAGCTGGTTTCCGTCACAGTATACGGCAAGCCCGAACCAGGTGCGTCGTCCTCGCCGTAGACCTCGGTGCGTACAACGTGGCCCTTGAGAGCCCTCAAAGCCTCGCGGCGCTCGGCCGCAGACATGGAGACACTGTCAGGCAGACAGCATGGCTCGAGCGGTGGCACCGAGCTTCTTGCAAAGGTATGCGAAGGTGTCAAGGACGAAACAGCTCCCGTGTGGAACCAAGTGACCACATGCGTCCTTGGAGTCGTGAATCTCGACAAGGCCGGACCGGCCGCCAGGTTTTCTTGGTGCCACTCGTCAACACGACCAAAGCCGCAGAACTCATTCTCGAAACTATTGTAGAAGCCGTCGTGATAGGCATATGTTGTTTTCTGTGTTGTCTGAGCGACTCGGTCTACCGTCGTCATTGTCTGAACGCATTGCACGGGAAAGGGGAGCTTCGTCGTCCACGACCTGCCAGCTTCTCTATCCACACTGTAGAACTTGGTTGAGGGACAGTAACCAACTGTGGTCTCAGCTCCCAGCCCGTTGCGGAACCGGGTCAGCATCCCGGGCTTTTCGTTTCCCATCAGGTCCAGATATTGCACTGTGGGCAATGCGCCGGTCGAGGGCAGCACGGCGGTCCAGCACAAAGCACCCATTCCGTGGCCCAAGATATCGACGGCATCGATATACAGCATTGTCCTTATATCCGGAACGGAGGAAATGCTGACTCTCTCACTCCACCCGTTCCCCACCAAGTTGAAGTACACATGTGCGCCGCCGCCGGGAACGAAGTAGACAAAATCCGCCGTTCCGGACCCAGTCATGTCAACAAGCCGCAGGCGCTCGGTGGTGAACTGGTCGTTTCTATCCGCCACTGGGGCATTGTCCATCTGCACCACGGCGCCAAATCTGCCGTGACCCAAGTTTGGCCAGTACTGGATCCCAGATCGGCTTACTTGAACCACGTCAACGAGACCATCACCTGTCATGTCGGCCGTGAGCAGGGCCATCAGTTCGGTCTCGGGCAGGGGAACGCGGGGACCCCCGGGGCATGTTATCCCTGAAGCAAACCCGCCTCGGGCAAGCGACGGGTACCACCGCAGACGATCACTGCAATCACCTGTCATGAGCTGCACAACATCCTGCCTCCCGCAGCCGGTGAGATCGATCTGGCAAAACCCCAGCCCGTGGGGGTCGAAGCTCAAGGCGTGTGGGAAAGGTACAAAATCGCCCCATGTGTTGCTCGAAGATAGCCGTTCGTGATAGCCGCACGGCCTGCCCTGCTCGTCCAGGGAGACATATTGCAAGCAGCCGTCGCTGTCGAGATGCGCAAAGAACCCATCCTGTTGGAGCAGGGCAGGGATCTTGGCAAGCGACTCAGGAGGGCCAAACTCGGCCATGACAGGTGGTGAATTCCGCGGGCTCTCGTTCCGTTGGTACGACCACCCTCCGCCCGCGAGCTCTGCCAACAGCCCCGGGCTGCCCTCGTTATCCAGGTCCAACCAATAGCTTCTTCTGCCGGGCATTCCAACCATGTTGGGAAGGTTCGCTGTGCTGAGGGTAGTAGGTTGTAATAGTTCGACGTTGATTCCTGGCCCGAGGATTGGCCCACTGTAGTGGAACTCCTGAGGAGCTAACGACTCAGTCGTATAACCACTACCATCGCCACCAGAGAGTGGTACATGTCCCTGTCGGGTGCATTTCACCAGCCTTGACCCGGCTGGCGACTCGTTGTATTGAAACAGCAGCGATGAGACGAGACAGTCATCGATGCCGAGCAACCCCTTGAAGTGGTGGAATACCAAGATGCGGCGACACAACCTGTACGTGCGCACCTCAAACCCCTGTACATAAGTGGAAAAGGGGTCAGCGCGGACAGGCCAGGTGTTTGCCTCAACGACGCCAGGCATGTCTGGATGGTGATCACCGTAGTCAAAGACCACTTCGTAGTAAAATTCAGCGGCGCTCAGCGCGGAATCCCCTTTCAAAACCTCCCACGTATCCAGATCGCGGTTTGGCCGGCGGTTTCCCCAACGTACGCGCTTGAGGTATCGGTCAGCGGATCGCGCGGCGGCCGTTCTGTGCCGCTCGCAGGCGCTGTGTAGGTTGACATTGCCGGCGTCTTCGGTCTTGTACTCAAAGACGACGCAGTTGCCTTTGGGATCATATGTTTCAGTCGCTAGCCAGGAGTACGCACACCGGGAACTGGGAACAGATTCGTTGTCATGGAATATTTGTTCGGCATCCGCTTTGCCGTAGATGGTGGTGATGCCAGTGGAGGATATGGTGCGCCAGAATACGTGACTACCAGCTGTGTCGGTCCACCGCTCTATGCGCGAGGCGGAATCTCCCGTCTGGACACGAGGCTTGTATCGCTGGACCTTGTACGAATCCACGGTTGTCAAGGCGCCTTCCTGAGCCACCAGCTCTCCGGCGCCATCTGAGAGAAGGAACACGTCTTCATCACTCCCGCCATCACGGTAGCGTGGGACGCATCGGGACGTTTTGCGCGAGATCGACGGCAGTGACAGTGACCAGCCCACGCCAAAGGGTCCATTGCCTGCGTTCGAATCGTATACCAGTTCCAAGCCCGGTGAGAAGCCATCCCGGCCGGAAGGGATGACCAGCGGAATGCCGAGAGATAAAGCTCCCGTTGCGGCATCAACACTCAACTTGGATGCCGATTGCTGGATGGCGCGCAGGCCGCTGTCCGGGGGAAATGCCTGCGCTGCGGAACCGGTAGTTGAGGGAGAGGTTCTCGTAGCCTCCTGGCCGTCCGGGTTGTTGAAAAAGGGAGAGCTGGTTGGACCAGGGTTTGGCTGCGGGGGCAGCCGCTGGTTGCCTGGAAGAGAGAGACTTGGAGAAGCTGCCATATTCGCAGGTCTGTTGTTCTTTGCCTCTGAGTCCAGTTTACGAGGGGAAAGCCATGAGGAAGAGGCCTGTTCCCAATGTTTGTTTAAACTCGACGCTCGGTACGCCGTCTGGCAGATATGAAGCGCGTGTACCGCGTCACTGTTACTGAATCGACGATTGAAGAATCAGGTAGCACCAGACTTTCCGAAAATTATCACCCTTTACCTGCGAAAGCCACTCGACCTCTGCATAGCAAGATGCAGTCTCGACACCACTCCGGAAATGATTGTTGCGCGGGCCGGGCCGTCTCACTTTGGGTCTGTTAAAATTGCCTGGTATGGGAGGTCATACAGGGTGAAATTCTTGCATACTCCAAGGGCCTGGGCCCCCGAGATCTGCAACCCATTTTGTACCTACAGGTACCGACTCTCGAGAGACCCGGGTCTCCCAGTCTTCTGCCCTGGCCACAAATTACAGTACTTCCTATGCCTAATAAGTACCTAGGTAAGTACCTAGTTTATCGTCGCTCCCTCAGGTCCTAGCAAGGTCCTTGAGATGGTTGGCCCTAGATGGAGGGTTCGGCGGCCTCACTTGGGTCCTCCAGAATCTAGATGGTCTAATGTTACATGAGAATAACGTTAAGAGCGATATTACTGGAGATGATGGGCGTTAGATGGGGGGTTCAACAGCCTCACTTAGGGTCCTGCAGATGGTTCGACGTTGGACAAGGTCACGTCAGGAGGCTTACTGCTGAAGATGATTGGCACCAGATGGGAGAGGGGTTTGACAGCCTCACTTGGGGTCCTGCAGATGGTTCGACGTTGGACAAAGGTCACGTCAGGAGGGTTACTGCTGAAGATGATTGGCACCAGATGCGGGGTTTGACAGCCTCACTTGGGGTCCTGCAGATGGTTCGACGTTGGACAAAGGTCACGTCAGGAGGGTTACTGCTGAAGATGATTGGCACCAGATGCGGGGTTTGACAGCCTCACTTGGGGTCCTGCACATAGTCTGATGTTGGGACAAGATGATGCTCGGAGGGGTACTACTGACGATGATTGGCACCAGATGGGAGAGGGGTTTGACAGCCTTAGGTGAGATCCTGCAGAGAGTTCCGACAGTACATAAGGGAAGGTACCTTAGTAGCGTTAGAGAGGTACTGGGGGTACTGACTAGAGGTGATCCGCGTTGTAGCGTTCAGAAATATTGGAAGGGACTCTGCAGTCTTTGCATTCAGTGCTTTGCATAAGGTAGGATGTATTGGATGCCTTGATAGGTGCCGAGAAAGGATGTGTTTGTGAGTGTGATATCCGGCACGGCCCGTCAAGATACGGGCCGCAAATTCAATGCCAAACCTTAGCCCAGCACACTCTTATCCTCCTGCTTGATAAGGTACCTACCTATTGTTGTCGTCACCCCTGCTATTGTCCCGGATGTCCACTTCCACCACCGACTCAGTGCCCGGATTTCGAAAAGCCTTTCAAATCAGTACGAGAAAGAGAGATACTTTGAAAAGGTGAGCCTCGATATTCAGTTTCTGTCATGTCCAGGACAAACTCGTACTAATTTACTGCAAAGACTACTCCGGCAACCATGGCTTCCATCGCCACCAAGTTACTCGATGACTCCGACATCAACATGTTGGAAGGTGTCTTGCGGAATGGCGGAGAGGAATCGGGTGACCTAGAGGCAGTCATAGCAATACTCAACCAGTCCCGGGACCTCCAGGCCACGGCGGAAGCAATGACCTGGCTGGAGGATTGCGGACTGAAGACGAAGCTACTCTTTGTGGCGCGTCTACACGATCTCACCGGGGGCCCGACACAACTGGTCCAGAGGATCATAGCAGGCGGCAGCGGTTCTAATGCCCCAACCACGATTTCTGATGTCGCACTTCGTCTTCACGCCCTGGGTCTCACGAGACGGGCCTGCTTGGCGGCCAACATGGACCCAGGCCCACTCCGTTTCCTCCGTTGCCGGCTGCTTTCTGAAGAACCGACTGCGCTCATTTGCGGATTGGTTGCCGAGGGTATCGTGCCTGTCCCAGCGCAGTTGCGGGACTCCGTCGTCGCCTTTCTCACTCACGCAACAGAAAAAAAAGCCGATATCAGCAAGCAACCCCTTCAAACCATCTTGGATTCATACAGGGCCGCAGAGAGTACATCGTTGCAGCTACGTAATAAGCTGAGAGATGAAATTGCCAAGCTGATCCAGCTAGCACGCCTCGTGGACGAACCCGAAGACATTGGCGCACTTTTAGCGCTAAATTTCGAGTCAGCGTACGCTATTGCCCGGATTCCCAAGCAGCAATTTGTGTCCCGGGCTGCGAGCCAGATCGACCGCTCGACGGCGGAAACTATATGGGCCCGGTCCAAAGCCTTTGTGCTCCGCAACCAAGAAGCCTGGATAGAAGGCCTCCGCTTGAAAAACGAAGCGCCGCTTGCTGGCACTTCACGAAGGTTACTACAGCCCCATCCGCGGCTACCAGCTACGACGGCCAGTCTTCCCCTACTCTTCCCGGATCTGGCACAGATAACAGAGTGTGCAGAGTGCTCTTCAGTCACCAGCCCGGCTGCGTATTATGTCGATCTCCTGAACCAGCTCAGCAAAAGACCAGCCCAGGTAACATCCGAGACCCCCACCTTGCTGGACAAGCTTTTCGAGAGGCGGCCCGACCTGGGTGATCTGGTGCTCTCTTGTGTCAATACAACGTCGCTGATTCCCCTGGTCGACCTTGCCAACGAAGCCTTGGAATCTATCGTGGCTCATAGCGCGGCCCAGGTCTCGGACGTGTACAGTTCCGCCGAAGAAGTGGACGACAGCTCATCCAAAAGCCCAGAAAACATCAAGCTAGCTGTTTATGAGCACTTTATTCAACCCATGGTCTTCCCCCTCGGGGTGTTTCCATACAATCTGGGCGTGGACTGGGTCCGGCTGTACCTGGCAGCCCTCGGTTCTTCAAGAAACGAGCTGCTGACCATCTTCCGTGCACCGTACCGTCTTCTCCCCGCCTCCAAGGCACAGGATTCCCGAGTCCTGCAAATGGCACAGGCTGTCTTGGACCGATCCATATCGGCGGAGTACCTGGCGCTTCAGTGCGAGGACTACATGGCCATTGTCCACGAAGCTTTCCACACCCGGGAATTTCTCGACGCAGTCACTGACACGGATCCGCCCAGCAGCGTAGAGAGTTACTGCCGAGCCGTTGGTGTCAAGGATACTTGCGAGTACTGGGGCTACGCTGATACAAATACCATGCTTGGCGAATCGAAGGGCCTGACATGTGTGCAGGATCAGTTTCTGCCCCGCTCGGAACTCTCGTTCAAGGAGTTGCTCGCGCTCCTAAAGACACGCTATGTGGGCCGGCGACTTGCAATTATGTCGACTGCAACTGGGAAGAGCCAATTCTCTGGAGATGTGGGAGAGATGCGATTACGACGCTATCCTCCCGACACGTCCTCGAGTTCAGCCCTCCTAAAGGAGGATTGCGATGAGTTACAAGCATTCATCCGGCTTTGGCGAAAGTTGGGTTGGTCCCTGAGCGACACGGATGCCGCGGTGGTCATTCTGGCCGGCACAAGAACTACTGGGGTAGATGCGCAAATCATCGACGGTCTGGCCGAGATCAAGCGCCTTTCTTCCATGACGAGGTTGCCGGTAAGGGATCTCCTTCCGCTATGGGGCGACATGGACCCCACTACCGACTCTTCGGTCTATGTTCGCCTCTTCCTGCGACCCATGGTGGTGCAAGAAGATGCTGTCTTCGTCGCCGACAGCAGTGGCCGGTACCTCGCCACACCTGACCTCAAGATCTCGGACCACCATCGTATCATCCAGTCTACAATCGGCATAGCTGCGGCTGATCTCATTGCCATCACAGCAACCGCGGACTGGATGCAGGATAGGCTCACTCTCCAGAGCATATCTTACATATACCGCGTGGCAACGCTATGCCGCATGCTGGACCTGCCACCCGTCCTGTACCCGCGGTTTCTGGCCCTGCTTCCGGTGGGCGGCTCTGATGTCTTTTCGGACCCTAGACATACCCGTCTTGTTGTTGACCAGTTCCTGGAGCTCAGACGACAAGGCTGGAGCATGACCAAGCTCCTCTTTGTCGTGAGCAACATAATGACAGCGACCGGGATGCCGTCGACCTTCGAAGTCAAGGACGCCGTTGAGACCACCGCCGATATAGTCCGAGAGAACCAGGCTGCGATGATGGATGCTGATACTTCAGGGAGGGCGAACCATGATACTACCTCTACCGAAGATATGCGGCGCCCAACTCGAGAAGCAGTTGCCCGGGTTTCCGCGTCACTTTTCGGGCATGAAATTGGAAGCGAGGTGGAACGATTCATTGAAGGTAGGTGCAGTGCCCACTTTGTTGCTGCTTGTCACTCCTATTCGGCATGCTCTGTACGTGTTTCAAGCCATGGTAATGCTGATGTTTAGTTACCCCTTTTCAGGAACAAGGAAACGCATATTTGAGCTCAGCGCCCCGCTGCCCCCTGATGCTAGCCTCCCGCTTGGGCTTCGCCCTAAGACGGAGCTTGTTGTGAGAGACCGCCCTGGTGGCTCTACTGCCTCCCTGGTAGTTTTGAAAGGGAACCTGACTGCGGATGAGGTAGGTAATTTACAACGTGTGAAAACAGCGACATCAGTGCATACGGTCAAGACGTCTACAAGAACTAACATACGTATGTGAACTAGGAGAACGAGCTGGCCACCTATCTCCTTCCTCACACAGACTGGGCAAAGACTCGTTTGCGTCCCGATGAAGAGTCATTGTCGTTCTATCGCAAGACTCTAGGTCCGATCCTACCGAAAGGATCCTCGAAAATCTTTTTTGAACCCATCCGGGTTAGCAAAACCGCTCAGCAACTGGACGAATTGGTTATGAAGAAACGCGACGCCTTCCTCAACGCCGCAGTCCCGTTGTTGCGGGAGAAGATCTGCCAGAAGGCGGTGCTGAAAATCATTGGCCCGGTGGCTGGAGACCTGGACATAGTAACGCTGCAGCTTTTGCTCTCCGATGTATTCAAAGTTCGAAATCGTAGCGCACAGCTCGTCTCGGCCATGACGGCTCTCTGTGCACTGACCTTCGGGGACACGACGAAGAGTTCGTTCGAAGGTTATCTGATGCCGCCGGGCACGGATGCGTACACGTTTGCGTATTTCTCGCCGCCGGCGGAGCCTTCAACGCCTCCGATCATGGTGCTTGATGGTACGGTGGTGGACTTCTCTGAAACGGAAACCGGGCTCTGGCTGTCAGCGCAGAAGATCAGGCTTGCTAGTGATCAATGCTACAGCTTGAGCTTCTGCAACGGAAGGCTTAAACACCTCTCGTATTCCGCCGGCAGTGGCCCATGGTTGCGATTTCAGGCATCGAGCTTCATTGATGAATATTCCATCTGGCTTACCACCGAAGTCCTGGTTAGACTGTCAAGGGCGGCAATATGCATGAGCCTGTCTCGGCTCAGCCGCGAGGAAGTCATATATTTCCAGAGCCTCTCCTCCTTCGACTTCGGCTGCATGAGCCTTGACAACATCAGCTTGCTCAGCAGCTACACCAACCTGCGCGATTCCTTACCGAAGCCGACGGGCAAGAATGCACTAGACTTCCCTTTAATCAATTTCTGGAAGGGACTCGCGAATTGGGATTCCTCTCGGAGCCTAGCCCAGGAAATCGTTTCGGCGACGGGATGGCAAGAGGGCCTGATCCGGCAGATCCTGGATGCCAAGTACAACAACATTCACATAGCAGATCGCGCTGCTCTATTTCGAGATCCACAGGCCCTGCGCGAATTGCGAGACGCCATCGCCTTTATGGCGAGGCTCCAACTCCCTGGTGTGTCAGTCATGCTGCTGTTCTCTCTTGCCGAACCGGTGTGTCCCCCAGATCGCGAGGGTCTGGGCTTCCAGGACGCGGCGAGCCTCCGCCTTGCACTGGCGCCTCGCTCAAATAGCCTCGGAGACAAATATCTAGGGGCCGAGAACAGCTCTAGGACGAACAGGCGAGACGCCCTAGTCCAGTTCCTACTACAACAAGACTACATCAGAGATCTACATTTGCATGACGCTGATGGAATTTCCGAGTATTTCCTCCTTGATGTGGAGGCCGGTCCGGCAATGTGCACTTCGCGGATCAAGCAGGCGATATCCACAGTTCAAGTCTTCATGCAGCGATGCGTCCTAGGCCTGGAGCGAGGGGCGGCAATCGACAGCCACGCCATCAGTCGCGAAGACTTTGACTATCTCAAGAGATACCGGGTATGTGAATTTATCATGATCTGTGCCATGTTCTTTTCTTGGTGTGCCGTGCTAATACCTACCTTACTCACATAGTTGTGGGAGGCCAACCGAAAGGCGTTCCTGTACCCGGAATCCTGGATCGACCCAACGCTTCGTGACGACAAGAGCGACCAGTTCCGGGCGCTCGAGTCGGCGTTGAGCCAAGGCACCCTGAGCGAGGAAATGGTAGCAAACACGGTACGGGACTATGTCTACGCGATGCACGGAGTCGGCGATCTCGAGATCCAATCGTACCTCTGGGACCGCTACCAGCCCAACAGCAGCGACGGCGAGAAAACGCGCCTGCACGTGTTTGCTCGTACCCGCTCGAGCCCTTGGCAGTACTACTACCGCCCAGTGAGTCTGTTGCGGCCCAAGGGCAGTAGCCCAGCCGTGGCGTTCTGGCAGCCCTGGGAAAAGATGGCCGTAGACATACAGACGCATGAACTGGAAGGGAGTGTTTTCAACAAGATGACCAACTCGGGCTGCTACATAGTTCCCGCCGTCCAGAGTGGTCGCCTCTTCTGCTTCCTGCCGCAGTTCTGCCTCGTCAGTCCTGTGACTCCTGTGGACACCGCAGGGAGCAAGTCCACATTTAGGGACATGGCAGACCAGAGCGTGTCCAACACCCCGCAGAACAAGCGATGGGAGGTGCGGATGGGCTGGACTGAGTATCGATGCGGCAAGTGGACGCCAAAATGTCTTTCAGACGAGGTCCTGCGGATCGATGGACTCGTGGACGACTATAAACCACCTTCGCCGTATTTGGATAGCGATCGCTCTATTAACGACACGTTTGAGCAGAATGTTTGTGGTGAATTGGAAAAGAGGCTCCCACGGATCGAAACCTTCAAATTCTGGGTCTCTAGCCGGGCCGTCAGCGGATCACCAGACGTGCTTGTCATCAACATGGAACGTTGGCTTGGGCCGGTGAATCCTAGAATGCCGGTATACCAGAACAAGTACAACAGGTTTTTCGCGTATAATGTGGCACAGTACGAATGGCGGGACGAGCGGCTCGTGCTCGCGGCCACGCCGACGAATAATTGGCGGTATGCTAATACGATGCCGACCAACTTCATGAGGATGTCATGGTGGGTGCCGCCGAATGTCAGCAGCTCGAATTACCAACCTTTCCCGCAAAACACTCTGGCCAACTACAATCAGACTCCAGTAGCGCCTCTTTTGGCCCGGCTAGCTAAACCAAGCGTGGAATCCAATTTCAACTTCACCATGTCCTTCAACACGAACTCGGTTGGGACATCAACAGCCTCTGGCTTTATAGTCGATGTGTTAACCGCTGACGGCGTCAGCTGCGTGCTGGGCTACCCGCCCTCACTTCCTCCTCCTTTAGAGGAGTATGATGTGTGGAAGTTCTACAATGTGGCGGCACCCACGCTCATACAGGCCGCTAGCGGTGGTATGGAGTCCATCTTCAATACCCTTTCCGCCCTGCCCTCGGCTCTGTATCCGGACGCGTTCGGAACGCGACAGAGAGCTATCCCACACGAACTCGCCACTTCCCATTCTCTATATACATGGGAGCTGGGATTGCACGTTGTCTGTCTCTTGACAGAAAGGTTGTTGTCCACTGGTCAGCTTGAGCTTGCCCTTGGGATTGCTCGCTTGGTCTTCGACCCAGCGGCTGGAACCCCTGAAACAAACGTCAACAAATGCTGGAAGTTCCTGCCTTTCCAGAACCCCGCCATGGTGACGTGGCGCCCCGAGACAAACGCCGCGAGCACCGAGGGCAGGATTGACTTCTACGAATGGGACTCGAATCGCGCCAGTGTGCACGCTGCGGCACGCGTACGACCGGTCGCCTACATGAAGAGGATGGTGCTGAAGTACGCCGAGATTCTCATCGCGCTAGGGGACGAGCTGTTTCGCCAGAACACGCTCGAGACAATCCCGCTTGCCATGCAGCAATACATGGAGGCAGCACATCTCTTTGGACCACCACCGGTTGTTGTGCCCAGTCTGGGAAAACGCAACGCGTGGTCCTACAGGGACCTCGTCAGCAAAGCCGGGCTTGACGCCTTCTCCAACGCATCGGTCAAGCTGCAGATGGAGTATCCCTTCCGAACCGATGTTGGGGGCGACAACACCGCCGCGGCCGAGCCGATCCCTTTTATCCAGACGGGCTACTTTTGCATTCCAGCGAATCCCCAGGTGGCTGCCCTGCGCGCCCTCCTGAATGACCGCTTGTACAAGTGCCGTAATTCTCTCGATATCAACGGCCGTCCGCAGAGGCTCGCACTGTTCGAGCCGGCCCTTGACCCGGGGATGGTTGTCACGGCCGCCGCGTCAGGGGTCTCACCCTCCGCCATAGTAAGCGACCTGGGGGCGCCGATGCCTCGACACCGCTTTACAGCCCTACTGAGCCGCGCTCTGGAGCTGTGTCACGAACTCCGGGAAATGGATGCCCGGGCCCTGAACGTGCGCGAAAGGAAGGACGCAGAAGCGCTGGCGACGCTGCAAGCGAAGCACAGCTCGGCCGTGCTCGGACTTGTCATGGATGTCAAGCAGTCGCAGAAGGCGGAAGCGCTAGCCGCCATCGAGACGCTCGAAGAGACCCGGCGGGCACATAGTGCCCGGCTTTCCTTCTATCTCTCTCTCACGGGTGATTCGATGCCGGCCCTAACCAACGACGGCGACTGGCAGGAGATCCCACAGACGGTCGGGCAGCCCGGCAACGACGAGCTCCGCGCTGGCCCAAGCGAGCAGGAGGAGTACGCCCAGGCACAGAAGCTCCTCGACCTCGGCAAGAACAAAAACTTGCAAGAGCTGCTGGCAGCCATACTCGACGCTGTTCCAGCTTTCTATTTCAACTTCGAGCCGTGGGGCGTGGGGACTACCATGGAGTTCGGAGGTCCCCTCCTCGCACGTATCGCACGCATCCATTTGGCGCAGGTCGGCCACGACGAGCAGGCGGCGTTGAACGAGAGCAGACTAGCGGGCCTGAAAGCCCATCTACAGTATCGACTGCAGGAGCACCGGGAGCTAGCGAACCAGGCGGGCCGGGAGATTAAGATTGTTGACCGTATGATCGAGGCTGCGAAGGCACATGTGGCGTCGTGTGAGAAGGCAATCCGAGAACAGCAGCAACGGCTGGATGCGGCGGCCGAGATGGAGGAGTGGCTGCGGTCAAAATACACAAACAAGCAGTTGTACGCCTGGATGGACAAGCAATACGGCATGTTCCTGCAGCATGCCTATTCGCTTGCGAGCGACATGGCCAGACAGGCCGAGAGGGCCTTTGCCTTTGAGCGCCCCACCGAGAGCGCTAGGCACTTGGTCACGGGCGGGAGCGGCTACTGGAACAGCGCCAGAGACGGAATGCTGAGTGGTGAGAATCTGTGGATCGACCTCAAGAAGATGGAATCGACCTACTTGAACACAAGAGGGCACGACTTCGAGGTCGTAAAGGCCGTGTCTCTGAGGCAGCTTGACCCCCTGGGACTGCTCCTGCTCCGGGAAACTGGCCACGTCGAGTTTTCTTTGCCAGAGGTAAGTACCGTACCTAGGGGCTGACATTCCAATATGATCTACTCAACTACCCAAGGTAGATAACTGACGGGATATACCACTACTAGTTCCTCTTCGACATTGATTTTCCTGGGCATTACTGCAGACGAATCGTGTCGGTGTCGTTGACTATCCCCTGCATCATCAGCCCCTACACAAGCCAGAACTGCACCCTCCGCCTCCTCCGACACGTATACCGCATCCGAGCCGATGCCGGCGAGTCCGCAGCAACCTACCCCGAAGACCCCCTGGGAGACACCCGCTTTCGCACCGACAACATCCCCATCACAGCCATCGCCATAGACAGCCCGTCGTCGAACCCCCGGGCCGCAGCAGCGTCCCTCTCTTTCGGCTTCCCCCCGGGAGGAGAGAGCTGCTACTCCCCCTTCGAAGGGGCCGGCGCCATCTCCACCTGGCAGATTGACCTGCCGCCCGAGCTGCGGCCGTTTGACTACCGCACCATCAGCGACGCGGTCCTGCACCTGCGGTACACGGCCCGCGACGGAGGCGCCGCCTTTCGCCAGACGGCCAGCGAGGCAACGTTTGCGGCGCTACAGCAGCAGCAGCAAGCCTCCCGCCCGAGTCCTCTTTCGCTGCTGATCAACGCCCAGAGCGACTTCGCCACAGGCTGGGCCGGCTTCCAAGCTGCCGTGCGGGAAGGGCGCGATGCGCGGCTACACCTGTCTGGCGTGGAGGGCTTCTTGCCCTTCTGGACGCAGCGGATGATTGCGATGGTGGAGAGCATCTTTGTCGTGTTCTTCCCAGATCCGTCCGCGGAGGGGGTTGATACGGCTGGCTTTGCGATTGACGAGTATCCTGGGCTAACGTGGACGAAGGCGCCCAGTGCGGCCGTCGGCGGAAACGCGTTGGTACTTGAAGCGAGCACTGTGAATCAGCAGTTGGTATCGGACTGGCATGTAACGCTTCCTAGCAGTGGGAGAGCGGCTACGGTTGATTCAATGTGGTTTCTAGTTCGGTATTCCGTGAATCGAGCGGCTGGGTAGGTAGGTAGGTACCGTCCATTTTATTAACGACGGGAGAAATAATCCTATTGCTCTTATATCAGATAATTTAGCTTGTACCTCTACTTCTCCAGGGTCACACCTTTTCCCCGCTGCTATCGTGGCTTTGAGTTCGCTGCCGGTCCAACCCACCAATGGGTCCCTCCTCCTCCCGCTGATTCATCACACATGGCGAGGCTCCGATACAAAGTTTGGGTGACAATGGTTCAAGGATATAATCATGGGTTTGAAGATGAACAAGTTACTTCATACATATTTGCTTATTTACTACTGATATCCAAAGTTTCGACTCTCGAACTCCCAGATAACTCTCTACCTACCAATATGCATGTTATCTCATCCCGTCACTCACAATCCTCCACTGCACCTCAGCTTCCAGCCCAGTTCAACATTCCCTAACGTCTTCCCCTCCTCTGATCAAGCAGAAAACACCTGCAAGAACCTCCCCTTCAACCCCAAACTAGACTCAACCCCCGTAACAATGCAGTCGTCCCCGTCCAGCTCGCTATTAATAGCCGTGACATTCACCCCCTTACCCTAGCCAGCATCGTAGTACCGCGTGCACCCGTTCAGCTCTATCCGCTCATCCCCCGTGTCACGCAACTTCAGCACCTCGCTAAACCTAGCATTCCCCATATCTTTAGCGCACAAGCTTGTATACTATGCGGCGTCAGCGCCCATTATACGACACTGCTAGGGCGTAAAAGAGTTATATAGGCTAGTTAGGTACTTAATGCTTAGAATAGGCTTTTTGTCACGATTCCGATCTTGTGTAAGGAAGGGCAGGTACGCCGGATCAAGGTGGTCACAATGGAGGCAACAAGAAGGGTGAGCAATGACTGGCAATGGTGTAAGACTTCAACCTGGCCCTCGCAAAGGAAGGTGGGCGAGGGCCACTGCTTATATACATAGTTGGGCGACCAAGCCCTGTGTGTGTGTGTGGAGCCACGCAGTGGCTCCCGTGGCGTTGCCAACTGGTGGCAGGTGGTGGGCGCGCACAGGGGTGCGCGCACGACGAAGAGTGTGGGTTGGGGTGCTCTTTTCCTTACATCGATATCCGCAGGCTGGCGGTCCATTCCATTTCCATCCACGCAGCCTCTAGTAGAATGGATGGACGTCCATTTGGGTCCACCTCAAATGGAATGGATGGAAATGGACGCTGTCACGACCAGGGCAAGGCATTGAGGTGAACTCAGTCCATTGGGTACTATCGACGAAGATTCTAAACTGAGGAGGGAAAGAAGGAAAAGTCCGACAACGCGTCGCGTGCTCGCGAATAAGTTTGCATCTATCAGTGGGGTAGGTGGGGCCTCGAGGAGGCTTCTGATAGGCCCGTGGGTTCTGGGCGGCTCTGGCTGCTTCAGGGCCAGTTTGGTGGACGGGTCCTCACATTACCCCCTTCCAAGCTCTGAGCGCCTGGCGTTCAGGAAGCTTGAAAGAGTACCGCGGGGGCAATTCAAGTATGCCTGGTGGCATGCTTCTTCTTTGTCCTCCCCCCCGTCGCATCGTGTTCCGCCACTTCATCATCCTTATGATCGCTACTGAAAGCATCGTCTGCCGCGTCTCGTATCCATTGCTGTAATCTCACTGGCGGACCAGCAGCTTCCGGGTGTTCTTTGTGGAAGGACTCCAGCAGCAATGGAGAGTTCTTGAGGTCGCCAGCTGGATACCAGGTTTCGTCGGGATCCAGGCCGACCCAAGACACTTGGTATTGGAGCTTCTTTCGTTGACCGAACAGTCGCGATGCCAGAACCTTCTCGACTTCCCACTCGGGTTCTCCATTGATCTCCACAGGGGGTTCCGGTTCTGCCCGTTGTTGAGGTAAAGGGTCCTCAGAAGCTTTTCTCAGCCTGTCAGCGTGAAAGACCTTACTTCCCTTGTACCATGACGGGGTATCTAGGACGAAGCTGTGGCCTTTCATGTCGACTATAGTCCAAGGTCCGGCGTTCTGGGAATCCAGCTTAGTTGTTGGTGCTTCGGTAGAGAATCCTTTCTTGCTGACATACACTGAATCTCCCACACCGAAGTCAACGGGGCGACGCTTCTTGTTAGCTTGAGCCTCCATCAAGGCCTGTGTGGCAATGGCATTTTGTCTTGCCAGGTCTTGGGCTCGCTGGGTTTGCTTGACGATATCCAAGGCCTTTTTCTGCTGATCGGTAGACAGGTCTAGCTCGGGCAATGGCAGAGACAAGGGATTCCGAGGGCTGGTTCCCAACGCTACTTCCAACGGAGACATTCCAATAGCCGAATGGTAGGCTATATTGTGGGCCAGGTCCAAGGCAGGCAAGTGTTCTCGCCATTTGGTCTGGTACTTGTCCACATAAAACCTCAGCTTTTGATCCAACTCCGCATTGGTGATCTCGATACTTCCTTGCGTTTGAGGGTGTCTCGAGCTTCCGTGGCGATGTTTGGTGCCCGTGAGCTTGTTGAGGGTATCGAGGAATTCGGAGATGAAAGGTCCGGCGTTATCGCTAATCCACTGGCTAGGGACTCCCAGGAAGCGGTAAAGATAATGGTAATACCGGGCGGCTAATATCTCCGCGGTATCCGTCTTGCGTCCGGCCAGGGTAGCGATTAGCTTGCTGAAACGACAGATGAAAGCCCAAACGTAGTCATAGCCTTCGTCGTCCGTTGGCATGTTCTTTCCGTCTACTACTACATGCTCCCAAACGTGCTTTGGGATCGGCAGCGGATGGAGAAGTCCGGGAGTCTTGTCGTGTCTGACCTTATTCCTTTGGCAGCTCTGGCAGTTTCGGATATACCGTTTGATGTCGCTATTACGGCCCTGCCACCAATATTCCTTCTTTAATAGGGCGACCGTCTTGTTCTGTCCTGCGTGAGCGAATGCCTTAGGTTCATGGGCTTCTCGAATCAGGGCAGTCCGTAGAAAGACGCTTCCGTCGGCGGTGGTCTCCGGAACAACTAACAATCCTTCTTTACGACCCAAGTTCTGCTTGGCGTTCTCGGCAATGATAGTATCGACCAAATCCGCTCCACAAAGTTCCGTAGAGGTCAGGGCGTTGATTGATCTCGCACCGTCGTTCGGCAGCCCTTCAATCTTTTCGGGTGGGATCAAGGCGAACGTTCTGTCTTGGATTTCTCGTGCTTTGACCGTCGGGTTGTCTACGGTTTTGCGAGAGAGAGCGTCGGCGGCCACATTATCCTTACCTGGGCGGTAACGGAAGGTAATGTCGAAATTGGCCAAATAGTACGACCAGCGAATCTGGCGGGCGGACAGCAGTTTCTTAGTAGACCAATAGATGAGAGCTTGATGATCAGTCTGTACAAAGAACTTGGTTCCCCATAGAGCCGGTTCAAAGTCCTTCAAGGTGTTGACTACAGCCAAAAGCTCCTTGTCTTGGATGGGATAGTTTTGCTCTGAGGCGGACATTGTCTTGGACGAGTATCCGATCGGCTTCCATTCTCCGTCTTCTTGCTGCTGCCAGATCACACCGCCCGTGGCGTTGTTGGAAGCATCGGTGTCGACTTTCACTGGGAAACCTGGCTTGTAGAATGCCAAAACTGGGGCCTCGGTAGCAAGCTTCTTGAGTGCGTCGAAGGCGGCTTTTTGCTCGGGTCCCTTCTCGAAAGCAACGTCCTTCTTCAACAGCCTGGTGAGTGGTTCGGCAACTTGGCTGGCGTGGTAACAGAAGATCCGAATGAAGTTGCAGAGGCCTAGGAATGATCGAACAGATGACTTCGACGTCAAGTCGTCCCAATCCCAATCCAGGATGGCGGCTACTTTGGCAGGGTCCACTCGCACTCCTTTTCCGGTCTCCAGAATCATGCCCAGGTAGTCGACTTCGGTCACGTTGAAAGAGGACTTCTTGATATCGCCTTGGAGTCCGGCCTTGTGAAGTCGATAGATGATCTCCTCAACGTGTTCGAAGTGTTCCTCATCATCGCCCTCTGAATAGGCCAGAACGTCATCAGCATAGGCACTAGCAAAGAGGTCCAGTAACTCGTTGAGTTGTGCATTGATAAAGGCTTGGAACCAAGCTGGCCCGACTTTCAGCCCGAAGGGCAGGACTTTCCATTGGAAGGTGCCTTGGCGAGTGGTAAAGGCGGTAAGGTACCTTGAACCGGGGTCCATCAGCAATCGATTAAAGGCACGGATGATGTCGATTTTGGTCAGGTGCTTGGCTCGCCCACAGCGGCTGATGGTGCCTTGTACGTCGGGGGCTAACACTTGTCGACCCTTAATGAAGTCGTTGACCCAGCGGTAATCCACGCAGAAACGGTGCTCTTCTGAATGGGGTTTAGGCACGAACAAGGTGGGAGCAGGTTTATCGGTCATGCACCGTTCAATGAACCCGATCTTTAGTAGTTCGTCGGTGGTCTCTTTTTCGAGTCCCAAGAAAGCGAAGGGCGTAGGGTAGCGGGACGGTCTTCCCTCTAGCGGCTTACTGAGCTCAAGAACCACATCAAAGCCAGGGCGGCTGGGAGGCAGTTGCGTTGAGGCTTTCTTCGAGAAGAATCCTTCCAGGTGAGCCAACTCGCGTGGTAGCTTGGCGCGCACTTTATTAATATGCTCGGAATCCTCTCCTGCCGGGAACGGGATATGCTTTCCGTCGAAGGTCTTGTTCCAAGCCTTGGGGTCGACGGTGAGAGCGTTGAGGCTTATGGTGGGCTGATTAGAGACTCCATCTAATGGTATGGCAGTTTGGGGCATCTTCTGCTTTTTCCATCTCTCTTGGCGAGGGTCAGTCTCAATTGCGCGGAGGCAAGCAATCATCTCGGGGCTGTGCTTCTGTTCCGTTGCGACCGCTGGAATCGCAGCGGCTACCACTGTCTGTGTGTTTGTCCTGCGCCAGGGATTTTGCAGAATCTTTTGCACTTTCAGCTTGCGTTCCTCGGCCTCCATTAGTCGATCTCGGCGGACTACCTCTGACTGGGCATTCATATCAATAGTGCTAGTGCTCGGATCGACAAGGATGCTGGGCGAGTATTGTGCTAGGGCAGGAGTATCGTCGGGCCAGCGA